GATCTGTAAGTCTGAGTGGTACTATAGATAGCTTATTAGCTGTAATATCCGAATCCTAATAATCAATTTCGATATACTTGCCTACCTACATATCTATATATGTATGCATCTACAATCGACCTGTCAGGTAGCAATGGTTTCTCCTTAGGATGAAGCTAGGTCGCCTAATCGTAGGGTACCTACATAGACTAATAACGTTCATCATTCTATATGAGCTCGTTGATTCGTCGGGGAGTTATTCGTCTACTTCTTAGTATCTTAAAGCTCGAAGCCAAAGCCGTATTTGGAGTGACCCGAAACTGCGCGGCGACTTTTTTCCTTCTTCGTCTTCGACTTTCTTTTTTCTTTTTTTATTTCGCACTTTCTGTCAATTCTACATAACAATCAAGGTACGTAACTGCCATTAAGCTAATGGAATGTATAATACGCAAAACACGTACAGTGCAGTATACATACGTAAGTATCCATCAAATATGGAATGTGCGTGCAGTCACAGTTTACATGAGGCAGTTACGCTACCTACCTAGTACCTAGGTCACCTACCGTAGATGCGTAGTTCTGTAGTAGTTCTGTAATTCTGAAGATGTAAGGAAGGTGCGGATGTACCGAAGTACCTCTAGCCCACAACCGACTGCGGCCGGTCGATGCGCCCAGGTGTGTCCCTCTTACGATACGACAATACTTGGGTACTTGTGTACCTTCCCTCCAGTTTTTGACCCCTCCTCTTGCTTCTGGACCATTCAAACACAACCTTACCATCAACTTCCCACATTCACCACCTTCCGCCGTCCGCCTATCTACCTTTTACCTACCACACATGCACTTTTTTACCACCTTTTACTACTACACATCACCATAACCATAACCATAACCATACATTACCTCTCTCTCTACGTATTTCTTTTCCCCTTCCCAACATTGAACGTACGTCTTCCCGCGCAAACTCGTCGCCACTTACCAAACGTGTAAGTCTCTTTTGCCCTGCTTGTTGCCGTCCTTTTACAATCAGCTAGTCTCCCCCCATCATCTTCAATTTGACGCCGCAGCGCCTATGCATCCGTATCTCTTCCGATCAACTAACGATTCTAGTGCAGCGGCAGTCATCGTTAACATATACCTGAAGTAGTCGAGTCCTTTTCCTAAGACCCAAGACCCAAAGAGAGGGTCATCATCCCACAAGGTGAGTCCACTTCTTGGCCGGTATACAGGCAGAGAGACGGGACAGGCTACCAAGTGCAAGTGCAGCAGGTGCAAGCTGCTACTGCTACTAGCCTAGCACATACCACTCAGTCTCTCCCTCCACGTCCAGCGTCCGAGATCAATGCATTGCCTTACCTTAACCCTACTGACTTCCTACCAACAACGTACAAACATCTAAAACTCACCTGCCCCCCTTTCTCTTTTTTTCTCCTTACCACAAGCTTGCCTAGTCCTATTCTTATTTAGAAGTACCTGAGGTAGCTCGACCTACTATACTTCGCTGCAGTGGACACCTAAAAGTTTCTTTCAAGTCACGTTCCGTCATTCGACCACTTGCAACCCCGCCAGAAATCCCTACCTACATTAACCTCTCCGCCCTCTCGCGATACTAGACCCCTTCCATTCTCGAGACTCTACATAGATCCTAAATAGTTGAAATCTTAGGAATTTTTGTTTATGCTCGCAATCAGACGGTCCTCTTGTCTGCGAGTCTAACGCACATTTACACCATCGTCTCTTTATTTCGAACCCGCCCAAACTTGTCCTGGTCCGACCGGCACTTCAATTCAGAGTCGCCTCTTCTCGTACTACATTTGAGCCAGTACAATATTGACCCACCACCTCGTCACCTGTCAATTGCGATCGAGACCCAGTCCGACCCAATTGCCTATTGATTTGTCGCCCAACACGGCGTCCCAAACCGCGCGTCAACCACCTCCCGTCTCCTCCTGCTGACGGCTCGAGAGACGCCCTGAATTGTACCATTTTGCGACCGGCATCGATTCGTCCAACATGGCGCAAAACCGCCCAACAGCGGCTTTCAATACTCTCCGCATGGGAGGTAAGCTATACCAATCCCTTCTCTCGCTTTTCGTGGTAGTGTATAATGTGTGTGGTGAACGGCACTAAATCAAGATACAGAGGTCATTCGTGAGAAAGTCCAGGATGGAGTAACCGGAGAAACAAGGGATCTGCAATACACTCAATGCAAGATCGTCGGAAATGGGTCTTTTGGCGTTGTCTTCCAGACGAAGCTTTCGCCGTCGGGAGAAGATGCTGCAATCAAGCGTGTGCTGCAAGACAAGCGGTTCAAGGTTAGTTTTGCTATCGAATTGTGGGGTACATCATTTGTTCGTTTGCTAATCGTCGGTTGTAGAATCGTGAGCTTCAGATTATGCGTATCGTTAGACACCCCAACATCGTACAGTTGAAAGCTTTCTATTACTCTAACGGAGAGCGGGTAAGTAGACATGTCGGCCTTTCAATTCTTCAATCGCTGACTAAATATGTGTGAGTAGAAAGATGAGGTTTATCTAAACTTGGTGCAAGAATTCGTACCTGAGACCGTCTACCGAGCTTCGCGATTCTTCAACAAGATGAAGTCGACCATGCCTACTCTTGAGGTGAAGCTCTATATCTATCAACTCTTCCGAGCCTTGGCCTACATCCATTCGCAAGGAATCTGCCACCGCGACATCAAGCCGCAGAATCTTCTACTAGACCCGAACACTGGCGTGCTCAAACTATGTGATTTCGGAAGTGCAAAGATCTTGGTGGAGAACGAGCCTAATGTTTCATACATTTGCTCTAGGTACTACAGAGCTCCCGAACTCATCTTTGGTGCTACCAATTATACTACCAAGATCGGTAAGTAATAGTTCCTTCCAATATTTCATTAATGCCGGCTCATGCGATATGTAGACGTCTGGTCGACTGGTTGCGTTATGGCGGAATTAATGCTAGGTCAACCCCTTTTCCCGGGTGAGTCTGGTATCGACCAGTTGGTAGAAATTATTAAGGTGCTGGGGACTCCAACCCGAGAGCAAATTCGCACTATGAATCCGAACTACATGGAGCATAAATTCCCGCAAATCAAGCCTCACCCGTTCAGTAAGGTGTTCCGTAAGGCAGATGCGAACGCTTTGGATTTGATAGCAAGGTTGCTGGAATACACGCCTACAGAACGTCTTGGTGCCATTGACGCTATGGTTCATCCTTTCTTCGACGAGCTTCGCGACCCTAGCACAAAGCTACCGGATTCTCGGCACTCGAGCGGACAATTAAGGGATTTACCTAATCTATTCGACTTCTCAAGACACGGTAAATTCTACCCCTCTCCTTTCCCTCTTTTTTATAGTTGCTAACGGCATGGCCTATTTAGAATTATCCATTGCGCCACACATGAACCACAAGTTGGTTCCTTCCCACGTGAAACCCGTCTTAGCGAGCCGCGGTCTCGATATAGATAATTTCACGCCCATGACAAAACAAGAAATGATGGCTAAGCTGGACTGAAGATCGGTCCCCGCTTACGCTCTCGTTTCACGTATGTATGCATTATCGCCCGGGATTTCGCTACAGCATTCACTCACTGGCTGGGCCTGTAAATGGCTTTAACTTATCGGGTCGACGTTCAATAGAACCCTCCCTGGAACTGGGAACGGCGATTTCTCGAGGACCTCGACGTGCTTTTCAGCGCAAAGCATAGTGGAATTAAAGGACAATCCAATGTACAGTTTGAGAGGGCTGGGTTCTCCATAAATTTGGCGTGCTATGGGAGTTTCCAAGGTGTCGCAGAAGTTTTTCGAGAATCCATATTTACACGGTTCTGGTTTCTCAATTATGGCAGCAACAAGGGACGACTGCTTCGATATCCAGGAGTACTGACTGGAAGATGGCACGCACCGGGCGTTCTTAGACTTCTCCTATGCATGACCGAGACGGCATTTGCTTTTATTTGTGTTGTTCGATAACTCGCTTTATCCTTGTGGTGGAGGTGACCACAAGGAGGCTGGAACCCCCGTACGTGGCCTCCGAGATATTCCCTACAGATGTTAAAGGTAGGGAGGTACAATGGCGTATATGTTATTCTATGAGTAGCGGGTGTGCGGAGTGGTAGTGAACCGGGCAGTTGGGCGAAAGATGGGATATGATGATGTTGAAACCGGCAAGCTTCGCCGTCCACGCAGCAATGGGCATTAGGAACGGGACAAGTTTATGGAAACTCGGCATGACTTCTAAAAGATTTCTTTTTCATTTCTTCCCTCGAAAGACGGACTCTGACGTGCGTCAAGACGTGTGGGAAGATGGTTAACTAAAAGGGAGGACCGGGTTTTCTACTGAGACGTCAAGGAAAAGAGGACTGCCGCGATTACAGCACACAGTGATGAAATACCTTGCTACTTGGCCTAAGAGAAAGATCGGATGTCAACACCTTAATTCTTTCCCTTCATAAGAAATTTGATGTGTAGGAACGTACTGATGACCGTGATGCCACTGAATTTTGTCACAACTACGACAGAAAACCAGGCGCAAGCCTTGCCAATGCTTATTCTCCTTTTTTAAAAAAAAATTTCATGGATACTTACCTAGTCTAGTAATGAAAGACGAAGCCGTATCCAGACAACTCGAGAGAGCTGGAGCAACGCTATGGAGGTGAGAGATATGTCAATGCTGGTTGTGATTATGCCGATGAGATGCATTCTTCCGCTTCTCGGTTACTTGCGTAACTGGATACTGACTCAGCAAGTGTTGATGGTACCTAGTATATAGAGATGCAAGAGCAACTGATCGTCACTGGAAGCCTCCAATCTCCAATCTAGTGACTTCCAGGTAAGTTAGATATTGGATAGCTCCTCCTGCTATTCAATTGATGCTACCTACTTCTATGTAGGTACTATGTACATAAGTAGCTATAGTGGGTCTGGTACATAGGTAGGTATCCACTTAAGTTTGAATCACGATAAGATGGATAGGGAAGGTTTGAAGGTCCGTGCTTCCATTTTGCGCGTTGCGTGTTCCGTCACGACCACTTAAAAGACATCAGTTCACAAGCTACATACAAACTTTGAACACGATTTATATGAATTTTATCATCCATTGAGATCCGGTTCCTCCGTCAACGCAAGATGGCCGACCACGATCGTAGACAACCTGGTGGCGGTTACAATAACCGTAAAAGACGTTACAGAGGTAAGAAGATCGATGTCGTCGCATCCAGCCTCGCATTAGGAGAGCTTATGCTAATATACTCCTTATCATGTAGACGATGATGACTACGACCGCCGACCACAACGTCGACGATACGATGCGCCGCTCCCCGTCCGCATACGCAAACAACTTCTAGGTCTAGCCGAATCTCCTTTGCGACGCTGGCATGAAGAAGTTCAATCCATTGCTCATGTCGTTGCTGACAACTACGAGGATCAAGAGCTTCGTACAAGCTTTCTAGAGCTAGTGCCGCAAATGCTTATCGAACAACCTCTCAAGACCCCCTTCGTAGCCGCCGTTGTGCTCGTTATCAATTCTCTTAAGCCCGATATCCTAAGCGACCTTCTTGCCCGAGTCACCGTTGCGACAGAGGAGAAGATTAATGAGGGCGAATGGCGCGATGTGAAACTATATCTAAAGTTTTTGGCATGTCTCCAAAGCTGCTTGGAAGGTGATGGCTTATTTCCATTTCTTGAAGAGCTCTTTAGCCGAGCTGGAGACCTCCAGACCGCAAGCTCTGATGATGTAAGCATGCACTTATTGCTCGTTGTCCATCTCGTAGGTATATTGACACGTTTACAGACAATTGGAACGGAACTCGTGAAGATTATCCTTCTTACTATCCCGTATATCATGGCAGCGGCGCCTACTCAGTGGCAACAAAAGGCGGCTGAGCTTATGGATAAAACAGACGTCATTGCTTCCGAACCTCACGCGCTACAGGTGTTAATCGACCCATACCATGCCGAAGAGGGAACAGAGAGTCCGACCGCAAACATGAGTCTGATTGGGCTTTTGCAGAAGCAGCTTCAGAATGAGGCACTGAATGGCTGGGAGCTTTCGTGCCTACCGAGACCGTGGCAGATGCCTCCTGAGGAAGTCGAACAGCAAGAGAAGCTGGACAGCGCACAGAAACATGCCTTACCGACGATATCCATCCCGGAGAACGTTGTGGCAGGTCCTCGCCCACTGTTTCCCGAGATTTATTTCTCAGTCTACCTCAACCAAGAGATCGAATCTGTTCCTCCGGTCAGCAATATCGCATCCTCATTGATTCGAGACGGACTTCTTGATACCATTAACATCCTAGACTTCAATCGTGGTGTTACAGCACGGTTTCTCATTGATGTAGATTGTTACTTTGCTCCTGGTACGTTCATTAAGCGTGCAACGCCATTTGACCGACTTAGAGATGTCGAAGGCGATCGCTCGACATGGAAACCTGAGGATGTCGCTGTCGATGCTGTCTTTTCACAGATGTTTGCACTTCCAACACCGGAACATAAGCTCGTTTACTACCACTCCGTTCTTACCGAAGCCTGCAAGATCGCCCCTGCAGCGGTCGCTCCTAGCTTGGGTCGAGCTATTCGATATTCGTATCAAAACACCTACCATCTGGATTTGGAACTATGCTCCCGATTCCTGGACTGGTTCACACACCACCTTAGCAACTTCGGCTTCATGTGGAAGTGGACGGAATGGGTGGAAGATGTCAATCTCCCTAACATGGATCCACGTAAATCATTCATTCTTGGTGCTTTAGACAAAGAGATTCGCCTTAGTTTCGCCCAGCGAATTAAAGGAACCCTCCCTGAGCCTTACCAAGCACTCATCGGTCCTGAGAAGGAGCAAGATACACCAGAGTTCAAGTACAAGGATGATCGTGAGTTGAAAATCACCTGGTTAACATAGACAAATAACTAATTAAAAATGTAGACACACCGTTTGCCGCAGAAGGTAGAGAGATTGCCGCTCTTCTCAAGCGCAAGGCTCCGGATGAGGAGATCCAGCCCATCATTGACCGCATCCACTCCGCCGCTCTTGATCAGTCCGTCGACGCTTTCGTTTCTAGCACTGACGTGTTCATGACAGCGGTTTGTTGGGTGGGCTCAAAATCACTCTCTCATGTACTTGCTTGTATCGAGCGTACTAAAGACAGACTTCTTGATGCCGGAGCGGCCTCCGAAGCCGCTAGGGCGCAGATCATCACAGCGGTTGTAGCCTATTGGTCAGCTCATCCAGGTGTTGCCATTACCATTATTGAGAAGTTGCTGAACTATTCAATTATCACACCTGGCGCGGTCATTGAGTGGGCACTAGTAGGCGATCGTGCAGGCCCTTACGGCCAAGCTCTTAGTAAAGCGTGGGTATTTGAGCTGGTGTTCAACACCGTAGTCAAGGTCACCAGCCGTCTAAGACAGGTCGTGAGTAGCGGCACAAGCGATGGCACCGAAGAGGAAGTGGCCAGTATGCGTGAATTGTTCAAGAACATGGAGGATGCTTTGGTCAGCTGGTCGCAAGGTACTAAGGACCAGATGATGGACCCCATGGTATCCGATGACGGGGAGGATCTCGTGAAGCGCTGGGGTGCGAGATGGCTCAGAGTATTTCGGCGCAGATCTGCCATCGAGGAGACGTTCCTGCTCGAGAACAAAACCGCTTCATAAACAAGATGTAAGATATTACGGGTTAAGGGGTTTCATGAATTCGGCGTTCGCAGAAAAAAATGATCTTCGAGTTTGACGCTGGGGTGCTAAAAGGGTTTCTCAACCGTATTTTTCTTGGCCTTGTATGAAATAGACCAGTTAATTGAATCACGCATTGGCCCGACTGATAAGAGCTACGTGTGAAGGAATTGACCAGATAATGAACTCTGGAAGTACACATGATTTACAGTAGTAAAGTTTCTAAGTAGAGTTATTTCGTGATATATACCTATGCAATGTAAAAAGTCGGGATGGGTATCTCAGAGCACCTAGTTGTAATCCCTACTTATATACAGGAAGGGGACGAAACTAGCGATACAGCACAACTCCAAATACTACTAGCTCGTCCACCGCGGTAGGTAAAACTTCATATTCTCGTACACTAAGAACGTGACCCAGGTCGCGGGCAAGACCCTCACAACGCCAGGCATGATACCACGGTAAAACCCCCGCCACCCTTCCTCCTTCCACGTCCTTCCAACAACCCCCCGGATGCCCCGTCCAAAACGCGCGTCCGCGTCGTAGTTCTGCAGCCGGCTCCGGATCACCTGATACGGGTACGTGACGGCGCCTGCAACCAGCTTCGCAACGCTGGAGAGTACGAGGGTCGCCTCGTTGCTTATCCGCTCTGGGGAGTTAGAAGAGGAAGGGGATGTAGTGGCTCGTCGAGAGAAATATACCCGCTTCAGCGGGTCGTACACGGCGAACTGCACGGCCCCGTGCGCGACGCCGAACAGGCTTATCCCTAGCCCCCGGTAGAACCCGCGCCACCCCTCGTCGCGCAACAGTCGCCGGGCACCCGTTCGCAGGTCCGGGTATGCGCCTGCGGCGCTCCGGTCCGAGGAGAGCATGCGTGTTTTGAGAACCCAGAGGGGGTTGGTTAGGATTTGTGTTATTATCCCTGCGCTGCCGGATGCGAGGAAGTAGTCGTGTGCTGAGAGAGCGCGGGAATTGTCTGGTTTTAGGGCGAGGAGAAGGCGCTCGGTCCACGCTTTGAAGAAGAAGAAGGACGCCCAGCTTGAGGCGTTCCCGAGGAGATTCGGCGCTAGGCCTCGGTAGAGGGAGGCCAGGGGGTGCGGGGTTTGGGTTAGCGTCCGGATTAGGGTGAGTGTGGTTAGGGGGTTCGAGGCGGCGCGCTGGTGGACTGGGGAAAGGTTAGTTTGGGGGTGGTATTGAGGGGGGGTGAGGGATGGAAGTGCCGGGTAGGGGCCGCGGAGGAGTGAATCGGGTATAATTTGGATTCCGAGTGATGAGTTTCATCACCCGGCACTAAGAAATCCTTGTATGCGGTCCCCTTGCACTTCACGGCATAGGGGTATCTCACTTTGCATCCGGGTCTTGACTATATCCAGTGGGTGGACAATCAGTGTCGCTATGGAGCCCGCGGAAAGGCCGGCGATGGTCTCGACGGAGGCGGGAGAAAGGCCCCCATGATTTTGTGTCATAGAGGTATATTAGGTACTTAGAATGTTACAGCATATCTTCAAATTTTGATGTTGTAACTTAAGTTTTACTTGATGAGTTTTGAGATTATGTAATCTTTGATATTGAAATTTAAGGCTTATGTAATATTAATGACTTCATTGATGCTACGGAGTGCGGGCCGTGAGTAGCCGAGGGCTGTAGTCGTCTTAGATGAATAGAGATGTTTTATGACATAACCCATTAGTTGCATTGGACTGATTGCAGAGCTAGCACAATTATACATATTAAATGCAAATCGGAGTCTACGTGCGTCTCGACCATCATCAAGTCAGAATTGGTTTTGACGGGGACTCCCGTACTTAGGTGCAGTTTGGTTTCGCAGATACTTATAGCCTTAGTCTAGACAAAAACGACGTCCGATTACCCTTTTAATCGCCCTGCGGTAATTTACCAAAATTTACCAAAGGTCCAAAATGTCTATCACAACTGAAATGACTGAAGTCGAAGTCGAGATTCCCAAGTTGTCGATCGTGGTCGAGTTCACGTAAGTGGCACTCCCTCCCTCCCTCACTTGCCCCCTGCCCCTGAAGCCAAGTCTAGATTCTTTTCTACAAATCTGCGAATCTGCGAATCTGCGAATGTGACAGTGACAGTGATTTAACGATCTTCTAGAGGTGGCCTTGAAATGCTATTTTCAGATCAACGTCGGCATTCGCTATCTATACCAGCTTCTAATAAGGATGGCAAGCCAGTAACGATTGCTGGTCTAATCGACCATCTATGCGAGAACACTATGAAAGACACCCGGAAAGAACTCTTCGTTCTGGAAGATCACCTGTATGTTCCTTCTCCACCCCTTCGTGCCCTATTCTACCCGACCACGTTAAGTCTCTATAGAGCCCCTCTCCCGTTTTTGTCCGGGGACAATCGTGTGCAATGCATTCTTTACCCATCGAGGTGCATAGTAAGCCTGCTAATACGATAGATTCAGACGGCCTGGTATCCTTGTCTTGATCAACGATGCCGACTGGGAGCTGGAGGGTGAAGAGGCTTACGAAATCCAGGCAGGGGACAACATCCTATTCGTTTCTACGCTACATGGCGGATAGCATGGCGGATAAAGCCGCACTCTGCTGGAACGCCCACACCACACCGCTACTCAATTGTTGATAGCGGCCGTTGTATTCGTCATAACTGCATCATCTCCCCGGAGAAGCAGTAGTGAGAAGAGGTCGGTATGTCGGTAGCGGCCTCTGGTGCCTTAAGAGATCTAAGTCACGTAGGCCGGTCTCGTCTGGCATCTACGGACTGACTACCTAGCCTTCTCAACGACAAAAGCTTCGCTTCCTACCCCGCCTTCATGCATGTGAAACAGTGTCAATCACCCCCAACCGGGTCATATCCCGTTGCTGGGAAATGACAACCGGACTATGCGGCTAACACAGTCGACCTGTCAGCCTGTCAAGCTCCTGCAATGCCTCCCACGATCGGGTATCCTCTGCGTCGTAAACAAAAATCCCGGAACCGTGGCCGTGCTCGTAATAAACCAGATCTGTCATTTTGATTTCAAGCCCCGAGCGTTCGTTCGAAGCTGCTTACGATGATCATCCGCTGTTTCGGGAAATATAATCCATACCCCCGTCTATATCTAATATTAACACTACCTACCTGGGTAGATGAGAGATTCGATAGTAGCAGGTACGCAGGTACGTACATACAAACCCAATTGTGAAATCCCAACAGGGCCGAGGGATGTGCGTAGTACGCCTACTTTCCATGAGGAGATTGTTAGCGGTGAGTAATTCGTAGGGCTTCTTTTCTAGGTGTTCAACCCGGTGACTGGTTAAGGATCGATGGTCTGGATCTCCCTATTCGCCCACCTGCAGCGTGGCGTCCTAAAGCAGCTATATGCTGCACAAATTAGCAAGGGACCCGGACTGATAGGAGATTTTTCACACACGAGGCGCGGATTACTCGATGGGAATTACGTCTTTTAACTAATAGAATCAAGCACCTCAATAGGAAGGAGGTCCATTAATAACGAACATATTACTTCTTGGCGCTATATGGGGTATCTACCTTCCAGTTGGTGAGGCATTTGCATGTTCCCCTTACTAAGAATAAACAATGGCCACCTCATAGACTGCATGGATAACCCAGAGGTTATCGTGAATACCGATACACGTAGTACATGTTGGCTGGCATCGTGGCGAAAATGAGGCACCGCACTATGTATCTCGAACGCCCGGGGCTTGCAGATTGTAACAATCAAGGTCGCTGGAGGGGACTCCGGACCCAGAAGAATAGAGGTCATCATACCAAATATCTCTGGAATAATTGGTTCCTTAATTAGGAATTGCGGATAGCTGCCGCAATAAAACGCTCGCTGACAGGTTTTGACAGTCCATTTTATATGAATTCAACTGAGACAAGCTTGAACACTGTGAGCACAACATGATGGAAAATACTACTTCGACGACGAAAACAGAATATTACAAATATTTTTTTCTCAGAAGACTATGCTACCACCAAAACAAGTTCTCTTTTGTCTCGCAAAAGACAGGACAGATGCAAAATATTGCTCTAAAAAATACAACAAAAATGTGATTCGATGAATAACTTATAATACCCTCCCCCTACGTAACTCCGCCGCCGCCTGGTTTGCACCTCCGGAAGGTCTAGTAACCTTTTTATGATGCAAGAATCTGGTATCTCCCACTCCCCATGGCAGTGTGTATGCAATTGCAAAAATGTGGTATTCCCCAACCCGGGTCCTCGGGTTTTCGTTCGATGCGCCGCAGGTCCCTTTTCGTGCCTGATTTGGTAAAGCAAAAAACAATTGAGTTGTTCAGAAAAGCCCAACCACCGTTACCGTTACCGTTGCTAGGTAGCTATATCGACCACTCGATGCCTTGTCTCGTCCACCAGATTATGCATCCCATATCCCGTGTGCCTGCCTGCCTGCCTACTCCGCTTTCCCGCCCTACCTCACTAGTAATAGCAGTAGTAGTAATAATAGTGTCCTTCCTCTCGATTTTGTTGGTTTAGTTTGTTGCGTAGCATAAATGTAGATGTAGATAACCGAACCAAGATCGAGTGCAACCCGCCGATGAAACCTGACACACTTTGCCGCAACCTTTCTCCCCCTAGACTGGGGGATGTAAAACCTATTACTTTTTGACGGGAAACGACGAGAAGAGAGAGATTATGTAAACGCCATGATTTTTTTAACAATCGTAGCAGGGTCCCCCGGTTGAGAAAACGGCAAGATGCTCAATGAAAAAGAAAAAATATGGAAAAAAAAAATAGAAAAGGATTCCCCCGGCACACGAGTTTTGACCCTTGGTTCCATTTCGTTTGGCGAAGATCGCCCCTCCTTGATCGACCACCGATGCCCTAATTATCACGAAATGTGTGTTTTTAATGTTTATCTTTTCTCATGGTTTGTTCCGGTACTGTGGACCCGAAAAAACACGTTTGGATGGGGCTCTTTTTTTCAGGAAGAAGGGGGGCCGCTCGAGCGAGGGAGGATTGGATCGCCTCTCTCTCCCTTGAATTAACAAATTGTGGTATCTTGAATGCAAAGAAACACCGCCCAAGATTGATTGTTATATATGTGTGCGTGAATCCGAGAGATCGGCTGCCACGCTACTCTGGCTAGTATCCGCCAGCTATTATGTCTTGTTCGTATATGTATATGGGTCGTTATAGTCGTAATTGTCCGCGTACTTTTGTCGTGTCCGTGCAGCACAGTATCCCGTTGTACGCATTGAGTAGATACCTACCTAGGACGTAGGTAGATACTCTAGTACATCCTGTGCGGAGCAGTAAATGTGCGGCCATACTCTTCATAAACTGTGTTTGGACTGCTTGAGGCGGTGCTGTTGTCTGTAGTTTCGCTGGAAGCGATGCTTGATTGATCCATATCATACGATCCGTAAGAAGCGTGAGGGTCTCGAGGGATAACAATGCTGCCCTGAGAGTTGTGTCGGGACATGTTGATGTTGCCATAGTTATCAGGGCAAGGAAGACCGTGTTGCGGAAGCAGGCGATATATCTGGTGTGAGAGGAGCGAAGATTGGGCTGGATATTGGTGAGGACCGCTCGGTGTCAATGAGCCGTGGTTTCTGGCGCTTGCGTACTTGGAGGCAACTGAACGATTAGAACCCCGGCCTTTGATGCCCTTGTTGCTGTTTTTGTACAGCTCAGCGAAATGATGGAACAACTTTCTGTCTTCTTCGGGGAGTTCGGCACCGGGGGCTAAGCTCTTGAACTTCATTGTCAATTCCTTGATATCGTCCTTGTGAAACTTGTTGTGGTGCGTCTAAATGTGTTCATTAGAATGCTGATGTAACTTATTAAAAAGAGTAGGAATTTTGTGTTTTGCTCACCTTCAGGTTTCCTCGTTGACCAAATGTCTTCTGGCAGTTGTAGAAAATACAGCGGAATGGTTTGGTATTGAAGTGCGTTAGTTTATGAGGTTTCACGTTTCCAAGCTGAGCAAAACGCTGTCCGCAGATATCGCATTGGTAAGGTTTCTCTCCAGTGTGTCGACGTGAATGGGTCTGGTTTCCTGGTTAGAACGGTAGGATACAGCGAGATAATATTGCAGAGGACACACCTTAAGGTTGCCTCTCTGGGTGAATCTTTGGCCACATCCCTCTTCTTCACATATCTGTAAGATATGAAGTTAGCGAATGTTTTAGGGGAACGTAGATGGTGGCTTCTCACGAATGGCTTCTCCCCGGTATGAGCTCGCTTATGAGTCTCTAGCTGTGTCTTCTGCGAACATCGCTTTCCACAACCCTTGATGTCACACACGTACTTTCTTTGTCGCTCCTTTCCACTCGGGGCAGTAGCATGATTTTTCTCATCTGGCGTACACGACTTCCTACGCAGGTTGAACTTCTCTTCATCCATGTGAGGCGGGGAAGGGTAAGCGGCCGCGCCGAAGTCAGGAACCTTGTCCGGCTGGTCTTTTGACTGAATGGCTTTCATCAAAGTATCGACTTCGGTATTGAAAATAATCTCGTTGGCCTCGTTCTCAGCTACGTTCCGAGTGATTGTCTTTACCGTAATAGGATCCGGAGTAGGGGATCGCAGGATGGCTACCTGCGGCTCGTACTTGATCGTTGGTCTCGCGTCCTGCTCCAGAGAATGCGTTTGGTAAGGTTCCTTTCGATATTCAATGTCCGTATTGGCTACAATCGCACGCGAAGGTGAACATTCGTCCTGGTACTGCTTGAAAGATGATGCTATGGGAGAAGGCGACGTAGGCGGATATTGACTGAACATGAACTGACCACTGGGCGAATACTGAGGTGCTTGCGGACTGTGAATAGGGGCTATAGCGTGATATGTATTATCTGCTATGAACTGGGTTGGCATGATATTCCTATGGACGGCCGCCGTCGTCGTTGGAGTCGGGGTGTACTGTATTAGGCCAGTATCAACCATCTGATAATCCGAGTTCGAGTGCTGGGGAAGCCATCGTGGCCAGCCTTGGTTGGGGTCTTGTTGTTGAGCCATTAAAGCCAGCTTAATGGTTAGGGACTGATATTGCTTATGACAAAATCAGTCTATCAACTTGGTCCACGATGAACTATGATGTCCGAATCGTATTCCGGATCGGAGCTATGGTGAGAATTCGACTAGTTATAGTTAAAGCCTCAAGAGATTTGAGTGTTGATGTTTAGCGCTGGGGTTTGTGCGAGGTAAAACATGTAATTATGAGCTATAAAGCAGAAAGCCAACCCTAAAAGACGAAGATATCAACCGACCATTGGCTGAAGCTAAACAAGCGAAGAGCTACTCAGGTTAAGCGGCGTGACCTGTGATTTATGAATTCAACCTCAAACAGAAGAGTCGAGGCGGGTCCGGGCTGTAAGTGAAGTATATACCTCGAAGATTCAATGATGTGCAACTAGGGTTCGATCTGAGCCGACGGGTTGGGCACGCCCACTCGGAGATCTTGGGATGCCAAGGAGGGTACGCGGAGAAGTTTAGACTTCTCCACTAGAAGCTGAATACGATGTAAGTGGTTAAGTATCAGGAGCGGGCTGGTCGAGTACATCATCTTTTGCCTCATATCAAAACAACCCCACCCCGGTAGAAGACCCTCTTTCCCTACCAAAGGTACTAGGCTGCTAGGTAGGTTCAGAAACATGCTTGGGGGTTGAACCAGCCCTGGTACGTACTACCTATGAGGCGGAGGGTGGCCGAGAAGGGGGGAGGACCCATCTACCAGATAGCCACACACGAAGTCCAGCGATAGATCGCCGAGGTTCTGCACACTAGCAGGGTACTCAACGAGACATTCACAACGCATAATATAGTCGATTCGATGTGCGATAGCAACCTAGTGCCGGCCGAATCAAGTACTACGGGGCTAGTTACCCGCAGGATGCCTGCCAAATTCAACAACTTAGGATGACGAATACCAGTCTCGATGCTACTGGTATCGATGGTGAACGACGCCTTCTCCTAGTGGAGAATGTTACTACGTCGAGGTCGGTCACTCAGAGGATAAGAGAGGTAGACTGGCAGAGAGGGTACTTGAGGAAAGGTACTTGAGGAGTGACACGCTGGCCATGCAATCAACCATATTTGACTGCCAAAACTCGGCCAGCACACAGAGCCAGAGATGGTTTTGTTTGGTTCTTCTTCAGCCAGTGTGGCATCCACAGCTGTGAAAGACAAGGGGTGTTAGCGTAGGGAGGGGGCCGGAATGATACTGTGATTGGAGATTTATCACAGATAGGTAGTGTTCGAACCGTGGGAGTGCGGGATCGAAAAGGCCATGGAAATCCGAAAGAGAGATGGGAGAATCGTGAAGCCAAGGAGCGGAGCCAGGTCGCCCCCTGCAGCTGGAATTTTCCTGCCCGTCGGGGCAATTCCGTTAAGAACACACCTCCTCGACCCCTTGATCTAGCTTAATTACTTTACACTAGCTATCCTCTCCGTACACAGAGATTGTCATATTTTCTGTATATAGTAATCCAATATGGCTGGTACCAGTGCAACGGATAACCCTGGTCTCGACGGTGCCACCATCTGTTGTTGTGAAAGTGACAGAATCTGGTCCACACCAAAGTCGTTCTCTCAATCTGAATGTCATGTTGCCATGCTGCCATGTAGCCATGTAGCCGTGTAGCCATGTAGCCCATGTAGATAGGCCATGTAGGCTGCATATGCCATGTAAGTGTTTATATACTTATGTACTTCACTTATCATCTGATAAAGAGCGTCATGAGATCGCACGCAGGGTTCGAACAAGCGAGCCTTCCTGTTAACCTACCTGGTCGTTTATTATCTCTGTTATGCAGCATAGGCTATGTGACGAGGATCTTGCCAAGCACGCATCGTTCTCCGGTTTCCAAAATATTCCAATACGTTTAGCTGTGGTATATTAGACCGCCATCTGGCCGTCACGAGAGTTGAATGACCGGCCTATTAGTCGAGGACGGGAGTAGCCGTTTCGAGGTCACATCGCTCTAGCACTGGCCCAGACCAGCTGTATGCCAAATGTATGCCAAATGCATACCTAGATACTCAATGTGCACAATGCCATTCATTAATGACGTATCGGTGCGTAAGCCTTCAGGAACAGATTCGAACTAATAGCCATTGGGACATTGGGACATCGGGGGTGCGGCAAGGAGGCAAACGCGGTAATCTCCATCTAGCTGAATTGGAAGGGGGCAGGGGATGGAAATGTCAAGAGTCAATAGAGCTTCGAGAAGTTACATACCTAGTAGAGCCACTTAGCCACTTAGTTGCCTCACTTGTATTGTACTGTGTAGGATCTTACCCCCCTGGGAGATCGATGTACTCCAACTCGAGCAGGGATTGTAGATCTTGTAAATTGGTCGAATCAGAACCAGAACGTCGAGAGAAGGGCTCCCAACTAACGGTTAGCAGTGTTCCACTCTTCACACCCGGGACTCTTGCTTACCTAAAACCCGGCATAATCGTGATATTTTTGAAATGAATTATTTGACATACTAGCATGACTATTTCCCAAGAGTTACACTATTCTCTCATGCAGCATGGGTTCCAGGTTCTTAGGATTACCGACCTACCAGGTCAGTATGTACCTAGTAGTGAGGCGGCACGAAAGCCGTTATTGTTTTGAACAGTCCAGGCGTACCTAGCTGTGAGTACCCACGTACTGAACACGGCCGAGAGCGAAAGTAGTGTGTCTTGGCAACAGAAAATATGCGTTGTCTTATACAACCCGGGCTGCCAGGTAAGTAAAAATCGAGACCACTTAACTGGGCTGCTGGGTACCTACCTACCTATTATCCAAAGACGCGGAATATGGCTTCATTGGCTCTTTAATGATTGGGTTGTTTCCCCATGACAACCGACCGAAATAAACATGATTGTATCAGGTCGCCAGGTCGCCTATGCGGCCTGAACAGTTCACCATCGTTACCCGAGACACCTAGGTAGACATGAATGAACGTAAGCTAAGCTTTCGGGTTCCATCCGTGGTTGGAGGGTAAGCTTAAGCGGTGTTACCCTGTCGTTGGGAACACTTACAAGAGAGGAAATACGATCGAAACCGAATAATTCCATCGTAACAATCGCCTAAATATACGGTGTAACCAGATTGCTGGGATATTTATAACGTCTGTTCCAGAGCCGGGGGTATGGTTAAGAGTGCGCCTCATAGCGAGCGCCAAGATTCAATCAATTTCATCATTTCTTCCTTCAAAAGACCCTATCATCCGTAGTTAACTCTGATTATTCCAGCTTCATAATTCATCTATTCCGTTATACCATATTCAGCTCAGGTGTCGTGTAATCCGCGGTGCTGGTTCGACGCAAGCCACGTGCGGACGATCGTTAGAAAATTCTTAGCAGCCCTAGATACCCCAGATTCGGTTCCGTTAATATGAGTGCATGAATTTGCAAAATTTCCAGCTCATCAACTCATAGAGGTATAAGCCACGATCTTGGTCGCGAACCAGGGAAGCCCCGGATCTCACGGGCTGATGCAGGAACCTCGGCCTGTTAATTGAAGATCGCAATGGTATGAGGTTACCTGATGGAACTTTCGTTGGTTGGCGATCCTAACGTTTCAATAATTTTTTTTTTTTCAATATGACGACTTGACAAGGGGACTACACATGTCCTCTTACAGGGTTATGGAAATTGAAGGAGAAAAAAATGATATATGACCACCTAGTACAGCTCGCCGACGACGGTTACAATTTGTACCGAAAAAAAGTTCCTACTCGTGTTTTTCTCTCTCGGACGAACCAATAGAGTATGATTTTAATCAACGAAGGATAAGCTTTTTCCTCCAATATAATTTAATCAATATTCGACGGCGCGGCGTCTTCGAGGATTAAGAATACTGACAAGGACATTCATGTACGAAGGCGTCCCGCTTTTACCCAACGGGAAAGGATTCAAGATAGGTGAGCGGCTGCAACGTACCCTAGCAAACAACCAGGACCCTTGTCGGTGCTAAGATTCCAGCGAGCTGGTTGATGGGTAGATCCCCCGGTCAAGGTAGATTGATTGGCTTTCTCAATCTTGCCAGGGGCTTAGACCCGGGAACACCCCGACCTCATCGCATATTCAGAATATATTATCTCCTATACGTGATCAAATCTTTGAAACTAGGGAATGAACTGCGGGTTGTCGAAGAGTCCGAGAAGCGATCTCTACGGATAGTATAGATTCCGAAAGTAGATATTTCTTCTAGAAGGGCTGTACTTAATTATTGGCTTCTATGTCATTAGCGATGAGAGACCATCAAATTTGACCAGGGACAGGGGAAATAGGGAATGGTAAAGTGATTTACTCAACACACTTCATATTGGACCATACGGAGGACTTTCCCACCGTTCTCCGGGTGGCGTTATATCTATCTGCATGGTCCTTTCGCGAATCTCTGCTCTGCTCTTTTTGATTGACTGGCAGACTGGCTAACGGACGTGCTACCGAGTACCTACTGCTTGGTAAGTACTAGGTAGTGTCTATCTTATCAAGATCTCGGACCAAGCTGCGATAGGCAAAGAAGACTCGATACACAGGCTTTTTCGACCTGTCATCTTGAAGCCAAGGTGAGGAGATGTATGAAGGGTCTCGAGCGGTACGTGGGGAGGATTACAAGCATCATTACCAATCACCGTCATACGCTGCGGTGATCGTCTCGGTACTCACTGGTAGCTCCCAGACGTTTGGATTATTTGCTCCAAGTACTTAGTAGCTAAGTAAAACGGAGAATATTGGGTGGCTTCCCAGATCTTCGGGATTCTGCATCTCCGAAGATCCAATAATGGTATTCTTCCTAACTATGGAAGGCAATAATCGAACGCGCCTCTTTTCTCGGAATGGAATAGCCCCAATAACAATAATGTCACACAAGCTGGGAGAATTAATTGATTAGTGATACAATAATAGGGTATGTGGTAATGGCGAACTCCTTACATGGCGAATGACAATGAAGGGCTAAAGCGATAATGTGAAGCTGAAATGTATGATTGGAAGATCTTTCTTAAACGACCAAGGGATTAAGGGACGAAAGGACTAAGGGGGGAGAAACTTTGCAAACGGTCTGTATAATATCATTAGCTAATACATATACCTACTAAGTAGTACTAGGTACATGTAGGTAGCTACTTCTCATCATGGATGCTTCGGGCACTGCGAAAGTGGTTTCCTGTCTGCCTGTCTAGCTATATTAGGCAATGGCTCTTTCCTGTCCGTGCGCGACCGTGCACTAGACACTAGACTAGACAATCGGCCGTAGATAGTCGCGATTCGTTTCTAGCCCACTTAGGAACTTTAGATTAGCGCAAACCATCAACTCGAAGCTAAAACGACTTTAAATAAACTTCCAAGTTCCGACGGATCTTCTCATTCTCATCAAATCAATCTGTGACAATATGTATATCTTTCCTATCACATCACCTCGCATCACATGATGCGATGAACCTGCCGGCAATGACTGCAACCGAACGGGATTACGACGCCAATAATAATAAGAAAAGCCTCACAGTCATATGTTAAAACAAAAGAGGTGTTCTAGAAACTTACTACCTACATGAACTCAGTATCACTTACATGCGCTTACGCGCTTGTACTTGATGATATATCATAAACTGTCAAAGTGTGAACCAAATTGCTGGACCATCGGCATTAACTTCTCTAATAATACCCCAGATGCTAGGATCTGCGCCTCCGAACTAGAACCTCCTTATTTTCCCAAATGCCTATTTGGGATTTGGGACTTTGTAGAGGACTAGAAATCACTATTGCCGCCCGCCGTTTCCGCCGCCTCCGCCATCTCGGTTTTAGGGGCGGAAACTTGCGGCGGATCTATTTGGCAATGCTATTATTCTATAGTACTAGCAGACTATGTATGCATGAATACTGTTTAGTTAAGGGGTAAACCGGTCATGTCTTCTCCAGACTCTATACCTCACCGATTTCAATATGTAGCTAATCTCTCTCTAGTAACATCATTCCGCCTTATCATAATAACCGTGAGAACCCTCCCGTGGAACGTCTTCCTGTCAAGGCCACGAGCTGCTTCACGAAACCAGGGTCGGACATACAGCCTTCCGAGATCTGTCACAAATCATCTTAGGCGCCAACAAAATGTTGAACCCTGTCAACACGCTTTACACGGGTCCTGCCCAATGCCACCATCCCTTCTTCGTACAGAAATGAACGTTCCAAAATGTTCAGGACCCGATTCAAGGGAAGGAAACAAAACAAGACCATCTTACTAGGACCCGTTGTTATGTACGGCGTTCGCTACCTCTTCTAAACAAGTGCCTATCGTTTCTCACATTTTGGCCTCGGCACTGTACGTGACCTTATGTATCTTCATAATCATGCGTGTGTGACACTAAGAGTATGCGGGCAAGGGTTTCACGATCCATCGTGCTGACAAAACTAGAAAGCTAGTGCAGCTGGTTTAGCCACGAATGTCGCCACAACACGAAAAGGTAGGTCGTGAGGATGTAAATTGTGGGCTTGGCCTTAATATTCTACATTAGCCGCCGCACCCTCGACATAAAAACAAAACAACACGATATTACCTGCGAGTTAGCTTAACCTCCGTCCCTTCAATATCTTTCGCGCTGCTAGGGTACGTGGTTCAGCTTCACGAACCCCCGTTTCGTATGATTGGGCATCAAAGATGAGGCAAATGTCAAGGCAAGGCCGAGATTTGCTAGGATTTCAATGAGTTCAGCCGAATGGGAGTAGCCGTTCTCCCAGCATCGTGCTTACGTGTAGCCTTGTCGAACCTGAATCAACATCGAAATGGTTCCGAAGTAAGATATCGTGGGCAAATGTGACACCCAGCCAAGATTATCTGGACTGCGATCGCTACCACAGCACATCGCAACAGATGCCCAACTAGGAACGTTTGACAATGTGCTAATGGTCAATTCGGTTTATTTTAGGGGTTCTCGATCAAGAGACATCTGCCACCTCGACAGGATACATAGGCGAGGTTGTATTCCAGAGGCTTTCATCCACAGCGTCGCACTACTCTAGGTGGCTGGAATGCCCTATGGAGGGGGTTAACTCAGTGGCCGAAACAGCAGGATAGGTAACTGAACCATGGCGCGAAAGTCCCGAGACAACTTCCCCATATCGTAGCTACTGCTTGCATAACGTACAACGTAACACCCGCTGCCTGTAGGTTGTGAATGATTCAACTTAAAACCCCTTATCATATTTGTTGGGTTATGAACGTCGATGTGCCTCCTAAAACGAACCCCCTACAGTTCATACAACGAAGACTTTACGTTATATGTCGCCACTGGACCTGATTGTCTTTCGCTCTCGGCGTTTTAAGGGTCAATCTTCAGCCTTGTGGTAGGTACGACATGTCTAGTCTAACGTACTAACTAGCCATATATCTCTGAGACTTGATGACATACATACGCGCAAGCCTACCTGCTGCATATGGAAACGGCGTACATTCTGTTAATCTGCACATCGAACGGAAGCGCTATAAATCTTCCCCGACATGACCGGCAGGCAAAATAGGTCTCTTCGACCGCGCCACAAGGGGGGAGGAGGAGGGGCGAGTTGCCTTTTCGCCTCTCGAGAGGTGTTCGTAGTAGCCAGGTGCGGCGCTAGGCCGCACTGCAGTACAGGGAAAGAGATCTACCATATGCACGGAGAACGGTAAAACTAGAACGCTTCACTTCAGCACAGTGCCTCTACAACCATTTCCAGGGGGTCCCGTCACGGGTTTGTCCATCTATCAGCGTGTACCTACATTTCCCTGAGCCCTGTTACCCCGTCGAGGAAAGGCACATGTGGCGTAACCCGATCTTGCAGTGCATGATCTAGACAGATGGCGACGTTCCTAGTTAGTTCTTCGGATCGCTCATATGTCACTTTGGTCTCTAATCCCAATTACGTACATTCATGGATACTCCGTTCCTCCTTAAACCAAGACTACCTACCTACATAGGTACATAGTACCCCTCCTCATCTGTCTTCCCTTCCCATCTTCGTCCTGCGCGCTGTGAGTGGACGGATAGAAATTTCCCATCCCCAATGCGGCTGGCACGCCTATGCGGTGTCACCCGACTTGTGACCGGGCGGAAGACTGGGCGGTCTCGAAGAGGAGAACCTGTTCGCAAGCCCTGCTATGTTAAGTCGATTGGCCCGACATATATCTCGACCCTGCATGAAAAACTCGGCCGCGCGGGCGCGGGAGAGAGATGGTCTTCGTAGATGATCTGCCGCCCGCATGAGCTGAAGGGAGAAGCACGTACATAATAGCGTCGTGGCGAGCGCATGTGTTTGGCTACTATCAATCTAAGATTTCGACCGGACAAATCTGCCATAACGCCTTCTTTACAGATCTGTACATCATGTCGCTCATACCCTCGTAATTCCGCGATGCGGCCTGGACCCGCTGGCGGGAGTAGGTCAGCTCTACCAGTCACGGCCGACACTCAACCCGTCTATCACTGGCCAGCACGGGATTTCGAACATGTAATCTAAGCATTAGCTCTATCCACTGCGTCGGCGCATCGCTTGAATGCACGATACTTTTCGGATTTGTGAGCTGCGAAGCATTCCAGACCGGATATTGTGTTATCTGGTTGATACAGAGGGGCGGGCTGATGTCAGCGCCCCTGAAGGATTCTAAACGCCTACGTTCTGGCATGTTGTTGAATGTTATCTCTATCGCCGATACGAGATACGAATCAACATCATGAACAACGTATACAAGGCAAACAACTGATGCTTCAAGTCAGGCCAGAATATACTGGAAAATTCCGAATCAGTCGGTTTTTGATCGTTTCAATCGTGCGACAGTAGATAGGAGCGGAACTAGGAAAAGAAGCTGAAAATTAGACAGCTCCTGTCAGCAATATTACCTCGCACCCTTGGTATCGTGAGATTATCATCGGAAACTATCCATTTTGAAAACCACACTACCTATCTTGATGTCAATAGTCTCGGTTTCGTTTATAGCTCTTACCGACCCTCCCACGCCTCCTTCCTGCGAGTGTGGAATACAAACATCTGTAGAACTAGAAGATGTTCGTTGATAGGGCATTCCGGACTTGAACTAGGTAACTCACGTCAAAGAGAGGGTTGGAAGGGAGAAGATCGTTGGTTGTGAGAAGAATATGACCTATCTACGACAGATGGTCTAGCTGTTTTTGCCCTCATCCAAGATGCCCCCACACGCACACTACGACGCCGGAGTCTTCACTCCTAATCAAGTTGCCTCGCGGGAATGCGATATTAAAGTTATTGGGATTGTTTCGGTTCAGTTTTCGGTAGCCTGCCTCGAATATTCACCCGATGACAGAGCGCTATACACGGATGTATCATCTAGAAACCTTGAGGATACCCTTGGGATCACACCACTTCTACACGATAGACAGGTAGGACCGATTCGAAAGAGAGGAGGGTTTTCAGGTAGAGTAGTTCGTTGCTCAATATGACGATATACACATAGACATCTCAGTAGAACTTGCCCTGGTTGATGTAGCTAAGGTGGTGGGCTCGCGGTAACTACCGTCTCTTAAACACGAGGGTTAATATAGTTCGAATGGATCCAGCGACGTACATGAATTCTCGTGAAACACTCCCACTCACAGACGTCTATGTTACTGCGTAAGAACGGGTCACGATGGGATCACACGTTGGCATTGCTCCACGTGTTTCATATATCGACTTCACAGCAGGCGGTAAGGCTTAGTTATATGCATGAAATGCCTACATCTTCATCTCCGAGTATCCCGAGAGAGGTGGAAGTTAGGAGTTGGTTGTATATGAATTTCCTATTCCGACGGATCTTTGTTGACTCGGACGCAAGGGTGCCTCCCTTCAGCAAACTTCTCCGGCACCGGTTCCGAAGGCCTCACTCACGCGATTCAGCATGACTACATCTAACTGCTTCGCAGAAAATCAGTCTTTTTGAGATTAAGACGAGTCATCTTATCGGTTAAACTCTTTATCCCCCTAGACACGAACAGAACTGAAGAGTAGTTTTGTCGGAACATTAGAGTACCTGCCCAAATTTCTACCTATCTACCTGGTATCATAGATATACCCAAAAGATAGCAAATTCCTGCGTAGGTAACTATGATACCATCTTGCTCAAATAGATGTTGTTATATTGTGTTAGTGAAAGCAGGAAACCTGGGGTGTGCTTAGGTATACTCATGCCCATGCTTCAACTGCAATCAGCACATAGAGGACTAGACTTCACGATATCATAGGCCTATCATGACACTAAAATCTTAATAGTAATGATAATGGTTGTATTCATGTCGGGGGGCCTCCAGAGCTACCTAATAACTTAGAAATGTTAAGCCTATGAAGTCATACATGCCCTCCTCACCGCTAGTTATAGTCAACTCGTAACATTGGAAGAGATGAGTGAATTTCTTGTGTTAAGCGATACCTCAGCCCTGACTCTCTGCACAGAGGCACTCTGGACATCCTATACGACGCCTCTATGCACACTATGTGTACTTGGCATTGGAATAGCTAGTCCCTGGACTTTAAGAATGTCATCTCCAGAATCTTGGTGGATACTGTAAGCAAGATGGTTATTCTATACGATTTGCAAAGCTAAGGTTTTCCTACATTTTGAATACTATATAGTGCGTTTTTATGCTGTGGAAACCTATAAAGTTGTTGTAACTGGAATCCTGGGCTTGGGCTGAGTAGAGCTTGTTCTCTCCTGGAAAAAGAGTTGGGGTTGAAGCCCTTGTGATGAAGAATATGATAGGGGGAATGAGTATACTCTAAAACATCGATCTGGAGAAGTCTGCATTCAATTATTATGAATTAGAGCGACTAGAATTCGGCAAGCTGCTAAGGACTGGCCTGAATACCTGTAATAGATCGTAAGTTGTCCGACTTGTAAATCTCGTCGTTTGGTGGTTTGGCTCAATTGGCAGGTATGAAACCACTGAACCTGGGGCTTAGTCCTATGACATGACCTAAGTCCCTAAAATATAGGTAGTCATAGGACTGATGGATATTAGGCTACACTTGCTACTACTAATAGAGACACAGAAATCAGCAGTTTCTTGTAGAACTGTTTATTCAACTACCAGACACTACTTCTCCTTGCTACTCTTAGCTAGCCATGACAGCAGTTCCCAAGGAGTAGCGGCAGGCTTGCCCTACTTGGTATATTCAATAGCCATTGATGTAGTTTTGACCTATAGCTCAAGTGTTTTGTGGTAACATGGCCGACTTCTATATAAGCGTCATCGGCCAAGGGTATCTTCCAATAAGGTAACGCCGTTTATGACTCCATTTTTATACTCCCAATAGTTACTAGCTTAGGCATTCATACCTGCAGTGGTCGATGAATAAATTCATGACTCACAATTATATGAAAGGGGTAGGGCGTAGTGTCGTGCTGGCTCGGAGGTCGGCTTCTTTGTCCTTACTCATCATGCCCAGGTCTATTTAGCCCTCGTAATTATTGGACAAGGACCCCGAATATTCCACTAGCACGAATCCCCGATACTGATATCGCGCAAGACGGAACGATAGGTAATGCCGGGATAGTACTTATGGTCCATTCTCGATTATGTTTATCGAACCTCAACGGCCATAACCAGGGGTGAATCCAGGTGGTGGGGGCGGAGGTACGCTACCCGGAGGACCAAAACCAGGCGGTGGCATTCTGAATCCGCCGGGATGGAAGTCGGCAGGGCTACCGTATCCAGCTTGAGACGGTGGTGGACGAGCGGGTAGACCCTGTGGTGCTGGGGGTAGAACGTTTGTTCGTCCAGCTCCAGGAGGCATCGGCGTACCGTTAACACCGAACGGGGGAGGAGGGCCGCGATGAGAGTTAGGAGGTGGAGCAAAGCCAACGGGCGGTCTCGGAGGAGGGATACCAGCGGCCATAGAAGGATCAAATCCGCCAGTTGCCATGACTGGTGGAGCGACGGCCGCCGGGGCAGGGGTAGCAGGAGTAGGCGTCTGAAGAAGTCCAGGTGGCATGGGTTGGCTTTCGATGGTGACGTTGTGCTTCTTCGCTTGAGCAGCAAGCATTCGTTCGGCTTCGTCTCCGTGCCTCTCGCCTTTACCATCCTTCTTGTAGGCGTATTGTACACTGACATCCTTATTCATGAGGAATTGTCCATTCATGTTGTTGATAGCATCATCGCTGGCCTCAAAACTACTGTAGCTGACAAAACCGTATCCCTTGCTCAATCCGTTATCGTCACGAGCTACCTTAGGAGGCGCAATGAGAGTTCCAAATCTGCTGAAAGTGTCGTATAGGACCTTTTCGTCCACCATTGGGTCGAGGTTGCCAATAAAGAGCTCTGCGCCAATCTCCAAAGGTTTTTGCTTGTCTGCCGATGCCTTATTGACACGTAGCGCCTTCCCGTATAATCGAATGCCGTTCATGATCTTGGCGGCATAGTCGGCGTCGACCTCGCCATTGAATTCGACGAAACCGAAGCCCTGGTGCGACTGGGTCACACGATCTTTGGGCAAATGTACATTGACTACAGGGCCGGCTTGGACCATCAGCTCCCATATCAGAGCATCGGTAGCGCGCTCGTCGATATTACCCACATAGACAGTGGCTTCTTTATCTTGCTCCCTGGATTATATCAGTTAGCATCGCTGTGAATTATTGAACTAATTGGATATGAATATGATGAGAATAGTAGACCTACCAATGTTTCGCCCCCGACATTTTGACTGAATGGTTGTATTTTGGAGTATGATACGGTCTCCGGGAGTTGTTGGAAATGCGAATCGAAGAGGTTGAGTGAAGATAAAGATTGGATAAAGATTCAGATTGTCGCGACGCGCGATGTCGTTGTGGATCCTTGGTTGAAGCTTCCAAAAGTTCTTTGCTATTGGAACCTTGTAACTTTCCAAGGATAGAGCTCTAGCATTACATAAGCTTAGCTATGGTACCGACATTTTCCCACCAAAGCAAGGACCCCGCTTTTAACAATTAAACCAATGAACTGCCAGAATCTTAACAACGCCTCATCCAAAATTCATTATCAACGCTTATCGTTCTGAATTTTTGGTCGGCTTTCACCAAAACCATTACAACTTTCTTCCTAGCAGAGTGTACCAACAAGTTCTCATTCACTGCTCACGACAAACAATATCACGGACGGATTCCACTGCGAATTAACTGCTACGGCTATTCCAACCATCCTTGCGCTGAACATTCCTCGTTTAACGAGTCACATTGCCCATCATGCCTTTCACTCTCTCGGAGGAATCTAAGGAGCGCATTGGAAAGATCATTGAGATTGGACGTGTCGCAATGCACTAGTACGTTTTACCTCCCTTGAAAATACCCTCAGAACCAGAGAATTCAATTTACTAACATATTATACCCAGTGGCTACCTGCCCTTGATCCTCTATCTCGGTATGTCCCGATGCGCCCATGGAACACCATGACGTAGATGCCCCCAACCCTCAAAGGATAATGTCTAACCGCGCATAACAACAGGCTACACACGTAGCGATCCACGACCTCCCATGATCCGGTATGTTCTTACCTTGGCGACAAATCCCCAGCACACATTAGCTAATCCATATGTATATAGCCTGCTCTCTCCTCTCTCCTAGTGCGTGCGAAAGTTGAAGCGGCTGCTCCGAAAACTCTTGTACCAACACTACTACTATTACTTGATGCCATTACTGCGCTTCTTGATAATCCGACATCAGCCAAAGGGCATCATGGATATGGATGGAATGGCGTTGATCACCGACTATTGATCTTGATCTGTCTGCAATATGCCGCTTGTTGACGGCGTTGCAATGTGTAATGAATGAACTCTGATACCACTCACAAACACTAATTTTTCCATTATTGTGATAACGGCCATGGCCACTCGTGAATAATTAATCAGTTAGGATCCTAGTTGGCCATTTATTACTATAGCCACGAGGCCCAGTTCGTCGGATTCAATGTTGGCTATGAGACTGCCCACCCAGATATAATGCTAATGATCTAGCAATATTAAGCGCAACGACACCCTTCTCGCTTCGATATGCGCGACGGGTCTTTTACGAACGAGACTTTAATGATATATAGATGATTCAACCGATGCCATTTTCTTACGAGACCGGATTGCTTCGTAGAAGAAAGACTAGCTGGTAATCTGATTCAATCTCCGACTAGAACCACGCCCAGAACTCTTTATTAGGACAATAGTAGACCACACATCGTAACCAATACTATCCGAGTAATACGAAAGCGCATAAATCAAGTAAACAAAGTAATGGATTACCGCACGCCTAGCTTCGCCTAGCCTAATCCTCCAGTATGCCGCAATGCTGCGTCCGTAGTACTGTACAAGCAATGAATCAATCAATCTCCCACAACCAGACATTCTGAGGGATATAGCTCTGCTTCCGCCCTTAGAATTCCAAGCCCGGTGTTCGCAGCCCCGGGGCTTCCTCGCGTATTAATTCATCGACCGAGCACACCCCATCGTCGGCCAGGGGTAATCAACAGATCGACCTGTCGTCATCGATCTCGATCCTTCACAGCGACAGGTTATAGCTATACTCATCCTCCATATTCTGACTAACCCACAGCACAACCGAGCTGAGCATAACCAAACCATTCGCAACGACATTCTCCACACCCATGCCCATCATCGGCCACTCGACATTCGGGACGACGAACTTAAGCACGAACACAGTAACACCACCAGCCATACCACCGGCCAGGGCCGCGAACCCCAGGAACAGAACCACGCGAGCCTTCCACGCGACGCCGGAGCCAGAATACGAGAACGAGTCTGCGGACAGCCTGGCCTTCTCGACGGAGTTGATGATCAGCATGCCGAGGGAGGAGAAGATAAGCGGCAGCCAATCCACGAACGTGACGTGCACGTCCGACCCGTTGAGCGACGACTTCGACCACACCGCCGCGTCGATCAGGATGTAGAACGCGAGCGAGAACTAGATGGGCGCGCGGGCGATGTTAGCTATGCTTATTCCCCAAGTCACGGTCATAGTAGTAGCGGCAGTTGAGATGGCTATGGTAGAAGGCAGAGAATAGTCGATGCATTCCGGATAGGGGCTAGATACTAAATAACAACGATAAGAAACAGCGAGGAATCACAGTCCCAACATACCAGAGCACCCGCAGAGTAGACGCCCGCGCTGCGCGCCCAAGCGCTATTAAGCCATTCCGGCCGGCGGAACTTCCAGAGGCGGTCTTCCTCCATAACTTCGAATGATTCGATTGTTTCGAGAAAAAGGGAATTCGTAGATCGATGATAGAAACCGTCGGTATTGATAGAGACTCGTCGCTGATCGCAAGGTGGGTTTCGAAATAGATTAAAGGGTTGACAGTAGTTCGGAAGTTGATGAGCTTAGAGAAAGCTTGGGGACCAAACTGGTGAGGCTGATGACGACTGCTTATCTAATGTCTTGGCATCGTTTACTAGCGCCTGGTGATATGCCACTAAACAGAGACGTCACGTGACTTACCCCTGAGGTTCATCTACTATGGAATACGTCGCTTTCACATCATCACGAAATAATACCTCCTATGCGGGTAGAAATCATTAAGGCAGATAGTCGAAGATAGAATAGAATGGGTTTAACAGTCTTTTCAACGAAGTTTTATATTAAAATATGCGCAGCTCCCATATAACTCACTGCCTTCATCAACTATTTCTGAAAGGCCAGTCCCTTTAGTGTATCATCATGCTATTGCGTCTCGAACGTCACCGAGAACGATGTGCTTCCACCAACGCCTGTTGAGACTCAACGATGGAGTCACCCTGAACGCCAATGATAACGATCGGCAGTTCGAATCCCCGGTACAATTCTATCTACTACCCCATCGTAAATACTACTACATCCGAAGATGCTATCGCAACAACCAATCTTTCTAATCAACTGTACAAACGCGTCCTAGTCGTTTCGCCACCTCCATTCATGTACGGTGTATGGGAACTGAGAAGACCATATGGCTCTGCAACTGATCGGGATTGAGAAAGTAGGTAGCTCGAGGTGGTAAAAGAGCGAGCGAGTGGTATTGGTACAAAAAATAGCGGCGGGCCACCGACTGAATTACAACCTTTAAGTGCCGTCGTTGAGGATCGTGGCTTAGTTCCGCGAAGGGATGTCCAAATCCATTCAATCGACGAGAACGCCAACCGTGGCAGAATGTGCTTAATCAGAAAGAATCGTGTGGGCCGCAAGAAGCAAAAGACCGTCGCCGAAAGTAACTACGATACCGATTTGCACCGGATCTGACCCTTGAACGCCATCCTTTTTGTTGTCTATTAAGTAGTCGTGGTACAATACGTATCATTGCAGGTCGTCGAACTTTCGTATCAAATCTCGATGGTCTTCATCCCCTCTCCCAACTCTTCCTTGTCGTCTGCATCTGCCACTGTAGGTTTCGGGGGTGATACGTCCTTTCCTTTAGCCTCGATTATGATTGGGGGCTCCTTGACCTCATCGCTAGGCCGGGGGGTCTCCACTTCCACGAGCTTAGGCTGCTTCACACCGTTAGGTTCCAATTTAGTGTCAGAAATCGGAAGCGATGCCTCCTCGGTAACTCGTGCAAGAGGACTCGGCTTTCCGAAACCAGGACGATTAGGACTTCCCAGAGGCGACGGGTTACTAAGTCTTTGCAATGTACGGCCACGAGGCTCCCCGTTCCCGTCCGTAGGGCTGGCGTAAGGAGAACCTCCTGGAGAGGTAGCAGCACCATTCGGAGCCATAGACCTGCGTTTCGCGGCTGCTTTTGCGCCACGTCCATGCTTCTGGTCCATCCTCCATCTCAAGATATCGAAGTAAGATGGCTCAACACGAGTCGTCTTAAACTCGCGCAGCTTGAGCTCGTTCGTATCCTCATCGACAAACCATTTACCGCTGTTCAAATCATCCGCGACTATCGCGAGGAATGCCGCCCAGGATTTCGCAACAACATACTTGGTATCGTAATCTCGGCCGAAAAGAATAATTTGACCCCAAAGACCGGCAGGACCGGGCGCGAGATCAACAGCAAGATTGTTCCCACCCCAATCTCGTACGAGAGGAATCCAGCCAGGGTGTGCGTAAGCGCGTTGAACGGAACCCTGGGGAACGGAATCTTGGCGGGACTGAAGTTCCTGTCTCCACGAATCCTTATGGGAACCGTGGGAGCTAGGCGAGCCGGGAGCAGATTTAGAAGACGAAGCTTGGTTACTACCTCCGAATGCCTTAGAAGGCACAGCAGGTTTCACTATAGTCGTATCAAGCAGATATTGTTGGTTGACCTTCCTCCATTGATCCCATTCTTGTACCATTTCTTCGCAGTCGAGCAACATAGAGCCGAAAATAATACCTGTCGGGATACCGCCACGTTCTTGTCCATCATGAACTGATAAGGAGTCTCTAACGTCCTGGGGGAGTGAACAATCCAGTTGGTGTTCTAGTTCGTTTAGATCGTTGGTGGTGCACCCTTCACATAGTTGGTCAAACAATTCAGGATAGTTTTCCTCTGCCCACTTATCAATCCGCCTCCATGAATGTGTCACTGGGGGCGCCGGCGGACCACCATCCACAAATGACTGCATCGGAATTTCACCCGGGCTACTAACAGTCTCAAATCCGTCATCTTTGGCGCCCTGGCGCTGAGCGTTAAGGGATCTTAATCCGGGAGAGTATGGTCCGTTGGAGCCAGGCGACATGGGAGAGGTTGCTGGGAGCCCAGCACCGGAATAGCCCGTGCCATCCATACCACTAGATAACCGACCGAGTTCATCGACGTATGGAGATGTGATATCGGCTCGGGATTCGGAAGCGGTCGCGACTGATGTGAGCGTGCCCTGTCTATCGAGGGGTACATGGCGGCCTGTTCGGTGAGGAGAATCATACGTCGAGTCTGAAAACCAAAGTTAGTAGTAATCATAAGCAATAGTTGTTTCATACTGACGTCTGTCATTGCTGGTCATAGAATGCCAGAATGAGCGAAATGCTCCCCCAAGCCTACAAACAGAAATTATTAGCAAGCTTGTCAACGGAATTGGTGTACTACACGCCCACTCACGACATCTTGGGAAGTTCCAAATAGGAATTGAATTGTCGGTATGAGCAATTGCCTAAGGCGAAGATTAAAGGAGCGGTGCCCAAACAAGGCGAACCGGTCTAGAAACCTTCCAAGGTAGAGGCGCGGGCAAATCGAAATTTACGTTTGCAATAACCGCGTTGGCGTATGGTAACCGCGAGAGGATGATCGACAACGGGCCAAGAGGCGCCGCCACTAAGAGTGGTTACGTAGGGCTGGTTGGTGATAGAAAAGCACTCTTGACTGATTGCCGTTGTTGCCGTTATTAAGGAGTTCTCACGGAAGCCAGAGAATATGATAAATTGAAAGCAAGTTCCCTTTTTTTCCCTTTATCGCAAAAAGGAGGTAGATGGGACGGGTTGAAATGCTATGTGGAGAACGAGCGGGTACTGGGGCTTTTTTTGTCGAGATGTCAATGTCTTTGTCATCTCATTTCCAAATCTCCCTTGTCCCTAAAAAACGGTCGATATTTGGTAAGTGAACGCAGCGGATATCGATGCGAGACGAACGATGACGCGAAAATCGATGTGGTTTTTCGTTGGAGTCCTGGCTGACGCGCAATATCTTCCTGATCCTGAATCACTTACGGTCTTAGACCCAGGTGGAATTAGCAGAAAAAATGGGGTGCCGATTTCTAGAACGAGTGTAAATTTGGCGTGTCGGACGTGTTTACTACGTGGAAATTTCGATACAACCAGCGAGAGTGGTATCGTCGCACCGTGATTAAGAAAAACGAATGAAATTATTTTGTAGATGATCGGTGGGAAAGGAGATGATTTTGTTTTCCCCCTTCAATGCTTTGCGAAGAACCGGGGATGGAGGTTGGAAGTTGGAAGGGGGCTCGTCCAATGTTGAATTTCAAGGGGATTAATTGGGCTTGTTAGTGGGTGCTGCCACTAAGATACCCTCCCAGGTGCCTGCCTGCTATTGCAGGTGGGTGACGCGCTTGTTCCAAACCGTTTATGCTTGGTACTTAGATACCTTAGGTACATGCTATTCGTAGCTAGGTATTTAAAGGGGGCACATATCGCTTACTGTGCTACAGGCGGAAATTGCAGTGTGAAGCACAGTATGGATAAGTGCCGAGTAATTCCAGATCTAACCGTATCTGGACTAAATCCACAATCCTGAATTTTACTTATGTACCTACACATGTGCTACGGCAGTCTGTACAAATTAGGTAGTATTAAATTAACTCCCCATTGAGCCTACTGGACTAGCAGACTTTTAGTACCAGGTACGCGAGCTGGAAAGGCAGGTCGATTGAATTCGCCTCGATCCTACTTCACCCTTACTGCCCTACCGTTTCTTCTTGTGATCATGCCATCATTAGCATCGGGAGATAAAAATAACAAGAACACTGAAGGTACCCTAATAATAAACATGAGGCTCAATGGTTATGGAAACTTTCGAATACTACCTAACTAATAGAGGTAGCTATTATCCTTTAAATATCTACATACAACTACAGATGCATATGTAATTCCCAGGTTGTGAGTTATGTAAAAGTGTTTATGTACATACTAGGCTGGACCTTCCATACAATTCTAGACTACGGAGGGTCTCATCTCGACTAAATCTGCGTTAAGTTTCACCAGTGGAATGGAATCAAACCCTCGGGAATATACTACCTGGACAGCTGGATAATGAAGCATTAAAAGCAGTTAAGGGTACCTAGGCGACGAGTTACCTTAATAATTCAATGGGCAACTTTAACCAGTACAAACTAGGTACAGCGCACTTTCCGTACCTATCCCCAGCATGTGGATGTGGATGTGTAAGCTCCAAATCTCAATCTCAACATTATCTCCGTAATTCATTTTTCTATATCATCTCACCCTTTAATATTCTGTAGTTTATGTTTCTTCGAAGCCCCAAACAGAAATGGATTCGACTGCTTGTTGCCATAGTACATCGGTGGCAACGTTGCTCCTATTCCTCTTCAACTCCTCCTGTTTCTGATTGGAGGATATCTTATTTTTGTTTCTTCCCCTTCTCGCCTGCCGCTTTAACCAATCAACTAATACTCGGCTCGCAACGCCACATGGGACATACGCCCAGGGGTAAAGTCGTCTGTTGGGTCACAGCCGATGCCTCGTGATCTAACAATGAGAACACTCATGCATTCATCGTTGTAAAACTGTTACAATGTTACATACAATATTACAATGCGGTCCTATCATTGCAGAAACGCCACCCAGTTAGCTAGCGTCTGAGCCGCGCAAGCGAGAGAGAAACCAATTCGCATGTCGCCCGTTAGATGCATCGAATACACCAAATACGTAGTGTCCCAGAATAAGCGCCAGATAACCGCTACATTCCCTCGGTCCTCCTAAGCTCCTAGATAGAAGCCAAACCCATCCGATCTAATGTCCTAGCCAACATTAGACGATGTTCCGTCCGATTCCAGGCACAGCAGACTTTTCCAGAAGGATCCAAAAATCGGCAAAAAGAACAGCAGAGTTGCGATATAACATTACTTGGCGTGAAGGTTATCGAAATTTTTCGATACCCGTCAACGATGAACTAGGTACGCACGCACCGCCACATCGGGAGGGGACTGCCAAGGTTCCAAGTTTGATCCGTCTACCGATGTCGATCCTCAGCCAGCCGCAGCCAATTCGACTATTCAGAATATCCAGGTAGGGATAGGGCTCGGAAAAGATGCACATTTCGGCGTTGGCGGTAGCCGCACAGGGCGATACGCTAATCGTACGTCCGAGTAGGTATGTACATTCAGATTATCGTCGATGTCATGGACCATGGTTGCAAAGGCAAACTTTGCCTTCCGCGTATCCTGAACCTATCGCATAAAATCAGAGCCAATGAAACTCGGGCATCATGATAGTTTCATCCTGATTGGTAAGCCATCCTATTCGGTAGGTATTCAAAAGTTATTATGTAAAGCTATCCCATACTTTCTATACTTATTACTTGGGAATATATAATACGAGGTAGGAAATTATTCAAGATGCAGGACGGGTTGCTATCTTGAAGCCACCCAACTTAGCACGCCAATGTACAGAATACAGTAGGAGTATTTAGGACGGACGGATTTCGATATCACAAGCCACTTTCGTGTTCGTGGCATTCTCGTACTACCCCAGACTGCCCAGACAGTCTAAGACATCTCATGCTTGCGCGTTGTATTCCACGAAGCACTAAACAAAATTTATCGCTGTCTCTGCATAAGTAGTAGGTATGAAATAGCCTTTCACAAAAAGTCACAAGCAAGGAATCTCACCAACTACATATAATTACCTAACAAGTCACACTTCGTTCTAGTTATAATTAGTTGCGGTCCCATGATTCTCGTCTGGGAGACTAATGTCTTGGGGCCAAAGTTTTGAATTCATGCCATAAGAAACATGCGGAAGTTTTGCTCAAGTGAGTTAAGTGTAAGGGAAGATGGACTAGCAAATGATAGTCAGAATTACGCGTATGTTGGCAGCCGTCAGTATTAATTCACTCAATGAAATAGCATCAAGCCACACCACCTTTTCTCAACTCTTACCTTGCGTGCGACAGTTACCTACTCATTAATAATAAAAGTAATAAGACTCCCTTTTTGTAAGTTATTTCCAAGTACCTAGGTAGTGAGCTTAGAGAGGCTTGTGGTGGACAAGAATAGCAGATAAAAGCTAAACCAACCATATAGCATCTCACATAGCCTATCACTTAGCTATGAAACAACTTCAACGTTTCCAATACTACTAAGTACTCATTTTGTATTTGTCATTTCTACCATTTCCTCTTCCGATATCATTTGTGCCTAGTCCTATTTATCACATAACCCTCATTGACGTCCTACTCATGCCGCACAGGGGGATCATGAGCACATACTTCGCCCTCCTTCGGATGTAACGGAAAGTGAATATACAAACACCCTCTTTAGCTCTGCCACATATGCTCGCTCAACGCAAGCACCTTCTCGCCCATCTTCCTCTTCCCCGCAGACGCGATGCCCCTCTCAGGATCAGCTAGCTGCTCGCTGTAGTATAATTCTACGAGGGCCTTGAGTTGATCATATGTGAACTTCTCCTCTTCAGGAATAATATCGCGCTCATTGTCTTTCTTGGCCTTGTTGACGATCGCGTCCGGGCCCTCTTGGAACAGACTGAAGTAGTTGGCCGCCCGTGCGAGGTCCACTCCCTCCTCAATATTTTTGAGGTTTTGCTGTAATACTAAGATGTTCAGCTGCATGCGCTCGCACCCGCGCATATTCATGGGTTGTGTTGTGAGTGCGTTGGTCACTAGGTAAGTGTTGATGAGGAGACCTAAACCAGTCCGTATGAACGCCGTTTCTTTGTCACGAAGGAAGCGTACAATCGTCTCGTCGTACGCAACGAGCTCAGAATTCAGTGATAATATCTGTGGGTCCGGTTCTTTAATTTCCTGATCACCTAGGACATACGGAGCTGTTTTAGGAGAGAGCGCTACACTGAGAGATTGCACAATGCGGCATCTGATTTCCATATGTAACGTGAGAAGCACTGTACCAGCAAACTCCTCGTAGGATGATACTATATTGTCAAATGATCTGCAAATTCTATGTTAGGTAATCATGGACGACTAAAGAGAAGGTTAGGGGGGCTTACTGGACGGTTTCCTGTGTCATAGGAAGGTACACAGGGCCGTGCTGTTCTCCGCTCGCCTTGTTAGGGTCGTTCAACAAAGTCCAGCGGCGGTTTTGGTTCCTCGGCAAGGTAGGTTGAGAAGAATCCGTATCGAATCGCGTGATATGTCGTAGACTAAGGATCCGGACAGAGAGCCATTTCATGCTCGTGTAGAGGAGACATAAGGATGAGATGACGTCGCGGTCTTGTATGACATCGTTAGGTTCAAGATCCCGTCCATTGGCCTGCACAATGAGTAACCCAACTTCCTTTTCTATTAATTCGCGATCGAGGTTATCCGAAGTCCAAAGCTTCTTAATTGTTTCTTGGATATCGCCATCCCCGATGGCTAGTTCTGCGGAATATCGCAACGACAATGGCCCTACGCCAGCCTCCTGTGCTTTGGAAACGAGCGATTTGAACCACGTAAGGCACCTTTCATAATATCTCACCATCTGGGAAATTATTAGAGAGCTAAGTGCCTGGTCATGCGGAATTGTTCCAAGCATTCGGCAAAATGCGGTGATAACGGCGAAGAAAGCAGTTGCGCCTTTGAAGACGGGGCGACGAGCTACCAGGTCCCATGCGGGATCTTGTTGGAACGAGTCTGCTTCTCCAAACACTGAATCGCTGAGTTTGCTAAGAGTTTCATCCAGCTGTGGTTGGAAAACATTAACCAAAAAGTTATCGAGGAAAGATGTTAAAGTGCTCGCAGCTAAATCTGAACCTGGAGGTACGATCGCTTTCAAACGTCCTAGGAATACTAGGGTCGGAGGTAAAAGGAGACTCATATTAAATACGCTTGGCTCTACGAGTGACTTGTATGAGCCAGGCGTGTTCCTATTGTCGAAAGCTCCGGTATATGCACTTCTCCTTGACTCTTTTCCTGCTAATTTCTTATCCGAAGCCTGCGTTTTTCGGGAGGCGGTTGTAAGGCCTGGAACTGCAGCTTTTATAATATCGTCTAAGGCCTCATATTCGGTAGTCATCTCAACGGACTTGGGATCTGCTTCGGAGAATTTGAAGAGATGATCCCTAGATATATCTTTATTGCCATTAAGCATCGCACCTTGCCTTGGCGAGTTGAATTGATAGACATCCGCGTCTGTAGTGACATAATTATGCAGGAGGGAGCGTATCTCGTTTTGATAGAGATTCCATAACTCCCTAAAGCTTCCGAGGAGGGAGCTGTTATTGCCACCACCCTCTCGTCGAATAAGTGCCTTGATAGCTTCGTGAAAGACCCGATGACCTTCGGCGATAGCCTCAAATTTACCATACAAGGTCCACAGAAGATCATAGATGACGTCCGCGCGCATTTGCGTCTCCCTATCGCCATATATGTGCAAACCTTGCGCGTTTCCTGTACCACCTCGTAATGAACTAGGGTGTCTTTGATCAACTTCATTGATCGTTTCATTTACAATAGAGAACAGCTCAACCGGGAGCCGTTGTTTCAATGTATCGACGGCGCCTTCTAGCCGACCGAGCTTGTTGAGGGACTCAACGACGAGACTTATGTAATAAAAGGTGTCCGCCTCAGGATTCTTTGCTGGGTCTTCAGTAACCGGCTGGTTAAGATCCATCGTGTCTAGAACTAGGTGGAATGGGGTCAGCACATTAGATTCGCTATAGTTCTCGTTGTACACGCCCTGTTTCTTGGCTAGATTTTGCCATCGCTCCTGGCAATAGGGTGATTTCAGATACAGATGTTCGTGCAATTCTTCGGTTAGGATATCCATCAGCGCGGTCTCTTGGTTCGCAAGATAACCCCTGAGATCATTGAGAGCACCAATATCATCAAGTTCTGGTTTGCGCAACTTCCGTAGGGCATTATGCAGTACTTCGACAGCAGTCAAAAATCGCTTTTCCGATATCCTGGCCTCCAACTGATCTGGTACAGTTCGTAGATCCTCTAGTTCATTCATTGTCTGTAGCACCTCGTCGTACATCTGTGATGATTTATATAGCTTCTTGAGTTCGGGATCTGTTACACAAAGGCTCGTTCTCGATGCGGCTAAAGATTCTTTCAGGGCACGGACTCTCTTCTGGGAAGATTGTATGCTTCCCTGAATCTTGTGAAAAGTACCTATCGAACTATTGAAACCCTGATGATGTTCATGTACGATGTTTTTCAGAGAATCTTGCAAGTATTTATGTGCCTTCTTAAAGTCTTTGTATTCATGGGCTCGGCCGACAGAGCTATTATCCAGTAGCTGAAGTGCTAGTGAGACGGGTATGCAGTCGTCCTGGACCATGGCAGGCCATTCGGACTTGATAAGTTCAAGGACCTGGGATATCTGTCGCTCTGCATTCGTTTCGTTTGCTCGTTCATTTAGATTCGCTCGTTGAAGTCTGGAAGCTGGAGAGCCATAGCCGCCGCCCCGAGGGACTTCGATGGGTGGCCTTCGGGGATTCATCTGCTGGGGAGGAGTGCCATAGCGATCGCTAGTGTAACCGTCACCGTAAGGGTCATATTCCTCATCTTGCCTCCCAGCGGAGCCGTTGCCATTGCGATTGCGGTATGACCCGCCGTATCGATTGGCCATTGTCGCAGAGATGCATTCGGTAGGTTAGCAGAGGCTATGAGTTCGAGCTCTGCTGCAAACCAGCTATCTCCTGAGATTAGTACATAGGTATGCAGTTGCACCTATAGAAAATGCAACTATTCGCTATCAACTGTCAATTATATTCGATTGAGCCGGCCTCGTCTCGCACTAGGTGTTTGAATATCGTCGTGGGATTGGATGTTGAGATTGAGTGTAAATGTTGAATGCTCTATGTTTGATGTTCCCGATCGTGGTCATAAGGGTTGGCTATGTAATTGTTTTAAGGTTCGCACTGTATCGACCCCTGTTGTCAGGGATTAGCCAAGCCCATGACGGCATTTTCGTTAAGTACCTAAGTACCTTAACGCCTCTATCATCAGGCACCTGCTCAAACATGCGAATTCTCGCAACTCCAATATCAGAAAATAATTATTACAATACATGTCTAGATATAACAAAGATGTCATTATCAATTACATTATATATTATATAAAGTATCTATGTAATTCTATGAATTATATACATCAATAAACCGCGATCTGTTGAAGCCAAGGCTTGGTTAAATCCGTATAGAAACTGGCACCCTTCACTGTTGTCGGCGTGTCCTTAGTGACCGTGACGTTGCAGTTCTTGATCCAGTCTCCCTCTGCAGCATACTTCTTAGACACATAGCTAGCGTAATCACTTAGTTTGCAAGAGGAACCAGGGCCGCTCTTGCAGGATGGGACGGGATAGACTGCGTCGTTTAACCGAATGCGGACGTACGTTTCATTAGTTGATGTATATCCAGTAGTTGCCGATTTCGAAGAGTGTGCTGCCGTACAATTGCTCTTTGGTTTAGTGTTTCCCGTCACGGCACAATTTAATCGTTCGAAAGCGATGGTTCCTCTCATAGAGACATATCGAGATCCTACCCAGAGCCTATTATCGTCCTTCGTGGTAGAAGATAGCGGAGCCTGTGCATCAAAAACACCACTTGCAGTGACCAGTTCAGTTAATTGGCCATCGTTCAAGAACGACATGAGAAGTTTAGGGATCGCAAATGTCGACCCATCAGCCTTGGTACCGTTGGTTGGGCCATTCTGCAGAAGGCCAACAAGTGCGTTCAGGAAAGGTGTCATCATCTTCTTGGGAAGGTCCGTGCCTGGTCCAACTCCGTAGTAATAACGGAGATCATTGGAATATTCATACTGCTTAAACTCTTCGTCGGTGAATACACCGCACCACGGTGAAAGTCGGCCAGTGATGTGGCTCTCGAAGCCACACAAGTAGGGGATCTGAGTCACATCGTTGGCAGTCAGGGTTAGATTCCCTTGGATCAACTTTTGCAGACGGGCTTGAACAGGTGGAACCCAAATGTTATCCCAAGCTGTCTTGTTGTTTCCACCCTCCGTGTCACTGAAGTTCGGGCACATATCCGATGGGGCGAGTGAGTCCCCAACGCCAGCCGCAAAGCCTTTCGATGTAACGGAGATGATACTTCCGTTCTGAGAAGCGGAGGGACCTAAGAAACCCCGAACAAACATAGATGCCGTTTGGAGGACCCTAGTGTAATTATTAGACCACACTAAGAATTGGTCACCGTCGCGGTAAAGGTCCGGATATCTATAGAAATTAACCTTGGTGTCCTAACGGTCGGTCGACATAGAATTAGAAGTACCTTGTCCGGAGCGTGTAGCCATAATCATAGGCCTCTTTCGCCCCAGTAGGATTTTCCATGGCAATTTGAATCTTTGGGTTCGTAAGAGCGGGCTGCCAGCTTGATAGGAACGAGAGACTCCCATGTGCAGTGTAGCTGGAGTTTTGGAACTATATTTGAGCTTTAGCTAACATCAAGATAATATATTAAATGTTTTGGAAACCAACCCTTTCATACATAGATACCCACCCATTATAAGCACCTTGGTCTGGGTATCTTGAACCGTGCCTTGAGACATAGGCAGCCTTATCGACATAACAGTTATCAGGAACTTCAGATGAGATCCCGAAGACGTTTGGACCAGCAAACCATGGCCCGTTTGCGCCTACCCATTGTAAAGGATTAGTCGCGGTCTCACTAGAAGGAAAATTGATATCCTGAATCGGCGCAAGATATTGGGGCACGGCAGCTCGGACTCCTCCGCCCACCAAAGAGATAACGAGTGGCTGTGAGACACGCATGATGCCGGTTTCCTAAACGGAAAGATGGGATAGATCTTGTCAACGAACGACGCGGATGTCACCGGAAGAGCAAGTCATCTACAAAATGAAAAGCGAGGTTGACAACCATAGGTATATAAACCATGCTTTCAATACACCTACATACTCGTAAAACTGGTTCAACCCTGTTCTTCCAAATCTAGACATTTCGAAGCTGATCAATGAGCAGCCGCACATTGTAATTAGTGCTCTTGGAAGGCAAGATGTTGGTATCGGTCTAATAAGCACGTGTTGAACAGTCGCTTTCTGGTTTGTGCAGGTTGTAAGGTGGTGACGAAGCTAACCGGAGATTGAACTACCAATTCGGGTTCGTTGCTCCATTGAGTGGTTATGCACGTCTTCTAGAATCGGCGTTCTCCAGAATATCGAATAACTTTGAATTCGAAGAATCCATACTACACTCTAAACTGTTTAGATTGTAAGGCCGGCAGGCTGGATAGTGCTAGGCTTTCTCAAATTGAACTCCACGTGGTTGATGATATGGTGAATTGAAAGGATAACGAATGGAAATCATCAAAATTGAACTTGGAGGGACCTGGGGAGTTTAAGATCTGGTATCCCTGTACCTGACGCTAACCCTGTTATAGAATAGCGGGGATACAGAACTTCGATCTTCAGCTTGAGATCCGGTGGGGAAAGATCCTCCCCGGCTCCGAGATACATAATAGCATGTCCCTGTGCCTTCCGGACCGAACATTGATCCATCACAGGCATCTTCAAATAGCAATATGCCGACCAGAATCCCCAAGCCCGAGGATTTCAATCACTTATCGCCCTCGCTACATATTTCACTAATCTTCCCCGAAATCCCAGAGACGACAACGGCTATCCTTATCCTCTTTCACGGCCTCGGTGATTCGGAAGCATCATTCGCTTCATTTGCGAAGAGCATCAATTTACCAGGTGTTCTCGCTATTTCTGTCCGTGGTGTCTCTCCGATACCACCTGCCTTACTTGGCTCTGAAGCAAGCGGCCCGCCTAGAAATTTCCACTGGGGAGATGATTTGACTTTATCCCCGTCAACGGGAGACCTAGACACGGATCCGGGTTTCTCAAAGGCCGAGGGTCTAGTACTCGGGAAACTTATCCGCGAGACTTTGATTGAAAAATGCGGCTGGGATACGGACGACATCGTACTATTTGGCTTCGGGCAAGGTGGTTCTTTAGCACTCGGTTTATCATCGAAAATTCGTCAGGGTGAAAGAGTTGTAGATGTTACCGAGGGAAATGGAGCCGCTTCTACAACTTTTAAGGGCGTAGTGACAATCGGTGGTCCTTTGCCTACAAGCATGATACCCACGATAAGTGCGAGAGGGAAGTCTCGAACACCGATCTTAGCATGCCATGGTAGATCAAGCGAAAATCTTGATGAAGATGCGATGGATCTCCTAAGGAAAGAATTTGCCTTCATACGAGAAGTCAAGTGGAACAAGAGTAACGACGATATGCCCAGAAACAAGGACGAGATGGTACCGATCATGCGATTCTTTGCCGAAAAAATACGCGGGTAGTAAGATACGACTCGAAACTATTAGTAGAAGTAGGCTCTTAATTATATACATGGGGTCATTGTGATTCTTAGGGTCGTTGAGTACTATCATTATAAGCTTAGCAATGAACCCCTGACATGCTAGAGATCTACAGCCTAAAAAGCATCTGTAACTAAAATAACATGAAAATAACCGATTCCAATGCTAAAAAGCCATGCATTTAAACTCTATTCCGCGTGGTCAATCTCCATCTCCGGTTTGGATAGGGAAATATCTAAATCTGTAGCTTCTTCTGATGCTGCTGATGTGGGTAATATACAATTTTGAGAGGTAGTGTCGATGTTAATGTTGCATTATAGCTTTAGAACTTGCTGTGATCGCAGTATTTCGGTAGGCTCGGGCCAGATGGGCCACTGGCCCAACTGATCACCGTCAAGCTGGTGGTGTATGCCATGGCGATAAATCCGAATATGCAGAGAGCAATATCGGTAACTTTTCGAGCTCGGCTCCTAGCTACACCCTTGTAATGGAGTAATGGCTATGACGAGTTAGTAATGGCTCGAGTTAAGCTTCGTAAACTTATGGATAACTTACCGGATAGATGTACACGAGGGGAATGCAAGCAAAGTTCCCAACAAGGGCAACGAACTTGTCCAAATCATCTGCACCTCCCCAGGCAATGAAAGCACAGAGGAAGACGACGAAGAAACGGAACATATTCTTCTGCCACTTGATGTAGGGGTTGTACTTGCCGCTTCTCGTGAACAGGGCGTTCTCGGTGATACGGATAGCAGGGAAAATCTGCAAGGGCGTTGAAAGAAGGATAGCGAGTGAGTACAGGAATTGGACGCCGTTGACAAGTTTGTTATCCTGGGGTAGGTTCAGAAGAACGACGGTCTCCGTCTTTGAACCGTATGCGGCATAAGAGACCGCACCCATAGTGATGAAGAGAACCGAGATGATGATCATGACGTAAAACATGACCTTGGGGAATTTGGAAGGCGATTTCATCGATTCTTGAATGGGGATGATAAGGCCAATACCTTCGAAGGTGAAAATGGCTGTGCCAATGAAGAGCGTCCAATCCTTTTGGTTGAATTGGATGATATCAGCGAGACCATTAGTGCTCAAGGTGAGAACATCATAATAGAAAAGGTATGCTAGGCCAATGACAATGAAAGCATCTGCTATCAAAGCTGTGAAGCCAAGCTTTCCGATGTCCCGGAATAGAGAGAATGGCAAGAAGATGATCATCTGCATCAAGATCAAGTATGTGACATGGATATTTGTGTTGCAGTCGGAAACAGCAAGAATGAACGCTTGAAGATTTTCCGCCGTGAATACGATGTAGGCTGCAACGAATCCGATCTGGCTGACGACGATTGAAAATAAAATCAATTTTCTCATCCAATCGCCGTACAAGATACCGCCGATATCACCAAAGGATCCTTCAACTTTCAATCTTGTGGTGACAAGCAGCACGAAGCAGTAGTAACTTAGTGCTGCAACGAAGAGTAGAACCAAGTTACTGAAAATCATACCGCCATTGAAGTAGGCTCGGGGTAAGAACAATACACCCGTGCCAACGAATGACTTCAAGAGAAGCAGAGCCGCGTTGAAAGGGGTATTGTTGCCACTACCACCTCTAATCTTTCTTCTTCTCTTACGTTTGGATGGTGTCAGCAGAGCGCTATCTTCCATTGGCTCTCTTTCCTCCTCACTATCATAGTAATCCTCACTTTCTCCAGAAGAGAAATACTCGCCGGGTCTCAAGACTTCGTCATCTTCTTCAAGCTCTTCGCCCGCAAAGTGGCCATAGATAGATAAGAACTCAAGGAAACTGTTGGTGAATAATTGAGGATCTTGTCTACCTCTTGAAGTGCCTTCACCAGCTTCCAATCCTTGTGGGTCCAAAGACGGGCTTTGGCCAGCTCGTCTAAGGTAATTCCGCCTAAACCCACCAGGGATCTTGATGGAGTTGATATCGAGGACGTCGCTTTCGGGTTCGTCCCTGGCATGACTGAAACTCTTGCTACGCTGATGACGGTTTCGGTCTTCAGCATCTTCGGTCCATCGATAGATTTGGCGCGTTATGTCACCTCCTTGTAACCTCAGACTCGAGAATTCATCATCGACGTGCCCAGGATCAGCAATCTCGCTAACTTGTTTCCCTTTTGAATTATCGCCATAGTTGGACCCTGAGTCTCCAGTATCGGTAGGGTGAACTAAGTGCCTCCGGATGATTTCAGGGTCCTCGTAAGCGCCGGTGCCACCGCTTTGTAAGTGTCTTGATCGCGCCTCGAAGGAACCATAGTTCGTTGGCGTTATAGACTGTTGCGGCCCCGAGGCTGTTCCAACCGGTGAAGACGATCGTATCGGTGGCGTACCAAATCTTGGAGGTGATGCTCCTACAGAATTCGAAAGAGCTGCGGCGAGGGCAGACACGCCGGGACCGGAAGAAACCTGACCAGCACCGGCAAGAGGTCCTAAATTTTGAGCATCTTCGTCATCCCTACTCGTAGCTTGAGGCCTTTGTACAGGTGGAGTTCCGAATATTTGAGAGGGTACAGGGGAAGCGAGGCGAGCAGTGACATCAGCGCGCGGCACTGAAGTTCCGTATACTCTACTCCTCAGCGAACCCGGAGAGGTGGATAGTGGTACAGCTAAAGGCCCTCCAGGCTGCGGTGTCGTGCTTCTTTCCTGATCGGAATTGGTCATTATGGTAATGAGATTAGATATGTTTAGCACGAAGTGGTCATCGAGATATCGGACGCGTCGGAGTCAGACTCTATAATTATTGATAGTAAGCACATGAACACGCTGTGAGGAAATCGAAGTTATTTGGAGCTACACAGTTGTAAACGAAAAGTCAATTGCGAAGCGCCTGGATGATGAGTGTATTGGAATTGATACAGTCTATAAAACGAAACTAACAAGAGATGTTCTAGACTTACCAAGAGATGCGAGGAGGTATATTGACGAGAATACTGTTGACATAAAAGAGAACGTTGGAAAGTGTTAGTCTTTAGGAAGCCTTTAGGCTAACTATTGGTAGGCTTGAAGTGCACTGCACACAATTGAGTCAGGCGCTCGTGATGCTCTTGGCTGCTCTTATCAGTCAGACCCTGAAGAATTAACCCAAGTCGGTCAGCTGCAGCTTCCAGTCCCTTCACGGGACGGACCAGTGCCTCTTGATTTCTCAGCCAATTAGAGATTCTCCAATTATCGCAGGGGGGTTCTGACGGAGCTAAACACTGGAACATCTCGGTCCGTTACACAGTAGAGATCCACAGTATAAACTCACATATAAACACGTTATTTTTATATAACCGAATTACTTACCTAATACGGACTCAAATATCCGACTCTGCCGACTTTGTCAAAAAGGAAAACTAAAGCCTTTACATGAACAAAACCAATATCCTTTCCACATTATGTCTCAATCTCTTTTCAGCTTCTAGGAGAGTCTCCCTTACACTCTGTTGAATATTTCCTATTTCCTTCATGCGAAATAACCGTTGGTAAAAGTTACCTAAGTTCTCTCTCCACAAGCAAACGCATGTCTCGTTTTGGATCAGCTGCCCGACGTCATTGGACGAACCTCGAATCAAGATTCAAATGGGCTGTGGGGAATCAAACAGGGCTAAAACAAGTGCAGTTAGCCCTATGATGCTCCCTGTTGGAAGATCCTATCTCATTCTCGGCATCAACCTCAAGCGGGGTGCATCGATGATTACATAGTGTCTTGCCAGGACAAAGCACTTGGCCACGCCAGTATCATCCATGATGTCTCATAAATATTTCCATTGAGAAGCGCGGTTTTCCTATACTAGGATAGAGACGACGTCGCTGCGATCCGCTGTACTATCTCGAGATTTCAGAAGTTTAGGCATCATCGAAAGGCTCTAAAGAGCTATAAGTCAAGATGCCTCCAGAATCTCGAGGAGATAAGATGGACGGCGGTCCAGCACCGCCGAGCAAGAAAGTCAAGCTTAGCCTCGTTGCTGGCGTCTTCGTTCCCGTTGTTTTAAATATAATTAGTATTCTCATGTTCCTTCGTTTCGGATCAATAATGGGTCGAATTGGTTTGCTTGGGATGCTTGGTATGTTCTACATGCATTATGTAACGTTTCGATGTCTTACATGTGAACAATCACACAGGTTTACTAGTTGTAGCCTATATTGTCGACTTCATTACCACACTCTCCCTCTCCGCCATCGCTTCCAATGGGGAAGTGAAGGGAGGCGGCGCTTATTATCTAATCTCACGGTCTCTCGGCCCTGAGTTTGGAGGTTCTATTGGAATTCTATTCTACCTTGCTCAGGTCGTTAACACATCACTCAACATCGTTGGTCTCATAGACTGCTTGAAACTAAACCTAGGGAGTCTTGTACCCCATGGTTACTGGGAGAGTTATGCTATGCAAACTGCAGCTCTTGTCGTCTGTACAGGTCTCAGCCTCGCTGGTCGTGCTCTCTTTGTACAGGCGAGTGGTGTTCTTCTTGTCATATTAATAGTAGCTATTATAAGTATCCCAATATCGACCATCGCGAGAAGCCCATTCAAAGATGACACGCTCGGAATCGAATTTACTGGATTCAGCCTCGACACAATGCGCTCCAACCTGTATCCACACGCGGCTGGTCCAACGTACCGAGGTCTCGAAACATTCAGACAATTGTTTGGTATACTCTTCAGTGCTACGTCAGGTATCTTTGCCGGAGCTTCGATGTCGGGTGACCTTCGCAATCCAAGTAAAGCTATTCCGAAAGGAACGTTATGGGCAATGGCAGCAACCTTCGTCCTTTACTTGATCGTGATATTATCGATAGCATCTAGCATTACTCATCCGTCTTTTCTCCGCGATACCAATATTATATCCACAACAAGTATTTGGTCACCATTGATCCTAGCGGGAGAGTGTGCCACTACATTCTTCTCAGCTTTGATGGGAATTGTTGGTGGTGCCAAACTTCTTCAAGCTCTTGGGCGAGATAAGCTACTCCCCGGATTATTCGTATTTGGCAAGGGAAATAAGCGAGACGACCCCATCCTAGCGGTACTTGTCACCTACATCATTGCACAAGTTGCTCTGTTCGCAGATTTGAATCAAATTGCAACTTTCATATCTATGGGTTACCAGGTAAGCATGCCGTCTATATATCATGCTCTGCTGCTAATTCTCGGAACAGATGACATTCTTCGTCATGAACCTTGCTTGCTTCTTACTGAAGATAGGATCAGCTCCTAATTTTCGTCCTGCGTTCAAATTCTTCAGTTGGCACACAGCTTTTGTGGGAAGTGTTCTTTCTGCCGCTGCAATGTTCTTCATTGACGGGACATATGCTGCCTCGGCGATATGCGTCCTGATATTTCTCTTCCTTATTATTCATTACACAAGTCCTCCGAAACACTGGGGCGATGTTTCTCAAAATTTAATATATCATCAAGTGCGAAAGTACCTTTTAAGACTCAAACCCGAGCATATTAAGTTTTGGAGGCCCCAGATCATACTACTAATCAACGATCCTCGGCATCACACCAGGCTGATTCAATTTTGCAACTCGTTAAAAAAGGGATCCTTATACATATTAGGCCACGTCATTGTAACAGATGATTTCAACTCGGGGGTACACGAAGCAAAATTACAGCAGTCAGCTTGGACTCGGTATATCTCGGAATTTTCGAGAATAAAAGCTTTTGTCCAACTAACAATGTCGCCGACAATTGAATGGGGGGCACGAAATTTAATTATTTCCGCTGGACTAGGTGGCATGCGACCCAATATCGCCATTTTGGGGTTTTATAATATGGATGAGTTGCGCAAGTCTAGGCCTCTTGCGCAAATACCAGAGGTCCCTAGTACGCCTACAAAAACGAAATTTGAAACTAAGGCTGAAGGGAAGGTTACCAAACGCCGGCGTGGGGATACCTCTGCTCGACTCTTGGATGGATTTCTCCCAACTGACACTATCCGCACGGAGAGCATGATGTCTGTTACAAGCTATTTGACTATATTAGAGGATCTTGCGTTGCGCCATCGTCTAAATGTGGCTGTTGGTAAAGGCTTCCAAGCACTTGAAACACCACGTCGAGATGGGAATAATACGAAAAAATATATCGATCTTTGGCCAATACAGATGTCGGCTGAAATCACTGATGGCGATCAAAAGGTGTGGACGACCAACTTTGATACTTGTAAGCTTCTCTTAAGACTTCACTCACATAGAAAAGAGGTAAAAACTAATATGGGTTTAAAGATACGTTAATCTTACAACTCGGATACATTCTTCAAAGTGTTCCGGCGTGGAAGAAAGCATACCAACTGCGCATCTTGGTATTCGTCGAATATGAAAGCGAAGTTAAACAAGAAGAAGCTAGACTCAAGGCTTTACTAGACAAGTTACGCATAGATGCGACAATTCGAGTATTTTGGCTTGCCTCAGGGCAGCTTCAGAGTTACGAGACTATTGTCAATGGTCGTGGGATTAGCTCCGAGCTCGGAAACATTGTAAATGAGCTGTTGAAGGACGATGAATGGTGGCAAGAATTGCAGAAGTTGAGAACCGAGAGTCATAATATGTCCCGATCACAGGAACTTGCCTCGTTAGGGGATATGCTTAACGCTACTAGACGCAGAGGAAGCTCGGTATCTAAATCCGATGCGCACGGCAGTTTACCAAGAGGACTTGATGTGAGTGAGTTTTTGGACGGATCTAAGAAGCCAACGGTTTCTACGTTTGCAAAGTTAGGTGTCAATTTTGGTATCCACACTCACCAACTTAACTCTTCCACATTTGGCGGCAGAACTGAAAACAACTCTCCCGACTTCAGCGATGATGATGGCGAATCTATAGCATCCGAAGATGTTGATTTTAACGACATTGCTAGCGCGGCAAGTGATGGCGGTGAAGGTTTACATTCAACCCGTCGATCTAACTTTCTAACTTTTCAAGGTCGGAGAAGAAGTCATGGAGACCTCATGTCCTCATTCAAGAACCCAGAAAACTCTCACACCCAGCAATCGGGGTATTCGACGGGAACTAGCTCGTTGGGATATGGTACAATGGTACAGACGGCAGGGTTGGCTACAACACAAACACCCCCTATTCAGACATCACGGAGTTCTACTGGCCTCCTTAGCGCTACGTCAGAGCTAAGTGAGATTTCGCCTATGATACCAAAACCACCACCCAGGCCGGCACTTTCGCGCCATTCATCAGCTACTCGGTTTACTAGTAAACCAACACCTGAAACTACAGTTTTGACTGAGGGGGAAACGGGCTCAAGGATCACGTTCTCTAAAGAAGAAGAGCCATCCCGGGCTAAACGTCCACCACTATCGCGAAACGCTTCTACCGGCCGGTTTTCTAGCCGCCCTGTTCCCGAGACAAGAGTTGAGGATGAAGATGGTACCGGGCCACGCCTTACATTTGCAGAACCGGAACCTAGCTCATCTGAGACGCCACTGAGATCCAGAAGGAACTCTGCTTCTAAAAAGGAGAAGCCCTCGGAAATACAGTTCAACTTACCGGAGCTATTAGCATCGTATCACCCCGGTCGCCAATCCGATGACGAGGCACATTCTACTTATTCAACACAAAGTCTCCCTCTTTCGTTTAATGATTTGCCAAGCCGAGCTCAACATCTCATACTGAATGAGCTTATGCGCCAACATAGCAGTGATACAGCGGTGCTGCTAACGACGCTCCCGATTCCCGAGGAGGGGACTTGTCAAAGCGAAGAGGCCAGTTTAGGTTATCTGACCGACATCGAAGTTCTCTGTCATGAGCTCCCTCCAGTACTACTTGTCCTGAGCAATAATATGACTGTAACGGTTAATTTATGATATATGGCTATCTAGACGAGATTTCCCATTTACGAGAAACAATCATATAGGCGCCGGTGTTGCATTTTTCACTTGGGATGTTGATATTAAATTTGTTACGGCTTGGATACTATAGAACCAGCCTCTTACTCCTATTATACACGACCTTCCTATTGTCACTAAAATTTCGTTAGGCAACAAATGAACCTTGGAAATCAAAGCATATAATAAGTGGACATTATCTATTTTTTCACCATGACTTGAACGAGGTGTTTGATCTATGACTTAGGCGCTATTAAGTGTCACGTCAGGGTTTAATAGGAAGTACTGTGGTTTTCTGATATACGCTTTACAGCTACCTATGTTTGTCTTGTAATATAATCTCATGTTCAATTGGTGACGCATTGGCGGACTGAATATACAGTTAACAGAGTCTTATGGGATATGGGGGATGTATGCTTGAGTTACACATCTGAGTTTTAGATGTGTGATAAATCAATGTTGCTGGCAAGGAGGTTACTAACGTCTCAATAAGCCGCTCACTGACTCATGCATTTATAGACGCAACGTTTCATAACACATCTTCAAGCACATTCTTCAGCTTCTAGTCATAAAATTGGCGAAGATGACCTTTCGGAAGCTCGGAACCGCTAGGTATCGGTGAAGTCCGTCCCAACACCAAGTCAAATTCAGATTGTCCGGATCCGAACCAAGTGAAGGTTGAAGTTGCGGACGGCAATGTGCTAGATATCTAGCTAGGTTTCGGCTTAGCTAAGCTTATCACTACGTTGATGCCAATCCCTTATTCTAACAATGCCAATATAGGATCATTCATTCGGAATCTATACAATAGATCGGCATTCCTTTGAAAACGATTACAATGCGTTAGTTGAGGAAGTAGAGAATTGGGTGACAAAGGCTCTTTGTTACCTCCTAGCTTACAATGACACAATAACAATCACGGCTCCCTCAACACCTGAAGCTATGACGAAGGGGAGCGTCATACGCCCGACTCGACTCAAAGGAATGCTATTCACCTCAAACCTCTCAACTAACAAAAGCATCCCGCCATTAATGACTTGAGGCTAATGCCCGTAATGCAAGACTACAAGTTTAGAACCATTTTTGACTTTCCGCTATAGACACAACATTCGTTATTGACGAAATGATTAGATACCCATGAACACTTAGAACATTTCTTACCACCATTAGCATAGCACAGCATAGCGAATTCTTTTGCATTTGATTTTGATTTCTTGAGATCATCGATATTAGAAAAAAAAACACCAGAACTTCACCGAAAAAAAAGAAAGAATAGCCACGAAAATCAACGACAAATGATACAAGATAACCAACGCCACCAAAGCACCGGGTCGTCCCGGAAACACCGGAGGCTTAGTAGCGGCAGCAGCACCGGAAGCGTTATCTCGCGGGTCTTGGGAAGCTTCCGGCAGAAGCGCCGAGAGGAGAAGAAGAAAAAGAAGTCGTCGTTGGATTCTGTCGATAGCCAAGATGACTGGATCACCGGGGGTTATCAGGGCACGCACTACCCGGACCGACCGGAGGTCGACAAGCGGGTGAAGACGATCCTGTCGGACGATGAGTACGCCGCCGAGATCGAGCGTATGCAGGAGCGTAGTCAGGCACACTACGATATGACCGAGCAGCAGGCCGGAAGCAGGACGTCGTCCCAGCTGACCGATCTACCCAACTTCAGCTATTCGTCGAAGAGCCCTAAACACAGGAAGAGTTCAGCGTCATCGAACTCTCCTGGGTTTTCCACATTTCCCATGTTTCAGGGACACGAATGGCCTCAACCGCCGAGGGAGCAACCTAACAACACGGATCAGTACCAATTCCAACCTCAACCTCAGCCCCAACCTCAGCCTCAACTTCAACCTCAACCTCAACTCCAAACCCAATTCCAGGCACAACCCCCATCACAGTCACTGATATCGCCAGTGTCACCCACCGCGCAAACCACACAGGTATTCAAAGAATGCCCGAACGGAGAACACGACCGAGGTCCCATCATACGACACTTCGCGCTGACAAAACCACAACTCTTACAACCACGAAAAGCTCCCTCGCCTCCAAAGCCGAAACCAAAAGTGTCACCCGTACCTCCACCAGCATCATTACCCTCACCCTCACCATCCCCATCCCCATCACCACTCCCCTCTCCACCCCAACTCTTAACCCCGCACGCCTCCCTCGCCACCCCAAGCCCAGGCCCTCACGACACCACACCGCGGCGCGACTCGTTATACAAACTCAAACGCGCAAACTCCGACCTAACCCTTGGCGACGCCTCCTCAACGCACACACACCGCCACTCCATCTACCACAACCCAAACGCCACAACAACCGGTCTCGGCCTACCCGCGCACTCCCCTCCAACCTCGCCCAAAACCCCCGCTCCCCCCGCCGCCGGCCGCACCGAAAGCCAGGCATATTTCCCCGCAGACCTACCGCGCATGTGTCCCTGGCCAGGCTGCGTAGCCGTGCTCCGAACCGAAGAAGAAAAATCCGACAACCTCTGCTCGGACTGCCACGAAGCCCTGTACCCACGTGAAAGCGCCTTCTTCGGCGGGGGCAAAAACACCACCAGCCGGAGCAGCCACACAGGCCCGAGCCCGAAAACCAGCACCTCAGCCGCAGCAGCACCCGCGGTTCCCGCGCGTGCCGAAGACGCAGACACGTTGAAAGCGCTGGTGGGAACGAAAGTCAGCATGGCGGAGAACGTGAAGATCAACAAGACGCCGCGGGGGTCGGTGAAGCTGGTGAACAGCAAATTCAGCAGCATGAGCGGATTCAAGCTGCAGCCGCCACCGCCGGGGAAGCGTGGGCCGCCGCAGAGTCCGACGAGCTCGACGCAGAGCCCGACGGCGACGCGGCGGCAGTCGCGGCTGCGGTCGTCGACATCGACGTCGACGTCGCAGCCCGGCGCTTCGCTTGCGCGCGCGAAGGACGGGAGTGTGGGGTCCGGGAAGCAGGATGAACATGCGCATGAGCACGAGTCGGCGATGGTGCAGCCGCTTTCGCCGTCGAACTCGTCGAGTCAGCAGCACATCGGCTTCCAGGACGTGCGATGGGAGCCGCCGTCGCCGAAGGTCGCGCGGCGGAAGACGCTGGCGATTAAGTTCAAGCCGATTTTCAAGTCGTCGTTTCGGCCGGACCCGTACGCGAACCGCACGAGTCGGCATATTAGGCAGTCGCGGGTGTCTCATGGCTCGACGCGGACGGAGACGCCTAGTCTTAGCGAGGGGTCGTGGATGACGGACTCGGCGGGGTCGTCGGTCGATAGTAGTAGTAGTCCTTCTGAGAGCGAGAGCCAGCGTGGGTACGGACACGAGCACGAGAATGAGAATGGGAATGAGTACAGTCACTCTCCCCCGCCGTTACAGCTACAACCACCAGCCCTCCCGCGCAAAGAGCCACGCGTCCAATTCGCGGCCCCCGTAACGCAAAGACCGTCTATTTCCCAAAGGGAGCGACCTCCCAGCCAACTCGTCGCGGTTCGGCAGGAGAAGATACCGCAGCCAGCCTCGCGGGAAACCGTGCTGTATCGGGAGATCGAGGACATCATCGATTGCTACACGATGGGAGACTGGAGCGACGAGGAGAACGAGCGTCGGAAGGCGGATACGATTGCTTCGTTCTTTACAAAGGAACCGGAGGTCGTGCAGATGAGGAAGAAGGGTTTTATCTGAATCTAAATCTAAGTCTCTCGAGGGGAAAGATATGGATTAGCAGTGGAGCAATAAGCATAGGTATGGTCAGTTAAGGAAAAAGGAGGTAATGTTAGCATAGCACGAAAAATAGTCAAAATAGTAGACAATCAGGGGAAAATCAAGGTAACTCAATTATGATACCGACCTAAGTAGTCGGTCCTTATGAATCTGCAAATCGAATCAACTATGAGCCTTTTCCCATTTTTCCTGTCATGCCAGTCCCCTTTCCTAGGGTTAAATCAACCATTTTGGGTATAGCAAAGATCTTGCTTGACCTTGCGTTCCTTCCCGAAACACCGTGCTATGCGACCGAAACGACTAAAACTGAATTACCGAGACGCCTAGAGGGGCCTTGTTGAGCCGGGCCACCTTATAACCCCATACCGCCGTTCCATTGTCGAGTTGAATTGCTAAACAACCCTCTTAGGTGTGACTATCAGGAGTAGCGGGTGCTGGAGCGGAGACTGCTGCAGCAACCGTCTCAGCTGAGGTGGGTGTTGAGGCGGCAGGGGCGGCAGGGGCGGCAGGGGCAGCAGGAGTGGCAGGAGTCTGGTCTTGTTGACGACGGGCTCGCACGCGGCGTCGTCGTCGTGCTTGGCGCGATGCACTAAGGGCCTGATTACCTCCCGCTGTCTGTGTTACGTCCTGATTCGAAGCCTAATCGATATCTTGGGCGGAGCCGTCGCGGCTGTACAAAGAAATGCGAATTAGAATTTCGTACAAAAGACTGAGACGGAAAAGACAGAAGGTAGATAATGTCTATGAATAAACTTACGGGACGATGGCATGGTTGTCATCAAGCAGACTCTGCTTGACGTCGTCAGGCAGTGATCCGTTAACCTTGATAGCGTAGATGCCAGGGACGAAATCCTTAAGACGCATCCACTTCGAGGTCCAGGAAATCTGGGGTTGGACGACAAGATGAACGTCGTTGAACTGGCTAGACGTGCAATTCTCAATCGCCTCGGAGGAACCCTTCATGTCGAGGAAGGGACAGTTGGGACATCCTCGTGAACGGAAGTCCTGCGCTGTTGTTTAGTAAAGTGAAGCGTGGTGCGTAGATGAGAGCGAGGCCGAAGGCAGGGAAGAAAAGACCTACAGATAAAGTCATGATGATAGAACAAACCATACAGGCACGAGCATAGCGCCACTGGTTGTTGGGAATGTACATATTCGCGAGAGGGCTTTCTTGGGACGACATCTTGTCGGTTGTCGAGTCGGAATTGTGGAATTCAGACTGTTGTTCAGAGTCGGATTGTATTGAAGAGATCAAAGAATCGACCTCAGAGTCAGAGCTCTTTGGCTTAATTGGAGATCCCACCATTGTGGCGGTGGTTTGTGGCGTTGCTTACCCAACTGCTCGAAGATAAGCGATAAGCTTTGTGGCGGTGCAATTATTCTTAAGTCAGCCTCAATTCGCTTAATTAATAATTTATTTCACTATTCCTAATACAGTTTAGTAGAGTTTAGATGTGCACTAGGTACTTAGCTACATGTACGGATCCGTATTAAATTGTTTTCAAAGTCAGTCTTAATTGCATGCATCGAAGTAAATAATTCACCAAAATTACAACAAAAACCGGCCAATTTCATTCAGTAATGGACGATATGACTGAGCAGGCTGACATATCAATGGAGGGCACCTCCGGTGTAATAAAGGCGAAAAAGGCTCACGAACTAGTCACAGCTACAATCAAAGCGCCGCGCCATTCCTATGCACACCTCGAACTTTTCAGTGATTCACCGGATACTGGAGATCTTGATATCCTTCAAGTACGATCCTACTGTACATCCGCCCTGAAACAGTTTCTGGGTGCTACGGGTATTGGAATTCCCCTAGATATCCTCAAGGTAGAAGGAAAGGACTGCTGGTTGAGAGTACCGCGGGATGATCTAGGAGCATTTTCGGCAGCTATTACAGCCTGGCAAGGCTCATACCAGGACGGAATTCACTCTTCATTCCGAATACGAGGATGCTCCGACTGGCTTGGTGCCTTGGTGGGTAGTGCTGGAAATGACAAAATCTGGAGTGGTTGAAAATTCGAAATTGAGTCAAAATGCCAACGACACGCCGAGGAATCAAATGCGCTAGAATTTCATTTTCATTCATTGGTATCGCCAATATGGTATAGAGTCCCATTTCCTCTCCTATATCCCCGCAACGCCTATGCTTCCATGACCATGAAGTGCCATATATGCAAGAATGCCGCCCATCATATGCCACTGTTGATTGAAGCTTAGCATGTGGAAATGCGAAATTTGAATTCACCCTTCACATCATCGACATGAGCGAGTTATTGGCGTATGCCTAAGAGACGGTTAGAGTCAGGCCGATGTGTCTATTTTCTGGCGAGGATAAGGGGAACATACCATCGGCCGAATCGGCGGGTGAGGAACGGCGTCAAACTGGTTGAAACTGAGTTTATAATCAGGTCCAATGTTGATATACGCGCCCCGGTTTTCAGTCTGATCGCAATACTTCGGTGCCGAAAAGACTTGAAACGAGTTAGCAAAATAAGGTCGACCTAATAGCTGACTGAATCAACTTACCTGTGATGCATCTGCCATCGTGTTCCTCCTCATAACCATCCATACGAACTTCGTGACTTCGGATGATAGCATCCAAGCCATTCTTCTCGCAGAATCTCTTTGTCACATCTGGTCCAAACTGCATACCCACACCTCTCTTACTGGGGCCACGTCCAGGGGCTGTCTGGGGGTCTGTCCACAACATCTCCATCATCAGGCCTGCTTGACCAGGCTGCCTCTGAGAATGCCTATCCACCTTTCGGATGTCATCCAGAGTAACATTATCATCCGAGAACAGGCCACCGTGTAGGACGAGATACTTGGAACCAATGAGCGTTGCCAGTGGTAATGCGGAAAAGCTTTCGGAAAATAGCTTGAAAACTCTAAAATCTTGTTAGAATACACGATTTATTCTTTTTTTTTAAGAAAAAGCAAGTCAAAACATACCGGTCGTTGTACTTAGCCTTACACTCACCCTCGAACCCGTAGACTTTGTTCATGTCATCGGTTTCGTGGTTGCCTCTATTAAGGAAGAAGCCATTAGGTCGTAGCCATTTATAGGCATACAATAGGAGAGCAATCTCCGTTGACCAAGAACCTCGATCCACGAAGTCTCCGTTGAATAGGTACCAGTGCTTCTCAGCTGGTCGTCCGTTTAACCTAAAGAGCTCCATTAAGTCGAAGTATTGACCTACAATCATGTCAGTTTTAGTTTGATGCGCGTAACCTTTCTGGACCAACCATGTGTGTCACCGCAAACTGTGAGCTTGACATCGTCTGGAATCTTCATTTCTACCATCGTAGGCTCGTCATACACGATTTTCTTAACCGCAATGATAATTTGGTAGACATATTTCTTGTGGATCTTCTTGCCGGTCTTGAACCTCTCAATCATATCGTCAATGAACTCCTGGGTTATCTGATCCCCGAGTTTAACTCCATCATAGTCCGGCTCTATGGCGATAGAGTCGACGTCAAGACCCTCGGCCGCAGACGGCTCGTCTCCAACTTCGATCGCAGCATAGAAGTTTAGTTGTCGTACAATCTTTTGGCACTCGGCTAGCTTAAGCTTAGCATCCTTGTTGGTTGGGTCGAGTTCGACACATTTCTTGAAGTCCTTGACAGCGTCTTTCGGCTTGAGGATGGCGGCGTGGGCAACGGCACGGCGGAAATAGGCCTAATATCCTCCAATTTAGTTCATGATGGAGATTGGTAGCTCATATTAGAAGGCAGAATACCTTTATGAGCTTCGGGTTCAGTTCTATGGCCTTGGTAGCATCGGCAATAGCGTATCCAAAAGCCTCTGACTTAATATGGGCCTAATATTCGGATTCCGGTTAGTCACGCGAGCGGTTGATCTAGAGTGAGGCTCCACAAACTTGTGCTCTATTCGTGAGATATGTTGGCTCTTTATCGTTTAACTCGATAGCTTTGGTATAGAGATCGATCGCTTTAGGCCAATTATGCGCTGCGAAAGCTTTGTTTCCGTCATTTTTGTAGGCTGTGGCCTGCTCTACAGCAGACGCCATCCTCCTCGATAGTTTAAGTGACGATGTCGGCGGAAAGTTTTTGGAGAATAATTGGAAAAAATCCAGCAAAATATTGAAGCGACTAGAGAGCAAAAAAAGAGAGAAACAGAATCGAAAAAGAATATAAGAAGAAGAAGGCGAAAAGAAATCCGAGTTCCTGGAGGCAAAAAGACTCAACAGGTTGGGAATGGTGATTTAGGTTGTAGTTACTCGAAGCGGCGTTTACTATGTAGAAAGAATGCCTGTCGGCACTCGGAGCTTACGTCGTTGGAGATGGAGGGATGGAGGGGTTAGGCGGCGTGGGGTTTCTGAGCCCTTCTATCAACCGCTAGAACATTAAGCTAAAGTGGAGCTCCTGCAGGTGATAAATAAAGTTACATAAGATTACTTTATCAGATACATAGTTACATGGATTCGGTTCCTTGCATAAGTGGTTGATAACCTGGAAGGTGCTGCGTTTGTAGTAGGGAGGAGTATTCTGTACATTGTAAGTATAAAGTTCTATAGTGGAGCCGGGAGTCGGGCATCTTCAGAATCTTATCCATTCAAATGTTAATACTACACATACCTATATATTTAGCAGTTTATTTTACAATTGTCATTTTCTGATCTTCTTTTATTGGATATCCTCTTCTGAACTAGACTATCCAAGCCTCCAAAAGCTGTTGGTCCATCAGACACATCGCAAGTTGTACGAACGAAAAGGTCGTGCAATGTCTGAAGAACTTCAGGACGAAATCGAGGCAATCAACTCGATTTATGGTGACGGTTGCCTGGTACCTTCGAATGATCCTAATGTGTACGTCCTAAAACCGCCCGGAGAGTCGTCGTCTCTCCGTGTCGAGTTTCCTCCTACATACCCTGCAGTGCCTCCCGTTGTGTTAGGTACAAATAGTACTGGCGAATCTGGGAGGCGTGGTGATGCTGCCCGGGAATTATCATTCTTCATCCAAGCGTTAAGCACTGTTTACCAGCCAGGGGATGTCTGTCTATTCGATGCCATAGAGGAGTTGACTCGGCTTCTGGAGTCTTCAGCTCCAGAAGAGCGCCAAGACCAAGACGAAGATACTGCCCCTGAAGATGCAACAAATGCTCTGCTCACAGGTAAAGCTACAATGCATACGGATGTGTCTAACATACCGCAGCCTCCATGGACCATATCAGATCCTTTCATTGAGTTAAAATCGGTTTTCGTTGCCCGGTGCGCTCCCGTCTCATCAACTGAAGAAGCAGAAGCTTTTGTTCAGCACCTTCTCGCCACTGATAAGAAAGTCCGAAGCGCTACACATAACATTACAGCGTGGCGCATAATGGGGCCGAATAACACCACATTTCAAGATTGTGACGATGATGGTGAAACTGCTGCCGGAAGTAGGCTGCTGCATCTTATGCAGCTTATGGACCTTTGGAATGTGATGGTGATCGTCACTCGGTGGTACGGCGGCCATAAATTAGGTCCAAGACGATTTGCTCTCATCAACCAAACTGCGAGAGATGCATTTGTCAAGGCCGGTCTGGTTTCTGAGAATACAAGCAAGAAGAAAGGTCCAGGAAAGAGTTGAGGATACATGACAGTGCTAAGTATACCCAGCCTCGCACTGTGACCCGCGATATGCCTCGGCTCTTCGCGTTTTTGAATATGATTGGGGACTCTCAATGTATGGCACACGCTACCCTACCCATCACCATCATGGCGTTTCGTATACCGCAATATCAAGCAAGCTGTTCGCATGCTTGACCTCGCAAAGATATTATCTTCAAATATAATTATAAGGATCAAGGACTCATATAGCGAAAGATATCACGTCAAATTTGTATCAAACTTAAGCTGTTTTACTGTATTAGCTCGTTAAAATGGTCGGACCGCCACCACTTCAGGGTCTCAATGTCTTGGAATTTGCTGGGCTCGCACCCGGTAGGTAGTATCCCAACGAGAATGATATGCCCGCTGTACTGACTCATAGCCAGGACCTTTCGCCGGTTTGCTTCTCGCTGACGCCGGCGCGAATGTCCTTCGCATAGATCGTCATACATCTAACGCTCAAGCAGTGCCGACAGCCGACCTGCTCACGAGACGCAAATCTTCTATTGCCGTCAATCTGAAGTCACAAAGTGGGATTGATGTTATTAAAGAATTAGTTAAGAGTGCCGACATCATAATCGATCCGTTCCGTCCGGGAGTACTGGAAAACCTCGGCATTGGTCCGGAAGTCTTACGCGCTATCAATCCTCGTCTGATATACGGCCGTATGACAGGCTTCCGCCGAGATGGTCGATATGCATCGATGGCCGGCCACGACATCAATTACCTTGCCGTGTCCGGGGTTCTTTCTCGACTAGGCAGGAGTGGCGATAAACCGCACCCGCCTACCAACATCCTGGGAGATTTTGCAGGAGGAGGTGCTACATTATTCCAAGGTATTTTACTAGCCATCATAGCTAGAGAGAAAACCGGGGAAGGGCAAATCGTCGAGGCAAACATGGTAGACGGTGCCAACTATTTGGCGACCTTCACCCGACAAAGTTTAAAAATTCCGATAGGTCATCATCCACGTGGGGAGAACCTGTTAGATGGAGGTTGCCCGTTTTACGATACGTATGAAACCAAAGATGGGAAGTATATGGCCGTGGGAGCTTTAGAACCACAATTTTATGCAGCGTTGCTTCAAGGTCTAGGCTTAGGTAATCAGGACTGGGAGAACCGGCGGCTTGACCGAGAATCCTGGCCGGAAATGCGACGGACATTCGAAACTATTTTTAAATCCAAAACGCGCTCGGTGTGGGAAGGAATTTTTGACGGCACTGACGCGTGCTGCACTCCCATTCTAGAATATTCCGAGCTGGAAATGGATGTCAGCCGTGAAGGTGACCAACGACCAGCGGTGACGTTACGTGGAACACCCTGTCTAGCAGTTGGTGAGAAGGGGGTTAATCCAACTGTCCATGGTCAAGGTCCCGGTGTTCCCGGAAATGGCTACGTTGGTCAGCTTCTGTCCCCGGGTCAAGGTGGCGAGAACGCTTTGAGAAATTGGTTTGGTTGGACGAAGGGAAAAGATTTTGATATCAAAAATGGAGGCATCGTGTTGAAGCCTAAGTCGAAGTTATAGGCGGCCACACCAGAAGGATAAATCTAGGATAAGGAGTATGCCATCTCAACGATACACTTTTAAACGCCTTTGATCCCTTTCCTATCAGGATCCCTTCTAACCGAATTCTTTCCGTCTTCCCAAATACAACACAACACAAAGTCCCATCTGCTACCATCGAGCTGGCCCAAGGAATTTGTTCTTTATACGCGTCTACCTGGCTCGGGAGAATACCACAGGCCCTTTCTAATCGACTCAACCTAAAAAGGCAACACTAGCAACGAACTGGCTTTTTGGTAATAATGAGTTCGTCTATTCGGAGGATCTTATGGAGGACAAGAATCTCACCCCGAGATTGCCTAAACATACAGCGCCAACTCAGAATCTAATTCATAGTGTCTTGCTCGGGCTTGGCGGTGGTGGCGGTGGAGGCGACGGAGGGTCACTTCTGGACTTGTCTTCCATATTCGAGAAGACCCGCTATGAAGAGAAAGATGAGTAAGACGGAACGGCCGGTTCTATCCTTTTCGAGACGGAGAGCTTCGGAGAGCTTTCTGGATACGCAGAGCGCTAGTCGAATGAACGGACGAGCCTTCGAAGCCTACGCCTAAATATGAAGATTTATATACGTATAATTGTAAGTCGACTCTTGAGTTTGGAGATGTCCAAACGAGAAACGGCCGAGAATGAGACAGGATAACCAACAGTATGTATATGTATACGTTCACTCAAGTCAGCCAAGAAGTCCCAACATATTATTGTTTATTCGATATTATTTTTTCTCAGATCGGGATCGGGCCATTATCTCTTGTGTCACCGCCTTCAACAACGGATATCCAGTAGGTACATTAGGTAGATTAGTATGTACGTGACTCGTCATGTACACGTAAATATTAGCTTCCGGTTTTCTTCGAGGGAGACATTCTTCCCTCTGGTACCTTTCGTTATGTAAGAGGGACTTTTAAAAATGATAATAATAACGATAAAAAAAATAAAATAAAACCAAGCCGGCGTAGCTTTTGCTTTGCTTTGCTCTGCTTTGCTTGACCGCCTGTCTCGTCACAACATCCATGCAACGCTTAATTTTTCTTCTTTCAGGGGTCTCGAATTACCGGGTTTTCCATACGTGCTTTTCGGTGTGCGTGCTTACACACGAATTGGTGGCCCCCAAAAAAGCACACATATGCGGGCCGCCTATTCCCACCACGTCTAACCTCCTTTTACCTAACTCTGTGCAAGCCCACCGAGCTCCCCCCTTTCCCATCCTCCCAATCGCGTCGGAAGCCGAGTGGGAAAACACATGGGAACCCAAGGCAAGCTTACCGCATGAGCCGTGGTATCCTTTTTTTCGGCTCAAACTATTCCGTCCGGGGGGGGAAAGGGGAGGGGAGGGATGGGGGGAGAATACATACTTATAAAAGACGTCTTAATGCGTAACCTACATACATACCTAGGTAGGAACCTACATACCTAGTAGATGTATGTATGTAGTATGTAGGTAAGGTACTAGGTAGGTGAGGTAAGGGGAACGGGCTAGACCGAAGCCCCTTTTTCGACACCCCGTTCGATATTCTTACATATCGACTGATATTCCCCGCGCCCCCCAAAATCCTTAAAATAAACCCCGTCAGATCTCAGATATCCTATCTTAGTCCCCTTTGTACATATACATATACATATACTTAAGTATATATAGATATCTACATACACACGTCCTACCTTCTTGCCTGTTCGGCCCGTGACAGGCGAACCGCGAATCCGGCTTTGTGTTATCTAAAAATGTCCGGGTAGGTCGAGCGAGCGCGGGATGGGCAAGGTGCGGCGCTTCGGGTGCGGCATGCCGGACGGTGTCAGTGTCAGATATCACATCATATCATTACCAGGTATTCAAAAGGGAGCTCGCTTCCAGTGCTGGCTCGCGACGTAGGTTACCGTTAGCGATCCAAGGAAGATATCTGGTTCTGCGCGGGATAACCTTCCTCGCGCTTCGGGTTCGTCCTTCCGGTTGATCGAGGCGGTGACTCGATCTTGCCGCATAGCATGCTCTCTCTTCACTCGATTGTAGGTACGAGTAAGGACCGCGATTACAAAACTAGTAGACTCGACTCAGCGCGAGCGTCGGTGAACACAATCCTGGACCTATATTTCCTACCCAGGATCTCTGTCGGTAGGTTTTTATGCCGCAGCTTATTGACCTTCATAGGTAGGATCACGCAAGTCGAAAGATGACCCGAACGGTCCCTAGTCAAGGAATTTTTCATTTTGGGTACATTAACTATTCCGCATTTTATGGAATGCTATCCTCATCTACCGGCGACATGTCTAAGGGGGTTGGGTATGACGTGACTAAAGAAGTTTCGTGAAGTGGATGAAAAAGGGGCGGGCGTACTCAACAAGACCCAATTCTTACTGCCAACAAAGCATTACACTCAATGGTGGTGGCTCGGCGTGCTTTCTCAACGCTCGGCGCCGTAACCACCTCGCCTATCTGATCAAATAGATCTGATTCCCAAGGGTTGATACTGATTCCATCCATTACTGAACTTGGCTGACAATCTCGCTGGCCTTACCAAGCGACTCAACCATTTGCTGGCATTCCTTTCGCCGGCGGATAGTGTAGTCGCTCTCCTTCAATAGATCATCCAGAGTCTCGTTCCGGTACATGTTCTCTAGTAGTTCTCGTTGCATCTCATCCTTTGTGAATCTATCACTTGAGTTAATGATTTGTTGACAATCTGAAATAGATTTTATACTTACTGGACAAGGTTCAGCATGATAGCCTTAGGGACCATGTCGATCATGGTTCTCTTAACGATGTTGAAGTACGAAGCAATCAATAGCTCTGTAATCATTTGTTAGCGTAGTATTTTAAACAGTTATATTGCCAGACTTACTGATAACTTCGACTTCAATATTCTCTCTTTCGGAGAGAGTTCCGGAAGCCTTAAGCGTCGGAGGAGGAGCCTCCATGGCAGCAGCCTTCTTTTTGTTCTTGGCAGCGAAGAAACTTCCGAAAAAGCCCGTGTTATTGTCTAGATTGCCATCCAAAGAGGGACTAGCAGCACGAGCTGGAGTTGTAGCCGATGCTGGTAAGGGTTTGCCGGTCTTCGGATCAACTTGGACCGGCTTCGCTCCGTTGTATCGCTCATTTACTATGGCCATTGCTCGATGCCCATTAAGGAAGTCGGGATGAGCCGTGTTGATATAGCAAGATTCCATGGAGACAAGATCCCTGACAAGCTTGTTGGTAGGTTCCATGGACTTCTTGAAGAAAGTGATGACTACGTTGTGGAATTTCTCCTTTAGTTGCGGGTATCTCCTGTATAGTGCTTTGGTGAGAAGGTGGGTCAATATGCGTACTAACTCGTCATAAACGAGAGAGACACACTTGAGACTAGGCTCCTCTAATCGCTTGATCTGTTGCTTGACGATGACTTCGAATGCGGTTGTCCCGACGAAAAGTGCAGGAGAGGAACCAGACGAGTTGTACAATATCGTTCGAATGTCAACGTCCTTGACAACATCGAAGGGATCCACTGCTTTGACACCATTCGAATACAACTCGTGGAACACGAAGCTAATTCGGGCACCACCAGACAGCTCCGTGCTGGATAATTCGCCGTTGTTTCCTTCCAGAACGGTTCGCCACTCGTTCGTAAACTCGGTGATTATGTTCAAGATGATGTTTGCGCTGTTACCCAACATTGACGGACCTAGACTCTCGAGCTCGGCCGAGTACTTTTGCAGCGAACTAGAAATTCTAGCTTTGATATCAGGTAGAGTTTGTTTGATGTGCATCATCAAAATCAGATTCAGCTTTCTCGCTAGATATGGAGTACCACAATACGAGCTCTTGTTCCGGTAAGCCTTGTGGTTCTCGAAGTAGTTCTTCTCCGATTCGAGCGATGCAGAGATAGGCTTCTTGTTGTCGATATCCCGTTGTCCTCTGTTGACAACAGGTACGTATCCAAGTCGAAGGGGAATAATGCGCCCAGCTAGAATGTCCACCACATCTGTGCCTTCGTCCATCAAATCCACCTTGGTCAAAACACCGATGGTTCTCTGTCCTTCGACATCTACTTCTCTAGCAAGCTTTAGACCATCCGAATTAGCTAAGTCGATGTTGGCAGAGGTGACAGCCAAGATGATAGCATTCGACTTTTGGATATATTTAAGGACCATGTCTTTGATTTGCCGTTCGATATCCCTCGGCTGATCACCCACAGGCACTTTCGTTAGACCAGGCAAATCGACTAGCGTCAACGTCAAGACATTGGGAGAGTAAACTCGTAGGTTGATGGGTGCAGGAGAGATGCCTGCATTGCGGCCGACCTTGGCCTCCGTCTCCCTGCTGATTTCATCCCGAATCTTGTTAAAATCGTAGAACTTCTGGCCCGGGATATGTAAGAACTCTCCCCACTCGTCTGCGTTAGCCGCCTTGTCGGTGGTGTTGTCGATTCCATCACTATTCCCGTTCGTTTGAGCCGTCGCAGGTCGGTTGATAAGTTGTAGAATGAGGGGTCGTCTTGTTACGATACCGGATCCTCGAGGTAAGCTATTGGAAAGTGGTGAGTTAGCTTAGATGATGCAGAGCGAAGTCAGGGGTAAGGGGCATGAGGGGTGACGTACAAATCTCGACCGACAATGTTCTCTAGTACGGAACTCTTGCCGCTAGACTGACTTCCAACGACAACGATTTGCGGTAGATCGATCGGATTGTTGACACCAACCGTGGTAAAGACATCCTGAAGCCGGTTGACAAGCCTATAGAGTTTTGGTGTCAGCTAACAAACTGTGCGCACAGACGAACGTGGCACGCATCAAGAGTCAGGACGTACTTAATGAGGGCGGGATCTGAGATGCCTCCCAGTGCGGTCGTCGAATCGGCCATGTTTACTATCGCTGTCCAAGTATGTGTTCGAATTCAAGGCTAGACTTTGTGGGTATTTGACCTGACCGAATATTCTCAAAATTCAAGGTTGGAGGGGACTACTTGATTCCTGGTTTCAAAGTTGGGTTTTGGTTTTGGTATTGGTTCGTACTTAAAATGTCGGTGGAGCTCTATCTCTCGGGTATCGCTTTCCAGTTCGAGGAGAAGGGAGAAGCTAGAACTGTATTCCACAAACGTTTGTAGAAGGGTATGGGAATATGGAGAATATGAAAGTTTGGAAATATCGTTATTTTGGGTAAAGGAAGGAAATACTGGAAATCGCCTGCCACTTGGGTTAGGGAACATTTATCAAATCGCCAGTCGCAACGCGGGTGGCACTTGACGATACGTAGGTACCTTACGTAGGCTGTACCTAGTAGCACTCACCCAACTTGGAACCTTATCCCTATCAAGACATTGAGCCACAGGTGGGCATGTGACCAGGACAGGGGCTTCTTAATGTCAGCCTAACTAACTGGTCCGTGCATATGCGTGCTGTATGGATGCGTTATCAAGCCACATCAATTATTTAAACCCGATAGACGATAGATTAACGGATATAGCTTCATAAATCGATAGTAAGAATTGGAGACATATTTTATTATGCTGCCTGAAAAGGCGTGCGTCATCCATATTCCAATTGATGACGACAGGCTTATGGATTTGTGTGAAAATCGGATAGTTGATGCCTGACCTTAATACCCAGTCTAGTAGGTACTCTGCAAACATTTCCAAGGTTATCAATCGCAAAAGGGACGCCAAAATGAAATATTTCACGAAGCCATATACGTAATTATATGGATTACGATTATTGGAAGAACTTACTATCTATTTAGGCATAAGGTAAATATTAGCCATAGAGCATAATGCAGTGGGTATGGTGCGTATTTGAACGGTTTGCTTGGATTAACTACAACCAGACACAACTGTCTTCTGGAAGAAGCCACAGCCATTGCCGTGTTTGATACGAGATGGGACACCGTTACATGACCCCCGTGAATATACAATGCCATTCCCGGCTCACAAGTCTATCGTCTCGGTGATAAAAGACGCAACCGACTCCCCCTTCCCAATTGTCTCTGCAGACCGAGGCTATTCTGTAGTAAGTAACAGCACAGACTACACACACTATCAGCGCGATATCCCCCCGAGATAGTCACTCCTAGTCTGCGTCCGTAGAGACCTAACACATGTTAGAGATGAGAAGCGCCATGCTGCCGTCATCCAATACGCCGGTCCCATGCAAGTATCAGAATTTAAACACGCGTTACAGTTTATTAAGAACCGTCCACTGCCCGGTTTGCATCGTAGTGCTGGGATCGCCAACTGTTGTTAGACCATCTATAGTAGGTTAGTATCACGATCTGGAGGGAATATTTGATATCAAACGAGCACGCACATTTTAATCTTGCCGTCATCTCCACATGACGCAAATAGACAGGGATCGGCTGGATTCCACGATACAGAGTTACACCCAGGAATGTGTCCGGTAAGCTTCTCGACGAGCCGGGCGCTGGCTTTATGCCAGATGTTAATTGATCCGTCTATCATATCAGTTAGCAAGGATCGAACATCGGTGCATGTATATAGGCTCACCTTCGCTCCCACTAATTACGAAACTTTCATCGGCTCCACCGAATGCACTTCTAATCATGAAGTTTTCGCTAGTAAAGCCCGTATAAGTTCCAACCGGCTCACGTCGGATTAGGTCGATGAGTTGCGCAATGCCGTTATTATGATTTACCAGCAGATGTCGAGAGTTTTGGCTGATGCTGATAGATGTCAATCTCACCTGTAGGTCCATCTGATACTCTAGTTCGCGAGTTACGAAGTTGTAGACATGAACATTAGTTCCTCCATCCGACGCAACTAGCCAGTGTCCATCTGGCGACATAGCCAAATCCTCAACTCTATGAGGGCTATTCCAATCGTGTACCTTTTCTCCGTCAAGATTCCATTGAATTAGGCCGTGTGTTTTATCTAGAGCACCGGTGACAAAAGTCCGGCCGTCCACAGCCCATACGCAACTGGTAACGGGCTCTTGACATCGTTCAAGTTTCTTTAGACATGCACCCGTCTATGTATGTTAGCTTGAACCCTGAAGGGTGAACTTTGCCGACTTACATTGGCATCCCATAATCTTGCATGTCGGTCCTGGCAGCATGTGATAATCATCGAATCATCCCAGCTCCAGGCAACATTTCCAACACCGTCGTCATGGTCATTAAGATAATGAAGTGGTCTAAAAGACGGAACATCCCAAATAATAACTTGTTTGCCTTGGCCACAACTGGCTAATTTTGTCCCGTCATGAGAAAAGACAACCTGCCAGACTTGTTCAGCATGCTCATCTAGTTCAAGAACATTCTCGGTTGGAAATTGTTGTCGTTCACACGCGTGATCTGAGTATAAAGACGGAGATGTGGCGCATGAGTGCCAATAGCATCTGTCGACTTGATTTGCTTTAACTTGTGTCAATAGTGTGGCTAAACGATGTTCTGGAAGCATGACGGATGGCGAAATGCATTCTGTGAAAAATAATTAGCAAATCAAAATATAACTGAATAATTAAATTATCCTCTTAGTAAACTTACTCGACAATTGGGATAGGAGAATATGCCGAGATTCTCCATACGCACCATCCCATTCCGCCTTTGACTTCAGATCTTCTGTCTTCTGACACATGAGCAAGCTAGACAGAAAGTGAAGTTTCTGTGTATCTTGATATAACGGGGTAAGTTCGGTCCGTAGGACTGCGAGGGCGCGAGCAGTCTGTCTCTGCTCCAAGAGTTCTAGGAACTTCTGTTGGCGTATCCAGAATTGCATCATCCGTCTATTTGCACCATTTGTTAAGACTAGCCCATTGCCATCTTCACCAACTCGATGACCAGAAATTATTGCCCCAGAAAGTAGCTGCTCTGCTTCGGCCCAATCTCCCTCGAGTATAGCGTTCCTAAATGCGGCAACCATCGGGCTTTCTAGTTCGAATCCGCTCTCCTGGCTCACGCTCTGAGCTGCAGATTGGTACCCCATGTCCGTGAGTGCTTGTATAAGCAATCTCGTGACCTCTTCGCGATCGTGGCCGAAATACGTCTCTGACTGACGGACTTTTGAGGAGCCATTAACTGCCTTACTAGTTCCATTTGCGGCGCCCGATACCGAAGACCTCTGGTGCGACTTCCCGTTGGCGTAAGGCCTCGACGTGCCATTAGATGCTACCGGCCTGTCCGCGTCCGCCAACATGTTACCGTCGGCACGTCTGCGTTTCCTCCTAGGGCTGTCTGCGGGTATTGCACGGGAAGCTGAAGCTTCCTGAAGCTCCGACTGAGAGCCGGCGAGGTCGATATCGTCGTTATTATCGTCCTGGGTGCGTTGCCTCCTTCCCAAAATTTGGCGCTGTGCGGATATAGCTGGTAGGCGTTCTTGAGTACCAGGGACGACACCGGAGGTGGAGGGCGGGATGTAGTTTGCTTGGTTCGCGAGGCTTGTAGTTGTTAGGGGGGCAGAGAGGACTGTGTTAGAAGAAGGTCGAGGGAGTTGCGGCGTGGATGGGTGGTCGGAGGCGGATGGGGTGGATGAAGGTTGCTGGGGGGTTTGGTCTGCCACTTCGACTTGTTACTCGTCACCACGGGCTAGAAACACCCGCAGTCTCGAAAGGATGGATATTACGGGTTATCCGTCGAAGTAAACTAGTTATAAGGGCTGTGGTCGAAGAATATCTGGCGTAGCTCGATGTTGGTGTCGATGTCGATGTCGATGTATGTGCGCGGGGCGGATGGTTCCAGTGGTAGTTCTGGTAATTGTGTGTGAGAACTTGAGAGGGAAAGTAGTAATGATTGTGAGGCGACGTTGTAATTAAGCTTGGATGACAACTCTCGGTACGGATGCCCCGTTAAGATGGCTGACTTCATGTCATGTGTGGGCCGTAAACCTAAGGTTGAATCTAAGCTTTCGGGCTATACGTTCGTACTATCACCGATCTCTCGAGTTTTGTACAGTAATCGATATTCAGTGTTTAGTGTTTAGTGTTCTGTGTTCTGTATTCGGAAAGAATAGATATCCGATGCCCCCAAGTTCCCAATATGTCCAACTGTCAAGCAATCGATTGCCTCTATCTACATCGAGGCACATATATGACGTGTGAGGTGATTGACTTAGTACCCAGGTAATGCTTGAGAAAGCCAACGATACGAATCGATCCGAGTCTAAGCTTCGGAACGCGAGTTGGCGATTGTGCACGACGAGGTCGAGGTAAACAATGCGAGGGTTGATGGGTTCAAGTTTCGAAGGATGTTGTGTTTAGAATTAAGATTTCACAGTTCACAGTTCACCATCAACACAGTTAGTTGTTTAGTTGGTGGATCAGGTAGTAGGCAGGTACATATGTCGTAGTAATGGGTGTATGTGGCAATCCATAGGGTGGATGAATGATTGAATATGGAAGGGAAGGCGGATGCTGCATACAAAAGTGGATGCACGCACTGTATTGTACCTACGCAGCTACGTATTAACGACCTGAGGATCTCCAGCGTACAGCACCTTCACTGTTTGGAAGCCTACAGGGTCCCGTGCCTAGGAGTGTTTGTTACCTGATAGTACCTATGTATTAGGTACCCTAGGTACGTACACGTCGGTGGAAAGTGGGTTCCTCTAACGCTGTACCTGTGCTGTAATTCCTGCATGTATTATATTATGCCGTGCTAATTTGATAAGACATCACGCATTCATGTACAAGCTACAGGAGTCTTCTGAAAAGTGGACGCTGATTGGTTTTAGGACTCGCTAGAGTGGCACCTATCGTTTTAGGTTCCTGCCGTTCATAATATATTTCGTATGAGGTACGAAGTATGTATTTCCCAAGTAATGCAAAGGTGTTACATAAAATACCTGTGCAATCTCCTAACATGAACCAGATATTGCAGTACCAAAGCTTCTTATATAAATAGAAGAGATAATGACACATTTGTGTTATATATAAACCCGTGATAAAGTCAAGAATAACCATCTATCTACTCTGTATCTAGTACCGAGCTGCGAGGGGTACAGTCAATGATAACGATAGGTAACTAGACCCCCCGGACCGGATTCTCCACACACGCAATGATGGGTATCGATGACCTACACGTATCTTTGGAAGCTACCTGAGTATGTAGGGGGCGTTTTTGTTGGCGCTGAAAAGAAACATTCGGAAATATATTCGTAAGGAACAGCTGACACTCCTATTTTAGGCCGGGATTTACCTAGGTATGAACTGTCATGAGACATGAGTTCGTTCCTTTGAAGCTGAATGTTTCCGGATTGCTGCGTTATGTAAGTTGAATGCCTCGGTTACTAACGTGCTTTGTCTTTCTCGTTAAGCACCCAGATTAAGGGAGGTGTCAATCAGAGGTCATAACTACACCTATGAAATCTGAAGAAGAACCTAACCGTTGACCTTTAATTAGATGTAACCTTATTTTTAAGTTCCTTAGTCGTGATGCTAGAGTTAAATTGGTTTGCGGCTAAATCTTAACATCATCGCTTGCCTGGTAGGTACTGGTACTATGTAGAACTTGGAATCTATGTGCATGTCTTGGAAATGTGTGCTTATTAAATCCCCATGTAGGTAGACAGATGTACATAGTTACACCATCTCGAATCGCCTGTGGTACTTTATGCATGAGTTGATTTATAATACGAAGCTATTTGCTATTAAGGCCTCTTCATCGTAAGCCTTAAGGCTGCAAATACATTGGATGCTGAAAAACATCATGTCAACATTTGTCTCTTACTTCATTAGATAATAGCGATGAGTTGGCGTAGGTATGCTTACGGTCTCTCGTTATAGCTTGGCTTTAGGTTCAATCAGCTCTTCAACCTTGGCAAACTTGTAGTAGTAATCTAGACTTTGGGGGTTGAGCAGTGTACCGCTTGGCTTGATTATTTGGCCAGACACAATCTGCTTTACTGGCAGCTCAACCTTCTTGAGATTTACCGTAGTCTGTTCTTGAAGTCAGTACCACAGAATTCTCAATCGGTGTGTTCTTAACTTACAGGTATTTCAGGAGTCTCAAACACATATTTCGGTATGTGTCTCTTGGTCGTTTCTTTCCCGATGGCCTCTTTTACTTCTCTCACAATCTTTGAGTCGAATTTATGGCCAGGCTGCATGAGTAAGAATAGCATTACACTCTCATCGTTATCTTCAGGTCGTCTTTGTCCAACACAAATCGAGTCAGCCACCCGATCAGCAAAGTTCCTCTCGAGAACATTGTAAATTTCCGCAGATCCGAAGCGGACGCCACTAGGGTTCAAAACGCCATCAGCTCTTCCAAGGAAGGCGAGGTTCTTCGTGATTGGGTGAAATACGCAAAAGTCGCCGTGAGCCCATACGTGATCGTATCTAGCAAAATAGGAGGAATGGAACTTGGATCCAGGAACTCCTACCGGCGTCTTATCACCCCATAGGTATATTGGCACGTTGGGGAAAGATTCCGTGGCTACTAGTTCACCAGGCGTTCCATCTGGGACCTCCTTTCCAGGGCCAGGAGGGAGTAGTGAGTCGTACAATGCTATCTTGACTCCAAGAGAAGGCCCTTGAGTACCACCCACGTAAACCGGAGAGAGTGGGTTCCCTATTCCGAAACAGCCAGCCTACAACAAAGTCAGCAGACAGTCTCTAAGATACCTTATACCTAACTCACAATATCAGTTCCACCAGATATGTTGAAAAGTTGGACATTAGTCGGAAATCCCTTGTCGTAAAACCATTCAAATGTCTGCTCTGGAAGGACCATGCCGGTGCTCGACACAATCCGTAAACTCGACAGATCTGTTATCTGTCTTGGCGATATTCCCGCCTTAGCGATCTCATAAAACCACCGAGGGCTAGTTCCAAATTTTGTGACTTTCTGGTCGCCAATCAACTTGACAAAAGTTTGAAGGTCCGGCTGAAAAGGGGATCCGTCGTATAAGACGCACCGACCACCGACTAGTAGATAGGCTACTGACACAAGATACATAATCCAGCCAGTAGTTGTATATTGCAGCGCGACACTGTCCGGCCGAGCCTCTTCATGAAGACGACCCTCTTTAAGGAGGCTCATAAGAGCACCTCCTACGGAATGCACTAAGAACGGTTAACAAGTAAGCCACCAAATTTACATTAACCAAGGTAATCATGGATTTATATACCTATAGCTTTCGGAATACCAGTTGTCCCCGAAGAATAACAGACAAGGAGTGGTTCGTGGAATGCGATCCGAGTGATTGGCGGTGCCAGTGTTGCGTCGCCTTTATCAATGAACGATTCGAATGTTTGAGTCTTTGGGATGCTGCTTATATCTAAAGCATCTCGGAAACGCCGGATCGAGACTAATCCTAAGAAATTGGTGCAGTTCTCCATTCCCGAGACGATGTTGGCCATTTTCTGACGCAAGTCCACACGTTTGCCATTGTAAAGAGCTGCATCGTCCATGAAGATATACTGGGTCTAATAAGTAACCAGGCGCATACTTAAAAACCTGAAAGGGGATGATATATCCTACCTTGGGGTCGATCTGAACAGTCCTCTGTAATATCCCCTGGACGCCCATATCGGTCGAGCTGCTACTGAAGATAGCACCTAACCATCCAGCAGCGATGAAGAGGACGAGAGTCTCCACACTGTTGGAACCGACGACGGTTATTCGGTCTCCTCTTCTTACGCCACCAACGTGAAGTGCGGATGCATAGAGAGCTGCGAGCTTTCGAAGTGTCACCCATGTGACATGTCTGGTTTCGGTCACGCCCTCTCGAACCTCGGTCAGGGCAATCTTCGTGTTCTCTTTTCCTATCATACCATGATGATCGGTAGGATCCTGAGACTCGCGAGACCACAAAACATTCTCAGCCCAATTGAGGTATACGCCCTCAAACCAAGGTGGGATAGTGTCAATTGGCCTACTCTCATCTACAGCTCTCTTGTATGAGCCGGTGTAGAGTATGTTTAAGTACTCAAAGACCTCGCTATAAAAATCGGATCGTTTAGTAGTAGAGTAGTGATATAAGTCTTGGAATGTCTAGATAAGTCATATTCGTCAGCTATTATCCAGACCGCTGAGTGTAGTCTCAGTCATTCTCACCTTGAGACCCAGATTATGCTTAGTGTTCAAGCGCTGCATCAACTCATACATCTGTGTCTTCTCCGGATTGGGATGCTCCCACAGCTTCCTTGGGGTAGAAGCCATATTGTGTTAAGCTCTTGGATGGCTAGCTACCTCTATTCATCCCGTTTCGTATAAGCTTCGTGCGAGCCTCCTACGATGGTTCTGATATCAACTCACAGCTACTTGATTACCGTAGGTAGTTTCAAATTGATAAACAACAGAAACTCCCACATGATTGTATCGGAGATCCTTGACTACCTCCGTCCAGCCACTCTCGCGTCTTCGGCACTGTGCGCATGTAACCAAATCCTTTATATCCGGATCCATTGTTCCCCTTTTAGAAGTGATGCCTCGTGGATTTCAACCATATGTTAATACTTATTACAGCTTATTATGAGGAAGAAATGTCTAGGTAGATTACTAAATAGATTAAAGATTTAGTCGTCTCTATACAGGTATCTTTTGGCGGCAATTAATTGAAGAATTGAAGAATTTAAAAATTAACCATAAGCCCTGGAGCTCGTAGTTACGCTAAGCGGCTAGGTACTCGCCCAGTATCGATACTGAGTGCTAATACTGGCTGTCGGTTACCAAGGTAGACCCCGCATCCCGCACTTTCCCCAACAACCTCCGCATTCTTTCTTGACTGCCGTAGTTCCCTCCTAGTTCAATATTTGCGTTGCTTATTTGCTTCAAGGCTCTGTTTATATTAGAGATGAAGTTTCCATGAACGCTCTCCTAGACATAAGTTGAAAGTGCATGGAATCATCATCTAATACCTAGGTAGTTTCGAAAAGTGGAAGATGAAAATAGTTTATAACAAGAGAAAAACATATAAAAATAGTTTCATATTGGCAACCTGGGAGTTACCGAGGTCCAAACAAACCTTAAAACATACAATTGACAATGACCTCTCTTTTGATGTTCGTACCTAGTAAGTAATAAACCAATCCAACAGTCCAATAAAAATAGGTACCTACTAGGTAGTTACTTGTGTATTTGGTTTATATAAAGGCGTCAATACATCTCTAGTTTTTACCCTCTTCTACTACATTAATGTTCAATATACTATATTCTTCATAGTCCAATCATATACGATTGAACCCTCGCAACCCTCGTCGCTTTAATCTAGACCGAATCGGCGAAATCTTTGACTGCTAGCTCTAGACTACGTCAATTGGTGGGGATTAATGGACGAGTTCATCTGTGTGACATTAGCCGCGAGACCTCTATCACCCCACAAACCCCAAGGGAATCCAGAGGAGCCCCACGTAGAGAGGTAGGTTAAACACAAGTATGTTATGAGGTAACTATCGTAGGTTGTTTCTCTTTTTTCCAATTTCTTTCATCTAAGGTTCAGTATTTTTTATCATTTATAAGCCTGGTGGTTTGTTTGAGTGTTCACGATGGTGGAACCGAAGACCGGACTTGTCCTTGGCTATAATGGCATCCACCCCTTTTCTAAGGTAAAAATCACCGACCGTGCTTCCGTCCAAGAGCTTCTTGGGACTCTTCTCGATCCCCTTGAGCCATTCTTCTCTCCGTTGAAAGCTCGAGTGAAGTGTCCCGGAGCTACTGCCGTCAGGTTTGATCAGACAGCTTCTGAGGTAGAAGGTATCTGTCGGCCACTCTGGGGCTTAGCTTGTTTATTAGCCGGGGGCGGTGATTATCACGGAAAAGAATGGTGGATTCAGGGGATCAAGTCGGGCACCGACCCTGAGAACCCGGAGTACTGGGGATACCCCCGAGACAACGACCAGAGAATGGTAGAAATGTGTCCTCTCGGTATGAAGTCATCTCAACTTTCAAGATCGAAGCTTATTAGTGAATAGGTTATGCGCTAGCCGTCGCCCCTGAAATATGGCAGTCATTCAACGAAAAAGAACGAGAGAATGTCGAAAACTGGTTAGGCAATTCAATAAACGAGAAGAAGTAAATCCAACGATACCCATTTCCTTTGAGCTTGAACTAATAGTGTTCCAGCATGCCAAACACCAACTGGCTGTGGTTCCGTGTTTTCGCGAACCTCGGGTTGAAGAAGAACGGGGGCAAATTCTCGCAAGAGAGACTAGATCGTGATATCGAACACCTCAACACCTTCTACCGTGGTGGTGGCTGGTCGAACGACGGGCCAGAGGGAATTCACCGTACGTTGACACCTAGCCATTACCATGATGAAAATACTCAAGTTTAAACCCCCCTAATAGAAATGGACTACTACTCCTCCAGTTTCGCCATCCACTTTCTACAACTTCTCTATGCGAAACTCGCAGGTGAAGACGAACCAGCACGAGCCCAGGAGTTCAAAAGCCGTGCTAGTCAAGTTGCGCTCGACTTGATCCACTACTACGACAACGAAGGTGAGATAACCACTCAACTAAATCTCTTACCTATCATCTAACACATTCCCTCAGGCCGATCTATCCCCTTTGGCCGCAGCGTAGGCTATCGATTCGCAATGGTGTCGTTCTGGGGTGCCTTAGCTTACGCCGGAGTCGAGCTACCCGAACCACTTACCTGGGGCATGGTGAAAGGCGTAGTTCTGCGACACCTGCGATGGTGGCAGACACAGCCTGATATCTGGAGTCCGAGTGGAACACTGACTATTGGGTACTCCTATCCCAATATGTATGTAAGTAATAGAAACCCCCTTTATCCTAACAATGGGACCTCGCTCACAACGAATAGATGGCAGAAAACTACAACAGCCCCGGTAGTCCGGTAAGTCCTCCACACCTACTTACCTACATTTCACAACATCCACACTGACCAAGACCAAAGTACTGGGCCTGTCTAGCCTTCATCTGTCTCGCCGTACCAGCCGACCACCCCTTCTGGACCTCCGAAGAAGAGCTCGCGAGCCCTGTCATCCCACAAGTCAAAGAGCTTCCACACCCAGGCCACATCGCAAGGCAAGCCTTCAAACCCCTCAACCCTACCCCCAAAGCCCTATACTAACCAGCCACGCACCCCCAGCTACCTCGGCAACCACTGCATGCTCCTCTCCTCAGGCCAAGCCTGCAGCTATCCCATGAAAGGCACGCACGCCAAATACGGCAGTTTCGCCTACAGCTCCGCATACGCATACTCCGTCCCCCCGGGGCTCTTCACACTAGAGCAATACGCACTCGCCTCACAACTCGGGTTCTCCGACGACGGCGGCGAGTACTGGAAGACACGTCGGGCGTCCAGCTACGCCGCTCTCGAACACCGGGGCTCAACCCCGGTTCTCGTGTCCCTATGGAAACCGTTCCCAGACGTGACAGTGCGCACAACGCTTGTACCGTCCGACCCAGCGACGCCGAACTGGCATCTACGCGCGCACCATATCACGGCCGGCCGCGAGGTGATGACGGCGGACGGGGCGTTCGCGATAAGCAACCAGCGCAGCGCGGACGGGCGGTACCTCGACCCGTACGATGCCGCGACGCACGAGGGGACGTCGCCAAAGATAATCGGGAACTACGATCTAGCGACACCCGCGGGCTGGGCTCCGGGCGCAGAGGGCGCGTTCGCGGTGTCGAAGGGGGCGGTGGGGATTAAGGCGCTGGAAGGCGGGCGCGCTGCGAACTTGGTGAACGCGGACCCAAATTCGAATTTGGTGGAGAGTCGGACGGTGATCCCGACGCTGCAGCACACGATTAAGGCCGGGGAGACGGTGGCGTATGTTTCGGCCATCTATGCGAAGCCGTCTGGGGAGGGGGTTCCGAGGGAGACGTATTTGGATGGGTGGGAGAAGCCGCCGGAGATCCCGGGGTGGTTGAAGGCTGAGTTGGGGATTTAGCCGTTTGGATAGTTCCCTGGGTAGGTAAGTAAATGATGTAAAGATCCAATATAGATGTTTGTTCTGGTGCCTAGATGAATAGTATATTTTGTCTAGCGTGTGTTAATGTTTCTATATGTGTGTGACGATCTAACCGCCATGTTGAATGCTGTTTTAGCCCCCGTTTTTGCCGTACCATGCAATGCGAGAACTCGACGCCGACCTTGCGTAATAGGAAAATAAGGCAAAATCACATCCCAAACTTACCTCCTCCGGCGATATAATTCTTGGGTACTATTATCAAATAAACTCCGTATTCCTAGCGCATCGATTTCTCCACGTTTGAAGCAGAGCCATACAAAAAGTAGGTACGTCCCCGCTGCTTCACAGGAGACGATAGTTCACTCCTAACGTCACTGTGTCTCGTATTGGGGTATTACCCCTAAGTCTGGGCAAAATTGATTATGAAGTCGGCGAGTTGCTGGGCTCCTGCAAGTGGGATTGAGTTATAGTTACTCGCACGAATGCCACCGACGCTCCGATGACCCTTCAGACCGGTGAGGCCGTGAGCAGTGGCGTCTTTGAGAAACTTTGCTTCGGTACTATCCGTGTCGCCACCCTATAAATAGAATTAGTGATACTTGAAAAAGTAAAACATGCCAAGGTGACCATTTACTTACCGCTGTCACGCGGAAACATATGTTCATTCGAGAGCGGGCCGACTTATCGGGAACAATTCTGTAGATGCTCGGGTACGCTTCGAGGGCCTCGTAGATGATTTTCGCTTTCTGGTTAGCGACAGCTTCTTGGCCGTCAACCTTATCTGGGAAGGTCGCAAGCAACTTCTTGAGCACTTGTCCGGCTATATAAACACTGCATTGTAACGTTAGACATTGAAAACACAGGTGGCGGCTAGTGGATGGTCGTACTCAAAAATGCTAAGCGTGTTATACAGGCTGTTGTTTTTGGCGATGGTCTCGTATGAGAAGATAACCGGAGGAATGGGGAGACCGAGTTTTCTCATTAATGCCGGAGAGGGCTGCGAGCATACCGGCGGCAGTAGATCCTTCTTAATGATCACTACAGTTACTCCGGTCGAACCGAGATTCTTCTGTGCACCGAAGAAGATAAGCGAGAAGTTCTCGACAGGAATTCTTCTGGATAAGATATTTGATGACATGTCCGCAACGACGATGGGACGCATGCCATTTGAATCGGGACCGAGAACATCGGGGAACTTGGGATACTCGACACCGTCTACGGTTTCGTTGTCGCAGTAGTATACCATGGCAGCGTTTTTGGATAACTTCCAGGTGCTCTCACTCGGGATCTTGCCAAATTTGCCCTGGTTCACGGTCCGGGAGTCAGTTGCCAGATTGGTGAACTCCGGGCCGAGCAGACGGCCGGCTTCTTGGTAAGCCTTCAAAGACCAGCCACCTGTCACTAGGTAATCAAGCTTCAACTCCGAATCGACGGCTTTCTTGAGCGCCGATACTAGTTCTTCTTGGTTCGCCTCTTCCTCGCTCTGAGCACCCAATTGTTTCAGTATTTCGGTCTTTTTCCTAGTTACCCAAGCGCCAACAAGGTTGTACATAGTAGCAGAAAATTCGCCACTCCCACCACCTTGCATGAAGATAACCTCATAATCATCAGGGATACTGAGGTAGGTAGCCAGATCGGCCTTTGCTTGGTTGATTATATCGGCAGCATATTGAGAACGATGAGAGTGCTCAGCAATGCCAAGTCCTGTATCGTTGTAATTCAGGAGTGCTTGAGAGGCGTTCTCAAGAACGGAAGTCGGCAACAATGCCGGACCGGCGCCGAAGTATGTGATATTAGCCCTGGAGGGCATTTTGTAGATTTATGGATAGAATATAAATTATTTAAAGGGAAGATATAGGAATTGAACATATAATGAAAGAGTGACTTCGTTATTTCTATTCAAATATATTCGAAGCTTAAGCTAAAATTGAATCTCACAGGGCTGAGTCATCCAATGGTTCGAGTGGATGGAAAAGCTCACTTTAGTCAATTTGTAGCTAGCAGGTGAAAACAGGTGACGGTTTGAATGATTCGGTTTTTCTCCTTCCCGACGTCGGAAGCAATAAGATGAAAAAGAAATCGCGCTTGCGCTTGCTTTCCCCGATACTTCTCACTGTACTAACCGCTATTTTGGTAGAATTCAATATTACCTACGGACCGGACTAAATAGTGCCTAGTTGGAACTTTAATATGCCATGGTCAACTCCGACCCCGTCTCGGAAACTTTCAAGGTTAATACCATGCGATAACCATATGTACTGTACCTGCAAGATTAAGTAAATCCAGATAAACGAATATTTTTAATTATACAGACAGAAAACAAGAATGTGTGCCATGTGCTCCCCAACCTTTACATACGAATGCTTTTTTCGCTTACCTAGGTGTCGCCCACATATTACCACATACCCGCGTGGGTGGAATAGTGTTGCGAGCTTCCGACAAGCGTCTAAAAAAGGTGTTGGCCTAGGTTTCCCCAGATTTAACTAAAATATAATTATATATATAAAAAAAAGAGGGTACTACTCGAAAGGGGTCGAGACACGACGTGTTACTATATTGAGTTGCTGTTGCATTGCATCTATGATATCCGAGATGGCTGCCGAAACCGAACTGACACTACAACCTCGGCCGTGCTGAGATCCCGCAAACCCCAACTCGAGCAAGGACAGCACCCGAGAGGTCAACTCGTGTTGCAGCTAATCCTCTTTTACTTATTACTCAGTTATTACAGGACATGCATGGCATTACATCGTACCTGACACATTGATACCTCAACTCTGGTAGCAAACGGGTGTCCATGCCGAGAGCTGCTCATCCTGACTCGACCTCATATCGAGAGAAAAAGCACTTTTCTTATAGGCCTCCTCACCCTCCTCACCCACCTCCTCACGCGGCTGTAGCGTGCGTAGTGGGGTCAATAATCTTCCTGGCGTGCCTTTTCGTTCTTTCGGGTCCTGTCAATTGCCGGCTCGAGGCACAGGAAATCCCCATTAGGGGAGTTAGAGGCGAGGTTAACTGACCAGTACATTAGATTGAGATAGGTAAGGAAGATAGCCATCAAACGTAAGTGTAGTGTAATACGACGACATATAACTGCTTCAGATATTAATCTGTTGGCCTCTATGGTTTGATCCTCGACCGCTGGCTTACTCCTCGACGTTTATCACGAACCAATTCTTCGTTTCTTTGTGATGTTGGAGGGGAGACGGTCCTTACTGTTAAATAGAGGATCACTCTTACTTGCTTGTATATTATTTTCCCATTGCGATCAGTTCCAGTTGTGGTGATGCGGGATCGTTTCTAGAATCGGGCTTGTCTTTAGTGGCGTCCAGTTGTTGATTTGCCAGCGGCTCGAGGCGCACCCTCACAATCAAGCGAAAGAGGAGAGAGGAAAAGGTGGAAATGTCCGAAAAGAAGACCGCCGAGTCATCAGGCCCAGCACGACATTCGCATTCCGTCCCTGCAGCATCTTTCCGTGCGTCAAGCTAAGCTACCTTTGCCATTACCCATTACCTACCTTGTCTTCCTTACCTAAGCTCTCTAAGCTCTTTAAGCTCCATCTTCTTTTCCTTTTCTCCTTCTTTCATTGTGTATGCGCAACCTTGCGCGACTGGAGAGCCTCAAGACGAAACAGCCATCCCTTTAGCCTTGCCCATTTATTTTTGTCGCCCGCTTTGTGCGAGCCTGAGATGCCAATTCGCAGTTTTCTTGGCTGAATGCTGTTTCGCGACCGGAAGCCCGACTAATGAATCGTGTTGTAGCGACGCACAATTCCCCGCGAACATGGTTCCTAACTTCGTCATTGACCCCTCTGGCCGTCCGACTGATAAGGCAATTGCTCACGCACGGTGATTATGTCGTCGCTTGTCTGCCTCCGCACGAAATCGAGCACGACGACCGAAGCGCTGAATTTCGCGAGCTAGTCAACGAGTGTAAAAGCAATCGAAAGGATCGAGAAGGTTGGAAAGATCGCATTCGGAGTATACGTTGTGATGGTCGAGTTATGGGCCAATGCAGTGCCGCAGTGGCGGAGGCGAAGCATGTGTTCGGGCGCATAGATATTCTGCTGTGTTGCACATCTGAAGGTATGCGAACTCATTTCCACAAACACACTACATGCACTTGAGTGGGGCAATCCAGAATTCTTACCAGATGATTCTCTCCAAACAGCCATCGTTGGAACTGTGGAAGAGCTATCCACCACGCCGGCGACGCAAAATTTAGTCCGCGACCAATTCGAAACCATTTTCTTCTCCCAGGTAAATTTCATCAAAGCTTCGCTCCCGACATTTCGCGCGCAGCATACAGGCCATATTATGATTCTCACGAGCCTCGGCGGGCATATAGGTACGCCCGGAATGCCAATATATACGGCTGCGACATGGGCGCTCGAGGGATTTTGCGATTCGCTGGCTTATGAAGTTGCGCCCTTCAATATAAAAGTGACCATAGTGCAACCGCACAAGGAGATACAATCTTTAACCAACAAGATCGTATTCTCTCCTTCGTTGCCGTATTACGATAGTGAAAATAACCCGGCGCCTAGCGTTAGGGATATGCTCACGAATGTGCTGAATCTAAACCCTGAGACTGCCCTCGAACCGTCGGAAACGGATATCATTCAAAGATACCCCAAACTTCCGGCTTCTTCGATGGACCGTCTTGTGGGCGAGACAGTGTATGCACTTACGGCTATTGGCGGACACGAGAATCCGCCGGCGCGCCACATTGTCGGATTTGAGGGAGCCGAGGCTGTGAAGGAGAAGTTGAAAACGGTAACGGAAGAGCTGGAAGACTTTGTCGAAGCAAGCGTTGCAGTTGATATTTTCGATTCGGAGTTGAAAAATGAGGCGACGCAAGGTAAAGTCAAAGCGGAAGGGAAATCTGAAGGAACAGGAGGACCATCTAGTACTACATCGACATAGTAAATAGTGAGGTTGATATCTGACTTATGACTTGTACGAATTGCTCTCATAAACTTGAACTGATGCCGTTTACATGTGGCGTGGTAGATAAAACTGCGTAGATTCCATAACTTATCACTTCAACTTATGAGTAGAACATTGAATGGCCTGATGTTTCGAAATTAGGTGAATAAATCCCGAACATGTTTTAATAAATATTTGCTTAGAGACATTTAACCAGTTATATTTATATTTATTACGTACCTTTTAAACTCCTGAAATGTCTACAGTTCACCACAAAATCGATTATAATAACGACTGCACCTGCCCGGATCGTTAACTTTCCATTTGCTATCACAGGTACCTAGTACCCGTGACAAACACACCTAGATACTTAGGTACATGCTTGTCAAACCCCGGACGGTAGTTTCTCTTTCTGGATTACCCCTGTTTGCTATATCGAAGCTTGATTGGTCAATTATCTAGAACGGCGCACGAGGCTCAGGAGCTTGATCTTGGGCTTCGTTCGCATCATAATTCCATGATTTCTCTTATGAAGAGCATTACATTTGAACATATTTTTTACGATCCCGCACACGAATATTTGCGTCTGTGGGCCAATCACATACCGAGATTAAACTAACACCCCCCAATCTTAATACTGAAACGAAGTTTGCGACGTACCTAAGCTCGACCCAGAATCGAACGAACATTGAGCCGCGCGACTTCGAAATACCTACCTCCCCGTTTCCCGTAGGCATGCGGCTATTCTGCCATGTCGATATAAAATCAAGGCAGATGTTAGGATGAGCCTGGACTCTATGTTACCCGTCGCCCCGGCGAGGGTGCGGGCATTAGTCTTACCTGTTGGTCAGATCACGCGAGACAGGTTCTCTTCTTTCGTCCAGAGACTAAACGAGGAACATGTCGTCTACCTTCGCGACATCACTCCCGATGGGCGACCTAATCGGAGTAAGCTTCTTTACAATGTCGAAATTGTATAAAATTGTAGAGGACCGCAAAAACTAACGAACCTCGCCTTAGACATGTTCTCTCCTCTTGCTTTTCCGAATGGTGCTATGTTCTACGATCTAATCACTTATGTGCCGCCCCCCTCACATCTCGCTTTAACCCCCTTCGAGCTGTTCCGCGAACCTCTTGCTCTTATTGCTATCGCCGACGGGAAGGAGCTCGAAAATGTGGCATTTAGCAAGAGACAGTCTGCCAACGGCTATGCGCCAACTATGGCAGAGAGAAATATAAGGACTCTATATCAAGAGCTCGAGAATCTGAGAGACGCATATCCAAAAATACTTGCCCATGAGGTGTTAATATTCGACTATGCGCCACATATCGACAATACAATTCCCATGCCCGAAGGCATTAAAACGATACCGTCGGTGGAAAAATCGAAGAGAACTACTATTAAAACAATAATGTGTGATATATCTTCTTTATTGCTAGCGGAAATGACAACCCTTGCCAAGTCTCTTGAGGGGAAGACAACTATTGATTCCCCAGGACAGGCTCCTGCGAGGTCGGGGCTCAATGGGAACTCTAGCTGGACTTCGGATGATGCAAACCCGGCAGCGCGACGAAACTCGCAGCACGCCATTCCATCTATCACGAGATCGGCATCTAGCAGTAGTGCCGCGGATAGGAATCAGGCCCGTATGTCAATGCCCGTCCCTTTCAAATCACTCCCTTTCGGATCTAATAGCTCGACCCCCTCGGCACGACCCACGACTCCTGTACACCGTAGCGGCCTATCTAACCCTCCAACTACATTTGACGATATTGCTAGTGCGAACGGAAGCAGCTCTGATGTGACAAGTCCTGACCCGAAATCTCGACCAGATTCAGCCGGAGGAATGAAACCGACTAATCAGGACAAGGTCTCGGTACAAGGCTTTGGTCCCGGTGGCTTAAACGAGAGATTCAGAAATAAGGGCCGGGGACGAGCGACGATCCTAGTCGGTTCCTTATACCTTCAGGCTGGTCGATGGACTGATGCGTTAAAAGAGCTGGTGGATGGCGCGACCGTCGCAAAGTCGATCAACGACCACTTATGGCACGGTAAAGCACTCGAGCTAATCACAATTTGTCTGCTCCTACTCGGCTGGATCGGAGTTCAGTTTCAAGTTCCTTCGATATGTCTACCAACCAATGACAAGTCTATTAGTAGCATATCCAAGGGGCCGGATTCCGAGGAGGGAGATCCCAACCAACCGAAGCATTTGTGGAATCTTCAGACTATTTTACCGGAACTTCTGGAGAGAATAGTAGGACTATATTCTAGAATATCCGGTGAACAACTTCCCCCCCTGCCGCTATCAGAGTCCATTATCCGATTCTGTACTTTGCTCACAGGCATTCATATATGTGATGGCAAGCTCGATAAAGAGTTCTTAGACGGAATTGTTCTTGGCAAGCTGCCTACGAAACCCCTTAATACGTCTCCACGCCTAACCATTAACCCTTCTCGTGCTCAAATCACGACTCTATTATTCAAAGCTTTCCCATCCTCTACGTCCGAATTGCTCGCCACTGTAGATCGTGCAATTATTCTAAGCGGGATTGCGTCTGTACTTGGCTCACTAGGATTTCACAGGAAAAAGGCTATGGTTGTGCGGGAATTGGTGTCGGTATTAATCGGAGGACTAGTCGAGGCAAGGACGCGAGGCGCTGCTGAAGTCGGTATTCACCCGGCTGCTGGTCTGGTAGCTCTCAACGCCATCAACGGCCATGGCAATGGAGCATTGGCGCTCGAGCTTGGTGAAGGGGATATAGAACATGGCATTGACGCGTTCCTCGGGTTACTTTGCAAAACCTATGGAGTGGTTGACTTTGACGATGCCACTCGTGGGCCTTCTGATGAATCACGTCGGATAAATGACACGGATGAGAAGGTCATCTCAAGAATTCGAAGTCAAGCCCTAACCCGACAATTCGGTATGAACAATGTCAAACTCAATATTCTTCGCGCTTGTATCAACTTTTCCGAGGCATTACCGGACTTCAACGGAGTGCTGAAATTCTCTAGCGATTTATTGCGCACTGCTGGAAGCGGAGTTGCGCCAGGGCCACGTCGAGAAGATGCAGCTCCTATAATCACGAGAGAGGAGCAGATCAGGTTAGCAACTAACATTACGAAGACGTCTGGCCTTTCTCAAAGATTAGGTCTGGGGCATTTGTCTGCGGAATACTGGGACGAATTTCTCGTTCGGGGGATCACGATGGACCCTTTACCACCTACCAAAACACCCACATCACATCCCAAGACCGTTTTACCGGGCGTAACAACTGCGCGCACTTCCCAGGATGTAAATCCTTTCATCTATAACCCATTCATACGGGCTTCCGATAAAGCGGCGGTAGAGATGACACTTGTTGCAGGGGAAACAGCAACGTTCAGAATCACGCTCCAAAACCCCTATGAAATCGACGTAGATATTGAGAGCATCAAATTAGACACGGAAGGGACGGGTTTCGAATCCTCAATAACGAGCACAATAATAGGGCCGTATCGCACACAGATCCTGAAGCTTACTGGGACACCCACAGCTGCAGGCCACTTGAAGATTACCGGAGCCATAGTGAAAGTACGCGGGTGTCGTGAAAGGAGATTTCCAATCTTCCCTCAAGCATGGGCTGCGGATACGGAAACTAAAATTAAAGGAATCGGACTGGTGGCGCTGGAAAAAAATAAGCAATTGCCTTTCCCCGGACCTTCGTTGAAGCCGGATAGCATTGGGCTGAGCGTTATTTCCGCCCAGCCTGTTGTTGTGATTAAGTCCACTACCCTCTTCCAATCCTCAGTCATGATTTTAGAAGGAGAACGACAAGTGTTCTCTGTGACACTTCAAAATCTCTCATCAACCACACCAGCAGATTTATTGCTTTTTTCATTCCAGGACTCGACACAAGGCCCTTTACAAACAGCCTTAACAAGCAGAGACGCTACGCCCGCGGAGCTGTACGAATACGAACTTATTCTAGCAAGGAAGCAAGCCTTTCGATTGCGCAAGATTGATGATTCGAAGAGATACATAGCTCCGGGAGGCACGGCTACTTTTGATTTTGAGATTCTTGGCAAGCCTGGTCTCACTAATGGGACAATTCAAGTCGACTACGCACATCTTGGTGTACCCCAGACCGAAATTAGCAACCAATTTCATACTCGCCAGGTGTGTCTCGACTTGACCATTACAGTCAACGCTAGTGTAGAACTTGCGAGAATGGATGTTCTACCTATCAAAGGCGAGGTGCCTAAGCCCATATGGACTCGCCTAGGCGCCGAGGAGCCAGAGACAGAATCTGAATTCTCTGATGAAGAGCACTGTCTGCTATTGATAGACCTCCGAAACGCGTGGCCAAGCGACATGCAAGTCTGTCTTAAAGCAGGCAATGGCATCGTGATCCAGGAGCATATCCTACCTGGGAATACAAACCGCGTCGTCGTCCCAGTCCCAAGAGTGTACATAGACGACCCGCACGCGTCGATACCGGCGCTCAACCCGTCCCGACAGCGCCAATTCGTCGTCAGCAGCAGCAAAATCACCCCGGACATCGAGCGCGGCAACCGTGAGGCGTTCTGGTACCGAGAGAAGATCTTGGAAAAGCTCTCGGGATCTTGGAAGACCCTATCCGGGCCCTCTAGACAAGGCACGATCGAGCTACGTGGTCTCCGCCTCGCGCCCCGCATGATCGAGGCCATCAAGATCGACGAGGTCGGCATCGACATCTCCATCGAGGATCCCGATACCCGAAGCCAGGATGAAGATGATGAGGAGGAAAGTGAAAGCAATGCCGCAGTTTACACGGACGAGTTCGCACAGATAAGCGTCGTCGTAACGAACAGAACCGACGAGCCCATCTTCCCCACCCTCAGACTCATGCCAGTGCTATGTCACCGCCCCCCGAACGTAGCCCTCGACTTCACGCGCAAGTTCGCCTGGATCGGCACGCTACAGCAGAGCCTCCCCCGCATCGAAGCTAAGAGCGAGGCAAAGGTCTTGCTTAGCGCAATGGCCCTCTGCAGAGGCGAATTCGAGATCTCGGCCTCAGTCGAGGAGACCAAACTCTGGAAAGCGCCACCGCCGGATAAAGACGGGGATGCGGGGAAGAGTAAGGGCGGGAAGCAGGGCAGGGAGAGGAGCGAGACGGAGATTATGATGGATGCGGTGCTCGGGGCGAAGGAGAGACGGATCTGGCATTCTAGACGGCCGTGTAGGGTTTCTGTGCGGGATAGATAGGGGGACGATGCGTGTAGAGTAAAGAGATGGATGGAGAGGTGAAAAGGGGAGATGCATGTGGGGGTGTGGGATGTGTGAAGTGAGGCATAGCGGGATGGATGTGTGGGTGGAGGGTGGAAGGTGGAGGGTGGAACACAAATACATCGATGTACAAACGATTTAGAAACAGAAACTTGATCATGAGATCTTCTTTGCAAGCTTGAAACATATATTGCACTTGTGTCTAGGTATCTATCTAGTTGACCGGTATGAGGTAAGCGGAAGCATACCCGGTCCCGAGAACGTGTGGCGTGGAGGAACTGCCGTGTATACCGTTTTGCGTATGACGAGTGTTTGTGTACTTGGTATACGGATTTGGTTTGGGTTGTGTATGCGGCGCACTTGAGCTACGTGTGGCTATCTTAAGGTAGGTACGTAAAATCTGGGTTTGTGGGTGACCGCGTGGTGTATGTGCGACGTAGTATGGTGATATCCTTAATGTATACATTGGAAAAGGGTATCATCACCTAGGTTCAGCAATGGTAGTCCTCGTCTGTTGATGTGGATTTCGTTGATTTTTTTGTTTGTCACCTATGTATATTTTGAGTGTCTGTTAATGGGTAGTAGGGGAATAGAAAGAAATTGGATGGGAATTCCTGCGTCGGATTAGTAAATATCAATGACTGCCCAGATAAGTTATACTCGAAACAATTAGAAGCATCATCTTATCCTATAAATTGTTCACGATATAATCAAATTATTAACCATTAGATTAATAGGCTCTCATTTGGATTTCTATAAGAAACGATCTTATAGGGTCCCCGTATTGACCATAATCGTATCCGGTGGATGCTCAATGAGCCCATCCTCTCGGGCACCATCTTCTTTCTTTGGTTCTACCGTTTCTAAAGGCTCTCCTTCGTTGGTCTCGATTCCTTCCATTGCATTCATATTATCGTCTTTATCGTTACTTTCGTCCTTAAGAGGAGCATCCTCTCTCTAAAAAGGTATTACATTAGCCATATTCTAAATTGCCTGAGGGTTCTTGCTATAATTCTCCTTCTAATCACCTTGCTACTCACCTTATCGTTATCCTCATTACTCTGCTTAGTCATAGGTATGGCCCATTCGTCCTCAAATCGGGTGGCGAGATACTCGTTGTAGTCACCGGCCGCGCGCCTCCTATGCGCAGCCTGGGCCTGGCGAATCCATTCGGGGTCATGCCATCCTTTTCTTAGATCTTCTCGATATTGTGCCGCGTCATGGCGAAAATTGTCATTATTCCTAAGTGCCGCGATGTTAGGTCTCGCCTTTTCGGTCCCAGCATCTAGGACTTCCTCTTCATCTGGAAATTTGTCTAGGACAGACTTCTTCTCGTCCGGACTTAGGACGTCCCATGCCTTGCTATTACATAGGAGATCCTACACATTATGTTAATGCGCATACGTCAAGAGTGATAGAATATTTAAGGGATTTTTTATATTTTTTTATGATTTTATCATTGCGTGGATATGTTAACACATGTGACACTTACTCGGAGGTTGATCTTCGCTAAGGGTGCTCGTGGGTTAGTCAGCATCTCATCAGGATTGTCGTACTTCGACCTGCTCTTCCGAGTGCTGGCCGGCATGTCCTTAGCGGACTTGGTTTTTTTCAAGACTGGACCCTGTCCAGAAAGCTCGTCTTCCCCCTCGTCATCACCAACATCTGGCATCACTATGTCCTTCTTTGAGGCGGGGGTTGACAATACCCCTGGCTGACGGATCCCGTCACTGTTTGCTGTTGACGGGCGACTACTTGCGTAAGAAATGGGGGCAGAAAAGTTTACACAAATAGAGGCCAATTCATCGGGTGAGTCATGTCGAGAATATTCTGTTCCAGAAGCCACAGAAACATGAGCACGAGTAGATGAAATCTCGTCTTCCGAAGAGCCGACAGTGATGGCGGCTGGCGGGAGCTCGTCCCCGGGAGAGTTGGTAGTGGAATGGGTGGGGACGGGGCTATTTCTCTTAGTATTTCTTGTTGATCTTCTGGTAGCCTCGATAGGGTTGTTTGCGGTCGCACTGCTATTTTTCTTTCGTGGTGGCATAGTTGAATGTTGTAGGTACCTAAGGACTAGTAAGGATGAGAAGTAGGTAAAATGTAGGTACTAGTAAGAGGGGAGCTCTTGTATATTCAAGAAGAAACTGCCTAGTAGCTACCCGGGCAAGAAAGACGAAGTATGAAAGACAACATGGAAGCCACGCCGGAGTTTCTTCTATGTAGGTGTAGGTATATATTCAGAAGGCGCCGATAATTGGTTATCCCGTTATCGATTACCTACGCTAAGTACCCAGTACTATGTACAGAGTACAAAGGACTATGATGATTATATATAAGGAGTCATCGTATATATATTTATAACTTGTAGAGTCGTGTTTGTCAACTCTTAACGTGTAAACTGAAAAAGGCTGTGAGAGGTAGCATATAAGTGAGCGCATACAGTATGATGCCTAAAAGGGCAATATCGGTAGGTCGGTGCTAACGATAGGCTGCGATAGGTGGATTCGTCTTTCCATTCTTTCTATCGATAAGGGACCTTAACTCTAGCTTAGCCCCACTTACGACATCAATTCCCCAATCTCGGGCTATCCTTGCAATCCTTGCAATCCCCTGACGTTGCATTACCAACTTTTGGGTCTGTCAACTTCTAGGTTCAAGCTACGGATTGTTAGTGAACTTCCAGGTCTACCTATTTGAAGACATCGAACTATTCTCTTTAGTTAATACATCATCATCACCTCCCTAATAATTACCCCGGCTCATATACAACATCCTAATATCGAAGAGGAATAATTCTCGAATTTAAACTAAATTCGCAGGCGAGGGAACCCGATTTATTTTTCAATTGTTGCAATACGTATCTGCCGAACATCGAACGCTTCTAGACACGTAAACTATTATCACCACCTTTATCGGCCACGCACACGATCAACCTCCTAGTGCCACCTAGCACTTAACAGAAGCCGACTACACAAACAAGATGATTAGATCAACACAGATAGCCCGCTTGGGCGACGGTGTGTAGTATATCTAGGCTGTATATTAAATCTAAGACGGAAACTAATAGCAATGGAATAGGCTTAATGCTTTGCGCATCTGTAGACGATGAACAAGTATGCATCTAATACCCCTTTTATTAGAGATGTTTCTCTACCTAACCTTCACCAATCGACTAATGATTCATTCGACTGACATCCTCATCACCGACAGACAGAATCCTCCCTCAGCGAAGTGAAGTCGCAAACGAAGATCATACTACGACGACTAAACCACAACTCCGAGCCGCAAGCCAGCATCGAGAGCGGCAGCTACACATTACAGTACGCGGTGCCTCCGAATATACCCACCCCTATTCCCTCCCCACCAACTCCATCTCCTCCACTACTAACTAACCAACCCCTCCAGCTACTTAATTGCCAACGACGTAGTCTACATCTGCATAAGCGAGCGGTCCTACCCCCGCAAACTAGCATTCACCTACCTCTCCGACCTCTCCTTCGAATTCGCGCAAACCTACTCCGCACAGCTAACCTCGCCCTCTCTCCGGCCCTACGCATTCATGGAATTCGACACCTTCATCGGGCGCACGAAAGCGCTATACGCCGACGCGCGCGCAGCCCAGAACCTCGACCGACTAAACGACGAGCTGCGCGACGTGACGAAGGTGATGACGAAGAACATCGAGGACTTGTTGTATCGTGGTGATAGTCTGGATAAGATGGGCGAGATGAGCTCGCGGTTGCGCGACGATAGTAGGAAGTACCGCAAGGCGGCTGTGAAGATCAATTGGGACCTTTTGATAAAACAGTACGCGCCGATTGGGGTGTTTGTCTTGATTGTGTTGGTGTTTATTTGGTTGCGGTTCTTTTAAATCTAGCGATAGGCTGCTTTTGGACTGGTGTTGGTAGAAATCGACGGATCGTTCGTCGAGAGTGTGGGCGACGAGCTCATGGATGTACAGACGTAATGCTGATTGTCATGAATATACATAATCACAGAGAAAAGAATTGGGTCGAATTTGATGTGTATCATTTGAACTGGAATAGAAGCAATTATAGAAGCGTTAAGCATGCGTGGAGATATTGATAGTTAAACTCCCCAGTAATCGAATACTCGATGTCCAGATTATAATCAAGGTTCTATTCAAGTTTTATTTTCTCTGTTTGATAAACGCTTGATCGAAATTTGCTGAAAAGCACAATACATACGCAAACATGTCTGGTTAGATGCGACGAGACCGTTGTCGGTTCTCGATATTGGGCGCCCGAACGCCTTTGCTTTCTAACCCGTAGTCAACGAACAACAATAGCCTCCCAAACAAGCAATCTACGACCTTTCTAAACGCCGTAACATGACAGGAAGTACGCAACTTCAGCTCTCTTTTCTTCCTAGCTCCTTTTTCCATAGCCCCTTAACTCTTTTCGCTCCTTCTTGCCTTCCTTTCTACATAACTCCACAACTCGACGTGTCCGGAACCATAGAAGCATGACTCCACTCAAGATGTTCTTGAAACGCCTTCACGTTTTCGAGCCCACGGTCATCTTGCGTATACCGTACACGGTCCATGTCATCGTCGCCTTGTTCCTCGTAATAATACTCATCACACTGCGGGCATAGGATCCGGCATTGGAACTCGCCTACTTCCGGGGGAAGGTGGTTTGCGATAGCTACCGGTGCGAATACAACGGTCTTAGCCTCACCAGTCGACAAAGCTATTCCGCGAGCTTGCCAATTTGCACTGGCGGGGGTCACGTCATCACTGCCAACACTGGGACCGTGTGTATTTCCATGGCTACTCTGTGTCGAAGATGAGGTTGGTGTCGTGCTCGTGGCGGAATTCGGGGCATTGGTATTCGTATTATGCATAGGTAACGTCTGTGTCTGCGCCGGGGGTTGCACCAACCGTGTGGTCGGCACCGCGCGCATATCTTCCCATACCAGAAACCCATCACAGAAATCACATACGAACGCGACGTCCCGCTCGCTAAACCTCTCGAATCGCCCTGTTTGTGCGCATATCTCCCTCTCTTCCTCGACTCTCACGTCCCTCCGCGCTTGTACACGGTATACCTGTAACGCTCCTAAACATCTTGTTCTCTCGCTGCCGGTAGCGGAATCGACTTGCTGTGCCGCATGTATTCGGCGGGCGGTGCGGCACTGAGCCCTATGTAGATCACGGCGTAATTCGAGAGTTTCGTGGGCCCAAGAGGGGTCTATGGTGGCACCACTGCGTACCCAATCTTTGATCGTTTGCGTATGTAGTTCAAAGCGCGTGCAGAGAATCCGGAGGTCTTCGAGGGACTCGTCTGTAACGGTTCGTCAAGAGAAGATATTAGGATTGGACTTCTAGGGTCAACTTCTCTATCGGGGCGGTGAACGGGGGTAGGGAATAGGTGGTTTAAAGCTAGGAAGTGGACGCAGGAAAGTAAGGAAACACTACATAGGAGAGGCATACTGATGCGATCGTTCTCATAGTAGAAACGACCATTGACAAGAACAGGCAATTCCTGAAAGTCCTTCTTGGCTTCATCGAGCGTCTCCTCTAGCAATCGTAGCTGCTCGAACTCGTCGGATCCCCAGGCTCGCTTGTCAGCGAACATCAGGATGCGCAGGCCATCATTAAGCGAGTTTGCGATGACGGCCAGCAGCGAGCCAACGGTCTCGTGGCTCATATCCTATTTTGCTTTTTTCCCTCTTTTCCCTAGATTCGATAGGCTGAGTTGGTGAGTAGATAATGGCAAATAGGGGTAGTCGGTCGCACGTGCGAAAGCGTGTATTCGTATGTCCGTTTGTCGTCGTGCTGCATCACCACCACCTCCTCCCCCGACTCCTCCAATATGATGAGTGGGCGAGAAGAAGGGAAAGTGGAAAAGTTCGGAAAAAGAAAAAAAAGGAAATCCTTCGCGGTTGAAAGGTTATTCCCGAGTTTACTCTTGCAGGTGCGTGTTGCAGAAAGTAGAAACTTAATACGTAAGTGTCGTCAAGCTAAGCTCCAGTTGGGACCCTCCTGCCCATCTAGACTAGGTCGATATTTCCAAGTTTATGCCGATTACCCAGTACCTAGTAGGTATAGCATATGTTGATGAAGCATGGGCATGTGATAAGATATCGCATAGAACCTTACCTACCAAGGATCTAGATATACATATAATAAAAAGAGCAACCTTTTAGTAGTAGCAATTGACCATTCTTTTTTGTCGAGAATGAGTTGAACACTTGTAAGTGAAACGCCAAACTGTAGGATTTAGAAAATACCTTATCATCCGACTTCTGCGACGTGTACGACAGGCATAGAACAAGAGATTAAAAGACCTACATATCTCATGCGTATCTCGTACGTATCGTCGGTACTTATTTCACATTAGCGCACATGTAAGTCGGGGATGCCAAGTAAATCGTTAGCTATTTAGGGCTGAAATATGTATGTACGCAAGGTTGGTAAGTGGTTCACCTCGGTTCTAGACCATCGGTGATTGGAGACGGTGCGATATTGAGTTATTTCTCAACCCGTACTTCGTACAAATCCTTGTATAATACGGTTGACTAACTCGGAATAGAAAGAATATTGAAAATGTCAAATTGATGCAATAGGCTAGCATCTCTGTATTAAGTGATCATCTATAGAATCAGGGACCTGATTGTACAACTATATGCTATACCACCATTTCACACTGGTAATCATTTATCTACTTTCTCTTCTTCGCAGCACCTGTGTCTGCACCACTGGACTTTGCGGTCCCCTCCACCTTCTCGGTGACAGATTCGGCATCCAACAAGGGCTTAGCCTCTGTCTTAGTCTCCTCGGGTTCGTCGTCACCACCTTGTCCAAACTCATTGACACGAGTATAATCAATCGTGTACGCCCAACGTTGGTATAGATAGATGAAGAAGATAATGTCGTCTCGGAATGTAGCCAATCGGTATAACAATGGCATTTTGATGGTGAAAGCGAAAAGATCGTCGATGAAAGTGTTCAAGAATTTGTACATCATCGCCTTTGCAGGCATATGAGCAACACTCTTGAGGCGGTAGTTGATGTAGAGCGAAGGTACCATCATTAAGAAGCCGTAGGCATAGACTGATCCTACGAGAGTGGTGAGTGTATATGAGTACCACGACTTGTGCGACTCGTACACCAGAGACCAAATCGCGTATGCAATGATCAGAGGAACGCCAGCGATATACATGTATTTGAACGCAATTTCGTCGTACTCCTTGGTCTTTTCCTCGGTCTCGCTGAGTTGATACTTATCTTCAAATGTTACCCGGTACGGTATCAAAGATCCCGGTGGCGCAGGTCGCAGTCTGACGTTGACGATGGTAGTGATCTTCCAGAACTCGATAAGGATTCCGATACCCTGGGAGCCAAGAATCATCCAGCTCGTGTTTTGGGAGTTGTCGATCAAGTAGAGGAAGATAACAGCTTGCATGAAGACGTTGGCTAAGATCGAGCGAACTGAAATACCGACGTTGTCCTTCTTTTTGCGGTAATGTGCGATATCGGATCCGAACGCGAGCATCTCGAGAAGAAGATGCGCAATGCTCACTACGGCTGTTACGCCAAGGAGATAGGGGTTCGTATCTAGGAACATCTCCTTGACCATCTCGATCTCGCTTCCATCACCGCCACCTGGGATGGGGCCCCCAAAGGCAGCCTGAAGCGCTTGTTGCTTAGAGTTAAAATCAACCGAAGCCAGTATGTTGAACTTCCAATTCTTCATGTTGCTTAAGTCAAGGCGTAGCGGGAGGGTCTTGACCGTATCATTAAGCAAAGTCATATGAGACTTCATCTGCCAGAATGTGTTGACGTACAAGGCCGGATCTACCGTTGTCATTAGCCTCTACTTGCTATATAAATGGGCATATGTGTAGGTAGAGAGGAACATACAATACCAAGAATTTTGGCCGGAGCCATCGCGAGCACCAGTAGACTATAAAATATTAGTACAATGTATAATATTGAAGGTGATGAGGCTCAGACTCTACCTCTGGGTGAATGAACTGGCGAATAGCTGGATGCGATTGGGGGAAGTTGATGATACCCGTATCAGGAACGAAAGCTAAGCTGGTGTTAGGGTGATAATAATTTGCGATAATCGGTCCGGTGGTATCTTCTTCAGGCTCTACCTCCTCTACATCAGGTCTATCTTCCAAGAGGTTGCGGGTCTTTGCCTCCTTTTTCTTAGGGATATACTGAGTCAGGGGGTACACAAAGTGGAAGGCTGACGCGGGATCAAATCCTGGTTCTTTGGGGTCAAGATTTGAGCCTGTTAATCCAATATAGAAATGACCCCAGAGTGTTCCATTCTTTTGGACAGATGACGGCACGTTGAAGGTAGTTTCGGCAATTCGAGTATCGCTCGAGTTACCTAACTTGAAACCTTTCTCGTTAAGAGCCACGTATTCCTCCGCTACGCTGGAGATCTTGACGGGGACGAAAGATGACGATAGTGTAACGACAATATCGAGGGCGCTATCGGTGGGCCACATGGGAGCCAGTCGTTGTGGAATTGGGTTCCACACAGCACCCTCATCGAGGCTGCTGGGACGAAGTTGGTAGGCAGGTATGTCGCCAGTATTTGCAGGAACCTGAACAACATTTCCAGAAGCGTCTTTGGTCGTAGCTGTTTGCGCATTGTTGCCGCCTGTGAATTGTTTCATCAACAATTGCATGCCAAACCACATGGCTAGGCCCTGGGCAATCTTCACGAGCATCGACTATAACAACCGGACAAAATATATTAGCTTCAGCTCTAAGCCATCACCATGAACACACCAAACTAGAAGGCTATTGCGACGCGTCAACTTACACCTTGCTCTTCACGAGCATCCCCCGGAGGGGCCACATTTCCTTCCGGCATATTTACTGACGATGAAGTCAGGCGGTAATACCGAATACCGACTTAAGAAATTTGCAATGACGGGTTGTCAGAGCGAGGGTTGCCTTGGGTTGTGATGAGTCTGGCAGGAATTTCAAGGTTGGTAAGTAATACGTCGCCTGGAGAAAATAGAGTATAGTGTACATGTACTGATAAGATTTGTGTAGCTTGGGGTACCGGGATCCTGGTCTATCCAGCTCTTGGTTGGTCCTGGACCCCTCCGACAGCGGGGAGATCGGCGAATCATAGACCGATAATGGTGCACGACATAGGCCTGTATCTAGCGGGACCGCCATCAGGGGATAGTGACATTCATATCACCTAAACTTTGCTACCTGGCCTATAGGTGGCTTAGGTAGGCTCCAGGGCTGCTAGGTAGCAGGTAGGTACAACCTATAGCACCTATGGGACGGAAGGTTCTTGCCTTACTTCGCATTTTGGTAAGCCACTTTTAAGCCTTTTCGTGTCAGCTGGCAAGGGGACATCCAATTATCTTTCACCTTTTTTCTTCATCATTACCAGAATTCGTTGCCACGCCCTACGATGACTCGAGACAACTACCTAAAACTTCTGACCTAGTAATGGCTGGTTACGAAAAAAATCCCCTAAGACATTTTCTCTTCTACTATAATACAATGTAGCAACACACCGGCCCGGTTTACAATTGGTCCTCCAGTAAATGAAGATGCGTTGAATATGCAACATGGATTAGTTTCTATGACCTCTAACAGAGCGAGCTCTTGCACTTACAAGCTCATTGTTTTCGACCCAGCTACGTCATTGGTGAGATAGATTCAAGTGACTCCAGTCCGAAGTAAAAAAAGTGTCTTGAAAAAAAGGGCAGCAAAATGCTTCAACGCCCAAGTCCCACCCTAACATCCTGACTTAGATTCATGATGCCGCTTCCCGCCACACACAAGCTACTCCTCTTCACTCTTCCATACTTTTCCTTTGGTGTTTGCAAGTTTCTGGCTTTCTACGGGTGATTCGACACACTACATTCCTCCCGAAACAGCCAACCCAACCCATTACACATCACAGATTAGGTATATGATTCTCCATATATTTCTACCCAATTTCTTCTTTGGTTTCCAGAGCAGAACTCTCTTCGGTTTTCTGTCTTAAGTAGCTTGGCAGCTCGGACCTATTTAGTTACTTTTTGGGACCAATACTGTTATTTTCTTCTCTTCTCTATAGTTGTTGACTAGCTCCTACTAGTTGAACATTCCATTCTCTAAACTCTTAACCGCTGTCGCACTTCCGTTCTTTCGACTTCAGATTTCGATTAATTCTGTCTCTGTCAGACGCTGCGAGGCACACACCCAATATAACCATGGCTTCCGGACCGAACTCCAATGTGACGCCGGCGCAGGCCAAGATTTGCGTATACTGCGGCTCTTCACCGGGGAAGAATCCGATCTATCTTAAAGCGGCCCAGGAATTGGGCAAGCTCATGGCCGAGAACAATATTGCCCTAGGTACATCCTGATTTTCTTCTATGTTTTCAGATGTGCCTTGAAGAAGCTTTGTGGTTTGAACAATGATTGACATCTGCTTTCTAGTTTACGGCGGTGGCACGGTGGGGTTGATGGGAGAGGTCGCCAAGACGATAGTATCCATAGCAGGCCCCGATGCAGTTCACGGTATTATCCCCGAAGCACTTGTCAAATGGGAGCGCGACTCGACGTACTCGGACACCAAAGACTCCAATGGCTACCATGTCCCGGAGGAGCAGATCTATGGTCGAACGACGGTTGTCAAAGATATGCACACACGAAAACTGATGATGGCACGTGAAGTAATAGAGGGCGGACCCGGAAGCGGTTTCATTGCGCTTCCAGGTGGATATGGCACGATGGAGGAACTACTCGAGACGGCAACATGGAATCAACTAGGCATCCACAACAAGGGCGTCTGCGTACTGAATATCAATGGGTTTTACAGCGGCCTTACCGAGTGGATCAAGACGGCGGTTGACGAGGGCTTTGTACAAGAAGGCAACGCCCACATCTTGGTTTCAGCAACCGATGCCGAAGGTGCGCTGAAGGCATTGCGAGAGTACAAGGTCTCAGACGCACGATATGGCTTAGACTGGGGTAGCGAGTGAAAGGGGCTATCTCATTAGAATTATCACAGGTGCCATATACCACAATGTATAGATAACTAGTGCAGAGACGATCTGTGCTAGTCAGAACAACTCTGCTCGTGCAACGCAATGCAAAGCTAGCGCTGTGTATTACATGTTGTATTTATCTAGATATGTGTAAACATCGTGACTCGTAATACTGTAGTGGCTGTAGGTAATAAATAGCCCGTTGCATCTATCAAGCCCCGTTGTAGCCTCAAGATTCCATGAAGTTAACTATATCCACATAGGTACCGACAGTAGGTAGGTGGATACTTCAACCCGGACTAAGAATTCCAGGTATCCAGTTTGAAACTCGGCGACAAGTAGCAATTCATTTTACCTACTTCAATGTTCTTGCAAGTTGAGCAATGCATATGTACCTTTTAGCAGTATTAACTTGATGGCACCTTCTTGCAGTAGTCAGGTCCAACTAGCTAATAAATACCCAGGCAGGACACTATTTTAGGTTAAAGTCTAGACTTCAGAGTTCCAAAGAGAAAAACGTCTAAAAAAGTCTAAAGAAAAGGAATTAGCAATAACGATCTCTGATCCACTGTCCGTGCCCAGGCTCATCGCTCCTATTTTAAGCTTAATAAATACTCCGTACCGCAGGTACTTACAGTTAGTTACTTGTCAGCGGCAAACATCCATTCCAAGGTCAACTGTCATCCCTTGAGAAATTTATTGAAAATTCTTCTTAATCGGGCTTATCATCCTCATCCTCCATAAATCACGAATGTCATAAATATCTCTTTACGCCATTTTCCTAATTCATAATCTACTTAGTATACTAAGTTCTTATCTTTAGACAGAGAAGGCTTCATCATGCACATCCGAGTCGAGGTTGCAACCTGGTCATAGCCCCGAATATGAATACTCCAAGGATTCTCTTTATTGATGCATACGATTCTTTTAGCAACAATATCGTTTCTCTTCTAACCACCACTCTAGATGCTCATGTTGACATCTTACCAATTGATCCACCCGGGCTCGACCCGAAAAAGCCGAATTTTACTGAGGAGTTGACTAACCTACTCCGTCGTTACGATGCCGTCGTTTGCGGACCAGGTCCCGGCTCACCGGACCTAGCTCAGGATGTGGGGCTCATGAGATATATATGGGATCTTGAGTCAGAACATCTAATTCCAGTGCTCGGTATATGTCTAGGCTTCCAAAGCTTGGTTGTGAGTTGTGGTGGTATCGTGAAGAAATTGAGTACCGGTCTTCATGGCATGATTCGAGAAATCGATCATGTAATAGATCAGTGTAGTTTGCAAGAAGGGAATATTTTCCATGGGGTTCCTCCTTTTAGGGCTACGCTCTACCATAGCCTTCACGCAGATATAGGACAGGACTATATAACTCCGGAGAACTGGGTGGCGTCCAAATGGACATCCCCACCTCATCTACCAGATGTGGCGCCGCTGGCGTGGGTGTATGAAAATCGTGGCGACTGTGTAGAACGAATTCTCATGGGCATGAAACACAGAACAAAACCGTTCTGGGGCTTACAATACCACCCCGAATCGATATGTACCGAACCCACCGGTCACCAAGTTATCAAGAATTGGTTCAACGAAGCAATACGATGGAATGACGCGAATGGTCGCATAATTAATCCTACACTCACTACTGAACTTCCCAAATCTGTCACAAGCAACTTTGAAGAAGATATGGATTGTTCAGAACCTGAAATGATATATTCCTATCCGCGGACCAACAACAATACCGATCTCGCATCGCTGGGGGTCAACTACCACTACAGTTCGAGGACTCTAAAACTCCCAATTCATATCGAGGCTCCAGACATCGTCGAGATACTGCAAGGCGACAAGAAGGATTTCATCATTCTAGACTCTGCAAGCGCGAAAGCGAATAGAATCGGTGCTGATGTTCGAGGGCGGTACAGCATCATCGCCCTCGACGTAGATCAAGCATTGAAATTAGAATACAGAACAGGAGACAGACATGTTGCTCTACGCGGCCCAACTTCTCAAATATCCACACAGGAAGTATCCGAAAAGATCGATCTCGCAGCTGGACAAACCATATGGCAGCTATTGGCTAAATTTTGGGCTAGGCGTAGAATGACAACGGATGATAGTTCAACGCCGTTTCTCGGTGGTTTCATGGGCTATACTACTTACGAGCTGGGCCTGGAAGGCATTGATGTTCAATCGAGCCAAGAGAGACTCCATCACAGACCAGATCTCTGCTTCGCCTGGGTCACTAAAAGTATTGTCATAGACCATACCAAAGGGGTAATACGTCTACAATATCTATCACCTTCGGAATCTGAAGGAAGAAGATGGGCAGATTCTATCGCCGAGAAAATCCACACTTCACCAATTTGGTTGGATGGACTTCGCGTAGATTTTAATAAGCGCGCGCAGCTGAGCCAACTTACGCCACCATCAACACCCAAATCCCCCTTCACAAAGGCGTCCATACAAGTACCGGATGCTGACGAATATGAGTCGAAAGTGCGAACTTGTCAGGATTATATCGCTTCGGGCGACTCGTATGAACTATGCCTTACAGACCAGACGCATATCACAAGACCCAGAAGTCTCTCAACAACAGAACCATCCCGTCTAACCCCCCTAGAACCCGGAAAACCGCCACAAACCTCATGGCAGCTCTACCGATCCCTACGCTCACGCCAACCCGCCCCTTTCGGGTCCTACATCCGACTCGGCGGCGCTACTCTGATCAGCAGCTCACCAGAACGGTTCCTCGAATTCAGCGCAGATGGGCTCTGCTCCATGCGTCCCATGAAAGGCACAGTCCGCAAGTCGCGCGCGGTATCTACCCTCGAGCAAGCAGAGGCCATCCTCCACGTGCCCAAGGAAGAGGCCGAGAACCTGATGATCGTAGACCTGGTGCGCCACGACCTGCACGGTGTGTGCGGGCCCGGCCGCGTCGACGTCCCGAAGCTCAATATCGTCGAGGAGTACGCCAGCGTTTTTCAGATGATCAGCGTAGTCGAGGGCAGACTCCCTCGCGACGGACCTAAAACCGGGCTCGATGTCCTCGCCGCTAGTCTACCTCCCGGCAGCATGACAGGCGCCCCGAAGAAACGCAGCTGTGAGATTCTGCAGGATATCGAAGGCCACAAGGAGCGTAGCTTATATTCGGGGGTTGTGGGATATATGGATGTGGCGGGGAAAGGCGACTGGAGCGTTACGATCCGTAGTCTGTTCCGCTGGGACGATGAGAGGGTTGGTGGTACGTCGGGGGATGCCGCGATCCAACAGCAGCAGCAGGATCTTGAGGTCTGGCATATTGGTGCTGGGGGCGCGGTGACGGCTCTGAGTACGGCTGCGGGTGAACGTGATGAGATGTTTACGAAGCTGAAGGGGCCGTTAGGGGTTTTTGATGATGAGGCGTGATGGGGGAGAGTATGTACATGGTATTTGTGTGTATAGGTAGGTATGTGCTATACGGGCGATGCACTTCAACATGGGATCTACGATTGTTAGATATGAGTTCATTACATAGGATAGGACGGGTATTTCCAGCGGAGCATTTATTGGTAGGTGGATGGATGTGCATCTCAACGATAAAACGTGGGAAGGGGTATGGCCGGGAACATCGCAGCTCATTCATCATAGAGTCGCATAGTAGAACCGGATACCACACGGCATTGCATAAAACCGAATCATATTTTCATCTTACAGTTCTTCGCTTTGTCATGAAGTTCTTCTTGAACGTGGTGGAGATCATTTATCATTTGTGTCGTTTCTGCTCTAGTCAATGTAAAATTGGCTATTTAAACTTCTCAACATTCGCATTCGGCTTAGTCAGCCCGGTCTCATAATGGTAGACTATGTCTACACATCTACAACTCGTCTCGTTCATGACTCTCATAGCTGCCCTCAGTCCACCAGCTCAGATCATCCAAAGCCATGACTTTGACTACGAGACTAGTCCATCCGGTGAAGTGCTGGGTGCGCTGGCCCTTGCCGGTCTCGGGGTTGTACTGCTCCCACGCGAAGCCCGTCTCCTCCCAGCTGTTGTACACGGTCTCGACTACGTTCTTGCGTAGTTTGACGTATAGGTCCTTGGCTTTTGCGGAGTGGGGGCCTGGGTTGAGGACGTAATTCTGCGGTAATTGTTAGATAAATTTGAAAAGTTTCAAGTCTTGAAGGGAAGGGGAAGGCTTACTCGGAGTTGGATGATAGCGAGGTAGTTCATGTTGATCCACACGGGGCTCCTCCAGTAGTTCTCATCTGTACCGTAGAACTCGGACTTCTTGCTCAAGCTCCTGATGCCGTGGGGGCTGAAAAGCTCCTCCTCATCTCCTAGCAGGTCAAGAACTTTGCCAAGCTTAGGGTCGTTAGGCTCTAGTAGACCTAGCAAGAACGGGAATAGAGAGATGTAGCCCTTGTGGCAGACTAAGGTATGTTCCTCGAAATCGTCGATAGTAGCATCACAGAAGGCGCCAGCGGACTCAGACCAGTGTAGATCTACTAGGTTGTGAGAGATACCGTCGAACGCTTTGTTGTACTCCTGCACATCTTCAGGAAGACCGACGAAATCCGCAATCTTCGCTAGTACTTTAGCCGACAAACCCATCCAAGACATCAAGTCCACGTGCAGCTCGCCGGGGTGAGGAGGTTGAGGTCGAGGGTAATCGTCAAGACCGCTCGTTAGAATGTGTTGAACGGATCGTCCGCGCCATCGGTAAGCCTCTTTATTCGAATACGCTTCTCGGTCATATCCTTTGATGTCGCCGGATTGGGTCTTCTTGAACCACAAGAATTGACGTCGGAGCAGAGGGTATAGACTGCGAAGATACTCGATACCTAATTCAGGGTTGTCTACATGCGCGCTCTCAAGGACAGTGTCTAGTGACAGATGTTCTTTACCTGTAGTCTGGCTTCCGTTCGTCTTCATTAACTTCTCCGTGAAGGCCTCGAGGACGAGGTACAACGTCGGAGGGTTGGCATAGTGTGGATACTGAACTTGGAACTCGGCCGGCACCTTGCTTCGAGCCTCGTCACCCAGAATCTGCTCTCGAGCAATCCAACCATCTTCGTCCATCAGGTTATACCAGCTTTTCACGACTTCAAGAGTAAGATCAATGTCCCAGTCAGAAATTGGGAGAAGGTGGAAACCTTCATCCCACAGGAATCCACGAGGGAAGAAGGGTCTGGATGGAATACTAGAGAACAGCTCAAACGGACCCTCAAGCTGTTCCTGCCTGCGAGCGCGAGCTTCTGCGGTTTCCTCCCAGAAGCCCTCATTTTCTTCATCGTACTCGGAGGCATATGACCGATCGACAACATGTTTCCCGTAGAAATATCCTATACCTCCTGCAAGGTTGGAGAGCATGCTCCGTCCAAACTTGCGATACTTGTCATCATTGAATGGGGCCTGGGGAGCAAAGACATCCGCAAAGCGCTCATTGAAAGATTCAGTTGTTGACTTGATCTCTCGAGTCAAGTCCTCACTCGTAATTTCCGCACCAGCAGAACCGCTCGAGAACAGAATATCAAATTCGAAAGGTCCTTCGAAAATCTTCTGAACAAGATGTATGTTTCCAGGGTTTGGTTTGTGTGCGAGTTGGTAGACTTGCCAAGGAGGAGGTGCGTTGTCGGCGCCGTATTCCTGAATAATCTCATCCACGCCGGCCTTAAGTTGTTGGAATAATAACTGCTTAGCCTGCCATAAGTGCTCCTCGGGTACACTTAACGATTGAACTGTAGTCTTCTCGAGGTCTCTTTTACCCGATATGGGGTGAGCGCTGCTGGGGTGCTCACCCTTACCCTTAGTAACGACTAACTTAAAGTCCCCAAGAGATTGGGATTGACCCAAAAACGGCACATCGCCTTCGAATCCGTTCTCATCGCTATTGCCAATCTCAACAGTGTCGCCGAGAGCCTCAGAGGCAACGTAGAATAACACGGTAGTTTTGAGATCAGGGGGCGCATCCTCTCGAGGCTCACCCTTGATGCGGGCAGCCCAGCTTCCGCCATGGCCACCACCAGGAATTTTCACAAATTCAGTGGTGATATCGATTCTGTTCCCAGCATCACGAATATGCTGGACGCCACCTTTTCGAGTATCATACTCATCCCATCCATAACCTGCCATTCCCTCATTTTGCTCACATGTGTACCGGAAACCTATTTATTCAAGTTAATAATGAATTTTCGCGTTGTTTTAATTTGATGCATCGGGATCAGCGGTCTTACTGTTCTGAACATCGACATAGTTATCAACTTTTGCCCATAAGAGACCAGTCGTCACACTTTTTGGGATTCTAGGTCGAACGCCAAAATACAAGTTTGGACGATAAGGACCCCATAATAGGCTTTGGTTGTTCAGACGACCAATCTCGGCGTTGAGGACTCCTTCATCTTGAGCCTCACATACCGACAAATTAGGGAATAAGGAAAGAAGAAGAATTGACAGCAGAGCCGTCAATTGGCTTGATAATGCCATAATGGCATCGAACAAGTACTGTCTTTTCTCTTCTTACCTATTAGAAGGAGCAATGATAAGTTATAAGGAGTCAATTTGGAATTCGGACCAGCCTAAAGAGCCTAATAAGAAGCTCGAGAAGCTTAAAAGTGAACACAGTTTTGGAAATTTGGAGTTTGGGGAAGCTCCAATTGATTTGACGTCAGGGTCCAACCCCCTACACTTTCCAGGTAGTACGCGGTTGCATACGTGTGCATACGCTATAAAATCCAGGGCAACCCCGCCTGGAACCGAGCTGTAGGGGGGTCCATAGCAAACGCTTAGCAAACGCTTTAGTTGGGTTAGCGTACTAGCTTTAATCGATAACCTTAATTCCTATCGTTATAGACGCCTTACATAACTTTCTCTTAAACCTGAATCACGGTCATTTTACATCATCTACATAGTCTACAAATCGTAACCATATTCCGCAGACTCAGTCAATTGTTTTCTTAACGAAATAAATATGGCCGATCAACCTCGTCGGCGTCGGAACCGCCCCGATAGCAAACAGATGTGGGATGAATCCGACCGTCGCAACCGCAACGAGCCCAACGCGCGCGACAAACGAGACGACCGCGGCCGGGATCGAGACGAACCACCCCGCGAACGAGAACGAGACCGCCGCTATAGATCCAGATCCCGATCTCCTCGACGAGACCGACGGGACAAGAACCGCGACCGTCGAGACAGGGACCGCAACCTTGATAGGGGTAGACCACGTGAGAACGACGAAGCGCGGCCTAGAGCAGACGAGCGTCGCGAGAAGAATAAGAATAAAGGAGATCGTCATCGCGATAGAGATGAGCCTGCTCCAAAGGGTACGTTTACGCTTTCCTCGAGTAGAAGTGCTACTTATCGAAAGCAAAAGTTATATGCATTTGGGGGTTATTAGGGTTAGGGTTAACATTGATATAGGTCCGGCTCGAGATCGAAGTCCCCGACGCTCTGCATCGCCAGCTCGAAGCCCGGCTGGGAAGGTAGATCGCAACACGCACAACAACTCACCACTCCCAACGCGACCAAGACCCGGCGGAAAAGCTGAATCAGGGTTGGGATCCTCGCTTCAGTTTAAGGTTGGAGGAAAACATGACGACGATGCGAACCGTGGAGGGAAGAGTGCGGCGGGAGGCAAATTCTACGATGCCAGAGGTTCTACTGATGAGGCTGAGGACCGAAGACGACGAACCGAGACGCCAAATTCCGACCGCGGGGATGCCATGGACGAGGATGTCGACGAAGAGGATGTTGTTGTCGAGGATGACGGACTAAGTGCCATGCAAGCAATGATGGGATTCGGCGGTTTCGGTACCACAAAGGGAGCCCATATACCAGGCAATAATGCCGGCGCAGTGAGGAAGGAGAAGAAGACCGAGTACCGACAGTACATGAACCGTATCGGTGGTTTTAATCGCCCGCTGAGTCCATCGCGGTAATCGTAATACCTACCTACTGTTTTTTTATTGCTTTTTTTGATACACTACGAATCAGACTATGGAGAAGATGAGTTTCCTTGAAAGGGGCGTAGGGAATACACGGACCAGAGGTTAGGTGCTCTTAATTTGATGATCATTATAATCCTTGTTGACGTATCTTATTACTAGCAAATGGACAGGTGAACGGTATCGTTGATATCTGCTTGCTGGGTTCTCCAATTCTCGTTACACGCCAGGTGTTAATATGGGAATGAGAGGTGACATGGCTCTTTTTTGGTAAGATGATTATCGTGAAGACTACGCTTAGTCAACAACCACTGAGAAGCAATTTAGAGCCATCCTACATGCTACCCCTTTTTGGTAAGACGAGTAATAAACCATATTTTTCATGACAATTATAAGTTTTGACAAATAGTCGAAACAATAAATAGGTAGTTTGTTAACTATGGTGGTACATATTCAATTCTTAGCTGGATACATCAACTACGACCTGTCTAACCTAATCTAGCCTCTGAGCAAACTTCAGCTCCTTCTTATCCGAAACGTCGAATACGGCAACAATTTCTTGCATAAAAGTGTCGCCAAGGATATAGGAACCTGTCTGGCCGGATCCAATGCCGGACAAACAGCGATTAGAGCCTTCGGCCGCTGTCTCGGGTAGTATCATGCTGCTTGGGTGGGTGCGGATTGCCTTTCCACCGATCACGATATCGAGAGTCGGCGGTATGGCATCACACTCTACACTCCATATCATACTGTCCTCCTGCTGACCAGGTGGCGTGTACGCATTATTTATGGCTTCCGCCACGACACCCGGGAGTAAGTTAATCGTCGTGCCCGAATCTACTAAATGATATGGTAGGTTAGTCGCCGTCTGATTTATCGTAGTACTGTTCCAGGAGATGGAGTCGATCGCAATGTCATAGTAGAAATAATCTGTCTTGCCAGAGGTCGTAGTAGCCTACGTTATGATATTAGTTTATATACTATTACGAAACTCAATATAAGGGATAAGTCTGACCTGTTGAATCGGCACCGTGGTGTACTCTCCCGTCTTGACAGGAGGAACGCCACCAAAAGCAATAAACGACCGGTTCTCGTCACGGGACATAGCGAAACTCAAGATAGGATCCGCTACCTTACTCGTGCCCATGGTCTCGACAAGGGGTGAGTAATTTACGAGATTGTCTATGCTGTCGTTGCGCGGGTCGTTGCCCGTGAAGGCTGCTGTGAGTCCTCTTAGACCAAGGCCAAGGATACCGCTCGATACGCCATCGCCCCCAAATGCAGCTACATTCACAAGAGCAAATTGCTGCTTGGGGATGGTGACGTTGGCCACAGTGATGCTTGAGGATGTATGAGATTAGAATATACTTGGATTGAATACGGTGTTATTACATACTTTGCAAATCCCATAGGGCCATTTAAGTAGTCGCCACTCAAATATGAAATATTTAGATTTTGATTGTCAATTTTTCCATCCGGGAAATCCCCTTTGAACAATGGACCGAAAGCACACTCTTCTTGCGGTACATCCTGTCCATCATAGGGATCCAAACATTGAAATCCATCTGAGATAATCCAAGTGTCGCTGCTGCCTGTGTCTGGGATCATGTAGTATTGCTCTGCACCGAAGCCCACTTTCATGATATATTCAACCTGGTGTAATTCGGCTCTCAGGGTGTCGACGCCTTCTGGGTCATTTGGGTCATCGACGAGGTCATTCGCAATGGCCTTATTCTTTCGGTTCTGACGAAGAACATCGAACGTCCGTGAGAGGCCTGGCTGCCGCTGGACTCTTGCGAGGGTGTGGAAATTCTCCGTAATAGCCAAGCCGGCCTGAGCAGCAAAGCTACGGGTTTGCAGCATGTTGTCGATGGGGATAGCAGCCCCGAGCCCAAGGGTTAAACCACCCAATAGGGCTTGTAATATGAACCCGGCCATTCTGTAGGAGAAAATTTGGTCCAACTTGGCAATTAGAAAGGAAGGCTAGACACTGCCACTGTAGCGAATGCAGATGATCCCTAGAGCTAGTAACAGCTCTGCGAGCGAGCTATGGCGTCTATTTGTACATCTCGTCTTCCTCCCCCAATACCACGCATGGGTGGCTATGAACCGGCTGGGCGGCGGAACAGCTCAATATATCGAGCCAAGAGGGGAGAAGGCATGCTATATATTAATGGCCCCCATTAAAAAGTAGAGCCTCGTGTTATTCGTGTAGACAAGCCATGATGAGCACAATATGTTACCTCATCATGCTAGGAGTACCGGAACGTCGTAGCCGTTACGGAGAAGGTATCTTGACGATCATTGACTTTTTCACTTAATCTCAGAAATATTGGGTGAAGAAAGTAACGTATAAGCAGGGTCGCGTGGCATTGCATGAGTATTTTGCACGATCTTGGATATATTAATCAATATAAAAGGTTGGAGGAAAGCTGAAATGGTTGTATTGGAAGGGTCCGTTATATTGGGGGATCTGCCATGAGCCGATCCTGCCTGCCAGGTCCTGTAATGATAGTGGGTCCCGCTATAAGCCGCCTATGAAATTCCGCAATTAGGGCTGCGGGGAGGCCTAGCTCCTGCACCGATTACCGCTGAAAATAGGGTAAGGTTTCGGCATTGGAGATACTTCATCCATAGTACCTGCATGACGTTAGATGGTTTACTTGGGCACAGAAGGCACTCCTAAGGTCTAGACGATAACTACGACCTGTAACTGAATCTTAGGGCAGAGCTGGGCGAGAATAATTGATAACATCAAACTCTAGGCGGTCTCAGCTATTTCCCACCAAACAGAAGAGAGATATGTCGTCATCGGCTCAGTCGCATGCCAGATCGCATGCCCTTCTCTTACTGCAGAAACTGCTCAATCTGCGAGATAGCGCCAGCCCGCTAACTCTGGTCCTCGACACCCTAGAGCAGAGCGCTAAGCCTCTGATCGGCGAGTTCCTGAGCAGAGCCAAGGTCTGTATTCACAAACCTAGCAGTCTACGATCCATCTCACATCTCGCCCCTTTCCGAATCCTTCATATGAGTTTCACTCAGTTCCCTATAATTTCTATTTATCACTTATTCTCTTATATTACTCAAGAAAACAAACATAAAGTGAACACCCACTAACCCCACCCAGGCCACCAAAAGCAAAACCCTCTTCCTCTCCCTCAGCACCCTCAAAAAGCCGCCCAACGTCGACATCTTCATCAAAGCGCGCTGCAAATCCCCAGACTCGCTCCGCAGCGAAATAACCTCGCACTTCCCCCCGGGGACGCCGGGCCACGCGCACAAAGTGCTCATCGTAATCGACGCGCTGAACCCTCTCGCGCAAGCGCTGTCATCTAACCTATCCCTCTTCCTCTCCAGCCTCATCACGCCCCTCGTCTCCCTCGTCGGCGTCTACCACGCCGACGTCCCGCTTGTGTTCTCCCCGGGCTGGAATGAGTATGAGCCGCACCCCCTGACGACGCTTACGCACTTAGCCACGGCGGTTCTCCGTGTCGGGTCGCTGTACCAGGCCGCTGAGCGGCGGCGCGCCGAGAATAGGAGTTTGCCGGCGCCGGAGTGGGGGTTAGCGGAGGGGCGGGAGGGGGTGCTGATCGGGCTAGGGGGAGGGAAAGGTGGTGGAAGTGGAGACGGGGACGGGTTCGTGCTCGAGATGGAGATGCGGCGGCGGAGCGGGCGTTCCGTGGCCGAGAAGTTTGTTTTAGTACCGCGGGCGGTGCAGGTACAAGTACGGAACGCAGGTGCGGATGGGAAGGGGAAGATCGAGGCGTCGAGGCTGTATCTCCTATCGGACCATCCCGCGTTTCGGGACCCGGGGGATGGTGAACAGGGGGGTGTGGCGGGTGAGGGAGATGGGGAGATGGAGACTACGTTTAACCTTGGGCTGACGGAGAAGCAGAGGAGGGATAGGGAGGGTATTGTGTTGCCGTATTTTGACGCGCAGAAGGATATAGGGGCGGGCGAGGGGGGAAGGATTTTATATGAGATGGGGCGGGAGGATGATTTCGATGATGAGGAAGACGAAATATAAAACCTAATATACCAACGCCTTCTCGCGGCTATAAGCCTTAAGATGAAGACCAAGATGTCAGACTTTTCCGATTTGTTTCGTGATTTATTTGTCGTCTATTGATACATCTAGATAGCGCCGCGACATAAGCGCACCAACCGATGTCCTTACGCCCAAGTGAAATGCAAGTAATTCATCTACCACACTAGGTCCACTGGTCGTTAATTTTTCCCTCTTCTTATTTCTTACTCGTCCACTTGCATACCCTCACTATCACCCGCCTCGCCACCGCCCTCGTTATCGTCCGCCACGCTGTTAATCCACTCCTTAACATCCGCACCATCATGCACCTTGAAGAACTCAAGCCCCTTCTTCCCCGGCTCCTTCAAGCCCACAACACCCACACTCGTGTTCTCAACCGTCAACTCGCGGTCCTGGACCAGCGTCTCCTTCAACGCCTTCAAGCCATGTCTAACCAGCTCGTCCCTCCCACAATCAGGGAACTTATCCAGGTTCTTCTCGAGGTAAGTGCGTGCCATCTGGGAGCGCGCGCCGATAGCGCAAGCCAGCATCTCCTGGGTGAGGCCGCTGGGCTGGAACTCGAAGAGGTGGGTTCCGGCCTCGTCGACGCCGGCGATGAGGAGGCCCACGCCGTAGGGCCGCTTGCCGTAGTGCTGGGTGTAGAGCTGGGCCTTGTCGCCGATGAGCGAGACGAGCGTCTCGAGCGGCATCGCGCGGTCGTATGTTAGTCGCTGCGAGAGACACTGCTGCTTCATGAAGTTCGAGAGCACGCGGGCGTCAGATGTTAGCCCGGCGATTGCTAGCCCGACGTGCTCGTCGACTGCGAAGAGTTTCTTCTGGTATGAGGAGAGTTCTTCTGCGTTTCGCTAGGTGGACCGGGTGTATATGTTAGCTTTCGTTCCATTTCTTTTTCTCTTTTCTTCCCTTCTCTTGGGGCTCGAGATGGTGATAGGTGTAGGTGGGGTGATGGTGGTGTTTTCGTACCTTAATGGCGACTAGAACTGCGTGTGTCTTGCTGGTCAAGCCCACCACAACTGAACCCTGCTTCACGGCCTCGGCGGCATATTCAACCTGAAATATTCTCCCTTGCGGGGAGCTGAGAAGGTGGTTAGATATAGGTACCGATTGACAAGGGTTATTTCGGTTGACGGTTCGGAGCTTACAATGTGACTGAATCGTTGTCGTAGTTGTTTCTGAACATATTGCCGGTATGTCAAGCTTATCTCCTTTTTAATGACCGTGGGTTGGACGTGGGATTGTTGAGAGGGTATTCGGAAAGTTGGATTGTATAGGTGGATAGGTATTGGTATTGATAGACGCAAGGCTAAGGCTAGAGCTCACAAGACGTCCGCTGTAGTTTGGTTTGGCAACCACAAGGCAGCTCAAGAGCTTCGTCGCACCTCTCATTTGGGACTAGCGCGGATGCCCCTAGCTCCAGGCTTAGGTAAACTTGCAGGGATAAGCACCTGAGGTACTTAGGTACAAATTGTCTATCGCTCGAGCTTCGGACCCCAAACAGTTCCCAAAGTTTAAGACCCCAGCAATTAATAGGTTGAAGACGGCCAAGGCTGAGAGTCTGACGACAACATCTTGTAATTCGAATCAACCACCACGATACCCCAACCAGTCTAATTACTCAACGCAGCGAGTGTTTTTCCTTTGTCCCGCCGTGCGAGCCACCGACAACACTCGATCTTCTCTTCTCGATCCGCTTACAGCTCTAGCTCGTCGTTCCCGCGTAATCCAGGAGCCAGTCTCCAGCTCCCATTCCAATCTTCCCGCACCTTCACCTCCAGTCCGCCGCGCCTCGTCTCGCCCACGATGCCGACCGCGGGGCTCAAGACCATCATCGCGCTGTCGTTCGTCCTCGCGATCGGCTTCCTCCTCGTCATCCTCTCCTGCGCACTATACAAGGTCTACTATCCTCTGCTCGTCGTCGCCACCTACGTATTGGCGCCCGTGCCCAACTGGATCGCCTCCCGCTGCGCGAACCCGGATGACTTCGTTGAGAGTACCGGGAATGGCGTACTCGATCTCGGTCGTTTCTGCACTGGGTTTATGGTTGTTATGGGGATCGGTAAGGCTTCCCCTTCTGCTCGGTCTATTCATTTGTCGTCTCCTAAACTGCGCACTATGGGGCACGAGCGCATTACGCGTACATCTATACATTTAATACATACAGACAAGATACAACAAGAGCACTGTATACTAACAGATTATTTCCCTCCTATCTAGCCCTACCTGCTGTTCTAGCGCACTCGGCTTTAATCGGCATCCCGGCGATGATCATGTGTATTATCGGAGGACTTCTGATCTACGGGACTATCATCTCGTTCGGCATGTTCTTCCAGGAGGAGCAAGAGTTTTGATGGGCTTGATCTCGTGACGAGGACGACGGATACCCGGGATCACATGGATCGGAAGTAAGAGAAGGGCAAACGGCCAGTTTGCGTCGTTGTAATATATGCGTACTATGCGAATTCAACGGAGTGTGGGCAAGGATTATTACTACTACTGGGTTGGCATAGGTTGTCATCTTTCGGAGCATCATCGAAGATTTTTCCCCCAGTATTGCATTGTCTCTATTATATCGGAATATTCTATGCGACGCAAAATGTACCCATGTGCTTTTGATCTTGATTATATGAACCTCTTTTATCGTCGAGAAGCATACCGTATAGAGCAGTGTTGGAATACTTCATACCATGCCCTCTTTCTCAATATTTGTGATACTACATAACCCCGACGCCATATCCCTTCGAACCCTAAGTTCCACGTACCTCATGATGTATAACCCGAATTTCCCTAACATAAAATACACATACCTCAAGTTCGATGTTGACCTTAGTCTAAGCAATTACCTAATCGACTACTACCTCCTAGGTAGATTCAGTAGTAACACTATTACGCTTCTTGTGAGTGTGTGGTAAAACCTCTATAGTCTTACTGAGCAACTTCCGTAATTCAGGGGTGATCGTCTTCTTCGTTTGCTCCTCAGGAGCTTTCCCATTTCTAGTTCCCGACTGCGGGGATGCTCCCGATGATCCAGACGCAGATGTCGAGTTAGGGGATGGCGAGTCCTTAAGGACCCTCGGCGCTGGGAAGTTCTGCTTCTTGTCTATAGCCTCGATTAACCGTTGGAAACGGCGGAATAAGGCCTCTGCTCGGATTAAAATCAACTCAAGGTCCATCGTGTTTGATAGTTCGTTAACTGGAACATAGTTAGACATGATGAGTTTGGAGGAATATGTTAGAAAGCTTACCATATTTTAGAACCTCGTCGAAATGCTTCAGGTGTATCATGATGATATCTCGGTGCTTTTCTAGAATAGCCAAGGCAATAAACAGGTGGAAGCTGCTGCTGAGGTAGTCCGTCCAGAGCACTTCCCATAGGTGCAAAACATCCATCCACTGGAACTCCCGTTTATACCAGACGAGCAACATGCGGAAGAAAAAGAAGAAGTTGGTGCTATCAGCAGACTCAAGATGAGCGTATAGCTTTGGATCCATGAAGTGAACTAGGTGGTCGAGTGTAAGGAGCTGGTTTCGCATGCCAGACTGGTCGCGGAGGAAGTTTCGTTCCATCCGCTCCATGAAGCGCTGGAAGCCCCAGAACGCCGCCGCGTCGTCCTGCATAACAGCGTATATCGGTGCAAGTAAATCGGACATCCCCTGAACGTAGCCGAGATCTTTGTTATACTCGTTGTAAGTGAGAAGCATATCCTTCAATTGTTCCATATGCACATTGGTGCCAGCTTCGGCGAACGGGGAGTCGGGGTCGGGGTGAGGAAGATCCTCTCCTGCGAAGATTGGGACCGTGCGGTCAGTTCGATGAACATCCTTTTCTAGATATACGGTTAGCATGTTGTTATTGCAAATTTAGATAGCAAGCCTTACCGATTCGGCATCTTTGCTCTCTCCACCATTCGCCTTCTTCACCTTCACCACCAAGATCAACTAGTCTCTCCCACCAAGCAGCCTTGAGCTTCACATACTCGTCCCTAAGAGATGCCATTTGCGCCTTTCGTTCTTCTGCTGTGCTATACCAGTCGTAAACACCAAGCAGGAACATCCAGGCCTCCTTTCGGACACCATCATCTGGATCCAGACCACCATGGAAAACTCTCTCTTTGACCTCGTCAACAGTGACTGCCAGACGTCCTGTTCTGGGGTCAAAGAAAGTGGTCCACTCCTTTAAAGTAACAGTTTTTCTTCGTTCTTCTAAAGACATGTTGCTCGTTTCTAGCAACTCAAACTCCCCCACATCAGTATCTTCTAGTTCTAAGACATCGCGAGCGGTCCATATCCTCTGGTTTCGATCCCTTTCACTCTGCTCGGCCATTCCCATGGCCCATCTAGCCAGGTATATCCTAGCGCTGTCGAATTCATCCTGCAATGTCTGAACTTCGGGATTTCTCATCAACTTGCGTACTTGAGGTGGGAGTCTTGGGTTGTCTATGATCTCCTGCGCGGTTCTCCGTGTAAACGTAGTGACTTTGCTGAACTTCTCCAGAATATTCCACCCCGTCTCCTTCACGAACTTCATAACGGGGTCCATACCCGCGTCATTCTGGCTACTAGAACCCGCTGCTGAGCGTCTAGCACCAGGTGAACGTAAACCTTGAGAACTATCCCGTCGGCCAATTGACGAGGGTGTACTTGAAGTCAACTTTCCACCAAAGGCCTCACTATCTTCCTTGGTAGGCTCGACTAAGTAGATATTCGGCTCAGCACCACTCCTCTCGATCCGGATGTAGCGTTTTAGCCAGCGGAGAACCTCATCACCTCCCCAGAACATTTGTCCATTTTCGCCGAAGGGGTCAAAGTTGTCCCTGGCTCGCTTCTTTTTCTGGAGTATGGTCGACTGGCATTCGCTGTCGTGGAAGAACAAAGCTGGAAAGCTGTCTCCGGCTCTGGTGTTGATCACCAGAGATCCAAACCACCACCCTAAACTTGGAGGGCGTACTAGTAGGGAGTATATGGCACTGACTGGTATCGCAAAGGCATAGTGACCGATTGATCCTTTGTGAGTCGTTACGGTTGGAGGTGGTGGTACGAGATAGCTCTGCTTTGGAGGGGAATCGGCATCGATTAGGTCGACCTTGACATAGATACTCTCGGCATCACCGAGAGAAGATTCAGGCAGCCAAGCGAGTAGGAGATCCGCGGAAGCTGGAGAAATGGAGCTCTTCGAGGAGGAAGACGTAGGTCGTTCGCCGCGGGGACCTTTTTGTTGCAATAGTGCTATGTAGCCTGCGATATTATCCTTTGCTGACGGGGTAGGATGGATATAGACTTTGCTCTTGGAGTATAGGAGTTTAACCCCTTTCCCAGTCTCTGTATGGGTGATAGTATCATACTCGCCCTCCTCATCGTCGCTAAGGGCGTAGAAGCTGCCCGTAGGCGAGCTGGCTCGACCCGGTGGGGGAGCTGATGTCATGGCGGGGTGTGGTGTTATCCAACTCGGATGGGCTGGAAGTTGAAAGTTGGCGAAGTGAGGAATGCGTGATAGTATAAGTTAATTGGGTCTCAACCCCGGACAGCTAGGAACTCGTTTCTGCAATCCTTTGAAGCTAAATTTTCAAAGGAAGGCTCGAACATGTGAGCGTGTAAAGTTAAAAGTTTGGGGGTGATCTGGTGTTGAATAGGACAGCAGGTGCAGTACCGTCTCATGTGCCCCGCCACTCGCCAATACCTTTAGAATCCACTGTTTGTACCGCTAAGTACCTTCTGGAATGCCCGCTAAAATTCGGTACCAAGGCCCATTGCATTAGCTCGCAATTGCCCAGTCATCTGCATTCCATTCCATCTGTCACTCCATTTTGGGGGCTAAGACTAGACGTCGGCGTGACAAATCACGCTCGTGATATTAGTTATTGTCGAATATAGTAACGAATATAGTATATGGAATTGCCAACACTCGTAAACCCAAACGAACAGGAAAGTTTCCTATATTTATCCAAGCCTCTAAAGAATCCCACACTGTACTTGATCTCCAAGACTTTCCACAACGCAGGGGTGAGGACACGAATTTCGTTGGCAACGTTGCGAGGCCCACGCATATAGAATACGCAATTCAGAAATAGGCAACAGTATTATTATGTCCCCGTCTATCACCTACCACCTATCACCTAAACCGCCTAACACTAACACTAGAAGTGTATGTACGCAAGAGGCAACAATCGCATCATCCAATGCAATTCTTTCATGCCGCTTTCCATCCATCTATGTATCTCCATTCCGGCGGCTAGAACCCGCAGCCAACTAGTGTGGCGTAGTTTATACAGCACTCCCTCCTCTACATTTCTGCCTACCGCTCCCTTCTTTCTTCGTAATTAGTTGCCTAGGTCAGTACTACTATAATCGTGGTTGTATTCGCTGGTAATTCGGATGCGAGGCCGAGGCGAAGGGGTTCCGAAATCGAGCGGACCGGGAAAAAAGGGGGCGCAGCCGTCTGCAGTTCTGTAGTATCGCATCGCAACGTTGCCCGCATGCACGTCCTGACCGCCGCAATCTCGGCTTTCGCTATAGCCTCACTGAGCCTCATACCCCCTACAATGAATCCCAACCCCAGCATAGGCAGACTCGTCGGTCTACCCACCGAATGGAATGATCTCGCAACCCCACGTAGCCCCTCGCGTCGCATCGCATCGCAATCATCTCATTCGCGGCCCGCTCGGTAAGCCTCCGCCGCCCGAAATGCCGGGCCGTCTTCCTGCGGATCGGCCCCCGCTCCCTGCTCCATTGTAATCAGCTTCATTAGTCGCCCAAGGTGAATTCGCTGCCATGAAAGGCCTTGGGCTCTCGTTCCTACCTCCATCGTACATGCCTCCTGGCGTAAACCTATCCTCGTAGCTATCACCACCACCACCCCTAGACCCGCCCTGCTGCGGCGGTGGGTTAAATGGACCGCTTCCTGCGGGACTCGCCGTCCGCGATCCCCCGAATAACCTCTGCTTCAACCGGTCCTGCGCTGACCCGCCCGTCGCCGGCGGCGCCGTCCCCGTGTCCCTCGCGTACCCGTTTCCGCCGGGGGTCTGGTAGCTGCCGGCGCGCTGGCTCGGCAGCGGCCTCGCGGGCACGTCATCGGTGCGGAGCAGATTGCTGCTGCTACTACTGCCCCTCGGATCTCCCATCCTCGCCGCGGGCGGCGCTCCGCGTCCCCTTCTTAAACTCTGCGCGTCTTGGGGCTGGGACACGGGGTTATTGTCCCAAAGGGAACTTAACCCGCCACCCTGAGGCTGCTGGGTGAGACCACCGTACCGTGAACCGACGGAGGCAGGCTGAGCGTAGACGGCAGCGACGGGGGGAGGGGCTTTCGGGTCGGGGGGTAGCCAGCCGGGGAATGACTGCCCCTTTTCGGTATAGTATGAGCGCAGGACCCGGCACACGTAAGTGTCGTCCTCAGTGTCGCCGTCGGCTTCGCTGTTTAGGAACGTGCGTTGCAGGTTCGAGATCTTGGAGCTCGTCGCGCCGACGATGTTGCTGTACCACGCCGACATGGCTGCTGTGCCGGTCGAGCGGTTCCCGGGAGCGGCTGCGAGTTCGGGGTGAGATGATGCGTCTGAGATGGGGGCGATTATGCGAGGTGCCAGGTATGTCTTGTTTCGAGGGTTCGGTCGGAATTGAGTAAGTGTCGTAAGCGTCTCAGTCGAGTACGAGCGTATGTGTTAGATTTGGAGCAGAAAAAAGAGACAATTCGACGTAGAATTAAAGTAGGTTTAATAAAGTCTCGGGCGGATGGTTCCTTGGAAGAAAGGAAGAAGAAAAAAAGGGTGCTGAGGAATGCGTTTCAAAAAAAGGGCCTGGGTTTGGTAAGAATGATTAACATCAATGCGCCAAACCTTGGGAACTCTCTCGGTGGATAAAATGATAAAATGCAGTGGTGACGGTGCTGCGGTGGCAGCTGCAGTGGATTGGTGCCCCGCCAAACTAGCAAGTCATTAGCAGGTCATCTCCCCTGAACTCCCCTGAATGCTACCCAAAAGGAAACAGGAGGTCCAATTATCACTTCCAAAGTTGTTCACCACCAGATCCATCCCAGATCCGACAACTCGAATTGACAAATAGGATGTACAACCAGAAAAACTACTAATTAAAGACATTCAATGTAGTCCATTTAATGTAGTCTAACCTGTTACTTATTTTTCACAAGCACTGCATTTGATTCTCAAAAGAAACTTTGCGCGTGCAACCCAGCCCCAAGCTTGTTGCTATTTTATCTACATATATGAACCTAGGAAAGGTCATAAGATACACTAGGTACAGCATTGAACCAAGTATCAAAGAGGGTATCAAGAGTTTTGAATGCAATGAGGGTGTCGGATGCTTGGATTCGTACCAGCACTTACTAGCAATTGCCAGCGAATTGCCTTCTAGAAGGCCAGCTCATCCCGATGCCGCTCAAACTCGTGCTCATGTTCAATCTCCTTTCCACGTCGAGCTGTCTTCTTCGGCTTCGCACGGATGACACGCGCTCTCTTTCTCTTTTCGCCCACCGCCTTCTTAGTTGATTCCTCCTCGGTCTCTTCGTCTGACTCCTCTTCTTTATCGGATTCGTCACTTTCCAGCCAGTCTTCGATGTCCTCTAGGTCGTCCTCACTCTCGTCGAAGTCGCTGACATATTCGATAGCTCCGTCGGGGATGTCGTCCTCTTCTTCTTGCTCATACTCCAGCTCATTTTCATCCTCATCCTCATCCTCGTCCTCGTCCTCGTCTTCAATGCCCTTATCAAGATCCTTATCTCTTTTACCTTCGCCCTCACGTTCCATGGCGTTAAGCACCTTCTTCCAAATAGTTTCGCTAACATTGAGAGGTTGGTCGCCGTATGCACCCTCGCGTAATCTCTGCATAAGCTCTCGCTCGATTGTGCGTTCTAACTTGGCGGCAGCCTCAGCTTTGCGTTCTCTAGTCTCTTCTCGTCGTCTGATCTTAGGTGCCAGCTTAGGCACGAGCTTCTCGCCTAAGCGTTCATCTTCCTTAGCGAGCCTTCTCATCCTAATCGCCACTTGTGTAAGTCTAGTAACTCGTTGTTTTGCCTTGTGGACTAGGAATTTGGGCCAGTAGATGAGTTGGTCATCGATCTGCTTGAGGGCGGTGGCATAGTTCTGGGATAGCTTGATTTTCTGCCATAACTTCGATGGCATATGTGCTCGTTCCTATATTTGGTAAGTGGGGATAAATATAAAGAAGACATAGGAATGCACTAACGATTGTCTTCATATAGAGGTATAAGGTACCCTTCGTAGGATGCGCTCGAACGGTAGCATAACGAGAGTTGGCAAGAGGGCATGACTGTCTATTGCAGAGACCTGTCACATTGTACCTAAACGACAATTAGCATCGGTAAGCAAGACCAAATTTTGAAGTCTTTGCTTACTCGTTTCGACAAAAGTTCTTTTCTTTCGTAGTTCTAGCGATATGTTAGTATTCATAGTGGAGGATGGAGATTTGCGACAGGCTAATGGTCTCACTTTAGTTTAAAACTGCAAAATTGTTTGTCGATAACCTGCCAAATAATCTCGTCCGACATTTTGACTGGATAGAGGAGTCAAATTGATTCGTTGACGAAGTACGGGGTATGTTAAACGGTGGTGTTTGAATGAAGCAATAGAGATACGACCTTGTCTAGAAATTCTCAAGAAAATGTTAGGCCTAGAAACTTTTCAAAAAGTTCTGCCGTTGCGGAGCGGGTCCTTAGTGGGTGAACCGCCAAAAGCGGTCACCTAAAGTGGTTTAGTCTTATCTCATATCGGCCAATCAAACCGTGCATAATACTTTGTGCAATACAGATTCATAATTACCTGCACGATGTATTGCTCTCATCTTTTTTAACCACAGCCTTGAAGCAAATATCAAACCCAGACGCTTGTATAACGCCCCTCAAATAATGTATATCTTCAGGCATCGTTAATTTTCACAGTCGAGTTAGTTCTTTCAAAGATCCCATCTTTTTATGGGTTTTACCATATAATCCGATCTCCTTATCGGAGTATCAGTTGGAGCATAACCCATGCATCGTTCCGTCTGGAGGTGCATGTTCACCCGTTCGAGATGGCTTAGGGATACATTGCTATTTAGACCGGCTCATCCGATTATTCAGCCTCTTACGTCTTCGACTTGTTTTGGAAACCCCAACCACCGCAATTTTGTTGATCATAGAGGTGTCTTTCCACGTCAAACACCCTTTCAACAGCGTGATGACACAATATACGCCCTGTCGACTGCCGAAGGTAAAGCCGGCATTGCAGTAATTCGAATTTCGGGGCCTTCCTGCAAATCTGTATTCCTGTCTCATCCTTATGAGAGATTATATAACTGACCTACTTTTAAGATTTATCACGGGCTTTGCCCAGGCAAGCCTGTGCTCAAACCTCGCTATGCAAGCGTCAGGACATTATATCATCCGGACTCGAGTGGATCCGAAATACTCGATTCGGAGGCATTAGCGGTTTTCTTTCCAAATCCGAAGACAGTTACCGGCGATGACGTATTGGAATTGCATGTGCACGGCGGCAGCGCAACCGTGAAAGCTGTCCTCTCAGCAATTCCAAAATGCGCCGCGGAAGGACCAATTCGGTATGCCGAACCTGGAGAATTCACCAAGCGCGCGTTTCTCAGCAACAGGCTCGATTTAGCACAGGTCGAAGCTCTTAGTGAGACCCTCGCAGCGGAGACAGAGCAACAGCGACGCGCGGCGGTTCGCGGTAGCAGTGGATCGTTGGGTCGAACGTACGATGACTGGCGTCAGCAGCTATTGCGAGCGCGAGCTGAGATGGAAGCTCTCATCGACTTCTCCGAAGATCAACATTTCGACGAATCGCCCATTTCCCTTATCGGCAACGTGACCGAGCAGGTTAAGCAGATCCTTCAGAGCATACACGTTCACGAAGGGGCAAGTGAACGGAGCGAGCTCCTTCGTAACGGGATTAAAATCGCGCTTGTGGGGCCCCCGAATGTCGGCAAAAGCTCCTTCATGAACCAGGTAGTCGGCAGGGAAGCGTCGATCGTGTCAGGAGAATCTGGTACGACGCGAGATATCATTGAGGCAAATCTTGATATTCGCGGCTACCTATGCACATTTGCGGATACCGCTGGCTTTAGAAGTGCCGCCGGAAAGGATCATACGGGTCCTCGAGGATCCGAGGCCAAGATAGGGGCTATTGAGGAAGAGGGTATCCGCCGAGCGAGGGTCAAAGCCACTCAATCTGATGTAATCATCGTACTCGTCTCGGTGGAAACAGATTCTCTTGGCAACTCCCAGATCTGCTATGATTTAGAGACATTGAGGTTGGCGGCAGAGAGTAAGGCGCACCTTCTGGTTGTCAATAAGCGTGATGCTGTCGCCGACGCCGAATTGCAAGTTCTCGTTCGACGGTTTACGGACGACGTTCTCTGGAAAATTAAGGGACTTGAGGCCATTCGGCCGATACTCATCTCTTGTAAGGAGGCGCAAGATCTAAGTTCTGACCGTATCGACTCCGGGGGAATTCGGGGGGTAATCGATCAGTTGGTGTCATCGTTCGCAAGTATGACATCTCTTCCCGCCACCCTGCAAGATCTCCATGGTGTTACAGAGCGTCAGCGGCAGCTACTCGTCAGGTGCCGGCGGCACTTAGAGAGTTACCTCGAGAGCGTAGGTTCTACGACATTTACGAGTGATGAAGGCGACACCCACAGCGGGGTCGATGAGACCGACGCCGATATCACGATGGCGGCCGAGCACCTGCGTTACGCTGCCAATTTCCTTGGTCGGATCACTGGTCGTGGAGAAGTAGGAGATGTGGAGGAGATCCTTGGCGTAATCTTCGAAAAGTGAGTACCGGCACGATCATGTCACTAGTGTATCAAGCTAACGCGAGGCAGATTTTGTGTAGGAAAATGACTGAATAAAGATGACTAGTATGTAATACAGAGATGTAACAAAGATGTGTGTTCGCCAATATCGCCGCCCAGATGCTGCCAAATATGCAGATGTAAATGCTTTTCCCTTTCCGTCGTCAAATGTCTATCCCATTTCCCATGCAATGTTGGATAAGTGATACAAGTTTGCAGTGATGCAAAGTCTAAGTCTAATGGTATGATCCTTTTTTTTCCCTCTTATATCGTACAATTCGTAATGGTACAATTCCGTGAATGCTGAATGGTATTTGATGCAATAACAAAGGAAATCGTCTAAGGCGTGTTGATACATTGCCGTTGCAGTCAATGCTTGGGCTCGTTGTTGGTTGGAGGCGATGATATTATAGTTGGTCTGGTATCCGCGCGAGCGGCAGTAGATCCAACCGATCTAGTTGTTGTTGTTCATCGCCATTGGATAGTGTGAGGGTTTAGTTGTAACCGCTGCGGCCAAAGTTGGCGAACATCCGGCTGTCTTCCTCGTCACCGTCCTTGTTGTATCCACTGCGGCCGAAGCACCTCTTGTCGTCGTCAGAGTCGTCCTTGTTGTAGCCACTGCGCCCAAAGTTGCGCTTGTTGTCCTCGTTGTCACCGTCCTTGTTGTATCCACTTCGGCCAAAGTTGGCAATCTGGGGGGCAGAGGAGGAAGTGAAGCCGGCCATTGTAATGATTGTTGATTGGATACTTAGTATGCTGTTTGATATGATGTTGAGTGATGTGTATTATGAGACCAAGAAGCAAGGTGATGAGGAGAAGTTGTTATACAGAAGTGGAAAGAGTTAGCTGTGAGATAGATGAATGTTCTATAAGAGTGTTGTTGTTGATGCTGTTGATAAGGAATAATGATGCCTCAAAGCTCGGGAAGCCATGGTCTTATATATCATCTGTATACGGACACAGCCCGTAACCCATCATCGATGAACTGGTCCGCGGGACGTTCCTAGCTCAAGCTGACCATGGCTGTTGGTGAGCAGGGGGGTGGAACAGGCCCCTCAGTTGCTAAACCAGTCTGCCGGTTCAAGGTTGTGATGACAACCAGAACTGCTGCGGTTCTTCAGCCTCGAAATGGTCACGCCTAGGAGGAATGCGTACCGAGAAAGCCAAGTCTAAGACATGTGGGTTTGGGTGTGTATGGAACAGGTACGGGGACCACGTTCTACCCCTGCATGGGTTGTAAGCAGATATTCCAGTCGATGAAGTGGGTCACTCAGTTCAAGGCTATGGGATTTTTCGGGTTTGCTACAACCATTTTTGGAATAAAATGAAATTGCCATAGCTAGATCCGGTTACATGGCGCTGTGCTGTTGTCTGAACTGAAAATGGGTGTGGGTGGTAATCGTAAAATAAAAAATAATAATCACAAAAGTGTACTTTCCTTCTAGGTGTACTTTGTACTTTGTATTCTGTATTTCTTGTATTTCGTACTGTGTGGTTGCGGCGCGCCGACCTGTTGGATCAGGTCATATAGATACCGTGCATATCCATGGAGGGATCGATGCACGTTGTAAGGCTAGCAGGCTACTACCTAGTAGTACTAGATGGTTTACAAAGAACAGAACCATAATAGCAAGCACGAAGAAGTTTAGCGAAGATGCATGGAAGGTTTAGAAGGTTTGGAAGCTAACTAAACCTTCTATTTTGGGGGCCGCTGCGAGACTCTAATCCTTTTTGGGACCCATGTTGCTGTAGGGCTGAGAGTTTCCTTATGGTCGGCGCCTGCAGATGGCCTCTTGTTTCTTTGGTTCTATCTTACATGTAACATACCTACTACGTTCATGGATACCTCGCACTACGAATTCTTACACACTTTCCAGGGATCTTACATTCACCAATGAGCTTTTTTATCATTGCTTGTATGCTTGAAATATGCTACGTATGTGGATGTAAGGGGATTGAAGCCTATTGGATGTTGCCTGGAAATAATAATAACAATCGATTTTTTTTTCTGATTTCGCCTTTCTATTCATCCAATCAACCGACAACTGACAATTATTTTCACCAGAGCCAAGCAGCTCGCCTGCACTTCGCTTCCTAACGCAGAGAGGGTAGCATCTCCACTCCCAATCATTCCCAAAAAATGCTATGCGCGATTACACACATACTCCCATCACAACATATGCGCACATCATACTTATTCATTCTTCACTGCAAGGTCTGCAAGGCCTGCAAGGCACGCCCCCCCGATTTAGCAGTCCCAACGGCCCGTTTTCATCTATTGTTGCACATCTACAGCAGGGGCTCTGCTGCTTCTTGCAGACTGAACCCATCACCGCAACGTGGTCCACTATGCTAGGATAGGAAATATTCTATGACGATTATTCGGTGAATACCGAGTAATGACGGAAATGTATGAAGATGTGATGTATTGTGTATACACATTCTGACATAGTTATTCTTTCTATGTTGGTAGTTTCCACTTATCTCTTGATACCTTATTAATCATAATGATTGTTGGTCCCGGAGCTTCATCAGTATTCCATTCATATGGCTTTACTTAATCTACATTTGTCATCCCATCACCGGCCAGTGACTCAGCTCGTTTTAAGTTCGACAGATGATGGGACAAGACTCGACCAATCCTAAGCTATAAACAGCTCTTCGCGGAGGTTAGTCTTGACCCCGGTCCTGTGAAGAAGCCCTTGGAGCCCACAAGTCGGGGAACACAGAACACAGTACAGCTGTAGCCTAGCCTAGCCGCTCAACCGCACCGGACAACGGACTCAAAATGTAATTTGTATATGCAGGTACGGAGCAACGACAGATGTTCGGGACTTTTAGATCAATGTCGTATCAATTGGCGAAGGAAATCAAGATCAAACGATCTCCCTCCTGCAGCAGGGCTCATTACAATAGTCCGCTTACAGCGTAGTTAATTGAGATCCGGCGGCAAGCAATTACATATTGTGAAATTCTAGGTAGCTGAAAAAAAACACAGCGCGCACCGTAAATGCACAGCAAATCGCTCAAGGAACCAATCTTATCTTGGAATCTGCACTTTCCAGATTGTCCCGAGTCCCATTTGTCGACGATCCATGGATTTGGCAAGGTCTAGCAAGGGTTTACAGGGGAGGAGCCACGAGGTTGCCAAGAATACCAAATGCTACACCACCACTCACCTTGTAGAACAGTACTAGAACTTTACCTTTCAAGGATACTGTGTTGGTGGGGGCTAAATTAGTGCTTATCGGGTTCTAAAGTGGGATAATTAGGCCGCTATTAATAGATGCTTAGCTGTTTTTTTTTCTTTTGCTTGACTTCAATGTTCCCTCTCTTTTGTCCGTGGGACCTACCTCACCTACATCCCCTAAAGATTTCCAAGGTTAAGACCTTATCAAACCACCCATGTTGCGCGGACGAATCCTACTAATCTGCTAGGCAGTTACATACCTCCCTCCACTGAGGTATGGAGATTTAGAAGCGGGAAGGTCCACTGACTTACAAAGTACAATGGCAAGTATGGTCGGTACACTAGGTACATTTACCTAGCAGCCTAGTAGGGTCAGTCGGGTTCAGATCCAATCGACTACCTAGTAGCGATTTGTTTTTTTTTATTTCTCTTTTTCCTTCTTTTTCACAACCCATAATCCATAATCGCACTGCCACCTGAATTTCTTCTTGAATGTCAGAAATCTCCAGTATCCTACCTTGTATACTAAAAAAGGTCAGTCAATACTACCATACTACATCATTACCTCTTATCTCCATGTCCCTAAACCCCCTCTAAACGCCATTTACGCAGTACATCGCATTCCACTTTTTCTTCCGATCTGTGCCTTAATTCGATTTTCGACCACTAACAACGATTGTAAAATGATTCATTCTCTCTTTAACATAGCCTTATGTAAGAGAATAAGCTGCAAGTGTGACAGCAGGAGGGCAATGCTATAGATGATGATAAGAATATAGTATAGCTTTCTAGGCAATCGAAGCAGTCATTGTCTCTTACAGACATCGGCGACCACCGCTTGGTCCGTCTATTACCCGCTTGTTCGTCTTTACTCCGAAGCCTCTCGGTTATTATGTTTACTATTCACTTACCAGAATTGTCGAGATTTACGAGTGCGATTTCATCGTGACTCAATTCAAATCATCGGAACTACCTCTGAGTCAGGCGACCCCGGGATATCCGCGAAATCTATGGATAGAATATAGTAACACGGTCGTCTCCAATTAAGACTTTTCCTAGACTCCCAGGTTTCCAGATTCTCAGGTTCTGATTTAGTCGGATCATTATAATCTTGGAACTATCTCGATGCGAGTGTCTTTCGACACCTCGTTTCGGCCCCCAATACATACTCACATTTGATAGGTTCTAGGAGGTAATCGTTTCATCTCTTTTGCCTCTCGCTGCCTTGAAACTTATTATATCGCCATATAATAGCTCAATTGTTTTTTTTGGACCCCATCATCCCGCACATCATTCGATCCGCAGCGATTATAAGGGGTCTAGTGGAGCTTCCAGGTGATCAGGCAAGGTTCGGTAGTCGTGCTAGTATAAGGCGTACCAACAGCGATGTGCAAATTCAGCCTCCGCGAATCCTACAACACCAAGCACAGTATCTAATGAAGTGCCGGATTCTCTTTCGGTTTCCTTTTCCCGTTAGGAAGCATCCCTCGAGCCACCAGGCAACCAGAAGAATACATGTCATCCCCCACAAACTTTCAGGCTTCAGCTCCCTCCCGGAAACTACCTATTTACTAGGCAAGTGATTAGGGCACGCCACACCCCAAATTCTGTATATGTTCTACACCGGCTTCATAATCAGTTGGTCATCCTGATATCTGAAAATTCAGGAGGGTGTTCCGTCTAATCTCCGAAATTTCCCTCTGTCACGGTTTCACGTACCCACTGGATCCCAGCTCTTTTCCAGAGGCAAATCGAAAATATTTTCTTTCGGTGATAGACGTAGGACCAACCGCTGTGATAACTACGTCAAAGGCGGCTCTCGATGAAGCGTAGATGTGGGTTTTCAGCCTTCTCCTATCTGGTTCTGCGGCTCAGGTCTGTTAAATTTCTATTCCATGCGCCACTGTAATACCACAGCTCTACCGGTTTTCTGGTTTTCTGTTTGAGCCAATATGATACCTTGGAAGATGACGGCTTTCCGGTGTGGGGTTCTCATATTCGAGGCTGGCTGTTACTATTCATGCCGCCTCAGGAAATACAGCCGAGGGCAGCTCTGAAACACATAGTTCCAGCTCCTCGGGACACACCATCTTCGAGAGATGTCACACATAAACCACGTGCGATCCTGGTCTAATGCTAGTCTAATGCTAGTCTAAGGGACGATGAAGAGGCAGAGTGCCCGCTACGGACAACCACGAGGTCCATGGCTGAGCGCAAACCGGGAGCACCAATCGCAAGCCAAAGATGGTTGCTGATTCCAAGAGATCCACGTGGCATGACGCAAAGGTTGTGAGACCATCATCATAAGCAGTTTACATAAGAAGCAGATCTGTCAATTACAGCCTGTGGTCAATCAGCAGCAACTCTAATCGCCGGAAGCATGCAGGAACGCACCGCCCGGGTGAGACGAAGCATTACGGAGAAAAGAAGAACGAAAAAAACCCCAAGAAAAAGCAGGTATGCAATGCATGTTTCAGATGCAACATTCCATTATGCACTATTTGTACCATGTTGCATCATACCTAAATAGGCTGCATACGTCGTATAGTCGAGCAACAGAATTGAGGCATACGCGTTCGTGAATCCTATCTAGGAGCTATATCGCCCCCTGACTACCCAGATTGGTACACCGCATCTTCAGATTATAGATTCTATAGCAATAATAGGCATAGATCCTATCTTAACAGTTTTCGGTTCACCAGTTCCAATTTCTGTGTAACACTTCAATTTTCCTCCGCATAGGACGTACAGGAGGTGGGCACGGGGGTTTGGGGTAACGGAGAATATGATGCGACCAGAATTGATAGCAAATGCTACGCTACATTATGGCTCGCATATAGGCGCTCGGTCGGGACCGAAGAGTATCATCATAAACAAAAGGATTTTTTCTTAAAACAAAAACTAAAGATCTAGTTGAGTCGAAGAAAACTGCCCGACCATTCAACGCACATAAATGTATAATAGGGGCTAACTTCAGGGGCTGTGTAACATTGACTAGGTCACGACTTTATACGCCTTAGAGCTCGAACTCAACCAACGCAAAGCTTTTTTACACCGAGGATACTATTATTGACCATTGCAAGCGGTTGGTAAGGTAATTTCACAGGTCCCTGTTAAGGCCGACATGAGTAGAATTGAAGATTCAAGGTATATTTGCTGACGTGGCATATCAAAAATAGCTGCGTCTGAGAAATATGTACTTACTATGCGTCATAAAATTGGAATCGCATTTTTCCCAAGTAATATCTATGTTAATCATTCAAAGAGGTAGGACCATACTGCATGGCATTGTTACGATATAGAGTAAAAGAAAAAAACAGTTCGGGTTCGGTCCTCGTACCGAATGTAACCTAAAATTATCTTGGGAGTGTAATTATCGTTAAAGGTCTTGAAAAAAAGAGGACCATTTTTAGCAAGATGGATTTGAAGAATTTACTTCTTGCTTTTTATAATTGGGTAAGTAGGTACCTAGGTAAGTAGTTAGGGTGTTGTTATATGATACGGACTTTTGTTGGATATATACACATTATTAATACCAAGGTAGGTATGAAAAAGGGGCTTCTGATTTAGCTAATTTCAACAATAATCTAGAAGTCAACTCCCAAAAACAAGCCTAGATACCCCATTAATTCATTGGACTAGAGTGTAACATGGGCACATGCCAACTGCAGCCCTACGATAATTTTGTTAGACGTGGTTCTCATTTTCTGAGTTACGGCGTACCAAAATCCACGTACGATTCCAGAACCAAAATTAACAAATGTGGCTTGTGTGGGCTTGTTTTACATACATACCTCTCTAGTACTTAGACATTTCTCTATTTCCTGTCAAGTTTCATGTTGACTTTCTTTTGATCGGAGGTAAAGGTACAAGAGTTGACCTGGTTATTTTAAGAGGCATTGTTTAAATCTACCTATTCCAGCTGGGAGGGACTTCTACGAGACAAGTTATTTACCGAGAACCAGTACATCGGACATCGCTTCCTTCGAAAGAACATAATTAGGTGCCTGATAGGATGAGACACACGAACAGCCTTGCCCCCATCTGATTTCATCACATTGTGCCGACGATCAAAGCCTTGCTTAGGTATACGCCTTTTCTACGACGCTGCGATGATAATTAATCGCAATTCGTATACCTAGCTACTAGAGTTAGCTCACCGAATCAACGATCTACAAAATAGTTAAGATGTCGGCAGCTGCAGACCCAATTGGGCTCTTTACAGTCTCAATAAGTGCACTTTAACGTTGTTACATCCGAATGTATGTCTCATGTTGAGTCACGATACGGACTTCCACCTATACTGCCGAATTCGGACGAACAATCCTACCTGAAACCACACCGAGGTAAAAGCCCAAGTCTCGGCGGCACATTCCCACGGTCGCCTATGGTAGGCAATGGCAATTAGTCAAGATGCCTCGTATCTCAGGTAGTGCTTGAGAGTCGAGTCGGTGTGTATGTGGGAGCACCGGAGATTTCAAGATTCGTGATAGGGAAATCTCGAATTGTATGCCGCTGGTAAGCCACACGGAGGCCCGACGGGTATGCGGGTTTCAGCCGCTTAACGTATTCGCATATAGGTGTATCAGCCAGCTGAAGCCATTCCGTCGTGTGACAGCCTGCTACGTTACCTAATCAACGCCGCGTACCTAGCTCACACCGACCGGATACCGACCAGGTGCTATCCGGATACTGACCGGATAATTGTGCCTTGCCAATAGCATCCAAGCGATAGATTTGCTATGCGCCGTATGATGATAGTTGAGCCTCAAGCCCCCAATTAGGAGACGAGATGGTATCGCCTCTCGTACGAGTCGGTTGTATATTGTAGGTATATTTATTTAGGGTGACGGGCAGTGGGCAGTGCCACACAGGAATTGGACTTTTCTAGGCCTCACCTCGAAGCAAGCAAGGACCTGGGGGTAATCGAATTTAGATCTCCGTTCCCCCTCGCCTTCACCCCACCTACGTGAGATACGTAACTGCCACTAATAAACAGCCGGTTGCTGCACGGTAATACCAAAGTGGCATTACCCAATGATGACAGACGAAAAAGCAAAGGATCTCGTACTGGTGGCTTGGGTTTGCGGATGGCGTCCGCCGGCCCGATTGTCCAACGGCGAACCGGGTTCAGCTTTGGCTGATTACGGGCTGGATAAGCCCAGGTGAGCGGCCACCTAACCATAGCCATCTCATCTCCAAATCACCTTTCTGCAGATTTTGATTGGCTCATATCGTACGAAATCACCGGCTATCCCCTGCTTCCCCCTTAAATCTAACCCCTAATTACCGACTGACGTAGGGTTAGGGATAGGGTTGTTAGTCATCTACCTCGATCTGCTTAATGGTCTCAATTTACAATATTGAATATAGGAAACTACAATTGGACGTCGAGATGAGAACTATATGGTAAACTGCGTCAAAGCTATGTTCTAATAATCTAAAGAGTTCCCGTGGCTGAAAACCGTACAATAATACGGCAACCCCTTGAAATGGTAGGTATTGAACTGTAGTCTTCATTGCCAGTTACAATGCCAAACTATTCCAATTTCAGGAGTATGTTAAAGTCTTATGTGCCCAGTTGTTTGCCGCATCTTCTCAATATCTCCCATAGCTCATACAAAATCATTTATACTTCTATCTACCTCTAACCTTAGGAACTCGACTTGTATTCGTCTAACAATACCTACTAATACATCTAAGAGATGAAATTAGTAACTGCCTACAAGAGAAACCAAATAATTGTGCACCAAGAAAATCTAACTTTATAAGAAGTAAATTATATCTCAAGTTTCGTTATATATCACATTGACTTGTGATCATCCTACATAGGCGAAAATAAATAACTCACAAACATCTATCTATCCCGTTTGCAAATAGACATGCTTGTTTAAACCTGATTCCACTTAGTAATATTACGTAGCAGTGGATATCGAGTCTAGGTAGTCAAACCCCGTTCGCCAAGGAAGCTTTCTACACAGACGGTATCCTAAATAAGTTAATGTAGGCGACCCCTCTTAGTCTCAAAGCGTTGAAAGACATATAATATTCTCATTAACTTCTTAATATGAGAGAATATTCTGTATTGATACTTTTCGTTCATGTAAGAACGTAAAACAATGTTAAGTTACGCTACCCCTATACAAATTGGGTCCACCGAGGAGTGGTCACTCCTAAATCAACGCGGACAGGAGTATATCGTGCAAATTGGATATCCCCGTGACTGGGATAGTTACAAATCATGTCCTGGTGATGAAGGTGTCCCTATCGTGTACGAACATCTAAATCGACAGTGATATATGATTTGTTTTAGCTAACGAAGGCTTAGCTACCTGACTGATGGAAATTCTGTCTTCCTCACCGCACTCGAAGCCCTTCATAGGAGGCTATCCATAAATAGGACAACTTTCTCTACAGGTGTTATCGTAGCAATCGGTTATCCCGTCCCTCCCAATTCGGGTTTCATATTCGACGCCCGACGGTCCTGGGATCTTACACCACCCGCTCTAGGAGCGAAGGGAAACGAAGGGGGCGCGGACGAGTTTATCAAGTTCATTAACGACCGGGTCAAACCTTTCGTCCACGAAAGACTGAGAGACACTCACGCCGCAAAGGTTGGAGAGGAAGCTCTTTACGGACATTCTCTTGGTGGATTATTTTCCCTTCATACTCTTTTCACCCACCCAAACTCGTTTGACTGCTTCATTGCTAGCAGCCCGAGCATATGGTGGCATAACGAGTTTATACTAAAGGAAGAAGCAACATTCTCGAAGAAGCAATCGAATGTAATCAATTCGCAAAAACCGTCTCTGATTATGTTTGTAGGTGGACAAGAACAAAACCCACCTCGCCGTAGAGGAGAGTCGGATGAAGAACACCAAAAGCGAGAAAAGCGACACAACGAACGTCGCATGGTTAGCAATGTATTTGACATGTACTGTCGGTTAAAATCAAGCGGGAATTTACACAACATTTCGTCTCATGTTTACGAAGGCGAGGATCATGGCACCGTTATCGCCTGTTCGGTCAGCAGGGGGATGACGACCTTCTTAGAGGATTGGCCATTTCAAATATGAACTAGCCATTAGTTCATACCTAGATAGACTTTAGATGTTACCACATACTTGCCTAGGTAGACACATGCTTCTCTTAGGAAATTATTTAGCGACTGCTTCGCCTGAAGGCAAACTCGGAGATGTCGGTTGATAGCTCGATTTGATATAAAATTTTATTCATTAGCAGGCACGTATTCGGGATAAGAATTCAAGACCTCACGCGACAGCACCGCCAAAATTCCGCACGTCTGCCCACGAGCTGGGGGGACTACGTAACGTAAACGCATTAGCGAAGTCTTGGAAGCCGAGGAGAAAAACTGGAAAGCGGAATTCTCACGCACTTCGACCGAGAGCGGAAAAGTAAGTCTCAGCTCGCAACGCTAAGGAGCTCCATCATCGGGATCGCCAAGGCCGTATTTTCAGCGAGGGCGGATCTGATAAGATTAGATGGGAAGATGCGGACCCAGAAACTAAGGATGCGGAATTCCTCATTGGTTCGATGAGCTTTTGCTCCGATGAGTCGTGGATTGAGGAGGAAAGTCTTGCCTGTTAGTCGTGAGGAGATGGCGTGTACTGATATAGGGAGCAGGATAATATGTGTGATAGTGACTAGATAATAGGATGCCATATGCGCAAATATTCTCATGATCTTGGTTTCCTAAATCCTTCAGTTGCCGAATCTTAGATGTAGATTGTCGATCATCGCAACCTGCAATCTGAACGTACCCCTCAGGGGTAAAGGACCGCCATCAAACCCTGCGACGACATACTTAAGCCAACATGTCAAACCAAGCTGAGGAGTCCATCCATGATGGGCATGATACAGAACGTGTAGAAAAGTCTGCTGGCGTAGTTCAGTCAGATCAACTCAAGAGTGCGCCACGAAGATGGATGATCGCCGCATTCTCAGGGTAAGAATTAAGTATATCTATCCAGATTGCGAGAATACTGATACTGATTTTTGAAATAGCCTCTATATAATGACCTTTGTGTTCCAATTTGGCAATTATTCAACTTCGACGTATGCCGCTTACGCGACAAGTGCTTTCAAGGGCCACTCACTCTTGAGTGCCTCTCGAGTTGTGGAGACTATCGCGAGTCTGCTTTCTTACCCCATCGTTGCGAAATTGTCGGATGTAAGTTGTTATAATCTTTCAACTTGCGCATTGAACGAAATTTTACTAAGGCAACTATATAGATGATTGGCCGTGTCGAGTTGTTCGCCTTCTCGATTGGCCTATCAGCCGTATCTTTGGTTCTATATGCTGCGTGTCAGAATGTAGAAACATATTTCGTGGCAGGGCTATTCGATGCGATAGGAAATGTAGGATTCGGAATCACGCAGCAAATCTTCATCTCCGATCTTACAACGCTACGAAATCGAGGTCTCTGGCTTTCACTTCCTGACAGCATAGCCAGTATACCTACTCTGTACCTTGGAACTATCGTTGCCGACGCATTCTTGAATCACTCAACTTGGCGATGGGGATACGGGATGTGGGCTATTGTCCTCCCTGTTGCAGCTATTCCCCTCCTATTGACGTTATTCCTGTGGGAATACCGGACGAAGAAAACGGTCCAGGAAACTGCGAAAACTCCTCGAATTCTTCAAGATATCCAACCAGAGGACTCAATCTTGACCAAGACCTACAAGCTATTCTGGGTCGAACTCGATTTCCTCGGCTGCCTCCTTTTAATCGCCGGCCTATCACTTATCCTAATCCCGATATCTCTGACGGGTTCGTCGAATAGCTTGGCATGGAAGCATGCCAATTTTATCGCTATGATCGTCGTGGGTTTTGTGCTCTTCGCCTTATTCTTCGTCTGGGATTCTCTATTCGCCAAGAAGCCCTTCATCCCTTTCAGATTGGTCAAGCACAAGACGATCGTGGCAGCATGTGCTCTGTCCGTGTGCGACTTCATGCACTACTCATTGTTCACAGTGTTTTTCCCGAGTTATCTTCAAGTAGCAGGGCATTTCTCCGCTGGACATGCTACAAGGATTGAGTAAGCGACCACACCTACCTCTCATCGTAACCGCGATAGGCTAGTATTAACTGAAGTTTTCTCTTAGCAACTCTCTCCGAGTAGCCTTTCAGATCGCATCCCTTGTAGTAGCAGTATTGATGCATTATTCCAAAAGAGCGAAAATATGGGTCCTTGTCGGTGTATGTCTCTGTATTCTCGGTCAGGGGCTCGAGATATACCTCGTTAACGTCAATGGGGATCACCCCGCGAACGAAGCTTCATTTATCACTGCGAAGACCCTCGTGGGTGTTGGTAGAGGCTTCTACCAGACTGCGGCTCAAGTATGCTTACAGGCGGTGGTGGAAAGGGACGAGGTCGCTGTCGCAACCGGGGTATATTTCGCGGCGATGAACTTTGGAGGCGCCATTGGAACGAGGTGAGAAACCACTTTTCTACCAAGTGATATACGAAAATATTTTCTGACATTTCAAAGCATCTCCGGAGCTATATGGCGGTCCAATCTGCTGTACAAGCTAACTTCATATCTCCCCGATGCCTCTAAATCCAAGGCTAGCAGCATCTTCGGGTCGATAGTAGTGGCGCAGAAGTTTGCTGTTGGATCCACCGAAAGAATCGCGATCGACAGAGCCTACCGGGAAACCCAAAAGCTATTGGCTATTGCTGCCACCTGTGTGCTGGTCCCTATGTTGTTGGCGATGTGGTTTATCAAGAATGTTGACTTAACCAAGGATCAGAAAAAAGGGGAAGAGGAAACCAACAGAAATAACGCAGCTGAGAAGACTGTTGTTGGGGATGATAAGTCCGATAGTTAGGAAGAATCCTTTTGTCATTGATATGAAGGTCAGCCAGATCATTAGCGTCCTTCTGTTGGACCTTGGTGTTGAAGGATCTTCATATACCAGCTCAGGGACACGGGTAACATACGTTACCATCCACAAAACTGGATCGCACCCAGTAGCTATTATTCGTGAGAAATATAGGTAATCCGTGAGACTAAAACGTGTTTGCTCAGTAATCGAATCATCAGCCCGTGGATATGTGCTTACTTACATTAGGGCCTAGGGAGCTATCCTAGCTACCCCATAGACAGCTGAATCCTCTATAAGTATCCAGCTTCACCGTATGAGTCAATCCGGCCAATTCATGTCAATTGCTTCGTATGATTGCACGTTCATGTAGCCATGACGAATAAATGCCTGTACAATCGTGTTTCGTGAAATTAACAGTGAAGTAAGCTCGGTTGGTGTAACTTCGCGATGTACGCGAGAATGCGAAGCGCGAAGCATCGCTCTCGCGGGAAGCGTCATATCGCGTCTTTGACTATAGCGCATCCACTTCGGGTCGACTCGGCTTGCCGAATCGACTGTAGGTGCCCACACTCCCTAGGGGAACAAGGGGAATAAACGAAACCTGTACGTTCTGGATTAGCGCGGTGAGCCCGAATGTGGTTTAATGACATTGATGGTCTCATGTGTTGATCATGGTATAAAAATACCTTATTCGAGAACGGCATGAGTCTTGGCCTCAGCCCTAGTACTCCACATCATGTAGCCCGTCGACACTTCATCAGCTAGTATATGAAGCTTCGTTTTCCGTTAGGATATCATGATAGATCCAAGCCATATTCCACTTAGTTACGTCGATCCTTAAGAAGCACTTACATCGCCATGGCAGAAGCTAGCGAATCTGCAAAGCTACCCATCCTCATCATCGGAGCCGGTACGGAAACTTAGCGCGAGGTCCCAATGCAACTGGTAAGGCGATGCTAACCCACTCTCTATAATAGGCATTACCGGGCTAGCCATAGCCAGCGGCCTTCACCAGGTAAATCCCTCCTCCCCCTTCCCCTTTTCTCCCTCCCTACCACCCACATCCTAAACCTCAGTCACAGAAAAACATCCCCTACATCCTCTTCGACAAAGACCCCTCCCTCTCGCCACGCAACGAGCGCGACTGGGGCATAGCCTGCCACTGGGCAGCGCCCCTCCTCGCCTCTCTCGCCGGCGCCGCGAAATGGAGCCGCGTAGCCTCCACACTCGTCGACCCGAACCTGCCCATCAAGGAAATCGAGCACTTCCCGCTCTACAACGGCAAGACGGGGGAGCTGATCGTGCGTCCGCCCATCCCGAACCTGCACCGCATCCTACGCTCGCGCATGCGCGCGCTCATCGCCGAGGGCCTGGATATTCGGTTTGCGAAGAACTTGGTTGGGCTTGAGTATGCCGCTGATGGGGGGAGCGTGACGGTATGTTTTGAGGACGGGACGAGGGAGACCGGGAGGTTGGTTGTGGGTGCGGATGGGAGCCAGAGCCGGGTGCGGAGGCTCTTACTAGGCGCCGAGAAGGCGGCGTTGAAACGCCTGCCGATCGCTGCGACTTTTGTAACGGCTTCGTTTCCCGCGGAGCAGGCACGGCGGATGCGGGAGGCTGTGCATCCGATTATCAACGGGTTTGTGCACCCGGACGATATGATGGGGATGTTTGCGATTCTCGACGGCGCGGACGCGGAACGGCCCGAGAACTGGTCGTTTGCGTTTTATATCTCGTGGCAGAGTAGTTTGGAGGAGCAGGCGGCGGAGGCGGCGGCGGGGATGGGGGTTAGGGAGAGGTTGAGGCAGGGGAAGGAGAAGGGGAGGTTGTTTGCGGAGCCGTTGAGGAGTTGTTATGAGCTGGTGAGCGATGATTGTGAGAAGGTGTATTATGTGGCGAATGGGAATTGGGATCCGAGTTTGCCGGAGCATGAGTGGGATAACAGGGGTGGACGCGTGACGTTGGTTGGCGATGCGGCGCATCCTTTGACTTATCGTGAGTTGAATTTACTTATGGGCCGGGTTCTCTTGACCCCTGATTCGGATGCTAATCGTATATTTCAGATCGCGGACAAGGACTGAACCAATCCATCAAAGACGCCTACGAGCTAGTCGCGCTGCTCACGGAGCCGGGAAACCGGACCCAGGCCGAGTTGATTGGAGCCTTCGAGAGTGAGATGCGGCCCCGGGCCGGGGAGGAGGTCCGGATGAGTGAGCTGAACACGCTCATGCTGCATAGCTGGGACAAGCTCCAACAGAGCCCCTTGATGCAGAGGGGAGTCGCTTATGGGAGTGAGGCTAAAGAGGATGCGGCAAAAACGACGTAGCTAGGTAATCCGGAGACGAACGACGGTGTCGAGCAGAAGCTGACATACGATTTGTATTACATCCCGCATTGAGCTAGAAAAAAAAGCCACCCACGTAGATGATATGCATATTTATAGACCGCTTTCTGTCATCACGAGGCAGCCAATTAATGTGCGAATAATTCGTCCTGACTCAGCAGACGAGACATTCACCAACACTTAACATATGGTTTTCGGACATACCTAGGTTCTTAGGTGAGTATTTTTGTAATAAGACGGCAATTTTATTGATCCCGGAAGAAAAAAAATGCATTGGAAATCGAATGGTAGGTATGTAGGTACTGTACTGTAGGTACCTACTACACGAAAGGGGGTATCAAAATCCGATTTCCTGACCCCATAAACGCCACATGCATGCCTTATCGCCGAAACTCCTACTCCAAGTCAAACCTGACCTTTTTCACCAACTTGGTCTCTTCTGCCTTCGCCACCGCCTTCACTTTTTTCCTTTTCTTGTTCTGATTCTCCTTGACCTCATCTTCGGTATCCTATGCCGAAGTGGGAGTTGCACCAGCCCTACTCTTCTTACGCTTAATCTTCGACATTCCCGTTGGCGTTTTCGGTGTCTTTTCTCCTGTCTTCGCATCCTTCTTGTCCGGCTGGCTGAGTGATGAGCTCACCATTGTCGTGTTCAGACTCGGCAAACCCAATGTCGGCATTTTTTCTTTACGTCCTGTCGAGCTAAGGTGGAACTCGCCGGGCTTGCCGGTGATGGGATTCTCGTCCATATACTCCCCGCCGTACTGCATATGGATCATGAAGGAATGCTCAGCTAGACGAGAGTCAACAGCTGACTGGGTAGGCTTCTTAGCCTCGGCAACGGCCTTGTTGCCTTCTTGTGAATCGGGCATTGGCGTTGTAGCTTTCGACTCGAGTGTCTGCGCTTTCGTGTTCGATGTAGTCGGCGCGGTGATGTATCCGTGACCAGTGGACGGCGACCAGGTTCGTGATTTATCTGCGGATGCGAAACACTTGCTCAGAGTCTCGGTGATCGTAACCTATATAATCAAGTTAGACATAGAAATTAGCGGGAAAGCGGGAGGAATGACCATTCGAAAGTTAATCACATCCGCTACAGTGGGAGCCATGTAGACGTGTTCTCCGACAACGTAATAAGCGGCATGGACGACGATTTCGTCCTTGGGTTCACGCTTACGGCGAGTCTGCTTGTGGATGACCCAGACACCAGTTCCCATGCCGGGACCAGTCTCTGCAGGTTCCTGCGCAACTATGAATTCCAATCCCGTCATTTCTCTCAAACGGCTTTCGAAGGCCTCACGGGTATGTAAAAGATGAGTCATGCTCGGATTGTAACAGGCTTGGTTAAAGACTATTGCATTGTTCGAGGTGACATCGAAGAACGGGGACATGGCGAAGTAGAATAATACTGAATTAGAATGAACTCCTCCGATTCTCTGTAACTCGATGGGATGATGCCATCGTGTTTCATCGAGGGGGTCTTTCAGTTCCGCCATTTTCGCGGTTTGGTTGTGACCGGCAGGAATTGAATGGAGGTTGAAGCTTTGAGGATGAGAAATTAGGAACAAGGAACGTAAATACGAAGTAGAGCGATCTCTAAATTGTGGATACGCTGGATGGTGGAGCTAGGTACGGAGAAGCTTCTTATCGATAAATGATAGGTCCCGCAGCGGGGCACCTACTTTAGTAATTTGTGGAGATTTGTCCCCTGCAATCGCGTACCTCACATGTAGAACCTTTAGCATCCAACATTGAGCAACCAATCTTTAACTCCAACCAACTCAAATCGCTCCCGGACATGCGTAGTGTTATTTCGCTATAACCAGTATCACGCGAAACAACTATACATCTACATTCTACACGGCCATAATTCCTCGGACCCATTAATCCCATTAGTCGCGATGGATCTCGTCTCCAGCATTCGCAAAACGGGCTCGCGTGGCGGTGTCAACTTCAACTGGGAGGATGTCGCCAATTCAAGTCACCGAGAAAACTATCTCGGCCATAGTTTGAAAGCTCCAGTAGGCCGCTGGGCAAAGGGCAAAGATCTCACTTGGTACGCGAAAGGCGATGCGCCAGAATCATCGGGCACGGAAACAGAACAGGAAAAGGAAGAAAGAGAGCGGAAGGAAGAGCTTAAGCGAATCAAAGAGGCCGAAGAAGATGCATTGGCCCGTGCATTAGGACTTCCGGTTGCTCCCCGAAAAACTACTGGCGCGAATGCCGTTGATGTGGTTGCAGGACGAGGTGTGATGGATGGTCGTGATTCTAAACCCACTGAAAAGGTTGAAGAAGGGCCTGTCGACAATGGCCGTAAAGCATCAAAGAGGCACGATGAATCCGAGAGACGCCACAGGAGAAGACATAGAAGTAGAAGCCGTAGCAGAGACAGGCGCCGTGATAGGTCACCAAGGAGGGGCGATGATTATTCTAAGCACCGATCAAGAGATGATAGAGATGATGGACACGGTCGTCAAGGTCGAAGGGACCAGAGCCCAGGACGCGATGAGCACAGGCATAGAAGAAGTTATCGACGAGAACGTAGTCCCGATCGCAACCCCGAGAGATCCGAGCGAAGAAGGGATGATAAGGATACCTACAGGCCTAGGTCGAGGGACGGGCGATCACGAAGAAGTACAAGCCCTGAGCGCCACCGGAGAAGAAGGTCTCCCGAGGACCGTCGTTGATGAGTTGCAAATATTGGCGGCATAAGCACCACCTGTCACCTGTTGTATTATTCAATTCAGTCTATTGAAGATAATTTGCGACTTATGTGGAATTGCACAACATGGACTAGGGCATCATTTAAATAAGCCCAGTCATATGGCGACCTTTCTATGAGATGCCTATCGAAGAGCGAGGAATGGAAGGCGAAATCCGCAGTCGACTTTGATGAATGTGTTACAGTACTAAGTATTCGATTTATCGGGTGACGGAGATGGGGTTGTACATAGCTGTGTATTTACAGATCCCAATTCCCCTAGGTGGTATTTGTACGTGGAAAATGCCTAAGCTTGGTACATATAAGCACAAACTGGAAGTCACGACTCGGGAGGTCATAGGGCTGACTTAACCAAAATACCGGATTCATGCCCTGAAGCATGTGCTTATCCCGCGATAAGGTGCGGAGTTAGTGGAGTTTAGGGGAGGGATGGGGGATAGATTAGCTGCACTGTAGATATGTACCTTGTATTTTAGACCCATCAGTCCCTGACATCCCTGAAATCTGGGGCGAGACATGCATCATCAGCAGGAGCTAAGACCAATCAGGAACGATTCCTCATGTTTTCAACTGTACGTACAGTACAGGAACATAAATCATACAAATTCGAATCCGTTGTTGCCTTTGTTCCTGAATCTTCCTGCACATACAATCTTTTTTTCTTCTGCATTTTTTTCACCCATAGACTAGAATCAGCCCTTTCATACTGTGCAAAGTGTTTTGTTTCTAGAAACTACGTACATTTTACGCGCCTAGGCAAGATCGGGTGAGCTGACGCACTATACTGGCCCATGCAGCGGTCTCAGCAATTGCCTTTCTAGGATTGGATGACTTTTCAACAGAACGCTCGACGACCTTCTTGTTTACCGAATTCCTAGCCCGATTTAATAAATCCTTTCCCTTTCGCTCTTTCAACCTACCATAATGTCATAAAGGAAAAAATACTCGACAAAGTGTAGTAATGGATTACGGAAGGCTCCGGGCTGCCGCCTTGCGGGACGGAGAGGACGAAGAGGCGGTAACCGTCGACACTCGAGCTCTGATCGACAAAGTTCTAGCAAGATACTCGGGTGAATGGACTACATTGCGAGAACTTATTCAGAATGCTGCCGACGCTCAAGCTACCACCGTAAAGATTAAGTGGGAGACCCTACCTTCGACTCAGATACCTTTACCAACAACGACAGATCGATCCGAGATTCTAAAACACATAATCACGAATCATACCCTCCGCCGACTCATCGTACAGAACAATGGCCAACCATTCACCAAGACAGATTGGGGTAGGCTAAAGAGGATCGCAGAGGGTAACCCCGACGAAACCAAGATTGGTGCTTTCGGTGTAGGGTTTTACAGCGTTTTCGCCGACTGCGAAGAGCCATTTGTCAGCTCGGGTCAGGAAGCCATGGCCTTTTACTGGAAGGGTAACGCACTCTTCACACGAAAGCTACAACTTCCAGAAGACCAATGCACTTCGGACACCGCCTTCGTTTTAGATTACCGAAATACGACGACTACTTTACCAAATCTATTATCCGTCAGCCAGTTCCTAGCTACGAGTTTGACGTTTGTGGCGCTCCAGAATATCGAATTCTGGATAGACGATTACAAAATTCTTCACCTACAAAAGAAGACTAGCCCTAGTGCCGAAGTTGCTCTATCTAGAGATGTCGAGACAACCACCAAGGAGCGCCTCATGAAGGTTCAGAGTGTCGAACGCGCAAGCGCACAGATTGATGCGTCTTTCATGAGTGCTATCGGATGGAAACCCGAAGTCCCGACAGCTGCCAAAAGCGAGGCTTATGGGTTTGGCAGCTCAGAGATGCCGTCCCTACGGAGTTTCTTTTCTCGACTAACCGCGAACACGTCTACTTCGAAAGCCAGCAAGACTGCAAGAGAAGAAAAGGCCGCGCAAGAGACGATATCAGAAGATATAACTATGTTATCGACAAGTAGCATATTTCTCCGAGTGACCACGGCCGCGATCAAAACATCCGTTTCTGCTAATTTCTCGGCGGAGTTGGAGCGCGCCACCAAGAAGCCCCCTCCAAGGGTAACTAAGTTGTCTATCTTGACGTCTTCGTACGATGAGACACAGGCTTCGGAGAGTTCTGCAAAATCTAAGGCTGTCTCTAAAGCTACCGATGTATTCGCATCCGTTCTTCCAAGCAAGAAGGGTGGAAGAATTTTCATCGGATTCCCAACTACCCAAACAACTGGTGCGGGGATTCATATATCAGCACCGTCCGTTATCCCCACCGTTGAACGGGAGGCTATCGATCTGAATGCGAGATGGGTCAGAACATGGAACATTGAAATGCTACGAGCCGCTGGTATCATGACTCGTCTTGCGTTTACAAACGAGATGATCGAATTGGAAAATAAGTTGCAAAGGGCTGGGGTTCTCTCAGGCGCTGGTATTACCTCGAAGGAAATTGCCAAATACATGCCCGAGGCATTGCATACCCTGAATGCCTTCACTTTCGGGGATTCTACCCCAAGTGGCCACGTCTCGCAAATAATCGAAGAGGCGTTTTGGACATCTTACAAGAACCCATATGTCGAGGTTTACAGTAGTCGAGGCGTACTTCCGACCAATAAGGTTCGAATTGGTTCCCCAGAACTGGCAAAATTTGTCGAAGGAATCCCGGTGATTCCGCCTGAACTTGAAGCTATTGGCTTCATTCAGAAGTTGACTGACTTCGACCTGCTATCTCCCATAACCGTAGATGATGTCAGACTGGAGCTGTCTGGGAAACCACTCAATAAGGAACAACTTATCAATTTCATACAATGGGCTGGAAAGAAGGCTGTTCAGGGGGAGCTTGATCCGCCGAGCAAAGACAGGCTTCTCGATGTTGCGGTAGGACTTGTTAGTGAAGGAGCCGAAGACCAGGGTGGTATTATCGCTCTAGGTAGCGTCCAGAACTATCTGAGTCCGAACAAGATCCCGGCTGGTTTACCTGTTCCACCCTCGACTATCCCTTACGATTTCACCAGGAATTCGAATTCGAATGAGTTGCAAGCACTAGGATGGACATCACTTGATGTTGTCCCTTGGGTTCGATTTCTCATTGAGACAAACTCGACAAGACCAGACAGCCAAAACATGACCAAGTCTCCCGAGTTTTCGATCCGAATTTTGACTGTACTCTCAAAAACCTGGGACAACCTTAGTGTGAGCTCGAAAGGGACTGTCACTACACTACTCCAGAGCCATACTATCATGCCAACCAAGTCGGGTATGAAGAAACCGACGGAGTCCTTTTTCCAGAGTGTAAAGCTTTTTGATGATCTTCCAACTATCGAGGGATGCTCATCACTAAAGGACAAATTCCTCACTGCCATCGGCGTCAGGAAAACTGTGGACCTAGACACGATTTTTACACGTTTGCTCAATCGTTCCACAGAAACTGAGGATCCCGGACGAGCCAAATGGAGTCACGTTGAGCTTATCAAATATTTAGCATCCGTACGACAAGATATTCCGAATGATGACCTAAGGAAGCTCAAGGAGTCGCGTATATGTCCAGCGGAAGCAGGACAGCCTGGTTTAGAATCAATTACACCGAGCAAACAGCTGTACAAAGTGTCCGAGCTCTACGAACCTAGAAGCCCTCTTCGGCCACTCAACGTCAAGATTATCCAATGGCCAGGTGGAAGCATACGGGCTGGAAGTCCCGAAGGAAAGTTTTTGACTGATCTCGGTTTGCGCGCTTACCCATCGGTCGTTGAGCTCGTGGGCATGATGGCCTCATCGGATTCAACATTAAGGAGTAACGCTATGAACTACTTCATCTCTTACCATCATAGCAACAACTACGCCAACGTTGATATTGGTTCAGCTCCGAAGGCTTTTCTTCCTTTACAAGGAAATGCTCAGAAGCTTGTTACGCCGTCCCAATGCTACACAAACGAGGCCGCCGCCATCTTAGGGTTCAACATTCTTAAAAGAGATCTTCATCCACATGCCCCTGTAAGTTCTTAATTATTACCATGGTATTTCTCTATTGGACGTTATCACTAACCATTTGCTAGAAATTCGGCGTACGCGCGGATCCGCCCATTGCTGATTGTGTTGACCGTCTACTAGCCAACCCTCCCAAAACCCACCAAGAAGCCGTCGCTCTCTTTGGTTACTTTTCGACTCGCCTTAACGAATTGGGTAATATCTCGATCCTAAAACTTCGTGACGCTCTTATTGTTCCAGTCGTACGGGGAAATCGGTTGTCTACATCTCTGGCGTCAACGAGCGCAGGGAGCAAAGTTAAGCAAGAAATCCACCTAAGTCCTCGTCATTGCTATTTAGGTAGCTCGATACTATACGGGGAAATATTTGACTTCGTGGACTTCGGTAGCTCTGCGAACGCATTTCTATCAGCCTGTGGTTCGAAGACTGAGCCGACCAAATTGGAAATTGCCCAATTAGCAGCAAGTGAACCAGCCAGGCTGCTTAGTGTTCTTCAAAGCCCAGAGAAATACCTGAACCTTCTGAAAACCCTAGCTGAAGACATGTCAACCCTCAAGAGAGATAAGGAACTATGGAAGAAGATGAAGTCATCTCCATTTTTGCTTGCTTTCAAGGAGATTAGTGCTACTTCCTCTAAGGATAAGACATCGGAAAATGAAGAGGAAGAGATGTCAATCAGGCAATATCAGCTTGCAACCCCGGCTAGCATTGTCATTCTAGACGACTATATCAGTTACCGCATGTTCAAAGATCACTTAGTATGTGCACCTGAGGAGGACGTCCTAGAGAACTTTTACATGGCTCTTGGCTCCCAAACTCTTTCGGTTATTGTCCAGGTGCAGCTGAAAGTTGGTTCGCACAGTGAAAAGCAGGATCTTGCAGTTTGGCTCCGAAAACATGTCCTAGAGCGTTCAAAGCTCTTTATCCACGAGTATACCAGATACTCGCGTGACGCCATTAAACACGACGCAAAATGGCTGGAAAATAACTTGTCTGTGGAAGCTGTGCGATCCGTTTCTCTCCGAAGATCACTCCGCGATAGCCAGTCGCATACCGAAAAACGGTCAGCGGCAAGTCAAAAAGAGAAGAATGGCTGGGTTCTGTACGTTGCAGCCGAGTCTGGTCGTCCCGATATGTATCAAGTAGGATACGCAGTGTGCCAGCTCATTCTAAATCGGCCAAGCCAGCAAGCCTATTTCTTCTTCGAGCCATTCCTCAAGCTTGATTTACTCGATTTGAGATCTCGTGGATACAATGTTGATCGTATCCTTAGAGCAAAGGCGGCCGAGGCCAGGATAGCCGAGGAGGAAAGACGCCAGGCATTGGACGCTGAGCAAGCCAAGATCAAGGAACGGGAAGAGGAATTTAAAAGACACCGCCAAGCTATGGGTATGGAAAGGGACCGGCATAACAAGACCCCGCCGATGAAAGTGCCTGGTGCATTTGACTCTCCTGGTGAAGATGACAAGGCCTTGGCACCACCGCCGTCTCAGAACAAAAAGCCCAAAGGAATATTCTCGAACCTTTCTCGAAGATTCGGTTTCGATACTTCTGATGAAGCAGATGAGAGCTTGAAGAACATGATGGGTTCGAACCCTGAACCCGTTAAGCTACCACCGGATGAAGGGTCCAGGCCTGGTAAGAATGACGAGGGCAAGGTGACAAACCCCGCCATAGTTCAACAGAATCTTCTCAATGCTGTCAAATCCACTAGAGCGCATGACTCTTCGCAGCTTTATGCTCCTCCGTCTACTAGGGAAGTCAAGGAACAAGCTACGTATTGTGATGATACTATAGGAAAGGATCTCTATTTCGTAGCAGACGCCTCGAACGGAATGCGTGTATTCGTGTCCAACAATATCCCAGGCTTCAACGCCGCCAATTTCCTTACAACGAATCATAGCGCCATCAACTCATTCGCTTCGCTCCTCCTTATCGTAGGTGCTGTGTACTCGATTAACAGATCCGCAATACACATCTTTTACGAGCCAGGAGGCAATACTATCGCCTTCAATCGTGATGGAAGCATCTTCTGCAATCTGCGCTTCTATAACCAACTTCACGGGGATCACACATCAGGAGAGGCCAAGGCATCGGCCGCGGTCTGGTGGTGGGTTGTACTGGCCCACGAATTGGCCCACAATCTCGTTCACCCGCATAATGCGGATCACAGCTACTACACGTAAGCACTTCTATTACACAAATATTTCAGACGTCAAAAGCTAACTATCTACCTACAGTGAATCGTTCATCCAGGAGTACTTCCCGAGAATGATGATGAAAGTCACCGAATTAATCGGGGCCAGGTCGGTGATGGCTCCCTCAGGACCCAGTTCATCGTCTAGACAAATCGAAGGTCGACCATTAGCCCCAAACCCGACTAATCCATCTGCATTGTTCGGGGAACCGTCTCGATTAATTCAACCGATGACACCCGATCCGCCCGCAGCCAGCTCGTCCCGCTCCGCACAGCAGCCGCCGCCTCCTTATGAACGTTAGAGACAACATAATCGGCACGGTCGCCCAGTAGCTAGCGGAACTAGCTTCGGCGGGACAACCCCGAGCTCGAGCTCGAACTTGGCGAACGCGAATTACAACCCCTACCTGCCCGGGGGCACGCGTAGGGGCTTGACGAGGGGCTTGGTCTTGGACACAGATCTCCTTCCACCGAGACAGGAGTAGAAACGCCCGACATGCATGTCATTGGGGAGGAAGGAGTTGATTTACCCTTTTTTTCTCTTCCACGAGGCGTTGGGGTTTAGCATCAGGTCAGAACTTTGCATTGCACGGGCTCCATTCCCATGGGAAGTTTCACTTTTTTTCGTTTTCCCCGCTGTATAGTACGTCAGGATTGCAATAGACCGTGACATACGTATAATAGAGGTGTGCAATAAGAACATGAAAGATTAATTAATATGGGCTTGGGTTTGGTTGTGTGAATGATTGTGAATGATGATAATCCCGTAGACTGGATGATTTATACCCTTTATTCATCTCGCGTAGAATTGCTACAAGTCATCCTCTATAAATACGCACGAATATCATAAAACATCAAAATGTCTAAAAGCGAGTATATTCCACCCATCTATTTTTGCTACCTACCCAACGCCATAACCCCCCAAATCCATACCTAGGTACACAACAACAGCGATCTCACTCAGTAACCCACCCCTTCCCAACAACCCTCTTCTGCAAAATCCTCTTCACCGGCAACGGCCAACCCAACCCGCCCGTCCCCTCCGCCCGCAAATACGGCACAACCCAACACTCCCTCGTGGTAGCCGACTTCACAACCTCCTTTATCGGCTTCCCGTACGTCAAAAGCGGGGTCCCCTTCGCGATGCCCGCGAGCTGGGCGCCGGAGACGTCGGTTAAAGCGAGCATTCGCGTCTTGGGATTGGAAGACGAGGAGGAGGAAGGGGAGGCGCGTTGGAGGTTGGAGTAGATGATGAATTCGGGACATTCCTGCGGGCTGCGGTGGGAGAGACAGGATGTGGGGTGGATGTAGACGAGGCTGTCTAGAGGGTCGCGGGAGGAGGGGTCGGTGGGTTGGAGGGGGATGTACGGGACGTCGATTGCGCGGCGGGGTTTGCGGTGGAGTTCTGGTGGTGTTGGGGCGAGGTCTGCGCGTATGGCGACTTGGTCGACGAAGCCGGCGGCTACCATTTGTTTTAGGGCTGTGACTTGCTTTGCGCTGGGGCGGTCGAGTTTGTTTTGGAAGACTAGATTTGCGAATGCGGGGATGTCTTTTTGGAGCAGGCTTGTGAGTTGGTGGCGTAACTTTTGTGTTTCCTGGAGGGATTTGAATAACACGAAGTGGTCCTTACACCACTGCTCTGTTGGGTCGTGTGCGAATTCCCCAACTGCCTGGAGTAGTTTCATGGCATCGGAGCTGTCGTCTAGAGAGCAGAAGTTACGGTGGACTTCGTTGTACTTCCGTCGCATTTGAGTCTTCTGGTTTTCTGCAGCGACATCTTGGTTCGTGCGGAAGTCGTGTTCGCTGTCGGTGGATAGAGTTGGTATCACTTGGTTCTCCGGGATAAACACTTGTGCTACGGAAAGTCCTGCGACGAGGGCGACGGTGTAGGGGAGACACTCATGTAAATGTCCAATTAGAAGAATCCGCGCAAAGCGAGGTGGTAGAGGGAATTTGGCCATTGTTGTGCCAATTTGAGTGGCCTGTCCGGTTTCTGTGATAGCTGAGAGATACTGGAGTAGCTTCTCTGCTTTTTTGAGACTCATTCGGTCCGGTGGCGTTGGAAAAGGAAAGTTGACTACATGCTGCAGCCGCATCGCCTTGAGCTGTAGCACCACACCTTCAATAGGCATTCTCAATAATTCGGGGTCGGCGAATTCAGAGAAATCCCGTTCAAAGACGGCAGAGGAATATAACCTATAGCAATGGCCTGGTCCAGTTCGACCAGCACGGCCAGCTCTCTGGTTTGCGCTGGCTTTGCTAATCCAACTAATTTCGTAGCTTTGAACTCCGGTGTCTCTATTGTACTTTCGTTCTTTTGACCGCCCACTATCAAACACATACCGAATTCCAGGTATGGTCAAACTAGTCTCGGCGATATTAGTTGCGAGTATGATCGCCCGCGAACCTTCTGGCGGATCATCAAACACGCGCATCTGCTCTCTTGTTGGTAAGAGCGAATATAGCGGTAGGATATGCATCTTTAGAGGTCCTGATCCAACTTCATCCGAAACATCAAATTCTGCATCATCTTCAGATTCATCTTCCTCGTAGTCATCAATAAATGGTAAACCGTTATCGTCATTTGCAGTTTCGTTAGTCTCTCCGAAGTCGATATCCTCAACTTCAAGAGGCACGTCGTTGGCGGATATTCGAACCTTCGGATAGGCAATGGTGTTTAAAGCACCAGTTTCGGCCCTAAGCTTTTTACTCAGCCTTTGTATTTCATCATGCCCTGTAAGGAAGACGAGGAAACTTCCAGGCGGAAGTTTACGATGCCCTCTCATTATCTTCTTGAAGGCTTCGTCAACGTAATCGTGGCGCGTGTGCCTAGAAAAGTGCATGGTAACCGGATGTTGGCGACCCTCAACATTAAGGACTGGCGGCGGTATGGGGAATAATGTTTTGTTTTTTACAAAGTCGTCTACCCGTAATGTAGCCGACATGATAATTAACTTCAATGGGGTTATTTTAGGGTCTTCGCGCGACATATCCTCTCGTAGTTTAACAACTCGGCTTAGCATTCCAATAAGAATGTCCGTGTTAACGCTTCTTTCATGAGCTTCGTCAATGATGACTGCGGAGTACTTGCGAAGAGCAATATCATTGGCAACTTCACGGAGCAGTACGCCGTCTGTCATAAACTTCACAGCAGTCTTCTCATTTACTGTGCCCTCGAATCGAATTTGGTAAGCAACTGTTTCTAATTGATCGCCAAGTTCTTGTCCCACTCGTTTCGACATGCTAACAGCGGCAACTTTTCGTGGCTGTGTCACGCCGATCAAGCCAGGCGTGGGAGAGTTAGGTGATCCATAACCGGCTTCAAATAGGAATTGAGGCACTTGAGTCGTTTTTCCTGATCCAGTCGCACCACATATTAATACCACATTATTGTTGTGGATGGCTTCCATAATCTTTTGTTCCTCGGCCACAACTGGAAGCTTGAGCCGTGCCTCTTGTATCTCGGGTGTCCTCTGAACCGAGACACTGAAAGCCTTTCTGTCATTATCTTTCGTTGGAAGTAATTCAAGAGGTAAAGGATCTTGCTCTAGCGGGCGTGGTTTAAAATTCTTGGGAACAGTAATATTCAAAATCGAATTACTGCTATCCACCGGCTGATAACCGAGAGCGGCATTGCGTTGCCCGTGAGCCCAAGCCTTAAATGCTGACGATCTCTTATTCGAACTACCCTCTTCTTCAGATGATTCTTCTTCACTGCCGGATTCTTCATCGGAAGACTCATCTTCGGATTCTTTCGATGAATCCTGAGAGTCGGCTGAATCGTGGGCGGATGCAACAGAGTCAAACCCATTCCACTCATCACCATCACCATCACCATCACCATCACTATCCAATTGCTCATCCGAGTCACCGGGGGTCGGTTCAGGTTGTAAAGGTTCCGTTTTCGTAGATATTTTCGATTTTACGCCACCACGTTTCTGTCTTTTTTTAATGACTGGTCGCCCCTCATCATCGAGCTCCAAGGGGCGCTTTAACCCGGACCCCACTGATACCGCAGGTTTCTCATGTGGCGTACCGTTATCACCGCTCGCATTAAGGTCATTTGTTATCAATGCGGTTTTATCCAAAAGTGCGCCGTTCCGTTCCATAGAACGGTTGGATTTCGAATGCACCTCACCGTCATCATCAGACTCATCACTCGCCGGGACACGTCTTGCTTCGAAAAGAACGTCGTCGTCGCCTTGATTGATACCAGCTTGCCTTTCCCTTAGAACGCGACTAATAGCCTGACGCTTCGTCTCTTTCCCCTGGCCGAGAGTTCGACTGCTTGAAAATAAACTGGTATCAATCTTATTCTTAGCCAATTCGGCTAACAGAACTCGATTTTCGTCCTTTTTCAGTTTGCTGTCGATGTACTTCTCAAGTCTTTTGGCCTTTTTGCCGCTCACTTTGACTTCGCCATTCAATTCCTCTCTCAGCTGTGCCCTTTTCGCTTCACGAACTTGTTTCTGGGCGTCTGGGAGAATCTCCAGCGCATTGCTATCGTTTTCTGATGATGCAGCCCCTCCATCTCGAGTAGCTTCTTGCTGCGCTTTTATTCGGGCAAGAACTCTGTGTTTTCTCTGCCGTGGCACAAATTTGGGCATTTTTCCCGCTGTTGATGAGGAAAAATGAAAGTGATGTACCTCTAAGGTAAGTATTGAAAGTTGAAGGATATTGAAATTTTGACCGCCCGGCAGAATTTCTTCTATGCGACCAGATAAAGTTAGCGCGGGGTAATCCTTGTTACTGCAGGCAATCCGGTCCACAACCCCACTACGCTAGCCTTACCGGACCTAAACTCTTCAGCTTCGTTCACTGTGAAAGCTACAGCTAACAAACTAGAAACTACCCCCCGCAACATCGCAAGCCTCACAACAACAAATCAAGTAACTTCGTTTGTTGCTTATAATCATTTCGTATCGAAACTATGGATGCCTCGCGAGTAGTTGAAGAGCCATTCCCGGCCAAGTCAAAAGCGGCTTGCGGACCTATCGATGGAATTCCTACCGAAGCTTCTGTCCTACACTTCTCGGACAAGATATTTCTCACTCTATCTCAAGAAGGCAGATTATCGCAATGGGTAATTCATTTCAAGACTAAATATTGATCAAAACTATAGTTCTAATTATACTGTAAAGATTCAAGTACCACTCTCAGCACCGTCACCTGCTTCTGTAGAAATGGCTCTAGCTAATTCCAGTTTGCTACCTATGTCTCACCTAACGCCGAAAACACTACTTGGTGGCGGTGGGGAAGAACGTGAATCTCTTGCGCAGCTATATGCCGTTCAGATTGCTAGTCATATCGCGAGACGAGATTCAGATGATCGTCGCACTCTTGTTGTCGGGCTTGGTCTTAAAACACTTAAGCCCGACCGCGAAGCATTCTTCGACGTCCTTGAACTCATTCAAAAGGTCTTATGATCTTAGAGTCCTTTACACAGAAACCACCTTACCACTTGGAGCCAGACTTTTCTTCGCCTCTTCACTTTTCAAGAAGTCGCTTCTCTCCATCTTAAACCTCATTTGACACCCTGCGAGGTATTAGACTAAGAGTTATTTAAAGAAAAGGTCTAGGGGCTTACAGTTGCCGCAAGATATGGGCTCGTATTTTGCCGGATTCGACTCCGAAGTACACGAAGGAACAACGCCTTCGACGCAGTTGAAATTAAGGCCTAATACGTCAGTGAGCGACGCCACAATACGAAGAACCAAGGGCTTAGCATACCAAAAAAGAACGGCATAGAAACACGTTCAGCGTGGGACTCGTTTGTAACCCTGTGGACGGTAGATTTATAAATGTCGTTGCAAAGTCGCATCATAAAGTCGCCGATGTTTACTACGAGGGTTCCGGCAATCGGAGGTGCCTTCACTCGTGGTCAATATTGGTTGGTCTCAAATTTCAATGTCAACTCGATGTCAACTCACCCGCAACCACTGTCCCTCTTTGGACAGTATTTGCAAACCGCCGACGCTGTCTTGCCAAAGGAGTGTGAACAGCTGTAAATCCGTATGGCTCCCTAAGCCCACAAAGTTATTCTGAACTTCTTCAGGGGTTCTTGGCGGATAGTAGTTAAAGACGCCATCGGCTCCGGGATGTGTGATCTTGTCATCCCAATAATTTTCTGCTAGGTCCAACGACAGGGCAAACATCCTAACCAATCTTCTAGCGAGAGTGAGACAGCTACTCCAGTATGCAAGGCAGTCCTTCTTGAAGTCAACCAGATGAGCTGTGCCATCCCACTGTAGTGTTCAAAGTTAGCGGCTGGAACGAAGGTCAAAAGCGGGCTACGACATATTTAAAGCCCACTCACCACGAAGTCTTCTCCACGAATCCAAGATCTGACCTCGGGAGAAACGTCAGATATATCCATTGGATGATCCGGATCAAGCTCTGGAGAATAACGGAATGAGAAAGATTCTCGAACGTCAGCAGTCTCGGTACGAGATATCTGAGCCTTTCGATTCCCAAGATATCCATTGTAATACTTGCTATGCGTCCTCGATTCTAATAGATCTTTCTTCTCTTGGGGCTGCCTCATAAAGTTCAGCACCTGCTGTTTGCACCGAGCAATAGTCTCTTCGGATATTCCATGGTTCTTAATGTAGAAGAAGCCGTTGTTGGTTGCAGCCGATTTGAGGTCAGCGGCAACGCGTTTACGGTCGGATAATTCGTCGGAGAACATAAGTGCTAGATCTATGACCGGGATTTCATCCGCGGTGCAGTCCCGTGGTGGGTAAGGAAGCACATCCCGATAAACCGGGCCAAGTGCCGTCCGGAGCTCGAGTTTTGTAATCCCCGCCATTCTGTTCTTTACAACAATTACTGTCGAACATAAGACTCCGAAATTGATAAGATGCAAAATAAGATAACTGGGCGACTCTTTATATCTTACAAGTTTCAAAGTTAATTACTGACGAGTAAGAGTTATCAGCAGATAATTGAGTGGGGATTCCTTATTCACAACCTGCAGCTTGTCCAATGGCGAAAAGGCGCCGGTCTTCGCAGTTCACAAGATTGCGTCTTTGATGTCTAACTTAGAATGAGTAACTACCTAGGTAATCATGTCACTAGCTTGTAGCACTCTTCCCTACTCACTATACAGTCAACTCAACACCTGGTAGAACAGTCGTTGTCAATGCAAACTCCTACGGCAACCGACGGCTGAACTTCAAACAATTCCTCGAATCCCCACCAGACGCAACCAATTTGCACATTTCAATCCAGGGAAGCGGAAAAACGGAAACCAGCCAAATTCATCGGTACCATAGATAACCGCGGTTTCCAAATACAGCCACTAGATACTTAGATTCTAGATCATTGGTCGATTCGCATTGGCGTTTTCCACCATGGCGCCTGCAAGTCAGAACGGGGACTTAGAGCCGATTTCTACGGACTTCCCCCCAATCCGAGCGTGCCTGTTTGATATGGACGGGCTGCTTATTAACACCGAAGACTTGTACACACTATGCTCTAACATAGTCTTGAATAAGCATGGAAGGCCTAATTTACCATGGTCTATCAAAGCTCAACTTATGGGTATTCCCGGCTCGTCTAATGGCGATGTATTTCACAACTGGGCTCAGCTACCTATCTCGAGGGAGCAATACAAACAGGAACAAAGCGAACAGCATAAAATCCATTTTCCCGAATGCCGACCTTTACCTGGAGTAGAGAAGCTCCTTAAAGATCTGAGGAGTTCGAAAACCACACAAGGACTACAAGTCGAGATTGCCCTTGCTTCAAGTAGCGAGAAGAAAAACTACGAGCTAAAAACCTCACGTCCTACCACAAAAGCTGTTCTAGAAATCATTCCTGAGGAGCACCGAGTCTTAGGAGACGACCCTAGAATCCAATACGGTCGGGGAAAACCAGCGCCTGATATTTACCTTCTTGCTCTGCAGTCCATCAACTCATCGCTACCTGAAGGAGTTCCCAAGATCGAGCCAAAAGAATGCCTAGTTTTCGAAGATAGTGTGCTAGGTATCGAGGCGGGAAGACGGGCTGGCATGAGGGCCGTATGGGTCCCGCATCCCAACCTGGCTGCTGAATACCAAGGCAAGGAGAAATATGTACTCGCGGGGAGGTCGGCGTTACTTCCGATCGGCAACGATGAGCAACTTGGTGCCATCGACGACGGCTGGGCTGAACAATTGACCAGTCTAGAGAACTTCCCTTACGAGAAGTTTGGTATCGTTGCTCCCTAGAGATGAGTCGTACAATCGCAATTATAGAGGATCATTCTACATGTTTAGATATCTAGATTTTGTCTCCGCCGGTGTCCGATGGAAACAGCTTAACATCTACCAATGCTGTAGATACCTCTTGGCAATCCAGTATATCAATAGAAGACCATTTCTACTTCTTACATAATACCGACGAAGGTTCTATCCAAACAATTCATTATAATGTGATTTATATTGACCATGTAGGTATTAGGTAGGTACCTAATATCAAGAGCCACATATACGACACTAGGTACCTAGGTAGGTAACAGTTTAACTAGCAAACGAGTCACAATCCTATGATGACTGTTCTCTCAATTAAAAAAGTCAAATTTAAATAGTGCTATCCGTGACCCTATAAATACAATTAAGACACTAACGTCATAAGTTCCACACTCAGGTTCGCTGCATATTAACCCGCCAAGCGAACCAGCTCTCGGTATAGTAACGGTTTGGGACATGAACTCCAAACCGCAACGGAGGGGCGATGTTAGATCCACGATGTCGGTAAACCTCAACAGCAAGGTTGACCCCATCCGACGGGTGCGGGGAGCACAGAAAAGGTTGATCCCGTTACACTAAAGGGGCATGCATATCATTCTCGGGTTATGTTGAAAGATACCTACCGGTTCATATGAATTGAGCGGGGATGGTGTCTCTTACAAAAAGTCCGTCGCCCTGACTGGAAATTGTTTCTTTGTCTTCGGTATGCTGTAATCTATGAAATTATATTGAACAAATTGAATCACCGCATACCCATCCGAAGAACAATTTAACAGCAGCGACAATGGCTCCACCAGCCCCTGGAATCAAGGTCAACGAAAACGGCATCCCCGACTTCGAAGACCTACCCCTTCGGAAGGGAGACCCTCACCTCTCGGCATGGGGCTTATACGGCGACAAAGACGAATTAGGGACTCTAAACCGGCTAACTGACGAACGAGTCGCCGCCGCAGCCAAAAGCGAGATTAGGACAGGTCACCGGTATGTTTCAATCCCCTCATCCAAAACACAACAGCTACTAACACCCCCAGAATCTCCCTCAACTGGCCCTTAGACGCCCAAACCGAAGAGTCCTTCTTCGCGCGGCAAGTTTTCCACCAGCAACTAATCCGCAAAGACCCACGCACCGTGAACGACGACGTCTGGACCTTCAACTCGCAAGTATCAACACAATGGGACGGCCTGCGCCACTTCGGCTACCAGCGAGAAAAGCTCTTCTACAACGGCGTGACCCAAGACGACATCCACGGTTGCGGTCCCGACGGGAAGAAATCCACCGTCAACGGAATCCACGGTACCTCTCCCTCCCACACCCCTCCCCCCCAATCCCAATTCCATAACTAACACGCCCAAGCCTGGACAGCCCAAGGAATAGTAGGCCGCGGCATCCTCCTCGACCACCACAGCTGGCGCCAATCCCAACCCAGCAGCACCCTCCCCCCCTACGACCCCTTCACCACGCACTCCATCCCGCACTCCGAACTCCTCGCCTGCCTCGCCGCCCAAAACACCGTCCCCAAATTCGGCGACATCCTGCTAATCCGATCCGGCTTCACCTCCTCCCTGCGCTCCAAACCCGCCTCCTTCATCTCCACCCACCGAACCAAAACCCCACACCCCTTCGGGGGCGTCGAACGCTCCCCCGAAATCCTAAAATGGATATGGACGACCTTCTCCGCAGTCGCCGGTGACCAACCCAGTTTCGAGAGCTGGCCCGCGCCGGCAGATGCGCCGTACGCGCTGCACGAGGTGCTGCTCGCGGGGTGGGGGTGTCCGATCGGGGAGCTGTTCGACCTGGAGGAGCTGGCGGAACATTGCAAGAAGGAGGGGCGGTGGAGTTTTTTTGTCTCGAGTGAGCCGTGTAATGTGCCTGGCGGGGTGGCGAGTCCGCCGAATGTGCTTGCGATTTTCTAGGGGGAGGGGTTGCTTATCTGCTTTTTTACGATGTAGGTGGGTGGGCGCCTAAGGTTAGGTGCGATGTCTAAGCTGGCAAAGGAGAGAGAGGATACAGTAACGGGAGGTGACGGGGGGAAGATTTGGTGAGCGAAAGTGAATTTCTTTACGAAGGAATACTCTTTGATGGAAATCTCTCGGCTATCAACCCGGCCTTACACCGGTCATAGCAAAGCTACGACAGTTTCATGCGCCCGTTACGCGAGGAACTCAAGTAGCAATCTCATAAGCGACGAGCCTAAATATATACGATAGAGTAAGGCCTTAGGAAAGCAGAGCAAGATATTCGCACGGCTAGCACCCTTCTACGGTGTCCGGCTTAGTTTTCATTAACTCGTTTTGTGTCAACTAGGACTCCTTCTCCTAACTCCATAGCATGACTTCGTCTCGTTCCCACATCGGCTACCGGGAACTGTTTTTACTCGACTCATCTGTCTCGAGCCATACTGCTCCTCGATCTTGTGCCATCTGAACAGCAATCCAGCCAAAGCTTCACCAAATATCACTAGAACCATTGCCAAATTTCACCATGGCAGTAGGTTCTTGTCTGTTAGGCCAAGACAACTAGCTAGCGCAATTGTTATGAACGAAAGCGTCAAATTGATAATCACTTGATTACTTGACGATCAGGTTGAGATGGGTTCGTGTTGCTTCATCGCTTGCGATCACTGTTTCGCTGTCAGTAAATCGCAATCATAACCTATGAATATAAACTTACGTGCTCAGCCTCCTAGACAATGTCTGCAGCTTCTTATCATTGTCAGCCTCCCTAGACGCTTGCTCTAGCGCCCTCTGTCGTTCCTCTTCCTGGTGTTTCATAACTTCGTCGTGGCTAGGTGGCAGCCTCTCGTTTTGGATGTCGACCTTCCTAGCGTCTTCGAAGGTGTTGATTGCGTCTTTGATACCCTCCGCGCCTAGCATAAGCGTTCCTGCAGGTAGTCGGCCACCCGACACGGTTTTGAGTTCCGTGACACTCTCGGCTTCTTCTCGAAGCACTTGGAATACTCGCGATAGTCGCCCAATTGCCAAGATCTTGTTCTTAATCGCTCGCCTCTTATATTCAATTGAATCTGGATCCGATAGAGGACCACCAAGTGGGGGAGATTGAGGGCCTGGAGATGTCGACATGGGTGTCTCCTCCTTGAGTTCCTCCTCGGAGCAGGTATGTAAGATGGCGATTAGCATGTCGGTGATCTTTTCACCGACGAAAGGCAGGGACCAGGTAAATACATCCATGAAATTGGGGAGCCAATACGGATGCGGAGTGCAATTGAACTGTCGGATGTTCATAACGTTGTTTTCGTACTTTAGAACCGCCGCCTTGTTGTTATAAACATCCAGGTAATTGGGTGCAGAGAAGATGGTCATCACACTCGGAAATCCTGTTGTCCTCGTCTTGCGGTACATTCGATAGCCAGCATCCTGTGCTTCGTGTGCCCGAATAATGGAGAGTAAATTGTTTTTCTCCAAGAAGGCGCACGCGGCGGGATAGGAAAAGAAGTACGAGCAACCACGAACATGATTGTGCATGAAGTATTCGCTCGTCTTCTCCTGGCCAAAATCCTCCAGAGGATCAGCCCACAGGATATCGCACATTAGACCTTGAGTTGGCGGTTCTCGGAATCGATCAATCTATCTCGGGTCAGCAATCGAGTTGTGTTCTAAATGTCCATTAGACATAGAAAGCTGTCCCATAACCTACATTTCTCAGGTCATCCAGAGTGTGCAACTCGGGACTGAGTCCTCCATGGATACAAAGAAATTGCTTGTTCATGACAGCAGCGAGCGGGAGTGCACAGAAAGATTCCATGCAAGCTTCGTAGATGGCCTCGGAGTACTTGTGCTTGCACTCGAGCTTGAAGGTAAAATAATCGGTCAGATGGCGACACTCGTGGTTCCCGCGTAGCAGCCAGAGAGTCTTGGGGTAGTGTATCTTCAGGGACCACAGGTAGAGGACACACTCGATACTAAAGTAGCCTCTGTCCACATAGTCGCCGAGGAAGAGATATCTGGTCTCGGCAGGGTCGCCACCGACTTCGAAAAGTTTCATAAGGTCGTAGTATTGGCCATGGACATCACCGCAGACCGTTATAGGGGCGTCCATCTCAAGAAGGTTGGGCTCTGCGCGTAGAAGATCTGTTCCCTGCTTGATAATCCATAAGGCTTGTTCATCCGTCAATCGGCCCTCTCGATAGAAGTGCTGTTTCAAGAAAGTAATATTGGGTTTGGCGTGGGACTCGTCCTCGAAGAACTGTTCGTCGGTAGGCTTAAATGTAGCGGGCGCCTGAACGTCTAGATACCCAGTCAGCTATTATTTGTCTTCGTGGCGGGGTAGTTACAAGGTAAAGAGAAAGCTCACCTTTGCAGACCCGCTCCATGGTGTTGACCTGAGTGCCATCTTCCATAGTATGAATACTGAAGTCGATCTCGGGCAGTGGCTTCTTCTCTTTGATAGCGCGAATAGCATTATCTACCTGGAGATTGCGTTGTTCCACTACGGTGGGGGAGAAAGGCGCCTGGCCTTCTCCGGCGGCGTCCATGATGTTCGAATGATCGGTGATGCGGATGCGCCTTTGCGTGCAAGACCCCTATTGCAATAGCGCCTTCGGAAAAAACGTTGGGCGGGTTGAGTAAATAATCAAATTAGATTAACTTGAATGTCTATTGCGCACCTAGCGGTAATAGCTCAGTGGAAATGTTGAAGAGGAAGTAGAAAAGAGCACGAGGGCTGAAATTGGAGAATGATAGAATAATAATGGAAATGATAAGTTAGGCGGCGGAAGGCAGAGGCAGGCAAGATTGGCAAGGCACGCAGGGCATGAAAGCCAAAGGTAAGTGCATGTTACTCGTTACGTGCTCTAGTGCTGTGAGTTACATTAGAGAGGTACCTGCTCTTATACATACTTCGTACTGCTACAATTGTACAACACACTGTGGGGTAAGTACGGAGTACGGAAAATGTACTTTTAACACCTTCGTATTTTAGTGCGCGCCCCTATTTCCTACAAGTATCTTTAGATGTCTCGCCTGCCTAATGAAATAGGGGCCGAACCAATTAGATGTGATGGATTCATGCAGCCTCTGATACTTTTTAAAAGTAAGTAGGAGGCCCTCGAAATCTCAAATCTGTTCCTTTTTTTCTTCTGAAAATGAATCTTGGGTTAAATATCGTATTTATTGAGTAAATACGTTTTCTTCACAACTCTAATGTCTTACATATCTTCAATGCCAAAGAAACATTCAAGCTTCTTATCATACTACCTGAGAGGTCGATAGGTAGGTATGTATCTACCAATCATCTACCAATCTACAGCCGGTCCTGACATCAAGCTCATTCACATATCATACATGTACCTAATGATTATTGATGACCGCATTGACCGAGAATGCGCAAGCTGCGTAAGGAACAGATTCGGTACGTAGGTGTCGTCTGCTTACTTGCCTACCGAATCATTTATTACTAGGTAGGTACGTAATGTTCAGCCTTTTAGCTATGACTTCATTCGGGAAAAAGATAATATATTCTTATTATTTCACGTGATGCTTAGGTAATGATAGTACATGATACATAGGAAAATTGAAATAGTCCACATGTGCATCCAACTTCAATCTCTATCTTGTACATACTTTCCATATTAAAGGCTTCCAACATATGCGGATATCCAAAAGCTAGGCTGGGACATCATACTCATGCCCTCGTTTTGGAACGTTTCAAGTCGTTCAAGGCAAGCATCACACTGTCTATTCTTTGGCCGACAATTTGGCCTGTTGCATCGAAACACCTTCATACCAGACTCTAAAAAACAATCGTCGAGCTGTTTATTAACTCGATGCATAAGATGATCTTGATACTCGCGAACCCATGGCCTCGACCCTTCAGTTTCGTTCTGGCTCATTAGTGTACGGTTCTTTAACCTCACTTCATGTATAACAAAGGGATAAAATTCTTTAGCCCATTCTTTGTCATGGGGTGACAACCCGGTAGCCATCTTATCCGAGACTATACCACTTGTCACCAAGTCTTGAGACATTTGATAGCTCATTATAGATTCGCTATCATAACAACTCCTAATGCTAGCATCATGAGCAACCCAGAAAATGTTGCGGTCGATGTCATGGATCGTGAAGCTATTCGTTCTGTACCTTGCGATGACAGCCGTCCTATTCCACTGAATTCCAGCCTCTGGAGAGGAATGTTCGTGCTCAAAGCCGAGTGCGTGACCAAATTCATGTAGTATTATGTGACGGTTATACTTTTTATCGCCATCAATATAATTGAGCCACATTGTCGCTTCATTCCGGCCACCATCCAAAGCCTTGACCCCAATGTAAGACCTAGACTTGTCGCTGTATAGGATACGAATATCCGAAGGTTCTGAAGATGAGACGAACCGAAATTTTATATTGGCGTGCAATGCCCACATACTCGCAGTTTCTCTCACGAAGTCATCTCTATCTTGCGACGTTGAGTTCAGGATGGCCACTGTAATGATGAGTCTCCCATCCCTCGGGTCCCTGCCATGTTTTGTGGTATTAGGCGTCCAGCACTTAGAGGGGTTACCGCACAGGGCGAGAGGCTGTGCGATATTAGTATTAAGTTTAACGATGAAGTTTTCAACTGGAATTTCTGAAACTGCCTTGTCCATGTCGACCGTAAGCCTTAGTCGGCGATATTTCAAGGTATAGGATAAGAGAGTTGGATTTTAGGGAATTAAGATTGGAGTGTCGCGCCTTGGGGAAACGAAGGAGGATTTATTTCAAAAACAGGATATGACTTTGTTTATATATTCGAATCGCTGGGGGGGTTGGATCATTAGGTACATACTTTTACCTAGTATACCATATCGATGAGAATCTCGGCTTCTAATTATTCTTTAGATAAGGATGCGTGAACCCGGATGATTCATGATGCACAGGGCACTTTCTTTTCATGTCTAATAGAAGCTGACCGTCTAAACAGAACTCTAGAAATCCACACAAGGTATCTAGTAGGTACCTACATATCTGATAATAAATCTATGGACCAACTTGGCGGCGCGAATTGCACATGTCGATTTAGTTCAACTCGTCCTATTTAATGTGAAAAGCATTGGTCTTTCGGATCGAGCAATCAACTAACGAGAAAGGTCTCAAGATACCTCTACCTAAATATACCTATTCATTGTAGGAAACGTCTAATCGCCATAACTCACATATACAAAATTCTACCCATATAAGTAACTACATACATAACATCTTACCTGCGAAACCCCTTCTAGATCGATCTACGGCACAGTGTACCCGCCATCAACAATGATATCGGTACCATTCGTGTACGACGAGGCGTCGGAAGCCAAGTACAAGTAAACACCCTTCAACTCCTCCGGCTCACCTTCCCGTCTACAACCAAAAGTTAGCAGGACAAACATCAAGGAGACTCGAAAGGAGACATACCCCATCGGGATCTTGCCCTTGATGATATTCTTAGTTTCCGGTGCAATGAAAGACGAGATCTCGGTCTTGATGTAACCAGGAGAGACCGAGTTAGCACGTGCGAAGCCAACCCACTCGATAGCCAATGACCTGCCTAGATCCAATGGGTAAGTACAGACACCAAGTTTCTCATAGCCAGACACGACCTACAAGCATGAGTAATCGCCGCCTTGGACAAATTATACACAGTCTGCTGTTGGGGGATATTGACGATGTGGCCGCTCATACTAGACGTGGCGATGAAGCTGCCGTATGTGAAGTTCTCTAAGGGTTGCCCGTCGACCGTAGTTCCCTCCTTCTTCTGCCGTCGCCAGTGCAGCGCAGCGGCGCGCGCGCAGAAAAGAGTGCCTTCGATATTCACCTTCAGTACTTTTTGCATTGTCTCTAGCGGGCCGTCGATGAAGGGGCCCTCTTCCCATGCAATGCCCGAATTGGCGACGAAGACGTCAAGTCTACCGTTGAAGTCCTTCACGATCTCGTCGACGGCGGGTTGAACCGTTTCCCATGTCGTCACGTTGACTTGGTAAGCCTTGCCTATTGATACAAGCCCAGTTTAGATATGTTGGTGCCTTGGAAGTCGAGAGGGTCCACTTACACTTCACGCCATATGTCTTCTCGATGTTCGCAGCCTCGTCAAGAGCTTTCTTATTGGAGTTATACCAGATCGCAACATTCGCCCCAGCCTCGGCCTATTTCTGATTAGAATCCCTCACAGTAAAGCGGTGGTATTGCCAAAAACATGTCTAATTTTGGGGCCGTGTGGTATGCTTCCATCTCGAATCGTCTTTATAAAAGGGGCTCGTATGGGGATATTAAAAAAGCGAGGTCTAGTTCACTTACTATTCATTTATCAGTATACGAACAGAACGTAACAAAAGTAAAAGCTTAAGGCGATCCGACGAAATCGTAGGTTTTAGACAGGGGCCTTTTGTTCGTACCGAATGCATGAGCAATTGCAAGGCCGATACCAGCACCGGCTCCAGATACGATAGCCGTTCTACCCTTCAGCGAGAATAATGGTAACACTAGGTTAGACTTCGGGGGTTCCGTGCTGTCGTGCTTAAAAGCGCCAGTATTTATATCGGCCATACTGATACTTTTCGATGACGCCTCTATAATATCCCAATAATTCAGAAAATCTAGGTAGACTTAAAGGTAGTACAAGTGATAAGACTTAATAAATTATTTCCATCGGCAGCGAGAAAAGAGAGAAAAAGGAACACGAAAAGATCCAGATATTACCCAGGCATGATCTTATAAGGAAAATGAGAGATTTCAAATGGATTATATATGAAGACGTGATATCCCGAAAGTGTACGCCGTATATTGGGTTATACCGAATTGCGCCGATGTACTGGACCCGGGCCGAAGATGACGTACGGATGTAGTTAGGGGTAGCCCACGAACCACTGCACCCTGCAAGCAAACTGCGGAGAATTAACCGTTTGAATGGAATTGTGAATTGTGGTTTGCTGGAGCGTCTAGCTACTGCAGCACTTATTTTAGCAACCATCCAGGTGAGCGTGGGATTGCTGCGCTAAGAGATGCAAGCTCGTGAGCTCAGTAGTAGTGGCACATGGAGGGATGGAGATAAGCGAGAGCTAGGTTTCATCTGTCTATAGTACGTAGTACCTAAGACCTTTAGGCAAAGAAGCACGGGGGAAAGTCACTTGATTCCCGTCATCCATGTTAAAAGGTTGGTGAAAGAGACAAATACAGTCTGACAGTAAAACGTTATAAGTAACTGGATTACCATTTACAGTAACTCGAATATCTCTCAATGACTAAACTTGAAAGCCAAGAGACATTTTCGCCGATTTGGAACCTGCTTTACCCGATCGTGGTCGATAGGACCGGGGGTTATGGCGGGTTATGACCAAGTGAGCGCTAGCCTATAACTCGCTTCAGGATCTCGTCTCGTGGATAATTGGTATTTCTCCATCTCGAGATAAAATCATCCCGATTAACTTGAAAATCATTAGTAAAGCCAAGATGACTAAGACGCTAATGAATGAATCTCGTAAACTCACTATATCCCCCACATATCCTCCGCACTCCCGTAAATGCGCTTCTACCATGTAAGACTCGCCAATTGTCGAAGACTATGAACTCAGATCAGTACGATTTCCGCTTTAAAGTGTGGACTCCTCATTACTTAATAGGTTGCCAGGCTTAAGCTGAAACCAGTATTCAATAGACTCTCTTCTCAAGATGCTATCCCACTTCCTTGCGGCTTTATACCATTCTTCTGGTGAATACTCGCTATCGAAGGGAACAACTCCACGATCGTCGTTATTCCATCTAACCCGCTGCAGCTGCCCAGTGCTCTCATCGACTTCGAGAACCGGATAAAGTTTGTCGGGTGATATTGTGATACCCTTGTTACCGCTAGCATGCCATGGTAACTTGACTCGACTTAGCACTTCAAAGGCTTTCGGGTCGTCCTTCTTGAGAATGTTTGCAGCATTGAAACCATCGACAAGCAAGGACTGTCCTCCAAGGTTTGCTCCTGGTTTGTCTCTGGAACTATTGTCCGTATGGGAAAGTAGGTGGAATGCTTGCAGCCCTGCCGGGTCAGTGAAGTAAGTGGTGTCGGTATGAGCGCCTAGTGCTAGGTTCGTGTACGCAGTGTCGGCGAGGGCGAGGTCTGGAATGAAGTCGTAGAAGCCGCCATAATGCGTCAGCCTGATAAACGCGATCTTCTCCAATAACTTCTCGGTCGGTTCGGCGGATTCAATTGGTACTTCGGTAATGAATGCAAAGCCATTGCGCCTCTAAGTTTGCCATGAGAATACTATCTTGTCTTGAAGTTGAATAAGAATGGCTTACGATGAAATCCGTCAAGCGGCCAACTGTCTCGGCCTCGTTTGCTGAGAATTCACCATATTTCAAAGACGGCGGCCAGCTACGTGAGCTCTGAGACCCTTGTGCTCCGAAATATTCTATCCTGTGGCTACCGTTAGTCGAATTTGAATGATTCATTTGACTGCAATAGGTCATACTCAATGGGTTCTGGCGCTCTTCTATTGGAGCTTAGATAGAATTCTAGGAAATCCCACGGATAGAAACTTTTGTGATCGTCCCCTGACCCTACCCGAATGATTAGGTGGCGCTCTTCGGAAGGTTACAAGAACGTGAGCTCTCACATTGTATCTTAACCCCGTCTTCAGTCGCTTCAATCTGCGACGGCTGAATATTGTCGGTGATCTAATCTCATCTTAGCTTCGAATGAATGAATTAATGAGAAAGAGGGCTTTATACATCGAAGGTATTGAAGTTCCTCTGCCTAGTATCTTGATTGATACAACTGTTGCACCGACAGTTATCGCTGGAAATGTGAGTTGCACTGCATGCGCCATGTCTCACGGGTGGTCCACATACCGTAACCAAAAGTAAGGGCTTCTCCAATGTTACCACCGGAGTTTTCAATAGGTACTTCAGCGTTTGTAACTATTACTTACAGTGAGGTCCTTTTCAAGTTACTAGTGATATTATTAGGGTATGCGAACTTGAGTTGACCAGGCGAAGTTGATACGAGAGGCTTCTCAGTGGCTATGGCCGTAGCCAACATTCTGCATTGCGATTGACGTAGATATGACCAGCTAGGGTGAGTTGCGGATGCCCGGCTACAAGTATGGTCAGCTTCTTTATTCATCTCGAGATCTTCTATGTACTTCACGAACCACACTATATGCCGGCTGCATCTTCCTAGACCCAATCTAAAACTCATCTTAAGTCCTAACCGAAGTCGGACAGATACAAAATTTGGCGGTACTCAATGAAATTGAGGGTCATATACATAGGGCGGTTACCAGGTGTGCGAGACAATAAATGTCACTTCCAAGTGTTCGTAGAAGAGTGTAAGATGGGTGAAGTGAGTGGAGGTCGGAGCAGTGGAAGTCGCTTAGAACAGTGGCTAGACGCTATGCTGCGCCACAAATTACAGGTACTTCTCAACTACGACTTCCTTATATTCAACGGGCTAGTCTCCAAATTTAACCCATTCCATCACAACTTCCAAATCACAAATACATTTCTTTACTTTACCTGATAGATAGCTACCTAGTAGGTAAATAATAGGGACATCAGTTATAGACGACCACTAGGCCCCACTCAATTAACATTAAAGTCTCAAGACCACAAATTCTGCTACTTTCTAAGTCTTTACCTAGTTCTATCTACCTTTGTTTACTATCATCGAAGTAGCCGCCAACTCAAGACTTGCTTGTGGAATATACACAACTATTCGAGGCATATCTATCATGGGTCTGGTTCTATATTCAAATATGATACAAGCGGCCCGAGGCCGTCAATCCGTGAAATCATATATCCGTCTCCTGACACTCAACACCATGGCTACAGATTTAACTACGAGCGTACTTCAGAGTGACATAGAAAAGGGTCAGGTCGATCCTGGTAGCACTCGCATGACCAATTATGTACGAGATATCACTTGGAGAGTCATTCCCCTCTGTGTTGGATTTCTCATTATTCTCTCCGCTGGTGCTACTCTTGTTATAACCCTTATGTATAATAAGGCGCTGCCACATAAGGAAACAACTGTGGTATCTATAATGCTCATTGCATTTATCATTCTTTTCTGTATAGGCCGAGCATTTATCTATCACAGAAAACATTACCCACCCCTGACAAAAGGACCCAACGCCCCAGATCGCCCACCCCCAAAGAATAAAACTTGGAAAGATAGGGCAAGTGTAATTGGCACTTTGACGATAGGCAAGTTTAAACTCGGCAAGATTTATCATCTTCATCATCACGAAATCGAACCCGAAACAAATCCCCAAGGAATCCCGGACAAACCTACTGAGCTCTCAGGCTCGCCTCATGGGCAAGACGCTCCCAAGCAACCGAATAACGTACGATCGTCTAATACAACCAAGAGCCAGGATCCTACAGGCTATGGGATGAGAGATAAGAATGAATTTTTACAACTGAACAAGAAACCCGTGCGACGAATTCCTATCCCAGGACATAATCATCATAATCCTCGTCACCACTCATACACACCTTCAGAAGATAAAATACCCGAAGTACCTGAAGAAGATGAACAGGATGACACCGAAAATGATATGAGAACACCAGTTTCAAGGCATTCAAATACAAGAGTAAGTTTACACAACTAGTAGAAAGTATAACTAATTCTTCCCATCGAGTTACTAAACCTTGTAGAATAAACGCACAGCTGTTAACGCTGATGGAGTAAGTCCAATGAGCCGCAACTCGGGGAAAAGTTACTCGCCCTATTCACCAAATGTCCAAATGACAGGTGCAAATAGAAATCTAGTCACACGCAACGAGTCTCCAAAGTCTCCACAAAGTTTTCATATGCCTGAAACTAAGAGAACATCGCGTGAATATCCTATAGAAGCGTTGCAACCACCGCCGCGAAGTGTTCACCTAAATGTAGATAAATCCGAACCTCTTGCAAATCTAGTGCGCATTCCGCATAGCATCAACGATCGAGCCTTTACTGAGGCGCTTCCCGACAATTATCTTTACATAATCGACAACCAGCCAAGCGGGCCAGATGACGGGTCACAAGTGGCTCAATCTGGGTGTAGATGCGAATGTAAATACAACGGCGTAAAGAGACCAATAAGTCAGGTATCTGAACCGAAGACGGATGGAAAAGCAATCCACGTAGACGCACCTAGAATATCGAGTATAGAAACCACCGCTCCCAAAGTCTCAAAGGTTCGGGAGTATCGAAATACAGGAGACTCGTCAGAGGAAGAAAACATATTCCAAACAACCCACCCATCATCAACAACTCGCCGTCGTCGCGCCGAATCCCGACGCCACGAAACGGACTTAAAGAGACACACAACCTCCCACCAAGAGAAAGACAATCCATCCAAGCCCTCAAATAGCCACATGGAATTCCCCAACCAACCCCCGTCCCCCAAACTCCCTTCCGCACCACCCAAGACCAAGCCACCCCCAAGCCGCAGAGACCCAGAGTCCCCAAGAATCCAAGCAGACCGGCGAAGACACCAGTATTACACCGCGCACAACTACTTCCGCAGCGGCAAAGAAGCGCATAGAAGGCCGTTAAACCGAACTTGGGGCCGGCAGCAGATCCCGAAGAGAAGGGGACATAGAGCGAATACTATAACAGAAGGATACACAAATAAGCAGCAAAGCCCGCTAAAATTCGTAGAGAAAGAAGCGCTGGACATCCGTCCGGGAACCGGTTTGCGAAACCCTGAACGAGATTCGCGCCAGACGCTCTGGGTGCCGCCGCGCGGGAGTAGTAGAGGGTTTTCCGACATCTACGGGACCGCCAGCAGGACGGCATCCGATGGGGATAACAGCAGCGAATCATCCGACTATCGACAATTCGAGTGATGCACAATATAAAAAACCGCAGACAAGAAGGTATATCGAGATTTGACATGGCTTTGAGAGAGGGTAGTTGGATATTAGGCGGTATAGCTAAAAAGAGGGTAGATTTATCTACGTCTAGAAATCGTAGCCTCCGTAAGGCCGTGCAACGCCTCCCTTCCAATAGAACAATCATTATTTTATTGCATCCACATCCCTAACATCCAGCGCGTGAGCGTAGAGTTATGTACCTTATATAATGTCCCTAGTATTTAGGGTAATGTGGTTTGGCTTATAGCCCGCGAAGTCTATCCCAGAAAGAGCCTGAGGACTTCACGGGTTGCGCTAGTGGCTCCGGTGATAGGATCACGGTGTTCCACTTGTCTACGCCGTCAATGTAGACAGTATACTTCAAGCTGCTCTGCTCGCCTTCCGCGAACTTCTCCATCGTGATCACGCCAAATTTAGAGTTACCCTTGTTTATGTACCTATTAATGTTAGCTTGCTGATCACGCACGAGATTAATAAATAACTTACTTCAATTCAACGTCTTCATCATCCGTTTGGGAATAAGTTCCAATAGGCGAGTAGAACTGGTTTAGGGGGCTTGCTGAAAATTCATGAACCGTCGCACTTTCCGGCCATGTACCATTCTTTGGTGGCGGGAAAGCAGTGACGCCAAATTCATGGCGATCTCCAGACAAGACAACGACACCTACTCCAAGGATGCTTGCATCCCACATCGCCTCAAGAATCTTTCTGCGCTCGGAGAGGAAGCCGCCCCAAGTATCCCTAGTATTCACCCTCCAATTCTTCGTGAATGGGACGGAGCTAGCAACGACCTTCCATTTCACCCCCTTGGGTTCTGGGTGACGCAGCCAATCGAGGAAATCCCCAAGCTGTGTCTCACCAAGCATCGTCTTGTTCGGGCTGTCGAATGGCTCGGAGTTCTTGGACCGATAAGACCTAGTATCGAGCATGAAGAAGCTAGCAGGCCCCTGAGTGAAAGAGAAGTAAGTAGCCTCTTCTCGCGATACAAGGCTTCGGGTTCCAGACTTCTTAGCCACTGGGGGATTCGCTACAGTTTGGTAATGGCGCCACGGGTCTACAGCGGTCTGATACACACCGGTCGAATTCGAATCCCAGTCGTTGGAGATCTCATGGTCATCCAGAACATGAATCCAGCTGAGATTTTGGCCTACCGCAGGCCAGTCAGGCGAGGCATAAACCTGGCGATACTTTTGCCGATAATTCTCAACAGATTCGCCGAATCTTTTTGGCACTTCAATATAGATGAAGTCTCCAAGAAACAACATGAATTGCGCACCCAAATCCGGTAAAACCTTAGCTAAATGCTTCATTCCTGGGAAGGCTAGAGGGTGATCAAGAGGGTTGTACGGTAGACGGGGAACGATGCATGACGTGGAAAGGAAAGTGAATTTTCCATCAAATAATTCCGGCATAGTTCCTGGTTTGGGGGCAGATGTGAATTCTCCAGAATGGTTGTTAGATGTAGTCCATTCGTATACACGTTGTTTGGAATGAGTCAGGGGGATGGTAACTAGTGCGGTATAGTCGGTCTCGTTAGTAGTCAACTTAACATCGCCAGCGGTTTGCCATAGAGGATTATCAAAAGGTGGCTTGGCATCCTTGATATGAACTTGGACTGTAATAGGCATTTTGGATTGATCGGGCTCTCGAATCAGTAATTTTGCCTCAGTGTCCGAAACATATCCAACTCGAGCAAAAGAAAGGTCATGGCTAGGATGGGACCACCGGGGTGTATACACCATGTCCGTGACCATTGCGATGCATGCGGCATTGATGAGAAACGTTAGAGCAGTAAGAATAAAGCTGTTCGGGTTTGGCGTCCCCTTTAATAGAGTGCCGATAGGGTTCAACGGTTTCTGTCTTAATGTGTCGGTCTCCTCTACGTCAACCTCTTCAACTACGACGGCTTCATCTGTAGTTCCATTTGCGATCTCGTCTTTATTTAATATATCTTCCTTTAAAACCACGTCGACTTCGTCAAGAAGTTCATACTTGGATTCATTGAGGTAACCTAATATGAAAGACGGGACATATATTGCGAATAGAGCGTATATGGCGGAAATGATAGGCTAGGAGCGTCAGCGGTTGACGATAGGATATTCAGTTGGAAGATAACGCGGTGCTTATAAAACTTACGGGTAAGGCGACCTGCGACTGTTAGCGGATATGGCACTATTAAAAGGGGTAAGGGCTTTTTTACCCATCGCAGAAATATAACTGAAGCGATTCTGATACCAGCCGACGTAATCGTCGCTGTTGTCTTATGTCCCCCCATTTTTAACCGCCTGAGTTGCCTGGGAACTTCGGGATGCAGGCTGCGACAGAATAAAAGTCGAGCCTGACTTATATAATCCAAAGAGATCAATCAGGAGATGTAAGATATCTGTATAAGTTCAACACATATGAATGACAGAATAGGAAAAAAAGCTTGTAGGTTTTGAGATAGAGAAGAAGTTCTTCACAGAAGCTAGAAGGCCTATGATGGCGTGAGGAACTGGTGGTGGTGGGAAGAAGCCATCAAAGTTGTAGGGAGTAAAAGGTAGGATTTCAAGTCGCGAGCTACTGTAGGCACTCTAGGCAGTCTGTCGCAATGTGACGACAGTGATTACCTAGCTGCATATTGTGGCTTGAGCTCCCCATAAATCTCCGCCAATTGGTCTTTGACCGTGTTTAGTTGATTGGCAAGAATCCCTGACCCTAACATTTAAATCCCTATTGAAGAAAGCTTATTAACCAATGTCAGCCAATGAAATTACATTGATTAGGTTCAGTTTTTGCCCCACCTTGAAATAAATCCTACAGGGATTAGCAAAGATTATTGTCGGACCATCAATAACCCGACCCCTGAACATTCAAGGTTCTGTAGCGTGGCAGTTTACATAGTAGTGTCAATTGTCAATCGCGACAAGCTGTCCGGAAACCTTGACAAGCTTCACAACTCCGATTGCGCACAACAACACAAGATGAAGCTAACACTATTATCAGCCGGGCTTTTCGCCTCTCTTGTGTCTCTAGTCTCAGCAACAGCTTTGACATACAAGATTGGAGCAAACGAAAAGGCTTGCTTCTTCGCTGCACCCGACAAGAAAGGTGCCAAGATTGCCTTCTACTTTGCCGTATGATTCCACCCTCTCCATAATCTACTACCTACCTAGGTAGCTAACCAGCTATTGCAACAGGTCCAATCCGGAGGTTCTTTCGATATCAACTATGAAGTCACTGGTCCTGGAGATAAGGTCATTTTGGATGGGGAGAAAGAGCGCCAGGGAGATTTCGTCTTCACGGCCAATGACATTGGCGAATACAAGTTCTGCTTCAATAACGAGATGAGCACATACTCGGAGAAGTTTGTAGACTTCGAGATTGCTGTAGGTTTATTACTTGCTTGCAGACAACACACAGTCTAACGAATTACACAGGTCGAGGACGAAGTGCGGGCTCAACTTCCATCTAAGCAAGGATCGACTCCGGAACAAACCTCAGCCCTAGAAGAATCTATCTATAAGGTGTCGGGTCAGCTATCCACCATTGCACGAAACCAGAAGTATTTCCGCACACGAGAGAACCGAAACTTCAGCACTGTCCGAAGCACAGAAGGCAGAATTGTCAACTTCAGCTTAATTCAATGTCTCATGATGGTCTGCATGGGCGCTTTACAGGTCTTTGTCGTTCGATTCTTCTTCCAGGTACGTGAATTGCTCATATATGGCTGGGTTTATATTAATATCGTGGCAGGGTGCACGAAAGGGTTATGTGTAAACGAACAGTTTCGGACATTAAGATCAGGACTGGTTTTGCGGCGTATATTGGAACAATGGTTGGCTTTGGCACCTCGTACTGTATCATAGGAGTCAAAAAGGGGGTGGGAATTGTGAACGCGTTTGAGTGGAGAAGCTTTGCGATTGATATAAAGGAAGCCTATCAAATTCCGTAATGCATGCTACGACAATGAGTCACTTAATCTCTACGTAAACAACATCGAGTAAATTAAGGACATTTTTACATGTGTTCAATGTATAACTGGCGTGCTCCATACAGGAGGTACAAGTCGTCCATATCTTGTGACCTAATCTGCATTTCGAATGGGCTGTGATACGCCTTTAACAAGCTAGAGATATTTCCTCTGCCAAAGATCGGTTTAATGAACTTGTCCCATTTTACCATTTTGCCCTCTTCAATAACTCTTACTAACTTCGACTTTGATATGGTAACTATTCCCATTGTTAAGCCATATCACATGATATTTACATTGGGTTTACCTGCATTTAAAAACCGTGGCAAAGCGTCTTACCAGCCACAACCTTATTTGACAGTACCCACTTTAAAGTAACCCGCAAGATTTCAACTAGCAGCAACTGCTTTCAACAACGCGAATCTTAATCATTTCGTCTAATAATTTTTTAAACAGCGCGTCTCCGCAAAGCAACATCGGTCATCATCATGGCGACATCGCTTGCAGCTGCTTTACCGAAGCCGAAATATTCGGGAGAAGATGAAGATATCCCAGCGCACGCCCAGCAACGCGGTCCTCGAATTGTAGGAGCTGGTCAAATAGATGAATCACAAATTGTTCTACGAAGAACAGGTCCACCTCCATATGGCCAACGAACAGGATGGCGACCTCGAGGCCAAGAGGACTTTGGCGATGGCGGTGCTTTCCCAGAAATTCCCGTCGCGCAATATCCATTATCCATGGGTAAAGAACCGGGTACAAGCAATGCTCTAGCGATCCAAGTCGATGCCGCGGGTAAAGTCAAGTACGATGCTATCGCGAGACAAGGACATGGCGAGGGCAGGGTAGTTCATTCGTCATTTAAAGATCTGATTCCCCTCCGACAGCGTGCCGATGCGGGCGAAATCAATCTGGAGAGGCCTAGCGAGCAAGAGGTGGCAGAGACGAAAGATCGAACAGCGAAAGCTCTGGCTTCGCTCGTGAGCGGAGCCGTGGCAGCCCAGAAGCCGAAGAATGTTAACGTTGGTAATCGAAAAGACCCAACATTTGTACGTTACACACCGGCGAACCAGATGGGAGACAACTCGAAAAAACAGGATCGCATCATGAAGATTGTGGAGAGGCAAAAGGATCCCAGTACGTACTTTTCCCCTATTTACTTATTGTATCAGTATCCGGAAGATATGCCTCCACCATGACTATTCTATGCCTCAATTGCTGATTATGTGTACTACAGTGGAACCGCCGAAGTTCAAGCACAAGAAGATCCCACGAGGACCTCCTAGCCCGCCGCCTCCTGTGATGCACTCACCACCACGCAAGTTGACCGCCGAAGACCAAGAGATGTGGAAGATCCCGCCCCCAGTATCAAATTGGAAGAACCCGAAGGGTTTCACAGTTCCTCTAGACAAGCGACTAGCAGCAGACGGAAGAGGGTTACAAGATATTACGATCAACGACAAGTTTGCACAGTTCTCAGAAGCCCTCTTTATGGCGGATCGACATGCTCGTGAGGAAGTTAGGCAACGAGCTCTTATGCAGCAGAGGCTTGCAGAAAAAGAGAAGTCACAAAAAGAAGAAAATCTCCGCATGCTTGCGCAAAAGGCCCGGGAAGAGCGTGGTGGTGCTTCAAAGCGTCGCGATTCGAGATCATCGCGTGACTCTCGTTCGCGTTCGCGTAGCTACAGCTATTCGGAGTCTGGTTCGGATAGTGATGGTTCGGAAGTTCGCGAAAGGGAACGAGCGCGCCAAGAGAGGCGTCGAGAGGAAGAGCGCAAACTTCGCCAATCACGTATGGGTGCAGAAAGACGAATCCAGGTCATGGCACGGGAGCAGAACCGTGATATCTCAGAGAAGGTCGCCCTTGGCTTGGCAAAACCTACGACACAGGCCGAGTCCATGTATGACTCACGTCTATTTAACCAGACAAGCGGTTTCGACAGTGGTTTTAACGAAGATAACCCTTATGACAAACCCCTATTCGCAGCCCAAGATGCTATCAGCAGTATATATCGCCCCAGCCAGAATATGGATGAGTACGAGGACGAAGGAGCTGGAGATCGGGAGATGGCCAAGATCCAAAAGACTAGTCGGTTTGGCGAGGTCTTGGGTAAGGGCACTTTCAAGGGAGCAGGCGATGCTGAGGTCAGTACTACCGAACACTTACAATTGACTTTTACTAATTCTGGTTGAAATAGGCGCGGGAAGGACCGGTTCAGTTCGAGAAGGACACCGGCACTAATGATCCATTTCAGATGGATAAGTTTATGGCCGAAGTGGATCAAAGCTCTTCGTCAAAGAGAGGTTATGGGTTACAGGAAGGAGAGTCAAGGCAACCGAAACGTGCTCGAGTGGATGAGGACGACGATTGAATGACACAACCGTCTAGGTCCTTCTCGTTATGTTGACTTATGGGAATCTGTATATACAAACACCGGAAGGGTTTTTAATTACCCTTCGATGAAATAAGGAATTAATGAAGTCCTCGGGATGCTTAAATCCGCATAAGATGCACACCTACCTAAGGATTAGAATTATTCGGAGTTTCCACGGCAGTTCTTACAGTTATACCATCCATTGAATTTCTCTTCGTCTTATATTCATACTATATCGTCATCCGATGTATCCTACATAGCAGCGAAAATGGGTAGACTATTTCATCGTACTTATAACAAATCCCGGACCGGACCGTCAAGGCGTTAATAATTGCTAGACAAGAAGCGGCGATAAGACGCGAGGTCTGCGTCTCGAACGGAGGACGTTCCAGAACACGGGCTATTTCGTAGCGTGCCTTCCTATTGGCCCTTATTGATACCGTATCGATAGATTAGCCGCACGTCATGGGGGGGCTGTGCTTAATCGTAGCGCGGATCAGATCTTTGCGAAACACTTTTCAAGGGCCGGGACCCGCAATACGATGTACCTGCACTTATCCATGATGTATCCCGTCTTGAAATGATAAAACAGTTAGAAATATCTGTTTGTTCTCTCGATTTTTGATGCGCGTGCGTGCTAGAATATAGACTGGATATATATTTTAGGTTGATACTCGTCTTCCCTACATGGATCAATGTTTACAGCACTGAAGTACTACAGCGTAGATCCCTAAACCAGGGCTCCGGGTATTTGGGTATGACGACAACATGATCAACGATTTAAAAAAGCAAAAAGGTACCAAATGCCCATCCCTGTTGTACATCTTGTACATTAAAATAAAGGGCAAATGATGCGTCACTCAAGCTATCGTACCACCCGGCTCCAGGTTGCGTGTACGTGTGTACTATCCTATGTAGGGCGCCGGACTGAAAAATAGACCGGCATCATCGGCATGATTAGTTACTTGAATGGCCCGAACGTGGAACTTCCAACGCGTCAGCCTTCTCCAGTTCTTCTTGTTCAGGTTTTTTTTGGCGTTGCAAGATTTGATTATGGTGTTAAGGTTCTAAGTTGCTACGGTACCTGTATCGAAGCGCACTGTAAAATATTGCATGTATATTAGGTACAATACATTATAAGGTACCCCCGAGATGTGCTTTGAAGCTTCCCTTTTTATTGGAATCAGAGGGGCTTAGCTCGTATTGCCATTGCTCTTTCTACTTGATGGTTGCGTGACAACAAGGTGTTTACTGCCACTTAACGTTAGGATAGCATTGGACACACCAATGTTGATTCAGATCACTTCAAAGTACAGTACATATCCATTGTATCACCACACGTACCGAAGCTTTGGTCTCGTACATACTGTACCCAACTGACTTTGGGAATCCCGGAACTTTACACGCGCCACCTCAAGAATTCAAGTTGTTTCTTTAAACTTGTCTCCTGCCAACCTATTCCTTAAAACACATACCTCCAACGGTCAACACACAACAACATACACACCAAACCTACGGCTAGAAGCCTTACAATCGTTAAGCAGGTTCTTGAATAGTCGATGAGAGTACGTTCGTTCTGAAGAAAATACAACCTTTTCGACAGAACCGCTTCCCTAAATTGGATATCAATTCATTGGCGAGTTTGCGGCGCAGCTAGGCCGCTAGATATCACTCGCATTCGTTCGTTGTCAACGGTCGCCAAGCGATATTAGTTGGAGCTTCTTTACGAGCTTATCTTCCAAGTCTTTGCAGCTCCTATACAAATATGGGTTGGGAGAATTCCAACAACTACCAGCACAGGGCTGGTCCCGCTTCCTTTCAGGTCAGAGATACCGATGGTCCCGTCGAAATGGTATCTGGTCCACCACCATACTACTCGACAGAACGCCCACTACCGCCACGAGGAAACATGGCATCCCAACCAGCAGCACCCTGGTGGAATCCGAAGTCTTGGAGAAAGAGAACTTGGGCCATTGTTGTTGCAATTGTAGCTGTAATTATCGTTATCGTCATTGTCGTCCCGGTAGAGGTTACTAAGGCGAACCGATATCCGAATTACTCTTTCCTCAATTACAGCCTATCAGATACATGTACGTTGCTCAACTAACACCTATAGAAAATGGAAGCAACAATTTTACTAACCTTTACTTTTTAGACAACGGAACAACTTTCTTCGACAAATTCGATTATTTCGAAGGATACGACCCGGCCGAAGGTTTCGTTCACTACGTTCCGCAGGCGCGAGCTGCGCAATTGGTAGGTGCTCGATTGTTTCGTTCTTCGTCGCAACCCTAACCTCTTTATCAGAACCTCACATATGCAAGCACGGAATCGGCAATCTTGAAGGTTGATACCAGTGTCGGCAACACCTCTTCCCCAGATGCGTCTACTGGACGCTTCTCCGTACGGGTCCAATCTAAGACTCAGTATGACAATGGTCTATTTATCTTCGACGTGAAGCATACCCCCTTCGGGTGCGGAACATGGCCGGCCTTATGGCTCGTCGACCCTAACAATTGGCCGGCTAATGGAGAAATCGATGTGATGGAAGCTGTGAACAAGGCCACGGATGGAAATCAAATGACGTTGCATACGACGGATTCATGCGAAATGAAAGTCAAGCGCAAGATGACCGGTACTTCCATCGCAACCGATTGCTACAATGCCACCAACTCCAACGCTGGCTGCGGTGTTAAAACTGCCGTAGATACTTACGGTAGTGCCTACAACGACGCCAACGGTGGTATTATGGCCATGGAGTGGCGTAACGAAGGTATTCGAGTCTGGCAGTTCGGAAGGAACGGGATCCCAACCGACATCACGACCGGAAGTCCGGACCCGACCACCTGGGGCGAGGCCGCTGCCGACTTCCCAAACACGGATTGCGATATCGGTTCTCATTTCAAAAACCAGAGCATTATCGTCAACATCGATCTTTGTGGACAGTACGCCGGCAATGTGTACGCTACAAGTGGCTGTCAGTATTATCTTCTTACCTTTTTAGGGGATAAATTTCTAACTCTTTATAGGCCCCAGTAATTGCACTGACTACGTCGCTAATAATCCTACCGCCTTCACCAACGCGTACTGGGAATTTGGTGCGTTCCAGGTCTACAAGGCTTCCTAAGCGTTGGAGGTCTATATGACTTAATAATGATTGGTATCATTTGGAGTTGGTGGTTATTTCCGGTTTGTTTAGGTTACGGTACTATTACTGGCGGGCGGAGCGAGCGCTGCGAAGCTGACAAGACATGGATAGAGGCTTTACGTGGATTTTCTTAATCTCTTGAGATGTGAATAGGCAAGTATATGAGAGGTATGCTATACGATGGGTGGAAGGTCGGGAGGTTGGGGTTTATGAGGCGGTACTATGGGATATCCAGAGCCAGACTACTATTACAGTTATTCGGCTTGCGAGAAAAGCAAGTTAAGAAAAAACCTTTTACGTTTACTGCTTAATGTTCCTTCCTTTTGGTGCCGACCGATCTATTATCTCGAATAGCCCGTTAGGCGACCGCGGTGAGACGGCTTCCTAGGCCTAGGAATAGAGATACTGACTTCATGATCATGCTTTCGCACCTCCTGTTGTTGCTCAGGCTTTATATTTCTATTGATGTATGTGCTTATACGACTTGTTAGGAGTAATCTCTCTACAGTTGAGTTATGTATGGGCGACGGCCATCACCCCCTTATATGCGCAATAGTACTAAACAAGCAACCGCGATCTATAATCTCCATATAACTTGTAGTAACACTGATAACTTAGTCTAAAGCCATCCATCATCATAAAATTTATTCAGATTGACCTCACTAACCAGAGTCAACCACAATATATCATGGAGCTCATACACACCTAAATATGTCAGAGTACGAAGTATCTACACTCTTAATCCACTTTTCTCTCGATCTAGTTTTCCCGACCCATATCAATTTTTCGGGTCTCCTAGCCCTTATCGGTCCTTCAATGTTGGTAGAAATTGAATAACCAATAATAGGGAAAAAGACAAAAAGAACTCCGAATCGGGGAATCGAACCCCGGGCTTGACGGTTCCACTGATTTCTCATTATGAGAGCGTCAAATGTTAGCCACTACACCAATTCGGACTGATAATTCTAAGTGGAAATCGTGTTTCCGTGAAATTCCATGAATTATTTATCTCGTAACAACCATAATATAGACAACCCACATAGGCGGCAAACATGTTTTTCATCCCCACTTCACCATTAGTCATAATAGACATAGAATAGGACTACTAGGTATACAAGCAGTTAAGCGTTTACATTACTCTATCATGGATGAATTTTAGCTCATCTTCCAGTAGTGACATTTGTTAGCTGTCCCATGATGTCCATCTTCTATGAACCTCAAGATCCTAAGTGGAGAATATGACCCCCTTCAATAGATCCGCGCAACCATAACGCCGTCATGCTATGCAATCCGTGACCCAACGCCGTTTTGGAGTCTTTAGTTGCCAAAAGAACCATGTTCATAATCATACACCCGTGTTCTTCTCCCTAGTATTCAGTCCCCTGTATTTCTTTCTACTCGTCGTCCTTTGGCTGTCGCAACCAGACATCTATCGCCGCACTAAATGCCGCGAATGCTGCACATCCTCCCGCAACTGCAGTCGGGCCACCACTTCTGGCTAGAATTCCACCCGTTAAGCACCCAGCTGCGGTGCCGTTAACCAGATCGTTCTTAGCACGGTATCCCTCAATGCCGCACTCGATACCGGCAAACATCAGGCCAACGAGACCGAAGTTCTTGGCTGTGCTGTATGACCGTGTTCCCATATCTTTAAAGCCAACCTTCAGCTGCTGGCGTAATGGGAGGGAGGATACTGGAGTTGCCGAGCCCGGTGCGCCGGGGGTGTGGAAGGGTGTATCGTAGGACATCTATGACGAGTTGTTAGAGATGTAATCTTGCGGGGTTGGATGGGATATGTGAGAATGCACATACAGATGCCATGAACATTCCAAAGAGACCGCCCATACCAAACCCCATTACGCCTGAGACTGCGGCTTTGCCAAAACAGGACTCCATCATCGCATTTAACTAGTCCATACACATTAGTACATCTTGGACCGGACGAAGTCGCCGAAAGAGGGGAAGCAAACCCTTTTGATGTTGGGATCGTTCGGATCATATTGGCCTTGCGCCGCAGGGGCCCCGGCTCCAGCTCCAGGTATGCCGTTCATCTTGTAGTATATGATATTTGAATGGGTAGATGGAGGGATAGTTGGTGTCGAGAAGCGACTGTGCGATCATATGCGACATACCAATGTTGCACTAGGAATTGCACATGCGATAACGATTGAAGATAATTATTTTTTTGCCAAATGCGACCGCCCGCTACAAAATGGGGTATTCCCGGGTGGATACCGGTATCTAGGTTTACCCCCACTTGATTGGGTTTACTGGGACCTGCATCGACCCACCCTACCCGCATGCCGTCACAGACCGGCTCAGTGTCGTACTGATAGGTACAAGGGATTTATAATTTAGGAGATCGCTATATCCTTGATAGTAACAAGTTGATATTGACGATGCTGCCAGTATCTAAACTTCAAGCCTCAGTCGTTTGTGGTCTACCAGGTACCCACTCAGGATTTGAGACGCCTGAATCCGCGATCGAATCAGTCCGATTTCATTTCTCATTTGTAAAAATGACTCGTCAACTTGGTGATACCCTCGCTTGCCGGACTGCATGTACTCTGTAGTCACCCGTCCGACAAGATGCCAATCATTCAAATCCACATATACAGACATCCCAGTCATTCTTGACGTTGTTCTTTACGTTACGACCCCTCACGGTAAACACTGGTCCTTTCCGTGGACCAGTGTAGCTATGGGTTTCACGTCATTTGCAAACGAATATATTAATCCTGATAGCACGAATCGGAAAGCAGCTGTCGGTCGACAAATCCCCAAGAACTTGTCAGGTTTGGTAGAAACTTCTGTTGGACTTCAAAAGGCAGCCTTATCCTCGAGGTAGCATAAAAGCTCTCCCTGTCCGCAGACGCTGGCTCTTCTTGACCACTGAATAATTCATCGCCTGTTCTTCTGTAAATCTAATATTACACTTCTCGCACATCAACATCTTTGACCGAAAACTTACTGGGCCTGTTTTTCGAATCATCACCTTTGCTCATTATTTACACCAATATTCACCACTTACATCAAAATGGGCAACGTGCTTACCACGGCCGCTGGGGTTGCCGTCACTATGGCACTTGGTAACCCACTCGGTGCAGCTATAGCAGCTCCAATCCTTGCACTTTTTGGGTTTCGTGATACAGGAATCGGTGCTGGTACGGATTCCTTCTTTTTTTCTTTTTGTCTTGACATGTCCATGTTAATAATATCAATCGCTAACCTATATGGTTTCCGCATAGGTTCTATGGCCGCGTTTTTGCAGAGCGCTATAGGGAATGTTGCTGCCGGAGGTATTTTCGCTGCTCTGCAAGCAGCCGGAATGGCTAGATAGCCCCGGAGCGGATATTGACTATGAATGGAGATGACAGGCTTTGACTTGTCAAACTGGCATTGACCAACTTCATAGTATTCATTCACCCATCCGGGGGCTGTTGGCGATATTAAACCAAGAATAATATGCATACTTGGAATGTTTGGGTTGGGCATGTTAGTATGAGTTTCGAGATGTAAGATACTGGTACATCGATATATGTATGTCGCTTGAGATAACTGGAAGTGTGTACTTAGCTAGCGCACTAGGCATCTGAGACATGCATTATAATGAGTAGATGAACCATACACCCTAAGACTTCAGATACGATAGAGACTTGAGGTAGGTAGTCAGATAGAATCAGAATTAGGAAAACAAAATGCCTTTTTCCAGTAGCCATCGGCAACTACCAATACAGTATACAATGTTCATTTTATTTTGCAAGTACTAGGTACTGTGTAGTAAATTCTCAAGTTTAATAGGAAGTAATATAGAATGATTGAACTAGTACCTAATCTGATGGAGGGGTACGGATTCAGACCCTTGCCAAGCCACTGCGCGGGGAGGACCCAAGCAATGATGGCGTTAATTTACCAGGGGTGTTTGCCTTGTGCTAGCCCTGTTAACCAATGACGGATGTTGATCGATTAACGAGAATTTTTTTCATCTAAACACAAGTATTTTCTGAAAAATTAATAGTGTGGCAGAATCCAAGCTGTTCTGAACAATTTTCCCATTTCTTCAACAATAATCACACATCGTTGTACCAGTCTTTATCCCCAGAACATCGTCAAATTTGATCATGACAGCCATGGCGGACGAAGTTGACGTAGCTATCGCTACCTACGAGGAGCTGATGGACCTTGAGAAGGAGTTTGATGACGTCGAGACTGAAATTAGTAAGTGCTTGCCCAACCACAAGGCTCGGCAATTTTGAAGTACACCTCGAGGCGCCAATTCATGCCATATAACGATGTCTAAACTCGTGCGCAAAGAAAAGAAAATGAATACTAACACTTCCCTTAGTTCGTCAACAAGTTGCCATGAACAAGACCCTCTATGAGAAGAGAGCAGCCCTCATCGCTAAGATCCCCAACTTCTGGGCTTTAGTCTTTGAGCAGGCACCCCCAGATCTAGACCAATATATCCAGCCTAGTGACTCTGCTGTTCTCCTGTCCTCGTTGACTTCTGTCTCCGTTTCTCATTTCGAGATTGAAAATGGCGGCAAGGGCGACCCCCGCAGCGTTTCCATCAAATTCGAATTTTCGGAGAATGACTGGTTCGAAGACAAGGTTCTCGAGAAGAAGTTCTGGTACCGTGTCTCCAAGGACGGCGAGGAAGGCCTAGTCAGTGAGCCTGTCCCCATCAAGTGGAAGTCAGCGGAGAAGGACCTCACCCAGGGAATGTTGGACTTGGTTTTGAAGGTCTGGGAAAACGACAAGAAGAACCCCCCTGCAGACAGCACGAAGATTAAGAAGGAGAAGAACTATACCCCCGATGAGAAGGCATTGAAGGAGAAGATCGAGGCTACTGGATTAGGAGCTGTTTCTTTCTTCGGGTGGTTCGGATTCAGAGGTTTAAATATCTCTGCCGAGGAGAGCCGCCTTGCCATCGAGGAAGACAAGAAGCGACGAGCTGAGAGAGCTGCAGGCAAGATCCCAGACCTCGAGGCGGTAGAAGATGATGAGGATGAAGATGAGGATGAGGACCCCTTAGCCCTTGAGATTTTCCCCGATGGAGAAGAAGTCGCCCTCACTACCAGCGATGACCTCTGGCCTAACGCTATCAAATACTTCAGTAGGTTGACCCACATACGTGAGAGTTCGACTATCACTAACTTGCTCATAGGTCAAGCTCAAGAGGTTGATGTTAGCGACGTAGACTTTGAGGATGAGGATGAAGAGATGGGCGATGATGACGACGAGGAAGAGAAACCCAAAGCTAATGGTGCCCAACCCCCATCTAAAAAGCGGAAGGCCTAAACGTGCTAAAGATAAAAATGAAGGTCGCTAATTTCACTATGTTGCAGCTCGTACAAAATAATTGATCGCTAGATTCGATAGGCCATGGCGGAAGATGATGGATGATATTGGGAAAATGGGAAAATGGGGGGGAAGGGGTACATGAGGTTGTATACCGCATGCGTTTGTGTTTCGATACCAATTGCAAGATATTTCTATAGACTATTGAGAAGTACACAAGAAAGGCCTTAGTTATAGATGCGTTTGGGTGAACTCGATTGGCGATCCAATTCGAGCCCCTGAATATACCGTGCTTTTTTCTCTTTTTACCCGCTACATTCGATGTTTAGCTTCCAGTCATAGAGCGACCCGATGTTTTTATTCATGTGATAGACGCTTGGAGAATTGTGTGAGAGCTGTCCTTTCTAATTTTGAATGCTGACCAAAAAGTAGGAAGCTGCAAGCGGTTGGTTGTGACTCCGAAGGTAGCAGCGTTGAAGACCCTGCAGGTAGACCCCAGCGACTGTTACTGTATGGAACTTCCCCACAACTTCCTTCATCTACTCCAATTTCCAACTTCTTCTCTTTCAACCTTTTCTCTACGTCCAAATCTATCTTCAAATATTGAATATTTAGAGGAAATGAAGTTGATTTAAGTCCATCGTTCAATTAAGAAGCTAAATGATCTACAATCCAGAATGATTTGCTTTGCCAAGAGACTATTATTGCTTCGCTACTGAGATGAGAGATCTACAACCCCGGACCTCTCTCTTTTGAGACGAGGGATCCGCTCAGATCGAACTCGAGCGGTTTCAGCATGCCGATTCAACAAGCATAGCCTCACGGCCTGGGACGGAGCTTCACCCGCAGCTGTCGATTAGGTAGGGATTTTACCATGACAGCCTTGCTCAATTGTATGTCATTGACCTGGATACTGTTGCATCGTTTGACAGTTGTGGTAGTTTAAGCGGTTCATGAAGCTGCTTTAAGATGGGTACTAAGCCAACCCTACGAACATGGGTTCTGCCACCCTGCTGGAACGGTTTGTAGTTGAAGGAGTCTGTGTCCTTTGACACTTTTCAACTTCACTTCTCTTCATTATTGCCTTTGGACTGGAGTTCCTCTCTTTTCGTTTCGTTTCGCCGGGCGACCTTTCATTCAGACTTCATTCTCTTCGTCTCTATCCTTTCTATTCGCTCCAGGTCGAGTTTTAATTATTTTCTTCAACTTCGCCCTAGTGGCTTATTTCCCTTCGAATCTTTTGAGCGACTGTTAAGAGGCTTAAGCCATCGAGAACGCCGGTGATAATTTAATTATCAACTTCCGAAATCGTAGCCGAGACATTTCGTTTATTCAGTTTGCAGGACATGAGGATATCTTGAGCAAATCCGACCTCCTTCCCGGTTCGAAGGCCAAGCCTTTCGTGGGCGAAGTCCCATTGCATTCATTTCCTCAACTATATCACATTCCTTTCATAATGAGATTATCAGTTCATGCAGCAGGCCTCGTGAGCCTGCTGGCAGGTCTCACGAGCGCCATACAAATGGACCTTAGTAGTGAAGGTAGGAATCGGCCAATAACAGCATAGAAACAGCATGGCTAATCAAATATAGACTCTGTCAAGCAGGCAGCAAGCACAGTTGCTTTTGGTCTGCTGAAGTATTATACTGGAAACAACACAGGCGACACTCCGGGAAACTTGCCTGACCCGTATTTCTGTACGTGACCCTATCCACTCTAACATAGCCGTCGCTCATGCTAGTATCAGGGTGGGAAGCGGGAGCTATGTTCGGAACGTTGATCGACTATTGGTTTTATACCGGCGATTCGACATATAACGCCGTGACGATGCAGGCAATGCAACATCAAGCAGGCGAAGATAGCGATTACATGCCGCAGAACCAGACAAGGACACTAGGTAATGATGATCAAGGATTTTGGGCCATGGCGGCTATGTCTGCTGCCGAGAACAATTTCCCAAATCCACCTGCGGGTCAGCCTCAATGGCTAGCATTAGCCCAAGCCGTATTCAACGAATATGTGACGCGATGGGACCCTCAAACTTGCAACGGTGGATTGCGATGGCAAATATTTACGTTCAACAATGGATACAACTACAAGAACTCAATCTCTAACGGTTGCTTTTTCAACATCGCTTCTCGGCTCGCGAGATATACAGGGAACCAAACATATGCTGATTGGGCGGAGAAGGTCTGGGATTGGATGAGTGAGGTTCAATTTATCGACTCCGATTTCAATGTTTACGATGGAGCTGGCGTAGAACAAAATTGCGCCGAAATCAATAAGGCTCAGTGGACTTACAATACCGGCATATTCCTTCAAGGTACGGCTATGATGTACAACTACACTGATGGCAATAGCACTTGGAAAGCACGATTGGATGGTATGATGAACAGGACGATTGATTTCTTCTTCGACGATGGAATCGTAGTCGAGCGACCTTGCGAATCTTTCAACTCCTGCGACTTCGATCAACAAAGTTTCAAAGGGTACTTAATGCGCTGGATGGCTTCAGCATCGCAGATGGCGCCGTTCACTTTCGATACGCTCATGCCATTAGTTCAGTCATCCGCCACCGCGGCGGCACAACAGTGCTCAGGCTCACCACCGGCTACCGCATATAAGGGCCCGGCCGGCACGGCGTGCGGTTTCAAATGGACGTCTAAGGCAGACTTTGATGGGCTTGCCGGTGTTGGGGAACAAATGAGTGCATTATCTGCCATACAGTATACGCTGGTGAAGAAGCAAGCGGTTAAAGCCCCTGTAACTGCTGACACTGGTGGAACTTCTGTCGGCAACGTCAATGCTGGTCGACCAATGGAGGAATATATGCCAAGTATACCGCAAATCACGATAGGCGAGAAGGTAGCGGCCGGTTTCCTGACAACTGCGATTGCATTTAGCGTCGCGGGCGCATCTTTCTTCATAATGAAAGAGTAGAAAATTGGCATCGCTAACGACGAAATGAGGGAACCCCAGAAGACACCGGCTAGAGCGCTAGGAATTCCAGATATAAGGGTGTGCTGGAAATATGCCTGGCACTGGGAGGGGTATCGTACCAGTGGCGTTCCAGGCGAATATTTGACGAACATATTCAGATGCTTTGAAAGCAATTTTTTAATCACGAATAAAATATATGTATAAACCAATATTATGATCAAACATCTAATGCATGGTATTGATATATATAAAGCGCATGAAATAGTTGACTTCTTACGTTACGTGCTCCTATTCGACTTGTATGTTGTTTCCTAATTCTAAGTCTAGACGGTTGCTTAACTGTAGGACGGCTTCTAGATGCAAGTATATACACCGTCAAGGCTTTCTATACACCCAATGCTGCCAGCCCACAAAACGGAGCTGCCCCCATCTTCAACTATATCATCGCCGACGCAGTTTGCGAATTATTCTAGTAGTCCCAACAACCAAACGGACTCCTCAATCCTCCACTAACTCCTCCTCCTCCACCGGCTGCTTCTTCCTCTTCCTCTTCTTCTCACTCGGCCCCGCGAAGAACAACTTAGCCACACCCCCCAGCGACCCATCCATCTTCCTGGTCTCCTTCGCCCCATCAACCTGCTCCACGTTCTCCCGTATCGTATCCAGAACCGCCATCGCCTCCTCCTTCGTCGCGGCTCGGCCCCCCCGCTTCTTCGCGAGGATGACCTCGACAGACAACCCTTTCGACAGAAACCCTCGCATCTTCTTCAGCTTGTGCGAGAGGTCGTGCGGCGTTATGCTCCAGCTTAACTCCAGCTCCTTCGTGTCCAGCGCTCGCCGGCGCGCTGCGGCTTCGATTTCTGCGGCGGCGGCGGCTGCGGCGGCGTTGTCGACGATCCGGCATACGGCTGCGGGGATGGTGATGGGGTTTTCTTCTTCGAAGTCCGCGGATTCGGAGTCGCTTGGTTCGCGTTCGGGTGGCGGCGCGACCATTACTAGGGTGTGCGTTTTGGGGTCCAGCGTCGCGAGAACGCGGTTTAGTAGCTTGGGCTCGGAGAGCACGCCGTCTTCGGCGATGCGCACCCACCGGTAGGGGATGTTGCTGTTGGTGAGACGCTGGCCGAAGCTTAGGATGCGCTGGAGGGCGGGGGTGGTGCTGAGGGGTCGGGTTTGCGATGGATTTGGTGGGGGGTGGGTTTGCCGGCGGGGGGAGAGGAGGGTGTAAGAGGATAGGAGCCGTGGTGGGAGGAGGTAGGTGGCTGTTGTTTGTCGGCTTGGTGAGGACGTCGTGGTGGATAGGTCTGAGACGAGGACTCTGTGGAGGGCTCGTGCTGGGGAGGATTGGAGGAGACAGCGGGGATGCGCCATCTTGGGTGGTGCGGTCTTGTTCCTTTTTTTCGTTCGAATTCTCGAAGAGGTAGTCGTAGCTAGAGTACTACGGGAATTCTATGTAAGGGAACCTCAGCCAATGGTGGTATTGAGGCTGAAAGTGACGTTGTTGAAGATTCGCTATTTTGCAATTGAGTTTTAAGGTTCCATGGTTATACGATTTAAGCGTAGAGTTTAAGCTGGAGCAGCCAATCAGGGCTTGCTACGCTAATCGGGTAGCTTAGTGCCAAGACTTAGCTTTAGTTCGTTCGTCTATTACATCAAATCGACTTGACAAGTTTGTACTCAACCATTCGGATATTTATAGATGTTAAGGTATTCATACATAGACTGGACTATTTCACTTACTTGACTAAGGAAGATGCCATGAGTCCTCCGGATTAGAAACTACTCAACCCAGTTCATAAGGACATTCATTGCCCCTCACCAAAAGCCCACCACCACCAACCCGCTCACTCAACCCGCCGCAATGTCGTCCTCTATAGGCCACCCCCTGAGGGTTCTCCTCTACACGATCAAGACCATGGCACTAGGCCACGTCATCGTGACCTACGGGTACAGCGCAGGGTACGGGTGGGGACCGTCCATGCTTCCGACCTTCCAGACGCGGAACGAGTGGTTCATCACGGACCGGTCATACCGTCGGGGCCGGGGCGTGCGCGTGGGCGACTGCGTCGTCTACTCCATCCCCGTCGATCCAGGCGAGCAGGGCGTCAAGCGCGTCATGGGCATGCCGGGCGACTACGTCCTGCTCAACGCGCCGGGCGTCGGGAACGGGAACATGATACAGGTAATGCTTTATACTGCACCGGCGGAGAAATGTATAAGACTAACAGATTGTCTAGATCCCTAAAGGTCACTGCTACCTAACCGGAGACAACCTCCCCTGGTCTCGAGACAGCCGCGACTTTGGCCCCCTGCCTATGGGTCTGATCAAGGGCAAGGTGATCTCTAAGATGGTCGTGGATAGCTGGTGGCCGTTTGACTGGTTCTCGAGAGTAGAAAATGGTCTTCACCCTGTCTCGGCCGACGATTCGCCAAAACCGTGACATACCCCCCTTTCTCTTATGGGTCAAGTCAAGCTACCTATCTTAAAGCCGATCATCTGTTATATATATTTTTGTAATATATCACGACTGCATGGCATGGAAGGAGTTCAAGGAGTGATGATTTATGGGATATCATTTTTAGGCGAGGAGGTGCAATCTAATTACAAGAATTTAACAGTCCCACACAAGACACTCGCATGAGTATCCGTGACTTGGTGGGAGTGACGAACCGAATGGCCATCTTTCCGAACGGCAGAGCCGTAGTAGTACAAATGAGATCGGGTGTCTGCCTTTCCGCGAGGGTAGGTTCGGAGCGAAGTCACAATACACCCCATCTGCAAATCGAGCCGCCCAATGAGGATATGCATTCCCTATAGAATATCAAAGCAGCCTAAAACGTCGATAAAAACACAGATGCCTGCTTATATAAAATACGCCTTGAACACCGGAACCAACCACGTCCGCGTGAATGCCAGCCGGGGACAAGACAAGGAGCCCGGCAAAATTTGATGATAGGGAACAGTGAGAGAATGGTAATGTCCGTCAGTAGACATCGTCACTTCATCCCTCTATATGCGCCTTTGACATACTCTGACCGAGCAGCTCCAGGCAACGTTGCGCAAGATTAATAACCTCGCCCTCGTCATCTTCGTCAAATTCATTATCCGACTCAACCTGTCGGTTTGCAATCTGCTTAATCATCTCCACAATCGAATCAGACTTCCCAATATGTGAAATCAAGGTCTTATCCTCGGATTCCAGCAGTTGCAAAAGTGTCCAAATGGCGATGTGTTGAAAGGTTGCGTCACCGCTAGCCAAGAACCTGCTGAGGTAACCGTGAATACCGCCATTCGGCTCCGTCCAGTCCTGGATGAAGATAGAATAATCGCCGACTGCTAAAGAAGTTAGCCAACTATTAGAGACTTCAGAGAAAACGATAGAATTTAAATAGCGCTTACCTTTTGACGATAAGTTGCCGAGAGCTGCAGCGCTGTTGCCTTGAACCTCGATACTTGGCGAGTGCGTTAGGGGAATTAGGACATCAAACACGCCAAGATTCAACAAGTGCGTTTTGAGATCGTCGGACAGAGCAAGAACTGCAATTGCGGCTGTCATTTCCGACTGGACAGTGACCGGAACATCTAAGACAAGTTGCTTGCATTTTTGTACCGCACCAGCCTCGAGTACTAAAGCCTTGTTCCTATCAGAGCTAGCAGCGAGGTTGCGGAGAGTCGATATCGCATGACACTGGATTTCCTCATTGTCTGTGGAGCCTAAGAGATCGACCAAGGGCTTCAAAAATCCGGCTTCGATAATCGGAGATTCGTTCAAGGGGTGGATGGATATGTTACGTATGCATGCGACGGCAGAGAGGATTAACGGAAGGTAGGATGATTGAAGTAGGCGCAATAACGGATTAAGGCCCTGTGCTCGAACGATATCTAGCTGGTATTTCTCATCCGAGGCCAGATTTCGAAGCGCTAGTGCCGCCTGGCATTGCACTTTAGGAGAGGACGAGTCCATCAAGTTTACCAACGACTGGACCAATTTGGTCTCGGACGCAGCTAATTTCCGACGGTTGTTAGAATCAACGGCAATGTTGCTGAGTGCTGTCGTGCAATAATATTGGACATCGACATCGGTAGAGGACAAGAGCTGGACTAGTACGGGGATGGCGCCTGCATTGACAAGCTGCTGTCGGTTTTCGTCTGCATGGCACTGTTAGAATATGTACATCAACACCGCCGCGGGAAGCTAAGAGCATACCTGAATGTGTCATGTTGAGGAGTGCACCAGTCGCGTTTCGTTGAACCCTCATATCTCTCGATTTAGCCAATCGGGTGAGTGGCCCTAATGCCCCTGATCGTGCGATCTTGGCCTTGTTCTCCTCGTGAGTTGCCAAGTTGGTGATGCATCCTACGGCGTTGCACTGGACTTCGACGTTGGGCGAAAGCATTTGACGTATGAGCGGTGTTAGACCGCCAAGCTGGACGATCAAGACCTTGTTTTCGGCTAGATGATTTGGTAAGGCAACAGCTAGATAGAACCGTAGGAGCTACACTTACTATTAACGGCCAAGTTTCCAAGCGCCGCGCTGGCTGCTCTCTGAACTTCAATATCGGGGCTTTGGAGGAGGAAGAGGATAGGCTCCAACGTATCGCGGTCAACCTCGCGAACATCTGGTAAATAGTCAGCCTCGGGTCCCAACCTCAAGAGATACTGTTGCCCGAAAATGTGCTCGCTTAGTCAAGCCCATAATCTAATGTATCTCTTGCTCATATCTCGAGAGTACCACATACCTCGCTCTGTGATCTCGGCGAATGTTAGACTAGCACTCCTTTGAAGATCGATGTTGTCGGAGAAGACGAGGGTGCTGAGGGCTCGGAGAGGCTCGCCGGAGAAGAAATCGGTCTCGCCGCGCTAGAAGACGATTAGCGTGAAGCATTTCAAGGATCGGTAGAAGATAAACACACGTTCTCGAGATATTGAAGTAGATCAGCGACAGCTTCTCTTTCGCTATCGGCCAATGCTGGCTCGTAAAGACCTTCGCGAGATTTGCCTACGTCGATTATTTAGCATTTGCGGAGCTCTAGTTGATATAGGAAGGATTCGACGTTACCTCCGCAGCATGACTGGCAGGCCCCCATTGCTATGGGTAAAGCGAATAACCACGGTCGATGATGAAATTTGATTACTGGCGATGAAGCGAAGGAAAAATGATGGATAGATGTATCCTAATAACGTTGACTTCAATTTATTCGTAAAGATCGACTCGGTCTGGTGGGCGGGATGCAGTCAATAAACTGAGATTAGGCCCAAATGATAAGCCTGCCGCCGCGAGGATGGGTGGTCCTATGATGTATCCTCGTGAGAGGCTAGGGTAGGCGGGTTATCTCGTGCAGGTCGACGACGCGGCGATAATTCTGCCGAATTATATGCATCGATGCATTGACGAAACGGAACGATGGAAATGGGAGAGGTCGATCTTGACCGGTGTATGTTGTTATTGTTGGAGAAGAGGAGTGGATGTTATCGAACCTTCGACGTTGATGTTTTTGGGGACTTGTTTACGATTTGCAAAATTGTAAATGTGAGTTGCACCAGCTCAAAAAGATTGTTGCGTAAGGTAAGTAGAGGTTTTGACCAGTTCCGACATTGGATGATCCTTCCCCCAGTCACAAGTATGTATACCTCGAACCTTCCTAACCTTTAAGACGATAGTAATTGTAATAGCAATTGCTGCGCTATTGCCGCTTCTGCTGCAGTAGCCTAGGGGTGGTTATGGGTAGTGCTGTGTGGTTGCGTACAGAGAAGGAATAGTGCAGGTCTGCAGGCGGTGCAGGTAGGTGGGTTCTAAGAGGGTGACCAATCCTTTCTCACCTTTTTTCTCTCTTTGCTCTCGTGGAGCTGGTCCCGGAAGGTTTCGGTGGGAGAGGCTAGCCTGAGCTTCGGCTTGTGGATACCACCCCCTGTTCATCTATCAGTAAATAAATCAGATGCAATGCGCTTATCTAAACATTCAATTGCCAGGCAAGTATTTCCAAGTTCTTATTATACGAGAGCATTACCTAGTACTAGGTGTCAGTTATATTATAAACATACTAGGTAAGTATATAACATATTTACAGTTAATGATAATATAATAGGAAGTGATCCGCATGTGAAGTTATGCATGCACCAAGTTACAATAACTTAGACCAGTATTGACGATGGATGGAATGGCGGTAGGTACATGTATATACCCCCAATAAATGTAAGCAGCTTAAAGACGAGGTTGGAGCTTTACTTGTAATCACTACGAGACAGGAGCGAATTGACGTACTTAGCACCCGCTACCCATGAATCAACAGGACCCCGATTGTCATCCTACTTGCCTTTTCAGGACAGCTCTTGCGTATTGCGGCAGCCACACGCAGAGCTAGGTAGTCCACCATGACGGGGGCTTGTCACTGCCAAAGCAGAGCTGTTGATTCGATTAGGCATTTAGTTTGGCTTGTGAAAAACGAACATCATCGAAGATATGATGTACTCAACCGTTCATCTATATATCTATCATGCAGCCTCCCGTCTGAAATGAGCCGAAGCCAAGAAATGTTTGTTATCATACTGCAGAAATTCTTCGGATTGAAGCTATTCACAATTATAGACAACCAATCGTTTTCTTGCCTCCGCTAAAGTGTGGAAGACTTCCACTAATTACCAACATTATCTTCTTAAGAAATGAGTCATGAGACCTTATGTTCTTAGGTACAGAAAGGTTAGGATAATTAAACATCAGCATCCCCGTCTTGGCCTCGATGGTTAAGATCTGATTTATTAGCCCAAGACCTCCAACTATTTTATACAATACGATGATGTACACCCTTTCTGACATTTGCATATATCACTCCATGACGCTAACCTCGCCTTCGATGCTAACTACCTAACTACCTCCTAGCATATACTACACACCAACAATAAACTTAGAGGGCGGATAAGAATGAGACATGTTTTATCCTCGCGTGACTAGTAGTTTGGTTGTTCAGGTTAAATTTGAAGAGGGATGTTTGTTTTTGCCCCGTTCCCGCCTTGGTGGTCGATTGACGGGCTTCCTAGGTAGACTTTAATTAAGAAACAGAAGCAAAGTCCGACTTTTCAGACGACAATCTTGTGTCTCCTTGGTGCTACATCACTCTCTCAATACGATATGATAGATCATTTGATTGTTCATTGCTTTCTTGCGCTTTGATCTCTTCGTCGAGTGTAATTTTTTACTCTAGCCGCTTATGGTGGATTACTGTGGTTGAGTCTTTACAGGAAAGCAGAAATCTCAACTTTATACGAACATCTTTATCTTAGGTGTGTTACTTTGCTACCCTGTCACTTTACGTTGAATTTTGTAACTCTGTGTTCTAGTTAACCCATCTATTTCTAAGTCGTAACTGAAGTCAAAGTGGGAACTCATTAACTGACAGTAGAATTGCTGCGTTCTACTTGTACTACGTACTTTCTATACACCCACCGAATAGCTTACGAGATTGCGGAATCCTACAGAATCATAAACGTTCACACCACATGTGCCAATGAACCAACTTCGTCGCTTCACAATTTGAAGAATCTCAACTTGGCCACTTACACCACGAACCCACACACACAGGTTACTGTGGTATGCTTTGGCCAAGCAACCGCCTAGTACTAAGTAGGCAGAGTCCATGCTGGATTACGTCAACCCAGTTAAGCTTATTTACCTAAATACCATTTTTGAGGTCATTCATGTTCTTACTGCGTAGGTATGCATGTGCCTAATAATAAGATGCTCTGGATTGAGACAGTCTTATAATAGCAGCTACAAAGACTCAAGAATAAAGATCTAATCCCACATGTCATTCTTTCAATCAGCAAGCACCACCATCCCTACGATTGCATGTACATAGCTGCTCCTATCAGAATCACAGAAAGATAAAGTACCTACCCAGGTATCGCTACTACCCAGCTGCAGCTTCCCTCCTTCTGCACTGTCATTAATTATAAGCACTGCCCTATCAGATCTCTCCGGACCCCTACATTTATCAACCATCCATAGGTACATTCTATACCAGCTGCATAGCTCTCTTTAACCACTAACTTCCAGGTAGATATCAATCAACCTACCTACAAATAATCAAGTTCTCAGTTGTCCACTCGGTTCAATGTTGGCAGCCCAGTCTAGACCATTCAAGTAAGAAAGAAAGTGAGGCTATTTATTTGTCTAATCTGACCTCATTCATTATCATTACACCAATTCTCGTCCTTATCGTTGTCGACCCTTCCACCATCGATCATCGTCATCGTCATGAATTCAATTGTCGGCTTCTACCTATCTTGTCTCAGCTAGCATGTTTAGAGCTTAGTTCTCCAATTCTTCGAGTAGCCCTACCCGATACCTAGCAAACTCCCCCTTGGTTCTTTTTTTAAAATATCGCCTTTTTTTACTCTCCGCACCCCTCCCCCTCCTCCCTGTAAAGAGAAGGTCTCCTACACCGAAGTCTTTTCCACGCACACACCTACTGCAAACATCTACTACACGCCTCCGGGGAGACGGGCGTTCCACCAATAATTCCTGCCCCGACTTGCCCTGAACCCCAAGTGAGCCCCAAAAGGGTTTAAAGAGAAAAAAACGAGAGGTGAACGATGGATGACCCTTCGAGCCGCCAACCCAAAAACCCGCCAGGCGACGAGCCACAGCGTGCGCCAACCGCGACCGCCCCCGCCATGCTGTCGGGTCTGCAATCGTCCATACCACCGCTGCCTCTAGCTGGTCACGAGCTTCCCTTTGTGCAGCCATCCTCGTATCTCAGACCTAAATTTCGGAGTCGTACAACACCCGTGCCCACGACGCCAATGACTCCCATTGATGAAGAGCAGTTGCAAGGCCTGGTAAGCTATTAGATTCTGCATTTCATTCCATTATATATCTTATAAGTTCCCGGCTTCTCCCGTCTTGCCTTCCCCTCCCGTCCGAATCCGACTCTTGCGCCTTGGGTCTCAACCATTTAACTAACCGTCTTTCCATGTCTATAGAAAGGCCTGCGCAACTTTCTTCGAGTAAGAACCAGTTACGATGTGCTCCCGCTGTCTTTCCGACTCATCGTGCTCGACAATGATCTCCTCATTAGGAAGAGCTTGGACATATTGATTCAGAATGGTAATATTACATGCGTAGCTCTTGCGACAGTCCGAACCACTCCTAACATGAACGTCATTAGGAATTGTGTCCGCGCCTCTTTGGGATTCGCAGCAGTCTAGATTCGCCGGCCTCTTGACGGCTACCGACTATATAAATTTGATCCAGTACTATTGTCAATTCCCGGAGCACATTGACGACGTTGACAAGTTTAGGCTCAGCAGTCTTCGCGGTATGTTGCGCCCGAAGCACGAACATGCGGGGCATATCAATTGAATTTGTGTGGCTAACACCTTAGGTTCTCGAAGACATTGAAAGGGCCATCGGTGTGCTCCCTTTAGAGACTGTATCTGTCCACCCGTCGAAGCCGCTCTACGAAGCATGTAGCCGTATGCTGAAGAGTCGCGCTCGCCGAATACCGCTCGTCGATGTCGACCACGAAACAGAGAGGGAGACGGTAGTAAGCGTCATCACGCAGTATCGCATTCTCAAATTTATTGCTGTCAATACGGAGCAGCATACCATGCTTTTGAAGCAGGCAGTACGAGAGATCGGATTGGGAACATACAAGAACCTTGCTACGGCCAAGATGACAGACTCGGTTCTCTCGGTAATCAATCTGATGGTAGTTCACAATATTTCCGCCGTACCCATCATTGATAAAAACAATGTCGTACTCAACGTGTTCGAAGCCGTTGATGTCATACCATGTATTAAGGGTGGGGTTTACGACGAGTTAAAGTCAACGGTAGGAGAGGCATTATCGAGGAGGCCAGACGATTTCCAAGGCATCTATACTTGTCAGGAAGATGACAGGCTCGATTCGATATTCGTCACTCTACGTCAATCTAGAGTCCACAGGCTGGTGGTGATTGATGATAATTGGCATTTAAAGGGCATTATTTCCCTTTCGGACATCCTCAAGTACGTCTTATTTACTGGCGTTACTAGCGATGAGGGTGAATACTTCCCCCTTCCATGATAGGTTATCGGCGACCTTTCGAGAAATTTTGACGACGAATACGACACCTTGGAAATGGCGGCAACGAGGTCAGGAGTCTAGGGAGATTATTGATGGGCATTGCAGAGGAGTCTGGCGTTCGAAAGACTAAAGTGGTTGCATAAGGATCAGTCCTTTTGAGCCCACATAGGTTTCCATTCTCTCAGGTATCTAGGTTAAGGAGGAATTATACGGTCTAGATGGGGGAGGCTTTAGGCTTTGGCAAGAGATAAAATGGGTCTGGATCTTACTATGGCCATACGTGTAGCGCAAGTCTTTCTTGTAAGTGCAATACATTTTGAGGATGTCCAAGATAGGAGGTTCCTACCTTTTCGCCGCACATTATCCCTGCATATGATGATATCACGATATCGTGGGGTCGTACCTGCAATACTCAATACCTTCCTAGCAGTTATGGAATTGGATGTGAACTTTCTTAAGGTAATATCACCTTATACTGCTCGTTGCTTCTTTGGTCGTTCTAACAGAATCTGTCTAATTGTGGGAAAACAGTAGAAGGAAAGACCGATTTGGATATGATACTATAAATGTCAAAAGTATCATCAATCCGTCCCACATAACGGGTGCATTATTTGCCATTTTTCAAGTCTTCAATATTCTCTAGTATTTTCCTTCCCTCATTCACAACATACCTCTTGTTTATATAACCGCTCAAATGCAGTCTTACCATCATGATATTCCCCCGCCCTCTAACAAAGGCAAAGAACCTATACCTGCGGGTTGGTCAACGTCTTCACAGCCTTTTCCCTATCAACGAAGACGGCCAATCTCGCACTCAAGCATTGCTATGCCACAAACAGGTCTGGATACATCCCGCTCGCCTGGTACATTAGAAGTCCCCGGTCGCAGAAGCAGCACTTGGACGTCTTCCAGCTGCGATGGGGGGTTGCTTTCGGAGCGTGATGAAGTAGATAATAGAGAAGAATTTGTCAACGAGTACAACCGACTTGCAAAGAAGGTAGATTTTCCCACTAAACGATCTTCTAGCAAATAGGTCTACTTACTGAAAGCTTTCAGTACGGTTTTCGATTATTCATACCAGGGGATTTCCCCGTATACTCTGTAAGCGGGAGAAAGGAGAGAGAGAGATTCGTCCGCGATACTAACAAGAAAATGCATCCAAGCCGGCTCCGGTTCGAAAATCAAGTTGGTTTTCTAAACCTCTAAGACGATCATCTTCCGGTCAGTCGGTCAAGACTGTGATTGTCAAATCAGACCAAGAACTTCGACGACGACGGAGCATCAGTGATGCCGCTTTGAACATCGTACATCATCAAAAGAAAGATGGGTTGGGGAATGCAAATCTCCAGGATCTAGTTCGATTGTGCGGGAAGAGTCTGTTTTATTTGCCCCCAGAATATACCCCTTGCTCCTTAGTATTGCCAACGTGCTTCCGAGCACTTGCACAAGCACTCGTACAACAAGGTCAGGAAGTGCATCTAAGTATCGACCAGTACATATTTACCTACTAACATACACTCATAATAGCTGATACTCGAGGGATATTCCGTATACCTGGTTCAATTCGAACTGTCAACACACTCTATGATTATTACTGCGCTGATAGAGACACAAACGACATCTCAGTCACAACTCGCTGTCCTAATCTTCCCACTCATATCAAGTGTAGCACTCACGATGTCGCCTCCGCATTCAAGAAATTTTTATCTGGGCTACCTGGTGGCATCCTAGGGTCCCTATCATTATTTGATGCTTTCGTTGCAATTCACAGCCAGCTCCATACTGACCCCGAGCTCGCCAAAACCAAAGAAACTAAACTTCGCGCGCGATTGATTGCGCTTGCTATTGGAACCGTAAAGTCACAGTACCAAAGAGAGATGATCTGTGCAGTATTTGGCCTATTGAGCTTCATTGGTCGAGCTGCGGAAAATACCCCCCGTGAGGACGAAGACGGACGACCTCTTCCAACATCTGGTCTGATGGGATATAATGCTTTGGGCATCATTTTTGGGCCTCTACTAATCAATGATTTGATTAAGTCCTACAAGATGAAAGTTGCGGACCCGGCTGTTGGGCTAGTATTACTACCGGTATCACATCCAAAATCTCGAAAGGAAAGACGCAGGCATAGAAGATCAAGAGCCACCACAGACGACTCAACCTCCCAAATCACGGTAGACAAAATACACATCGCTAACAGTATTGCAGAGATGCTGATAGTCCATTGGAGGGAGGTGGTTCGACAAATGCGAAGTCTCGGTACACTCAAGATCAGAAGAAATGGGTGTACTGGTCAGCATGGAAAAAGCAGGGCAAAATTGACTTCATCAGCTTCAGACACATGCTCGTTAAGAAAAGCACCACATTGGGGTGAACCTGGGCCGTGCTGTCGGCCAAAGGCTGCAGACGTCTCTCCTATGGCTACAAGTCCAATCCCAACACCGAGTAGGTAATTTCGTACATCACCCATGGCATTGCAAATAGAACTTCGCTTACCCAAATATACTTTCTAAGGTCAACCTGAGACCCTATATACTAAGCGACAACAACCACGGCAATCTAAATCTATAGTCTCAACGAAATGTCTTTCACCAACAGCAGAGGAAAGCCCATCAAATGGACAAGAGCCTCACAGGCACGAAAATCTTCCAATTCACCACCGTCATATAAATCCACTGGGCCGTGGGATATACGGAAGTGAGATAATATTTCATAGTTTCAACTCCCCTTTCCCAATAATTAGAAAAGATGAGGAATATTTGACGAGGACCCCGAAGATTATGACGCCCATTAGGTCACCCCCCTTAACCAGAGACCTATCAAACAGCCCAACTGGGGAGCTTTCCAATATCCAGCCTCGAGAGATAAGCCCTGCTGACAAGTGGAAAGCTTTAACTATGGCTAGTAGGGCTAGCACGGAATCGTTGGCAAGAGCTGCAAAGGAAAGACGTTTAAGACGGAGTCCCGGTGATGGCCTTTTCCGACACACTGATGAATGTTTGGCACAACGAAACAAGAGACCAGCCATACTAGATCAAAAGCGGCAGTCCACAAGCTACCAGAGTAGCGGTAAGCTGACGCCATCTAAGCTTTCACCTAGGAGGAAAAGTATATTCGAGACATCGCGATCCGAAAGTTCAGCATCACCAACGAAAAATGCCTTCGATCGAAGTAGGCCAGCCCCACGTCGTTCAAGTTTCGGATCTCACAATGGCGCAGTAAGGGCAATGACGGCATTGTTTGATAATGCCGCCAAATATTCTCCTATTGGGAGTTCTATAGCTCCCAGTATCATTCTTTCTACGCATTCTGGAGCTGCTACACCAGTTAGATCTAATAAATCTAAAGCATCTCCGACAGTCAGTATACTATCGAAGAATTCTGACTATTTCAGTAGCAAAGTCCAACCAGTGGATACACTAACATACAGTAAAGAGTTTGCGTCTGTTGTGAATCGTGGCAGTACGGGCCTTACTTCTTCAAAAAGCACTCCAGGTGGCATGCCATATAAATTTTCGCGCGTCTCTCTACGACCTACCGGCGGATCATTTTCTGCATCACGAAGAGTGCCTCTCTCTTCATCGACCCCACAGATTCCTCGACGTGACCGAGAGCTTAGCCAACCACCAAGCTTAGGAACCATGATCCCTCACCGTGAAGAGCCTCCAGTGGCCCAACATATCGCTTTTACCCGCCCGACTCTGTCACTGTCGCCTGGTCATTATGATGGTGACGACGAAAGGGTTTCAAATGGGAGTCCAAGGCCGAGAAGTAGTAATTCGATGCTTCATACTCAGATTCGCCATTTGCAAAAGCAACTTGAATACAGAGCAGAAGAGAATACACAATTACGGCGTCGTCTAGAGGCTCGCGAGAACATGGATATTGGTAAATTATGCGAGCAACTCAGAATAGCAAAGCGCGAAGCCAAAATGTGGCGCGGGAGAGCTGAAGCGGCGGAGAAGCGGGTAGCGGTCTTTAAGCAATTTACGTCAAGGCTTCGAGGAATCCGGGATAGCGTTACGCTGAGGGATAGCATGCAGGAACTAGGCGGCGAGGGACAAGTTGACGGGGAAGGTCAGCGCGGTATCGGACGAGGGACGCTTGACGGATCGGTTTCTTCGTCCTACTCGGGGTATACCTTGAACCAGGAAGACCTCAACAACCACATACGTCGGAGTGCAAAGGCCCGTACCCTAGGAGGCAGCATTGGGAGAAGTCGCAGCGAAGACGACGACTTTTGGACAAGGGGTAGCAGGACAAGACGGAGCGGTCTCTGGGAGAGGAAGATTTCCAGTGTCCGGACAGCACGGCTGTGGGACATTGCCGAGGAGTTGCTGATGCTTGAAGGGGATGTAGAGTGTGATAGGCGATAAGTTCTAGCCTAGGTTTCTGAAAACACCGGACATATGGGAGATAAGGGGTCCTTCTATGGACTCTGGAGTATGATGGGGGCACCTGATCGATGTCGGTGCTAAGAGTTAGAGTAGGGTTAGGTGCATTTCAATTGAGACGGATTGAAGAATCCTACGATTCATAGCTACCTCTAATGATATGATTATGGCAAAAGTCCCATGGGTGCTTACCTATTTGGTGTTTAGATTATAATATCATAGTATTAGGTACCTACTACCATCCACCTCTCTGTAATTGACTTTGGTGTTCCCGGATCCTCGTTAACGATGATATTCTCTACCCTTTCTCTCCATTGTGAAGATTAATAATTATCAACTGTCAATTGACAGTATATATGCTTGAGCCTGTCTTATCCTTGTATGAGGTAGGTTTCAACACGCCCTCCTGATAAGGTTAATACGAACCCTCATCCAATTCGAAGAACGTTTGGATGCGCAGTGTAACATTCTAAGCGTCATTATCAAGGTCCGAGTTATTTTTTTAACGAAATCCTAGTTCGCAGGTTCGACGACTTGTTTTTTTGAGTTGAACGAAGGTGGCTGCCGATCAGCCGTTATTTTAACGATTCTAGATAGGTGGAGGTGGGTACTAAAGCTATCCCGGTTAACCGTGTCTCGGAGATATTTTGCTGAAGGCTTACGTACTCATTCCTCCTTTCGATAGCAGCAGCTGCTGCATGCAGTAGCTATGATGATCTACGGCTTGCACTTACATAGAGGCTTCCTCTTCACACACCTAGCTGACCTAGGTATATAGGTACCTAGGTATTAATCAACTTTCCTACCTCGTAACGATGCAGGCTTGTCAGGCTTGTTTAACTTTCGGTAGGAAGGTGTTTATTGGCGAGTTTTAGAGTTTGGATGATGAGCTGTCATATGAACATGACAACGCTGGGTTTGAATGAATAAACGCATGTGCTCCAACAGTGTACATCGACCATAGGTATATCCCGCACAAATTCAATAAGAGAAATACGTGTATCGAAGTACCTAAGGCTAGATCCGAGAAAGGATAGCCATACAAGGATGTCTTGGCGTGGATTGGTCGCGATTCCCCAGATTGTCATTATCATTTATCGGGAATACTTGACCGGGGTCTTGATTTATTTCTCCTTCAAGTGTTCCAAATGTTCCAAATTCTCTAGTTCTAGTTCTTTTTTCTGATAATACATTACTTCAATTCTCCAATTTCGATACTGTTACCAACGACTTGCAGGGTTGAAGGTTCGAGCAGATATTATTTATATGCGCATGGTTGAAGATGATTGGCCGCTGGCGCCCATCACTACGACATCGCTATTGTGCTAACATACAATATCTACCTGAAGTCGGGCCAGCAGCGACGTCTAGCCCACCATATTCATCTCCAACATCATGACGCGAAGGATAGTATGTCGCAATTCATTTCCATCTCTTCCTCCCTATCAATCATTGTACACACATAGCTATAACTACAATATATAGATACATCGAAGCTAACATGGTCTTTTCTCAATAGGTGCGCACCATATCCCAGCTAACCGCTGCAGCACTTTTCGCATTCGTTATAATTTTCTTCCTCGATCGGAATTTCCGGCTTCTTCCCAATGCCGTCCACGAGTATATGCCACAACATCATCATGGACAAGTCGTTACCGATATAACAATTACTCAATGCTCCAAAATCAATCTACTTTCCTCCTGCAAGCTCGACCCCGAATCCTGGCACAGAGTGGAGAAGAACCTCTATCTGGGCAAATCGTGGGTCTCTAGCGCCTACCTTCATGTCCAGAGGAAGAAAGAGGAGGAGCTTACTGTCGCCGACAAGGTTGTCATAGGTGTCACTGTTAGTCGACAGGATCCTTCGACCGGTACTAAGGGAAATCCTGATGAAAAATGGGAGGCTCGTGCAGCTGGGTTGTGGGTGTTGCGATCATCCAAGCCGACAGCGAGCGATTCTAAGAAGGCCGTCACTGCAGTCGATGTCCTCTTTGGAGACGATGCCGTGGAAGCTCGAAGTGGGTGGCAGTTCCAGAACATGCCACTGTTGCTCGATGCTGGCACAGACATACCAACCGCTCATATTACAATTCGGCAAGGAAACCTGATTGAACCTGTAAAACCTCAACCGCGTGTGAATGATAATGGAAAATTCAAGATAATGCAGTTGGCAGATCTGCACTTAAGCACCGGCGTTGGCCATTGCAGAGATGCAGTTCCCGACGAATATGAAGGAGGGGTTTGCCATGCTGATCTGCGGACCCTCGACTTCGTGTCCAAGTTATTGGACGAGGAGAAGCCGGATCTGGTCGTCCTTAGTGGTGACCAGGTAAATGGAGACACTGCACCCGATGCGCAATCAGCGATCTTCAAATATGCACATTTACTCATTAAGCATAAGGTTCCTTACGTATCCATATTTGGAAATCATGACGATGAAGGGGCGCTGTCTAGAGCCTCCCAAATGGCATTGATTGAGCAACTACCATATTCGCTATCTGTAGCTGGACCAGACGACATTGATGGAGTTGGCAATTACTACATTGAGGTGCTGGCACAGGGCACCTCAAAGCATTCTGCACTAACAATATACATGCTTGATTCACACTCGTACTCTCCAGATGAGCGACAGTGGAGTGGCTATGACTGGATCAAGAAGAACCAGATCGACTGGTTTAGACAGACATCGGAAGGTCTGAAGAAAAAACATAAAGAGTACACCCACATACATATGGATCTCGCTTTCATCCACATACCACTACCGGAATATAGGGATGTGGAGTCTATCCGTGTAGGTGAATTAAGGGAGGGTGTCACTGCCCCTAAGTACAATTCGGGATTCCGCGATGCCTTAGTTGAACAAGGTATTGTGATGCTTAGCTGTGGACAGTACGTATCCTCCTTCCCTTTTCTTCCATAGTATTATCTAACACTCGAATTTAGTGACCATGCCAATGAGTATTGCATGCTTTCAGCGGATGAGGAGACGAAGAAGCCTGAGCTGTGGATGTGTTACGGTGGTGGTGCTGGTTTTGGAGGTTACGGTGGATATGGCGGCTACGTCCGGCGAATTCGGTTCTTCGACATCGACATGAACGAAGCCCGAATTACAACTTATAAGCGACTTGAATATGGTGATACTGCGGCCCGAATCGACAAGCAAATAATTGTCGATGGAGGAAGCGTTAAGCCTCCCAGGGAAGAGAACTGATAGAAAACCACCATTTCGAAACCTGATGGATTATTCCTTCGGAAATTTTCCTCTACTCAAAAAAAGATACCATGACGCTTTACGAGCTCTACTTGCTACGGGAAGTCTGGATTCCCCTCTGATCTATCGTTTTACCACTTTGGATTGGGATGATATTTTTGTGACGATCTGAATCCGCGACGGCGGAAATGATGACGTAGGCACGACTACAACAAAAGAACCGAAAAAGGCGTTTTTGGAGCTGCGATAGAACGGGTCGGCGGGAGGTAGTGTTGTCATGCTCAGTGTATCATAAAAGAGCTGTGGGCAGGCGTATATATTTCTAGCGACAGTTTGAAAAAGAAAATACTACGGTCGCGAATTATTTCGGTTTGGTGTCTTGTCGGTGGTTTGCTTGTTGTGGCTTTGACGTGTGTATGTAAATGCCCTCGTTTTTATTTGCCAGGTCGTGGTTGTTGATATCTACAGCTAGCATTAACATGGTCAAATGTGTGCAAGGGAATGCCGTTACGATGTTTTGTGTAGGTGAGTGTGCCTTCGTACATAGGACATTGGAGATTTATCTAATGGGAATCAAGGTACTATGTCTACGCGTTCATTTGCATTATTCATGTTGAGCAATTAAAGACATTGATAAAAAAAAAAAAAGATAAGTTGTATTTTTTCGGAGGGCGATTGAATTGTTTTTCCTATCCAAAAGAGAAGTGGAAGGGATAGAATAACGAGATGTGGACGGAAACGGAGTAGATAGGAAGCAAGTTGTTTCCGTCTTCTTATTCTTCCTCGCTAATATGAGGGGAATGTTGTTCGATGATGGTTCGACAAGGCCCGGCTAGGATGGTATTCTCCATTTCAGGCCGAGCCATTTGTCGCTGGCCATTTGTCGCTGGCCACAACCTTGAAATGTGCGTGTTGGTTGGCTACCACGCATCAAACTCCTAGGCTATGTTAGAACTTCTTCTGTTGGGTGGGTGGTTGTGTTGTTAGATGGGTAGGTACTTACTCTAGACGCGGAGAGTTGATCACTTCCTCTCCCGGCTCGGAGGACCACCCCAAGGGAAATTTGTCGGAGGCGTAGTAGGGAGACCGTCAGGTCCCCCCCAGCCTCTGACGGGGTGATCTCGTACTGTCGGGATCTCTGGGTTCTTACTGCCCCAGAGTTTTAGTCCCGACAGTAGGGGAACGGCCAAGCGTCTCCCTCGTCTGCCTTGAAGCAGAGTGAGTGTTGCGAACCCTTTCCCCCCATCACGCCCCGCACGACCCCCGCGACCACCAGTAAATGGTGCGGATCGAGAGAGCTCGATGTCGGGATGAAGGCGCTGATAGAGAAGGCCGGCGTTATGGTGCCGAGATTATTCTCTGACTCGCCTTGTAGAAAGGTCGAGGGTGCCGACAGAAGTTTAGGTTCCTCGCAAATTACTGTGTCTATGGTTAGTCATCATCACCATGTTATTCATCTTCGCTGATATGGGTGCGTACCTGTTGCGTAGGATAGTTAGGTGTATCCCCGGACACCATAGGATCTTAGGGTTAGTAGAACCTGTGGTGACCGGGGAAGAAAGTTAGGATGTGGCTGTACGAGTCCACCGGAGTGGTGTATCACCACTCCCGAGAGACGACACGACTTGTTTGCAAAAGCGTAGTCATCTCTGGTAATAATGATATAAATAATTATTATAATAATAAATTATTTCCCCATACATGGCTGGATGGGTTGGGAAGAAGTCGTTAGGTTTATCGACCATTAATTATTTTCCACGTTAAGGGAGTGTGTTAAGGAATGTTGTTGGGAAGGAAAAGGAAAAAGAAAAAGAAAATCGTGGGGGGGAGACGGTGTTATATAGTTTTGGTCTGGCTTCTAGGAAGGAAGTTGCTGATTAACGAGTCACAGTAGAGTGCCCTATAGGCACGGCCCGTACGCCTTGTTTCACACTCGGTACGGGCCATCCAGTTCATTACCATCGTTTCTAGGTACTGTGGTACTCGTACTTGTACACCAAAATAAATATTAACTGTACGTACCCAAGGACAATTCAAGAATTAACTGATGTCAAGGGGTACGTACCTCTTGTAGTTTGAGAGAACATAGATACATGTAGGTACCTAGGTATACGTATTACTACGTGTATATGGATGTATTTTCGTCTATACTACATGTAGGTATATTGTATAGAGTATACATGTACTTTGTAGTCCCATCATGGACGTATAAACGCCAAGGGCAAGAAAGAAAGATTCGTTAGTCATCCAAATCAAAGCCTTCATATCCAATCTATCCCATCCTACCCAGAAGAAAAACGAACACCATGGACGTCTATAAATACCAAACTCCCTTCGACCACATTCCAAAGTCCTGTCTATAAATCCCAAGTTAGTTCCTCAAGTCTCCATGAACTCCGTCTATCTCCTTAAACACCCTCAAAGCCGTCTCGTTTTGTCCCCTAACATCGAATTCATTAGTAAACGCCGCCATCTCCGCGAAAAACGCCCTCATCCGCTCAGGATCTTCGTGCATCCCATCCTCGGCATACGCGTACACCCTCCCGAATTTCCTCGCCAATTCCACAACAGCCTGGCTCCTAGGCCTCCTCACCCGATCAAACGCGGCTAGCGCGCGGGTGATTTGGTCGGGGTGCTTGACCTCTGCGAACAGGGCGTCGAGCACAGCAGCATCCTCGAGCGCTTGCGCGGCGCCGTTGCCGGCAAATGGAAGAGCCGCATGGGCTGCGTCACCGAACATGGCCACGCGGTCACGCGTGTAGTAGGGTGCGTGGTCATGGTCCCCCGCTGCCCAGGAGGCGCTTGTGTCTCGGGCCACCATGCGCACAATCTGCTGGGCTTCCTCGCTGTAGTCGGCATACAGAGCCGGATCGAGCGGTTTCCCTTCCTGCGAAGTTGGGGAGATGGCACCGCGCACGGCGACGCCGGCACTCAAGCGCGTGTTCTTGTTGAGCGGGATGCAGTTGATGTGGCCCCGAGGTCCGAGAAGGATGGGAACGCTGGTGGTCCACTTGGGATTGATTTGCTTCCGCGCTTCCTCGGTCGATATTAAGGTCCGGTATATCTGCCAGCCATCGTGGTTCTTGGGCGATGCGGCTGGGTGATCTGCTCCTAGGAGGTAGTTGCGTGTTACGCTGTGGATACCGTCCGCGCCTAGGAGACAGTCCGCCGCGGCCTCGGTGCCGTCCTGGAATGACATGTGAACAACATGCCTGTCCGAGGATTTCTCCGTAATCTTGACGAGCTTCCTGCCGAAGCTGATGTTTTCGCTTGGAATCAGTGCGAGATATCCATCCAACAAGTCGGCTCGGCTGACTGTCTTCCTGCCTTTCGCTCTTCCAAGCTCTGCCACTAGTTGACCTTGATGCGGACCCTGGCCGAGAATCACTTCAGTTACCATTTCCTGATTTTCATCGCCCATGGTTAATGCTTTATCAAAGTACGCCTGCCTCACCTCAGCACCGATCAGTGTCATTGCTTTAATAGCATTGAGGTGAAGCGCAAGACCCGCGCCAACATCTTTGTAAGCCGGTACTGACTCGTAGACATGCACATCAAGATGCGGCTTTTTTATCAAACCTACCGCAAGAGCCAGCCCAGCAATGCCTCCGCCCACTATAGCGACTTTTACACGATTCTCAGCCATCTTCGATATTGTATGTATAATAGAGAAGACGATAAAACAACATGGTGGCCTCAGAAATTCGAGTTAAGACATGCTTTGCAGGATCCGACGAAACGCGTAAGTATCGACGTCACCGACGCTCAAATCATTTCCTAACAGAGCCATAAGCTACGAGCGTGACACTTGTCGAAAACTTACAATAGTAGGCGTATGTCAGTGCTCATAGTAGCTGTTGTCTGTGAGTCCCTGACTATTAGACATGGAGGTAAGTAGGCAAGGCATCAACTAAGGGATTTCCTATATATATAAGATTAAACCCGAGTAGTAACCTGAACGGCGATTGAATTGAATCGAATTAGTTGTCTCAAGTCTTCAAGAAAAGCAAATCCACTAATTTGGTGGCGCCAGTCAGATCTTTGTGAATCGTGAAAATACTTATGTAAGAGTGAAACACCCTCTCCGGCTGAACCGCTTAATGTATACGAGCCCTTGATAATTCTCGTGTCACCAGTCAATACGTCCATGCTCGAACTTCCTGTAAGGGCGTAAAGGCATCCGCCCAGCCAAGATGAGGAAACAAGTTTGACCAAGAAATTGAGGATTTGTTTGCGGAAATACGAGGCTTCAGCCTTCTCGTCATTTAGACGCGTTGAACGAATAGAACTAACGGCTTTCGACCATGTTCTTCGCAGAGCCAATCGGTCAGATCGTCGTCTCAGGGGTGCGTATAGTAATCCAATTGGGCAACGTTGAACGAAGCCTGTATTTTAATTTGGCGGGACATATTCAATAAGAGTTAGAAGTTGGACCGTGCCATTGGATCTTCATCCCTCTGCTTCCCACTGGAAAGGAGAATCTTATCAGATCAAGACCCGCCCGATGATTGGGGCCAGCTAAAATGGCTCGTCAGACGGATCACACGTGGCGTGACCGGCTTTAAACACTACCGGAATTGTTGAGTCGAGCATAATTTTAAGCGAGAGGAACTCGTTCTCTACAGCCTTGATCCCACGCCAGCCCGCGGTGAGGTAATTGTCGGTGAGTTCAACTGTTCAGGGGGTCATACGATCGATGGAACGTTTCGAAACGCGCGGAGAGCGAAGTCGTCTCACTTTAGAAGGCATTGCCGAAACTACTATGTGGATCAACATTGAGCCTCATTGCGAAAACCCTTGCCAGGCAAGTTACCGAACGGAGTATTTCAATGTTTTCGGTACTGGGCAAACTGGGCGGGCTGGGCTCATTTCCGGGGAATTGGTTAATGAAGTCAAGCTCAACTTTTTTATCTGATCGTTTCCATTTTTTGCTTCCGAAATATTTCTACACTAATGTAACCTTAGTAAGATAAAAATGGGGACAAGCATATGATCCGATATCGGCCGTCATATTTAATCAATCAGTACATTCTACTTCACTAATCAGATTGATAAACTCTTGTACTCCGTGCGGCTGGATCGGTTTGTCAGACTGATTGATTAGATTAGGTACCTATTGCCCGGCTGATCCCCCGATCCCCCATTCCTTTAATAAACAAATCAAACAAAAAGACGTTGTGTTACTCCATCGGGCTGAACGACCTCATCGTTTCACTGTTCCCCATACTGTGCTTCTAGAATTGGGAAATGTTTTCCGACTTTTCAAATTGACAAGTTACTAATAATTATACCTGGTAAAATCGTAGAAGCAAGCAAATAATAGTACCTTAGGTACATAGTCATCAACTTCTTGGCTACCGCTCGCAAACTAAAAAAGAGTACATGATTATATCATTCTCGTTTCTTACGATCACATTGTCTTATTGTTTCACAGATCGCGCAGGAGGCTTTCAGCCACACCGCCAATTGATAGTCGTCGATTTGATGATTGGTACCACTTTACACCGGTTACCTAAAGACAGCACTAGAAAAACCAAATGCGCTGGTTCCGCTTATCGTTCGACGAAATAAAATATCAGGCGCCAGAAGACAGGATACCCGAGATTTCCAGACCGGCAAAGAGCCTGATCGATGATGGTATTCACTAGCACGATAATAGTGCTCTTTTCCGTAGGCATTTAGAACGAATGAGGTTTATCTCGGTATCTTGAACCCGTCGGGTCCAAATCCCTACTCCACTAAGCCGGTGCCGGTGTTACACGTACCGAGGAATAAAAAATAGTCTGGGTCGTGTTTGGATGATGACACCGTATCCGCAACGTTCGGGTATGTAAGAGCCCCAATTTTATGGAGAATGAAGGAGGAGGAGATCCGGGGTAACGGGCAGCAGCAGCACCACAGCAGGCCAATGCTAGACGGCCAGATAGACAAGTGACGAAATATTGTGCAATACTTGCCGAACCAACTAGAAATCTCATAGACCAATATCGGCTCTGCGAGTAGGCATTACATACATCATATAGTTACCATATCTGCAGACAGCCGATGAGTGTGCATAAGAAATCTGATAAGCATTCTAGCATTGTGGGCATTATGATAAGTAACATCCCAATGCCCCCTATCCTTGCCCCCTTGGCTGCTTCGTCATCAACGAAAAAAAAGGAGGCTTGGAAGGCTTGAATTCGAGCACTGCGTAGTAAAAATTACGAGGAATTGTCTCATGTTAAAAACAAGTATTTATGAGCCTAGAAAACTCACAAGCAAAAGCATAGAGGTGTAATTTCGGGAGATTATTCATTACGTGTAATGAAATGGCTTAGCTTAAACACGCACGATCTTATCATATCAAGATCAATTATTAGTAACGGGGCAAAGGTTACCGCTGTCCCGCGGATTGACAAGTGTTGACAACATGTGCAGGCTCGGCCAGGATCGGAGCTCCACATGTCTTATATGGCCGTCTCTTCTACTCTCGATTGGTAAACTTCGACAAACTGGGCAGTCGCGCGTTTTGGGTTCAATTATCAAAATCAGGTACGGTACACAGTACTAAATATACCCAAACTTAATTTTCACTTTGAGCTATTGGACTTTATGGTTTTCTTGGCGCTTGAAGCACTTGTTCTACGATTAACAACAATCGGCAAGAGTGCAGGACCCAGACTCTTGTCCACAATCATTCCACTTAAAAATTGATGCAAGCAAATCTGGCCATCTGATAGGGTTTTTTAACTTTGCCCCCCTTGTCAACCTTGTACCCCTGTCACCATCATTTTCAACAAACCCGCAATGATAGAAATATTTCCAGATCGGCACCCTTTCTTAAAGAAATTTCCTTACTAACCAACCCATCCCCCTTCACTGTCACGATATTATCGTGCACTTCTCTTCCTTTCCCCTTTTTCGAGCTTGTCCTGTGCTCTACTCCCTTGCAAGTTCGTTCCATTTACTTTATTTATATAATCGTGACGTTCGTTCTCAATTCCTTTGTGGTATATCTCACTACCACACATCGTCGTACACTTTCGCCACTACTCCACTCCACAATTTCACCTACCTCGATAAACCCCTGGACGAACAACGCCAAAAAGGGACAGGACAATTCGACGACACGACGCGTAAGAAAAAAAAAGATTCGTCTCCAAGTCCCGACCCCTCCCCCGCCAAATTCCCCAGAATAACCGACTTATCGGTAACAAATTGGTTCTGGCTTTTTCGGTATAATTGGACTCGACCTGTCCAACTTCACATCCGCACGAAATTCTCCTTCCCTAGCACTTGCACAGCTATACTTTAGATAGCCATGTCTCTTGACGTTGAGCACCAGCTAGCTGACTCGTCTGCCGGCTATGCGTCGGAAGAGGAGACTCGTGCTCCTTCTATCGCACCGTCCCTAACTTATTCGGACGATTCTGAAGATCAGGATGAACCTCAACCACCTGAGGTGGTTCCCCGGAGACGGCGCGCGTCTACGAGACTAATCGCGCAGAATCCGGCAGATGTACAACGAATTACAGGCGAATCCACCCAGCAATTGCTCAATCGATGCTGCGGTGGTGGTTGCTGCATGAACTCGCAGCTGAAGAAAGAAGGACTCGAGTACGAACGTGTCCCGTTCCCGGACAATCACGCCTTCCGTTCGCTCGGATTGAAGATTGATGAGCTTCCTACTGTCCTTTCCCAAGTTCCGGATATGCCCGAGCAGACCACCTTCCTTCAATCCATTCGACGCGCCTCATCAAACATTCCGTCACCTACTGACTCAGCAATCTCCTTCGGAAGCCAGGTCAGCTCGCCGTCCATTGAGACCAGCCTTAAGAACCTCACACTCGAACCTCTTGATACCACCATACAACCACCATCATTCGTCCAACCGCACCATCCTCACCATGTCTTCCCGGCCCCGATTCACAATACCCGCGAGTTGACAAAGGAAGGTGCCGAGAAGCGCACATTCCACTTTGACATCGACATCACCGACTACCCCCACGAAGAAGGCATAGACTTCAAGGTTGGTGGCGCAATTGGTCTTTATGCGCCAAACGACACCACTGCTGTAGAGCAAATCCTCGACTTGCTTCTAGTTCCGCGATTCTTGCGCGGCAAGCCTGTCCTGTTGCGCACCACGCGTGGCCGTTGGCCTACTGTTTGGGGTGAAGATAAGGCTCGGGAGTTGGTTACTACTCGACGGGATCTGCTTACTTGGTGCTCCGACATCCAATCATACCCTCCTACCAAGGCCCTCCTGCGAATCCTGGCCGAGCATGCCATTGATCCGAATGAGAAGAAGATCCTCCTGTTCCTTTGTTCTAGCGAGGGACAAGGCGCATTCTGCGACCTACGTACCGGACCTCATGTCTCTCTTGCTCAGATCCTCAACGCGTTTCCATCCGCCAAACCTCCTTTAGACTTGGTACTCTCAGTACTCCAGCAATTGATGCCGCGATTCTACTCCCTATCTAACGACCCCCATGAGTCTTACGAGATTCGCGACGGAAAGCAACACCGCCTTATCGAAATAGCTGTCACCGTTCAAGAGATGGATGACTGGCGGGCGGGCACCCGAACGGGTGTGGGTTCCGGTTTCCTTCAACGCCAATCTCTTAAGTATAAGAGTCTCCAACGTGCTGGAGATAACTCTCCTCGGCTCTATGCGCCCATTTTCAAGGGGCTCATGGCTAATCCGCTAGCTAAGGAATTCGTGTCTGATGGCCCGATGCTCCTTATTGGGGCCGGCGTCGGCATTGCGCCGTTCCGTGGCTTCGTTCAGCACCGCCTGAAGAACGCTAACTGTGCCAACAAGGTATGGGTTCTTCAGGGTATCCGAGACTCGCTCGTTGACGAGTTATACGGTGGAGAGTGGGGTGTGCACGAAGATAGAGTTAAGAAGGTTGTTCAGAGCCGACGTGGCGAGAGTCGTTACGTCCAAGATGAGGTTGTTCATCAGGCAGACCTCGTGTGGACTATCATTAACTCCGTCGACGGACGCGTGTTCGTGTGCGGCAGCTCCAAGGGCATGGGAGAAGGTGTTGAGGAGGCGCTCATCAAGGTGGCCATGCAGAAGGGCAACTTGGAGCATGATGAAGCTGGAAAATTCTGGAACCTGAAGAAAGACGTCGGACAGTATATCACTGAGACGTGGTAATCTCACCCGCCTTCCCAGTAGGCTAAGCCAAGAACATTGCACCGACATGGACTTTTACGATGGTTGGACGGTTTTCTTAGGGCCAGGGAGCTATAAAATCCTATTTTCTTAATTGTTATATGTGGCGTTTCGAAAATCAACTAGAGGTCTGGCGTTCGTTCGAGCTGGGCAAGGCTGAACTGGTCGGGTTTATTTTCAAAGGGCGGCATCGTTTCTGTTCATGGCTTCGAGGGAGTTTGCATATGAGGACGCTGGGAAAACCCAAAAGGTAGAATAGGTCAAGGATGGCGACGCAACGCTCCCTTTCTCTCCATGGCGAATAGGAGACTGTATATGTACGAACTACATAATTCAATTATGGCACAACATGAAGCAATATCACTTGCGTTTTGTTTACCGTTGTTGTGTTCCCCATATAAACGGTCATGCATAGAACGTAACGTATTAGGATTCTCGATTTACTAACGAATTTACTAGGTTCCTTACGATACTAGCAGCTGTGTAAATCTTACAGGCTCGATACGATAGGTCAGAGTCGAAGAATATTACCAAATCCGGAAAGCACCTAAATACCGTGCCGCCGCAGGATTACGGTGCCGATTGGCTACACCACGACCGGGCAGTTCCGTTGGTAAGCTTCCGATATGCAGGACTATTTCTGTTGTAGGTATAGTCAGCTAACATACATAGGGGGTTAAGTTAAGAATAATCGTAATCATCTTGTCTTGACTCCCTAGTAAAGAGACTTCCATCTACAGCTATATACTTATCCAGTACGTACCCATACCTAGATAATGGATGCCTTATAAAGGATACCTACCTAGGCAGTAGACATAACGCACGTGGGAAGAGTGGTTATACGGGTCATATATGGAAAATTCTATGCTTGTGCCTGTGTCAGTGCCGATCTGTGTACCTTGGTAATTGGTAGCACTGCCCCCTTTTGATAGTATCTCATATTTGCTCCCCCATCCCATCACCGAGACACCGAGACGCACACGAACCAGGAATATATGAGATCCCAATTAAAAAACCCACGCGGATTAATGAATTAGAGAACGCAGAACGGGTCAGGTAGTATCGAATAAGCGCCGGTAGCAGGCAATTCATCTATGTTCCCGCCCTCAAGCGAGTTGCCGAACGCGCAAAGGCGGCTAAACAGGCGATGCCAATCGACTTCATATGAATCGCGGGGTAAAAAGGGAAGGCATAAAAAAAGGCATAGTAGGGTCAGAGGACCCTTCTTTTTCTTCTGTCCCGTTCTCGGGATGTATAGAAAGAGCCGCATGCATCATGGATGTCACCTAAGAAAATAACGGGTGAAATTGGAGGTATCACCAGAATCACAAGAGCCACAAGGAGAATAATTGAAAAGAAAAAGACAATTGAAAAAATGCGCCGATGGTTTTAGATGTTTAGGAAATTCAAATTGTTTGTTGATCGAGGCGTAGAACCTCGCTTCTTCGCTTCGCGGGCATTTCGATTAGTTTGGTTAGGCGGGATCAAAGGCTGAGTTTTGGATTTCAAATTGTTTGGAAATCAGACCGATGTCACTAAGTACTGGAGTTAAGATTATGAATAGATGTGTAAGCAAAGGACGGGATGTCGCCATTCTATCACATCCTACGGATAGCATAGTACATAGTCCAGACCCACCTGCAGAACAAGCGCTTACCGAAACTTGCCCTGTCCGCCCTGTAAATGTTGCGCTACGGGACGATAGTACTCTGCATATAGATGTGTACATCTCAAGGTTTCTTTTTTCGCAACAGAACCTTATCCGAATGTCTCAGCCCATTATGTGGGATTGTGATTGTGTGTACATCTGTGTATACTTCGGGTGTTTACATTCATGTGATACTTGGAAAATAAAGACGGAATACATGTAAATACTCAGATATTAAACGCCTAAACCATGTAGCAGTACCTAAGGTACCTAACAATAAACTACATGTACCCTACCTAGTCGTAGGTAAACTTGGACAAACTGCGGATATTTCGTATAGCGGATAGTACCTTGGTAGGTACCTACTATGTATGATAAATGATATGTGCTTGGTAATTTGATGAAACAGCCTATCAACTTGATACTGCCGCTTCCTTATTAAAAGCTTACACACAGTTTACCAAGGGGAGCAATTACCAATGTGGGAATAACCAACATCCCAACCTCCTAGCATTCTATGTGCGTTGGTGGATCGATCGATCTTACGTGTTTAATGCAAGAAAGAGATAGGCAGGCACAAGGTAGAGTTGGTAAAGGTGGTAAAAGAGCCTACAAAGTAGGTAGTAGGTACTAGGAGGTGAGTTAGGTACCTACCCCTCCATCCGTTCTTTCTTTTTTGCGACGGATTCAATGCTTATGTGCGTCAGCGGGGTACTCGACACACTAAGAAGGTAGGGGGGGTACATATTGATGGAAAATAGTATGCTTCTGGACATTTCTCCTTCCCTCCAGCATCCTTCTTTCTTCTCATCCCACTTGGTTTTTTTCATGCTATCCATGCTATGCTTAATCGATAGGTTTCATAGGTTCCATAAGATCCATAAGTTGTTTCCCCATTTGTCATTCGTCATTCCCACTTGCCGGTTTGAAAAGGGACTATAGTGTTGCTTTCCGTTACGTTGGAAAAATAAATAGACCACGATGCGCCCGCATATTGTCACTTCAGCCGTCTTTTCCCTCTCTAGACTTACCAGTACTTCGGCTACCACTCGGGCAACTAAAGCTCTCATAACTTCCAATTTACCCCTTAAAGCCTTCACAGTAGCAACCTGTCCTCCTCTGAGACTATTCTCCTCTACCGCTTCCCAGTGTACCTCTAAACCCTCGACGACAATGGCTACTCCCATCCTCGACCTCGTCAAGTCCCGCCGCACATACTACGTGCTTAACAAAGAACTCCCCATCTCTAAGGACCGTGTCCAAGAGATTGTCAAGGAGTCTCTCCTCCACACCCCCTCATCCTTCAACTCCCAGTCCAACCGTATCGTAGTCCTCTTCGGCGCCGAGCACGACAAGCTCTGGGGAATTGCTACAGATATCTTGAAGGCTATCGTCCCTGAAGATGCCTGGGAGCACACCGCCCAACGTATGAACGGCTTCAAGGCTGCCGCCGGAACTGTATGTTCCCCTTTTTTTTTCTTTTCGGCCGTATTGGAATAGTTTGTTTGTTTGTAGTGGTACTAACATAGTAAATAGGTTCTGTTCTTCGAGGACCAGAAGGTCGTCGACACCATGCAGGAGAAGTTCGCCCTATACGCCGACAAGTTCCCCATCTGGGCTCAACAGTCCGACGCCATGGCCCAGTACGTCGTCTGGACCGCCCTCACCGCCGAGGGTGTCGGCGCCAACCTCCAGCACTACAACCCCCTAGTCGACGCAAAGGTTGCCAGCGAATGGGGCATCCCCGACAACTGGAAGCTCAACGCCCAGCTCGTCTTCGGCGGCCGATCCGGCGAGGCCGGCCCCAAGGACTTCCAGCCCATCGAGGAGCGCTACAAGGTCTTCGGCGCCTAAACGCGCACGATATTTCCAACCACCACTACCGGTTGCTGCTATCCTAACCAGCCCGTCTTCATGGCCAACCTAGACAAGCCAAACAACTTAAGTCCTCAGATCTAATCGGTGTCGCGATACGAGTATGTCGAGTGCGCAAGGGAACCTTATCATCATCAATATCAATATCAATATCATCATCATCTTGGAAAGACAGGAACTGGATTCATTTTAGATGCTGCTTTTAGATAGACCGGGCGAAGTCGAGCGAGCCCTCCCAATCCCCCTTCGTCGCGAAAAGAGTTCCTTAGACTTTGCTACCCCTAGGAAAGCGTTCAACACCACCTATTAGAACTATCACCATATATAACTAAATAAATTAGTGAAACTTATCAAAGATGAGGTGTTTGGTGATGAGAGTATACCTACTTGTGTTTTGTGATTTGTAGAAGTGGGGGCCGGATGGAAATAGAGGGGAACCCACATCTTATCTCTCTTTATATACCTACCAACGCCAGTTAAGTCATCCCAAGTTGCTTATGATTACTAGGTAAGGAGGTAGTATCGGTCTAATAGAGATCATATGTTTGTGTGATATGATGTCGAAACAAAGTTAGCCGCATGAGATAACTAGCCGCCCACGACCCAGGTACTAGGTAACGGGTTGTGATCGGGATGGGAAATCATGTGACGGCCATATACGGAACTGTGACGTAGGCCTGCATACACGGTATACATACGGACTTAGTGAGATGGGCGAGGATGGAATGCTATGTACTTTATGCCGTATACTAGGTAGATTTTGTGTGTTCGGAGGAAGGAAAATAGGGGTTGCTGGTAGACGCGGATGTCTCGGGTTTCGAGCTCAACCCCTGTTTGAGGAAACGTGGATATGTATTTAAGACGGCGACACTAATAAATGTTAGGAATTATATGATGACTGTAAGCATTCTATCTTGATACACACTACCGGGGACCTCTATGTAGAGATGCTGTGCCGTGTTATTACAGCAGCCCTATACCAAACCCACACCCCTTTCTCAGACGGTTACGCTGGGATTAGGATTACCCCAAACCTTAAGTTCACGAGGTTAGTAGTACGACATATTAACACGTCTGAAGTCACTCAGTACTGAAACAGTTGTTGGTGCTTGAGAGAAAGTTTATGATCTTAACGAAGGATATCTAGTAATATATAACCGAATGAACGGAATTTTACAGTGGCCAGCATCTATGTAGGTATGTATGTAATAAAATGGATATCTGTATCCCAAAACCTCCTCCCTTTTAACACTACGACAATCCTCATCATCCCTAAGTAGCGGGGGCAAACCTCTCCCCATCCACCGCTCTCAGCTTAAACGCGCGCAGAGAGTTCGTCGACTGCCTTGATAGATGACCGTGCGCGTTCGATATCGCATTCCCCGCCACGCTTACCGCGCTAGATCTCGACGCGGACCGTACGTGGCTGCCGGACATGTTCATGCTTCTTCCTCCATGGCTGGGGACCTCGCTGTATGGGCGCCGGGTATGCAGTTGGCCCATGAGAGAGCTCATGGCTGCGTGGACGTTGTTTTTGGGTCCGGTGCTCATGTTAGTGGCACTCATGGGCGGTGTTGGGAAACCGCCGATGACGGGATAGTAGGGGGTGTTTTGTTGGTGTTGAGCTTGCATTTGTGGGGAGTGGTTGAATTGGTTGTAGTTTTGGCTTACGGGAGAGAGGTTTCGGCTCTGGAGTGAGTTCCCGCGCGATCGCGACCGTGATTGATTTAACTTGCTGAGGAGCATCTCGGCCGAGGGCGACATGCCGGTCGACGACCGAACGCGTGATGGAGAGCGGCTGGATCCGCGACTGGAGGGAGGAGTCGGGAGTCTAGCATGCCCGAGTATCATGTCCTGATTCTTAATGCCGAGACCCATTGCCATGGTATCATGCGATTCAGCCGGAGGTGTGTGCAGGCCGGTATGCGCCATCGCTCTTTGCAAGTCCTCAAAGCTCATGGGAACTGGGGGCATTTTGCTGAGCCGCCGGATTGCTTTGCTATGCTTCTCCACGAAACTGTTCATGGCCCTGAGCGCCCCGGGGTTCTCTCCCACTTGCATCGCGTCTCCTGAGCTTCTTCCTCGGGCTTGGTGTACGGCGTTTAGGCTTAGTGGCTGTTGTGGTGTGCTCATTTGCGTATCCATTTGTGCTGAGCCCAGCGTGGCACGAACCTGCGATATGACATTGTCGAAGTCGATATTCTGATTAGGGTTGGCGCGGGACATGTAGTAGGATGACTGCTGTCCTGCGGTCAGAGTGTCGGTGGCTGCTTTATGAGTCATCACGAATAAACTTCCGTCTCGAATACATCTACGCACGAGCGCCCACCGGGTTCTGGCGGGGTTTCGCTCGAGTTCAGGTCTGTAGACCGAGCATTGGGCAAGCTGCGCGTAGAATATCCCTAAGCGGCGTGCGATGCGTTCGAGGATTTGGAGGAGGAATGTTGAAATAGCTGTCATGCGATTGGCTTCGAAATCCGGATCCTGCATCTTGTCGGCCGAGTTATAAGCGTTAGCGATGCTGTCGAAGGCATCCATACCAGTACCGATTTCCTGGCGAAGATCTTCAAGCAGCTCGATGTCTAACTCCACGCTCTTGGCTGCATAGGCGAAAACTCCGCGTTCTTGGAAGCGAAGAGAGCCTTCGGCGCCGTTGATGAACTGTCCGATAAGAGCTACCTCGTTCATACAGGACACGGCGTCTGGGCCGGTATTCGCACGGGCTACCGCTCCTAACACGTCAGGTAGTTGAATATTCGCTCCCGCACCACCTGCGCTAGCAAGACTAAACGATAACTTGAGAACAAGTTCTTGAAGCTTCGCCCCGAAGAGAGCAGCGAATCCCATTTGTAATAATCTGCTCTGGTAGCCGTAGAATGAGCGAATGGCGATTGTGCTGGGTAAGCTTTCGTGGAGCCACATGTTAGTGCTCCCCATACGGTCAAAGGATGATGATGTTTTGATTGATGCTCCCTGGATCTCGTGCATCTCAATTTGGTGCGCCCCTAAAGTCTCCACGGTGGTTCGTAAGTATGCAGCCCAGATATCATACAGAGCAGATAAGTCCTCCTCGCCACCCTGGTAATCGGGTTTGGGTGTTAAATGTCCAATAAAATACTTGGTTAGAAGACTATTGACCTCGGGGTTGTTGGTATGAGCCAGATTGTCAAACGATTTGGAACAGTCTACCCCAGCGTTCGACTTGATGATCTGTGTGCCTCCAGGATGCATAGGACAAAAGTCAGTAACATCGTATACACTTCCGTGAACTCCTATCCACATTCGTGATCCTGGTCTATGGCCAGTGTGTTGAGCAAGTTGTGATAGTGGGATGGTCGGTAAGTTGCAAGGAAGGGGCTTCGGGGTCATGAAGACGTCAAGCATGAATCGTCGTTCTGCAAATGCTTTGTTGACAATGAGATCAACATTTTCCATAGTTGCAGTACAGTGGGTGTAAACCGCCTTGCGAATTCCGTTCATCACCGAATCGAAAACGGCAACAGAGCCGCACACGTAGAGATAGCCACCTAAGCCGCCCTGCTTCTTTGACATAACAAGGTCGGATATCGTCGCACTTTGCTCGACAATTAGGGTATCGATATAACGAGGAGGAATATGTTTCTCAACCAGGTCCCGCGAGTGCGGATCGTACGCAAGACCTCTGGAATCTCTTGAGAATGCCACGTGGACTTCCATAAAGTCCGCATTCACATATTCTCTCAATTCGTCCTCGAAACAAAACTTTTCGCGCGATTGGACACCAAGATACAAATGGTTCTTGCCCCCAGATAAGCCGTCGGTAGTTAGGCGATATTGCCAGAAGCTCCGGAATGGTGCGATCCCACTTCCACCAGCGAAAAAGGCGCAGGGAGCCATGTTATCTAAAGGCAATTGGAAAGACATAGGCCGAGAAACACCGACAAGGATCTCGTCGTCAGATTCCATCTCATTCAATGATGGGTGAGGGTTGAAGAATCCACTTGCAACGCCAGCGCGATCCACATCTTCTTGTTTGGAGAACGTTGAGCAGAGCTTGTACTCGGCGCGTGATATAGCCAAGTCAACGGTGCTAGGAAGAAGTTCGTCGGTATAGCTCGCTATCGAGTAGGTACGGGGGACCTCAACGGGGATGAGATCAGCCAGCCACGAAAGGTTGTCTAGGCTAAATGCCTTATCCCAAATGTGAGCTGGTGTATCTACAAGGGCATCTTGTAGTATGTCGCCTAGTGAACCTCGAACTGGCCACTCATCCGTAGCAAGGACTTGGAGGACAGTATTTGAGGATGCAGCAAGTAAGCTATGGATTTTCAAAGCAAGGTCTTTCGTAATTGGTGCAAGGTGGCCGCGGCGGAGAATATCCGCTACCGTCAACTTCTTTGCTGTCGTCATTCTCCGCACAGATGTGAGATGCCGTTCAAAACGGGACCATGTGCCAGTCACCTCAACCGGGTCATCGATATGGGTCTCCAAGCCTAAAGCCGCAGCTACCTTTGCACATTCATCCCAGCTGTTCAGGGGCATAACTGCTAGACGATCACCAGGCATGAAAGTAATGCCTGTGTCTTGAATATCCAAGGTAACGAGACCAATTGATCGTGTTGGATCGGAGTCGACATTGGATCGATTTAGAACTCTCGTTATATAACGGCATTCTTCGAAGGTTCCTCGCATTTGATGTGGCTCGACTGCCAAATTACCACCTACATAGCAAGTATCAAGTTAGCTTCTTAAAAGACAGCATTCATTATGGGGGTTTTCGATAACTTACGGTATGGTTCAAGACGCTCCTTCATAGCATCTGAGAATTGTTTATGGGTCTCTTCCCATGGGCGGGATGCATCACCAGCGCCTGATGCACCATTTGTCTCTGTTCGTCCTGTCTTTGCAGCGATTTCAAGAATACCAAAGACCTTGTATCGATGTGTTCCCATGAAGCCTCTTTCGCCTGTATATGCCTCGATAATGCCATCCAGGACTCCTTTCAGTCGCGGATCATTAGACTGCTGAACGAATTCGGGAATGCGATAATGATACTCGATGGCGGCGATGAAGGCTCGGAGATTGGAAGGTAGCCAGGCTCTCAAATGTACTCCTTCTGCACCAAGGAAGGAGTTGTATCTATCAAGAGTTAGTTCTATTACTTAAAGATGATAGAACCCTAGGCAAGAGCTGGATTAAAATCCCCTTTACGATTGATCAACTTACTTTTTACGGCCAAGAAACGCATCCATCACAAGATAAGGGGGAAATTGCAAGCCCGAAGAGGCAGGACACCTTTTGGAAAGAGGAGCAGAGAATTTCGCCCAACGGACCCATTGATGGACAGGAACATAGTTCTCGCCTGAGTTCGGGTTTACGTTGATGGAATGAAAGGCGTTGGGCATACGCTCGAGAATTTCTTTTAATCGAATCATTTCGCGTAAGAGTCCTTCGACATTCTTATTCATAACATGCTCTTGACATGCCGCTATAGCATCAGGTCCGTGCTGGAAAGAAGCTACTAAAGTCAGTATTGAAACGCTTAGTAGATAGGGGATTTTGTTCACCTGATGTATCGGCGCAACCTTTGAGGAAAGCGATCTCGGCTTTCTCGCCGAACATAGACCATCGGAGATCTGTGTTCTCAGAACGTGCGACGTAAGGATAAGTTGAAGTAGGGTCTCGGATCTTGATGTTGTAGCTGGATTGATCGGGAAAAGTGAGGTGTGGAAGCGCTCGACCCATGCGTCGTGAAATCTGATAATACGGCAACGCGATGCATAACGGGATGCCGACTAGCTCTTCACCAAATTCATCGCCCGTTGGGACGTTTGGCGCCTTCTTCTTAGGAAGGGCAGAAGAAATGCCTTCGCTTCCATCATACTTGGATACGAAGCGATAGATAGAACACAACACTAAGGGCATCAAGTCAGTATTTAGATCAACGAATAAGTATCTACGAAATTTTGTTGGAAAGCAAACTTACTCCCTAAAGCAACTAATGCCGCCCATAGCGCCTGGTCTGGAATAACTTCTTTTGTGCCCTCCACAAGAGCAAGCGCAGCAACAGATTCTTGGACACGTCCTCTTGCAACGCAACCGGGCATCCGCTCGCAAAGATCGGCCCATATTCGACCTGGAGTTCTTGATAGAGCACCGATAGCCTCTTCGTAGTCCGGAGGGCAGAATCCATGCTCTGCGCTAAGATAACCGTCTAACCAACCGGTCTTAGGTCCGATTTCCTCTGCCCTTAACATGACTTGCCTAGCTGGTGCTCCTAACGCCACGGCTAATAGGTCCTGTTCATGAGCGTTGAAGGCATCGATCTCTGCTTGAGTTTTGGCTGCGTCAATTTCTCGAACAGATGGAATGTTATTATACAACAGCTGATTTATTGATTTGCGCTCTCTATATGAAATATCTTTAGTCTCTATGTCAGTTCATCTTTTTAAGAATTTCGTACCTCATTCGAAGCCATTCCCCAGCATCAACCCCTCGTGGAATCTGTACATGTTAGTCATCTTCCGGGAAGTATAGACCATCAGACGTACATCGAATGCTGCATGGAGATCTCCTGGTTGACTGTAGCCGGAAAACGAGCAACCTCGTGGACCCATCCGACTATTGCTTCTGCTTGCGTTTGCATGGCCGGCTGGACATTGCCCTCCGATAGAACCGGAGACTGGACACGAACGTTCTGACATGATGAAATTTTGATACCAACTGAAAAACAATACCAGAAATTTCTCAAGCGGGATTACAGATTAGTGAATGTAAATAATAAGCAGGCCACCGGGGCTGAAGTAGAAACACCACCAGGGCAAAACGATAAAATAGCAAGCTACTCTGCAACGCAAAGGACGAAAGATGCTAGGTTTGAATCATCACTAAGCTGAGATGCTGTGATATTTGATAGAAGATCTCTGGACTCAACGAGATCGAGGCTTGAGCCCCTGTGGAGACATTTTCAGCCCCAGTCAAGAAGTAGGAGGCTCATAACCCACCGCTTCGCAGTGTGTTAGCTGCATCGGTGACAGGATTGCCTGTACTGCACAATTGGATGGATGATGATCACCCCCGTGTGACGCGTAACCTCCTTTCCTCTAATGGTAACCATTGTCCAATAGGGGCTGCTGTCATCAGTTAAGGTCTAATTCTACCATTAAGCGAAACATGCCAAGGTCAACCAATAGCTCGCAGGCGAATTGAAGACAAGCCTGCGATGCTGGGTTTACTCTTGGCGCCCCGATGCTTGAGAGGGTCTAGAGATTTTCTAGAGATTTCCTGGGGACAATTCAAGTCCTGGATCTCAAAAAGTTTAGACAAGAGGTTTCATTCTAGCTTTCTCCTGGTTCTCACAAGCGTCTACCGTTCTGGCGGCATCCTGAATTCTGAATATGGAGTAATAGGGAGGTTCGTGAGCCTCATATCAGAGGTTCCATGGACGAGCAGCGGAGCTAATAGGTAATTAATTTCGCAAAATGTGGCGTCACCCGCGATAAGGCTTGCGTCTCCTCGTGGACGAGGCATGGGATACATCTTGATATTGTCACCCACATAATGTGTATACCTGGGTAATAGTATAGGATTGTCTTATCCAATTGAGATGTCCACGTTCTTGCTTTGTGAGGTCAAAGAGTCGAGAGATTACAGTGCTCTGGGGTTCGATCTAGCTTCTCGCTTGAAGCATCGATTTCGGTACCAAATAGGAAGTATGTCCATTTAGAAGTTTGAAATGAACGGAGCTATTTCGACCTGAAATCCTGGGCGTTGAATCTAAAGGGGCGGCTCGTCCCTATTTTAAAAATAATCAGGGTGACATTGGAAAAGTTTGGAAAGTTTGCAAGGGTCAAGGCGGCTCTTTACTTTAATTATGGCTGGGGATCGTTTGTGAAACAACGGAAATAGCGTTTTGAGCTCATCAGACAGTCAGTTACGTAATAACTATGGGCGCTTTTCGCGTCCTGTTATTGGTTTACGTACCTGAGTATTCTGCACCTTCTTTAATTCTTCTGTTTCATTCTTGAGCCGCCTTTGCCCGCTATGACCCGCGATCGATCGTAGTGCTTTTAGTTTAGTTAATACTAATAACTGAGATCTCCAGATCTTCAGGTCGCTCTGCCGCTTGCTCTCGAGTCTCTGATCTACATGCATACTACGTAAATCCAATGGCTAATACTTCCCTATTGTGAATCTTTAACAGTTTAGTTCTGTCAATGAACCACCTACCTAGGTATATAAAAGTCTCATCTTTTAATCATGACAGTTATGAGGTACTTATAAATAGATGTGTAGAACCCTTAAACTTCATGATGTTTGTTGCTTTTATCATGCAAATGAAGCATTGGGTTTATTTGAGAAGAATTACTTGGGCAGCAAGTATTGATCGGTCCTATTGAATTTGAATCATCTGCCATATTTTCATACACAAATTATGAACACTGATTCATGCCAAAACCAGTCCATGGTGTCGATCAAGCTAAGTGGTGAAACGACTTCAATTTTCATCTTGGCGTCCAAAAAAATCAAGAGTGTTAACCGCCAAGCTGTCATCACTTGCAATGGCTGTTTCAAACGCCTATTAGACATTTCAACATTCGATTCGTCTTACTCTGAAAATCTTCCTATTTATCGAAGTGCAAGGAGCCATGGTCGTGGCATCATATCTTTCGCAAATGCCGCGCAATGCCTAGTCATTTTCATAGACTTAATGCTATGTCATGGTGAACAGAACAGCAGCAATTATCACACGAAAATTCGTCCCCCTCGAGAACATCAAACGTCAAAGTAGTTTCGGTGAGATGTTAGTATAAGCAAATAAAAATTAGCAATTCATTTCTTCAATTGAATGACCAAATAGGTCGGGGTATCATAGTCTTAATCGTTCGTAAGTTCCCAGCTACGAGGCTTTGCTCTTCTTCGGTGATGAAGCGCGACCCCCTTCCGATTTATTGTTAGGGTCCTTCTTCCGCTTCTTCCCCTGAAGCATTTCCCGCTTTTCCTTCTTACGAGCCTCCTTGTCTAGACTGCCGATGACCTTGCTCTCATTACCGCATGGCCAATTCGCGAAAGCTGCTGCTTCCTGCGCCTCACTCCATTCTTGTGGCAACACAGCGAACACAAGGTATGAGGTATGTGTCTTGAGCTCTGGCTCGGTTCGATGAATGAGCCTCCCAGCCATCCAAGGCTTGATCGACGATGCGTCTTCGGCTTCGTCAGTTTGCGAGTCGCGTTTGTTCTTTCCATTAATTGGTTTTGTGTCGACCATAATATCTTCGCCATCGTCCATGTCGACATCAGCATCGCGATTTTGGGGGTGTTGGTTCTTAAATCGACCCTCAATTTCCTTCAACTTCGTGATGGCTTCTGTAACATTGGCTGCTGTCTGGCTCGACCCTCGTTCTCCTGCTGGTATGTTTAAACCAATCCGCTCTCGCATAACAAGTATTTTCTTATGTGCGACTTCGACCATCTCTATATCCATCCATCCTAGTCGGCGCATAACGTCAATGGTTTTTGTGACCTGTTCAATGCATGGAGAAAAGGTGCAAATATAGACTGTCCGACCAGCATGTAGAGGAGACTTCCATTCGGAGTCCGTATTGCCAAGACAATCTAGTTCACTGCCTAATAGTTGAGACGGCGTCGGCTTTTGTCTCGATAGATGGGGAAGAGCTTTCCACGGCGCTGGCAGATCGAGGAAGACGCATTCGGCTTCGGGACTTTCGCCATCGACTAAAAATCCGTTGTTGTAAACATCTCGGTGGGTAATCTGAACGAGTTTATCCAAGCGGTGGTCGCTAATCTCCTGGCGCATCTTCTCGTATCGATCTTGGTTGTACTCAAAACTAAATACCTTCCCTCTCGCATCTTGCGCATCTTTCGGATAGCCATTATAGATCGCCCTAGCAGCGGCATGTGTAAAACTGCCACTTCCTGCGCCGGCTTCGATTATTTTCATACCAGGTCGCGCGCGGATACGGTGAAGAATGTAACTATAATCGGGCGTATATACGACTTGGGTTCGATGAGGCAGGCTTGTTGTCCAGAGCTCTGGTGTAGGTGGTAGTATGTGGATGAAACCGCTTGAGGCAGTCTTGACGTCTTTTGCTATTACGACACCTGAACCAGCATCCTCCACATCATTTTCCGGTTCCTTTTCCGGTTCTGCATCGTTGTTGGGCTTCAATTTTCGACCTCTAGAGCCAGTATCTACGACGGAGGCGCGTATTTGCGAACCCCATGGTTTATTAAGTAAGGTGGAGTGTGGGAAAGATCCAAATCGCGTATTTAATACGGCTCCCTCAGCGTATCCATCAATGGCATCTGAGGTATCGTTCAGATAAATTGGCTCGATGTTGTCGCGGGACAGGTGAGCTAGGGCGAGTGTGTTTGGTTTCGTCCGAGGACCAGGATTTAGAAACGGCGATAAATTCGACATATTAACTCTTTCTAAGAGTGTAAATATTAAAGGAACCCTAAAATTGGCATGTTAAGAGTACATCGTCTGCAGAAAATAATAAATCGGATGAATTGAGTTTCGAACTTAGAGAAAGTTGAGACGAAAAAAAAGACTACAAGATAAGACGATAAGGATAAGGATAATGGCGTATGGCGGGGTTTCCCTTCCAATAGAAACTCAATGTTGATAATGCCCTATAAAATGGAGGGGCAACGGAGCCTGGAAGCCCGATAACTGTAAGGCCATGCTAAAAAATGCAGGGAAATAAGGTTAGGTTATACGCTGTAAATCGGAGGAAGGTAGGATTAACAATTGTCTTGAAATAAATTGCGACATTGTTGCTTCTGCTGTGAGTCAAAACTTCCAAGGCTGACCATAATTGTGCATAAATGTGACACGTTTCCTCTCCATATCTACATCTATTCGACATTACTTTTTCCTTGATGAACTTCCTCTTGACTAGATTAACGAGAAGACTTATTATCAATATTCGTACAACTCAATATTTACTGTGCAGAAGCTTTGCGACATACCCCGCCATGGACTCAATCAGGGTCCATAACTCCTTGAAGCCAGGAGGACCAGTTCCTTTCGTTCCAATCGAGAAAGGGAAAGTATCTTGGTATGCTTGCGGTCCGACTGTCTACGATCAAAGTCATCTGGGCCATGCTCGCAATTATGTATCCACCGACATTATACGTCGTATCTTGTTGCACTACTTTGGCTTCAATGTCAAGTTTGTTATGAACTTTACAGATGTCGACGACAAGGTACGCCACGACTCTCTTACTAACAATGGCTTGCAATCTTGTACTGGGGCTAATAACGTTCTTAGATCATAATAAAAGCCCGAAGACAGCGTTTGCTCGACCTCGAGAAACAAAAGACTTACACCGATGACGAACTCCTCGAGTTAGGAAAAGCAGCATTCCAAGCCTATGCAGAAAGCAACCTACCACAGCTTCTCGAGGGTGAGGGCGAACTAGATGTGAACAACTATATTCCACGAAGAGATGCGGCATATGGAAGCGTCTTGGCAGGTGGTGCTCTGGCAGGAGATGGCAAGCCAGGTGATGCTGAGGCAAAGCTCAAGATGCACATAAGCAATATGACATCTGCAGTCATTGCTATAACCGGAAACCAGGTCTTTAAGGGCGCCGACGAAATACTGTTGCCATACCTAGATTCCCTGTACAAGGAGACGATCGATACTAGCGACCAGTCAATATTCACGGACTTGACTCAATATATGGAAGGGGAGTTCACTGACGATATGGATGCTTTGAATGTTCTCCGACCCGATGTTGTTACGAGAGTCACCGAGTACGTACCGCAAATCGCTAAGTTTGTTGAGAAAATCCTTGAAAAGGGCTTCGCATACGAAGCTGAAGGGTCCGTGTACTTTGATATTGCGGCGTTCGAAAAGGCAGGCAACCCATACGCGAGACTTCGACCGGAAAACCGCAACGACAAGGCATTGCAAGAGGAGGGAGAGGGTTCATTATCTAAAGGGCTGGGAGGAAAAAGAGGCGCTGGCGACTTTGCTCTGTGGAAAAAATCCAAACCAGGCGAGCCATACTGGCCAAGCAAATGGGGCAATGGGCGCCCAGGATGGCATATTGAGTGCTCGGTAATGGCATCTGATGTTCTGGGTCCACGGATGGATATTCACAGCGGTGGTATCGATCTTGCATTCCCGCACCACGATAATGAACTTGCTCAAAGTGAAGCTTATTTCTGCCAGCATGGCCACGAACATACTTGGGTCAACTACTTTCTACATATGGGCCATCTATCAATATCTGGATCGAAGATGTCTAAATCTCTTAAGAACTTCCAGACAATCAAAGATGCGTTGGCATCTACCTACACGGCGCGCTCGATGCGTATAGTATTTTTACTCGGTAAATGGAACGATGGGGTTGAAATATCTCCGGATATGCGCTTGGCGGCCGATAGTTGGGAAACTGCGGTTAATGTAAGTTTCAATTATCATCCCATATACTTCTCATTATGTTCTAACAACAGTAGAACTTCTTCACAAACACAAAAGCGCTGCTGGCTGAAGCAGCCGACACGACAGCAGGTGTGGATGGTGGCGTAAAGGCTCTCTCGATTAGCAATGAAAAATCCCCAGAAAACCTACAAGCCGATTTAGAGCAGGCCAAGAAAGAGGTTGAAGAGGCGCTCGTCAACTCATTTGATACCCCGGCAGTTTTGCGAGCGGTAGCAGAGGTGATTAGAAAAGCTAACATCCACATTAGCGCCCACAAGGATGACACAGATTTTGTGACAGTTGAAGCAGTTGCGCGATGGATCACGAAGATAGTCGGAATTCTTGGTCTCGATGCGAACGCAAAACCTCCCTATGAGGGAATCGGCTGGGTGTCAGCAGCCGCAGCAGCCAATTTAGATCCTCCAACTGCTGTACAACCATACAAAGCAGTGTACAAGACCTTCTATTCCGATGTAAAAGCTCTCAAGCTTCCAGCCTCTGAGACTGTTACACAACTCTTATCTCAGTCCCCTGACTCGGAATTTGATTCGTTGGCCAGTGCCGGGGTTAGAGACCCAGAGCAATTGGCATTGCCATACTTGCGGGGAGTCGCAAAACTGCGTAACGAGCTTCGACGATTAGCGCCATCAGCGTCGCCAGAAACGAAGCAATCAATCCTTTCCTTAAGTGACCGAGTCCGAGATTTCGATCTCAGTAATATCGGCGTCTACTTGGATGATCGACCAGACCAGCCTTCATTAATCAAGTTTATTCCTGCAGCGGAGTTAATTGCGACAAGAGAAGAGAAGGCAGCTAGGGAAGCAGAAAAGGCGCGCGCCAAGGAAGAGGCGAGACGCGCCAAAGAGAAGGCGGACGAGGAGAAATGGGAAAAGGCGAAGCTTGCGCCACAAGATATGTTTAAGGGCGATGATCGTTACAGCGAATGGGATACCGATGGATTACCAACGAAGATGAAGGACGGCAGCGACGTGCCTAAGAGCCAATCGAAAAAGCTGAAGAAGGATTGGGATAGACAGAAGAAGGCGCACGGCGAATACCAGGCTAAGTTTGGTGGGAGCACAGCATAGATCGCTTATGAGCCTGCTTAGGTATCCTAGAGAGTATCTAGGTAAGCATCAAGATACCAATTCTCGAGCGGTGTGTTTGTTGCTATTAACTGGTGGGTAAATGGTGTTTTGGTTTAAGGATTCCTGTTTTATTCGCTCCATACAACCAGAAAAGGTGTGTTTTAGGTACTGTATGTACTGTATGCGCATGAGGAAGCACAAGAGATGATCTCAGAACATTGGAAGACTGTAACGCTGGAATAGCGAGTTACCCCACGTTTATCCCCCTGACTTGGTGACCCAGCTTTCAATGACAAGCATTCGCCAAGCCGATACCCGACTTGGCATTACACCCTAGCAAACCTAGCTACAGTTGGTAAAGCTTGGTGAGTTCTATCGTACGTCGAAGTAACCTTGCCCAGCTGTAATTCTTAAACAACCTTGGAAGTCCAGAGTCTTTAGACCTAGCGCTAAAACATCCTGTTCTTTAGCAAATGGTGGCTGTAAATTTGGCGGGGAATTGGGTGTTCAACGACAAAAACAAGCATGATGCCGATGACGACTAAATGACGAAGCTTTACTACATTCGTAGGTACTAGGTAGTACCTATAGTACCTACCGATGTAGTTACACAAGTGGCTAGGTACACGGAGTATTCGTGATTAATTAGTTTCTTTGTCCTGTACCTACCTAGGTAGGTAGGTAGGCTACTTCAACAGCTTCAGGTAACGACCTTGTTGGATGAGGCCTCATCATTACCCGAACTATGCCGTTTCAAGCCAATCTCTCATGCACCCAATGGCTTTAGGTGATGTGAGCATGTGCGTACGTGCCACCTTGATGAGCTAGACGTCTGGCTAGATTCAAGCTCGAATTCATGCAAACAGCAACACACTCCTCCATTGGGAAGCGGTGTATCGATGAAACTATAAACAATGCAGGACCCCTCAAAGCTCCGCGGGGCTATAGCTACATAATTGAAGGAATATGACTATCAATGGAGGGGTCGAGATAATGCTCTCCTTAATCGTACAGGACGTACAGGGCGTAAATGCCTTTTCGATGGGAGTATTTTCTTGATTGAGAGCTCGTGGAAGTCTCATGATCCTTGGGGGTAAGCAAGCCAGGGAGCAACGAAGAGCAAATCAAGTTGCGGGGACAAGAAAGAAACAACAGTACTCCACCTTTCTACTCTATATCGACGTACCTAGGTAGTCTCGTATTGGCTCGAATCGACACGAAGCTGTATCGACTTAATTTGCTCTGCCCTGCGTTATTACGTGTATGGTTAGACCGGCCTGCCAATAGTCGTGCCGGAATACCCGGCCAGGTTTCAACAACGCCTCAGATCCACCCACATATGGGAGCATGTCATCATATTTAGCTACATGTAGCCTGGTAACAAAGGAATAGCTTGTGATGAACCGGTACCTAATCGGCTAGAGGGGCACTATGGCGTAGAGGGGTTACCTCACACGCTCCTACGGATGTCAGCCAGTGCCTGGTAGCTCATAATTCATAAATAGACCTGCTTCTTCTTCGTCCTCCCCTCCTTCTGACCTTGACATCAAACCAGTTCCAATTCCAACGACGAAACGACTACTTAGAATTAACGATATCTTCATAAATCAGCAAACATGTTCGGATTCGGTATGTCTTAGATCGATGACAGAGACAAGAAGTCGTCCCACCTTTGTGTCACATGCTAATTATATGATCTAGACGACGCTAAGAACCAACGTGACGAGATCTACGACGGCCAGCCTCATGAGTCTAAGCTGTCTCACGAGCTCATCGGCGGCGGTGCCGCCTTCGAGGCCATGAAGCTCTTCGAGGACCGCCAACGCAAAGAAGGTACATATGCCGTGTAACATCAATATATTGTTAAAAGCAACTGGCTAACGCATGTCTCTTATATAGGCAAGACCGTAAACCACGCATTCGCCAAGGAGGTCCTTGCCGGCATTGCCGGTGCTGAGGTCGACAAGCTCTTCGAGACCAAGGGTCTTGACTTCATAGACCGCGAGAAGGCCAAGCACCATGCTAAGAAGCAGGCCGAGCACCTGTACGAGTCCCAGTATGGTGGCCAGGACCAGTATGACCCGTAAGTGTTTCCCTAGGAGTTAGACACCGAAAGGGGTGTAATATGAGAAAAGATGTTAACTTGGACGTTCTTTAGCAACAACTTCGACCGCCACCCTTCCACCAACTACTAGATCATCAAATGGATCTTGGAAATTTGGATTGTGTGCTGAGCATCAAGACTCAATGGCTGGATGACTAGATACGAATAAATGAGAAGTGAAATAAAGCCAATTTAAATGGTGTTGTCTCATTGTGCCTTCATTAAACAGTGAAGTTACTGTGATGTTTGAGCTCTTAGTAGATGTTTGTTCTGAGGTCATACCGAGACTGACAAGTACACTTCAGTTATCAACCTTTTTGGTGAACATTGTAATTTTAACACTGTAGAAATCAGTTTTTTGGCCTTTGCAAAGTTTTGGGTCAATTAGTTGCAGCAAGCCCTAGGCGGTGAATGTTAAGCTCGGAGGGTAATTGCCGAGGCATATCACCAACTTGTCTCCTAAAGTCAATATGTCTGTACCAGTATTTTGGCAATTGTGAATTCATTTTCTCCAAGTTACAAAGGCTAGGTGCTAAAATTAGCTACCTGACAGAGTATAGTCTCCTATCGGTGATTTCATCCACTAGAATTATCGTGATGTATCTCTGGAGACGGTGCCATCGGCTGTATTATGTTCAGCGGTGGTATGAAAATGAACAGACGTCAGGTTGCCTACTTGAGTAGAAGAAAAGCGAACCCCCCAGAGAATCTTGCTTTATTGCTTCCTAACCAGGAACACAATACGTAGCCTCGTCCGTTGGCAATTGGTCGTCAATCACCAATCGGTATGCCAAACTTTTGTTCCCATTAACGCCCGCCCCACGGATGTCGTAAAGTAATCTCTTCAACACGACTATGTTCATCGTCCTCCGCGACCGCTCGCCCTTGCCCTGCTCACGGTGGCTCGTCCTCTGGCTAGACCGACACCACGACCTCTGGCGTTGCGACTTCGGAACATGGGCGCGTTCCTGAGAAGAAAATTAGTAGATATTACTAGGAGGAATATGGATCTTGATACATACTTCAACATGTCGGGTACAATGAAGAATCGCACGTGGCTTCCACGGATGTAGACTTGATCCAGATGGCTGACTCGACCGTCTCGCGCAGTAACCGTGATATCCTTGAGTTGCACGTTCATGTTGTCCTCAGCTACGCGAAAATTGTTAGTAAATATTACTCCTCAAATTTGCAGGTGGTAAGTGTGCGATGCGAGACGCGACCTTACCTTCTAATAGCTTGCCGCGGTACGTCTGACCCGAAGTGATCTCCAACGTGACGATGTGGCCTTGCGCCTCGTTGAGAAGCTTGATGGGAATACCGATTGTCGACGTCATTTTGCCTGATAGAGAGAAGACTGGTCGAAATTGGGTTCAAGGATAATACGCGGTCGGAATGGTTAGGTGTTCACGGTTTCCGAGGTATGGAGCTGTTGACAATTGACAACTAAATATCGAAATCGATAAAACGAATTACTGAGGCGGCAGGAGCTCAAGGTACCTGGGAAATGAATTTTTCCGATCCGTGCAATAGTCCGTATCGATAAGACACACCACAATTTAGTGCGCTCACCTTAATCCATATTTGTTCACCTTGGTCTTGGCATAGACCCTTGCAAAAGATACCCTGATACTTGATACCTGCCCCTCCAAAAAGCTTCGGAAAGTGCCCCTCCATTGAGTCACTCTAATAACTTCGCGCACTGTCATCTTCTACCTTAATCTACCGTGTCGTTTACAAAATTCAATTGAAATTGTTCTAGTTGCCTGAACTCCACCATAAGAAACGTAATCAACGATTTGACTCCCAGACTACCGAATATGGCTTCAGAGCTCGAGGCGCCGGCCAAACAGGTTCCGCCCGCCGTGGACCCTGATGCAGCAGCTCCTGCGCCGTCGAAGCAGACCGTCGATCCCTGGAATGTGTCTGGTGAGGTTGGCGAAGATGGAAAGCTCAAGGCGATCGACTACAAGAAATTAGTGGAGGAGTTCGGCACTAAGTTGATCGACAACGAGATGTTAGAACGATTCGAGCGAGTCACCGGCCATAAACCGCACCGATTCTTACGGCGACAGATCGTCTTCAGCGAGAGAGATCTTGGATTAATACTGGACCGATATGAGAAGGTACGGTTTATAGATGGTTGATCGCTACGGGGCTGTATCTAAGAAGTCATCTTTAGGGAGAACCTTTCTTCTTGTATACTGGCCGTGGTCCTAGTAGCGATAGCATGCACATTGGACATACTCAGATCTTCGATTTTTGCAAGTCAGTATACGTACATTTCACACAGGGCTACGCACGCTATATTAAAACGGGACTAAACGTATCATAGGTGGTTGCAAGATGTCTTCGATGTACCCCTAGTCATCATGCTTACAGATGGTTTGTGCTTCAAAATCTTCTCATATAGAATGCGCAAACTAATACTAATACCTTCGTAGACGAAAAGTTTCTTTTCTCCGAGAAGAGAACTGTTGAAGAAGTCATAGGATACGCGCGAACCAACTGCCAAGATATCATCGCCATAGGCTTTGATCCTGAGAAAACGTTTATCTTCTCTGACTACGAATTTATGGGTGGAGCTTTCTACAGAAACGTCACTCGATTCGCCAAACTTGTTACATACAACACAGCCAAGGCTACCTTCGGCTTTGATGAAAGGTGAACTATCCCCCTATAGTGCTAAATATTTACGCCCCCTTTTTGGTTGGCACGTGATACCCATCAGCTAACACATTTGTAGCTCGAACATTGGCAAGATTCATTTCACTAGTATACAGGGCGCCACCGCATTTGCAACTACTTTCCCACACATTTTCGGCGAAGATGAAAAGAAGACCGCGAGTATCCCATGTCTGATCCCTTGCGCTATCGACCAAGATCCCTACTTCCGTTTGACTAGAGATTGTGCTGCCAAGTTAAAATATGCCAAGCCTTCCTTAATTCACTCCCGTTTCCTTGACGCACTTCAAGGTCCTGGATCCAAGATGTCTGCTAGCATTGATTCTTCAGCAATCTTTATGAAAGATACCCCCAAGCAAATCAAAGACAAAATCAACAAATACGCTTTCTCCGGTGGCCAAGTGAGTGCAGAGGAGCAAAGAGAGAAAGGTGGAAACCCCGACATAGATGTGTCGTATCAGTATCTCCACTTTTTCATGGAAGATGATGAGGTATGTCATTGCCTTGGCTACTTTTGGCTTCCGTTTCTAACAAATCTATAGGAGCTTGCGAAAGTTGGGCAAGACTACAGAGAAGGTAAACTACTGACTGGAGAGGTATGTTACTTGAATGCATTATTAAGAGACTATGTTACTAACTTAAGTCTAGCTGAAAGCAATATGTATCAAGTATCTCCAGGATTACGTCGCCGCGTTCCAAGAACGAAGAGCAAAGGCAACGGAGGAGACAGTGAAGAATTTCATGTCAGTGCGGCCGTTAAAATGGGGAGGAAATCCCAAGGCACCAAGAGTAGTTCCTGTTGTGGAGGATGGGTCAGCTAAGCCAGAAGGTGAAGGAGGAGAAACAAAGTTGACGAAGAATCAGCTCAAGAAATTAGAAAAGGAGAAACAGATAGCAGCGAAGAAAGCCGCAAAAGCCGCAGAGAAAGAGGCGGCTAAGGCAACTTCGTGATTATAAAGATAAGATGTCAACGATGAGAAGTAGCATATTGCGCGTCCCAATCTTCTGGCTCTGGTGGTTATGCGAGGAAGTTAATGTGTCTTGATACCAGCATCGGTACCTAAATAAAGCAGTCTCCAATAGCCTAGCTTCTACCTAAATAACTTCAAAGGGTCCTTCCGGTAACAGGACTGAATCTCTTATGAGTCAACCTACCTTCTAGATGTAGTTATACTATTCTAACAACTCAACCTAGTCTCTAACAAAAGAAAGGCAGTGTTTGCCATTATTATCCTACACTAGTAACTGGAGGTGATTCAATTGACAATTATCTAATGAAATGACTGGTCTTTAACTAGAGTTTATTAAAGAAAAGACTCAATGACTACATCATACCAAGCTCATGCTATAAACATAGAGATAGCCTGACATAACATACAAACATTGGACTACCCCCTTAACCCTCTAACGTATAAATAGTCCAAGTTGCTGTTACTAACTTAACACTAGAGTTTAAGAGTCATTCCTGGTTCTTTGCCGCCTGAAGTTGAGAAATGACATTTGAGTTCTCTGTGTAGTGTTCTGTTTCAAGCGTCGAAAACTCATCTCGTCAACACGATCGGACTCGTTACAAGGTGCATAGACCACCCCAGTCCTCTTAATAGTTCTTTAAGATAGGATAAATATTTCTAGAGCTTCTCCTCATCATATATTTCCTACTGAAACAACTCTTCCTCGTTCCTCTAGCTCTTTCTTTGAGAGTGACTTAAGCGAGATCAATTGCTCTCTAATCCAGTCTCTACTATCTTTACTGAAGATTTGAAGTGGGAATTACATTACCCCTTATTTTTACTATTAGAAGAAGAAAAACCTTCACTTGAAAACTGAAGGAATTATTCTCTGATTAGCATCATGAACTGCCGTAAGTATTGAGGGTTTCATAAGGGGGCTTCAACTAATATGTGATACTTAGCCGATTCCACCATTATGCCAAACGGGATGTTCAACCTCAGTATCAACCTCCTCCATGTTCCAGATAACGAGCGAGCCTTCCTTAGCTTCTTTCACAACGACGAGGTACTAGAATCGTTGCCTGAACCTGGCATGCTCCTAGATTCCATCGCACTCCCCGGCTTCGACTACGTTTACAGTCGATCTGACTTCAGCGAGGAGACCGAGAGGAACATCAGGGATGTCCTCCACGTTCTCGACACCGGAACTCCCCCTGGCCTCCCCGAGATACCACCGCGAGTAGAGCGGGAACGACTAACAGGCCTGTTTGTCGCGATCTTCAGAGCGTGCCTATTCCATTCCCGGCTATTCCTCGTACCTGGTAACGATGAGGTGTGGAATTATGATAATAGGATGGACTTCTTCTATATGAGAGTCGTTGAGGAAGTCAAGGCTCGAGGAATCGAGGGAGGAGGCTTTGCGTTGTTAACGGGTAATGATGAGGTGGACTCGCTAAACCCTGGTGCTCTCTGGGAACTGGATATAGACGCTGTGGAGGAGATCGTCAAGTACATCACCTTGACGCGTATCACGAACGTCGAGAGACAGCGGCCAGGCGAGGCGGTCCCGCAGACCGAACTGACGCAATTGGTGGATGATTGGATTCGTCGTGCTGCGGTTATCTACGGAACTCGCCAGAGTTATATTGAGGACTCCTTGTAGAACAGAACGATAGAAAGTTGATATTCTGCATGTAGAAATGGGATTAGGGTAGTTTAAGACCTAGGAATATTAGAACACTGGTCTAAATACACATAGATCGGAAAATTGAGATTCGAAAGGTTTTGGCGTGATGACTTGTCATAGCTATACAGAAGCTAAGTTAATGTTACCAATAATCATAGTCGTGTTGAGTCTCATAGCTTCGTGTATTCATTCGAATAAAGCTGGCTGCCTTCGCCTACGATCGACTTTCAGCTCGAATACATCCAATCTCTGATACCCACCAGCAATGTCATGGTACTGCTTCCCCTCTACACAACCGTCTAAGTTGACATCGACATACAAAATACCCTCACTCTCCTGAAGAAAGTCTTTCTGTTCCTTAACTGATGTTTCGGCGTCGATAGTGAACCCTGGTAGCAATGTGCCCGTCGTATCTAAAAACATGGTCGCTCCCCTCGAGGAACGCTGTAGCCCCTGTGAGATGATTTCAGGGGTATTAGAGCCAGAAGTAGCAGCCTCTATGGCATCAGCCCCGAGGTATCCAGCGCAAAGAACACCGAAACACTTGGCTTCAAAACAGTGGGCAGCCGCTCGCGTCCTATTCGCAGCGACATTGTCGTAGCTCACTCCACGGGTAACGCTCGACGATAACACCTTACCGTTAGTCCCAATACCGTTGGTAACCTCGCTGCTCGGCGTAGGCAATACACCCTCAGGCATCCGAGTTGGCCAGATAGCTGGCCAAGAACTGATATGGATCTGTTCGCCCTGCGCCGTCATAGTGTACAGTGCCAGAGGATTTGTATTTTCTCCGCATATGAGCGTCCCAACCTTGCCGAACTTAGTATCCGCCACTCGCAGACCATGACCATCGCCAGGAGCCCAGGTCAGTTTCTCGTAGAATGTAGGCATGAGTTTTCGATGGTGAACGAGGATCTCGCCGTCTGTTCCTATAATTATATTCGAGTTCCATAACGTGGCGCTGCTGTATCGCGCCTTTTCCGAGAAGCCAAGACTGACAAGCACACCTAATTGCTTAGCTGTAGCACGGATCGAGTCAACTTCGTCGCCATCGACGTAGATGGATTCTGCTGCCATCCTCTTGAACAGATCATGGTTCTCGGATGGGGCTCGAAGAGCGCTCCATATGGGAAACGCTGGGATGTAGGACTCAGGGAATACGATGAGGTTCGCTTCGTTACTCGCGGCTACTTGGATCAACGATATGGCTTTCGCTGTCGTGTCTTTCGCTGACAAGAAGACGGGAGAGGCATGGCAGGCGGCTATCCGTGTGAGGGTACCCATTGTGAGTATTAGCAGCTTATGATGTTTCGCGTCTATCAATCTCATTTATGGCTTCATTTGATTCCCCCATCTTGATAATTCATAGGTATGCTTTAATAACGATCGTGTCGGGCTCTGAACTCGGCATCCGGGATTTGCTTGTCGGTGCAAAGTACATAACTTTTGAAGCAGATGAGGGGGAATCGCATGGTGCTGACCTATAGAACACACGTTTAATCAGATTCCGAAATTTATATCCTTAGATTCTATCATGTTTTTCTAAAAGCCGAGGATAGGAGGTACATAACCGAGCGGACAATATCTCTTCATAGAGGTGGCAATGCATATAATTCCTTATGAGCAATAGTTGAATGCGTTATCACACATATATATTATATAAATCAATCATCATGACGAAGAAATTTCTAACAATGAAAGAAGTATTAGGGCTGGTGTTCTCAAGGAATTTGCTTTTGACCGGCGGAAGACCCCTGCACCTGGTTCAACATTGCTTTTCAGGTCAATCTCCGTGCCCTAGGGCACGTCTAGAAAAATGCGTTATTTATCTCCAAAATCATACTTGTTTGAGATTCAAAGTACAAAGACATCGCTATTTCTAATTATGCCTAAGGACGTATTCTACTTCGATCCTCCTGATAAGTGTTGGGGATAACTTCGAGCTGAATTACTCTGATATGATCCTACAACAGGGCAGTGGAAACGCTACCAAAACGACAGCGACCGAAACACAGCTGTAAATCTCAAGCCACCGGCTTAGGTACCTAATTCCGATGATGAACAAGATTTGAACTCACTCCAGATATATATCCTCCGAGGAACCATCATAATAAGCGAATATACCAGAAAAGGGTGTCTGTAGAGGATGTGAATAGGGGTATGGTAGCCGCTAAATGTCTCTCCAGAGGACCCGTCACGAAACGCCCTATAAAGAGAATATCAGACCAGCCCTACAAGAGGTAACAGCAAGGCAACTTCTAGGAATAAGACGGTTCGGAACATACACTAATTCTCTTGAGATTAAGAATAGGAAAGTATCTGTGGAGATGGGAGTTCTAAGTCCAAAGCGGCCCAAGTTATCCAACCCAACCGCCCTCGAAAATCATACACCCGATGCCGTAGAATAGATCGCGCCTCATCCCGCCTCTATAAAAACTCCGAACCCCTTCTGTACACTACCATCTTCCTTCACCCCCCTCAATACGAATTAAATTACAACAATATGTAACACGACCCGAAAATGTACACATATCTCTATACCCAACATACATAATACAACATCACAACTCAACAGCAAACCTAGTCCTCAAAAACTCCCCATACCGAAAAAACAGCCACGGCACGGGCGTAAACGCAAAGCACACAAACCCCAACACCGTATTCCCCCAACCGAGCCCCAAATTGCTATACAACGGGGGCGCCGCAAAAGTCAAAAACGCGCCAAACGGGCTCCGGATAATGACATTCGCCGCGAGCGCCGACGCCGCAGCCTGTGCGCCGAAGGCATCCACGAGATACGCCTGGGCCGGGAGCATGACGAAGAGGGAGCCGAGGCCGACGACGAAGGTGCCGATCTCGGGGACGATCCAGTGGAGTTTGTAGTACGCGCTCCAGCCGTAGAGGAAGACGCCGAGGGAGGTGATGGGCGCGAACCACTTCATGAGGATAAGCCTCTTTTCGGGCTTCGCTGGCTTGCTGTCTCCTGCGGCGTGGCCGAGGAGTTTGTCGCTTAGGAGGGTGAACAGCGCGAGCCCGCAGATGATGCCGATGCCGAGACCGAGGTAGGCGAGCCCGGAGGACCCGGGGCTGAAGCCGTATTGGCCTTCGAATATGCTGGGGAAGGTGGTGAAGAGCAGGAATACGAGGCCGAAGAGGACGCCGGTGTAGAGGGATAGGAGGAGGGTTATGGGGGAGAAGAGAATCATTTTTATTGGGCGGACGATGGAGTGGGTTAGTAGTACTCGGGGCGATAGGTTGGATTCGAGTTTGGATGTTAGTTTGGTGTTTCCGGTTTCCTTCCGGAGACGCTCTGTTTTTCTCTTGAGGATGATGGTGGCGTTTGTTTCCCTTAGGAAGAGGAGGGAGACGAGACTGAGACTACCGGACTATGGAAAACATGTTAGTACGGGAATGACGATGTGTGTGATAGGGGGTGTTTTAAACTTACTAAGATCAGGATGATCCGGAATGTCCAACGCCAACCGATGTACTGGGACACGAAACCACCGATGATAGGTCCTATTGTCTATAAGTTAATCTGTTAGCGAATTTTCGGTTACCCCACCCAGCAGCTTTACATACGGGTCCTAGAAGCGGTCCTAAGAGGAAACTCGCCATAGCCTTGCCTCGCTTATCCTGTGTAGTCATGTCGGCTATTGTACCACCCCCTATTGTCAAGGGGCCAGCCGACGAGCAGCCGGCGAGAAATCTAAAGGCAAGAAACATCCCAACATTCTTACTAAGGGCGCAACCGAGGGTGAAAGCGATGTAAAAGAAGTTGCAGACGTGGTATATGGGCAGTCGGCCGTATAGTTCGGAGAGAGGCGCGAGAGATAGGGGTCCAATCATGAAGCCGAGGACATAGATGCTGACGGTGAATGTGGCTACTGTGGAGTTGGTGATGTGGAACTCCTTGGCTAGTGCCGATGCCCCAGGAGCAAACATGGTCGCTGCTAGGTTTCTGAAAGACAAGATGTCAGTTGAGCCTAAGATATGGGGATAGGAAGGAGTACATACGCGTAGAGGACGAAGAGGCTAACATAGGCGATGTGAAGGCCCTTCTTGAGTCCCGACCAATTCAGAGGGTTTTCAGGATCATCAGGGCCGTCCCAGTCAACGATGTTGGGGTCATAAGTCTTTTGGTCCATTGTTGCTTCTCCCAGCTCAATGTCTTGATTTTCTCTGCCACCTAATTTCTTAGATCCGAGTGTCTCCTCAGAGTCTACGTCTTCTTGGTTGGCCATGATGAAGTGCTGTTAGCCCTCCAGGATAGAATGAACAGAAAGTGTGTCTTATGAAGTCAAGTGAAAGGTCTAATAAAAAGTCTAGTTGAGTCACAATAAATTTTATGACATATATGATGTTACATTGTAAATACATAAATCTTCTAGATTCGTATAAGAGCTGAATGTCTTGGTATCGTTATTATATAATATTAGCATAGCCACTAAGCATGGTTAGTAAATGCCTAGGTATCATACTTTAATCAAGTGATGTGACTCCGAATGATGGCAATGCGGTGGTACCCGATGCTCCGCGAAGTTTAATATCGTGAGACCGTATGTCGGGGCCGGAGCGTCGGTTCGGACGGTCGGAGGATCAGGGGTTTTCTATCTTAGTACCTAGTAGTCACCGATTGTTAACAATTTATTTATATAGATGACTATTTCATTAGAATACGCCTCCCTGATGGTCGGTCTTCTTTGTGATGTTGCTATGGAATATTACCAGTAATATTCAGCTGGTATGTAAGCCCATGCAGGGCTTCGGATGGAGCGAAAGAGATCTGAACTCCGTCTCCGCGGACTGAGTCATGTCTATCAACTTTTTCGGTGTCAATAACGGAGGAAATGAGGCCTATTCATACCTTCAGATATTTTTTCAAGAAATGAATCGCATGGGTTAGGTAAATCAAGAGTTTCTGATAGAGGTACCTGCCGGATAGAATTGAGATTTCAGCTACCATTCACTAAGTTGTGTCATTTCGTTCACAATGTACATTCACATTATACAGTTTTATCTTCATATCATTTCGTAGAAAGTAATGAAGCAATATCAACCTGAACACTTACCTAAGTAAAAGTTATCGACAAGAAGCCCAAGAAAAGGGGGGCGCTGTTCCGCTTATATAAGATCTACTCTCACTCAGCTGGTTTATACCTAGTACCCACTTCCCCGGGTTCGTTCCCGAGGTTTCGGGTAACACAGAGATAATCGGGTTTGGTTACTGAAGTATAAATGGTTGGTACCTACCTAACTTCGACTTAGGTTACTCATTCAGACTCATACACTTTCTCCACAGGTGATGACTTCTAGGTTGCATTTCAATATAGAATCTTATACTCCATCATAGTACATCATAGTATATCATTTATATCTTTTTGTATTTTTACATCTATCATTGAGTAACTATATACATAAAGTTCCAGCGATCAAGTACCTAAATTAGATCGGAAGTCCCTTGTCGCAAGCGAAAACAGCATCAGTGTTCTCCTCCAGCGCATTTACAATCAAGCGCCACACGCTCTTGTCCCACATGAGACCTGCATGTCCGACCGTATCATCAGGACATGTATCTTGGACGAAGACATTATTCACCCCCGCCTCATTGATCTCACTGACATCCGGCGCCACCAGTGTATCCGACTTGGACATGATGACCGTCACCTTATTACCGGGCTGTGCGATGTGTCCCGCATTACGTTGGAATTGAGTGTACACCGCACCGCCGGTCATCATATCATCGCAGGCAGGACACCCGAGCGCATCCTGGACAACTTTAGCAAGCGCTCTGGTGACGTTCCCGCCGATATACCACAGGTCCGTGAAGCCGTAGTATTTCGCGCCGTGGATGGCTGGCCCCAACGCCACGAGATGCTCTACAATGTCCGAGATGCCAGGCTGCGTCATCGGGACGTAGATAGACTGGACACCTCCCTCGGAGTGCCCTACGATATCGACCTTGGATGCACCGGTCTTATCCTTAACCTCCTTGACGAAATCTGCGATGTCCTTGGCTGAGTCGGCCATAGTCCTCAATCCACCGATCCACGGTACCAGTGGCCATGCGCCGTACGTCTTCGAGAAAGTGCAGTAGCCGCGACGGTTAAGCTCGTACTGGAGCATGTTCAAGTCGACCTCACGGTTGGCAGATAGGCCGTGTAGCATGACGACTGGGTTGCGCTCGCTCTTGCAGGTGAAATCATTGGCTGGAGCACCGTATAGCTCGCTAAGCGTGAGGGCGTCGGGAAGGCTTGTGTTGATGCCGATCAAATCGCGTTCTTCAACACCCTTCGGAAGAGCATTGGCGCTCAGGGACCCGAAGGTCTGGGCCAGGAGAAGTGTTCGAGGTCTCATGATAAACCGCAATAGCAATGCTCATAGGCAAGACAGACACAGCACATGCCATCGAAGCAAGAGTGGCCAAGAAGGGCCATTTGCGCCTTCTTATATCTCCCATCCACAGACGCGATAAATAAATCCATCGTTTGCTCTGTAATTTGCTTATCCTAGCAGTCTTGTTCGCTCTCGGTTGCCCGAAAGCGTAAGTGGCAGACAGAAACCTCCCTTGCTTTTTTTACGAAGCTCAAGGCGCCGCAATCCTTTACTGGAGACATCCTGCTCACTACGCCACGATTTCGGCCATTTTAGATTAAGCACGGCTCGGTGCATCGTCTTTGCGTTTACCGTCCAATCGCCATCGAGATACTGTCTTAAATCGATATACGATTCCTGCCCTCTATTGGTCTTGTTCCTTGTGGGTTCCACTCCTTGCGTGCGGCACATCATTCCAGGGATATAATTCTAGTTAGCTCTGCTGCTCTTGAAAGGTTTCTTCTTTCGTTTATCATGCCACCGACGTCACCATAATTGCTTCTTCAATTCACCAATATGCCTCATATATTGAACCAGAACTCTGGGTTCAATTATATGATCATGATTTAATTGTTTTTCGTTAAATAATGTATGATTACTAGGTGTGTCAACATATATGTATAAGGGGACAATAACACCAGTGGTGGATTGGTGACTAGGAATTGTCTATCCGCTGTGCGACCCGCGACGAGATGGCTGTTGGATCTCTAGCTAGCGGATTACTCGGAATCCAACATGGATCTAAGCATTTCTCCTGGGGAGGTTCTCAAAATCACCGATTCTGTTCTCGGGAAAGTCTTTACGCTTCCTTTGCGTACGGTATGTCGAGGTTTTCCCGACTCTCTCGGGCGCGCGACATCATTAGGAAGTATTGCCAGGCAATTAAAGCCCACTCTCTGAATAGCATGTCCCAGAGACGGCTTGACTCATCTTTCACTCCTAGTCCCGAAAGTAGCGGGATTCCCGCCTATTCATACGTTTTCCACTAGTCCAGCCTGATAATCATGGCCGTCCCCGATCATTCCTTGGTCGAGGGGGCAGGATAAAAGAAATATATCAATAATCCAATAATGCGTGATACCATAAAAGGTATCTTTATTCTCAATCCCATAGATGCGTCGCACATCCGCTATCTCCGTTGGACCTGTACCCTTCGCACTCACGGATTTCATTCCGCGCCTAGATTATTTTATTGGAAACCCCTTGGAATGCGACATTATGCGGTTGGCGTCAAGAGGGCAGATATGACCCTACGCACAAGGATCAGGCTTGTACAGGATAGTGATATTCCTTGACGGGTATTGACTTAAGCGGATATACGCCGCTTGCGCCTGAGCTCGGAAACTACCAAACGCCCAAACGATTTCATTGCACCCTTTGCCTGGCGTATACTTCATGAAATCGGTTTCAAACCGAATGTTCCACTTCTCTACGAAGAGAGAGGTAAGCGTTTCCGGGTTGACGATTTCAGGGTCGCCGGTAATTAACAGGACCCGGGATTGGCCGTCTACCGGTACAGGTTTCGTGCGGATCCGATGCCGAGAAACGCATGTGGTGTATCCGCAAACTGTAAAGGGGTAGACAGAGTGTCGAAGTAAAAACATATGCGCGGCGGATGCTGTAAAGAACGTCAATGAAGCAGCCGACGTAGCTATGTTCACCTTCGTTCCATGAATCAGCGGTGGGACGATGTGTGTTGCATAGACAGGCCCGATATCTCTGACTTCTCTTAGTAGCTCCGACACGGTGCAATTTGGTGGTAATCCTGCTATCCAGAGTCTACAGTTCATCTCGTGAGGAATATCTGCGCTCCTATTACGGGATAAAGCGCGGTTTCCACGATATCTTGGTGCCGGAGGATAGTCTCTGTCGGATATTATATTCTCAGCGCTTATTGAGCTAGATAATAGGCCATCGGGGTCTCCATTCTCGTCATTGTATGGACGAGTTGGACTGATGATGCTAAGAAACGGAAATAACTCTCCCTCTGGCATCCGAGAAAGCCCACTGCCGATAAGGTTTTGAGAGGGATCAAGCCCTAGTCGTCGACGGTGTAGATTTAAAGCCTCAAGAGAGAACCCGCCGTCATTAAAGGACGAATTAATAGTAACTATTAGGAAGGATTAGTCGGCTTTTAAGATTATTATCGCTTCCCATAGATCATATAATCATATAAAGGACATGTAACTTACTATTTTCTCCATCTAAATCGCCTGCCTTTCCATTACAAGGCGTAATTTTGCCTTCCATTTTGAAAATATGCTTGTTCTGAAAGTTGAAGGCAGTTCCAACTGAAATATCAATGGTTATGAGATAGGAGAAAATATTATGTTGGTGAAGTTTAGAAATAGACTTCACTTCAGTGTGAGGACTATGTTATTAAATAATCCGGAGTTGATATTATTCCAAGATGGGTAGTTAATTATGTAGGAGAGAGTGTTGGGATTTTTGGGAATTAAATGGTAGGTATATATGGAAAGTTCAGAACGACTCGGTTACAGGTAATGAGTCGAAAGAGGAGGTATACTCCTGCCGTGTATTGCTAAAGGAGAGTCGATTATGACCATGGCGACTTCCTACGTTAAGTCTATTATTCTTATTTGTGTGTGTAACTGCGCTTTCTCGAATCTGTGTATTAAAATTCGAAGTGACGAAGTACATGTATTCTCTCAGAAAGGCAGGCACGATGCATTACTAGTGATGATAGATAGCTAGAGTACCAATGACAAATAACTCGCTGGTAAGGTTTCTGTGACCTTACATATCATGGAATAGTCTATCATATCGTCTGAAGTTTTCGATTGTTAGACTTTTGTCATTAATGATTCAACCAAACTTGTTAATAAGATCCTTTGACAAACCTCCAGCTCAGACGACGAAGCTATTCACATATCTAACCTACTTATCTTGATCCAAAATATGAATGGATACCTAGGTATCCTCATGTAAATTGTTGCTCATAGTTTCATACTTATGTACATGATATTTAGCATTGTCTAGGTATCTATAAATTTCTTAATGCAATTCACATTGTTATCTCGAAAATGGTATTTGAACTTGAGTGACACCATTCCAACAAGTTTCAATCATGATATTACGGGACAGCATCTATAGAACCTTATCATCAAACATAGAAACATGATTCCAATCATTTCACTTATATCAATGTAAGATTATATCACAACTATCAGTTATAAACATAAATTTGTTCATTCGTGATATCGTATTCTGTGGATGATGAGATATCGTGAAATCCAAGAAGACGCATCGTAGCCTGGAGTTGCCTAATCTAATTCAACGGTTAGTCTCGGCATCAAGCAATGAGTATCAAAGCGTCTTATAGCGACTCCATCGAGATATAATAGATGACGGAAAGCCCCGTGTACCTATGTAGGACTACCGGGTCTAGTGTGACCCATGCGGCTGCATCTTAATCCTCCGCCAAGAATCTGGAATCGCATCAACAACCCCATCTGGACGTATTATGCACGATAATATGCCTAGACCATTTATGCCAGACAGATTTTATGGGGGTTTGGTCGAGATAGAGGCTGATAGATATCCTTATCGCTCTCTTCTATAGCAAAAACCTCGAATCCCCTCTGCTCTTGTTCTTATACTCCCTAGGTAGCTATAGCAATAGCATCTCGTATAAACGTAGTGGATCCTCGACAAGGACAACGCCGTTTCAATTCTGCCTCGCATGTGATAAACATCGACCATATACGAATTAGACCCCAATCTGAGGCCTCAACAAGTCGAGCTCAAAGACCATCACCCATGTTTTCAGAGCACAGCCTGCAGCAGAAGGTGGATATCGCATTGGCTGCCTAGTGGATACGACCAATCATCGTATGCCTCACTCCGCCTGGTATGTAAGCTAAGAGACGTCCTGTCTCTTTGCTTATACCGAAACCTGGTACAACCAATTACCTTCTCGACACTTGTTCCAGTCACATATGGGTGCATAGTCGTCAAGCATGGGGGATGCTTGGAGATCTAGGACTTCACAGCTATAACTACAGACCATCTTTCCTCTTCTCTCCTCGGAAATCTAGATGCCAATTCTCCCAACATCTATCCACGTTGTATAGTTGATATCCCCCAAAACTATACAAAAACCCACATCCCACCATGTCTTCAGACGCAGTAAGTGGACAAGACCACTCTGGCTCTAGACAGATGGAAAGCCATGTTAACACACCCATAGCAAACCCCAGAGCCCACTTCCCAGGCAGCAACCGAGGAACCCCAGAAGGCACAGGAGTCCCCAGAGCCGCAATCCCAATCCTCAGAAGCCCCAGCAGAACAGCAGGCCAAGAACAATGACTCCCAAACCACCACAGAGTCCAAGGAATCGGAGTCTGAGACCTCCAAGGACGAGGAGACACCAGAAGACGAACCCAAAGAGATGCAATGCGAGCTCGCGCTGCTAGACAAGAGATACGACTCGGACGGACACAAAGTGTACCGGAAGCGCAAGGACCGGGACGACGACGGGTCCAAGAACTGGTGGAAGCTATACGCGCTAACAGAGACACGACACTACCACGAGAACGGGACGTTCAAGTGCACGCGTCTGCACGTGAACCCGCAGCCGCTAAAGCAGCTTCTCGAGGACGTGGTCAAGGACTTTCCCTACGACCCCGTGGACGCGCAGCAGGAGGTCGAGTTCGATCTGCCGGCGCACTGTCTGTTCTTCCACCGCGAGAAGCTGGAGGAGGTCGGGAATGAGCGGTTTAAGGAGGATGAGACGTCGAGGGCGCATTTGAAGCTGCTGCTTGATTGGATTGATAAGGTCCATGAGGAGTCGTTTAAGGCGTCCCGGCGCTTCCACAGTAGTGACCAGCGACCAATCTCTTACGAGTACCTGTGGACGGCCTTCCGACCCGGATGTTTGGTTTACACGAAGCTGATGGGACAGCCGCGTGCGTATAAATTGCGCGGATTCTGGTACGAGTCCGACGATGACCCGTGTCTGGCTATCCGCGTGCAGTACATCGATTATGACGGGGAGAAGTTCGGCACTCGCAAGGATCTGTTCCGTATCCCCAAGTACTCCGGCGTCATGCGCTGCGAGGACCTGAACATCATGCCGCTAGATTACCACTCCGGCGGCGAAGCCCTGCGCGCGCGTCTGCTGGAGCGGGGTCGCAAGTTCCGGGATCTAACCGGCACGAACTTCCGCCAGTACTCCGGCGTCGCGCTCAAGAGGAACGGCGCGAAGTTCGACCGGTACAACATCACCGGCCGCGTCGTCGTCGACTGCAAGAACTACCAGCGGTTTGAGCCCGACGACGACTTCGAGCTCGAGGACCTGCCCCGCACCGAAGCCGCGAAGCGGCAGCGCACTCTGCGTCGGTACAACGAGGGTATCGACACCAGCGACGAGGAGATTTTTGATGAGTTGACGGAGGATGATCTACTGATGACGAACGCGACAGTGCGCGGATTCGCGTGGTCGATCAAGAAGTTCGTCGAGTTCTTCGTCGAGAACTTGTCTCCGACCAAGTGGGACGACTCGTGTTTCGACCAGCTGGTGCTGGATCCGACGATGAAGAGGACAGTCCAGGCTATGGTTACGACGCATTCGCGCCGTGGCCAGGACGGGCCCGGCATCGACGATATCGTCGAAGGTAAGGGTAAAGGGCTCGTGATGGTGCTTCACGGTCCTCCGGGAGTCGGAAAGACGTTGACGGCCGAGTGTGTGGCGGAGTCCGTGAACCGACCCCTATACATGGTCTCTGCTGGCGACCTGGGAACAGACAGTTATTACCTTGAAACGAAGCTGGCTAGAATCATGGACATTGCCACGACTTGGGGCGCCGTTTTGTTGATTGACGAAGCCGATGTCTTCCTTGAGCGCCGAAGCCTGCGCGACTTGCACCGCAATGCGATGGTTACCATTTTCCTAAGAGTTCTCGAGTGTAAGTGACCCCCGAAACAAGAAAATTGATATGTCCGCTAACCTGATCATACAGACTACCGTGGTATTCTTTTCCTTACCACAAACCGTGTAGCTACCTTTGACGACGCTTTCACCAGCCGTATCCACGTTCCTCTCCGATACACAAACTTGAGCGAGCCCTCCCGCCGACAGATTTGGCGCAACTTCTGTAACCGCGTTCCCGGTGGCGTAAACATTACCGAAAAGGAACTGGATCTCTTAGCCAAGCCCGAATTGAATGGTCGCCAGATCAAGAACATTGTCAAAGCTGCCGAGAGCTTGGCGGCATTTGACGGACGCAAGCTTGACGCTGCAGCGCTTCGGTCATTTACCAAAGTTCAAGGCGAGTTTGAACGGGACTGGATGGGCTTCGTCGATGTTGCCGAGTGAATTGAGATACCTAGGCATGCGTGATCTGGTTAGGTGTTTTAGGCGGTAATCTATAGCTAGGTATGGTCTATATTTTGGGGGTACTATGATATTATGATAATAATCGAATTAACTGCGTTCGTAATTGGCTTGTGTTGGTGAGAGCGAAAGGATCGAAGCGCATGTCATTTACAGGCACCTATCGTGAATTTTTCGTATGGTTGGTATCCGCATGTCTAAGCTCCTCTCCTGCGGATATTTGCATCAGCATTTACATTATTGGTGCCAGCATAACTGTCATATTTAACACTTGTGGGTTAGGTGCTATCGACAGGCAGATCATTGCCAAAGAGCTTCAATGAAACTGGCAGGTGAATGGTCAGCCATCCAATATGCTTGATGACGTGAGCTCAGTGATCATAAGGATTGTTGCAAAGGGGAGATCTAGAGTGACCTAGGCCCTCGACCGGGCCATACCCACTAGGCTTACGCATACTAATAAGACGAGGACATGTCGCATCGAGCATTTGGTTCTAAGGTCTGATGCCTTTCAGTAAATTGATAAAAATCGTGTCTCATTCTAAACTTACGCCATATCCTGTATAGGGTCAAGACCGAATAGTGCGGGTCCGTTGAGCACCCCACCCACGTCATTGCACAGTGGAATAAGTCTAGTCGTCGTCTTCTTCTGAACCATAGGAGTCTTCGGAACCTTCCGAGCCCTCATCATCCTCATCTTCTTCTTCATCGCCGTCGCCATTTTCTTCGCCCTCCAGAGCCTCTAGGCCATAATCGCCAGCAAAGTCAGATAGTTGCTTTACTTCTGTTTTGTACCCCATGTCTTGAAACTCTTTCTCCAGTTGCTAGATGTTCTGGTCAGTATGATAAAACTAAAATTTATAGCGAAGAGTTAACTAACCTCCGTCATTGCGTGTGCGCAGCAAACGACAACATTACTTTTTCCGGGCTCGAATAAGGGCAGGAGGAATGTCTTCATGGCATGCTTGATGTCTTCGACAGTCACGGTTCTAACCTCCGCAAGCATCTTAGTGTTATAATCAGGCTCAAGCCCTCTTACCACACCATTAATGTAGTTCTGCATAGCTGCAGTGGCCATAGTAGACTGCTGATCTGCTAAGGCCATCACCAGCTGGCTGATTGCACCCTCGATCATGGGCTTTTCAAAAGCGATACTACCATTGGCTAGCGCCGTGATGGCATCCCGTGCCGCCACTATTGCCTTTGATGCTAAGGGGGACCTGTACACTTTAAAATGCAAGTATCCTCCGTCTAATTCCTTTGCAAAGTAGGCACCGTATGCTAAGCCGTTTCCACGAACGGCGTTCCACAATGTCCCCTCCACAGTCTCTAGATATTGCATAGCAACTAGGAGAGCAGGCACTGCTGGGTCGGAGAACGAAGTCAAACCTTTGCCCGAATTGATAGCATAAGAGCTATCAATTGCCTTCATGGGAATGATTGTCGCACCAACAGAGCCAGGATTGCGACCTTCGTCATTTAGAAGAGTATAAGGCTTCACGATGGGGATGATGGGCTCGGCACTCTTGCTGAGTGATTTGGAGAGTATATCCCAAGTTTTAACAGGCTCGGGAAGCTTCGAGTTCGAGATATCAGCTGTAACCAGGATGCGAAGATTATCAGAGGTAAAGAGGGACTTCCGAAGTTCCTCAAAGCGTGACAATACTGCGTCGGGGTCCTTCTCGAGGAGCTTCTTGAGCCGTTTAAGATAAACAGCCTTGACAAGGGTACGCTTTGCCACCATGAAAGAGGAAGGGTCATTATGAATAGCCATTTCGACCTCACTAGTCATAACTCTGCCGTCGCGCTTTGCCTCTGGTACATCCGCCAAGAGCTTGGCAATGCCGGCCCTCAAGCGAGTAATGTCAAAAATGCTGTCGAACATCATCCTACGGATCCATTCAACAGTCGTAGCATACTTTTCTGGTTCGACTTGGAACCGGATGAGGATGCTTTCCGAGTCGCCAAACTTGCTGCCCGAATCTAGGCTATAACTCACTGTATCCTTCTCCAGCTCCATGACCACCTGCTCGAACGATAAAGTTTCATTTCCGCATTTAATAGGCGTGTTAAAGAAATTATCACTGAAGATCGATAGCAGGGGTTTAAGCTCGACAGGAACTTTAGAGGTACCGATATGGACTGAGATATGTACGAAGTTGGTCCTAACATCTTCGAATTGCATAAAAAGGGGCGAAGGAGACGAGGTCTTGTCGATGATCTTTTGAGCGGGGCTTTCGTGGACGCCAAGTTTCCGAGCCGAACCAGAACGGGCAGTTTGTGACTCAATGAAGTGAATCGATTCAACAGGAGGTACTTGCCATTTCTCAAGCAGCGAAGCTGGGATCTCAACTTCGTTCTGTTTTTTGGCATCCTCAAGTTTCTTAGCCAACTTTGCTAATCCTTCGGTCCCCAGCTCTTGTTTCCTCTTCGATATCCTAGTCATTTCGTCTTCTTTTAGTTTTGTAGCTAACTTGAGAGATGGTTTTCCGAGAATTGAGACGTGATGAGCATCAGAGATCCATGTCCTGAGAAAAGACCGCCATTGCTCATCGGTCCATTTTTCTAGCTGGTCGTATTCACTAAGGCCCGCGAGGTCCTTAAGGGTCGAGCCATCTCGGTTGCCGAAAAGGTAATCTGTCACGATATTTAATGCGTAGAATTGCTCCGATTCTTCTGCCTGAGCCTTTACCTGCCGTCGTTCCCTCTGGATACACTCGTTCATATATGCCATGTCGAGTGGCTTAGAGGCAACTTCCTTTAGCAAGGAGATAAGGCGTTGTTCGACAAATTCTAGCTTTTCCGTAGCAACGCCGGTCGGTTGAAGCCATATCACACTATTCGGTCGAGTATCCACCAAATATGAAATAGAGCTAGCAAGTGCTTCTTTCTCAACTATAACGTTCTCCAATACTGCGACGGACGATCCACTTAGGTAAGTTAAGAGGATATTCAAAGCAGCTGACTGAATAACATCGGTGCAGCTAGGTCCGAAGAAAGCAACAACCAATTCACCGGTAGACTCGTCTTCCTCTGGAAACTCAACCGTCTCAACGATCGTTTTGTTAAGGGGGGGTGGTTGGGCAGATTCTATCCAGGGTCGTTTGAACGGGGCGTTTAGAGGGGGGATGTCATTTTTGACACTTTCCTCAAATTGATCCATTATAGTGAGGAGGTTGTCGTGGTCGACTTCGCCAATGATAATAACACACATGTTCCGTGGTTGATACATATCCCTGTGGAAACCTCGTATTCTCTCCGGGGTTAGAACTCGCAGAGCCTCCATCATACCGCCTGTTTCGTATCGGAAACCAACATTCTCTGGGTAGAGAAGGCGCCGAGCTTGAAGGTCCATGAGCTCCCCACTCGTGTACTGTACACCTTGCATTTCCGAGTAGACGACGCCGGCATCGTTTCCTTCGCCATTGATATGATGGACTTCAGTCAAACACGCGGCATCTGTTAAAGTGGGAACTATGAGATGCTCAAGATAGACGGGCAGAATCTGGGCGAAACCTTCCCATCCAGCAGTTTCAAGAGTGTATGCTGTCTGATCGGTGGCCGTCCAAGCGTTGGTGGTTCCGTAGGCTCTAGAGGCTAACTTGTCCAATAACCCTTTATATTGGTAACTCTTTGAACCCATGAAGACCAAGTGTTCGAGGGTATGGGGTGCTCCCGAGTCGTCAAAAATTTCAGTAGCTAAAGTGAAGTAACCATTGACTTTTGGGCCTTCTCGATCTGCCACAATGACCTGCATTCCGCTTCTTTCGGATTCATATTGGGTGATTGTTGTGTGGGAATAATCTGTGTCGAATCGTTGAACCTTACGGAACCGCACACTTGGGCCTTGTGAACCCATCTTGATCGAAAACGGCTTAGATAAGACGGCCTGGAAGTAGCTATTGTACTTGTCAGCCTGGTATCGATTTAATTAAGATGTTAGGAAAAGGAATGAGGGCATGGCAACTTTGTAAATGAGCGAATATAAAACATTGTTTGGTGAGTTAAATGCTAGTTGATGTTATTATAAGTGGGCAAATATAGACAATCCATGTCAGGGAAGACAATTGAATAGTTGAATTAGTGAAGACTCAATGTGCGGTCAGGGTACGTCGTCACGGGCTTTTTTGTCCAGTAAGATGCTACTCATAGAAGTGAGACGTGAGAAGTAGATGGAATTTCCGCCTTTGCATCAGATCCTTCCCGTTGTTACACACCAATCGTTGCCCATGCACACCCCCGAACTTGATAACGGCATGAGGTAAATTTTCATACCCGATGTCTTCAACTTTACCTTGATAAGCCATAGCGAGTATGGCGATAATGACTGCAACGGTGGCAAAGATAAATGCCTGAGCTGAAGCCTGACCGATCATAGTGACCTGGAGGACTTGTGTATTGTGACGCTTACATTGACGAGGCTACTTGGAGGCACGAGACTGGGATGATCGAGGGGTAATGGACAACGGGTATTACCCGTGAGAAGAGGTAATGTATTGTGCTCTATCCGGGGAATGCAAGTCTCGGATGATGAAGTCTGACAAGGACGTGACAGGGACTCTTCTTACATACCACTGCTTATGTTGATAGAAAGGTGTGTGTGGTGGCACAACAGTAAACCAATAGAACCCCGGTGAAAATCGGACCAGGCTCGATCTGATCCAAGTTGAAGCAACCAACGTTCGGGTACCAAGGACAGAAGACACCTTGACGGATGGTAAGTGCGTTAGGCACGCAGTAACTTTGTAAATAGTGTAGTGTGTATCTAGATTAGTCGGACATGGGCATAGATATGAAGGTGATGCAAAGAAGGGGGTGAGAATTGAGGAGATGTTTTGTACAGAGACAATAGAAGTCTAACGCGAGAAACGCGGTATGAGAAGTTGGAGTTTACTATTAGCGGTCAAAAAGATGGGGAAAAGTGAGATGTAAAAGATGAGAAGTCAAACGAAGATGCGTCAATGACAACCGTCTGCAATTATCTACTAGGTTCCCGATATTTCTCCTAAAAGAAATTCAAATTCAAATCCCTTTGCTGCAAAATGACCCCGCGGCGGGGTACAAACAGGTACCTATGGTCCTATGCAGGTTGACGCGCTTAAGGCAAGCGCTAAGCGCTAATTTAAGCGATTACCGATATAGTGGATCACTCCCTCGTCATTATGTACCGCTGATATGACCTATCATAAACTAATAATGACGGTATGAAGTGGCCTGAGCTTTGCGACAGTTGAAGCTTTAAATGACCTGTTCTTTCGATTACCTAACCCAATTTTTATTGAAGCTATCACGAAACCACTTCTTTGTGAGCTTCATGCCTGGACTTACCCATACAACTATACTCCTGAGTTGCTTGTTTAATATGATATCCAATGGAAGCTACTGTTATATAGCTATATAAGACTCGTGTCTTTCAAACCCACAACGAATGTCGGCATCTTTGTTAGCGACTCATCTTCTGCGCCATCTGGAGTTTTACGATTGAAACCTCTAGCTACATCTCTCCACCCACACAAAGAGAACTAGTACATAAATTACATCGTTTCGGAACATATATCATGTCTAGCAACGGAAATACCGAGATCGGCCATGCGCTGGTCGAATTCTCGCTACATGGTGTCTTTCCTGAGGAAGAACTATCGTCTCGCCGAGTTACCGTGCAAGATCTCGCGCCAGCGCTACAATCCCTAATCGCAGCGAAGACTAGACTGGAGGTATGAAGAAACCAAAGCGCTGGATATATGGATATATGACCGAATCACTAATAGATATACCATAGTCCGACATACACCAGATCAACGAAGAGACCGCCCCAGACGTTAACCAATGGATCACCAATGCGAAATCCCTCGAAGACGACGTAACCCGATCGAGGAGCTGGGCAAACGACATTGTACGACGATCGCAAGCTCCGGATGTATCAGGCAAGACGATTCAAGAAGCCGAAGAGAAGGTCGAATTCCTACGACGAGAGGCGGAATATAATCAACAAGTTTACCATGCATTAAAAAGCATTAGACATGTGAATGAACTTTTGGATCAAGTTGAACAAGCGCGGGACGAGCGTAGAATATTGGATTCTCTCCATTTGCTAGAGAGTAAGAGCTTCGATCTTTTGGTATTAGTCGTCACTGACCGATTCCAGAATCTTGGACGGCGTTGGACGCAATTCCCGTCAGCAAATCTTGCCGTGTCATGAAATTGTTAGACTTGAGAGCTTTCGAGTTGAAGTCTGCGGTCCATGATGTGTTTGATCGTGTCTGGAATTCGCTAGTGCATGTCGATACGGAGAATAGAAAAGTTACTGTATACGGGAGTCGTGAAGGTATTTAATATTCCCTCTAACTGAAATCTCGAAGAAGACACTAACGTCACGTAGATGAGCAAATGCGATTAGACGACGCTGTCGTGGGTTTAAAAGCATATAAAGAGCTTGACCAGAGAATGACTTCATTTTGGCATCGTCTTGATGAGGCTATTGTTGGGCCGCGAACTAATATTGAAGCTCATGAATTACCCAGGATTCAAACAACAGATGTAAGAGACTCCTTAACTTGTATTTATAGATCGCTAACGAAGTAATAGTCACATTTAAATCTGAGTGGGAGCGCAGATAAAACCGTCGCTTCTCTATTTTCTGATCTCGATCACGTAATGACTTATTTCTCAGAGCGCTTACCCGAAGAGCTCGTTTACTCATTATCTAATATTATGATGCCCGATTTAATTCCACGGATTATTGGCACATGGTTAGATACAGCCGTTCCGGCATCTCTAGCAGAAATGGATGAATTTCAACAAATCACCGAAATTGTAAAGACATTCTGCAACCGTCTGCAAACCCTCAAATTTGATGGATTTCAGGAGTTACAGGAATGGGTTGATGACGCACCGAAAGTGTGGTTATCTAAATGTCGCGAAACGGCATTGGATTCTGTGCGCACAAAACTCTCACAGGGGCTCGGCCAACCAAAGGAAGTAGAGCGCGTGGAAACTCAGACAGTCTTAAGATCTGAAGGGAAGGAGTTGGCTGCCAATGGCGTTGCCCCTCCAGCCAATGATGACGATTGGGGCGCAGCTTGGGATGACGGGGAGGCGGATACCAAACAAGACGATGCGAAGCCAGAGACAAACGAAGACGACGGAACCGACGCATGGGGCTGGGGAGAAGATGAGAATGCTGCTGAAGCGCCCGAAGCGCCTACTGAACAACCTCAGGCGGAGCCACCAGCTGAAGAAGACCCTACGGAAGCCTGGGGATGGGGTGAGGAGGATGCCGCAGAAACGGCTCCTGGAGAATCGGCAGCACCTGTCCCTTCAAAAGATACACAGACTCGAGAGTTAACATTGAAAGAGACTTACAACATCTCTTCCATGCCAGAACCCGTCCTGGCACTTATTTCAGCTGTGCTAGAGGATGCGGCCTTACTTGTTGGGTAAGTCTATGGCTTCCACCTAGAAGATCTTAACCTAATAATGGAAAATAGGAACGACGCCAACCCAATGGCGAGAACAGCCGCAGGCCTCTTCTCGCTTCCTACACTTGTCCTCGCTATGTTCCGTGCTGTCTCACCTTACTACTACACGCTAAACACGGGCGGCAACATGTAAGCATTATCTCCGTCATTTCCTCGGCAGGCTGCTTATTTCTGTCTCTAGGTTTCTCTACAACGACGCCACCTATCTCTCGGAGCGCCTCTCGGACTTCGCCAAAACCTGGAAGGCCCGCACGGACCTTCCTCCCCGCGCAATAACCATGCTGCGGCTAGACAACGACGTGAAAGCGCTCCAGTCGTTCGCAAACAGGGCCTACACGTCCGAAATTAGCACGCAGAAGACTGTTCTCCGGGACCTTCTCGGCGGTTCGCAGAACCTGCTCCAGCAAGATGGGCTCGGGACTTCGGACCTAGAGGCACAGGTCGACAGCGCAACGGGTCACGTGCGAGCCCTTGCCGCGACATGGTCTACGATCTTATCCAAGTCGGCGTGGAGCCAGGCCGTGGGCTCGCTGGTGGACACTCTGGCCGCCAAGCTCGTGGCCGACGTCATGGACCTCGCCGGCATCGGCCAGGACGAGGCGTACAACATCGCCAGCCTAATCTCCCGCATCACCGAGCTCGACGACCTATTCCTACCGCCCGCAGCAGATGGGGAAACCGCGGTCCCGAGTACTGCAGAGTACGCCGCTAGCTGGCTTAGGCTCAAGTACCTCAGCGAGGTTCTCCAGAGCAACCTCCAGGACGTTAGGTTCTTGTGGATGGAGAGCGAGCTTAGCTTGTATTTCACTGTTGCCGAGGTCGTTGAGCTGATCGGTCTGAGCTTTGTGGATAATGCAAGGACGAGGGAGGTCGTGAGGGAGATCGAGGCGAATCCCCAGCCGAGGTGAGGTCGGCCGGTGGTGGGTGGGCCAACCTAGGTCCTAGGTAGTGTATACATATCAATATTAATCCATTTCTACGCTACGTTCAAGTTATCAGTATAGTAATCATTGAATCAACTCGATCGTCGTCTTTGATAATCTCTTAGCCATTCGGGTTATAAATTTCAATCACCGACTCACCGGCAATACACACGTCGTCCAGCCATCGTCTCCGGACTCGGCTACAAACCCAAACATATACACGCTACCTACATACCTACATAGCTAACCTAGGTAAACTAGAAATGCGGTGAGTTAATTTAACGGGGGTACCCGCCAATCCGACATACATTAGTCGGCCGCGGCCGCGCGTCCCTGACTAAGATAGGCTATGTACCTACGCACGCAGAAGGGCGCGAAGAAGGGGGAATAAGAACAAAACAAAAAAAAAAATCAATAAACGTGGGCCGAATGGACCGATGTGTTCGATCGCTGGGACGAACATCCCAATATACGTGGTGAGGGTTTGGGATTAGCCGCTGGGGGTTTCGCGGTGCCTGTGGGGGAAGCGAAGGGTCTAGACGCGCCGATGTGGTGGTGGTTTGAGATCGCGATCGGGATTCTAGCCCTACGGGTCCCGGGTGTGGATGAGAAGAGGAAATGAGACATCGCGCGCGCTCGGATGTATGAAGAGGAGCTGCCGAGGGAACCGAAGGCGGAAACTACGGTTATGTAGGTAGGTATGTATGTTTTGTTGGTATGTATGAGAAGGGATATCGATTACCTATCCTACACATCATCATCACAGATCCGGTTCCAGATTCCAGATCAGAATCCCAATCACCTTTTTTTCTTGTCATCAACACTCATCGTCGTTCGATGTACCGCCCACATTTTAAGACATAAGTAGGTAGAACCACTACTTCCTAGCGAGGCTGAGCCCGGATACCTGGCCATCCGAACGACAACTCACACGCCGAACCGGAACTCCCGGAACTTCTTCTGGTAGTAAAACGTGGCAAGCGCTCCAGCGACGAGAAGCCCCAGTGGCACCGGGGCCCGGGCCTTGGTCTTGATGACGCGGGGCACCGCAGAGCCCAACAGGAGGACGCTATTCCCGAGAGCGAGCTCGGCGCCGTAGTCCTTGTTACTTTTCAGGAGGTAGCCTGTTTATCGTTCATTGTAAGTTATGAGGTGTCCTAGGACTCTAGATATTTCTAATATGGAACTGTATTTCTTTTCTACGAACACCTGATTTGGAGGGATGAGAAGGATATAAGACATGTAGGAAGGCAGGTAAGAATTGGAGAAGATATATGAGTAGTCTGAGCAACTGTAATGAAGAACGGCATACCGGAATAAGCATAAGAAGCACCCAGCCCCAATCCCGCGATAATCGACGGCAGCGAGCGTGTGCGGATAAACCCGGCCGTTCCGCCCACGGCGACTATGGTCCTTCAGTTAACAGACAATCCTTCAAATCCAGCAGCTTACAGCAACTTACGCAAGCCCGCAAGAGTGAACGAAGGATGTTCCGCCATCTTAAATCTGATTCCGTTTATATGTCTATGAATTAGAGCTTGTAATTTGTGATATAGGGCGGTGTCGTATTTATGGTAAATGGGTGTTGTAGTTGAATTTACCAAGGTGAAGCGAGATGTCCGAGTCTCCGTCCGAACTTTTCCCGCCTATTACATAAATATCCGCCGAGATGGCATCACCTCCTTCGCCCATAGATGTATGTACCTATGCTACTAGCCTAACTAATATAACTAATCGATATATATTTGTTCAAAGATCGAGCCATATTTGTATAGATAGATTTTGTGCAGTTTATAATTATTAGCGCTGTTCATTCATACTATTATTTGGCACGCTGAAGTTTGGCTTCTCTAATACGCCAGGCGGATTTGATATGAGCAGGATACAAGAGTGTCCTTTGAGTTATGACTACCTACCTACCTACTTACGAATTTAATAAACACTATGAATCATTTTCCTCTCTAGAGTACTCCGTACTATTTAGAGAAAATACGATATCACACATTCATATTTCACAAGAAGCATCCAAGACAGATGTGATTTGAAAGTTTGGCGCCGCAAGCGGACTTTGGTATTCATATTTGGTATCTCCGACTTATGCTCTCCTCCTCCCCTTCTCCTCGTCTCCTCTTCGTTCGTGGTGGTGGTGGTAGGGTAAATAATAAGTCCTTTAACGATGACAAGCGGGTACAATATCAACGTTGTTCTCTCCTATCCTTTCCGCTGCTTAATAGCGTTCATATTAACTCTTTGGCTCAAAGGCCACGAAGAGAGGCAAACAAAACTTCCACCAACTTTTTGAAACCCTCACCATCTCGATCAACGAGACTGGTTGAAACACAAGCAAACAAAATTCAAAGCGGTAGCGAGGGTATATGCTTCGAAAACACAAAAGGACCAGAAAGCACAGCCGATTAATCCATGAACCCATATGGTGGACTGGTCCATTATCCCCTGAAGTCTTTCGATATGCCCTTAGGATGTCCTGTCCTACTCCCGACAAAAGGACCAATAAGACGCCGTTGCAATGCAAATAATCCCCCCCGAAAAAAACACCCGCTGTGTATTTTCGACCTCAAGCCTGGAAAAAGGAAATGGTAGTGGAATACGCAAGAGCGTGATTCCTAGGATGCGCTGTCCCGTTAATCGGGGTTGGCGATGTATAATCGACCGGCCGTGAGGGTCATAGTGCGTTCATCTACGCTGCCGCGCCTTCGGAGATCCTCAGGGTTCTTGACACTCTTTTCTCTAGTGAGAGCGGCATTTAACAAGCTATTGCTCGCAAGCTTAGCAGCGCTGGCACTGCTTAGCTCAGGTAGGGCATCGGCCTTCTCTGCGCTACTACCGCTGTGCGCGCTATGAGTGCGCTCCAACTCGATCTTATCATCCCCAGGAGTGTATTCGGCGTCTTCAATGACCATGCTACCCGTGCGCTCGGGTGTATCGCCAGGACTCCACCTCTTACCCCCTTGGGAAGCGCCAGAAGTGCGATATGCGAGACCTCTCCTGCTGCTGGCGGTACTACTGCGCCCGCTGCTACCAGTTCTGCGGTGATTTAAGCGTCGCATCGACAGATCGTCTTCGTCGTCATCTTCGCCCTCAACCTCGGTAGCGCTCAGACGCATCGGTACACCTGTCACACCCATGTAATTGCTATCAGGCGCATATCCTACAACGCCTGGCTTGCCATGATGACGGATCTTGGCGGCCACCTTCCCGCCGGTGCTGCCTAGGCCTGTCGAAGTGCGGCTTTGTATTGTGCCGCCAGAAACTTCTTGATTGGCTCTTTGTTTCGCAGCGCGTTGCTGGGCTTGGATTCGCGGGTCTTCGGATTGCGATCGATCGCACCATACGGTGGCCTTCTGTTTTCGGAGTAAGGCAACGTAGCTGGTGGGAATGCCACCTCCCGACCTAGAGGAGGTGCTACGGCGAACTTCTGTAGTGGGGGACGTTCGGTACGCAGCAGGCGGGGGGTTACTAGATGTGGTGCTGAAAGTATTAACGGAGGGAGATCGTCGGGTGTGGCCCATCGAGGGCTGCGGTTGTTGAAGGTGCTGCATTGGTGTGAAGACTTGCGGGAATACGTTGGAGGAGGAAGTTCTTGATCTCGAGTGGGCATAAACTTGAGGAGAAGGATCGAGAGATCTCATCCTCATATTATGGTCTTGCCCTAACATGGTAGATGAGAGTTTTTTTTCTTGGTTGCCCCCCTTTTTAGCAATTCAGTGGGTAAAAAAGCACTGATGATGCTAATTGCTTATTTCTCTGGCCGGTGGCTTCGTTAGGCCGGATCGGCGTTGGGTTGGCAAAGGGAGAGATAGGCGTTTGGAGAAGATAGGATCCGTTTCTAATAAGACATGCATGCAAATGCACTGGTACTGTTCGGGACGAGTGGGTAGAGAGATAACCGAAACTGACAGTTGGTACTTTTCAACTCTCTAATGCCGGGATGTTTGTGACGCCTGGAATCCTAGAAATGCTCGGAAATACTAGGGTGCTGGATCGACCGGATCACAATTGTTATTGTATCGCTGTATGAATTTCTTTTACAAAGAAATATCGTGCGATGGTGGAGGCTGAAGGGGATGGGAAATCGAGAACAAAGTATTTGAAGATTTGGTAGGCGGTAGCCAGGTTTAGTCAGGTACCTGGGCAAGTCAACGTTGCATAGGCTGTGTTCTTTTTTTCCCCTTGTAACTTGTAACTTGTAACTTGTTGTGCAGGTGTCGGTGCGTCGGTGCTGATGTGGATGATCTCCAGTCGCCGAGAGTTATGTTTCTTCTCTCGGTTCCTTTCCTTGGTTGGGAGCTCGGCGTATGCTGACTGGCTCTAACTGGTTCTAACCTGTTCTTAAACAACGCTCTGACTGGTTGACACGCATGCGAAATGTGGAAATCCCTTTTTTCGCCTTTTCTCGCACACTCCGTAACCTAGCGTTTTCCGAGTGGGCTGGGCTTCGCTTTTTTTTTCTGGTGGGGGGAACAGAGGAATGAGAGTGACTGGGCTGCTGGGCTGGGTGGATGGGATGGTGGATGGAAGGAGTGGAATGGGGCAGTTGGGGGGGGTTGACTGTCGTATTTTAGCGCTACTGTTACGGTACCTAAATACCTAAAATGCTCCCTCAACTTCTCAAGGCTAGCACTAGCGGGTATGTTGGCTTAGGTAGTAGCCGCAAAGACAAGGACAACCGGAGACTAACAAGATAATAAGACGAGTACGATGGACAAGGAATTTAATAGTTTGTTTTCCAAGTCAAAGAAATAAAAGGCCTCGGTGAATTGTTGTCATAAAATGACGAAATTCGCATCCTTCAACAAAAAGTTTAATGTTGAACAATTCGAATATGTCCAGCAAGGTAATCCGAGATGTTGAAGATCTTTTGATCTTGTGTTAAACCCGTACGGCGTAACAACGTTATCGTCAATCTTGATGCGTTACGGATCCGAAGCGCTAAGGCGATACGATACGTATACTTTTATCCTGAAGTACTTTTTTTCGTTTCCTCGGAACGATTAAAAAGTTCCAAAACAAGAAGTGAAGAAAAGAAACGTTGACGTCGTTATTACTCCGAGTCGGCTACTCTTGTTTTCTTCTCAAGTATCAAAGTAACCAGTAGTTAGTGACGATTTTCTGGTTGCTCGTCGTACTCGTACCAGGCGCGGGGTGGCGTAATCTTTGGTTCCTGACTTGATGCCGAAGACAATAAACAGAGGCGATAAAATGACCGAATTGACCAAAAATGACAGTATTCAAGAGTGGTGTCAGAATGGTGAAGGAACGGGGCAATCCCAGCTGAAAGCGCTTGGTTCGGTGTGGCACCGAGTAGTTTGTTCGCCAGCTTCGTCCAATCAAATTTGTGTTTGGCGGCAGGCGGCCTCGTTAGTCGCTAATCACTTCGCAGCTGTTGACGTGATCTCGATATGTTGTTGACGTTTAGAGAAGGGATTGTCCAATGGCGGCGCCAGTACGGAATCCGGGCTGCGGATGTCGATCAACGTCCCTTATTGAGAAAACACACGGAGATAACCCAAGGTAAGGTTAATTAGAGGAGGGGTGAGAGTTGTGTCTAGGTATGTAGGTAGGTACAATATAAATAGTATGTATGTAAGGGTTTCGATATTCCGGATCGATATCTAATTACACTGGAATGAAGGAAGAGGATAAGGATTTGAAAACGAGTACGTATATGTATGTGTCTTGAGTGTCTTGACTCTAGAGTGAATGTGTAATTAGGTAGGGGGAATACCAATGCTGATGCTATTACCGATGCCGATACCGATGATCAGTGCAGTGGCTTGACTTGACTTTCATGGCAAGGCTTAAGTCGATGATGTCTTGTTCCTTTTATTAATAACATACAACCATAAAGTGACAACAAACTTGTTGAAAACCGGCTAGGGTTCGGAATCTTGTATGGCTCTATATTCTGAATATCGTCCGTCTCGGTGTTACTATTCGAATCATTAACTGCCCACTATACCATTCAAAGGCGGGGGAAAGGAGCCAGAATGATAAACCATGAATGGGATTTGTTAGAGGTGACATATGGGATTCCCCGAAGTTGCAGTTTAGGAAAGTTGTGCACGCAATGGGATTGGATTGGACGGATTCGATGTTGAATTTGTGATTGATCGAATTGCACCTGGCACCTTGCTCCTGCCTCGCTCAGTAAGTGCAGGCGTACTAAAATGTTTCCTAGCGCAATCCCTTAGATTGAAGTGATAGCCCTGTAGCCTTGGGAAGTAGCACTTTAGGTACCTAACCGACTAATTCCTACTAGGATTCTGGCGTTCTAGGGCTGTCTAGGTGTCACGACCTGCTAATATGGGTACTTCCTGAGAGTCGCCCTGTACATCCTGTAAGGGTAAGCAGGCCATTCCCTGTCATTGTGCCAAACCCCACAACTGCCTTGTACAGGGGATATACTGGTAAAATATACTTTAGATGTGTACAATTATACAATACGATTGAGAGTCGTAAAATCTTCGATCGTCAAACTCTTCTCATACCTTCCCACTCTGTTTCTTGATAGAACCCTAGTAGCAAACATTCTCGACAAGTTTGCTTCGACAATTATCCACCGTGCAGTACTAGGTAGGTTCGTGACATGCGAACACGACAAACTGTGACGAAATCATCTTTCTCAAACTCGGCGAATTTCACGATAGGTCTGTGGCTAAGTCAAGATACCACCAAGCCTAGGTCAGTAGCTAGCGCCGATAGCTTGGGAGTCCTAGTGGAACGCTGTGACGCTGGTTCAGGTGAAGGTAGCGACGGCCAGTTGACTAGAAGGCGACCATATTATCGAGGATTTGCTCGGTAGCGCATAAAACTAGACTTAAGTAACATGGATATCCATCTTCATTTTCTTACGCGTATTTAATAAATCTTTTTTTTTCTATCCCACTCCGCAAACAATGACAAAAGCCAAGACTTTATCGGTAAACCGCGAGGCCTCATTCCGACTACACGGGAAGTCGGATTATCTTGCAATCCCTAGATCAAGGGGATGTAGAGAGAGCACGAAATACTATTGAAGACAGTCGCAAGATTGGAAGGGGTATAAGACTTGTGATACTTGCAATTGTAAACGGTGAGTGAATATAAGTGATAACCCGGGCCAAAGCAAGACATAGTCGCAGACGGTTATGTCTGCGTTGTTCAGCTTCTTGCGGCTCGACCGGACTATGGAACTACATTCGCTAAGCTTAGCTATTCTATTCGCAAGCTAGTAAGTATGTATTATGCGTAAGTGTACCTTTTTACCTTGCAAGGCGTTAGTTTTCTTAGGTTGCATACATAGGTCTGGGGTTCATCAGTTAATCTCACGTCTTACTATCAACGGGGTCATGATATAACGGAAATATACAACAGTATTGTCAATCAATAAGCGGTGCCCCTCCGGGTGGTTCTGGCTGAAGCCCGGCCCCAATCAGCAGATTACAAGTCTATTAAGCTCACTTAACTGACTACCAATACATCCAATAGCCTATCTCGACTACCGCAACTGTCTAAAAGCTGAATCGGATGCTTGTTTTCAACAGGGCATATAAGTTGATGATTTGGTATAAGTACGGCAAGCTGGGCGATAGGTTTACTTGGCGGTAATTGTTGAAGTGAACCAAATAATTGTAGTGGTTCATCATCCCTGCTAAGTCCAGGGTTATACTCTGTAGATAGGTACTCAACTACTAATATTTTACCGCGCCGAGGGATCCGGCCTTATGGAATGGGGCACGTGTTCCGATACAACATGAGTTTATTATGTCGATTATACCATCTAGATCTTCTCGGCGGCGTGCGACCGTCTGAGCAATTTGCTTACCTATGATAATCATCAAATGGTTCGATTTTCTACATAACTTCTTTCCCAAGGCTGATAGTGTTGGGGTTGCAGCTAGGGATTCGACGGAGCATTTGCTACGGCCTTGCGCTGGAATCCTATGTGTGCACTGGAACATGTCAGCGTCTGTTCTGGCACGGCACGACAACTTAAACCAAAGCTGCAATGCGACGACAAGGACCAAGCGGTCAGGTCTCCTAAAAACACGCAAAGTTACAGGTATTGTACTTACTCATTAGCAATTATACATACAGTTGCTAGCCACATTTTGGTATGGCACTATATTGCGTGCCATTCCCATGCATGTTCTCCCCATGTTACTGCTTTGGCGATGGGTCGCATCTGCAGGCCGGTTGCGTTCTAGCCGGGACTATCGAAACTTCATGTACCTAAGGAGTAGCGCGAACATCGAATTCTCAAATGTCTCATCCCCCGTGCGTTCAACGGCATTCACGATAGGTGATTCCGCGCCGCCCCGTCGCGCCCCGCTCCAATAACCATTTTCTTCTTCTCACTTCTCCGCGAAATGACAATGTATAAAGTTACCCGTCTTCTCTAAAATCTCTCCGGATAGAGGGGCGAAGGGGATTAGCGCTATGTATTGAGGCAACCAGTTTTGCCTATTGATATTGAATTGTTCAAATAAATGTTGGGTAACTCCACTTCGGAACTCACACCTTAAAAGCAAGCGCTACGAATAAAAGAAGGAACTGTTCCGAAAGTATCGTCCGGGGCAGGTCCATGGCAACACCGAAGCTTGCGGCTCCTTTCCATACTACATCCTTATCTTCGAACGTCATGGAAGGCAGTTGCCCCAATTTCATCCGTGCCCTAAGAACTCGCTTGTGGAACTAAACACTATTCCCGTGACCAGGAACACTAGGGGAAGGAAAGATGTCGCGAGTCATCATCCTTCCTGTTCCAGTTCGGGTTGAACCTCGCCGGCGCCAGGAACGCTCTCTTTTTTACTTTCCCCTATTCAAACCTACGAATTCCACTTTTCAATGCGGTGAGTGCGTTCGTGCGATAGATTTCCAAGTTTTTGTCTAGAGCTTCATTGTTACTACTTCAATTATATCCAGGATTCGGAGGATTCGAGCTGGGTACGGCTACAGCCGAGGAAGGCTTCGAGATATCGAAGAAAACACTTAAAGAATGACCAGGAATATTTTCCGATCGAGCCTCAAGATCTCGATCGTGCCAAATAGTCTCCTCCACTCTGTTTCCATTTCCCGCGTCTTCTAACTCGGTAGCTTGGATTCCTTGCAATGGCTCGGTCGTACAAACCAGGAAGAGCCCTAGCCACAAGAAATCAAGGCAGGAAGCTATAGCACGTCCTTTATATAGTTGACGCATCCCGACGGGATGACGACACTGTCCACAAATCCATTGCTACCTAAGATGGATCTTGTGAAGCCTCAAAGCCTTACTTCCATTTCGGGAACTGTACAGATCATATTACGTCGATAGAGGCTACCAAATCCTTGGTTTCAAATTAAGACGTCTTAATTAGCCAAAAATATTCATAGTCATTAACACAACAAGCCAACGCCATGTATTGGAGACTGCAATATCACCGTGTCATTCGTTATGCCTTTCTCAATTCACCGTGTTACTACACCGGTTGTTTTCCAATCCTGGATAATGCACTTGGTCATCCATGGATGCCGTGAAACGCCCCCGACATAGACAGACGCCTGTAAATGCCCCCAAAGCACGACGCCACCAGGGTCCTGTCGCCAATTGACGTACCCATTACCAGACCTGTTGATACACAATAAGTTACAACTGTATCTTACTCGTCCATCTCCCCCTCTTCGATTAACCTTCCGAGAATGAGACTCTGGATTACTAGCTGGTCGCTGAGTGTCCTGATTCTCTTTGGTGGATGGTCGGATTCGTCTGTCCCCGTGCTCTGCCGTTTCCGTTTCTTGGGACCTCCGTTTCCTGCACCTGAGCCAAATAATGCACCTTGAGCTTTAGGAAGATTATCATCATCGACGTAGACCCAGTCAAAAGGTTGACCTTGGGACTCGCCATCACGGAGTTTAGTCCTAGCATCCTCAAGACAATTTACTCGTACTAACGAGCCTCCAAGAATTTGCGCTAGGAATACGTATGGCAGCCTCTTCTCTTCACCCCTATTGCTTTTCATCACGAGAAGAATTCGGGCTTGGTCTAGTAGCTTGGGCCTGTTGTTTATCACTTCCTCCAATTTGGACGTAGAGGCATCGTATGGTTGCAAATTACGCGAACGGATGGCCTCCCCCAAAAGCGCACTTGGTCCAGCACATAGGAGGTACGAGGACCAGTCTATGATTTCGTTCTTAGATATGCAATTCATTATCCACTTGGGTGCCAAGCAGGGGATGCCGAGCGCAAGGGCCTGCATATACTTCGTTTTCCGAGAATGCTCATCGGCTATCAGAGCTGTGAACCCAGCATCTTGATTAAGCAGTGTTAATGAACTGGACAGAACATTAGTAGCAGACATATTCGTCGAGGCTGAGAATGAGTCGAATCTGAAGAGTTCATGAAAACCATCAGAAAGGATCTTGCCGCCTTCTCGAAGAATCATGCGTTCAATAGAATGTCTATCCACAGTTTTCTCTTTGTTCTTTCGACCTTGTTCATCTTTAAACGAGAGAGCAAATACCATCCCTTCGAAGATGCCATGGTTCACTGTAGACTCCCGAAGCAAGTTTCGCTTAGCTCTTGCTGTCTTGCGGGTAGGTGGCTTCTGCCTATCTGTACTAGTCACAGAAAACGGCGACTTAGCTAATTCGTCTGTTGACAATGAACTATGGCGCGTCGTTCTTTTCGTGCTTTCTCGAGAACGGGAATCTGTTCTGATCTGAGGGAGCGACGATGAAGGTCCCGAGACGGACGATGCAGGTCTTCCTCGACGCCGTATCTTTGCTATAGCTGGAGATGAACTGCGACTTCTGCTAGCTTCAGACGCATGGCCAAGCTCTGTGCTTGGCGTAATACTAGAGGTCATGCTTGGCGTTGCTGACAGAGATGACAATGTCGATGTCCCTGTCCCAACGTCTGACGGAATAGGTGGGTCACGTCCGGTCGATGATGGGGTGACTATATCCCCGAGCCTCACCGAACGGCGAATTGCGCTCCATGGAGAAGAGGCTAGAACGATAGATGGCGAAGACTCCAAAGGTCGACCTCGGCTAGAGCGGGATTTTCGATTTGCAGGAATCGACGGGAACGGTTCGGGTGCACTTGAAGATCTCGGCTCATTTGATTGTTTTGGTTGCGGTTCAGGGTCTGTACCACTCGATATGACTGGAAATGACACTGGTTCCATCTCAGATCTGATACTAGAGTACTGCTTCATTATATCGCCTATTAGTTTAGGTGGACCAATAGCCGTGCTTGGAGGACTGGTCTCAGGTATAGTCTCCTTATATTCCATATTGGACGGAAGCGCTTGGGTGTCTGGGAGATTGGTAGTGGGCGGTTCTTGCTCTTCACTGCTCCCGATCTTTTCTTCGTCAAATTTATGTGACAGCTTTGGTCTTTCACCCTGTTGTGGCGGCGCCACGGCCTCTTGGGAATCTGCAACGGTCTCTTGCGATCCATCCTTATCGACCGTCGTCTTGCCGTAGCGTTGCACCAAATACTGCTCTGAATCTCGCGTCTTTCGACCTAGGCCAGGCCTCGTCCGATTAGTTGACGGCACTTCCACCTTGTCACCTTTGTTTAAACTCGACCGGGGAAGACTAATAGCTGGGAAGGACTTGCTGGCTTTCTCCTGCTTTAACCTGGCTAGGCGTCGGCGATAAGCAGCTGTATCAACTTCGGAGTCCGAATCTTGCTCTTCACCACTGCGTGTTGGTGATTTAGTAGCGTCTGTTTCCGAGCTCTGCTTTCGCAAAGGCTTATACTCGCCGATCGGTTCTGGGAAGTTCTTGCGTCTACGATCTTCAAATCGGGGGAGCGGCGTTTCAGCGGCGGTTCCTTGATTTCGCCCTTCATCCTCATGGCTATTCGTAGGTACTGATGGTGTTTCGTCACCCGAAGGTCTAGACGAGATTCCAGGGAATACGGGACTTGAAGTAAAAGCGTGAGTAGGCGAGGTTCTAAGCCCTCTATTTTTTAACGGAGACGATATGATAGGGTTTGGCGAAATTGTATTCTGATTAAATACATCGGGTGACGGACGTGACGACGTAGGGCTGGCTTTCTTAACTGTCGAGGTCCACGGCGTTTGTCCGAACATCTGCGATGCTGGCATTAATGGTGCGCGATTCCCACCAAATAATCTCTGGGCCATCGCGGGTGTCTCGGGGGGTCTAGTTTGATTCCCATTTTCCTCGGGCGCCTGCGACGCTGCGTGTGACCTCTGAAATATACTGGGAGCGAAATTGACTTGAGTTTCTTCCGGTATCGTGTCAGGTATATCAACATCAGTGCGATCAGTGCGATCAGTATGGTCGTTGTGGCCGGCATACTTGAAGTTTAAGAATCCCGTGTCATGTTCGGAGAGAGTAGGATGTTCGGGTTCGTGGACGCTACTTGCTTGTGGCGATGACTCTAACTGTGAATTATCATTGGTAGAGTATTGCTCATAACTGCGGCCATCATTTGACTGAGTTGGTGAGTCCGAAGACATTTTGTCTGTTGTTTTCGAAAATGTTCGCGGTGGAAGTGTAGGCAGAGGATTATTCCTAGTCGACTGACTTAACCCCTCGAGTGGAAAAGCAGCATCGTCGAGAATTGGTCGAGTCGGAGCCAATGCAACATTCGCATCTAAGTTCGAAAATGGTCGCGAGGCCGGGTCTAATCGCGGTTGGATTGATTGCCTCGCAGAGTCATTTGGAGCGCTGGTAACGAGCGTGTTTGACGCGTTCCGTGGTTGCTAGTATGGCGCATTCGGATCAGTGCCACCCTTGCAAATAACGAAATTCGACAGGTCGCAATTCTCGACCAGTGGTACCGAAGAATAGTGTATGCACGTCACCTTACCTTAGTTGATTTTAGTCCTCCGTCTTGCTCGTCCACCAAATGCGAATTATCTGCCTTGGGTGGTCCTATGCTCGATCCCGCCGTATCTCTCTTCGATTGATAAAAAAGATCAACAGGTACGGGAGAGATACTTGTCTATTTTCGTAACAGTTAGCCGAAACCCCAATAGCAAAAGCCAAAGGCCGGAACCCGACTTGCCACTCAAGCCCAACGAAAAGAGTGCAATGCGTAGCAATGCGCCAGAAGTCCAGAAGCAGACGCCACTTACCACACCTAAGCCATGTTCTAGCATATGCTTTATTAATAGGTCTTGACTCTCTTGACTTTCATCTACACCAATAAGGGCGCCATTTCTCGCAGGAAGATTCGAATTTGCGGCATTGGGAGCCATAGTGAAGGGGAATGAAGTCGCATCTCGGTCGTAGGTGAAAGAAAGTGAAAATCGTCGCAATATCAAGTCTCAGATTAATTAAAGTGCAGCTAGAGAAAGGTTACTTTCACGAAAATTACCTAAACAAAGAAGGCAGGCACGGTAGTAGCACTCCACTGCACCCCCGGAACCGCGATGCGGACACGGAATTAGATGATGCGATTTAAAGTTGACGCTAATCAGGACGCTTACTGCGACAAGAAATAGCGTGTCGGGTTGTACCTACTCACCATCTTCAACTTTAGATGCAGCAACTAAACTAATGTTAGGAAGTCAGAACCTCATATACAGAATACATTACTCATTTATCTCCAATTTGAGGATAATTGAAACCAACTCAGAAATATACCTACTAATCACACACATTTATATCAGATTAAAGCACTTTTATCTATTTTCGATCTACCTATCGAAGGCCGGGACAATTTCTTGTTTATGAAGTTATCACCTACATCTAAAATCCAACTCAAGGGATGTGAAATTCTCATAAACCAAGCTTCAATTCCTTATTTCCCACCCTCGCCTTACTTAATAACCCCAACCCTATGCCTTCACAACCTTATCCTCAAACCATTTATACATAACCGCATTAGTAAACCTCCCCGCCCCAAAATGGCAATGCTCCTCCGCGCCATCCTCCCTCGTAAACTTCACCAGCGTCCCCTTCCCCTCCAGATTCTCCACCATGAGCTCCGGCTGGCCCTGGAAGAACATATCTTTCTCAGGGTCGCCCACGAACACCGGACACTGGATCTGCTGCGCGATGCCGTTGTCCAGGCTGAACTTCGCCGCCCTCTCGAGGAACTCCCCCCGCGTCTTAACGTTGAACGACCAGAGCCCGTGTCCTAGCACCCAGCGGAAGCCCGTTGGGACCTCGGGGTTGTCTAGGATGGCGCGTGCGGCTGCTTCGTCGTTTATGCCTTCGGGTTTGGATAGCCCGCCGGTGGTGAAGATGGGGGTCTTGGTGAAGTCGAATAGCCCGTCGATTTGGAAGACGGCTGAGATGCGGGGTTCGAATGCCGCGGCGCGGGCGCACAGGTACCCGCCCATGCTGTATCCCACGAGGCCGATCTTTTTCGAATCGACGAAGGATAGCGTCTCGACGTAGTCTACGACGGGAGTTACGACGGCCTCCCAATTGTGGATAAAACCTAGCCCTTGGTCGCGGCGCACTGTTGGTTGTCCGGGACCTTCGTACACCACGACGTTGTACCCTCGTTCGAGCGCCGCGGCGCCGTGCATATGGTACATTTCCTCCATGGATCCATCGTACCCATTACCCATCAGGATCGTTGGTCTCTTCGTCTCGTCGCCCCTCTTACCAGCCGGGAATACGATGATTGGAACATCGAACCCGTCTGCCCTAAGTAATTTCCTATACCCGGGGTTTTCTAGGCGGAAAATTGCTTCCGTGAAACAGTCTGCCTGCCTCTTCCACAGTGAATTAATACGCGGGTCGGCCCAGTTCCCGTGGAGGAAGAAGTCCGCCGCACGGCTGTATGTCGAGGCGCGGAAGTACGCATCTCGGAGAGAAATCGGGTCGTTCAGTTCCTTAACATGGGATAGTACTCGCTCAGCTCGCTTATTCCACGCCGCGTACCAAGACTCGAAGTCTCCCGGGGCGATCTCCTCTGCGGCGATGAGGCATTCGCTGATATCTGCTCCATTGAAGCTGGAGTGCGACAACATGCGCAGAATCTCGAAGTTGAAACTCTCGTCGGGGCTTAGTTTAAGCATCTTGAATGCGTAGGTATCTAACTGGTAAGTTTAAGAATGAGTATTATACAACATCTTCTCTTGTGAGCTGAATCCACTCGACTTATACTCTTCTCGTGGTGAGTTCGTTACCTAACTAGTTAGTGGTTGCTGAGTGAGCGCCCATGCGGCGGAAGCTGTCGAGCTAGCGCAGCTCGTGGATTGATTCCTAGGTTGGAAGCCTCATCCACCTTTCCTACAGATCGTATAGCTTATCTGGACGACGCTTGTGGGGTTGATTTACGCGGCATCAAATAGGAGTTACATATCTTTTTAGATGCTGTATGCTACATGGTTAGCGCGCTTATCCTCACCAGTGCTTACATGTCGATCGACGAGTTCTTCCTTGATCAACGTCTAATTCGCTCAATTGTCGCAGCGCTGGAATATACCTAGGTAAGTTCCAAACCTAAATCCATCATTTTACTTCATGTGTAAACTCCAGCATTGGGTTCTCGATTGTCTTTCCTAATTGGGCTTGCCGGATCTCGGTGTGATGAGCCTTCGCATCCCGCTTTTACCAATCTAGTAAGTCTACTAGGTTAGGTATTTCTATGGTGATCCTTTCAGCTCCTACGAACATTAGAAATGTAATAGGTCATAGTTGGTAGCTGGTTACACAGACTTTACATATGCATGGGAGTCTACTACGAAAGGGCGGATGCAAAGACCATTGGTTAAAGGGGAAAGGGAGTAGGGGAGAGTCCCCCTATTCGATATCAAGCCCTAGCCAGCAAAGAAATGTCATGCCATTATAAACTATTGCTTTACAATATCTTCAGCTGTGTTACACATACTAATACCCAATAGGACCAATAGCTAGAAGTTGTTAGTAGGTAATAAGTTTATTCATGAGTTTCCATAACGGAAGGCGGCCTTTAACATATTGTTTGCCCGTAGCCTAATGATACAATTATGGGCCAGGCACACAGCCGTTCAAGCGAGAGACTAGAGGGCTCCGACTAATCGGAATTAGGTAGAGTTGAAGCAGTACACTCATTGCCGACATCGCTCAGGATCACGTTCCAATTATCAGGACAGTAAGCCTGGCCCTTCTCGACGTAGTCAACTCCATCTAAGCGCTGCTTGCATTTTTGATACACCTGCTGCGCGAACCAGCCCTAATATCGAAGTAAGTAATCTTTCCAGTCGGGGAGACAGTAAAATGAATTCAAAGATTCTTACAGCGTCGGTATATAGCACGTCGATAGAATTGTGCTGGTCGTTGCAAATAAAGACACCTGCTCCACCGCCCGCATTACAGGCTGCCTGGATACACTTCGCTGGACCAGCTTCGACATGAATGCGCCGACTACCTCCGCTCAAGAGCAAGCCGATGGGGTAGCTGTAGTCTGAGGCTGGAAACTCCGTGTTTGGATAATCTGGAGGGCCGCCGCAGATAACTCGGATATCATCATGCTATCGCACGCTGTGTCAGCTATGACGTCGATTGTAAATATAGGAAATTAAAGGCTGCAGAACTAACCTGGAAGTAGACTGGACGAGTTCGGTTTAGGTAGTTACCGATGAGGCCTGCCGTTTGGGCAAGAGACTGTGAGCTCTAGGGTGGAGGGTTGATTAGCGGGCATTTTCGCCATTTTGCAGATGTAGCGAAAGTAACCTACTCGAATAACTGCCGCCAGGGTTGATGATGCTAAGGTTAAGATAAGGCAGGTCTTCATCGTGGTTGTTTCTCAGGGGTTCAATAGGTTTGGAAAGGAGTGTAGGTTGAAAGTTGTTTGTCTAGGCGAGTTGTAGTTGAAGAGGATATGAAAGGGTTGGATTTGTGAGCTTTTGAGAAGAATGATTGAAACGTACCTAGGTATGATTTGAGATCGAATATTCAGGTAAGTTTAGGAAACAAGGTACCCAGGTAGGTAAGTAGATGGGCTGTTGCCTTAGTATCTTTAGAGTGTGGATGCCTCTTTTAAACACCTTACTATCACCTATGCATGTACGTGAGTGCCAGGTGTGCTCGTAATAAAGGAGTCAGGTGTAACTTTACGTGGACATTGCTGCGTGGAAGCGAGGAAAGAGCCAAACCAAAACAATTGAATTTCATGTCTCAGTGTTTGCTTCATATCTCTAGACGACCCAACCAATTTAAAGATAGTTTCCTGTCATACTGTGATTTTGTTTTCATGCTCAAGATTTTAAACATTACGGACGCAATGTAAGGGGGTCAACCGAACTTGACTCATATTCGCTTCCCCTTACTATGTACAGCGTATGAGAGCCTGTCAAATGAATAGGGAAGATAGTAACAGAATGCCCTTTAACTCCAACTATCGCAAATTTCGTGCTATACTAACCTGAAGTTATAAAATTTAGAAGGAACAGGTTGGAAATTAGATAAGGTAGATATCTTTTTTTTTATGAATAACCAACGGGCTGTAGACGTGACTTCACAGTTTCATTCAGTGCATAAGTTATGAGTAGGAAGGTATTATTAATGAAAGTTGCCTCGCTATTATAATTTATTCTTTTCTTTTTCTATATCTACCAGCCTCTTAGCCAGGTAATCCAATTCTATAACCAAAGTATCGAAAGAAAGATGGCCCCCTTCCGGGATGACGATGATTGAGCCGTCATTAAATCTATTTTCTAAGAAAGATACCGAAACATAACCTCAACAAGTCTCTGCCTCGTGAGCTAGGAGTTCATCTCATGAATCCTAGTACACTAAAGGCCCATAAGAGCCCTCGCACCTAGTTCACTACAGACGTAAATGACGTCATGACTGTCGCTAAAACCATTGAACTTGGTGGCAGAGCACTTGGTGTACGCACCCATGTCTTCAAAGTACAACCAGTCACCCACATCAAGCTCATGGGTAAAACGGATGCTCTCAGTAATGCGATCAATGCCATCGCAGGTTGGGCCCCAGATAGAGTATTCAGTACCGGCGCTGACACCCTCGGGCAAACTGTTAGACAGAGCAGTGTTGTAGTAGGTCCGCTTGCCCGATCGTAACACCTTCGCAACAGGGTGTTGGTGATCGAACATGATGCTACTGAAGTTTCCATATAAGCCATCGTTAAGATAGGTCATGTAGCTAGTCTCGCCCGTAGCTGGGTTATCAATCGTGCGGCGGGCTATGACGTTGCAGGCAATGGTGAAAGCCGAGGAAACGTAGTACCGACCGGGCTCGGCAATGATATTGATGTGCGATGGGAAATACTCGTCCAAAGCCTCACGTAGAACGATGGCCATGTCTTCAAAGGTATCGCCACTAAATCCGCCACCAACGTCGAGGGTTTTCATGTCGAAGCCATGAGAGTAGGCTTGCTTGAAGACATGCTCGGCATCCCGAACAGCCTTGAGAAAAGCGAGAGGATCGGATGCCCCCGAACCCACGTGGAAACTCACACCAACAACATTCAGGCCGAGTTCTTTGGCAAGGACCAAGAGATCATTAGTGGAGTCGAGAGAGGCGCCAAACTTTAGGCTAAGGCGGCATAAGCTCGATGAGTCATCCGTCAAAATGCGCAAGAAGAGCTCGGCATCGGGGAAGAGCTTAGCAATTTTGCGCAGTTCGTCGGCATTGTCAAAAGTCATCTGCTTGACGCCCTGGTTGGCGACATAGCGCACGTAAGAGTTGGTCTTGCATGGCTGAGCATAGATGATGCGAGACGGATCGACGCCCAAGTTCAGGACCTGCTCAATCTCGGACTTCGAGGCACAGTCGAAGCCGGTACCTAATCCAGCAAGAAGCTGAATGACCTTAGGGTCCGGGTTGCACTTGACAGCTATGATAAGATGTTAGCTCTGAGATAGTTAAAAGTGAATTCAATGCGACTTACCGTAGAATGGCTTTACGCGAGGAAGATTCTTCTTCCATCTCATATGCTGGCGGTAGACCTCGCCAAGATCGCCCACGAAAAAGGTATCCTCATCCCCTGGTTCACAAGACTCATGGTCAATGTTCTCAACGCGTTGGCGAAGAGCATCGCCAATCAACTGTTTAGCGATCACAGCGCCATTGTGTTGGTGATGATGATCATAAAAGTAATTCTTTTTGACAAGAATATGATTATTGTCAAAATGAGTCGGTGCAAAGCGATCAACGGCAGCTGTTGCCATAACCATATCCCTCGTTTTGATGAAGGATATTGATGGGGAATGATAACTTCGTGTTGTAGGTCCGTAAATATCGGATTTCACAGGGAGCTCCAGTGGGAGTATAAATTCTATCTAGACCAAAGGATAGATAGACTTATAAGTAGAATAGTCCTGGGAACGTGTTCCTCCGAATGGGTGTTAGGGGGGTCGAAAACGGTAGCTTCCTGATCCCGAAGCGATCTGACGAGGTCTCCTCGACTCTCCCTCAATTAGAGGAAGAACCTTAGAACTCGTCCTATGCGGCAGCTGGTGGGTTGGGGGGAGAAATTGGTTCAGTTTGGGGGTGCTATCGAGCAAGAGGGGCGTTCGTTTCTCTTTAGGCGACTTCAGCAGAAGTAGGCGGTGGAGGTCGGGAGTTGATAATATGGAAAGTCTTTCGCAGACTGAAATCTTGATCAGATACGAAGCTCACGGCCGCGGAAGCCGTGGTAGCTTATATGCCTTTGAGAAGACCAAAGGCAAGTCGAGGCGGTATTTTATGGGGAGCTTTGTGACTCGTAATCAACAAGCTAGCTGGGTGATGCCAAATGTGTGTTCGTTTGCGAAAAGACTTGATGGGTCTTTATAGAAATCTGTGATATACCAAGTATGTTGATGGTACGCTGGATGTTGATTTCCCGAGGGACGTAAGTAGGCTAGAGTAATGGTACGGTACTGTAGTGTTTGTTTTGAGGGTGAGTGGGAAAAAAGAGAGGATAAAATTGAGAATTTGATGGGGTTGTGTGTGTGAATTAGAGTAAAATCTACTAGCCACGGGCAAGTAAACTCAAACTCTGCGTGGCCCCGCCACTTACCGCAGTTAGAAAATTATGGAGCATGTGACAGAGTTCGTTCATAAGACATGTACCCATGCCTGTATAGATACTTTGAAGGCTATGCGCTATCTATGCCTACTGAATGACGTATAGCGCAAGAATACAATTAAGCATCAAACTATTACGAGACTGTTGAACTGAGTTACATCTACGAAATGCCGGGTTGTGATTCAATATATGCGTTCGACAGACTTGACCGACCGACATCTATAAGGAAGAGCTGAGTTGGAGATGAAGGATGAAGAAAGTTGCGATATCGAGGACAAAAAAAGAAACGCAACAGGATGGCGCGCAGTATCACAGAATTGGAGCCATTAGAATCATGAGAACTTGCATAGATAAATCAACCTGCCGTAACCCATCTCGGTCTTTATGTAGCGACCAGCACAACCACAATGCTGCCGACCGACATGAAATATACCTGAAATGTACCTATTGAATGCCTTACGTACCTAGGTACCTGCATGTATATCTGTACGTCAGGTACAAAGAGAAGGGTGTTGACCCACTTAGTGAGGTCCGAAAATATATACTTCGAAGCTTCTTATTTGATAGAAACTTGACTTTGACCAACTTCCAAGTTCGGCTTTTTTCTGCTGTTGCGCTAATAAAGTGACAATGGTAATCGCAGTCAGGGCAGCTAGGGCAGCCAGGGGGAATCTCTGACCGCAACTCAATATGCGCCAAAAAATTTTAACCCCCAGGCTTTTCCCCCAGGTCCATACATATATGATTGACTGTGATCAACGATCGTCTCATGCCGAAAGGGGGGAGGATGAGTGGTTGCATCAAAAGACATGAAAAAGACTTAACTGTATCCGACGACCGGCACTTTTGGTCCTCGACAGGTTTGATCGACCATGCGGCCTCTGTACGACATTGAGTCGATTTACACAGCGGCGACCAATGTGATGGCCGACTCGAGCTGTCGAGCTGTTCGAGCGCCCATGCAGGCTCGAGTTGGGACGCGCACTTCCTGTTGTCCAGCTTGACAATTCAATGGTCTAACTAGGGAAAAACGGGCGATCCAACCCTCCGCTCTGCCTCTCGTAGTAGATCGAGATTAGCCTGTTTATCGAGACTGCGACTGTAGAATGATCAATCAGTGCAGTCCAATTTGTCGATAGCGCCTCATCATCATGAAATTCGGCCTCATCTCACCGCTGTGATCCATTCAGTCGAGTGTAGTGTCGATTCTGATATGCCAGTATGCAAGGCCTTGTTGCAACACACCATTTCGTACCGTTCATAGCTCGCAGTAGGTACCCTTACTACGTAGCACGTAATAGCACCTCGGGTGCGTTGGAGATCTGCGGTTACAATATTTGGACATTGCCCCTGACAGGATTGGTCAACAAAATTCTCCCATCACTTGCCATGCTCCAACCAAATCGATCACAGAAACAGGGGATTGCTTCTAGAAGACAACCTGAGCGGCGTTTGTAGCCGCAATCGCCATCACGCGCCCCTTTTGACGTAGTACCAGTCAGTTCCATTGATTGCGACACCACCTAGGGAAGACCGGTAGAAAAGCTTGATTGCGAATCGTCGTCAATCAGAGAGGGTAAGAGGTTCCCGTCTACATCTGCAATGCGACGATAGAACGACAAAGGTTGCTTCGAAGGAGGGCAAAAAAAGGGTTCGGTGGTATTAATATAGGTGTTAATGAGGAACATTAAAAGAGAATAAGGCTTGATAGGGCTTTCATAGAGAGACCTGATAGGGCAGGTCCAGATCTATCTAGACCCAATTTAGCTTAGCGCTTATTGGAACGGGAAATTCGTCCTTACTAGTCGGTTAGTAGTCAGCCAGTAATAACCTATCAGAGGTGTAATCTAGAACAATTAGCTGAGAGTTTATTAGCCAATTAACTCTTCCTAAATCAACTTCCGTTCTATCAAACCCATCCTTCCCATCATCCGTCACATCATCAGCGGACCGATCATTCCAACGAGCACGACACAACCTAAATATTCGAGTTTCCGAGATTACTAAAGAATAACGACATTATACTTACTAGAAATATATATGTGATCATTTTGTAAATTCGGAAGTATCCCAATTATTCGCAATGCCTTGGAGTAGACCTCGGTCCGGTGTTAAACGAGGTCCGAAGCCTTTTCCCGGCACGCGCCGTACACGATGCGATCTCCGAGTCCCCCCCGTTCAATCTGTCCGTCACAACAATAGATATCCGAAGAAACGAAAAATAGATGTGTTATTGTGGTTGGTAAATCATCGCGTCGCAGATACCCGTAGGAACGAGTTTGGTCAACCTCCTACACCTCGTCTAAAGTCAGGTCAAAAACCTATCCCGGAAGAACAACTGCGAGAATTAAAACAGTGCAAGGACCACATTATTTATCGCCCCGCTACCTATCGCGAAGCCGAAAAACACTGGAATATACAAGGCGCCATAATAGCCTCATGGTGGCAGAGAAAGGAAAAATATCTTCCTTCAGCCGAGATAGAAAAATCAAAATATTACATGATCAAGTCGTCACCTAACAGGAATTTTAAACCTCCAGGTCCTTCTCAGAACGAAAGCGCCGCACAGAAAAGCACTGAGCCGCCCACTCTCCAGCCTTCTTCAAATGCCGCCACCCAATCTCGAGCGAGTGTCGCCCAACCCAAACAGGCCGTCGTAGAGATAAGCGATGACTCAGAGTGGGATTCTAACGGCTTTATCAGTGATGACGACGAAGACTTACCTGATATCGAAACCGCTTTTGTTAATTCCTGCAGTACGGAGGATGAACAAATGTCAAAAGATATACAAGAGCTGCAGAAAATTTTTGACGATAGTGATACGGATCTCATGCCTAATGCGAAAGAAGGCGCCTCGACAGATCCCCAGGGTCATCAAAGCAGCGAGGAAATTGACGATGCCGAAGAATCTGAAGATCCCGAGCTATTCGGCTCAATATAATCTTGATAACATCTTGTGGGACACAGCGTCAAAGTCGACGACTCAAAGAACTTCACATTATGATGTTCATGATATCGTAGCCATGGTACTACGATACATCTTCAAATGAGCAGGCGGTGTTCGCATGCCCATACCCATCTGTACTATCTACTGGCAGCTTGATAGGGAGCCAGGCGTTCTCAGTAAGTTACCGAATTATCGTAATTGGTCTTGCTGGAAAGGCGAAGGTCCGAGAGACCGTTTAGGGAATAATGTGAGTGAAACTCACTCAGTGGGGGCTATCGTGTAGGAGGTAGGTCAAGGAAGTAAAGGAGGTAATGATGTAAGCTATTTCAAACCTATCCGACCTCGCAGGTTGGAGATTTGAGAGCTGGGGAAGTTGTGTTGCAACTAGATGAGATCAGCTCCCCGCTCTCGAGCTATCCGGCGTGTAACTGCAGGACACGTCTTTTAACCAATGGCAGGTTAATTACGAGAAAACGAACTTCCAATTCTGGCTGTGACCCTCAATCTTAAACGAGGATTATCATCTGAACTACGAGCGTCAGATGCTCCGGATCAGTACGCATTCAGTGATCGGCAGTTAGGAACGAGTTACGCCACCCACTCTCTCGCTCTGCAGCTTAATATACGATGGAGTTACACGACATTATGCTTGTTTCTGTTTTTTTCTTTTCCATGCCTGAGCGGATTTGCTGGTCCGCAGCATCATCAAGTCTCGTGTCCTATCGGTTAGCCTGTGGCGTATTTAGATCCCACTGTATAATAACTATCCGCCGTGTATCTCTTACGCGGCCTGGCATATCACATTACTGCCCCTAGCCGCTTCCTTGGGGTCATATTGATATCGACATGTACCTATCGAAGTGGACACAAGTTACGTCGTAGATCAACACCACAGGCGCCTTGGATGGGAATATTTTCAATATGGAAACTAGGTACTTAGGTAGGAATTACAGTAGTAAGAAGAATGGAATATCCCCAACAGTCCCAACACAAGGCCGAGAGGTTTTACCAAACGTGATCTATTTCGCCTGATACAGCAGTTGCCCACAGTGACAGAGCCTGCAGAGATACAGTCGAGGCTTGATACCACCCATACTGTTCAACTGCTTGTTGGAGCATATTTCTCGGTCGCCGTGGACCTAGATCCTATGCTCCCATCCCGGATGCTCCGGCTTCCCCAAAAAGGAAAAATAGCAATAAAGGAAGGGAATAAGGCTTGAAAGTTGTATCACTCGACAAATTCACATTTTGGAATTCTGTCCTACCCAGGCAGCGTGTCACTCCAAGTTAAAATAGACGCAGGTGACGGGCAGCAGGTTGACCGTAATAACGCACGTTCATTAGAAATAGCCATTCATTTTAAGCAGGGCCTGTGAAACCGACTGCTCTTTTATTTTCATTAAAGTTACTTAGATAGTTAATACTTAGATTAAAAACCAACTATTTACTATTCTTGGTTTCAAGCCGACAGCGGGCTCAGAACAACATCTAGATCCCATCAGACTTTTATCTCCCTGACATTTCTCTAGCTCCTAGAGGTAGGTAGGAAGGAGATTCATAATATAGCGGCTCGTGGTACTGCGATGGGACAAATCGACAAAGTCAGAGCAATGTTCCTCAAGTCATCGTCTAGAATACTTATTATATGGAATATATTATCATTATAAGCAGTTTTAGCATTTTCTCTTTCATATTATATCAAATTCTCGCCCAATCCCTAGGCAGGTAATCTAGAGGAGGCTAGGACATCTTCCAAGAATTCATCTAGTTATCGTATAATATATTTGAGCCAACAGAGCGGTCCCCTGAAGACAACTTTATGAGTGATAGACTCATATTTCTTTTTAGAGCTGTGCGTGTGCGAATCATTTACTTTCAATTTCACTATCGCCGACACCCTCTCGATGATCGAAGATAAGGTTGCTTTATATGCTGTTGTTTTTGACATCCATGGCGTGGCAAAGAAAGACAACGGGGCGCCAGGCGACTGTCTCATGACGGAATGAATGCTGTATATGGCATCTATTTGGGTTTCTTCTTACCTCATCTTCTAAGGGAATGAGTGCGGCAGGGGAGTTTCGTATAGACTCTCCTGCATTTGTGGTATTGGAAGCATACCGTGAATATCACCCCAACTTCTCTTTGAAGACTTTTCAATTTCCCGAAAATATGGCGGCATCTCATAGATCGTTCAATCCCACAGCAGTTTCCGCATTCAGTACATGCCGATTTGACCCGTACTCCGAGCTCGCGATTGCGATCCGCAAAATCAGATTTGTAGACGACATAACTACCAACAGTAACAACGAATCGTCTGTAGAATTGGCCTCGAAGGGTAGTGTGCTGATATGATATCGATAGCGATACTAAAAATACCTATCTGGGTCTAAATTGTGTCCTTTTTGCACAGACTGTCACAACTCCCAGGGCAGCGTGACTGTGTTGCAACCGCCATGGTCGAACGTGAGAAGTGGTAGCATTGCCGCCTTATTAACATTTATTAGGTAGCTATGCTATAGGTTGACTTGGGCTGCCTGGTTCGCCCAACCGGAATACGACTTCTCTGCTTAGGTACCTAGAAGGTATTCATGTAGAAGATACCCTACCCTAAACCATGCTATCAACTTGAGAAATTTATTTATTTCCTCGTTTTGTTTGTGATGACACTGAAGTTGGGTACCTATAAATCAGTATCATATTAATACTTCTCAAACATTCAGGGTCTAGGTATGTTGGGTGTTAGGAGAGGGACAAAGAGCTTACTGGGCATAAATATCGCGGCGAAATGCCACATCTAAAGGTCTACAATAGGTCAGGATCCTACACTCACGCGTACCTAATAAGTAACAGATCACATGGCTGAAGCACGGTGGAGCAGAATGCAATTGCTAGAGGCCAATGTATTGGGATTGGTGATGTGGTATAGTACCTGGAAGGGGCTTGTAGCTTATACGGACTATGATTATTCGTGCCAGAAATCCGACCATGGCATATTTGACATGATCGCTGGCACAGTCTCAGCAATGTTCTTGGTGTATTTCGGGTCAAGGTACGGAGCATTGAACTTTCTTCATCCCCCTCAGCCATCGTGAAGTCGGGAAGTCTGCTGGGATTTCTATTATTAGCTACCTACATAAATACATATGTAGGTAGATACTTATGTACTAGGTACTCATTTAGTTTGTAAGCCGAATGTTCGAATATGCTTTAAACTGGAACACTAGGTTCATCATGATGATGTCTGTTTGCCTCTTGCGGAGGATAAGTGGAGAAGAAAGGAAGGTTCAGGAGTGTGTGACTCAGGGGTAAACCTAGAATCAGATGTTTGGCTTAATAACATTTGGATGTATGCATTAGTTTTTCCGATGGACTTCATCTTCATGCCAATTCCCACGGTCATTAGCGAATGCTATGCTTTAATATGATAAAACGTAAAAGCGTATCAACGAAAGGTTCGTATCGACAACCTTGACTCTAGGCGCCTTGCTCCATTGCTAATACGATGTGCGCCACAGCTGCGATTTCAATGTTACGTTTCTCCTACCTCGGGTTTGCGACCATATGCCACAGTCCTAAATAAACCGTCAGCAAATTCAAATATCAAACGAGCACTCTACTGATCCTATGAAAGAAAGGGGGGAAAGGGAAAGGGAAAGTCTACGGTTGGCACTCACGTAAGAATCCAGCCGCAGTTGCTCTTCTTCTTCATCTCGTTGCGGAACCTAGCCACGAACACGAGAACCTCCTCGACAGACCAGCCCAGCATCTTAGTAAACAGGTACAGGCAGAAACCCTCGATGCTCTGATCCAGCATGGCGTATAGAAGCAGACCCGCCTGCTGCAGCTTAGGGTCACGCGGCCATCCGTGACACGGCACTTTGAGCTTAACCTCTTGGACATCGACGAAGCCGGCTGCGATCATCGTGTCGCGCATCATGTGGTCGCGCGAAATGCCGAACGTGCGCCCGTTCTTATCACCCGCCTCGATGAACGCGCGCGACCACTCTTCGAAGATGTGGTCATCCGGGATGTGAACGTGGTCCGTTTGTATGCGCACATCCATCTCGAGATCTTGAAGCCAGCAGCCGGGCTTAAGATGCTTAAAGGCCTTGCCGTAAAGCTCACCCCAGTCGGGGATGCTGCCTATGTTAATGCAGATATGTTAGAGGACATCTCCTTCATAGAAGTCAGCTGAGCCACGGGGATAAGGCGGACTTACCGTATAAGGCTCTAATGTGGACGAAGTCGAAGTGGTTCTCAGGCCATGTCCACTCGAGGAGGCAGTCGTCGATCTCGAACTTAACATTAGGTGGTGTCCAAACCGGTTGTATAGGGCTGATATCCGTCCCTATTACTTCCGCACCGGGATACATGTCTGCAAAATCGCTAGAATTCCCCTCGTCAGCGGCTAGGTCGAGATAGCGTCGGGCGCAAAATATTTCGCAACACTCACATCGCCCATATTCCAGTTCCCGTGCCGACATCGAGCACCTTCTGCGGGTTGTCGTCGATCGGCGGGAGAAACAGTCTATCGCCCAAGGCCATCAGAAGGCAATTGTGGAGCAGATCAAGGCCCTCATTCTGCTGTTCGTCGTTCGGCGCCCAGTATTCGGTTGTCTTGGGCGCATTAAACGTGCGGCCGTGTAGCACACGGTAGTTGTAGATACTCTCGGTCAATGAGCCGGTTGAAGATTGTCTTTGCGACAGGTTAGCTAGTCTCAATATCGCAAGATGTGGAGCGGCTAGTCAATTTACATGTCACTACCAAGTGCCGACCCGCCGTCATCGTCATCTTCGTCCAGATTGTCGGCCTAGTGAGTGTCAGCGCTGAAATTGAAGATATTTATAAAGGTCGACTCAAGATATGCATACGGCTTGTATTGTCTGTTCGGTTCCAATCGCTTCACCCGTCACATCTGCTCCTGACGAGTGACTATGAGGTGACGCTGGTGATTTTGGAGATTTAGGCGAAGTTGTCGCTGCTGCTGCTGTTCCTGTCGCTGATGTTCCTGCTGCCGCTGCTGATGTTGTCGCTTCCGGGGACGGTGATTTTGCTTTCGCTGTCGACTCAGCCATTTCTCGCGGTATCGTGGATTTCGAATTGAAAACGGGAATCATGCGAAAAATCGGCGAAGTAACACGAATGAAAAGAAGGATATGGAGTCGTGGAGCTAGCAGCGGTCAATTTGCCAAGCGCCGAACCAATCAATCAGACCAGAAGGAGGAAAGGGGCGCCGCGGAGACGAGACGAAGAAGCGGGTTGTCCCGCATCGCGCGGGACAGCAAGAAAAGACAGCTCGGTTCTCTAAGTTCTTTTAGGAAAATTGTCGACCAAATGCGTAGCTCTGCTGACGATGACCCCGGATCTCGAGTAAGATCCTAGCTGTTGGCGCCCGTTTCATCCAATCAACTAGAATCAACACTGAACCTGGTGGGGTCTCTTCACTTTATTGAGACCCGTGTCAGACCGTTCGCTGGGAACGAATGGAGTAAAAAAAGTGGTTCATACAGGCCATATACAGACCTGACAGGGTAAAGAAAAAAGTGACATATCGCTCCCGACGGCGACGGGGATTCCTTCGGGTAGCTAATGCTATGTATTGTACCATTCTCGGCAAGCCGTGCGCGATAGACACGTGCTTTTACGAAACAAGAAACCGGGGGCTTCATAAAACCGGGAAAATTCAGCTATGGTGCGACGAGATATAGGCTGGCAGGCTGGTAGGACTGGTAGGACAATTCCAGGAGTCATGGAAGCATGAATATTACAAGGGAACCCTCTAACCTTCGTATATATTGCACCCGCCTGCCGGGAACTTTTTTAACTACAGCGTACTCCGACCGTCTCTCCTCTCTCTCTATTTCCCTTTGAAGTCCAGTCGGAGACTTTTCGCTTCCTCCACCTCCATGTGGTAACCGGCCACGTCCCCTGTCTCATGCTCGCCATCTCTTGCAGCCGTTTTTGTTTTCTAACATAGAAATTATGCAGCCAACAATGGCCCCCGGATGGCCAATGCGCCGACTGCCCGCCCATGATCGATGATACGGCTGTGGCACGTTCCAAATCAAGCAGATCCGGGAGAAAGGACTCATGAACCATAGGTCGACAATTATCAATAACTCAACCTTGAACTCGCCGATGTCGTGCGGTAGAAGCGTCTGTGGAACGTAGCAGTCGCCCCCTCCGTGGTGGCAATGCTACCAACATGTACAACAATGACGTCCGAATAGCCGGTAAGACGTGAATGCATAGTTAAAGCCTTGCTTTCTTAGGTCCGAAATCTCAATTATGAAAGTGAAAGATGTTTGTCAGATTGCATAACTAAATGGTTCATGAAACTCGGAACATGTGGTAACTATCTCCATTAGAATATCTCTTAGTAATAGATTTGAAGCTTTCCACAAATATACCAATTAAACCATGAGTTACCTATCAATAACTCTTCTAATTATCAACTTTTAGTCATGTAATATTGACATGGAGTTCTCTAGTGGAATCTATCGATACCTACTAAGCTGGAAACAAACCGGTGATGGTTTAAGTTACCTGGTTAGACACCGCCTTAACATATGAAGCCGTTTTATATCGGATCATAACCACGCTAGGTTTGAGCATTGTGGTTTATATTCAAGTAAGATTCTCAATGGAGTTACTAAGACGATTCTATGCTTAGAAATAGAGATATCTGACTGTATACTTAAAATAAAGACACATGATGCCGGGAATGAAGTGCCGGCGATAAGCAAACAACACTACTTGCTGGTTTGCATGTCAAGAAGTTATTTTGGTCATATGATCTTATTTCTACCTACATCTACGATAAACCACAACTGTAATTCTATCTATGAGGTATCAAGTACATTCATTTGAGGTACAAATTGGATATCTCCATGCTTACGCGCTGGTGGCTTGCGTTTCTAGGAACACCTGCATGTGGCGGCGGCATCTTTAAGTCCCGCGCCACTAAAGAAAAAGTTCCTAACATGCTCAAGTAGACCTGGCGCAGCTGAAGGAGGTCAATGGCTAGGTAGGCACCCGGGGAGGAATTAAATGACTGTGTTTCTCTAATAGCTACACAGTATTGTACTGTATCATTCACATCATCAACGCCCCACGAGGGATGTATTGAATACAAATATAACTAAGAGGTCTAACTTGTTATTCTTTATATCAAAATATCTCATAAACCACAACCATATCCTTGTGACGGAGGATAAAATCTTACTGAAATTTATGATGGGTAGCCTATGTTCATCTGAGCTGAATGACAAAAGGGGCTTACGGATAGGTACCTACCTACCTAACAAAGTACAAATTTCTATTTTATAAACGCACTTTTGATGGTAGGTAGTTTCGTCAAGGCCACAATAACAACCAGCTATGGTAATTTTCAGGGGAACAATCGTATTATTCCCAGCAGGAACTTTTGTACACCTATATCGATATCATCTCACCTGATAAACCTCTATAGCTGTTATCATCCGAGTATTGCTTCTTTTCCACAAAGTGTTTAGCATCTAGATTCTCGGAGTTCCCCAACGGATTTTGATCCCCTGAACTGATGACATTGTTGAGTTGGTGCGGTGAGATTATAAGTCGTGGCCAACTGTAACTAAACTGACAAGCCTTAGTGGCTTTTTGACTCAACATTGATCCTTAAATCTGGTATGTTATTATTATAGTGAACTATGTACAAGGAAAACGTATCATAATCGCTTCATTTAGGATAACCATAGTCTGTCAATCTATTTAGGACCGTTCAACTGGGACGTATAATTATGCCTGAGACATAGAAGCATGGTGTTATAACATAAGGTACCTACCTACCTAGGTAGGCAGTTATGTATATCACGTAATTCAGTAGAATTATTCGCCATCATAGATAGAATCAATAACATAACCTCTGTTCATGTCCTTCAATCAACTCAATAAGCATGTACTCTGTTCTATAGTCCGGAATTCTAACATTAAGGAATCCGAGTCTGAAAGAACGAGCGTGGGAGGATAGGGTTTCGTGTCCATATCCCCTTTCGAGGTATTGTCCACTAACCCTGCCTCGAAAAAGTTTACTCTCGCGTGTTATTGTGGTCTCCAAGCTATGGTAGAGTCTTCCGTAGAAGGCACGAGCAAGAAGACGTATCGTATCTGAACGCTGAATGTAGTATGTTCACTTGCACATATTTAATCGCCGTAGGCATGAAACAGGTTCGATTTCGAACCGTCAAGGTTATATACGGCTAGTCTAGTTAGCTGGAGGAGGGTATATGCACAATATTGTACAGATATTTGATACATCGTTTACTTCGTCGTAAATATCGTCGTTACTCGGCACCTTTTACGTTTATCTCATTTACCTTCCATGAACCGTCAACCCAGTCCTGTTTCTTTCCGAGGAAGGCGACTCTTTCTTCTTCCTTCGCTAGGGCGTCGACGATATACTTCTGGGCAACCTCGCGAACTTGGTCCTTGGACACATCCAAAAGTTGTTCGCGTCTCTTTTGCTGCATTTCGTGCGTGACACCAGACATGAACCGGATCATACCTTCCGAATTCACAGACTTAGGTGCATCGACACCCTGGAAAACTGATATCTTAGCTTCCTCAAGATCCTGATCAGTCCATTGCTTATCAACTGCCCATCGACCGGCGTTCCTCATGATGGAAAGAGTATTCTGCGGGTTTGGATCTCGGTATGAGTAGAAACCAAATATCCCTTCAAGACCCTTCATATAAGCGCCACCACCGTAAGCACCGCCCTTCTCGCGGATTTCGTGGTGAAGATGCTTGTGAGTCAAAAGTTGTGCTAAGATCTGGAGCGGTGCACCATGCGTAGAGGTGTATGACGCAGTCGGGAGGGCAAGGCAGCCATAGTAGACTTGGTAGGGAAGCGGGAAAAATGCTTTAATATCTCTCGCAAACGTTTGTTTTCCGGCAGGCGGAAATGTGACGGGGTTAGTTGGCCGAGATGCCATGAACTGGGATAGCGCCGAAGAGTTGGCTTGAGCACTATCAGCGCCACACGTAAGGGCCGTGCGAAGGCTATTGCCTGCTAGGGCAAATTTCTGGATTTGTTTAAGCTTCTCAATTACGTCTTCGAATTGATCCGACTCTGGTCGCCCAGCTAGTGACGTAATGAGCTTGACCTGTGATAAACCGCCAACCTGTTCGGATAGGTATGCTTCACGTGTTAATCCTGACTCGGCGTATCTTCGAGCATAGGAGTGACCGGAAGATGCGATATCGTTCACGACACCATCTGCAGCAGCTTCCAGGAGTTGCCTTATCCGAAGGGCGGCCTCTGGGCTATCGAAGTTAGTTTCTAGGATAAGCTTGCGTAGCAGATCAAACATCTCAGGCACATTGCGATCAAGAGCCATTCCCCCTAGCAGAAGGCCTTCAGAAGCCTGGTGGAAGTCGGTCGGTGACGAGGTTGACATGTAGCTGACTGATATACCTCCAGTCTTGAGCTTGATTTGATCTTCTAGCTGTTCCATAGTCATGTCTTTCGTCCCCAACCGCATGATAGAATCAGTGAATAATGGAATCAGTGATCGGAGTTCCTCTGGCAAGTTCTCAAAGCTGTTGATGGCTCGGAAATATGTGAGGCCATTTGTAGGGGCTTCATGCCACTGGATAGTGGTACCATGGGCCGCCTCATCTCTTATTGCAACAGGCTCCTTCTGTCTTGGGATGTCTTTGATATAGACGGTTGGTAGACAGCTCAAGTCCTGCGTGTTCGACTTGCCTTGCTCAACAAGTAGATCGAGTTCCCTTTGCTCAAAGAATTTTCGAGCAGCCTCTTCTCCACCTGCTTCTCGAGTGGCCTCAATGATCTTCGCCGCTAACCTGTCATCTTCTTCTTTCGCAATCTCTGCACCATACGTTTCCGAGGGAGCCATGGTGAAAGTAAGAGTTTTGTCGTTCAAAATGTACTTGTCCATTAATCCCTCGAGATAGTTTCCTTCGGCAAGTTTTGCCTTGAACGCCGCGACTGTGTCATTCCAAGACAAAGAGTCGAACGGATCAGTACCGGAAAACCACTTGCCCTTTAGACGATGCAGTACTGAAAGTCCAAAGTTGGCTGTCTTGTGCTTTAGGCTTAACTCGAGTTGATGAAGATACCCATCAATCTTGGTGCTCTCGAAACCTTTGTTGCGAATATCAGCAAGTATCTTCTGAATTTCGCCCTTAATCTTCTCCACGTTGGATTGCTCGACCCCAGTTAATCCAATAGAGAAGATCCCCATGGCTGCTGACCCGTCATAACCTGAGTTCGGACTCCAATCTGTGCCCAGGCCACTTTCAATAAGTCCCTTGTAGAGTGGAGATCCGTACCCATCCATTAATAACGATGAGAGTAAGGCGACAGAAAAAGATTCTAGTACATCGTCGGTATTACCTGTGATCCATGATACTGATGTCTTATATTGCTTGTCTGGGTCAGCGAGAGGATCGACCGGCCCGAAGAGCGTCACTGTACGTGGCCCATCATTCAGGTCGATCGGCTTTTTATGCTCAATGTCTGCTTGAATCTTTTCAAACGCATTCATCCGGGTATCAACTTCCCTCAGATGATCAGCCAACGGCATGTCGCCGTACGTCATGAGCTTTGCGTTACTCGGGTGATAATGTTCAGCGTGGAATTTGCGTAGTTGTTCATACGTTAAGTCGGTAATCTTTTGCGGATCTCCTCCAGAGTTATTAATGGAAGGGAAAATGTGATCCTGAAATCGGATGTAGAATAGATAGCCGGCATCTGACATTTGTCCCTTCATCTCGTTGTAGACAACGCCCTTAAAGACAAGCTTGCTATCCTCAGCACCCTCGGCACCATCCTTTTCCGCAACCTTAGGATTTTCAGGACCAATCCGCCAGCCTTCTTGAGTAAAGTCTGTTTCTTTCAGAAGCGGATGTAGAGTGGCATCGATATATACAGACATGAGGTTTTGAAAGTCTTGGGCATTGGTTGTGGCGAATGGGTAGTAAGTGTGGTCGGAGGCCGTAAAGGCATTCATGAAGTTAGAGAGAGTCCGCGGCATCATCTTGAAGAAGGGATCTCGTATAGGATACTTCTGACTACCACATAAGGTGGTGTGCTCGAGGATATGCGGAACACCCGTGTCATCTGGCGGGTTCGTCTTGAAGCCAATCGAGAATACATTGTTGCTATCCTCTCGAGCAATATGGAGGTAGTCTGCTCCCGTCTTGTCGTGTCGTAGGTGTAGTGCCGTAAGCTCGAGCTCAGGCACATGCTTTGTTCTCAACAAAGTGAAGCCATGAAGCTTTTCTCCAGGTTTTGGGTACTGAGACAACTCCGTCACGGCTTTCTTAGCCGCACCTTTCACCGCGTTTCGTAACATCTTTTCGGTCTATAAAGAAGATAACCAGTATAACAGGAAAGAGGTACCAAACGAATGGAAACGAAAGGGCGAACCAGGCCGTAAAATAATTGAACCAACCGACTGCAGCTGTAGAAATCAAGACAGCAACGCAGGTTGGGGCGGCATGTCACGGAAGCAGGGAGGCTAGGGGAGGAAAGATCTAGATATTAAATTCTAGAAAATTTCCGAGGACGAATAATTGTAAAGGTTTCTGTCGGATGACGCATATCTGCCAGCTAATCCTTGCTATATACAATGTGATGGATAGAGTCAGTATTTGCCTGTATCTGTGTACTTCAATTGCATTATCTCACCATTCATTGGTCTAATTACTGCATAAAAGTGTCTGACTCGAAACAGATATGTAGATAATCTATGATAAATACATATCGACTGCTTATCTACATACTAAGGTGCAATTAAGTATTATAGGTTCCACATAAATCCGGCGCTTCGGATCCGCTAGTATTCAGATTTTCTAGGGCGAGTTTTATTTACAAATGTACCTAGGTATTTTGCTATTTTGTACCTGTGTACACGGATTACATACTGTAGCCCCAAGGAAGTCGCATGTCCACGGTGCAGCAATTGTGTAAGGTGCAAGGCGGGCTGCGTCTTTCGCCGTGTGATTAAGTAACCGACACTAAAACGCCGCGCTTCATCTCAACCCTCAAAAGTCTTCATTCATCATTGAATACAACTCCAACAACAACGTAACCCGACTGACCAAGGCCACCATAGCTTACATATCAGTTTATATCCCCCACCCACTACATTTTTAAAATAACTCTCAGTACTTATCACTACAGAAACCATTCCAATGTCCAGCAATAATTCGGAACGGTACGTGCACACCACTCCATAATCGTACATATCCTACATATCATACATATCGTGCATCGTCCTATGAATCGTTTCGGAACTTTGGAATTCTAACAGGGCATCATCGTTTTAGTCAATACTTCGTATTTGTTTAGGAGACTATTATGGCGACAACAACCCATCGTGGCCCCTCAGCAGCGCCTGCTCCTCTCGCCTCCATTCCGAATACTAATGGTAATTCTACACATGCCCATGACGACTCGATGCCAAATGGCCACCATGTGCCCGTACAAGAGCCCCGACCTGCCCCGACCCCCACGCCTTCGATGGCTTCCAACGCCGCCGTTAAGAAAGGCAAGGGAAAGAAAGCCCTTGACCAAAATGAGGCTTCAAAACTCATTTCGGCAAGGATTTCCCAACTGGAGGTTGACACGGCCGCTGAAAAAGAGCAAGAGGCGGAAATTGGTAGGTCGTTTTCTCATTCACATCGTTCGAAGAATCGCAAGATGGCGGGGGGACGATAATAGTCTGGTTTTGTACACGTAAATTACAGTGATTGCGAATTATCTACCAATTCAGGACGATATCGGCAGACCAAGGAACGATAGTATGACCTCACGTACTCTATGGCGCGTATTTGGCGATAGTGGGCGAATCGGAATGGTGATGCGAGTCATCTTGCGACAGTATAGGCCTGCGGGAACCCTTCGTCCGCTCGATCCAGAGACCCGGTGGTTGCCTAAGCCACTGTGCTTTTTTGAAAATCGTGTCGACAACTTTTCGATACGCAAATCCTACTTTGTCGCACAACGCTGCCATCCGACGTGAGATCACGATATATGCCGGGAATTGTACTATTGTCGAACCCCCTCAATTATATAGTTGGTTTTGTCCATGATATCTTAGTCTTGCTAACTTCTCGCTTCATGTTAGACCGAGAAGTGCGAAAGGCAAATCGCGAACTTAACCATCAGATGAACAAGATGAACGACATGGACAAGATAGAACTCTTGACCAAGCGATCGTCGGAATTGTTCGCAAACATGAAACGCCTCGAACGCGAAAACCTTAAGAATAAGAAGCGCGCAGATCAGTTGCAGAAGGAAAAGGACTCAAGTCGCACCGACCTAAGCAAGCAGATTAGCCTCAAGGAGAAGCTAGAGAAGCTTTGTCGTGAGTTGCAAAAAGAAAACAACAAGCTGAAGGTATTATATGCGTATGGTTTCGGAAATTGGAGAATTGCAGCTGACGGCGATGGTACACAGAACGAGCACCGCGCCTTGGGCGATAATCATGACCGACTTAAAATATCGTCAGATGATCGCTTCAGGAAAGTACTTGAAACGCTTGAAGGTTATCAGGAAGAGAAGGACAATCCGCGAAAGCAGGTCGTGTACATGAAAGCAGAAGAATTGTGCGCTTCTCCTATATCTGTTTGCGCGAACACGTTTTATGTTGACACGAGGATTATAGGTTCAAGGCGCGATTCAAGTCACTCATCGACCAATACGAGCTTCGTGAGCTTCATTTCCACTCCGCCATGCGCACCAAGGAGATCGAAGTGCAGTGGAATATGGCTCGTTATGAGCAACAGAAGAAAACTGCCGAGGCAGAGTCTAACCGCGCACGTCAACTGAATAGCCAGGTGCTTACATTCTCTAAGACAGAAACCGAGCTGCGAAATCAGTTGAATGTTTATGTCGAGAAGTTCAAGCAGGTATGCGCCCTGTGCCCCTCGCTAGCACGCCGTGGGAAGGCATTAACAAATGAGGAGGTCGAGGATACGCTCAACAATAGTAACGACCTGTTTTTGACTTTTCGCAAGGAGATGGAGGACATGTCCAAGAAAACCAAAAAACTCGAGAAGGAGAACGAGGCTTATAAGCGCAAGGAAGGGGCTCTCAACCAGAACATCTTCAAGATGGCCGAGGAACGCAATAGAAATATTAAGGACCTCGAGGACATCAAGAAGAAGAACGACAAGCTCACGAGTATCATTAATCAGATGCAGCAGCAAGGCCGCGGCATACCCCAGGGTATGCAGGGCACGGTGGAGAGTTGCTATGCCGAGGGCGCGGAGGGCGACGAGGAAGGAGAGCTCGATGGTGACGAGGAGAGTGACTATGAATACGACGACGAAGGAGACGAGGAGGTAAGTGAGGAGGGTGAGTTCGACGACGACACAGAGGAAGAGATCATGCCGCAAGTGCCGGGCGCTTTTGGTCCCGAACGACCGCCTGCTATGAATGGTCATCGCTAGGAGGAGGACGTATCAGAGCAGCAGGTGACGGGGACCAATCAGGCTTTCCAAGACATAGTCCGATGGTTTGGCGATTTACGGAACTCACTCCGTCAAGCTCTAATGTCGAGGCGACCATCGCCACCACCGCCGCGACGACGCTAGTCATATTGTCAACTGGCCTAAATGCTGGGGGGGACCGTCCTCCCGTATGATGCCATGCCTTCTCTTTCACGGACGCCCAGCCTTCGGAACTTACCCCTATGTTTCGAGGGTTGGGTCGTTTGCCAGGAAGAACCGCGAACTGTTGGTCATTGATTTCTTGCAGAATAGATGGCCCCGTTGGTTGCGTTGGTCTATGGGACAAGCAACTTGGTTTTCGGTTGTCGCTGGAGCGAGTATCGTTCCTTGCTAGTGGTACATTGTAGCAATAAATGCGAATTGATACTTCTCTCGATGTGTGAGTCGATTGTTCATCGTCAAAAAAGGTATGATAATGTTCGTGACATGTAGCTTTTCATTTCATTTGGTTTCTCTGGGTATCTACCATTATGTCCATTCTATCTCGACGCCGATGCTGATGCCATTCCCGGCGTCTGCGGCTGGGTAGTTCTACCCCGGATTCTGGCAGGGCCTAAACCTTGCCTTATCTCATCCAACTCAGCCGTACCACCCTCCCACTTGCCCTTCCTTACGTGCTTCTTGCCACGCATGGAATACCCTCCTAGGAAATCATCCAGGATGTTGTCAAAGTCGTTCCTCACCGGTCCTGTCACACTAGACACGCTCGAGATCTGCGACATGGAGGCAGCGTCGTCTCCGTCCTCGAAGTCATCCTCGTTGTACTGCTCCTCGATCTTCTCAAAGCGCGCGTCGAGAATACCGAGCTGCTCTGTGCGCACGAGAGATGACGAGGTCATCGAGTAGCCCGACTGGCTCGTCAGAGCGCCCTTACGCTTCTTTCGTCGCCCGCCGTTCGTGGTTGTGGTCATGAGCGAGGACTGTAACTCCGAAGGCGCACCGAACTGCTTCGCCGCAGGCTTGGACTGGTCCTTCTTGAACTTCTTGAAGTCCTCTAGCCAGTCACCGTTCTCCCCAGCGGAGACCAGGTCTGGCGCTTCAGAGGAGTCTTTGAATTCTTTGGTCGGCTTGGCCGTATCGTCAGACTCCCAGCCGTCTTCATCCTCGAAATCTATATCATCTAGTTCCTGCCCATCCTTCGCCAACTCGGCGAAGACATCCTCGTCGTCATCAACGTACGCCTCGTCTTCAAGCGCCTCAAGCACCTCCCGCAGTCGCGGATCCATGTCTGGCTGGAAGCCGCCGATGGCATCGGGGACGTTCTGCTGCGCCTGGTACGTCAGGTGCTGCAGGTTCTTCGAGGGCAGGAAGTCGTCGCCGAACAGGTCATCCCGCTTGCGCTCCTCATCCTCGACATCTAAGCGGCGCAGCGCATCTTCTAGACTCTGCTTCTGCTTTCCCTTTCCCTTGTTCTTGCTTCCGCTATCGGCTTCGATGAATACGACTTCGCCGGCGCCGTTGCCGGAGTCGAGGTCGCGCATGTGTTGCATGTAGTCGTATTCGCTGTCGTCGAAGTAGATGCCATGGTTAGCGGCCTCGCCTTCGTTCGCGCGGACGCGCTCTGCGTCCGTTCCTAGCTCCGATGCGAGGTCGTCGAGTTTGCGGACTTTGGAGGCGTTGGGGAGGGCGGTTGGGTTGAGTACCATGGATGGCGCTTCGGTGTCGTGGATTAGAGGGTCATTTTGTGGACGGTGCACCAGCGTGAAGTGCTGGGCTGTCTTCTTGTCGCTGTCGGGATTGTTAGAGTGAATCGTAGGGTGTGTATTGAATTAGTCATTTGTTTTCACTTACATCCACTTGCCTTTAGGCATCTTGATTGTTGTGTATCGTCTCGGGTCTATTTATTGTTTGCGAAGAAATAAAATGAGTGAATCTCTGGAAATTGTTTTGTTGTCATGAGAAAGAAACGGGCATCAGAGTTTGGTGTTCGTTGCCCATTTACTTCCAAGTTCTCGGTCGCATCTAAAAATTTGGTGGGGTATTGGAATTTCTTATCTTATCAGTGATGGAGTGACGCAGAAAAAATATGGAGGGGCAACTTAATTATTCAGCGGGACAATCTGAATAATAGACAATGGGTTTGGAAGCGACGCCCCAATTTCGATTCATAAAGATTAAAATTCATGAAAAGTGCATTTCATGAATTACGTCTTCTTACAACTTCATTCTATTTGGATCAATAAATCATAAGTGCCCAACATGCCTCTAGCAAAGTCCAAAACGTCTGTTGGACTGGGCAATTCGCTCATGAACGATCGTTTTGGTAAAGGCAAAGGATCTGATCGCAAAAAGGGTGCTGCAGTCACAAGAATCAACCACTCAACCGGTGAAGAGGTATAATCTATTAAATCATCTATAATTTAAATCTAATCAAATCACTCACATATACATCTTACAGTATATCACCAACGATAGAAAAGAAGCAGCATGGGTCAAGATGCGCTCCGTAACGGAGCAAGGCGCTCTAGACGAATTTCTTGCGACGGCAGAGCTTGCCGGTACCGATTTCACGGCCGAGAAGATGAACAACGTCAAGATCATACATACCGACCAAAGAAACCCGTACCTATTATCAGCGACCGAAGAGCGCGGTGTCTTAGGGAAACATGCCAAACACAGAGGCAAGTTAACGGTGCCGAGGCGACCGAAGTGGGATTCTTCAACTACAGCGGATGAACTTGATCAGCTCGAAAGAGAGAGTTTCTTGAACTGGCGAAGAGGACTCGCAGAGTTGCAGGAGCACAACGATCTCTTGATGACACCCTTTGAGCGCAATCTGGAAGTATGGCGACAACTATGGCGTGTCATTGAGAGATCAGACTTGGTTGTTCAAATTGTCGATGCGCGCAACCCCCTGATGTTCCGATCCGAAGATCTCGAATCATACGTGAAGGATGTGAACCCAGCGAAGAAGAATCTCTTACTGGTTAACAAGGCGGATATGATGACGACGAATCAGAGAAAGGCTTGGGCGACATACTTCAAAGAGAAGCGCATAGCCTATCGTTTCTTCTCGGCCAGTCTAGCAAAGCAATTAATCGACGAACGCGATCTAGAAGATGAGCAAGAGGAACCTTTGGTTGGCCAGAGCTCGAATCCAAAAACCATTCAGAGATCTAAGGCGGATAGCGCTCCAGAAGACGAAAGTGACGAAGATGAAGACGAAGACGAAGAGGACTCTGGTGTAGCCTTAACTCGGGACTCCGACGACGATACAAGAATATTGACAGTTGAGGAGCTAGAGGACATATTCCTCAAGCATGCATATGACCCTGATGGTACGTTACTTTCATGTCCACAATATGAGCACAAGTAGCTTACAATTAGCAGACCCAGACAAGAAGTTACAAATTGGGTTAGTTGGTTATCCCAACGTCGGTAAATCGTCAACAATCAATGCCCTCATCGGCGCCAAGAAAGTGTCTGTTTCCGCTACACCTGGTAAAACGAAGCATTTTCAAACTATTCACTTAAGCGACAAGGTTATCTTATGCGATTGTCCCGGTCTCGTATTCCCCAATTTTGCAACCACAAAAGCAGATCTCGTATGTAATGGCGTCTTGCCAATTGATCAACTCCGAGAATTCACGGGTCCCGCAGCTCTAGTTGCACACAGAATTCCTCAACCATTCTTAGAGGCCATATATGGTATCCACATCAAGACAAGACCATTGGAAGAAGGTGGAACAGGATTCCCCACCGCAAGTGAGCTCTTGGCAGCCTATGCCAGAGCTCGAGGCTTTGCCACCCAGGGTGTGGGACAGCCAGACGAATCACGAGCTGCCAGAGTTATACTCAAGGATTACGTGAACGGCAAGCTCTTATACGTCGAGCCCCCACCTAATGGTGGTGATGGTGCGGATTTCAACCGCGAGCTATACGATGCAGAGCATCTACCAGAAAAGCGCAAAGCAGCCCTGCTCGCGGCTATGGATGCCTTAGATGTAGGTGACGGCGAGTCGACGGTCGACACCGAAATGCTAGCCCTGCCAACGGGTGTTAAGTCAGCAAAACTCGACAAGGCTTTCTTTGCGCGTCAGGGGAATTCGGGACATATGAGAATGCCATTTAGCCATAAGTATACAGAGCAAGGAAAGGCACAGGCACAGGCACAGGCACAAGCCAAGCATCTTAGTGGACGAAAGGCCAGAGCTATGATTGCGTTAGAAACGGGTGTTGATCCTAAAGATGTTCAGCTCGGTTCTAGTAAGAAGCACTTTAAGGGTGGAATTAAGGGGAAGGGAAAGAGAGTTGACAATAAGATGCTCAACGAAGACTGAGAAGATTGGGAGTAAAGCTTCATCGACCGAGAAAATGGGGTGAAGGGAAAACACTATGAAGACATGATGATATATCTAAGTCGTTGCTGCCACATGGACTCGATTGGCACTTCAATGGCTATTCGCATCAATATAAGAAACGTGGTGATGACTACTTGTGCAGAGTCCACAAATCCTCCTGTTGATGAATCCGAACTACTCCCCAGAATGACTCAACTTCTGATATCGAACCAACATGCCCAATGCACGAATTAATGTATATAAGTAAAATTAACCAGTGATCTTTAGCCAAAGAGAAACACAACTAGCATAAAAGAGCAGGGTCATGTCGGTGCGGTTTGGCGATGATCCTCTGATATCGAATAATCGTCGTTCAGAGTATCAATCGGTAAGCACTAGGGTTCGATTCCCTAGATGATCAATTCAACCTTTTTCTTTTCCCACACAGTATCATTTTTGAAAATTTCAAAGCCGATCGAGTCTTTTATTTGTTCACACAATCACGGTCGACGATGGTGTGCATGCTGTCAGAATCACATTTCATTCTTCAACATCGAATATAATTTGCGTCCAGGATTCGTATCCATACCTATCTAGTCTCTCCTTTAGACAAAACGAAATACTCCAAACAAATAATTATCAGTCTTACTCATTGTAATACGGGTGACCATTGACACGCATGATAATAACTAAAAATGATGCATTATTTCGCCAGTGGTTATTAACGGCTTTAATGTTAGGAGGAAGGATGCCAGCCAGTAGAAGCTATCCGACATATCTTCATGCATCTATTTCTATATTCAGCTTCATGTAACTATTGCTAGCTCAGTTTCAATCCAACAATAAGCTTACAAAAGACCATTTCCTGTCCCAGATAGGACAATGAGGTAGTTAATTCTCATGCTGTATCACTTTCATACAGACAGACAAGATACATGCTAGACATGATGACTCTATTTCCCCAAATAATTCACATGTTAGATACCTACCTACGTATATTCAAGTTTAGGGAAAATTGATATCTGGAAGTTTCCGATGTCTCATTCTCACAAACACACCGTTCCAGCGACGAGCATCATACTCGTGGTGAAGCTAACAACCTGCATTTATTACGATCAACCAAGATATCCTGTATTCTCATCTCGATTTGCAAATAGTACGTCCTAGGTACGAAGTAATAATCGTCTTAGCCAGTCCTAGATTTTGTCCGATCATCTAGCATAGTTGCACACTAGAGGGGAAAAAGCGAGTGGGTTTCTTTAGCATGAAACGTGCGACTAGACCCATAGGGCCGAAGAAAGTGGCGTCATCATACTTCACGATACTAACAAAACGGGATTTTTCAAAAGCATCGTTTTCAACCGTTTTCAATTTTTCTGCTCCCCTCCTCCCCCGACCCCTCCTGTAACCCACAACCCACTTTCCATGGACCCTACGTCGTGAACCGAACCCGAACCACACCACCCGTTTCGCAGGGCTTATGCACAACATTTGCAAGTCCCGGCTATGCTCGAATTTCCAGCCCCAACGCCTGGCCTAGCGTCACCTGTTCTTGTAGACCTGCGGGAGCCGCGTCTTCCCAGCTAAATCTAAATTAACAAGGCAGAGGGCCGTCTGGGATCGTAGATTTCGGCAAAAGCCTGGTCCTTCCCGAGATCACCCGATTGTGTTAATTCAGATCGACTCTGGAACCGGGTTACGAGTTGAGGAGGTTGGCTTGTATACCTAATCCACGGATGCATGGTGGTGAAGCTTGTTTAGTACCTAATACCTCGCCTTAATGCTTCGCCGATGCGCAATAAACTTCAGCCTTCCTAGTCCGTCTCTACGTTGGAAGGTTAATGCTGAGTCTGAACACCTTAATTGAACCACATTACGAGTAGAGCTGCATCGTCGAAGAAAACATATCGACGCATGGGTGCAGGGCTAAGGTGAGTCCCGGTCTTGGCCTACCCGGCTCCCGCAGCCTCGCAAACAATAAGGTCTCAGTGCCAAAAACACGCCGGGCAGAGACTCACCAGCGAGACATCATAGACCCCTCTAGTTCGTGTTGCGAGAAGTATATAGCATGTATAGAATCTAGCCCTACGTAGCGCCAGCAAACCAACAAACATTCACACACAAAAGAAAAAAGAAAATCGTACTAGCTTACACAAGATTATATGTTTCCGATCTCGCTCCACCACATCATAATCCAATTCATCCGCACGCAGCGGGAGCAAGCCTTGTCGTCGACAATGCCAGTCGAGACCACGATATCGACGCCCCTGCCGGGCGGGGTCGACCCGGAGGCCGTGGTGGCACTGCTGCACAACCACGAGGCGTACATCCGGACGACGTGCCCGCAGCTGATCTCGTACGCGCGGGTATCGGGGCCGTCGCCAGCGGGTCTAGGCGAGCCGGTCCTATTCGAGGTCGTGGACCGGCGGCCGACGGGGCAGACGACGTATAAAATGACGTTGACGAACCACGCGGAAGGCATCGACTCCCTGGTCGACGGCAAAGCGCCGACGGGAACGATGGCCGTGCGCGCGCGGTGGCGGGTCAGGGGCGAGACCGGGCTGCTGGAGGAAGAGATCGAGATCGATAGTAATATGATCACGAAGAAGATGGTCAAGGGCAACATCGAGAAGGGCCACCCGGAGCACCATCGGACATTTCTGGCGGAGGCGGCAGCTAGGGCTTAGAGGAAATGGGGCGAGGACGGGAAGGACGGGAAGTGGGTTTTTGTGATACATACATGAGTGATGCTGAAGCTTACAAGGGAGTGAATTTTTGAGGGTCGGCGCACGTGGGAATTGGGTCTGGTGGGATTTTATGAGTACATAAATATGGATGTCACGATCTTCCCAGGGATGAGGAAAAAAAAGAAAGTAGAACGACGAGCAAATCTATTCGTTAACGTGGAATTCATCGTGGACCCCCTCGGGAAATAAAAATAACCCCACGCGTTCCCTCTATCTACCTACCTAGGTAGGTAGGGACCCCTTTTTTAATTCGCCAACGCCCAAAAACCCAAAACTCGTGGATATCTAGACGTCATGCTACCATGCCACAAGCACGTAGCCTCTTCGCAGAGGCTGACGGGGAAAATCTACTCGCTCGCTCAACCATGCCATTTTATGGCGCCATGACCTCGTATGTTTCCTGTTGAGCAATTACCTCACTGCTCAACTTTGCATTGTGCATTTATACAGAAACGCCGCCAACCTTGGTCTCCTCGGGCCAGACGTCATATCCGAAGGTATCCTTCATGTTAACGAAGCGCGTATGTCTTCCCTTGGCAACCGCGTTAACAGCCTCGAAATCGGCGTCCGAGAGCTGCGGGACATCGAAATTGCTCTCGATGCGCGATGGCGTCGAGCTCTTAGGCAATACTACGTATCCGCGGCGGACTCCCCAAGCCAGCAAGATTTGTGCAAGGGTATGGCCACTGCGGTCGGCGACCTCATTAAGTGTTTTGTTTGTTCGAACCTTCTCGCCTGTGTTAGGCACTTGGTCCTGTGAACCTAAAGGCGAGTACGCCGAAGGTAGAATGTCGTTCTGCAGACAGTACTCGACCAGTTCCTGATTGGGTAGGAAAGGGTGGATCTCGATCTGATTGACTGTTGGCTTGACCTTGGCAAAGCTTAGCAATTGCTTGAGGCCAGCAACAGTCCAGTTGGATACGCCAATGGCGCGGGCCTTCTTAGATTCATAGAGTTCCTCCATAGCACGCCACGTCGGCTCAGGGTTTTCAGTCAAACCCTTCTTGATGACATAGTAACCGTCAGCCCCAATCTTGGGTAGATGGTCGTCGTTGCTCTCCGCAGCGATGGGCCAGTGGACCAGAAATAGGTCAATGTAGTCAAGGCCGAAGTTCTGGAGCGAGTTCTCCAGCGACCACTTTACCTCATCCGGCTCGTGCAGGTGATTCCACACCTTAGTGCAGATGAAGATATCTTCACGCTTCACAGACGGATTCTTCTCTAGAAAAGCGCGGAGAGCCTCGCCGACTTCGGCCTCGTTCTTGTAGAACCAGGCACAGTCCAGGTGTCTGTAGCCAACCTCTAGGGCTTTGGTGACCGCCTTGAAAGTCTCGCCTTTGGCCCCTTCGTTGGCGAAGGTCCCAAATCCTAAGGCGGGGATCTTGACCCCATTGTTCAGGGTGAAGGTCTGCTTGTTCGTTGGTGTTGACATGTTGGCTGATAAGACTTGTGAGAAATGATTAGATCGAATAGATCGTACGTTTAATTGCGTCAGGAAGAAAGAGATAAGAGAGGCCTGCTGGTTTGCTGTTCTGGTGAAAGTCTCAGGTGGATGTGGTAAAGCCCGCAAAACGGCCGGCTATAGCTTAGAATTAGTAAGTTACGGGGTTCCTTTAAGGCAGACAGGGCAGGCCATGAAGCTGCACCATTGCATCATCCTCAACAAGATTATCTCTCCTGACTCAGCAAAAGTGGGAAAAGTTTTCGGATTGACGAAGCTGCGAACGGCGTGCGCCGTCGGTTTCACCATAACCGTTGACAGGCACTTGGCTTGACAGGCTTGATCAGCTATCGCGGGCTCCAGTTGTTTGCAGCGACAGTTGGCCGCTTTGCAGACTTGTCAAGCTTGTCAGGCTTGTCAGCGTAGCTAACCAGCCGATTTCCCCCCTTACCTTCGATTTACTGGTATTGATACACGCATATACGTACCGATTCGTATCCATCATGACATGTGAAGTGGATACGTCAAGGTTATAAAAGGATAAAAAAATGATAAAAAGATAAAAAGATCAAAAAAATAACTGGGTTCTTATGCAATGCAGACTGCCAGTTTCTGCCCGTTTACTCCTACCTATTCCGACGTTCCAAGTAGTTTTTTACGGGTCGGTTTTAATCGGTGAGCTTTCGTACCATGTACTATGGTATGTAGGTTTCGATGAAAAGGAAGATCCCATCCGTCTAGAGGGCGGTCAAGGGTGTTGGCCCTATGGGAGAAATTAGTCGGCGTTTGTGGCGTCACCTATCAAATGGCAAAGCCGTCACATCGATATGGATAGATCTGTGACAAAAACCCGAAAAGGGAAAAGATATGAAGATGGATGGTAAGAGAACTGAGAGATTGCAGAATACATAGTAGTTGCATGATAATAGTGTGCAGAAAGGGTCCAGAATAGATGCTTGATTTCGCTTGGTTGCAGAAAGAGTTGGAGAGGTCTGAGAGTTGCAGAATTGAGGCGACCTGGGCGACGCAAGTTGCAGGCGCTAGAAAAACCCTGCAGCTGACTACCCCTTGTCAGCCCCCACTCTACCCCCACTTCGCTGCACATCCCGAGTCAGGGAACCAAAGGAAAGTTCGGGAAACCGCAGGGAAACAGCAGGGAGCGGATCTGTAGCGGGGCCACTAGGAGTCAAAGCGGATCTAAAGCGGAGCTTGGCGGACCCGGAATGATGTCAACAGAAGCATGACAGCGGATACGGGTACGTGGGCCGAGTGGGTCTTAAGGGTCGCCATAGTATCCCATAGTATCCAGATTAATATCCATATTGTATCCACGACGGTATCCACGAATGATCCATTTCGGGACGTTTTGCGGCTCCTTTTCGGACTGACAACTGGTTTTCGTTGGTCCGGTTGGCGACCTGTTTGCTGGACTTGCAGTTAATACCAAAGATACCATCCATACCACGAATAAAGTCCGGATCTGACTGATCTGATAGGCCCAGATTATCCATCAAACGTTCGGCATACCGTCTTCTATAGGTTGGAAACGTTTTCGCTAGCCAATCCAACCGTTTCATCGACTTACAAACTATGCAAGGGACCGTTCAGCGCCAGGCTCGCCAGGCTCCATCATCGCGGCGGATTACGGCTGATAGTAAAACTAATCGCTTCTTAGCAGGCTAGCAGCCCAGCAGCCTAGTAACTACCGGTACTGATAGTCTGGTTACGCATAGTGCTATGGTATGAGACTTCATCCTTTGGTCCTATGTGGTCCTCTGGGTCAACCGGTCAACCCGAGCCCGGTCAATCTGGTCAACCTTTGTGTCAGTTATGTGTTATGTACTACTCAGCCGAATGTATGAGGTATAGTTACATTAGCCGTGCATGAAGAGCCAGAATTTTACTTTTCGTCGTCATCAGAGTTTAATCTACAACCTGTACGGTGTAGCATACGGTACGGTACCTAGACAGGCATACAAGGAGACAGGGAGACAGGGAGATAGGCAGATGAGAAGGTCCTCGCGCGAGCCGATGACTAGATATAACGCGACCCTCCCGTCATAGTTAGCAGTAGTCTTTCCTCTTGATTCTACATAACAAACAATCTTCTCCTTCTACTCATCTCAATACCCATTATCAAGCAATTTTGAAGCATTTTGAAACTCCTTTTTGAAGAATCTATACCCCACCCCCTAAACTACATTCAAGATGCCTATGTTCGAAGACTACGACCTTGTCCAGGCTTCTGAGAAGCAGGTGAGGAAGGTGGCTTCCATGACCAACGCCAACGGCAATGGCAATGGAGCAGACCAAGCAGTAGAGCATCACTTAGGCCACGATTCACTAGCAATTCCCGGCGAGCACGATGACGGCCCGATCGAAGTTCCTGCCTCAAGATCATCTATCTCTGAGGCTGCTAAATACATGCACACTTTGAGCGCCACACCATCCATGAAGGAGAGACGAGGCTCTCGTAACTCCTTCGGTTCCACTCTCCCCATCCCCAGATCTAAGAGACAATCCCGTCTATCTTCGGTCCACTACCCCGATGGAGATGAGTCCCTTACCCGTCCCACGCGCCCGGGAATGCCCCCTGTCCAGGCTTCGCGTGCTATCTTAGCTTCACAAGTCCAGAGCGTTGAAGTCGAGAAGGTGAAGAAGGCCAAGAACATGGCATTCGCTTTCGATATCGACGGTGTCCTGGTCCACGGTGACCGTCTTATCCCCGAAGGCCGTCGTGCGCTCGAAATCCTAAACGGTGACAACGAGCTCGGTATCAAGATCCCCCACATCTTCCTGACAAACGGATCGGGAAAGCCTGAACAGGCTCGCTGCGACCAACTTGCCAAGATCTTACAAAACCCTGTCAACATCGAGCAATTCATTCAATCACATACCCCTATGAGTGCTCTCTCAGAATACTACAACACCGTTCTAGTCGTTGGTGGCGAAGGCTACAAATGCCGTGAAGTTGCTGAGAGATACGGCTTTAAGGACATCGTTGTCCCCAACGATATTGTTGCCTCCGACCCATCCATCGCCCCTTACCGGGTATTCACTGACGAAGAGCGAGCCTCCTCCCGACCGCGGGATTTCACAAAGGTTAACATTGAGGCTATCATGGTCTTCTCCGACTCTCGAGACTACGCTACAGACATGCAAATCATTATGGATCTCCTGCGCTCTGAGAACGGTCGCTTGGGAACTATGGCTAAGGACCCTGTTTCCCAGCGCATTCCTATCTACTTCTCCCAAGGTGACCTTTTGTGCCCCACTGAGCACTGGACACCCCGTATGTCTCAGGGCGCATTCCGTATCGGCCTTGAGGCCATGTACAGAGCTCTTACTGGTGCCGACCTCGAGCGTGTCGTCTACGGCAAGCCTGAGACTGCCACCTACAAGTACGCTGACGAGGTTCTCGCCTCGTGGATGGAGCAACTTCACGGCGAGGAGAAGTTACCTGAGAACATCTACATGATCGGTGATAACCCGGCGTCTGACATCATCGGTGGCAACATGTACGGTTGGAACACTTGCCTTGTCCGCACTGGTGTCTTCCAAGGCGGTGACAACGACGAGAACAACCCAGCCAACTTTGGTGTATTCCCCAACGTTCTCGAGGCCGTCCAAACTGCTCTACGGAAGCAGCTAGGCGACGACTTCAAGATGCACTTTGACGAGATGATCAACCCTGTTCTCCACGCAGACGCAGCTGATGCTGCCGCTGTCATAATATAATGACGGAACGATGAATATCTTTTGTTTTTTGGGAAGGGCGTTAAATGGGGGGAAACTTGACGAATTTTCTTGGATATTTAGGATTTTAACGACATCATATCATCAGCATTGACTAACCATCAAGCATGACAAACTTAGAGAGATTGGAAAGACTGACAACCTCCTGGAGAGACATTTAGAGATTTTTTCTTTTGGCAAATTCAACCACCTTCTTACGGCTTGTGTGGTTAGGCAATTGGTGCTTGTTTTTCTTGTGCCTTCCTTCGATTACGCCATCGTCAACGACTTTTGCAGCTACGAGTGTCATTGTTGCCAACAGATTAACTTCACAGTGCATGATTCGAAAGGCGACTCGTTTATACGGACCTGGTGTTTTGTTTGATTTGCATTATTACAGCTGACTTGGCAGACCGAAGACCATTCCAAACCCCGAAGCACCACTATTTCTAACCTTTTCTCAGAAACAACAGTATTTCGTAGTTTGATGTTATCAGCCGTGATAACATCATTGTTGATATGTGACATAAAGGGCCGTAAACATAGATTAACTGACCATAATAGTAACCTTGCCGCTGTTGGCTATTAATAAAAATAATTGTAACCCTCAACTATTTGTCAATGTAACTATGGTCTTATGCGAGTGAAACGCCACGATGATATAAGAATGAATTGTCACATTTTGTAGTTGTAGAAGGTGTAGACTTGTAGTTGTAAAGTTGTACAGTAGTAGTTACTAATCTCTGGTATTTCATTGGTGAAGTCTAAAAAAACACGAGTTTGAGGCAATACTAGCCGAGATAAGAGAATGCAGGTGAGTTCCTGACCAATCATCTTCAACAAGGAAAAAGGGGGGACTAGTCCCAGAAAATAAGCTCAAAATGCGACACCGGACTTGACACTAACCTGGTTCGGCAACCATCTCATTTAACGAAATCTTACGAGGCGCATCGCGTGTCGGTCGCTCTTTTTTTTCAGCTTCACATTCTTTTTATTAAACTAATTGTCTCAATTGATGCCGGCCGCTTGCCAGAGCTAGCTACCCGCCGCCGCCGCAAAGGCGCGCAGCCGCTCATTATACCGCCGTCGCTCATTTTACCCATTATTAATAATAATAAAAAATAATAGATAATTTCGTCATTCCTTACATACTGTGTGTGTTGTGCATACTGCTGCACTGACGCACCTACGTCAGACTACCTATGCGCCGCATAACGGCGCTTACGCTGACCCTCGGGGTGGTAGGGTCGCGCGTCGCAGCCGATGACGGCGCCGTCTGGGCAACGCCGCACGACAGCTACTCCTCGTCGATCGGCGTGCTCGGGTGCAAGGTGAACACGAACCGGATCGCGTACTGGCCCGGTTCGGTCGACTGCACCAACATCTGCGTGTCGCTCTCGTACGGCGGGCGGACGGTCCACCTGCTGCGCGTGGACCAGTCGCAGGGCGCCCACGACGTCAGCTACGACGCCTGGAACTACCTGTACACCGGGTACTCGGCAACGGAAAAACCGACGGCGGGGGGTGCCGTGGCGATGGAATTCGCAGACGTCGACGCGTCCCAGTGCGCGGACCTGATCCACACCGACGACGGCAAGCTCCCGCTTAGCGCGGCCAACAGCATGAACTTCCTCGCTAGCTGCCTCGCCCAACCCGACAGCTGGGTCGCGAAGAACTACGTCCTATACAACATCCTCGACTCCACCTGCTTCTGGGGCCACGACGAGGTCTGCAACCTAGACTGGCCCGCCGCGAACCAGGCCAGCTGCCCTAGCGCCCTGGGCGACCCGGCGACTTTGACGTCCGCGCCCGTGTACAATATCAGGTACCCCTCTGGCCAGACTGTGGTGGCGTCTTCGGGAGTTGTTGTTCCCGCGCAGGACGACGCTAAGAATGAGAGTGCCGGGTGGCTTGGGAAACAGCCTGGTTTGGTTGGGTTGGTTCTGGCGATGACGTTTTCGGTCGCGAGCGCGAATATACATTTTTGATGGTGGTGGTCATGTGATTCGACCTAGCCTATGGGACTATGGACGGATGCGTGCTTCTGTGCAGATTGGTGGCTGGTTGCTGTGGGGGATGGGGGATACCTGTATTCCATGGTTTTGTTGTTACGATTGGAACATCGGGTGCTTGGAGAGAGGGGAGTTGGAGTTGGTCCTGCATCGCATCGAATGTGTATTACAAAGAGATACCCTGTTGATTTATGGCGACCACTTACATATAATGCGTTCTACTAATATGGTACGCATAGTATATTTCACATATACTTCACATATACTTCCAACCTTTCATCTACCTTGGTACCTAGTCTTCAAGCATAGGTAGGTAGGTACATACTTGATATTCCTGTCATGTTAGAGAGGGAATGATCGACCGTGGGGGAACTCCGAAGCTCTAAGTTGTGGATGTAGATTATATAATCTGGATTTTAAGTCAACTTCGCCGGTCTTTTCCACTCGTAAATCCAATATCAATATCGATATGACACTTCTACAAGACTAGGTACACACTACATGAATGTTAGATAGAGCCTGCTGCTAACGCATAGTATATGACCTCATCAATCGACCGTGATTGCGTGCATGCATTCATGATTGGACACTGTGCTGCAAATTCCGGTGACAACACCTGCGTCCATGCAGTGTCTCAGCCTGCTTGACGAAACTAGACTGGGCTGAGTTGCTGGTGCAGCTAAATGATAGCAATCGGCGGGTTTCCCTTCTTGGTATCATCAGCAAACCAAGCCTTCCTCGAAACAGGATTAGTGGATGTCATTCATACATTGTGCTTCGTCGGTAGTAGAAAGCTTACTTCTATAGAGAGAGATTTTAATCTTCAGGCGCTAAAGCTGATGGCATTCTAGTGCGTATACTCATTTGGGTCAAAGACTGAAAAAGCTCCAGCTCGTTCGACGGCACGGCAAGATGCGTGACTCTATACTCGCGCCACATCTGTCTTGTACGGGGAGACTCTGCATCGGAAAACACCTTGCTTAAAACTGATTTTCAGCCCCCACTTTCAACTTGTGATAAAGTGTAATACATCGACTTACATATCACCAGAGAACGTCGCTTTGCCACCAGTCGTAATAATCATTGCTGGACGCGCAATATCGGCAAGGACCTCACTAATCGCGATCGACGCGAAGGCTGTGAATACAAGGGTATTCTCATCGACTTCTGCGAAGCCGCCTGCCCCACACTTGCCTACAATTTCGAAGCCATTTTCGCTGAGGATCTCGTTTGTCTCTTCGCGATAAGCCGGGTCTTGAGCTTTAAGTTCGATAGAGGACCTCGTATGGAAACGTGCCACCTTTGCCATTGTTAAAGCCATAGCATGCTGCAACAGACTTTCTTCGACGTCGCTTGTTTCCGAGGCCTGTTGTCCCTTTTTGCGCCTATCGTTCATTTCAAATTCACCAGTTTTGGTGACCATATCACCAAGAGCAAAACATACAACTTTTGTTATCTTTAGCTTACTGATACACAGTAGCCATTGGAGCTGTGCTCTGAGCAGGTCGCAAGTGACGCTATCAGTCCACAATTGTCGCTTTGTTTCGAAAAGCGATTTGCTATCCTCTATCACCTCTTCATACCTCGGGATAGTCTGGTTTCTCCATTCTAGTAGATAAGAGCAGAGATATGTTTCTGGAGGGCCATCTGGTTTGATTCTTACAAGCCGCCAGTATCCTTGGGTTTTGAGACGTGGGGTCCTAAAAGGCAAGTCAGACCAGCCGCATGTAAATATGAGAAGTGGAGGAAAGATCCTAGGTACCAAATGGGATTTTTAATCCTATACATTGGGTTCTTTATACGGGCTACGACGCCATCAATACGCCGCACTGTGAAATATTCCGTCTCGAAGGACCGTGCCAGTTGTGCCTCGATATCTACCAAGTCTTCCTTTCTCCAGAGCTTAACTCCTGCTTCATACAGATCCGAGGCGCATTGGCTGCTAAGTATCCATGGTGAGCATCCGTAATTGAGTTCTGGTGATGGCTCTTGGCTGGAAAAGGAATTTGAAGATTTGCTTGGCTCAATATAATTATCTTTATTAGCCATGATGTCCTCACAATGATTATTCTCGCGGTTCGTGGATATGCGCTGCAGATGCACTAATATGAATGAGGGGGAGAAGAGGGGGATAAACAACAAACGGGCTAACGCTTTAAAGATATAAGCGGAGAGAAAGGGCAGAAATTAAGATATGTTGTTGGTTATTATCACAAAGCCTGGAAACCCGCGCATCGGCACGATGAGTCACCAGATACAGTCCGAGGTCGTGCTTGATATCGGAATTCCGCCTATGCACTTTCTTTAGAAGAATACTTGATGGATTTTTATAAATGGAGAAACCACTCATCCCTTCTCGACTTTATTTCAAACACTCCAAACTTGAAACATGGTCTTTTGAGGAGATCATTCATTAGAAATGCATTATTTACAAATACTAGGTAAACATGCCAAAGTTCTTCTGCAAGTCTCATCTAGCTATAAGAGGCTTCTTGACTAGTCACTCCCTAGTTCCTGTTAAGCATAACGACAGTTCAACATGTAGGAGTAAACTTGGCTTAGAACTAATCTTGCTGGATTCAATTTGAATGATAATTATCATTGTTGGTTGAGAGTTTTCTTGATATGGCTTTTATTTCTCTTCATTTTCAAGTCTATGGTGTTTGGTCTGTGAGTTCATTTAATACAAGACTGAAATATCTACCTAGTATGGGTTATAGGAATCACGAATAAATGTACTTTGGGGTAGGCGATGATATAAGAAGTCTTCGTCACCTGGGAGTTCTAATCAAAAGGGGGTTAGGCCTTAATACAATTGCTACATGTTACCCCAGGTATTTAGTACCATCTGTAAGGGAGCTTCTGATTAGGTAGGTACTATCTCTCACTTCAATTGGAAACCAAAAACTACCTACGTAGTATCAACACGGGCAGGTAGTTATGTATTTAACTAGATTTTCATTCTGCTCCACTTCTATAAGATAATGTAAAAGGGGTAAGAGGGATACCTAACCATGCTTGAGTAGGTGTAAGTAAGGTATCAATTAAATTCGCTATACAATATGCTATCACAAAACCACCATATGCCCTTTCTTAATGTTCGGATCTTCGATCCCTAACTCAAGCTAGACGAGCCTCCATCGTCTATCTACCTACCCAAGTAATGGTATCAGCGCTTTCGTTGTGTCCAAAATACTCGTCTCATACGGAATCCACTCCTGCCCCGTAGCCTCAACCGCCTTCTTCCCATCAAACGCCACATTCCCACTCGTCGAAGGATAATCCTCCTCATACCCCTCCCCAGGGGTCCCTTTCGATAACCCAAGCTCCGGCATATACTTGTTTAGGATGTCGGCCATGGCCTGCGAGCCGCCTGTCGCAGCCGCGCATAAGTAGCGCTGGCCGTCGGCGGCTACGGGGTTCAGGACGGTCCATAGGATCACGCGCGCTACGTCGCGCACGTCGATCGTGTTCTCGTAGATTAGGTTTGGGCCGGGGATCTGTTTGGTGCTGAGAAGGGAGAAGAGGTTCCCGAGGGAGAAGGGGAGTTGCGAGGGGCTGGTCCAGGGGGTCAGGGATGGGCCGATGAAGTAGCTGTGGTGTGTTGTGGGTTAGTGAAATATTTTTTATTTAAAGAAAAAGGGGGTGTAGTAGTGGGAAAAGGGGTGCGTACGTAGCTTGAAGGGTCGTCATACTAAACGAGGGCTTCTTCTCATCGTGAAACTTCCAGAATGCCCTTTCACCAACGGTCTTGCTTGCGCAGTAGGCGTGTAGACCACCTGCCTCGGAGCCTAGTTGCGCGATAGCCGGCTCCGAAGTCGTGTTCCAGTTCTTTTCCGAATAGACACCGGGCTCGGTAGGTACGTCGAAAATAGCAGCAGCAGATGACATTAATACCACAGTCTTTAGCTGTGAGCCAACTTTCGAAGCCGACTCCAATATCCCCATGGTACCGCTCATGTTCATACGAACTACTTCTGGTGGTGGTAGAATAAAGGTGTCTTTGACTGGTGAGGCAAGATGGATAATTGCGGAGCACCCTAAAATCGGTGCTATTCGTCAGCTTCTAATTCCCAATTTGTATCCCTCAAACGAAAACAGCGATAGCTATTTGTCCAGTTTGCCCCCCACAAGGTGAAGTTCGTACCAATTACGGCCTGGTCAAAGGCGCCGGGTATGGTCATATCGGGGATCTGTACGACTTCGGCCCCGCCCCCGTAGCCAAGTTTCAGCAGCGCTTTTTGGACTTCGGTGCCGGCGTCAAGATTTCGGACGGTGCCGCGTACATTGTACCCGGCCTTCAATGCCAACTCGGCAACCCGGCCGGCGAGGTAGCCGTTGAAGCCGGTGATGAGGATTGTTTCTTTCGGAGACATCTTTCCTCCTTTTTTCTCTGTTAAATTGATTAAAAATGATAGGCGTAATATCGACGCAAACCCAGCTCGCTATCGATGATGTGTTCGTTCACGTGCTTGTGCTTGTGTTTGTGCTCGTTCTCGTGCTCGGCGAACAGAGAAGGACATTGGAAGAAAAGTGCATTGCAGCCATTTGTATTAATCGGTCTGGTCCAGTCATTCGAACACATCTCGGTAATGTTCTTTTGCAAGTTGGAACTTTTATCTCAATCGTAGCGGATTTCGGATTTCGATTAGATAGAGGATGTTTCCTCATGTTTGGTTTGATTAAAAGTTCACTTTCCGCCTCTCCTGAGCTAGGTATTTCCTTCTCTGCTATTAGTTGCGGCTGGATAACAAAAGGACAATGCATCACACCAGCAGAATTTGGGGGTAGGAAAGGGCAATGCAGCGCCGCAGCGGTCGGGACGTCGGTCCCTAGCAGGTAGCTAGAACCCCCCTTATTACCTGTTTCGGAAGCGAAAGTCGCTTCTAACTGGACAGTTTGTTCGATGCTTTGCTAAAGAACGGAAGAACATTTACTGGGTACTACTAGGTACTTCCTTATGGTAAAAAGCCCTATTATAATCCTGGCTTGCCGCTAAACTTTAACCTAGTCGGGTCTCGGTAACTGCCCTAACCCTTTTATTTTTATTTGGTGGGTTTTAATATAAGACAGCGAACGAGGTACGGTCCTTTTAACAAGCTGCGTTGTCGAACACCCTATCATAGCGTCTTCTTTTCAAAGTAACGATGCAGTCTTGGCCCCGGTGGAGTTGTTTTGAGTCGAATGTTCCCGAGGATCTGGCACTATGAAACGGTCATTGTTCATTATTGACCATACAAATCAAACCCTATTATATTCATCCTCGCGCCCTCGGTAAGACCATTATCATGTAGATCACGACGCATGATATTACCACATATCGCTTTATTCCCGCGTTTTAAAATCATCAACCATCACAACAACCAGCGAATTTAGCGAATAGACATTATAGACGTCTAAACTAATGTCCTTGGATAGGCAACCGAGCTTCATTTCGGTCGTCACGTTACATATCCGCCCCATCGTTTTAGCAGATACGCCAGACTAGCATAAGGGGTAGGAGCACGAAAATCGCATCTGAGTAGCGGAGAACAACACGGCACGTGCAGGGCGCAGAAGGCTTAATAAGTTACGGAAGTACCTTGCATTTTTCTGTCATGCTGATATCATATCATGCCAAAGCGGAGAGGTTCCATCAAGCAGATAGAAGGAGCCTCAGATTTGCATATAATCGCGGCTACACGGACAGTACGAGTAAGATATTGACTTGCTCAGCTGCTCAGTTCTTCTACCATACACCACCTCTATGCGAGTTGGAAGCGGTGTCCTTTTACATCGGTGAAGAGTCAATGTTCTACTGGTCGCATCCCCTCTCGTGGCGTCCCTTGCGTTGTATTGCAATAAACAAACGCTTTGATATTAATATTCTGTTTCATTCTGTTCAGGGTCGAGCCATATACTCCTTCCACGTGGTCAGCGGCGATACTCGCAAATTAACCGCCGTCATGCGGCCTCGCTCGGCCTACATCGTGATTCCTGTATTCCTTTTGGGGGCAGAGAATTTGTCAACATGATCGGAGTACATCTGACAGGCTTGTGCTCTCGGCACCTACTTCTTCTCAAGATGCATTCGAAGGATACATATTGTCAAGAAGAAGAGGGTTTCGTGCTCGTTTACAATAACAGGGTCTTGCCAAGCTGCTGACGACGACAGCTTCATTTCTGACATATATGCTTGGCCAATACCTAAACTGGTATTCAACTCGCGAAAAAAAACTTGTTGAGCCTGGAGGCAGTGTGTACTTTGTATGTACTCCGAATCGTCTCTAAACATTACGGTCCGCATTCCGGTGTCTCACCCGTCGGATCGATCAATTATCTCCGGTAGTTCGGAATGTTATACGGCACACCGGGGAGCGCATATGCATAAATAATCACACTCCGAATGACTTTACTGGTTCAAGGTAGGGAGTAGAAAAACACCCGGATTTACAGCTCTCATGCCGTCATCATTTCAAAGGTTTTGTATGAAAACTCACTAATTATATGTTACTTTTATTGTAGCAATAGTTCGTTGTATTTTATGTGACAAAATTGTTTCTACGGCTATTGGATCGAATAGTACCTACTAGGTATGCATCAAAGAAGAAGCTAGATTGGCGATTTGTCTTTCTTGTTTCATTATAAACCGACGAGAAGTATAAATGAAGCCGAGTCCTTTCCTTAAAATCTGCTTCTAATAGACATTATTTAATTGTGGTATTTGCCACCTAGGTAGAAACGAGCTGAACATTTTTAGTTTCGGTTACGGGATTAGAAATGAGTAACAGTCCTGACAGTCCGGGTAACGAAATTCCCAGTAGGGTTTCGCAGATGCACTCAATAACCTTACCGGGAGACGTATCCATGGATGCCTGCCTGTAAAAAATTCCTAGACGCCTCCAAATACCATAATGTGAATATTTCCCATCTCTCCATTTTCTTGGTTGTTCGTGTGAAGTAGACCTGACAGTAGAATATACAAAGACCTCTAACCTAGCTAGATCTTCTTCAGCTTACCAGTGAAATCACAGAGATCATGGTTCAAACACAACTGATATCTCAAGGTTCTCCACATGCGCGTAGTCTCATATTTTATCATTAATAGGCCTGCAATCTCAATGGGTTGAACCTCCCTCTGTAGGTCAAATTCTATAGTAAAATTCCAACTAATTATGCCAAGAACATGAACAGCTCTTTCAAGTACTAAGCTTCGGGTGATAATTCGTGCGCTTGGCTTGCTCGACGAAGGTTTTACTACATAGCCTATTTTTAGACTACCATGATTATAATAATATGATAACCATCTGGGCGTGGTCTAGATATCCCGATGTGAACCCCCAATTTCGAATAGGGGCTTTCGGTTACACGTTTAGGGGTTAATCGATTTACATGGTACTGGGCTTTTATCGAGGAATTCTAATTCGCTTACATGCGAACAATCCTAGAAAATCATTTGAACTAGTTATTATTTAACGTCTATTCAAATAATATACGATCTCCAGTAATTTATAAGGTTATAATTGTATTCTCCTTCATGGTATTTTGTGGCATTATTAACTATTGTTCTCCGCCGGGACAATCAGCAGTACCTACCGCCTACCAAGAATTAAGCTTTATTGTACAGTGCCCCACAACATCTAGTCCCGCGCATACCCGCTGCAAGTAATTGCCGATCTGATGCATTGAGCACGTAAACTCTATGCGCTGTTTCTGTTTGATCTCAACCTGGAAACAATTACAATTCATTTCCCCTTTGCTGTCTTGCGGCAATTAGACTTAGCCACTGACTTTTAGCGACTCTGAGTAAGTTGTAAGAATATTACCTAGTACTAGGTAAATCGGAATAATGACAGATTCCTCTCAACCCCTCCGAATCGGCTTCGTGCCAGAGCACTTCTCCACGCCACTTTACTTTGCCCAGAAATATTTTGGCCTTTCCGCTACATTGATCCCTTTCCCGTCCGGCACCGGGCATATGATCACAGCTATCCGGTCTGGCGAAATTGACATCGGCATCGGTCTGACAGAAGCATGGGTAGCAGGTCTGGGCAAGGAAGATACCCCTGGCGATGGTGGCTATCGAATTGTCGGGACCTACGTCGAGACGCCTCTTTGTATTGCGCCATAAAGCCCACTATATATCATAGATGAGACTTACTAATACGTATAGGCTGGGCAATTTCAACTGGTGCCAAGCGACCTGAAATTACATCTGTATCCTCACTCAAAGGATCTAAAATCGGGATTTCGCGCATCGGTTCTGGAAGCCAAGTGATGGGCTACGTGCTCGCGGACCAACAAGGATGGCTCACCCCGGGAAAGTCACCCTATGAAGATTTTGTGATATTACAGAACTTCGAGAATCTGAGGAATGCAGTCAACGATGGCAAGGCAGACTTTTTCATGTGGGAACACTTCACATCCAAGCGGTACTACGACAGTGGAGAGATACGCCGCGTGGGCGAGATCTACACCCCCTGGAGCAGCTGGAAGATCGTGGCGTCAACAGAACGGCTGTTGTCGGGACCGAGCGCGGATCAACGGCTATTGGACTTGTTCAAGAAGCTTGACGAGGGTGTGAAGTATTTTGGCGCGCATCAGGACGAGGCGGTTAAGTACATCAGTACTAATCTGGATTACTCGGAAGAGGATGCGAGAGAGTGGTTGAGCACTGTGAGGTTCGCTACTAAGACTGAAGGCGTTGACTTGAAAGTCATTCAGAGCTGCGTCGACATTCTACGTAAAGCGGGAGTCTTGGCTGAGGGTAAAGGCTTGCAGCCAGAGAGCATGCTCATAAAGGGTCTGGGCGCGCAATTTCCGGAATGAGACATACAGGAACTAGCTGTATCATACTGGAGATAAAGAATGAAATGTTTGAGATATTTTTAATCTATCTTTATTTCCGATTAATATTGTCTTGTCTTGTCTCGCTCTCCGTCCCCTATCTAGTACTCTTAAGATTTTCGCTAACATCCTACAAAGCTACCCCGAATCGCGATATCAACGTCATTTCCGCCCCGCATTATTGAGCTGAGCTCCCCACACGAAATTCTGCGCCGCAACCAAGCTTTGCTATCTTTCACAGCTTAAAATAAACAACTACCACCTAACAAAATCACCTCACCTTTTCCTCAGCGGCCTCGCGGCCTAGGCCGTTCCTCTAGACGCAGCAACTAAGCTCGAAACTCATCCAAACCCGTCTCCATCCTAAGAAGCCCCAGGAATAAATAAAGCCCTACGAAAAATGCCACCCACAACTCTCCTCTGGCGGCAGCACCTGCGCCTCTTCGCATCCGCAACACGCCCACACCCACGAACCTCCAAGACAACCACATTTCTACCCCTCCTCCCCCGCCCCCGCGCCCCGCGATCGCATCGTTTCCAATCCACCAAACCGCCTCCCCCTCCCCCCTCCCCCTCAGCCCGCAAAACCCAACGTCTCCACACGATCCTCGACCGCGCCGCTCGCTTCGTCCCTAAACGACTACACCCGTACCTCCACCGCCTGCGCACCGCGCCCTTCAGCCACGTGGCCGCGTTTCTCGTGCTGCACGAGATAACGGCTATCCTCCCGCTCTTCGGGCTCGTGTATGTGTTCCACAGCGCGGACTGGGTGCCCACGGCGTGGGTTTTGGGTCCGTGGGCGGCGTCGGCGGAGGAGGGGTTGCGGAGGTGGATGAGGTATTTTCGGAAAAAGGGGTGGTTTGGGCTCGGTGAGGAGGATGGGGAGGTGGATGGGGAGGAGATGTTGAGGGAGGAGGTTGAGCGGGAGAGGGAGAGAGGGAAGGAGGGGAGGGGTGGAGGATGGTTAGATAGGTGGAGGAAATGGGGGGATGGTGATGATGATATACCCGGGGATGGGAACAAGGAGCTTGGGGTTGGTTCTGGAGAGAGTAAGACTAAAACGGCGTGGCGGAAGGTGAAGAGCGTCGTTACGACGGATAATACGGAGAAGGGGTATAAAATAGGCGTTCAAATCGCTGCTGCCTACGCAATTACGAAAATGCTGCTTATACCTAGGCTAGCACTGAGTCTATGGGCGACGCCTTGGCTAGCAAGGGGATTTGTAGCCGCAAGACGCTCGGTGTGGAGGAAACGCAGTTAATCAACCACACTTATACACTCCTGGATATACCCGAAGAATATCACGAATTGATCAAAAATTCTCTGAATAGTTTTTTATTTGTTGCGGTTTGCACTATTTGCTTGACCTTGCCATGTAGTTTTGAACACTGTCTGAGCTAGTACGGCATCATATGGAACTTCGTAACCACGTATTTACTCGTAGATCCACTTGGCCTGGGCGTTCTCCCAGCTGACGACATCGCCCTCCTTGAACCAAAGAGCAATCTCCTTCTTGGCGTTCTCGACGCTGTCGGAGCCGTGGCAGACGTTGCGGCCGGTTTGGAGAGCGAAGTCACCCTATTCATGTTCTGTTAGGACAAATCGAAAGACGTGTGGGCTTCGAGGTGGTTACTTACACGGATGGTGCCAGGGGCAGAGGCAAGGGGGTTGGTGGCACCGAGGAGAGCTGTGAGGGCGTTGGTTAGTCTTATTATTGCCATAGAACGGTGATGTAAACGTACTTCGGCCAGTCTTGACGGCGTCAAGACCTTCCCAGACCATGGCGGCAATTGGGCCGCTGTTCATGTCTGTTCTCGGGTTAGCTATATCGAATAGGATAGTCGTTGACTCGTTGTCATGGTGACATACACTCAATTAGACCAGGGAAGAAAGCCTTGTCCTTGAGGTCAGCGTCTGTTACGACTGTGTTAGTTCATGGAGCCATTAGAGTTTGGTGGAGACAGAAATGACTTACAGTGCTGCTCGAGGTGGGCCTTGCCGGGGGTGACCAGCTTGATGGCAACAAGCTTGAAGCTATTCGACAAATTAGATTTAAGCACCAGAGGATGGGATGAAGTGGTTCTACTTACCCACGTCCCTCGAAGCGAGAGATGATGGCACCAACGAGGCCACGCTAGGGCAAGGGTTAGGACAGTATTTGAGAGCTTAAGCTTTACATGGAGTTTTAAATACCTGGACGCCGTCAGGCTTGATGGCAATGAAGCTGAACAATATGTTAGTTTTCTATATGCCATCGTGGTTGTGAAGATTGTTAAGGTTAAATAGTAGAATAAAAATTGTGTACTCACGTCTGCTCGGTAGTCGACATTTTGGATTCTTCCGTTTGCACCGGCTTTTCGGTAGGTTGGATGGGAGATTGAGTGACGGTAGTGGTGATAGTTAAGGTAGAAGGAGACTGGAATAGTGCTCTTCTGTAAATATTTATGTCGTGCTTAACACTTTGTCCGAATGTCCAACCTTGACGATCTAGCTGTGTCCAGGGGAAGAGGAAGAACAGAAAAAAAACCAGGCACAGGCTTGACAAGCTGAAGAAAAGATACTTCAAGGCGGGGTGATTGGCGGCATGGCGGGGTCCTGAAGGTCCATTGGGTCGTCGATTGGGCTTGACGTGGCTTTCAGAATTGTGGCGCCTTCCTCCACTGCCACCACCACCTTGAGGTCCACCTCCTCCTGGTGCAAATTGTTTAGGCACATTCTGTGGTTGTGGCTTATACATTTCGGTCATTAGGGTGTATGTCTTGGCTGTAAACGTTTCCCTTGAATCGAGAACTCAATGATTGAACACTGCCTATGTGTTTGTAAGAGTTTTGGTTATCGTGTATGGAAAATGATGCATAGGTAGGTAAGTAATGATTTCAATAATTATATGAGTTTTCGATTAATATTTTCAGTATTTCCAGAATATGGAACGTGAATGAGATATACAAGGAAACGAAAAAAATGTTGATTGTGTTGTTGTGACAATGGTGGCTAAGAGTCGTGATTGATCAAACGGAGAATAGCGAAGGGAATTATTCACAAATCAGAAGAGCCTCACTAATTACCTATGTTGCCATGCAGCCACGATGTAGTTCACGACAGGCTACGACCAGATGATGAACATTGGAGAGATTAACAACAAACTTGATAGATCCAATATTGAAATGGTTATCAGTCTTTACGTGTGGCTAGTAACAAATAGATCATCATTCATCGCGACTTAGTAGGAGCTCTATATTGATAGTGGATAATAGTGGGTATCGGGAATTGTGGCTCATAGGCTAAAATACTAGATTACCTAATTCAAGGGAAGCTTCAAGGTACAAGGTAGCTCGTATCTTTTGGACAGCTCGCATCTCGCACCAAGTTTAACCTTCCACAAAGAATAAGAACGATATATCCAATTGCTTGCAACCATGCGAAGCAATTGAGTGAAACCACTCATGATTTTATGTTTATCTCTCTCAATGATTTAGTTTTGTCACTATTTTGATTTTTCTCTCTATCATTGTTGACACTAATTATTCTAACGAAGGACACCGTGCCAAGGGGACCAACATGGCCGGTGCTGGTATGAGCCAGCTGTCCCCAAGATGGGCAGCTTTTTTATGCCTATTCGCTGTTCTATGTTCACTTTTTATGCCAGGAGGTAATATTTCCAATCGCTGACAAAACCCTTCAATTAAAGCTAATAGAAACTAGTTGCGGTGAAGGAAAATGATTTCAAGAAATGTGACCAGTCTGGCTTCTGCAAGAGAAATAGAGCTTATGCCGACAACGCTGTCGCTCTAGGGTCCGAATGGAAAGCACCCTACAAGATTCCTTCCGAGCTGGCCTCGTTCAAGGATGGCCAATTCCACGCTACGATTCTAAAAACTATCGACGAACAAGGAAATACCGTCCAACTTCCCATCACCGTATCTTTCTTGAAATCGGGTACGGCACGTGTTACGGTCGACGAGAAGAAGAGACAAGATAAGGACATTGAGATTAGGCATAATAGCGGGGCTAGAAAAGAGAGATACAACGAAGCTGAAAAATGGACGATTGTTGGTGGCTTGGATGTTGATACGGATGCTAAAATTTCTCATGAAGGTGAGACCGGCATCAAGATCCAATATGGCCCCAACCTAGCATTTGAAGCCGATATTACCTATGAGCCATACTCGATTGAATTCAAGCGAGATGGTGTCTCTCAGATCAGATTCAACGACCGTGGCTTAATAAATATGGAGCATTGGCGACCGAAGATCGAGAAGCCGGAGCCAGAAAAGAAAGAGGGTGAAGAAGGACAAGAGGAGAAGAAGGAAGAAATCATCGACGTACCTCCGTCGGAAGACGAAGGCACTTGGTGGGAAGAAACTTTTGGTGGTAATACCGATTCTAAGCCTCGTGGACCTGAGAGTGTTGCCCTTGATATCACTTTCTTGGGCTACGAGCACGTCTACGGAATTCCGGAACATGCTGGCCCCTTGTCACTGAAGGAGACTCGCGGCGGTGAGGGTAACTACGCGGAACCATACAGGTTATACAATGCCGATGTTTTCGAGTACATCTTGGACAGCCCAATGACTTTATATGGGGCTATTCCTTTTATGCAAGCTCAGCGAAAGGACTCGACTGTCGGTGTTTTCTGGCTAAATGCTGCCGAAACCTGGATCGACATCACCAAGGCCAAGGAATCCAAGAACCCCTTGGCGCTGGGAATTGGTGCCAAGACCAACACACAGACTCACTGGATCTCGGAGTCCGGCTTGATGGATGTATTCGTCTTCCTTGGTCCAACCCCTCGTGATATTACCAAGAGCTATGCTGAACTCACTGGCACCACTGCCCTTCCTCAGGAATTCTCTATTGGTTATCATCAATGCCGATGGAATTATGTCTCGGATGATGATGTCAAGGAGGTTGACCGTAAAATGGATCGGTACCATATCCCATACGATGTCATCTGGTTGGATATCGAATACACCGATGACAAGAAGTACTTTACTTGGGACAACGACATGTTCAAAGACCCCATCTCCATGGGTAAGCATTTAGATCAGCATGGAAGGAAGCTGGTCACGATCATTGATCCTCATATAAAGAATGCCGGAGGTTATCACGTGTCGGACGAACTTAAGTCGAAGGGCCTGGCCGTCAAGAATAAGGATGGTAATGACTTCGATGGTTGGTGCTGGCCTGGATCTTCGCATTGGATCGATGCTTTCAATCCAGCCGCCATCAAGTGGTGGTCGACTTTATTCAATTATGACAAGTTCAAGGGCACAATGGAGAACACTTTCATCTGGAACGACATGAATGAACCGTCCGTATTCAATGGACCGGAGGTCACTATGCCGAAGGACAATCTTCACCACGGCGGCTGGGAGCATCGAGACGTCCATAATGTCAACGGCATGACTTTCCACAATGCTACGTACGAGGCTATGCTGTCACGGAAGAAGGGTGAGCTGAAACGCCCATTCGTACTTACCCGATCCTTCTTTGCTGGCTCTCAACGTCTTGGTGCGATGTGGACTGGCGATAATCAGGCCAGCTGGGAACACCTCGGCGCTTCCGTTCCGATGATTCTCGCTCAAGGAATCTCTGGTTTCCCTTTCTCTGGTGCTGATGTTGGTGGTTTCTTTGGTAACCCAGAATTGGAACTTCAGAGTCGTTGGTACCAAGCCGGTGCCTTCTATCCTTTCTTCCGAGGACACGCTCATATTGATGCTCGGCGCCGTGAACCATTCCTCCTTGCGGAACCGTATCGATCTATTATTACGTCCGCTTTACGCCTCCGCTACAGCCTACTTCCCGCTTGGTATACCGCATTCTACCATGCTAACCAAGATGGTAGTCCTATCATCCGTCCTCTGTACTGGACACACCCGAGTGAGGAAGGTGGTTTCGACATTGATGACCAATTCTTTGTTGGATCGACGGGTCTTTTGGTAAAGCCGGTTGTGGAGAAGGACAAGCGTACTGTTGATATTTACATCCCAGATGACGAGGTCTATTATGACTACTTCAACTACAAAAAGCATGCGACAACTAAAGGCAAATACCTAACTGTCGATGCGCCCCTCGAGTCTATCCCCGTATTGATTCGCGGTGGACATATCATACCTCGTCGGGATACACCGCGTCGCTCTTCTCAGCTAATGAAATTCGATGACTATACCCTCGTTGTGGCAATTGGGAAGAATGGTCAAGCGGAAGGCGAGCTCTACGTTGACGATGGCGACTCCTTCGATTATGAAAATGGCCAATACATCCATCGCAAGTTCAAGTTGGAGGGTTCTACCCTTTCCTCTACTGACGCAGAAGGCCGCGACATCAAGAGCGTGAAGGAAGGGAAATGGTTGAAGCTCATGCACGGCGTATCCGTTGATAGAATCATTGTCATCGGCGCGCCTTCATCTTGGGCTAATAAGAAGGAAGTAGAAGTCGAGTCTGAGGGCAAGAAGACTTCGGTGCCGCTAGAGTACCACAATGCCGAGGGTGGCAGAGCTGCATATGCGACCATAAGGCGGGTCGCTGCTAGAATTGGCGCTGATTGGACGGTGTCTTTTGCTTAGATAGTGGAATATGAGTGGCGTACTTATTAAGGTGGATAGAGATGAATATGACTATGAATGACCATTTGAAAAAACATATTTGGTATGGGTCTTGGTGGGAGATCTAACAGTTGCATGTGCCAAGGTGTTACTATTCGGACTACCCCTCTTGTAACCCGAATCACGTGATACCCCATATGTCACACAAGAAGATACGCGAATCCTTTAACTGTTTGATGGAACGGATTTTAAAAGTTTGGCTAATTTACTATCTCCGATCACAGATAACAAGTTCTTAGGCAGGCCCATCTACCTGCTTCTCACTCTCGTCCAGAAGACCAAGAGCCTCACGTCTAGTCGGAGCCGAAGCATCGAAGTATGGCTTCTCGCCCAAAGTCGTCACACGCGTCCCGTGTCTGGGGTACTTCCCGCCGTAGTCCCAGCTCGCGTTGTGAATTGTAATTCTGCAGATACGTCTACGTTAGCAATCACATATGGTTATGGATTCTAAGCTGGCTTACCTGTTATCCCACAGCGCGCTGGTATTCGGCGTCCACCGGAACCGCACTTGGATATCGACATTCTTCTCATATACGTCGTACAAGTAGTTCAAGATCACATCGCTCTCCGCCTTGTCCAAACCTACGATCCGATCCGTCATCGCCCGATTCACCCACAGCGCCTTCCATCCCGTCGCAGGGTGCACGCGCACGATGGGGTGGACCCGCTCCACGTGCTTCGGCCCGGCTTCCGGGTTCGATCGGTCTAAATACGGGTGTGCGGATCGGTAGACCCCGAGCTTCCCGTCGATTATCTTCCGGAAGTCGGGCGACAGCTTCTCGTACGCGGAGTACCCGCTCGCCCATAACGTGTCCCCGCCTATAGGCGGGATCGTGTCGTTGTGCAGGTGCGTGATCCCCGCCGGCTGTAGCTCGTGCACTAGGTCCGTGTGCCATCGCGATGCCCCGCCCGGGTTCCGGAAGTTGGCGGCTCGCTCGGTCGCTTGTAGGTCTGGCCAGATTACGGTCACGCCGGGGTTTCCGGGGACTTGGGCGACTTGCGGCTGGTGTTCGGTGGGGTTAGTATGTGGGTGTTCTTCTGGTGAGGTGGGAGGATAGGGGTTGGTAGGACTTACGTGCACCTCTACCTCGCCGTAGTACTTGCCAAGCGCTAGCTGCTGCTGGGGCGAGAGATCCTGGTCCCTGAAGAAGACGACGCTCCGCTCTGCGATGAGAAGCGCTAGCTCGTCTTTCTGCTGGTCTGTGAGGTCCTTGAGCTGCAGGCCCTCGATCTCGGTTCCGATGTGTGCGGTTAGGTCCGTCACTTTGGTGGCTGCTGACAGGAGCGCTGACTTCGATTTATCGGCACGCGCTCCCGCTTCTTCGTGTTTCCACTCTTTATTTCGGATTTGGTAGACGTCGTCTAGGTATAGTGGCCTTGATGGTCGGTAAGGGTAGCCGTTAGAGAGGTCGACCCCGGCCTTCTTCAGGCGAAGGAGAGCCGGCTCAGGTAGGCCGAGGGTGTCTTTGCGAGGCTCCGCAAAATCCTTGATGCGTTCGTCAATTGGTGCTGGTGCCATTTTCACGATGTTTGTACGGCTATTTTTTCCGATTTTTTTACTTCAATTTTGGACGAAATTTTCAGGGGAAAATGAAGCTCTCTTCTAACTCCTCACCCACCACCTCAAGATGCCTACGACCTCCAATGGAATTATATACAGCGACATGAGCATTCAGTTGGAGAGTCCCTACCGTTGACCTCATTCTTGCAGAATTCGACGACAGGTCACTATCCATCTCCAAAGACACACTCGTCGAATGATGGGTTCGACGATTGGTAAGCTGTATCTGCTTCAATCCTATTAGCTGCTGTTGCACGACAGTGTCCTGCAGAATCTACCGATGAGTAAACAGTTCTCCGCGACTGATGGAGGTCGCGATTGGAGTTCCTTATCAATTCGCGATATTGGAGAAGGATGATGCAAGAAAGATCGCCTCTCAAATGCGGGTTGGGTGCATGATCCGGTGCTATTTGACGCGTTCTGTGGGGTGAGACATGGCGTCATGGTAGCTAGTATTGAGGTGATCACCACCTTGTCTGCCTCGGCCCTTCTACTTCTCTAGCTCCAAAGAACACACTTCTAGAACCCCACACTCATTATAGCTAAGTCATTGCATTGCATGAGTTGGAAGACAGCGTACATAATGTCTTGAGAATTTCTCCTTAACTGGCTAGGCATGTTATCCCATGACCCTGTCCGTGGTCGGGTTATACGTATGCTCAACCAAGCTTTGAGGCTTCCGGTCCCTGGAGAAGTAGCTGATTGATAATCTTACATCGTAGTCCTTTCTTGATGGAGAGATCTGGGTCGATATCGAGCAGGGGGTATCTATAATGCGACGCTACTCGAAAGACCTTCGTTCCTCGAAACGCGGCATAAATATTATTTTACGCGAAAAATAGCGGAAACAATCCTTGTATAGCTTCATGGAGAGACAAGCTCTTTTTAAGACAGTAATGTCCCATGTGGTTTCTGTTCGATTGTTTCCCTCAGGTTTCAAAGAGAGTTTGATTCCAGCAGAAAGAAATGGCGAATAAGGAGATCACAACCAAAGGCGCGGTCGATGTCGACGGTGAAGTCGCCGCTAAGAGCGTCGACCACAGCGATGCTGAATCGACGACACCCGTCGTTGCGAAACCGGAGCAGACTTGGAGATCGTATTTTTGGGATACGTTCGACAAATCACCTGAGGAGAGGAGGTTTCTGTTCAAGCTAGATGCGATTATCTTGACTTTCGCTTCGCTAGGATACTTCATCAAAAATCTCGACCAAATAAACATTAGCAGCGCCTTCGTATCCGGTATGAAAGAAGATCTTGGACTTTACGGCAACCAGCTCAATTATATGGTTACATGTTGGACGGTTGGATATGTTATCGGTGAAATCCCAAGGTATGACGAGTCGATTACCCCTTCAGCTCAATGTTATTAACAATAGCAGCAATATTTTACTCACCAAAATCCGGCCCTCCATTTGGATTCCAGCGTGTGAAGTCGTCTGGTCAGTCTTAACGATCTTGATCTCAAAGTGCCAGACGGCAACACAGATATATGTTCTACGATTTTTCATAGGGCTCGCTGAGAGCGCTTTTTATCCCGGCATGCAATATGTCATTGGATCTTGGTGGTGAGTTTTGCCTTTCTTATCTCCACCCCCTTTCGTTTGAGAATCAGAGGCTAACAACTTCGTAGTATGTGCCATCTATCCCTTTATTCCATTGAGAATAACACTATGAAAAAATCGCTTACTTTATCTTACGCTAACATACCGCAGATCGAAAAGATGAACTTGCCAAGCGAAGCTGTATCTTCCATGCAAGCGGTACGATAGGATCCATGTTTTCCGGTTACTTGATGGCCGCGGTCTACACTCTTAACGGCACAGATGGATACAAGGGTTGGCAGTGGCTTTTTATTATAAACACCATAATATCCTTGCCGATCGCCATCGCAGGCTTTTTCTTCTTCCCGGATGTACCCGAAATCACTCGTGCGTGGTGGTTGAATGAGGACGAGATAACGCTGGCAAAGAAACGTATGGAATTAGAAGGCCGAGCCAACCGGGGACCTTACACCAAGGCCAAAGTCAAGAAAATCTTCTCGTCCTGGCACATTTACGCGTTGACTCTTCTTTACATTTTCTTCAACAATGGTGTTGGCTATGGTAGTCAGCCAGCTTTCGCGATCTGGCTGAAGTCGGAAGGTTACAGTATCACTGCCATAAACTCCTATCCAACGATAGCATCGGCTATCGCTGTGATATTTACGTACATATACGCTTGGACGTCCGATTCATTGTTCAAAGGAGAAAGATGGCCGGCAATGGTGTTTTCAGGGGTTGTCAACATCATTACTAACACAAGTCTTGCTGTTTGGAATATTCCCGTCGGCTGGAAATGGGCTTGTTACATCGTAGGCACGATTGGAGGAGGTATCAGTGGGCTGACATTTGCGTGGGCCCATGAGATTTGCAGCGATGATAATGAGGAGCGAGCTCTTGTGGTGGGAACCATGAACGAGATGGCTTACGTGGTACAGGCATGGTTACCGTTACTCATTTGGCAGCAAGTCGATGGGCCACAGTATCACAAGGGATTTATCACCATGGTATTCATAGCTGCTGGACTTATTATAACTTCTCTCACGATAAGGTTCCTTCATCGTCGAGAACGTGTTCAGAAAGCACGATCAGTCAGCATAGAATAACTACTAGGTAGAGAACCAGTAGAATGGCAGATTATTAAGGCCTTTGATTAATCTTATAAAACATAATGAGGCGCTAGAGAGAATATCGACACCGAGACCTGCGCGAAATACTCCTGTTCCTATATCAAAGGTCAAGCTAGCCAGGGGATAACCACGCATTAGCTGAAATTACACAATTCTTCTATGTATGGTAAACCTACAAGGTATATATATCATGAATTATCATCTCGCCATATCCGTTAGATCATACGGTACCCCCCTCGTGTTTTTATCGCTTAGGCATGATCCTAAAAAGCACGTAATCATTGATGCATATTGCCTCATCCTCGGATCCGACTTAGTGGGATACCGTGATTTCCAATCAACACCAAGCATCCCGAGGTCAGGAATGAGGAGATCATGTTCTTGTCCCTATCGAGTAAATGTTCTGATTAGGATCGTAGAGTTCCACAGACACCCGTGGGTTCCGTTTCTATTCATATCTTGCTGTGGCCGCTACTCGTCAAGCTTTTTTTCTCACCTCTCTAAGCATTACCATTATGGGTTCCTTAGCCAGTGACAACAAAGCTGAGAGCGGGCCGGATCTCGGCACCATCAAGGATGTAGCTGTGATCGGCGCAGGTATTAGTGGTGTTGTTTCAGCCGCTCATCTCCTCCGAGACGGCTTCAATGTGACTGTATTCGAACGAACCGGCGTGGTCGGCGGCGTATGGGATTATGAGCCCCAACCGGATAGGGATCCGCCGTTTCCTAATGTTAGACCTCCAGCTCCCAATTGGGAAGAGGTTGAAAGAGAAGGACTAAGCTCGGATGAAGTCGCCTTGATACATGGTCCACCAAATCCATGGTACGTATAAGACAACCCCAAACTGAAAATTAATACCATTTTCTTTGAACCATCTCAACCCCTACCTTTAATAGCCCAATATAAATCTTTCACCCCTTATCACGGCTGCATCCAAGTTTTATTGCAGGATATTAATATGATTGTAGCTATGCTGGGTTGAAGAACAACATCCCAACCCCTATTATGCGAAGTAGTCTGCTGCAATGGCCAGAGGGTAGCGAAGACTTGGTGGATCAAAAAGTAGTCCACCAATACATCAAAGACATCGCCCATATTCACAATGTTTACGACAAGATAAATTTCAACACGCGAGTGGAAAGTGTATCAAAGCCGGAAGGCGACAAAAAGTGGACCATCGTGACCAGCACATTTGCTAGGACAAAGTCGGGTCACACGCTGACTAAAAAAACCTCGAAATTTGATGCTGTGGTGGTAGCGAGCGGTCACTATCATGTTCCATTTGTACCTGATGTCCCTGGATTATCGACGTGGAAAGAGCGTTTTCCGGGTCGCGTCACGCATTCAAAGCAATACCGAACCCCTGTCCCTTTTAGTAACCAGACCATCCTCATAATTGGCGCCGGTGTCTCGGCCTTGGATATCGCCAAGGAAACTTCTCAGTTAGGAGCCAAGATAATTCAGAGTAGACGCGAAAGCAAGTTTGATAAGCTTGTATCGCGTTTACCCGAGGGCGTCGACAGGGTTGCGATGGTTGCGGAGTTTATCCCTGATGTGGTCGACGATGGCGCCAGTCCCCAGCACCTGGAGCCCGGTCAAGCGATACCGGGAAGAGTTGTGCTTGAAGACGGAAAGGTTATTGAGGGTATTGACCACGTTGTTATTGCGACGGGCTATATCACGTCTTACCCTTTTCTCGGAGATTTGGAACAGCCGTTGACTGCATGGGAGGACGCAGACGAGAAGGTCCTCATCACATCTGATGGATACACCACGCACAACCTACACAAAGACATTTTCTACATCCCAGATCCCACGTTAGCATTCATCGGCGTTTCCCATCTAGTGTCGACGTTTTCGCTGTTCGACTTCCAGGCCCAAGTAGCAGCTAAAGTCTTCGCAGGACAAGCTCAGCTGCCCCCTAAATCGATTATGAAGGAGGAACACAGGGAACGCAAGGCTCGATTCCAGCCTGGAGATAGGTTCCACAGTATGTATGCGGAGGAAGATGCGTACATCGACAAAGTTTTGAACTGGGTTAATGGGGATCTGACGAAGGCAGGTGTAGATCCGCTACCGGGTATGGATGGGGTGTGGAAGTCCAACTACAAACTATTCCAGCAAAGACTTACGGGCTCCTAGAATAATCAGCTAACATTATAGTGAAGATATAATATAGATTATCTTAACTTTTGTGTCGCACATAGGTACCTTATAATCATATCCTAACTACAAATCTGGTTGGGTATCTAGCAAACATGAAATAAAATCGCCTTTGCCCCTATTCATACCTAGGTTCGTAGCCAGTAGAGACGTTAAATCATCGGCATGGATATATACATGGAATTATGCCTTGTTATCTCTGATAGTCACTTGTTATAAACAACCTGAGAGTATTCGTTGCCTGGTTTTCCTCTTTGTAGCTACCTAGTAGGTAGACAATTAAAACCGATATAGCACAGGCTCATGAAATCGTCGCCAGTATCGGTCGCCACGTCGAAGTCGTCGTTGCCGATCTGTTTGATCTAGTTCTTCCTGCTGCATTTGCGGACATCCACAACTTTTCCACACCGCACCACATAAGTAACAAAACTCGTATTTACATCGACACCTGGAGAGTGTCAGTAAGATATGCTACGGCTGGTAAGAACATTTTCGAACTTACGTTATATGGTTGCATCCAGCTCTCAGCTCAACGAGGGCCTTGCAGTTTTGACAGCGCTGCCAACGCATTTTTTCGGCGAGCTTCATGACCTCTTCAAGCAGTGGGTCCTCCGGACACTGCCCATAATGCGAAGCACCCTTACATGCCACACAAGTTTCTTCATGGCATTTATCACAAACCGCAACTCCTTTGATATGTAATTTGAGTGGAATGTAGGCGGCGCATACTGGTCGATGACAGTAAGTCCGATCTGATGAAGTGTACTCGTCCTCCTTTTCTCGGAAACGGGCTATGATCCCAGCATCAAGTATGTTTTCAAAATCCTCAATGAGTATATCCTCCCCACAGCATTGTGGAGGAAATGATCCCTCATCTTTTATTGCATTCTCAAACATACGGTTGAGACACTTCGGGCAATATCCATGCTCACAAGGAAGGCGAACCAACTTCGAGATATGCGTTTCCCCTGAACAAGCGGTACATTGTATCGTGTCCAATTTGCTTGAGACGTCCATTGATGAGAAATCTGAATCTTTGCTAGATTCGCTATCGGACATATGTCTATACAGGTAGGCTCGTGGGCCTCTCAAGATATCCTCTACATCGCTGGAAGCTCGCGATGATTCGTAGCCATCTGAAGAAAGACCGCCCGTATAGTTGCGATCGAGATGTGTTATGTTAACTTGTAACTCGTCTGAGGGGGGATTAGCTGTAGACTGCTCATTAGTTTCGGTTCCTTCTACCTGTTCACCCTTTTGAGTGCCGTTGACTAAGAGTTCTTGGGCTCCACCGTGTGTGGTTTCGATGGAAGAGGACTTACTTGTCTCGTCGATTTTCTTATTGGTTTGTGTATCCATGATTACTGGTGACTCTTATGATTCAAACACTATTGATTTTCCGTGATGTTGTATACCTAGGTAAGAAAGATTGAATGAGAAAGAATGCCAAAAACTGCAGGTAATATATTGATATTGAGTCCAATATAGGAAGCCAGTACCTCTCCAGTAAACCTCAGCATATTGGCAACTTTATTACAAGTAGCTTTGAGAATATAAATTAGGTATCAACTCTGAGGGAATAGATTTCTCCTGTAGCAGTTATCATGACAAGCGCGTAACACTTTATGGATATATATATATTCAGCAGTGCATCGATAATAGTATAACAAAGCGACATGACAGATGTCAAAAGATGAACAATAAGAGCTAAGGAAGTTAAATGAGAATTTGTCTATTACAAAAGTTTTAACCTCAAGGCTAATTTCTGATATTTCTATATGATTTTGGCACCGTTTTTTAGCGAAAGGAATACAGAGTGCCCCTGAACAGCTGGTTCCATCTGGTATTTAACACTTTGCAACTGGCATGATATGTATGTCTTATATCTTATATGTAGTCACTATCTTAGCTACTTTCCATCCACCCCTCCTACCTCCCACCAAGTTCAAAGGCCGTTTATTATGACTAAATGACCTCAAATTCAGAATTTAATTGTTCATTTAGCATTATTTTAAAGTTAAATCTTACGACTTGATAGATAAAACAGACTTAATGGGTCACCAGCTCTTTCACGGCACAGTGATCCATTCACGAGGACCAGCGGAACTCATCATACTTGAGAGCGCCTTGCTTATCGTCGACGCTAACGGTAAGATCACCAACCTTATTGAGGATATCTCTAGAGATAAAGTGTCCGTGCTATTGTCAGCGTTGGAAATCCCCACTTCCCCGGAGAACGTGCGCTATCTACCCCGCGGCCAATTCATAATCCCGGGTTTCGTCGATACGCACAACCACGCGCCGCAATGGGCACAACGGGGGCTCGGTCAGAGCATGCATATCTTGGATTGGCTTGAGAAAGTCACGTTCCCGAATGAGGCGCGCTTCCGTGACCCGGAGTATGCGCGCCGGGTCTACACCAGCTGTGTCGATGGCTTCTTAAAGCAGGGCATCACGACGGCGTCGTACTACGGCTCGCTTCACGCGGAGGCGACCAACATCCTTGCGGACATTTGTCTTGCGAAGGGTCAGCGCGCGCTTGTTGGGAAGTGCAACATGAACCGCAACGCCCCGGACTACTATCGCGACGCGAGCGTGGAGAGCTCCCTCAAAGACACCGAGGCGTGTATCGAGCACATCCGACGCATCGATCCGGAGAGTAAACTCCTGAAACACGTGCTGACACCCCGCTTCGCCATCTCTTGCGATCCAGAATTGCTAGACGGCCTAGGCAAGATCGCGGCGGCGAATCAGGACTTGCCGATTCAGACGCACTTCAACGAGGCCGAGCAGGAGATGAATTTCTTGCAGGAGCTATTCCCGCAGTTTAAAGGGAGCGAGGCGGACTTGTACGAACATTATGGCTTGCTGAACGAGCGCTCGATCCTCGCTCATTGCTGCCATATGACCGAGTATGAGATGGGTCGCCTAAAGGAGCTCGACTGTGGCGTCGCGCACTGTCCTGTCTCTAATATGACGGTTGGTGGTGGTTTTATGGCGGCACCTGTGCGGGACTTCTTGCGGCGGGATATCAAAGTCGGTCTTGGGACCGATAGTGGCGGAGGTTTCTCAAGTAGCATTTTAGATGCTATGAGGCAGGCACTTGTGGCGTCGAATGCGCGGGAGGTGATGAGTCAGGGTAAGGATAAGGGATTGGATATTGGGGAGCTGTTTTACCTGGCCACACTTGGAGGAGCTAAAGTATGCGGATTGGATACTAAGGTCGGTAATTTCGAGGTTGGTAAAGAGTTCGATGGCTTGATTATTAATGCTGATGGCTTGGGGGTCATGACGATGTTGGAACACGAAGATTCTACGAGGACGATCTTTGATAAGTTCGTTATGACGGGCGACGACCGGAATATTAAAGAGGTTTACGTATGTGGAAGTCAGGTCTGGGCCTAGGATAAGAATATGCGCCTAAGTTTACTAAAATTTATGGCCTAGAGGCCTAAGCAGCAATCTGAATTTAGAGGTACTAGCAGGCTTATCCCACTATAATTTCGCACCTGGAACATCCCACGGTACCTAAATTTTGGACCAATTCATCTATAAGTTTCGGTTTAAAAAAACGATGCTTATCACTGCCCATAGTGGCTTACTTCTTATTTTATAGAGTACCAAGCCTTAAAAGGTGTTACACTTATAAGGGATTCTAGCGATAAGGTCCGCTATCATTACGGGCGGTCTATAGGCTATAATATCTATGTTATAATAACCGCCGAATAAATTCATTAGAAGGACCTAATAGGATGCCACTGTAACCCCTGTAATTTAGTGTTATTCAGAGCTGACGATTAAACAACGGCTGGACAACAGCTACAGATTTCGATTGTATACGAACTAGGTGTGTTCTCTATTATTCAATTCTCTATTTCAAACTTTTTTCAATTAAAAAGCTAGGTAGATTCCAAGGTACCTATGTAATGTATTTTCCGTAATAACAGCTCAACAGCTTCAATAATTGATCGCTAAGACCGCCTATAATCTTAGCGTTCGATAGCGCCAAGTCCATTCCAATCCTTACAGGGACCTTGGGCGGGAAATATAGCGTACATACAGTGTAAACCCCACTAATTTTTCCTTTTTCTGCTCCCCTTAAACTTGCTTAAGATATGTTTACGAACGTTGGGCACAGAAATAATTCCACGATGGTTCACTTTATATATTTTTATTATGTATTGATACATGCTATATACATGTGCATTATCTTCGAGCAGGCGGTGGCGGAAAATTGAAATTAATCTGTTTCGTCTCAACAGGACTCCCCGAATTACTAGTCCTTCTATTTTTCGCTGCCACACCGGCGGCGACTCTCTCCCAGGCCCCGATGCCCGATGGCTTGCTAGAGCTGCGGGGCGGTAAGTCCCATGTCGGAGCCCTCTGCTCCCACGCACGGCTTAACAGGGGGCTAGAAGTAGACCCGGACGTTGGACTACTGAATATACCGTCGGAGGTGCTTCCCACTTGCGGCGAGGAGACACCGTATTCGGCTGGGTTGTATTGTCTTAGAGGCAGAAGCTGTGCTGTGCTCTTAGTGCTCGTAGTGCTAGCCGGCTCATCGGTAGGTGAGAAAAATGCAGCTTTTGGCGAAGCAGAGTAATGCACGTTTCCTGGTATGGCTGGGATAGCAGTGGCGATGTTATGTAATGGTAACGCTTTGTTACCCGGTCGCGAGGATGAATTGATACCCGGACCGCCGTTCTGGCCACGCCAGGCGGATTGCCTTGGTGACCCCGGGGAAACGGGATGGGAACCAAGGGCGGAGAATGGCCCTGCGCTGGGTTTCTCCTCTTCGATAGTGTCGTTGGTTGGGTTAGGAAAAAATGCCGGTGACCTCGGTGTTAGGTGCGTTTGGCAACGGAATGAGAGTGACGAGTCAGGACGATGGCGACTCTTCTTTTGTCCCACTACCGAGGTTCTGACATTTCCAAGTAGAAGACGGCGATTTTTTCGTTTACGGAAATGTACGAGTAGGAAACCAGATATTGCCAAGACGACGACAGTGGCGCCGACGGCAATTCCAGCTAATTGGGTTGTGGTAAGCGAAGACCCTTTATCATTAGTTGTTTTTTCGACTGCTGGATCAACAGCACTAATCCTAGTCTCTGAAAATACAGTGTCGTTTAGCCCTATCAGTGTTCCTGTGGCAGGCTTCTGCTGACAACCTGCATCTAGGGCGATGAGAACTTGAGACCGTTGTTAGCAATTAAGCTGTAACGAGGATGATAGGGGTGTTTTACAGTTAGCCAGGTAATTCTGACCATCCAAAGCACCTACACAGGACATGCACTCAGACACTATCGTGTTGGTCATGCCGGAACCATCCGCGCCACAATATGAGTAGCCGGGCGTCTTTGGACTGAGCTTGTCATTCGTGAAGGCATCATCCAACCCACCACAAGCAGTAGACGTTGAGCAGGGGGTTGAAGGTACATCTGTAGCATTGGGAAACCCCAATATACAGTAATCAAAAGTATATCTGAGGTTGTCTTCGTACATATTAGACTGATGTCTAGCTAGTTAGATGAGTATCGGAAGTGCTTACATAAGAACCAAAGCTGGTCGCTCTCGCCCCCTTGAGCGAAAGTACTGTCTTGAAGACAACTCATACATCCCTGGTATTTTTGGCCCGCGGATGAGCTAGAATATTCGGAATCATAACAAGAGATATCTGAATTATTCGTTGTAGACGAGTTTGGATCAGACAGATCCAGGCCAGAAGAGTCTATGCACAAGGAAGCACAGGGTGAATTTGGTGTGACTTGTAAACTAGCGGCATATTGTGTAAAGAGCGTAAGAATTAGAATAGACGGAAGAGAAGACATCTCGCCTGGAGATAATTGTCTTGTACTAAAGAATGGATTTAAAATGAATTATTAGGAATTGGACGTATTACAAGATGTTTATGAAATTACAGCCAGCCAGCTGGTGAGAGTTTTGAATCCGCTCTTAGGAGAGCTTGAAAATATTCAAATACTCAGAGATAGAAAAAAAAAAGAGTGCAATGGTTTAATGGGTTGAGAGCTACACAGGAAGACTCGGAATAGACCGAATAATATATTCGATCTGATCGGTCTTGGTGGACCAATGCTGTGCGATTTAGGAGGTAGTGATGGTGATGCATCGCGCGCTATCCATTGTACGCTACTAGCGGTTTGGTTGTAGTCGGCGCCTAGAAGCAAGACATGAAATACTACCCACCGAGGTACACGCTGAAAGGTCGCATCGTAGCAGTATCTACCCATCTAGCCCCTGGCAGTATTGAAAATCTCCGAACAAGCGCATACATGTTTGTGAACGATGATCAGATACAGGAGATCACGTTGAAGAACGAAAGCTGATGAACCTAAAAGGGTTACCCCAGAAAGATAATAGCCAATGAGGTTAATTCCTGGTCTAGATAGGTATTGTTCCTAAGCGCCGTGATTTGTTCGGTAATCTCACCTGGGCACCCAGCATCTCTAGTGGGTCGGTGGTAAGGTCGTTGGCGGCAAGAATCTTGACCACCTTGGCTACCATTTAGAGACCAAGAAATCTCTCTTCATCCATTTTGGGATAGAGAAGAACCTATTGGTGCCTTGAAAGGGAAAAGAAAAGGAAAATCCGGGACCATCATGTGGTAGGGCTACCTAGGGGGTGAATAATTCGGTACATCGGATGATAAAACTTTGAGCAAGCCTGAGAAGAAACAAATCTAAACTCGTGGATTCCATAGGAAAACTCATATTATAGAATTAATTAACTCCAGATGATTCTTAATCTGGCGGCTCATGGTATTCTCGATGTCCTTGGCTTGATTGACGATATGCGCATCTGCGTTTCGTCATCTCATATGTTGGATAGTCATCTACTTTGCGGCGAGTAGAAACGAGGAGTTGGTTGCAGTAAAGTATCCTCCCGTCGCAGGCGCGCTTCGAGGAATAAGCCAAGAAGAGTTCGGAGGACAGCAAGATTAATAGTTGAGCTGCCTTACCGGAGCGGGATGTATCGCCATATTTCTACGCGTAGTAAATGTGACTGTGATAGAACACCTGCAGCTTGCAGTCGAAAAAGTGTAGAGAAGGTTGCAAGGTTGAACCGGCGCTTATTTTTGGGAGACTGAACAAAGTACTCTGTACTTCCCTCATCAATGGCTGAGACCTTCAACGCCACACCTATCTATACTATTCTATATTAGGTTTAGCTAGCCCGGCCAGCCACAATCTCTACCTAATATAGAATAACTTAAGTGGAGTCATTCACATTGGACTTTTCATTATTCAACTTCATCAAGTCTCAATTGGAAACCCCCAGCCAGTTACGAGTGTAACCAAAAGAACGTTATATTATCAATAATCTATGCTTCTAAGAATACCCATGTGCTCTATGGTATCGTTGGTTTTCGTTCTCGGGTCTAAAGATCTAATGGCATTAAAATGAAGTATTGAAGCCTCTCCCTCCCAATTCTAGCGCCTCTAGAGCGACAAGTGTCAACTGAGCCATCTCCTAACTCCTTGCCTCCCAATTTTCTAAGCATACGTTCACACTTGCCCGTGGATATCTCGGAAATCGTTGAGCCGTCCAGGTCCAATACAAGTTTCCTCGTCCTTTGCGAATATGCATCATGGCATCCGACGGTGCTCTATATTACCACTCGCACCTCCCGGCCGTTAATAACGGTGGGTGATGTATGCAAACACCGTCCTGCTGGGCAATTTGCATGATAAGCAATGCCGACTTGGTTTCTGACGTTCACTGCAGTGGCGCCGCCGGGTGCTCGCAAGTTGTACTCCCCCGTCCTGATCATTGGGTCATCGGCTCGCTCGAACGGGCCTGTCAGGCTGCTCGCTGTCGCATAATTGACATTGTAGGTCGGCTCCAGATAGCACCCGCTACTGAAAAACAGTATGTACATCCCGTTGGCTGTGCGTACCATACTCGGTGCCTCTACCAACGGTCCGTCTTCGTCGGTGCGGTCAAAAATCTGAATCGGGTCGCCGATTTTCGTCACACCATCCTGTTCGACCTCTTGAAGTATGATAGGCGTGGGCATGATCGGTTCGACAGTATTTCCACAGCTGCCTCCGTGTCCGATACTGTTCCCGTCGATCTTGTAGAGGACATATCGTCTGCCGTCGGCATCCTCGAATCCGGAGGGGTCAATAGAACCGCCGACGCTCAGGTCGCAGGCGAAAGGCTCGTCGTCGGGGACATATGGCCCGTAAACCGTGCTGGATACGGCTGTACCGATACAATGGTGCGCAGGGTCTTGGGCCACCTCGCCGCTATAGTACATGACGTAGGATCCATCCGCCAGTCGGCGCACGTCAGGCGCCCAGGTGTTACGTCCGGTGGTCCAGGCGGCAGGCCGGAGAAGCGCGTCGGTATCATTTAGGAGAGTCCAGTCTCCGTATAGGCAGTCCCCTATGGCAACTTGCACATGTTTGCCATTACCCGCCGTCCCGAAAGCGTACCATGTGCCATCCGTCTCTTCAATCACCGATGGATCGGCGAATTGTTGACTGAATACCGGGACCTCATTCCTTCGAATCACCGACGCGGATATGTGAGAGAATGACAGCGCGGTGGCTGCAAGCGTATAGAAAAACATCATTTCCCAACAGCTTGCATATCGAGCAAGGCAGCTAGAACGGGGTGGGTGCTAAGGACCTAACTTAAAACCAAGGAGAGATGATGCGAGAACTAGGTTGGCTTGGAACTGAAAGCCGATCTATGGATCAAATAACTGGATCGATCTTGGCTAATGAATTTGAAATGGATGAGTCGGTGCTCATCTGTATTATATAAAAATACGACAGGAAAGGGCTATGATATTTTAAACCAAACGTATCGACGTAGGTCTCGCTTTCTTATTTACCCCCTACTAGACGCACACGCAGTGTTGCGGTAAGCAATATGACTGAAATTCGTGCGGCTGACAACAGTGTAACTGGCGGGGTCGTATTATAAAATCGCACGCTCCTTGACGCCACTTGGTAGGACAGAAGGAAAGGCTAGGAAAGGGACAGAGAAACGAATTGTCTAATACCCGCATGCCGTGGAGCCGGAAGTCGACTACTTGACTCAAAAAGACTTGGATGCGCGGCGGGCTGGGGTTTATGCATTGCCATACATTATTACCAACATCTGATACTAAAGAAGTATCGGCTTTGGACATGGCTCGACACAGAAACAGCGGGGCATTGGCCTCTAGAACGCTCGCAGGCGGAAGTATGGCAACTCTGAGTATTAAGTCGATGTGATAGGCAAGGTTTTGCTCATCCCTTTATTTCCCTGTAATTTTGGTACAATACGTAAGACTTCACTAAACTGAATTGCATGGCTCGTGCAATGCCAGCTGTAGATGAACCAATTATATTTACTTTACTGATGCTAATGAGCGTCAACTTGGCCTCCTGCCTCGATGTTGTTGTACAAACTCGAGGACGCGGTAATAACGTACCTATGTAAGTACGCTACTTCATACATAGGCGCAGAGCACAGGTTCTTGTCCGTCTGAATTTCATCTGATCTAATAGCAAAGAGTTTGAATCTACGACATGAAGTTGTCGTAGTCGTCTAATTTTAGTTATGGGCAACTGCCGAACGCTATGCCAAATTTGGCCGTGCCCATGCAATTTTAGCGGTAACCCCTCCGCCCCTGAAAAGAAGCTGGCCGCTGATGGTACCTAGCATTAGCAAAGTTAGTGGTTGATGATCATCACTAAACTTTGTTTTGATCTTCCCATGCGCCCAATGTATGGGAATTTTGGACCAATGCCTGTGCGGATCCAATGCGGCATTGCGGCTGATTTTAGTGAACCCCTGCCCGGGACCAAACCCCTTGAAGAAACTGATCGCCTCGAAGACCTTTTAAACATATCTGGAACTATCTTTCTACATAACTGGGAATATCCAGTTCAGATACGACTCTCTAAATTTATTGTTTAGCTATTCGTCTACTAGGCAGCTGGGTAAAAGTAGTCATCCAAGCAAGCAACTTCATTAGAATGAACTTCCACGTACCCTGATTTGGCACTACCTAGGCATTCGGGTTTTGGCGGCTTACGTCGTTGTTTATATTAGGGCGAACGAAGCGTGAAGATACTCTACATCATGTCTCCCTTCCTCTCAACCAACGATTCTATAACATACTTCTCCGCTACGGCTAGGCGATAGTAAGGTCCGAAAGGCGGTAAGATAGAGATGAGCAAGTTTATACGCAATCAATATCGATTCGGGAATTTATGGCCGTATCTTGGAAAATTCATAATAGTATACAGATATAATACCTCCGTCCTCCCCGAGATTATGCCCTAGTCCATTTATAACCCCGAAATACAAGACATTCTCGCTTCGAACGCGGCAGTGAATACTGAAACCTAAATTCTACGACTTCAACGGGCAACGCTAACGGGAGTACGAGATGGATTCCATGGAGAGTAAATTTCCCCACGCGCGTAAGAGGCGCATTTCGTGTATTACCTAGGGCAATACCCGACCGGGGAAATAACCACGAACTCGGGCAATTTGACACAGAACACAAGCAAGGTCAAGGGAAGAATGGTAAGGGAAAATAAGAATACACGAGAAGGAATATGCCCGCCTGGGACTCCCGTACGACTATGGCGTAACAATCTTCACTATATTCCAACTACGACTTGAACAAAATCAGACAACCCACTATAACAGCACCTAGAGAGCTAAAAGGGATGGCTTAAATTTAGCGAGTGGCGAATTGTTATTAGGAGTAGGTACCTAGCTAAGATGACGAACTCACTGCCGCAAAACCTCCGGGAGACCATCAGCTGCCTATTCAGTACCTAATAATAATACTAGGTCCCTAGAAAAAGCCTGACTAGGACGCCACATACCCGGAGGCGTAAATATAGGTGGGCACCTATGGTAGCAACATGTTTCTGCTTAGGCTAAGAATTTAATGAGTGGAAGTAGCTGAGACTGAATTTCTACAGTCATCTAACTTAGCAATTACGACACCATATCACACAAACAAGATCAAAGATCATAAGAACACTTAATATGTGCAAATACGCGGCATTTCCTGCTATCTACGTCGATTCAGGATCCGCACTCCATCATCCCCGACATCGAAACCTCATGACTGACGAGAAAATAAAAAAGGGTAAAAAAATTCCTAAACGCCGATTTTCCTGACCCTCAGAAACTGTATAATACAGCAGATAACGCCGTAAGCAAATGCATGTACATGCAATGGGGCAATAACCGACCGACCGAAGGTATCAACGAGAGGCTACTCGGGAGAGGTTCAACCTGGAATTCGAGGGGTTCGTTTATTCCGAGTCGGAGTCGGCTTGCTTGCCTAGAGAGGCGCGCTTGGCCTCCTTGGCCGCCTTCTTCTCAGCCTTTCGCTTCTTGCGCTCTGCCTTCTCCTCTGCCGTCTCGCCGTCGTGCTTCTTGCGCTTCTTCTTGTCGTCATCACCAGCAGCCGGTGTAGGCGCGGATGGAGTGTCCGGGGCAGGAACCGAGGCGGGGGCTTCCGTCATCGAAACATCAGCAACCGGTGTCGGTGCTACACCATCGGCTGGGGCGCTGTAGTCCTTGTACTCGGAGGTCCACTTGGCGGGGGTTGCCTCGTTCGCTCGTCCAAACTTGTCCAGCTTTCCAGATGCCTTAAGCTTCTTCTTCTCAGTAGCAGTAGGACCCAAGCCCCATCGGCGAGGGTACAGATCACGCTCCATGATGCATCGCTTCACCTTTGCCACTACACCGTGATCGCAAGAGGACATCTCGACGGTCGACATCATAGCAATGCCGAGAGCAATAGCTTCACCCTTCGTAGTCATCAAGACAACTTCCTCGTGTACCTCAATACCATCCTCTAGAATGTTTCGTTAGTTTAAGTGAAAAAAAAACAGAGGGCAAACCAGGCGCATCACATACCATATCGTAGAAGACCGGGAATCATAAGCTTTGCACCATAGCAAATGGCGTTGACGGTACTGTCCTTGACCACAATTCTCCTGTAGGAAGTGAGAAGGGTCTCAAGAGGAGAAATAACTTTGCGTAGGTAGGATTCGTCACGAGTGTTGTCCATCGTCCATTGAGCATCGAGGACATCATGGAGTGTGACTAGATCCTTCGTCTCGTCCATAGCACCACTTCGCACACGTCTCAGCTCTTGCATGTGCGCACCGACACCTAGCAAAAGACCCATATGGACGCATAAAGTTCGGATGTATGTACCCGCCTCGCAACTGACCCAGAAAATGCCAAGGTGGCGGTCATTGTCGAATTCGATGACTCGGCTCTCGTGGATAGTTCGGATACGAAGTTGTCGCTTCACAGCGGAAATTAGAGGAGGTCGTTGGAATAGAGCACCGGTCAATGTTTCAAGTGCGCGGGAGAATTGCGCTTCTCCACCAGGAAGCTTGTCGTGTAATCGAATGACGGCAACATATTCTTTTCCAGCACCTTGTTGAGATTTTACAAGTCGAGTAGCACGGTCAATGCAGACGATCAAGCAACCGGTAACCTTGGGATCAAGAGTACCACTGTGGCCAGTCTTTTCAACACTAGAATCGCAGAATTAGTCTCCTGAAAATATTTCAATCGATTCTAGAACAGGCTACCATACCGTAGGATTCTCTTCACCCAAGCAACGACTTCGTGACTGGAAGGATTGGAAGGTTTGTCGAGGTTGATCACGCCGGAGCTAATGTATGACTTGAGATCTCGAGTCAAAGGCGAGCTGCCATTGGGGATGGGAGTGAAATGTCCGGTTCGGACAAGAACTAAACAGTGATATTAGCATTGCAAGCAAATATTAAGCTTCTTTTTAATCCAGTTCACGTACGTTTGTCGTAGTTCTTCAGCAGCAACGGCCATGTGCTCGTGTCAAGAGACGGAGTGACCGCGGTAGGCTTAATTGAGAACTCGTCCTCCTTGGGCTTAATCTCTTTGGTTGCCATTTTTGCCAGCCGTAGTATTTTACCTTTTGTAGATATTCAAACACACTCACGACGGTGTTGGCGGGAAGAAAGGAACTGATTTGTTCCAATGGCAATTGCAAATGGAGTTTTGGATGTTGGATTTAGACGTTTTGCGAACTCTCTACGAATTGGAAAAAAAAGAGAAAGCTCCAAAATTTTTCTAGTACCGTTGTGTGGGGAAAAGTAGCCGTTGATTGATCCAATCCGACAGCTCTAGCTGCCACTAATCCTAGATAGGAATATCGATAACATGGTCCAGTACAAGTCAATTATCATCCGAGCTCTTTCCGTGCCATGTTCCACTTTTAACATACTTTTTCTAGAGGGTACCTAGGTACTTATCCGTGATTCTCATAAGTCTCCAGCAACTTTCGAATCTTCGTCTCCATCTCATTTTTCTTCTTGAGCTTTTCCTCATTTGACTTGCGCTTTAGCATAACCTCATTGGCCAATTCGAACGGACATAATGAGTCCTCTAACTCTTTCAAGACTTGTATACGGTCCACGCCAGAAATGTCACTTGGTCTTATGGCTCCAGCTTCAGCGACGGCCTTGTCCCAAGCCTTAGCCACCTCCCACTTTCTAACGTCATCGGCTGATAGCCCCTCGGGCTGCGTGCTGAAATCGCCCGATAGAAGCATTGGCAAGAACTTTTCGTTCCTCTCATGGATGCCGCCTCCTATGTCCCAAAGCCCCGTTAGGAACTCGTCACAGGGATTCGTAACTGCCGACCAGTCGAAGTCGAGAACCGACGTGATGCGCTTGGTCGCGCTGTCATATAGCACATTGTTCAAGGCTATCGAGATGTCAGCTTTCGATTCCAGGATATGGTAGTATGGTTCTTAACGCACTCAGATCTCCATGCACCAGAACCCTTTTGTCAGTGTCAACGCTCTCTAGGACTTTGCCCACGCCACCTGATGCGAGAAACTTGTCAATTTTCTCCCTCAATCCTCCATATTTCCATCCTTTTAGAAATGAACTTTCGTCCGCTTCGCTCAATTTCGCCTGTAGAATAGCGACCCAGTATTCCGCATATGAGTTGAACGGCCCCCCTTTCAGAAGCGGTGGTTGTCCGCCTATGATAGCACCGCTGTCATCTATAGTCAGCGCTCCAAATTTAGTCACCGTTTCCGGTATCTTGGCGCCCTGTATGGCGGCGAAGATTTTCGCTAGTTGTTGGATGACATCTATCGCATCATCTAGAGTTAGTGAAGGAAATTGACCGTCCAGGTCTGAACCTGGCTTAAACTCGCTCATTGTCCACCCGAATCCCTCCTCACCCGGCACATCTGGATATCTGCAAGGAGCCCAGGCGTAAACCGCAGGCACCACAGGAGGTAGCCCAGCAGATTGTATGGATTGTCTCGCGAGGTGTTGTGCAGCAATATCGTTCTCGACGCGGTTGGCGTTGTTAAGCCCCTCAGCAAGAGGGTTGCTCATACGGATTACTAGCGTCGTGACGCCTTCCTCGGGCGGCGCCGAAGTACATGGCTGCTGCCTGGAAAATGTTGCCGGGGTCGCCGGGGCCTCTAGATCCACCTTGTAGATGAAATTGTTGAAGTGGAAGGGGCAGTGCTCAACATAGGCAATCGGAGTTACCTGCGTTGACTTGGACAGGTAAGTGGGACTGTAGTATGCCAATCTATCAACGAGAACTTACCTTCAGATTGTACTGCTGCAGTATTTTCTGCAGAGCATCTAACCGGCGTTGAAAGCCTTCTTGATTGATATTCATTTTAGGCTGGCGCGTTGAGGCGTAGTTGAAGTAGAACGGGCGATGTCAAGGTGAAAAGAGAAAGAATTTGACGAGTCTAAGGTCAAATATATATGCCGTTGATTTGGAATCGATAATGGCTTTCTGGTTATGTTACTGTAGATCACATGTGTATATGCGGCAAAGATTAGTTCCGGTCTATTGGACCAGACTTCTTGTTTGGTATGTTGTTGGTCTTTTAGAATTATAGATTTCTAATCACTCCTCTGGGTGAGATGGGTCCGGAAACATAGCACTTCATAGGCCATCCATGTCGCGAACCAATGGTATACCAGTGCTGATATTATCCTCTCTTTGGATGGATGATAAATGCTATAGAAACAGGATCAAGGAAAATTGTATTTGAAGTTGCCATTATGTTATTCGATACCCAGCCACCAACGAACCAACGTCATCTTATAAACCAGATACTAGACTCTACTTCGAGGATGGATGATTAATATCTTTAGGACTTTGATCATCTTTGTGTTTTTGAAGCCACTCTTCATTGATGCTGCGGTAATCTTCGGGTCCGTAGGGGCTGTACATTTCCACTAACATGCCCCCTTTTCTGTGTGGCTTTAGCCCAAGGTCGTGCTGTAGTAGATCAAGATATGGGACAGCATCGAAAATAAAGTTGGGGCCTTTATTGCCCCATTCGGTAGGATAACGCCATTTTCCGAATCGATTGTGCAGCATAGTATCATATTGTAGTTTTGCTGTTGCCTCTTTGCTTTCAATTGCTTTTGCGGGATCAATTGTCAGCTGTCCCTCGAAGTAGGCGTTGATCCAAAGTGCGCTAATGTGAGCCGTAATGATATTGCTAAAGTTCGTCTGTAGTCCTATAAATGCTACGTCTCGGGGGCGTAAGAATCGGGGAGACGGCGGTATTAGGAATCGGTATAGCATATAAGGTGTCAGAGGCATACGAGACGTCGCCTCGGTAACGATGCCCTTCTGATCAGATAGAGGAATGAAATCCTTATTCCAAACCGGCTGTCTTTTGAGCCTTGGAAAACGCTGTAAGATCTCTCTATCTGCAAGTTCGATAAAATCATGCCGATTTGCCAGATCTTCTGGGGTCGCTTGATCAACTACTTGGTGAGGGATACCAAGTTCTTTCTCGATGCCCTCTGGAAGAAATTTCATAGGCGGTACATGTTTCCAGCCAGTGTTGGCGAGAAAAGCCTCAGATTCGAATTCAGTGCCGTCTGCTAAGTGGACTTTTCCTGGGCTTAAGTTGGATATCTCACCAATGTGTATCTCAACTTTATCGCTCTTGATAAGTTCGAAGATATCCTGATCGTAGTTGAGAATACTGTAGCTGCAACCGGTGAACATCACCTCCAACCAGGGCTTCAATTTTGCCGTATCCGGATGTGAGTCGAATTTATTAAGTGTGATAACGTCCTGACTTAGTATGTTCCAGAAATGATCAACTATAAATCTACCAATTGGGGTGCGATGATAGAAGTTTCGTATGCCCACATAACCATCGGCATCACCCCAGATACATGGACTAAACCAAGTAAGGAAGCGCGTATCTAAATTATAGGATTAGAAACATCCGACAAAGGGACGGGCGACGAAATAGATTAAGTTGAACTTACTCGAAAGCTTTTCAATCCATTTCTTGAAGGGGGTAACATATGGTGGAGCCATCCATACTGGCCCATGACCACTTGCTACTCTGTTGGTTAATATAACCCATGGTTCACGGAGAAGTTATCGGGAACGCACATCTGATAACCCAGTGAACCTTAACACCAGCTGATGCGTATTGATACACAGCATCCCACCCCGACTTTCCGGCTCCAAACACCGTGACGGTTTTCGCTTTTAAAGTGTCGCTGTTCTGCGGGAAGTCCTTGCTGTGAAATAGCTTCCCACCGAAATCATCTTGTCCTTCAAAACGTGGCATGAAAGGTTCCGACAATATGCCTGTAGCTACAATGAGTCGACGCGCAAAGATTTTGGTCGGAGCCTGGTTCGCTGGCTGCACGGTTAAGATCCATCCACCTTCCACTGTGTCTTGATGCTCTGCGGTAAGGACTCGAGTTTCTAGCCGTATGAAGTTGGTGATCCCGAATTCTTCGGCATACGTCTTGAGATATGTGTTGATTACTTCTCCAGGAATATGCTCCCCAGATCTGACATTGAATTTCTCGCTGCTCATCGGAAAATCGGGGAATTCATACGTTCCAAGGAGGTTATTGCTCTTAAGCCCCGGGAAAAGCCGATCCTTGGCCCATTTTCCGCCCACCGTAGACTCTCCATCGAAAACCGCTATTGTTCTGTCGGGATTAAGACAGTGAAACTGCTTCGCAGCAGCTAGACCGTGGAATCCTACACTTATATTAGCTTAGAAATTCATTCGTCTGTTTTGTCTAGCCATGATTTTCATACGCTAGATGAGAAAGAAACCTTGATACGTACCAGCACCTACTACCACGTAGTCGAGCTTCTCCATGATGGTAGAGTCACTCTAGGTTGCGCGAGTAAACCTGCGCAAGTGCAACATCTGGTTCCATGCCATGGCGCATAGGTCTCATTTAAACTCGGTTCTTACCGAGTAAATAAGTGAAAGGGGATAACCTTAGCCCGTAAGGATTTTGGTAGGACTATTCAGCAAGCGCCAATATTACCACATATTCAAGGAAGGAATGAGATAAGACATGAGGTGTGTTGGAACCAACGAGGTTCGGACGACTCTTCCAATTGTCTCTTGGCCCGTAACACGTAACCAATGGAAACATTTGGCTAAAGAAGTAGGACGACATCATGAATGCAACTAAATCTCTCGGCTGTTAGCGCTGAGCGGCTGTGCCATCCTACTTCAGCTCGCAAAGAGCCTAGTCTACCTAATAGGCATATAATTGACCATATTAAGTAGCGTTAAGTTAGGTCGTAGTTAGTAGTATGCCTGATAGGTTCTATTAATCCGGAATTGTCTTCTTTTAATGTCGTGCACCCGCCATGCGGCACTTGTTTGGGGTCATTCGGTTACATTGCAGTTGCGGTGTATGTTAGACGTATTGAATGGAATATAGCTTGAGAGCTGCCAATCAAGGAGATTATCATTTATAACATGAAAATCGCGGATTATGCGCAGTACGATACATATTCTGCCTGCCTAATATTAATAGGTGATACGATAGAAGGAATATCAATAGGTTCTAGGTAGGTAGTAATTGTAGCGAAACATAACCTTGGAATAGATGATGTTAATATGTAGTAACCTGTCTTAGGTCATCATGACATAAAGAGAGAGCTTCTCTATGCCTGATTGGCGTATATTAGGAGATGTAGATTTAAATAGTGTGCTCTTCGCTTCGTTTCCGAAAACTTCTTACACCTCTAATGTCCGACATGGCACCCATCGGGTTGTAGTAAGGATTTTGATAGTTGCGTTGACACGTGTATCAATAATGAAATCCAGAATATACGCTAGCCTTCAAACAATATCTTGAAGCGAACCTTCCTCCATGTAGGTACTGATCCTACCAATGATGCATGCATAACACAGTCATATGGGCGAGATGTTAGACGACTGACTGGCTATCAGACTCTTTGCTATAATCGTCCCATAAGAAGACCATGGCTCGGTGAGCCATTATGTTACTGAAGTCCTACTGCAGGGCCAATTGCGCAGTGAAACTCATCATCATGCCTGGTGGTTCTGAGTATGGGTCTTCATAATATGAGTGGAGGCGACAGAGGTATGGAAGCGGGTCGAACCCTAAAAGAATACAGACTGAGAGGATGTCCGACGACGGTTGTCGGTAGGGTTCACTTGTATCAATAATTCTCCTAACATAGGTGAGATCATCCGTCAACGAAACCAACGGTATATGACGAGCGAATCCGACAAGCCCCTTTCATGCGATGGGATCTCTTCATTCATGTGGCGTGTGCGATGTATATCCATATCCGCGAGTTAGAATGAATAAGAGATAGCGTGAATGTCGTCGGAGGTTATGTATCCTCTGCTATTAGGAATAGAATCCGCTGCGAGCATCCGCTTCATACTAGGTAGTAAGTATCGTTCGGCTAGGATACTTTTAGGCCAAGGGTTTCTATTTATCACTTTAGTAAAGATTTCCGTGGAGCAGGAGTCAGACTTACCTTGGAACCTTTGCTCTTGATCCTTCTCCAACTGGAGAGTTGTAAGTTGTATTCAGTCTAAAGAAACGAAGGGGCAGAAGAGAGATGGTTAAAATGGGGATAGGGGGTAAGTAAGAAATATCCCAGAGCTCTTGCCAGATGTTACGCCGCGCTTAACTCAGCAATCTCCCACATTACTCCCAAGCGCGTGTCAAGTCGCTGGCTGCCTAATCAGGGAATTTATAACTTCTTCATAGAAATCTAGGGTTAAATCACCCCAGCAGGTACTCTCGACGATCCCTACACTGAACAATGAACTACCACTCGAATTTTCACCCCCACCTACTACAGATATGCAAGTACATCCATCTCATCATGACAAAACAATCATGTACCCAGACCACCTTCCGGCAGATCCAAGACTCTCACCAACTCCGTTTCCGTGGTATCACTATTACCTCTCCAACCCAACATACCCACTACTCAAACAGCGGGCCATACCTCAACGCCATGCTAATACACACAAACATCCAGCTCAAAGCAGAGCCATAAAAAAGACAACACGTAACACGACACCCAAACTCACAGCGCATTCCCCATCCCATCCCCACCCACCATCGGCGCCCTCGGCGGCGCCCCATGTCTCCCATACCCCGGATGCCCCAACACAGGCGCCGAAGGCATCGGCGGGGGCGGAGGAACCGGGAACCCATAGCCACCCGCACTATTAACGCCCTCCTGGAGTTCATACCCATCATCGCCCACCAAACTCGCCTTTTCCTTGCCCTTCTTATCGTCCCAAGGGGACACGATATCGCGATCAGGACTAATAGCAACACCGATATTATTATTATACGCGGCCTTTTCGACGGGCCAGGCCCTGTTATTCGGGGCCTCGACGCCGCTGACGGGGCTGTTGTACTGCGAGGTGTAGGGGGAGAAGTACGGCGGGAAGGTGGACTGCGTGGCGGCGCTGACGGGCGAGTCCTCCCACCCGCGCAGCGGCTTCTGGCTTACCGGCGTTTCGTACATTTCGCCGGCGGCGCCGCCTTGCGACGGGGGCCAGTTCTTGCCGATTTGCGATCGGCGGCGTAGGTACGCCTTTCTCCTACGCTTGCCGTTGAGGACGATGCCGCAGCCAATAAGGGCGAGGATGACGACGAGCCCGCCGACTGCGATGCCCGCGATGGCTCCGGAGTCTAGGGGGCCTTGAAGTCCTGGTCGTGAGAATGTGGCTGTGGGTGTTGGGCTCGTCACGTTCAGGGCAACTGTGGAAAAGATGCTGCCTTGTAACGGGATGGTAGCTGGTGGCTCGAGCCGCAGATTACAGGCGCCATCTAGGATTGATATGACTGTCATGGGTATTATGTTAACTCATGTCATATCTGAGGGGGTTGTGGTGAGATTTACAGTTGCTGAGGTAATGACCATTTGACTCAGAAGTTAAACACTCATGGCATTTATCGAGATTATAATCGGTCCATTGATCACAGTAGCCATATATCGAGCTACTGGATGAGAGGTTTTGATATTGTATCGCTGTCTGGATGTTTTTACATGCGAAGCTAATAGAATTAGCAATGGATATGTGGATGGGAGCTCATGGATACATACGAGGTAATACATGGGCTTGTTTGAGCTTCAAATAAGCATTCGTTAACGGCATATCGCAAGTTATCTACAACGCGAATTAGTAAGTCTAGGACGTATGCGCAGGGGTGCGGGTGAGTGCATACAGAGCATGTACTGTAAGTCTGAGGTGTTTTGTTGCCCTTGGACTGTTGAGTAAGTGCTTGTTGACTCGCAACCGATGCAGGCCTGATAGACTTGACCATTTGATGTGGTACTATACGCCGACTCGCCGCAGACGATCATGTCCTCCGTCGTCGAAGAAAGAACATTACCGCATTGCGTCCCACATGGCGATCCATTCGCTACAAGTAAAGGTGATGATATACGCCAAAACGCGGCGAATATGAGAGTGCGATACATTATGACCACTACTCCTTCGGCAATCCTGCCTGTAAGTGAGGGGCGTAGGGCGATATCAAGAGGTTTCAAATATGCGTCGCTAATCGTACAAGGACTTGAGAAGGATGTCGTTTATCTCTCTGCAGCTAAGAAAGAATCCCTGAGGACCTAATGATCAATTGGTATTGAGGCTCAAACGGAGGTTTATAAAGTTCCCGAGAGATATATAATTATGGATAGAGACGGAGATATACAATGTAAGGGATAGGATTGAGCGCTTCTTGGACGCAGCGGTATCATCTCATTCCCAATTGAATGAAGTTTCTCAGCGAGAAGAACATGACCATAAGCGCGAATGGCTTAGTGATAACTAGCAATCTGGCTCGACCGCCTCGTGAGATCTAAAGGCACATCACCCTCACTAAGCCTGATCGGTGTAGTATGCAAATCATTGCACGATTCGAAAAGGGAAGAGGAGGAAGAGAGGGGGCCGAGCGGAGCAATCATCGTGATTCGGTGGGGTCGGACAATCGGGACTAAGTCAGGATGCACCTTCTAAAAAGTTGGGGGCAGGATGCAGGTGAAAGACAATCGGCCAATGGGAATTTAGAGCACGTGTGTTAGTCTTCGGTTCCGGCTGCAGGGAACCCTGTCCGTGCCACTTTCCAAGGTGGAGATCCAGGTCGATAGCTTCGGATACGGCCGTTCATTGGCGTTGATTGGAGATGCTTAAAGTGACCCACTATAACTTTTATCCAATAATTAATAAAATGTGCCTAGCGAGCAAATATCCCCCAACTTTTATCGATCCATCAACTTCTCAATCAGTACACCACCAATCTGACGACCACCTGGGCATTCAGCTAATTTTCGTCACGGCACACGTTAGTACATAATCGGCATAGTTAACGTGCAGCTATCCATCGATGCAGATTCATCTTCCTGCGAACCCCCCCAAAGGAACTTACTACGCAGATCCCACCTTGGGGTCCCTCGGGGGTCTTCGGGGGCGGCCAGCCCCCCCTTGTATGCAAATGCAAATGTACGAAGTACGCTGTGCAGAATAAATGTGCTTTACATGCGAGATGGCCGTCGACCGAGAAATTAGCCGTCTGGTCTATCATGCAACGGAAAATGTTTTGTTGCCTTGGTTGCGATATTGCCACGGCCAATTCGGTCCCCCTAGTGGCTGAGCTGACACAGTACATTGAGGGAACGCGGCACATGTCCCTCTGTCTCGTCACGCGTATCACATCAATGAAGTCTCTCACCAGCGAACCGCCAGGAGAATTTTGTGTATTAACCTTGGAAGCGATCCGGGCTGTCGGGACTTGATGACGAAGGAATCGGAGCTGCCATTCGTCCCTATTCGCTCAATTCCCTACGGTGCTGCATAGAATGTCTTACCATTCCAAGCGCTCGTGGCAAGAAAGCAAACATTCGAGAGCTGGCGATTAACAAGTAGCCGTCTCGAAAGGAAGGGATTATTAGACCACATCGTTCGATTGTGATTTGCTCGTAACTTTAGAGACCCGTGGGAAGGCTGTAAAGTCGGCTAAGCCATCAGCACCATAATTCGAAACGGCCGATACGGCTTGCCGAACTTTCGGGTATCCTTCACTATTCATTCGGAATACCTTCAATCGCCAAAAATAAATATGTTGGTGATTACCTAGACACTTAGTAAGTGCCGGATTACTTGCGTAAAGCACGATCTCCCCACGATCGTACGCGCCGGGTAGATGGCTTAGCATACAAAGTTCTACAAGGCGACATCTGTTGGTTTGATGTTTTCGTCGACACCGAATTTACAGATGAGCACCAACATGCATAAAAACCTTCTCATGTACTGGTGTTACATAACCAATCGCCATCGATCCAAGTTCTAAAACTAGATAGGCGAGAGGGAACCGTTCAAACAAACAATCCTATGTAACACTCTATTCGTTCGGCGTGTATCTGGCTTCGATGACTGGCCAGCCGAGAGCAAGCCAAACTGCCTTTTAGGTTGGTGCATCAGCTCAAAACAATCTCAACCAAGTAATCGTGCTGGGGTCCCGAAAAATGTCGGCAACCCGAATTCCTGGGACGCAAGGGCCGATCCACGAAATGGATCCTTCCCGTACATTTATACGGGCTCTCAGCCCTGTTAGACTCGAGAATCTGTTCAATCAAGTATTCTTGAACGCTCTTCTTTATATTGAAATCGAGGTAAGTGCCTGTTTCTTCTTATTAGAAAGTCTACCAAGATGGTGGCATCTATATCACAAGACAGACTTCCGCAGCGCAAGGCCATACACCGATGTCAGTTCACCCAGAGACAGAGACTTTACTTCAATATCAATATCTAGTTACAAGTGTCATACTACCTAAAACTAACATACACAGCACATTCCCCCGAACTCCTCGCTACAGCAAGCAAGATAATAATAACGTCATGAAGTCTTGATACACTTATCCATATCTACCATACAGCACTCCTTGGTCTCTCTTCCCTCACTTCAGTATTTTCGTCGACACATTTCACATTAATTACCTGTTGTTGTTTCCTTGGTGGCACCGGCATGCTTTGGTGGTTGGTGCTGCCGTCATAGTCTGGAGGGAGTATCATGGCTTTAGGGGTTGGCGGAATTCTTTCTGGGACGAACTTGGGCGCTCGTGCTTTGGGCTCTGCGAAAGCCCGAGGGGAGTGAGTACTCGGGTTCGATTCGGCAGGCTTTTGAGAGAAAACAGCCTCCTTGCTTAAGGCTGAGCGCGAGTCTCCCTTGCGATGCTTTGTCGTCTTGACTGGCAGCGACGCCTCATGCAGCTCGCGGTCAGCGGCGGGTTCAGGGTTCTTGTACCTTGTCGGCTTGCTAGCCACCGGTACAGGATTTTGTCGATGCCGATGAGACGGCGACGTTGTATTAGATATGCCTTCGCTCTGGTGTCTAGTGTGGCGGTTGGACTCATTGGTCAACCCCCGTGCTTCACTAGGTAGAGGTGGAGGGATCTCATTGGAAGTCATGCGGCCATGGGAAGTCTTCTTTGATAGGCTTTTCGGCATTGTCGTACTGCCACTACGATGTCTGCCACGACTTGCCGGGCGAGCAGGCGTCCCTTGACTTGTTTCAAGAGGCGAAATTGGAGATTCGTTTGAAGCTTTACTTCTCGAGTGAGACCTTTCACTGCTGTATTTCGGGGAGTCATTTGCCCTGGCGTGTCGAGAACTAGAGCGCCCGGTATGAGGATCTGACTTCGTTGGACTTCTTCTGGCAGAGTCCTTCCGCTTAGCCAGTAGTACAGCGGCATAATCCTCCTCGTCAACGTTACATATGAGACTATCACGTCTCGGTCCGGCCAAGTCCCCCTGGAATACCATTAGGTCTGCACCAAGTTTTTCCAGATCCGGAGACAGCATCGCTGGCGTAACGCCAGGTGTTATTTTCCTAGGCGATGCTTTAACTTCCTGGTCTCTTTGTCTCATCACACCAATTGGGATTGATTGAGGTGATTGATCTACTGTGCTAGTAGATTGTGAGTGACGGGTCCTATGACGGCTTGCATTGCGGGACTTTGTTGACGTGGGTCGTCTAATAGAGGCCTCGCTAGTCGTGGGAGGATTGTTGAAATTGCTAACCAGTCCAGAAAATTCGGCATCGGGATCTAGATCAACACTTCGAGGTGTAAGGTCATCCGCTAATTCATTAGGGTCAGTACCTAAGGGAGACCGCTTCCAAGAATATTGGGGCGAGATTGGAGACTCGCCATGCCTTGTGCGTGGAGCACTTCGACGACCGGATTCCATGAGCGGCTCTGGACTTTCGTTACTTGAGCCAGTGGATGCACTAGGCTTTCCCGATAGAGTGGACGAGGCATTCGAGGTATCCGATGGCCCTCCTTGGCTTGATTCGTCGTTTGGTTGCATCATGAATTCGCTACCCGTCCCACTGGCTGATTTTTCTTCTCCTTCCGGTCGGTACACCAGTTTGGCGTATGGGGCGGTTTCCGTATCAACGACTAAAAGTTCCTTTGCTCCTCGTGAAAGAACACCGTATACATTGACTTCGCCGTCCTGGATCCCGATCACCGCACTGGTGCCTGCGTACACAGCATTATCTTCAACTCCAGTCCGGTTCGCAAATATTACGATGATCTCTTCCTCAGTTTCGGCGCGAATCAGAGGCTCCAACCTAGTTAACCAGTAGGTTAACGTATCCAAATCAGGCTCTGAGCTTTTACTCGAGTAGACTCCGAAATCTTCGGTGGTAAGCCAAGCCATGCTTAGGATAACTACATTCGCGTTGGATTCTAAGACATGGAATGCGAATTCAAAAGCATGCCATGGAGCTTCGAATTTATAGGGGCTAATGAATAAGTTAGTACCCAGGTAGGGTGCGCTGTCTGTTAAGTGAGCCGCTTACTTAATATCCATACCTGGTGATTTTAGTTAGCAAGACAATGGCTACACTATCACGACATATCACAGGAGACTTACAAATACCCATGGCTACATTGCCCTTGATTCCGGGAAGACGACCCTTGAAAAAGCCAGACCCCTCAAGAGCCCATGTTTCATCGGTATAATACAGATGACTCTTTCGATAATTCCCAATAGTGTCTCCGTCTTGGTTCACCATTAACGCGGAATTATAGTATTCGGGAGACGTTGGCCATTGTCTTGACACATCCATCTTCTCGGGGTAGCCGACGATTGTTGTGCAGTTGTACTTGAGAGCAGTCGTTCTCGCCCATACGGAAGAGATTCCTGCGCCAGTCGGCTCGAGGAATGGAGAGATGTCGCGCAGAGATCGGAAGTTGTAGCCTAAGTTGATTAGTCTGTGTTCTCGTCACATACTTACACAATGGTAACTGGGTACTTACCTGTAACCGCTAATTCGGGTAGGACGAGAAGGTCCAGGTCTTGAGGATTCGCCTTATTGAGGATGGCATCGGCTCGATTTAGGTTGTTATCGACATCGCCGACCTTAACACACATTAGCTTAACGACTACTATCTTTACTTGGTTGAAATACCTGAGGCGCAAACTGCAAGCACGCGATCTTCATTGTCGCAACTTCTTCCCTATCTTGCTACCCGATAATAGTTGTAGGGAGAACCTTTATCGCCGATGGCTGGTGGTGGGGAAATTTCAAGATGACGACGTTGACTTTGCTAGAACAACTTCCGCTTTAGTCCAGGCAAGACGGCGCCACCTCCCGCGACAGCTGGACAATAGTCAGACTGCTTCACAACAACTGGAAAGTCTCCGTATTGTGCAGAAGTTAAGATCACGATAGTAACGATATATGCGAGAGCGGGATGGATCGTACGCACCAGAATAGCGCTTGTACTATTAAGACCCAGGCCATTAATGGCAAGTATTAGGTACCGTACTAGGTATCGCACTAGGTACAGCCAAGTGGGGTCGATTTGTAGATTATTCGGCTCCAGGCCTGTTCCTGCACCATTCAACACACGAGCCACTGGTTAGATCATTCTACAGAATTCGTGACAGGGGGTCATCATCCATCGCAGCCACTTACAAGGACCGATTTAGCGCTCTACAAACGGCAGGCAGGGGCCATCAGCAAATCATTAGAACCCGTCCTACCGACCCATAGGTGTGGAAACCCACTGGCTCGGACCTAACGGATGGCTTCTTTTAGCTCTTTTCTCACCTAAGAGCGCTATGGATATAGGTATGCATCAAGCCACTGAAGAATATGTGCGCTCTTATTATCGGTGTGATCATTTGGCTTTTACATATCTCATAACCCCTACAGCTTATTCGTTCAATTACTATCCTATGAGATTCATGGATAGATTCGGTTACGCTGTCCCGAATTCTTACGTAGCCCTCCAGGTGTGAGTTCCAATGCCGACTTACTTGCGGAGGTGCTTTTCTACCTTTCACTAAATGTGTGTTGCATTTATGATTCGGTCACAATATGTCAATATCTATCTCATTCTCTCAACTCTTGACCCCACCTCTATTCTCGCCTAACAGCCTAGGAGCTCGCAAGCTATTGACATTCCCAGATGGTGGCATCGGCGTTTAAATAGCAGCATGGGAGAAATAAAACACTCGGCCGATAATCGAATGATTGAATGATGCCCAGGTGTCGAGAACAATCCTCCTCAACCAATATATTACCAGCATTTGATGCATGCTGTAGGCGGGTATGTACCTACGTACCCCTATATTTTAGGCGCTACTCCAACTTGCAGAGCCTTATCAGCGGACCCTCCCGCCCAAAGACGTCACACAGCGACCCCTAGAGTTAGGGGTATTTTCTGCAGCGGAATATTATCTTAAGCGAGGTCCAGTAACATTTCCACACCATCCTTTTCCAACTACCACTGTTTCATCAATACCTCCCAATCGCTCCTGATTACGATAGTATAAGACTTTGGCATTCTAGATATTCGGCAATTGAACATACTGTATCTGTCGGTACCCCCTGTTCATGGACTGCTGGCCGCAGCTCCGCCAAGACGGCGCCTCAGTACTGCAGGCGATCATCCGACAAATATAAAAGATATAAAAAGACTTTCACGCCCCTCTCACCTATATATATGTATACTCGTGCGACATACTTCAATCCTTCCCAGCAATATTCGTTGACCGCAAGTTGATAGCCTTTCGCTGTGAGGGACTCATCATATTTGACCCCTCTTAACAAGGATTTTTCAAGAGGCAACCTCTATATCGGTTACCTATAGTTACACGACTCTTCGATACACGACAGATACGTAAGCCAAAATGGCCAGAACTGGAATCTGAACGGCTATTATAATCCACGCGACGAGCCTAGTGTAACTGAAGCTGCAGGGGGCACATTACGGCAACGAGAAACTACCAAGTAGGTGCCTCGTAAGTACGATTTAGGGAAAGAGGTTTCCTATCTATACTACTAGATAGGTAGGTAGGTAAGTAGTCTAATAATATTAATTTCAATAGGTATCTATTGCGGAGTTATAAATCTTTTGCAAGTTGTACGTGGTTGGTTGACCAGTAGCCCCTTTTAAGGCCAACCGCGCGCTTATTCAAACTCCAATATGAACCCAACTCAACTGACCTTAAAAGAGTGTTTGACTACGTTTACTGTCTAATTAATCCCATTATTAAACATAAAAACTAGAACCAGTCCCTCTCACACATCACCCAACTTCTCTTTAAAACCCATTTAGGTCATGTTCAACCGCACTTGCAGGGCGAAACCGGGTTTGGTCCTGCGTCTCCTAGGTACGAGCTCGAGTTGATATTAGAGAAGCCGAAGAACGCCAGACCATTGCGAGTCGAACTTCGTAAAAGTATTGTTAGCTTATCATGATATTTCTGTCTTGAATAAGACGGGTATTTGTGGAGCTTACTTAACTAAGGTCATTATACCAGCGTCGCCAGTTTCCGTAAATCCCCACGACGCGAAGTAGCCACTTCCTTCGCATTCCCGATCATACCACTGCCAACTTTGCATATCGGTTCCTTCGGGCGGCGTTAGAGTAAGCATGCAGCGTGAGCCACCCGCGCTTCCATCGAGGAGCCTGAAGCCTATGGTCACCGTATGCTTCTGAACGTCGACGTCTAATGAAGATCGTTTCTCAGCTATGATATCTCATCTAAACTAGGTTTGGGCGCAATACCTCTAAACATATCCTCGACTTTCCACGCGGTGGAGGATGGAGTACTGTTTCCGTTGTCCTGCCGTCCCACGATCAAATCGCGCCGCTGAGCAGTTGCCTGAGGATATGTTGGCATGGTCTGATTAGAGATATGAGATGCGGCATCCAGGTCATCGTCTGAGAACGCGAAATATGCCAAGGAGTTTTCAGCGTTATTCACAAGAACGACGACGACGAATCCCTGATCGCTGTGTCCACCGTTAACAGTGTACGAGCTGTTGGCGCTGCAGGAGGTTTCAAATGATGCCACGCCGCAGTCTGTCCCTTCTACGACCTTGACATTGAAGTTGCAGCTGAAGATATCGGTCGTGTCTGCTCCCGAGGTAGAGTTGATGACGGTGAAGTGCCAGGCGCAGATCGTGTTGTGTTGGAGTTTGGTGCGGCGGGTATCGGATACCGTCAATTGCCCTGTCGACTCGAGCGATGCCGCCGGACGAACAGCCGCGAAGCCGACAGCGAAAAAGAGAAATCTCGACAAAGGAATCTTCATTTTGAATAACTTCCAATTGTTATTTGATGTTTTTGACTTGGTATATTGTCGTTGACACTAGATTGAGGTCTCATCGATTCGGACGGCTGCTTATATAGCCATTGAACTCCCCGAGCTTCGTCGCCTCCCGACTCAACATGATGGAATACTGCCGAATGTCTCGACTGCACATCAAGGATCCTGCCTCAGAGCAAACGACGGCACGTCCGCATATGCAAACATGCGCGACATGAACTGGGTCCATGAGACACCAGACAAGCGGTATGATGTTGAAGAATCGCGTACCCGCCTCGCTTCCGCTTAAACCTAGTCGTCATCCGCGTGGGGTTTTTAACTTAAGGTATGGACTCACGGGTCACAGCAAGGCGAAGTAGGTGTGTTTGCTTCGAAGCCGCGTCTTCATGCAGTATTACGGACCAATGCAGAGTGCGGTCACTGCAGTGATCTGGTGGAACTTCGTTGACATAAACCCGTCGGCTTCCCGCAGCAGGTTATATATATGAGAGCCGATAGATCACATTGGCCTCGTTATCTGCCTGGTCTGCCTGGTGTAGGTTTGAAACATTGACGTATATAACTGGGCCATGATGTAGGAACTCATGTCATGATCATGGATATACCTCCTACGATGGAAATTTTGAAACTTCATCGAAGATACCCCTGAAAAATGGTTAGCCTGTCCTATCGGCAGTAGGGCATGGTTGAGTTGCACGAGGTTACTAGCGTAATCTTACGTCAACTAGCACATCTCTATACGAGCTTGTGAGATGGATTTTTAAGACATCTGGAGCGGTACTGCGGTTCTGGCAGTTCAGATTTCAAGAAGTCTGCTAGAAATGCCGGAGAAAGGAGACTCTCAATTACAACAGATATCACCGAAATTCATTCCAAGACACGTGTCCAGGATTCAGAGAGAAAGATGCAAGATTGGTCTCAGCTCTCCGTATTTATATCTTATCACTGGCTATTACGTTGGAAAGAAGTTAAATCATCGTATGCAAGAAGAAGGGGGGTATATTTGGTCTCAGCTACTCGTAGAAATTGAAACTGCCCTCTCTATACCTAGTACCTGCGATCCTTTTAGCCATTTGAAATCCATCGAATCAAGTAGAGATTTGGTTATAGTCCTAGTACGAATAATTGTTCATTGACGACAAAGATGAATACCTATATAAAGGTACCTTATTCCAACCCCTTTTCCCACACACCATGACCCACAAATAATTATGATATGGCCATACTTCATATTCTCAGGGAATTAGAGAGAATAAGAGATGATCGACAGTGAATGAATGATAAGAAGCAAAAACTAGCAATGGGATGAGTCCCCGCTAAGGCATCCCGTAACATTCATCCTCTGAAAACTAGACCACTTCAACTTGGCTTGGACCAGCATTTCCAAGATGGGCCTGTGTATTAATGTGATCGAATCCGAAGAAGGCACGCTTGTCTTTTTCAGGACTTAACAGTTGAGAAACGTCAGCAAAAAGAGACATTATCATGGTATACGCTTAGACTTACGAGACCACAGTCATAACTGCAGCATCATTTCCGGGTTGATACCCCCAAGAGATCGACCAGTCATTGTTGAGGCAGTTGTAGTTCGAGAATGACCAAGAGCTTAGATCTGTATCGACAGGGGCCGTTGCGTAAACTTCACACCAGACGCTGGTGGGAGATCCATCCACAATGAGCATAGTCGTAACGACTTGGTTGGTCGACCATAGAAGCTCTGCGAGGCGTGTTAATTATTGTTTTTTTCTCTGGCACGGAATGGTGTCTTTCATCAACTGACCTCGACTTAGATCCTGAATCCTCCAAGATTCGGAATCAACCTGCCTCTCCTGAATTGCTAGTCCCTGGGTTAGGGATACCAGGAACTGGCAGACGAGCGGGACAAAGAATTTCTGCATGTTGGGATAGATGATATGAGATATTAGAGGTTTTAAGGAGTGTATCTTGATGTGGAAAGAGAATGATGCTGGTGTTGATCCAAAATGGTCTCGCCGTCTGTGAAGTCTTATACTCACTTAAGGTACCAGGTATATGTTGAGGCACTATCGACGACAGGCAACCAGGGATGAAACGGCATCCCACAATCTAGCTAGGAATATTGATGTCAAAGATTGACTCGTATATCCGTGTAAGGGAAACACTGAGTGGTCTGATGATCACAATTTCTTTTCCCGAACTTTGATTCAACATCGACAAAGGTTACGGCGAAGATGTTGGATATGGTGTCGATGCTATTGAGGTACAAACACGCCAGTAATTGCTAATCATCTAGGAGGTCGAATACGATCTTTCATTATGGGCTACGGCCGGTACACTCCGTAATGGGTAGAAATCATGATATGAACTAGGATAGAGCGTCGAGTGGTAGTTGACTGGTCGAATCACAGGTATCCCCAAATTTGATGCACTACCCCTTCAATATATTCGATATTAATTAACACACTGAAGAATGTACAATCTTCATAGTACCTAACCTTACCCATTGGTGAGTTACTCGTGCTACATCGCATATTGTCAGCCTTACCATAATTATAAGACTTATTTACTCAATCCCACGCCCATCCCTGCGGTAAGTTCCGTATTTCAAAGTGTGATAACAGAAAAGACTCATAATGGGATATTTAACACAAAGGGCAATGCTTTTACATCCCGATGATAAGAGTTTCAATTCCTGGTAATCAGGTATACATCATCTTTGATATCCGAGAGTCTGCAACATCCCTTGATACTCCAATTGGCCACAGGAAGCGTATTCTATTATTGGTAATTTCCTCAAACTGGCATTCTAGCAATGTTGGGTAGTGACAAGCTTGTAGGTATGCGCTCCTAAATCTGTTCCTGCATTGAGTAACCGTGATAGTGTGACAGGTTCGAGTGATGCATCTTGAGCCATCAGATCTAGTTCCACGGCTTGTTCGGAATTGGGTGAAAGTTTCCTGTAATCGCTGGGGAGGATGTCTGTTGGTTGTACACAAAGGCAATACTAGGTCTCTGGGCCAGGTGATGGTCCTACTTTGCAACAAACACGGGAGATAGATAGCACCTATACTCCGTTGGCGCTGGATGTTCGTTACAGAATCGCAACAGTCAACTTATTGTACAGGGCCATTCGTGCAAGCAGTTTATGTTGTATATATAGATGGTGGGCGGCGGGCATAGCAGCAGAGGCTCTTTTGTATGAAACTATCGTGTGCCATGGCATTGGAAGTTAGACCGACAGGGATAGCAAACTCCATACTGGTCGTGTTAATAATGGCTCTTTGGTGCATACCTAGTATCTATGTACAGAAGAGTGAGGTCCATGGACTAGTAAGAACGACGTAGCATAAGCGAGATCTTACACAATTAAGCGCCGAGGTAGGGGTCTATCTGATTAATGGAAGGATTCTTGGACTACCAACATCGCTTATCGGGATTTCTTAGGTAAAGGAAAAGTCTATGTTCAAATCCCGCTGTGCGAAGTATTAGCAGCTATGTTGGATTCAGCCTTGAAAGATGGTGAGATTTTCCACCTCAAACACGATGCTGATGCTAGGATAAATTAAGTTGATTAGTTGGCTCGAAGTAAGGGAGATGAAAAGTCACGTGACTTGGCTTTAGGCGAGATTGCAACTGGTTTTTTTAAGTGAATGTATGATTATGTCATCAGGATATCGAAGTCAAATTAGTGGGGAGAGTCATGTATCTTAACACTATTCTACTCTTCATTTTCTGCAATTGTAAAGTTTTTTTCATCACTTATAACTCTCTGGATCACTTTCACTCGATTTTACTTCTGTGTGTGTTGACATTTGAAAAATTCTATTGATGGATTCATGAAGTACCTTGTAACAACAGCAAGTTTGATTGGGCACGCTTGCAGCAATGCAAGCCACAGTCACTATTGTGATCGCGCCCGATTCTCATTTTCTTGGCGCCCTGTCAAAGACCAACCTTGAACCGGTCTTACTGCAACCTGCACCTCGTTTATTAGGTTCAGCTGAATTGCAGACTCTCTGGATTCTTCTTCATATTTTCCTTCGGAGCTCTTCCAAGGTAAATATTTTGATCTTATTAACTAAGCGCTAATGTGCGTGTAGGCAGGTCAAGCGCTTGTCTATATAACGCAATGTTACTCTGTGCTGTCTTCTGATGGCCCTTCGTTGCAACGAAAAACTTGAGTGTTTAAGATTCGGAGTATTTGGAGAGCCTGCTTAGTGCTCTCCCCAATTCAAGCTTCTTACAGACGCCGATCCACCGCCGTCTTCCTTGCTCGTGTTGCATATTATTGGTCCAATGTTTCCTAGTTCGGCAGGCTGCCGGTCGCTGTTCTGGCCGGCGTCTACGAGACCACTCATATCGCGTTCTACCACCGTCCTAGCTATTCACCCCTGTCCAGTCGTTTCGACCTCCCCGGACTTGAGATTCCAACCTTCAAGATTGGCTTTCTACTTCTTCCCACCGGGAGCTCCATTCTCGCGCCTCTCGTGGAGTAGTCTATTGCTCCCCATTGGTTGATCATGAATTTGAATGGCTGGAAGGATATCGATGTCATTCTCTGGATTTGACTCTGATTGGCCTGACAGTCTACGTAGTTTCTCCCCTCATTAGAGCAACCAACAATTCATGCTATAATGGGAAACAACTCCACGGCTACACATGCGCTTTTACGCCGTTAGTCTTTCAGAATTTCAGCTAGGCTAACACGGTCTACACTCCGGAGCCGCCTTTCTTGCATACGGCGACTTTCGGCCAAGGATAAGATGCAGTCTCCAACCTATATGTACATACCGACGACCCTCAAGTTCAGCCAAGTCTCGAGCTTTGCGTCTGATTCCTATTCGTATCTTTTTCTAGACGCACTGGTTTGTTAGAATTATACCATCCACCTCCAAAACAGTCAGCATTGTGGTTGGTGAATAGGTAGACTAGTGCGATGTTCGAATCATCAAGACGGTGCCTTCTCTCTCGTCCAGTCTAACCTCTTCCTCGTTAACCTCCTCTTTCATACGACATGACCTCGTGTTTCGTCCTCTTAATATTTTCTCTCCTCTATTTTCAACAAAAAGCCGTAGCGTTACAAGTCACTCCGGGGTCATCATGTGCGTCGGTCTGTTTGGACGATCCAGCAAACCAAGATGCGTCATCAACAAATTCGTCAGATATCGTATGCAATGATCAAGAATATTCGACCACGACCGCCGGCATCAGATTTAAGAACTGCGTCGAATGTTTACAAGAGAGTCATGCTATGAGCAATGGGGAAAATGACATATCTTGGTATCTATGTACGTGTTCACTATCGCCAGATATGTGAGTTGACGTACTGACTTTCAACTCGAGACAACCTACGATACTCTGTTGACGTATGCATATACGGTTTCCCAAACGCGACAAAAACCATATCGTCTCCGTGTGATATTGATTATGCTTGCCGACCTCTTAAGCAAGCATTAGAGACCGGGAATCTGAATCCTGACAATGGGACTCAGCTCGACTATTGCACTGCAGATGGTGGCGCATTCAATGGCTCTCAGCTGCAAGACTGCGTCCAGTGTTTCCGATCTAGTGCTAACCAGTTTTACATGTCAAATTGTATGACAATTAATCCTCACTCTCGTGGAAGAGGACGTTGACTAAATTTCAATAGTTCTCACGGCGTTACAGGCGGGATGTGAGCAAAAGCCCCAAGCCGGCGACCTCCTTGGTCTTAGCGGGTCATTGTTCACTCAATTTCAAGTGAACATCACTGCTGCTCCTCAGAATCAGACTACTGCCTCTGATGACAAGTCGAAGACTACCATGACCACTGGCGCCATCGTTGGTATTGCTGTCGGAGCTACATTGCTATTTTTGGGAGGGACGGGGTTGTTCTGGGTCTATCACCGAAAGCAGAAATATCTATATGGTAGCCCACTCGAGTCGCAAAATGGACGAAAATCTATCTCGCCGCCTCTCGTGGGCAACTATTCGAATTACTATGGAAACACCCAAAACTCTCTACCGACGAACTGGAAGACGCGAGCTCAGCAGCCTTACACCAATAATGCCGACTACTATGATCAAACGGAGAAGGTAGTGCAAGGTAACCCGAAATCGAATTATACATACAATCCGAACCAATTAGGCCTACCCACCCATCCTGCCTACCTACCGCGGGTCGCGAGCCGAACAGCGTCTCGGAATGACACGCCTAGCCCGCCACCACCGATCAAATCTAATAAACCTGATGATTTCGCCATAAATTCTTATCTGAATGCGGCACCTTCAATGAACCAAATAATACCGACCCCGTATATCCCGGCCGCCGCAACAACAGCAAGCGACAAGGGCCCCTTACCTCTGCTACCTACGCAATTCCAAGCTCAGCCATATCTATATCCTCATCTTCAACCCCCTCAACCCCAACCAACTTATCCAACGCCTCAGGTAACAATATCGCTACCAAACCACGCACCTCCACCCCACCCAATCTTCACGAGCGCCGCGCCCCCTCCCCCACCACCTCCCGGCCAGCCTGCTCCTCGGCTATCACTCCCTAGCAAAGCGCGGAAACCGATGAAATACGTGCCACCACGAATAACCGTCGACCGTCCACTCGAGGAAGTAACACCACCGCATAGCAGAGATCATGATGACTACGACGACGACCGGGACGAGGTCCTGTCCATCGGGTTCGAAATACCAAACCCCACGCCTCGGCGCGAGCAAGAGGAACCGCCACGGTGGGGGCAAGAATCACACGTAGGGTACGGGATAAGGATGGGAACGCCACCAGAGCAGCATCGGCAGGAGCCGCAGGTTGCCGAGCACCGCGTCGTAGACCGGCGACGGAGGGTGACTGAGTTCACGGACATGGCGTCTATTCATTCAACCCATAGCGATTTGTACGGATAGTGTAAGATCTCGGATAGTTAAAACGAATAATGATACATTGGTGGATTTTTGTCTAGGAAAAGCATCGAGATCTACGGGAGTTTGGGAGATGTTTTATATCGGGACATAGCATGGATATGACCATACTGCACATTTTACGGTGGGAGCATTGATGGCTATCACCGCGATAACATATTAAGTAAATTAATGAGAAAATCTTCACATTTATCGTCCATCATTAACTATTTAAACACGTGCTGTCTTAACCTAAACGTCTACCAGGACCCTTACTCCTCCATGAATCCGGTAAAGGACCGCTCCTAGCTCCTTCCCTCTGGGGCTGCTCTGCTGGTCCGGGGGTAGTTTCCCCGACCCCCAGTGCATCCACAGCCCATGTAAGGAAACCTGGAGTCGGAATGAGGTTGATGCCGTTGCCGAACTCGGGGTATATCCGAGTTAAGAAGTCATGCAGATGAGCAGCAACGAGACCCGTCAACCCGATCTTCAAGCTAACCCAGCCACCAGGGAATAGGAGCTGGACAAGCAGGAGACAGTAAGGCGTAAGTTGTGCTGGGATAGTGATGATGTAGAAGTGTGCGTTCATGCCTCTCTGGTCTTGCGTTGCTGTATAGCATAGTGCAGTGAGTAATGCATGCAGTAATAGCATGCCTTCGGTGAAAAATGCGTTTAAGGGCTAATGTCCTAGTTAGCCAGCTATTTCGCCTCGAACTATGGCCAAGATTACACGATAGATAAATTGCACGAAAGCAACCTATAAAGGCTAAGTATGTAGGGCGCTTAAAACCACCCGAGTAAACGCGTCCGAAGACATTACTCGAGTCATCCAATGAGACATCCCACCATGCCCACACTCCTAGCTGACCCTAATGAGGTATGCGAATGACGGGCCAGTAGCAGTGCAGGGGTAATCTTCCTCAGTTCCAGGAACCGTCATAGCTGTAGTGCGATATCACTATGCGGGCAGATATATGAGGTGTGTTTAGGTGTTTACAAAGACAGGTAATGCAGCTTGAAACGCGGACGAGGAAATACGAAATGTGAACAGCAGAAGGAAATAATGACCTACACAAATGACACCGGCGACGAATATCAAGTACCAGATCACGTCCGCCTTATTCTTGAACTTAGGGTTGCCCTCGAGCTGGCTCAAGTATGTGAAGACGAAGTATGTATCAAATAGCACAGACATTCCCGATCCTGTCAACAGGAAGCTTGTTACAAGTCGGTAAAGCCCAGGAGGATACTTGAAGATCAACGAATAGTGGAAGATGAAGGGCTCGGCGCTGACCATGCCCGTGTAGAAAGCTACAGAGCACAGAAATACAGCTGTTGCGACCGTCCTGTTGAGGTTCTATTAGCTTGATGTCTCATGCGCGCAAACAGCTCAATCGAGGAGCAAGGAAGCTTACCTAGCAATAGGAGGTGTGCCCATATAGACATTGAGTATGTCGGCCATGATTGCGATGGTTTGTGGATAATGTTACTACCGGCGTATTGTGATCAATGTGCGAAACAACGATTTTCAATCGTGCAAGTCTCCGTCGAGGAAGTACGGTACGCCAAAGACACGTTTTACTTTCGGCAAGACTACTTGAGCCTCAAGGTGGCAATGACGAATATGGTGGCACGACACGCAGAGACGCAGACAGCGCTGCCGTTCGCATGTTGGTTGGCCAATTGGGGAGCAGCGCTCGGTTATTAATGGGAGGGCAGGAATGGAATGTGAAGGAAGAGAAAATTTTGTTTCGTGTCAAATTCGAGCGAAAGGAAAGATAAGCTTGATTCTTGCGCTACACGAGCCACATAATCCACTATCGTGGCGGCTTAGATAATATGCTGTGGCTAGTGGAGAAAATCCCCTATTTGATTGCTGAGTCATCACCCCCTTTTCTTTAACAAACTCTTGAGGCTGCCCAGGATCTACCGATCAAATACCAAGTCTTAATAGAATCCATGTAAGTGTCACTCCGATTAGAAGAATATGGGGTGAAATATCTCTATCATGTTTGCTAGTGGACCAAACATCGACCCCCTTCCAACATCGACATTAAAACGATAGCAGGTTTTGATTGACAGAATTATGTGTGTTCAGATGGAAAAAGTCAATAGTAACCTATTATTGCCATATTGCCGAGCTTAGATTCTGCGGCATTAAATCGATGCCAAGTTCTGTGGCTTTGAACTTAAAGACTTTAGGCGACAGGTATTTAAGTTTGTGAGTTGCGGATTAATTTTGAGGCAAAAATATGGTTTAGTTCACCCTATCAAGCCTCAAAATTCTGGTGGAAATGTAAATTTCTTTTGTAAAGCAATCGATACCTATTTTTCGTGGCTTAACTTCATGTCAATAAACTATTCCCTTAAGGAACTATACTATCGCCCTCACAACAAATAATTGTGATTGTTTACATTAGACAAAATCTTACTCGAGTTCGATGACTATAAATTGAGCCGTAGTCCCTCCTAAAATGCCAATATCTTAAGATACCAATATAAATCCATATCCTCGTGTCATCAAATACCTACTAAATCTTGTCAGACAAAATGGCTATCATGAAGACCCTTTTCTCCCTCCTAGCACTTGCTACCACCGTCCTTAGCAAAGACAACGTCCCCTTGGATACCTGGACGTTATACAACAGCAGCATCACATGCAACACCTCCTGCGAGTATAAGTTTTTCATAGAGAAACACAACTCTGGAGAAACTTATCCTTGCAACCTCCACACAGAAGGACCTCCCAATCCTCAAGCAATTCTCATTGATAGGCCCTGCCACGCTGATCCCCACCTCGCACTCACGATCAACTGGGGAATGGACCGCTCGATCATATTCTGCATTGCGGATCTCGACGAAAAGGCCATCGCCTACTACAGCCTCGAGTCTTATGAAGTCCGCAATGGGACTATCGTACCAAACAAGACCGAACGGGCTTGGGGGCTTGGCCAAGTTCCGACTCTGAGCACAGGATCCACGCCATTGCCGGAGATATGGTTGTGATCCTACCCATGTGTACTAGGCTCCATAGTGGGATAATGTCTTATAGAGACTGTTCGAAATCTGGTTTAGCTTGTCATGATCATTTTTTGGTTTCATATGGTTATAATTGGGGATTAGATTGGACAATTCATTGTGCAGAGTATAAAGTGAGTCTATACTTGGTTCATAGGATGATGAAGGGCAGGTTTATAATAGAATTGGTACGGGTGTAGGTAGTTAAAAGCGATTTCCATGTGACAATGAGTGCAGAAGTATCTAGAATACTGTGATTTATTGTTAAAGGAAATGAAGGGAGTAACTAAGGTAGCCCTGAAGTTAGCATGTAGAGTAAATAAGTGTCAATCTAGCTAATAGTTGTCGTCATCTAAGATTGCACTTCGTATTTATATGGTGCCTTTGTCACGTCCTGATGCTCTATCTGAGAATTGGAACGATACCTCGTGGGTAAAGCATATTCGTCAATGTGGTATCTCCCAGACCTACAGGACCCTGGATAGTTTCTTTAGCACCTCAGTGGGCTGTATAAACAGCACGACAGAGGCAAGCTATTTGGACAGGCACTATCTTAGTTCTGTAGATAGTAGAAATCCTCACTGCCCATTCTCATCTATTACACTTACACGGTGAGGGCATTCCAAACTTCCACAAATCACAATTCTTTCCAAATCCCACCCCCAACACATCTGACCTCGCAAATAGCGACCACATTGCCAAAAACAGGCATATGTGGTCCGTAAGAAGCCTTTTGGCACCGAAAGGATCGGCATCACATTCCTGATAGTAATACCTCAACTACCTAGGTAAGTATCACCGACTAGGTGTGATCGCGACCATGGGTAGTCGCAACGAGCTGCTTGATCTTGAGTACGTTAGACCTATAATCCTTTGCGAGATGTACGATTAGCTGACTTCCTAGTAGGATGAACGATCCCGCAGACATGATTGTCAAATGTGGAGATGAAACATGGCCAGTTCACAAAGAGGTCCTATCGACCCGCTGCCCGTTGTTCAAGCGTGCATTGGAGGATGATCCCGAGGTAAGAGAACATGACAATAAATATCAATGCCTAGAAACTAATCAGATAAACTCCCTAGAACGAGGTTAATGAGATCATTATTGATGGGGACGAGCAGACCATCAATTGGGTAATGGATTGGATTTACCTTCAAAGTGAGCGCATTACATTAGGCCTACCAAGTCTTACCTATAGGTTTCTAATCAAAGTATAGGAATTGAGCCTGAGATCAACTTGGATTCTATGCAATACTTCCCGAGAATGTACAAGGCCGCGGAGAAATTCGAACTGCATGACATGATGAAGCAGATCAAACGCGAGCTACAAGTCTTTCTGCGCGACAGAGCCATCGATGTGCAGCAACGTTTTCACGACGCCAACCCTGAGCAAGAACCCGAGTGGATTGAAGAGGATCATATTGAATCAATCCGACACGCCGTTGAAGAGGCATATAACAAGCACCCAGTCCAAGAGCTCCAACCTTTCTTCGTCCATTATTTCGAGGCGGCTATGTTCTGGCCATTGGGATCGAGCTCGTTCGATGATCTTTTTGAAATCGTGCCTGCCTTTGCCGATGACGTGCTATTATCATTCATGGACCGCGATTACACTCCGGGCATCCTGATCGCTCCCATAGTCTGCGAGAATTGTCTGAGATGCCCGTTCACTCGAGTGGTCCGTGAGACCAGATACCATTACGTTGAGGTGTGGCAGGATGACACGGGAGAGTGTCGAGGGGTCTGCAACCTCTGCACCGACTACAGACCTGCACTGTTTGCCGACCCCGCCGAAGACTAAACGAAGAAATTGCAAGGATAATGGACATGATGAGAATGAACGGAGGTTAAGAATCAAAAGTCATGAATCTGGAAAATAGGATTGCTCGAAATGCGGGAGAAAATGGTAGGGGTCCTTGAATCTTTTCTGCTTTATTTATTGATGGGGAAGAGGGATGAAATTGACCACCAATTTTCTTAATTATGAGTATTCATGTGTTAACTGTGCATCCATCAAATGGGAATAAATTCCCGGTCATCATATTCCTTCAAGAGGGAGGCTATTTTCTGTAAGCTTGAGCTGCGCTCCTGCTGCTGGGTCTTCTTCCTGAATGTTTGCGCTATTGTAAGGTTAGGCCTGTCAATATAGCGCGGTTGGGCTTATTGGCCCCTAAGATTAGGGACTCGGGGCAACTGCGGGGTGCAGTAGAGATTGCCCCGCGGGTAAACCTGACTGAGCCGATCGGCTGGACGCCGACGCATTTACAAACCCAACTTATAGGTTGGAGAATCGAAATCTAAACCGCCCCCTTTTCCTATGCGCTGATATACCAAATTACTTCATAATTGCACTCTACCATGGCTGAACAACAACACGTCTCATTCAAGATAGAAGACCTTTTCTCTGTCAGAGAAAAAGTCGTCGTCGTAACAGGCGGAGGATCCGGCCTCGGGAAAGCGATCGCCGAGGGCTTTGCTGTGAACGGCGCGAAAGTCTATATCACTGGGCGGAGACAGGACGTCCTGGAAACTGCGGCGAAACAGATCGGTGGTAACACCCATGTGTAAGAGAGCTTCTACATCATACAGACGTTGAGAATCCCTTGCTAACTTGAAAATTAGTATCCAAGGAGACGTACAGACCAAGGCAGGATGTCAGAAGATCGCCGAAGCCGTTCAAGCCCAGGAAACTCATGTCTGTAGGCCTTGAAGTTCCATGCACCCGTCCAAATGCGCTAGGAATAGAGCGCTTACCATACATGCAGATTGACACACTGATTAACTGCGCCGGCGTGAACAGCCCTTGGAGAGTCACAGCGAAGGATCACGACAATCGTAAGTTTATAATACATATTCGATTTATGATTTTTTAAGAATTTCTAAAATACATTGGACTAACATGGAATAGCTGACGAGGTTGAAAATCTCCTCCTGAACGGAGTCGAGGAGTAAGCACCCGATTGAGGTCATTTCGGATCTCTTGTATAACTGACTCTGGATACGGCAGAGAGGATTTCGATCGAAGTAATCAGAGTATGTATCTGCTTCATAGTTGTCATTTTAGGTAATATTAACATGCTTTAGTCAACGTTAACGGCGTTTACTTCTTGACCGTCAACTTCATTCCCCTCCTCCGCAAATCAACAGATCCAAATGTTTGCATAATCGCTTCACTGGCCGGAATTGCAAACCAGAGGCAAGACCACACCCCCCACACCCCATACATATACATACTCTACTTGGTAGCTAACATAGACTAGATCCATGGGATCTCTGACATATGGTGTTTCCAAGGCAGCAAGTACGTACCTACCTATTGGGTCCTGCTAGAAGAAAATGACTAATTTGGATCCATCCAAACGTTAGCTGTGCATCTAGCTAAACTACTTGCTGGTCGTCTACACCCGTATGTACTAATGTGACATCTTAGAAAGATTAGGTATTTGTACTGATATAGTCTAGAATGAAGATACGCGTCAACACAATTTGTCCAGGAATTTTCCCTTCTGAGATGGTTAGTATCATGAAGCCCTCATTTAGTAGCTACCCCTTATCAGATAGGTGCTAACAGATCGATAGTATGTTACAATCTTTAGATTCCTACCCAGGTTTTATAGAACATCAAATCCCTTGTTTAGAAGACAAGTCATTTTATGTACAACATGCTAAGAAAACACAGGACGGGTGTAACAGCAGGCAAGCATGAATATAACATCAACCACCAGGCAACAAAAGCTGCCAAGCGTTGCACTGCTGGCCGTCCAGGCCGACCGGAGGAAATGGTTGGGCCGGTTCTGATGTTATCTAGCCCTGGTGGAGCTTACATGAACTACGCACTATTAACTGTGGATGGTGGTAGATTGATGGGCGTTTCGATCAACGACGGAATAAGAATGCCAGACGACACTTATACGTGAGTATTGAATCTAGTGAGAAATCGCCTGCCTAGCTACACTAACGAATGCGAATGGTAGGGACGAGATTCTCGGTTAACGATACCTTATACGATGACTGCCTTAATTTCGCGGTAAGGCTTAACAGTAGATGAGGTCCATGGTATGACTAGCGAAGGCTGATCTAGGTACTAGATAGAACTTAGGAAAACAACTATAAACAAGCATTGAATACTTAATTACTGGATGTATGAAGGCAGACTTAGATACAGCAAGTTCATGGAAAGTTATTATTGAAACAAAGTGATGAATTGAATCCATTGAATCCCGTTTGATAACTTCCTGAAAAATAGGGGGCGGGGTAACTGAACCCCCACTATCAGTACCCACCACCAAATATCAAAGGCCCTGAATCAAAGGCCCTCAACCAAATTCTCGCCAATTTTCATCTAGCTAGAGGTCGATATCTAGGTAAAACTTAATTGACATATGATGCATGGGAGGTAAAAGATAAAATTTAGCCAATAATGTCGTCTCGCTCGGAAACATCTTGTGACTATCGAAATTTATTCTTGGCGTCGGTTCACTGTTAAGTGACCCGGATTTACCACGGGTACTGCACTATTCGCCCTGGGATCTTGGATGCGGGAGGGGTAATGGGGAAACCCTGCCCTGTCAGCGTCGACTCCACTGTGAACTAGGGGATCGTGGGGTACGTTAGGGTAGCCGATCGGCTGGGACTCCCTATTCAGCTCGTCTTGGTAGAAGTGGTATGATGGTTGGGAATGTGGAGAAAGAGGAGAAAGGAAGCATGAAGACGATGTGGTAAGTTATGAGTGAACTTTGAAAATAATTAATGATATAATAAGGACTGCAGAGAATTTGAAGATTGGATTTTTAATAATATTAGAAAATTTTACTAGAAACCCTTGTGTCCTTAAATTTTCAGTTCTACATCATGGCCGTGTCAACCTCAACACCAGCCCCTGTTGACGCGCCCAAGGTCGTCACCCTCACTGACGAGGAGCGGGATAGCGGTGTCATGAGCGATAAGAAGCTCTACGATGCCATCGAAGCTTTCTTCGATGAAGGCCTTGTTGTTATCGAGAATGCTATCGATGTAGCTATCATCGATAAACTTAACAAGAGGATGCTAGCGGACACTAAAAAATTACTTAGTGGACAAGGCGAAGTTCACTTCAAGTAAGAATTTATCTTGACGTGCAAGAGAGATTCAAGATTATGAGTTAGGCTAACCGTCCTCCTAGTCACCTGAACCAGAATGCTGCTACTAGGGGGTCTGCGGCTGGTGGAAACTTGTCTCAGGTACCTCCGCTAGAGAAGGGTGAGTGCACTTGAGCCTTACAATTTAATAATAATTAATTAACCCCTTATAGAGTGGTTATTCCCAGAGGTCTACGCCAACAAACACGGCGCTCGTATCGTATCCAACATCCTCGGTCCTCGGCCAGAGGTCCACTTCATCCGCAGCAACACTCTTCTAGCTACCGATGAGAGGCAACAAGTCCACGCAGATCTCCGATTTGAACATCCTCAACATCCCTTCGCCATCGCGCTTAACACCTGCCTGATTGATGTTGGACCCGAGAACGGCACGACTGAGCTCTGGTTGGGTACCCAGAACACGAATCTAGATGATCACCGCGAGCTAGGAGAGCCCATGATCGCGGAAGAAAAGTTAGAGGCAAGGCGTAAAGTTAGGGGGCCGTGCTATCCTAGGTTAAAGAAGGGGTCTATTGTTCTCCGAGACTTGAGACTGTGGTAAGTAAAATATGATATTTCTCTTTTTCCTTTCTTTCCCTATTTTTTATTACATCTGCGACGAAGGAGTGTTGGGTTAAGGGTAATATAGATTTGCTAATTAATTGATTAGGCATGCTGGTATGCCTAACCCCACGCAAGATGTCCGAATCATGCTTGCAATTGTCTATTATGCGGCGTAAGTAATACCTCAAAATCCACTCGTCGCGTTCAATACCGTTTGATGACATGACTACTAACCTTCATCTAGCTGGTATAAGAACGGTGTTGTGACTCCCATGTCCGAGTCTTTAAGACCCACCATTGAGGCCTTGGAAGATTACGGCAACATCAAGATCGCGACAGAATGGGTGCCCGACGACGGATACAACTACCTCAACGTCAAATTCAGCAATAACTTCAGCTCAACGCTGACTCCGTGGGTTTGGGAGAAAATACAACATGTCAAAACGGTAAAGGGTTATTAGAACGAAAATGAATGATGAGGTAGAGGCATACTAAGACCTCATCGCATGGAACGCTGTGTAAATCGGCACTGGGATTAGGATGTAATTGACTAAAGAGATAGTTATAGATTGTCAGGTTGTTTTTTTTTTTAAAAATAGGATTAGGAAAGAACAGAGCTGTCATAATTCCTCCAAACTGCCATAGTGCGTTTGTCCTACTGTCGATTCTGCGAGAAAACTAGGATCTACAAATTCGTGGTCGGGGTCAAATTCGGCCGACGGAGGAACAATCGGAGCTGCCATAAATGTCGGGGCTTGGCTCATATTGCTGATAAAAAAGCCCAACGGGGTGTTGACTTCTAACAGTGCTGGTTGTTGATTAAGATTGAGGAGGCAATTTGGTAACACCTGGAGGGAGATCTGGGTCCCCAAAGGGAAAAGGGGGATGACGGTGGGAATTTTCATCACGCCTGGATCGATCGTGTCATCTGATGAGTTTGACCCCGAACTTGAACCTAAGCTCAGTTCTGATGAGACGGTAGATTTGGAACTCGCATTCTCTGCTTCAGCTCGTGAAGCGACTTGGTTGCTGTGGTCTGCCACGGATGCTTGTAGCCCCTCGCAAGAAACATTGGTTATCCATTGAGAAGCGCCGGGCGACATCTTGATCACGATCGCCAAGGCATCCTTCATCATCTCCATGTACTGGTCGTTGGTAGGATGAAAGTCTTGGACATCGCTGATAGAGCCAGTAGAAACTGCCTCATCCGCCTTCACTTTGCGAATTGTGTCAAGTAAAATAGCGATTGGAGGGCCAGTATTGGCTAGCAAATTTCTGTCCGGGTGAACTACCTGATGTTAGCCTGGTAAGGTTTGGACTTTGGAAGGCAAAGTGGATAGATTACACGGGGAGAGTGGTGCATTATAGCCGTGACATTCTTCTGGGAAGATGATACGCCAGACATCAAGAAAGCATTCCTTTTGGATTTTGAACCACTCGTCATATGGACGTGGACGAATTTTGTCTTTGGCTATTCGGTCCTGTACCATCTCCCACTGATTTTCATCCATATAGAATGGCGCGTGGTCCGCGGTGGGGTTTGAAAGTCTCGCCTGTGGAGAATGATACTCCCTGAGATGATCCCTAGCGATATGTAGGTCATTAGTTTGAAGATGGGTAGTCGAGGATATATAATAAACTTACTTCCAAAGAGATCGTCTATTCAACGAGCCTGGAGGCCGGCAGCTTTTAAATCTCGCAATCTCAATCATACAGTTAAATGCAAGACTGTATGGACATGCCCAACGACTTTTAGACTTCCTTACTCTGTCTGTTAGGATGGAATCGGCTCCTCCGCCTGAATCGGAACCATCAGCGTCACCTGTAAATTTGGCCTTCTTATTAGACTTTCCCCTAGATGAATTTTGCTCTCCGTGCTTCACACATTTCCTTTTACCAGACTTGGCTTGTGAAGATTGGCTATGCGGCACTTGGCGGGAGGAATTCGAAGAATTCGCGGGGGCATAAGTGATTCCCGGTACCTCTAGATAATATTTCGTGTTTCTGGAGGGTGGATACTCCACATTAGTCGAGCAATAAGTTTCCCGAACTCTGAGATCGGCGGGGGACGGATGAGGTGTTGGCGAATCGCTTGATGAGAATGTGGTTGGAGAATCATCTTCGCTTGGGGTATGGTGTGTATTGAAGAGGATTTCGCGTTCAGCAACTGGAATTTTCTTCAATTTCAGAACGATGGCTTCCGTATATGATGAATCATGTGTTAGACCTTTGTGAACAGAATCCAAGACAAGCGGGTCCCATTCTTCCTGCGTAGACAGCAGCGCGGTAGACCTTGTGGTGTTAGTTATCAATGGGAATGAGGGGCTTGCTGGTGGATGGTCTGATAGTTGGAATATGGGAAGATTCGCATCAGGCAATATAGCTTTGCTATCGGTGCTTCTGTTGCTCGTGAGGGGGGGATAGGACACTGAGGGTGCAGTGGACTGGTAGCTGGGCGCGCGTTGGGATATAATCTGGTTGTAGGTCTCCCAAAGGAAATCGAAACGGATAGAAAAATATTTCTAAAGTCCTTTCTTAGCTTGGCGTAAATTTTAGATCAAAAGGGCACTGACTAACCTGGATTGATGTTCCGGGATCTAATAATCTTAATATTTTCAGCATACGGAGCACGTGGGCTCTCTTTGATTCTTCCAGGCCCCATCCACAATCGCGAGCAACCAACAAGGCTTCGCCAGATGGAAGCTCGGTGTAAAAGCGCTGGTTTGAATGTTTATTAGCCCTCACACGTGAGCCCTCTCGAGGTATACTTACAGTATCGTTGTCGTCAAAGACAACGATGCCGTCGGCGCTGGGCTGCCCATCCATGGCCATTGTTCCAGATCTTTACTGTAAGACGGCGTAAGTGAAGTCGTGTGAAGATTCGACCTGGCACCTGTGAAGACTTTCGGGCCTGCATTTTCTTATATACTATATTGTAATTTCTCGGTGAAGGCAGAGAAAAGACGATCGCCACTTGCTCTGGCTCATTACCTATGTAGGTTCTATGTAAGCTGAAAAGAAAGCGAGCTCGTGAATGAAATTTCAAACGCGCCATGTCGAATAGAAGGTTGGTTTAGATTAAAACACGTGCGGCGAGAAAATATGCACTGATGAGTTGCAAGAAACAGAGTCTATCTTCATACAAGCTTCATCTGCCTTATGACGTATATCTTAGCCGCTCTGGCCCGGTAGGTACCTAGGTACCTAGGTAGGTAATAGGTAGAGAAGCCTCTGCCTTCCGGCTTCCGGCTGTTGTATTTTGGCTTACTTCCGAACGCTCCCCGAAAGACGCACCGCACCGATGGATTGACAGCAGGGTATTCACCAATGATCAATCAATTGACCCACGAATGCGGCCAATACCGAGTGCTTTTCAGCTACAATCTGTTTTTCTGGCTTATTAAGAACCGCGGAGATATCCATTCCCATGCTAACTCCCGCTCCTGTCTACAGCCTGAAGGAGAGTAACGGTGCCATATGTAGCGTACCTTCTAGGAGTCAGGACTTTTAAGTCCGAACAGCCTGATAATTACCTGCGCCAGTATGTAGCAGCGCAGGAGGGGTTTAGGACCTAATAAACAGCAGGTCGGTACGAAGTCGAAGTACTCAAGTTATCAACAACAACTCAAGATGATTCATCCTAACATTGGGGACTGACAATGATTAATTTCTACGAGAAGAATCACCCTCTATCATAACCGCTTCTTCATCCAGGATTGGCTTTTGAATTCATCACTCATCAGGAGGTTAAAAATCCATTAAGAAATTGGAACAATCATGAAAGACTCTATCCAACCTAGGTAGGTCCTCCTCTCCACCCAACCCCCTTTATCGCCGTCCCTACTATTTACAAGCCTCCGAATTTACTAAGTATTCTATTAAGTAATTTTATATTACTAATATACAACTACTAATCTGTCTATTAGTTACTACTGATTTACTACGATATTTAATACTATATTTGTTTCCAATTAATTTATTCTTGTTTAATCTCGGTAAGTATCTACTAAGCGCAATGTAACGATGATGATAATACCGGGCAATAACCTAGTGTAACATGCTAGTAAAACTCTTCAAGTATTACGCCCAAGTAGGTACTCATCCAATCCTCCACCAATACCATGAAGGCAGTCTACATCTCCTAACCTAGATACATAGGTAGGTAAGTATCATCCTTACCTCCATCATATATCGGATTTTATTGTGTGTTTCAATATAGACTATGCAATTACAAACCCCTTATTGACTAAGTTAAGTTCTGAATAACGAAAACTATTACAAATAAACCCAATCTACCTACAAAACTGACTAGCAACTTCCGTCAATGCTTTCGAAACTATTCTTATGGAGTTAATATCGACCCACTCTTCCTTCGCGTGAAGGCCTTCTCCATGCGGCCCCCAAAGAATCGGCGAGATTCCGGCATCCGCAAATAGGGCGCAATCCGTCCAATAGGGGTCCTTGCGGAATGTGGGTGGTGTTCCAAGAGCCTGACCAACCACATCGCTTACGAGGGAAACGAACGGGTCGTCTCGCGGGATCGAAAAGGCGGATCGGCTGAAGGTGACTCTTAAATCGGACCGGAAGTTCGGGATGTCATTTGCGACTTTGTCGAGCAAGGCTTGGATTTCTGTCTTCACCGTCTCGGGAGTTTCGCCGGGAACGGTGCGACGCTCTAGAACAATGGTACATAGAGCGGGGTAAGAAGAAGCTTCTTCGCCCCCTTTAATGATCGAGGCGTGGACGCTGGGTGGTCCGACGTCGGAGCCGATCGTAGATTCACGCAGTCGTTGAGCATATCGATCTAGCTCTACTAAGAAATAGCCAGCTTTGGAGATGGCATCAACACCAAGTTCCGGAAGGGAGCCATGTGCGGCAAGGCCGTGTATGTCAACTTCGAGCCACACGAAACCCTTGTGTGCGTGGACAATATTAAGATTCGAAGGCTCGCTTACGATCGCGGCGTCGGTTATCCAGCCGGCTTGCAGTATTTGTTCCGTACCGATACTTTCGGCTTCCTCGTCTGCTACTCCGGCGAAGACGACATCGCCACGAAGACCAAGCTTTTTAGCGCTTGCGAGGGCGGTTAGGGCGGCAGCTATTCCGCATTTCATATCTGCCGCTCCGCGACCGTAGAGTTTTCCGTCGTTAATTTCTCCGCCGAGAGGGTTGCCTTCATATCCGATAGTCGTTACCGTATCGATATGCCCATTAAACATAAGGCTTTTACCTCCGCCAGAGCCTCGAACAACTCCGATTATCGATGGTCGTCCCTTGGTAGGCTCTATCCAATGGGTCTCTATGTCGCGATGTTCTAGCCATGCTGCTATGTATCGAGCGATACCTGTCTCGCCTGGCCCCGGCACCGATCCTAACGAGGGGTTCGCAGAATTTATTTGGACTAAAATCTGCGTTAAGGTAACAGGATCATCAGGAGAAACGTCTAGAGGGATGTCGTAATCGCGGGCGCCCTCCGTGGAGAGGAGCATAATAACCGAATTGTGATTTAATCCTAATTTCGTCTTGGCCGAGGCGTCTAGTCGGCGGAGGGCAGCGAGTGTCGAAGCACCACATGGACCTGACGATATACCCTGCGCGTTAAGATAGACGGAAGCTGTGTGAGCTTCGTAGTCTGAGATAGTCAGGCTGGCATCTACACCGGATTGAAGGAGCGGCCAAGAGATGGAGGATACAGTCCCGCAATTCAAACCCGCCATGGTAGTGTAAGTTGTTTCCTCAGGTTGCACTTTCCCCCTCTTCAAGCTTTTCCAAAGGGAAGCTGCTGTATCAGGCTCCACTGCAAGAACCGCGGAGGGGACCGCTTTACTTTTGTAGTGGGAGACGACGGCATGTGCAAAGGACCCAACTCCGACTGGTGTAATCACAAGGTCTGCGGCAATATCCCCGAGTTCTTCATCGATTTCTAAGAGCATACCTAGTAGTTTCGTATCCGTCGATAATCCACTGGTACCCGTGTTAGTGTGGGTTCTATAAGAAGGGGTCGCTGGAGGAACTAACCTGTGGAATCTCCTCATAACCTTTAAAGGAGAAATCTTGGATAAGAATCCCCCCTTTCGACTTGGTGGCGGTCTCTGCGTCATCGATGGCGGCGTCATAATCACCCTTTGATACCACGACATTTGCTCCCTCAGTTCGAATTAACTCGATTGTAGCAACGTCTAAATGCGCAGGAACGTGTATCTCAACGGGTAGGGACAAAATAGCTCCCATACGAGCCACCGCTCGACCATGGTTCCCGTCCGTTGCAGCGTACAATGTGAATGGTTTAGAAGCAAGGGCTTCTTTCATCGTCTCTAGATTTATATTTAGGGACAGATCGAGTTCACGAGTAATGGCTCGAAAAGTGCCCCACGAAGCACCGAGGATCTTGAATGAAGATAACCCAAGCCGGCTGCTTTCATCTTTTAGAAAAACCTCCCGAACTCCTAGTTCCTTCGCCACATCACCCAATCTCAGAAGCCTTGTTGGTTGATAATTCGGCAACTGCTGATGAAATTTCCTAACCAAGTTGCTGGAAGTAGACCGAGGCGCCACCCACGAACGGGCGTTTGAGTTGAAGTAAATGGGTCGGCGATAATCAGTCATGGTGGTTTATAGAGTCTCGATGGATTGTGAGAGAATCCTCTCAATAGAGAGAGCGACATCTTTATTTATCTTTATTTAGGGTTTTCTTACTGTAGAATAGGAGGAAACCAAACTCATGTTGAGAGTTAGATGTGTCTAGTGGTTTAGTGGTCTAGGTAGTGTAATAGCTCCCCATAGCGCTAATAGCGCTATTCGCGCTATTTAGGCCAGTTACGCCCTCTCGGTACAGCGTCGGACATAAACCGATAGCCGTCTTGGCAAAGAAATCTATTTCTCCACCCTCAATCTCAATCTCCTTCATCTTCATCGTACATATTTCATAATGGACTTACCACTACACGATTTACATCAATTCCAAGATTTCAACATCTTCGATGAAGCTTTACATGATGAGTTTGATAGACAACATTTATACAACTCAACTATATCGTTGGGGGAACAGGGGGGAGTAAGCACAGTGAATACCGCTACGACGTTGCTAAGTGAACAAACGCCCTCGGGCATACACGGGACCATCCCTTTTGACGGAGATCATGGCTTCGCGCAAACCATACTGGAACTAGATGATACCTTAACCAACGGGACGCGCCGATTCGACCCGCCAGACGTTAGTTTCGACGACTTCTTCCGGAATAATGGGGCGTGGCGACCTCCTCAACCCTGTACTTACTGTAGACGTTTGCGCCTCCAGTGCTTCATTCTTCAGACCACGTCAGCCAATCCGAATCCAGTCACATCATGTTCCAGTTGCGTAGCTCTCTTCAGGCAATGCAGCCTAGCTGAGCGCCGAAAACGACAGCCAGCCGAATTTGAGACACCTGAGCCAGTCATCAATAACTTGCATGGAGTTAACGAAGAACTCGAAATGAACCCATCGACTTCTAGAGATAACGTCACAGAACAACAACCTACGAAAGCAGTGCAAATTTCGAGAAAAAGAACTTACTCGCGATCCGTCAGGAAAACGCATCTTCTGAGGACCTGGTATTCGTGTCACCTTGATCATCCTTATCCATCGGAAGAGGAAAAGGAATCTCTCGCTCAACGGTCTGGGCTGAGCAGGACCCAGGTTGGGGATTGGTTCTCTAATGCTCGTCGGCGACAACGAATGTCTACAAGGACAGTCGATAAGATGATTTTCCCCCAAGGATCTCCTATGCCTAGCCCACCTATGTCAAGTATGACTCCATTTGAACGATGGCGGCGTTCACCTCCCGACGAGGAGCCTGTCTCAGAGTCCGTTATTCAAGAAGCCCTTGGGATGCCCATAGAAGGACTCGGTGCGCTGGAGGGGTTCGACGCCACCCAAATTGATGCGGGGCCTTCATCTAGCAGCGGAGGCTCGGCTTTTGATCTCCATGCCCCGTGGCATTATCCGTCGTCAGATTCAGCATCTTCTTATCACACAAACTCATCGGCAGACGAACTATCACTATTTTCTGCCTCTACTCATAGCATAGGAATGCTGAATCGACGTGCAAGTGCCGCTTCGTCTCCACCAACGCCTGGGAAAGGTCGTATATTTCAGTGCACGTTATGTCCCCGCAGTTTCACCAAGAAATATGACTGGCGCCGCCACGAAAGGGCTGTTCACCTCCTAACCAGCGATGCGCCCCGGTGGGTTTGCGGCGTCCCATTATCAACCGGCCAGTCATCGCACATATGGCGTCTCAATCAACAAGAGCCCGAATGCGTCTTTTGCGGACAAGTCTCCCCTACCGAAGAACACTTCCGGTCCCACGAGTTTGAGGCTTGTGCCGAGCGAGAGGGCTCGGATCGCACTTTCGCTCGCAAAGACCATCTGTGGCAACACCTGTTCAAGTTCCACGGATGTCGGAAATGGGAAGGGTGGAAGCCTGACTTGAACTTACTGCGGCGCGATTAATTTGGACGCGACCTTAATCAATCCTGTCGTACCATTTATACCCCCTTTTTCTATTTTTATTTTGATACGTTTTACGCCAGGGCGGGAGGCTTTCTTTTCCATTTTTTAGCCATTTTCCATCGTAATCAGTTTCGATATGTCAAAAACGATACCAGTAGGTAGGAAGAACTTAAGGTAGGGTTTCATGAGTGTTCGACTCGGTATCACAAAGAGGTCCAAAGGCGTACTTGCGAAATACGATTGACTATTAGGTGGTATATATTTCAACATATGCATTATCGTCAAATACTACTACTTTCTTTCTCCGTTTTCCTGCAGCCAGTTGATATACACGTTAGAGATTTGTTTGCTTAGGAGCCTCGCTCGCCGAGCGGATATTACCTCACCACCTAGCGCCTACTTACTAACAGCAAGCATTCGATATTGATGGTTATAATAGTACCGAATGTTTCACTTTCCTAGATCTCTTGTTCTACTCATTTACTCTTAGTAACGATCTGGAACGGTTTAATTCAATCATGGAATCGGGATCATCTCAAACGCTCGCAACACAGCAATCAACATCAAAATCAAACGATCATTCTCGCGATCACTCCTCCCAGAGCGTCGAACGGAGAGCTGACCCGCCAGAGCTCCTATCCCCACGAAACACCTTGCCCCGAAAAGTTAGCAAAATCGGGACCAGTATCTCAAGTACATGGAAGTTATGGAAATGGGAGATTATTGTATCTTTTCTTGCTCCGACTGTGGTTATCATCATATTTGCGACCCTCTATCCACACGATGGACGCCCAATGCCCGAGTGGCCGTTACGGATATCGGTGAATGCCTTACTTTCAATTTACTCCATGATGCTAAAAGCTAGCATATCATTCATTATTGTTTCATGCATTGGTCAACTTCAATGGAGTTGGTTCTCGCGAGGGCGTCCATTATATGATCTAGTCCAATACGACAATGCGTCACGTGGAGCATGGGGCTCGATACAGTTGCTATGGTCCCAACGCCTAAGTCAGCCCCTCACAACTCTAAGCGGATTTATATTTATTTTATCCTTGGGAATTGACCCATCTATACAACAGCTTATGAAGCCATCTGACTGCAGTGTGTCAGTAAGTGATGGGAAAGCTGTCTTACCCCGAACCAATAAGATTGGCGTCCTAAAAGAAAATACCTTCTTTAATGACGACATTAACTTAGCAATACGACGGGGATTTTCAGGATCAGGGAGTGGCATATATTACGATTGCACTACTGGCAACTGTTCGTTTCCGGATTATGGGACCATTGGATACTGCAGCTTTTGTGAAGACATATCCAATGAAATCACTATCGATACATTTAACTCTTCTGTCCCTGACTCTAGTTGCCCTGGGCCTATGACGGACTCAACAATTAAATCCAGCCTTCCTATCAATTCATACGCTACTTCACATGACCCATCACAGCTGGATGTATCTTTCAATTTCAGCACTTGCCCATCCGTCGACTATTTGTGGGCGTCTAATGGAACTTTTGAACTGGCCAAGATGGATGTTTTGGGTAATTACCCCAACTACAGCATACCAGGAGCGGTTACAGCTCAGATACTTGCCGGCAAGACATACAGTTCTGACAAACATACGGATGAATCCACTGGTCAAATCATACCTGGTTGTCAAAACGATCTTTCCAATTCTTGGCGCTGTAGACAATATGGGGCTGCCACTTGCACTCTTCAACCATGCGTGCGGGTATATAACGCGACGGTAGAAGCAGGCCATCTTACCGAGCATTTAATTGCTCATTCAGGCAACTTAGCCTGGGAAAATGATACAAGGGAAGGTGGTCTGATAGACACGCATTGCCTTACACCGGAAGACAAGAGAACACTTGAGGAGCAGGGGTATATCGTCAACGAGGCTTCTCGTTGGCTTCCCTACAATACAACAGATCTAGAGCGGACTTCTGCGATGGTTGAAATAACCAATTCGCTCCTTCGTCAAAAGTGTTTATATTTATCATCGGGGCTTTTCCATAATATAGCCTCTGCGATGTACATATATTTCATCGGCACTGTTGAAGCCCTCCCGTTCTCTTATGATTCCAGCAACTTCACCCTTTGCTCCTTCATGGGGCTTGAAATACTAAATCACATTTACAATTCCGGACACGTAAATTTCAACCGTGTCCAGGGGACATTCTCGAACATTTCCGAGTCACTCACTACGTACATTCGAACCTACGCTGAGGATACCTACTCAGAACCCGCCCTTGGTCAAGCGTTCCACTATGCGACATGCATACAAGTTCAGTGGCGATGGATAGCGTTTCCATCGTCGATAACCTTAATAACCCTGGCACTATTCATAGCGACATTGTACTCCAGGCCTCTGGGACACTTTCCGGCTTGGAAAACATCCTTTCTTCCTTGGATGATATTGGGGCCCGGCAGCGCTGAACTCCTGAATTCGGATGAATTGGAGGAAACATCATTCGATATAGACGATATGGAAAAGAAGTCTAGAGAGGTCACGGTCACTTGGAAACCTGAACCTAGCCCGCATATCGAGTTATGAATAACCACCTATCATGGTGATAGTTCACTGCCACAATACATACACAGATACTCAATGTGTAACCCCGATGGTCAACGGTTGGTAAATCTCAAACACCCTCCTCCTTGCTGGCTTTACCACTAATCGCGTCGGTAGATTTTCCGCGTACTTTAGACTCCTGTTCACCCAAGTCGGATTGAGGTTTCTCTTCCGAATCATCCCCGCCATCCCACTTGGAATACAAGTCCTTCGGTAACATCGGCTTATCATTGGTCTCTCTAATCACCAAATAACCCCTCACAGCGTCGTATTTGACTGTAGCCCTTCCGCCGTATCCCTTCGTCACGCTAATGATCTTCTTAATGAGAGCGGCCAGGTTCCTCAAGTTCGCCTGGTTTCCCTGCTCCCATCTTCTGATATCCGCCGATACATCTTCGACGCGCGGCTCCTGAAAAATGCCACGGGTATGGTATGCTCGAACAAGCTTCAGCGTCTGAGAAGTCCAGAGTTGCGGTGCGATCTCTTGGAGGTTGAGGGGTTTGTGCGCGACTCGCGTCTTAATCTCGAGGGTAGATTCAATGGGCACGATGTGGCCTTCTTCTCGAATGAATAGTTTTGATCCCTCGACTCTTGAGGTTTTGGCGGTGCTGGCGGCTGTAGAGAGAGATAAGTCGCCCATGAGACTTGAGATGTCGTCGGTTGCGCGTCCTTTTCCGCTGGAGGACGCTTCTGCGTGACCCTTTACATACCCGTCCACCTCATGGCGAACGATGAAGTTTAGACCGCTGAATTTGTAGGAGACGATTCGGTGATGGCCAGTACTTCCATCGATGTCATCAGTGGTGTATGCTTTTTCGAACTCGTGACCATATCCCTTGAATTCATGAGGTTCGATGATCTCTTTGGTCTTGGTCTCCATTCGACTGAAGATAGCTGTATGCTTTGTGACCTCGACGTCGATAACGAATGGTTCGAGCCCGTTCCTGCTTGAGGAAGGATCAACGAAGGACATCAACTTGCGAATATTGTTCCGATCGGTGACAACATCGGTCGCGAGGATGTCAAAGGTAGGCTGAGTAATGAATAGCGCCCGAAATAATGGCTCGATAGGACTGCTAGGATGGCGGGCAGCGTTTTGGGCGATATAAACCAGGCCAGAATCCTTTGGAAGTCGTCGCTGGCCGCTCGGAGGGGTCCATCTTGGGGGAATACCCGGAACGGCAATCGTAGGGACAGGAGCCTCGATCCAGCTATATGATGACAGAGGCTTCACTTCAGTGATGCTAGCCGCTGAAGTGGTGTTCCCTTGAAGGTCTTGGCGGGAAATAACAGTAGTGCGCGAAGCCATGATGATGTATCGACGACGATGCAATGACTCTTAATGAAAGCCGATACAGAACAAACTTGATGAAAGATGAATTGACTGCATTATTTAATTACATTCTGGAGGCAGCACGTCTGTCAATTGTGTGGTTACACGGTTGAGAGAAGAAATTGGACACTCGACGACACATACGTGCATTAAGCAGGCTGCCGTCTATCGATGAGCGATGGTAGGATGGTCAAGTTATAGGTCATTTTTGATTACCTAAGCAGACACCGGTGAGAGCATCCCGCGCGCAAATAAACGGCTAGACAGCAACATAGTGTAACTAATTGTCAAACCATGATCCCTGAATTAGGGTTCGTGCAGGAAGCTGAGGCTGAGCTAGATTGCAAGATCGATGGAAGTGGAAGAGTCCGCTGTAAACAGAGATACATACCTATCGCGCATTTGCGCAATTGGGTTTTTCATTCCATCTGATGTTAATTGCGCGAAAGTTGTCAACTTTTAATTCGTTGACGGATTAATGCACCTGTACCCCTCCAATTGTTGTATACGTCAAACATCGGCACACCTGGAGTGGTCAATAAGGAGCCTGGTATTAGGCACCTATCCCCTGTGCTACACCGCTAAATTTCTCTACTTAGGTACCTCTTACACTGCAAATTACCTAAAGTAGAGCCCTGTAGCGGGGAGTATCGAGGCGCACTCTTTTCCGGCTTCGTTCTTCACATATTTAAATTCAACTCTACAAAAGTACCTATCTACACAATTATAAAGCTAATTCTTAACCCTTAGATACCTAATATATTGAGCTTTCCATATTAGTACCCAATATACCGCCATCCGAGGTCAATCTGCTGTTGAGTAACACCGCTCTTCATCGCACGACGCTGTTCTTCAGGAGTTCCAGAGAGGAGCTTGTTAATACGTCGCACGTAAATGGAATAACCAGTGATGGTGATGAAGAAGGCGATTGTACATCCAAGCACTAGGATCTCGGTTAGTTGAATGTCTCATAACGCACACTTAGGCCTCAAAGAGGAAAAGGGGGGCCAGGGAGGACTTACAGGTTCCAAAGGCGGCGGAATAATGAGGGGCACTGAAATATAGGTACGAAGCCCAGACATTCGAAAGGCCTCCAATAGCATTGATCATGGCGACACCGGCTGCTCGTTTCGGGTAGGGTCGGGCCATATGTACGTTCATCGTTTTGTATATCATAATTTGGGGTCCGGCTGCAGGGAGGAGTTGTCAATTATATGACCCAGGAGTGAGATGTGACAGACGTTACTTACTGCAAACGGACGGCATGAGCATCATAGCAAAGTAACGCGGGCCCATCTTGATTGTTCCGAGAGCGACTGAGTATGCGAGGATGGCGAAAGCAAGGCACCCAACTATAATTGGGTAGATCATGTTTTTCCGCTGTCAAATAGAAATAGTTAGAGAGAAATTTCATCATTATCTGATAGTTGATAAATGGAAATCCTTACGTCAGACAAATATGATATTCCGTAGAATACGATCGCGGCGAGGATGTAAGGCGGCGCAGTTAAAAGCATCGTGTTTATCCGGTTGAAGCTAGAGATTTCTTTAGTAAGATGACACCGAGTGCTACCTAGATATTGAAACACGGAAAGGGGATATCTTACCCAAGAGTCTCTACGATGGACGGGAAGAAATTCACAGATGATCCCATAGCCTGGAGAAAACCCATGCAAAGGACCATCGTCCAAATCTTTCCATCGAGCATCGCAAGCTTGAACGATCCCAGTGTGCTCGTATCCTCGTGAGCTTCTCCCGCGCCAGCCTCTACTTCGAGTCTCCATACAGCGAAGTCGCGCTCCACGGGGGTAAGAAGACGAGCGTTGTGTGGATATTCGGGCATGAGTAACGCGAACAGAAGTCCACACCCCACGGTAACCGAACCTTCGACGATGAACAGCCATCTCCACCCCGAAATGCCGTAACGTCCATCTAGAGTCAGGCAAGCCGCTGCGATAAAACCGCCGAACGCGGATCCGACCATCTGGAACATGAATAAAGCAGCGAGACGCTTTCCGAGTTCGTTTCTGGTATACCAAGCGCTGAGGAAGTAGATGACACCCGGGAAGAAGACGGCCTCGGTGACGCCAAGGAATACGCGGATCGCCAAAAGCCCCTGGTACGATTTAACGGCAGCCGTAGCAGCACTGACACAACCCCATACGACGGCTGCACTGCATATATCTATAAAATGAATCCGTTAGCAAGAGTCTATAGTTGAAGGAGTTTCTAGTTGACTCTAACTCACATAACCCAGGACGAGGAATCTTCGTCATTAACAAGTTACTCGGAATTTGGAAGGGTATGTAGCCCACGAAAAGGATCGATATGACAGTTGCGAAGTCCGTCGTAGACATTCCTAGGTCTTCCATAATTCCGTAGACCTTGGTAGCAGCAAGAGCGGATCTATCGACGTCTTCGTGGTGGGGTTAGTTACAGCCAACTTTCCTTTCATGTATGATAACAGCGCAACTCACAATTGAGAATATATAATATTCCCATGATCGGCATGATAACCAAATCCATCTTGCGGACCATCTTTATCTCAAGTTTCCTGATCTCTTCGGCGCTCATATCTCGAATGCTCTCTGGTTTCTCAACTGCATCTTCCGCAGTTTGTTCGGAGTGCTCGAGATCATATTTGACCATGTCATCATCGCCGACAGAGGCGATACGAGTAGCATCATTATCGCTGGCTTTGTCGTTTGCTGCCATCTTGAAGGTTTCCGAGATTGTGCAAAGGTGAGGGAGGTGGAACAAGAAGATGACGAGGCTCGGGGATGTTTATTTATTAATCATACGGCGCACTTACATCATGCTATCACCAACGCGATTGTTAGGTAACATGAGTCCGTCGTAACTTGCCGAGCCCCCTGGACCGTAATAACGGCGTCGACCCCGTGCGCTAAGACGACAACGGTTTTATTACCAGTCCCCCAACCGCGACCCGCCCAGATTGATTCTAGTTCTAACGCGCTCCCCGCATCTGCGATATTATTTGGGTATTTGGGGTAAGGCAATGCGGAGTATAGCAGATCTTTGCTACGATTTACTTGCCTTATTACAGACATCTTTGTCAAAAATAGTCGAGAATTCAAGGTCAAACGTACCATTGAATGTCATCGCTCCCCGCAAATCATTCTAGAATGCGGGGATAACCACCGGTCTGGGAAAGTGGAGGCTGGGGTAGAGATCTGACCACCTGACCGGGGAGGTTATCGACATGGTTGTCGTCAGTTCGGGGTGCCGGTCGGCTCGGCTAGTTAGGCGATTGGATCTATCGGCTGCTTTACGGACTACGGCTCCCGACGGTTTTGTCTAGACGTCCCGAACATATTTACGAACAGGTATGATAGGAGCTATACAGTTAGTTTCATCATGCAAGATGCGCTTCCGGGGCGGGAATGATGGACTAGGTTCTGGGTAGCAAGCGGTTCCGATGGAATGGGTCGAAACGCCTAGGCTAATATAAATAGGTAGCTAATAGTTGAGAGTGTCGCGTCAATCCAGGCAAGACCCCTGAATGTAGCCTCACCTGAATGTGATCATATACTTTGACTTCATGGAAAGCGTCTAGCTTTGCTTATCCAAAGTTTGATTCAGGAGGGTTGCCCCAATATTCCGAACTAGATCCACTAATGTTGTAAGACTAGGTAGGGTTAGGGTTCGGTATCACATGGAAGGTTTAAGGCTCCAATCCTAACCCTGAAAGATTCATTCACTTCACAACTTACAGTTGCTTACATAATCACTATTTTCAGTCATAGAAATCCATACACCTATGTCAGACACCATTAAAGTAAATACATACCAATTCGAAGTTTAATCTCAGGTAATGCGATGAGGGGGCCTCTTGAATTTAAATAACTCAATACTAGTCTTTTCTAGACTAGAAAGCTCACATATTCCGGATATCTTAATCTAGGTAACCGGAGTGGAGAAGGTAAGTTCCCCAATTACAGCTGCCATCAGCTGGAAATAGTCTTCATCACTTGGAATAAAATACCTTTACCCTTCGGCACTTTCTAAATTGATATAAAAATCAACAATTCTGAGTCACAATCGGACCACCTTCTTCTGTCCGATAAGAGTGCATTGAGAGCAATTAGACCTATCCTTTGCTCTGGGAACGGTCGAAACGCTCCTATGGCTCTTCAGTGTCGCGTTTCGAATCAATTGAGTCAATTGGCTGCAAAAGTCTCGGGCGTCCGATTCTACTCAGCCCCAGTTAATGGAAGTATCCCGGCTTCTAAGCGGAAATATGTCCCGACAAGCGGCACTTATCCGCGAGGATTCAAGGTCTCTGGAACGATAGTTGGTGTTAAGCCAAAGAACACTACGAAGCCGGATCTTGCTTTCATCACATCTGATACGCCATGCGCTGCGGCGGCCGTGTTCACCAAGAACAAATTCCAAGCCGCGCCGGTGACTTTCAGCCGTGCGCTACTCCAAGAACAGAAGAACTCCGGTCTTCGAGGTGTTATTATTAATTCAGGATGTGCCAACGCCGTAACAGGCAAGGGCGGCCTTGAGGATGCCGAGCGCATGGCTAAGGAAGCTGACAAGAGCCTTGGAGCCGAGAAGGCGACCCTCGTCATGAGTACAGGTGTGATCGGACAGAGACTACCTATCCAGAAAATCTTGGACGGTATCCCCAAAGCTTACGAGGGACTTGGCGATACCCACAAGCACTGGCTGACCACTGCTACTGCGATCTGTACGACAGACACATTCCCCAAGCTAATCTCGAAGACTTTCCACCTACCGTCTTCACCATCGATAGAGTATCGCATCGCTGGAACGACCAAAGGTGCTGGCATGATTCATCCGAACATGGCAACCCTTTTGGGTGTGATTGCGACCGATGCTCCCATCTCACCTGCTGTTATCCCGCCCGTCCTGAAGTATGCTGCAGATCGGTCTTTCAACAGTATTACCATTGATGGAGATACTTCTACAAATGACACAATCGCTCTACTGGCAAACGGGGCTGCAGGAGGTCAAGGCGTAACCTCAGAGAACTCGGCCGATTTCCAAGCATTCCGAGATGTCGTCACCGACTTCGCGATTGATCTTGCTAAGCTCGTGGTACGGGATGGTGAAGGTGCTACTAAATTCGTAACCATTCGAGTAACCGAATCCTCAAGCGAGGAAGGTGCTCGAAAGATCGCTAGTACCATTGCGAGATCCCCTCTTGTCAAGACTGCGCTATACGGCAAAGACGCGAACTGGGGCCGAATTCTCTGCGCGACAGGTTACTCGCTTATCAGCGAACCCGGAAATCCCATCAACGACGTAGCCGAGATCGTACCCGAGAAAACGAATGTCTCTTTTGTCCCCACGGATGGCAGCCCGGAGTTGAAACTACTAGTCAATGGCGAGCCCGAGGTAGTTGATGAGACCCGAGCTGGTCAAATCCTGGAGCACGAGGATCTTGAAATCCGTGTTAGACTCGGGACTGGTGATAAGGAGGCCACCTACTGGACTTGCGATTACAGCCACGAGTATATGTGAGTGCGAGACTGAAATATCTTCACTAGATGAATGCTGACTAATATTATTAGCACAATCAATGGCGATTACCGAACCTAGTCATTGACATCTGGATGCCGTTGTTTTCCGGCTCAATAGGAATGAGTACTGAATGTGATTATCTCATCGTCGTTAGATGACTTAGATATGGCTTGGCTATGAGTTGAAGGCAATTTACTTTGTCATGATAGATCCCGAGTTTGCAGCTCCATGAATTCATGGTAGATGCGCGTCTCCTAGTTGTATATCCGTGAATGTGAATGAGTAGAATTATAGATGAATCAAGGATACATAGGTAGAAAATGTATTAAAAATGCAAGTAACGACTATGTAATGACAGATTCATCATAAGATAAAAGGAGAAGGATCAAAGGGAAGGCTTATGTAAAGATAATTCATTATGTAATTGATTTTGATTACGTAAACAATCAGGGAAATTCTTATGTAATAAAGAGATAACCCTTATGTAAGCTGTTTACATAATAAGCTTACATAAGCAAAATGCCATCGAGACCAGACCCACTTCAAATTCAGACGCGTCTCAGTTCAAACACGCGTAAAGAGGCTAGAATCTGTGCAGTAAATTCACACCAAAACTCGATTCATAGCTGTACTTCCTTGGCTTAGGTAAATTGATATCATAGTGCAACAATGCCAGCAGCAAAGCCAGAAGAGAAAGGGGATTCCTCGACATCAGCTGCCAAAAAGGCTTTGTCCGGTGCTTCTAACGGCAATGTCACTTATGAGCTGCCATGGTACATCGTCTCCCCTAACGGCTCTACCTTCCGCATTCTAACGCTAAGTGTAGGGTTGAGAAGTACAGACCAGTCTTTCTTGACGATGTAGTCGGAAACACAGAAACGATAGAACGACTGAAGATTATTGCGAAGGATGGAAATATGCCACACGTCATCATATCTGGGATGCCCGGTATAGGCAAGACGACAAGCGTCCTATGCTTGGCCCGCCAATTGCTCGGAGACTGCTATAAGGAGGCAGTCTTGGAGCTTAACGCCAGTGACGAGCGAGGTTAGTAATCAACAGCCCCCATCTAGTACATACCCTGAGAAGCAAAGCTCTAACAAACCCTCACAACCAGGTATCGACGTTGTCCGAAACCGCATCAAGGGCTTCGCGCAAAAGAAAGTCACCCTCCCCGCCGGCCGACACAAGCTCGTGATCCTCGACGAAGCCGACAGCATGACATCCGGAGCACAGCAAGCTCTCCGACGCACAATGGAAATCTACTCAAACACAACACGATTCGCCTTCGCATGCAACCAGTCCAACAAGATTATCGAACCGCTCCAATCCCGCTGCGCCATCCTACGGTACGGCCGGCTCACAGACGAGCAGGTAGTCAAGCGACTAATGCAGATCATCGAGGCGGAGAAAGTGGAGTACAACGACGAGGGTCTCGCAGCGCTCGTCTTCAGCGCCGAGGGTGATATGCGGCAAGCCATCAACAACCTGCAGAGCACATCCGCAGGTTTCGGGTTCGTGAGCGGGGACAACGTGTTCAGAGTAGTAGACAGCCCGCACCCTATCAAGGTGCAGGCGATGCTCAAGGCGTGTCACGAGGGCAACGTGGACAGCGCGCTAGATACGCTGCGCGAGCTGTGGGGGCTGGGGTACTCGAGCCACGATATCATTAGCACGATGTTCAAGGTCACGAAGACGATCGATACGCTGAGCGAGCATGCGAAGTTGGAGTTTATTCGCGAGATTGGGTTCACGCATATGAAGATCCTCGAGGGCGTGCAGACGCTGTTGCAGTTGAGTGGGTGTGTGGCTAGGCTGTGCAAGATTAATATGAAGCCGGAGAGGTTTGAGACGAAGGGGAAGTGAGGGGTTGATCTTGCGCGGGATATAGATAGGGGGGTTGGCGAGATGGCTTGAGATGTGTATTTGCATGGCATGGCATTGGCGTTTACGAGGTCATGAGTTCTACCTAGTTGCTATCACATAGCTGAGACGAGTATCAAAAATTTAAAAGTGGCAGATTATGGCACATCTATTTGCCTACCTAGTAGTAGCACAAGACCTCATTTCTTCTCTTCCTCTATCTCCATCAGCTCCTTCTCGTAGTCCGCCCAGAGAGCACGATCTCGTGCCATCCGTCGTTGCATGCGCACCCTTTGCTCGTATTGTCGCATGCGATAATCGCCTTCAATCATGCTGCCAACAATCATACCGGACATTTGGAGATATCTAATAGCGTTTAGGTCTTTTCCTTCAAGCTGTCTCTAGACAAGAAGGCGTCGAGGGATATGAGCTTAGAAGATAGGTACGCTTCACTCACACTTTGAACTGAATCGTCAAGCCCCGGTATATAGGCGAAAATACATAGCCCATACCTCCCAGGACGGCGGACGCAGCACCCCATTTCACGGCGCCGACAGCTGCGCCGCGCGCCGCCTCCCACTGGGCCTCCTTGGTATCTTCGCTTTCTAGGGCATTGGTGGGGCGCATTGTGATGAGGTCATCGCGTGCCTACATAGGCAGGCCAGACAACAATAGCTATACGAAGGTACCGCAGGACGCAATTGATTCCCTAGCTAATCGTCTTTGTTGTCTCGAGCTCGATTGGTTCCGTTCCGGCTATGTTCTTGTCATAGAAGGAGGTTGGTGTGAGCTAGATGGACGAGGTGATGCGGTTATCTGGATCTATGAGGCTAAAGATTGAGATTGAGTTCCGTGTGAGCCTATTTAGTGGACTGAGAGTGGAAAGGTAAGAGATTTGATTGGTTGAAGCTGATAGCTAGAAGCTCCATGGCGGGCATCGGGGCGGTATCACAGCGGCAGGTGCTGTTTCTTAGCGTCATCGTTTCCGTCTAGCTAGCTCCGTCCCGCTGTTCCCTCTATAAATGGTGAAGGCGACAGCCGTAATACAGTTGTTACCTACGGCCTGCCGCTACGTTACGGCTGTCGCGCGACCGAATAACTCGGTCGAAAACAATCGCTATAAACTATCAACATGTTTAAAATGTGCGTAATGGTCTAGATTCTAATAGCTACAGTTTACAGAGTTACTTGAGACGTGCTTAGGATGTTCTCTATATGAAAGACCGTATACACGTCATAATGTCCAGTACACTTCTAGGAGGCCCCCATCAACAATCTCGTCTTCATAAGCCTACTAGGTGGTATATGTCGATGATGTATAATTCTTAAGACCTAAAATAGAATTATAGTGATTCCAGATCTAAAAGCATAAGAGGAAAAGAAAACCATGAGTACCTAGGCACTGAATTCTATTTTCTCTTCATAGAAACGGTAATAGTCGAAACTCTTCGCCGACGTCATATATATATTACTACACCACCAATTATACCACAAAGGCATAATTCCATCTTCCAACTAACAATACCCGGGCAACAGCACACACCAATGACCGGACTCCAGGCAGAATCAAACTCCCATCCCCCCAGCAATGAAGACTGGAAATGCCAACCCCCGTACCGCACCACACCAGGTAACTCACACTTCACCAAGAAGTGGACGGCTCACTGCCACTGCGGGCGCATCAAATACTGGCTCTCACGCCCGGCCCCCTTAGCCTCCAAGTTTTGCCACTGCATCGATTGTCAGGCTCTACACGGCGCTCCTTTCCAATGGGCCGCCATCTTCGAGAAAACAGACCTGCACTTCGAGAGTGGGGTCGAGGGGCTGGCATTCTACCACTCTAGTGATAAGTCCACTGACCACAAGCTACCGTGTAAGGTCAGTTGCGCGTACTGCCACTCGCCGATCATGGACGAGGGGAGAAAGATGGTGTTGATATTCCCGGGGATTATTGAGTTTGGCGATGCGGAAAAGAAGAAGTTGTTTGATCCTCAGTAAGTTCTCCTAAAAATGCTGTAGGAAGTAAGGGTTGAGTCTATTGACGATTATTGATTAGATGCCATATCTTCTACAGTCAGCGTGTCGTGGATATGCATGATGGGAAACCCAAGTGGTCAAAACTGGATGGAAAAAGTGAGCTGATGAAGGAAGTGGACAGGTTTGATTCAAATAGCCACACCGTGCTAGGTGAACCCAGAAATGAGAATGTTGATAATTGAATTATTCAAGGGTATCTCGTGCGAGCATTTTAGTGATTATATCCTATGTCCCTTTTCGCTTCATGGTTTCTAATATGTACAACGCTCTGTGATAGTCTACATATGTTCATCTCCCTTTGTGGCATTATGACATTAGATCCTCTAGTATCGCCTCTAGATCTTCCTTCTGGAAAGGTACGCTCAGGAGTTCGGTACCTAAAACGTCTTTGCGACTCGTAATTATTTGATGGTCATGGAATCTAAGGCATGTTAGCATCATCATCACATATTTCGGGTATAAAAGGGGAGAGGAACACACTCTTTCAATAACGTCCGGAAAGCCATCTCCGAACTGCAAATAAATTCCTCGACCGCCTTGTTGTAAACCATGCGATACTCCACCCCGGAATTCTCGCCATCAGACCCGTCGTCCATAACCACTAGGACCTCGCCAACCAGCAGGCGGAAGAGGTTTTTGGCGTTCTCGGGTAAACTGCGAAGAACGTAAGCAACACCTTCCTTCCCTCCAACCCGTCTCGCCTTCCTGCCCAGAAGCTCATGCACATCATCCACGACCTCAAGCTCCGCTGTAAAAGGGGCAAACGTCGTACAGTCGTGGAACACGAAGTTGAACGAGGAACGCAGGCTACTATCCCAGAGTAGGGGGAAATCCGGCGTGTCGGCGGAGCAAATAAGTCGAATATTCGGGTGAGCCGCCAGTTGAGCAAGAATAGATTGCGTTCCAACTTTTCGAAGAGGCAAGGCGTCGATAGAGTTTAGGATGACCGTAACAACCACATCGTGAGACGAGAGCAGAGACTTCACACTGTCCAACATAGCCGACGGATTACCGGCAGGGACCTTGTGGGCGGGATTAACCGCACCAGCAACAGTACCCAGTATTTCGCGTAAAGAGCTCGTTCGCACATATCCGTTTATTATAACGATCTTATTTGCGATGTGGTCCGAATATTTCTCGTATGTGTATTTGGCGAACTGGTGTAGAAGGCCTCGCTTCGATCCATACCCGTATAAGCATATGCTAAACCCCTGAGTGAGCTCGAATATCCATTGCGGGAATGACTCGACATGTATCGATTCCAGGAACTCGACGTCTTCGGCGTGTGGGTCTGTGTAATCGCGTAGTATCGAGAAGTATTCGTCGTGAGTTAGAAGTTTTAGGGATGTAATATTGTTACTAGAGGTCTTCGAAGCCCCCGGTCGGTTTTGCGCGAAATATAGCTCGTGTGGAGGTAGGTCTCGAGGCGGAGTAGGCGATTTCTTCCTTGCTCGCTTGGTAGTAAGCTTCGTTTTCGGCCTGCCTCGACGAGGTTTTCCAGATGGAGTCGCGGGTTCTTCGGGTATGTTATCAGACTCTTCTCCCTCCTCATCTTCCTCATCCTCACTTGATTCAAAAATCTCTCTCGCAATATCTTCATCTGCTTCTTCGTCACTTCCGTTCTCCCCTACGACTTGTTCGATTAGGGCCCTAGCGCTCTTCTTCCTTGCGGAGCGATCGTTTCGTTTCCATCTCGGTGTCTGCGCTGTACTACCATTTGTTTTAGACGGTGTTGCGAGGTCTGCGCCATTTCTCTTGCGGCCTCTAGGTGTTGACACTTCAATATTCTTAGGTGTTGAGGCAGTTGGGAGCTGCTTCTTTTTGCTCGGAGTCTTTTTCACGGGTGAAGCTACATCGTCTTCGTCCGAAGGAAAGTCATACTCAGAACGGTGACTACCTGCAATGATATTCGAGTTCGACGTAGCTGTTTCGCGACCACTTCGTCGTTTTGTTGGAATATCCTTGTTAGATTCGTCTTCATCCTGTGTTCGCTTTCGTGAACCTCTAGATTTCGGACCAGGTTCTGCAATTGGCTTTTTAGTTCGTACCATGATGGACGAGAAATAGGTATTTGTGCTACTAGGTGCTTTACTATAGCATTGCGGGCTAATGAGGACCCTCGACAATATGCAATGGTAAGAGATAAATTTAGAAATTGGAGATATTTAATGGTAATTACATACATACAGCTCGGAAGTGGTTTCATTCACGGTCGCGACTGAGCACCGCGTCTGGAAATATTTCTTGTGGGGCACTGCGACCGGGGTGCAATGCACTTGCTCATGCCTGCAAGTGCTGCAGCTACTTACCGATCAGCCCGATAGGTTGATAATTAGGTTACAATCGCCTACGAGGATTAAAAAGATACCGAGTTTATCCGAGGCTTTACCGACACGATAAAACCGAAGGTTCGATTCCCCGCTCGCACGCCCCTCTATTTCCCTTTTATGTGTGATACTTAAAACTCTATGTAAATCTCTAGCACAGCGCAATCCGTAAGAGACGGGAGCGAGTCATACGTAGCCGAAAATTAAACCCGATTTCCTACTCGGATTTAGCATGACTTACGTTTTAAAAAGCACGGACCATAGAGTCACGGGATCAATATGATTACCTGAAAATAGGAACGTCGTTTCATGATAATTACAACATTTTGAGATCGATCTTTATCATGAATCTCAATTTATCTGGAACTATCAACGTTTTCAAGCTCTTAGCAAAGCCGTCTCTATGTCTTCCCCATGCAACTGTCTCCACATTCAATGAGATACCGAGTCCTTTCAAGAAAGTCTTCGAAGGTCATAGGGAGAAGGTAGACATCAGAGCTGTAGTACTTGACAAAGACGATTGTTTTGCCTATCCGAACACCAATGAGATTTATCCTGCTTACGTTGTAAGTGTTGGTGATATATTGAATTTTACCTAATGTCACATTTGAAATAATTTTTCATCTCGTGGGTACCAACTAGAGCAGTAACTTACTTAGCAATAGGAACGTTTTCAATTGCTAAAGAAAGAATTTCCTGGTCATCGACTTCTGATTGTATCCAATACTGCCGGGGCAACCACATACGATCGCGATGGTAATTTGGCAAATGGACTTCAGGAGGCAACGGGGATTTCGGTATTAGCGCACGGGGTGAAGAAACCAGGCTGTGGCGATGAAATCATGGCTCATTTCAAGGCCCATCCCGAAGTTGGAGTGACTAATCCGAGTCAAATTGCAATTGTCGGAGATCGTCTGATGACTGATATGATGCTTGCCAATATGATGGGGAGCTGGGGTTTATGGATCAAGGATGGAGTCAAGCCTCTGAATGAAAAAAGTGTTGTATGCCGCTCTCGTCCATTATTTTGTCAGATTGTCTACTAACATACCCCATAGTTCTCCAAACTTGAGCAGCGCCTCAAGCCGTTCCTCACAAAACGTGGCTACCGAGCTTTCGACCCGCGCAGTCCGTTCGAGTAATCATATAGGCACCTAGGTACGCAGCTAAGTGCCTCCATGTCCATTATGAAATAATTTCCGTGATCATTATAAATCCAAAAAAAATCCCATAATAATAATTACAGCCCGTTTCTGCCTGCTGCTGAAGATGCTTATCAGGTACCTACATAAATCTTCGAAACCGATTTTCTAGCATACGGTTGCAATCCGATATCTTGCTAGCAACTGTTTAACGAAAGTAAACCTGCGTTTGTAAGACTTCTTATAAATATTCTCGAGAACGTTTGTTTCGGTAGTGGTGCGTACACCTGAGCAAGTACCTAGGTACCTAGTAGGTATACAGATTTCTGCTGTTGTTTGCGGGAACACACCGAAGATGTAAACCGTCATTATCATCTGATCCTATCGAGTGTTTACTGGAGATCAGCGACTAAGGTGTAGATGTTTAAAAATAGCCCTCCTATGTGACTCAATGCGTCTTAGGTACTGCACGTAAATTAAGCATAATAAGTAGTGTTCCAAGAGAAATTCGATATTGTTAATCAATGTGGACATGTACAATTGTCTACATACTAGTGTGATCCCCCCAGACTACATATCAACATTGACAATGGCTATGGTTTATCCACACTGCCAAAGGAGAATTTAAGCTCATCATGTGTGAGTTTGCATATTTCGGCTTGCCCAATAGAGGGGAGTTGTTGAGTTCTTTTCCGTGGAGAGGGAAAGAGCATTTATCAGATGAAAATTTCGTAGCTTCTCGTTGGAGGATTATGGTGAGCTCGGGCACAAAGGTGGTCATCACTTTCGCACTATACGTGGGTTTATTCTATGGATTCGTGCTAGGTACACGTACCTGCCTATGACTGTCTCCCCGCAATTGCCTATACTGTATCTTGGTTCATGAGATCCCCACAGGAGTGGTTTAGGTGAAGAGTATGATTGGTTGCCTCTGACCCTTATGTACACTCGTACAGTCCACGACACGCTTCTCGTGAGAAGTCATGCTGTAATTCTATGCATTGAAGGACTAGTGTGACTCTACTAGGTCAAGAGAAGTACTTCTATACCCTACAAAGATAACGAAAATAGAGATATGGGATGAATGGGTTAGTACTTTCGAATACATCTAGATCCACTAGATCACGGCATTACACCTAAGAGATTCTAGACCCTGATGTAACTTGTCTAGTATTCACGGCCATCTGATCTTGATACAATTTTCCTTGACTCTTCATCGACGGAAAGAGTGATCTAATTCACACCTGCCTTGTAGCAGTGAAGGAAAATTAGCCCTTGGTGGCATGGGTCCAGCATTTAAACTGATTTAAATCCCCGACAATATTTTATTCTTTCAATCTTTCTCTCTCCCGTCCGGGTCACTCGTTCATCTTCTTTCATTCTTTCCCCCTCTTATTATCTTTACTACACAACAGTCTCGATATCTTCTAGTCTCAGTAAATATCGTTATCACGCACAAAGCCTTTTCGACTAATCACATTTTGTCAATCATCACGATGGTAGGCAAGGTGTGGTCTGACCTCGAAGAGAGGTACTTCTGGCGAACAGCCGTCGCCCATTCTTCCAAGCGAGCCGGAATCGACAAGGCCAACGGCGAGAAGACATGGGATCAGCTTGCCTACGAAATGCATCGTGCCATGGAACGTCTTGGTCATATTCGCCGAAAGTACACTAGTACTATGTTATGTAAGTATTTCTCGTCCCATACACATCCACCTGACCAGACACGCCATCAACTTAATTCTATCCTCTCACACGATGCTGACGGGCTTCGGACTAGTCGAGCATTATTTCCAGAACATTGAGGGTGAACGACGATCGCCAAATGCAGCGGCGTATGTGAATGAATACTTACGCAAAGTTGGTATGTCCTGATAAATTACTATCCCCACCCAAGTCCATTCTAATAAGCAACTTGAGGCCCTACCCGCGAAATTGTCAATCCTCGTGCAGTTCGCCCCCGTCGAGAGGTGAAAAAGCAACGCGCTCGTAAAGCACCTCCTCCTCCTACTCCTACCGAAAGTGCGGATGGTCCACAGGATGACAAGGACGACAACGCCACTGTTGAACCTACTTCACTTCCAACCCTGCGTGAGATGGATTTACCTGACCCCCGACCATTTATCCTCCCGCGCCCGGGTCCGGGTCTCTCTGAACGTCGGTCTTTCCAGCCGTCTAGACCCCTTCGACCCCTTGCTAAGGCGGCTACTCGCATGCTACCGCCCTCGCCATTGGTGAGCCCTTCCTACGAGGGCCTGTCTTATGCCAATCAACGTGACGCCGCCCTAGGTTGGAACCTAGTGAGCCCAGCAATGACATCCCCGTACGGCGCCCCTCAATACCAGCCCCGAACTCCTATGACACCCGGATCCGGCAACAAGGAACCTGAAGAGCCTGTTTGGGGTTATCAGATGGGAAAGCGTTCTGCTACCCTGAAGCCGTCTCCGCAAGAGCCTTCCAAATCTCAGAAGACTTCTGCCAATGGATACGCAACGCGACGACAATATTCCGACAGCTCCGAGATGGGGCTATTCATCCCTGAAAAAGTCGATACTCCATCGGTGGCCTTTTCTCGGGCAACCGACCTCCTCCGACTATCAAGCGAAAGCTCATTCGCTGACGCACCTAACCCGCAACGGGAGCTTTCTGTGGGATATCAATTCAAGGACTATTCTAGCCCTACGTCGATGTCTACAGCCTATTCGTCTGTCCCTTCTCAGTCCCCCGCCCTTACCCAAGCCGCTAGCGAGCAGTCGGTTGAAAGCACCCTTTTCGTAGAGGATGTTGAGAACATCGATCCTTACGTGGATGATGACGTCGATGAACGCGTCGATGAAGAAGCCGAGGAGTCCGGCGATGATATTCGGGAGGCTGGAGTCAAGTATGATACGGACGTCCACACCGTGAGCTACCGAGACTTCCGCAAAAGAGAGATTATGAACTGGCGCGATGAGGGTCCCGGCTATGGTGACGTCGGTGGAGGAGAATATTACTCGGGATTGGACCATAACATCTAGATTATGGCGCTACGATGCAGTGCCACCGCTCGATGCACTGAGACCGGAGACTACACTCCTCTCAATCGGAGAAAGTTGCTTAACTACGGTGATTTATGAGATTTCACCAAGAACACTTACATTGCTGTACTAAATTAGCTCCATGGTAGATACAAAAGATACCTCAGATAGTTTGCGTTGATATTTTATAAAATTAAAAATCCCAAAATCATTGTCGACTTCATGAAAAAATTGGTTTACCCAGGTCCCAGGCAGAGCGGAGGGTAAAAGTTACCCCTGACTGTCCCGAGAATGGCTTGTATGTACCTGTGTCGTTATCGATAGCGGGGTGTGGCGTCCGGACATCCCCAAAAGAAACCCCTCCCAAACTTCCTTTCTCCCATTCCCATGACAAATATTGCGGTGCTTAATTCATATCGCGTTTACGGGAAAGAATCGTAACCCGAAAGAAGGTTTCAATTGTTTTAGAACCAAATGGGAATCGGCCTTGAAATACCAGTCTTTGGCGCTATTGCCGCCTTAAAAGCAGTCGGGTTAGGTGCATCGCGTATCGAGCTCAACGCCAAAGATTCATATTCCGATGGAGGCCTAACACCTTCGCTCGAGGACCTCAAACGTGTAGCGCAACTCCCGGTTCCCGTGCGCATCATGATACGGCCACGAGGCCCTCTAGCTGAAAAGGAGACGCGAGATTTTGTATATTCCGACGAGGAGTATGCCCAAATGGAGGTTGATATTCGGGCATTTAAAGAATCAGGCTTGCTAAATGAGGGACGTGGAGATGGATTCGTGTTTGGCATCTTGAAAGAAGACTCTCGCCTTAACGATCAATGCTGGGTTGATGAAGTTAAGTGTTGGGTCGATAAGGATAGATGCGCCCGTCTCGTTGAATCTGCTCGACCCTTCAAAGTCGTCTTCCATCGAGCCTTTGACGAAATAGTGAGCTGTGATGAAGATGAAATCGATATTGATGTGCGCTACGCATGGGAAACTGGACTTAATCACCTAGCAACTTGTGGCTTCGATGCTATACTCACATCAGGTGGCCTTGGACACGCAGCCAACAATATTACGATGCTAGACAAGATTATCGCAAAAGCAGAAACACTTGGCATCGAGATTATTGTGGGTGGCGGCGTTAGAAGGCATAACGTTAGAGAGCTTTCACGGCAGCTCAGGCTAAATGAGAGGAGCCAATCAACATTTGTTCATTCTGCTTGTCTTTCAAACGCGGAGTCAGAGGACATCGATACTGACGAAGTCGCTAATATCTTATCGCAACTAAAATGAGGCCTATGGTTATATAAATGGTAAGTCAATTGTTTCAATTCATGGGAATCTATCTTCTAACAAATAGGTATCTAGCATAACCAACTCCATATCGTGAACTCTCATCAATATCGTATAGAACGTGTCGTTTCGTAAACTGCATCTTTACATCCATGTTCATTAGAAATCGTCTACGCTTATGCAGATGGACCGCCCCGCAGTGTGTCCGGTAAAAGCTTCGACTTCGACGCAATGAGGCCAGCCAACTCCACCATTGGAACATTGCGCAAAATCTCAGAAACATGGACTACACTTTGTAACTCCTTCAATGCCCATGCCCTTATATCAACAGCGACAAGGCTGTCCACTCCGTATGTGTTTATCGGCCGGGCACTGTCGAGGTCCTCAAGCTCCATCATCAAGCTCTTCGCGAGCTTTCCCATTAAGGCCGAGCAAACAACACCCCTCGCGTCGTCCGAGCTCGCCGCAGCCCCTAATATACTTGCGAAATCTGCTGCCGCCGTACTCTTTACCCGGTCTTTCGAACCGGCAGTATTTTGTATCTGCGTATCGTACACACTCAGCGGATTGAAGCGCGCATCCGAGAACCAGTACGGATCATCGTCACCGTTGGCCCTAACCAGGCCGCCACTAGCAAGACCAAGCACCGGTTGCGCTTTAACCTGATCTGCCATAGCGGCTTCCATGACTGCAAGGAATTGCTTCGCCGTAAGTTGAGGCGCACCAGCACGCACGATTTCTGGCACTTTCCCTTGCTCAGATACGAATCCAATTTCTCCCATCCAGCCAAGATCGATGCTTGTTGCCTTCAAGCCTTGGGCCCGACGGTAATGCACCACAGCATCTTGATATGTATTGCCTTTTTACTGTTAGCGTCGAGAACACATACCTCCTAACATTCTAGACGACTTACCAGCATTGTAGTTACTCTGCGCTATCGAACCAATCTGGCCCGCCGCCGACGACATAGTTATAAAGAAATCGAGGTCCTTAGGCAACATATCGTGCATATTCCACGTCACCTTGTACTTTGGTTGTAGTGCAGCCCACCAGGCGTCGAATCCCATAGTCTCGAACATCGAATCCTTGGATTTCGTTAGCAAACTTCAAACGCGACATCGCTCCGATTGAATCCCTACCTGGACATTCATAGCCATGATTACTGCACCGCGTATCGGTGGGAATCCTACTTTTGCTATCTCTTTGAGGACTTTTTGACATTGCTCTACGTTTCCAACGTCCGCCGCAAATGCTTTAACTTTCACGCCGAGCTCAGAGAGATCTTTGAGTAATTGCTGTGCTCGTGGGTCCTTGGCGCCGGATCGGGACGTAGCGACTAAATTGCGGGCTCCTTTCGCAGCCATCCACCTCATCAGCGACCGGCCGAGACCACCCATCCCACCTGGAATGATGTAGGTGGCATCGGGACGTAGTTGAATTTGGACCGGCTTTGGAAGAGTCGTCTATGTTCTGATTAGCGTTCTATACCCGATAAGCGTCTCTCTTAAGGTTGAACTCACCGGCACTTTATCGTCATCGACAACTCGAAGAACGACTTTTCCTCCGTGTTTCCTTGCTTGCAACATCCTGAATGCCTCTGAAACCTCCGAGAACTTGAAAACGTGCAACGGCTTTACGAGCTTGATGACGCCTTCCTTATAATATCGGAAGACACCAGCCATTACTGTGCTGAATAATGGGCGGTTCGTTCGGTACATCGTTAAGAGATTCACACCAGCGAAGATCGCGTTGTTTGCGAAAGGCACCATATCTAGACCCGTGTTGCTCCCTATTTTTGATGTTAGTCAACTGACATTTTGGTTCGACGAGGGTTTGCTTACGGATGTCTTTCATTCCAAGTTCGATGAATCGGCCGAATGGCGCAATGCAATGCCAAGTTTCTCTTAGTAGCTCACCAGTCAACGAATTTAAAATCACCTGAACGCCTAGGCCGTTGGTTATCCGCTTAATCCCTTGTACGAAACCGTTATCTTTGTTACTGAAGATGTGGTCTCCAGGGATACGGTAGTTTTCGACAAGATATTGCTTTTCTGCTTCCGAAGAGACTGTAGCAATGATTTCGGCGCCAACATATTGGGCTGCATTGATGGCGGCTTGACCTAGGCAGTCCGATGCCGAGTGGATTAGGACTGTCTCTCCTGCTTGAAGTCTGGCAACATTAAATATGCTGTAGACCGCAGTCCCGTACGAGATCATCATAGATGCACCCTCCTCGAAGGACATCGTGTTCGGAAGCCTTTGGAACATGTCTTGCGTGTTTCGGATGAACGTCTTGTACCAGCCCAATGCGCATGTCGCCACTCGATCCCCTACGCTGAATTCGGTAACATATTTACCCATTCTGGTTACGACACCACTGCATTCAACACCCAGGTTGGGATCCCAGAGTTGACCTAATACAACGGCCATATCATAATGGTCTAATCCGACAGCCTTGACCTCGATCTCCACTTCTAGATCGCCTAAGGGCCTGGAGTAGTCATCGTCATCATTGAAGTAGAAGCTGTCGAGTTCTCCTGTCGCCTTTAGATCAAGTATCAGCGGTCGGCCGGGCTGCTTAATTGGCTGCATCGTTAATCGATCCTCGCGAAATTCATCCGGGCTCAATATCCTGCTGAGGGTCTCATCGGGGCTTATGCGTAGGACATTAAGAGCCCCGTTTCTCTCGGCAAACTCGTGATCGGTATTGTGCTCCTCGGTTTGTAGGCGAAGTACCTTCAATATCGTCTCGGTCACTTCCGGTTGATCGCAAGGGACGTCTGGGTCGAGATCTAATGTCGTAAACTTGACTTCTGGAGCTTCGCCACGGATTGTTCGTGCGAATCCTGCGATCATGTTGAGCTCTGGGTCCCGCGTATCGATGGATGTACCGCCCCTAGTTAGCCACAGGGTGCCTTCGGAATGGAGGACCATATGCTTTAGGGCATCATATTCGTCAGGTTTAATTGAGCTTAGTAATGGCTTCTCGAGTTCGAATGTTGCGATACACCGCGTTCCGGTCAAATCGGCTTTGGCAATGTCGAGCAGCGATGTCTGTTTGACAAAACTTCCATTTGCTGCGAGCCTGCTTGAGAGTTCATACACGATCGACTTTGGCTGACTTCTTTCCGCCGACGATGTAACGATCACCACCTTGTTCGGCAACTCATCTTTAGAGTCGTAAGGGACGCTTGATGCCATGATAGACGACGAATGGCCAGCATCCTCGCGATCTCGGAAACACCAATCGACACCAGCGAATCCTTGTGCACGTAAACGAGTGTCCCATTCCCCCTCGGAGAGTTCCGGACCCCATTGTCGACCGTCGTTATCACCTAGCCACCAGCCAGAGAGAACTCCGAACACCACCGATCGTCTCGCGATCTTGTTTGTTAGTTCTGTAACGATGAGATGTCCGCCCCTGCAAATTTTATTGTTAACATTCCTTCTATGGAACCAAATGCAATCTTGATTACTTACGGCTTTAGTAGCTTCCTACAATTTGCCAAGGTCGCGCCAATAGACGAAGTAGCGTGAAGGACTTGGAAAGCCACAACAAGATCGTAGGATCCTTCCTCCAGCCCCTGTTGCGCAGGTTCTTTTTCAATATCTAGGACCTTGAACTCCATCATGGAGCCATATTCTTTGAACTCTTCGCTAGCCGCTTCGAAGAAGACACCGCTAATGTCGGTATACGTGTACTTCTGCAATCGTCCCGCGACATTTGGTCCAAGACTGGAGAGAATCCGACTCGTGGCACTTCCTGTACCTGCGCCGACTTCAAGGATGCGCAAAGGCCTCTTGTGTGACAACCGCTTGATATACTCGCACTGTATCGCCGGTGTACGTTCATCGGAGAGACCGTAGCGGTACATATTATTAAGCAGATTATCGCGGCTCATCACCTCCCATGCTTCTACCTCGCCTAGAAGCATGCTAGACATATTATCATTGATGCGACACATCATCTCCCCTTCAAGACTCGCTTTAGACACTCGGGCAAGCACCTCATTTTCGACAGTTTCGCTTGCGGATCCCCATTCGGGAGACTGGCAGGGCAATTTTCCTGCCTCGGCGAGTTCGCATTGTCTCTTCATGTAATTATAGTAAGTCTGATAATGAGGTGCCATATTTTCGGCATCTTCCGCGCTAAAACGCTGGGTTGTTCTCTTCGACACGATGAAAGCTGCCCATTCGAGATCATAGACTACTGAGTAGTCTGTCTGGGGCGCGCTGGCGCAAGTTTTCTTGAGGAGTTCCACGGTCGCATCGCTCGAATTTTCCACGTCAATGTCCCATGTTGGATAGGCCCCCAGTTTCTTAAGGGCCTTGATCTGAGCATCTGCGTCATCGGTGGAATCTATCTCCGTCACAAAGTCTGTTGACTTTAAACCTTCGAAGATGATTAAAGGTTCTTCCCACTTCTCATCGGAGATCACAACTGTGCCGTTAGTTCCATCAAAACGTCTTTCCTTGATATCAGCGAATCCCTTAAGACGAGTGCCTTCCAGAGTAGGCAGCTTGGCCGAGATCTGTATTCTTTCAATATACTTCGCAACCGTGGGCTTGGCTACTCCATCGCAGGACATCAACATCTGGAATGCACTGTCGAGTGTTGCTGGATGAACAATGTGCTGGGACTCGATATTCTTTGGCATTAACGACTTCGTATCGGGAATCTCTAGTGTGCTGCAAATTGTGGTACCCGCAGCCCGTGAGTCTACTAACGTTTGATATGCGGGGCCCCATTGCATTCCGAGCTTAGCGAACTGTCTCTTTGTTAGCAGATTCCTAGGATGCATCTTGTTAACTTACCTTCTCATAAAAGTTTGCCGTGCTACGGTCTTCCAATGGCAGGCCTGCTATACGCGAGTACTCGGAGCGATAAGCATTGGCTATTGAGGCCTCTTCGTCGGTAAAACCTGAAGGTTTCTCTTCCGCGGCATACTTCAACTTGATAAGACCTGTACTGTGCTGTGTCCAGTCGCCTTGACGACTACGGCTGAACAGAGTGAACTCTTTCCAATATGTTGTCAACGACCTCGAGGCCAACCGCCAAGGACGTAGCTGCAGCTTGGTCTCAACAGGGCTGTCTTCGGCATCACTAAGAAACAGGGGCGCACCAGGGAATACATCCCGTAGCTGGAAAGCTTCTATCGTCTTGGAAGGTTCGGAAGTCTGGCGAACAGCCTCAATCACCATGGCCAGTACACCCGAAAAGGACAGGATCGGCTTGTTCTGGACCATGTAATGCCTAAGCCAGGGTACCTCTGAGAGCCGAAGATAATTGCGCCAACACGGCTCGTTGTCGTCGGAGAATTCGTATCTCACACCGAGAAGATCGTGCTTGGGCAATTTTCGGTTCCGGTAGGCTGCTGATAAGGCTGTCTCATACCAATACTTCGAGTTGTGGTTCCATGCAAACGGCGGTAGATCTACCAAGTGGGTAGGGAGCTCCTCTGTGGGATCGAGGTGATTTGCCTTAGCGACGTCAACCGAAAATCCTCTTTGGTAGAGAGATCCAACGGCAGTAAGTGTGGTTTGGATCGCGTCTTGCTTTCTTGTTAAGAGACCGAGCGCATGGACGTCCAACTTCTTTTCTTGCGCTTGCAAGATCTGCTTAATCGGGCCTTGTAACGCGCCATGAGGCCCAACCTCCACCATCACGATGGATTTATCAGCGAATTCTGGGGTGTTCAAGATTGCCCTCACCGCATGATTGAACTTGACCGAGCAAACCATGTTATCTACCCAGTATTGAGGCGATCTCAACTCTTCATCGCTAATTTCTTGTCCTGTGACGGATGAAAACATGCGAACTCTCGTGGCCGTGCTTGGGTCTGTCTGGATGCCTTCGAGGGACTGGAGGTACGGCTCAGCGAGCTCCTGCATGAAGGGGCTGTGGTATGCCGTCTTTACGAGGAGCTTTCTGCACCAAGCCTGAGTACCTATTAACTTTTGAACCTCATCGATGGCATCCACGCTACCGGATATCGTAACACTGATAGGGCTATTTATGCATGCAACCACTAGCTTCGGAGTTGTGGTGACCTTGTCGATATAAGTCTGCGCATCAGCTTCACCCATTGCAGCGGCAAGCATAGCTCCTGGTGCTGATAAACCGGCCGATAAGCGTCCTCTATGATATGCGATTGTCCACGCCGACCGACGCGAAATGGCTCCCTTGGCGTAGGCGGCCCCTATTTCACCACTTGAGTGACCGACTGTGACAGATGGGACTATTCCCCACTCCTTGAGGAGATCAACTAACGCGACTTGGATCGCAGTGCACGCAGGTTGGCTGATCTGAGGCTCATTGATACGCGACTCGGCTTCTGAAGCGCCGAGCTCTTCCAATAGATCCCACTCGCACCCTAGTGACTTGAGATGAGCTGTCGCCTCTATTAAACTGGTGTTATAGGACCTGTACGCGCGAAGTTCACGACCCATCCCAAACCATTGCGCGCCTTGTCCCGTGAACACGAATACTGCCGAAAGATTCTGAGTCGGTCGTAACGGCTTATTCGCGATATCGAGGGCTTTTATCGCTTCATCGACGCTGGACGCTACGACGAACGACGACCATGAGAGTTTGCTACGTCGGCTAGACAGTGTGTATGCCAGTCGTCTTAAGAACGTCATTTCGTATACCGGCGACTTCGGCTGTTCTTTTAGGTAGGACTGGAGGCTCGCTGCGGTTCGGCCGATCCCGCTCTGTTCGTGCGAAGACCAGACTAGTAGTTGAGGAGTGGCAGGACTGTCTTCGAAGTCGGTGAACTCTGAAACTGAAGAGCCTCTTCCGTTTACACTGGCGTTGTCGGAGCCGCCATCCGAGCTAAGGAAGGAAGTGTCGGTTATCGGCGACATCAGTGCGCTGACACAATGTTCAATTCTGCGACCCGGTACCGTCGTGGCAGTGTTATGTCTTCCGGCTAGACCGCGATCCTGGAGGTAGTGATAAGCATCATCCAAGATACAGTGAGCATTCGTCCCACCATACCCAAATGAGTTAATACTAGCCCTGCGCAACCCGTCTGTAGGCCATGGAAGGAGTTCGGTAGGTACCTAGAAGAGACCGATATTAGACGAATTCGAGCTTATAACCTTGAAGTCAAGAGAGCTTACGGCTAATCCCCATTTCTCCAAGTCAAGTTTAGGGTTCGCTTTCTCAAACCAGATATTTGGAGGTACTTGCCCCTTTTCGAGTGCATATATCGATTTCACGAGACCGGCTATACCAGCGCCTGCCTCTAGATGTCCGATGTTGGACTTAACAGAGCCGATGTATAATGGATCGTCCGGTCTTCGAGTTTTCCCGAATACGGCTCCAATTGCAGATGCTTCTAACGGGTCGCCAGCCGGTGTACCTAGAAGTGGCTATTAGAAAATATTTCTCGGCCCTCTAATTCGGGGTTGTCTTACCTGGCCCATGAGCTTCAAAGAAACCTGTATGTGCAGGGCTTAATCCAGCATTAGCATAAGCTGCTCTTATTAATGCTTCTTGGGCCTCGGACGAGGGCAGATTAATTCCTATGGGAATATTAGATTAAGTCAACTTCGATTGGTGTAGGAAGACCAACCTGGTGTTCTTCCATCTTGTGTTACCGATGTACCCCTGATAACCGCACGAATAACATCACGATCTCTAAGTGCGTCGGCTAGAGATTTTACCACTATAACAGAGACACCCTCTCCTCGAGAACTTCAGATGCGCTGGTCAGTTGTTTATTTCGAAAGGGGGTAGTAGGAGAGGACGGCTAAGGATTTTGGTCGACTGTGACTGGGGCAGTGAAAGTACGTACTATCCATTTGCCCTATGATCAAATGCCATTGACTTTCCGTCTGGGCTTAAAAAGCTTAAGGTACTTAAGTGATTTGATGTATGCGGCATTAATATCAAATTTGTGGCACCGACAAGAGCCTATGATGGTTAGAAACCCAAGAGTTGAGGATACAGCCTGGTGCAACTTACTGCTTTAGTCTCCCCAGTACGGATGCTCTGACAAGCTAAGTGTAGGGCTACCAGAGACGATGAACAGGCAGTATCTAAACTGATACTCGGTCCCTTAATATCAAAATACCAAGATATCCTATTGGCAATCATAGCAGTACCCATGCTACCATTGGCTTCATATCGACTGAACTCTCGTTAGAAAATACATAGAATTCGGCAGGGGCAGGGGGCTCACGGGTAGTCGTCTGGGTCAATAGCACGTATTGCAGCATAGTCTCTAACACAGCAGGCCATGTAACAGCCCATTGCTGACCCGGAGATATCTTCGATTCTGGCGCCAGCTGTGATCTCTCGTTAGCATATTTAACATCGCAGTGCTGACTCGGGGGCTTACCAGATTCTAAGGCTTCGTAAGCAAGCTCCAATGCCATCCTTTGTTGAGGGTCCATGGCATGGGCTTCTTGCGCCGTTATCCTAAAGAAAGGGGCATCGAATGCCGCAACATCGTCCTTCAAAAAGTGACCACTCCTCGCGCTTGTGCTGCCCTGATGATCCGCGCTAGGGTGATAAAAGGCATCTATGTTATATCGGTTCTCTGGAACATCGGTTCGCGCGCTCTTCTTCGCAGTTACCAAATCCCAAAGTTTGCTCGGCGTGGTGGCATCTCCGGGAAACCTGCCGGAGATACCCACGATCGCAATGGGCATTGAGGCATCTTGACTAAGAGCTGTGAGAATATCTCTCTCTTCGCTATAAGACATCTTATCTTGCTGCTTGGCCTAATATCATGGGTATAAAAAATAACAAAAAATGGTGTAAATTTCGAAGAAGAGTTTCACACAAGCATATGCCAAAGCCTCGAGAAATCGATCACTACCACAAGATTATGTGGAATATCCCTCTCTATTATTTTATAATCATACTTTGAGGACGATACATTTAGGGAAAACACGAGCCCCGCCCCCATGTAACCGCAATACCGACTATGAAAGATCATATGAGATACTAATCAGACTTCGGTTAGCACTACCAGAGCTGTATACTAACATAGGACCCAGTGCCCCAGTCTAGCGTCGATATTTGGTTCTGGGGATACTAGGCCAACTTCTCTTTATAGAAATTAGAGCTTCCACAATAGCCCCACGAGTTTAGGATGCAGGGATCATTCGCGTGGCGTAAGCCTACCTTGGTATAATATAACGTCCACAGTCTGCATGCTAATGCCTCTGCATATATGGTATATGCCGTTGGTGCTCGAATTTGGACTACCCAGACTGCAATAGTGACATACTCTCAATTTGGAGTGACATACTCTCCACCAGACTATTGTCACTCTTGCATGGGGTTGGTATAACAACAGGTGAATTCGTGATGGTATGATGATATGGCTTCAGTCAAGGCAAGTCTTGTTTATCTTTGGCTCGGGAACTGTGGACGGGGCAGATCATTGACAACTGTTCTGAGACTACGAAAAGATCAATTCAGTCGAAGGAAATTCCACTGCGGTGCTTCGAATATTCCCTAGCAAACTTGCCACTAGCCGCAAAGTTTTCCCATGTGTATGACTATGCAGTAGAAGGAAGGAATGTAGTCTAACAAGACTTAGTATAGGGACGGTCTGCAAGGCAGTGGAGAGAACTGCAAGGCAAGAATTATTCCATAGGCTGAAAATGACGGACGATATTCCTTCATCTGGATCCCTTGCAAATTGTCTAGCGTCATACGTGTATGTTTTCGCGTGTACACATCACCCCATTGATCAACCAGAAGTCTCGATAGCGTCCCAGTTTGGGGGAAGATTCTAATAGGGAGCCGTTCAAGTTCTATAGTGGGACGCGTCCTGCCAAGACACGTGCGAGGTTGGAATATACGGAAGTCGTAATATCCTAATCTATCCTAGCAAGTGTGGGACATTCGGGCAGACGAATGAGCTTAGTAATTACGCTTCCGTAACTAAACAGACGCTTGGGATGCAAGTTAGGGCAGGATTCGACCATTTCGGGACGCGATGAACAAGTCGGTTATCTAGGACTTGTAGAATTTCGCTTACCGCTCCGTAACGAGCGGGATTAGTTTGGAACACTAACCGAATAGGGATTTGCTGCATTTGTTAACCCATGTTCTAGAGCCAAACTTCGCGGTTGACGCGGGTACTGGCTTTGTCACGATGGATTTCGACATGGTTGATCGCGAGAAACCTTTGCGTCGTTCTCGTGTCGTCGTTTCAACAAGAATCGTCGAATCTGTTTGATATATCTGTGTAACAATCTATCTCTGTAGTAGTTCATGTCTATAGGATTTTTGAATCCAATTGGTTAAAATTTCCATTGGCATTCCATAAAGAGCATGGCAAACTGCCCTCTCGGCACAGTATGATTGGCTAGTGGTCAGGTAAGGAGGGTACCGTGCCGCCAGTTCGCAGGTCGGGGCATAAGCACTCTATGAAAATTGCAACCTTAGCTAGTAAATAATAAGAAAAATGATCTTTTGATTCAGTGTAACAGAAGATACAGGTTACCTATATGAGATATGCATGTCATTTCGAATTTGGAAACCTTGTATTAGATAAAGTAAGACTTTAAGTAGATACAGAGAGTGCTAGAAAACGGAAATAGTATGAAAATAATATTTTACCCCTCACAACTTTTTTTTTTCGTATGAAATGTTCCGCGCCTTAGGAACGGCTACTACCTAGTACCTACTACCTATTGCAAGGTTACCCAGATATACCTAACTTGACACTCGTTCTCGCATACCTACCCGTTGTAAGAACAGGGGTTTCCCAACGCACCGGCCGGGTTGATACCTATCATCGGCCGAACGAATCACGGACTGCTGTAGGGCTTCCCGTCTGTGCACAACAGGATGGCACTCTAAAAGCTTCGCATGGGTTTAATGTGACGTACATGTGGACAAGGTGACTGGCCAATTGTCATCCGCATCCATGCAGAACGTGGCAGAAATGATACATCACATTGCAAGGTACCGGGCAGATCAAATTCGTCCACGAGCACCTACTAGGTATTATTGTTATACCTACCTATTTCAATGTATAATATGACTAACATGTTGAAGATTCTCTAGGATGAGAACGGCTCTTACGTTCGCCAATCTGCAACCTCGGGCCGCATTTTAACAATCCGGGTCTGTCGTGTCAACGTCTCCACCATCATAAGACAGACGAGGCGGACGCGCTCCCTATTATGCTCGATGATCATCTATCTTTTAGTAAGTACGAATAATACCGTTTCGGCTAGCTCATATGAGCGACAGCCGATCATTCCCAAGCCACATAATTATCATCGGCGAATTGGCGCTGTATCGAATTGCTGCATCTTACGGGTCTTCAAGGGCGTTGGTTCTCGTACATAACGTCACTCATTGGCGCACGTCACAAAGACTGAAGTCCAGACATCATCATACCTGTTGGCGATGGAATGATTTCAAACTTCTAAATGAAGTGTGTGCGGTGTAGGACAATATGATACTAGTACTAGCTGCTAGGTATGCTACCATTAGTTGAGAAGGATCCGCCGAACTTGGTTCAAAGGTTTCGAACTACGCTTTTCAGCCACAAACAAGTATTGATTATTACAGCTTAGTATTATTCAACCGATTGCGTCTTTCGTAGGGGGTTCGGTATCATTATTATCACAATTCTTCCAATAAGATGCTCCTGTCCCAACCGGAATCACGTGAGCAACGGAAATTTGAGGGTATCTCCAACTTCTCCAAGGCACGTGATACAAGAGAATCTATCTATTACCCCATCACATTCACCATTGTAGGTAAATGATAATATGGAAATGTTCATAACTATGTACCTAGTAGGTACTCAGGAGATTGTAAATCAATTCTGATATATCCGATTCCCAAAACAGTTCAACCCCGAAATCTACGGAGATCTCCTGGCGGGGTAGGGACGGGCGGCATCCTGGTGCAATTTTGAGCTGCCTAAACGGTATTAGCGGCGGATATGTACTGTATCTGAACCTTATTAGTCATCATTGATAGGGAGGCTTATCTCGAGGCAGCAATATCTCAAATCAAATCATTTTCCATGCTCCTTGCATCTTTCGCTTCATTCCTTTGACATCGAGGCGTAGGTATTCAAAGATGCATGAAAAGGGGCAACTTCTGCCTCACCCGCAGACTACCGTCTCGAATTCCCGACCGAGACCACCATGGACCTCGCTACTCCAAATTGCAGCTGTCTGCTTCCTACTGAAGATCGCAGTATTTGATACCTTCATTGTTCCCCGCTTAAAGGATGACGGGTTGGAGATCTTGGCAAAATGCCCACAGGTTGAGCCTCTTTTCCCTAAGGGGAATCAAGCGCTCTCTGAGATGGATGATTTTATCGCCTCCCCTAAATTTTTGAATGAAACAGTATCTCGGATGGCTGGAGCAATTCAGATTCCTTCCGAATCTTACGATGATTTGGGTCCGGTAGGGGAGGACAGGCGATGGGACACGATGTTTGACTTCGCTGCCTACCTAGAGAAGACATTCCCACTCATTCATACTACTTTAACACTTGAAAAGGTCAACACTCACGGCCTGCTGTATACTTGGCAAGGGTCCAACAAGAATTTAAAGCCGACTGTTCTCATGGCCCATCAAGATGTCGTACCTGTCGCTGAATCCACCATTGGGCAATGGACGCATCCTCCATACAGCGGCTTTTTTGACGGTCGCTTCATCTGGGGTCGAGGTTCTTCTGACTGCAAGAATAACCTTATCGGGATCATGGAAGCTGTCGAGTTACTTATAGATGCTGGTTACCAGCCCGCAAGAACTTTAGTTCTATCTTTCGGCTTCGACGAAGAAACTTCAGGGACCCAAGGCGCTGGAACCCTTTCTAAAGCATTAATCAGCCGTTACGGAAAGGATGGCGCTGCGCTTATCGTAGATGAAGGGGCTGGTACATCGACAGTATGGGGTACTACATTTGCCCTCCCAGCAGTCGGTGAAAAGGGTTACATGGATGCCGAAATTATCATCCGCATGCCAGGCGGCCATTCATCAATTCCCCCGGCTCACAATGGGATAGGAGTTATGTCGGAACTAATTTCAGCCATCGAAGCGAATCCTTACGAGCCGAGATTGTACTCTGATAATCCGTTTCTTCATCTTCTCGAATGCGGTGCAGCTCATGGCCCAGAGTTCCCGAGAAAGCTTAAGAAGTTGCTTCCTTCGCACAACAGCCATACTTGTTCTAAGAAAGATAAACTTGCTCTAGAGGCGGCGAAGGCTGGGGATGCTATCAAGTATCTTTTTACAACTTCGGGTATGTATCATTTAAAGGTTGCGCGTTCTTCCTGATCCCTTTCCGGCGCAAGACTTTCCGGTTGAGCTTCCTAGGTCTAAACCCCCTTTAAAGTAGAAATTGCTGACTCGCGTTGCTAAAGTGGCACCTGATGTCATCAGTGGGGGCGTCAAGGCCAACGCACTCCCCGAACGCGTCAGAGTGATCGTTGACCACCGAGTTAATGTTGGCGAAAGCCCACTTGATGTCCAGGCAAAATTAATAAAATTGGCACAGCAAGTCGCCAGCAAGTATAACCTCACAGTACACCCCTTCAATGACGAGCCGGAGACTCCGTCCTCTATTACACTTCGCACACATTCTATCCTAGAACCCGCACCTGTCACGCCAACATCGGTTGAAAATGTAACTCCGTATGGAGTTCTCTCAGGGACTACACGAGCTGTCTATGGTGAAAAGCTTCTAGTTTCTCCTGGTATTATGACTGGAAATACTGATACTAGGTATTATTGGGATCTGACGAAACATATTTTCCGCTACGGCCCTGGTTGGGACCCTGAAAGTGAAGGGCTTGAAGGGATTCACACTGTTAACGAGAAACTCAGTGTCTCTGCCCATATCAAAGGTGTTCAATGGTACAGTCTCTTCATTCGCAATACTGACCAGGCAGATTTTGTTTAATTCATAAAATAATCGGAAGTGTAAAGAGTAGGGCTGGCTTAATTTCACAAAACATGGTATGAGAAATGAATTCGTGGTTCAGCAAAACTGTCGTCTATTAGTAGGTCTTTCTAAGTACCTATCTAGTACCTACGTTTAACAGATATCTTTACAATTCAATCACTTTCATATGAAACTTCAGCTTAGTACGATTCACGCTGCGCGAAGTATCTGTCCCGAACAGACTGGTCCATCGTCCCCGTCAAAACAGCATGTATAACCCTCGCCTCGGGACGAAGACCGAGATCTACGAATAGATCATAGAAATCAATCCAAGCAGGGTCTGCTTCTACTAAAGCGAAGTCATAGAACATCGTGTACAGATCTTCTTGGGTAGCATTCGCTGCAAATTCACAAAGCCTTACCGCTATCCTCGCCCGGCTGACAACTTCAGCTGGATCTATTGTGCCGGCTGCCTGTCTAAATTCGATCGTCTTCTTTGAATACATGGCGAGTCGGAGAAAAGAATAGGTAGGTCGATTTGGACACCTTGTCAACTCCACAATATGGTGTCGGTGGGTCGATTTAAGGATCTCCGAAACTGCCTCCATCATTGGGGCGGGTGTGAAGTCTTCTAAGCTCTGTTTTACATTATGAAAATTTTTAATGTATGTTATAGCCGATTGTAGGGTGTCACTGTTGAACATATAACTTATCGTGGTAGGTCGGCGGGGAAATTTATCCTCTATTCGAGCTTCTGCAACCCTTTTTCGAAAGAGTCCAAAGATGGACTTGAGAAGTCCGTCTTCCTTTCGTCTACTTCCAGAGACTATTGAGATATTATCAACATTTTCAACATTTTCAATCCGCGACGGCATCCCTTCAAGGTGGCTTTTTCTTAACCCCAAAGTTACATTACTGTATAGGCGGAGACTAGGGCAGTAAAACTCGTTCTTACGTCTGTGTTCGGGATAAGAATGCGCCAAGATTGGATCAGCCGCGTAAAGGAAGGCTGCGATTTGACGTAGAAATATAATCGGCAACCAATCGTTCCCTTGTCCTACGTGTATATGAAGGCCACAATGTTCTGGGGTAGAAATCCAAAAGGTGCTTTGTAGGAACTCACACACCCGGCGGACTTCATTGAAACCCTCGTTCGTAGTCCATAGCGCGGGTGAGACAAGCTCGACTCCAACCCATCCGGATCGTTCATTCGTAGCTGCTGCCAGGTCATTAGATAATCTATGAAGTGACGAGTCATCATGTGTATCCCACTCACTGTAAGAAAATGCATTACCCAGCCGCTTCTCCGTGGCACCTACTGTTGCTTCCGGGGAACCTTGTAGTAACTCTCTGACGCTTGCTAGTAGAGGTTCAAATATGTCGTGGATCGTGTCATACTTGTCGACAATTAGCGGGGCACCAGGATGGGATTCGAAGCCTTGAGGCCGGGACGTTATTTCCTCGCCTTTGATGCTCCAGAAAATGTAAAACTCCAGTTCAACGCCGAAGCTTAGCATTCTCTCCTGTTTAAGTGCCATTTTGGAACTTGGCGAAGGGTCTTTGTCTTTGAAAAATCTTCGAAAAATCTTTGAAACTTGCGCTGCTGCTTTTGAAGGCGTGGACCCAGGCCCTTTGTTTTGGAACAACTGCGTTGTTTTGGTTGTTATTGAATGCATTGAATGCAATGCTGACAGGATAATGATATGGTTACCTATTCATTCCATTTATCCATAATTATTCTGTGGGAGAACTATCATGGTTGATTCTTATCAATATTTTTTACATATCCAGTTCGCTCTATTCAAGACTAGATAGGACAAAGCCAAAGGTAAGTATAGGGGCCGTCTGGTAGCTTCTATTGTATCAAATCTCCTAATGATATCTCCATGCCATCTGACTAGCATGACTAGTCCAACTAGATCTTCCTTGGTATCTAATATGCCAGGGTACCGATAATCTTCAAGTTCTGCTCAAGTTTTGGTTGACTGGGATGGCTACTTGGATTTCCTGCGTCCCAGATACGCAATACACGCTTAAAGGTTCCATTGAACGTATATATAGGGGTTAAAAGAACATTATTATAGTCGGCTATGTTATTATTGAAGGGCCTCTACCGGCCAGCAATCCCTCATTTGGGACAGCTATCTGGATACGCCACGAGATAGATCGAGCAGAGAATTTGAGGCTTAATCGTGTAAACGGTCTCAATTTAATACGCCATGTGGTATCTTTTTAAGAGAGCCGCAATGATCGGAAGGTGTATCTACCATTAGCCATTCCACCCCATCAAACTTTGTACATCCCAGTGAACCTGGCCCCATCATATCCACGACCGATCTACATATAGACGGCCTACCGGTATCTCAGATCCATAGCCTTCGAATTGATGAAACTCTTCTCCGAGAATGCTCCTAACAGCATAATACCTTCATTGCTGAGGGGGTTGTTGCTGCGGCGGCGGCGGCGGCGGTAGGTGGAAACGAATTCCCCACCAGCCACATTCGTCGCCGTGACTTTCGCGCAACTCATAGGTGTAATTCGGACACCATCTTGTACGAGCTGAGTTGGAATCGCAGACGGATTGCCACACGTTCTATATCAATAAGGATTAGCTTTTGCAGTGAAACACGAAACGATTCCAGCATCTAAGCTCGCTGAAGAAATCACTATGCCTAGAGAAAAGCTCAATCGGGAAGGTTGATTTTTACTCACCCATGGGTATGGGTTCAATGGGCCTCGGCCGCATGCCATGCAGTAGAAGTTCCAGGCGATGGCGTGACACATGATGCGACAGTGGTGGGATTAAACAGAAAATACTTGTAGAAGTAAATCTATTATTATCCGAGTGGGTTTTTGAGTGGTGCGTATGAAATTGGTTGAATAATGTACCTGGGTAGGTAACTAGACTTTTGGAATGAATGTTATAAGGAAAGTTTCTAAAACTTGAAGGTTCCTAGGTTTTCGCTAGAATCTGTGAGTTGGTAATGTGATGAGGGCATCAACAGGGCCATAGGCAGACAAAACTCACGACTCTCCAGCATTCGGCTTTTGGGAACGGTTATGACTCTATACCACCTACAATTGAAGAGCTCGACCTCGGATCGTGATATTACACGTTTTTAGGTGAATATTCCTTAAATTGAATTATTTTGAATGTGTGCCAGTTATTAAGCCATTAAAATATTTATTTTTATCATTCGTTATTCACTTCAGTGATTCACACTGTTCATATAGCAATCATACTAAAAAAGTATTTATGGTACATTTTACGACTACATATACCTACCTACTTAATATCTAGATTATTTTAATCATTCATTGACATAGTTACTTGGAATTGGGGTTCTTTATAGTTTATTAGAATGTTGGTCGACTTCGTTCCGAACCGTGTGTAACGATTCCGGTGGTGGGACTACACTGCCCGGATCCCGGCCTCGGCTTTAGCTCCGGTCCGGACCCTGACACAGGCATTCCGGGTCTAGTAAGAGTTTATTTCACTATAAAGGTACATTGGGCAACGAAATGAAAAGTATCTCATTACAACTGTACCTACGATAATAACCGATTTCGTATTCTTTCATATATATGTTCATTCAGGCTAGTTAGCTCCTAGGTAGATATAATACCTACCATGTAATATAATGTATCCCTGCACAAAAGCCTTTCAATTCACATTTCACCACATCATGTAAATATGGCTTGTATAATCTTCACACCGTAGTTATAGTTATCTCATATTATTCATGTTTTATACCTTCCAGGTTTATGCTATCATCCCATAACTCAAAGCTTTAGTTTGTAGTGCCACCGAAGGTTATATCGCGTCCAATCAAAATCTGAGACGTATCCAATGTAGTGTACTTCTAGAATGCTAAACTAAACTGGTACCAAGTCCCTGGAATATTTCCCCAGGTGCTTATTTAGCGGACCCCGTACCGCAAAGTTTATTACGTAGTAGGTACCTACCTATTCAAGAATCATGTCATTTGGCCTTAATTAATACACCTAATAATGTTATAACATTTAATTGTTCGTATCTTCTGGTAAATAAATACTTTAAAGTTCCTTTTTAACACATGTTATTAAATTTACTTATTATTGTTAACAAGTGCACACTCATTCACTCGAATAATCACTGAATGAATTGGGTGAAGTTAGGCTCTCTTATGGTGCGTATCCATTACCTACTACGTAGCGCCATTCCTACAGTACCCGCTACGTTGGTAAAAAATAGATATCTTAGCTGTTTCCAAGTTTTGTATAATAGGAAATAGGCATGCATGTGTTGTATTTATAAGCGTCATTGTTATCCGATATGACTTTTCCGACATTATAATGACTTTTATAGTTTGACGAACCAGGCTTGACATTTAAGTGTTGAAGTATCTTTCTGCTCTTTCCCATAAACTTAAACGACTTTGCCATAAGCACGATTTCGCCTATAAATGTAAATACCTCCCCCGTTCTCGACATAATCACCGATCAAATGGAACTATTAGTCCTTAATATGAACTACAAGTTTTCGGAGATTTCTCAGATCAAATATGATATAACTTTGCGCTCCTCTCATCCCACACTTATGTAGGTACCTGAAGTACGTATGTCATAAGCGCCAGGTTGCTCACACAAGAAAATCAATTGGTAGGCACAAGCCCTGAAATGCTTAGCAGGAATACTTAATACCTGCTAGCCACACACCTGGCATGCATAAGCACCTGAAAGTTGACGAATAACAGGGGCACGCGCACTAAAGGTGCTAAATACGGTGTCCGGGGCTTCCAAGTTCGAACATATCCCCACCATTAACCATCCATCCTACTAGCCCTGGGGCACTTGAGACCTCCACCTCCACCTCTACGTACCAGGTACCCTCTACACTTTACGTACTCTACCCCTCATCACACATTCTCCGAACGACTACCACCTAATCATCTTACTTCACCACCACAACATCATCAAGGAATAGAATGCTTATCACAACAAATAAGTAAGTAAGTCAGTTACATACATCATTCCTTGGTGTACGGCAATCATCATCAGTATCTCTTACTCTTTCTCTTCTTTTCCCGCCTCATTTCCATCTTTTACGCCTTGAAGTCACCGCTTCCGACATAAGCCTTATCACTTCATTCTCTTGGTGGAGGCAAGTCCGATAAGCATATCCATACTCCATACAATCTCACAAGTTTGTTATCTGGTTCATTACATACTGCGTCAAACCTCTATCCAAACATCGTCGTCCTCGTCGAGCGAGGTCTCGACCTCAACTTCTCCAGAACCAGAGGGCATACGCATTATACATCCTCAGGCCTCTTAACATACCCGATCCAGGATACCATCACTTCTTTTTTTCGTCATAAATTCTTTTCCAGTTCTAGGTCCGAACCGACCGAGTATCGGGCATTCCACATCGACTTCGCGATTTATTCAACACCCAACTTCGATGTCCCATTGGTATTAGGATTTCAAGTATCGGGTTTGTGGTTGACGGTACTTAGAGGCTGCTGGAACTTCCATTATTAGCACATCGAATTTGACTATTTGACCTGGGTAACTCATTTAACTTCTTTCCTTGGCTGAGGCGAAGATCTAGGTCATGTCCGGCCACTATTCTAAGGTGCCGGACTGGCAGGTTCCGCAAGATTCTGAGAACAAAATGGATGGAATCAGTTATCCGGTTGCCGGCCAAGTCGGGTTCGACTTTGATGGCAATGAGCGGCGAGAGTCAGTGGTCGGCCTTAATGATGATGATGTGCAAGATGTCGAAATGGCAGACTCACCCATGACATTAACGCCTAATGGGCGAACACCTGTGGACCCACACACATCGAGTTCGAGGGCTTTCGCAAGGCCCATCACACGATCTATGGGCAAAATTTCCACTATCGAACCATTAGAGGCTCTTTCATACACTACTACTTCACTCAGAGCAAGATTGCAGACATCCTCTAAGAAGCATTTACCGACCTTGAATATTTCTAAGCTGGAAGATTCTAAAGACATCAAGTATGTCGTTGGAGATGAGGCCATTGTGAGAAGCGAAGATGGTGACCAAATCTCGCCATCATTGGAGAAACTGCTTAGAGAGCATCGAGAGATTGGCCAGCTTGGAATGTCAGTCCGTCGGTCGGCTCGTATTGGCGATCATCAGGGTCAAGCGATCGACCTTAACTCAGCCTCCACAGCTCTGGTCAAATCGCGCTTGAAGAGGGTTGGTGTTAAACGAGCGAGGGCAAACCCTATTAACCGTTACCCACGACGGTCATCTCGATTGTGGAAACCTCTCACGGAGTTTCCGCAGTACGCTCGACTCCCTGCCGAACTCAAGATGATGATATGGGAGGCTGCTATCGAACCAAGGCTGTTGTACATATGCAATCGATCTTCGATCATGCACGCTGGAACAGCCTTCGGAGCCCAGAATAGCCCTCCGAAGTGGTTCAACACTTGCCAATTGTCTCGTTTTATCTCGAGACTTCACTACCAGAAGCGATTTGGTATCCAGGACCCGCTTGTAGCCAACATCAATGTCAAGACAATCCAGGATTTTAATTCCAATGATGTTGTGATTTTCGAGCCCTGCCATGGAGCTTGCCGCGGATGTCATTGTGCTCGACACCAGTACTGTGAAGGCGATCGTTCCGCAGTTAGATATCTGGCTGTCCAAACAGAATCGCCCCATTTGCCAGGCGCGACAGAGCCATGCTGGCAAACAATCACACGATCGTGGCCAAACGTCGAAACGCTTTACTTAATGAGGGTTCCTCTTAAAGGTGTCGACAAGCAAGAGAAGGCGATGATCCGTGTCCAAGCTAACGAGCTTGAGGTAGCACTCCTTCGACGATTTGAGCAGTGGAAGAAAGCTCAAGGAAAGTATATGAAGGTCAATCAGCTCGAGTTTGTTGAGGTAGTTCAGAAGGAGGATGCGACTACGAATCCGCAGCATCAGTATCGATCAGTACTTGACCGATTAACCGGTTTCCCTGAGGACGTTATCCTCGGATAACCCTTTAACCTACTCAATACACCGTTGTGAATGCCGCACCATCGGCATCGCAGGACTAGAACATTTGCAAAATTTGCTTCAGAGCACTTTATAGATCTTCATCAGTCGGTTCTTGAAGATAACCAAGATACCCAGAGTCTAAAAACGTACACAGTTCCAGACTATACTTGGGTACTGATCACCCAAATATGGAAATTGGTCCGCCATACCAATATCTCATCCCAATCTTCTCCCGCCCCCATCTCTAGGTTCGTCGGCCCGGATTTCATCAATTTCGTCCTATTACTAATTTATCCCACTGGTTAAGCCTTTGACCAGATTTTGCGGTCATCGTATCAACGAAAAATGGCTCAGAGTCAGTTTCTGCTCTACGAAATTTCTACAATGCGGAGTAGATATAAATTCTATAAGCAAAGTCTTCATTTATGAAGAAGCTGAGCTGTCAGGTTGAATGCCGATACCGAAACCTCCCATACGAAATCAATAACTTCGATCATAGACAGCTCTACCATGACTTAGGGGCGGTCTTCAACATACATCCATACAAAGGAATGGCAACTCTTCATTCGGAACATTCTAAACACCCATGCCTCTCTGCCTTTTCGATGTTATCCATGCCAAGCTCGATCAAATCAATAGGTGGATAAGGGTGCAATCAGACTTACTCATGAAGGGCTTGAGAAAAATGACGGCGACGGCTTTCCAAGCTAAGAATTACAACATGAAAACATCTAGGTTGTTATCAACGTTCGACATAACAACGAAATTCTTAGCAAACATTAATATCGTCCTTAAAGGCAACAGGTAACTACCCGAGGAACGAGATGGTTTAGCCCGATACTCGACATGCTTGCTGCTTTATCACTGAGCCAATATTCACCAATAGCTTAAAATATGATGCCCATATGGAAATCACAAAACGTTGCTTTTTAGTCATTCAATTTACGGCACGTGGGCGCACCCCAGTGGCTAGTGATGATCCAGGTGGCACAGGCTACCCTCACAATGTATTTGGAGCAATAGGGACATAACATGTTTCTCCAAATACCACCATCTTTCCGGATTCTATGCCGGATTTCCTCCTGGGGAATCTTAGCTCGGGCAATTCGACGAGTTCTGCTGTTGGGTTCAGGAAACAGCCCGCTGTCGAGGTCTAATACTAGACTACTTGCTAGATAAAGACACTCTATTTTACGAAATAGTAAAGTCTATGAGCTTTTGCACATCTTATACTCGAGTACCCTACTCCGTGCTAAGTGATAGTAGTTACCAACGAATTGATTCTTCAATGACAGAGATTTTGACGTGATTGGTATCCGTAGTATAAGAAGTTATCCATTAATCCCGTAACTCTAGTTGTGGGCGCTAAGTGGAATTCAGGAGTGACCCCTTTGATGACTAAGCGAAATCTTTAGTGGGGCGCACAGCTCGGCCACTGGTATTCATGATTTTTCTTGAATTTAATTATTATAAATATTAAATAATTCGAAAGCTTCGTGGGGAGATATCTTGGATAATATAACGATAGATTGATGGTAACGTATACGGCGATTATGATTTATTCGTGGTTGTGGAGGTAGGCAGGCCGGCGCATGCGTGTGGCTGTCTCTTGAGCACATCGAGAGGCGGTAATTCTTGGTAATCGGTAATGGATAGGGTATCGGAAACATTTAGAAGTATGACTGATGGAGGAATTATGCCGAAATATTATATGATATTTATTTTTCTTTTCTCTTGATTTTGTATCGTAGTACTTGCAGGACTGGCTGCTTTCTTGATGTGATGGTATATGGCTTCTTGCAACCTGCGTCATGCGGGGATAGGCACCCCGAGATTGAAGGGAGACGTTGAGAGGGCTGTCGGTGCTTTAAGGACTGGGAGTATATGGAGGTATGTTGGAGATCGAGGGATAGTTCGTTTTTTCGCAAGGTTCTCGTTTACTACGATTCAAAGAATAAATTAGCTGTTGTTCAAACATAATTCATAGAGAGGATATGGTATGGAAACCTTAAGGAATAGCCACGTAGCTACCATGTATAATGCCTGAGCTGATTAACCCAATGCAAACTGATTCCCAATCCCATTTGGTCGATATTATCGGATGCGCCCGTAAATTGAAAAATGTAGGACCGTAACACTCATTCAAGGGTTATGAAAAATGAAAGCTGGTGGATTTGGAGAAGTCGTATTTTGGGTCTTTGGTTCGAATAGCGATGATCGAGGTAAATAATTGATGAGGCCGATAGTAGGAACCTTGGAAAGTATTTATCCGTAAGTGATTTTAATCTATTTCTCCCAGAAACCTAGGTGACTTGAAGAGTTTCGTAAACCCCCGTACGTACCGTGGTGGTAAACATAACTTGACCTGATACCATTGAGCTTGTAGTCACCTGAAGGACCGGATGTGTTGGTTTAATTGTAGAACGTGTGGAAATTAATGCCGAGATGCGGAAGTGAACATTGAATAAGTCGTACCTACGTGTAGGTGGCTCTCTTGCAAAGAGATAGACCAAGACTCTTTCATTACATATAAACTATCAACAATTCTGTGCTATTCTGAATATTTTATCATTTGTGTGCCCATTAAGAGCTTATTTACTATGAACAACCTTTTTCTCGAAACAAGAACCCGCGAGAAATAGTCATGTTTCATCAAAGAGTGTCATGATTTCAACTTCTTCATCCACTATAACATCCCTTAAATTCCATTACCAAAACAAATATTAAACGTATGCGAGTCCCCAGGAAGTTTGCTGATTAAATACATGGAGGTTATATCCAGTAATGTTCCGTAGTGTGAGTCGCTCGCTTTGATTTCCGTGTCGTATGTACACTGGGACAGAGTGTTCTATTTCAAATATTTCTTGACAAAATATGATGTCAACTAATGGTCTTATATACTACCATTTTTTGATGGACTCACAGGTGGCGCCTTCTCTTCGATGCCGTCGAGTTCGAAACCTGAGTTGACTGGGGGTACCACTTCCTGCTCTTTCACTACAGAACTGCTCTTCCTATAATGATGAACTTCCACGCAATCGCGAACGAATAAGACAAAGTGAACCAATCTTGATCTACATTAGCTGGGAGAAAATGGTTGAAAAAAGACGGATCCAAACTCACGAGGCGACCATGCCAAGAACACTGGCAATGATATTCATGCCGAGCCATAGACTGCCATTGGCGACGTATCCAGGGACGGGAGTCCCTTCTCTTCCATCGTAATAGTCGTGCCACGAATATGAGTCGAATGCGAAGTTGATGAGGATGGCTGATAGTGCGATACCTCCAATCGAGAGGACGAGTTCGAATCCAAGAGAGATTTGTGGGCGGATACCTGTCTTTCTCGTCCGGACACACATCACGACATACTCGGCAAAGTCGTACGCGAGTATTGCGATAGCCTGATGTTTTATTTCTTTAGTTTTCACTCTGTCTATGACAGACGATAATGGAGTTAGGGTTGAACTTACCAGTGGAGTGGATAGGACTGGGTAGCCGCTGAATCCCCTAGGTGCTGCAAAGCCAGCGAGGGCTATTCCTAGGAAAGGAAGAGCGAGTGTAGTCGATATGATGCGTAACGCAAATCTAGCATTATCCCAGATTTGTTGATCAGGTAGTTTAGTTGCCGCTCGAGGGGCGTCGGGAATGGCATATTCGGTATCGGCAACAGACGCACGTCTATCATGGCTGGGAGAAGACATCGTTGATGTTGGTTATTGAAATTCCTAACGACTTGAGATAATAGTCACACCCTAACATCTATTCATCATCATATGCTATACAGAGAGAGTCCTTTAAATGTATGTATCGTTTCTTGCTGCCTGAACATCTCAAACAATTGAGCAACACCGACTCATACCCAACTGGGTAGTTGCTAATACGAGTTCCCCAGTGTTGCGATCTGCACTGGAAGGATTTTTTTCTGTTATACAAAGTCTCCTTACGATCTCAAACCTCCCCATTGCGATGAAAATCTATTGCTATGATTGGCAACCACTTCGATCACACCTACACTGAACCCGGCATTCCAAATATTCAGCCACGTGAAACCAATCAAATAGAAGTCTTACCCGAACCTTCAAAATGCCTTGGCTTGCTGATCACGATCCAGGCAACAAGATAAACTGAACTCTAACTCGACACCCTGGATTAATAAAGGTGCAGTTCTATGCATTGCCTGCATGAGAAGGTGTCCGTTGCGGCAGTGTATGACCCACATCATCATACTCTATCTGGGGATATTATCATATGGCGTCAGGAAATGAGACCATGTTTAAGAAAAAAATGATAATTTAGCAACACATCGCGAGATAAGCGCAAGACTTAATCGAGCGGTGACGCTGATATAGTGATACAAAGAAAAAATAACGAATTTATCAAGATAATTGATTGAACAATTGAAAAATACCTAGGTACTGTATAGAATACCTAGTGAGAATAGAAACTAAATTGGAGTAGAGCGCTTATTCCGTTTGATGTTCCAATATCATTGAATTGGGTGATGGCTCTCGATTAGTGATCGTGAGCAGCGTTGGATGGACGCTACCGCTACCCCATTTACGGGCTGACGGTCTGGTAGAATTGGCTCTTTTTAGCGGCTGAGACGGTGAAGCCGGGGGTTAATATCGGTGCCTGGAGAGAAGTTCCAGGGGTTAATTGCGGTAGCGCATCGGCACCCCTTTTAGGATCGTGCCAATTGCGGTCTGGCGGGGGATCGGGATTCCAATGCGAATTTCGCAGGTCCGCATCTCGTACCGACCGACCATCTATGAGAAGCTTTCTATAGAGTGTAGATCAGTCTTAAATTCATTCAATGAGTTCACCAACCCACAAATAGTCAGTTTTGTTCGTTAGGAGGATAAAAATGGAATTAAAAGAAATAAAAAAAATTGATAGCTGGTGTCAAGCTTAAATGAACATTAAAATAAATGCCTCCACACCGGATTGAACGATGGACCTCAGCATGGACTTGTAACAAATCTTACAAGTGCTGCGCTCTACCACTGAGCTATAAAGGCTTGCTTATTATTTGCTAGTATTGTCTTAAGTACCATGTATTTCTTATGTGGAGACCAAAGGTTGATTAACCACGTGATCCATACATTATTATTATAATGCTACCGCAATTTTTCGACCATGTTGTAATACATATGAACTCATTGTTATCAAGGGACGCTGCGGAATTCTTATTATTCAAATCCAGTGGGTTGTTTATTGCAGTTACTGCTTTGAAAAAGGTGCACTAAGTGTGGGGATCTACAATTTCAATGCAGGAAACGAGGGAACTCGTAAGGTATGGCTAAGGCAACTCGTTTTCATAATTGGCTATCTCATTGAATGCACTCAGAGCTTTTCGCCAGCAGTGGCTAAAGCCTATAGAAGCTACAGCAATCGGAGTAGACGCGTCTGAAGGAGTTGTGCTTTCTGGACACATAGAACGCAGCAAGCCACTTTATTAGGATGAGTTTTTGGTCCCCTTTGTGGATATTTCCTACACCAAGAAAATCCTCAGAAGTCAAGGCCGCGTATAAAGCCGTGAATAAGACTTCATACGGGCATGTTGACCGACGGTTCCAACTCAGTATGGCGGCCTTGAACGAGCCATTATGACGGTATTGCAAAATCAAGTTTGCTTTGGGTATCAATGAAGAAGTGTATGACAACACTTCGCGTATAGTAAAAGTCGAGGTAGTCGGAATTGCGATGCGAGGGTTCTGTTTCACAATACAACAATATCGGCTGGACGGTATAGCGTCTTTCATCTTTTTAGACGGGCGCTCTTATTCAAGGGCGTAGAAATCTTATCGCACCCATGGCTTCGGCCAAACGGGTTCTCGGAATGACGGTACTTATTTGAAAATGCGGCGACCTCCAGCTTTCACCGCAAACCGTTCGGATCCGTTTTGTGTTTGCTGATTCCAGAAAATCAGGCTTCCCATCGATCCGCCGTGTTCTCCCGCGACCCTGTGGCGTCGGTACGCTTCTCGGAGGTGGTCGGGTCGTAAAGGAGCTACTCTGCGGTACTGTGATAGTTCGTTCATAGGCTGTAGTTCGTCATTGGGTAGATCGGTCTGTTTCTCGCCTAGGGCTACCCATTCCTCCTGGACCTCTCGCGCTCCCTCGACGATATCTCCAATATATTGCTTCAAGACGGATTGCATCATCTGATGCACATTGACCGGACATGATTGCGATGTGACACTGTTGATGTGCTATAGAGATAGTTAGGCATGTTATGATTCAAAGCATCAGCAATGTAGAATACGTCAACTTACTCTCTTCACGTCTTGAGGTTTTAGGGTTTGGCGATGCCAGACCTCATACCGGGCGAATTGCGAGGGGTCCATTTGAGATTTCACGAATGAGTTGAGCTCCTCCTGTTCTTGAAGCTGCTCCTGCGTACGAGCAGTAGACATGCTAGCCATGTTCTCTGGCATCTCAAATTCCTCTTCTTTCTCCTTGTCGGCGTCGCCGTCCTTCCCGGCATTATTGCCACTAACATTGCTCAGTACGGTTGGCGCGCGACCTCCTGCGACACTTGGGGATCCATATCGCATAGCTTCAGCAGCCGCTTCACTTGCGCGCTCTGCTTTCGACTTCCTGCCTCGCTTCTTCTTGGCAGGCGCGCCGCTCACTTGACTTCCGCTAACGAAGCTCACGTTATCCATACTAGGGGATCGCTGGAACGAGGGCGAATAAGGTCGGGTTTGTGATTCGTCTGGTGGGAATGATGTTTGTCGAAGAGGATGGGCTGAGCCAGTAGAGGCTGTTGACATAATAGATTGCTTACGTCGCTTAATCGAGGAAGGTTGGACTGAAAGATCAGCACTCGTAGAGCCGCGCTTCTTCGATGGTAATGGCACGCTGGAATACGGTGGAGAACCCGCAGGTGAAAAGGCGTGTGGAGGAGACGCCATCTTGGTAGGAGCGCCTAGTTTTTAGTAAAGTCCACTTGAAGTCGTGGAAGTCGCGACGGACTCGAGCTAACACGTTGCTAGGAGACGTGACAAACTCAGTATGAATAGACGCGAAGTGCGATAGAGTTAAAAAATTCAGTATACTAGCGTCGTTTAAAACGGTGGTTCGACGAAATAGTAGGTAGGATAAGTAGATGCGATTTGCGATGAACTGTATTTGTATGAGAATAACTTCTAGGTGTTGGATCATAGATGACTAGGATGATGAGCATTAAGAAGCTTGAGCCACCAACCTGGTACCTAGCCAAATCAATATCAGCCACAGGGCGCCAAAGCCACAACATTAAGCAAGATACTTAGGTACAAATATGTACCATTGTACTATACGTACTGAATGGTGCACAGTGCACATACTCTATTTAATGGAACTGGAGGGGCAAATACCCCGCGGACTTTCAGAAGATCCTATCAACCCGATAACGGTCAATTGAAGATTTACATAATACACGGATACATGCAAGTAGAATTGAATTTTACGAACTAATCGATTCGAAGCTTGTGACTCTTTGGCGATGCAGCTTCTAATAATATTCCTACATAAATAAGCACGTTGATTTTTCCCCGAGTACATGTGCCTCAAAGGATCAACTTGATTGGGAATTCCAACTTTGTTTTTCCGCCCCGCCTATTGTCCATATTTAATTCATCTTTCATAGTACGACGAGCCGTCCAACCACGATCCATTAATATTTGAGCCATATGCATCATTTGCGCCGACCTCTATCGTTCCCTTGCATCAATTAGAGTCACGGAAGAAAAGAAGCAAAAAGTAAAATGGCACACTTCACCGAACCGAAACAGAACAATCAAGAATCATTGGCTGCTTCTTCCAGTAATTCCGCTACGGGTGTTTCTGACGTTGACGATTCTGTGAACGGTAACGAGAAGCGAGCGCGCGACGATAGTCAAGATGGCAGAAAATCTAGAACTAGAAGGAGAAGAAGAAGAGCAAAGGACGGTGGAATATCTGAGATAAATGGTCACGACGGCTCATTGAAGAGGAGGAACAGCATAAGCAAGGCTGCACGGGATCCTAGGGACGAGCCCCCGAAGAAGAAAAAGAAGAAGGTCAAGCCCGAAGCGCCCGAAGGTGCTGAGACACGGTCCCCCAGCCCTGTTATCGACTTTGATGGCTTGAGCCGACCGAGTACGTAAGCACAGAGTTTGATTGAATATTCTTGCTGACATAATTCAGGTCGAGGAACCAGAGAACGATTAGAGGAGAGCTCTGAACAGGCAGCTCAACGACTCGAGAAAATGAAAGGCGCTGTTCGAACAATGCTTGAATGCGTTGGCGAAGACCCGGATAGGGAAGGCGTACTTGATACTCCTGCAAGATATGCGAAGGCTATGCTCTTTTTCACCAAAGGCTACCAACAGAATGTCAAGGACATTGTCAATAACGCAATCTTCCACGAAAACCATAATGAGATGGTGATTGTAAAAGACATTGAGATATTTAGTCTTTGCGAACATCACCTAGTTCCCTTCTTCGGAAAGGTTGGTTGAGCCGGTCTACAGCCTTGTGCTTACGCCTCATTCTAGCCTCATATTAACCTCGTATTAGATGCACATCGGATATATTCCGAAAAACAATGTCATCGGCATATCGAAGTTACCACGCATCGCTGAGATGTTTAGCCGCCGGTTGCAAGTTCAAGAGAGACTCACAAGAGAAGTTGCCAATGCCATTATGGAGGTATTGAAACCTCAGGGGGTCGCTGTTGTCATGGAGTCGAACCATCTTTGCATGGTTATGCGCGGGGTCGAGAAGACTACTACCAGCACCATCACCAGCTGCGTTCTTGGTTGTTTCGAAAAGAAGGAGAAGACGAGAAACGAATTTCTGAGTCTAGTCGGGTTGAACAGAGGATATAGGTAGGCGCCAAGCGGGACGACATGACGTTGACGTATATAAGAGGCATGCATATAAGGCATAGTTATAAGGCGTTACGGGTCTAGAGTATGGGATCTCAACATCAAACTCATCATTGGGAACGGAAAGGTAAAGGCATTTAACATTAGAGTTACAGCAAGCTCAACGCCTCGAGAAAAGGGTAGCATACGGCGTCCAGGGGTAAAATCACTCTTCAACATCAACTTTATATACCATCAACTGCATAATATACCTCCGCATTCGTTGCTTGAACTATACAGGTATTTTCTATCAGACCCTCGAGTGCATATCTAATTGATCATTTATTATGCAAAGCTTACACTACTAACTACCGAGATATTTTCGCAAAGCGTGCTAATATGAGGGTCCCTTTGCTGCAGTTTTTACTTCCCCACCTCACGTCTCAAGTAGGGATCAGTTCATGCCTGGGATTCGACGAATACTTGTTCTGGTATGAATAATCGCACGAGCGGACATCGGACCAATATTGCGATGCGAAGTCCAGGCCGACATACACACGATGATCAATTTGTAAGCGAAACCCGGAAATGTGTACCCTGACGGACAATTCATTTCTAGTCACGGTCCCCAATTTAATCACATAAGCTGGGGATCGATAATTCTACTAGGTAACAATGTCTGCCATTTGATACATAGGTGCAGCATCGTACCGCATTCGACGGAAATATCGGACTCAAACGCGGCTCTATTTTGCCTGGCTGCCAGGTGGTGGTCAGCTCAGGGACATGATGACAAATGAGCGTCGGACTCGGTCCGGCGTTAATGCCGATGCGTATCCGTATGATGATTGCGTATGATGCCGGCGACTTGCGTGCTGTATCACACAAGACGATTCGTCTGGTATAATACAGATATACATTCGTGCCGCATTCACAAGAATACTCTACTACTTCACAAGCCCGTTCACTTCAGATTCATACTACGACACCGGTCGCGAACAACGTTAGAAAACATGAGTACGATTAGCAAAGTGGCAGTTGCCGGGGTAAGAACCTATATTATCTCTCTAAGTGGAAGCAAGACACTGACAGTCCGATTCAATGTAGGCCAGTGGTTCTTTTGGCCTGCCCGTAGTACACCAACTCATTGAAGACGGATTCAAAGTAACAGTACTCACCCGAAAGGGAACGAATCACAACTTCCCATCTGGCGTCACAGTCGCCGAGGTCGATTATGAGTCTCCCGAAACCCTCGTCAAGGCGCTGGCAGGTCAAGATGCCGTCGTTTCAGTCATCGGCTTCCAAGGCTTAGAGCAGCAAATCCCGCTAGTCGAAGCCGCCGTCAAAGCCGGAGTCAAACGGTTCATCCCCTCGGAATTCGGCGGAGATGCTGAGAACGAAAACATCTCCCAACTACCTATGTTCGTTTTGAAAAAGGCTACGAAGGACCTCCTCAAGAAGGAAGCGGCCTTGGGCAAGATAACGTACACCTTGATAACCACCGGTCCTTTCCTGGATATGGCGCTACAGTACGGCTTAATCGCCAATCTCAAGGAGAAGAAGATCAAGCTCTGGGACGGCGGCGAGAGATCTTACAGCACGACCACCATCGCATCCGCCACTAAGGCGACCTCGGAAGTCCTCAAGCATCTCGACGAAACCAAGAACCGCGTTGTCTTCATTCGCAGTGCATCACTCACTCAAAAGGGGCTCCTCGAGAAGGTCAAAAAGGCAGCTGGACCGGACGGATGGACGATAGAGACCCCGTCTGTAGCAGAAAATCTTAAAGCGGCATATGCCCAGCTTAAAGAGACGGGCGAGATCGATAGGGTGGCTTTCATAGTATCGGCTATCTGGGGCGAGGAATATGGGAGCAATTTCCAGGCGGTTGATAACGACTTGCTTGGCGTTAAAGAGTTGAGCGACGTGGAGCTTCAGAACCTGATTGATGGTTTCGCGAAATAGGTAGTTTTGCATACAAATGATGCCTCGGTGCTTGGCATGGAAGCCTCTAGAGTTGACTGTTTTGGAATTAAGATATGGAAGCCCCCTATAGTCGCGACCCACAAAACGGCCTCCTTCACTCGCCACCCCACCAAATTGGTCGGGCGGAATGAAATCTGATCTATTTTGAAGACCTTGATGTCCTAATATTCAAATTTGATGAGATAACTAAGTCGTGCGTTGTAATGCGATTCCAACGATATCACTATTATCAGGTGATGCGTTGTCGATATATCGCGAATACGACTTCCGGTGGGATACCTATAGTCGATAAGGCTGGTTGGAAGCTCTATTATTATTAGTGCATTTACGGAAGGTGGACAGTTACTTGTTCAGCTCAGTCGCTAACAAAGGAAGGCGCACGAATTTGCTGAATTTCTCTGGTGCCCTCCATTCCAGGTTATGTAGCAGCCAAGGCTTATAGCGCATTAGGGGCAATTTAACAACGGGGGACGGTTCGCGAGGGGCTTGCAAAAGCAAGACTGAAGTTCCCTTATTAGTGTTCAACGCCGTGCCTGGGGTTGGATTCCGCTGCTTGTGCTGGCTGTCTCGGTTGGCTACTTGTCCGGAACGGAAAGCATAAACGGGCAGACCTCGGATTAAATGGAATAGTCTCACCCAACCTAGACCGTCAAAGAAGGCGGAGAGAATGTGGTGGCGCTAGTTATGAGAAGGGGGTAGGGAGGCCGGGGGTGGAGGGGCGGATTAGCCGGGGCTCTCCGCTGCGACAGCCGGGGAATCGTAATATTTTCCGCAAAGCTAAAATCGTAGATCATCGGTAGGCTATAGCTGAATCGCACGTTATATTTCCTGTTAATATCGACTACCGGCGACGTAAGTCTCGCGGAGCGGAAGCGTCGATCGCCCGGTTCCTAGTTGGCTAGAAACAACGTGGGCCAGGTCATTAGGTACCATCGGCTTGCCGGGTTTGAAGATGTCGCTGATCCGAAGCCCATGATCTGGAAATCGCTTGGCATGTTGACCAAAGTCACGGGGTGTGTTGGCTTGGAGTTGCAGCGCCTTATCTATCCAAAGCTCCCCTCTAATTCCTTGCTCCCCTCTTCCTCCTTCCTATTAGGCCATGTGCCGTCTCGTCGCGCAGGGAGCATGTCTAATCTTCAAAGTTTCCTTTCAAGGACTGTCCTGCCTATCTTGCTATAACGTCACAGGATAGATGTCTTTTGAAGCGCCTTTAGAAGTTTGCCCAGCTGATACTATTCAAGCCTGGGTAACTTCGCGGGGCGGATTTGGGCAGATTGGGAAGGAGGAATTTGGCGGCGGCTAGTATAATGGAGGGCTCAGTTTTCGACAGCGACAACATGAGCGTGATGCAAGTCACGATGCTGGAGTCGGGATAAGTATAAAAGAGTACGCACGTTCTCGTCCTGTCTGGTAGTTTTCAGCAGCAGCATCCTGGACTCATCTTGCCTACTATCTAGCCTCTACAACATCAACGCCTCTTTGCCTCACGTGTTGTCTTCAGAACTCTAGACATGGAGCTCTTCAGGTTTCTCGCCTTCCTGGCAGCCGTTCTGCCCGTTGCCTACGGTGCCCCTACCCAGGCTACAAACAGCCTCCACCCGAAGCTCCTAGCCGCTATGAAGCGCGACTTGGGGCTTGACGCCGAGCAGGCCACTGCTCGTGTCGCCCGGGATGTTTGGGCCACCGGCGTCATTGACCAGCTGCGCACCTCGGCGGGTGACTCGTTCGCCGGCGCTTGGATTGCTGAGGACGGCACCACGCTCAACGTCGCCGTCACTGACGAATCTTTGGCCGCCGAGGTGACCGCTGCTGGCGCTACGCCGGCTATCGTGGCCAACAGCTTCTCCAAGCTTGAAGATGCTAAGCTAGCTCTTGACAACATGGACATCGAGCAACCCAAGACCCTCGCCACGGACTCAGCCGAGACGGGCATCGCTGCGTATTACGTCGATGTCACCGCTAACAAGCTCGTCATTGAGGCGCTCGCCGGCAGTATCGCCCACGCCGAGTCTCTGGCCGCACAGGTCGGGCTCGCCGCATCCGAGTTCGAAGTCAAGACAGTTGACGCGATGCCGACCACCCTCGCCACCGTCCTTGGCGGCGACGCCTACATCATCAACCGAAGTGCCCGATGCTCCATCGGTTTCTCGGTCACAACTGGTTTCGTTTCGGCCGGCCACTGTGGTACCGCAGGTAACACTGCTACCACCAGCAGCGGTGCATCGCTCGGAACCTTCTCTGGTTCGGTCTTCCCAGGCAGCGCCGACATGAGCTACATCCGCACCGTCAGCGGAACCACCATCAGCGGCTACATCGATGGATACGGCCAGGGTAACCTTCCCGTGTCGGGCAGCACCGCATCCGCTACTGGTGCCAGCATCTGCCGCTCCGGTTCCACCACTGGTGTCCACTGCGGTACTGTCCGCGCCCTGGGCGCGACGGTCACCTACTCCCAGGGACGTGTCACCGGCCTCACCCAAACCAACGTCTGCGCCGAGCCCGGCGACTCTGGCGGGTCCTTCTACACCGGTTCCCAGGCCCAGGGTGTCACCTCGGGAGGCTCCGGCGACTGCACAAGTGGTGGTATTACCTACTTCCAGCCCGTCAACGAGATTCTGTCGACCTACGGCCTCACTTTGGTCAGGGCTTAGTTAGCTACTTATCACGGCCGTCGGCGACACTTGGGCTGTGGTGGATCTTTGAACTGTTTGTTTGGACTTTGCAGAGAGACGAGCGGAAATGTGTATGTGCTAGTAAAGATTGCCAGTCTAATAAGCAATGAATTATTGAATCAATTCAATTGTAAGATGCCGAGATTATATTCATGGTGAAATGATAATCCTCTAAGAAAGGGTCTGGTAAGTATCAGATTTCTGAAAATATTAGAAACGATATGAAGTTGAATTGTTGAAGTTAAGTTTGAACATACCTATGGTCAAAAACTCGACTGGCCGCACTTTCCTACCCCATCTGTTCGAAGGTTCGGACATACTGTATTGTGTCTAGGCTAAAACCGAGATCTGGTAGTGATCTAACCACTAAATTCTAGTAAGTTGCCGCTATAATCTAAGCCTTCTTAGGGAGCATATCCACTGAAGAAAAACGCCACACGATGTGAATTCATTCCAATTTGCACGGCTTTAAACCATGCAGGTCAGCACTCTAACCCTTCATCATGACAAGCCAAACATTCTTCATCTCAACACGATAACCCGAATAGCCAGAACGATAGTTGTACGAGTGTCCGAAGTTTCGGTATACTTTATCCTAGAACAAGACTGTTTTCTTCGGTGTAGCGCGGACAACTTAAGACCATTCTAATGAGATCCGTAAAGATGCCACCCAATGATGATAAATAGTACTGCGCTATAGATAAGACAATCTTTTAGTTCAATATCAGATTGACGTGGATTGCCGAAATAGTTCATCCTATGATGGTGTTGCCTAACAAACTCCTTCTTTTGTTTCGAATCGAACATCTGCGGCATCATCGCGGTGGTTGAACGGTAAAGTTTTGGTGGAGGTTGGAGGAAATACAGGTATTTTTGGTGAATTTATGGAGCTTCTTAGACTAGATGGATATTCTGGTAATGTTTAGTTGCGATGAAGGAGGTGGGTGTATGCTCATTTAAACATCCGGCTTGGTTTGGGTTAACCGCAACATAGCTTCTGGAAAAGACCCTAAAGAGACATAGCAAGTAAAAGAAAATAAGAGAAGGCCGAGATTAGAGACATTTTACGTAGGTAGGAAGCATTGGAAAGCTTCATCTTTTGTCTGAAGTTTCAGTTTGACTTAATGTTCGATAAAGGCGAAAAAGACAGTTGCGTTTCATAGAGCGCGTAGAATATCATATCGACAATAGACATTATGATAAATCATATACAAGCAGGGAAAGAAGCAATAAATCATCGGTTTACCTGCGTTCAACAAAGGTTTATGTGAATACTCTGGTGGGTCTCACATATCACTACCCACATGTTAAAGTGATAATTGGAAGATCCTAGAACATATTTTCAATTTAGAGCGTATATGTATACCATGGTGAGGCACTGGCCAGTAGATAGGTTAAGTAAATGTAAAAGAATATGAGACGCTAGTAAGTACCTCTCAAGTACCTATCATACCTTCACTCAGACACTTCTAAAGCCTGCCTGAGCCTTGCTTCATCTCTTGGTTTGCAGAATACACGGTATGGCTTCGGTACCATAATCAGATCCTTCGGGTTTTTCATGTCTACGCTAGGGTCGCATCGGATCTCCTCAGGAGCTTCCAAGCGAAAACTGCTCAATAATCTCATGAATATGATGTATAGCTCGCGGGTCGCAAGGATATGAGCTGCACACATTCGATATCCTAATCCAAATGTGAAGATGGGCGCATCTGGCTTCTCTATCCATCTCTCGGGAATGAACTCGTCGGGATTGGTCCATAGTTTGGGATCTGTAGCGAAAAAAAATCATGAGCCGGTAGTTATGCAAAGGGGCCAACAGGGAATCTGTCATCTTACCGTGGTTACAAGCCCACGCATTTAAGTATACTGTGCTTCCCGACGGGATGGTGACACCGTTATATTGTATATCCTTGATCGTTTCCCGCGGCAATGATAAGGGAACTACGGAGTAGATCCTAAGCGCCTCCTTCGCGAGTGCAAGCACATATGCACACTTCTGGTCATCGGCTGCGTCGCACAACGGCTCATTGGAACCCTGAAAGCGTTGAATCTCTTCGTATGCTTTATCCTGCACATGCGGATTTTGGGCAAAGTATGCGAGTGACCATTGCACTGTAGTTGAGACTGTTTCGAACCCGCCAGACGTTATTGATAAGCTGAAGGAAGCAAGTTCGACATCGTTAAGTTCAACCTCCTTATACTTAATCACGCTCGCTTGGATGCAAGGCTTATTGGTGCCTTTTGCTACCTGTTCCGCGAGATCTCCATTCAATTTGGAAAGATATTTATCGCGACGCCTTCGTAATTCTCGTGCCTTGACGAAGGCCTTGTTCCTAGGATTCAGGCGTAGGAACGGGATGTGGTCCTGAGGGTTGCCTACGGTAGATCTAGTCTTATTTAGTTCTTCTTCTACTTCAACGATTTCCTTGAATAATTCGTCTTCGATAGAGTTAATCCGCACGCCCCAGTTGATTGTCATTACTAGCGAAAGGCTCAGCCGTTGGATCATGGGAAGCGGGTCAACAGCAAGCGTCCCCGCCTTTCCATAGTTGAAAAGATCTTGAAGGAATGTCTTCGTCTCAAGATCTAGGTATGGGATATAAGTTTGGATGGCTGGTCGATTAAGCGCAACGGCGGCTGCCTTCTTTTTCCGCTTTAGGCTGTCGTCGTAGGGTGAGGTGCCGATCGTCAGACCAGCAGTGGTAGATGCTACCTATCACAGTTAGGTGTTGTCAGCGATTGCTGCCCGCGATAACTGACTCGCACCTATGTGTTACCTTATGAAACGTATAAGTTATTGGCCGAGAACTCAACGCTTGTGAATTGGAACTAAATATCGTCTTCGCGGCTTGAGCGCCGTTCACCACCACTACGCGGCTATTCCCTAGCATAACCTGGTAGACATCGCCGTACTCCTTGGCCCATTCCTGGTACTTCACTGCTGCATTCGACCATATTTCGGTGAGATTCCCAACAACTGGCCAGCCCCTTGGACCCTTCAAGCCTGGGATTCTCGAACGGCCTCGGACTATCTCATTACCAACTAGATAAAGGGCCGCTGTGACGAGAGTACCGACAATAATAGATTGTAGCAGGCTTTCAGCGAGCTTATGTAAAACGAGACCGGCGATTGACTCCATGAGTTCTTCGTTTTAGTAACCGAGTTGCGATTTCAGGGTTCTCTGCACGTTAAGTGAGTATTGTTGAATTAGTGATTCACCCTTTCCTTTTAAATCAGAATTGGGGAAGATAGGTATAAGACATGGCGGCATGGCAGCATGGTTCCCGCAGATCCCGACAGCAACCTCGGACCCCCTCCCTTCTACTCATTGGAATGTAGGATTGAAAGCGCTCGCGAATGCGTTGCCACCATATACGGACACATGACGCAGGACATATGCATAAGGGTAAGCAACCATTGCCGGGGAATCAACACGTATTCCCGAGATCTCGAACGTTATTTTAGGATACTACGCTGTATGAAGTACCCTATCGCTGGGGTTTTTCTCCGCGGCTTACGTAACAATTCCCACCAATCTAATTTTTGGCCAATCAGCTACCAGGTATATCAACTCTAGATCCTGGTTCAAATGACTAAGCATGATCTGCCGAGCTTTGAGCCAGGTTTTGTCAACAAAAAAGTATTATGTCACCACGACCTTGCCTAAGCCAAGATTTCAGTTCCACAATGAAACGCGGGGTTAGACTCGGAACCTAGCGACACATTAATGCATCGTAAATTTAGGGCTTGAACACGTTCATCATTCTATAACTCCGAACCGAATTACAACCTGAATCATGCATATCCATCATCGCCGTCCTTAGTCTCTTCTACCTACCCCGATAAAATTCGTACCGAATCGTCAAATGCCCGGCTACCGTTATATACCATAGAACCGATCATTATTCCATCCCCCAAACCCGAAGAAGCTGAGACCTATATGGTGGAAAGCTCCTTGGGGGGCAGAGCAACCGCGTGGCACTTTAGAGACTTTGCGACGACCAAGTAACACGAGAGGGTCATTATCCTGCGTTAAAGATAGCTTATGAACGACTACTGGTGAATAGGTACCTATACCTATCTTCGGTCGACGACGCGTTTTCCCATATTCCGAATCTCGATTTCGCGAAGAACACGATGCAATCTCAATCCCCAATACCTCACTGCTTCGCTATCATCGTCACCAGACATGATCCCTCTAGAACCGATCTCTTTTTAAATAATCTGCTATATGCAATTTCGAGTCGCGAGACAGACACGCCGATTGAAGGACCACACGAATGACAAAAATGAGGAGGTTAATAGATTATATTGAAACGCAGGTAGGTTTTATAACTGCGAGCATGTTAATTGGGTAATGGTCGATATAGTGTTATCTTAACCGCTTTTTAAACGAAACTTCCATTTTGAATACCCCGTTGGATTCGCGATGAGTTCCTGCATATCTTCGACGAGTGGACGATCAGACCCTATAAATTTTCGGCCATGATCAATGCATAGTCTAGCATATTTCTCAGCATTTTCGATATCGCCCACCCCTATATATTCGATCGCCGCCCTGTAGTATGCTTCGTTTACGCGGGTTAGAATGCCCTCTTCTTCGTATAGCGACACAAGAAGCTCTGCCTTTTCTGGCGACGCTTTTGATGTTGCCGAATGGTCATCTAATTCTTTCCGAAGTACGATTATCTGCTCAACCCTTGAGTCTGACTCGGCTATTGATGATGCGTCCGCCGTGCAACGCTTACATGCGCAGCGAAATCCCCATTCCTTGTGCAACTTTTCCTGTCTTACAGATTGGATCTGAATAGGGCTAAGGAGTTTATCAATGACGAGTCCCATGTCATCGTCTGAGATTAGTAACTCACTCGTAGTAGGCTATTGTAAGCTCTTCCCCAGCCATGATATCCCGCACAGCGATCACCTTCTGGTGGAAGTCGAGATGGTCGAAGTAATAAGCGCAATTCGGTCGGCAATCATGATTGAGCCGCGATACTAAGTCGAAATTAGTCACAAATGTTGCTATGAAAATCGACCAATTCTGTTGGCGATACCAGATCCTCTTGTTCATATTTACGAACCTTCGGTAAATAAAGAATAAAATGGATTGTCTCCATCGTGGTAGCCGGTCCGGAACGAGTTGGTCTGCAAAATTCTATAAATCTTGTCGCCATAATCGCTTGCGGCACTATGTGTCGATAGGTTGAGCAAGCTTTCCTTATGTTGAGAGGGCAACTCATCAACTGCACCAATGAGCAATTCTGATACGGTTTTCCTCCCTAACTTTTGGATGGCGTTTTCATTCACCATAATGCCAGGCGTGAGTGCCATTATGAGTTCTCCCGCTCTAATCATTCTTGTTGCAACTAAACCAATACCTTTGCCTTCAATTTCGACCTCCTGGTAGGGGACGGTCGAGCTTGGCACTGCTCCTCCATTCTCATCCTTGAAAGCCGGTCGAGTTGCAATTGTTGAGATGCTGTTTCCAGTCGTGATTACAGAAACCCCTTCGCCATTGTTGAAGGATGCATGAGTAAACACACAAAATTTGTCAGCTCGGACTCCACGACAAAGGCCAGTTGACTTCCACTTCTTTACTGGCGACACAGTTCGATACGTCGACCTCGGACGTTCCAAGGGAATAGTCTGCGTAGGTATGCAGCTGTCTGGCTGAAGTGGAAGAAAGGGGTTAGGAATTATACATGTTTGCTGTTTTTGATGGGACTGGGAGGAGCTAGCTAGCACTAAGGTGAGCTGGAGAACCAGCATGAAACAAGACATGCTCTCGTAATGTGATATGAAGCATAAAATAAACTTCTCCGAAGATAAAATCCATCGTGGATAGAGGGAATATCTATATTTTACGGACTCTTGTCCTCATAACGTTCCCGAAATCTCTTGGCGGAGCCAAGCCTCCGAAGTTAAGGAGATCCCGTGTCGGAAAGACGGGAGGGGACGGCAGGATGCTTGTCACCAGAGGTTGGAGGCATCCACCCATACAAACCAGTTATAGCAATCATCGTCGCCCTTTTTCACCAATGAAATATGAAAACCACGTGCTGCCACCCGAATAAATGAGTCTTTTCGTGGATAATAGTAACGGTCACGAAGTGCCTTCCCGGCTATAAGCAAGATCTACGAAATCAGATTCTCGCTAATACAACTTAGGTCTAGTTTCCGTTTGAATATAGTTCATTTCCGAAATGGAAAGTGAAGAAGCAAAGATACTACTAGAGATGAGAAGTTTACCTGACGTTGTGGCTTTAACATTTTCCAATTTAATCATGCCACAACGCCTTTGAGTTCTCGCTTATATAAGCTTTCGCGCTTATTAATACATCCCTCGTTGGAAGGTTCGACTCCTTGATGAGGCGTTCTTGGCGCCCAACTTTTGTGTAACTAACCTTGTAAAATGCCAAAATGTCAAGGGCGCGTTCTCCCTCCTTTACTCTTTTTCAAACGCAAATAACTCAAATGAAATTTCGAGACATTTGGCATGAAACGACGATATGGCCATGATATCGAATGTAATAGTACGATCGGCGATTGATGAATTAGAATCAATCATCGGAATTAAATACTATTATCTAACAATTTTCTGGCCCTAGGCAGGACTTTTAATCTTTTTTCGACGTGTTTTCTAGGTCGCTCCCGGTTCTTCGTATGTTACCCAGGCCGCCAGGTATTATATGGTTATATTAACTCGCTGTCAGCCTCTATTTTGACGTCCTTCTTTGTTGATAACATACCTGGTATAAGACACCATGATCTTATTTTTTGATTAGCTGTTGCCGACACAATATATTACCCATGCGCTTGGATATTGGTTAAGTCTCCCAAGCTGGCTGTTCCTTCTCTCGTACGAACAAAATTTAGAGTATTAAGACATAGTATACCATGTGAGGTAACAACAATCATGTGTCTCGCTAGGATGCCTTGATGTTGTATTCTATGATTCCTGCAATTAGAGCTAGACATCGATATCACCTACTGAACTGGGCTCTAGGTACTTAAGACCGCTAGCCAATTGAATATCGTGGCTGCGACACACTGCGGGGTTTGGCATCCGACTCGCTAAGACTTATCTTTTAGCGATGAGAAAAGGGGCAAACGAAAACTAAGACGCAGTGTTGGTTGCCCACGTTGGGGATCCGAGCATACTTCGCCTTTGACTTCTCGGTGCATACCTTAAAAACGTGCACGCGATAAGTGATCACGCATTGCAACCCTCTGTCTTGCCACGGGTCTTTCATCGCAGCATGGATCAGGTATATATAGGCCGCTATCCCACAGCGAGCAAGACCCCGTCGCAATTAGCTTTCGGACAATCGAAGTAAGTAGATTATCTTGGAACTATCGGCTCAGCTCGTCATGATTCCCCTTATTTTGGCCGTGATGGCATCTGTCATCCCGATGCTTGAAGCAAGACCCTTCGCTAAGAAGATTACCAACAGTACGAAGGCTGGTTTTGGACCTCTCACCTTCAAGAGTGATGGTACATTTCAGATAGCAGTTTTCGAAGACTTGCATTTCGGAGAAAGTAATCACTCCTGGCCAAACTGGATGACCTCCAGAACCTCATGCTAACGTGGATATCGGAACCAGACGCATGGGATCAATGGGGTCCGCAACAGGATATCAACTCCGTCCAGGTTATCAATAAAATTCTTGATGCAGAATCCCCAGGGCTGGTCGTCCTAAATGGTGATTTAATTACTGGCGAAAACACCTTTTTGGAGAACAGCACGGTATATGTCGACCAGATCGTAGGACCCCTCGTAAATAGGGGTCTTACATGGGCATCGACATACGGCAACCATGACTATGACTTCAACATCTCCGGCAATTCCATCCTTGCTCGCGAGAAACTATGGCCTAATAGCCGGACACAACAAATGGTAATCAGCAAAAATTCCGGCGTGTCGAATTATTACCTTCCAGTCTATGATAGCAAATGCAGCACCGATGACTGCGCCCCGGAGCTATTGCTTTGGTTCTTCGACAGCAAGGGCGGGTTTAAATATCAGCAGAAGAACGCATCCGGAAGTCGGGTTGGTAACCCGGACTGGGTTGATTCCAGCGTTGTAGACTGGTTCGTAGATACGAACACGCAACTTGTTAGCAAGTTCAACAAAACAATTCCTTCGCTAGCGTTCGTGCATATCCCGACGTATGCGTCCTATGTCCTCCAGCAACAGGGCGTTAACCCACACACTGAGCCAGGGATAAACGACGATAACCCACTGGCTCCTCAGGCGCAGGGCTGGTGTTCCGATGGTCGAAATGACGGTACCTGCACGTACGGGGGACAAGACATTCCATTTATGGAAGCCATATCCACAGTTCCGGGATTGATCGGAGTCTTCTCGGGACATGATCACGGAGATTCCTGGTGTAACAAGTGGGATAAGCAACTCCCAAATATGTCAGTAGTACCCAAAAACGACGTTATACTTTGTTTTAGCCAGCATTCGGGATATGGTGGCTACGGAAACTGGGAGCGGGGCTCTCGCCAACTGCTCGTATCGAAGTCGAAGTTGCAGGAAGGGGCAGTAGATACCTGGATCCGTCTTGAATCCGGGAATATCGCAGGGAGTGTAACTTTGAATAGCACTTTTGGACAAGATCACTATCCGGCAACGAACAATACGAAGACCTACTGCCCTACGTGCGACTACACCTCGACGTAACACAAGGGGGCACAAAGACTGTGCATATGACTTGTCACCCAGACTATACATGATATAGCAATATAATAACAGGATATCACATTATGATTACCACTTTCAAAACCCGAACGTACCTATCGCCGGATTGAAAGGAGACAATCATACTCCTCGCCGTAATATAATCGACCGCAAGTTACGTGTAATAGCATGATATCTTAGGTAGACGTCGTTCGGATTGTCATCATTCAACTTAATTAAAATCTTATTTCCACGAAAACCCTGATCTACATCTCATCTACTCCACTCCAAAGCTCCAAATGGACATTTTATAGGCCAATCACCCACACGCAGGATAGTGTATGGGGAATGTGACGAGAACAAAGTCACATTCTCATGCACGATACGCCGATTATCAATAATTTACCGATAACCTCGGGGTAGTCCAAGGTAACACAAGTCCTATATCCCACCTACCCTCCCTATAACTACACTTGCATGTTACATATAGCACATACGTAGTCCCCAAAAGCATAACCAAGAGCCATCGCACACAGCCCCTAACTTATCACATCCATCAATCCCATTCTAACACCTCATCCCCATCATGGAGAAATACGCAACATACCCAAGCCTGCGGGGCAAGAAGGTGCTGATCACAGGCGGGGCCGAAGGCATCGGCGCAGCCTCAGTCGAGCTGTTCTGCCGCCAAGGCAGCATCGTCATCTTCCTGGACTACTCCGCCTCCTCCGCGCAAGCGCTCCTCGACAAAATCAAGGCCATCCCCGGGGCCTCGCAGCCCTCGTTCCTGCACTGCGACGTGACGGACCTCGCGCGGCTCAAGGCGTGCGCGGAGGAGGTTCTCGCCACCCACGGCGCCGTCGACGTGTTACTCAACAACGCGGCGCGCGCCGGCGCGCTCACTCGTGTCCCTACGGATGAAGTCACGCCCGAGAGCTGGGACCTCGATGTTAATGTGAATCTGCGACACCAGTTCTTCCTCACGCAGGCCGTGGTGCCCGCGATGCGGGCGCAGCGCGCCGGGAGTATTATCAACATGGGCTCGATTACGTGGCGGATCCCGGCGACGGGGCTGCCGGTGTACACGCTGTGCAAGGCGGCGGTGGTCGGGATGACGCGCACGCATAGTAAGGAGTTTGGCCCGTTTGGGGTGCGGGTGAATAGTGTGGTTCCCGGCGCTGTGGCGACGCAGAGGCAGATTGAGGAGGTTATGACGGAGGAGTACCGCGAGGAGGTGTTTGCCGCGCAGAGTCTGAAGAGGGATATTTTGCCTGATGAGGTTGCGCGGTTGATTTTGTTTTTGGCGGCGGATGATTCGAGTGCGATTACGGGGGGGAGTTATGTTATTGATGGGGGGTGGGTTAGTGATATATAGATGCTTAGGGCTTTGGATGTTTTTTTGCTGTTTCGGGTGACGACAGTATAGGGGCAGGTACCTAGTTCATCACTAACATTGGAGGTTTTTGACGATATGAATAAATTTATAAGACAGTTACGAATTAACTTATGTACAAAGACCGTTTCCCTCCTTTATGATACCGTATTCTAATGTAAATATAAGCGATAGACTAATCCCCCCCTTAACCTTGAACCCCTATATGATGTTTCCCCTTATATGATGATAAAGGAGATGATTGAAAGCTGTTAGCTTAGTTGCAGAATGGCTTGCCCTTTGCGGTACGGCCATAGCTGATGCCGGCTGTTTAGAAGAGATGCATTAGTCTTGTTCTTCGATTCGATGGTCATTGGAGATATAACTTACATCGGTAGTCGCCCCTGGCAGCGACATTGTCGTGGCATGACTGGTCAAGGCCTGCGTTGACTTTGCCCGAAGTGCCGCGGTCGACCTGCGCGAGTTAGTATGACTGGTCTTTGGATCAAACAGATAGGGATAATTACATTGATGGACACCGTGCTGTAATTGCAAACGTACGCGATGGCGGTATACTATAGGGGTTGTTAGTATGCTTTCTAGAAATACACTTTGAAAAGGAGATAGGCTTACATATTGGACGGAGAACATGGTCTTCGCCTTTAGAGATCCGTAACGGTCCATGATGTCTCCCAAATCAGAGAGACCGATTCTCTTGTCGTTCTTGTCGAACTTAGCAGAGAAGCACTTGGTTTCCCAGGCAAATTTACGCGGCTCTAGTAGGATGGCATCCGAGTCGGTAGTGTTCACCTCGGGGAGTTCTCGGGCCTGGATCTCTGCAATAGGAATGAATTCGATGATCTGGCCGGCATCGTTGTGGACGTAGACACCATCGCCACGGTCCATGCCATTGGAGTCAATGGGAGTAGAGGCACCGAGCAAGGCAAGGGGGGCAAGAAGGAGGAAGGTCTTGGTCAGAGAAGGGAACATCATGTTGGGCAGTTTCGAAGATCGAAGATCAAAGATTGAATATTTGTTGGCTGGAAGTTGTTGATTGTTGGTGAGTTGGTATCGAGGCTTGTGAGTCTGATGTGAATGTATTGATATTGATTATTCTACTCGGGATGCTGCTGGCTTTATAGAAATCAACAATCATGGCATGATAGCGACGTTCTTCCATCACTCGATATCTCCAAGTTATATTTAGCTACCTACTGTATCGGCCGATTCATTGAAGAGTTCAACTAGTTGCTTCAACTCCATCAAACGACTTAGGCCAATTGCCTTGCCGTAGTCAGCACTATCGACAGGGAAGATTCCCATCTCGAGCCAGTCATATGCCTGGTGAAGTGAGGCTATTCCTACCTATGTGCTGTGGATCTATTTTAAAGTTGTTTTTAGAGCGGCACTATTTTCGCTGTGCCGTACTAAACGTACTACGCCTATTCCATCCCGCTTTTAGCTGAATTTCTACGCCGTTTCGAGAATTTCTTGTATGTATCGATATCTATAAGCTGTCAGAATTGAGTCTAGATTTGGCATGGCCCCTGCTAGGATTGAATACCATGCAGGTACTAAGAACCTCTGAACCTCTGCCTAAAGGGAGGGTCCATCACAGCCCCATAGAATGTTACTGTGGGTAATATCTTCAGATGAAAATGGGCAGACAGCACGTGGCCAAAGGTGGCACAGCACGAATACCTAGTGTCGCCTTAGCTTATATAGGTATCGACTGCCTAGTGCCCAGTGGTGAGCTGCCTTAGCTAATTAGTCTTAGCTGAATTCCCGGACGACTTGGCACGAACTCCTTCACCGGCACCTGATTACCTGGGAGTTTTACAGGTAGTAAAGAGTACATTAGTTGGAGTACTAGACGTCGAAAATAGGGACCCTAGGTTGTTTAATAGAGGATGTCCAATGACGTTAGGTAGATCGGAAGGTTGAATTGCTTCGGATCAATTCACAACAATGAGCTATCTTATTTTGGGACACCATTGGCCGCGGCTAATACTGCAGCTTCATACTAGGTACCATCGTTTGCGTCATAAGTTTTTCAGTTCTATATAACGGTTAGCCCGATCCTTCTGACAGGGACTCTGTCCCCATAGGTGCTAGATCGTTGGGTTCGACGTCACATCGTGACATCAATCCTTCAGTTTTATCATCCCAAAGTAAGAAAATAAGACGAAACTTAAAGACCTCTAATACTTCTCTTAGTCTTAGGTGAAATGGAGTTAAAAAGTGACCCATGTATTGATACTACGGTATTAGATTATGCGTCTAGGTAGATATCCCCTATTTCGCTAGTGTAGGATTATAGGTACCTTTTGAATGCTAAGATATGCGGAAGACGCTAAGTGCGGCGCATAGGGGATACTTCTATCATAGGACGGTACAGTCTGCTAAGTTAATATCATACTAAGATTTACTCTGATAAATATTCTCTTTTTATACTATTGATGTTAGTATAGAAATTCTACTACTTACCAGAAAAGTTAAAACATAAGGTTCTTTACCTAAAAATAACCAAGTGTCTAGCTACTCATGATAGCTTCTATGTTAGAACCATACTCGTGGGCTGATGAAGAAAAGAGCACGTTCAAAGAAGGCATGATGCAAAATGTAGAAATAACCGCGCGCAAGCAAAGCATAAAATAGGATTTACGTGGATGCCAAGAAGGCGCCCAAATGATTAGGTAAAGCTGGACGGCGGACCATAAGAACAAATCCGCCAACCCGCCAATTCAACTAATGTATTAAAATGTATACAGTATGATACAGTGTAAAAACGTACAGTTTTATACATATTCTACACGGTGCCCTGAATCTTATAGTGGATCATAACGCTATAAGGCGCTGAAAGCCCCTGTAATTCATAGGGGTTATAGCTACGTCTCAATAAGGCTCAGTGTATGTCACGTGACACCCCTCGTTTTGAACTATTACGCGTATATCTTTATTTACCTACCTATTACGCATGCAACTGTATCGAATTAATCGATTGAATCGGATCAAACAATTGATTTAATTCGTTTCGGAAAGATTGAAATATTAATAATAACTTAAGAAGGCTCTATCGCTACTAGGTAGCTTTAGGGGTTTTTATATACCTAAAAAGCCACTTATAAGTTATAAGAGCTAATGCGCTATAAAGCTTATAAGTTACAGGGCTTTTAGCGCCCTGTAACGCTATAATCCACTATAAAATTCAGGGCACCGTATGGAATATATATAAAACTATACGCTTTTACACTGTATCATACTATATACATTTCAATACATTAATTAAATTGGCGGGTTGGCGGTTTCGGCCTTATGGTCCACTCTAAGCTGGGCGAAGCGAAGGAGCAAACCATTGCCATGTGAGCTTCTAGACGGGAGTCGCGGAACTCGATGCAGGTACTACCGAGCTATTGGTTGCTCCTTCGGCGCGGTGGACTTTTTAGGCTTCCCCGCCACATCTTGACAGCCCTAGAGCTAGAGCCCTAGAGCTTCTACGGCACCGCGCTGAGTGGGGTTAGCTGAACGGGCACTAGGGGACACCGGGTACTACTAGGTATGTTTACAAGCCAATTTTAGATAACATATCACCATCCTAGGACTGCACCACACCACAAATTGTGTAAAAACAGAAACTTGATTTCATACGAAATAGGATTTTCAGCTGAAGATGATCATATGCTAAACTAAACATTGTTCATAGAATTCATTCATATTCATTCACATTCACGGCAAAGACATGGCATGAATAAGATCATGATGATAAAGGGTAAATACAAACGCGCTGGCAAGGGTTCTTTTGTAAATTATTAAGTGCCTGGTCTAAGTGCTAAGCCCCCAAACAAAACATGATAAACAATGGATAAACATACTTACCTACTTACCTACCTAGCAGTTATCTAGGTAACTAGCAGGTATTAAGAGAAGAATGGAATCGTAGTAGGTGCTACTAATCTAAGTACAATACTTTGAGTAATAGGACTCTTTCGGCGCCGACTTACCCCTTCCAGTTGCCAATAAATCCGCGACTTCCTTATGCAGTTTTTGGTTCATCGCCAATTGCTGCTTGACGATCTCCGATCTCTGAGCTTCGCCATTATTGTCTTGCCACACGAGCGACAATTCCTGGGCTGCCGGTGTTTGGGCAAATTGATCTCCCGCGTTTTGTTGTCTCTGCCCGAATGCGTGGAGTCTCTCCATCAGGTCCTCTGCAGTTGGGAATAGAGGTTTAAATATTGGTTGAAAATTGGTATAGCTATCACCCGGATTGTCAATGGTCTTATATGTCAACCCGTCTTCTTTTTCTTCTTCTTCCTCTTCTATCATTGATAATTCATCGTTCAACTCACCTTCCGCTGGCCGAGCCCAGTTCCATGCACTAGACCAGTTCGTGACTTTAGGTAAATTTATTGATCCACTTTGAATTTCGTCTTCCTGGTCAATTGCTGGGGCAGCTGGAGCCACTGGAGCCGCTGGAGCAGCCGGACGTAAACGATTTTCTTCTTCTACGCATCTACTACAAGCGCATTCAAATCCCCAACCACGAAGACGTTCTCGCCTTTTTTCTAAGCTTGCAGGACTTGATAAACTGCTGATTGAGGAGTCGTAAGTGATAGAAAGTTGCTCGCCGACCTTGATATTTTTCTTTGCTTGGATGTATAAATTGTAAGGGGATTCGTTAATATTCCAATCACAATTTGGATCGCATGAGTGGTTGATGCGACTGAATATTGGGTACACCGCAATACCATTTCTACTACCCACCGATGCGCAATTTGTCCAGACAATTGCACGGGCTCTGATGAGCTCCTCTACACGCTTAATGTGCTGTGGATAAGACTCTGTAAGAGAACGACCTCTATACTGAGATCTACTCCATCTTTCAAAGTCTGAACGCTGGCCGTTCGCTTGTTCATACCTTCCAGGGTCACAGTGAAGAGCAAGAATCTTCTGTTTGTTGCCAAGGGATAATTGCTGCCACGCACGGCAGAACCTCTCAACGAAGCGGTCATCAGAGATAAATAGTGTGAGAGGCTCGTTAAGAAGGTACGTTCCTTTAGGGATATTCTTTGTAGCAAAAACGCCGAATCCTATGCCCGGGATCGCACGAACCTCAGCGTAACCTTCGTAAGCCATACTTGCCGGGAAATATTTGCTACTGGACTGCTATTAAGGGATTTGATGGTTATTGAATAGGAAGCAGGCTTCGAGTCAATAATTGTTTGATACTACGTGAAATTTAGGGCGGAGGTCTGATAGATATTTATAATACGCCGTCTTAGCTTAGAAATAAAACAATGCCATTGAGAGTACTGAACGTAGACCTTTCGTTTATTAACAGGCCCGCGTAGAGAAAACAAACTCTTTGAGCTCAAAAAACAAGGTGCGTTGGTTTTCTTTTCAGTAACAAAGTTAATATTTTCAAGGCAGTTGACTTTTGGCGCACTAGCGAACGCCGAGATGGCTTGGATTTCTACTGCAGCATGCGGGGTCTTTCCATCCTAGGTACCTGTAAGGCCGTCTCTAGGTACGACCTACAGTGAATGGAGCGTTGTAGTTAGACCTAGAGCTCATCGTGCCTGCAGCGTGTAGCTCCCTAGGAGTTAAACAACGTCCCATGACCACCTTTTCTTGAACATTAGGATAAAGTCCCCCTCAACCAGGCCAATAAGGACTTACTTCAAAATTATTTGAGATTCGTCATTCGAAAGCCTTCAATTCGACTTGTTACGCAGGTAATATCCACGGATATATCTGTTGAGGTTACCTAGCAATTTTACGAAGAGAAGCTAGGGAATATGGCCCAGAGATCAGTACCGCGATAGAAAGTTGAAATATAAAAATCAAGATTTTAGTAGGGAACTGTCGAAATATAAGCTTAATTGAATGCGCCGTGGCATGGCTTGAACCATCCATTAGAGAAGGCTGGAGGCTGGTCACCTGGGCACTACGTACGAAGCTTACTAGCGGGCTATAGCATGCATAGCGCTATAATTATAGCGTTCCTAGAAATCACCTAGGCATTATCGGAAAAAACATTTAGCGGGATAGTAGCGGATATTAGGTGTGTTCAGCTGCCCAAAGGCGTGATTCTTGGCGCTGTCTCAATCTTAATTCTTGGCACCCCTTCAGTGAAATAGAATCTGCAAAGGAATCCTGCAGCTTATGTACAGAACCCTCATTCTGCGGCTTTACGGCACCGAAACTCTGATGTCTAGAGGGCTGGATGCCCATTGTAAAACCTGCAGCCAATCAGACGGCTCATAGTCGCTCTCACTGAGTGATTCCATTTACAGGGACTGGATCTCGGAACAACGCCAAGCGAAACCGGAGAGCATCATGAAACTTGACCATCCAATGCTCTATCATCGACATACCTACTTTACTGTTATTTCTCAGCTTCTCCGATAGCTCGAGAGCTGATTTCCTTTTGAGTCTTAGGCACCTTGTTCTTCGGCTCGAACAAGGGCCGCCGTAAATCAGACTTCTACCTTTGTTTATTTTCAATGCGTTGTTGCTACTATTGACACGCAACCTTCTACTTACCTACTAGGTACCTAGGCACCAACCCTCATGAGAGTCGAACAGAGGAAGGCGACGGTAGCCCTCAAGGTTCGCGAAGTCTAGTATCGCTTAGATGTGCCTATTCCGACTGAGAAGACTACATGCCTACCTACTTACCTACGGATTCAACTACAATATAAAATTGCAAGGATATCAATAGAAGAAAACGTAATCAAGGAGGACGGGTGCACGAGGCTCCGTCTACAATATACCCCTCTCAATTCGGAATAACCCGAATTAAGTCTAGATAAGGTTATGAAAACTATTCCCCATTGATGAGATCTAATGATTACTAGGTAGGTAGGTAGCTTAAAGAACCCGGACACCTGGACATCCCATGTCGAGTTCAGATGACAAGGGGTCTCTCGGCATGCCGTTTGCCATCTTTACGGACTGATCAAACATCTCCAAGACCCCCACCCGAACCTCACCCACGAGCCAGAATGCCAACCTCGCATATTGGATCTCCCCTTCAGCCTTCTGCGCAAAGACTCCTCCTTGAGATCTAGGTCAAGGCCCTGCCAGAGATGTCGCCTCATCTCGTCTCTTGATGAGGGTGAGATGCCCCTGCATCGCATCCTTTCTGGAGACTTCGCCTGGAAAACCGTTGCCGGTGATAACGATTGTTATGCCTGGTATAAGTCTTGGTATTCTACATCACTCATCTCTTCCCAGGGAGATCAGGGACGATGCTCTTCCGCTCACTCTTCCTCATGTCGACCTAGACTTCTTTCTAGCTTGTGTGCTTTTGCTTCATTTCTCTCCTACGGTCGATCCGTTCGTTTTCCACTTTCATTTTGCCTATTTTCATCCGTTCGTTTCGTTTACAGGCTGGACCAGTTTAATTCAATTCTATAGAGTTTAGAGTTACCGTGGTCTAATATTCCCTTTCCTTGATCGTCTTGTCCACTGTTGAACTTGCCCATTCAGTCTCTTCCGGCCATAGTCATATGTGTAGCCATGCAGCTCTCCGCAGGTTATTTCCCAACTCTTTTGGTTTTGGCCTCAGTAGCAGTTGCTACCGAAGTGCCACCGGCCCAAGTTATTCATGACACCGTCTATGAGACTATACATGTCGTAAGTGATTCCATCAGTCTATACCTACCTACCCAATATCCCATCAAATAGTACAGCCTCTCCTTGAGATCGGAGCACATCTGTCAGATGTGTTTAGCGTCGAAGGCAACTCAAGGATACTCTATCAACTTACTAACTTCCAATTCCCTACATAGACATTGGCACCAGAGACAATTAAAGAGACGGTACATCTGCCGCCGGAGACGATAAAAGAGACGGTGCATATCACTCTGCCACCGGAAACACGGAAGGAAACTCTACATATAACTCTCCCTCCTACAACGGTGAAAGAGACAGTTCATGTTACTCTGCCACCAGAGACTGTCAAGGAGACTATTAAGGAAACTGTCCACATCACGCTGCCTCCTCAGACAGTGAAGGAAACTGTCAAGGAAACGTTACATGTGACGCTACCTCCACAGACAATACACGTCCCGGTGACGGAAGTTGTTCATATCACGAAGACTGAGGTTCAAAAACAGTCCATCACACTACCACCGCAGACGGTGAAGGAAACGGTCCATGTCACTATTCCCGTCACTAAGGTAGAAGAGAAGCTGCTCACGAAGACGGAAGTCAAACACGAGGTCAAGACGGAGGTACAAACTGCAACTCAGACGAAGCTCGAGACGAAGCTCGAAACTAAGGTCGAGACCCGTAAGGAAACTCTTCCTCCTCAGACCATTAAAGAAACGGTTCATATCAGCGTACCCGTCACGCAAGTGGTGAAGGAAACAGTACACATCAGTGTTCCAGTTACACAGATACAGACTGTTAAGGAAACTGTCCATGTCAGCATCCCCGTAACTCAGCTGCAAACTGTCAAGGAGACCGTTAAGGAGACTGTACACATTAGTGTTCCAGTAACCCAAGTCCAGACCGTCAAGGAGACTGTTGCGGTTACCGTGCCCGTTACCAGACTAGAGACGGTCAAGGAGAGCGTTGCCGTTACGCGGGTCGAGACACTAAAGGAGACACTAAAGGAGACATTGCAGGTCAGCGTTCCAGTAACTCAGGTGTTAACGCAAACCGCGAAGGAAACAGTTCATGTCAATGTTCCTGTGACAGTGCAAGAATCCGTGGCCGTCACAGTTCCTGTGACAGTCAAGGAGTCGGTAGCTGTTACTGTCCCCGTCACAGTCAAGGAATCAGTAGCTGTTACTGTCCCAGTGACGGTTAAGGAATCAGTTGCTGTCAATGTTCCTGTAACAGTGAAGGAAAGCATTCCCGTCACCGAGATCAAATCCGTTCTGGAGACCGTGGCAGTCACGAAGACCGAAGTTTTGCAGCAGCTCGAAACGGTCGCTCTTACTAAGACCGAGGTCGTGAACGAACTTCAAACAGCCGTGGTGACCCAAACGGTTCATATATCCCTGCCGCCACAGATTATCAAGGAAACAGTTCACGTCACCCAGGCTGTGGTTGAGACGGTGCGCGAGACCGTTCACGTCACTCTTCCACCACATGTTGTTACGGAACTCGTCCACGTTACCGTTACGAAAGCATTGGAGATCTGCCACCAGACAGAAGTTTTGATCCCTATCGTCCATGTAACGCCTCCCCCTATAGTCCACGAGACCGTCGTGGTACCGCCCATGGTCCACGAAACGTCGATAGCGCTCGGACATCTAAATGTCACGTCAATCGCTCCGCCGGTTGCGCACGAGACTGTCGTAGTAGCCCCATCCTCTGTCAACCATACCGCTATGGCACCAGCGTCAGCCGCAATTCCGCAGCCAGCGTCGTCTCTAGCGCTGGGATACATGGCCCCCCACAATGCTAGGAGATGGCGCGCGTAAGTTCCTTAGTATTTAGGCTTCATTGTATGGTATGAAAACAAGGAAGTGCGAGGGTAACAACGGGTTCAGGACTGGGTTTTCGATACACGGGATGCTTACAGGTGTGGGATAAATTTGGCATATTCGGGATATTTTCCTTGGTAATCTTTATAGTTCGGTTTACGCTTCTCTGCAGTCTATAATTCCCGGCATCTGTTTCAACAGGTGTCGCGCAGATCGGAAAACTAAAATGGATGTTTTCCTTCTTGACTCTTCGATCCGATTTTATGCTTGTTAAGACGGCCAAAATAGATATAATTATGCTTGCACGGTTCATCCAGCATCTCTGTCTTCTAGGCTTGCTTTCGATTTGGTTTGGATTGCTAACATACTGTGGAAGAATACAGGACGGTATTCAGCAATGGTAGACATATTACGAGCCATGTGGTCCTGTTCTCCTATTCCGTTTCCCCACATCCATCAGCCTAGCGTTGACCCTTAACCTCCATCTTCAACCGTACGCCGTCACTACCTAGGTATAATGCCTTCGGTAATCGAGGTAGCGTGTTGTTTATAAGAATATTATGGGTATTTTGGATATAGTATGCTCGTAGCGATAATGCCAGGTCGATGTCGTCATCGTCATTAACCCCTATTCGACCTCAAGATACGCCAGCATGTCTTGGTCGGTCGCAAACAGTTGTAACAAGTTCGAACAGTATAACTTCTTCGGGATTACTTAAAGGCACACCCTCCCTTTTTAATACACACAGGGCTGATGATAAGAGCTTTGATTTTGCAACGGTCGCAGTTACGCGGGATCTTAGGCATGCTGGGGCCGCTCTGGCATGGCTGCTCGTTTTCGGTCTGCGATTCTCCTTGTTCGTTCTTTATGTCGGTGTAGAAGAGACGGATTCTGCGGTGCTGTAGTACGCGGGAGGATCGTAGCATTTCTCCTTCGAAGCAGATCGCGGCGACCATGCCGCAGAGCTCGGATATGAGCTGCTCGTCCTGCGCTCTCTGCGACTCGGTCGGGTATTCTCCGAAACACATCTTGTTGGCTGGCGCGTGTTTATACGGTGGGATACTGTAAGGGGGTGGTATTTGAGGCCATAGGTCGCTCGGGAGGAATCGGATTCTCGTCAATTACTTCGGCGAGTGGTAGTTCTACGAGACGGGTAGCGAGAGTAGAGTCGATGAATTCCCTAGAGGCTATTCTATTCGCAAGTCAATATTGATGAGAATTAATTCTATCTTCGCCAGACATCTTACCTACCTACTCCGAACGCTTGGGGAGGAAAGTTTGGGAGTTTGGTTAGAAGAGTTTGGTTGATTGGATTGACACCTCTAGGTACGAAGACCTAGGCCATATACCACCCCTTTCCAAACGATCTCAAGGGCAGATAATAATATTTAAACTATTGGCCTTCAGAATAGACTGTCCTTTGAGCTCTGTGTAGCTACAACACCCTGTTTTTGGAGCTCTCAGTTATCATCAGGGTGTGGTAACGTTTTGGATTAAGTTGGCCAATTTGGCATTGCAATTCTGATTTACCTACCTCAGTAAACTTATTTACGGCCCTCTGGCAAGACGAAACTACTATCATACTTAGCATTGTCGCCCTCTTCCCCCCTAAGGCTTTACTTAATTATTAAATACTGGATCACGAAGTCACTAATAATATTTACACACCTTGTATAGTGTACGTTACCTACTGCATACATGTAAGTAGGTACCCTATCGTCCACGGTCATAAATGGAAGCTCTTTTCCATTCATCGTTCTTTCACTTGCCCATGTTTATGCCTTCCTGTTAACGAAGACCGTTAACTGCCGGCAGGTACTGCAACTTGGGCAAGAAGAGCTCTTTGTAAGCTCAATATGGCTCGTTATAGATCTCATGACTTCAAGTTAGGTTTGAATTTAAGATTCTATTATCAATCATTGATCAATTATGACAAAATTGCTCATATATACAAGGTCGGGAAGCCCTAAGGGGGCAGACGGCTTAATCATGGTTTCCTAAGACACGGAAGCGAACCCCCCTTTTTCATAGTATATATAAGAAATGACTCAGGGCACACCCTGGGGCTAACCCTAACTTGTGTAGTTCGATAGCTAATAAGCTTTTCTATTTAGATATATAATTCCAGGTAGACCTCTCTTCTACAACTTCTTTTAAACACCCAGTTTCCTAATGCATCAATCATACCTAACTTGATCATTTAACTATCACCCGTTCATACATCTAATTTATTATTACTTCGGAGTAACCAACATGATGGAAGACAAGAAGCTAAGGCATATTCGAAACATAATCCATAAAAAATGACAATTTACTCAAATGGAGTAGAGCGGATAAAACATAAAATCCAACCTCCCATATCCAATCTCTCATACCCAATTTCCCCAGTTCTACAGCTGGAATACTTCATCTTATTATATGGATTGAAGCAACCGAAACGTACCTTGCGGAAATATTATAAGAGAAATCCTAAAGGGTGTGTGGAAGTACTGGCTGGCCAGTTACCCTTCTTGCCACAATCCCGACTCATGGGTTGGGTTCGACATTAAACAAGATACGAGAACATCTGGGATGCGCAGGACTCGATCGTCATGTGGGAAGAAGGAGCTAGCATCATCCTACCTTCTAAGTACCACTCGCACCTACAATTATTACCAACGTAAGGCTTCCTGTCTGATCGATAGATTGCTTGATTGCCTATGCTGACAAAGGCACAACCTTTATAGCTACAATAATACGATGAACCCCCCCCCTCGAGGGGGCACGTTATACATACCTGCCTAGGTAACCGGAAAGCTCCTATGCTGACCTGCTCCGGGGTTAGCAACCAACAGGGCTACTTAGGACATATCATGGGCTCTCACGCACCTGCCTCAACGGGCCGAGTCTCAGTCACTAGCCATCATCCCCTCTACAAACAAAATTTCCAACAACTGATATATTTCCTTATATATACCACGGCCGTATCAGCCACACGATGACGGAGAAAGGGGACAAGGGTCAGGACTATGCCACTAAACACTCTTGTCACCAAAGGTCAAATCAAAGTGATACTCATGATCTTATTACAACGGGAACATTCCTTATGGGGATATACATATGATACATTGTGTCTACATGTAAATTCAATCTGCATTGTAGTTCTCCGGACTTAGACGCACTTACCACTACGGATGCGGGATACGGCATCCTTAACAGCGACCGAGATCACAAGAATCATCTGGGTTCCTATATTCAGGACCTAGACTATCAGGCCCATACAAGAAGTCTAGCTGATATGGTTGGCCCCCCATGTCGGGATCCGCACTAAGCCAATCATGGTGGACTTTTCACACAATTTTCAAGGAGCGCGAACAGCCTAATAGCCCGCGGCACGACATATTTGCCAACATTGGCGCGGCGCCGTCCTGAGTAGGGTTACTTCACCATCACAACTGGTATACGACTAATGCCTACAAGGAAAAATAGTACACCCTAATCCTCTACCACCATATCGTGCGAAAGGTACTTTACTAGCAGGACATAATATACCCCTGATGAAGAGGCGTGTCATCCTCTACATGCGCCTATCCAAATAACAAACACTTTCTAAGTGGATATCTTCTACGAGTTGAGAAGTAGAAGCTTTCGACATTCCCTGCCCCCAGGTGGCAACTCTAGTGGTACATCAAGTCTGCGCACTTATTTTACATATCTTTCCCCTCGCGACATGACGAACGAACACACTCCTGAGCGCCAAATCTCGAGGTTGAAACGCTAGCGTGATCACCTCGGAGTCAGCTACTAAGAAGCTGGGCCAGGTGTGGCCCGGCTGTGTGGATGGCTGACACCAAGAAGTGAGAGAAGCGCGCTGCCATAGAGATCCTGCTCGATGTCGTAGACATCCACTCAGCAGAGGATGAGTACGCTTACAAGAGACATCGGAACCGAAGTAAATGAGTGTAACGTCTAAGACGACGATGATCTTGTTATCGCCCAGGCTGGAACTGGGGACCCTTTGTGTTCCACACCACATGGTCGTGGTGTGGAACAGATGCCCCGTGGCAAATCTCGCCACAAAATACACTCGGGAAGAGAAAGAGATTTTAAACTTACGGGACCAAATAGACCACCAGATTATTGGTGAGATTTTAATAATATTTATTAAATACGTCGAACTTGACGATGAAGGTGCTCGCATGGCAGGTATGGCATGGGAAAAAGTTTCATTCGCGATTGGATTCCTGGATCCCGAGGGAAAGAATACATCCGACTCGAAATTGATATTTTATCTGGGAAACCATACCATTACCAAGAAGTTACATCGGATCCCGCTAAGGACGATAACTTCGCATTCTCTTTTCATCACACTGGAGTTAAGTACCACTAAGTTAATAGGAGAACAATGAACTCGGAGTGGAATGGAATCCCCTGATCTAGCAAACCCAATGCAGAGGCATTGACAGAAAACAAGAACATGACCATCGTTATATGGTGGGTTCGGCTTGTAACGACCTCGAGACATCATGTCGATAGAGATTCATATATATCTCCGAACTCCAGAGGTCTACTCTGTGGAGAGAACCGGTGAGAAGAGGAGGGGGGTATCTGATAGAGCTGCATCAAAACGGCATCGGCACCGTGGACTTTGATGTCCCTAAATTCATGTCTTGTCTTTGGTATCGACTCAAGCATATCCCCGTATCTGGGTGCCCGGTGCCGCGGTCTTCATGGGCACTTCCATAGCTACTCAATACGAAGTATGGCCGGTGAATCATCCGGAGGATAGGAGTCCCTTTAGCGGCCAATCAACCAAACGAAAACCAAAACGGCGGCCGCGAGAGAACCGATGGCGATGGCGATAACCGCACCCGTTCCCCATTCCGATACATCCGGGATGAGGAGGCTCGTGACGAGGAAGACCGGATCACCGGTATAGACACGCTGGATTAAGCATGGCCGCGATGCTTCTGGTCGTGCATACTGCGAAGATAAGGTCACATACCAGAGTGACGAGGAAGATTTGGCCGTACCTAAAGCATATCTAAACGCAAGTGGTTACTTTTTACTGAACGAGTACAAGGATAATGACACAGCACCATCTTATCTCGTGTGCTCCGGTGGCGCGGTTCGACGCACTTGCACAAAGTGCCTATGCGAATTCAAGACCAGATCCGACTACTTTCAACTATACATCCTACCTCAGGCTTAGAGTGCACACTACCTACTAAGAACAAGAGTACCTATGAAACCTAGGTATTTATTTACTCTGACCGATCACTATCGACGTCGGCCTTCACCTGAGCACCCACATAGGATTTGGCGTTCGAATTCCCCACCAATGTTGACAGCGACAGCGCAATGGGAATATCAGTGGACAAAATTTTCTGATACATACATGGTGATGAATGCATTCTCCGGGCATGTCGCAATGCTAGGCGGAGAGAGTTTAGAGCTCCTGAAGTAATAACGTCGTTAATATCTAGCTTGCTACGCCTATCACAGTAGCAGATTCCAGAGAAATTGTTGATACTTTTTAGATTAGTACTGAGGTGCATAACTGCATAGAGTGTTAATAATAAAAAATACACATTATCGCACCGTCCTAACCGTTCTGCCAACCTCTCCTCTCTCCACTGACTCTAGCCGAGGTAAGACATGTTCCCAGACCTTTTCAGACAAGCTCTCAACATCCAGATCCGCATCCACGATCTGAATATCCTCTTCCTCCTGTCTGAACTCGCCCTCCTCGTTCGTCGCACTATCCCCTCCTCTACCCGATCCATTCCCAAGTCTCTCAACGTCCCCTCTCCTCGGGACCTTAGTCGAAGTGCCACTGTTGCCCACAGCGCTGCCGAGATCCCCCATACTAAGGCCCCAGAAAAGATCTCGAACGCGCCGCTGCATTTCACCCTTCTCATACACCTCTCCACCCCAACCACCGCGTTCGCGCGCCACTTCCTCGTCGAGGTCAAGGAACAGCACTATATCGGGTCTCGGTAGCCCAACCTCAGGAGCCTTAGCCCAAGACAGACTTAGGGATTTGATGTTCTTGGCGGCACTGTACACGATGCCGCTATGGTAAAAGCGGTCGCAAATAATCGTATGGCCGGCTTCCAATTCCGCCTTGATTTTCTTACTGTGAAAAGATCAGCGCAGAACCAAACAGAGAAGATATTCTCGCCTCATAGAAGACAATAGAACAATAGAAAGGGAACTTACACCGCCTCCCAGCGGTTCGCGCTAAACAACAGATGAATAACATGGTCCTCGACCTCGGTCTCGCCCTTAAGATACGAGTCGATCATCAGTCCGATCGGCGTTGTCCGATCTACACCCAACTCATTAGCCCAGCACCACCAACCCCCTCCCCTCCAAACCCATCAATACACCCACCACTTTCCAAAGGGGGCACACCTCGCACGTACCAGGAAACCGCATAAACCGTACCTCGCGTCCACTCTCCACACACCTCTGCTGCAACAACTTCGCCTGCGTAGTCTTACCCGCGCGATCCATGCCCTCGAACACGACAAACGCGCCGCGCACCGGATCGCCCCTCTCAACCCCATCCATCGCATCCCCATCCCTATCCCCCTCCTCCTCACCACCAACCCCTTCCACACCGCCCGCCTCCCCATCATCAGCTGTAGACCCAACCTCGCTGAGCCCCTCCACGGGAGGCGGCAGCGGGATCTGCGCGCGCGCGGGGTCGGGATCGATGACAGGCGCCGCGAGGACGGGCGGCGGAGCGCCTGTGGCCACGGTGATGGAATCGCCGTCCTCGCGGTCCGCGGCGGTTTTCTGTGTCTGCGACATCTCGTTTGTCGTACTCGCTTCCGCGGGGATATCCCTGGTATTGCCAACAGCAGCAGTACTATCACCAGCACCAGCAGCACCAGCAGTAGTAGTAGCAGTAGAAGTAGGTAATTCCTCAGATCTCAAAGCAACAACCGACGAAGCAATAGTCGCCGCAGTCGCAAGATCATTAATCGACGCCATCTCTGCGATGCGGCGCGCCTTCTTTTAAGGTAAGGGGGGTGGGTATCAGATTGTAGCGAATAGAAAAGCGCCGTTCTGCCGGCCAGTCGATTCGCAGGTAGGGTAGTACGTCGATATTAAAAAGCGAAAAAAAGGGAAGAGCCAATTACATATACTCCGGTGTGAGGGTTTAATACCTCCGCGAATGTCGATTGGATGTCGAGCACGTCCGGATCTCAGAAAGGGGTGGGGGGTCGTTGACTGGTCTTCTTAAAGGCTGGGGGTGTGAGATGATGTGGGATGATGTAAAGATGTGGGCGAATGTATCGCGACTATGTCGAAGTGGAGCCGGCCGACATTACGTAATTCGCTTGTCATTTGTTAGATACAGAGTTAAACGCAATGCTCTGCTTAACCGCCGGTTTGATGCAGATACTTCTTAGAAGAAAAGGGTAAGGACTCAATTGGATATTTAGACGCCACATCTCTCCGGGTGGCAGACATATATAGTCACATATAGGTACCGATGTAGATTTGGTACAGGTTTTGTTATTGAGTTGTACCATATATCACTCGCCGCCTCGTCCTCTGGTTCTCGATGGGATAGGCGTAAAGCAACGGTTAGAGCCAGCATTGAAGTATCTCAATGCAAGTGTAAGCTCCAGAGGAAAATCAACATATGTACAAGACTCTTACAATGTAAAACAAATGCCATACCAACGCAACCAGCCCGCCCAAACCCTGCTATTACCATCGCCCCCTTAAACGCCAGTGATATCGCCTCCCGAGCCTATAGTACCTAGGCATTAGGCGACTGAAATATACCCATCAGTCCAAATACAGAAGCACGCGGAAAATTAGACTCGTCCTCATTAGCATTCCGCACCTTGTGCCACCTCAGTTGTTGCCATCTCAGCTTCGTCTTTAGCACTTCCGCTCTCCCACACCTCAAAGCTTTCACCAGTGCCTTCCATTGGCTCGAGAACTGCTGCGCCGGGTGCAGGCTCATCCGTTTTCTGCATTAACTCGTCGACCGATTGCACTCCGTCTTCGTTGATAAGCTCCGCGGGGACATCGGGTTCGGCCGACTTATCAGAAGCGTATTCGAGGTCACCTTGTGCTTGCTGAGGCTGGCTATCCTCTTCATCGTCACCGGGGACGATGATGATAGAATTCTCATCACAACCTTCTGAGTAATAATCGCGAACGTTCATCTCACCCAATGGGTTGCGCTCCTTCTCAAATACCATCTCATCTTCCGACATCTGTCGGACTGCACGCGGTCGTGACGTCTGAGATACATCGTCCATCGGAGGCACGTTCTCCTTGCCCTCGGCTCGCTCTCGTTGGCGACGGCTCTCGTTCTCCTCGTCTGAGCTGATGTCAAGAACACAGGTGCTATGCTGTAGCAGATTGGTCATCTCCTGTTCCGGAGTGTCTTCGTGAATGTCGAAGAACCAGGACGACTTCATGTCACCTTCTTCAAGACTGCCACTAAAGTCTAGAGAATTGGATAACAAGGACTTCACAGCAGGTGACGCATTGCGACCGCCGTAACCTGAGAGCGTCCCTCTAAGAGCTGCATCCAGAGAAAACGGCGCCGCTGACTTCTTCGACAGGTCAAAAGCAGGGGGATCGACTCTAGCGAACCCGCGTCCAGTGCGTCGTCGAGATGATAGAATTCCGGTCTTCTTGCCGCGAGTAGGTGATCGGCCAGCAGGTGCTGAGAGGGGCGAGCTCTTAGCTACGCCGGTGTTGATCTTAGCAACAGGCGACTTGGGATTGAGCATCGATCGTGGGCGCGACACAGGTGACTTGGCTCGAGTGATAGCAGGGATGGCGGGGATATCATTGGTGCTGGCCGACTTGGTGAGGATAAACGCCGACGGCTTGAGAGCAGAATCCTTAGCAGTGCTATCAGAGCCCTTGGGTCGCTTAGAGTAGAGGAGCGGGTCTACATTCTCGAAATCGTCGGTGTCCAAGCTGTCGGAAGCCTTTCGCTTCCCGGGCGAGATTGAGAGTGCTATAGACTGATTAGCACACCGCCGTACCAATTTCGCATTGTGAATCAAGCGTTTTCTAGATATATGGTTCCAACAGGTTGTGCAATTCAATTGTGTTCAATGACATTGAGCTAGTGTGCGACAAGACACCACGTAATTAGGAACACTCAAGGCTCCCTAGACACTTCACATCTTCCCCTAGACTTACCATTCTGTCTATTCTTCAGACTTGTCAAATTCTGCAAGCGTGCCCCATCGAGAGGAGCGAAGGGTTGACGAGTAGCAGTAGCCATTGTTGTAAGTTCTGACGTGGTCTGGTGGTGAAGGGATGCGAATGCCCAATTGATCCACGATGTTGTGGTTCTAGTTCGACTCAGTCAAGGGTAGTCGAAAGTGGTTCTATGGAGCCCGATTGCCAATGAGTTGAGTCACGAGGATACCCAAGTAAGGATGTCAAGGTTTGGTGAGGAACGATTGACACCTAATGCTAGACAAGAAGTCGAGTTGTCACGATTGTTTGTTTATTTTGTTGCGAACAATCGTATATCGTCGAATTTGTCTGCAAAATAGGAGGGGAAGTAAGAAGAAAAGTGGGCGAGGGAGTGTTGTGGTGGGAATTGGTAGATCTTATTGCATCTAAGTTGTCGTCTTGATTAGAAAAGGTCGCGCCGACAGAGACCAGAAAATGGAGAAAGGATTGGCGCGGGAGGTCAATGTCTCGAATGCGCTGCACTGTTGAGATTACCAGACCAAACTTGAATTAGGAAGCGCCCGTCCGTTAGTGAGGAGAGGGGAACTAATAGGATTAAAGAGCGATGAGTGGATGAGTGAGTGAATGAATGGATGGACGGCTGCAGGTGTGCAGGACTTTGTAAGGTTGTAAGGTTGTAAGGTAGAGAGAGGGTGGTAGAGTGGTTGCGAAAGGTATGCGAAGAAATTAGAAGATGGAATAGAGGGAAGGATTGATTGATTCTCGCATACTCAGGTTTCAAACAGGCTTGGTGGGCAGGTGGGCTACAGTGATATGTAGGTGGTTTAAAGGGCTTTGGCCTTTTTCTTCTTCGTGTTGCGGACGCGTGGTGTTGGTGTAAATGGGGCTTCGACCAATCAAAAAATAGGGGCAACTTTACCTGCTTATGACCTGCAGTATTCAGGTGGACCTTGCGCAAGGGCTGAGTTGTGTCTGACTGGATCGGGAGGAAAAACTGCAGGGAATTATAGCGATTGTCTCTCAATTCTCATGCAACCCCCCAGTGCGGATATTTGATTTGCCAGAATGGTGGCTCAAGCGTCGAGACGGTCTCACCAGGCAGTGCCAAAATCGATTAGAATGCAAGCCAATGCAGCTAAAAGGGACCAATCATCGCGTCCAAATTCAAGCCAAGGTGAGTTCGAAGGAGGTTCAGTTGTAAAAGGCCGTCGGAAAGTCAACTTAAATCGAAGTGATCAGTCTTCCTTGTGGGACTCGAACTGTTCCAACGCGCGAATCGAATGCAGGGGTCCGCGCTTTTCGCGTCCATAAAGAACTGGTCTCCCCCTCCGATCCATCGTCCATCCTCACCGCGCGGGGCAAGGTATGCCACAAACCATTTGCCAGGGAACTTTATGTTGCAAGACAAGGTCCTTGACGTCAAGGCATGTCTTCGAAACTACCACTCGAGGGGATTCGTTCCAGTTTCACGATATCAAGATATTGATTCTCCCCGCAATGTTTTCCATGCACGGATTATGCTAGCCGCTATTGGAACGCCTAGCAAACCGATGAACAAGCGTCATCCACTGCATCTGCCCGTTGCGATCAGCGATATAACCGCAAACCTAGCGTCGGGTTAGAGACTTAGGTCGAACTCGGCTGTGAATGAGCTAGGCTAGCCCGACTAGAGGCAAACTCCCATCGGAGAGATCCCACGGTCTGACGTGCTTACCCTTCTCGTCACGGCTACTATGACTAAATGCTAATAACCAATGAGGTATATACGCATGGCAGCCAATGCGGTGCATTGGGAATCCAAAGGCGATTAGGCCGCATATAACGCGACCACATCTTAGCCTATGGGAAAAACAAGCGTTGGAGCGGACGATGCCAGGGCGATATCAGCCTTGGGGGACGCCTCATTGGCTTAGATCAAGACCCTCCCCCCTTCTCTCCTAGCCAGTGGAACAGGGCATATAGACCGAACTTGGTCGTTCATCAGGTCCTTAGAGGTCTGCAAATAGGACGTGATGACGCGTGTATGGACAACTCGAAATCACAGTGAAACTTCGGCAATTAGTCCAGAATCCAGACAGAGCCCGAGACCAATATGTCCCATACACCTTGGAAGAGATTATTAGTAGCGCCCATGGTGCACTTCCTCGGCTAGGCAGAGACTGAGTGACCGTTAGACGGCCAAGATGCCTACAGCAATACGTGTAGCCTCCTTAGTCGACCACGGCCGATCCGAGTCCTATCATGATGGCCTTAGCTAAGCCCCTCGAAACATCTCAGCAATTGTTTGGCTATTGGTGACAGTTATTCCATGAGTTTCCGTTTATGGGGCACTGGCATTTTGGCCCTCACTCCACGTCGAACGCCGATAGGAGAGTGCTCGGAGTCTCGCCACCAACATGATGAAGATGATGAAGAGTTAGAAGTCTGACCTCCAAGCTGCACTGCCTTTTTACAGAACGACAAAGGAACATTGAAGTAGAAGAGAAGTCAACCTTGGAAGTTAGATTGCTAAGTTTAAACCTAAAGGCTTCTCGAAGTTGATCTAGACTAACAGAATTAAGTTCTCTGGCCATTCCTAAGATGTAGCTTCCTGATCATGGTCTACTGCGATCATGTAGCAGCAGGCGCAAGCAAGTTCATCGTGGCGTACCTACCTCTATGTTGTATGTACTTGATCAAGTACATACTAGGTAGAAATCCACAGAAGGACGTTCCATGTTAGTCTTTTACACTCTTACATGCATTACCACATCGTGCTCCTAGTTGTCGTATGGGAGATGATACACCAGTCACCTGTCATGTAGACGGTATTACTCTGCAGCATCACGGAAGTCAAACTCTGCAATAGTAAACTGACACATGAACTTCTCTCCAAGTCCTGAATCGTTCCTGTATGGGGCTCGGCCAATGTTTGAGGATATTTAAAGCACGTCGTGATGTTTCTCCAATAAGACGGCTTCCTTCTGGAGTTAGCGCCCAAACTTCATCCCGGTCAACTGGACCTGACGCACATATAAGTTAATCGTAACGTCCATGCCGGATGCGATCCAACGATAGGCCAGGAGATCGCCGAAGTAAAGCTCTAGACCACTCCCGAAGATACGCTTCACGGTTTACACAGGGAATCATATTCATGTCCAATAGCTATTTTTATCGGATGGGATAACTCAGAATGCATTGCTTGCTGCAAACCGAAGAATATAGAATCATAAAATAGTGTTAAGGGCCGGAAAACGTATCCGCACCTGGGCACCGAACGATTATCCTATTACCTCTTACGAAACTATTATCTAGTCCGCAGTAGCCGCAGATTTTCGCAGGTGCCTAACGACGATTCACTTTCCTCTTCCGCGTGCTACGGCCTTCCGGGATATGAACGTAAGTAACACCACAAGAGGATTCACCAACCATAGACATACATACGTCAAGACCTAAGTGCGCACTTCTCCGAGCATTTCCGGACCAAGTTTAAAGTCTCCGATTTCGAAAACTAGAGCCACAGCAGGTGTTTCCCAAACCAGGCCGAAGCCGCCGGCTCCGTAGCCACGAACGTCCTCCGTCCCCTATCCCCCATTCCATACTCCTTAGACCACACCAACAACTAACCCAGCTCATAGTCATCAGGATGTTCCCTGAACGCTTCGATCTTCCTCTCTTCAGACAATAAACGCCATCGTGACATTATTAACATACACCAAATCCAAGAGCCCCTTCACTACCTCCATAGCCTCGATATCCATCCTTTTGCGCTCAACGACTAAGCCTAGGACCTCGAAGGAGTAGATATCGGGACGATTAGCAAGCCGTGCTAGGTCCTTGTTGATTCACTAGTTAGTGTCGCGGGCGGAGAACGACGGGACTAGATCTCATCCCCGTGTGCTGAGGCAGGTGATATAGGATCACCTTCGGCTATGCTATGGTGGAGATTCTCGTCGTGGTTACTGGAAAGCATCCATCTATAGGCATGGGGTATATCTGTTGAAAGCGGTCTTTGGTTCGATATCGATGCTCTAACCATGGTATCGAAGTGACTCGGATGTGAAGCTACATTTCTAATACCTAGGTACCTACCTATACATCATCACTACCTGCCTCGTTATGTCCCACGCCTCATGCCAGTATATATACCTGCCAAGGTACTTACATAGTAGGTAGATTGGGCATTTTGGAGTTAAATGTACATTTAAAAGGGGGTACTCTTTGTTGTCAATTGATGACATTGTGGGGCAGCGGCTCTTATGATCTTATGAGGTAGTAATAAGCACTGCGACAATGTGCCCTAGCATTGCGGCTCACGTACCTACCTAGGTACATATGGATGCTGATGACGGACATCAGTTAGCCATACCTCCTTGTCCCAGTACTTCGACCTTATCGGCATTATTCGAAAGTTCCAAGGTGGTTTGAATTTGAGCGATTGTCCGTATGAAGTCCTCAAGAACAGAAAGCCCTATTTCTTGACGAGGCAGACATTCTGACCTCTGGTATACCGGGTACGGCAGCTGGGGATGGCTGATCAATAAGTATTCGTACCTACCTAGGTACGTAAGTGCGGAAACAAGCTAAAAAAGTAATTATGCTCAACTGTCGAACTTACGTCTTCTGGTCGGCGATCACTTTTTTCTTTTTTAAATTATTGCGTACATATTTACTATTCTTACTTTCATTCATCATTCCAGCGAGATCTCCTCGCTAGGTTTGAAAGGACATAAACAATATAAAGGCCTTGGTAATAGAGAGAGATGTCTAAGAGTGGGTGGTGTTGACTCTAGACAAGAATGCCTTGCGTACCTCCCTTCAGTATTTCGGTCGGTAAGATGGCAGTGTCATGAAGGCATCCAATCACAGATTCGGAATTGTGGCTGTAGTATGCAACCAAAATATATCATCCATACCCCGCCCCAGTTGGGAAAACAGGGCTGGGTTCGTGAGTCTCATGAATGCATCGTTAAAGAATCTAAGTCCCGCAATCTTTGTCTGTCCAATTTCTAATTCTGATCGTATACTCAGTCAAGATTCCTTCAGATGCAACAACATGGCCGAAGTAGCTCTGGGTACGATAGGGGCTGCGGCGAGCGTCGTGCAGCTTGGCGACGTAGCCTTGCGGTTATGTCGAAGCATTTCTAGCTTCATTGGCGAATTGAAGGATGCAAAAGACGATATGCGACACCTTCGGAGTAGTAAGGGAATATCATTTATTCTCACGATAAGGTCCTAACTAACGAATATACTATTTACTAGCACTCGATGATACCGATTCCATATTGAGGAACTTAATCGCCTACATTCACGAGTTCCAAGATTCTTCTTCAGCGAAAAAGGAGTACGAGGTCCTACCAGACGCAGTCGTGGCCGCCGTCCAGCACTTTTATGACAGTCTCAAGTCACTTCGCGAGTGTCTTCCCACCGATCTATCGCCCAGTCTCCCGCAGAAATTTCGTTTCGTACTTGGTAAGAAGAAGATTCAGATAGTGACATCGCAGCTAGTGAGGTGCCAGGCCAGTACTTCCCTTGCCTTGAACATAATCTGCAAGTATGGATTCCAGTTCACTGAAACCTCAATGATATGAACTAGCTAGTGGTTGCTGACATGAGAATATGAAGCCGAAATAGCATCAAGTTACGTGATGGCTTGAGCAGCCTTAGAATCGATAACGAGACGGCGGCTACCGAGCGAAAGATAATTGCACAGAACTGTTCGCAGCAGGTATCCCAACTATTAACCGAGATTCGAGGTATATCCCAACAGCAGCCCCAAGCACTTCCATCTTTTGAGCAAGTCGACAAACGAACTTCGAATATTGTGGCCAAGCTTGAATCTATAAATAGAACGATAGCAGCCCAAGGCGCTCGCTCTCGACGACAAAAGTCTACTACGGCATTTGCAGCCGTAGATGAAGACACCCTGGCAAAGCTCGTACGGGTCTGCGTGATGCAGACAACCACTTCCAAGACGGATAGAGATGAAACAAGCAAGGTTGATGACATGTGCACCAATATTGCCTCGCAGGCTCATCGTGAGGGATTCTTCGACGCGAAAGACGCCGAGGAATCAAAAGTACCAACATCAGAGCAATCGATCTGGCCCGGGGGCAAAGCCCAGAGATCTAATCTAGTGCAGCTTTTCCAAAAACATGAGACCATATGGCTACGATGGGCGATAATCAAATTGCGCGTCACCGGGTTGAGGCATCGTCAAACAGATATCCAAAGATCCGACTCATACTTTTCCGTCGAAATTGATTTCATTCCACGACATATTGTCTCTTTCGGAATATCTTTATCGTATACAGATGCCCCGAATTGGGCAAAATATTATAGCATCTGCCCATCCATCTTGATATTCAACGTGATCCATGATACAACACTGATGAAGGAAATTTTCCGGAATGACGATGTGGATATGCTACAACGTTCGATGATGAACCGCGAAATAGGTCTAAGGGACTGTGACACAGATGGGCTTTCAATCCTCGATGTTAGTATGACCTCCTAACAACTATAAATCATACTAACATCATCTGGGTAGCATGCAATGCTCATGTGCTCTACCAGGTGTATTCGATATCTGCTAAGGTATGAAACTCGAGTCCCCTTTTCGAGCGATATATCTCTCCGTGTGATTTTGCACGGACCCCAGAGCAAAGCTACGAATCTCGATGGGGTACATGTTCCGATACCCGCGCTTTATGAATTTTTAATGTTGTGTCTGAATTCTGGATTGTTGGATGGGGACGGCATCCAAACTTTAGGTGACGTTTGGAGTTTGTTTTGGTTAGATAGGGAGAAGCATCCCGGCCAACCGACTTCAATAACTTATGAACACAAAATTATGTTGAACCAAGCATTGCGAACAGCAGGATTTAATATCCAACCATTCTCGTGGCTATCATTCTCCGAAAGTGGAGATAATAATGCCTTCGGCTTCAATGAATTTTGCCTGGAACTTTGCTTCAAATCCGGCGAAGACCCTAATGCGCCCATGCAGTTATGGGATGGATACCGCCCTCTAGAGGTTGCAGTCTTCCTTCTAAGCAAGGAAATATATTATTGGAGTTCGAAATTGTATTCTCGTCTGATACACGCGGTATCACCGCGCCTCCTAGTCATACTCATGAAAGCCGGAGCCGACATTTTCTTTGCCAGGGAAGTAGGCGGCTGCCTCCATTCGACCGCAGAGCTAGCATACGAATTGGGTGTCGGATATCTGTGGGAGGCGGCTCTTATCGAGTGCGGTTACGACCCCAATGAGGTCAAGATGGAAGATAAACGACGGAAGACAGTACTCGAGAAGTTTGACTCAGCAGAGCGGAGCGGCGTTGACATTGAACCCATGAAGGAAATGCTATCCGCGCCTGGTTTAAGACATAGGCCAACAGCACGAACTACATCTCGCGATCCATCCATGAGCCAAACCAGGAAATATACCCTAATCGCTCTAGAAATCAATCGTCTCGCTTTCAAATTACGCCTTGCAATGATACTCCTATATAACATTAGATCGAGAATCAAGATCATATTATCGTGAACTCGCATTAACAGCCCTCCCGTCGCCCCAAATCCCCCATCTCAACCGCCGAATCCGTCTCCTCACCCCTCTCCCCCGCCCGCAACGGGCGGGAGAAATTCGACGGCTTACGCCTGAGCGTCGGCGCGACATCGTAAACCTTAACCGCGCCCCTCGGCACAGCCACCGGGTCCGGCGGTCTAACCGTAACCAACCTCGCCTCTTCCCCCTCATCATCATCCGCATCCGCGACAGACGGGGGCGCGTAATTCGGGTTCCGGATGACGCGGATGTGCTGGCGGACCGCGATCTCGGGCTCTGCGGCGTAGCGCACGGTTGAGAGACGCGAGCGCTGCGCGCTGCTGGCGATGCTGGTGCTTGGGGTTGCGCGGTGTGTTTTTGTTGATGTGGTGGATGTGCGGGATGGGTGGGAGGAGGAGGAGGGTGGGGAGGAGATGGACGCGGAGCGCTCTGTGTGCGTGCTCTCGAGGGGGGTTGAGGTGGGGATTTGTTGGACGCCGACTTGGTCCGCGATGTTGTTCCATTCGCTTCGCCAGCCGCCGGGGTTATATACGGGTTGGGGCGGCGACTTGGAGAGTGAGGAGGCTAGTTTTGGGAGTGGTGGGACTCCGTATGTTGGCATGGTTCCGAGGGAGGCGGTGGATATGTCGTAGGTTGCGCCGATGGGGGAATTTGCCATTAATTCCGTCCTGTCGTACGGTACTTCTTTCGTTCGTATCGTTAGATGGTCTGGGGTTTTGGGCGGTTTGGAATTTCCCATCTTGAAGATCTCGGCTGTTGGTACTGTCATTATAGATGCGCTAGTGCTCTCTTGCCGTTGTAGTGAGGCTCTGCGGGAAACGCTGAGGTCTGCAGATAGCTCATCGGTTACTTCGCTATCTTGGTAGCCTAAGAATGACTTGCTAGAGATCCCCGTCGTTGCGAAAGGGGTAGGTTGGCTCTCGATTGTTGCGGATATAGCCACGAATGAAGGTCTATATGAAATTAGTTACAATTCATTCATAAAAAGTAGGTGGCGTTCTTACAGCGCTCCGATGCAGATCACCAGGTCTAGATACGGCGCCATTTTCGCGAGTCCATTTGAAGGAGCTGCTTTAGCGATCATGACGGCTGTCGCAACTAGAGCGGCGACCCATACGGCAATACCGAATCTCGCGGTAAGAAGTGCACTGGCATGAAGATAATCGCCGTAGAGCTGTGGTGGCAAGTTTCCTCGCCTCCTATAATCCTTCCTCGCCCCTCGCACATGAATACACACGTACACCAACCCTATGCTGGCTGCGAATAATACGAGGTCCCGGGCGATACATGCTGATTGAACCTCAGCCGGTTGTAGTAGTAAGACAACTGCAAGACATATTCCTGCTACGGATGAGATGAAGAGGAATATGAGTGAAGCGAGAAGTATCGAAGGTCGCCTGCTCCGTTTTTGTTCTGTGTTGTACTGCTCAAGCGAATGGTAAAGTAGTTGCGCGTGAGTCTCATCGACCGTCCAAACCTTTTCTTCATCCACGTCCTTACGCGCCATGGGGGTATCGTCAGCAGGACCGGCCAGCTGTTTTCAAGGAAGCGTCGGAATAAACGAATGGCGAAGATATTAAATTCGTTCACATTAAGTCATGACATACTAAGCGAGAGAAGAGTTGCCAGCAATTTTAAGAAACAACAAAGATAATAGAAATATAAACGAAACTCATCGTGATATATTCATTTGAATGCAATCAACGAGGCTGGTCGCGACAGCAAAAGGCTTACCCAGGCCATGTCGTGGAATGAAGTCCAGCTCTGGTTAAGGTAATGACGAAGCTATGTTGAAGAGAATGAAGTCGACCTCGTCCATTTTGGGAGAGCTTTGCGAAACGGAAAATCACTTACACATATTTGGCATTGGAGTTACCTAAAATGGTAGGTACCCACACGTACCTTTCCATCGGTATTTTCCATCAAACGTCCATGGGATGTTTGGAAATACGGATTAGGTCGAGTAGGGGAAGTGTTTTATGCACGTCAAGATGATCGCGGTTCGTGGGAGCTTAGAAGTAGCAGTGGGGGAGGCTGGCACATTCCAGGAGGTGGCTATTACCGCTAACCTTGGAAACCTCACCACTAAACCAAAGCGCTAACGACGCTGTAAAACAACGAGGGGCGCCTAAACATGTAAAACAGTTGCATTAAGCCTCAACCGAAGGTGGCTTATGCAACACTTCTAGTCTCGAGTCCACGTAGTATTGGCTCGAACCACTGGAATGCAGGTTTCTCGTCAAGACGGCGTCTTAATTTGCACAAATTCGCGAACCTCGTAACGTTTGTGGTTATGGTAAAAGTCCCGAAAACTCGTAATTCTGTAGAAGGAAGAATGGCGATATTTCGCCAGATCGTTTTCGTTATCGTTCAACTGCTGCAACTCGCTAAAACTCATATGATGATATACAGAGGCGGGGATCACCCTAACTCCAAGCCCGGAACACGCCTGTAATAATGCTTGCTACCCAAGAAACGTGACCACCCTTTTGTTTACTCCAACTACAAGGCTCTTACAAATCCAAAAAAAGCCATCGCATCTTATTTCATCAACCATAAATATTATCAACTCGATATAGCAAATATAACCAATCCATGCAGAAGTGACTTAATGCAACATGTACGACAAGTCTGGGAGGTTTTGTATAATACTCCTGACAATATCGTCTTGTCCTCGTTCCGAATTTGAACTCTGAATCGGACCAAGCACAGCCTTTAATGGGGTCTGAGTTTCTATAACTTGGTCCATGCTTGCCCGAATACTTTGACTCTCGCGGGGCTTCGTGATGGGCTTTGATTTGGATTTCAGCGAGCTCATCCAATTTGACACCGACCCCGATGTTGGTGATTCGAACATAGAAAAATCGGCAAGGGGCCAGGGGTCTTGTCTTAGAGACTTTGGCGTCCCGGCAGATAGACTCTCGAAAATAGAGAAATCTGCTAGAGGCCATGGATCTACCCTTGGGGCAGCACTCGAAGAGCCCGTTTGTTGAGGCACTTTCTGAGGCGCCTGACTACTCTGTGGTATCGAAACTGATAACTTAGGTGCCGTATTGTTGCTTTGTGCAACTGCTATGTTTTTTGGATCCACCTTGGATATGTCGTTCGCAAGGACAGTTGGTATTGTTGAGGTACTGCCATTAGCATTGTTTAGTGGCTTTGTGAGACTAGGGCCGGGATGAACATCCACTTGGGGAGACGACACCATTTCTCCCCAGTCATCGTCTTCGTCATCCAAAATGACTTCAGTTTGGGTTGCCTGTATAGGTGTTTGATTCGTTGTGCTCGTTCTAGATTCGATTTTGATAGCAGCAGGTACCGTTTGAGTTTTCGGTGCTGTATGTTCAATCTTTTCATCTCTGCTAGGAAGCGTAATCGGGGCTGACCTGATGCTTTCCGAGCTCCAACGGAAGTTAGGGTTGGCGATCGCCTTTTGGATAGGTGCTCCGGAAGGGGGTAGGATTGGACTCTTTATCGATTTTCTCGCATCAAAACTGGACCCTATAGAATGCACGGATTGTGACGGGCTTTGGATTTGAGGCGTCATGGAACTGTTCCGTGAATGGGCGACGGAAGTTTTTCGAGCAAAGACCTTGCCCAAATCGACAGGAGCTGCCGCAGAAGAGTCCCAATTGAAAACACTTGTCCGTTGCCCAACTCCTACTGTTGTTCGGCCAGCGATTGAATCTTCCTCCATCCACCTTCTGACGATCTTTATAGTATCGCTGTGTATATGAGATTTTGACCACTGCACCCTATGATAATTATCTTCATCGCCCGAATCATGCTTAAGCATCGACCCATAACGGGAGATTCGATACCACGTTTTGCGTTCTGATATTGCCGTGAAACTATCTTGAATGATTCGTTCCGGAATTTCGATGGTTTCGCTTGTTTTCTCATCCGTATCCCCAGGAAGATCAGGGAAAATTTTGTCAATTAATTGAAAATCGACGTCAAATCGCACAGGGCCAAATTTCTCAATAATTTTCTGGATAGAGGCTGAAGCCTCCTTAAGCGACGCGTTTTCGCGCCCAGGGGACTCATTCGCTTGATTTTGGTTGATCGTGTCGTCGACAGGAGCTTTGGGTGTTGGCGATCTTTTAGAGGGAGTTGAAGTATTTATAACGGATGCTGGTTTGCTATACTCACTCTTAACATCTTCAAAGTCGCCGAAATCTGTATCATCTTCGGCTCCAATGCTTCGAGCCTGGCTTAGCGATCTCTCTCGACTTCCTCTGCTTGGGGCGTCAAGTCTCGGGGGAGACGGCTCCTCCGTGACAGCCTTTGCCAAGTGATCATACAATCCGACCAACTCCTGAACTTTGCCAGAAGCTTTCCGAGACGTAGCCTGCAAGCGCGACTTGGGATCTTCGTCGATTGATGTGATGGGTGAGTCCTGACGTTCGACTTCATTAGAACTACCCAGTGAGAGGACTGACGACGGCCTAGACGGGTTATCATGTATGTCTACTTTAGGGACCGAATCGGCATCTACATCGCGGGATTCTCGAGGGCTCGATCGTAACGATGATGGTTCACGTGACTGTAATTCATCATCTAATGGTTTGGTGCCTTCTTTCCTTGATTGGGTATCCTCTACGCTCGCCTCAAGAGCTTCCACAACATCCTTCCTTTGTGCTGACGGCGCAGGCGTCTCAAGTATTTCGGCGCGGTCATCTAGAGCAGCTATCCCTAGCGCATCCAAGTTGACAATCGGGGAATCGGGTTTCCTATCTTGTAATGAAAATTCGGTCGCCCACGGATCGGGGGAGTGATGTCGGAAGACGGAAGAACCTCGAGATCGCGGAAGTGGTCTCAATCCGGGTGATGTCGCAGCACTGCTCGGCAATGCAATTGAACTCCTGTTTATCGATCCAGGCCTTGGACTAGGCTGAGAAATCCGTGAGGGCGGCTCTGCCCATACTCCCCAATCTAGCGCGTTCGCTGTGATATCCGCTTGTTCGGCACCAGTCCAATCTCTAAACCCATCGTCATTCGCCCATGGTGATTGAATTTGGAGGTTTGACGTGCTACCGATGAAAGCTCTCGGTGGAGGGCTAAGTAGATCCTTCGGCGGTGACGGTATCGGAGTGGGAGGCTGAAGTTTGGACGTGGTATCTGAAGATGCCCAAGGCGAGCCCCAAGGATCGTCCATGATCGCTCGAGGCGATGTTCATGTTTCCCAAATGAATACTAGAAATGGAATGGAACGCTTTGCATGCAGCTATAACGATGAGGTGGGAATGTCGCGAATTATAATGTAAGACATGTCGTTGACAAGATCCTGCAAAAAGTTGTTTCCCAGATGAACTGCCAAGAATATCGTGTTGCACTTGCTCGAGCGCGAGGACTGGAACCCTGTCAATTGACAATCGTTCATACGTGAAGACGATTCAGGGGGTTCAAGTATGGAGCTTTTGCATGACGAGGATCAATCAATCTCTTGGCCCGGGAACCACGGAAATGGTCATGGGGAAAGCCACATTTCCTTAAGCTTAAATTAGTATATTTTGCCACTCTGTGGCTTGTGTGGCTAGATTCCACGTTGGACACTGGACATTGATCTATACGATGACCCACTTGCAGAATCGAGAATTTCGTCATTCCCTTTTGGTCTTTGGTGGGGCTCATGGCGGGGCAATCTCTTCCGGGTACCTGCGGTGGTTTACCTGCTGATAAATGCGACGCCGGTAAAGGCCGATTCTTCCATCTTCTACATCCAAATGCTTCAAGTCACGAAGAACTGGAATGTGAAGCATGAAGCTCTTCCACCCACCTTGAATCGTTATATTTCTTGACGATAACTATTTTTGTCCTATTTTGGGCCTAGCTTTTTTCGTCTAATTCAGGTATATTCGTCTCTGATTCTGACAATGTCTCTCTCGAAAATTAAGCATATTCTTCTTGTAAGTTAATCATCCTTATCCATGAAAAAAGACGAATACAATGTTATATTTTCATTACTAATACATATAATACTAGGTCCTCTCGGGAAAAGGTGGCGTGGGGAAATCGTCTGTCACTACACAGCTCGCTTTATCACTGTCGCTCAGCGGCTATTCTGTTGGAGTACTCGATGTCGACCTTACTGGACCTTCAATGCCGCGCATGTTCAACATTGAAGATGCAAAAGTTACCCAAGCGCCGGGAGGTTGGCTTCCCGTAACTGTGCATCCTGCCAACCCGGAGGCCGGAATAGGCGAGCTGAAATGCATGAGCCTTGGCTTCTTATTGCGTGGGAGAGGCGATGCGGTCGTATGGCGCGGCCCCAAGAAGACCGCAATGGTGCGGCAGTTTCTCTCGGATGTATTGTGGGGAGAGATGGACTTCTTACTCATTGATACCCCCCCTGGGACATCTGACGAGCATATATCACTCGCAGAGACGCTTCTGAAAGACGCACTTCCTGGACAAGTTTCCGGAGCGGTAGTAGTGACAACACCTCAAGCGGTCGCCACAGCTGATGTCAGAAAAGAATTAAATTTTTGCGTGAAGACGGGCATATCGGTCGTCGGTGTCGTTGAGAACATGGTTGGATTTGTTTGTCCGAATTGCGCCGAATGCACTAACATATTCGGCAAGGGAGGAGGCCAAGTGATGGCGGAAGATTTCCATGTCCGCTTTTTAGGAGGGGTTCCTATAGACCCTCAATTTGTGATGTTAGTTGAGACTGGGCGACGACCTCGATACCCGAAAGGAACAATTATCAACGGAAAGGACTTCTCTGAGATTCGCCAAATTCACCACACAGACACGTCGACCGAAGAAGTGAAAGAGGCCAGCCTGCTTGCAAGCAAATATCTAGACTGTTCCCTTGAGCCTATCTTCAGAAAGATCACGCAAGATATCATCACAGCTATCGGATGATGTCGGATGTACTGTTATCAGCCTAAGTTTCTATTGTCTAGAATCTTGCATGCGGTGTGACGGCAGGGGGGTTATATTAAGATCCAATGCGCACACATGTTGCATCCCAAGACCTCTTGAATGGTCGAATAAGTGTCGCTGCTACTATACCAAAGACCAATCTTGGTGCCTATCGATTATCTACTTCCTTCTAGAGGAGAAGCAAGTTTCTGCGACGTTGGAGACTTAAGTGCGGACCTATGATAATTCATATTCCACGGATTGGTCAGGGGCGTAACATTCACCCAATTCACCAATGTTGCATTGATAGGGCTACTTATTGGGTAGATAAAAATTTCCCCATTACCACTACCTCATTGTCGAAATCCCATGGCTATGGAAACTTTCTTTTTGTTCTTAAAACAGCAAATCGCAATGTAACCAATGTAACCAATGCAACCGATTCATTGACCTGGACTATTCTCTTGAAGAGCCATTTACGCCGTGTCGCAATTGACACTTTGGTAGATACGGCTTGTTAAAAAAATGTGATTCTGGAAATTGATGACTTAATTGTCACAAGGAGGGTAACAGAAACCAATGCTACATTCGCAGTGTCAGGCACGAGATAAAGTAAGCCGGCATCGATATGTTGAAAACCCGATAGCTTTTTTAAAATTTTTTATCGTGATTGATGGGCGCTGAGATGCACCCGCCGATTTATTGTGGTATTATTGTGGTACGAATGTGTAGCACAAATGCACGGCCCCCAAAAATTGGAAAAGTTGGAAAAGCACATGCGCAGAAAGTGCATGAAAGTGCATTCACCAACCAAGCATTCCCCACTTTGGGCAGGGCAGTGACCTCACACCTACCCAATCTTAACAAAATCAGGTACCTGCCCTACTACTGGGTACCTCATGCCACAACTGCTTTTTTGGCTTGTTAAAGTTAAAACTCTTTAGACTTAAAAGCAGCCTAGCAGGTTCAGGTAGGTACCGTTTAGTATAGAAATACATGTCCAGGTACATTCAAAATTCTCTCACCGAAAGATTGTGATTGGATTTTCACACTAAAAGTTTCTTCGCCTCTTAAATCTCGATACCAGTACGAAGAGTCGATCTTGGAGATGACTAAATAACTTCCAAGGTTGTTAACAGTGCCTGTTATCTCACAACTTTGTCTTGTTTTACCGATATATGTACAACTTCAATTGTTAAGATTTATACTTTTGCAATTAACTTTATCCGATTGCAAGAAGAACACTAAAATAGAAAATCATTTGAGGTAGTCAACTTTCAATTTTGTTTTCGTCTTTTTCCCCTCTACCAAATCCACCAACACTGCCAACACTACCAACGCCATCTTCAAAAAAACTTTACCCTTTACACTCCAAATTCGGTTCACCTGCCGCGTCACACGACACACGACACGATCACCTCGAAGTATTCCATTGCAGGACTTGGCGATAACTGTCAATGCCAAAAGACAATCGAAATAGTTGAGATATTTGTAACGTAATACTGCACAGCGTCCAGTCACAGCTGTAGCAGAGAACACAACACTTTTGATAACTGGCCTGGTTTTCCATGAGCCCAGCAGACTTGCTTCGCTTCCTCTCCAAACCCGCAAAGTATGATTCACCGAGAATTGATCATGAATAGACGATTAAAATGGCATTTTGCTAATTATTTAAAACAGGCCCAGATAACACCTACTTCGAAGGCATTCGACCAAGAATTACAATTTCCCTTACTTTTTTTCATCTCCCCACTATATTCGCAGATACCCTCGTCTGCTAGGTCCGATACTCCCCCATAGGTATCGGTTTCTGCCAGAACGAGGCCCTCCACAAGGCGTCACAATTCCTTGGTCAAAGGACTTCTTCCTCCCCCTTCGAGGCCGACCTCCCTAACGTCCCCTTCGTGAGACGTTAATAACACTTGCCATTGTAGCTGGCTCCGCCAGCATTTAATATTTCCCACCAGCCTGTGGGCCTACTCTCTCAAGCGAACGCCGCAAGGTTCGTTTGGGCGGCAGTCAGTGCTCCGCAGTAGCTACAGTGCTCATCTGCAGCAAACATCTTGATATCAAAACGACAAGCTATTTCCTAGGTATATTTTAAATTGGCTGTTCGCCTCCTAGAACCCTATACGGAGATGGTCAACTTCGAGATTCCTACCAACTATACATTTTCGCCATCTGAGGGTACGCCCCATTTGACTATCAATCATAATGTTGCTGCGGATCTAGATTCTTCCAGCGCCTTTGAAGGTATGACCAACATGAAACATCATGATAAAAGGCATTTGCTAATTCTCATTTTGTATAGGCCCGGAGAAATTACTCGAGGTTTGGTTCGCTCCCAACCCGAATGCCCTTCCACCTGGCGTCAAGCAAGATGGTTTGAAGTCGGTCTCCAATGACACCTGGGTCGGGATGCTTGATATGGTCAACTGCAAGATCCTCTCGGTTCTCGAAGCGGAGCATATGGATGCCTATCTGCTCTCCGAGTCTAGTATGTTTGTGTTTCCTCACAAACTTATCCTTAAGACCTGCGGAACCACGACACTACTTCTTGGCCTCCATAGGCTCCTCCGAATCGCCGCCGAGCACGCTGGATTTCCTTTCCATAATGCCAAATCCCTGGATGACATCCACGCAGCGGCGACACCTTATCGAGTGTTCTATTCTCGAAAGAACTTCCTCTTCCCGCATAAGCAGCAAGGCCCTCATCGCAGCTGGAAGCAGGAAGTCAGATATCTCGACGACATGTTTGAAGGAGGAAGCGCCTATATGGTCGGGAAAATGAACGGTGATCATTGGTATCTATATATCACCTCGCCGGAGACGACCTTGACGCCACCTCGTACGCCAGAGGCTGAGAAGCTGTCTGCGAATCCTCTGAGTACGTTCAAGATTCCTACTGGCAGATCTTCCATCTTCGGTGGCGGATCAGAATGTAACGATGAAACCCTGGAAATATTGATGACGGACCTTGACCCTGAGAATGCGAAGAAATTCTACCTGGAGCAAGCGAGTGCGGTCGCGAGCACCAGGCTCTCTGAACAAGCTCAGGAAGCGCGACAGTTTACTGTGGACTGTCTTGGGGACTTGTCTGCTAGTACTGCCACGATCAAGACTACAAGCACGATCGAGAGTCTTTACGACGACACGTTCGACGTGTTTAGCAATGGAAGCGATTCTGACCTGCATGATCCTCACACTCCACTCTCTGAACAAGTGGACCCTGAATGTCTGACTACCGAAGGTCACGCGCTGGGGACCGTGGTTTCGGAGGCGTGCGGCCTTTCAGACGTTTATCCTACCTCGAAATACCCGGATGCTCGTATCGATGCGTACCTGTTTACCCCATGTGGTTTCTCCGCCAATGGCATCATTCCGGCTCCCCAGAAGCATGGACATGATGAGGATGCTAAATCGACCCATTATTTCACCGTGCACGTGACACCCGAGCCTATCTGTTCGTTCGCCTCCTTCGAGACTAATGTGCCCGGTGGCCAGAACGGACGTGAAACTTCAGATATCATTGAGCACGTGGTTCGGATCTTCAAACCCGGTCGATTCAGCGTTACGCTTTTCGAGGCTAAGGCCGTCCGAATGTATGATGAGGAGCTGGTTTCAACCGGAGTCGGCCGTAACAAGCGCGTTGAAAAAATCCCAGGATATCGGCGCATCGATCGTATTGTGCACGATTTCGATGACTACGAACTTGTCTTCCGATATTATGAGCGCGAGGGTTGGGTCGGTGGGAGCGGACCCCGTGTTGGGGAGGACATTTAAAATCCTATTCGGCTTCGACTTTTGGATGCACTCATTTCTTATTCATACGACTTTATCGGCTGCGTTCTTGAAATTCGAGGGTAGCTAGCAGGCGGAATTGCGAGGGAGATTGATTAGAGATGATGGCGTGGATGAGCACGGGGTTTGGATATTTTGTTTCGACATAATTCTTTTACTCGACTAGTTGAAGGGTCTCATTACGTTGAAGCCCAGTACATTCGTTTGACACCAATCAATCAAGGCCATGATTTGCCAAATTCTTTCTTAACTGAATGTGATGGTCCTACTTCTTTCTATTATGGTGCAGGTTGATAAAGAGAAGCTCTTATTCAAATCAACAACGCATCTTACGTTGCAAACTTTGCTTAATAATCAGGTACCCACCAGATGAAAAGGGGCTTTTCAGGTGGTTATTATTGAGGAGATATATGGGAGGTTTACAATTTGCGATCATAGAAGCCAGCAAAGTAAGTTTCTTATGACCTAATGGATATAAGAAAGTAAATATCTGATTGATCTTCTTAAATTAGCTCGAGATTGAGGCGCTTGCTTGTACGCGATACTGCATATTTGCTGGCGAAGATACCTACCTCAATAGGTACTATGTAGGTAGCATTTCCCCGAATTTGGCCAATACTCTAAGGAACATAAACGTTGCCGATTCCCCAAGGGATTGAAGGAATGTTAGATATTGGAGATCAGCGTTCATTGATATGAGGCTGATGTCTGATTCTCACTAGCACAATTTGGCAAATATCGTTCGATTCGGGGTTCTGGGCCTTCTGAGTAACGTGGAAGCATGTCGTCTGGATCAAAATACAACCAGCTAACTTCATTTCTTGGTTATATCATACCATTGATACTATTAAAAGTATACTTTCCAGCTCACCACCGAGTTCACTGCTCGGTGCCTACTAACGGCTACCTCTTGGCACCTGTGACGGATCAAAACTCATTTATCCGGTTTTCAGCATATAAAAAGACGACAGGTGAGAAGTGTAGATAACCTAATAGGTACTTATCTATAGAACTACGTTGAACGGCGATTGTGGCTGGTAGTTTATACCGACATCTACGATATTTACTTTGACACTCAATAAAATAGGGACTGAGGGATACGAATCGACGTACACCACCTCGGATAGCAACAATGCGCCCCCTAGCAAAACCAAAAGACGTGATAAAGGCCCTCACAGGCTCTTGGATCTACCTAAACGTAACAACGTAAGCTACCCCTCGAACATTCCCCGTATCCCAGTTCCTAGCTTACACGACACCCGAAATGCCAAGATACTACGACAACGGCACAATCGCACACTCCGAAGACGCCTCGCTAGGTAAATCCCCCGTCGGGATGATAACCTACCAACCGACCTGGATGTCCGCAACCTTCATGTCCTCACGGGCCGAAGACCGCCCGCCAGATCTGAACATCGACACCCCGGCCCTCCCCGGCCCGGACGCGGAATGGGCGCTCATCGGCAAACACACGATGGCGTATGCGGGGCCCTGGCACGTCAGCGAGACGACGGAGGATAAGGAGGTCGGACAGGTCACGCATGGACCGACTTGGGTGGCGTGGTTGCCGGCTTGGGTGGGGAAGAGGTTGGTGAAGAATTATGTGCTTTATGATGAGGGGACGACGCTGCGGTTCTTGTATAAGACGTCTGATGGGAATAATGGCGATATGTGGTTTCGGAAGTTGAGGGAGGAGGATGATGATAGTAATGAGGTGGAGTAGGTGCGGTTGTGTTGATTGTAAGATTTGATGTTTTATATGTACATGTTGGAAAGAATATGATACTTTCGATTACCGCTGTACCTTTCTTATACGCTTTCGTATCTGGTAGACTCTGACCACGTTCTCTCCTTGCTCCAAGCTAAAGGGCTCGGATACTGCAGGTTTTCTGTGCTGGTGCCGCTTGAGGGCTCTCTGATATTTTCCATATCATATGGATTGCAACTATCATATGAAGTACGGCTGTGCTTATATCGCCACTGAGATAGATGTTCCCCGAATTTATTATATAGGGGTCTGAGAAGTGGTAAGTTGGCGCAAACGATGGCTGTACCGCTATGCACTGCGCTCCACACCTTGGTCGTGTAATCAATCTCTCGGGTACCTGGGGAGTACCCAAGAACGACTTTCACTAACCCGGTCGCGATAGATCTAAATATGTGATTAGTACCTAATGAATATCCGAAGTTGCCTGGAGGGGGGCATGTACAATCCACCCAAGAGAAATATCCCCGTAACCAAAAGCTTCTGCTTGAGAGGCAAATTCATCCTCGCTACCATTATCATGGGTATATTGAGGATTAGGATATCTATAAATACCTCGCACGCTCCAGAAGCAGCCCAGAAGACATTGAGATTGAAACATCGGTTTGGGTCTACGGCGCCCTTTCCCCATCTTGCCGTGAAGAGGGTACAGCCTGCCAGTAAGGCAATGGTGCATGCAAGCCACCACCCAACGACTAGGAATTCCAGGCCATATATCTGGTACCGAACCCGTGTGTACACGGAGAAAATGCGGAAGTACATCAATAGAATGCCTAACTTGGTGGCGCCAGTGAGGGCGTAATAGAGAACCAGGATGGTAAAAGTTATCTTGGCGGAGATTACATCGTTCTCGGTATACTCATAATCCGGGTCGGTGGTGTTGGAGGCTCCCGGATCGATAACATTAGCTATAAAGATTAATGAATTTAGTAGATTTGCGTGAATGGGAATATAGAGATCCCGTACCCCAGATGAGGAGCGCCGCAGTGACAATTGTCGATATAATGGCACCTGCAATCATCCAATCATCGGCCCCTATTCCGGCTTTCGTGAAAATCCGGACGTAGAACCGTAGCGCTGCAACGATGGTAGCGAGCACGATAACAAGAAAGCTTATTACCAGTGTTGTAATATCGGCCTCGTTGGGAACATTGGAAGTTGAAGACATGCTTATTTGAGTAATAACAGCCACGATTTTAGTTACCTATCGTGCGGAAGAGGAAAAGCCATAAGACTTATTGCTCGTGGAGATGTTATGTTGACAGTTGACTTATTTTCCTGCTTTATGTTACACCTTAATACGGGGCCGTACGAAGTTAATCTTCAACAGGCAATAGATATTATTTAAATGTTAGACTTGGTATTTATGATGCTTGATTAGACACTATCCCCTAAAAAAGCCTGATATGTTGACCCAAGATCTCTGTAAGGATGCATTTATGATGATATGATGGCGCAGTAGCATGTCAGTGTAAGATTGGGCTCAATGGTAGGGATACCCCGTTATAGCTGCCCTGTAGACCAGCGTGCGACACCTCAGCTAGGCGCATGTGGCGTTTTGTTAGGCGTGTTAGCGCTATTGTACAATACCTAGGTACAGTATCGCGGACCTAAAAATGATGTTAGATCTAATACATGAAGAAGAATATGGTTTGGGAAAGTTGATACCAAGTAGAATTGGCTGAGCCGCATACGACATACCTTTAGTTGCGAATAGCGCGAATAACTCACAGTCCCAGTCTCTATTGTGCTTCTTCAGGAGCGTGATGTACTACTTCCCGAAGTCCGCAAACCGTTGTATGTGCTAGCCAACATTTCTTGTGTAACAGATCGTACTGGTCATGGTAGGGCTGGAAATAAAAATGGGGGTTCCATGAGCCGGTTTGTAGGGCTGAGAGAGATCCAGCTCCGCCCTGTTTCCACATTCCACCGTCAAACTTTGCTTCTCATCTTCGAAAGTGGTCATAATAGTATCAAGCTCTGGTATGAAATTAGTGTCTTTTATTTCGCACTTTATTTGCGCATAAAATGTTGAAGAGTCAGATTGCAGCGGTGTTCATAAAAGGGGTTTAGAACGATCGCCTACCAGGTTGGTCTCTGAAACTACCTGAAAATACCGTCATTTACATAATGACTCATTAACAACCCCGAACTGGAAACAAGGAGCTCGAGGAGTAGATTCGAATTTTCATTATTACTTATTATGCGTATCTTCCCTTTCGTGAATCATACTTGATCGATTATCTTGAGCTCTGGTCCTTCGGTCTTCTTTACCTTTCGTCCCTCCCACCAAGACATACCGCCTGCTAGCGCTGAGACGCCACAGCCCAGCCCTATAAAAGTCCCTGTGGCCCAGGTCTAGAAGCGCGGATTAGCTATGTCTTACAAGGGACTGTAGCGGGGGGATAGTGAATTTAACGTACCGGGCGGTCAAGTCGGTTATATGCCCACATGAAATATGACAACGCTACTTGGAATAAAGTATTGAAGACCATCATAATTATAGTGAATGCTAACTTCCAAAGCGCGGTAGGAGGCGCTAAGTTGCCGGTGAACGTAGTCGCTTGCTTCTCCATCGACCCGATACTTCGGCGGCCATCTTCCTGCACCGCCTCTGTCGGACAGTCCTCGTCTTCGCGGGCCCAGAGAGGAGGGCGAAACCACCCCTTATTTTGAACAGATAGTTTTCCCATCGCTACTTTATCGTGGCAGCACGATGCACGGATAAAAAAGTACAGGTCTCGGAAGCGCCACGGTGCTAGCCCGAACCCAGTAACGCAAAACAGGGCATTAAGGATTTGGCTGTCGATTTCAAGCCATTTCTTCCTCGGCAAATTGTCGTCATCGGCTGTTGGGTAATTCATAGCTGGTGCCGCCTTTAAGAGCAGAAAGAAAAGCATAGCCTAGAAGAATCGGGCATTAGAAAGGGAGGTTATTTGAGATTGAATTAGAATCAAAGGTATTGTCCAGAACGTACTCCCCATGCCTATACCTTAGTTAGTACATATTATAGCCACGATTTTAGATATACGCAGATACTTACTACTATATTAAGAAAATAAATGATTATGCAGAAACCCGCAGGCGTGCAAAAGAATTTCCAGAACGCCTTTAGGCCATTGACGATTGTCGGGCCCCAAGGCTTTTTCGGTTCATCGCTGACTTTCTCGAGTAAAGTCTGCCGTCGTTTTGGACGTGGCGCACCCGGCTCTCCAACTTCCGGTACAGGACCCAATTCCGCTGTCGCCTGAGGACTCAATCTCGTCGCTGTGCGGACTGGGACTAATTCACCATCCGGTTCTCTGACTGCCGTGATAGCTGAGTGTCCTTGCGAATTGAAATCGATTCCTCCAGCCTCTTCCGGCAGACGCAATTCGGTGAGGTTAGGCGCTTGTGCGATTACCGTGCCGGCCGCCTGCCACATGCCCAACTGCGGATTGGTATTTATAAGGGAGATAGAGGCTCCCCGTACCCGGCCTACTAGGCCTTTGCCGTTTGATGGCTCAGCCATGGCTGGCGGGGGTTTCGATAATCGACTTGTCAGCGGTTTGGCAGTAAAATGGCCAGATTACCAAGAAGTAATGTAACTCAACGTCGATATTTCTATATTGCCTCGCATATCTGTGAGGGTAAATTTTGAGATTAGGAAGTTTGCTCCAATGTTAAGTGCATATACGCGTATCCCTATGATAAGTTGTGTAAAGGTCCTGGGTTCAATTAGAGCCTGATCAGCGCATGGTCTAACCCAGAAGACCGGGATATTCATACGCCTTTCTGAATATAGATCGAACTAGATGAAGCGCAAACGCTAAACAACATCGAACAGAGTTGAATCTTTTTAGTCCGTCCTTCTTTCTCTGTCATCGCTCCGAGAATATCGACCCTCCGTCGTTATGCACGGGTCGGATAGATATTGTGCGACTTTTATGAACGAGAAGATGAACGAGAAGAGCGAGTGACTCGGTATCCCACTTTCATTTGTTTGCTCCACGCTAGTAGTTACCTAGAAGAATCGGCCGTAATATGTGCGATGGTGCCGCGATCAAATCTACGGACACCGACTTGATGACCCTCCGAAAACCGAAATTCTTCATGTGGTAGGACCCACGTTGCCATGAACTATTGAAGGAAGCGATTCCATCCTCAAGATGCCTAGGCACCTAGGTAGGATCAGTAGCCAATACGAATTATCCGAGGTGTACGAGACGTGAATTTAATTTTCTTAAACTCAGCTAGAGGCATTTAGCTGAACATAGACCTCGGAACTAATATGAAGATACCCACAAAGATTATCGGCATTACCCATGCAATTTTCTACTTGATAAACGTCATATTTATCTAAATATCTGAACTTACTTGAGTCGTACATAAGCTTGGCACGGCACGCATCGGAAAGCGCGTATTCTTCGCGAACATTGCAGCACCATTCCCATTCTTCGCTCAAAATCGTAAAATCATACACTAATTTTCAAGCAAACATGAATTACATGGTTATATGGTTACCGAGGAACTGTATGATGGTCTTTATATGAACATCCAATGTGTGAATCACATTTTTGTATTATTAGAGGACTCCTAATTCCTTTTATTCTATCGCGCAGCTGAGCGCATTGGAAAAGGACGTCGTCATGCCGTTCAAGCTCAAATCCGACTCTCCGGGTCATCTTACCGTTGGCCATGGACTTACCCGAACCTCAACCCAAGTTACCAACGATGGGCGGACGACGGTACAGTTCCACCGAAGCCCTGGAGAGCTGGCCGCGTGGTTTAAAGGACTACATGATAATTCCGACTGCTCAAGGAAGACTTATACTCCCCGTAAGGAGAGCGCTACGTCTGCATCATTCAATGAGAAACCCGCCGGCAGCTATGGGCCCCGGCTGAATATCGCCATTCACATCGTCGGTTCCAGAGGAGATGTCCAACCATTCATTCCGATCGCTCAGATATTAAGCAAGCCTCCATTCGGGCATAGGGTTCGAATATGCACACATCCTGTGTTCAAAGCTTTTATAGAAAGCAAGGGGTTGGAGTTCTTCAGTATTGGGGGCGATCCCGAAGCACTAATGGCTTATATGGTGAAGAATCCAGGCCTGCTACCGAGTCGGGAAAGTTTTAAGGCGGGCGATATTTCGAAAAGGAGGAAAGAGATGGGTCAGATTATGCATGGTGCTTGGCGTAGTTGTATCGAGGCGGGCGATGGGATGGGTGATAAGGTCACGGCTTCCGACGTAGAATCGGCAAGCGATCTATTTATTGCGGACGTAATCATCGCCAACCCCCCATCGATGGCACATATCCATTGCGCCGAAAAGTTGGGCATTCCTTTTCACATGGTATTCACGATGCCGTGGTCACCGACGCACACGTTTCATCATCCGCTCGCAGCTATGCAATATGGCCAAGCTGAGATTGGTATGGCCAACTACTTGTCATTTATGATGATGGAGCTTTTAACTTGGCAAGGGTTCGTTATCCTCACGTCTCTTCACCTACATGAGTACCTATCTTGCTAACTCACTTTATAGTCTAGGCGACGTTATCAATAAATTCCGAACACGCACCTTGAAATTGGATCCCATTAGTCCATTATGGGGCCACCACTTATTATCAAGACTTCGCGTACCCTTTACTTACCTCTGGTCCGAATCATTAATACCCAAACCGAATGATTGGGGTTCCCATATTCGCATTACTGGCTTTTCCTTCCTACACCAAGCTGCCTCATATACCCCACCCTCTGACCTAGTTGAATTTCTTAAAAATAGTGACCGCCCTCCTGTATACATCGGGTTTGGATCTATCGTCGTGGATGATCCTCAAGCTTTAACAGACCTTATATTCAAAGCATTAAAGTTGGCTAACATGCGTGGAATTGTGTCTAAAGGTTGGGGAGGCATTGGCTCAGGAGAAGTACCGGATCATGTCTACCTCATCGGAGATTGCCCCCACGATTGGCTTTTCGAACGCGTATCATGTGTTGTGCACCATGGCGGAGCGGGTACGACGGCTGCTGGACTTGCCGCAGGTTGTCCGACCGTCGTCATCCCTTTCTTCGGAGATCAGCCTTTCTGGGGTCAGATGATTGCCCGTGCCGGCGCGGGCCCAGTCCCTATCCCCTACAAGAAAATCACGGCGGAAACTCTGGCGGAGAGCATCACTTTTGCATTACGACCTGAAGTACAGGCTGCTGCGAAAGAAGTAGCGGCATCAATTGGCGAAGAAGACGGAGCTGGTGGCACCGCTAGGGACATTCAAGAGAGACTGGATTCCGAAGGCCTGAAATGTGATATTTGTCCCCATCGACTTGCAATATGGCGGCACAAAAAAACCGACGCACATTTAAGCAGTTTCGCCGCATATTTCCTGGTTAACAAAGGGTTCATCAAGCCTGGTACACTCGAGCTACTTCGCCACAAGCCCTGGTACGTCGACGAAGGCGCGGAAAGTGTCCTCATAGGCCTTATCGCCGCATGTAGCGGCTTCTTCACAGATATCGGGTTAGCAACATCTCACTATGTGAAGACTTTGAAGTCAGACCCGAATACCACGCGACGGAGGTCTTCTATTATCTTACTAAAGGCAAATTCACATTCACATCTTGGACGTAACGTATCTCTAGATCCATGCCCTCCCGCAGATCTAACAGCCACCTTGCCTGATGGAGGATTTTCCGTAAGACAGCTCGAAAAGCTTGCTCGAAAAATGGCGCAGAAGCCTGTGAAATCTTCTAACGAAATTCCTGGCAGAGCGACCTTCCGTGAGCAGATTCAAAAATTCGAGAATGAGAGGAGATGGGTGACTCGCGAGAGAAGCGAGCAAAGCCGCGCTCTACACATCGCCCGCGCATCTAAACGATATGCCGTGGAACTTGGACATGCTGGATTGAAAGCACCCGTGGCGACCTTCTATAATATCGCAAATGGGTTTCGCAATTTCCCATCATACATATGTGGTGACGACGACATGCGGCGGCGGGACGAGATACGAGGATTTAAGAGTGGCTTTAAGGTGGCTGGCAAGGAGTTCGTGCTCGGTTACTACGAAGCTTTCACTGGTGTTGTCCTGAAGCCGTACCAAGGTGCGAAAAAGGAGGGCGTGAAGGGTCTTGGCAAGGGCTTCCTCAGGGGTACCTACGGATTACTTGGAGGAATCGGGGGAGGTGAGTCGATTTCCATCGGATATAATATCAGATCAGCGATACAACAATGCTAATTCACGTTACAGGATCGTTCGGCCTGGCGGGCTACACACTCAAAGGCATTGAAAAAGAGTTCTCCAAACACCGACTAACCGAGCTCAAAGCCGAAATCCTATTAATCAGATTCCGACAAGGCCTCGAGGACTGCTGGCAAGCAACAGAAGAAGAGAAGCGCGAAGTTATAGATCGCTGGACATCACTGCATAGAACAGACTCCCGCGCGGAACAATAGACGTCACAAGACCGGACGGGGCATCAGAGTGCATAGGTAATAGCGTGTAACTTCGACAAGTGTATTGTTTTCCTGGACGCCTAAACTAATTACATAATACCATTAAGATAGTTCCTCTTTTTTGTGCTCTAATGCGACCCTTTTGTGATTACTCCCACCACTCCCTTATTTACATGGGCGAAGAAGTGAATCGGTATCTAAGCGCAGATAACGGCCTCGAGGTCCACGGGCTGCGGGCAGCCGTATACCTTCTTCGCCGCAGGCTGGCTGTAGCACCCGGCTTGGCCCGCCGCGCAGCTGAAGGACTCGCAGCCTTCGCCCGCGCCGAGGGTGTTGGCTGAGTTGGCGAAGGGGTTGCCCCATTCACTGGTCAGGGTTAGTATACTGTGGGAGAGAAGGGTTGGTTTGTTTTGGAGTATAACTCACGAGCTGAATTCGTCTGGAGAGAGATGGGTTAGTCTTGGTGCTTCATGAGTTTATGTTAAGGGGTGTGCTTACAGTAGGCATAGTCGGGGCTCTTGGTGAAGGAGTAGCCGAAGAATAGAGGCGAGTTGAGGGTCTTGGTGGTTGCGATCTTAACGGTCTGGTTATGCGGTTAGTATGCGCTCGGTCTGAGTGAGTGAGAGAAACTTACCGAGCCAGCGGCGCGGAAGTCCTCGCTGAAGGTCTGGCCCGCGGTGAGCGTGGTCAGGGGACCGGCGGAGGTGCCGTCATAGGGGAAGGATTGCACGTAGATGGTCGAGCCGCAGTTGTTCTTTACGATGGCCTTCTGGGCGGAGACACCGGAGGCGACGAGGGCAGCGCCCATGATAGCAGCGGAGAACTTCATTTTGATGAGGTGGTTGAGGAGGAAATTATTGGTAGTGAGTGTAGTGAGGAGCTGGAAGATTCTTGTTGATGGAGGCAATGGAGAGAGCTGATGAGGATGAGGCGAGAATGAGCTGGAAAACAACGAATGGGTTTCCGACTTATATGTACGTCTACAAGACGCTGAAATAAATTGCGGCTTATGGCTTCGCTTAAGGCCATCACGATCATTGCATCCCTAGACAGACCGCTCCATGGGAAATACGAACGCCAATTCTCGTATTCCCCTGTCACGAGGTTGTGGCCGTGATATTGTCCAATTGAGCTCGTTGGAGCTTCTAGGATCCCGTCCCCGCACAAAGACCTCCGGACGGTTCCGGATGAAATGCCGAATTAGCCTCATAGATGGCTTACTGGTATGAATCCTCCGTATAGGTAGAACATGATTCTCAACAGCTCAATACAACTCGCTGAGTATAGACATCACTTCGTTGTCTGAAAACGGATGCGGATGTGATGAGTCAGCAGATGTCTTCACGCAACATCTTTTGATAGGACAGAAACCGACCGACACGTGTATGCGATTGATTCCGTTCGTTCCTTTATTAAACACTTGTTCAAGTGGCTGTTAATTGACAACTAGAATCGTCATGGATATTCTAAGTACGTAATATCGTGAATAAAATAAACAGTCATGAACTTTTACATTAACAGAATACCCTTGCATTGTATTCGGCACCTGAAAGAGCGAAATCCACTTGCATGCTTACCATACGACCAATGTAAACATAATGCGAATGCAGTAGCCTACCAAGGTCGCTTTAAATGTAACATTACATCGGAATAAAGTTATCTGGACGCCATAGCCATAGTCGCAGTATATGTCTGTAAATGTAACTGTTGAATTCCGGCCTTATTTTAATGGCTGAATAGGGGGACAGAAGCGCGTTTACGTAAGCAGCCATTGCTTGAATACACCAACTGCGGCGTTGCCTTGTAGGTATTCCTTTCAAGGTAATATTATAATTGCAGCAAGTCCGGTGCTGTATAGCCTCAATTCATGTTCTCTTTACCCCAAATTACATCCGTATCGACCTAGGTATTCATCAAGGGCACTTGAAATTTGAATGTTATTTCCGCATCATTCGAAAACACGACGATGTATCCTTGATCTCGCACGCCGCATTACCTAAGTATATACTAGGTAGTTTCTGTGGATATGCACCTTTTATGAGCCTCGTATATGGCGCCGTAACAGTCATTTAAGGCTGACAAGGGAGCCGGTGTACGTGTTTACGGCCTTTGTTGGAACCTCTCATCTAGACAGTCGATGACCAGGGGTCTGCATAAACGAGCGGCATCCCCCATCAATATCAAAAGAGCACAGGAAAAAATCCATTGCTTCTAGATCTATGTGGAAGTTTGATTTGTGCCTCAGCTCCCACTGTCCCAATGTCCGACTCATCCGCATTGACGTGGTTACACCAAGGCCTGTAACTCACTTCTCGGGACGCGATACCCTTATTAATTCCACTAGGACCAGTTGGACATATAATTCATCTCTATTGTCTTCTTCTCTTCCTTTATCATATCCACTGTGCAAGTGTCAGCGTATTGGCTTTTAAAGCGATGTGGTGATGACCGGTCAGATAGTGGCAGAACATGGTCGCGATACCCAGGCTGGGATCACCTTCCCTCAAAATGACAAGAAAATGTGAATGGAAAATTGGGGTTATCTTACTAAAGTTCATAACATCTTTCAAGCAGTCTTCAATATGCTCTTTTCTGAGCGTACTCTCACTTGATCGGGCAAGGAGTCGTGCAGAATATACCACGTTCCTGATCTGCCGGCCATTAAGGGGCCTCGTCGCCCATTCGTCAAGCGTGTGCCTATCCTTTAGCAGCCAGTAACCGTCGTCTGACTCATCGGGGTCGCTGAGTATCTTTTGCCAGATCTTGAGGCGTGTGTCGGAGTCGAGTTCTGGGAATGCCATGCCGAGGTTGACGCGGGATATAAAAGCCGGGTCTATCATGTGGATTTGGTTTGTCGTGAGGAAGAGGATGCCTTCGAAATATTCGATCTTTCGGAGAAACACTGGGTGGAAAAGTTTAGTATTCGTTTCTAGTGAGCGCATGCTCGCGATAACATACCAGCAACCCATGCCAAGCTATGCATGTTTTCAGGGGTTCGTTCCGACATGACGACCTCTGCCTCGTCGATTAGCAGGATTGCGCCCCAGAAGTGCGCTTGCCGGAAGATTTCTTCGATCTCAGATTCCCATCGGTCATCAGCGACAAGCATGCCTAAGTTCACTCTGTATAGCGGCTTCTGTTGCTCTTCCGAAAGACATTCAGCTAGCATGGTCTTGCCAACACCTGGAGGCCCGTGTAGAAGAAAGGTTAATCCTTTCCCCTTTCCTCGGAAGTTATTGGGATTGTTATCAGGCTCTCTATTCTTGTTGGCGCTGGTATGAGCTTCAGCCAACAGCCGAATTCGTTCGATAGACTTAGCGGCAGTAGATTTTGAGTGAGGCTTGACCAAACGCCCCCAGGCACCCTGAATCCAGGTGGGGTCAGCCAGTCTACGCATCGCGACGTAATACCATTCGTTGTCGCTAAGGCTATATACGAGGACCCTTTCAGGACACAGAACTAAGGGATTGTTCTCAGGCTTTCCGTCAAAGGCTTCAGATCTGAATGGGTCGGTGTTGTTTTCTGTAAATGTTATGTTCCGGTCGGGAAACCTTGTAGGGTCTATAATGACTCTTCCGGCAATCTGGATCTCAAGTTTAGCCATTGCTCTGTAAGCTACCTAGATAAGTAGAAAAGAGCGTACTTCTCTACCAGGACCGGGAATGTCAGGGTCGTCGCTAAACTTTTCGCAGTACCCAACGTACTGCATGACTTCGGCTTTCGGCTGTCCACTTGGAGTGGTCAGACGCTCATGCAGTTCGCGCCATCGCTGTCCCGATTTAATTGACACCTCGATCAGCGATTCCTTGTCGGGATGATAAAATAGTGGGTATACCTCCAGTTCTATGATGTTCTTGGTACCCACGAATCTCTCGATCGACTTCCGGTACATGTGGTTCCTGAAATTCTTGCCATCGAAATCAATAGCTTCGCATTCCATCACGATATTGCTGTTATCACGAAACCCGAGATCATCTTCCACGACAGAAAAGGTATGCAGACGAGCAACAGCCCACTCGTCACGCAGCTCACGAAACACTACTAGTTGGCCTTTGTAGAAAAGTCCTCCTAGTCCCTCAAAGTCGATTTTATGTTTCTTAAGCAGCTCGTCTTGGCGCGTCTTAACGTTGACTAGGTGAGGCTTTCGCTCATACAACTGACGCATCACTTCTAACTCGATCTTGATATTCTCATCCGTCGTCGTATCTTTCATTGCTAAAAGCTCATCGCGGCATTTGAGGAGAGGGTAGGCGCCCAGGATTTCGATCCGGTCGTCAAAGGCCCTGACCTGTCCTTCATGAGCAGGCGGGCAAAGCTTTGATAAGGTGTCAAACAAGGCTGCGGTCTTGAATATCGTGAAGGTAGGCCTCCCTCGTTCGGGCGTGTCATAGCGGAATCGCTGCTTTCCCGAAGGTTGGAGGTCATCCGTCTCCGTGTTTTCCTCGCCATCGGAGACCCATGATTTTTTCCCGTCCAAATTCCATACCTCTCTGCGGGACTCGACGTGCTTTTTCAAAAGGTCGGTCTCATCTTCTCCGTTGATCTTAGGCTGGGCCTCTTCTTTCTGTGAGGCCAACTTCTCTGCTTGCTTTGGCCCGTCGACTTTTTTCTCCCCGGGAGGGTCATCTTTCGATATTGATACTACATTTTCGCGCAGTGCTTTCTCCAAAGCTTCAATCCTCTTAGTTAATTCTGCAATACTCGAGTCCATCGTCTGCTACATAAAAATCTAGTTATTTAACACGTGATAAATTTGCTTAGATATTTCTGTATTATCAGCTTCTGTCGATGATTAGATCCCCTCAAAGTATTTGATCGAATGATGATATCAACCTAGTAGCTAGGCTGATTAAGTTATTATTGTAGTCATCGTATAATCCCATTTCGAACCAGGTTATTCCAGACTTGAAGGAGAAAATTAATGGAGTGTGGGATGCGGGCCGCAAGCTGTGTGCATGATTTCAGGGGTGGAATCTTGGTTCTGATGGGGCTTGAAACGGCCAAAAAAGGCTTAGCGTAATCCAACAGGACGGTAACGATTATGGGTCCGTTACCGTTTCGACCTCTTATTCCGTTTTACCAACAACCCTTACCAGACATTCTATTCTGTGACAACTTCAAGATGGCTCCTTTGTGGTTATGTGATTTTGCAGGTTGCCAATCTCCAGCCGTGCAGAGGGCCGGTGACTGCTTGCTTTGTGACAGACATCTTTGTCGGACTCACTTGCAAGACCAGTGGCACACATGCCCGAAACCTGAGGTATGTAGATACCTGCCTTATATTCAAATTCCTACTAGATGAGGCACGAAAATGAACTGATTATAGCTGATAGATCAACTGGAAAGAGTACTGTGATCTATATACTGCATCGGAATCGCGGGGACTTCAGAAACTCCGCCAGCAAATTAAGAGCGATAAGTTATGCAAACGCGCGTCATTGGCGCGGAATGGCGTATCCTGTTCAATTGACCTCTCGCCTAAGAATCTCTCAGCGATGATGGGTGGGCAGAATTGCCATGCCGAGGTTGTTTTTGCCGATGGCGTCGTGTGGCTGGCTCGGTTCCGACTCACAAACGCCAATTCGCCGCCCCAGGATGTACGAGATCATGTACTGCGCAGCGAGGCTGCAACGATGGAATTTCTGCAGCTCTATACAAATATACCATCCCCAAGAGTGTACGACTGGGCCTATGAGTCGGATCCAATGAATGAGGTTGGTGTGGGTTATATCCTCATGGAGAAGCTTTCAGGTACGCCGCTGGACTGGCAGGGCGCTACCGCCGAGCAGCGTGAGAAGGTCGTGCGACAGCTTGCCGATATTATGCTCGAGATTGAAAGACATCCTTTTGATAAGCTCGGTTCCCTTATAGGGACGACGGCAATGCCGGGAGGCGAGAAGTTGATGCCTAGAGCAACCGATCGTCAGATACTCGTACAGGGGCTGGCAAAGCATTCAACCTCCCGGTCGGGTAAAGATGGTGGGCCACTTGGACCTTTTAGCTCATCTCAAGAGGCATCCCGTGCCCTCGTGGAGGCTCATCTTCGGATGATCGCCGGCGGGGAAATTGGAACGCTCGAGAAAGCGCTTGATGTATTCCTAGCTCACAGATTTCGAGTCGATATGCTCGAGGACGTCTGGAAGTCAGAAGGGGGAAAGGAACAGTTCTTCCTCAAGCACGCGGATGATAAAGGCGACCATATTCTAGTAAATGCCGACTTTGAAATCACGGGTATCATCGACTGGGAGTGGTGCAGCACGGCGTCAAGAGAGGAGGCCTTTTCCTCGCCTTGCATGATGTGGCCGGTCGCAGCCTTCTACGACGGCTCTAACGAGCTAGCGGACGAAGAGCTGCTGCTGGCCCGCGTTTTTGGTGATAAGGGCCGCGAGGACCTTGCAGCGTGTGTTCTTGAGGGTCGAAAGGTGCAGAGGTGGCTTTTTGCGCTCGGTCCTGGAGGGGCGTCACAGGAAGATAAGCGGACATTTGCGTGTCTTTTTATGGGACTTAAGCGGGTATTCAATTTGAACGGCGGCGGCGGCGGCGAAGAAAGGAAAACCGAAGAGGACATGATAGAGGAAGAGTGGGAGCTCTGGAAGGCTGGAGCGCTTTTGAAGTGGAAAGATGACGATATGTTGCAAGATGTACTCAAGAGTGCCGAGAGATCAAAGGCTATATCATCAATTACCAGAAATTGAATCTCTCCGTATGGTATATGCTAGCCGAAGGGATTATTACTGGGCTGAGAAAAGATAAGTCAAGTTCGTGCATCTAGGTATCTAGAGGTTGATAATCAAATAAGAATAGTAATCCATCCTCAGTAGCTCGATAGCGGCAAAAAGGGGCTAAAACGGTCCGCGTAATGCTAATCCGACGGGATGCTAAACGGAGTGAAATGGGTACTACGCAGCAAAACGGGACGAGCCCGCAGCGTGCATAGCATTGTTTACAGAGGGCAGGCGGCCTATTGGTTCAGCGCGCGTTAGGGAGGGTTACAGGGCGTGCCGAGCTGAATGTAGACCTCCGCTTGCGATGTCACATAGTTAGCATTTAGTCGCTAACCTTCAGATCCTGCAAAACATCCATACCTACCTATACCTAAGCCTAAGCCTTCGCTTCTCATTATTAATCCAATATTTTTAATTCTACCAATTATTTTTCGTTATTTTCTTTCAATTCATGTAGGATCTTTTCCAAAATTTGAATGAACCCGTGAATTTCTGAGTCCAGAACCCATTTCTTGAAATGCGAGATCAGACAGCTGTTGACCGTCTTCACGTGGAGCCCGCAAATGAACAGGGAAAAAATCGGGCATCGGTAGATAGCGCGAAGGACCTTGAGGAGGGGCGACGGAAATGGTTTGATGACGTACAGCTGGAGAACAGTACGTTAGTATCGCCTTGAAAGCTATCATCATATATGGACTATACTAAGACCGTACAGAGAATTGTCCTCGCTCAGTCTATATGTGTCTACAATAAAGATTAAAACCCCAGACAGGGGAAGCGACAATGATCTAATAGCCTTGATCAAGTGCGCGAATGACCCTCCCAGGAACCATAATGACCGAAAGAAGAACCTTGAACTGCTAGAGGCTTACCTAAAGAAGGTCAAGCAAAAAGATGACGATTCGAAGAATGAAGCCGCTAAGAAAGCCAGTCAAGTTGAAGATCGGCGAATGGAGAAGCGTCAGGGATCTCGAATCTTCAATACTATCGGATCATTAGTTCCATCTATTAAAAACACATTCAACTTCGTGTTAAGGGTTTTGCGTGGCGCCATGACGGTGTTAGAGGCGACAATGTTTATCGCTGGCGAACTTACATTCCAGACGCATTATGAGGTTGCAGTGAAGGCTGTTATGCTATTCATTACGGTATGCTATACTTGTCATCACACGATCCGTGCACGTTTACCTACTAGGTACTACGGTAACTAACTGCTTTTTGCGAAGGCTTATGAAAGCGCTGGAGAGCTTACTGAGCGGATAGTCGCTATGTTCCAAAAGATAGACGAATATGGGCGGGAAATGAGGACTCTCCAAGATAATATTAAGTCTGCCTCAATGTTGAAGGCAATCAATAAGCTCTTCGTCTCTATCGTGGCATTTATAGTTGCTTCTGGCTCATATATGCAGCATGGAACTATCTGTATGTTTTTCACCTACTCCCTATAATACTGTAGTTAGCTAATACGGTGGCAGCCAAGATGGTAAAGTTCCTCGGGGGTGGAAACGACAAGTTCGATAAACTCCTCGAAACTGTCAGAGAGGATTACGCCGAAGTAACTCGAGTGATGACCTTTGCTCAGGTGATGATTAACCTTTCATCACATGGAAATATCAATCGTGTTAGAGAAGACACGGTGACGATCATTCAACGTAAGCATCCGAGAGCTAAGCTTTCAATCAAACATTGAACCACAACTAACCATACCGGGGATCAGAATTAAGTATGCTGAATCAATCATTGACACCCGACATGAGTCGACAACTCCAATTAGTCTACGATCAATCAATCTTCCAGGCAGAGCTACATGTCCAAAGTCTACGGTCCGAGATTTTCGACGATTCGTTTGATCCCTCCAAGGAGTTGGCGTTCAACGATAGGGAGAGAATTTTCCTGTCGCCAAAGGATCGCTGGCCCAGGCATCTTTTCAAATTGAGAAGTTCTACCACACCCCATGTCGTTACATCCAAAGATACTCGCCCTCTAGTATGGATTTCGGGGGATTTAAGCCGGCGCAATGTATCATGGGTGTCATCATTCTGCGTCGATCTGGTCTCCTACTTCAATCAATTCAGAAACTTCGATACGGTATATCTATTCTGCAAGCGGGGTGCAGGCCAGCGATATTCTCCCACCTTTCTCATCAAAGGCTTAGTGACGCAACTACTAGAAACTCATGCGTTGATTGCTATGAAAAACTCAGCCCGGCTTTCCCGGAACCGCTTCAGCGACATTGGAACCAAGACGAGTCCAGATTCAGGGCGCTTGGCATGGCAGTTACTAGAGGATATCCTCCGGCTCATCGAAACCGCACCCGAGTTCCAAGGCCGGGTGATCTTGATCCTGATTGATAGACTAGATCTATGCGTATCGGAGGAGAACTCCAGCGTCCTAGATCATCTTATTCCACGGCTACAAAGTCTCAGTTTCAAGATCTCAAGAGTTCAAGTATTGATCACGACTGCAAAAATCTCCCCGCATTCCGTACCTACTCTACGAAGGGGTTCGGGGTGGCTCCGGGCATATGGGAAGTAGATTACGGAGCATACTGAAAAATGCCAAGATATTATGACTTCCCGATCTAACACCACAGTTTCGTGCTATTCACTCCCTCTATACCCGTAAAACCAAGACGTAAAGGTCTAACGTACGGAACATAAGGAAAGGAGGTGGATTAGTAAGCGGACGAGCTTACATAAGCGAGGGCGAATGTTGGACATTTGGGATAACTATTGGATAAATATACCTAACAAGGAGTCTAGATTCTTCAATATTGGGGTTTAAGCTAGATTATATATATACTCTATACTCTATAATATATGTTATAGTTCTAAATGTGTCATCAATTCATATATCCCTGAGAGTGAAAGATACCTATGCAAGTCCCTACTAGGGTAGCCCCAGTTCGACATCCTGTGGACTGTTTGTAGAACCTCTTGGAGAAGATGAACGGTTACTGTTATGTATAGGGACAATATGTGATTGCGACGTCGAGCCATGAACGCCCGGTCTCGAATTTACAGGATGGCTGTTTTCGGGAGAGTTTTGCTCTGAGGTCTTTCGACTGGAGATGAAACGTCGAGGAGAGAAGACTGGTTTTAAAGCTGGTGCGCATGCGCACCAGATGGCAATATTTATCTCCACCATAGACCAGAGATTTAACTACCGGTCATTAGATAGGAGTTTCAAAAGATACATAAGGGGTTGAGGGAATGAATACGTACAAGGACACCATGACGGAAGGGGTCGGTTGCTTGGGTGTAAGCGCGGATCGCATATAATCGAGCACAGGAGCAGGCAGTCCCAAAACCGGCGATGCCAAATATAGCAAACAACACACGCCGATTGCCTTTCGATACATGGAGACTTTTCACTGTAGGGATAGGGATGACGAGGATCCAAACGTCTAAAACAATGTTAATTGTAGCGGAGACTGTGTTCGAGTAAGCTTTCCTGGGTTGGTTTAGCATGATGGATTTCTCCACTTACAGTAAAAAAACGCAGTGACATTTATACAGCTGCCCGGTGTATACCGTGAAATATTCCACGCCTTTTGGAGGGGTTGGCATTGCATGACAGTTACGATGAGATATACAACCATGAAGACGAGCAGAAAGATATTCGTATAGAGGCAGATCCTCTTGAATGTAACAGAGATAGCTGAAAGATTTGATGAGCAATCGAAAATCTCGGCCATACGCAAGATAGGTAACGTACCAAATCTATCGTACATAAATACGATTGACGACTTTACGGATGTTATTACGAAGTAGTATATTATCTCAACGGCAAAGGCGATCTTTTCTGTCAGTTTTGTATATTGTTACTAGACAGAAGTTTCAAGGAAACGACTCACCTTCAGTTGTGATTCCATATCATCATTTGTCAACATCGACATTGAGTAACCTAATCCGTTATCTTTCTCTACGAAAAGGGCCACGAGATAACCAATCGTAAAGATCTTCTCGCTATTAACATCATTTAATACAGTGCTAGATTGTCAGACTTACTAAAGCCGAAATAGCCATGTAATCGTCCATGCTAGCCTTCTTTAGAGCGAAGAATCGAACCCATACCCGAACAATTATTAAGACAGCTGTTGAATAATATGTCAACCATGAGTAGCAACTTAATATTTCGAGAGATTCCTTACTAGAAATACTAGTTAATACTGTTGATACGACGAACAGGCTTGTTAATTGGGTGTAATCGACCGGCTCTTCTGCTGCCATTGTAGAGCACCTGAGGCCCTTCTAGAAAGACCAGTACCATTTGTTGAGAACTTCCAGTACTTTGAAATCGGAATTTGATAAGGTTTGATAACTTTTTAGATTTCAATGGGATTAAAATATTAATAAATACCACAAAGTTAAGTAATAAAATGCCAAGATAGCTTTGTAACATGGGTATAGAAAGATGACATTTTCGCATGTTCCGGTATGTCCTATTTAACCATAAACTTAATACCAGGTAGTGAGTCTTAATCTCTCTATGGGCTAATTGAGAAATATGGAGTTGCTCGCTTGCATTCAATCAATGACGGTGCCGTGCTATCTGATACTAGGAGGGTCAACTGTTCAACCCATGTTCTTCACATCAGGAATGCCGTGGTAGCTCAAACTTTATTAATACTTCGCCTCTATGAGAAGCCCACTCTTATACGGTGCTATCGGCAGTCCATTTGAGTCTAGAAATGTTGGCATCAGAAGAACCACGTGGATGTGGATCTGATGAGAACATTCAGGGGAGTCCGATCACCTAGCTCTTCAACCCCATATTTTCCTTAACAAGCGATCGTGAGCTCAATATTGTTAGAATATCTAGGTTTCATACCGATTGAAAGCCAAGACAATTATGAGAGGTTCGGGGAACACGATGAACACGTGGTATGTCGTCAACTACGTGAACTAGATCTTTTACCCATTCACTAAACACGGCAAGATATGTGGGCATCTTAGATGGAGAAATAATCCTTCTCAAACTCTAAATTGTCTACTAGTTCATGTTTTAAGAAGAAATGATCTCAGTAGTAGCGTAGCAACCTTAGAATTCGGGCTATTCTCGGGAACCTTCAACTTCTTGGTTTTGGAAGACGTCGAGATAATATAGAACGTTCATAGGTACCTATTTTTTTTTAAAAAAAAGAATCACCGAAGACCTGGAGAATGGTTATATATATGTATTGGTTATCTTCGCATGTCAGTATCAATATCTAAACTTCGACGAATCACTAGTAAGTGATGACCTCTTATGAATGACCAAACCGCTCCTTACTATTGGAGGAACACTTAACATAATTCGAAACAAGGGACACAGATTTGAAAGATCGACAAATAATTGGAGATATACAACCAATACCTAGTCTATCCATGATCAGCTCTCATTATAATTGTTCTATTCCAGGGGTAGTGTCTTGGCTGAACTAAAGCAAAGACCTGAGACGATTACTACGAAGATATACTAATACTAGTTGCCCTTGTACAGATAGTTGAAGCCAAGGGATGAGGAATCAGGATGTTCCTGATATTCCTACATTAGTCGTATGACAGGAGGTCCAACGGCAAAAAGAAGCCAATAAGAGACTTTGACCTGACTCGTAAATATGGCGATTCTCGGGAAACGTGCCGTTAAAATGGATCTATGAATGTTGCGCAGCTAATGTGTGCCGGATATCTTGGATTACGGATGGCGTGCTTCATTGGAAGGAAGAAGAAAAGGTCTAGAATAGTGTTTGTCTTGAAAGTTTGAATTGAAAGAAGGGGGAGACTTTGGATGACGTAATCCATCTGATTACGTAACAGAAACCACGGCCAGATCAAGCTGACTAAGCACTCATTAGTCACCATTTACGTAACTCATGGTTACCTAATTGCATCGTGATAATAGATCGATCCATGATTTAATTCGAGTTCCTCGCGTGACGAAATCGTTATTCTCTTGTTTGATACTAGAAACACAGGTTCTACCTAGTCAATGAGTAATAAATCTTCCTATATCAATAGAAGTGGCCAAAAATGTACCTAATCATGCGAGAGTACTTTGGAAGAAATCGGAAAGGGGCTAAGGTGGCATTGTGTGTGACAAGTCTTACAATGACTACTAGGTACCTAGTTACCTACTGCCTACTATGTATTGTGATATCTTCTTGTCGTGGATGTGTCTCAACTCGGGTTAAATTCTCAATCATGAATGAGACCAGCCTAACAAACAGCTGTCTGTGACAACTGGACACACCCCACGCATTGGACCATAGGACTTCTTATGTGTGAGTGATGAATACCTAACTACCTCTTACGGATTTTACGATGACTACAGTGTGTTTCGTCCATGGCGACTACAACTCCTCCTCTCATATAATTTCGAGGCAATCAAACAAGTTTGGCCAAACGGTAAACATTCTTCCTCACTCTAATATTTGCGAGTCTGTAATTCAACGACGCTGTTAAATATCTCTCTACACGTTCAATATATCAGCATCACATAACCAAAGACGCAGTACCAGTTACGAACATAACTACACATCGAAGAATTTTAGCAATGTGTCTTTGGAGGCGAGTGTATTTCAATTGTTACCATGAAAACCTGAATGTTACGGTACCGCGGCCTGTCAAGGCCTGTCCGTTGGCCGTTTCTCGAGGGTCCGAGCTGTTACCGGTGTATTGCCACCCACAAGGTCGAGACTTCACAGCCACTTACGACTTTACAGATGCTGTGATGCTCACTATACCATGTATCCCTTGTGAAGAGAGGCAAGCCAGGCAACGCGTTGACGCACAGTGGCACGAGTTCAGGACCGCAGAATTATGGAATGTATCACCGAAAGCTATGGTACGGTATATCACGCGTCGCCAGGAGCTATTCAACAACAACTATTTTGGGAACTGGGAACAACTCCAGGCGGCTTATATCTTTGAATGCCGACAAGAATTAGGGACGCGGCCGTACATGTATGGCGATGAATATACGGATAATTTGGGCAAGGGAGAAGGATGGCGGGGAAATTCCACGAAGTAATAGTGCAGAATATCCAACTCGATGAATCGCACACGGCGTCAATGGATGGATTTAGCGAAATTCGGAGGCATATTTCACTTTTGCCTCGATGTTGCTGCTAAACCTTGCCATCGTATTGGCTTATGGAGATAGGACATAGGTAGTTTTCATAATTAGTTATTCCGCGCTGTGTTCGACCCTCTATTCGACCCTCAAGCCTCTCGCTGTGTCAGCTCCTGTATTCCCGTCTTCGTCTCCGTATGCTCGGTGCTTAGACGTCGATGCTTGATGAAAACGCTCGCAACCATCGCAACACCAGCCACGCCAGTGTACATGATAAACATGTTCCTGATGCTTCCGGCAAAGGCGTCTTGTACAGCTAAGCGCTGAGAGGCATCCTGGATAGTTTGGACGATTTCTACATTCGCTGCTGCTTGGTCGCCCGATAAAGCGTTGAGAACAGACTCGGCAAGACCAGCGGCTGCGAGAGATGATTGACGGGAAACCATGCTATTCTGGAACACCACCCCACCAAGCACAATGGATAGTGCTGTCGCTATATTGCGGACAAATCCCAAGGCCGCTGTAGTTGCTGCTGTGTCGGCTTGACTGACTGTATTTTGGATGGCGAGCATGGGAGCTTGGAACAAAAGCGCGGGGCCGAGACCGCCAACTATTTCAAGTCCAATGATTTTAGCAGTAGATGTATTGGTGCCAAAGGTGATGTATAACCCTGTCCCCAAGGTCATGAGCATTGTCCCAGCCCATATTATTTCCCTATAGTGGCCAGTTCGATGGATCAAGATACCAACCGAAATATCCACGGCCGCTTCGGTTATCATCATAGGTATGATCAACAAACCGCTGTGAAAAGGTGAAGCTTGCTTCACGCTTTGAAAATACAGCGGGAGGTAGTATTCCACACCGATAGACACCATGCTATGCATGAACGCCAGAACAAAAGTCGCATTATTAGACCAATTCTTGAAAATGCCCAGCGGCATCAAGGGATACTTAGCAAGCCTCTTCTCGCAAAACAGGAAGAAGCCAATCATAGCCGCCCCAAAGACAATCAAACATATGACCTTCGGACTATTCCAGGGAAATATCGCACCACCGAAATCCAAACCCAGAAGCAGCAGAATAGTGACCGCGAGAATAGACAGCGTGCCGAACCAATCAATAGCGCGAATCCCCTCGCCCAGCTTCGTGCGCGGATTATGCACATCCAGAAGCAGCAGCAGCAGCACGAACGCGACCGCGCACACGGGGATATTAATCCAAAAACACCACCTCCAGCTCGCGAGCTCGGTCAACGCGCCGCCAACAAGCGGGCCAGCCGACGCCGCGATAGCCCACATCAGGCCCAGCAGCCCGAAGTACAGCGAGCGGCGGCGCATGCTGAAGAGGTCGGAGATCGTGATCGTCACGAGCTGCATCAGGGCACCGCCGGCGGCGCCTTGGAGCGCGCGCGCGGCGATAAGCATTTGCATGGAGGAGCTGAGGGCGGCGATTACGCTGGCGACGGCGAAGATGCCGACCGCGCTGAGGAGCGCGGGCTTACGGCCCCATATGTCGCTGCATTTGGCCCAGATGGGACCCGCGGCCGCGTTGGCGAGGAGGTAGGCGCCGCCGATCCAGATGTAGCCTGAGGCGGAGTGGAGGGAGGCGGAGATGGTGGGAATGGATGTTGCGACTATGGTTTGGTCTAGGGCTGCTATGAAGAGGACGAGCTGGGGATGATGTTAGCTATTAGGTAGGGATTGGTGAGGGTAGGGAATGGGGAGGGTTAAGAGGAGGTGGTAGTGTACATAGAGCGAGACTAAGATAGAATAGATGCGCAGCTTGGTGCGGATTGGCGGGGTTTCTAGCACATCGAGGGGCTGCTGGATGGTTTGGTCGTTAGGGGGTTGCTCCGCTAATTCTACTGGAGTAGTTGGGGGCTTAGCGTCTGCTGTCTTAGACTTAGTGGCTGTGATTTCGTCCATTGTCGCGTATTTTGCTCAATTATTTCTGGAGAACTTTGAGGTTTTTTACAGCAAAAAAGTCGAAGAAAAAGAGATCTGGGTAGTACTCATTTTATAAGAGCATCACGAGCTATTCCTTGCAATCACCGTCAGGTACCAAAATGGTTGTCTTATCTCGAGAACCAATTGATGTGGAAGCCGCGTCGCTTCCGGTCGCTTCACATCTTCACAGTCGCGCCCTTCAATCACGTGACCGCGCCCTTCGGATGCATTATTCGAAGCATAACATAATATCCCGTACGACGATATAGCATTTTTAATGTTACCTTCCAGTTCTCTAAATTGAGAAAACGCCAACGAACTTCATCGGGAGCAAGTATGGACAAAAATGCGGCCCAGGGGATGAACTGTTTTACCAGAGGTTTAAAATGTCACTCCGGAAGGTGTCTGGTCTGGTACTTATTATGAGCTCACACGCCCAAAACCATTTAACGGAAGCCCGAGAGGAGCTAAATAAAAGTTGCGGTGCCGCGTGTATATGAATTACAGCGCTCTCGCACGTTTCAATGCGCCCCTATGATGTCGTAAGTGGGCAGATAGCCCCCAGCCACCCCCTCTGTCTGGAGCTGATTGGCGGCTGCGCCGCTGTGGACCTCGCCTCTACCTCTACTCCAAGAACTCGCATCTTCCGTAGCCTTAATCTTGATATTTTCCAACATCACTACATCTCGAATCACAGTGTGTCAACTTGGCGACATGCGTCTTCTCAACGTCCATACTGGTCTTTTAGAAGAGTTTTTCGACATAGAGACTACTCCAAAATATGCCATACTATCCCACACGTGGAATAAAGAGGAGGTGACGCTTCAAGATCTGGAAGGCGAAGGCTACAAGTCTAAACTTGGTTATAAAAAAATCGAAGGTTGCTGTCATCAAGCAATCGAAGATGAATACGACTACATCTGGGTTGATACTTGCTGTATCGACAAGAAGAGTCTCACAGAGCTCTCGGAGGCCATCAATTCAATGTATGAATGGTACTCAAAGTCAGCAATTTGCTACGTCTATCTAGCCGACGTAAATGTCGATGCAATAGGACAAGTTCATAGCTCCCTTCTGGAAAGATGTCGCTGGTTTTCTCGAGGCTGGACGCTCCAAGAATTGTTAGCTCCACGCGAGCTTGTCTTCTTCGATCAACATTGGCGAGCGTTTGGCTCTGTGAGCAGAACTTCTCGTGACAGCGATATTCCAGATATCGCATCACTGCTTCCGGCTATAACGAAAATAGACGGACGTGTTCTTCGCGAGAGACATTTGATACATAGAGCTACCGCAGCAGAACGGTTCTCGTGGGCAGCCCATCGCAAAACCACAAGAAAAGAAGATATGGCATATTGTTTATTAGTATGTACAATGGTGTCGTCACTCGTTATTCATCCGCTTATATCAAACTAGGGGCTACTTGGGGTCAACATGCCACTTCTATACGGAGAAGGCGAGAGAGCGTTCACTCGGCTTCAACAAGAATATATTCGCCAGTACAACGACCCCACATTGTTACTATGGGGCTTTCGTATTCCGTGTCAGAATTTATTCTGGCGTTCTACCAGCGAGTGGGCGTTGGCGCCTGTCGTCTCACTCTTCTCGGGATTTAGTTCCCCTCCAAAGTTCGAAAAGAACAACATACTCTCTAGATTTTCATGTACTAACAATGGTATTGAAATCGAGCTTCTCCTTATCGATCTTGGCAGGAACATTCAACTTGCTTGCTTCGGCACAAGTGCAGATTTCCCTATTTACCATCGGAAATCTTTCGAACAAACCTTATCATCTCCTCTTCTCTCACCACTGCGACGATTTAGAAGGGGGGCCGTGGCCCTCCCAGACCGACCTGTTATAGCGCTTCCACTATCATACTGCCCGACAGACTCTGTAGGCGATTTTACCGTGTACGAACGTGCCTTACCATGGCCCCCTTTTCTCATACCTGAGGGTTTATGTCGCAATGCTAAATGGACGAGAGTATACATTAAAGGTGTAGACATTCGATCCGTCATAGAATCACCGCTGCATAAACTCAGTCGTGAGTATGTTGTCAATATTTCAAAGTTGATATGGGCCGGATTCAACCTTGATGCCGTCTATCCCCCCGGGAATGTCATCTGCAGTGAAACTCATATAATATACAAAGTCCAGGAAGAAGGTGTCCAACGATTTATTTTTGTTTTCAACAGAGATGAAGATTTCTCCTTTGCATTATTTGCTGAATACAAGTTTCAAAATTCAAAGCTGGTGGATGTATATTTCTCGCTTGGGGGAGTTACCATGATGGATATCCTACATTATCTACTACCACGTGGTAAAATCCTGTCAGAGCGTGCGCGAAGGAAAGCATTCGCAAAATTAGGAAGATCTCTCCAGGGAGTACCAGATCCCAAGGGCCCCGGGATAACACATTTTAAAATACCTGTAAGGAAGATTAGAAGATTCGGAACAGAATATCTGATCACATCTGTGTCCACACGCAAGTTGGGCAATCTTTGTTTCGACTTTATAGAACCTCGGTGGGAAGAATACAAACATGGTTCTGATTAGTAAAAGAGCAGATTACCTATCATATTTAAAACAAGCATCTCTTCGAAGGTAAACTACATCTTACAGTTTATGTTAAGATCGGACTGGAGCGCATTGCGCTAACGGATTAAGAGTGCCACCCCCCCTTTCGACTACCTAGGGAGAACTTGTCGGATTGATACGGGAATACCATACCATACGTATTACAGACACAAGAACGGGATAGTGTCATTGATACCTACTTATGACTTTAGCCCCTGGATATTCCATAATCCTACATAAGACGAACTTCAATACCCAAACCTAGGTAAATATGTCCAAAATATCCTATTCACTCTCGACACTCGAATGAATTCCAATTATTCGGGTCACCTCCTAGAAACTTGGCCGTTTGAGGCCAGCTGCAAAATTTGCTTGTCTTGTTCAGCAAGCTCTTGTCTGAAGGATCCGTGCCCAACATCTCAGTTGCCGGCCGCCCCGTCTCAACCCACTGCACGAGAGCGTCAAGCACATGCCACGACGCCGGAACCTGAGGATAGTTCGAAGCCGCGCCACAATGCCCACCACCGGGTATCATGAATAGTCGAAACCAATCGCCCACATCCCCGCCGAAAAAGTCCTCAATCTGGTGAAGATGTTGAATCGGCCATGTCGCGGCATTAAATGGATCTGTCCAGCTTTGGAACACCAGCATCTTGGCGCCCGTTGCCTTCAGCGTTGATAGGTCTGGGCTAATCTCGTCGATGAACGTGCCCACTTTCTCGTCGAGCGCATCTACATCGGTCCCCCAGTTAAATGTCGAAGAGTCATAAGTCAGGTTAAAGACCATGTTCTGTAAGATCGGTATCGAGAATGCGTTCGCTAAAGTGCCTTGCTGCATCGTCCACTCTGTCTCGCTTCCCACGGAGAATCCTGGGTACAGAGAGGCGTTTGAACGAAGATCAGTAGGTCCGGCGTAAATCTTCTGTGCCGTCGCCACTTGAGCCGGCGTAAGGCACGTGGATGAATTCGTCACTGAGGAGGCACACTCCAGAGACGAGACGTCGAAAGAGCACAATAGGGGGTTTCCTACTACTCCATCTTTAACCCCATCAATCGTGTCGCATTTTTCCAAGACTGCTTGCGTGATGAGATCAAGTGCAGTCTGCGGCAAATAATTTGAACCCTTTAATCGTGAGCCACAGCACCTCAGAGCCAATAGCTCGAACTTACCCGAGTCACCTGGGCATTCCATAGGAAGGACAGTGCTAGATGAGAATACCAGTTTCCAGGACATCCAGCTGCGATACCATCAAACAGGTGTGGGTGAAACTGGGCTAAAGCGAAGCCTTGAGCGCCACCTGTAGAGCACCCCTCATAATAACTGTGTTTTGGGGCACTACGATAGAACTTGGCGGCTATTTTCCTGGCGACCGGCGTGAAATAGGCGATGGAGTTGTGTATCCATGCTTTGACTTGCTCCGGGTCATGCATGTACGGCAGATATACCCCAGGAGCACCGTTGCCCGCGTTATTCAGCGAAGCCAGATGGCCCGCATTACCACCTGCTACTGCGTATCCCTTATTCACATTAAGAAGCACATTGCCCTCGTCGATTGTACCTGCCATCCCGCCATTTCCTATCAATTATCGTCAGTGTCGCTTGTTCCGATGTAGGAATACAGGATAGAATGAGAACCATACCCACAACGAGGAATCGACCATTGTACTTCTCCGCTGCGGGGAGCCAGAGCTCGAAGATAACCGAGTTGTTTTGAGGATATGGGACTTGGCCAAACAAGCGGCATAGTGGAAGTGTGTTGAGCGTGCCGCTGATATTAACAGCCTTCACGGGAATATGAGTAGCGTTCAGAATCGACCTTCCTATGTCGCTCGTCTTCGAGAACGAGGATGCAAATTTCGAACATTCTTCCGCTTGCCACGGCGTGTCATGATCCAGAGCTTGAGCTGTGACAGCAAGCAAAGAATTAACCCAACCGACTCTCATCTTAAAATCTTCGAGGTGCCAATGATTAAACCAATGGACAGATCCAAGAATCAGTTAGAAGATCAACACTTCCCGAATTGTTACTTGCTTCGAAAGCAACCTAACTCAAGCTTTCGCGATGAGCACCTACCCGAAATATGTGGAAGTCAATCACATGAAGGTGACATCACCCCATACCAACCCCATACCGAACAAAGAGCTACCCAATCGGCATCTCCAAATATGAAAGCCCCCAAAATACGCCGATCTGGGGAGAACCGGTACAGAGTGTCCCGAACCGGAATACGGGGACAAGCCGATGTAACACAAGTAACAACAAGCAGCGACACCATCATCTTAATATCTGAATAGTTTACCGTAGTTGCGCCGTTGGCATACATTAGTTAGGACATTACGTACGACTAGAATTGCAGAATAGAACAACTCGACCTTATCCAAGCTTTAATCATCAAGTCACAAGGTGGGACCCAAGTCCTTGGCCTATTTGATTATTTCCTTCCACGGGAGCAAGATGCCGAAGGCGTGGTAATTAGACTCCAAGAGCTTACATCTCCGCATTGCAAAGTCTGATTATGTGTAGACTAAGGTTCGCCCCTTGCTATTTCGGCTAGCGAAGACGGGAGGTTCGAGTTAAATCATGTTATTTCGCAGAGAGCCAACACAAATAACCTCTTCCTATCAGGTTTGAGTTCCCAACTCCACGATCAACACCCCGGAAGTGGATTCGCCTCATTTGTGTTAGCTTCATCCCCACAATCCCCGCGTCGGCGGCCTGAATTTTCCCCCCAACCAATCCCCCTCAGGGATTAGAAGTATTATTACCATGCTAGCGTGTTCCTGCAGAGTTCACCGAGTTTTTCGGTCTTCTTCTCTAGTCTTTGGACTCAGCTCGTCGCTAGTTGTTCTTTATCTTCTTCCCGTCCGCAAGTCTCATCTTGGCAAAGGCTTGAGTTGAGTCTAAGTGTCAATATTCAAGATGGCGGACAACAAATCGATGGTCGATATCGAGAAAGAGGCATGTTTATCAACAGAAATCCTACGAAATGTGAATATTTCAACTAACCCACCTCCAGGACGTCGGCGCGAGTGTTGCTCAGTATGAAAATGCACCCATCACGGACGCAGAAAAGGCGGTGCGATGGAAGCAAGACAAGCGCATCGTGCCCTTATCCGCGGGCATCTATTTCCTATGCTATTTGGATCGGTCCAACATAGGAAACGCCAAAATCATGAACGCAACGACGGGCGACGATCTCATGACGCAGACCGGCATGACTAACTATCAGTACACGATCTCCCTGATGATCTTTCTCGTGGCATACGGCTTGTTCGAGGTCCCGTCGAATATCCTGCTCAAGAAGCTACGACCTTCCCGGTGGATTGCCTTCCTCATGTTCTCGTGGGGAGCGTTGACCATAGGGTTGGGCGGCGTTCATACCTATGCTAGCGTGACCGTCGTGCGGTTCTTGCTCGGTGTGTTCGAAGCTGGTCTCTTTCCCGGTTTGGTGTACTATCTCACATTCTGGTACAAGACCGAGGAGCGGAGTATTCGCGTAGCTTTCATCCTAGCCTCAGCAACCCTCGCAGGCGCGTTTGGTGGCGCGATAGCCTACGGCATCGGTCACATGAACCGAGCCGGAGGACTCTCAGCTTGGCGTTGGCTCTTCATCATTGAGGGAATACCATCCTGTCTCTCCGCCTTCCTTGTCTGGTTCCTACTGCCGGACTACCCCGAAGACGCGAAGTGGTTGACTACCCAAGAGAGAGATTTGGCGGTGCAGCGATTACACATCGAGGGAAGCAAAGGGCATCATAAGTCGATGACATGGGAAGACGCCAAGGCCACTCTCGTGGACTGGCGGCTTTGGGGCCATTACATCGTGTACTTCGGGATCTCCACTCCCTTCAGTTCGCTATCCCTATTCACCCCCTCCATCACGGCTGGTCTGGGCTACCAGGATCTCCGCGCACAGCTTATGACCGTCCCGCCCTATGCCATAGCCTACGGTACGTATCCAACCCCCTCACCACCAACGAATAGCCAACTAACCCACCACCCAGTCGTCTCAATCCTAACCTCCTGGTCAGCAGACCACTTCAACGCACGCGGTCTCCACTCCGCCGCCCTCGCCACAATCGGCGCAATCGGATTCCTCGCCTCAGCCGTGCTCCCGGCAGACGCCTACGCCCCGCGCTACGGGTGTCTGATCGTCGCCGCATCAGGCGCATTCGCCTGCATCCCGCCGCTCCTCGGCTGGCTGTCCTCCAACATCTTCAGCACCGCGTCCGTGGGCCTCGCCATCGCGCTGAATATCGGGCTTGGAGGGGCCCCGGGCCAGATCGTGGGCGTGTGGATATACAAGGCGGACGAGGCGAAGAGGGGCTATCCGACGGGCCATTGGACGAATGCTGCGTTGTTGTTTTTGGTGGCCGTGGGGTGTGTGGGTTTGAGGCTTTATTATGCGGCGAGGAATAGGAGGATTTTGAGCGTGGGGGGTGAGGAGATGAGGCTTTTTAAGTATTGAGTAGAGGTTGTCGGTATGTGTATGCGCTTATGAGTTGTTTCGGGGGTTTGAGAATGTGGAGATACCCAGGCTTAGTTAAATGACATTGATTTTAATAGGAAGCTTGAATAGGTTGTTGGGTCTCGTAAACATTGAATTTTAAACTTGGAAGTGATGCAATATGATTATTTTAAGGAGTTGGGAATCTCAATCGAACATGCCTTCCTCAACTAGGCCGGGGTAGGTAATCTCATACCCCCCCGGGTAATGCTTAGGAGGTTAACATAAACGTAGAGCAAGGCTGCTTTGAATATATGACATTTCCGGAATGAACGATGTCTGTTTAACAGGTACTTATGGTAGTCGCAATTCTAATTTACAATCTCACTCGATTTCAGTTTTCTATTGTATGATAATCGGTCTTTCACATGTCATTTGGTCATTCGGCTTCAGCGACATTATGTGATATATACACGGAGTAGCAGGATCAGTCCGTCTTTGCAAGAAAAGTCAGCTGCTGCAGATAAGCTAGAGGACAACACGGATTATTCTATGCGGAGAATGTAATATCTCCTATGTCTTATGCTACACGCTGTTGTAGGGTTTATGGAGGGAATGGCGACGAACAAATGATAAAACGGCATCATTAAAACAGAGACCTATAGTACCTACAGGAGAAGAACCACAATGGATATTGAACCATATATTCATTCGATTGAACTAAATTGTAGTGACTTTATAATCATTGCTCCGCATAATGATGGCCACGGTAAACGCGATACAAGAATAGGGGTTATTGCTACTCCACCTTGACCCTTTGAGTATTGAATAATACATAAAGATATATCATGAACATACAGCAGGTTCATATCAGAAGACTGATTGTGGATTAATAAAAAAACAGAAAACCCTCTTGCGCTAGAATATGCCTGTCAAACTGGCGATCCTGTGGATGTTGGATTTACTCTAGGCAAAGGCGGTTTCATGCATTCACGTATATTTCATACCTTGTACACTGTGCAGGGTATTTTACATTGATTTTACACTATTAGACTTCGCTATAGCCGGAGCTTCTTTAATATCCGTTCTCTCACGATTCGGCTCGCCATCTTGCCACCCTGTTGCAAAGAAACCGCGCCGATAAGAGCGTAGACGGCGGCAGACATGATGGGGTCAAATCCTGATCCTTTGATGTTTTCCGGCTAGGAACATGTCGTTAGTATTAGGAGGATATATTTAGGAGATAGAGGACCGCACCATTCGTGGTTTCCACCTTACAACGGTCGTCAACCCAGTGTCCAATGCCAACTGGGCCAGTTTCTCAGGGCTGAGCATGTCGCTCGGCTGTCTACTAGAGAGATTGTCAACACCGCCGACGATGGGATCCTCAAACGGTTTCCGTCTATCGGCGAAGGTATCTGGGTAATTGTCAAGGCTGCGAGGAGAACTGATGATAGATTGTGTACATTCCAAGACACATATTTGGCGGCCTATTACGAAGGATTAATATACCGATCCTGATCTTATGACGACGTATAACGTCAGAGGATGGCAGAATAGCGTACCGAGAAATGCTAAACGATCATTAAACCCTCTTCTTCCCTGATCAAAACTCTTGTGTGTTACGGCCAACCACTTAAGCTCTTCTGGTAACATGCGCTGTCCATCACGACCTAGGATGTTATTCAACACATCGTCTAGCTTCTGAGGGTCCTCGTTGACCTTCCATACGGATCGAGCCGGGTCTTTTGTGATATGAGGCGAGAAGGGAGCTCTCATCCTCTCGGGTGTGAATGACCATCGTGGTCGCTCGTCTAATTCGGAAGAACGAGGGGCAGAAGTTGAGAAGGAAGAGCTGGCAGGACGGTAGGAGGGAGCTACAGATTGACATCTGCTAGTCCGTACTGCTTGGCGAGTAAGCCTCGCGGCGGCTCGGGAGGTTGTGAGGGCCATTGAGTATGACGTTGGGTCTTCTTATCGCATCGTTTTATGACACTCAAGATAGAAATCGCATTTCGCATTTCGCATTTTACGAAGTTCAAAATTGTAGAGGGAACTTTTTCGGCGGGTCTTCGCACTAATGACCCCTGGCCAATCAGATATTATCGGAGTTATCAATTACTGGAGCTCTATATGTACCGAGGTACCACCCCCGTACTTTTTGCTTTTTGATCCCTGCTCGCAATCCCTAGATCTAAAGATTCAATTCTTAGCGATTTCAACAATTTCGATTTACACGTTCAACCGCGTCTTCACCTTATTTGGTTTTTATCTGGTTCGTTTTGTCGATCCCGTAACCATGAGATTTTAATTCTTTGGTGCCAAGTAAGGCATTCAGTCTGTACTTCCGTTTCAATCATTTCTACTGCGCAATACATCTGATAATGTCGAATCCATCGCAAGCTCGCAACGGCGATCGCGTCGTCAATCCTCAACCATTAGTGGTCGAACTCACCAAGGTCTTACCTAAGGATCGCAAGTTCACTGCATACCATCTCTCGACGCCCCCCGTTACCACCGAGCCACTTTGTCATCCTCCCGCATATAATTCAGCATCTGATTCAAAGTCGAAGGATAGACGCGCAAGTAAACCATTGAAGACCTATTGCGAAAAACACTTCTTGGCCATTTCAATTGGTGCTGGAAAAGACGACGCGACCCCCGATCGAAAAGTTTTGGTTCTAGGATTAGAGATATACATTTACTCAACATCATTCTCTACTACAATTTTCGTTTCCAAGGCAGACTCGACCGGGTACTTGAATCTTTTGAATCTCCCAAAAGGGACTCCTTCTCCTATTCGGGAAGTCACGTCGTGTTTCCTTGCTTTTTTAGTTGCCAAGCGAAGACGCCCGACAAAGCAATTAGTCGTCAACCTTTTCGCCCGATCCCAGTCGCAGTACCTCTTCCCAGGCAGCGTTAAAAACGATGGCAAGCATGTATTGGACGATCGAGGATTAGTGAAATGGTGGTGCCGGATCTTCAATTCGTTACTTGAAGGAGAGCAATATTCAGACGCAAGAAAGCTATGGGATGATATGCACGGATATCTAACTATACCCGGGCTAGATGACTATGAATCTCGCGCCTTTCTCCCACGAACAAGTACGGCAGCAACCAATTGGACGCTGGGACATCCCCTCGAAAAAATATCCCCATATACAAATGATCCGGGCACATTTGGCCGCAATATTTCTCCTAGATCTCTGATACCGACGTACCCCGATGACCCCAAGGCGCGTTTCGTACAAGAACTGGAAGAGTCAACGCCAGACAAAGCTAAACTCCTCAATGGATGGAGAACACTAAAGACGCTTGATCAGTTCTGGGAGATGATGGCTTTCCGACAAGAGTGTTCTAGCGGAAGGATGACTGGGTTCATGTGGGTGGTTTTCGAACCCCGAACATTGTTAAGACCAGACTCGCCAAAGACTAGCTCTGCTACAAGCATTCCTACCCCAGACGCCGCGATTCTTACATCCACAGACAACACTACGTGTCATAGTCCGCGTCGCAATCAACAGGATACCATCTCCACTATGAGCCCACCTGCCTCTCCATCAAAACAAGCTAGACGGAAAAAGACAAAATCGCGGCGGAAGCACAAGGCAAAGACGAGGTTGACGGGCCCCATTATTCCTCGCGAACCCCGTATCAAGACGGAAGGGATGGATTTTCCAAAGCTTACAGAGACCCCTTACTACTTCTGGCCAGAGGATGGAAGGGGCCAAGTCGTCTTCAACGACAACGCATATAACCGAGCTATCGAATTACTACTTCATCTCGAGTTTGGAACTCTGGAGCAAGCAATCACCAGTACGGCGCGATGGACGAAAGAAGTCAATATGGGCAAGACTTGGACTCTCGATATTGTCGGCGAGGGCGTATTTGCGACCCCCGCAACATCGCCTACTACTAGTGAAGCAGTGAACAACTTGTCTGCCATGATAAAGCGGAAACGTGCATCCGAAGACACATCCACGCCTACGTCATTGGTCAATACACTTGGCGGAGGACTCATTCGTAAGAAAGCGAAGCTCGATATCAACGCAGCCGGTGCACTCGCGAAAACAGAGAACCTGCCCACGGAGGAGTCGCAACCTCAGGTGAACGTTCTCGGAGAGGGCTTGATTCGGAAAAAATCAAAGGCATCTTGAAGCGTTTTAATTAAGGTATGATTGTATTTTATGGATTTCTGGTTGACTAGAAGGGCTTAAAGCTTGGCGTTAGCGAACACTGGACAATGGTTAGGAAATTAGGGACCTGAAGGCGCAACGTATGTCAGCATTCGGAAACCTGCTGGGGCGTCTTTTCCCGGGGCAGCCTATTTGAATTCAAATCATTAGGAAATATTAGGTATGGTGCTTTTGTAAAAATTTAGCTGCCAGTATTGGCTTATAATTCTACCTATTCTTAATCAAACTAAATCTCATAGCAACAGTAAGATCTGATTGATTATCATTTCAATTCCTAAGGTTTAGATCTGATCATTTACATACTTCAGCATTAACCTTCAATAAGACGCGCAAGCCACCCGCCACACATTGTCGAGGACACCATTCCCTACGATGTCTAAAGACATCCCGATCAATGAAAATACATATCTATCTCAAAGAAGCTCTAAGAGGATAAACATGATACATGGCTTTGCATGCCGAAAACCTGATATATATCAGAAACACAGGATTCTCAATCCGTCATTGGCCAAGTCTCTTCCGATGGATCGGCAAGCCCCGAAACCACCCCCTATTCATGCTTGTTTCTGATTGGTTGACGGGGCACCTTTATTTCCCTTTTAAGGTGTAGGAAATCCCCAACCCTTGAGTCCTTGAATGACAACTCCGAACTCTTTTCTAGAAGCCTTACAAACTAATATTCTACTTGATTGGGATATAATGACATTATGTAGGTAGGTAATCATGAGATCTGTTTTCTCTTGATGACACCCTCTTATAGCAGATGTGTATGTCTGCCAATGTCCAGCCAACTCAAATCGCCTACCCAAAGATAGTCAGATATCATAAATTGCCTTCCCCCGACCCTTATGATCAGTCAACTTTCAATTTGATGGACCCTAACATGGTATTAGACTCTCAACATGAAGGACGTGCCTACCTAAAGAGCACATATCACTCCATGAACAAAGACAATGAAAGAAGCCTCAAACAGACATATTTCCCACACATGATCATCGACAGGGGCTGTTAAAGACCACAAGGTTAATGGGTCTGACGTGTTCATCCCAGGAATATATCGATGATCTGTCGCACGGCATGATCTGGTATCATCATAAGATGTTTTCTTCCAATGATATAACATTGAACCAGATGGCATGCCCAACGTCCGAGACTCATTCCGGCCTTGGTATAATCTTACCTAGGGCGGATAGACAAAACGCTGCCTTGTGATATTAGTATATCACCAAGATATTCCTGTCCCATCAACTATCTGTTAATTAAAAGTCTTTCGGCCAATTCTATAGAAAGACCTAGTCGTCGATTTATTCACTCCTCATCCAAGATTGTAGGCTCAGTAGTATAGCCTGATGGTGAACCCAAGACGGCATACCTCTTGAGGCTATGTGGTCCTTTCAGCTCTTTCAGCCTTCCGTATCCTTTCCTATCACATTTTCATTTCGGCGTGTAGCAGCTGTGTCATTAGCTGCGCTTGCCCGGCTCAGGGCTTTAACTCCCGAGTTGCTCTCGTCGGCCCCTGTGGACCAGATCTTCTATACTTCGCTGGTCTATATCGTCGAAGACATCCGTTGACGATACAGCATCGCCATCTGCTCTCGCCATCGCTCACCTCCCGGGCAACCTTCCCGTCGCGAAGATGCTTGACCCGTAACCTGATCTTCTCATAGCTCCCGCCAGCCCTAATCCTAATCATCCCCCTCCTAGGACGAGCTCTCTAGCCCATGCTGCGAAGGGCACCTAGGCCAGCCTTCTTTCTGCCTAAAGACACCTACTTCCCTAGAAGCTATCCACGTTGGTGTTGACCTTCAAAATCATTTCTTCCCACAAACTTCCCACCTTACTTTTATTTCCTCTCACCCCAAAATCATTCTTTTCCCCAGACCCAAACAATCACCCCACACACTCCCATCACGCGTAGGCTTAATTCTTCTTAATACCTCGCATTAGTTCTTCGTTAGAAGAACGACTAGAGGTATCGTAACTCTTGAACACTCGTTTCGATCCATTTTAATTTCATTCGATCCCTCATTTTGCGCGCAATTATGCGTTACTTTCCCCTCGCGCTGGTCGTCGCGGCCTTGTGCTGCGCCGTCCGCGCGGACTGGCTTAGCTGGTCTGGTGGCGGCGATGGTGGTCTTACTGCCATTCCGCGCGAGACTGGCGATGTTTCTTACGCTTCTGACGGTTGGTCGCCTAAGATCACTGCCGCTCCTACTGTAGTTCAGTCCGATGGTGAACGCGTGTTGGAGATTCTTCAGCGTGGAGACACTGCCTCTAGCTGGATCAATGCCGAGACTTGTGGATGGATCTCTGGTTCGGAATGTAAGTTTCATCATCTATACCCTTCAATTATTATCGACCGGAACTTGAACTTGAACTCGTTGACTGACATATACGCAGCTTCTTCGTTCGGTTGTGGCGACAATGGAACTTGTGTCACCAATGACAACCACATCGTTGCTTGTGCCACTGGCACTTATTCACCCTTCTACTCGATGTGTCTGAACTACGACGCATACACGAGTGGATCTTGCAAGAACGATGATTCGTCTACTGGATGCTGGTAAGTAACCATCCTTTTCATTTTTGCATCAATCCCAACCCAGCTCCAACCGAATTCGTCAAGTCCCTGCGTGTATTATCGTAGATACTAACCTCTCATCAGTATGAGTACGGACTTTCCCGAATGCGTAACCTACCTCTGGGTGGACCCTCCCCAGCGTTCAATGTACCGTTGCTGGAAGTCTAAGGCTGTGATCACGATGCTCGACAAGCCGGAGATCATCGAGGACCAGACGACTTATTCAACCACCTCCAGCGCAGTACCCCGCGTAGACGGCACCTCGACGGATTCCAACAACGACAACAACTGGCAACCCAGTATCGGCCTCCAAATCGGCGCAGTCCTCGGCACCCTCGCGGGCATCTTACTCGTCGCATTCGGATGCTACCGTTGTCACAAGTGTCACCTCCGACACACGTTAGCCACAGCCAACGACCACGACGACGTGCGCGCACACTTGGACTCTCTGTTCCGCAACGGCGTGATCGGGCACACAGAGGTAAGAACCACCGCCCAAGGCGGCATCGTGAGCAGCGAAACGGTAGCCATCCTCCGCCGGGGCGCCGAGTCTCGTCGCCTTGGCCTGCGCGACGAGATCATCACGCGTCCCCGCACCGCCGCGCAACGCAACCACCACCGCACCCGTCGTACGTACCCCCAGCTAATCGATCATCATCCCCAGACCCCCGACCAGAGCCGCATCCACAGCCGCAACCGCCACGGGTACATTCATCTCGACCACGTGAACCCGACCTCCTCGACCGCGGCTATGTACGGCTCGCCGCCGAACCCGCCCTCCTACGACATGCACCTGGAAAGCCCGCGTCTGCGCGCCCCAGGCGGGACATACACCGAAGCCGTCGCAGCCGCCATGGCTCTCGGCGCCGCGAACCGTCGCGTCGAAACGCCTCCGCCGACGTACCAGCCCGGTTTCCTCTCGGACTCCACGCTCGGCTTCGGCGGCCTGAGTACCGGCGGTTTGGCGCGCGAAGACAGCCAGCCCAACTGGATCGAGCTGTCGCGTTCGTCCCCCACTCTGCCCGCCGCGGCGCGCCGCGCGACGATGTGGCCGTTCGTGGGTAATGAGCGAATCCCCGAGAGCTCGACTTGGCAGGATGTCAGCGGTAGTGTGCTGAGTCGTGAGGGCGAGGATGAGACGATGCGATCTGGAGAGACTGCTGTTGCTGCTGAGGAGGAGGAGGAGGAGGAGGAGCAGCCGGTTTTTGGATCGACGCGTCGAGGGTTTAAGTAGGTGGGGTTGGTGACGTCTGACGCCTGGGTTCGCCTCGGATATGAAGGCGTTTGGGGTGGTTATGGTGACGATAGGAAAAAAGAGGGGGTCCGTTGGATTGCGCTTGTCTCGCGCCTTTGGGAGCTGGGAACGGTGGCTCTCATTCAATTTTCAAGACTTGCTTGAAGACGCGTGGTTCGGAACGGATGGCTTGACGGATGGATGGTTTAACAGGCAAATGGTTTTCTTTTCTTTTTAATTCCCTGCACAGATTCCCCCGACATCGTTAGATACCCACTTCACGCATTGCAACGTTTCGTTTTCGGCCGGATGCCTACATTGAGGCGCCGTGCAACTGATAGTAGTTCTGCGCCTTTAGGGCCGCTGCAGAATGATGATACTTTAAAAACATGGGATTGCCTTTCTTGTGACATGTAAACTTTTTCGATGTAGACATGAAGTGCGAACTTACCTCTCGACCACCACATATGGTACACTTCATCGGCTATTGGAGAAATTTCCCATCGCAACCCATACTATCGATCCCCTCGAACAGTGCACTGCATAGCCCTACCTAGGCCTCCATATGCGCATATATACTTCGAATAACTACCCAAGTTGGTATAAATAACTTCATACAATCCATCAAGAGCAGGGAGTCTTCAAGCCTATCTACAGAAGCACCATTCTCCAATCACCGATCTCCTTTTTTGCCATCTATGGGTATTTCCCAACCGAGTAAACCCTATCTCATTTCTCATTTTCTCATGTTAACATATGCCTTTACCTGCTTACCTGCTCACTCGCCAAAAAGAAATCAACTCCCGTAATCACGTTGCCGCTTGCCATGTATGTAAATATCAATCCTCTCTCACCCGCACCACCTTTTCTCATCCCGGGATCTTGACCCTCACGACACGACCTTACTCTTCAACCACTGAGAATTGACCGGCGTAACAGCCTGCCCACCGCCCAACACCGCCATAATATTCCGCATCGCCAACTCCTCGAACCCGACATGCGTCTCAACCGTGCCCCCAGCATTATGACACGTCAACATCGCCCTATCCCCCGCAAACTTCAGCAACCGTGGGTGGACATTCGGCTCCTCAGCATGGACATCAAGCGCCACACTACTCAGTCTCCCCTGCTCCAACGCCTCCGCCAGCGCTTCCTCATCAACCAAGCTACCGCGCGCAATATTGACCAACCTAGCCCCGTACTTAAACCACTGCAAACTCTCCCTACGAACCAACTTCCCCGCACCCCCCGGCGTACACAAGACCACACAATCAGCCTCGCGGAGCAGCTCCTCCAAACTATCCGTATGTCTCACCCCCAACTTCTGCTCCAGCGCGACAGGCTTGCGCTCGACATCGAAATACGCAACATCCATACCAAACGCGAGCCGCGCCTTCGCCGCGATCTGCTGGCCGATGTTACCGAGCCCAACGAGACCCAACACGCGTCCGCGCAGGTTATGCGAGCGCTGGGTGGCGTTCGCATGGCAGAGCTGAAAGGAAGAGGGGGCGGCGGCGGAGGAAACGCAGTACGGGAGCGCGCGGAAGGTGCTGATGATCATGGCGATAGCGAAGTCGGAGACGGCTTCGGCGGCGGCGAGACCGCCGTTGCAGTAGAGGATGCCTAGGTAACGGGATTTATGTTAGCGGGGTTTAATATCCAGATACTCATGGCCAGCCATGAATCAATGTGCACATACCTCTCTCGCCCAAAAGCTGCGTATCAGCCCAATCGAACCCCGTCCCCGCGCTCGCGAAAACCCTCACGCTCTCCGGCAGCAAACCCACGAGCTCCTTATCCCAATCCCCCATCTCCCCGCCGGTACCCCAGAACGGGCGGAATATGGCGGAGAAGTCGCCCCAGCGGCGGTCCTTGAGCGCCTGCATGAATGCGGGCCGTTGGCGCTCTTCGGTGGAGGGGCGCACGACGTCGAATTGCGTGGTAAACTCCGTGTACGTCTCCGGGTTATACTGGATGGGGTCGCCGATGTGCAGGACGACGGGCTTGGAGCCCAGCGGACCCCCTGGCACGGGCAGGGGTGTGGCGAAGGTAATGGTTGTGGCTAGCCCCGAGGTTGGCATCCCGATCGGCTTCGGAAGACTCAAGATCGTGCTGCTAGGTCGCGTGAACGCCGGTGCGGGGGAGGTGGAGCGCGGGGTCGGCGGCGCCGTTGGCATTGGGGTGTTGGTTGGTTCCGCCATGGTGTTTTATGGGATGGGTTGGTATGAGATTCTTATGTACAGTCTACGTTTTTATTTATTTTTAGGCGTTTTCGTGTGTATGCACACTTCCAAGGTAGTGTGTGCGGTGGTGGATATAGTTCTCTTAGGGGGAAGAAAAGAAGAGGGGAAGATGGAGTTGAAGATGAATAAGGTAAACGGTCCCAAAGAACCAACGCGGTGGTTTCAGGAATGGCCTAATACTATCGAGGTAGGTAGGACACGTTCGCCGTATGAGTGTGTGTGGTCCTCCAGGTTGAGTAGGATCGTCAGTTCGGAGTAGCTCCCTTCACCGCCGAACTTAAGGCCTTGGCCTTGGCTCTCACAAAGTGAAAAAAGGTGCTCCGGGAGTTATAAGCCGCAGTCTAGCTTCATTCGTGATGATGTGGGGGCATCTGCATCTCTTGACACTACCTAGCAATCAACAACTAGGTCGAATCGAGGCATCGATGCTTCGAAATCGATCCAGCAACGTTCCAGAATGGGTGTGGGCTACTCTAACTGGAAATCTCGTTGATAAGCCTCAACCAAACGAAGGTGGAAGGAGATTCTCCGAATCTCGGACCGTTGAGGAGAAAAGATATGAAAATCACAAATCACAAGTGATAGCTTGAAGATATGAGGTCACACAATAACCGGAGAGTGTGAGTAAAGGGAAAAGATGATCGAATTTTTCTCCATGCTGGGGAAGGCTGGAGATGTTTTTTTCTTTTCTCCTTACTTCTTGGTACGTACCATTGGTACGCAGCGTGCGCAAACGGCAGAAGCCAGCGGGATGCCGCTTTTGGCAATACGCATCGGTGAGGGCGTCGATTTGATTGGATACCCGTCTCAGTAGCGTGTACCGATTAAAGATATTGAGATATTACCCTGTCTGCCTGTGCGAAAGGGTGTGGGGTTCTGTGGGTTGTAGATTTCTGCCACATGGCGTTGAAACAATTTAAATATTTCATCCAATCCGTATGTTTGACATAGGTGAAGCTGGAGAGCCTCCGACGATCGTCACCGTTTCCATTACCTTACCGACATGGCAGTCTTGGAATTAAGCCAGATGAGCCTATATATCGCAATCGATGCCGATGTCCCGGGTCGCTACCGTGGATTACTTTGAGTCTAGATCGATGTACTAACTTGTTGGTGACTAGCATACTTGAAAATCGACGGCGTGGGGGTCGTTTGATTTAGGTAATCCTAATAATTAAACCTACCTACGCCCGGCGATTATACTATTTGGTTATACCTAGGCGACAGATGGACGTCCGTGATGACAACCATTTCCCGTCTCTTATCTCGGATACACGGCGAAAGTTGGTAAAGTATTGTATCGTAGGGAGCTACTTTATTGTTTCTCGAACGCGACGGAGTAAGCTAGAGCTCCTCTTTCGCTTACATTGTAGCATCGTAGCACCTGTTTGTCTAGTTTGCTGTAGTGGCGGAAAAAGCAATTGACACTAGTTATGTTGATATGATCTTTCTTTGTCCAAGTAGGTCGAAACTAGACTGTCAAATTTGAAGGTGAGGGCCGATAAGACAATTCGCAAGGACCTTCCATAGGGATCTTACGCCCGTGATACAAAGGCGTCGACTATCGAAGATACGAATGGCGTTCGCTTTATATCGGAGAGGGGAATGGGGAATTCCGCAACGGACCACAGAACTAGGACGTAGTGAACAATATTTTTTCACCTATGGTAATAAGCTAGAATATAATGGGAATCATAGACTCATATGTTAGTATATAACATTCGAACGCGTGGAAAATGAAGTTGAAAGTGGGAAGATCTATGAGCTTTATTAATTCTGGTGATGAAATTGACAAGGCAGGAAGCCCTAGACATTTAGAGTTAACAAGGATCCTGGAAATATTTGAATCTGATTGGATAAGAATGTACGAGCTTCCCCTAGATCATCTATATTTAGACTTATGACTAAACCACTAAGTCTGCTAAGTCATCACGTGAATCCATATGCTATTCATAGCTGTTGCCATTAAAATCGACCCTGCTTCGAAGTTTAAACAACTTGAGCAGGCAGAAAAGGTGTTGAATAGAAGGAGTTAGGAGTTAGTAACGGGTTGTCAACCCTCTTTGCAAGGATTCCTACATCAGCTTCAGCCCTATCATAGAAAAGACCCTTCTAACTCTTTCTGTCGTTTCACAAGGGTCCAAAAGTTCACCGGTATTACCAACAACTCGATTTTTTTGATAGGGTTCGGATCAACTCAGAGATCCAATGCTAAAGTCACCGTACCAGTCAGAGAGCAGCATTCCTCGCAGGGGCTCAGTCCTCAAAAGACCCCTCCCTTCATTAGCTCGTCGGCAGTAACATCCATCTACGGATATGATAGCGCGAGCATACATACTTCGTACAATCCCGTGCAATGGCCGTGGTCGAAATATTTATGTAATCCGGTCGACGTCTCAAATAACTTTACTCGACAACTCACTAACTTCAAAAGTCGTCATGTTATCATAACTAATCAGATTTCAATCCTATCTCCGTATACAGATAATAACCTGCGCTTCGATACGACGATATTCGGTATTGCCAAGACTATTTAATAAAGGTTTAAGAGGATTAGACGGCATCCCGGAAGGAGGAATCATGTCCGTGGCACCGGGTCAATACTGGAATCTGATTGAGCGAAGTCAACCTCCGGTCAAACGGCGAACCAACCACACGAAAGTGCGCACCGGGTGCGTTACATGCAAGAACCGGCGAGTAAAATGCGATGAAAGGAAGCCGTTGTGCGGTCGCTGCGAGAAGGCAGGGTTCCTATGCGCCGGGTATGAAGGCCCTAATTCCAGGCGCGGAAGAGAACCCCCGGAAAAGTCCAAGAAATTGACGGGGCCTGCTGCGCTGCGGCCTAAGTCCCTACAACCCCGGATCGTCGATGTAACGAAAGAAATACCGATCATAGACTTTTTGCTACCTCCGTCGCTAACACCCAATTATCTGGACCGTCGCGATGCTCAGTACTTCGAACGCTTCCGATCACAGATAACAATGGACATATCGATTTGGTGTGGAGGTGAGTATTGGAAGCGCATACTCTGCGAAGTATTGGAGGATGATTGTATACGGTACGCTGCGCTGGCTCTGGCGGCTATGCTGCTAGCGGCAGAGCGGTGCTCGGATATCGCCAATCGATCGCCTGGCCGATTGACACAATGTCACGAGGGACAAGCAGCGCTTCGGTACTATATGAAGGCTATCTCCTTATGTCGAAAGCAACTGATAGGCGGAATTACTAAGGAAGCCATCCGATCGAACCTAACATCCACCTTCTTTTTCGCCATATTAGAGATTTTGCAGGGAAATATAGCCACAGCAGATCAGATCATGGTTAATGGCGCGATATTGATACGAGACGCGATGAAAGCGAAGGCGCCGAGTGGTCGACCTACCCTAGTTTGGGATCAGCAATTGATTGGTATGAAATCGGGCTTCGACAAGCTAACCATAATGTGGGGATTATCTCCTTTCTTCCATGGACAGAGAGAAGTCTGTGCCCTGATGATGCCGGAGGAGCGGCTTTCGCAGGTACCAGATGAATACGCGACCGTATCTCACGTGCGGAATTGTTGGTTGACATTTCAAAATGACGTGGGACTGTTCATGATGGGCGTTCGTTGCGGAAAGATCGTCTCTGCAGAGAACATGGAGAAGGCGATATCACAAAAGTCAAAATTCTTGGCCCAACTCCGTCGATGGATGCCGCTACTAGATTCCCTATTAGAGAGGGAAGAAAATACCCCGAACCTTTATCCGCTGAGCATAATGAAGGCCTCTGCCTTAACCAGCACCATCTTCTTATCCTGCTTTCTCGACCGATCCGATGTTTCATACGATCTACATCTTCAAAGCTTCATCGAAATCATACATATCTGCCAGAGATTCATCCCCGACAAACCGCCGACACACTTGAAATTCTCGCTCGATATCGACCTATTCCCCGTCGTCTCATTTACTGTCACCAAGTGCCGAGACCAGAAGACGCGGCAGCTAGCTTTGAAGATCTTCCACCAAATGACGTATGGACAAGTCTTCTGGAATAACCAAGGGATGTTAGGGTCATTACATGCTCTTGTTGACTTAGAGCACAAGGGAAGAGATAAGAGAGGGTTCATTCCTCCGTCTTCGCGGTATTACTTCGTGGGCTCGGAATGGGATTTCGAGCATCGCCAGATGATGGCAACGTTCGTCTCTGTAGTCACAATTCCAACCGAATCTGGGAACATGCCTACAGTGCGTGTACCAATAAGCTTTTAACGGAAACATAAAAAATCTAGAGTATAAGGGCAACCTAGATGCATGTAATTGAATTTGTTGAGAATGTCGTAATTAGGACATACCGAATTGTCAAAATTTACCGGACTGTGTACACCGCGACCCTTGCCAAGACATGATTAAGTAGCAGCAGACGACACCGGACCAGGTATGAACTTCAAATTCATAAGTCGCAGCTCGGCAGAACCGAAGAGTTGGCGCCAGTTGGCTGCAAAGAGCCGAGAGAACGCATCCATTCCCGGCACGGCCTCGAGGGCGCATTCGCCATCTCGAAAATTGTCAGGCGGTCGTTGTTCGTCATACATGAGTACCACGAGCTCTTCCAGCTGGCTGAACGCAGCCATCTGCCATATCATACGGGTCTGGGCCTCGAAGTGAAACGAGTGCGTCCAAGAACGTAGAGATAAGCAGAAGCGCCGCAGCCCTCGAACTTCTGGATCTCGTAGCTGGATCACCTTGAAAAGATCTATCAAGCGCTCAAAGTCCATCCTCCCCAAAACGGCGAGCAGGTCCGAAGCAGGATTCAAATATAGATCGCGTAGCGTGAGTTCGCCGGACTTCGACCCGGGCGTAAAGACGGGTAGAAGGACAGTGAAGTGAGCTCGTGCTAGCATGCGGGATTCAAAACACACGGATAAAGCCGCCGGGTTGCTACTATTCGATTCCCATTGATGAAAGTTGCCGGTAAGATCAGGGAAATTCTGTGAGTGTAATTCAACCACGCGGGGTATGAAGGATTCGTTCCATATCTTGATGCGCAGTTCGGTTGGAAGGGCGGGGAATCGTGGAAATGAGGTCAGTGGCGTTTGTGAATTGGTAGCCATGCCACTATTATCATACATAACAGATGGGAATAAATTCTCTCAACTCGTCTTTAGCGCAGTTTAAGAATTCAATATGGACTTGACGATCCTGTTGTTCCGAGTGGCATAGTTTATACAGTGAAGCCTGTCGTTAATGGATCATTTTGGTTGGAAATGAGGCATAGCTTTCGTTGTTTTAAATATTATGTAATATCGATTTAGAAAACGCAGTCGTTTGCCCGAGTCCCTTGCGGGACACCAACCCATGACGGACTAGACGCGCCCCTCGGCAAGCGCCGGCTCACCAGCCCCTTTTTTCCTTTTTCCTTTATCATATTAATCCTAGACATTTCGGAACTCCGCATTAGATTTAATTTTTACATATTCGAAAATCAAAGCAAACTCAGAATGATGAATGTGATAGAACCCAAGAACGATATGGAACAGCGGGCTGAAGCCGAATTCTCAGAGTCTTTAGTCTGATTGCCTTGACCCAGCCATTCTTTGAGGTGCGCCAACTTAGCATCCCGGATCTGCAGTGCAAATTAGTATGTCACAAATACGGCTTTCGGGATAGAAATCGCTTACCTGATCCATCTGCGGCTTCAGTCCCCTAGGTTCAATGGACTTGGATACCGCGTCCTCTGCATGCGCGATATCGTTTACTAGTATCACCCGCGAGTGATTCAACAAGTTCGTGACGGTCAAAATGGGTGATCCTATGGCCGCATTACGATCGTACCCGCCTTGGACGATGAGAAGCCTCTCTGTTGAGTCGAGTAGGTCATTCGTCATGGCGTATTTCTGCAGGAAGTACTCGTTATCTCTGCCGTAATCGGCGGATTTCCAAGCGGCGTTGATGCAGACGTCCACATTTCCCCGAGCGAATGTTTCCGGGAAGACGTTGCTCGAAGGAATGGATCGGTCATTTATAGGATAAAAGCCACAAGTGATGTATTCGAACGCCGGTTGATTGCTTGATATGTCCCCCGAGCTGGCTCTGGAAATATTGGCGTTGAACGCATCGATGCAGGACGACTCGTTACCCCACGAAGTTGCAAGAAGTGGGATCCGCAGTACTTCGCCTACGGTCTTCGCTTCGAGAGTCTTGCCGATGAGGTTGTCTAACGGATCCGCGGTTGGATACTTATCAACCCATGGGTAATTGAATTTGGATATCCCCAGGTAGGTTTGAAGTACGGCCTTGTACAGTCTTTCATATCCCAACACGGTCGAGTTTTTACACACATTAAGGCCATAAAGGGCCGAACCGCAAGTATTATCTACGCCTTGTTAGTCCCCTAAGCGAATTCCACGCCAAAAAGGATGTCCGCCTACCAGAAAGACACTTCTTGAATATCAGCATGGATGTTTTAATCTTCTCCGATGCATCTTTCGACGCTCCACCATATACGTCGCCTGCCCATTTCCCGGAGTCGAACTTATATCTGTTAGAAGTGAGGGGACCAAATGAAGTTAGGGCGGGGGACGATGCGATCGCGCCGTGGAATGTATCTGGATAACGTATTCGTGCTAAGACAGCCAGGAATCCGCCATACGAAGCTGCGATATTCGATCAGTTTATGGCTCAGTTAGCCCAGTGTAAGCGCTAAATGCCATACTTACAGCCACCGTAGATTACCTTACTATGCTTGGCCCCCAGAACTGTACTCTTAATCCAATTGACGAAACTAATTCCGTCTTGAAGCACATTATCCAGCGTCAACGAGCTAAACGATTCGTTCGAGATATTCATCGGATTGTATCCGGGCGGATAGCTACCACTATGCAAGTCGCCAAAGAAGCGATGCTCGAGAACCGCAACAAGCGCTCCCAGTTTCGGCGCGTAATCCATGAAATCGCTAGCATTGATCACCGGCATCCCAGCTTCGGCGCTCTGTATGAAGAGGATCGGACCGCCGGGCTCGAAGTACTTCGTGTTGAGTTGGTACCGCTGCTTAAATGTTGCTGGGCCTCCGTCGATCGAGTGGTTGACTTTCTGGACGAAGTCTTGCGTCGCTATGCCGCTGGTATTCGACTGGACCAGCGCTGGCGCGTGGCGTGCCATGGCCACAGCTGCGAATAAGCTGATAATCTTGAGCACCATTCTCTTTAATATATTCAATGACACCTGCTACTCAGTGAGGGTAGGTAGCTGCCGAGAATAACCTCCCGTGAGTCGCTCCTTAGAGTACGATGATAGCGGTTATCTTGAGTTGATGAGCGGAGTTAGGGGGGATCCCATCTTAGTTCGCACGCCGGTGGGCATCTGGAAATGAGTTTAAACATCAGATGACAGGTTGTCAAATTTTAGATGATAGGTAAAATAGGGTTGACAGCGCATACCGCCGAGAAGTGCGACATCATATTGAAAGACTAAATTGATACATGTAGGTTTACTATACCATCCCCTCTAGCGAAGTAAACTTTACAGCCATATCAATACCAGACATTCTCGTGCTGTATATGCGAATGGCCAAAGCCGATCTATACTCTCATTTCTTTCTATGAAAATAAGTTGAGAAGGATTTCAATACAAACCTTGGAAGTCAATAGCGGGATGTTAAAGTAAAGTGGCATATTCTTATTTATCGCAATAGGCTACACCAGGTACTGATGGCTACCATTCTATGTGTGTATGATTCTTAGAATAGGAATACCGGAACTCTAAAGGGACTTATCCTTTCAGATGAGCTAACCTGTCTACATATCAATGCGGTGTAAAAGTTTACTTCGCGACATGTGAATAATTCAGCTTCGACATAGCCCCCAGAGCCGATCACCCGTTATCCCCGTTGATCCTCGAAATTTCTAGCATTTTATAACATTTTCCAACTTCAAGTGTGTTAATTTTTGCCATTTTCTGGAATACTTGAACGAAACGGAATAAAACCGATAGACGAGTACCCATAGCGCTTTCCAAAGAGTGTTGATTCCCCGGATGCGGACCCCACTTTAATCAGCCTAGACCCGGGGCTCCGAGCACAAAGCAGTACGGGCTACCTTTGGCATCATTGTCGCGAGGGAGTGATGAATCTGCTACTTATATGCGACATGGCGAGTCAATTTAACATCATGAAAAATATGAAATTATCTGACTTTTGGCTGCTCTTTGAGATTGCAGTTGCTTAAGTAAAATTCTATCGCACCTAGAATCTAGATCTCAGGGGTGATGTCCCCACCCTATCGACTTAGACTCGCATATTGAGGCTCAATTCACCCTACGATCCATAGAACATTTAAGAAATTCAACTTCGATTTGACGGAATAGGCAGACAATAGAGCGTTTAATTGATATAATTGGTTGGATTAATCGCGTGCGGTTGCCTTGGTTGGATTACGTCTCAGGTTTGTTTCAATGTACCTCCCATCGTGCCATATGGCACGATGGATCTTGACGTGCATTGGACTAGGGTCCCTAACCACAACCAACGCCCAGATCCATCGTATCCAAAATGAAGAAGATAACTTATCGCCAGAGACATTTAGCACAGGAATAGCTTAGGTAGCGTTTCGAAACCAGCTGATGGCGTATCCCAAGAAGGAGGCAAAGCCCCTATCGACTGATGATGAGTCGACGACGATAACTTCAAGTCTGAGAGGAGCCAGGGGTGTACGTATGATATCCGCGATATCATTAACTTCTTAAAATAAAAACACCGCCCAATTGCTTTGGTTGAACCAATCCCTAGATCCTATATTTAATCAAATTTCACTTTTCAGCTGTGTATGCCGATGTCATTATAGCAATCATAACAATACTCGATACCAACATCGCCTCTCATCATAATCATTATCGCCACCAACATACCTCACAATGGCTCCTATTGACCGTGAATTCATCACGCGGGAACTACCGCAACTCATCGGCCGCGGGGTGAGCCATATGAGCGTCATATCAAAACGAGAAGTAGACCACCGGGCGATAGAAACATTTCTAGTTGGTAAGTAGCTGCGGTTCATCAGAATTTTATCTATAGCATCCCGCTGACTTACTGTCGTATTAGCCTTCACCTGCATTTTCGGTGTCGGAGGTTGGATTTTCTGGATGATTAGGCAAAAGTAGATTCATCGACATGGAGTACGGAACATCGATCGATACCATTAGGCGTACGGCGATATTGCTTATATTAAAGGGAACGGCGTTTTGGGAGTACTGAATGGTTCGCATTCGACATCAAGGATGGGATATGGAATAAAGAATAAAGCAAGGATATATCAGTAGACTTGATATATCTTGAAAGCACTGTGGAAGACAGCGCTTTCAGTACCCAACCACACGGGACAGAATCTAAAAGACCTGTACAAAACATGTATGAACTACAATAAGGATAACCGGGCATCATTATAATCAATATACTCCCACGACTGTCCTATTGCTCATTCTATTCAATTTCGACATTTCTGCAATTTCCAATGTACGATGAGATAAATATGATACCTAGCGGTACCTAGGAATCAGGCAGGTATGTACGTCGCTCTTGGCTTCCTTTCAGCACACTATCAGTGAAAACGCCACACCGGAGGTCCGGTGTATGGCCTGATAAAGCACAAACGAACCTACACCGCTAGACGCCAGGCGCTACAGACATCCATACCACTACAATAAAGAGCTCATGGTGCATCTAATTCAATAAATCTAATTGATACAGGTATATACCAAACGATCGCTAGCCAACTCCCTACCGACCTATATCCAAAAGATCAAAGTTACATCTACTCTCGAGCACGGTACTCACTCCCTAATAAGTACAACAACACGATCCCTACCCTCTATCAATGCGCGAAGCTCTGGTGTGTGTTCAACTTCGCGAATTCCTTATTCTCCTTCTGCCACTGCTTCGAGAACTTGACTCCGAAACCGTTCGCAAACACTTCTCGGATAGCCTCGAGCGGCATGCCCTTCGCTTCGGGGAAGCAGAAGACGATGAATATCCAACCGACGGTGCAGATGCCGCAGTAGAATCCGAATGCGCCGCTTGGTGTTATGCCCTTCATCATGGAGAGGAATGTGGAGGCGATGATGATGTTGGTGCTCCAGCATGTAACGGTGTTCTAAAAAGAAAATTAGGTCAGCTTCCGAGGTATTCTTAGTTTGATTTGGGGGGGATTTAACTCACCAACATGGTGCCGACAGCTCGCACTTCCAATGGAATGAGCTCCGTGCCGATCCAAGCGATAGTAGCGACTCCGGTAGAGAAGCACGCGACGTAACATATGATCGTAACGAGGAGCACGGTAGCCGGCCAGCCTACGTTATCGCTCTGAACGACCAGGTTCTTGTCGATCGGGATGTAATGGAACGAAACGGACGCGATGAGCATGCATATTGCCATTCCCAGCACCGTTATGAGGAGGATCGCTCGACGGCCGAACCTGTCTACTACGACTAAGTTGAGGAAGGAGAAGACGAAGTTCGTTCCCGATACGGTGATGGCGACTACGGCGGCGTTGTTGAAACCGACGATGGAAAATAAAGTCGCGCTGTAATACATGAGCGTGTTGAAGCCTCCGAGTTGCGAGATCGCCATGATAACACAGGCTGTGAGGACGGCACGGCCAGTTGCGGGAGTCGTGAAGATGCGTTTGAGGGATCTCCAGATGGAGTCGTCGACCATTGTGTTGGTTGCTTCTTGGATGGACATCTCGATGGACTGGATCTTAGCCCTTCGTTGTTCTTCGGTCGACGTGGGGTAGATTCTCATGAGGACCTTCGATGCTTCATCGGAATGTCCATGGGCGACGAGTTGACGAGGAGATTCCGGACAGAGGAAGAGAAGACCAGCAAGAGCGATGGCTGGAACAGCTCCGATTCCTACTGTAGCCCGCCATGCCTGACCTCCCACTTGGGCGAATCCGGCACCGAGAGCGCTCGCGAGTAATTGGCCGAAGGTGACGCTCATGTTGTTGAACGCAATCATTCGACCACGGTACTTGGCAGGTGCCAGTTCGCCAACTGCGCCAACCATTAGCTATTAAATATGAATGAAGACGTCGTCTTCGTAATATGCAGCAATACTCACTGTAGAGTGGTACAATCATAGCGGCGGATCCAACACCTAGACCAACGACAAATCTTCCGACGGCGAACTGTGGGAGATGATATGCTGCCGTTTGAAGGACCGTTCCGATGACGAAAACGATGCATGCGATCCAGATGGGCATCCGGCGGCCGTATCGATCGGCGGTAAGACCAGCAAAGACAGCCCCGATGAGAGCGCCGCCGCTTGTTAGGGAAGTGACCAACTCCTGCTCACTGGAGTCGAGCGCATGGCCAAGAGAAGTCCCGATGGTGACAAGGACGGAGGAGATGTAACCAGTGTCGTATCCTGTCATAGCGCGATGATATGATTAATGTTGCTCTATGGGAAACCGGCTGTAGGATCTTACGTACCGAAGAGAAGACCACCTAGAGACACCGCTATGCAGATGAGCCATGCCGCCTTCGACGCCGCTGTCGCTTCGATGCCGCTCAGTTCAGTGAACTCTTCCGCGTTCTTGAATTGCACATCTTCGACGTGGTCAGATGAACCTACGATATTCGCGCCGACCTTCAAGTCGTCTTTGTTGTCTATGTCGAGGTCGGACATGGTGAATAGATGTCAAAACAAAGGATAACCAAGAAGGCGTCAATGGGAATAGAATCAGGCTTGATCAGCTGAGAGAAGATTCTGTCGATGCTGTCGAAGCGGAAATCAACGAGGTTTTAAGCCCAGACTCGTGGAAGATAGTAATTACTAATAAGACGGTCGATAGACGTTTTATGCAGGTCATATTCAGACCCCAAGGCCATGCTAGACCGGGTAGGGGCCGGGTAGCCCCGTCCCCCTGCAAGTACCGAATCCCCATGGTTGGCCATAGTTGGCCGTAGTGCGTTCCGCAAAGCTGGGGAAGTTCTGGGGATGCGGGGAATGATGGAGAAACCTTGGAAGTCACCCAGTTGACCGGCGCCAGAAACGTGTCTTAGTCCGCTAGCGTCGGTAAGGTCGGCGATAATGACAGACTGTGTCGGGGATATTTACCGTTGAAGTATGCAGAGTTCGCGAATACTTACTATGTTTGATACGGTTATTTCGAGCGACGCAATGAAAGAAAAGGAGCGATTCCGATTCTCTTGTCTAAGCCACGGGGCCGTTCCCTGCGATGACGATGATCCGCGCCGCCTATTCCTAGCCTAGATTAGTTAAGTGGCTACCTGATATTACGAAACAACGCCCATACAAACCATATAAGTGCTTATTCTACTTATTAATGCTCGTATCAAGATCTCGACTTCTCTTGTCGCCATATACGCAATAGCTAGCCTGGATGGCCGGTCATTTTTCGTCAGCCCTTCCTCGGATATTAATGCGTATAATATGACACCTAGCCGCCTTGTCACTAAACTACCAGGCCAACCCACTAAAGACAGTAGCAGAAACAACGTCGGAAAGAGTTATCCGAGAGATATAGCAAAAATGACGAAAACACCGAGAAAGAAGCGTGGTTTCAACTGGAATAACAGATTCTCAGCGAGAATGCGTCTAGAACGGCCGAATTTCTCCTCATCTCGCAGGACGCATACACCATCTCCTATCGGATTTCGTTATCTCTATCCGGATTTACTTGTTTCTGGAATATAGATTAATACATCTGAGACAGCAGATGGCATTTTCGCCGAGGTAGAAAAGGCGCCTACATAACCATTAGTTAAGTGTTTCGTATATGGAAGTTGTATATATCCACTCTACTAAGCTGAACTGGGTATGCCTTCAAGATTGGTAGTAAGCAGAGTGGGTCACTGTAGTCGTAAGTAACGTCATCCACGGATTGCGGCTTTAGATGGACCGCCTAACGACCTAACTCGACGTCATGTAAGGCGCCCATTTGGTCAGAGGGATATGGCATAGCGCTTCCATGCGTATTACACATCAGTATGTCAGAATAGAAGTTCCTAGCAGTGAAACAGTGCCATCTCGTTCTCCTGGACAATTCGGTAAACGTCGTGACGAAATAAGTCATCTTTGTTTCCCTCGTTAACACTGATTGCGCAAAGCTCGCCTTCATATCCGAGCTTTGATGAGTAAAGCAGATAAATTTGTCGACACATAATCTTAACAAATATCGAGGTATATTTATAAACATGTCGAAATTTCTATCTAGAAATACTTCACTAGCCGCTGCCTGGTTCGCTAACTGTAGCTCAATATCTATCAAGATATGAAGGCGAGCTCTGCTTAGCCAATGCTAATACCTCGGACCGTGGTTATGCATGCAGGAAATGCTCCTTGCCTCACCAACAGGTTTACCACGGGCTAAACTCCGATCTGACCGGACCTTACCAGTCCTCCCAGTACACTAAACCTTCAACACAAGATCCCAACTCAATGCCTAATATGCTATGACCTCCCAACCATGAAAAGAGGTGACAAATGCACCCAACCCAACCACCTACTCTCTCACTCCCCCAACCCCTCATCCCTCCTCCTCCAAATCTTAACCGGCATATCCTTAATAAGCCAATTCATAGTCTCCAACCTCTCGAGCTCGAACGCCGGGGACGGGAGGGCAAATCTGTACCTCCTGAGCACGGAAGCCAAGACCACCGTCTGTTCGAGGTACGAGATATTCCTACCAATACAGCCTCTCGCGCCCGCCGAAAACGCCAGGAAATACGGCTGCAGCCTCTTCCCCTCCTCGCCGAGCCAGCGCTCGGGGATGAACTTGTCCGCTTGTGGGAAGTACGCCTCGTTCCTGTGCGCGACGAACGCGGAGATGGCGACTGTCACCCCGCCCGGGATGTAGTCGCCCATGATATTGATGCCGTCGGGCGGGGTTTCGCGCGGTAGGCCGTGCGGGGTGGGTGGGAAGATGCGGAGGGATTCGTCTAGACAGGCGCGCAGGTACGGGAGATGCTTGACTTTATCGTACGCGACAACGGCTTCTTCCTCTAGATCATCGCCTTCGAGCGCTGCGTCGAGCTCTTCGACGAGCTTGTCCATTGTGGCTGGGTTCTTGAGAAGCTGGAAGAGCACGTTGGTCATGGCGATGGCGGTCGTCGCGCTGCCGGCGTTCATCATGATGCTGACTTCGGCGACGATCTCGCCCCACTCCAGGTTGTTTGGCTTGCCGCCTTTGTCTTCCATCAGCGCTTGGAAGAAGTCGTCGAGTTTTTCGCCCGCGCGGTAGCGGTCTAGTCGACGGTGGGAGAGCTCTAGCGGTATGCCGTCCCAGTCGCGGCCGAGCTTGCCCATGCGTCCGTAGAAGGGGATTATGTTGGCAACTTTGTTGATGAAGGGGTACCAGGCGTACGGCCACACGAGCAAGGATTGTTTTCTGGCGTTTTGGTAAAGACATTCCCGATAGTTACACTCGTATTTCGTTCCGTCTAGTCTTCGACCGGTGATGCGGTCGTGGCCACGATCGAGGAAGCCGAGTTTTTCGGAGAGACCGATGTCAGCGATGGCGTCGAGACTGAAGAAGTTGGTCCAGGTTCGATAATCGAGGTTGACATCTTCAGGTGCTGGTATTTGGCCTGCCGGCAGAGGTGCAGTGCAACATTTGTCGAAGTGCTTGATCATCCGTGCGGTTTTATCCGCGACTTTATGCTCCCATTCCTCAAGATTCTTGATAGCGTATGCGGCGGATAAAACCTTGCGTTTTCGAGAATGATCTTGTCGATCAATGACATCGGCAAGATGGTAGTGAGATCCAGAGGTTATGATGTAAGAGGTATCCTTCGTGCAAGGGGTATTATGACCGTAAATATCCTTGATTGCCCTTAAATCCCCGTAAGAGAGAGTATTTGGTCCAGTTCGAATTACGGGATATTTCTTGTGCATCTTGGAGAGGTATGTGGAGCGGGCGCCGCCATGAGCGAGTATCATGAAAGGGATTGCTGTGATACCCGATAAGGGGGTCATGTTATGAAAGCGACGAAGGCCCTTTACATCGCGAAGGTAAACGACGACAGGATACACAACAAAGTATAGGAGGCATAGCAATGCTACTCCTGCCGCGTATGGAGCCGAGAAAGCTATGTTCGGAGCCATGTTTGCGTATAGGGATAACCACTGTAGGTAGTAACCCAGGTAGGTTATGACTTTGGAAGATTAAATAGCCCTGGACTTGAGAAGTCTTGTGAAGGGCCGGCCTTCCAGGTTAAATCATAAATCGTTATTTGATCCTCCATCTCGATATCTTTAAAGATATTATCAAATCTAGTGTAGATTATAGATCGCGAAACATCCAAACGTTGATACCCAAAAAACCATCCACATGGCCACTCACATGAATTGCGGTTTCGCAGTAAACGATCCTAGATTTCAGATTTAGTAAAAGGGGTAAAGAAATCCGCTAGAACCCACAAGGGTTATGGGTACATCGTTCTGCGTAAACCCTGAACGTGGAAACTTTCCCCGTACATATACTATTATAGGACAATAAGGGGAAATGCGGAGAAATGCGGAGAAGGTGGGGAAGGAGGCGCAAACTAGCCTTGATCTGATAACCGAGGATCTTTAGTGGCTTGAAGCCATCATAGCCTATCAATAATATCACACGGATTACTACTGCTACATCCCCAGAGTGGATCTAGAACGTCACGAGAGGCGGATATGGAAGGAAAAGGATGCCGTATTGGTCAAGATCTGTTTTTGTGGAAACCATCTGAAACCCGCTTTCCAGTCGCTTTCCATTTTAGAATTCATATACTAGTTCCGGCTATCGATTGCCGTCGTCCCAAGAACTGACCAGTAATATATATACTAAAGTAGTCGGGTTTCCAATTCCGGATTTCGTTATGAGGGAACGGAGACCCTAGGAGGCGACCCCTTGGACACGTCTTTCCATTAAGAGATCCGATCTCTTCTTGGAAATCTAATCCGACAAGTCTCTCAAAGGGCTAATCGACGATGTCGATGGTCTCAAAAGCATTCAAGATAAAAGGATTTGCCAATAATAATTGTAGTTTCATAGTTAACTAGGTAGATTATAGATTATAGATTACCATCTACACTCCCATTCCACTTCAACGCGGTCGCCGCCGTTAAGTGCAAGATGGAATTCCTAAGTAATTTCGACTTTATACAGTCCCCTCTTGCATCCAAAGTACCAATACAATCCCTAAATATCCGACCGCCAACGACCTTAGATTTCGCAGCCCTCATAACGTTCTTTTTCTGTCTGCTTAGCTACCTTTCCCACGGAAAACTCTGGGACAGGCCCGATCCCTATTACTACACCTGGCACGAGAAGCCACAACAAAAAGACGGAGACAGCGTCGACGGGAGAAAAGCCAGCCGCAACATCGCACAGCACCTTGAAGAAGGCGACCACAAAGTAGTCATTTTCTGGGGTTCTCAATCAGGTACTTCGGAGCGCTTTGCCGAGCAACTCGCCAGGGATTGTTCTCTTAGATTCGGTCTAAACGCCTTATGTGCCGACCTCTCTGATTTTGACGCCGACACTATTGCTCTTATTCCACAGAGCAAGTTCGCTATTTTTCTCCTTTCGACATACGGCGAGGGAGATCCGAGCGACAACACCGCCGGTCTTTGGACTTGGTTGAAGAAAATCAAGGACGATAATGTGAAACTTCCTAACTTACGGTACGTAGCCTTCGGGCTCGGAAACAGCAATTATAAGTACTATAACCGCGTCGTCGACGTCGCGGTTGAAGCGTTTGATCAAGCTGGCGCGACATCACTACTTCCGACGGGAAGAGCCGACGACGCCGAGGGAGCTACGGAAGAAGATTTCCAAGAGTGGAAGGATGATGTCTTTGGTATGTTCAAGAAAGGGTTAGGCTTGGAAGAGAAGATCGTCGAGTATCAACCAAGCGTAAAGGTATCATTTGGACAGGATCCAGTTGCGCGTCCTGGCAACATCATCAACCACGGCAGCCCGGTCTCGGAAGCCTCCTCCACAAGCTCATCTGTACGTGCTCTGCCTGTTACTAAGACACACGAACTCTTCACATCCGGCGATCGAAACTGTCTTCACATGGAGCTGCATCTCGCAGATCACCCAGACGTACATTACAAAACCGGCGATCATATCGGTATTTGGCCCTGCAATCCCAACGAAGAGGTCGAGCTGCTCATCTCAGCCCTCGGACTCGATGATCAACGAGATGCAGCTCTTTCCATCTCCGGAAAAGCCAAGATCCCCTCGCCCACGACTGTGTCTGCACTCTTCCGAAACCATCTCGAAATATGCGGACCGCTCTCTCGCAAGACTATTTTCGACCTCGCCCAATTTGCACCAACTGCAGAAGCAAAGTCCCGTGCGCTAGAACTGGGCGGTAGCAAAGAGAAATACGCCGATTTTGTCTCATGCACGCACCTCACATTAGCTCGATTTCTCCATCTCAGCAGCCCGGATGCACCCTGGTCGAACCTGCCATTGTCGTTCATCGTCGAAGCCATCCCAGCGTTACAACCGCGGTATTACTCTATCGCATCAAGCAGTGTAATATCGCCGCGAAAAATCGCCATCACCGTTCTAGTATCCAACAAAACGCTCCAAGGTGCATCGTCGCAGACCATTTTCGGCGTGACCGGCAATTACCTCCTTTCGATGTCAAAGATTCCATTAGCCCCCACGCAATCCTCTACCGAAGCACGACCGGGGTACGATTTAGCGGGTCCGGAGGGTATCCTTCAAGGCACGAAGCTGTTCGCGCACGTACGAAAATCGAAATTCAAGCTCCCGATCGCCAGCAGTACGCCAATCATCATGGTCGCAGCTGGAACCGGTCTTGCCCCCTTCCGAGCTTTTATCGCAGAGCGAGCGAAACTACATGTGGTCGGAAAGAAAGTAGGGAAGATGGTGCTGTTTTTCGGATGCAGGCACCCTGATGAGGATTTTATCTATCGAGAAGAGCTAGAGGAGATGCAGGCCAAGGTTGGCAGCGATATATTTGAAATCGTCATGGCATATTCGAGACACGGAAAAAAGGTATATGTGCAGGATCGCATTACAGAAAATGGCAAGATGGTATTGGATACTCTGGATTCTGGAGCGAACCTATACATATGTGGTAGGGCGAGCATGGCGAGGGAGGTAGACAGGCGTATCGAGGAAATCGCAATTGAGCATAAGGGCATGTCTAATGTGGATATCAAGGCTTGGACGGATGGGTTAAAGAAACGTGGCAATTGGCGATCGGATGTTTGGGGTTGATTTGGTAGAAATATTAGATTTTCCATTGCTCTCGTAAATCTTTAATAACATGATCAGTTTTCCAACCTGTCGTTCTCTTCATGGATATCAAATACTCGACCGCTGCGTCTTGCTCTTCAGCGTCAGTCAAGTAGGCGCCACAGGCAGCTAGAATATGCGAAACTTGAAACTGGGCATTTTTGACATGATTGTTCGATTTGGCGTAGCCAAAGATCATGCGCATATGCTTCCTGATTTCTCCGTCTATGACGATTCTTGAGCGGTGGCTTGTCAGGCCAACACGCGTAGCCCGAGGGTTGTAGAACGTGAGCATGATTTTACAGAGGTGAAAATATTGCAGTCCGACTGCTTGGGCTGGATGTGTAACTAGTAGCTCAGGCCATTCGCCGTGCCATTGTGCGCGACCAGGTTCGATGTTCTTATCCACAAATTGGTCTTCAGCTAAAGGGGCGAAAGTCCAAGGCTTTGTATTATCCCACTCGTCCACTTCGGCATCCAGTTCAGTCCACTTTTCTTGAGAAAGGCGCCCAAGCGTATCGTTCTCGAACACGTTTTTAAGAATATGGGCAAAACAAAATATTATCCTGTTTGCCCAGGCTTCCTCGTGGGATTCTCTGAAGATGGAAGAACAACGATAATTCTCAAGGCTTAGATCCAATGGTCGTTGGGTTGTAAGGGAGACGTAAATATGTTGCCGTAGTGATACCCAGCTCGCAGACTCCCTCAGCCCGCCGTCAGCAGCAAATGAGGATGATGTATTGATTATGCGTGAAGCACCAAGATGATGGCACCTCTCGTCTATTTCACCTATTTCTTCATGCAGTCTAAGTAATATGACAGCTACGAGAAAATTCTCGTCCCAATGTGCTAATGGATCCTCAAGGGCTACAATCAAGGTGTGCAGAGAGTCAGAGACATAAGGCTCGGATAAGTCTTCTTCAAGATCTCCGGTAATAAAAAGGTGTCGTGCAGCCAGTGCCAGGACGCCGTTTAGGATGACTTGGAAGTGTGCAGCGCGTTTAGGGACTTCCTTGGCCCAGTGGCATTTTGGGTCACATATGTCTATCCAAGGAGAGCAGTGCACGATGTAATGGTGGAAGAGCCTCGCTTCATGTCTGTTTTTCACTGGCCATCTTGAGGAGAAAGGGGACGTCTGGGATAGGGATGAGTGTGTTGTAAGTAATGGCGAGTCTGGTCGTATTGCTGGATGACCTAATGATATGTTCGGCGAGAAGGCAGAGAAGGCAGAGGCCGATACACCTATCGGACAGGCATCGGGATCGATTATGTCATGCGACTCAGCAAGATCGGAGGTGATATTCGACGGAGAGTCCAGGACTGTGGAGAAAAATCCCGTGGAACCGGATGCATCTTGCTGTTCCGAGTACGACAGGCTTCGAGGCCTGTCAGCGGAAGTCAACGATAAGGTGCTACCACTTGAATCGATATTGGCGTCCTGGGGGGCTGCAATGGGATATTCTTCACTTCCAGAAATAGAAATATCCTCGTCATCTTCGGCGTTCGGGGGTAGGAATTTCACTAGTTACATGTTAGCCAAGGAAACAGGTTCCGCTTTGTGGGTCAAAAGGAGAAAGGGGTTACGTACATGTTGTCGGGATATCTACCCAGGTTTGATTCTCTGAAAACTCCAGCTCTTGCTGGGCGGCACCAATGTTCTCACCTGCATTGAACCGAACCGATAGCACTGGGCAAAAGCGATAACACTCGCCCTTTACGCATGTTCTCTTTTTCTGAGTGCAGTTCTTGCAGTCGTCGGACCCAGGAATCGTTACACCTGGCTTGCGTTAGAGAAGCGATATGTACTAAATCGATGCATAGCTTAACTTACATTTGATATGACGTTTTCGGCACGGTAGGCTAATACTGTGGTTACTAAACTGTTGCTGTTTCAGTGTCTAGGGGAAGTACTGACCATCCACTTCTTTGGCGCATTACTAGGTACTCGACATAGGCTGTAGGGCCTGAGGCTCCAGGGACGAATAGATTTCCGAGTAGTGATGGAGGTAAGGTAAAATATTCCGGGTGTACTCTTAGAACATGCGGGAATGACAGCCTGTTTTATCATCGGGTTTCAATTCCCGAGCCATACACCATCTCTCAGCTAATGCGTGCCCCTTGGTTTGGAACATCCTTCAGCACCTTACACGTATGTAATTAGTTCCAATAGTACATACATGTACATAGTACGGAACCGCATGTGACGTAGTCAAGAACCTTGGCGGACCAATAAGAAAAGGAAGAAAATAATACATACCTAGGTAATCACAATAATCTGGGGAATTGTATGGGGTAGTATGGGGTAGTGGTTGTCTTAGCACCGAGCGTCTCCACAGGTCTCCAACGAGGTGTGGGGTAAGGTGTAAGATTCAAGGACCTGATATCGCTGAATTAATATAGTAATCAATCCCGGTGGTGAGGACCAACGATGCATATGCAAAAGTATGCGATAGCCATATCCACTTAAGTAATCGCGTGCAACATAGTCGCTAGGAAAGGAGAATCGACCCGGTATAGACGTTAGCCATGGAGACATCGTCATCCAGATCGTCGTCTAGACCTGTGCCCTTACCTTCTTGCATGCGTCCGAAAAAGGACGAGAGCCTCCCCGAGCTATTGACGGCCGGAATTGTATTTCCATCCGCCATGAATAGAAAAGGTCACAGGAACACCACCAGTTTCTCTCAAGTTCGAACAGTGCATCCTCACCTTCTCTCATCTTCTCATTATCATATTCTCCCTCTGATCACCTCTAAACCCCATCTCTTTTTGCAAAATTCGCGAAAATGGCACCCCAAAAGCTAAAGATCGCAGCCGCTGGTCTGGGTCGCATGGGCAAGCGCCATGCTTTGAACTTCCTGAACCGAACTCCTCGTGCAGAGCTTGTCGCAGCGTTCTCTCCAGACCCCAATGAGCTCCAATGGGCAAAGCAACACTTAGAACCATACGGCGTCACCCTGTATAGCGACTATGAGCAGATGCTTCAACATCAAGACCTCCAGGCAGTCGTAATCGGAACCGCAACCTCAGTCCATGCCGAGGAGGCCATAAAAGCCATGGAGAAGAACCTTCACGTGTTATGCGAGAAGCCACTCTCGACAAAACTTGAAGTCGTACGTAAGCAATGCCGCAATTACCAACTCAAGTACTGACCTCGATTTGGAGACTGTAGTGTAAGCAAGTAGTTGCAGAGGCTAAGAAGCGACCACACCTGAAGGTCATGTGCGGATTCTCTCGCCGCTTCGACGCTTCATACCGTGATGCCCGCGACAAGATAGATCGCGGTCTCATCGGACGGCCAGCTGTCGTGCGAAGCCAGACATGCGACAAGCACGACCCATCAGGCTTCTTTGTTGAGTACGCCGCGTGGTCGGGAGGTGTCTTCGTTGACATGACCATCCACGACATCGACTTAACCCTATGGTTCTTCGGCGATGACGTTACATTGAAGAGCGTCTCTGCTTATGGTGTCAGAGCTGTCCAACCCGACTTGGCCAAGCACAACGACTTCGACAACGCGGTTGGCATTGTAGAATTCTACAACGGCAAGATCGCATACTACTTCTGCAGTCGCATGATGGCCCACGGTCAAGAGGACGCGACTGAGATTATCGGAACCGAGGGGAAGCTCTCGGTCAATGCCAACCCGCAATTGAACTTGGTGAACCACTACCATTCAGGAGGCATCACGAGAGAGGTGCCGCCCGACTACTATGGCAGGTTCGAGATGGCATTTGTGCAGGAATCTAACGAATTCGTCGCCAGCTGTCTCGACAACACGCCGTTGCCCATGAAGCTGACCAACGCGGTCAAGGCTGTGGAGATCGGCTCGTACCTCCAAGAAGCCCTCGTCCAAGGAAAACAAATCCGTTTCGACGAGGCCGGAAGGCGAATCGAGGCAGCGAACCTGTAAGGTCAATTGACAGGAAATTGCAGGTCTGTTTTGGTGGAGACGTTTTTGAACTCGCTAGATCATAGCGATGATATTCGAATCCCCGAGGTGGAAAGAATAAGTATTCAGAATGTACCTAATGGAGGGAGAAAATGATTAGATAATTTGGAAATTAACTTAACGCCACTTTGCCCCGTGATTTCGTTATAGATTACCAAAGAACTCTGTCAACCTAGATTACTAAGATATTTGGTAAGCGAAAATTCGGACTGTCAAATGCCCTTACCTAAATACTTAGTAAGCAAACTACATTTCTTAGGTAATTATCTAGTAAGCAGAGTTATGTAAGTCTTGTCCCGTCTTACCACCCCACCTTGCCGGCCGGCTTGCGGCCAGCCATTTCGTTATCCACCCTGAGAAAAACGCCTTTCGGTATGATAAGACCTAATTCCAACGAGACCAACTCATCTTGCAAAATAGTTCGGTTCTCATAAGCTCCTTTCCTAAGTCGAAGTTCCGACAGCGCATCCACATGTGACTGAAATCGCGCTCTTCCTCCCATATGTCGAGCGCCACGACTTACGAAACTTCACATGCCAGCATGTGGCAACCCGTCATCGAACTGCGCGAGACCTTGGTCATGACTTATCCCTGATAAGTTGAGCCAACATACATCCCTCACGTCGTCCATCCTTGCGATGTCCGTGTTTCTGCTATAGCCTTTACTCTGGCTTTGAGGCAACTTCGGAGACACGTAGTATAGAACCGGCTTAATAGTGGGAAGGCATGCGTTAATGACGCTGAAAGTTGGCTCTAAGAGAGAGTAGATGGAAATGGCCGTAGCCGTCCATGTAATATCGGATAAATCCCATTGGGCGAGCGAGACAACTCTGAGCAATCAAATAACACAGATTCTAGAGACGACCAACACAAATCTGCATAACACCTTGGGGTAGAGTTACGATCGACCCGACCGTGTACTTAAAAGATGCTCAACCCGGACATCGCGGCGACCCCGACCTTTCTTGCCGTAGATATTTGCAGGCGGAATATCAAAGGCATTGGAAGGGCCACGACGACGACATCTATAACCAGGTTTGTGATCCCAGACATAATATACGCAAGATTTTGATTATGACGCTCGCCACCTGAGATCGTCTTATCCAAATTGAACTCCACTGGGCTGCACAAGACGAATGCTTCCAACAGCACGCTGATGAAGTAACAAACCGATATACCCATGGTGACATAGCAGCCACGACGGAGCTTCTGGTTAGGAAAGATGTCTATATAGAGGGAAAGTATCGATAACTTGACGCAGGTATTCGCCGAAGCCCAGCAAAACTGACCTACTGTATTGAACTTCAAACGTCATCTGTTAGATATGTAATTGACCTGATTATAAGTTTCCGAAATACCTTTATATAAAGGACCAAGATGCGTGGGTCTATTAAGTAGGTAGGTAGCATTCTCACATTTCATCTATCCAACGGCGTATTAAAAGCATAGTTATCATAGTTGGGTAATGTTGGCTATGTCTCCATAAGATAGTGCACTCAATAGGTAGGCTATGTTGATGCGGAGGCAAGGGAGTCAGTTACGAAGACTGCTGGTTCCAAGGGTGTCCTCGTCGGGCTATAAGGTGACATCCAAGGCACTGTCAATTTGTGTCTCTCATTCATTTCAACACCTTTCCCCTCGATAATCAAAAAGGCTGGTAAATTGTTCACCACTACCTTCAGTATGGCTCTAAACTCTTATGATTTCGTGATAGCCGGTGGTGGCACTGCTGGTTTAGTTCTTGCCAGTCGACTTTCAGAAGATGAAAGCCAGTCCGTTCTTGTGATCGAGGCTGGGTCGGACCAAAGCGATAACCTACAGGCCAAAATTCCAGCCTTCTACGCAGCGCTTCTCGGTGGTAAAGCAGATTGGAATTTCGCAAGCGTCGCTCAGGTATGCTTCCTTAATTGCAAGAGTGGTCGCAACCTGTGCTAACCATATGGTTACTCCACCATAGCCAAATCTTCTTGGTAGGACTGTCCAACTCAACCAAGGGAAAGCCCTTGGTGGCTCGAGCATCTTAAACGCTCAAGTATTTGCCCCACCTACGCCAGGAATCATCGACTCATGGGCATCACTCGGAAACGATGGCTGGGACTGGGAGTCACTTCGCAGCTTTTACGAGAAGTCTTATACATATCCTTCTATCCCTAAGTCTTCGTGGGAGACGCTAGGAATAGGGAGTTGGCCGACGCAGAATAATAACGATCAAGGCCCAATCCAAACTTCGTTTCCGCTAGCTACCCATCCTATTCGGAAAGCGTGGGTGGAAACGTTTGAGAAGCTCGGTTATCGCAAAGACGATGACCTCTGGGTTGATAGATCCATAGGGGCATTTAACAACCTCGCGAGCGTTGACCCAATTTCTCGGGAGAGAAGCCAGTCCGCCAATCGCTATTATGATCCCATCAAGAATCGTAAGAACATCCATGTCCTCACCAATGCGACTGTCGAGAAGATACTCTTTAAAGAAGGATCGACCGATGCGATCGGATTTCAATACCACCATGACTCCACCACGAAGAGTGTTACGGCTCGTAAAGAGGTTATCATTGCTGCTGGTGCCATTCAATCGCCCAAGATTCTTGAGCTTTCTGGTATCGGTAAGCGTGACATCTTGGTTCAACATGGCATTGATGTCGTTAAAGATCTCCCTGGTGTCGGGGAAGGTCTACAGGATCATCTTGTAGTTGACCTCTGCTTTGAAGCAGAGGATCTAGAAACCAGGGATGCAATCATTAGACGGGAACCGGAAGCGGTCCAAAAAGCAATGGTTGAGTACATGGCGAACCGGACCGGTATCCTCACTTCGTCGGGGACCTTGACTTATGCCTATATGCCCGTGAATACTTTAAAATCACAAGATGGCCACCAGCGCTTACAGACACTCCTGGAGGAGAATCGTCCGAAAAAGGGGAATTTCGAAGAACGGGACCTAGCCCGCGCCTTGGCATTCTACGACGTCGCCGAGAAGGCCTTGCTTGACCCATCTATGCCATCGGGTGTATATCTTAGCTCGCTTGGGCAAAACCCACTCGAGTCTGACCCTGTAACTGGCCAAAGGACATACAAGCCACTCCCCGGAAAACACCTCGTTCTGGCCGGCATACTTTCGCACCCTACTTCCAGAGGTAGCGTTCATATACAGTCTAGCAACGTGTCTGATGTTCCTGCGATAGACCCAAACTACTTAAGCAACCCAGTCGATATCGAGATTTTTGCGGAACACATGCTCTACTTGCAGTCTTTAGCCTCGGCTTCGCCACTGAGTGAGTTGCTGAAGCGGCCGCCCAAACCGTCTCGCGCGATCTCTCACCTTGCAGACTTAGAAGGAGCCAAGGATTATATTAGAATCCGTGCAGCGTCTATGTGGCATCCTGCCGGAACGTGTCCCATGCTACCCGAAGAAATCGGTGGCGTTGTTGACAGCCATCTTAGGGTTCACGGTGTCAAAAATCTCCGGGTCGTGGACGCGAGTATCGTTCCCGTATTGCCGCCAGGTAACTTGCAGTCAACTGTTTACGCTGTCGCGGAGAAGGCGGCTTCGCTTATCAAGTCGCAACACGGTTCGTAGTCGGGTATTATATAGGCGGTACTTAGTTGCTACGTGAAATACAAGTCATATCTTTCACAATTTATTACCTAATCAATTTTATTCAAGATTGTTCGGTTCACCACGGATTACCTAATCCTTTAGTAAGCAATTTAGATTCCGAGGTCCACTGATTGGTTTGATTTGATTATCTAAGCCCCCGCCCCCTCCCCCCGCTCCCCCTTTTGAAGTACCCATACATCATCTCCACCTCTCCTTGTACTTATCTCTCAAAGGTCCTCAACCTGAATTCACTTCGCCAGCCGCAGATGGGATGCTATGGACTAGATCTCGTAAAGAGTCCGCCAGAGTCTCCCAGTCATAATCCTCCCCAGCTCTTTGGCTTTCATCCAGCACCTTCTGCCAAGCCTCCACCACTGCCATATCTTGATTTGGGTATCCAAAGCAGAACAATATGATCCTAGCTGTGGGAAGACTACCCATACACATACTAAGACGTGATAGAAACCTAGCTGCTTCTAGTCTACACTTTTCTGCCAAATCGGAATGGCGGTCAAATTGGATGCACCTCAACGAGCAAGTTAGGCTCGCGGCAGCCGTAATCCCTTTCGAAACGTACAACGACTCAACATATCCAATTTTTCGCCAATCGAAATTTTTGTTGCATTCTATATATAAGTCCGCGACTTTCTTTTTTAAAGCATCAGCGACCGATTTCAGATTCTGAGTGTCTGAGTCATTGTCGGAGAAATCTCGCAGCTTAGAAAACTCATCTACCACTGCTTGTAGAGATCTCTTGGCATCCTCATCGGTTTCAGGGCTGTAGTCGAGCAGCCGCAATGCAATTCTTGTGTCATCAAAGTGCAGCGCAGCAGCAAACGCCGAGACATAAGCTCCGTGCTGAGCGCGGACTCTTGGATCGGCACCACGGTCCAGTAGCATTTTCACAGTGTTGGCGCACCCCTTAAAAAAATTATTCAAAGCTGCTATAAGAGCTGTACCGTATACTCCAGTTGGAGCAACAACGTCCACGTCAATATCACCTAATTTGAGCAAGCGCTCAACCGCATCTCCAATGCTAAGTGCGCATGCTGCAATAAGTACAGTACCAAATCTTCCTATAATGGCCTTTTGATTGACATTTGCACCATTCTCAAGGAGAAATTCCATGATTTCAGGACCATGAATGCTAAACGTTTCCATTGCACCAATTAACGGTGTACCGGAGACAGGGGCGAACATAGTCGCCCAAAGACGATCAAGTTCAGGTGTCACTTGAAGGTTGACGTCAGCGCCATTCTGAATGACGAGTTTAATGAACTTTGGCTCGTAAAGAGTAGATGGCTGTTCGGGAAGATCTCCAAGGACTACCAATGGGTGGTTGAGTCTCAGCTTGGAGGTATCGAGGAAGAGATGCTGATGCTCCTCCAGGGGACGGAATAAATCGTACTTTTGTAATACTTGGTTTACCATCGAACGGACCGGCTGGTCAGGGCGTACTATCCCATTTCGCCCTATCTGATCAATCAGAACAAGGAAGGTAACTCTTGCTAACTCTTCCATCCACTCGGAGGGTATATCGCCCATGAATTGGAGGAGGTCGAGGAACCGCGGGATATCCTGAAATATTTTCTTCTGCACAGCCTCGACGATATTGAGATACGCATAATTTAGTTGCCAGAGTTCACAGCTAATTCTTCTTAATATATCGTTTCGTGTCGAAGTGTAAGCGAGGATCAATACTCGTCGAAAAGTCCAGGAGATCATTTTGGAGATAGCGGTAAGAGTGCTTTGCTCATTAACAGCCATTGCAGCTCTGTTTGAACTTTTGTCACCACGATGATTCTCTTCATTTTCTTGACTCTCGAAGTTAAAAAAGGAGGCAAGGCCTAGTAACCGTATTAATCTTCTGTCATAGGGATCGGAGAGCGCCTTAACAGCCTTCTGGAACGCGGTGAAATATCGGACGGTTAATGTCTCCATCAGTTTTCGGGGTCCAATTTCGCCATGAACCATTTTCCAGCAGTCATAGGAGGGCTTCCTGGTACTAGGTAACCAGCCTGGCAGAAACATATACACAATTATGCTCCCATATTCATATCTGGCCCCGAAATAACCTAGCGAAAACATACTCACTGTCCAATTCGCCAAAGACACTTGCCAGCGTGGACAATTTTGTTCTCTCGGGTCGAATTTGAGAAGCCGACTCAGGAAAGGTTGAATCCCCTTATTGCCCTCGAGCGGTTTAACATAGTCATACCAATATTCGCAGGCGTCATCGTACAGGCGAGTAACCTCTGCAGGTTGTATCGTTTGACAAGATTCATAATTCAACAGGGTTCTGAGAAAAACAGTCGTCCTAATGTCTAAGGCACCCATCTCCTTGTTGTGTGCAAAGTAATCTTGCACGGATAGGTGCGAAAAGCGTACGGTTCCATGTTCGTAAGCGAGCAAATACCTGGATCTTTGGAGTAATTCATGGAGTTCAACCACGAAAAATTGATCTACGTCAATTTGTTTAGGTTTCTGGCTGGCTGCAGCAACGAGGTGGTCTGGTGAACTGCTACCTCCACACGCCTGGATCCATGCAAAAGCGCGCATCACATATGGCCCCCAATCCGGATCGGAATTTATGATGTTTATCGTATCGCGGTAGACTTCTACTATATCTTTCGGGGGGCTTCCAAGTGCATCTTCAATTTCCCCGGTAGTAGGGAGCAGGAGGATGTTTTCCAAGTGTACAGACGCATACTGAAACCTAAAAGTAACCTGTTAATACATATTATTCAATATGGTTTGGTACAATAAATGGTACTCACATTGCACCGCTTTTATTTGACAGAGTGGACACAATCTTAGCTTGTAAGTTTGGTGTAATTTTGGAAGAGCCACCTTTCTGGAAGGTCTTGAGGCGGTGATCGATGAATTTCTTAATATCGTCCTTGATGGTCCCCTCAGAAATCTTGATGTCAACGTACCGCTCCATCTGGTTGGCAATCACTGGAAGATCACGACTCGAGATAATAACTTTTATTCTCGAGTCGGAGATCTTTTGCTGGGTAATCGTATCGAAAATTGATATGAGACTTTGAATATACTCCTCATGACATTCGTCTAGAGCATCAATAATTAGTAAGACATTGTTGTGGTGACGAATCGTATCATTAAGCATTATCCGACAATCCTCGATCCCCACCTGCTGCGAAGGAGCATTAACAGGATGTTTTTTGTCGTATATATCAGTGACCTTTTGAGGCAAAACATCGCGCGGCTCTGCCAGTTGCTTGATGAAACTGCGTAGAATATCAATGCAACTTTTTCTAGCATGATCGTATCCAGCGCAGTAAAAGAATGCTACTTGTAGGTCTGGCAATTGACCAATATTTGCATGCGCAGCATCTTCAAGAAGCCGTTTATCAAATTGGTCGATGATTCTGCTTATTAACTTTGTCTTTCCGGCTCCGCCTACACGTCTTATTAGTCTTGTGTATAGGTAGGTACCTAGGTAGGTACATTTCTATATTGAAGAAACTTACGGATGCCATGTATCCAGAGTATATGCTGTTCTACGGAATCGTGCCAGTTCTTGAAATCTTCATGCTCAAAGATCCAATTCCCAGTTCCGAAGACGCGCTTGTCTTTAGCAGATGTATGATGGTCAATGTAGGGTAATTTGGACAACCACTCAAGAACCGACGACCGTTTCTGATTTGATTCATAATTTCCCTTATTCATTACTGCTTCCTTTATCATCTTGGTGTCCTCATGTATATCCTTCAGCCGAGCTAGTTGAGTCTGTAGAGCGCCCTGCGATTCAAGAATAGAGGCCAGACTCCCCTGAACACCTATCCTGAAACACGTCGCCGCCTCATCTTGCAGGTCGAGCTGGATCTTGATGGTATTCTCTTCAAAGTCTGTGATTGCATTGGCCTTCCAGACAGAAGCCCATGTGCGCGCCACGGCACCTTTGAGACCACTAGTATAATGATCAGAAGCAGCAATAAGAAAGATCAGGGTCTGCTCATAGAGGTCGACTATGAAATTCTCAAAGAGTTCGGTGTTGCGATCATTACCGGTTTTCCAAGAGTTTTGAAGATGCCATTCGTATATAAGGCCGCGACTCATGATGATGACCACTTTGTTGAGACCCTGGGTCACTGACTGCGCCACTTCTATTTTTCGGGTGGGAATCTAGATAGATATTGCAGCATATTAGAACAAGGCCTTCTAACCCAAAATACCTAATGTAAATCTTTTTATGATAAGGAAAAGGAAATACGTACTTGGATAAACAGCCAGGCGATGGACCAGCCTAAGCTTGCCATAGGTTCCGAGCTGGTAGCAACAGTGCCAACCTCTTTTAGCTTCCCAAGTATAGAGACAGCCTCGTCCCACAGATCATGCAAGGTGCGCTCCTTTCCTTTGATTTTAATCTTCCATCGGTTTTCTCTGTATTCTTCTCTACGGTTCTCGCACAATTTTCGAAGCTTTTCGGGCCAGGGGACCTGATTTTGCGGCCCCTGTAGCTCCTCCCCTGGAGTTTGGAACGGTGAAGCGTTCAATATCATTTGGAGCTTCATTTTATCCTTATCTGATAATCTGTTCTGGGCTTTAGTCCAGTAGCTGTCATTTTGAGTTGCATCTGCCATGGCCAATAGAAAATCTCGTATTGTAAGATCAAGAGGTACTAGTATAGGATTATAAGAAGTTAGGATCTTTAGAGAGTCGATAGAATCCTAAAGTTTTTCTTTAGTAACACAAGTACTCAGCCTACATATCTACGTACCTACCTAGTATTTACAGTTGATTGTGAGGCTATGAAAAGCCGCAGCAGGTGGTTACCTAAGTATTGATATTATCCAATCGCGAGTGTTTGGCTGAGCACCGATGTAGCAATGTGTACTTACCTCGATAGGTCAGTTGATAGTGGCAAATAATTCCCGGAAAATAGAACATTCCAGGAGCAGATGTTCACTCAAGATAGACCCGAACATCGAGTTAAGGAAGAGTCGTTAAAGAGAGAAGAAAAGCCAATCTAGATCTTAAAAAGTCTATCATTCGAAACCCCAGAGTCGACAGCAGCGTAAGCGATCAAGCATCCAGGCCATCTAGTTCTATGAGTTTCGCCACCATTTTAACCACCTCGTTATCGTGTACGTTTGCGTGTGGGTCGTTGACTTTCATCGCGATGATGTTGTCCACCATGCCCCTGAGTCTCGAGACCAAGACCCCGATTCTTGCCCATCCCCGTAACCTAAATTCAATATGCCGTCAGTAAACCACCAATCGCGACATTATCGGAGTAAACTTACCTCAACCAACCGTCAACAACCAAGCCCCTCCCGAGAGTATCTAGCTCAATAGCGCCCGAGAACAAGAGAAGCGTAAAGGCGTTAAACGCTATACGTAGTTAGCAATCGACCGCCAACCACCAATCAATACCAACCCGCACCTATCCCCCGCCCCCTTAAACAATTGAACGAAAATAACTTACGCGTAAGATCCCGAATAAATATCTTACTCGTCGCCATCATATTGAAATACGACAAGAACACCGCATTACCCGAGAAACCCTGATTATCATGAAGCGAGCTAGCGGGGTGTATAAAAACGCGGCCGTTCTCCTGCGTAAAGTATCTGATAGTTCTGGCCTCGGGGTCCAGCTCCACAGCGCCCGACATCGAGGTCGCGAACTTCTTGTCCGGGAACTGGATGCGTGCGATCTGTGGGGTGAACGCCGAGGCCGTGAGGGCTCGGACGAGAGACGTTGACGCTTGGGTTCCTGGGGGCCGGGTATCGCGGATGCCGATCTCGGCAAGCGAGGAGTAGTACTGGGTTCGCGTGGCAGAAATATCGGAGAGGGTTTGGTATAAGAGGAAGTTTTCATCGCAGAACTGACGTAGTTGTCGCTGTGGCATTCCCTGGTCCATCATCTCGCTCCATTGCTGGTAAGCTCTTAGGTCGGTAAGGAGGTCGCCGTCACCCCTAGAGAACTTCATACGAGCCGCTTTAGCCTCGACGCGCTTCTCTGGTGGCGAAACAAACGGGCTTCTGGTGCTTAAGATAGAAGCGATAGAGATGCTTTCTTCAAGGCACCCAAAGATGGCGCCATAAATCATAAGTTTTCCACAACGTAGATCTGCAGGGATCATAGCTAGTTGTTGACCAAGTGCTGTCAATTCCTCCCCGTCGAGTGCGCCCATCCGCTGTAGCATCTTGACGGCATTCTCGACAGCAGAAATAGCAGGTGGAGTTGGTGTCCTTCCTAAGAATCCGCCTATATCTTTAGTCCCCATAGCTCGTACGGATAAGCAAAGCTGCTCAAGAGGAACACGACGAATCTCAGGCTCCGGACGTTCTGCCATGCGCTGCTCAAGGTTCTGGGTGTACAATTTATAACATTTTCCAGCTTGTACTCGACCAGCACGTCCTCGGCGCTGTTTACAAGCAGCAAGCGAAGCCCATGTCTCTTCAAGTTTGCGCATGTTATTCTGGGGATCAAAGCTAGTCTCCTTAACTTTGCCTGTATCGATGACGGCAACGATGTCATCAATCGTGATTGAAGTCTCCGCCACGTTTGTCGCAACCACCACTTTCCGCATTCCAGGAGGAGCACTCGTGAACACTCTTCGTTGTTCGCGCGTATCGAGAGAGGCATGGAGAGGCAGAACATGTAGGGATGACACATTCTTTAGTTGATTAACAGTCCGGTTGATCTCTGCAACACCTGGTAAAAATATTAGAATTCCTCCCTTTTCTTTGTATAAGTCTGCATCGATAGCTTTCGCTGTTTCAACAATAAGAGAATAGTTGATTCGCGAACCCAATCTCTGTATAGTCTTGTTAATGGGATCTTGCGCGCCTCTATCGCCATAACCTTGATCTGCTGAATTCGTCGTATCGAACATTCCCTCATCGCGATCGCGGTATCTGCCAGTGTCTGGGGTGAAGCCCGTCATCCGGATAATATCATCAAGGTAATAATCCTCAACGGGAAATGTCCTTCCAGCAATCTCGACTAACCCAACACTAAGTCCCTCGGAAGCAAAGTAGCCTCTGAATGTAGCAGCATCAAGGGTAGCACTCATGAGCACAAGCTTGAGATCTTTCCTTCGTTTCAGGACGTCGCGAATGATACTGAGAAGGAAATCCGTATCTAAACTTCGCTCGTGAACTTCATCAATAACTACATGGCTGACGTCGGCTAATGAGGCAACGACATCCTCGGTTCGCCCGCCGGAAGTTTGTAAACGTCTCAGAAGTACACCGGTAGTCACGAAAGTGATTTTAGTTTGGGGACCTGTCTTGTTCTCGCCGCGGATAGTGTAACCAACTTCTTGACCAAGTCTTGAACAGCGTTCATCGCTCACTCTGTCTGCGAGACCGAGAGCCGATATCCTGCGTGGTTGCGTACAAATAATACTAGCAGCGTTCCCGAACCCTTTGCTATATAGATCGTCAAGTATGAATTGAACTGATTGTGTAGACTTTCCAGACCCCGTTTCGCCAGCAATGATAGTGACCTGATTCTGTGAGACTGTGTCCACTACCAAGTCTTTCGTTTGCCAGGCAGGTAACTTTTGGCGTTGGGCCAACATCTGCTTTAATGCAGGGTTGTCTTGCCTTTTCTGCCATTCTTCCCTACTGCGTATATCAATAGTCCACGATAACGGCTTCGGGTGTTTCGAAGATTTTCGGCCTATTGGGATAACGTAGCGAGTTTCTGCTGCAGTGGATGCAACCCCTGATATGTCCCTAAGCTTCCCGGGGTTTTCAATGATTGAGTTGATGTTTTGCTGGACCCAATCAACAGCAAAGTAGATCTTCATCGGCTCTTCACTCAGTGATTCGGTAAGATAAGCAAGCGTCTTCTTGACAACGCTGAGCTTGATGTAAGAGGGTAGATCTGCCACAATGGCCACAATGACTTCGGTCGGATATCGTGGTGTCTTTCGAAACTGGGCAAACGTTTCAACGTCCTTCTTAGGGCCGTTTTTAACTGCCTCGATCCGTATTTCGCAGACATTGTCAGATATTCGTTTGAAGTTCTCACCAAAAACGGATGAAAGGCTCTCCATCTCATCGTCCCAACATTCCTCCGGTGTGCCTGATATAAAGGGATCCCCAGCAGCAGCATTTATCAATGCGGCGTCATTACCACTCGAAAGCAGGAAATGCTGTAATGCCTCAGCGGCGATGCCTTCATCTGCACCTTTCTCGTCATAGAGTTTCCTGCATAATTCGGCCGAGTAACCCGATTGCGACAAGCGCTTTACCGCGGCCTCGCGCTTCAGGTCTTGTGTGGCGGCGACCGAAACACCAGCGCTATAGCTCCCCGGTAATGCCCATCTGGGGAGATCGTCCTCAGGCACATGTATAAGCAACCACTCCAACGTCTCCTCTCTATCCTTGCATTCGTCGACCGCTTCCTCCACGTGGCTTTTTCGAAAGCCAGAATTTGCGAGTTCCTCGATAATAGCTTCTTTCTGAGGTTCAGACATCTTAACCCCGTGAGGGTTCCATATAACCTCTCGTCGTAGTAGATCTTCTAACTGAGATCGTGTTTTTCGGCCCATTTCGATCTTGGGGACGGTAGTCCATCCCTTCATGGGATTTGTACCACCGCCCCCCGAAGAGGAAGCATTGCTTCGAAGAACTAGACCTTCCGCACCTGGCATATTCCTCGCCTTTTCCTTGATCGCCTCCTGTTCCTTTCGCTTCTTCTCAGCAGCGGCCTTGTCATCTTCTCGCTGTTTCATAGTAGCGAAGGGATCCGCATCGTACATCCACGCGTTACCCTTCTTCACGTCTTCCTTCTTCAACTCTTCGAATTTCTTCCATAACGACCTATAATCCGGAGGAAGCGTGGTATGAATGTTCTTCATGCTACAGACCCTGAATAGGCCATAGGTAGCTGCAGCATGCTTAGCTTCTAAAGCGGTCTCTCTTGTCACGAGGTGCTTATTATCAGGTGACAACTTAAAAGGAGGAATCTTCTGTGCCTCCTTAGTCTTTGGATTCTTAGCACTGAGCTGGACAAAGTACGAAAAGCCCTCGGAATTTCTTATCTATGTCACATTGATTAACTAAATATACATTAGCAGTTGAGCAAAACAAGCCGCTTACAGGTTGGTAGTCGGGCTTGTCCCACTTCTGCCTCTGGCAATGCTCTGATAGCAGGTTTACGGGAAGTTTCCCAGTCCAACTTGCTCCTCCGATGATTTGCTTGACCGTTGGTTTCGGGGGACCCGAAGCTTCTGCTGACCCCGCATCGCCCGATCCTGGGATATTTCCTCCGGCACTTGAAGAGCCACCCTGACCTCCTCCTTTCTTAGGTTTAGTATCCTTGGTAGAATTTGTGAAGACTATGAAGTCATCGTTTGGTTGTGTGGCGACGGTATTTTTGCCGGCTTTAGATGATGCTGATTTCTTTGATGATTTAGCGGCCACAGCAGCAGCCGGGGGCGCCGCTGTGGCCTTCTCCTTGCCTTTCTTCACCATGATAATAATCCATTTGCGATTCTATTCAATAGACCTTACCTGGAATTATCTCATGGTTTTTCATATGAAGTGGAAAGAAAGAGATATGAATCTTACGCCGCAGACAGTCTAAAATTGACCATTTGCGCCGGAGAATATCCGAGAAATGGCTTAGTCATGTCCATGTTACGTAATGCGTCGATCACGTCGATAGCTCGATGGTGGGGTAGAATAGGAGACATCGATACCTCTTTCCATCTTCACTATGTTTCTGTCGACATTGAAGAAATAGCTTCTATATTACTAATGTCTACGTATAATCAGTGAGATTCAATTGACAGATTATACTATTACTCTCTACTTCTCAGGCATGTGAATGTAGTAATACGGACTACATAACACCTACTCAGTAGCCGCAGCTACCAACCAGCCAACCTGCCGGGTCTATTTTATCGCCGAGTTATCCTACTAAATGCAGGCGTCAATAATAAATTCCCTCCTAGAAACGCCTCTTACGACTTCCATACCTTAGCCAAGTCGAAGTCGAAGTCGAAGTCGAAGAATAATAATATGCCATCAACCGAGTCAGACCCCGAAGATGCGATCACCTCAGAAGAGATCGCCGGCACGGCACCAGCGCCAGCAGCCACCGGTGTGACTCAAGGCACGAAGCGCAACGCATGTAAGTAGTCTCCCGCCCATCTTCCCCCTTTCCCTTTCCCCTTATCCTTCGCAAACCTATCGATCCAACCAAAAAACCAACTACTAACCACCCCCTCAAGTCACAGAACTAATGTCCCCCAAACCCAAGGCCGCCAAAGAATCCTCCCCCCAAACCCTCGCCTCAACCCGAAGCCCAAACACGCGCTTCCTAAAAGAGCGCGACGGCCTCGGCGCCTACACGCGGAACCCATCCTCCTTCCCGCCCTCGCGCGTAATCTACCACACCGACGATTTCGTCGCCATAAACGACCTATACCCGAAATCCACCGTGCACGCGCTCCTCCTCCCACGCTCACCACTAAGTCGTCTCCACCCCTTCGACGCCTTCGACGACGCCGCCTTCCTAACCTCCGTACGGGCCGAGACCGCGAAGCTAAAGCGATTAGTAGCGAAAGAGCTACAACGGCGGTACGGGCGATACAGCGCGCAAGAGCAAGAGCGAGAAGCGGTGTTAAACGGGGAGACAGAGGTGCCGTCAGGAGAAGGACTACCAAAAGGGCGGGATTGGGAAAGCGAGCTATTAGTCGGAGTCCACGCACACCCGTCGATGAACGACTTGCACGTACACGTGCTGTCGCCAGACATGATATCGGAGTGTATGCGCCACCGCAAGCACTACAACAGCTTCAACACGCCGTTCCTGATCGACGTGGCCGACTTCCCGCTCGCCGAGGACGATGTGCGCAGACATCCTACGAAGGCTGGGTTCAGTAATAAGGATTTAATATGTTGGCGTTGTAAGAGGAATTTTGGGAATAGGTTTAAACAGCTCAAAGACCATTTGGAAGAAGAGTTTGAGGAGTGGAAGAAAGAGTGAATGAGGGCTTTGATACGTGATTTGTACTCGATCTGTTCAAGACCAAGGTTCAAGCGCATTGTGAAGAAAGAGCGATATATAGGTGATAGAAGACGCAGGCTCTCACCTACATTATTTATCAGTGTACTTTAGCAAGGCGTCATTACACAGGTCAGTATGTTAGACTGTTACGCATAAGCACGGCTCCAAATATCTCACGACATATATAGATAGTCTCAGAAGCGACTCAAGAACTATTGTCGTACTGTTTTTTTACTCTTGAAATCATGAAGAGGCCTATGAACATCCCGAAATCAGTCCCAGCAATAGTCATTGTAAACCAGTGAGCGATTGCTGCTTCAGAATTACTTGTCAGCCCCATTGCTCACCACCAACGCCATCCCATTCAGCTAACCACCAAAGATTGTCTCTCCCATGACACAAACGTGTCCGTTAACCGCGCACAGCTCCTTCGGAAGATCGAAGCGAATTCGCTTCATGCCTAGCAATAGAAAAATGGCGACCTTATCGTCTAGGAGTATTTTGTACGCTCCCCACACCGCTAAAGTGTCGGAAAGCACTTGCTAGTAGGCCTCCAACGTATGAGGCGGCCACTTCGTTATCCTAATCATCCTGTATACCCCGGATCAGTAAGAGGTCCATTATTCCAGTATATCTACTGAGTATCAGAGGGGGGAGAATGTGATCCTACCTCTGGGTTGGGCAAGTCGTCGTCTTCCGCGGCATTATCGTCGTCATCACCGGCGGCATCGTCCATCGCGATCTCGTCATTAACAGCGGCATCTAATGTTGAAGGAATAATTAGTAAATGTCAAGATATAGAATTCACACAATCATTCCAACGAGGGAAATTTATTTAATTGTTTGATTGACAAACTCACCCTCGTCTTCGCCTTTCTCCTCAGATTCTTCCGACTCCTCCTCGTCGTCGGGTTGTTCGACAACAGGAGCCGAGGCCTTGCGCGGTCTGCCGCGTCCCTTACCGGTGCTAGCGGTCTTGGACGCAGACTTGGGAGTTGCGGTAGCTTTCTTGGGTGTGACGACAGCCGACGCGTCGGACTTGCGAGGACGACCCCGTCGACCGACACCACTTCTGGTAGACTTAGGTGGTGGGGGCTTGGTGGCCTTCTTCACGCCACCAGTTCCTGGGGGGCGGCCACGAGGGCGACCCGAGGGAGCTTTCTTCTCCTGAGGCGCGATGCCGTTCTTAGGAGGACGACCACGACCACGTTTCACGGGAGCATCACCGGTAGCTGCAGCAGCTTCAGTTGTGGTGCCATTCTCCTTGGCCGCCCCACGCGCTGGTCTTGAAGGTGCCATCGCAACTGTTGGGGATGCGTGTGAATTGGTAAGGAGTGATACGATTGGTGTAAAAAGAGAGAAAACTCGAAAAAATTCAAGTCAGGGATTGATTTGGTCGAAAAAAAATAGTAAAATTTATCAAATTACGCGGGAAGGATGTTGATTGCGTTGAGTGAAAATGAGAGAGTGAATAAAAAAAAAGAATTTAAAAGGGAAGAATTACTTTTGCGACCAGCTGGTAGTTGGGGATTACTTAAGGAAGGGGACGCGTGCAATTATTATCTGGGTAGTTGCGCGCGTCTGATGTTTATCAGGTACCTGCAGTGCTGAAATTAGTACCTCGTACCCCTAACTTCCTCAGCCATATAGGAGCACCTACCTTCCTAGGAAATGCCGGGGAAATGCCCTAATGGAAGCCAACAGAGAAGGTACAGCCTAAGTATCGGCGCACGTAACGCGGTTAACACGGTTGAAGGTTGCGAAATTAATTTTATTTTATTTTTCGATAATTCATTCAACCTCTTCGGTATTTTTATATGAGAGATTATTGGATTATAAATTTTTTCTCATTTTTAATTTGTTTAATTAATTTTTATTTCATTTATTTTATCCCTGGAAAAATGGTGGTGCGTGTCCTAGTTGTGACCGCTAATGTAACCATGATTCAACGAATATTCTTTTCACCCTATTCAGCGTCGCGCAATGAATCCTTATATTTTCGGAAATATTCAGTTATTTGATATATCGCCTTGTCAAGATAATTTTTAGGTACAGGAAATCTTAATGGCTGAAGAAATGACTAGAAGCTTAATTGCAAGTTCTTCACTTAGCTCAACGTGACAAACGAAGATTCGAAGCAACAAATCTAAATCTTGAGACCACTTGTAGAAGAGTGAATCAACTAGATTGTTCGTGTGTAACTCCGTCAAGAACTCGAACCTCAACGATAATGTTGGCATCGAGTAACTATAGCAATATCAGAATTAGGAGCGATATATATCAGACCACCTAGAATAAAGCTTAACTACTATTCTAAGTCTCCAAGTTCTAATTGACTCTTTACCGGTAGAAACAAGTTGATGGTTAAGCCGTGTAGAATGTGCAGGTGTATATATACTCGCTAATGAGTCCCCAGCCATCAGCTACTCGGATGTGAATATACAGGTACCTATAAATGGTAGTATGTTAATATACATGTATGTACTGTGGCTTGCAGGAAATGGCGTCAGTCTTAACATCGCCCTGGACTCGAGGTCTTGGCAATGCAAGTGAGATATTACCTGGGTACACTGACGTTTTACTAGTCATTCTGTTTGTGTATGATGAAACCGCCTGTATTGGGGGGGAGGTAATCACCAGGAATCCTCTGGCCGGGACATCATATATAGCCGTGTATATTACCCCTATCATGAACGTATTTCCATTAAAGTTAGTGAATCAGTCTGATACATAGTAGATATAAATACCGAGTGTCTTAGACATCACCTAGAAGTACTAATGAAGATCCACGCGCACGTGCAAAGGAGAAAAGTGAGAAGCTTGAAGTGAGACACCGAGCTGACGGCAGCCTCCGGTCGATGATAAGTGAGGATAAGTCAGGATAAGCTATCAAGCTGCGGAGATAGATAGCTCGACCAGCTTTATCACCCGGTCTCCTGTCTCCACTCCCGGACCGCCCCGTCGTCCCCGAGACACAAGGACCTCTTCGGCATAGTCGCAACGTAGCACAGAATTGAAATCTATATCAATAGAGTCTCATCCTCATGTCGTAGCAAAGACCTAAGATCTCATTGAGAGACATAGACCAGCTACCCTTAACTGTAACATCATATCACAGCTCAAACCATTCAGGGACTTGCTAAAAGGGGTCGCATACTCACAACATCTCATATACCTTCACCTACCCCCTATCCCAAACCCCAAAATGGCAGAAACCAAATACTCAACGCGCACGATCCCCAAGATCTCCCTGCACGACTTCCCGACCCGCATCCCCGAAATAACCGCCTCCCTAATCCACGCCGCCGAAACCGACGGCTTCTTCGCACTCACCAACCACGGAATCCCAACCTCAGAAATCGAAGCCCAATTCGCCGCAGCAGAGCGTTTCTTCGCACTCCCAGACACCACGAAAGCCCTCGTCCCCTTCACCCACCTCAACACGGGGTGGGAAAAAGGCGCGCAAATCCGCCCGTCCACCGGCGTCGCCGACCAGAAAGAGAGCTACCAAATGCAATACGGGGCCGCGATGTCGCAGTCCTGGCTTCCCGAGCCCCTCCTCCCGGGTTTTAAAGCGCAGAGTCTGGGCTTCATGCACCGCGCGCAGGAGGTAAGCGAGAAGCTGATGCTGTGTTTTGCGCGGGGATTGGGGTTCGACGACGGGTATTTCGTCGCGGCGCACGATGTGGCGCGGCCGAGCGCGCAGACGGTGTTGCGGATCCTGCATTACTTCGAGATGGACGCCAGTGCGCCGACGCCGGCGGGGTACTATCGCGCGGGCGCGCATGCGGATTGGGATTTCGTGACGTTGCTTTTTCAGCGGCCGGGGCAGAGCGGGTTGGAGATATGTCCGGGGAGGGAGGTGTGTACGGAGTTTGGGGTGGGGGATACGTGGACGAAGGTTGAGCCTGCCGAGGGGGAGATTGTGTGTAATATGTGAGTTTCGTACTTGTTTATTATGTTTACCTTCTTTCTGAGTGTCGGATGTCAGGTTTCAAATAAGAGAGGTTCTGACGATAGAATAAAACGAAAAGTGGCGATCTCCTGATGAGTTGGAGCGACGACCGGTTCAAATCGACATTTCACCGCGTAAAGACGCCGACGGACCCGGCTGTTGATTACTACGGGCCGCGGTATAGCATGGCGTACTTCAACCAGCCCAATACGGATTGTAAGATCCAAGGTCCGTTGAAGAAGTACCCGATGGTGACCGGGTCAGAATTCACGAAAGCGGCCATGAAGCGCAACTATGAAGCTCTGGAGGCTAAGAAGAAGGCGTTGGCTAATGAAGGAGTACGGAGCGAGGGGGGTTTGGTTGCTGCTGCTTCGTAACGCCGATTTAGTTATTGGTTATGTTTGTATCAGATGTTATTTAGTGGTGTTGGATAAACGCCTCCAGTATATTCAAACATGTTATACTTACCTACATATATACACCCATATATTAAGTACCTATTCCAAACTTTGCGAAATATTGATGTCTCAAATGTTTACCAATTGTACTCGGGAAGCAGCGAAATCGAGGTGCTATCAAATAACTTACATGCCTACCAAATAGCAAATAAGTCGAGAAAACTATGCCCATTAGATGAGAGCAACAGCTAGTATGCCTACTCGTACATTTAGATTGCATTCGAAGACGGTATCAGCAATACCACTTCATTCAGTAAAATCAAGAAGATTGACACCATAAAGTCATGATGGCCTATAACATCTCCGCGTAGCCAAAAGAATTAGTCCTTCAAATAGTTGTTGCTCTACGACATGTCACATAAAATCAAGTAAAAGTCCAAGTATATTGGTTTAAACAACCATTTTATAATGCATTTTATGCAATATGTCCTAAGAACCAATTGATCCTGTCCCTAACCTCGTAACCCGGCAAGTGAACGTCGTCGACTTAAGACCATAATGCCACGTAGGGAAATGCGCGATCGAGCATCATTGCTGGTCGCCAAACCTGTGTACAAGAATGGAGAAAGGGGGTCGAGCGAGAATGAAGATGAGAGAAATCTTGACCGACGTCCATCTCAATAAACCCTTCCTAAGAGCCCGGGCCAAGATTGCTCCCCCCCAAAGATGGTATATCAAACAATAGGACTAAAGGTATCAATTCTTTAGCCCCCTGAAGGACAATTGTTAGCTTCGAAAGTAGATTGCGAGAATCTATTTCTCCACTAACAATGCCAATGATGTGATTAGAATAAACAAAGCCGCCCATACGCCTATGTGCAACCACGCCCTGTCCTATAGGGCCAAACGCCTTTAATGCCGATGCTCGCCATGCAGGTCGAACTTTTTTTCCCCCTCAAACGCCATCGCGGAAAAGACGAGTTTGTTGGTTTGGGGAAATGTCGGAATTAGAGTATCATAGTTTTCGTACGCCTCGTATCATGTCGTCAAAGGCAGCGCAAATCGATGCCAGTATTAAAGTTGGTAATGAATTCGCCCGAATTGTAAATGAGAACCGGGCCTCCTCTACATGGATAGATGTAGAGTTAATGCAAGAATATGTCGTTGAATGATGTGCGATCGTCACCTTATTGGTATACACGTGTTTGCAGCTGTCAAGTATTGGGCAGCACGTGCTCCTCGAGCTGTGACTGATTCAACGAACGGAAGGAAAGGGGGGTAGAGGCATCGTCAGACCCCAGATGTCATCATCGATGTCGGTCTTCTGGAGAGGATGAGCGCAATTCTGGAAAGGAAGCTCGTATCCCTTCTCGACCATGTTGGCAACGAAGACAGACACGCTCTTGAACTGTCGACCAGAGTACTTCTTGTAGATCGCGTTGTGATGACGGATACCGTTGTAGCAACACTCCATGATAGTTGCCATGAGCGGCTTCAACTGGGAGAATGTGTAGCCGGAATAGTGAACATGTTCGGGAGTCTATAAGCTTAGGTTAGATAATCATACTACTGCATTTGAGAATAATTGGACTTACCCAGTCTCCCTTGTTCAACATCATGCGCGCTAGACACTGAGAACCGGCGGCCACATAACTAGGAGGAGTGGAAACAAACCGCTCATCCATGAGAGTGACCTCGGAGAAGTACTTGGCCACCGTTCGAATCTCAGAGTCATAGTCATCAGCCTTGCTGATTCGTCGCATAAAACTCATCGGGCCCGGGTAACCGAGAGTGAATTCGAGCTGGCTTAGCATGAAGCGTTCCGCCTTCAGAATCTCTTCTGGGGCATAACCGCCATCCACCATGAAGACCATCTCGGCAAGAGAGGGGCAGTTAATCTCTTCGTACTTTGCTGCGATCATTAGGGCAGTAGCACCGACGAGTTGCAGCTTCGACATGGAGACAACCTTAACCGAAAGGAATCGATCGACCACGTTCACGGCCAGATACAATGTCTCTGGGAGAAGGCCAAATCGAAGGTGGACTTGAGCTAGCCAATCGATGAGGACAGCTCGCATCGACCACTGGATCTCGTTCTGAATATCCATGTAGTGAGCCTTTGGCAGTAGCTCGATCTGCGAAGGAAAGTATTAGCCATAGGTCGGGAAAGGGTTGTCACTTAAATTTGCTTACCTCCATCTCTCGCATGTAATCAAAGATCTCCTCGCTGTACTCGGCCACCATACCGATATCCCATGTCTCTTCTTGGGGCTCATCTTGATATTTACACTCTACAAGCTCCTTGGCAGCTTCGATCTCTGCCACGCCCTTCTTAGTCAACTTGGGAGGGACTACGACCATGGTCACGAAACCAGTAGTTGCTCCGGGTGAGTGCTGAGCTGTATAGCCCTGGTCATCGGAGTAGTCGCCGTCCTCGTAGTCTGAGAACTCGACATGGTCATCAGTGGGAATAGGCAAGGGCTTGAGTGCTCGTGCATCAGTCGGAACCTCCTCGTAGTCAGGAATGCCGTGGTGATCATCTTGATCGTCATGCACAGCGACATCAGGCTCTCTCATGTAGTCGTCAAGCTTTGGAGATTGCCAGCCATCGGACAATTCCTTCGGATAATCAGACACAGAAGCAGGGGATGCTTCATTGGACAGCTCTTCGACAGCATCTAAGTAGATGGCTTCTGTAACGTCTTCCTCAACTGGGCGAGTAGAATAATGATCATCCTCTCTTGAGAGCTTGGGGCTCTCTGCCATGTGGAATTCGTCCAAGCGACCTTCTAGATGGCCCTCGCCCTGCAGTCGAATATCAACCTTGAAGCTTGTAGGTGCGTAGCTTGCATCGCTCGCATTAGACTGTCGAGTCTTCTGCTTCTCCTCCTCGGCTTCGATCTGGCTGTCATTGTAGATAGCAATGGGACGACCTCGCTTGCCGAAGGTGATAGGCTTCGAGATAGGGTGAGGTTCATTGGTCGTGGGTCGAAGGTGGGTCATCGACGTGGACGATTGGAGAGACTTGGGAGGTCGCTGTGCCGGTTGCAAGAACGCATCCTTGGCACCAATGTGGTTTCGGTTCTCTTGTGCCATCGCAACAACTCCCTTGGAGTGGCTCTTAGCGTTAGACATGGCTCCGTCGTTGGAGGCAGCAGGTTTGCCGCGGTTAAGAACTCCAGCAACGTGAGAGTTCAAGGAAGGCTTCGAAGAGGTGTTGATGGAAGTCATGATGTTAATGTTGCTAGTAGACTTGTGGCGATGGTGGACCGCCTTGTTTCCAAGAGGCTGGTTCTCGACGCCTCGAGGAATCACCGCGTAACCGAAACGGTGAGGCTGCAGACAGAAAGACAAGGTTAGCTTCATTTGTTCGATTCTGGAAAGAGAAAGAACTTAAATAATAGAAAGGGTATCAGAAGCCAAGGTCAAGAACGTTAGTTCCCTCGGTGAAGGCCTCGGTGATAGGATGCAGGAACCAACCAAAGTAAAAGCTTGACCTAGCCACCTAGGACTACCTAGGTAGGAAACGAGGCCACAAATAAATTCATACAAATAGGACATTTTACAGATGAAGAAATTTGGTCTTGGGGTTATCAAAAACGTACCTTTCCGTCCATAGTATACTAAAACGATGCGTAGTGTGGATGATCAGGTGTATATGATCAAATAGACGCGACTAAACGGGGAGGAGCTTAAGGAAGCTTCCGGCCTAAGACCAGAATTGGGGGAGATCACGGAATTTGGCGATCTAGAGAATTGAGGAATTGGGACAGTGGTATGTTCGGAGCCAGACACTCCACGGCGCGTGCTAAGTAATTATGCGCCTAGAGTACACGAACGTGCCCTACAGCCATCAATGCATTAGCTTTGAGCAGGCGATGGAGAGATGTGCATGAATCGAGTCGTGTTTAGGTGAAGTGCTCAGCATTGAGGTGGATAGGGAGTGGATAAGGCAAGTGGAAATGAAGTTGATGATAGGTGAAAACGTATGTATGTGAGTGGATGAATAGGAGTTGGTGATTAGCGGTGGTGGTGGAAATAGAGGATGGGAGGAATTGAGTTGGAAATTGGCCAAGTTTGTTTTGGGGATGGAGCTCAAGATCCAATGCCTGAGGATAATAGTAGGGGAGTAGGGGAGTAGGGGGAGTGTGCTATTAGGTACCTAGCAGTAATAGGCAGTAGTGGTGATAGGGGTGGAAAGATAGCTGGGATTAGGGACGGATTGGTGTAGCTTTGCTGCTTTGGTAGCTGCGCAGCCCATGTAGCTGTGGCATGCATTTGTAAACAGCTGAACTAGTAGATTGGTACGTACCTCAATTAATTTCAATGGAACTTTACGCCTCTAGCGGCGGCGCAAGTGCACCTTGGTCCTTGGCAAGGCCTTGTCGGATCGTACTTGCCTTAGACGACGTCGAAGTCAATATCAAATAAATCGTGGTAGGAATGTTCTGAGTGTATGTAATGATATCGTGTAGATGTGGATGGTAAGATATCTACAATGAGGAAGTCGTGTTAGTAATCGCGACAAGTACAAGTCGGCGATCACGAGTATTATTGTTTTTTTACGGAGTAGGGCCCAGCCGGTGACGAGGAAGATAAAAATGCTATCGTCGACCGGCAAGAAAGAGTATGAGTTGTTGTGATTAATGGATAGACGAAGATTTCATGATGTTTGACGGATGGTTCAGGTGTGGGAACGTGGGAACGTGGGAGTGTGGAAATGAATGTTTGGGGAAAGAAAACGATTCTCGAAAACGATGTGGGAAAAAATGTTTATGAATGGTGGGCGCGGGCGGTGGGTTGATGGTATTTAGAACGGTCGGCTACGGGCACGATGATGGGGACGGGCACGAGAAAGATCAAGATCAAGATCGACGACATACCTCTGACTGTACTGCACACCTGGAAGATGACGATATGAAGGTGTGGTAGAGCGCCGTCTAGACTAAGTAGCCGAAGAAGAATGGACTTGTCTTTTACTTTACCGTCGGTGATGAAGTGGTTATCTTCAAAGTTGTTGACAAGAAGGATTTCGTGGTAGAAGGTGAGAAAGAGAAGGTGGAGTGATTTAAAATCAGATTCATCGATGTTTTATCAAGACCAGTGAGAAAGAAGCTCTCAGTTGACGATTGTTGATGTTGATATTCCTAGCTGATTCTCCAGGTGAACCATTTTACAGATTAAGTACCAGGGTACAGTACCTAAGTACCCCAGTACATATTAGATAAAGTTAAGCACACCCTTAAACTTTAACCCAAAACGGTAATCAGCATGAAGGTACGTACCTTTCATATGCCTATTTTAGGGAAAGAGTGGGGTACTAAATCAAAATAAACAAATCGCGATGTGAGTAATGGTTCTAATCCCTGTCACAATTCCAGCTGGTTGCTAGGCTAGCATTCGAGTCGGCAGCCTGTAAGACATTTTAGAGAAATTAAACAGTGAAGTGTGCCCTGTGCACAAGGTGTTCACACTGAATGACGGCGCTATAATTAATCCGATAAAAATGAGGAGGTACGAAGTACCTTGTACCCAAGTACCCAATACTTCACACTTACACGAGCCCCACTCGAAGCTTAGTGACGGAATATTGGGTTTTAAGTGGTCAATGCAGCTCTTTAGAGAACCATGACGTAATGACGCACATTGTCGCGTCTTCCTATAACTTGAATTCATTTGAATATTCTTAAATTTCAACAATAATCTTCCAACCACAACTTATTTCGTCCCTTTAATTGACTGTTCATGATTTAGCAACTGTACATTACCGTCCTATATGAATGCGCAAATTTATTTCCCTAATCCAAGTTGACCAGCGCCCGATCTAAATTTCAGTATTGGGACGCGATGAATCTTAAGATCCCATCGCGAACACAACTCGAGGTCACGTGATAAATTAAAGATCTCCATCTCTACTCTTGCCGGCAGCAGCCCATCAACTCTACAACATCCACCGACGCCTAATAAGATTTCGAAATATGTTATAGCTCTTCTAGCCATGTATGCGACACGATTTTACCACATTGAAATACCATACTAGCGTTCTGGGGCGTTATTCTCGATACTCAATCACAAATCACCAGGTGGCGCAAATGGGCTAACCACTAGGTAGAGCAGCCAGAGAAAAAGGGTAGCTTTGACGACTTATTACACTAATAATGTGTGTGTAATTTCATGCAGACCAATGATTAGGATTCATGCGCACAAAATCGCAAGCTATCTAGTTTGCGCGACTATGGATTCCTATGTCTTTTTCTTCAGCTTTTCTCGAGTGAGGCCTAGAGTGAGAAACAGGCGTTCGGTAATACGACACCTCACATCCTAAATTTGGTTGGGTCGAACCCCTCCTTTAGGTCTTTTAGGGCTTCCTAGCACGACCAGCTCGGTGGGCTCATCGGCCAAAATCCATTTAGGTAAAATTCCGCGCAGGATTCTCAGCTACGATGATATATGGTCTATTACGCTCTGTAAAATATATCGTCAGCAATATCGTCGGGTATCGACTATCTAGCATGTATATCAGTCTCGTGATTACTGCAGATCGCAACGATTCAAAGACTAAGTAGGTCTGGTTAGTCTTGAACGACGTCTTACGTCGCCTCAATGATGTGACATGCATACGCATCATGCTGTTTCCCTCAAACCGTTACAGCGACATAAGATGGTAGCCGCAGCGAAGTCGCATATTTTTACCATTGGATGGGTGTCACTAAACCCTAAGAGTGCGAAGTACTACTTCGTATGATAGGCGAGAAATATCAAAATGCCCAGGTGATGAGTTAAAGATAGGGAAATGCGGTTTGATGGAAAGCCGTGATGACAAGGACAGCCCAACGCAAGGTATACAATGTATTAGTTAGATCGTCCACGTTGGGGCTATTATATACTAAGCCGCGAATAGTCCTATATCATCCAATGATAGTATATTCCTCTTAATTAACATTTTACAATCTATCTAATGGGGGAGACGAGGGAAGAGAGATTATCGTGGCAACATGCGGAGGTTGGTCAAAGATTTGCTCGCTTCTCCTCCTTGGCTAATAAAGTAGGTTGTCGCAGCCGGTCGTGAGATGACGAACTCCGATGTCGATCTCTTTTTTTCTAAAAACCTTTTTTCTTCTTCTCTTTCCTTCTGCGCGCAACACAGCGCACCGGCGGAATACCTCTAAAGTCAGAAAGTCGGGAAGAGATTCGAGATGGGAAAAAAAGACCGCAGGTTAGATAGAGTATCATCATTAGGTGCGGTGTAGATCAACAGACCGAAGAAAAATTAGGTCACGACGCTGATAGGTTACCCTGTCCGTTAGACGGTGTCGTGGTTCGATCTATCATAAGCGGTCAAGATAAAGAATACCTACCTCCTAGCTCAAGGACCACCAACCCCAGGTCCCTAGTAAGAAAGAGTAAGAGAAGGTGTGTGTAATGCGCATGCGTATCGTATGCGCCGCTTCGAACAACAACTACCTAATACAACTTACAACTAATAATACAACTTATGATCTTCTCTTTAGTCAATTAGGCTAGAGACGAGAAACGGAGGAGATGGGGGAAACGAATGTTTGTGAAACTAGAAGATGGCCGCGGCCATGCTAGCTCCTCTTTTCTTGTTGTTGTTTGTTTTGCAAGTTGACTCGAATAGGCGAAGCGAACAAGCTTAAAGAGCGTCGTGGATCGTGGAGTGTTTACGAACCTCTTCTCGTCAGCCAACCAAGTTCACCGTTCGAGCTGTACTTACATAGCGCATGGGGAATGGAGAAACCAAGTCTTGTTGGGCGATCCGCAAGTTGCGCCCAAAGCAGCCCGCGCTTGGCTGCGCGAGAAAACATGTATGTATTGTCTGTAGGTATGCAGTATGGTACAATACATACTGCGTAGGTAGGTAGGTAGGTAGGTATGTACATCCATACAATACATCCAGCTTCTGGTTGAAAGGATCTGGGCTGTCAGAAGCTGCTGCTGTTCCCAGGGTCTGATTCGATCCAAGTGGATGAAACTCGACGCCAGCGCATACAACCCGTCGCCCGTCGCCGTCGAACTCCAGTTTCCAAATGCTTCCTGTGGCTTTCTATGGTTTCTACTGCGCAGTATGGTCTATGCTTCCCACTATTTGCCTCCCGTTGCAAATACGTGCGAAATACAGCGCCTTTCCCTTTTCTGTTCTCTTCCAACCCTTCGTTGCGCCTATCGCGAGCGAGTCGGCATTTAGGTGTGGGTATTTGTCCAACCCTACCAAGTAGAACAGTGTGTCATTCGCTTCCACTTAGCTACAATGGGGATGTCATCAATAATTACTATCATGGATGTACCGGACGCTCCTGGGCATTACTCTGGCCAGTGCCTTCGTCTCGCAACCTGATTGCTGCGCATTTTCTAGCACCGAGACGCCGTACCCGTACCGAAGCGGTTAAACATAGAACAGGCATGGCATGGGGCTGGATCCCATTTCTTTTTTAATTATTTCTTCTTCGGGGGGGAGGGGGGCAAAGGAGTACTGTATGTAAGAAAGCGCCAGTGGCATATTCATCAAGGTCGTGCAAAACGAGCCCTAAAGATGGGAATATGACGGTAACCTCTCCGGCGGGCCATCAAGGGTCTTTCGGAACGTTTGTCTTGTCTGCGACCATACCAGAGTTTCTTTTTTGTCTTTTTCTACTCCATTCTCTATTCTCCATTCTCCATTCTCCATTCTCTGTTGCTTTAGTTAGGTCCATCAGTGATGAATTGCGAATTCTAGATGCAGCTTTTCCGTCCCGCGCGCCCACTCACACACCAACTAGTTGTCTAGGGACCCTCAGGTATCCTCTAGATGGGTCTGGGGTCTGCTCCGAGTGGTCATCGTGTCTATCTACTGCGTACGTACCCTACCAATTTTTTGCTGGGCACTTGTGAGGGCCGGATCCCTGTTCCCAGACAAACTGGCGCATCAACGGAGCATAATCATTGGCTGGAAACGGCTGTCAACTTGCCCGCTTTGCTCACCTCAACTCGCATACGACGAGGTTGTCGTTTGCGACCACGAACCACTCAGAATCGGTTCAGTGGCAGTTGGCCAACCCGGGGGGCACCTGACTGTCGATTCTTAGATGTTCTCGCCAAGATGCGCTTTTGCGCAACCTCTTAATTTTTCAGAGAATGAGAATAGGTAAGATTCTATGAGAAATGCGCCGATGAGAGTACGTAGTGGAGAGTTGTGAAGTGATGCGCAAACACGCCAATGGCTTCTTTCCACCAGTCCGAGCCTCAAACTTGGCATCTGCTAGTATGGGCGACACTTCGATCAGCAGTGGCGCATAGCCTTTTAGTCACATTCGGCGACAATCGCAAACCGCGCAAGAGCGCGGCTTATGACAATTTAGGAAGGGAAGCTTGTAGACGCCGCCGGCGAAGCCACCTGACGGGCGTTTGCTCCTGGAACAGGGAGGATCGCACACGAATGCGCCAGCTTTGAGCGAGACCTGTATGTCCAGATGTGTGCGAGTGCGTAGTGTGTAGGTAGTGTATGTGCGCGCGCGCGCGCGTGTGCCTGGATTTAAACAGAGTCCAGGTCCAGGTCGGGTGATTCCGTAACTTAAGTTACTTACCTTCTTGGATCAAGTCAGATGTATGATCGTATCTGACCTGCCGGAAGCGCGCAATATGGCTGTGCATCCACGGGATTTCGAAGCAGGTAATTCCCAGCTCGACGTCGCAATGCGCAAATTCAGGGGAAGGCGAACTATCGTCTGTGTGTTCGTTTCTCTTCTTCTTATGTATCGGATCCTTCAAGATATGGATCGATCTGATCTATGTACTTATATAATTATTGCAGGGCTTTCGGGACGAGCAGGAGAATAAATTGAAGTTGCATGGTTAGTCTAGTAGTCTTTATGTAAGTCGGCTTCGTTCGAAGCAAGGCCTAATGCAGCGCAGCGCAGCGCACCATCGGATTTACCATGCAGGTAAGGTATCGCACAATACGCGGAGATACATGTATGGTGTATATTGTTAGTATATGGTGTATGGTGTACCCATGGTGTCTATGGTATCCTGGTGTCCATGGCGTCCATGGCGTCCCATGTTGTGTGTATCGCGAGAGCCGGGCATGCGAGTCGCAAAAAGATAAATATGTGACGGTCTATTGCATACTGTTGGTCCACATGTACCCAATGGGCGAATATTGGGTCAGTAAGTACATGAGAAGCATCCAATGTTTGCGACTCTCTCACAACCGGTACATAGAGCTGTAGCCAGATCCATACGGGTATTCCTTACATAGTAGATTTGTATTGTACCGGGCAGAGATACATCCAAAAACAGCCATAACCAACGAGAAAACCGTTGAAGAACTTTAGATAGGTAGTTTAACTTTAAGTAAAAAAGACTCACACGACTCACATGTACTGTATTTTATGTCGAAGGATCTTGTTGATTCCTAAACCAAATCCAAATCCAAGACCAAAACCAAGATAAGACATCTTGGATCTTGGACCTGAATATCCGAGGAGAGGACAAGACCTGTACATATTACTAGGTAGGTGCCTACTAGGTGCCTAGGTAGTAGACCCAAATGCAAATGGCGGCTTGTCATCCGCTCTCTTCAGTCTCCAGCTAGTTGCATTTTCGATGTCGATCTTTTGTAACTTTATAAACGACGCATCTTAGCGAAACTGGAGGAATGCCAGACACATTACAAGGTGGTGCGCTAACCACCAAATAGCTTTAGATTGGTCTCTATCCATTGGTAAAGTTTCTGATAAATATAGGATATTTCTCTAGATTGAGGAATTCAAATTATAGAATTTTGAATCTCGTGTTTAGGGAGTAATGATAGGATGCACATGTGTATGTAAAGTTGAAAATGCATGTCGTATGTGGATGTCGATGGACGTATCGAAGTAGGTACTAGGTAGAGGTATACTGGGTACTTAGATACCTCCATCTTGACCGTCATTTTTATCATTCTTATCATTTAGTGGTACGTTCTCGGTTTGGTGCATCGCTAAAACACACTACTGGCATCATTAGTTAGGTACCTCATTGGCTGTAGGTAGGTACCTACATAGGTAGGGTACATGTGGCGCGGGTGCGCTGGCCAGGCAGGTCAAGGCCTGGAAAGCCTAATCTTTCTCTCTAATAAGGTACCAAGAAGGACCCAGGAAGGACCCAAGAAGGACCTACCTACAGTGGACGGTTAGGTACTTCCCGACTTTTAGTGGTCGGCATGCAACAACTGATGTGTGTGGAAAGATTTTGGAGACTTTCAACTCAACTGCTGCAAAACCTCAACTCTTCTCTTCCTTCTTCCATCACCTCCTCTCTCACACAACCCCGAATTCTCGACAATATCGCCATCCAACACCCTTCAATCTTCTCTCGTAAGTATAATAAAGCTCATCACTATATTCACCACAACCAATATATCCATTTACTTTCACCAGTGCATCTAGAATTCACCCTAAATCTAGACACTGACACATAGTCTGATGTTGTAGGTTGATCGGGGGTCCATCCAGTCCTCAAGGTCGAGTTCGTGCATCTCCAAGCCCACAACACCATCCATTCTCCCTTCTGGTAAGATTATCTAGCATTGATACCTAATGCGATCAAGTATTCGCTTCATTTATATACAAAAATGTCTATCCCGCTCTTCCTAATCGTCGACCGCTTCTGACGCATATTACCCGTCTTCTATCCAGTCATCCCCCCCAGCCAGTGTTGGTCATGACTGGATCATCCAGCTTCGCTACTCACTTATATTAATATATATGCCATCTATCATTGTTAAATGCTAATTTGCGTCAAGCTCCTCTAGTTGAGACGAGTTATTCCGACTAGTCCAACTCTTCCCCTACTTGCGATAGATCTTGACCGCTTCCTCTAAACCCCTTTGGATGGTCCAACGCACAGCGTGAACACGAAAACCTGCCTAGATACTCGAGATTAAGAGCTGGGAACTCGCATAGAAACTATAAATTGGCAATAGTGCCGCCGAGTCTGGTGTTAAATAAAACCTCACGGTCCCCTTTCCTGTAACGAACCGGCATCGGAACGGCAGTGAGCGCTTTTCATCATCTTGAGCGTTAGCTATATCCAGCCAACTATCCCGACCTTCTCACGGAAAGCGATCCGTTGAGCAGGCGGAATGGCATCTGCTTCGCCCATTGAGACGTTCCCGTCTGCCTCTAACGGCTCCAACAGCGGGAGTGCCTCTCCCCGACAACCTATAACTCCGAAACATGTTCAATTCGAACTCCTCTTCCCCGAGTCCCCTCAATATCGCGCACGACTCCCATTGCGTGTACAAATCTACCCACACGATGACACCGAATCAATAATTTCGACCGTGAAGAATTTCTATGGCCTCTATCACGGGGGTAAGGGTGTTAGTTTTGAAGATGATCGGGGTAATACGCTTATCGCGAGATACGAGAACTTTAGCAACAATATGATTGTCTATGTGAGAGTCATTGAGGAGTCTCCTCCACCCGCGGGAGCTTTTGGTTCAAATGGTTTCCAACCGGCGCCAATTGAGTATGGTGGCCAACAATTAGGGCATCATATCTCAAGACCTACGTCGAGAACTTCTCGAAAGCGCAGTCCATCTCCCAACGCAGCTCGCGGTAGACGTAGCGCGTCTGCTAGCACGAACCCTACGGCTGGGAAGAAGGGTCGCTCTCGCTCTACCAAGAATCGCGGAGCGAACTACGATAATCGTAGTGATAGTATTAACGGCTACGATAGTGGGGACGGCGCTCCTGCCTCTGTATCTAGCAAGGCGAAGGAACAGATTGGCAACACTGATATAAGCGTTGAAAATATCGTAGAAGGTGGTCGCCGAAAGCGCGCCAAGTTTGAAAGCTCCGTAAGTACACTCAAATCACTCAAAATCTTGGTGTCTCCAAACGATCTCATCTTAACCAACCACAATCGCAGGAGCTGCCACTTTTTGCGCCACCTCAGATACCTACTACCACATCCAATCCTTCGGTCTCCCCCGTCCGTCGTGTCGAGCATCAACGACCTGCCTTTCCATTTCCCCATCCCGGACAGAACGCTTTCACAAATGCTCGAGCTCTTCAATCACCCCAGAGTTACAGCAATGGATATGGTCAAGCAGGCATGTTCGCGACACCTATGAGTGACACTCGTCGTCATCGCGGCAGCATCGGCTACCCGGGCAATGGTAGTGGCATCTTACCGACACCCGACCCAACTATTGGAAGCTGTGTGTCTGAGGAGGATAAAGATGTAGCAATCCAGCTTATGAGACTGGGTGAAATGTCCAACATTTCCCACGGTAGAACTTCTGCCTCAACATTGGATGATACCTTTAGCGGCAAAGCCGATGTCGCATCGTCAACCGGTGCAACAAGCGACGCTGACAGCGAAAGCGAAAGCGAGCTACCGCCTTCGCGTCGCCAGAAGCTTGACCTCTCTGGTACCAATCGCAAGATTTATCACACAGCCCACAACCACTTCATTCCGTCGCGCGAAAGCGTCGATGCTAGCGGCGATGACGCTGACTACGAGGACGGCGCTGAAGATGGCCCTCTTGGTGTCCCTAAACTAAGCGAGCCTAAGCCTAAGACCCAGCAACCCGGGAAACCCCAAGCACCGGGCCCTAAGGCGGTGAAAGCTAAGGCACCTAAAGTTCCAAAGGTTACTAAGGCCAAGAAGGTGGCTGCCGTCGCCGGTGTCATCGGCCCTATGTCGCCTGCATCTCTACCAAACCAGTCGCGCAAGCCCTCAGTCGCATCGACCACGGCAGCACCGGGACAAGCTGGCGAGGACGATCAACCAGACCTATCTACTAAGCCGCGCTGCCAGCGATGTCGCAAGAGCAAGAAAGGTTGCGACCGTCAGCGACCGTGCGGCCGATGCCGTGATGCCGGTCTCAGCGCTGACCAGTGCATTAGCGAAGATGAGGGTAACGGCCGAAAGGGTCGCTATGGCCGTCACATGGGCGTTCCCATCAAGACGGCTGAGGTTGCTGGCCCACCCACCCTATTGCCTGCCGCCCCCATTACGGCTCCTGCAGTAGCAGGTGACAAAAATAAGAAGCGCAAGCGATAGGTCACCTGATCTATAAGCAATGCGCCCATTAATGTCACGAAACTTGACAATACATACCTACACATATCGTGCAAGTCGGACAAGCGCTGTCTTTTTTCGTTTTCTATTTTTTTTCCTATCGCATCCACATCGATGGTTGCGAGTCAAATCTGTTAGCATCAGCTTTGCGAAATCCCATCGCCTGCTAGACATATCTATGTCGCTAGCACTACACTACAATATACACTACATAATAAACTCACATGTGGTGCACACGTTTCGTCACTGGTGCGAGACATGGGCGATAACTATGGAGGGAGGAGTCGGGGTGTGTTGGGAGGTTATCTTGTTCCCCTTCGTCGGAGTTTTTATTCCTGCTGGAATTAGGAAGGGGGAGGGGGCGTAAAGGGAACATGGATTTAATATGGGCCTCGCGGCCGTTACACTCCTTTTCATTTCACACCAAAAAACTGGTACGCCGGAAACGATTATCTTGCGAGTGGGTTTTTATCTGTGAGTTGGCGTTGGATTGTACTTGCTTGTCAGTTTATCGTACGCAACACCGCCCACCTCTGCTATACAGTATGCTTGACCAAGTCATTGGCTCGAAAAACGAAAAATGAGCTTTGGAGAAGAGGAAAATAAGAAGAAAAAAAGCATATGTGTGTTCCTGAGCAGAGAGTGTGGACACGGACGGCAGCGAGGTGAATAAAAATTTCGGAGTGTCATATGGGGGTACTGCTGCTTGAGGGCGAAGGGAAATACACGGCACCGATGCCTCCAACTTATCATTCAGTTGATAAACAAGGGGCGCATGAAAGGCTGGACATTGGAACCCTCACGGAGTGGGAAATTGTGTTGAAATGGGTTGTCCTGCTCTTTCTCCTATATTTTTGGACCGGTCGATACTTGTTTTTAAAGCTTTTCGCATTGTGTGTCTTCTCTTTTCCTTGACTCTGTCACCATCGCTAGCTGGCGAGAATGAATGTTAAGTTATCACGAAAACTCTAGTTGCAAATATAAATGATGCTCATAGCTGGATGTGCGTGGGTGTGTTGGTGTGCAGGTGCGCGCGCGTAATCGTGCCAATGTTCCGTATATATGTACTTACGTACGTATTTACATACGTATGCGTGCTCGTATTGCAAATCGCTAGATGAGTCATCCCCGCGATAGTAGGAAGGTAGTCTCGATCAATTCGTGATACCTTCATGTCATAGAAACTGTCTACCTAGGTACCTATGTGAGTACAAAAACCGGGGTATATACCGAGATTGGAAAGAAAAGAGGAGGAAGAAGAGAAAACGAAGTCTTTTAGTATGGCCACTACTCGCTCTACCATCAGGCCACGATAATTTTTGTAAGTCAGGCATCATAACATATAACACCTTTTTTTCAACAAACCATATCTAACAGGTTCGTGGCTCGCATCAAACGTTCAAAAGTTCGAAAGGAGAACCCGGACGGGGTTGCAAACCTAAATCTAAAGCGGCGTCCCTTTAAACTAAAAATAAGAAGCCAAAACCAGGCGAAGACCCAAATGCAAGTCGATCATTGGCGGCGCATCCGGTAGTTACCGCCCGTGCAGCTGCCGCGTCAAGAATGTGTGACGTTGAGTTAAACTAGATCGGTGACCCGCTAAGCTTATCTAGGATTAGCGTTACCATCCCCTGGCATGCTTACCGTCTTGGCACCAGATCAGAATGATCAGAAAAGAGGCTCAGACCAATTATCGACTCGAGCGCATTTTCTCTTTTGCTCTTCCTACTTTTCTTCACCCAAGTTCTTCACCGTCGCCCACTTCCAAACCCAAAAACCTTCTCCACCCATCTTATTTTCTTTCCCCGTCTTCTATGTCTATGTGGAGGGTCAATATCACGATACATACCAACCTTCCCGAAGGTTACCTAAGTAAGGTCTAGGTAGGGGAGGTAAGAGAGGGGAAAAAAGGAGTAAAGGAACGAGGAGAAAGCAGCCAGCCAGCGTTATCGGGGAGCTTGATGCCCAGCGCCTAGTCTTACCCAGCCCCGGCTAGGTGGTGAGCATACCTTCGGAACCTAGGAACCTAGATATTATTCTAGGGATTCTAGGGATCCTAGTGATCCAGCAGACCGTATCGCGATCGCTAGCGATGACTAGCTGTGGAGAGTCAAAGAAAAAAAATCGATAATGTCGATAATCAAAACGAGCCGAGAATGCTTCCCTCACCGTTGTTCTTTCCCCCACTCGGTGCGTTTTCGGTAATAAGCCGCTAGCCTAGAACATATCTCGTGATATTGTGCAATGCGCCTTCATGTGCCTTCACGATAGTCACGTTGAGACCCCGAAGTCTCCGTGCTATCGCGTAAGCTTCCGGTTCGCTACCGTGCGTGCGAGGATCGACCAACGTTTGTTGATAGACATGGGATGGGTCCTTGACGATGGCACACTTGCGCGACGCCAGCAAGGCGGCCAGACCGTTGCTCCCTATGCGCTTTACTCCACATGGAAATTCCATGACAGGCCCTCGCAGCCGTTAACGGACGCTGGGACCGGGCTCCCAAGCCTAACACCGACATCGTGGCAATATCGTGATGTTTTTGATAGGTAATATGTTCCGTTCTGCTTTTGAGATTAGGAGATTTTGGAGGGATCCTATGAGTATATGAAAGCCCCCTCTGTGACTGATAAGACGACGATGGTTCTCATACCTGTATCGTCTTCTCTCACTTTTGCAGTATCTTCGAGCTTCTAGGCATCTAGGCATCTTATTAAGCCAAGTTCTTTACTATAATCTTTTGCCTGTCATGATATTCGCTAAGGACAAAAAACTTCATCATCATGCGGTAACCGTTACTTCCCTGGCTCACAGCCAGGAATCTCTCCCTCATTCCGAGGAGAGTGGTGCGCCGGCAGCAGTGGCTATTGTTGACGATGACGACTATCCAGACGGGGGCTCTGTTGCCTGGCGTCAGGTAGTAGCCTGTCATCTCATCAACGCCATGGCCTGTGGCTACGGTGCGGCCTTTGGCATATACCAGCTCTACTATACCGAGTCGCTCAAACTCCCGTCGGCACAGATCTCATGGATCGGCTCTGTGCAGATATTCCTAAACAATGTTACCTGCACCGTAGCTGGGCGCCTAGCCGATGCGGGATATGCACGGGAGGTGGTGCTAGGTGGTTCCTTCGTCGCTCTTCTGGGAACGTTCATGACCAGTCTTGCGACCGAGTACTGGCAGATCTTTCTCGCACAAGGAGTGTGTACAGGAATTGGCCTGGGTCTGATGTATATGCCCACTATTACGATCATCGCCTCGTATTTTAAGAAGAGACGTGCGCTGGCCTTATCCCTTTCTACCGCTGGTACCGGAACTGGTAGTATAATATTTCCTGCAACGGTGCAATACCTAATACCCCAGATCGGATTTCCTTGGACCGTCCGGTGCGCCGGTTTCGTGGCTCTGTTTATGGTTGTTTTCATGAACGCACTCCTCAAACCACGCTCGCTTCCCCAGAAAACAGGCCCCCTAGTGGAGTGGGGCGCATTCAAGGAACCCCCTTACGTTATCTTCATCGCGGGTGCCTTTTTGTTTTACTGGGCCTTGTATTTTGGTTTCTTTTATGTAAGTGTCAATTTTTTTCCCTCGATATATTTCAGGGGTTACTCATACATACCTACAAAAAAACAAAACTCAACCCTTGCCACCCTGAAGAAAATTTGCTAACAATGATTCAAATAGATCAACACCTACGCTATCGCGGTCGCTTCCTTTACTCCTACATCTGCAGTCTCTCTGCTGCTCATCACAAATGCGGTCGGTATTCCCGCCCGACCCATCATCGGCTGGCTTGCCGACACCTACCTGGGACCTATCAACGCATTCATCATATCATCCATCGGCCTAGCCATCACCTTCTTCGCCTGGATCGCAATCGATACACATAATACCATGTACGCTTTTGCAATCCTGTTCGGCTTCACCAACTCGGCAGCTCAAGGCGGCTTTGCCAGCGCCTTGGCTAGTCTGACGAAGGATCCTGCGAAGATGGGTGTTCGGTTCGGCATGTGCTGTACTATCATCGGCTTCGCGACGGTTGCTGGTCCTCCGACCGCGGGTGCCATCATTGATATGTGCAATGGTCAATATCTCGGGGCCCAGCTCTGGGCTGGCGCAGTTACACTCCTCGCAGCGGCTACTTTGGGTCTCGCCAGGTACTGGGTATCTGGCGCAAAGTTCGCTGTCATGGTTTAATAAACCATAATACTGGTTTTTAACTAGTATATGGTTGGTCTGTACGAATGGTAATAAGGTTTAGGTGTTTCTATTTATTAATAGACACCTCTAACCTGGTCCTCTGGCTTACTCGAACGGCGGCTTGAGATTTCCATTTATTGATGGATACCTCGCCCTATCTCTGGCTATAATGGTTTGCTCTGCTATAGAATATAGATAGAGGGTTTGGTCCACCCTACCGGTCGGTATTCCGGCCTAGGTGGGTGGTAATAGGGAAGAGGGAAAAAGAGGAAAATAAAAGGGGTCAAAACTTGGTTTAAAAGAAAATTGGGAAGTGGAATGGGAATGAGGTATGAGAGCTATGAGATATGACTATCCTTTCGTACCTTATGTACGCACAGAACCGAGTTAATCTACTAATCTATTCGGTATTGGTACTTACATCTGGTTGATCTTTGGTGTTGTGAAAAGTGATTGCTTGTATGTAATAATATAGTTGGAAGAGCGACAAAAAGTAGTAGTAAAAAAACAAAAAAAACAGAGAACGTCATTGGGCTATTATAACTGCCTAGGTACCTAATATATTTACTTCCATTCAATATTTCATACAAGATGAGCTTGTGCGTGTGCTCCTCAGGGCTTCGCATGTCGTCGATCAACTACCTACCTATCTCCAGGGATCTTCTATACGTCGGAGAACACCGCTAAAAGCCGATTTGAGGCTTGATGTGTACCTACATATGCAAGGCAGCATCTAATCGGACAACGTGATAAGAATTCGACTACTATTGGCCCGTTCCAAGATCCAATTAGTTCCCGAAAAGCTGTAGCAAAATGCGGTTCCCCGATCCAATGAGACGTAAGGCTACACAGCAGCATGTCGTTTGCTTTTTCTTTTGCAGTAGTACATCTAGGTACAATTATGTACATCCCCATGGAAGATCCAGCGAGCTCGTGAAGTGGTAAGCTAAATCGGCCTGATCGGTAGTAATTTATAGATATTATATTGAATTTAAATTGATCGTCTATATACACCATACTTAAGTCCCTACGACGGCACAGTAGTCGCCACTATCAATTGACAATGGCATCTATAGATACCGTGGACCCAGGTTTTTGCCACTTTTTACTTTATAATGCATTATGCACGGCGGCTCTTAATCCGTCCATGAGACATCGAAGGTGCGTCGCCATTGTAAGACACCAACCTCCCCAACGATATTATACAGCCTTGCGAAAAAAACAGTACTTGGAGTGGATATTAGGTACTAACCATTAACCAAATAATTATCACCGATATCAATTCAAAAGGATCGACACATGGTAGACTTTTCTGGAGTTGTTTCGTCGTGTCAATGATCAATGACTATTCCCACAGATCTAGATAAGGTCGTACGAGAGATTATGCGAATGCAATCCTTCTGTATGTTAGGTCAGCATTGCATCCCACGCTGTATGCGAACATACCCCCCTCGTATGGGAATAGCGTCGCATTTGATGTGCGTCGGAAGAAAAGCCGACACCTCCAGCTTCGGAAAAGGTCATTTGCATGATTAGTTGTTTCCATAGTAATATATGACGTCCATTGACCCGGATTGACGATGGCTTCGTAAATGATACAGAGGTGTGTATTTAAGGAGTAGCATGACATTATAAATCATATCTTGGTTCATAAATAGTTCATACCGGCCGAACTTTCATCTTACTAAGTGCCTACGAGGTAGGTGCTGACAGAAGTCAATTTGATGATAAAATAGGAGGAGCTCATTGGATTCCGCTCCTGCGGTCGAGCAATCGAGGAAGCTTCAGGGCTGACTGATCTGACAGTGTGATTGCCCAGCCGATTCAACGTTCTGTGGCTTTGGTGGCGTTCTGCCCCGCGTCCGTGGATGCACACACTTAATCTAATCCCCAACAGGTTAGATACTCAACTAGATGGGGTAAACTAAACCCTTGTCGGATTTCCTACCTGGGGAAAAATGGACCTTGGACAAGTGGGGATTCTTATCTTACCCAAAGTTTCTGACCTTCCGGAGTTTTGAAAGTCGCGTGTCCAATTGGTAGAAAAGTTCCCATCAATTTACAACTACAACTCTCTCCAGCCAAACTCGCGATAAATAATATCGAGCTATATAATATCAAGCCCGTTGATGATTAAGGACGCCACATTCAACCTAGCCTAATGCCGAATATTGCAGGTTACAGAATTTGTGCCGTCCACAAGCAGAGTCGCACTACCAACGATGGTGGCTGCTACTGACTGCCACCTCCTCACCTGACGAAGATATTTGCCAAGTCTCAGAATCCCACCTCAGTGCCAATCAGGAATCAAGAATGTATCGAAACATGTCTCGGTGCTTTATATACGTCCGTCCTTCAGCTGAGGCTGGGCCTTGGTTCTTGGATAATTTATCTAACCTCTTAAACTACGTGACGAATCCTATTAAGACAATTATCGATCATCCCTCGTCTTAGTCGTTGAGACTAGTTTCAATCAGTCCATCATTTCCTATGCCGAAGATTGCGGAGTAAGATCTAGGAAATAGTCAGGGCCAAGCCGTTTTGGACCAACTATTACGCGGGGTATAGTCCGTCAGCGACAAGGACTCGCTACACCCTGTACGTTGCTTTTTGCCAAGTGCAGTTGAATATCCGCCTGGGCAAAACTAGGGTGTTTAATAATGATTCAATCAAATCAATTTTCTGATTTGCCGAAAATGACTTGACAAGGTCTGGACCCTCGTTTTTACTCCAAGGTACTGGGAACCCCCAGATGTGGATGGATAGATACTAGGTAACCAACTTAAGACCCTTGAGTATCTCCATCGAAATCCAGTAAGTGCAGATCACTCCCTATAAACAGGCGAGAGGGTCCCCTTGGCTACTTCCCTTGGTCTTCTTCGCGTCTTCCTTCGTTCTTGTCCTCATCGACTCTGTCAATAACTGCGCCTTGCGACTCGATCAGTCATCATGGCCGCGATACGACCCACGGACGAGAAAAACGACTCAGATCAACCTGAGACAGTCGTGCTCGAGACTAAGAGCGAAGGTTCCTCTGAGGCACCGAGATGGACTGTGGAGGAAGAGACCGCCCTTCGTAGAAAGTTGGACTGGCAACTGGTGCCTACGGTTACCATATTATATCTTCTCTGCTTCCTAGACCGGTATGGCTATTCTAATTAAGAGCTTTTGATACACCGCTTGATACTAATTTTCGGTGTAGAATAAACATAGGGAATGCGCGCATTCAGGGATTGCAGGAGGATCTAAACCTCTACGGATATCGCTTTAACATCGCGACAAGTATCTTCTACATCGTCTACTTAACGATAGAAGTACCGTCCAATATAATTCTTAAGCATGTCGGTCCGCGATTCTACCTACCCGGATTGGTCGTCGGGTTTGGAGCTGTCTCCGTCGCGACAGCTTTCGTAAAGACTTTCGAGCAGCTCTGTGCTGTCCGTGCGTTGTTGGGTATCTTCGAGGGCGGAACGATGCCGGGATTGGCCTTCTTCCTGAGCTCTTTCTATAAGAGAGAAGAGCTTTACTTTAGAGTTGGTATTTACGTATCGGCCGCATCGATCGCCGGCGCTTTTGGTGGTCTGCTAGCTGCGGGATTTTCGCAAATTCCCGAATGGGGAATCGCTAGCTCGAGATTACATACGTGGCGCAACATCTTTTTCTTCGAAGGTCTCATCACCATATTAATTGCGATGATGGCTCCCATCATCCTACCACAGAGCCCCGAAACGTCGAAGTACCTAACAGACCGCGAGAAATTTATAGCCGTCGAGCGTCTCCGTCTTGAAAGCAAAGCACACCCTCACGAGAAAGTACAAGCGCGCCACGTCAAGCAAGCGCTGCTCAACATCAACAACTACATCTGCGCGGCCGGATTCTTCGCCATCAACATCACGGTGCAGGGTCTGTCCGTCTTCATGCCAACTCTGCTCAAGGACCTGGGGTGGGAGTCGCTGACGGCGCAATACTACACCGTGCCCGTGTACGTGGCTGCCTCGCTGGTCGCCATCGGCATCGGCTTCATCAGCGACAAGACCCGCATGCGCGGCATATACCTCGCCCTATTCACGATCCTCGGTATAACCGGCTTCGCCATGCTCCGCTGGGGCCACGGCAACGCCCTTCGCTACACGGCCATCTACCTCTGCGCCCTCGGCGCATTCCCCGGCGGTCCTGGTTTCTTGTCTTGGGGACTCAACAACTCAGCCGGTCCGGCCATACGCGCTGTTTCAGGCGGTTGGATCGTGACACTCGGAACCATGGGCGGCATTCTCGCTGTCTGGGCGTACTTACCGAACGACGGACCCGCGTTTCCTATCGGCCATACGATTAACCTTGTCGCGCAGATCTTCGTCCTGTTCTTGAGCGTTTTCGGCATCTGGTACTGTGTCAGGGAAAACAAGATCCGCGCGAGGGGCGGGCGGGATGATAGGTTGATCGGGTTGAGCGAGGACGAGAAGGTCGATTTGGGATACCGACACCCGGATTTTAGATATATCTCGTAAGACGAGAGTGTTGTGTTATGAAGTGGACGATACGTACTTTCAACGAGTATGAGGATGAGAAATAGGTTTGCTACGATAGGAATTGGGATAATGAGTGTAGATGGGGGTTAGAGGGTATACCATGCTGAGGCGAGGCGAGGATTCGGTCGTTTTAGAGGTGGATTATATACATAGTTGGCGGCTTTATTTAGAGTTTTCAAGATTATATGCTTGTGAGTGCAATGGAATCCGTGAAGTGACGTGTAGAACGCGGGTAACTACGTGAGTAAGGTTGTGGTATTGTTTTCGGTGACGATGTCCTCTTTACTTACTGGGAATCACGATATCTTCATCTAGCAGATGTTAGATATGCTAAACTTCTACATCTTTCATCCTCCACCCTTTTCTACTCTCCAGGAACCCCTCTCTCCCGATTATATCAGATACAACGAACAGAGTTCACCTAGGTATAGTTATGACTAGTAGCTAATCGCGAAATCGTCCACCGCACATGACTTCACAGACCGTAAACACATCTGCCGCGCTCCGAAGCTGCCGAAAGAGCCGCGCGTCCAGCCCGCGCATGCGCACGTGGGACGATGCTGCGCGCGTTTATCTGTGCCGCGACCAATCGGCCGTTAGCCGGGCTTGGCTTTGTTGGATACGACATTCATGGTAAGGCCTGGGAAAGTTGGGAGATGGATTTGGGTTTGGGATCGTGATGGTGGAAAGGCAGCGGTGTAGAGATAAGGATATATGACTTGAAGTTTTGGAACGTTGTGAGTTTAGGGGTAGGTGAGGAGAGAGCGTAGCGTCGTCATCGTCGTCGTCGTCTGCCTTACGGGGTCGAAGTTGGAACGGGGGTCGTGATGTATGGGTAAGGTAGCGTTGCTTGATGGCCTTGTTGGTGCATATGCTAGGTGTATCTATAAGAGTCTGTTTTCTGAGGTTGGGTTCGGATGCCTCGGTCTGCATTCTAGGGTTTAGGGGAACCGGGCCGTGATGGATAGGATAGTGCGACGATATCGTGAAGGTGTTATTCTAGGCTGGGTTATGTACAAGTTCTATACCATCAAACTCATGGAAACTAAGTCTGTGTGTGGCTACGAAAAGAGTGAAGATACAGGCATGCCGACATTTGCCGTAGTTGGTTATTACTGGTGGTGTAGATGGGTACATGTTTACTCAAGTGCATGCTTTACGCGACAGCCTCTCGGGCCGGCGTAGAGCCTTGGAGATGGAAGATACAATTTCATAACGATGACATGTTTACCCCCGACCTCGTTCCTTAGGCCGAGATAAATGTGAAGCAAACCCGAGAGCTACCCGTCTTATCAAAGCGCCTTATAATAAGTATCAGCTACTCCTGATAAGTGAAGCATAAAAATGCATAGCATCTAAGAATAGCTGCCATATGCTATAGAGTGCATGGGTTGCAGTTAAATTGTGAAAAGAATATGCCATAATTAGATCATCATCTTGAAACCCCAGTATCTCCTCTTGAATAGCATATGTTATAATAAAATACGATATAGGGACTAAGACAATCGTCCTGACCTAGAATGGGCGAGTTGAGCAATACTACGTACCTTCACACTTCGCATCTCCAGACCATCACCACTCCCCTACGACCCAGCCCTATCTTCCAAAATCGCCAAGATCCTCAACACAAGCCTCGCAACACCACTCCCATCCTCCACGATCCCCTCATGCGAGCCCTGCAAATCCTTCCACACCAACAAGCTCCCCTCCCCAACATCCCCCCTCAACCGCTCCGCCATCCCCTCCGTCTCAGGCATATCCACCAGCTCATCATCCGGCGAATGCGCCAGCGCCGCCAACCCCCCAAAGCGATCGCGATAGCGCCCCGCAAACTTCATCGGCGCAGCGCGATCCCAGTCCCCCGGGGCCCCGAACGCCGCGGACAGAAACCCGGAGTACGACCCGCCGACACGCGCGTTAAGCCCGGTCATGTCGTAGATCCCCTCGATGCCGAGCACAGCAGCGGGTAAGTGCGGGGTTTCCCCATCCCCTACGCGCCCCTCATCATCCGCGCGAGAGGTCGACGACAGAGGCGCAGTCGCGAGGAATTGGTAGGCGAGACACGCGCCGGCCGAGTGGCCTAGCAAAACATACCTCGCTCCGAGCGCAAACTCACGCTGCAGGAACACGAGCGCGGCTCTGACGTCGTCGAGATGGTCGGGGTGTCTAGCGACGCGGAGCTGTGTCTCCGGGGTTTCCGCCGGGTCCTGGGGGAAGTCCGGGTGTGGGCTGAGGCGGTAATCTATCGATGCGAAAGCGGCGATGCTGGAAGTGGAGGCGTCGAGGATGCGCGATATAGAGGGTGCGAAAGCCTCGTGCGTCACGCGCGGGTCGCGCCATGCGCCGCCGTGGATGAAGCTATAGGTGGGAGAGATCACGTGTTAGTTTGGTGGCTATGAGGGTGGATGTTATGGATGTGTATGACGTGTATTATTGCTAGGTTAGGTGGGATGCGAGGTGAGACATTCACATAATCCAGTATTTGGCCTTGTCGGCGATATCGAGGTCCCATACTCCGACCCGCTGTAGCTCGTGCGCGCCGTACTGGTGGAGTGTGTATTTGAGCGACGAGGCCATGGCTAAGCTAACCTTGCTCGTTGGCAACGTGATGGTGGTTGGGAGGTGCAAGACCTAGGTAGGTATGTGATGCATGAAGAAAAGTACTTTGCAATCATCACTGATGGAGGCTTAGCGCATGAGGGGGACTGGACGGAAGGTGGAAAGTAACTGGACGCGTTTGTATCTCAATGCATGTCTTAGTACGGAAACCGGTTGTCCTCCGGTCTGCCACCTTTCTTTAGCTGCATTGGTACGACATTGACTCTGTCTCTGACTATCACCTAGAACATTTTATGCACTATACTTTCACATTCTCTCTTTCCTGTTTTTATTTTCCAACTTTCAACTAATGACGCGTTTGGCGGTGGATATTTTGCAACTCGTGATGAAGTATCACTAGTTTAATGTCGCTGCCCACGAATATTTCTGTCGGGGAGAAGCTTTAAAAGGAAGGAGATGACGTTTTTTTGCTTCCAATTCGTATTATACAAAAGAACAACTGGGAGAAATACCGGTGTGATGACGATTCTGTTTGAAACTGCAACGTCCGATTTTTTCATTCGTCAATGGCTTGAGACGAAGACATTGTGAAACGGGGGTTGGTGAATCTGACTGCATGTTGCAATTCTTGTCCTTTCGTAACAATTTGCCTACATTACTGTACTGTGACCCTGAATGTTCACCCAATGACATGACGAGACTACGAAAATTGCATCGGCGCGATGTGAATGATTTGCCAATCGGCCGGTTGGCTAGACCCGCTCGTATCATATCCGGTAACTTTTACCAGCGAATTATATAGGGAAAGCCATATTGACTGTTGTTCTAGGCGGAGTTTCTCTTAAGGGTTGTTACTCGCGGTGATACTGCTGATGATCCGGAGAATTAGGTCGCTTTCTCGCATATCGGACTACTCAATCCCGGCATGAGCAATTGCTTTTTTCTGCTGGGTCCTATGCATTGCGATGCTAACTGCAGAAAGATACAACAAAGGCGCAATCTATGTAAATCAGCTTCTATTCCCGAAAAGTTGTACCACCTACCATCTGATAGGCTGTGGGTTCTGAAAACGGTAACGATTTGTCCAGTCCACGGCCGTATTGGCCCGATAAGGCAGCTTTAGACAGCGAGGACTCCGAAAAGTTTCCCTAGAGAGTGAAACAAAAATTTAATCAACGAGCCAAGAACCTCATGACTCCTCAATGTTGAACGGATTCGTCCATGTCGTTATTGTTCTAAATGGGTGCTTCATGCCGTTCATGGAACCCGAGCCTACGGCGAAGACTAGCTGGTAATGGCATGGTTCGGTTACAAGACCGAACCGGATTTTGTTGTTCATGGTATTCGCTGTGTAACCTCGACGCGTGACGAGGGATGCTATTCGATAGCTTTGTGGCCGGCTTTGTCCCAAGGGGCTTCTAGCTGTCTGGTCACGCTATTCTAACTTCGATGGGTACACGTCACGAGCCTCTTACCGCTTTCGTGGTGTCGTCTATCCCTGGGACGGGGACGAAGGATTCGGCCGACCTGGCTGTCAAACCTTGAGCAAGGCTGAATTGTTATTAGATATCCATGGTGCATAAAATATGTTCATGATCCATGATTGGACGAGGAACTGCAATGGAAGCTTTTTGGAAACCATTTCTCGACGTTAGTCCCCCTTCCTCTTTTATGCCACATGGGGGTTTACTTGACTCCGACAAGCATCGCGGCCCTATTTGATCGAGATGTCCACGGGATCTCTGGAAAGAGTGAAACATGCGGGGTACGGGATAACGAATGAAATTATGATTTCAAAAGCAAGGGGGGTTAAAGTGGTGGCTTGAAAATCTTGTCAATCGTCGCATCTGATTTCATCTGTTCTCCCGTCGGCCTCATCGACTGAATTGAATTGATATAAATTCATATATTCTCGATTCAGTGTCCTGCAGTAGCGTCATAGCTTTTAGTCGAGGGTTTCCGCTGATCTGTCAGTCTGTTTAACCGAAGTGAATCCCCATAATATGTAAGCGCGGACCGTGATGCTACCGACAGCAACATCGATATCAGGGGTACAAGGACCTGGAGACCCACAATATACCTTGCGGGCGGTGCTGAACCCCTAGCAGACTAACAAACGTCGCTATATCCGCAAAGGCTAGAGGTACCTAATCTTGCTAGTGATGCGACGGTCTAGCGAGCTTATGAAGAGGTGCCTGGCTAAAAGTCTTAACAGTGTTAGTGTACCGATTGACAATATTGAAGCCTCAATATATAGCAAAAGGAGCGAAACTCTAGAACAGGCTGTTTCAAAATGGAGACGTGTTAATAGTCCTAATAACCATCACGGCATAGACTACTAGTGAAAATTTCAAGAGAGGGAAAAGTTTTCGCAATTTCGACAATTCTCTAGAGTCTAGGTACTTAGTAGGGAAAAGGATACTGCAGGCTTCCTTCTTAATAAGTCGTTTCTGCAACCGGGAAATTGTATCGTCTGTGTGTTTAGAGGCGCAGAGGTAGAGTCGCAGCTGAGAGGTAAGCTTTCAAGCATTCAGGTATTGAAGTGTCAAAGCTCTGCATATGTCAAGTGTCAAGTGGTCCAAAAATGGTGCTCAGATTCGGAGAATTTGGGTCGCAACAAGATTTCTTGTTGAAGATCTGACCCTAGCACTTTCAACGCTAAGCTAAACTCTGTCAAAGACACATCCATGGATGCACCTGCCAGCTGCGATAGGTTCCAAAAAGTACCCTAGTAATACCGTGTAACATTGCACGATAGATAAGATGACTAAGATAAATATAACCATATGCGGTATATGTATATAGACAATATCGTTTGTCACAAAATAATTATTTTACCACCCACCTTCCAATTTTCGATAACTGCCGACAACAACCAAACAGTAACATTTACCATTTACCATCTATCATGCCACGCCCAGCGCTTTACTCGTCATCTACCCCTACGAACACGAATCGTGAAGGCACAGTAATATTCAAACGTCCATGGGATATCTTCTATCACTACTAGGTACAAGTGTAATATCTAGTAGACTTCAGATCAACATTGAATTATCCAGTAGCGAGCACACGCTACTCTGTACAGAGTAAAGATGTAAACCGGCGGATGTCAAAGCACAGACTCCGCCATAGATGAGCACTTTTCCCTGTCCCTGGACCGATTATTAGCAGGGCTCTGCATGGTGTTGCAAGGGTCTGAAGCTCACAGCGCGCAGGAGGTTTCTCTCACCTGCACCCTACGGCCTCGCGTACCGTTACATTAGCTTCGGTTCGCATCCGGGGCACCTCAGAACATCTGGCGATCCGGACGGAAATCGCAGGGGACTAGTAACTAGAGCTGCTCGACACCATATTATGGCACTGCCTATTGCGGAAAATAACCAGAAGATGAACAAGCTTACTTGCTGAGACCGCATCATGTCTTTCTCTGGTACAGGCAAGGTTACCCCGAGATGCTACATGCATTATCTCGGTCGTCTAATGGCATTCTGCTCCATAAGATAGACCCATGAGATAGACTATGAGGTCCCATGCCATGCTCACAAGGCCGTTCCGCCGTGTTGGTTTCTTTCCCTTTGCTCTCCTTCTGAATAATACATATGGACTGGCCCCGTATGCATATTTCTAAATTTTCGCTTCTTTCTCTTCGTTCCTTTCCTTTCCTCCCTGTTTCTCTTGAGAGTCATACCTTCTCTTGGCGCCTGATAGTCTTCATCTATCATGGCAGCCCAGGATCCAAATGCGCCAACAGACAGTAATGGCGGTGCTCTGGTGGCTACCGCCATCACTATGTTGATATTCTCTTGGCTATCTGTCTCTCTAAGATCCTTCGTACGCGCTAGGCTAACTAATGGTTTCCAATGGGATGACTGGATCATGCTATTATCTCAGGTATGAGTGTGACAGTACCTAACTACCGAGCTCCCTATACTCACATTTACCCTGAACAGTTAAACTTCACAGCCTCGTGCGTCTTAATTCTCGTAGGAGTTCAGGATGGCCTAGGAAAACACAACAAATCTCTCGACCAGTTCCACGAGATCCAGGCTTTGATGTATCAAGCAATAGCTACCGCGACATATGTCCTCAACATGTGGTTGATCAAACTTAGCATAGGCATCTTCCTACTCCGCCTAGCTACGCAGAAGAGGTATAAATACACCCTCTACGCTAGCATCGTCATCGTTAGCATATGGAGTGTTGTTTTATTCTTCTGGAATATATTTCAGTGTAATCCTGTTGCTGCTCAATGGGATTATACGATCCTTGCGAATGATCCCACCTCTCATTGTGTCTCAGCCGATGAGATTGTCGATGCCGCTTATGCGTTGAGCGTCATGAATATCCTATCCGACTGGATGTACGCTTTAATCCCGATTCCCATGCTCTGGAGTGTCAAAATGTCGGCTCAAGCTAAACTTACTGTGGTTGTTGTTCTTGGTCTGGGGATATTTGCCAGCATCGCTACTCTCGTCCGACTCAAATTCCTTGCCGATCTCACAGATATGGCAGATATTCTTCGTAAGTCTTGGCTAATATTATACAGCTATTGATACATACCCCGGCTTCAAATTTCTGACTAGTTGTGTTAAATATAGACGCTGGAACCGATGCGATGGTCTGGACATTGATTGAACCAGGAGTTGCTATCGTTGCTTCAAGCCTTGTCACTATACGACCCCTACTTCGTCTTTGGAAAATTAAAGGGTTCGGTTCAACTGGACAGAGCCACCCAACCAATCAGTACAATAGTAATCGCATGTCGCGTACGAACCGATCGAGCAAGATGCCGGGTTTCGGCTCTACCGATGTAACTTTAGTAGATATTGAATCCCAGTCAAAGATTAGCCGCCCTCGTTCCTCGGTCGCCGGGTCGTTTGTTGGAAGCAGGATTCAGCGTTCACGGTCGGTATCTGACGGTGCAAGCTTCACGAGCAGGAGTCTGCAATCACGAGCATCTTCTGATGCGCCAATGTTCTCCGGCTATCCACAAAGATCCCGGTCGATCTCCGATGCAGACACATTGACTGGTAGGAGTCAACGATCTCGGCCGTCGCATTTAACAAGATTGTACGAAACGCCCATAGAAGAAGACGACGCTCAGTCAGAGTACGAAGGTCCGGCAAATAGAAGAATTGCAGTGAGAAGCGAGATGTACATCATCGAGGGCAACGTAACACCTTCGCCGCCACCAGGAGCACACAGACGGGGTGAAACATGGCTAACAGAACAAGACTCGTCAAATGACGGGTCATTTGAGCTCAGCCGTATCAGACCTCAATACAATACGAATATGGACTCTATGGAGTTACCACGACTACCACCAACTTACCGACGATAAACATTACAACAACGTTATCACGGAAACCACTTTACATATAATGCTCCGAAATAGAGACGTCAATACGATCATAACGTCAACTATAGGGCCTCAATCATTTCGACTTTTCCTTTCAATTCTAATTAGATGTATAAATGGATCATATATAAACCAAGATACCCAAATGGCCGAAACTAAGGTTGATTTATTGGCGGCGACTAGGCGACGGGGAACGGAGAACGGGGTTGGATTTAAGGAGTTCACGGAATTGCAAAACAACCAATATGTTGGTTTCTATTCGAGGAGAAGTTTCGGCCAAGGGCTGGTTTGGCATGGGCAAGATACCACACACTTTTTCACTTTATTCCATCATTGATAGGCGTTGAACATACTTAAGGTTGGTTTTGGGTCAAAGGAAGGGAAGCCATATTGGCTACTATAAGGAAGAAGATTCCATAAGGGAAAAGGGTAGTACCGACACCCAATTGAAGGAGTATCAATTGACTTCCGGATATTTACGGCCATGTGTATATAATATACCTACGCAAGTTGTAAATAATACATAACTTGATGATCATCAACATCGTATGCAATAGGCGTGACACGACAAGATACGAAGTCATTATGGACTTAATAGAGTATTCTCATGATTAAAAAATGATCCTTCAAGAATGTAACTGAAAGAAAAACTATGCCGTTCCTCATAGCAGTGCTTGAACCAGTTCCAGTGACTCTACGATCGAACTATAAGACGAGAATTAAGCTAATATCCATCTCTGGGTACCCAGCTTCTTAACGCCGATGAATTATGATTTATAACAGGGAATTATACGACGCTGTATTCCGGCATTCGCGGCCTTAACGAATACCTACCAAGTAATTTAAAATTCTTCTTCGTTTTCGCAAAAATTCCTTGTCAGCTATATGCGGACTGCTAAGCACCGCCAGGAAACCTAAGCGAAGGCAACAACAATTACAAGATTTACCAGCTCTAACAACTCCTTTATTCATAACTCCGGTACAACCTTCTGTACCTATAAGTACTATGTATGTATGTTGGTTTTCCATCGTGACGAATTCCTCTCCCCTAACTGGTTTTATCCAGGGAGTCCCGAGTAATAGGAACAGCAGACGTTGCAACGCGGCTAAACCAAGATCGTCGCAGGATTTCCCAGTGAAACCGCGGAACGGCGACCTGTGAGGCGTAGTATTATGCTCCGGTCCGCCCTATTATACCGTATAGCACGGCCTGATAAGGTCATGGGTGTCGGCAAAACGTACAGCGCCGCACAGATGGTGTTCACATACATACAAACATGGTTCTGGGAACGTCACATTCGTTTACTCGCCCAGCTCACCTAAGGGTCGGGTTTTGTAGATACATATCACATGTGCTGGGATAGCTGCTGGGGGTATCATAACTTTTGCTTGTTTTTGGCCTCATTACCTGGTGCCCGGTACCTAGAACCCGCCTGTCTAGAACTTTTTACTATTCCCAACAGAAAAAAAAACATTTAAACCCTGCAAAATAGTCCCCTGAGACTCCCGCAGCGAAGCCCAGTGCATACATAGTACAAGCGTATGCGTGACCCAAATCGACAATTCCTCAAAGACCAATATCCTCCAAATTCGGATCCCAATCCTCCTCCTCGTCCCAAATTGGGGCTAGAACGAACTTGTTATTGATCTGGCCCATGCCGCAGGCAACCCCGGTGCTGAGCTCCGGATTCTGCAGGTCCACGTTCTGCTCGACCATGACCGCGGTCGTCGTGAACTCCGGGTCTGCGCCGACTCCGACGCTGAGAGTCGTTCCTCCCCAGTCGAACTCGACTTTGCCCGACTTGCGCACGATGAGCTTGCCGATGCGACCGCCCTCTGGCGGAAGCGTTCCGAACGGGTTCCATCCACTTTCTTCCTTGTTGGCGCCGTCTTCGGTCTTGATTTTGCCATGGCTCTTGGGCGCGGTGTTCAAGATGCCGTTGCTGTCCGTCTCCCCGTCTGCGTCATTCGTGGGCGGAGCTAATGGCGGGAGAATGGGCGGGAGTTGGAAGAGCATGATCTGGTCGTCTTTATGCCGGCGATGCGCTTCTTGATCTTCGCCTTCTTTCTCGCCGGTAGCAGCATGCAGGCTGAGGGTGTCGAATTGGTACCGCAAATCGTACAGAGTCTGCGCGATTTCGGGGTCCTTGGCGGCCTTTGACTTGCGTTTTCGCTTCAGGACCGTGGCACCGACCTCGTTTATAAGCCTTCTAGTCTCGGCCGGAGGTTCCTTGACTTCTGCCGCCTCGGGGATATCTGACATATCCATCGCGTCGGGGTCTGCGCCCGGCTCGGTCTTGACTTTGACCTGGCCCTTCTTAGGGGCGGCATGCCAGACCTCGCCGTCTTTCTCCGTGCCGACATTTTGCAGGTCTTCAGTTGACTCGGGAAAGAACAGATCTTCGTCGTCGGATGATTGGCGCTCTTCCGCTTCGAGCTCTGCGGTGGTTTTGACTTTGACCTCCTCGTCTTCGTGCTGGATACGGAGAAGACCAACTGGCATGGTTCCGCGAGATTTTCCGGGGGGGATAGAACCATCCTCATACTCGTTGTAGCCATTGAGAGCGTCAACGTTGATTCTGTGCTCATTCTCTCGTCTGGGTTTGTATCTTGATAATGTATACTCGGAACTGAAACCAGTACGGTCGCTCTTTGGTCCCCAGCCGCTACTTTCTAAGCGTGAGTTAGTAAATTGCCCGATTTAATAATCTTTGTGTAATGAATAGTGTGTCTTACCTTGAGGAACAGCCGAGAACGGACCAGAGGCAGTAATGGTTCGCCGAGCAAATCCTCGTTGTGACATATCTCCCCTCCCACGACCCCGGCGCGCTCGCCGTTCTTCGGCTCGGACCTCACGCTCTTCTTCCTTGATCTTCATGTTCAGATCACGACTTCTCTCTTGCTCTAACCTCGCTCGTTCCGTTGCATCCCTGCGGACATTTTTGGGTCTGAATCGACCACCAGCACGTGATGGCGCAACACTTGGGGTTCGTGATTGCGTTGCACTGGGAGCGGTTGATTGTTCGGGTTGAACCTCGGGTGTTGCCGAGATCTCGATTGGGCGTGTGGCTGCATCTTGCATTACCAAGTCGCTTCCATCTGAGTCTTGCGCTTGGGTCTGAGACGGATTGTCAAGAGTTGTTGCTGCATCACTAGTTCTGTCCGTAACACCTGAATGTCCACCTCTTGTTGACCCACGCCCACGTCCACGGCCACGACCTCTCGTACCGCGGGGAGGCATCTCGTGATATCACTGATCTTGATCAACTTGACTCTAAAAAAGAGTTTGCGTAAATGTATTTGAATGTGAGTTCTTTACATGAATTCTCTAGGTTCAGGTGAATGAATGAGTGTGATGAGCTTGAAAGTTAAGTTGTTGATATTTGATGAATTGAAAATGAGTTGAAAGTGAGATCTGAAAAGTTTATGGTGGGGCAACCCTGTAAGTATGCACAGTAATTAACAGAGTTCGGGTTGGTTCGATGGTGGGGCACGGCGATTATCTAATTGGAAATTGAGCTGACAACTGTTCACCACCTGGCATCAAGGTACACTCAGATGGAATTTCTTCCAATCAAATTGCAGAAAATTGCCAATTACGTTTAAAGGTGAGGGGATAGTCAAAGATTAGATTTGCAGGAAAGAAGAGAAAAAAGTAGGGGTATTATACCCTGAATGATCTTATTCTGTTATTTGTAAGTTAGGTGGGTAGTTACTATTAAAATGGACTTTTACTTCCCAGATAAAACTCCCTCCCTGATACTTGAATTGCATAGGAACTCCATCGCTTTTTGTACACCTCCTATACAGGTAGGAAGGCGTAAATGCGCAACTCGACGATCTTCCAAAATTTCCCCCATAACATAAGTACAAAACAATGCCCTTTACTCCAATTTAGGTAGGGCATGGATACGTCCTGTACGAGGTCCTTTGCTTCCGTGTGGCCTTAATAACCCCATCAAGATGCAAGGGACCATCATCGAACACACATTAGTGCTTGTTCGCCAAAGTGTCTTTCGATGCTGCCTTCCTGATAAAGCATCGACCCTATCCAGTTTCGAGCAGCTTCAACGGTCGCGGCACCAAATTTTACCACGATACAACCACGTACGTTGGCGGCTGACCAAAGTATCTGCTTCTCTCTCTCTTCCTCTAACCTCCTGGCTCTCCAACTTTCGAGAGGGGATCGAGGTGTCGCTTCGTCTTTCTCACGTGCTTCGGCACTACGGAAATCTCGGGCACCTAATCGTGGCAGCGCGGCAAACTCGGCCAGGAAGAAGTCGCCCATGGATTCAGTCATGGGGCCTCGAAGAATCAAAGTTCCCATGATAGCTTGACCATACATCGACTCTCGAAGTGAGGGCGACCCCGCAGGTCTGTTTTTACTATCAAGAATAATATTGTCACGGACCAAAAGCCGATCCTTGGACATTTTAGCATCGGAGATGGACCAGACTTCATTGCGCCCAACCCATCGATTGAGACTCCAGTTTTCGCCTAGAGCAACACGGCCTTGCGTGACCCAGTCCAACAAGCATAGAGATGCGTCGTCGGTCAACTTGAAAGTCTGAATTTGCTCGTATACGCTACCTTCGAATGGTTGAACAGGATCTGGAACGAGACAGAGGGCAGCCCCGTCTTTGATCTCGACTTTCAAGTTTTGTCTTGAAACGGTATCTGGTTTCGTAGGCCGAAATATTTTGGTATGTCCTTGAGTAACGATGCTGAGCCTTGCCCTTGGTTGAACGTCGATAGAGAGGTTGATCTGGTCACCGCCAACAATGCCTCCACCGTATGACAAAAGAAACACCAATACACTTCCCTGTTCAGCAGCAGAAGCAGGCGATATAAGCTTGAGAGGATATTGGTAGGTCATACTCTCAAGCGCTGAGACATTGTTGGGCGTGAGCTTGGCAACTATTCGACCCTCTCCAGGGATGGATGTCGACTTTGGAAATGGTGATTCCATTTTGCAAGTTTTTCAAGAAATATGTAAACTGGCTTGTTAGACTTAATTCATATTGGAAAAAAGAAGAAAGTTGAGAATTTCCACCGAGAATTTCCAGGCATTGATGCTTATCTCAGGGTCCGGTACACGAGAAAAATGTTTGGAAACGCTGTTGGAAAAGGAGTGTAAATGCGGTATGAAGGATAGGATCGGCTCATAATTATAAACCAACTAAAGGTGATATATAGGATCGATCATCAAGTTATTAGCTAAGAGAAAGGGGTAGGAAGATCATTTGACTTCATTTTTAATGTTTAAACTCTTGGCTACATACGGATATGTAGGTGTCTTGGTTGATTTCTGGTATTTCTGAATTTCTATGTGTAAAGATGGCGGATGATAGTGGGGCACAGGTACGTATCTCACATCTAAATTTATATACCTTGTATAGTGCATATATGTATCTATAGAATTGATGACTAAAAGAGCTAAGCCAAAAGAAGAATCTTGAAGTCGTACAGAATTGAATTATTGAATAAAAAGCATGGGTGACAAATCCGGAGCAAGGATCCTTGGAACTTTCCCAAGTTTAATTTTCGACGAATCCAAACACGCTCCCCACCACTAAGACACCAACCCTGACGCGCCTGAATTGCCAACGAATCTTCCTCTAGTCAACATTCCACAGTCAATCGCAATTATTCATTCATGGCGGTAAACGTCGCATCGCATTGATACTTCAATCCTACATATCCGAATGTCCACATGTCACCATCCAGATTGCCCCTAATGGAGACTTCAGATAATAACGCGACCTCCTCTCCCGCGTCCGCCCCCGACGTTTCGCGACGAAGATCCGGACGCGTTGTGAGAGCCCCTCAGAAATTCTCTCCTGAACCACAGAACGATAATTCGACATCCAAGCGCAAGAGAGGTCCTGATCGCGACGAGGAAGATGGCGAGAACGAGTCGCCCGCCGAGGATGAAGATGAAGAATTAAGCGACCCCGAGGAAGAAGAAGATGCTGAGGAGGAATCCACTTCTAGATCTAAGAGGTCTAAATCAAAGCAAAAATCTCGATCCAAGAAGCCAGCAGCCAAGCGCGCGAAAGTGAATGGTAGCGCTCCAGTAGATGCCGTGTCTGCACCAAATGCGCCTGCTGTTAGACTTCCAAACAGACCAAAGAAGACTGTTAGAGTTACCATTGCTCACCCAGATGGAGATGGTCTTTATGGTGAGAGATTTACTTGGATAGGCGCGCTTCTCTGTACTGATTACCATGCTAATATTTTACTAGTTGATGTGTTTGGTTCCGGCGATTCTTCCAATGACGTCGCCACGCATTGGTTCCAACGTTACGAACAAGATAACGCTAAGGCATTGACGGACGTTATTAACTGCGTTTTGCTTGCAGCCGGTTGTGACCAACAGTTAACAGAAGACGATATTCAAGACCCGGACAACTCCGCGAACAGATTGTCGGAGCTTGAGGATGCGTATCAGCAGGTGCGCGATTATCTCTTTTAAAGCTCGTAATCTATCGCACATGTACTAACTTCACGGATAGACAAATATTTCCGATTACCCTCTTATCTCGAGGGCAAAGAGCAGTAAAAACTTCCGGGAACTCCTCGTTGGGTTCTTCGAGTCTCTGGTCAATGTACTTCATGAGACTGATGTCCTCTACAATAACGAAGATTTGTTGGACAATATCCAGCGATGGGTTGGCATTATGTCGTCGTCTTCGTTACGGCCCTTCAGACATACGGCCACAACTGTAGGACTAGCAATACTCTCTTCGCTCATTGCGGTTGCGAAGTCGCTTGATGAAAGAATTACGAAGTCCAACCAAGCTTTACAGGCCGAGTCTGGCCGCCGAGGCAAGAACAAGCACCTCGTCGAGAATACGAAAAAGGCTCTTGATGCTGCAACCCGCAGCCGCGAGTTCGTTGATGGAAAGGTAAAGGATCTTTTCGACATTGTTTTCGTTCATCGATACCGGGATATCGATCCTAAAATCCGTGCCGAGTGTATCGAAGCGCTTGGTACCTGGATTTGTACCCTTCCAACTGTGTATATGTCTCCCGAGTATTTGCGATACCTAGGATGGTTACTATCAGATGTTTCGGTGTCTACTCGGCTAGAGGTTCTAAAACAATTGGCAAGAGTCCTAAAGCGGGACGCAGAGAAGTTGGCCCACTTTATCGACAGATTTAGACCCCGTCTGGTCGAAATGGCCACTAAAGACTCCGATATCTCAGTTCGCGTTGCTGCGATTGGAGTTGTCGATATCTTACGTGCGTCGGGTATGCTCGAGCCTGAGGAAGTGGACTCGGTTAGCAAATTGCTCTTCGACTCCGAGCTAAGGATCCGTAAAGCCGTCGTTGGCTTCTTTTCCGCGTTGGTTCAGGAGTTAATTGACACTAAAATAGACGATATCGGTGGCAGCGATGCGCTAGAAGAAGTATTTGGAGATGAAGAAGAGGACGACTATGATTCTCTGCGGAAAGATTGGGTTAATATCAAAGCCCTCGCGGAAAACCTTGCCGTTTACGATGCTCAGCTAGATGACGAACAAGACGAGATACGTCATGGATTGGATGTAGCGGCAGATGTGGTTAATGCTAATACGCCAGACTCACGAATTGCGCTGGCGACTCAGGTCCTCCACGAAAAAATACCTGAAATCAGCAACTGGCAGATTCTTGCTGGGTACTTGTTATTTGATCATTCCACCAGCGCAAAGTCTCGACAAAGTTCGAAAACAAATTCTGTTGAGGCGGCTACGAAGAAAGCTGTTGCTCCTGACCCTCGAGAGGAAGTCATCCTACTTGAGGTTCTCGCAGCCGCAGTAAAGGAGAGCCTCTTGCCATCGGCAGAGCACGATAGACACAAGAAGAAGACTGGCAGACTTGACACAGATGCACAGGAAGATGCTGGCGTAAAACTGGCCTCGCTCATCCCTCGTCTCCTGAGCAAGTTCGGATCGGACCCAGCCATGGCCGCCACTGTATTAAGATTAGAGCATTTCCTTGATTTGGAAGTGTTCCAACAGCTACGCCAAAATTCGGCGACGTATGATAAACTTCTCGATGAGATTACGACTCAGTTCAACCGTCACGTTGACCAGGCACTCTTGAACGAGGCAGCCACTGCGCTCATTCATGCTCGGCAATATGAGGAGCTTGAGGAGGTGACCGACAATAAATTAGCGGTACTCTGGGACAATTCACTCAACTCTTTGCGGGGCATAGATAAGATCTGTGAATTGTCAAGTCGATTGAATCTTGATCGGGCGAATCTTACCGAGCTTTCGCAGATCCTAATGAAAATCAGCAAGTTGGTCGCTATATCTGATTGCGTGGACGTTTTAGAAACACCAGGTACATCTCGGGACTCTGACCAGCCAGCTATCAAAATTCTCACCGGCATTGTGCACCGTGGTTTGTTAACAGAGCCGAACGAAGAACTTGATGATCCCGAGGACGAAATCGTTGCTTTTGCTATAAAAGCAAGTCAATTCTACTTTATGTGGAAAGTAAGAAGATTACGAAGCATGGTTGAAAACAATGAAGATATACTCGATAGCGATGTCGATCAGCTTGTTATCTTGCGCAGAGATTTCGTCACAAACCTCATTGAGACATTTTCTTCTCGAGGTTTCAACGACGACCTTCGCCTTTTTGCTGTCGGTACAGCTTGCGACCTCTGTGGCTTATTCGTCTTCCTTCGGCCTGTTACCCAAGACCCGCAAACCCCCAAGTACACAAAACTACGTCCCCTGCTCGAAGAATTGCCCCAAGCCCTAATCACCCAAGAGATCATCCCCATATTTGATGCAGCAGAGCGGGCATATGCAAAGCGGGGTAACAAGCAATTGAACGAACCTTTAGATGACGAAGATCCCCTAGACGACGAATTGCCGCCTGAGGATGATGACGAAGAGGAACTTACAGAGCAGGAGCGTTTCGCGGCAGAACTGAAGGCAGAGAAGATCCTTTGTGAGCTCACTGGCAAGCTCGTCCTTGCTATCTTAGCGAAGACCATCGATCACAGTGGGCCAGACGCAGGGAAGTTACGTAAACGTCTCAACCGCAACAAGACGAAGCTCGGAAATAACTACAAGGACATCGTAGCGTACCTAGACGAAGACCATCTCCGCGAGCTACGAGGCGGAAAGAAAAAGCCTGCAGCTAAGGCTAAAGGCAAGGAAGCAGCGAAGAAGCCGGCCCTTAGTGCGGAGTTGGTTATCGAGGACGACGATGATGACGAGAATCCAAGAGTGGATGATCCGTTCGATGAACCCGAGGCTGAGGCTGAGATTGAGGTTGAAGCAGAACTTGACCTCGAGCCCGAACCCGAACCCGAGGAGGGTACTGTTGAGGACCTAAGGCAAAGGGAGCTGCTCGACGATCCCATCGAGGACGACGAGGATGAGGAGAGACCTGCAGGAGAACCGATGGAGGACGACGACGTGATCGGGGATTGATTAAATACCTACCTAGGTACTACCTGAAAATGGGCCAGGCTAAACCTGGCTGGCTGTAATGAGACGACCTTTTTACTACTACACTCTACCTTTATTCGTGTACCTACTTTACGGCTTGGACGGGAACATGGAATGACTTACGGACGCGCGCGCAAAGGGGGGAGGATCCCTAGAGTTGATTGACTGATTGATACGATTCACCGTGACGTACGTGGAGCGGGCGGAGTCGTTGCGATGATCCCTGTTTTTTATTGTTATTGATTAATCAACTCTTACTTATGTTCCAATTCGTCCCCCCAACGCTGACTGAGGTGTGGGCGAGGTGTATGTGGGCTTGTAGTTAGGATGGTGGTGTAAAATGGATTGCTGATTCCCCTTCTTCGACTCTATTTGAATCTCTTTGATGTGCTCGTGGAAGAGTAAGTATGTAGTTATGCTTTGCTGCCAGTGGTAAAAGGTCGCCGATGTGCCAATCTTAGTCATCTTAGTAATCAAGTCTAACCCCCCTTGTGTTACACAGGTGGCGTTTTCTACGGGATATTCATGCTTAGTAATTAGTATGAGAGATTATCGTTCCGACTTCTAGGCTTCGTACTGTTTTTCCCCTATCTGAGTTTGCGGTTTAGTTATCACAAGAATCTGGTCACTTGATAGCATAGGTATAGGTTGCAAAACCCCTTTAAACGGTGGGAATCGTTACTCGTTCATGCGTGATGTGCTATGTTTAGTCCCTTGGGTATAAACTCCATATCCAGCTATGTATGCACCAAAACAATTGCCTTGGAAGTTACTTCTGATGAAGCTATTCTACTCGTAGATGATCTCGGGGCTTGTGGGATAGCTTCGAATCGAAGTGTGAATATGTTAAACCCTCATGCGTTTTCCATCCTCAGTCAGGGGCTAATCTTCGTACCAAATAGGGCGAACATCCTTTGCCAGCGCTTTCCGTCGCCGGCGTCTGCCTTTCGGGGATCCTCCTCACGGACTGTTATACCGTACTGGCGGATACAACACGAAAATGGCTTGTTCGAAAGAGTGGTCTCGGCGTCGGTGGTCGTCTCTACTTGATGACTACTTAACGGTCGGAGAGGCGAGGTGGGGGGTGGTTGATGCGTTGCTACTCGCTTCTTCTCTGTGGCTTGGCGTTGCAGCTCCTGTTGCTTGCATTCTTCTAGGTTGCCCCAGAGCTGGAAGAGCTGTTCTCGTAGCTTATCAAGCTCGTCAGGGTCTGCTCTGAGGCTGGTTTCAGGTTAGTGAGATGTTGGACAAACTTAGTATTTCTCGGTAGACTGAAAAAGGCAGAAGACGACTTACTCTGTCGCGTCGAGGTTTAGTAATAATTGTGCCTCGGTATTGTCGACTACGGCCCAGAACCTATTATTCTCCCCCTTATGCTTGGGATCAGCGTCTTCCAATAACAGAGCGAATTTCCATTCCCATATCTTCCTCCCTGTGTATTTGTTTAACGTGCCGTCCTCATCCGATTCAGAGTTGGAATCACCACTATGATCTGATAACATATCATACTCGAGGTTCTTGCGCCAGATTGCAAAATCTGCTAATCTGGAAGGTCGGAAATCCACGACTCGAACGTTGGTTCGGTACTTTGCACAAGTAAAAGGAAGATTTAAGATGACTTCCTGGCCATCTATTGTTGTCTTGTATGGAATCGGTTCAACTATAGACGGGACGGCGAAAACCGGCTGTTCGATATTTTCGCATTTGACTAAATTGTTCGTCAGTACATGCAACAAGCAGAAGAAACTGGTCAACTTACTCCGTTCATTGAGGCCAAGCCTTGCCTCCCTTTCTCGCTCTTTATCGTCAATCTCCTTTATTTTTTGAGCTCGCTCTACGGCGCGTCGCTTCTTCGATGACAGTAATCCTTCTACCAGATCTCCTGCCTTTATCTTGGCAAGATCCTCGTTTACAGCAAAATTCTTCTGTTGTTGTTTCTTCAGTTTCTCATAATCCCTTTTACGTCGAATAGCTTCTTTTAGACGTCCGTCGATATTCTCTGGATCATCGGTTTGGAGAATATCGACTTTAAGTCCCGAGTAGAAGGGAGTGCGGTCTTCCCGCAGAAACCCTTCTAGGTTGTTGAGATTGCGTCCGTACTTGGCATGTAGATTTCGTAGAGAGACCCAGTCTCCGGCTTTGACTTCTTTCAGGATGAAATCTGCGTCTATCCCAAAGCATGTCACTTGCATTGAACGTTTCCCATACGGACCGCCCCAGTTTTTAGGGACTATGTTACTTGTAGTATAACCATAAGGGTCTCCATCTCGGCTCTCGGATGTGCCTTCGGCATTCCAGGTAAATTTATAGAAAGCTTCGTTCTCGGTGTAATCTGAGACCCAGAGAGTAGTCATACCCATCTGGTCATAAGGCTCTCTGACAACATTGACGATGACATCGTAGAATTGACCATCGTGGATGTCGTTTAAAGTTTGAAACTTATCTTTGAAGTTTGCTGAATGAGCAACTTGGCTACTGAATTCTGCGGTATCGGGTATAGCATCTTTGGAAACGGAATGATATAACCAGGCGACATACTCATGTTCAGGATCCCCAGGAGGACGGTCTTTTGGCCGCAGAGGGGCTTCTAGAGCCTGCTTTGCCGATTTAGGGGGCTTTGGAATTTGATTTGCTGAATAGACATGAATCAGAGTCGATCGGTGCGATATTAAGGACACCTCGCCACGGTAAGCCTGAACTTTTGCAGAAATTACCACCACGACGTCAGTAGCATCCGGTTCGGGAATTTCAGCTCGTGGCCTGAATATATTGATAGGAAGCCCTCTCTCAGGTTCATTTTCAATAGATTTGTCATAAATGGTAATGGCGGATTTCCAGTCTTATCCTGTTAGCTAAATTAGGTAGGAATGGATGTATCGAGAAGGACTTACCAGAACCACCCGTCTGTCTAGGAGACCTACGGTCTTTCACCAATCCAATGACATTGATCAATCTCCCCACAGGAATAGATTCGTCGAGAATATCTTGGATCTTCACATATCCCGCGGGAAGTTCCGGTTGTTTCTGCCGTTTAGGATTGTTGTATCGCCTCATATTGAGAGCAGTGAATCATAATGCGGTTTTGCCACATTTAATGAAGAGCGTTGGCAAGTAGCCTTTGTCTCACAATGACCTTGTCGATGCATTTAGAACCTGTGAGTGTAAAGTGCGAAGTGTCGATGGAGTGAGGTCAGGAATTTACGAGTAAAGCGCGTTGAGGCGCGTCTAAGCAATTTAATTGTGCATCATATGTATAAAGTGGACAAAACTGTGCATAAAGTGCATAATTAGACAAGCTCCTTTGTGACGCACAGTACGGTGTCACATGATAGTCAGGTGTCTTTCATTTGCTCCTTCCAGTGGTCTGTGCTGTGAGGTGGGGTTAATTCAAAGCATGCTGATTGGATCAGATTAGGCTGCCTCACCCTGTAGAACCTAAAAGATCCCCGCTAGCGGTTGAAAGAGCGACCAAATCCATCTTAATCCAAATTCTTCTGCTGTTTCCAGCATCAGAATAATTTCCCCCACTAGAACAACCAACCCAATTCTTTTCCCTCTTCCACTTATTCCACTTCTCTCTTCCAACAACTTTCGCGTTGTCGATTAGAGAGGTGCATCTGTTTTATAACAACGCGATACCGATATCTATTCATCTGCGTGAAAAAAGTTATTCTCTAATTCGTCAACCTTTCAATACTTTGTCGGGGGCGAGCAAAACAAATCACCCCGCCTTATTTCACATACGCCTAGACGCACCTATTTGGTCTATTCCGTCACTTGAAACACTCAAGCGAATACACCATCAGCAATCATGGCCGACAGGTTCATCCCCGAGCATCGTCGCACTAACTATAAGGCGAAGGGCACCTTTAAGCCCGATGAACTTCGCCGACGACGTGAGGAGCAAGCTGTCGAGATCCGTAAGGCTAAGAGAGAGGAGAACTTGGCTAAGCGACGAGGTATTGGCACCGGCGACTCGCGTCCCGGTGCTTCCTTAGGCGCTGCTCCTGATAGCGACGATGAATCCGCTCCCACTGAGAGCCAGGTAAGATTTTTTGTCTACATTAATACCCTTTACGCTTCATGTTTTGTTTTTATTTGTATTTTTATTTTCTTGCTGTCCCACTTTGCTATAGCGACGAGTGGCCCCACAATAATAATCACATCCATACTATTGGAAAGATTGGAAGCATAGCGTCACTCGTCGCCATCGCCATCTACGATGCCTGTCTATCCTTTAATTTAATTACGATGCTAATATTTGAATCGGATAGCTTAACGAGGATCTTCCTCAGATGGTCCAAGGTGTCTTCTCCGACCAGATCGATCTCCAGATCCAAGCCACTACCAAGTTCAGAAAGCTTCTCTCCAAAGAGCGAAACCCCCCTATCGAGGAGGTCATCAAGACCGGCGTCGTTACCCGATTTGTAGAGTTCCTTCGTTCACCTCACACGCTGGTTCAGTTTGAGGCTGCCTGGGCCTTGACCAATATCGCATCTGGAAGTGCAACTCAGACTCAAGTCGTTATCGAGGCTGGCGCGGTCCCCATCTTTGTCGAGCTTCTATCAAGTCCCGAGCCCGATGTTCGCGAGCAGGCCGTCTGGGCCTTGGGCAACATCGCTGGTGATAGCCCATCATGCCGAGACTACGTTTTGAGCTGCGGTGCCCTGAAACCTTTGCTTGCTCTGCTTGGTGACAGCCGCAAGCTCAGCATGCTACGCAACGCTACGTGGACCTTGAGCAACTTCTGCCGAGGCAAAACCCCTCAGCCAGACTGGAACACTGTGAGTTTACATTCCGCTGTATCCTATATGACCATATTGCTGACCCCTATAGATCGCACCTGCGCTCCCTGTGCTCTCCAAGCTGGTTTACTCTCTTGACGATGAAGTTCTGATCGACGCCTGCTGGGCGATTTCGTATCTCTCAGATGGATCTAACGACAAGATCCAGGCCGTTATCGAAGCCGGAATTCCCCGCCGCCTTGTGGAATTGCTCATGCACGCATCCACATCCGTCCAAACACCTGCGCTTCGATCTGTTGGCAATATCGTTACTGGTGATGACGTACAGACCCAAGTTATCATTAACTGCGGCGCACTGACTTCTCTATTGTCTCTGTTGAGCTCTAACAAGGATGGTATCCGCAAGGAGGCGTGCTGGACCATCTCAAATATTACTGCCGGTAACTCTCTGCAGATCCAGGCCGTTATTGACCACAACCTTATCCCTCCCCTAATCCACCTTTTGTCGAATGGGGACCTGAAGACCCGTAAGGAGGCATGTTGGGCCATCAGCAATGCGACTAGCGGTGGTCTCCAAAAGCCTGAACAGATCAGATATTTGGTCTCTCAAGGCTGCATCAAGCCGCTCTGCGACCTTCTCGGATGCCCCGATAACAAGATTATCCAGGTCGCTCTTGATGGCCTAGAGAATATTCTCAAGGTGGGCGATCTTGACAAGCAGGCGGCTGGCGAAGGTCCTGAGTCGATCAACCGCTACGCATTGTTTATTGAAGAGTGCGGAGGCATGGAGAAGATCCACGATTGCCAGACGAACGCGAACGAAGAGATCTACATGAAGTCTTACAACATCATCGAGAAGTACTTCTCCGACGAGGACGAAAACGCCGAAGACGGCATGGCCGCCCAAACTCAAGCTAACGGGACGTTCGGGTTCGGAACCAACGGCGCGCAAGGTGGAGGCTTCAACTTCGCGAACGGCGCCGACTCGATGGATATGTAAGGTGGCATCCTTGCAAATTTTCGCAAACCCGACTTTACGAACTCATTGGGCAACCCAGCACATAGTCACAGCACAGACATCATACCCCCAAAATTCCCCCGCTTTGCCTTACATGTAGCCCACACCCCTGCACAAGTCCCAATGAGAACGGCGTTAATCGAGTTATGAGGAATATTGAACCTTGGTCAACCACATGAGAGGAGAATTTCTACACAGGCAACTTGGTAGCTTTAAAGCTCCAACCTGGGAGGGAGAAACAGAAAAGTGGTTGAGGAGGAGGCGATACATTTTGTACGAGGGTCGTCAATGGTAGCTTGAAAGCTCCTACCCTCCATGTCAGAGAAGGATTCTGAGTGAATCCTAGTATGGGAAGATCACTGGAAGGGCATTGCGCAACGAACTGGTACGACGTCAACTACCTAGTTTTGTCGCCGGAGAAGTTGTGCTTAATGCTGTCGCTCCCAAGTGGTAGGACACAGATCTTCCAAAATCCGAGAAGCTAGACAACTCGCTACGTTGGTCATACCAAGTGGTAAATTGACCTTCGATGGATGTAGTAAATAGTCAGGTACTCGATAGGCTTAGCAAGACGACAATGATGCGTTTAGCTTTTAGCTTGCCCCCAAAATTGATTATTACACCAAAGTGTCGCTATTCCGAATTGTAGCCAAAGTGCCATGCTGTAGATGTGAGGTCTTTATTACCTAGTACGCCCCATTTCTATGTGTAAAAAGAAGTCATACTTGATTTCCGAAAGTTCATTCTTTCTATTTAAGGGCACCACTCCAGTCTAGGTTAAAGTTTCGCAGATCAGCTGATTAAATAAGCGACCGCTTTGTACTTATGTAAGCGCCGCATTTGGTAAGACCAAGGTCCTAAAGGGCAGTGGTTTGTCTACTGAATTTTAGTGGATGACCGCTACAACTTAGGGGGCTCATCCACTAGATAAAGACGCCACACGATGCGATCGATGCCAAATGACATGGGTCCAAATCATGAAAGGATGTGTTAGATCTTTGACATAGGCCTTTGTTCCTATTTGACGTAAGTAGAATAGCTTCAAAATGGGGTGACATACAGTGATGAGATCTATCCCCTGTTGAGCTTATTAAGTAACCTATAAGTGAAATGGTAGGAAATGAGCAAAGGCTGTGTAATAAGGAGGATAGTGCATGCCATTTTTACTATGTGGTAACATCGCCGGAAAAAAACCCCCAAATATTTTAACCTTGAGGTTAATTTTGAGTATTTTCAATCAATTCCTTTGAGAATTTTCAAAGATTAAAAGATGTCCCTTGAAAAGTGTACACCGAAGTTGGAGGTACATTAGGTAGTTCCTTGAACTGCGAACCCCTATCTGTGCTTAGTCAGCACTAAGTGGACTTGATATGTCAGATATTAGTAAGCTTGACTACTATCCAAGACGTAGGAAGGAACCATGGGTGATGGACTTCAATGAATAATAGATACTATAATGAGCTGATTTCCCCACATAGTCGATATCTTCTTCATGACGATGCTCAAGGCAACGATCACAACGAAAAAAAAGGTGTAAAAAAATTGTGCCCCCTACCCCCGTGGGAAGTAGAAGAAGATCAACTGCGCTAGAAAAAAATGGCAAGTCTCCCCTCTTGGCAACCCTCATACTTGAGCGAGGGCTGCCCAGGCTTAAGGCTGGTTCTCAAGTGCCTCCGACGTCGATCTAATGAATTGTTATCAAGTTCACCGAAAGTTAAAAGTAGAGGACCCACAGATCCCTACGGCCCCCCCACGCGGCTAAAGAACTCAGCTATTAATAGCCATCCACAGGTGGGGTCCCAACCACAACAGCAGATCGGTCTTTACCCCTTGACCGGAGCCCTAAACTACAGACTCTCGAAGCGTCCTCACCCTGGAGGGGGGCCCAACCCACACGGTATTAGTCCACGGCTCCCCCGGGCATCATGGCGGCACGAAGCGGCGGGACGGCGGGGGGAGCTATATACGCGGGCCTACCACACGAACCGAGCACCTCACTCAGGCTCACAGCGGATAATTCTAACCTTTTCTCGGGTTCACAGCTCTGGACTGAACGCTGTGAGGTCCTTCGTCGGGGCCGCATAAGGAAACAGCAACCCCACTAGTGCGCATCGCGGGCCAAGTTCACAGGTCGGGACGGCGCCGCATCAATGGATAACGACAACCGGAAGGCCCGCCATTTCGCCATGGCGAGAAGACTCGCTAGCAACTTGGGATACCCGATTGGCCTCTCGCCGCCCAGCATCACACGCACTGGGCAACTGGGCTCCGGAGCTTCTACGAGAACACTCGAGCTTATCTGCGCAACGTGGCGCGTCCAGGGACCATTGTAGCCCTGCAAGCAGGGGAGATGTGATTGACTCTTTACGCCGGGCTTGACCGCGGGGAAGGCACTTACTTGTGTTTAAAGGGTTGCTCCTATGATCCCGCGATCAGGGAGGTAGCGTCGATGTGGCGATGTGGTTCGATTGTCGATTTGTTGTTGTCCGGTGTCCAGGAGTATCTGAGGTGATGCGTGAGGAATGGTTAGTGGAGATTGTTTTGGTTGAGGAGGGTGGGTGATGATATGTGTGTTGGAAAAAAAATATTGATGGAGAAAAGAAAAAAAGTTGAGGAAGTAGGGTTTGGTGATTAGGTGAAAAATACAAGATGGAAAAGTATGACCGAAGATGGGAGATGGAAAAAAGAATGGGAAGTTTTATTTTTGGGTTAGGATGGTTGTGTACGACATTTTATTTTGATAAATGTTTAGTGCGGTAGGTGACGAGAAAGAGTAGTGGTTTGGGGGTGAGGGGTGAGGGAGGTTCCAGTCAGTCACTTACATATATTGGCCGAGAATGATGAGGCAGTCGTGACTACGGTGACGTATTTTAGTCGATGTAAAATCGGCATGAGTATGAGTGTGGATGGTGATGAGGTTTGGTTTGTGTAGTTGGTAGAAGAATGTGGATGGGTTTGGTGGTTAGGGATAGGAAATGAAGAAAAATAAAAATAAACCTACAGCTGATATGTTTTCCGGGCGTCTGGATTGAGGGCGAGCTTTGTTGGGATCCATGGATGTTGAAGGTGGGAAGTTTGGAGATGGGAAGATGGGAAGATGAGAAGAGAAGAAGGTAGGTCGAGTATAAATAGGAAAGGGTGGATGGGGATTGATGTTACTGATTAGAATCTGCACTCGTCACCGACCCTGCTAACGATTTATTTTATTGGGAGAGGGAAAAGATGGAATAAAAATAAGAGTTTCTCGTTACTGATTTTCCATTTTTGGAATAAAATAGATGCCGTACCTTGATGAATCACTCCAAAAATCATCATCACCCTTGACGACGTGACTCAATTACGCTATTCATTAGGTACTTATGTACTTATGTACTTATGTACCTAGTTGTAATTTAGAGAGCTAGGTAACAACTACTAGGTACCTAATTGTACTAAGTAGTTTTCAATTGGCTGGTAGATAAAGCACCAGGTACGTACTGTTTGTATTTTAGATCGGTAGACCTACATTTAATCCACCTTCGAAGCACATTCTCACTATGTACCTAGTAGGTACTTTCTTTCGTACCTACATAGAGGTATGTACCCACGTAGGTACCTATGTACCTACAGACATGTTTATTTTTGTACATATGTACCTCTCCATTTTGTACTTGAAAAAGTCTACAATACATGTAGGTATTATCCAGGTACCTACCTACATGTAGTGGGTCAGCAGATGAATGTACTAGGTATCAATAGACCTTTCATCCAGTATCCCACGCCTCTAGTACCCATCTATTTATTCATGTATCATGTGCAACCGGCATAGACTTATATAAGATTGAAATCTATGGGCTTTTGCTCTCTTATTCCGAAACTGATACCGAACCATTTCCCAGTAAATTACTAGCGATACTTTCCTTCCTCGACAGCGGATACAGACAAGTGTAGTTTTGAGTGAGATATCACAACATCCAAGTTGAATCCTATATACTAGGAAATGGATTGTCGACCTAGATGATGTAGGGACGTACTCGTTGCGGTTTTTCTTTGTTCTGATATTTACCACGGCAAACAATGAATGCCCGAGAGCGTCGAGTTAGTTTTCCTTTGTTGGTAGCGAGAGTTACTTCCACCTAGAACCGAGTAATTAGAAGACGCCTACTTATCTTAAAGGTGCTCTGCGTAAGCATTTCGCTGTCCCAATCAACAACTTGAGTCTACATTTCTACAAGTTCTTAAGACAATTGTATAGGAACGATGGCAGCCGCAGCCAATGTGCCCAACGATTGGGATAATGCTGAATTCAATGGGCAATATCAAGCTTTTTATAATACCGAGTCCTTCAACTTCGACCAGTACAGGCGACGGATTCCTGCCCATAAGGTCCCGCCAACTCCGCAAGATGTATTGAATATGAACTATCCACACCAAGGTAACCCACAGGTTAACTTTGGGTACGTATAAAGATTCATCCCGTTACAACTTTACAAATCATGATAAAACCTACAGTACTTGGCTAATCTTATAGCAGTGGGTGAAATATTTCCATATTTTAGTTACTAGAGTCAGGGGGAAGACACCTGAGTTTTCTACAAAACACATATGATGATGTCAAAAGTAAATACTAACAACAGCGCGTTTCAATGAAATAGCTATTCAACAGTGGGGCCAAATACCATTGTGGCGTCAAAATTTTGCTATTACTGGTACTGGCCGACTTCCGCACAGGGTCCGGCACCAGCTCAGGTATTTCAAAGACGACTTCGAACACCTGGTTAGTGAAATATACTCCCCATTTCAAGTTTCAGGTATACACATTCGAGCTGTGTCTGGAATTCTGTGTCAACAATATATATTTGTATTATGCATTGATAATGGCTAACAGCGTATGCCATAGACAGGATGGAAATTACAGAACGCCTTAGGTTACGGAAGCTTTGGTATTGCTGCTCGTTTCAGACGCATTCCGTCTAAGAATGACCTATGTCGGGATGACGCCGATTATACCGTCAAGTTTCAACGAAATGTTGTAAACGGCTTCAGGAAGTTTCATCGTTCGATACGGCAGGAGAGAGTCATGCACAGGGTGAGTGGATTCTAAACGCACCAAGCCAACAAGATAGTAACAGATCGATGTATAGAAAGTGAATAGATCAGCGCATTGCGTCAGACTATTTGAACCAACAGATTTATTTGATGCGCCAGAGATTGACCAGCTTGATTGGGATTGGGTCGTCGCAGGCAGCATTGATGATTCCAGTGGGATGGAGCAGTCAAGTGGAGAGGAAAGTCAAAGCGAATTTCAGATAGATCGAAAAATAAATAATCGACGGGCAAGGCGAGATGCACGACGAAACCGCAATGGACATAATCACGCCCAGGCCAACCGGAGGCCACAAATAATAGAAGCCGCCAGACGTAACCATAGACGCATGCGTCGAATGCAGCGAGAAGGTTCCCGTCTTTGGGACTTCATTATCATGGAAAGCATGGTCGGCGGTGATTTAGGCACACTCACCGAAAGATTGTCACAGCACTCAATCCAGTATCCGGGAGTAGGCGGGAGAATTCCTAATCGAGTCTTGTGGTCATTTTGGCTCTGTCGTAAGTGGTCCACGTCTAAATAGAAGAAGAAGAAGAAGAAGAAGAAGAAGAAGAATCACAGGCTGAGAGACTACATCAATAGTTGTGCGAACATGCGTCGCCATGGAATACCCCCCACGAAAGTTTCACCCAAACAGAAACGATCCGACCACCAGGCGTAAGACCATTTATAACTACCGGCGAGAGCCCCGGCACTTTGAAGCCTATAACACTATAAAGAACGACTTGATCGAGAATGTCCCTCAAAGTTATTTGGCAAGAAGGCGAAGAAGTAATTTCGTCCATTTTGATATTGATCCGTCAAATAGTAAGCGTACCCTACCCAGCGGGTTTCTGTCTGCTTACATTTCTTACCTTTTTTTCCTAGTTTTCATCGGCCAATTGGATCCCACAAATGTCAGAAACATCGACAGGGAACCTGGAGAACATCTCTTGGTTCCAGCACTTAAAGTATGTTGACATTGACAAAAGGGGTTAAATTGATGAGAACTAAAAAGTAAACCACACAGATGGGGGACTTCGGATTATCAGATATAATCAAGTTGTATGTCGTAGTATTTTATATCACTAATACCCTCGGTTGTTTCTGAATCTTTCTCAAACCGGACATCGGAGTCAACTCGATGTTCGTGTTCTTTCATAGGAAAATGCTAATGTCGTATTCAATAGTCATAAACGCGAGTGAGTACTGAATAAGCCTCACCCCGGAGTAAACATCGAAGCTTACTATATCACTATCAAGCATATATTACGCAACTAGGCGCGCCAGGGGGAAACAAGGTTTTTATGCACCTGTACGTTAATGTCACCTAGTTCAACTACGTCTACACCTCACTGATATTCATCAATACAGGAACAATTCGGGAACGAATGGGATTATAGTACGTTTACCATCGTCACCCAACTTACAAATACCATAACCCACGGGCCATACCTAAATAATGCCCTAATATCTTACAAGAAGCAGAGTCCCTATTGGGCATTCGTGATGGAGCAGGTTGCTGACGAAAGAAAAAAATTAGTTGATTCTGAACGAAACGGAACTGCACTGGCGCAGTCAACTCAGGCTGGCTTTTTCGGTCCTCACACAAACGTCTGGGGAATAGCATTGGTAAGAACCATTCGAGTATCCTTTAGTTCTCGAGATCCTGCTGACATCACGAAGGTGATGTGGACTCTCATTACCAAGTTAGAGCCGCCTGAACCACCGACGCCGCAGGTCCCTGCCGCGATATACGACGCTGTAATAACTGCACTCCCACAGGGGTTTACTCCGGATCAACTGCACGCAGCAGTCCAAGCGCACATGGCCACCCTACCTGCCAACACCAACATTTCCTACTGCCCTCTGATTCTCGAACCGGGTAACGATACTTACAACTGGGTCGACCGGGACCTTCGACAGGCCGTCTACGAATGTATGTATCATCGACCTACGCAACGCCCGACCTTGGGCAGATTGCTGCAACAGGCTAAACGCAAGACACGAACCTCCTTTCCGGGAGAGACCGATGCCCATGTGACAGAGTGGGTAAATACATGTTAGTATTGTCTCTTTTTCCTAGACAGATATGTGCCTATTGATATGTTGGCTGGGATGGTTTACTCCTTCTCGACTCATGTTGAGAGACCTAGCCTTCCCGGCGCGAGCCAAGACTAACTCTAATTGAATTATAGGGTTAAGAGGTCCGGATGCACCTGTCCTTAGGGGCGGCGGCGACGCCGGTGGAGGAGGAGGTGCAGGTGCAGGACGACGAATTAGAAAACTAAGAGCCAGAAAGACCGCTCAAACTAACAATAACGATGGAGGTGGAGGAGCAGGCGGAGGAGGAGCAGGCGGGGGTGGGGGTGGCGATGGCGGAGGCGGCGATGGCGGAGGGAACGGAGGAGGAGGAGGGAACGGAGGAGGAGGAGGGAACCGTGGAGGAGGTGACGGAGGAGGTTGGGGTGCAGGACCGTCACTCAAACAACCAAGTCCCAAAAAGACCCCGACAACTAATAATAACGACGGAGGAGATGGAAATGGGATGGTAGCCAGTAGTCTTGGTGGTTTTATTGGGGGGCCAGCTGCAAAGAGGCCAGGACAGCCAGGAGGCGGTGATTTTATAAATAAAAGAAGACGTGACACATCTGACGGCGGCTCACAACAACGACCACGTGGGAAACGACGAACTGGAGGAGATGGAGATAATGCAGGAGTAGTACCACAACCCGCAGGTGGAACAGCACCAACAGTACCAACAGTGCCGCCAGTAACGCCAGTACCGCCAGTACCGCCAGTACTACCAGTGCCAACTATGCCAACAGTGGTACCAGCGCCAACAGCGCCGCCAGTACCAACAGTACCAACAGCGCCAACAGTGATACCAGCGCCGCCAGTACCAACAGCGCCGCCAGTGCCAACAGCGCCAACGGCACCAAAAGCGCCGCGAGTACCGAAAGCGCCGCGAGTACCGAAAGCGCCACGAGTACCAAAAGCGCCACGAGTACCAAAAGCGCCGCCAGTGCCAACAGCGCCGCCAGCGCCGCCAGCGCCAACGGCACCAAAAGCGCCACGAGTACAGAAAGCGTCACGAGTACAGAAAGCGCCACGAGCACAAAAAGCGCCGCGGACCGCAGGCCAAGGAGGACAACGCGGAGCAACGAATGATCCCCTGGGTAAGACTATCTATCATTTCCCTGGCCATGTCTCCTTAGACCCCACGACACCAACATTTTTGGGCGTCATAACTCTCAAGGGCTACCTAAATTGCCTTAAGTTTTAACAAAAAGAACCAGTCGCTAACTCTCCATATAGTTCAAGCCGCCTTTCCGAATAGCTACTATCTCATCCCAAATAATGTAATGATGAACGAATGTGGCTTGACAGCAGTCTCTGATAGCCTCAGATATCAGTACGGACATCTTGCGATCCCAATTCCTGATTACAATGCCCTCTACGCCATATTTAGGACCTTAGTACAAGCTGGCGAGTTCAACGCCGTATTAGTAGCGTTTCCAAATCTCGTTACGCGCCCCCACGAAGGACCAGACAACATAGACATGATTGCAAGAGTCCTAATAGAGTGGGGTCGTCAGCATAATCTAGACTTCTCTTTACACGCTGCTCGCAGTAGCGGCGCTGCCTCTCTAGTAGTCGGCTCAGGAAGCAACACGGCCTTGCCACTTTGGATTTATAACTATGAGCAAAACGCGGGTGCAACCCCAAACTTGAGTGGCCATTGGGTGGGGATGCGGCGTAGATAGCGGTACTTCTATTAGGGGTTCTGTAACAGTATCTTGTATAATAATTTTCATATTCTCTCATTAGGAAGGCAATAATCTAGTTCAAGTTCTATCTTCAACATTACAAACCATGACGTATATATACCGTCCCCGTGTATAAGATGTCAAAGCTTGTGGCCCTGCTCCCCAGAAGAAATAAGAATTCATAAACCGTACAACGTTAGGTTTGTAAATATTTCCAACTAGCTACAAAATTGAACTAGGTTTAGACCCCTTATCAGGTGTAATGGCGAACCCACATCCTACCTAAAAATTGCGGTACCTAGGTATGCGACCCCTTTACCCAGAGCTAAAATTCCTGGCAGTTGCCGATGTTGTTCGAGACAAGCATGCAAGACGTACAGTTGTATCCCCAGAGCCACATACCCTTGCACCAATCGTCGTTCGGGCAGTTCTCGCTAACGCAGCTGGGCTGCTGCCTTCCCTCAAGAGGGCTTCGTGACCGTGGCTTCGAGACTTCGGCCGCTGATCTCGCTTTAGCCTGCTTGACCTCGTCGAGGATCGCTGCGCTGGGGCTCCGCGGCCACCCGTCTCCAGATGGGGCTCGGTCGTCGAGTTGTGCGAAGTCGACCACATTCAAATCCCTGTCGAAGGTTCGTACGACATTGTCGGAGCCAACATGGGTAAAGCCGCCACCGGAAGTGTCACGCTTCAGCCCTGGAAGGACGTCGTTGACGGATCGAGTCTTAGATTTAATGCGTTCAAGGTTAGTTACATCGCTGTACGTGAGTTATGAGGCTGTAGCTGACCTGGTGGGATGACGGCGCAGCGACCGCTAAACCTGTGGCAGCTAAGAAGTTTATTACAGTGGAGAACTTCATGATGAAAGCGATGTGATTTGATGGTGGGTGATTGTTGGTGTTGGTGTTGAGCAACGTTTAAAAACTTATGATTAAGACGTCTTGTCGATGATGATGATGACGACGAGGATAAAATAGGAAAGGTTTAGAGCGTCTTGGCCCTTCCTTTATAATAATATAAACACCGAGATAGATCGGTAGTTACTGAAATCTAGAAATCTAGAAATCTACTTCAAAGTTCACCGGCGTCGTTTCACCGCTTCCCCAGATCCAATCACGAGTTCTCGGATCCAACGGCCGCACGTCGGAATGATAAGCGTGGCAGTCGCATAGCCGTACATATTTATGAGAGATAAACTCACCATCGTTATTGGGTGGCTGTAAGCTTATGGCTACTGGCTGATGATGAAATACCGTTATCTGATTGGTGGGAATCACGATGGGTTCATAACATGAGACCCAAAAAGCAAGTATAGTATGATCCTACGAGATCTCAACCGCAGACCAAACTCGTATTTAGCTGGAATACGGTGTAGCTGAGTGTCGGCAAATGGAAAGTCCATAGTCACGAGATAACGTAAGACGAAAACAACCCGAAGGAATTACGAACCTCTATAATACCTACTAGCTGTTGTTGATTGTTATCGGTTGTTGTGGTGATTATATTCGATACGCGGAAGAGCTCCAGTTGTGATATTCTCAAGGGTCCAGAATGAAGATATTGTAATTGGGACGTGTACCTAAATCCCTGAAGATATGTATCTTTCAGGGGCTATTGATTAGTAATCATTAGTAATAATCAATTACTACTAGTATATCTAGGTAGCAAGGAAGCACTTCATGTCTTCTATAATTTCTGCTTTTTTGTACATTAGATATCCGTAGGTATCGCGAACGGCATGGTAGCGCCGGTAAAGAAGGATGATAAATTGAGGTTATTCTCATGAGAAAAACGTGACCTTACTAGATTTTAAATATTAGAAGGAAGTACCCTCGTGGCGATAATAAAAGAACTCCAAAATAATGATGATAGTGATGAAGTACGCATGTTAGTAAATATTAGGTACCATGCCCAATGCACGGATGATACCATGAATAGGGGGACGTAATTCATCGACCTAGGGGACTTGTCGAATGAGGCTCAAAATTCCTAAGGGAAAAGTTAGAAGATAAAATATCATGAAACTGCCTGCCGTGCTGATTGCCCACTATCCTGACCGAGTTGCTATGGCACCCACACCTGGTTTTCGCAAACTCGAACCTAATAGGTATATCATGAATCATTCGCAGGGCACTTAGTACCTGCGAATAATAATTAGCAAGTAACAAACAGGGACCAGTCATAGAACTCAACAGGAAAACAGGAATTATTGCCGCTGAAGGGAAAAGAAAACCATACCACCTTATTTAGGTCGCCCCGTGTAGGTGTTACCGCCCTGAATTTAGGCTTCCCTTCTAAACTGTTAGTACTAGGTAAATAAAACCGTGGCAGCAGTCGAGCTCCCAAAATACTTTCCCTCAACACCTTTTTCCCAAGTTCAAGAATTCTTTCATAGAATTCATCCCCACCCCAACACCGTCACCATGGCCGACTCTCCAAAGGAGAACAAAAAGCCGGCACCGCTCCCGAGCTCCCCTCTCCGTGAATATGAAGGCGACACGCCCATGACCGACGCGTCTCCCCTCAACACCGTTCAGGGATCCCGTACACGCCCTTCTCCGGCTGATACTCCCGTGCGCGCGCCCCGCACCTCGCTCTCCGGACATCAGTACGTCAACGAGTACATCGCGACCCCGCGTAACTCGCGCTCCTCATCGACCTCGTCAACCGGCGGTGACCCGATTGTCCCCACCCCCGGCATGGTCCCGCGCTCGCGCACCAGCATCAACACGGCCGGCCAACGCACGCCCACCCAAGGCGCTGCACAGCCCTTGACTCCCTACCCGGGCACTGACGCATCCACTCCGGGTCTGCCTGCCATGTCCACCATGACTCCCGGAACTGGCATCTCGTCTCTCGCCAGCTCAAGCAGCTTCCGCAGCTCCGTTCTCGCAGGCGAGCGCCCCATGCCGGAGACGCCCGCGCAGGCCACCACGGGCACGCCGAAGGAGATGCCCGAGCGTCGTCGCAGCACCCGCTTCAGTAAGTAACACATAATAAAAATTTTTGCCTTCCACTTTTACCTTTTCTTCGGAGCCAAACCCTCGCAATTGAGATGATGATTGAAGGGTTTGGGCTTCCGAGACATGCTTGAACTTTTATAATTCTTTGATCAAGGAGGATTTACTAATCCCTGCTGTTGTAGGACCGCGCGATAGCGTGGGTGTCATCACGCCCACCAACCCCACGCACCGCCGTGCAAGCGCGCTCTTCCAGTCGCAGTCCGATGCTGCGCGTGAAGCGGATGCCGTACGTGAAGCGGATGCCGCACGTGAAGCCCATGAAGCCGATGTCGCGCATCAGAACGAGGTGAGGCGTAGACTAAGAAGTATATTCAAGGGTAGAATGGCGGAGAATCTCGGCCTCGCTTCTGATTCGTCCAAGAGCTCACAGAATAAGGAGGTGGAGAAGGACAAGGAGGGTGATAAGGAGGAGGATGAAGATGAGGAGAAGAAGGATTAAGTTTGGAAGATGATAAGTTCGCAAACAATGGGAATCTCTCGGTGCCTGGGGCTAAGAAGGCAAGAATCGGTTCGCATTGGGGTTCCGAAGGCGTCGATCGTTCTGGAAGACGGTTTTTGAACTGTCCTTCCTCGGTCTTCGTTCGATCAACCTGCGGAGTTTGTTCCATAGCTTGATACCAAATGAATACGACAGTCTCTGAACAACCCCTTTCCCCTCTCTGATTAAAGCTGAGGTTCTTTCAACTCATGTCCAACCCTTCTAGTCCACATGAATGATCCTTAGAATGGAAGAAACCTCTTTCGTCATTCTTGTACAATGAACCAAGGTATGATCTATCTAACATTTAGGAAACCCAAGATGCCCCCCAAACATAATACAAAACCCAACATGCAGGTATTTACACATCATCCCGATTTCTCATCAACGAGTGGGGTATCTCACTCCGTCAATTTCGTGTACTTCACACTGTCTCTCCAAGCCATAGTCAGCTCAGTCATTCAGCCGTTTACCTCTCAGCACAGAACACAGTTCGAACGCCACCGTTCTTCTAGGATCGGATTAGTATTGAGATGGCGTTGAAGCTCTGACATCATCATAGCGCCACACGTCGTAGCCACGTCGTGCCGCCGAGTCGCCGTTTTCCGACGATGATCATCTCCGTCGTTGCTCCAGGTGTCTTTGGTGATGGCACCGACAATGTCGTCGTGGAAGAAGATCTTCTAACCTTCCTCGTTGTGGTGCTTCCGGTTCTGTGGACGGGGTGTGTGACACCAGGCTTAATTAGCAACTATCCGGTCTCTCGAAAAGGGGCTTACTGTGCTTACTCAGCAACTTTGGAGTCAGTAGCCAATGTCTCAGATGATTGGCCACAAGGCAGAGGAAGTGTCGCCAACGGCATAAATATTGTGATGATCCGCAAACTCGGGCGTCGAAATAATCTTAGAAGTGCTCCAGCTCCTGATGCTGCCGCTGGCGCCTGTAAGAAATATAGTGACCATCGGGCTCGCCATTTATCTGAGACGTTTTGTCTGTCAGATCTCGCTTTTCAACCAACGGCATACAACCTTTCAATTCTCCGCCCTGTTGGTAGTTGGTGACACCGAGTCCATCTATATCCTACAGCGATCTTCCCTTACCTAGGAACATGTCTAAACGCCAAAGCGCCTTATTATGTCACCATTTCGAGGCACTCTGTTTGCCAGACGTGGGTGTTATGTCCGGTTGTTCGGCACTGCCTGCATACGGCCCCACTTAGATCTGCCTTAGACTATTCCCACCCTCGTCGTTTCAATTAGATTCCGAGATTAACGAGGGATGCCGTGGCGCTAAGTAGCTAGGGCTGGGAATAGAGGCTCTTTGGTGCCAAGCACGATTGGACGACATCGTACGATCCGGCCAGTAAAAATACGGCATGCCTGGCAATAACGCTGAAGCTTGATGACAATACTTTGCGAGAAGAACTACGTCACAAACACCCAGTAGAAACACTGCGATAATAGCTTAGCGAGCTGAAAATCAGGATATATCCAAAAGAGAGGGAACTGCTTACTTTCAATCATCACATCAGCCCCCAAATCTCCCAAGTGCGCCAAAGACAAAAAGATACGTAAATATTCACAAGAAAAGTAAGAGGTAGTTATATACAACCCAAAAGAACCAGCAGACCATCGCCATCAAGGCCAAAGCCACGCACTTCTCGCAGTGCAAACCGTTGGCGCGAATCCATTACGGTTAATTTCCGTCTTCCGCGGACGAAACACGATGGTCCTCAATCGCCTGATGAAAACCCATACTCCCTACCTAGATACCAAAACCAAACTTTTAAACACGTAACCTACCTCCGACATTGCGATCCCTCATTTCGTCGCCTATGACACTTGTTCACTTGCAAATACTATTCCAAGCCCCAACAAGTGACTGGTTATTCGAAACGAAGCTCTGCGGGTCCAACCTGTAATCCAAAGTCAGCTCAATCCCCAACTTTCAAAAAAGGGCAATACGCACAAGTCATCAAAACACGTGCAAAGCGACCCCTTAGCCGTATCGAAGTAATTAACAAAGAAGCTACCCGCCGGCACATTGTTGCAGTAGTACTGGCACTTGAACTGGGCGTACGCGAAGCCCGTCTCGACCGGCGGCGGTACACCGAACGTCTATCGTCCAAATTAGCTCCTCTCCCCTCTTCTCCCAAATTACAAACTCCAACCCCTCCTAGTCAGACACAGAGATAGAGAACTCACATAAGATCCCTTACTATGCGCCGCGGCCCAATCCTCAGCAGGCTGATACCCGTTCTCGAAGACGACGGTAGGGACGGCCGCAGCATAGTTGATGGTGTATCCGGCCGTGACAACGGAGCTTCCGGACGTGCACGTCGCGGCGGCCGCGCTAGCAGTCGGGGACGGGGACTCTGGGGCCGGGAGCGCGAGTGTCAGGGCAGCCGACGCCACGATCGCGAGGACGGATTTCAATGTGAAGCTACCCATCTTGGATACAAGTCGTCTGGTAATATTCTATAAAAGGGGGTTTTATTCTTTGTTTTTTAGCGTGGGAAGCTTTAACGCGCTTAAGCTTTTTCGTGAGATGTGATCTTATGTAAAGGCCAGGTTGCGGGACGGGTCAAGTCAGACGAGATCTCGAGCGGTATTAGTAGTAGTAGCACGGCACTACACGAGTAATGCTAGGGTTTATCGGGTATCTAGCTAGCTAGAAGCTGCGGGCCCGACCTGGACCTGGGAGGGGGGACATGCCAGATAACAAAGAAACGAGTGACGGAGGCTCGGAAGACCGGGTAGTCAGAGATAGGTTGGAAACCCCAAGGGAGCTTTGTATTTTGCTTCTAAAATTGGGTCTGATGGTATCACAGAAAGATGACAGTCTGATGTCAATTCCCTAACGGGTAACCTGGCTAGGGCTCACAGGGGTGAGAATGATCGACGCTGCAGGTAGGTGCCCGCCGCTGGGAAGCGAAAAATATCCTTGGGTCGTCCAACAGTAATAAATGTAAGGCACGCCAAACGCATTCTAACTAATAAGGAAAGTTGCAGGACGTTCCCCTGCCTTAACTCACATAAACCTCCGTGACACCTTCTCCATTGGTTCAATTGGGTTTAGGGGAGGCTGCATCTCCTCTCTTTCCAACGTCCGACGATCAGGACTTCATTAAGGAGGTCAGATCATTACGGCGAAATTCCTCTCAAGACCGGGCAATAACATCAGACAGAACAATGTTTGCATCTCCCGGAAGACACATATTGTCCTGAAATTAGTGCGCGGCAGCTGTGGCGTCAACTAGATATCAACGTGCTTTCATAAATAGGCAAAATGCAACCCGGGCAATATAGGATAAAAAGTGTTGAGGTAAGTTCCCGCATATGATTGGAACCTGGGGATATATTCCCTGTCAATCTGGAGATCGTGGCCGGTTGCTTTGTAGGAAAATGCGACGCCGAGACCGCGATCGACTGCACACCGATCGCTGTTGGGGTAACGGCCGTGGTTCTGGAAACACATGCGAATTCGTTCGAGTTCGGAGGACACCTAAAACGACACGGGCCAGATTTGATCAATCAAGAAAACCATTGGGTCGATCATTCCAGAGGACAGGAAATATATGGTCCAAGGAAGTTCATGATAATAGCTTAACCGAACCAACGGTTCTCGCTTCTGGCATTTGCCGATTCAATTCAGCAGGGACTTTAGTGGTTCGAGAACAGATGAATGCTGTGCGCTACTATCTAGGCACATGTTTCGGAGACTGGCGGGCGATTGATGGGATAATTGTTGCTTGAAGTTGATGCAATCATGAGAAATGGGTTATGTGACATTACCTAACTGACTGCAACCTCATTAATAATGATGAACAAACAAGCAAACGCCAACCATGCATGGCATCCATACTCCATCAATGCAAACCCGTTCGTCGTTACTCATTGCCGATTTCGTATCTTCCACACACACACACATGGAATATTCGACCCCCTTAATAACTGTTTAGGTAGGTTGGTCATATTGGTGTGGTTTCGGTAGAGACCGCTCGCATGCAAGTACAGCCACCGACGGTGAATACCTAGTGACAATTCCACGCATCCATCATGCCTCGAATGCTTTGCTCCCTTCGCATAGGCCCGAAGTAAATTTCGAGAGGGCTACCCAACGAGGGGCATACTTAAGTCCTTCGTCGTAGGCAGGAATGGTCCCAGGGATGTTTACGTCGTCCCAGCTGCACAGAACGCGGCCATCGATCCCAGTAGTTGCATCTGAATCCTTTTCCCACCGAACATCGACGTTCCATGGTGTAGTCCAGTCTCGACGATAGAGCTTGATCTTGGTTAGACCCCCTTCAGGTATACTACCAAACGTCTCATCGGGCGGGCTGCCGTCAACCACAAAAGAAGTAATGGGCTTATTGAAAGTGATTGCACACGATCTGCTGTCTCTCGCGTCGATATCGAATATGGCTCTGGCTTCGCTCCCAACCCTAGTAATGTTGAAATTCAACCAACTAGTAAAGTTATTCCCTGGCGGGATCCCATTGGGATTTGTCTGGACCACATTTGGTGGAACGTCTGAGCCATCGTAAGAACAAATGGTTAAGCCAGGGCGCAGACCTCCTTGTGACGTGCACTCAAGGTCTTTGCCTGTAGCAGAAGGTAACTCGGCAATCGTCAGCTCGACGAATTCTTGTAAACCACCATAATTGACCTTATTGATACCGGTATCAAGGTCGATGGTCTGTTGGAAATAGATTTTGTATCTGCTATCTTCAGAAAAAGGAAATGCTGCCAAATTATAGATCAGGGTTGCAATAAATACCCCGAGCAGTACCACCGGCACGTGGTGGGTAATACGATGTATGAATGGGGTGATCGGTAACAGGAGGAAGATGCTAAAAAATGCAGTAATAAGATATGGGACGAGCAGACTTGACCCATCAGCGCCTGTCTGTGAAACAGCGGCAACCAACGTCAGACCGTTCTGGCCAGCTAGGATGATAAGAAATGGACCCAGGATCAGGAATTGAATGGCCCACACCCAGCTAGGGAGGTTCGTCGACCATTTTTGCTCGTATGCGTACGGCCGGTATTTGGCATCCTCGTCTAACGTCGCCTTGTTTACTATTGCCGAGATGGAACGTCGGTATGTAGTAGCAAATGTGGTTCGACGGGTTTCTCCGGATCCTCCACCGACAAGAGGTGTTGTCTCTGTCGCTGGAGACTGAGATTCGACTTCATCATCTCCATTATCTTCATCCTCAGCACCAAGTTCTTCGGGACTTGGTGAAACTAGATCATCCGCGTGAGGGACAGCGGCGAGATGATCCCTGATTTCGTGGTCATCATGTACCCGTTGCGCAAACGACGCCTTAGTAGGCAAGGCAAATAATTCGCAGAGAGAGATGAAAGAAGCGAGAAACGCAGCAGAATGGAAGAATACGAATATGTATCCGCCCGCAATTCTAAAGCGGTCTTCGAAAACGGTATTCGCGACTAGAACTCCCCACGCAATGGTAAATAGCCAGAAAATTGAGTATCCTCGGTGGAGAGCGCTGGGCCGGGCAAAGTTTGCTCCTGCCATGATAGTCCAGAAGGCGAAGTAGAAGAGGGAAATCATCATAGCCCAACTATGATTTTATGTTAGCATACGACGTTTAATATAAAAAGGACGTCGTATTGTACTTACACGGTGTATTCGTTGCTATATATGACCAACGGATTGATCTTGGTGACCAGGTATGCAGACCCTACAACCAACGCTGCTGCGACGACGAAGGCGAATGGGAACCTGAATAGACCCTTTCGACCACCTAACATAACGGGATCTAGGTCGGACCCTTCATAAGCAGACCGCCTTGCTGAGAAGTAGTAGTATTTGTCGTTACGTATCAGGATATACGTTAAGCCGACGAGCATTAGAGGCGTGGCGATGAGCAAAGTCAGAGACCAAGCAAACAAGGTTCGTAGCTCGAAGAGGGCGAACCCTTTTCCGAACAGGTCGAACCAAACACCGTCACTTCCTCTACCATTCCAGACTTTCTTTCGATCACCATCTGCACGTTCCCCGATGAATGTCTGACCAGTATCCCCAGACAAACCCTGCATCGTGTGTAGAGAACTGCTCAGCATATGCCAGAGGCTGGCTCTGGATGCATGCTTGGCATCATCTTGGTTGGTATGATACCTAGCACGAGGTCGATAAAATGCCACGTCTAACCCTCGTAAGCCGAAGACTCCATTAAAGACGATATAATCGGTGTTGCTCTTAATAGCTCCGAGACCGAATGCGTCGGATGAGATGACGGTGCCAAACGGATTCTTAGTGCCTTTATAGGCATTAGTCACTTGAGCGTCAGTCGAGCGGAACAGCATAGCACGGCCACCTGCACCAGCACCTTCAAGATTCAGGAAGGTATGGCAGAAAGGCAGGAAGGGATTATGAGCGAATGCTTGAGCACCCCATAGCCCATCCTCCTCGTTGTTGTTGAATAAGGCAACGATCCCTCTTTGAGGTTGATTCCCCGGCCGAGAAAAGTAGTCGACTAGAGCCACCAGAGTGACACAGCCCATACCATCATCAGTTGCTCCAAATCCAGACGCAACGCTACATAATTGTCAGTAGTAGGACAAATCCTCCTAGAGTTCTAGTGAGACCTACGAATCATAATGAGCATTTATCAACACGCCCCCTTTACCCACGATCTTGTCCGAATATACTTTGCCATCCTCCCACCATCGTCCACGTGGGTCATCCTTTCCGCGAATATATACTACTACGTTTGTGCCCTCAAAGTATGTACCGACCGGAATCGATGGACCAAATATGGTGTTAGCAGCCGTGACGTTGGACACATTATCCGCTAGTACAACCACGCTCGAGTCGTTGGCCCCGTTGCGTCTCTTAATCTCCTCCAATTCTAACAGTAGCCAATCATGTACCTCGTCATTCTTTCGGCTGTTGAATGGATGGTAGTCGCGCGATATTACGGTTAAGTCAAGCCACGATTTGGTGAGGTTCAGACCGGAGTACAAAGTCGGATTGCTCGGGGGAGACGGAACTGTTTCGTGGATGACAAGCAAGGGAACGAGGAGAGCAATGTAGGTGACAGTGGTCCAGAATGTTACTGCGAATGGCTTGAATGCAACTGGGTTTGACACAGCCATGATTGGCTGGCCTCGTTGAGTTGGCTGTCAATATAACCGTAGGTGTCGGATATAACCAGGACCGTAGGGCTGCAGGCGAAATGTGAGATTGAACACGCGAGAGCCGGTGACGGGCAAGGTAGAGAAGCTCTAGGTGGGGATGATGAACATCCCAAGAGACGTGAGCGCAATAATACTAAGACATATGCAGAGGTGGAGGGCTAATTAGGTTAATGGATAATGAGATTGAAGCTATATTGATGTTTTATGTATAGAAGATCGTTTTTGAGCGTTTGAGTGTTTGAGTATCAAAGTACTAGGTATGAAAATGTCATCCTTGACAGGCAACTGCCTTGAAGCGTCGCGAACTCTAACCCTGACGCAACTGAAATGGAACAGTTTTGGAGAAGGTTGGGAAGTTGTTACCGGGCTTGTAGGGTAGAATTATGAATGAAGGGTGGTCCAAGCTCTAATAGATCCCTGCAGATACCTCGGTACGATTTTGGATAAAATCCACGGATTACAACATACATACAAACCTCTCATCATCGCAAATTGGAAGAACATCACATATCAAGTTTCATTAAATACAATCGTATAAAAATTACGGGTTTAAGAAAATACAATAAAGAATTACCAGGGTCATCCTTGTTGCTGTCTATGGATTAGTCCTATAATACACGCGCACAATCCCCTTATTCATGACCTCTAACCCACAAATCCATATTCTTCAAATTCGTGCCAGTCAAAAGTGGACACCAAACTGAAGCAATGCATACGAGACTTGTTAGTACTAGGATCAGAATCATTACGGTGAAATCGTTAGTAGTGAGAGCCAACTTGAGTTGGGTACAGCGCGGCCAAGTCTAGCTGGTTAGTATCGAGACACCTTGGTCGATCCGTATGTTCCCCACACTCAAGCACCGGGAGGAGGAGGCGGAGGTTGGTCACCAGGAGGGGGCGGAGGAGCTTCGCCAGAAGGGGGTGGCGGTGGTGGAGGCGCGGTGCCATTGGCATACTGCTGGATAAGAGCGTTAATGTTACCAGGAGGCAGGCCAGGAGGAGCACCAAGAGAACCACCAGGGGGAGCGAGACCCGGAGGCGGACCCATACCGGGAGCTGCACCGTAGCCTGAATAGCCGGGATAGCTCGAGTATTGTTGCTGTTGTCCCGCGGAAGCTTGATGCCAAGGAGCTGCTCCGGGGGCCGAAGAGCCACTGTTGTAGTTCTGATTCTGGCCGCCATAGTAATCGCCCCCGTGGTTTTCATTACCACGGTGGCGGTCACGCCAAGGAGCAGCAGAACCGCCGCCCTCGTTACTTTGTTCAGTGTTGCGCGAGCGCCACGGGGCCGCTGCACCTGTCGGACCTCGTTGCCAAGGCTTCGCGTCGCCGCCGCCGTTGTTATAAGAGCCAGGGCCGGCTTCGATTCGAGCTGCTGGTCCACTAGAGCCGCCTCCAAGCTCTTGCATGAATTGCTAAATGTAATGTTAGGTATTGACTCTTGTCGAACTATTATCAGATAGACACTTACCTCGTATTCACGATCGACGGCATCTCCGGCACCAATACGGCCAGCAGCGCGGGGAGGTCCTTCACTACGCCAGCTTGCACCCTTCTGTCGATCAGGGCAATCTCGAGCCATGTGACCGGCGTTGCCACAAACACGGCAAATAATATTGGCAGTGAAGTTCTGCTTCTCCGGGCAATCATATTTGCGGTGACCGATCTGGCCACAGTTCTGGCAGGCTTGGTTCTCGTCGTCACGCAGAGTACCGTTCAATGTGGCGAGCTCTCGAAGCTGGTTTCTCTTAAGTTCGTTTTGACCCTCAGGAATCGATGCGGCCTGTACAATTGATATTAGTATGAATTTCAAGAGGATCAGCATGGAGGCAACCTACAGTCTCAATAACATTGTGGATGAGCTTCTTAGCCTTGTTAACCTTCTCCTCGGTATCGGCCATGATCAAGCAGTGCAAGTCCTCCTCCTGGTTACTAGCGTGGGCAGCATCGGACCGACCCTTGCCTTCTTTCACGGAACCTTTTCCGCGAATGGCAATCTTGGCTCCTGATTCTGATTCCATTTTCTTCAGTGTGTTGCCACGAGGGCCGATAAGTAGACCAACTTAAGTAAAAGACCTAGGTGTTAGTATTTGTCACAAAACGGTTAGAGCATGGGGAAGGGGAAGCGTTAGATGAGGCCAAGAATGGACATGTCATCCATCGTGATATGACTGCATTCCTGGTAATATCCCGAACAAGAAGGGGCATAAACATGGTTAGAAAGGTTAGAGGGTTAGCAATCTCACTGAAGTTAATCTCTGGGTAATCGTTGACGGGCACATAGACCTTCTCTTGGGTCTTGGTGGGCCGTCGGTAATCCTGTGGCGGGTGATAGTTAGGAATCGTCTTCATAGCCTTCTCAACGAGCTTATGTCTCTCGTCCTCAAGACGCTTGCGGTAACGGTATTCTCTAGTGTTAACACGGCGACCATGGTTGTCATATTGCGGAGGAGGAGAAGGGGATCTGCGTGGAAAAGTAGTTAGTTTTGCGCCCATAGTAAAGTTAACAGATTATATGAATGTAAAATTTACCTGTCGCCATCAGCAGGAACAACGTCGTTGATTCGCAGCTTCTGGCTAATCTCTTCAATTCTCAGGTGCAGAGTGTATGCCTCCAGTTGTTCGCTAGTCATGTTGGCTACGATGGCGGTTGGAAGACCCATTAGGCCGGCGGCTTTGTTTTCCGAAGCATCGCCCCAACGATTGCGCTTCTTTCGACGTCTTGGACCATCAGCATCGGTTCCTGCGTGACACCATGTTAGTTATCATCATATGAATGAATAAGTCGAGGGAGGTTGTCTTGTAGATGACTTACTGGGCTCGGGACTGCGACCGCGCTTCAAGTCGCGATCGCCACTCGAAATACTAAAGCCATCGGTTCCATTTTCGCGACCATCGTCTCCTTCACCTCCAAATCGTCGACTTTTACCGAGGGGGATGTTATTAGACCCCGTAATTCCCTGATTTCTCCACGACATAATGGCAGGTTCGCAATCTCGCAAGTTTGCGCGGTGCGATAAATTTCAAAGGTGTGGAAAGATGGATTGAAGAAATCAATCTTTAGGTTGAATTATTTTGGAGACGGCTTTTCTGGTTTATGGGCAACAGCGCTAAGCTAAATCTTGTCTGGGACGAAGTGGAGTAAACGAGACGCATGAGCCACCTGTACGCTTCATCAAATGAAGTACGTACCTCAGTAAGTCATGTGCTCTTTGTACAACCCCGGCCTCAACTATTATTACATAAGCAGATACAGGTGTCAATTCAATTGCCCCCTTTCAGCTCCAAATAACTCCTGCGTCATCCCGAAAAACAACGTTGAGGTGCTAATGTGATAGGTAACGGGCACATCCGTCACCTCCATTCCGGGAATTGGCAGATAAAAAGCAAACATGCAATATGTTCCCGGTTACTTGCAGAAGTGAGAGAGACTACCTATTGTGCTAATACTAGGTACTTACTTATTAGGTACTAGGTGCCTACCTGGGTACATGTAGGTAAGCGACGTCTCCTACAGTAGGTAGATTTGTGGGCATTCAGCATAATGAATTGCGGTCATTACTTCGCATCTGCCTTCATTCCTTCTTGAACCCATTTCCTAGCCGCTGCAGCCCTCTCATCGATCTTCTCTTCTGTAAGCTGCTGGATATCCTCATAGTTATGTTTCGACGGTACATGACGGCCCTTCTCGAGTCCAGGTCGCTGGAGCATTCGCTGGACCCATTTACCTAGCTCCGGGAATTCGGAAATGTCGATTCCAGCCCATTCTTTGCAAGCGTGTCAGCGAACTTAATAAATTCATGGGACTGCACGAGACATACTGGCTGCTGCGACCCATCCCCAGCTCGCAATATCTGCGCTGGTACAGCGATCACCAACTAAATAGCCGGATGTTGAAGACTTAAGCTGTGTCTCCAGAGTCCGGTATAAACGGCGAGTCTCGTTCTTGTAACGATTGATGCCATACTCAATCTTCTCTGGGGCGTATCCTATTCATCTTAAGCTTTTGCCATCTCGGAATTAAGAACACTGTCCAATACATACGATTAAAATGATTCAACTGCCTGTTAGATGTCAGCATTTGTTGATTACATTTCCTTGGTTCGATTTCTACTCACCCCTGCATTGGACCAAGTCCTCCCATTTGCCACATAAGCTAGGTTATATGAGCAGTTCAGTTTCGACTACTAATAAGTGTTGACAGCTCACCCAGTTGTTTACTTCATAGTACTCTCTAGATCCCTTAGGATATGACACTTTGTGCTCCGTGTCATATCGGTCGGTCAAGTACTGCATGATCGAGCCGCTTTCAAACAGACTGATGGGCTTTCCATCGGTAAAGGTGTCCGTCAGCGCGGGGATACGGCCGTTCGGGTTGATCTCTAAGAACCACGGCTCTTTTTGGGTGTTCTTGCTAAGTTCGATAGCAGTGACCTGTATATTTGTCAGCTACGTGTGTCTGATATCAGGATGGGTCAACATGCCTTGTAAGGCAATCCCAACTCCTCCAGTAGAATCGAGATCTTGGTGCCATTGGGCGTCTGTGCGGTGTACAGATGAATATCCGACATCTTGGGATAGAAGCTTACGACTTTTTTATTTTACAGGTAGTTGACACTCAAGTGCTATTCATCGATCTTGGATAGGTAGGTACTAGGCAGATTTCAAAGCAGAGGGGTCACCAAGGGCTATATGGGTTCTATGAAGGCGGAAGCTAAGGATTGATAATCAAGCTAGAAATATTCCCCGGCTTAATAAAGTAAAACTTTCTATGGAATTAGTAACCATCAATCTCGACATGCGACATGCAACTTCCCCGCTTTCTCTGTAACATTTTTTAGGTAGCATGTGACATAATAGGTGAAGTACTAATTATTAATACTAAATATCTCTAGATTCTTTAGGACCATAGAAACCTAGAATAAACAACTTTAGAACAGCAGCGAACTACATGCATGACATTCTTGCTCTAGGCAATGGCAGCTCGGATCAGAGACCCACATCCTTCCCCGTAACCTTATCAGTCCCGTCGACCCGCTTTGGCCCGCTTCTCCGCGACTCTAGAGATAAATCCAACGTCAAACCAGCCGTTGAAGGCAAGATAGTGGACTAAACTTCCTGATATGCCATTGAATCACTGAAAATGATGTATAACTCATAGTACCATGATTTATGCAGCAGGCGGTATCCTAGATGCCATTCCTGTGCTTTTCCCTTGACGGCGCCGCAGGATCTGTCGAGGCGCAGAATGAGGTACGCCAACTTCACCTGATCAGAAGAGTTGGTTAAACAAGGTCCCGCCACCATTTGACATTCGCTTGAACCTTTTCCCAGGAGTCTCAACAGCATAATAGTTACCTAGGTACGTATATTAGTTCGTGTGGGAAGCGACAACCAGGCCTATGAGATACAAGTGCCACTATTCTCTGACTAAGGCCGTATCTTGCTCCATGCTCTTGACTAGTAGGGAAAATCAACAATCTCTGAGAAAGTAACTTTGACTCCAGCTTGTTGATTGTTCAAGTCGCTCTGTCAACGCTAGCTACACTGAGACCATCTGCATGCTAAAAGACGGGCCTTGCAGCCGCAGTATATGCTCAATTCAGCACCGTGAAGATTTTTCCCAAATTTCTACCCAAGGATATAAAGATCAACTCAATGCCAGGCCTTGATAGAACCAGGCGGAATCAGGGGAAAGTAAATTACAGATCAGTTTGTCCCATTGGCATAAATTCCAAGAATTTCCAGAGTTTGCATGCCTTCACAAGTCAAATTGTGCCCAGACTTGATTCTGGTGGAATCATCACAATGCATATTATCCTTGGAATTATGCCCGGTTATAAGCCTCGACAATCACAAACTCAAGTTAGAGTAACTCCCAGAAGCTTTAAGTCCTATAAGTTGCCTCTACAGGCAAAATTTAGGCCGGCTTGATCTTTGATATGGCTGGAAGCAGGGCTCGGATCAACTCAACGCTAATCCACTGGTGTACACCCACTGCCAAGAAACGTCAATCAATTCAATTCCACGAGACCCACTTTAATTTGATAATCAACTCAACTTGAAGCTCTCGTGGGTTAAGTTGGTGGATTACTTCGTAGTGTAGTTGATTAACTGTGGATATAGCAGGGGCGTTGCCCCGCTGTTAGTGTTTAGAAGTAAATTTGGTGGTGGCATTAACAAAATGGGGACGTGGCGAAGGCTGTAGCAAGTAATATGTGTGTCGTTAGGTAAAACATTTACTCGAAAACAACGAATACTGCGATTCCGCACTTAATTAAATAGCTAAAATTAATTAAAATACATCATTATAATTGCCATAATTCTCTCATCATTCTGATATATATGATATCTATTAGAAAAGGTTTATTTAATATTAAACTTAGTTAAAGTAAAAAGTGTAATTATATTATTATATGTTTTTAAAAGTAAACATTACGATTAAACAACCTTTTAAATCTTCAATAGCTAATATAATACTACATACATTACTACTTATATCAAAATGAAGCTCTTAAAAAGGGTTATCCTTTTATATATATTAATATATATACAGCGTTGTATTCGAAGCGTAATGGTAAAAAGTTAAACTTGTTATTTCATTCAACCTTTTCAGCCTTGTAAGCTCAGATCGCGAAAGCGTCTGTTTATTGTACATTAAGTACCTAGGTATGCAATCGAAATAATACCTTGAATTACTCGAATAATACCTTGAATTGCTTGAATAATACTTTGAATTACGAATACCTACTTGAATAATAGCTTTTATTTTTTCTAATTTTTATCTTTTATTATTTACCTACTTCATACCTAGGTAGGTATTGAACCTATTACCAAAACCTATTAAACTTATCGAACCCATCGAACCCATCGAATTCATCGAGCCTATCGAGTGACGAGTTTATTACTACCTGCCTAAATATAATCGAGTATAATGCTGAAACTTCTTACCCCTGATTGGATCAATAAAGATCGCTCTATTATAAATCTCTACTAAACAGTTACGATATGTACCTACCTATCAAAGCGAAGCGGACGAGACGGGCAATAACATGTTTGCGAAGTACATACACTAGGCCAGCGCGTGGCTCCAAGATATTCAACGACGTACTTGGGAATAGCTTCATTAAACAAAAACTAGAAAAATGGGTCCATATTCACTTTGATGTACACCAATCAATCAACGTCCACCAAGAGCTTTTGGTGTACACCATAATCCACTCCACGAGAGGATCTGATGTCAATCCACTCAATATATCCTCTTGGTGTAGTTGGTGTAGTTGATCCGAGCCCTGGCTGGAAGGCTCGGATCGATTCATAGTTACAATTATTTGTTCCTTACCTAGTAAGACCTAGATATTTAGAGGAACTCCTCCTTGGAAATATGAGAGAGTCGGTGTTATCGGCAATGCTAGAGTTTATGCAAACTTTCTAGGATACCACTTTGTCTCTTTTGTGCCGTCAGGCTTGGATTCGGTGTGGAAATAATTGTTATTTTCGACGCTCCAAGTCCAGTAATCGTCCGGAAAGCGAATCTCTGTACTTTCAGAGGATAAAGTTGACACCGGAGATAATCGAAGAGAATAATCTTGATCGTCATGGAAATCAAGAGGTGGTAACTCGAACCGAGGAGAATAATTTGCACATTCGTCCTGTAGAAAAGTCTGCTTGTTGTTTGTGTAAAAGCTGGTTTCCGCTGTGTCACCAAACGAGGGGGGTGTAATACAAGGTTCCATTTCTCTCCAGCTAAATCTAGACCGCGATTCAGATTGATTTGAATGACTTCGTTCCGTCCAAGGTTCTTCTAATGGACGGCTATAGTTATTGGCCTTATCATTTAAGATAGAAAGAGAACCCTGTAAATATTCTTCTCGTAGTGCTGGAGTAGACTTTGATTTCCCCTTCGTGGTTTTAGGCGGATAGCAATACGCATTGTGGGGGCCGAGTCTCCTTTCCAGGTCGCCACACTCGAACTGAGCCAGTTTAAGCTCCCTTAAGGATGTGCTAATATCCATAATTTCAATAGCTTCAGATGGAAGATGTATTGTCTGTAATCTCTTCGAAACTTGCACATGATGCTCAGGAGCGGGCAAGTCTAGAATTCCTCTTGGCAACCTCTCTGTCGGTGGTTCTACCCGTATAGGGCGTGTGACAACGACTAGGCCTTTCCTAGTGGTTGAAACAGTTGGTTTTGGGGAGTTCGGATGATCGAGTACAAAACCATTGTCGTCGATTTTATACTTATACGACTCCTCTTCAGCTCGGTCTCGAGCATCCAATGAATGAGATCTCCCAGAAAGAGCGCCTTGCTCATGTGGCCGTGGCTTTTGTACTAACGCAGACGTTCTATTTTGAACTTTCATTTCTTCGTAAGGTTGACCCCCGATATTATCATGCTGAACAGGCGTTTCTGACGCCATATAATCACTACCGTTTGATCCTAAATCCAGAAGGGTAACGTATACCCAATCCTCATCTTCCTCTGCACGCATTAGGTCACCTAAAGGGGTGCGTATATCTTTATAATCCATCCTAACGCGCCCATTGTATGGCTCGAGTGTATCCGCTTGCCGTCCGATCAAGATCCAGAGGTATTCAAAATAGCATTTTAACTTCTGAAGGGCTTGAAGTTTCCACTTCCGTATCGGGGTCAGTCGATCTCTTGGAAAACTTTGTATATGTGATGACAATAGCTCTTCAAAAAGCGATGAAACATGTGGAGAATATGCCGGCCTGTTGTGATTGAAGATCAAAGCATAGACACCGTCGAAATGTACGATTTGATGTATTGTTTGGAACTTGCGACTACCCCTTAAGAACCTCCAAGCAAGAATAATCTTTTTCCCGCCATGCAAGATATATCGAGTTTCTTTAGAAACGTGCTCCTCCAGCCATCGATACGAAATCAAGTTGTCTTTGCTGTTGCGTTCTAGATTGGCATTCACTCGCTGCGCTGGCTCCCAGCGCTCATGAAAGATGATTGGTTTCGCAGGTAATTCGATATCCGCTGAAGTAGGTATGGTTGCTTGAAGCAGTTCGATCTTGAAGTCAGATACAATCTATAAGACAAATACGTGAGTAATAAAAACTATGAATTGTTGGCCATATTGTTCTTACTGCTTCTGCAATTCCCGGGGTAGTCCTTGAGGCTTCATGTGCAAGTGGCCTCAAAGTTCGACGAATATGATGAGACATTGTAATAAATGATGAAAAATAAATATATTTATCTTCGATAGAATAGATTTCTGCGCAATCGATTCACGCAGTGGCCATTAGTTCATATTTCTGTTTGGGTCTCATTTGGATGAATACGGTCGGTGCAAAATCTGCCTGGACGAAATTGAATTACGCCTTTGGGCTTCCACAGATACCTATATGCCTCCGGGTGGGTGACATTATGTGCCCCAAGCCACAAATAAGCCGGAAGGCTCCATCCAATGGGATGTATGAAGAGCCATTTCCGTACAATCATGCGCTATTTAGTAGGCCGGCAACCCTCACATTCGTGATTTCTATCTACCTACCTAGGTAGGTATGTTTCAAACATGGAGTCCGAACATCAGCAAAGACAACCAAAAGGTTACTCAAAGCTGGCTGGCTTCATGGTGCATCGTAATCATGTCATTGTTAAACAATTCCGCGAATTGGCGGTTAAGGACCTCCTTTATTTGCAAGCCGAATTATGCGATTTACAGTATGATTTTGATCATCAATCTAGAATCGATGTGAACTCTCAGAATGAGAAAACACGGCTATATGATCGAGAATGGTGTCATCTCAGGTATGCAGCTGGTGGCGGTGGGAAACAGTGGCAACTTGCCCTCCAAATCCGAGAAAAGCTCCGCGAGTACTGTATATTACCCCTCGACGTTTCTTTACAAATAGTACTTCGGCGGTTTTAGGGAAAATGTGACGGAAGAATAAAAATACTCAAATAAGGACGTATTGAAAAGGATAGATACCATGAGTAAATCTAACTGTAAAGACTCGGCGATTCAACAATACCAAAATGTTAGAGCATTGCCGCAGCCTAGCAATCGACGACGTGAGATCGTGCATTCATACACCCTCAGCTCTACCCTTGGTGGTGATTGTGACTTCCTCGGTCGGGATCTCAGCAATGTGTTCCCATACCCTTCGGTGTATTCCAACCAACACAGGAATGATATGGTGTTCCTGGGCGACGAACCGGGAAATGATGACTTCCTAGCAAGATTCATTGTGGGTCCTGCTCTGAAGGCCTTTCATATATGCTGGAGGTCAATGAAGGTACCTATGCAAGATACATCGCATGTTCAAGCAACAGAATTGATTTCTTGTGTAGACGCCTGTACCTGATTTAGAGAGTCAGGGTCCAGGAGCCTACACTACTCTATATCAGTACTCAGATACCAAAATTCGAATTGTCGTGCATACTCTTGGTTCCATCATGTCCACTATCGTCCCAATGGTTTCCATTATCGTCCTCTATTCTGTCGACAGCATGCCCCTGCGACTTGGTTTAGTGAGCATTTTCAGCGTAATCTTTTCAGCGGCCATGAGCCTGGTTACGAATGCTAAGAGGGTGGAAATATTTGCTGCTGTGGCTGCGTCAGTTCCTATATCTCGTAATAGGTATAACAGCTTCATACCTACTGACCAATTGATTAGATTTGCCAGTGTGCAGGTTGTCTTCATATCGACAACTCGGAACCCTTAGGTTCCATATCTCTAACGTCTATCTATTAGTACTACTACAACTAAATTGCTACTGTCAATAGTCTGGGTGACGTACCTTTACATTGGGTATCTATCACCCTCTGGATAATACGTCAAGTAATCACACCACAGGGTGTTGATAGAAACAGGACTCGAGGCTACGTCTATTTTCTCCTCTCCAGAAAAAAATACCCCTCTTTCAAGTCGTGACTTCGCGTCTCTCGTTTACTGTGCTCGCTATACGCTCTTTACCAACAATCGTCTCATAAAACCATCAACACCTAGTCCCTATATTTCTGGAATGGTCTCCTTCGTATAGTCATCATACCGTTACATTATAGTTCTTTCAGCACGTTCATCTTGTTCTAGCACAAGCAAGAAATAACACTGAGCTACCAATGATTAGCCAACCCCTGAGCTGTTTTAAATGAATACATATTTTATTCAAACTCACCACGTTCCTTTGGCTAGACTTAAACACTAGCAGGCACTAGTTTCATTCTCTGGTGTAAGTATACCTAGTGAATCATACTAAATGCATACTCCTGTTGATGGCAGGCCGGGTGCACTGAAGATGTCATATTAGCATTTCGCAAACATCCTTCTACCACACCTCCAAAAAGATGGCCTATACTATTGCTAATAGTTTGACGAACTAGATTGACAACAAGAATGTCAGCCAGCAACAGTTCGAGCATATCCGAGCCACATCCTCTGTCGATAGCCAAATCCCAACGTCTGCGTAAATGGAAACAACAACTCCTATTCAATGTTGAATCACCGGATGGTACATCGGGTACCAAAGTTACCGGCTTTGTAGATGGGGGATCTGATGTGTCCATGATATCGAAAAAGATAGCCAAGAAAGCTGGACTTGAAATAATACCGCTTAAACCTGAGGCGAGGCCAGATCTCGAAGGGCTTGAAGGCCGCTTATTATGTCAACCAATTGGATTCGTTTATGCAAAGATAAGGCAGGCGGATCTAAGTCTTGATACAACTGCATTGGCTTTTTATGTTGTTGACGTTAAGAAAATACAAATTTTGCTGGGGAGTGAGTTCGGCCAGGAGTACGGTATCGAATCGAAAATATACGAAGCAGTCGAAAATGAGATCGACCCCGTAGACTGGGACAGGGACCGTCCAACCTGCCACAATGTTTGCGTTCTCTTCGATGCACGTAGCAAAGGTAGACGATATCCCGGCCTGAAAATCTTGATATGCTGTGCTAATTATACGTTAGGTCGCCAACGAAAAGAAGAGGAGCAAACACAACAGCAACGCAAACAACACAGCGAACAAGTATTGCTGGCAATTGAAGCAATGAAAACCCAACGGAACCTTCAGGCCAGTCAGTCAGCGATGGGCTCTTACGGAGGTTCTGCCAGCTTTCCTTCTACAATCTCGTCGCTGTCAGCCTCCTCAGCATACTCAAACTTCACGGGCTCGTCAGCTTCGACTGCCCCATCTTCGTGTGACGCGACCCAGACAGGAACTGTCAACACTGGTCAGAAGTCATAAGTTGACGAGACAATATCCCTATCAGAGATCATGCCATATCGGAGTTGGGCCCACTAGAATTTTGGCCTTAGCCTAAGACCTTCTCGTGGATAACTCCAGAGAGTCACATACAGAGAGTCTGATCTATGTATACCATGATCATGCACGGGGAGTTTCTGCAATCGCCAGATTCGCCTCGTCGCAACTCCCTCTCCCCTTGAGATCTAGTTCTGTTTCATACGTTGCTCAATTCGTTTTCAACAACGTATGTACACACTAGACTATTCCATTCTGGCGCTCTTTCGCGAGCGCAAGTAATAGGTAGTCGGTGATTCGATCTTCAATATCGTCTCTGATACCATTGCTCTTGCTTTGATTTCATCATTCCTCCCATTCGCGTATTATAGTGCATAGCGTGGGCATTTTCTTCTTTTCCCCTCCCAACATAAGAAAAACCTTTATCCGAGAAATTAGAGGGGGTGGCGTTTACTCCTCAGGCCACTCCATTTGTTCCTGCGACGACACTGCTGCGGTTTATGATAATGATAAAGTGGCACGCACCGGAGCTGTCATAGCTTATATAGCTGCTGGCCTTGCTATTCGGGCATGAGATAAATCAGTTTCTCGCTGTTAGTCAAAAGGATACCTGTATATGAACTTATGAGAAATCCTGTTCAGAAGGAACCTTCCGGAAAAGGCGTGAAAAAGGGGGCGGAAACTAGGCCTTTGATGTATTTAAAACTCTAGGCATTAATTATTGGATGTGATGACCCCAATGGCACCGATGTATCAATCCTTGTGTCGTCATTCTAAACAATGCCATTTCACTCGCCCTTTTATTCGGTCGTACTGTGTCACATCTTGTGTACCTAGCTACGCACATATATGGATACCATGTGAGTTACCGCGGATTTATATTAAATATGTAGGCACCTATCACCTGTTAAATGCTTCGCACATGATCTTTTCGAGGTTGTTGTTGAGAATTCATGTTTAATCATATCAACTTCGGAACATCGCGGGGTAACCGGGATAGCTTCATTTCAAAGCCCACCGATAACACCTCTCAATGCATACACCTCCATATCAGGATATGCAATTAAAAAGGTACTTGCCTAGATGGGAAATACCTCGGCTTCTAATGAACGCCCCACTTATCTTATCCTTTAACATGGGATCGCGACTCGTTGATTACGTGAACGGCCGAGTTGAATATCCTTTACATCAAGTATCAATATTCCGATGAAAGCTATCTAGTGAGCTATACTTAATCTCATAAAAGTAAACCAGAATGGCATCAAGCGAGCTGTTTACAGTCCCAATTCCTTCTCTCAAGTCACACCAAGGAGGCAGCATCATCTGCACATCTCCCGAGCCGAAAGTCTACGTCCTCACATGGACATCTCCTCCAGACAACAGGCTGACGCCTGCCTTTAACACGTCGCTCCTAACCGCTCTCGATATCATCGAGTTCGGCTACCCACCAGGTGTCGTCGTAACAACTTCCTCCATTTCCAAGTTCTACTCCAATGGACTCGACCTACAGCTTGCCATCTCATCACCGGGGTTCTTCCAAAATAGCCTGTACCCGGTGTTCCGAAGGTTCTTAACATACCCCATGCCAACAGTCGCTTTAATCAACGGCCACGGCTTCGCAGGCGGTTTCATGCTGGCCATGCATCACGACTACCGTGTCTTCGCTGGCGCGAAGGGGTACCTATGCGTGAACGAGCTTGAGTTTGGGGCGCCGCTACTACCACCTATGAGTTCTATTTTCAGGATAAAAGCGGCTCCTCATGTGTACCGTGACATGGTACTCGAAGCACGGCGCTTCGACGCGAAGGCTGCCCTGGAAGCTGGTCTAGTAGATGCTGTCGGCGAGATGGACACGGTGCTAAACTTGATCAAGGAACGGGCGTTGGTTAAGAAGGGAGCCACCGGTGCCTACTCGCTTTTGAAGACGGAGATGTACCGCGAAAGTGTAGCCTTGTTGGAGGCCAATGGCAAAGACGCCGTAAACCCCGGCGACATGCAAGCACCCGAGAAGAAGAAGAAAGCCGAAGGAGCGAAACGGTTTAAGGAATGGAAGGATGCACAAGGTGGAGATAAAGCTAAGTTATAATAGCTTGCGATTTTATGTTATTTTCTATTTTTCATGTATTCATTTGAGTCCTGAAACTCGAAATGCGTGGCTTCATGTAACTGTAATTTAGTCCACTTTACGTGTCGCATACCCCTAGAAACCTTGGACGGTAAATACTGCGTAGCTCAAAATAAACTATTCAAAGATTTTATATTTGATTCCCTGGCCCTTTCAACTTTATCATATATCTTTACTTACACTTTAGCTAGGTAGTTAAAGGGGAAGAAAGAGATCAGTCCCTTCCAATTCCAGCATTTCCTACTAGGTATCGGAGTGGGTCCTGTAGAGACACTGAAGAAGTTCGACAACCCCGTTGTCGCCGGCCGGTTTGCTGTGAGGCTTGAAATAATATTTTTGGTCCTCCTACAGTCATACCAAACATTACCGATGTTTCGCAAAGGTCCGAGGTCCGCATTCACACTCGGGGGCGGACTACGGTAGCTTGTGAGGAGATTCTGGTGAATTTACTACCCATGGAAACAACTTTCGTTCTATCCAGTGGATCTTCTGTAACCGGCCCTTTTGATGGGGAAATCGCTGTAGCTGAGTCTAAGAGGGCTCGTTAGTCTTTATCCATTAACTTAGGTCACTAAAACGGCGTTGATTGATCCGGTAGGAACATTCATCGGGCTCGGTCGTGGAGACGGACGAGTAGATCTTTGACTCTGTTCGGAAGACACATTTTCGGTACCTTCCATGTCCCGGCGATCGGTAGAATGGGGTAGATCGACGATCCGGATGCCGTGGCTGATAACTGCTGGGTAATTGGAGTTTCCGGGCTGCGAATCGTGGACACAACTCATTTACTGTGCTACCTTCGGGTCATCCTTAGGCCTTGGCGTACACGGTTATGGAGAGGGTTGTGCATAAGTCTAAGTCGAGCAATTGCCTAGGTAATTCAGGCCATCTTCACTGATATCATTTTGACCTGATAATGGTCTGGATAATGAGGTTTTGGAGATATGTAGCAGCTCGTCGGTGAAATATCATATCAATTTGGAAAAGCACCAATTCAACAGTGTAAATCGGTACTTGGGGATTGGGGTTAGCTTGCTGATTTGTAACAAAACAGGTACCTATCTCTTGGGTTTTCCGAATGTGCAAATTCGTACCTCGCCAAAAACTCCTATTGGTTTAATCGTGCAGGAATTTGGCGAATCGCATTTCTTCTAGGAGTTTGAAGTCCGGCTGTGGCTTTGGGACTTGACAAAGCCAGCTTGCGAGATTCTTCGATATCAGAATTTGAATCATCTCCCCAATTCAAGAGCCAATACCAGGTATGTACCTAGGTAAATAAGTAAATGCCGCAAATTCTTTATTAACACCGTTAGGGTTTGCTATACGTGGTAGTCGCCGTCGCCCGTAATCAGCATGATCAGGTAATTGACTGGTTATCATGAGATGGATGGTAAGAAACAACTGTACACTACCTGCTACTTTACTGGATGTATTATAGACTCGTGTGCGCCTATTCAATATAAATCGTAAGCCCGATAAGGTAAAGTTCCATGTCGGCTATCTTGTAGTTGAGAGATAAAAATACCGATAGTTAGCGGTTGACCGTCCTTGGCCATGCTGCCGGTATTGTCTTACCACCATCGATTATCGCAAGTCGGAATGAATCAAGGAAAAGTATCCCTGAAAAATGGACGTCATCGAATCCCAATTCGGTACCATGTAGGATTCGAAATTGCCAAGGTTGCCTGCTTTCACTAGATTGTCCGCATTTATTAAAGAATATATGATATGAATTAATTAGTTGTTTTTATTCCAAGGTTCTCGACAGACATAAGGTTACAACCTTAACTACCTTAACCATAAAAAGACATTTAAAAAATCAATGGGTTCAAACATTCAAAGCTTACGAGGTGATAGGAGCCAGCCACATGATGCAACAGATTGCAAAGTTCAGCAGATGGAGGGGCACAGAGGAGCGGCTAATGTGATTATTGGTGAGATTGAGTTTCGGGAGCTACAGGGGTAATGCCATCATCAGCTGCAAAGAGCTGCAAGTTCCAAGTTGGGAGCCGGGCTATTGACCCCACTAATCCACTGAAGTACCTGCTAAGTACGAAAAGGTCCACCTAAAAAGCTGTAGGAGCTACCCAAGGCGGTCCAGCCTTTTTTTAGTGCCATGTTTGAGTTCCATGGCTTCCATGCTCTAAATTTATGGTTGACAGGGGGCAGGCTCTGTAAGTGGCAATGGCATTGTTTATGTCTTAGCTCCATTACCTCCAACTATTGGTTGCTATGGGTACAGAAGAGGTACCTTCAGCCAACGCAACAACTCAACTCTTCCATCTCAATCAATCTTTCCTCCCTCGCGCCCGAGTCTTCCACGCAACATTGAACGCAACGCAACGCAATCCGCAACGTACACAGATACCGAATACTTTCACACAAACCTCCCCTTACCTTACGTACTTCTTACTTTCTTTTTGTACAAACCTTGAACTGTACACACTATTATTCAATTCATCAACGAGAAAAAACATAATAATACACATAATTGTGGCCTACGTATAAGGTTATGTTACGGCGTAGACGGAAATGCAACTTCGGATTTGTTGTCACATTATAAACCATCAATTGGACTCTTCCACCCGCTAACGACGAGCCTTGGATGCACGTCGCTTACGTCGGGCTGGTCTCGCAACGTCAGCATGAAGTCGGGGGCCATGACCCTGATCAACTTAGGTGAGGAGTTGAATTTATTATAATATATATCTACCTGCCTAGTGCTTTTGAGAGTTCGACACGGTGTGATAATATGGTTTGCGTGGCGTAGTGGGCTTTGCTTTAGTTTCCGAGTTGCTTTGGCATGTACGAAGCAGCTGCTAAGCATTGACCCATTACCATGACCGCCCACTTGACCGCTGTGGAATTCGCCATCGAACTTGTCTACTGTACCTATGTCATGATGAGACATCTTGATTAACTACTGGAATGTTGCTGGAGCTAATAATATCTTCTTCAGCAGATCATGACTGCCCCCAAAACTAACGATGAAGATGATCCCTCGGGTCCTCAGACTTCTCAGTCTTCTCAGTCCAGCTCTCCTACAAAGAAACACATCCCCAGTGCTTCTACAGGGTCAACACCAGTCCGTAAAGCTGCTATACCTAACAAAGATGGCACTCCCAGAGCAACCCCGGGCGCTGTGCGTCCGCGATCCGCCACCACAAGAACACATCCGACCCTTCTCAGCGACTTCCTATTGGGTCGACCGTCTCCAGCTCGAGTCGCCGCGGACAGACAAGCGGCACGGGAGGCAGCCCAGGCTAGGCGATTAAGTTTAGAAATGGTAAAGCATGAGATGCGCCAGGCGGCTGTCATGCGAGTCCAAGCACCAGGTGGCGTTCATGACCGAGTTAAAAAATGGCAAAAGGCAAATCTCGCGGCCATAGCCGGTGCTGATCCTTTCGCTACCCCCTCCGAACCGAGCGAAATGAATATACAAGTAGACGACGAAAGCGTCACCGAAGAAGACCGGATGAGAATCAAAGCACGGCAAAAGAAGTCTACGCCTAAAGTTGCAGCTGGGCGCAAGACTGACGGTGGTGAATCCAGCAAAGGCAGTCAAGAGGATATTCGACTCTCGAATCCGCCTAAGAAGCGAGTTGTTAGTGATACCAATTGGATGAAGAACAAGAAAAATAATCCATCGAGGAGTCGATCGCCAAAACCGAAGCCAGACGAGAGCACCGGTTCCCCTATACCCAAAGACTTTCTAGCACGCACGGCTGCCAACCCTTCCGTCTCTAAAAAGGTCAAAGACTGGGCTAATAAAGTTGAGGTTCCCAGCGAGGTTTCTAGCAATCGCCATAGCATACCAGGGCGACCCAAATCATCTTGCAGCGGGGACGGAATCCGAGTTAGACCTATTCCGTCTGATAATGATAATGCAAGTGGAAGATCGTCTGCTCGTATTACGGTCAAATCGAACGGTTCGAGAAAGGGAAAAGAACCAGAGGGCGATGGTATTCGTGTGAAGCCTATTCCGAGTGAGAAGGATACTGCAAGTGAAATAACGGAGTCGTCTCGTGTTACATCCGTTCCTTCGAAACCCCAGGCATCAAAACCATACGAGGACGATGGCATTCGGATCAGACCTGGCCCGAGTGATAAAAGTATGGCAAGCGGAACATCGGATTCTACTCGTACCACAGAATCGCCTATGCCACCAAAGCAGCAGAGCCAGGAGAGCGACCGTCTCAAGCCCAAGTCGACACGGAAGCAGGCACAACATGATGAGGGCTTCAAAAACAGGTCACGCCAGACGTCTACCTCAAAGTATCAGGCCAAGGTCTCCTCCCATCCTCATGACTCAGATGGCGCGACCACTGTTCGAGCCTCTTCGAGGCAATCCTCTCAAAGACCAAGCACTCGTGGAACTAGTACTCATAGGGATTTATCACCATCGGACATGGAGGTGGCAGAAGAACTGAAACCAGAAGGACTTCGAATACCAGCAAGAACGAGTTCGAAGATGCCTGCGAAAATGCCATCGAAGAAAGAAAAACATGTCGAAAGACCTAGGAGGAAAGATTATGAAGACACCGCTACTGTGATGACAGAGGAAGTATCTGACAGTGATTCCTGGTCGAGCGACTCTGTATCAGATATGCCATTCAGTGACCTACAACAGACCCTAGCAGATATACCCGTCGGATACTCTGCATTTAGTGAGCTTGACTTGGCTACTGGTTCGAAAAAACGGAATGTTAGACCAAAGACCAAGCGACAGCCTAGCTTCAAGGGCGCTACTAACGTCTTGAAAAAAGCGCTAACGGAAGGCAAGAAAATTCTAACTGAAAAAGTCGAACACCCTAAGCCGGTTGCCAACCAGCCACCCAACATCGAGACGTGGTTGAAAGCCACCCTTGACCCTTTTGTTGATTCATCGTCTGTACCCGAACCCCAACATAACCGAAATCCAGAGGATGAATGGGTAGATGAAAGCAGTGCACGGCACTCTACTCCATCAAAGCCTAAGCCTAAGCCTGCTCGTGTCACAAGTCCGTCCGATTTCAGCAAAAGTGAAGGAACAGTCGAATCAAGGGAAACTGAGAAGCCTGAGTTTGAGGAGCCAAGTAGGGCCGACTCCACAACTCCCACCCCAGCTGGTCTGAAAAGGAGCCGGGCTACTCGACTCTCTTCTACTCCCTCTAAGAGTAGCAGTAAAAGGGGACTGAAAGAAAAACTCATAGATGCGTTCCGAGGTGAATCCACTGGCCACAGCCCGCCACCGTTGGAGTATCCGAGTTGCCCTGAAGTCGTAGACCTCGACGAAGAGCATGAGGGCGAGCACCGTGAGAGACATCGTTCTTCTGGCACCAGAAGAAGCACATCTCCGGACGATTATGATTCATCAGGGTCATCTGAACTAACACAAACTGCACCATCACCTGTCCAAAGCAAACGTAAACCCCCTACCAATGGCTTTCACGAACTATCAACAATCATATCCGAAGAATCGCGCAGCACATTCCCTTCTGAACTATCCTCTGAAGTGTCTCAATCAACTATAACGGAAAGCACTAACCTGACGAGGAATTCGGCATTGTCTCGGAGAAGAAGCCAAAGACCTGGTCTCAAGAGAAGACTCACAAAGCACTCGGATTTAATATCGGTTCTATCGCTACCTGATGATGCTTCAGGACCTCCCAGAACTAGAAGTCGTCGCTCAGCACGTAGTGTAAGACGACCATCTACCCGTCTTGGCGGTGCCACTATAGATGGGCTCCTGCTAGAATTTGACGACGATGAGGATCTTTACATGCGAGAGCTCAAGACTCTCGTAGATGGAGTCATTCCAGTCCTCCTAACACAATTCGTAAACAACACCAGCAGGGCACGTCAAGATCTCTTTGGATCGCCCCCACAAAAATACAAGGAGGATACCCTAGACAATGCTGTTGTCAATATGGGTATTATCCTAGACAGCTTAAGGAACCACCATCGCCTATGTCCCCCACTCACTGATCTGCACAGGCTCATCGGATGGCTTGAGTCTGTTCACTCTATTTATAACAATTACCTTGATGTCTGGCGCCTTGGCTTCCAAGGCATCATTGTCAACCTAGCGCCGAAATCGTTTGACGATGGCGACTCTCTTATCAATGCAATGCCTCGCAACGAACAGGGCGACGTCCTTAATGAGGATGGAGAACGTATCGATGTGGCTCACCTGCTAAAGCGCCCTCTAGCCCGTATTAAATGGATAACCAAATTCATCAAGGTATGTCAAATTGCCCGATTCCATCCGCAAGATCATTGTGCTAACCAGATTAGGGCTACCAATCAATTTCAGGGAGCAAGGGGCTCGAGGCTCTTGTTGCGAAATGGGAGGTACTACAAGAGAAGGCGAAACGAAGACATAAGGAGGAAAATGCCAGAGTCGTGGACGAAGACGCGAAAAACAGCGACACATCTCGAACTCGAGATTTACGGACGTTAGAAGCTCTCGAGAATATCAAGGTCGACCGCTTCCGGCAAGTCTTCGCCAAGGATACCTTCGACTTAGACCTACGACATTCGAATGGACAACGGCTCGAGTGCCAAGTCGAACTCATAATTAGAGACAATCAAGTTTTCAAGTCCGACCCAGGAGATCTACTTATCAGGGAAACCGGCAATAGCGGACGTTCATGGCTACTATTTGCCCCCATTCTCGGGGGTCGATTTTCAGCCCGGACCGGAGACAACAAACATCAGTTAGTCGTCATGATCAGAGGCTCCAGGGATGAATGGTTCGAACTTCTGTCCTTGAAAACGGACAATAAAGAGCAAGTTCTGGATTGGCTAAACATGCTGGGACATGCTCCAATCCCGCCTGCGATCAAAGAGCCAACACCGTCGACATCGCAGCCAAAGGTTCCGTCACCAAAGTCCGCAGCTAATGAGATTCCCTTAGGCGAAAGCAAGCTAGGCCGGAAGCTTGTTCTCTCTCGATCATCCACGAAGCCCGCCGAAGATCATGTTGAACCAACCCCTCATAAACAAAGTCGTCCTACCACACCGACTTCCGCACACCAGAGCGAGGCTTCAACTCCGTCACCCGAGAGGACACCAACACGAGATACATATCTCAAAGCCGAACGTAGATCAGATGATACAGATGAGGATTACTTACATTCATTTGGTAATCACGATGATCTAGCATTTAAGAAATCACCTCCGAACAGCAAACCTTACCGCGACGATGGTGCGCCACCTCCCCCTGTCCACCGGAGTTTTAAATCCAAGAAAGCACCTGTGCTTTCTCCTCCAGTTGATCAGAATACCGCACGACTTAAGCGCCGGACCTCTTCTCCCTTAAAGCACGAATACCACCCATCAGATGTTTCCTCCGAAGGCTCCACGTCGCCAATATCCGGATCTGAGGATGAAGATTCGGTTTCTGACGAATCATCTGACGACGAACTAGAGGCCGTCGACATACCCGATACCACGCCTGCTATTAGTATTAAGAAAAACACCAACCCCTTTACTGAGTCAATCTACTCGGAAAGTACCACCAGCTTTTCTCCCTCAGTATCAGCATCTCAAGAGGACGTGTCTAAATCGGAAGTCAAGCAACCTGAATACGTCATTAAATCCGTCGCTTCTATTTCTTACTGGGATAATAAGCATGGACGTTGGCAAGATCTTTGGCCAGATCTGTGTTCTATCGTTACGACACCTGGTCTCATCGAGGCGTACCCTTATCGAAGAACGCACTCCTCTTCCGGCAGTCCCGGACAAGAGGACCCACCTCTAATCGCTCTTGATCTTACACCCTTAGTTATGCTTCGGAATAGTACAGTTGTCGACTTGGAGATACGATCTCCTGTCTTAAGCTATTCCAGGCTCCATGCGAAAGTAGTCAAATATGACACCTCGTTCTTTCGCTTCCGAGTCCAGTCCATCCCCGACTGCGAATCCCTTTATATGGCAGTTCACCGAGCCCGTATGGACAATGCAAAGTACAAGGCACTCGAGGAGGAAACCCGTGTTAGGGCTTTTGGACAATACCAAAATCAAGAGGAAGAGGGTGACGGAAACGGCAGCCGCCGAAGCTGGTTCGGCCGGAAGAATAGCTACCGCGCCTCAGCACGCGCCCCATCGCAGTCAGCCGGCAGCACGTCCCAGTCTTCGGGAGTCTCAGCCTCATCATTCTTGCGAAAACTGATGGGCGGTGGCAATCAGTCTTTCGATATTGCCATGTCCTCTGTGGACAGGCAAAACCGTTTCGGAAGTAGAGACGCGTCTCTCTATACCACATCGTCGTCAGGCACACCTCCACGCTCGCCTTCGGTCAGTGCGGCGAATAGTGGCAGCTCTAAAATGAGCCTCACGACAAACAATCTTAAAGTTCGACTCCATCTGTTAATATCTGCCAGCAAGTGGGAGGACCACGGCAACTGCTTCCTTGAAGTGACAAGACCTGACCGAGGCACTAGGCAGAACCTAAGGAAATACCAAGGAATGGAGAAGCGAATCATAGTTACGACGATCCCTAAGAAGGACGCAGACAAACCGGTAGTGGTCCTGGATGTCGTATTGGGCAGCCAATGCTTTAGCCAACTAGGAAGCAGAGGTGTCCTAATCAACGTATGGGAAGAAGTGAAGGATGAGAGTGGACAGACAGGAGTCGCGCCTCAGGGAGGAGGCAGCGGTGGCAACGTACGCAAATGGTGTTTCCAATGTTCATCGGTTGCCCAGGCGAGGTGGATTTTCGGACTCGTTACGCAAGAGGTTGTAATTGGTTGATTATTGGTAGATACCCCTTTTTCCATTTGGCGAGACTTGCACGCCAGCTATTCCCCGACGTCTTTTTCTTAAAAGCTCAGTTTACACATACACTCTACTATTCGGTGAATACCAACACAAGTTTCTCCCCAATTTTCTTTACATCACGAGGATTCAGGCGAGGCGTCGGACACACTGCATTAGATGTCTGGGGGGCAGACATAAGGTTGGACGGAGCATAGATGGGAGGAACGAATGATGGCCATATTATGGTTGGTTGGCGGGTCTGCTGCATTTGCACTCTATTGCTTTATTACCCTCTCCCTTATCGCATCTTTTCTTCTTCCGTTGCTGTATACAACATGTAGCCGCTGTACACAGCACCATACCCAAAGATACCTAATGAACAAAAACTTCGATTTACATTCTTGCTCTTCCGCTTTTGATAAGTGCCGTGTCTCTCTCAGCCGTGTCGTTCGTTATCAGCTTTGTTCGTATTTGGGGGAGGGGAGCGCGAGGATCGTGAATTGATGGGTTTTAGGTTTGTCGATTTAATACCACTGTAACACACCAACTTAGCAAACATTATCCATACAAACCTGAGCTCCTCGCACAGCTCAAAGGAAATCAAGCTTAAGGGGAAACAAAGGATAGGTAAAAAAAAAACATACCACAACACCCTCCTCCGGCCCGCTGAGCTTCTCCCCGCGCACCAACTTTCCCACGGTCGAGCGTATGCGACGCATCAGCTGCTCTCCGTACTCGCGGGCCGGCGGCTGCGGCGTAGGCACGCTCGTGTCGTTGCGCAGGATCACCGGGGCCGCGCTCGCCGGCAGCCCGACGCTCTCGATCGCGGCTTTCACTAACGCTACGTCGTCTGCGTCCCACGCTGCGCCCATTATCACGGCTTTGGGCAATGTCGCGTACAGGCCTGAGCCGATGTAGCTGCTTTGCGTTGGGGGCGCGAGACCCCGGAGGACTGGGGTTTGGAGGTGAGTGTTAGTTTGACTTTGGGGGGAGGGGGGACGGCTGGGTGCATATGCGGGATGGATGTAGGAACCCGTGTGTGGCGGTGGTGGTGGTGGTTAGGACTCACGATAGGGCACCTCGGCGGCTGTGGGTTGACTGCCTTGGCAGAATAGGATCACTGCAAACTCCGGATTAGGTCGTGTGTTTTTGAAAAGAGTAATTATTTTCGGTCGCGGATAGACGAGGTGGCTTGATTCGCAAATCGGTCCCCCGCAGGATTCCTCGAGCTGGGAAAGAAATCTCACGTTCACTTACCGTCGATCTCCGGTTTTAATCCTTCTACGACCTGCCGCCCGACGACTTCGGCTTTGCCGCAGAGGACTACTGGAATCGGTGTTGATGATATGTCGTCCATGATGGCTTAGAGATTTAGGTATGTAGGTATGTATTGTATGCTGAAGGTGTTTATTGGGGCGATAGGATGTCGATCGGTTCCAAGTTGTATACGAAGGGATTCTAGATGGAAACACCTTCCGCACCCATCAATATATTAATTCCCAGGGCGGCACCTGCGGGTCATCTTCCTGTGACTGGGGGGTTCTTTCGCTTCGGGATGGGCTGATGCATTAGATCTATCGTGGTACAGTGAAACTGCTTACAGCGTACACTCGCAGACTCGTCGGTCCCGAGCACCGTTAAACAATATCCAGGTCAGCTAGGTCCCCGTTCGCATGACGAGCACGATAGTGATTGGTAGACCCGCCGGACTTTGGGTTGCAGATCCCTCCGAATTTGTGCTTTCAGGGATTGTACAAAAAGTCTCGCAACATTCCCAGATTAGGCGCCTACAAGCATCATCGATTGGCCCCGCGAGTTGGAGATCTTCCCGCTGTGGAGCAAGGATTATCGCCGCTGGGGGGACTGCTGGACTACCGGTCAAGCTTTACATATCGGTCACGGTGTCATTATATCAGCCACCCATCTTGAATCTTCTCAAAACACCCGAGTCAAGACACGCGTTGTATGGCTACACTGCATGTTTCGGTCCGTTAGGACTCACATCTAACACCGGCTTTCCTTATATGTTTAACCCGGGCTGCTTGCGTTCGTCCGTCTTTCGTCCGAATAACATAAAAAGACCTGCGCATGCTCCAACATCTCCAGCCCCTTACGCCAGTTATCGAGTAAAAAAAATAAAAAGAGGAATAAAAAAGCAACCACTAGGCGATATCGAACATCGGTGAACGATTGATTACGTCACGAAATCATCAGCCATTCCTTTTATGAATCAATAATTAGAAAATCGAGATTTCGAATTCGGGTGGCGTGGGTTCGAAGGGAAATTCGGAAATGGAACCAGGAATATCGGGACGCGTCATAAGTCCTAGCCTTCGCCATTATACGCGCACAAGACCCGTCCCCCGCCGCACGTCGCCGAGCTTATATATAAGTATATATGTCCTCGTACGACGTTTCGCCCGTTTTAGCGATAGCATCGGCGAAGCTGACTGCGGGATGTCAAATTATCGTCAATGTCTAAGATAACCCCTGTATTGCCTACGCGCCGGTCAAAGATACCGATATTCATATTCCATTCGTCTTGTTTATTGCATAGAGATCTTCAGAATAATGAAGTTGGTTTCTTTTTAAAGAGTTGGCTTCCTGTGTCACCTAACTTGGAAATAGTGAGGGTAGAGGAAGATGTCTAACCTGAAGGGTTCACCGATCTCAAAGCTACTTCATCTTCCCTAAATTCGTTCTCGCGCCCGCCCGAAATCGAGTCACTCTTCGCATACATTCGTCTCAGGTAAGTGTTGATAGAGTATACGGAAGATGTATTCTAATGACTTAATGTTGGCACAGACCGAGCACCCCCTCAGATTCATCGGCGAAGAGGAGCATCATTGAAATTGGTCGACACAATGCAAATGCCCCTTTATCTCTCTACACACTACCTTTCTACCTATTGCATACATACATAAGTACTTTGGAGTCATGAAGCCCAATCTTCACGTGAATATAGGTACCCAATCATCATTCCGTGTTGGGTGCTAACGCTGACTAGGTAGCCTCCCTAAATCCTGCACTCACGGTATGTATGTAGGTTATAGAACAATGTGTTTACCTGCATCATCTGTTCGTGATTCATGGTCAACCATTGATTTGTCTGGCCAGATCTAGCTTTTCTGGCTAATGTCTCTACGCTCATACTCTATATATGTCTCTACTATTGGCACCCATACCTTCCCGAAGAAGTACGATGGTCTTCTCAGGATTCTGAGTAGCGGATGAGAGCTACATGGATTCAGTATTACGTTATCTTGATTGTATGTTTTGATCACCTTTGACTTTATATACTTACTTCGCTACAACCGCTACCAATCCGCCTCCAGCTATTGCGAAATACCTAATAGCTTACCTAGGAAACCAAGGTATCCAATATTTCTATAAGTTTCGTGTTATCAAACTCGAAGAAAAACAACTCGCAGGCCTTATCGTAAATTTAAACAATTTCAGGTGTCATACTTGCAACGGCTATTTCACGACCTTCCGAGGATCTGCATCTCTGGTGTTATAGGTAGAGATCTAGTCTCTTCGGATCATTGATCTAGTGGCAGTCTACCTAGGTACCTAGGTAAGTATCTAATCACTTATGGCTCACTCTTCAGCTCTAAATATCGTTATTACCTATATAAATATTCGCTTCACTACTGCTGCTTCACTCTCCCTCGATTACGCTAGAATCCTATGTATCGTTTATAAAGAGGTAAACGTCGGGGCAAATAAATATACAGATGACTGTTCGGAGGAGGCACGCGGATTATCTACCATGCTTTCCAAGCCGAAAGATCTCGATCGGTTCCAAAGAGGTAGGGACTTTGTGAATACGATTCTCATAATCTACTTACTTAGGTACCTAGGAACTAGTAGGTAAAATATCTTGGAATGTCAGCAAGATTCTAAATACTTTTGAAGACTCTGGGATAAGAAGTTAAGTTTCTTGACGTCGCAGTTCCTATTTTGTCTCGTTATTACTAGAGTAAAAGTCAACCCTATTAAAGATTCTTCTAGCGAAACAAGCTGTACCTCACGCAGACCCCTATACATCACTTCTATTGAGGTCAACAACAAATACCACGGCGGAACCGTCATTATGAGTACCTCAGCAAGGTCCAAGGTTTACAACTGAATATTATGGCTTCCTAGATATGAGCAAACCACCCGCTATGCATACTATGTACCTACCTACCTAGGTATGTACCTAGTAGGTATATGTCAAGGTGATTATAATCGCTTCACTTACTACAACTTATTGAGATTACTAATTAGTCCTGCGCTACGTGTCATAGCTTCGATGTAGGTTAGTAATATTTGAAGTCGCTGTAATCCTATCAAGACCCCTTATTTGCAAGGATTATTGTAGTTAGTGTTCTAATATTCGCTGTCAAGGCAAGAGGTCCACAGTTTTTAACCGTTCGTGTAAATGTCATGATTATCATATGATATCTTATACAGTTTTTTGTAAGCTGATCCTGTACCTAGCTAGTATTACGGTAGGTAGGTACGGAAACATCATTTGTCAGCATGTTTTTATTCTTCCTGTCCTATGCCTCTACTAGGTATATTTATGCTTACATAATACTTGAAGGCGCTTTAGGTACTACCTAGCAGTAGTGTTGCTTGTCATCTGCTGTGTGACTTGATCTATCACATACCTAGGTACTTACACACCCGTAAATAGGGTAGTAATTATAGAGGCTACAAGGGTCTGAGAGTACCTGCTTGCCTGGACCCGTCATCCTGTTCTATATAAGGAGCGTATAAATTGTTCGCGGAGTCATTGGCTTACATGTGGGGCACTTATGGCATTGCTTCTCCGCATCTGAGGCTAGGAAATGCGAAAGTTGATGAGCAGAAATGTATTCACAACCAGCTTCACCGCTATATGCGCAGAGCTAGCCCATATCATTAATAGAGTGTGTTGATTGTCGAAAGAGCTATAACGATAATCATCAACCTGGCTGGTTCAGCAAAGAATAATCATCGCAGAATCCCTTCCCTCATTGCATAGAAGGCTGAAAAATGGCATCGAAGACGGAGTCATCTCTTGAAAAACTACCGGCAATCCCAGCAGAGGTGTCAACTCAATGGCTGGAGTCGAAGCTTGGCCATAAGATCAAGTCAGCCTCGTTGACACGGTCCATATTCGGCACAGGTAGCAAACTATTCTTCACTATCGAGTATGCAGTGGAAATAGCTGATGTGAATTCGCGGCCGACGAATATCTGCGTGAAGGGCGTGTTCGACCCTGCAATGGTAGAATCTCAGCCGTGGACTCTGAGCCTGGCACAGCGTGAGGCCAACTTCTTTGCGAAGATCGCGCCAAGTATCAAGCACATGGGTTACCCAAGAGGTTGGTGGGGTGGAACGAGCGATAGCCAGGGAATTGCTATTATGTCCGATCTGACGCATGAAGGCTGCACCTTTCCGTCCGAGGCTGCCTCTTATCCGGTCGAGAAGGCGCTGGATGGCGCCGCCCAGATAGCCGGTCTGCATGCCCAATTCTGGGGCAAGAGCCAGGACGATTACCCTTGTATGGAGAATTCCAAGCGACACGTGCACGGGATAGCTAATGAGCGTAATAGGGATATCGAACGACTACGACGTGGCTATGAAGTTCATCGCCTCTCCGTGGGATAGCGTCGTGCGAGAACCTGGACGGCCTAAGCTACCCGAATACCTGATGGACGGGGCGCGCGTTAAACGGGCACAGGACAAATACTATGCCCAACGCAACCCCAGGTTTCGAACGCTACTACACGGCGATACGCACCTCGGCAATGTGTACTTTACGTCTGAAGGGCATACACGGTTCCTGGACTGGTCGGCCTTCCACTTCGCGTCGTGCTTTCACGATCTTGTCTATTTTGTGTCTACTACTTTGACTGTAGAGGATCGTCGCGCTCACGAAATGGACGTATTGGACCACTACTTGGCAACTCTTCACCGTCTGGGAGGCCCCAAGTTCGACCGCGACGACGAGGAACTTATGATAGAGTATAAAAGGTCGTACATGACGAACATTATCTGGCCAGTCTGTGGATATGACTTGCAGACTAAGGAGAGGGTAGACGCTTTCACGGAGCGTACTATCGCCGCTTGGGTTGACCACAAAGTCATCGAAGTCATCGAGGCTCAATAGTAGCTATCCAGGCTTGGAAAACGGATTGTCCAATATACCTAACACTTAGGTAGGTAGGTAGTTTCCGGGCAATGATATGTGGATGAATTTAATAATTTAATCATCACTGATTGATATTTGGCTAGGATCTATACCTACCAAGTCTACCTATTCCTATAAGTTCGCATTAATTAGATGTCCCGAAGCCATACTTTCTACTCAGGGAAAATCTTAGAAAAAGGCATTTTAAAATTGTGTCTGTCGCATCACCCCTTCTTTTCTCTTTAGCTGAAGGAACTGTCTCTGACAGTGTTCGAATTTGCTTCTTGTAAACTACCGTGAATGTAGGTATCCTCGGGTCCCAGTATACGACACATGAAAGTTTCTTTCAGGGAATTCTATTTTGAAAGCCTTTACGTGTCTGCGTGTGTGTGTGTGTGTGTCACGAAGGGTGATCTTAAAACAAGGAATGATCTTGAAGGCCTCGACGGCGTGTGGATGTTTGCAGAGAAGAGAATCGACAATAAGACGAAAGGTTTATGTAAAACTCAATACCTATACCTACCTAGGTACATATATTACCTAGTGGGTACCAGGTAAATAGTGGGACTGGATAGGTATCTAGGTACATGTCTTTGTATACATATTTATCTACTAGGTACATATAACTTTCATGAAGGTGGTCTATGCGTAACCTTGGAAGTTGGAAATGAGTGAACCACTGGCCATTGTTCCCCAGTCAGCCAGCGACGCGTCCCATCGTCATTAACCCTGTTCCGGTACGAAATACCTAGGCGCTTCCCTACCAGCACCCGCGCCGCTGCGACCGTCTTTCCCTAAAATGTTTCTTCCACTCAATCTCAATTCTAATTTCTTAATTCTTCACTCAATTTTTGAACTCGTCGCATAGAATTACCTATTCCCCTTCCTTTTTACCTTGCCGAAGCTACGAAGGTATTTACTAGTAATTCATCGAAACACTTCGTACAGCTGAACTTTTCTCTTTCAACCAAGAATCCTTTCCACTTTATTATCTTCATTTACCGACACCGACTCAACCCCGTAATTTAGTCGCGTCGCGCATCGCATCACTCACGATGTCTGACTACGCTTCTCTAAAGGTCCCGGAGCTCAAGAAACTTCTCCAGGAAAAGTCTCTCCCCGTTACCGGTAATAAAGCCGACCTGATCGCGCGTCTACAGGAACACGATAAACCTAAAGGTGATTGATATTCTCTATCCTAATTCTTCTACTTGTGTCTTGTACTAATATTGATAGCCGAACCTGCTCAAGAAAATGAAGATGAGATTGACTACAGCGACGACGATGTGCCTGCTGCAACAAAGCCCACAGAATCTGCCAAAGCCGTTGAACCCACTCCGGTGCCAGTTGAGGGGAAGCCTTCGGAATCTAGCACCATTGAAGCCGCCAAGGAATCAGTCGATGCTGCCACACTAGTAGATAAGCCTACCGAGACCGAAGTCGCATCGGAAGAGACAGCAAATCCCGAGATCCTCAAGGCTGACTTTTCCGCACACCTTCCAGCCTCCGATGCCGATGAAGAGGCACGCAAGCGTGCCGAGCGAGCTAAGCGATTCGGTATTGTCGAGGACGAGGAAGATAAGAAGAAGACCGCACGAACCGAGCGTTTTGGCGTAGACTCGTCATCCCTAGCTAAGGGACTTGATTCTGCCTTACCTGAGAAGAGAGCGCCAAAGCGAGGAAGGGAAGGGGGCAATGGCAACGCCAACGCGAACATCGAGGGCGAACGAGGAGCAAAGCGCCAAAACCCTGGTGGTCGCCATCGAGGCAAGGGTCGTTTCCGCCATGGCGGAGGCGGAAGCGGAAGACAAGGTGGTCCTCCCAGAAAGGAGGGCAATTCTACCGCTCCACGGGGCAGGTCTGGAATCATGAATGATCCAACCGAAAAAGCAAAGGCAGAAGCACGAGCGAAGCGATTTGGCGGTGGTTCTTGAATAAAGACGAACGAGGTTAGACCGACGTGCTTTATCGAATCCAACAAATCGAGGCCAAGGCACGGGCGAGACGATTGAGATGGACATTCGTGAAGAAGATTCATGTTTTACCGCGATCTCTTATCACTGCGAATCGAAATGCCGGGTGGTTCTTCAAATCCGGAGAGGGATCCTGCATTAATGCTATTCGCGATAAGGATCCCTGGCGCTCTCTGTACTCTAGTTCGTCCATTCTATTAAGCCACGACGCATGCCTTGATCATGCTCTTCTCACTCTGGACGGGTGGCTGGCATCATCATGAATGATAATATTGGTTTACCAGACTATCGAATGAAGCGATGAAAGTGAACGAATATATCCAGAATATGGGTTGAATCGGTCGAAGTGCTGGCGGTCGTGTTGAGAATACATCTCACCCTCTTGGACGTAGCCTAATTCCGAAGGACCCTAATGGGGTAATCAGAACTAGGTAATTGATATAGGTCGCCTTTCCGCCAACCCAATCAAACATAGGAAAAGCATTCGAAGAAGCGCAATCTTCGTTATCACTACACATGTCAGATATACTGCATCATAATTTGGTTTAGCGAAATCAACGTTCAACCTAGTACATAGTAAACACTCCTATAATCAGAGCCACTATATCCGGTCTAGATTCGCGACAGCTCTCGTACAATAACAGACGCTTGTCCCTGAGATAAATACCGGATGGTAAGGGGAGAGTCCAAGCGTTCCCCAGAGTTGGAGTGTCTTTGTTTAATATCCATCCCTATTTCCCCCCGGCGGTGCAGTCATCACTCACTACCTTAACTCTACAGGTCAGCCAGGTTTAAGTTGTGAAGGCGGAGAATATACCTAGTATACATACGAAGTCTCGGGGAGCTAGACTTAATCGTTACACGGATTATTTATTCCCTGGACGAAAGAGTAATACAAATACTGATGACGAATCGGGGGAGGCGCGATATCACCATGTCTAAGTCCAAGGTCCTTGACAAAAACCGAGCCTGCCCCCCCCTCTTCAGGAACTAGGTATTGTCTCTCACTCTTATCGTCTTCTACGAGGGTCCTGTCTTTTGGGGGGGGGATCTTGCCATTCATTTCCGCAGAAAGACGAAATAATCTCTTTGTATGAAACGGATCAAGTTTAGGCCAGATCGATAATCCAGACCCATGCCGGTTTCAGGCTGCTTTGTCCTCTGAATTGTTTCCGCAACCGACCTATTAATTCTTGGCATCTTATATATTATCCAATTCCACGTTGGCTCCGTTTGTCTACTTAGTGCATCACTTGGCCTTGCTTGCAACTCAGAGATCAAATCAATACCCACCCCGCGCTCAAGATCGATCAGACCCAATAATGACTGAAGATCAGCGAACCCGTGCCCAAAAACTGCCAGCTTGGTCAGTACGACAAACAACAGTTTTTCCAGAGGATTCTCGCTTCGTAAACGTTCTACTTTACCTCCAAAATGTTCCCGTGGAGAATGTTGGACCGATAGCAAATTCTCAACCTCTTAGTCAATATTTATATGGTAATGTAACTAATATCGGATTTGATTATGACGTTAATCCTGGCGGTCCGTACACCGTTCGTCCAATTGCGGGGAACCCCGGTGGGGGGCGGTTGCTAAGGGAAATTGATCATTACATTGACTACGTCAATTTGATCAGAGATAAATATACGACGGCCTTTGGAGAAGACTTCCTAACAGATAGACACCTCGGCGATGCCACTGATCTGGCCATTCATTGGTCTCAAGGTCTCCTCACAAACCGTTTCCGAGAACATATAAACATTACGCGTAGGAATTTCAACTTACAGGCATCTGATGCCTTGTATTTATATCAAGACCATGCCCTCCGCCAGTCAAACGACAGAGTTCACCAGATCGCACTGGTGGACGATACACTCTGGGTAGAATTTCCGCATGTAGATACGAATGAGGAGATACTCAGGGATACCCAGGACTTTGCGGCGGCACAATTTGAAACTATATATGGCCTGACGGTCTCTGAAGCTAAGGCAATAAGTAAGTGAAAGATATCCTTCATCCAACTAATCTTGACATAATGTCGTGCATAATTAACGAAATGTAGTCTATTACACGGGTCACACCTTTGAACCTCCTGATCCTCGAGCAGGTACACGAACGCCAATAGGTAACGCTTTTAGTTGGGCCTATGAGATAATTACAGAATTCGTGCTGTGGAAGATGTCTGTCGCCGGCATATGGCTGCGTCTGGGTCAGAGAAGAGGCCGCGATTGGATACGCCAAGGCTTCGGCGTACTCGAAGTCGCTTACCATCAGTTTCTCGACGACGTTCTCGGACTCGCCTACCGGGTACACCAAGACGAATCGATACCACCTAACTTGCAACGATTAAGACAGTCCGGGAATCTTCTCCTTGCTTACGTTGACCTGTTACAATGGAACCTGGTTCCAGCCGAGGGTTGGCGCGTTGCAACTGATGTCATGAAGCAATTTTCGCAAAACAACTTTCCACAATCGATACCCAACTTAATGAGCGCTGCTGCGCAGGTTGTGATCCCCCCTGGAGCAGTAATACTGCGCCCGTTTGAAATTATATATCCTAGGAATCGTATCGCGTTCAACAGCCGCAACTACACGCTTCGGGAGCCTCTTCCAACCATAACAATTCCCGTAAATTATAATGGGGAAAGAATCTTCCCCCAAGAGTGGGATATGGACGCTACATTTAATATAATGAGATATTCAAAAGATCCAAAAGATCCAAAAAATCCAAAAAATACACCAAATCCAAAAAATCCAAAAAATCCAAAAAATCCAAAAAATCCAAAAAATCCAAAAAATCCAAATGATCCAAATGATCCAAAAAATCCACCTCAAGCAGGTTCAGCCCGGACCATACGACTTCAAGGGGGTTCGCTGTTTTCCGAGGATGACTCTGACGAAGAGGAAATATCTCAATTCTTTGGTGTCGACTCCGAATCCGAGCTAGACGACCTATACGAAAACATAGTGGAAAACTCCCGCAATGGCCGCAAACATGTTTCTTTTGCGTCTGAAGAACTTCGCGGGGATGCGTCACCACCGGCTAGGCTCGCATCCGGTCACTCTTTGAAGCGAAAAGCTAGCCACAATGCTTTGATTCCCGAAGCGGCCAAGAAATGGAAAAATTGGGCAGGATAGGAGGTTTCTCAAGATCAGTAGGGGGTATCGTCCAATATAGGATGTGGTTGGCTGAAAAGGGGGTTGGTATACACGTAGTTGTCTATTAGGTATTCGATTTATCGGAATTTAATTGTCATATTTCAACTTTCAGGCACGAAAATATGAGCAGCTTTTTTACCCCATTACCCTACTTAGGTACAATCTACCGTTAAAGAGCGGTCTATGAGATTTCCATTTAGCGATACTAAATTTGAAAAGTGGAAATACTATAACCAGTCAGATTTTATATCAATCGTGGGGCGTTAAGAAAAAAAAAATTTTTTAAAAAAAGACGAAATTCTCCAAAAGATATGAGTGCTACATTGTAAAGTCTTACCTAGTAGGTATTCAAATGATAACTAGGTAGCTAGTAGATATATCCTAGTTTCGCGATGCCTGCCGATTTCGAGAAGCAGAGCTACTGGCGCGAGCGCTTCAAATCCGAGACGTCCTTCGAGTGGCTGGCCTCGTCCGAATCTTTCATGACTCTCATAGCACCTCACCTCTCCGAAATCTCCCGCCGCGAAACTCAACCGAAGATCCTTCATCTAGGCTCCGGCACAAGCGATTTGCAGAACCATTTCCGCGCGAATGGGTACCTGGACGTCACGAACGTCGACTACGAGCCGCTTGCTATCGAGCGTGGACGTCAGCTAGAAGAAGCCACCTTCGGTGAGGTGAGATTAAAGTACGTTGTCGCCGACGTGACGCAGCTAGGGAGCGGCCTACGGTCGGACCAAAGATTCGATATCGTCATTGACAAGAGTACCGTCGATGCCGTCTCCTGCGGCGGGACGACGACGATCTTACGGATGGCCTCCGGGATTAGGAAATATCTTGCCGAGGGGGGTATTTGGATTTCTCTTAGCTATTCGTCGACCCGTTTCGATGTCGAGGACCTACCGTTTGACGTTGAGGTCATAGCTAAGATCCTAACTCCTAAATTGAAGGAGAGCGAGCCCGAGGTTTACCACCATTGCTATCTTCTTAGGCCTAAATGACTGGGGTCCGGTAAAAGTAAGGAAATGAGCTTGATTTGCCCTGCTTATGCTAAACATCTTGACTACTATTATCTAGGAGCGTGACACGTACTGTGCGTCGAAGTTGTAGAGAATGAGAATACTGAGAAATATCCATAATGCGGGGGAACTAAATGGGTACCTACTAAATGGATTGTACCCAGGCTGCTAGGCTGTTAGGTAACTGGAACAGCTGGAGGTCGGAGCTTTCTCAGGCACCTGTTTTAGTTGACAGGGTTGACAGGGTTGTGCGTGGTATTATACGACCCCACTATAATCGTTCATAACTGGGGTGCTGCTGGTGTAAATATTAGGCAATGACCTCATCCTACTGCCAATCGAATGCTCAAACGCGCCTGACATCCAATGCATTTTGCATGGTGATGCAAGTGCAATCATGTTTTCTCGTCCTTTGTGTATCGTTGTATTACTTGGCCAGCATCATTAGGTCTTATTAGGTCTTAGTAGGTCTCACAATTTCATCTTTTTTTCCTTCCTGCGTATCTTAATAACATTGACATTGACAATTCCCACTCCTCAACAATCACTATTGCCTACCTATTCTCTATATGTATATTTTTTTCTCATAGATTTCAATACCATTATTTGAGATTCGTTTACCGTACAGAACGAATCAAATGCATGTAAATTAAGACACTATGGCAAACCAGGCCGATTTCGACCAAGATGTGGCCGGAAGAGAATATGGCAACCCCCATAACGCCCAGCATCCGATACCTACCGTGCAAGGATATCGACAGCATAGAAAGGAACTCGCCGGTCAGCTAGAGAGTGAGGAACAGGCGCAACAAGGACCAGAGGATGTTTCGAAACCCAAGCGAGCATTCGACTCCGCCAAAGCAGCCATCAAGGGTGAAGATATTCCAAAGTCTCGACACGATCCATACCCTTCTACGAATCGCAATTATGCCAACAATCCACAATACAAATCTGAAGAGGGTGCGCAGAGCGACGCTGAAATATCTACATCTGAGAGGATAGAAGATGAGGAGCAAAAAGGATCAGATAAATATGACAACAAGAAGGGTGAACAGGAGAAATCTGCGACAGAGGCCGTCGCAAGCGCTGTCGACCCAAAAGAAAAACGCAAGGCAATGAAGAAGACCAAAAGACACGGAGAAGGGCGTGAAGTTACAGATCCGGTAACCCACCTACCGATTATCATACACGATCAGACTGAGAAGGACCTCGACTCGATACCTCAAAACCTGCCAGAACCAGGTGTACATCACGATAGTGCTACTGGGCCGCAAGGCGCTTCGAAGTCGGATGGAGAACTGAGGTCAGAGCGTGTGGAACTACAGCGAACATACAATGGCATGCAAAGGGTATTCCCCCCGCCAGATTTTGAACACACAAAACAGGAGCTAGCTGTTGTCTACCAACGAACTGTATATGCCGGCTTAGCTGCCATCGGCTCTTTAGCAGCTGTCTTATTACCCGCTCCAGCGATTCTCTATAACCCGAGCCGATCCGTTCTACTTAATACAAGTATATTTGTTCTCCTGGGAGCAGCAACCGTTGTTGGCATGGGAAAGTGGATAAGTAAGAAAACTAGTGAAGTATTTGAAGACGAGACTTGGGATGCAGCAAGGCGGGAGGAAGAGGCTATTTTGAGGAACGATGAGGAATTACCAGAATCGACGCAATGGCTGAACAGTCTGTTCTCATCCATCTGGCCGCTCGTCAATCCTGATCTCTTCGCTTCTCTAGTAGATCAGATCGAGGATATTATGCAGGCGTCTCTGCCCAAAGTTATCAAAATGGTCAGCGTCGACGATATGGGGCAAGGCAGTGAGTCTATTCGCATACTGGGGGTTCGGTGGCTACCAACTGGTGCTGCTAGTCAAACTGTGAGCTCTGACGGACAACTTCATGGGGAGAATAACGGCTCCGGAAGCGACCGAACAGATCCACAGAATCCGCAAGGGGGTGCCGATAGCCAAGAAAGCCATGTGGAGGAAACTCCAGAGAGTGATGGTGCGAAGTGTAAGGATCCGAAGCAAGAGGAGCAGGAACAAGTAGCTGTGAAAGAGGGGATGGAAGCCGAAGAAGGTGACTTTGTGAATATGGAACTTGCGCTGGCCTATCGGGGTCGCACATCTGGGGATTCATTGAAAGCGAAGGCTAAGAACGCCCATCTTTACCTGAAATTTTACCTTCCTGGAGGGGTAGCGGTCCCCGTCTGGGTTGAGCTTAGGGGCCTTATCATGACTGTACGGCTCCGTCTTCAGCTGACGCCAGACCCTCCCTTTATTTCACTATGCACCTTGACATTCCTTGGTCAGCCCAAGGCTAGCATTTCATGTATTCCTCTTTCGAAGCGCATGTCGAGTCTCACTGACATGCCACTGATATCTTCATTCGTCAATTCTGCCGTCGATGCTGCCCTCGCCGAATACGTGGCTCCGAAGAGCCTAACCCTTAATCTAAAGGATATGCTAGTAGGAGAAGATTTTAAGAAGGATACAACTAGCTTAGGCGTTGTATGGGTTTTCATCAAGCAGGCTCGCGGCTTCAAGCAAGGCGACGGTGGGATCGGCCCCATAGAAGGCTCAAGCGATTCGTACGTTACTGTAGCCTGGGGTAAATTCGGTAAACCAGTTGCTTCGACTCGCATTGTTGCGAAGGATAACGAGCCAAATTGGCACGAGTGGGCAACCATTCTGGTAACCCCGGAAGAGGTGAACGCCGAGGAAAAGTTAAGATTACAACTCTGGGATTCAGACAAATGGTCCGCAGATGATGATCTAGGTCGTGTGGAAGTAGACTTGAGAAGTCTTATGAAAAGCCCAAACAAGATACATGATCGCGAAGACCGCTTTACCGGCCAGGACGCCGACGAGACAATGCCAGGATCAATAGTATGGTCTGTCGGATACTTCTCGAAAATGAGAATCACATCGAAGGAACTCGAACAGCAAACCGTTAACGAAGAAATTAGAACCCTTGATCAACTCAAACGGCATGTCTCCGAAGTATCTGAGCACAAACTCAGAGAAGCGGGCAAGGCTTCGGACGATGAAGAATTGAGACAACAGAAAGCTCAGGATTATAGGGAATTTGAAGAGTCTATGATCATTTCGGCCCCACCATCAACCGACTTGATCTCAGGCATTCTCAGCGTACAGATACACAATATTACCGGCCTCGAAGTACAGAAGCTTCAGAAGAACGACAAAGGAGACGGCGGTGACGACGAGGACGAGACAGAGCAAAATGACGACATGCCCGACAGCTATTGCACCATTATATTAAATCACAAGAAGATATACAAAACGCGGACGAAACCAAAGAATTCGAAGCCATTCTTCAATGCCGGAACAGAGCGGTTTGTTCGCGATTGGAGAGACACCGAGGTCATCGTGAGCGTCCGGGATTCACGAGAGCGGGAAGACGACCCGTTAATAGGAATCGTTTACCTTCCACTAGCGAAGATTTTCGCGAAGAAGAGTCAGATAATGGAGAATTTCCCTTGTAAGTGTATCCTAGTCTAATTGTTTCGAGTCGAGTGGAATCCTAAACCGAGCTACTGATTATTATCTATAATCCTACGTTACGTTGTGACAGACAGTTGCTAATCTTAATAGTGGTTGGTGGCATTGGTTTTGGACGAGTCCGCATTAGCATGGTTTGGCGTAGCGTGGAAATCAAACTTCCTCCAAATCTCCGCGGGTGGGACTACGGAACCTTAGAGATTCGCGGGCCTATCAAGGCGAAAGACGGCTTGCCGAAGTCTCTGACAGGGCATCGGATTAAGATACGAACCAATCTGGGACATGCTAAGATGTATCCCGAAGGCGATCAGTGGGTCTGTAAGAGCAGGAAGGAAAACGAGGCTGTGTTTTTGGCCGTCCGTAAGCGATATGCTTCAGCCATGATTATCGAATTCCGAGAATCCATTCTTGGACACGATAAAACTGCTGCCTTCGCAGTTTTGTGGCTTCATGATGTCGTCGATGAAGAAAACGATACAAGGTCCCTGAATGTGTGGGGAGGATCAAAGGATGGACTCGAAAAGGCTCGATCCTGCTGTGACTATAATGGCTTAGGAGAGGATGAGGAGCCCCTAGGCGAGGTCGAGGTTGATCTAAAGTTCTGGCGCGGCCTCTCTGGATATCACAAGAGCTATGCATCCCAGGCTAAGAATACTGACCTGAGAGACGTCATGGAATGTTTAGATACAATTACTGACGAGCAACTCGATGACAATGAAAGCGAATCTGGGAATGAGGCTGATATGGCAAGCGACAATGACTCGGAGGACTCGGAGACTCGCAAGAAACTTCGCGTTCATACTAATGACGACTCGTCGCGCTCTAGCTCGGACGATGAGGACGACGCCCAAGGATCGCCGATCTCGTCTAAGTTATCCTTGCGAGACTTCAAGAAGGTCAAGAATATTTTCCACAGCCCTGTCGGCGGATCAGCTGAAGTAGCGACTGCAGTAGTAGCGCCCGGCCATAATGATCCTGATGATGGATCACGAGGTGTACGGAACCAACTGCGCGACTACAAGGACCACCATAGACAACTGCATCGCAAACATCGAGGTATTATGCAGTTTCGGCCCGCAAGAGAAGCTAGCCATTTCGGCGGCAAGCTAAGTAGACTAAAGGGGAACATTAGTGGAATGTTCCACCACGATGAGAAAGAGGCTGGCGTCGAGACGGAAGTCTAAGGATGACATAGTCTTGGGATGGTATTTGGGACGGATGGTGGCCCAGGAAATGAATGGATGAGTGAATAAGGCTATCAGAATACCTCATAAGTGTTGATGAATCATAATGACTTGATGAGTATATGTTGTAGGATGTTACTCTGTTGGTTATGAGAGACAGGGAGTAAACTTATGTGATCGATAGTTTGAAGGGTCCTTTTTTACCTAGGGCCAAGACAGTAGAGGGACAATAACTTGCGAAGTCAACAGCACACACCACCACACTACCACATAATGCAGCCCTTATGGTAACACAGAGTCTTACATGCCTACCCCTAGTACTGGGAATAAGCTGCCTTGGGTAAACCTAACTAACCTGGACCTCGGAATGTCTCTGTAATGATTCGATTGGTTAAGCTCTGTATTGAACATACCATATTATATCTATATTTAAATAGTCAAAAAACCAGGCTAGTACAAAGATTGCACAGCATTTGGGTGAGGTTCAGATAACCTCCGCCGTTCCCGGCATTTCTCGAGCGGGGGAGGGGGGTGTCCCAAATTACCTAGTACTGTACATATATCACTTAAGATAGGTACTAGGTAGATACTAGGTACCTAGTAGGTAAGAATTCGGTAGCAAGTAGCCTCGACGCACGTTTCTCAAGATCTTCGATCTGTAGGTTCACGACAATTCTTGAAAGTTGCTATTAAGTTATTAACTCCACTATACTCGCTGTAGGGAGGTCGAATGATGAGAGATGCGGAGGGCGCTAATGAGCCGGGAATCTTGGGAGGCTGGGAATAGACCTGATATAGGAAAGAACAGCAAAGAATTCTATTAAAACGTTCCATCGAGTGTAGGTATTACCGAAATATCATGCCGCGAAACTGCTTGCAGCCCCGAATGTAACCGTCAGCAATAGTTGAAAGGTCGAAGGATTCAACGTTTCAACGTTTCAATGTTGACCGTACTTGTGCATCGCATATCGCGCGTGCTTTCCCTGAAATTGCGCCCTAATGCACTAATAAAGCTTCCAAGGTTACCCAAGGTTCAGCACGCAACACGCAATTGCCACGTTCTTAGGGGTCTCAATGCTTCCAGAAGAATCCTCGGTACCGGGATCTATGGGGAATAATACAGCCCTAACTTCCAAAGTTCTTTAACTTTGTCACCTGCATGCCCGGGTGTATCAACTATACCTAAGTACATACCTAGTAGTCTAGTAGTATCTTCGCAATTTGCTAAGATTTGTCGCATTTTACACACTTCACAAACACAGCAAAAAAAAAAAAAAAAAATAATAATACCATTATTGAGTCACCATGTCATTTCTCTTCTCGACGAAGCTTATGCAGTAGAGCCAACCCACTGATCCGGATACATCGATACCCGAGATAGTCTTTATCTCTACCGCCGTGGGAAATGCGGGTGTTATGAGTCTAACGTAAGCCTGACCGACCAAGCAGCAGCCAACCAAGTAAGACGGTTGTCGGCCCTTGTCCAGTGCAACTGGAGCAACTGGAGCAACTAGAACAACTGGGAACTTGACGAACTAATAGCGGCCCCCTTCTTTTAAGGCTGAAGTCCGAAGACAGCTAAATATTCACTGTACTCGCTACCCGATACTTACTAGCTGACCGCTACCGTATCTTGGCGAGGATATGGATGGGTATTTTATGAAACCCCAAAAGCGATCGGGCTTCGTATTAGACTGTCGGCCGAAGAATCTCGCGTGGAGTTTGGGATCCTACGCAATAATGCGGCAACATTGCTGTGCTGGGAACCCATCACTACTAAATAGATGGATCGATGACTTGGATCGGAATAAAGCCACGACTAACCCATGAAGAGTTGCATGCTTAAATTTCGTTGCCTAAGATACTAGGTACATATGTACCTACATACATCTGCTACGCTGTCCATAGCTGAGGATGATCTCGAAATTATCCAAGTCAAATCTGACCACGGGTGGTCTTTTCCTTATGCAGGCCTGAGGCACAGACAGGCACAGGCATTCGAACGTCTTCGTCTGAGCCTCTCCGATTGGCATTGCCACACACAGATAATGTGTGAAAGCAGCACATACAGTCCTCGGCTCTCCAGCAATTATTATCGCAGTTCCTTGTATCGGTTAGGCAACGCCTTTTCCAGTTGTCATCCAAGAAAATTCGTCGAAATATTGAGCACTACCAGAGCTTGATACTATTATTGCTACCCACATGTTATCCACATGCTTTCCAGCACCCTGCCGACGTAATGAGCCTTGGATGCTGGATCTCACCTCACCGCATTTGCGGGGCGTCCATACGACGATAAACTTAATAAGAACTCTGTCTCCTTACGTTATCCACAAATCAACGACGGTCTAGAGAGATATTGGAACCATAACGAGCTATGCTTGACTTCTCGATAAATAAGATGCTTATGTACGCAATATCATCAACATCCGCGGCTACCTTGTACCTAATAAATTGATAGTGAGACCTAGTACCCAGCGCGCGCTTACGGCAAACCAGGCCCTGCCCCGACCTGCAGAATTTCAATTTGATAATACAAATATCTACTGATTAGTCGCTCATTCCTATCGACCAAGTCGTCATAAAACTTTAGGATAGGCCCACGACTTTCAAATATTACCAAGAGCGAGCCGAATAAGCAAATCGGAGGAAGTCTAGGCACTACCGAATAGGGATATCGAAGAAACTCCCCTGTTTAAGGCGGGACATGCACGTAATGTCGCCCGAAATGAAAAAGTCACGAAGAAATAGCCCAACCAGCCGGAGCCAACGGTCACTGACTTCGACTTCTGATTCGTCGGATAGAGGCTGCACGAGCGACCAACAATTAAGACCAACCCGTAAGAGGGCGAGCAAGCCCAAAGTTCGAACAGGTAGATCATCAATTTTTAACTACTAGGTACCTATCAAGATGTGCACGTTTGCTAATTCATTCTCTATTGAACTGTAGGGTGCATTAGTTGCAAAAGAAGACATGTTAGTTTATATCTTACAATTTTAGCCAGTTTGTTCGTCGCGAACGGGGCGAGTCTATCGATCCTAGGCCAAGCCTATCATTCAATGCTTGTGACTGCTCCGTCACAGCACCGATTCTTGTAATGGTAGCGGATCACTAACCTTAAGCTCGTAGGTAAAATGCGACGAAGGCAAGCCATCTTGCGCCGAGTGCGAACGCCTTGGACTTATGTGCGAGGGTTATGCTCTTCCTAAGACCAAAGCCCCAGCATCCCGGCCTGAACGGTTACTACTACCGAAGCCGAAGCTGAGACCGTTATCAGGTTTATCTTGCAAGCCATCACCGTCACCTCAACCAACAGATCATCGGCCTTCGGTTCCATTAATGCCTAGCTATGGGTTCGAATTGAACGAGGATGATATGTGGTATTTCACTCTCTTTAGGGATCAGATATCTCATGAACTTTCGCCCTACTATATGACCAACTTTTGGACCCAAACCTCTCTCCGAGACAGCATGGTGAACCGATGCATTCACCACTCCATTCTTGGTATAGGTGCCTATGGCCGTGCTCTGATGGAGCTTCGCAATGAGTATCCTATGAATTGTAAAGGATCTCAAACGTGGTGGCCACCGTCGAAACTTAATCGTCATCACCAAGCTGCACTTATGCATCATTCTAAAGCACTTTCGCACTTGCGGTCTAATATTGGGCTATATGGTCTCGACGGCCGTCTAATGATGGCGGCAACCCTCTTATTTATAGTATTTGAGAACATGCAGGGGAATTACCATAGCTCTGGGAGTCTTATCCGCAGCGGTATTAAGGTCTTGACGAATATACGGAGCGCAAGTCCCGATTCCAGATCCATATTACGCCGCCAATGGGACCGTTACATGACAACTCCGCGAGACGAAGTCGACGAAATGACAAACATGTTCGCACGACATAGTATCACATCGGCGTGTCTTCCGTTCGCGCACGGAAAGTACGCGTATCATATCCTTTTTACCGAGGGCGAAGAATACGATAACGACGACGACGACCTTGGACTATGCAGTCCTTTTACATTTACCATCCCGCAGACTCTCGACCAGGCAAGGCAAATATGGGACTACCTAATGATTAAGCTCGCGAATTTCCAGAGCAAGGTCGCGTGGCACAATCTCAACCCCGACTACGACTTCGATGAATCGGGAGCGTATCAGGAACAAGCGATTTACTTATCACAGCTTCACGACTTGGGAATAGGACTCGATTCGCTGCTATTCAGCTCGGTGGACATCCGCGAGAGCAAGGGCCTTGAACTGCTGAGGTTGCATCATAAGATAGCCGTGGTGTCCATCACGTGCTGTCTCGATCCGACGGAGATGATGTACGATGAATTTCTGCCCGAGTTCGAGGACGTAGTCCAGCGCTGCAAGCTCTTCATCAAGTTCCCGACGGACATGCCGGTGAAGGTCGGATTCATGAACGAGGCCGGCAGGTTACCTCTGCTCGCTCACATAGGCGCGAAATGTCGAACCGCTAGGGTCAGATCGGAGGTCGTGGAGCTGCTGCGCGCGTCGGACTGGCGGGAAGGTCCTTGGGATAGCTGGAGCTTGGCGGAAGCCGTGACGGGCATTATGAGGATCGAAGGCCAACTGGACATGGCAAGCGCCGAGCAGGTGGTTCCTGCGAAGGCGAGGTATATGTGGACGAACGTCTTCTGGGACTTCGAGAAACAGCAGATGCACGTCAAGTATACGAAGGTGCTGCCGAACGCGTTTGGGAAATTCGAGGATGTGCATTGCGTTATGGGCGAGCCTTTGGTTGTTTGAATTGAATGGGATGGCTGGACCATCGCATGAGATGGGGGCAGTTTGTACATCGGCGTGGTGGGTACGACATATACTATGATTTACACGGCCTTTTTCTTGTTTTACTTAACTTATACCTCGCATTTGCACGCAGCTTAGGTAGATGGCGGAATAATACCCTCGAATAGATAGGTAATCGTTACCAACCTTGGAATAGTTATCCCATTTTGGCGCGTATCTCTTGATTCAAAGGGTTCCTAGTACCTATCTGCTTCCGTAAGAGCTGTCCCCCAGGCACTATTTCATCATCATCGTAGCTAGACAAGTACCTTTGAGAATCGCCGCCTCTTCCTCGTCTTAGCTAACCACGACACCAAATTATCCAACAACCTATCCACCTCCTCCTCATCCTCATCCCCTTCTTCTTCTCCCCTCTTCTTCCGCTTTTCCACCGCCCCCCCGGCCATCCTGTCCTCTGCCTCGAACTGCGCCGCGATGTCCGCTTGTAGCGCGTCTGCCGATTCTCGCCAGCTGCCGTCGCTTTCGCCTGCGGCGTACGGCTCTGGTGACGGGGGCGGGCTGGGGATCCCGTAGGTGTGGGATTGGGCGGTGCGGGTGCGTTGGGGGGTTGGTGCGTGGAGGGTTATGGGGCATGGGGTTTGGTTTGTGGTGCTGGGGGGGTGTGCTTGGATGTTGGGTGTTGTTTCGGGTTCGTGCTGGGAGAGCGGGTTAGTGGGTTTGAGGTTTGAGAGATGGAGGTTGAATTTAGGTGCGGAGCTTACTGGGTATGATAGATCCCCCGGTGGATCGATATCCATGGCTTGAGGGTTGGGGTTTTGCCATTGATGCTGGTGGCTTGCTGTCGCCATCTTGCAGCTAGCTCTATTGTTTGGTCATTGCTGGCGGATGTGATTAGGTTGAGGCAATTTTGGGTATGGGTGACAGCTATTCCCGAGGTTGTGAGGGTTACTTGGGTACCGCATTCGATGTTTCTTTGTGTTCGGTCGCGAGGATGCGGAAGTATAAAGAACTCTGGATGTAAATCGAACCCATTGTCTTTGTGCGCAGCGCGGGACCGATCGCTCTTTGTGATTGTGATAGAACAATGAGAGGTTCGTCCCAACGGAATAACTTTTCACGTACACGATCGTTCTCATGATATACCTCGTATAGGAGTATGAAATACCTTTGTTGTAGTTCAGCTGATTGAAAGCGTCCCGCCGAGAAGTCCGAATCGCCTCAAATTTCACCGCCCGAATGATATCTTGGATACAGTAAAGATATTAAGATTGTAAAATTGAATACTCCCATAACATGAGACTCATATTAGGTAGCCTAACATGATCTCATTTTCCAAAGTAAACATATCCATAATACGTCGAGGGAGTCGTTCACATAGAAGAGAAAGGGGTTCATTAGAATAAAATGGGGTATAATATCTAAACTGATTATAACGGAAGAAAGCCCTCAATCAGAGCAAAACTATGCAGAGCAGCGCTATGTAGTGTGCAATCCCCGTTTTTTATGTCGATGCTATGCATGTAGCTTCCAGTATTCGGTTTCCCGCGGGCGCGTCGGCCAGGCGGTTTGTATATCCACGTAACTCACACTCACTCACTCACTCCCATACCTAATCCATACACCAACATCAACATCAACGCAATCGAACACCGTCTATTTCTTTATGGACCTATGTATTATGTACTGGTGTAGGTTATACACCACTTCAACTCCATCCGTCCTACTCTATCGCCTAAACCATCTTCTCGGGTCCATCGCTACTCTTCGAAGAACCCGCGCGTCCGCTGACAGGAGGCTCGGTGAGGACATCGGTCGTGTGTCGTTGTAGCTCGACGTAGTCGTATGCGAATTCGCCGAGTTGATCATCGTCGACGCCGAGCTCTTCGTTCTCGGCCGAGACGCGCAGGCTTAGGCCCGGGATCAGATTCATTAGGAACAGGATCACGCAGGTCAGCACGAAGGAGTACGAGAAGCCGGCCACGCAGTCTGCGATCTGGTACCCGAGCTGGATGTAGTTGTGGTTGATCCAGCCGCCGGGGATCGAAGAGAAGCCGTCGAGGGCTGCGATGTAGTCGCTGTTTAACGGGTTTGTTTAGTATACTAGCATGATGATTGCGGGGGAGAGGAGGAAGGGGGAGAGGGGCTTACGCTGCGAAAATACCGGTGAGAAGGTTGCCGATGATGCCGCCGACGGCGTGGACGGCGAAGATATCGAGGGCCTCGTCAACGCCCATGTAGAACTTTAGCTTGGTCGCGAAGTTGCAGCCGATGCTGCCCACGATGCCGAAGATGACCGCGGCCCAGGGGGTGACGTATCCGGAAGCGGGAGTGATGGCGACGAGACCGCAGATTGCGCCGGAGCAGAAACCGACTACGGACCACTTCTTCTCGAGGCGGTAGTCGAGTAGAACCCAGGTGATGCCTCCGACAGAAGCGGCCAGATGGGTGACGATGCAGGCCATGACGGCGCGGAGGTTGGCAGCGAGGGCAGAGCCACCGTTGAAACCGAACCAGCCGACCCATAGGAAGACGGTACCGAGGACGATGTGGGTGACGTTGTGGGGTCGGTAAGGTAGACCGGCGTTCTTGGCGTAACCGGATCGCTTGCCGATCATGACGGAGAAGGCGAGGGCGGCGGCACCGGACGAGATGTGCACGGGAGTACCGCCGGCGAAGTCGAGACCGCCCATCTTGAAGGACCAGCCGTTGGCGTTCCAGGTCCAGTATGCGATGGGGTCATACACGATGGTGGCCCAGACGAACATGAAGACAATGCATGGCAGGACGCGAGCGCGGTCGACGGCTGCGCCGATCGCGAGGGCTGGCCTGAATCATGTGTTAGACTGTAATCAGGAATTTTGGGGTAGGAGAAAGGGGGGATGAGGGGATGCAAGGTAAATAGTGCGCGCTGCGACTTGAGGAAAACTCACGTAATAGCCGCGAACATGCCTTGGTACAGGCAGAACAGGAGATCGGGGACCTTGGTGCTGCCGACGGAGGGCTGGGCGAGGGTCTTCATGAGGCCGAAGTTGGAAAGGTCGCCGATGAAGCTGCTGCCGGTGTGAGAGAAGGTCAAACTGTAACCCCAGAAGAACCACTGGAAGTCGACGACGGCGATGGATAACATGGCCAGCATGATAAGCGACAGCGCGGACTTGCGCCGCGCGAGACCCGAGTAGAAGAAGCCGACACCGGGAATCATGAGAAGGACGAGGGCGGCGCAGGTTAGGATCCAGGCGAAATCACCACTCTATAATAAAACATCGTTACTTTAGCGCTTGTTCTTCTCATTCCCCTTTTGCTTCCTCGAATAGCTAAAACACAATTTCTTGCCGTACCTCGTAGAACTGATTTAGATCCGTGACACCGGATGAGTATCCGGCATCAGCATCGCCGGTGGTGCCATTGTACGGCGTGACGTACAAACTGGCGGACATGTTGACGTCGCCGCGATTAAGAAGCCGGCCGTTGTTGCGAAACAGGAACGCGACTCGAACCCTTTTTCTTTTTCTTTTCTCTTTTCCCCCTCTTCAGATAAGAGCAGTTGACGATGCTTCTTTTGAAGTGAGACACTGGTCCCAGAAAACGGGCCGTCGCGATTTGCTTTTGGCGAAGGAATGATGCACAACAAGGGAAAAGAGAGAAGTAAAATGAAGGCGTACGATGCCAGGGGCGGGTGTCTGCCTAAATATGACAGAGCACATACCACATAGTACCTACCTATCGTACATGTACATACATACAGCTCGGGGCGTTCCTTCGAATTGGCAAAGACCTGCAAGGCGAGACATAGGCTCGTTGTACAGATGTACAACGGGTATCTTCGTACAATACATGCCTACCTTGGTCACTATCTGTACCCCTTGCTTATTACGGTAGCAGGCAGGATACAAGGAAAGCCGCTGCTTCGCTTGTACTCCGTCCGGTATGGGGTGGATAAGAATGTCCCAGATACCGACCTGGAGGTTCCTTTATTATCCAAGGATATTCGTAGTTCAAATGTTAGTAAAAGAATAGATACATATCAGTACCCCGGTCAACAGCTTCTTAATAATTTTAAAATGGAAAAAGACCGTTGACATTTAGGGTGGATCTTGCTGATAAGGACCCGAGAGAATGGTGGATTCTAGCGAGCGCGGCGAATCGCAATACGATTCGTTTGTTCTTCTATTTCGCTGACCTTGCTACTCTTGGCGTAGCGAGTGGGAGGGGGGGCAAGGGGGGGTCCGGGGCGTTGGAGATAGCCCTGAAAGAAGGACAGACAGACACGCAGACACGTTTGTGGCTGCGTGGACGGAGCATCACCACTAAAACAGACGACGGAGAAGGAGAAGGATTCATATATGCAGTCTGCATGACGTTGCAATTGTATGATGAACATGATAATATCTGTATAGGTAAATGGATATATTGTGGTTGGAGATTGAATTTTAGATGAATTATCTAGAAATTGAGAAATGATAGCGGGTGGTCAGGGAAAAAACCAAGATTGTGTCATGTAGACGAGAGGCGTATGCTATTGAGTGTTACTTGATCTCCCTAGTTATTACTAGTAGGTAGGTAATTAATGATTGCCCTGACCGTAAGGTGTTACTGAGAAACTTGCGCATCACGTTCATGAAATCAGTTGCTATTCTGAGTTGGTAGACTTTTTCGGATGTTAATGAACTAACGTATTATCCTTATTATTGCTCATGCTTATGTTTATTAAAGTCTTGGAAATTCCCAGCCGGGCGGTACTTCAGATGGCAATCCTGAATCTTGCGGTCGAACTGCAATGTATCTCATCATCCCATCAAAAAAGTCGGTCCTACCGCCCTGCCACGCGGGCATGTTTCCTGAATGGACTCACTCGATGTCTTACAACCATCTACGGGAACCCCGGGGAACGCGGGAGTCTCCTTGTTGCAGACTTGCACAACCGAACGTATTATTTGATGGTTGTGTTTTTTATCATTTACACGTGGTTTAGTAGTACCTATCTAGATAGCAAGATGGTTCCAAGTTGCGGCTATCTGGCAATAGGTAAGTAGGAGATTCGTTCGTAACTGCAAACTGCATCAATGACGATTCAACATAATGAAAACACGCCCTAAAAAATGGCTTTAAACAATGTTAGCAACGTTGCTAATCGGCCGAGACCTCGGTCCAACTAGGTACGCTGTAGTTGGTGGTTCGAGCTCCAAATTCAAGCAAACAACCGTGCATCAAACGCGACAAAGGTACGAAAGCCAAGCAACGTTCCCATAAACTTATTACTTCATTACTTCATATTCTTTTTTTACTTCCTTCTGACGACATATATGCCGGTGGCAAAGCCTATGTCAAGTTCTGAGAATGATTCCATGTAGTAGTAGAGGGAGGTGATGTTGAGTCGATCATCAGGGGCTAATCATTCCTTGGCCGCTGCAGGTGGTAAAAGAAGATCCGTCGAGCGCTCAGAGTCTTATCAAAGTATCAATGACAGCCACAGCCGCAGCTTCAGCTACAACGCCCGTTAGCAATCACTTCGAGTTCTTCGTAAACACCTAAACATCGTATCATATATATCGGGCGTCTCTCAAATGAGAACTGTTACCGCTAGCGCATCAATTTTCATGATTTTTACTATTTCGTTCGGCCAGTCAATTGTCGAAGGAAGTATCAGCTTCGTTCTGACTGAGCAGAATCGAAGTTTGAAGGAACAGGCATTGGATCGAGCCAAGGCGTGCCAAGCAGTGGAGTCTGTTGTGCCGAGAGATAAGGAAAATGCTCTGTCCAATAGCGAAAGACCTTTTTCCTTCAAACGGATTCGGAACCCTTGTCGCTCATATCTGGAGCTAACCGTAGGGCCAGGGCTGCTAATCAGGGGTCTGACCCGCTGAGCTGGAGCGCCCTTTCGATATCTAGGATTCTAGGTATCCATATCGGAAAGCTGTGTTTTCAGCTTCAGCATGGCGTCTAGAGACTTGCCAGTCTCGCATTTCAGTGTTCGCTATGAGACGCCTTGGCGCGTGTGCACAAGAATATTGCTTCCAATAGTGGAAATGGAACATTCAAGTGATCACTATCTGCATTCCCCGTGACTGTCTCGGCCATGTCTTAGACCGGAAGCTGTCGTGGAAGTTTAAGCTAAGCTGACTGGCTGAGACGTCCTTTTCCCAATCCGTCAAGTATCTCGAACGCTTCAGTCGACAATAAAATGCACCAAGAACGCCAACATATTCCAAGAGATAGCAATGACTCGATACCGATGTCGTCGAGACTAGGCACTGCAGATTGCATACGAAACCAACAGAGACGAACACGACCAGCGCATGGCTTTATTTGTGACATGAACATATTGTGTAAGTAATCGCCTCCCACGCGGTGTCGCCTTAATCTTGTTTAAGGCTTTAAATAAACGAACTAAATAAGTTAACAACCCCGGATAAGAGCTCCGACTAGTGATTCTCTAGCCCGTTTTACGCACCCCAGCATCGCAGAATGATATCCAGCCGCAGCTTAATAACTACAGTTAGGTAAAATAAGAGACGTCTGCCATACGCGAACATCTCAAAGAACATTCCCGTCCGCGCGTTCCTCCCCCGAGGTCGCTTAATCTACCTAGATCGGCTTCAGCTTCCATTGTTTAGATCGTGTCAACTCTTACGAACACCTCTTTTCATCAAGCTGCTAGAAATAGTGCATCTATATGCAGGCTTAGAGTTCATCACGTAGACCGCGCATGCTTCCACTTGGCATGTGGTGTTGCAGTTCTACTTCAACCTAACCCCGGCTCTGTAGGAGCTCCGGACTCTCGGGTTATTTCCTCTAATTGTACGTTGCCGGTTCAAGGGCATGGTAGCATGAAGGTTCGAAGCTACGACGTCGGCTGCCGGGATCGGGATATGCCATGAGTCTGGACAGTCTAGCTTGTTGCCGATGGGCAAATAGTTGGTGTCGCCTAGCTCCTGTTAACACCAAAATGGATGTAGCGTTCGTCAAGACCGTGAGAATGAAAATATCGAATTCTCTCGGACTCATAAGGCGACCAAGTGGCTGCCTAAGATGCACGTCGTTTGCCTTGAGTAGGTAGGTAAGCATTGTGATAGAGTCCATAGTTGATACTTGGCTTCTAAACAACTAGGAGCCCCTAGTAAGGGCTTAGCAACATCATTAACTCTAATAGTTGCCTTCACGAAACCTCTTGTTCTTTTCTTCGTTTCATTTCCCCCATCCTTGGCTTCACGTCCTTTATTCACACAACACGGGAACTGCCGGCAATGCCGTAGCAAAGGCCCTCTGATACAGATTCTAAGGTGATTCTACAACATATGACGACTATGAGCACTGTCCTTCCACGTGGGACAGTAGGTAAGTAGGCACGCAACTGACTATGTTGAGAAGTACCTACCTACCTACCTATATATCTAACATAATATACCTACATCGTACCATGTTAAGTTATATCATCATATTCTATTTCAACTATTGGAAGTAGATTAACACTATAGACGCCCTCATCGTACCTACCGGGCATGTAGGTAGTTTGAACTCTTCCGTTTAGATAGGATATACTGAAAGTCCTCTTTAGAATCGCGAAGAGAGCGATGATTAAGCGCCTACCCCGGAAATTTACCTAATACATTATAAAAAGGCTCTTGATTCCGGCAATCAACGAATTCCAATCCTCCTCCTCGAAGTCGTCGTTCCCGATATCAAAGAGAATTTTCCGACCGTCAATATATTTATTTCCCATTGGAACTTCCTCGATCAGCTTTTGACATATTGCCACCCGGCTATGGGTGTAGTGGACAGCTATCCACACTGCTTCTGCCATGTGAGACTTCAAGGTGAACATCCATTCTCTTCGCCACTTGAGGGCATTTCCAAGATACTGACAATATTGCTGTCGGTAGTAGTTTAAAGTCGCTGGGGAATCCTCTGTACCTGACATTTCTGGCCAACTATACGTCGAAGGGTCCCAATCTCTTGTAAGCCAGGCAGGAAATCTTGCATAACCCATAGACTGTGGTAAAGTTTGAGCATGATCCCAGTCTATGAGGCCCGTAACATTGCCTCGACGGTCAACCAGGACATTTTGAGAATCAAAGTCGGGAGGACAAAGCACGAAGTATTCCGAAGGATAATCTGGTATTGCGGTAGACATGATTGATTTTAGTATTGCCGACGCTCCTCTACTGTACTCGTCTCCATCATCTTCTCTATAGTGATGGGCGAGGTAGCTAGATGCGGAATCGAAAGGCCCGGAGGATACAACGCGCAATGTGGCATCTGGATGCTGTTGCCAACTGTAACAGGGTTCTAGTGATTCTGCGTCAACATCATTATTTGGGATAGACCCTATCTTATTGAATCTAAAACAGGAAAACTGAACCATGACTTGGGCAAGACTCCGTAAGATATTGTGCTGGAAATGTATTAGGGGTATGGTATCGGACCCCTTAGACCAGATATTAGATACTGGCGACCCGTAAATGAAGCTGATGCACATGTATGGTGTATGGATTTCATTATCGTCGGATGTGTCGTATTCATATACTTGAGGCACTGGAATAGATGTATGATTCGCGATGAAGCGCATTGTTGCGACTGTTGACTCTAGTGCACGCGCTGCCGTCTCGGTCTTGCCAGAACCCCAACCAGTCACAGGGACGCGGATCACAAGTCTGAAGTCATTATCTAATTGGGCAACATGAACAAGATTGTACGAGCCGGCGATACGGGCGATCACTCGGCATTTCTCACTCGGCTTCAAGAATTTATATTCATAAACCCTCAAAGCAAGCGCAATAAGGGACGTATCCGGAATATCGACCAGAGGTCCGAAGGCCTCGCGACGGTCGTCCATAGTTTTAAATGGCAATGCTTGGGTCTGGAGGAATATATCACACAGATTAGCCGATAAGATGAAGTCTGATAACATTTCGGAGTGACGTATTGGCGTACGTTGATATACACTAAAGTTCTACAAAGCCGAAATGTCGGACGCACAATTCAATTCAACTGAAACTGTATTGTATCATATTTGATCACGTTTCCCCCTACACTATCAAAGAAGACATAGCTTCTGAAAGGAATTATTTAACTATTGGGCCGTTAGGCTCGTCCCATCTGTCACATCCGTAACTTCCAAAGTTGTTCTCCGTGCCTCAGGTAGGACCTGTACCACGGGATAGGGTGTGAACCAGATTACCGGAACCCGCACCCGGCCGAGACCCACATATAACCGATATTTAATAGTGGGACCAACGCCGCTTTGTTCTTAAAATAAATTAAGCACTGGGCGTACCTACCTCACCTACGCAGAACTTCGTGATTGAGAAGTCTCCTATGCAGATAACCTTAGAAGATACCTACCTATATACCCTTTACTTGCGCATATGTATTAAAGGAATGGATATGAGCACTTATGAATCATAGCATATGAAATCCAGTCTGATTTATGTACCTAATAATACCTAATAATACCTAACTAATAGGTTAGAGTAGAGTGCAAGCTGTTGACCACCTATGTAAGAAACATCCACCATCGACAGGTCCCTAAGCATCTTCAAATGGGCAACTGCTTGACCTCAGCATTCAACCGAGTCACGACCGCCAGCTTGCCTATCTCACTCAAAAGCTCTTGCTGTGAGTTCTTCGCTGCTTCGCGTTCCTGTAAAGCTGACATTAGATGCATGATCTTCAATGAGAAAATCTTATAAATGGTATTTGGGGACTTACCTCTCTGCTTGCGAATGTTCTGATGATGGTGGCCACTTGCTCGGAGAGGTTCACCGAAGCTCCGTAGATAGTCTCGGAGTCATTGGCCTCCTCTAGGCTCGACTTGACTTTCTTCAATATAGTCTCCACATCCTCGAGGCTCGTCACGTTCTTAGGACGGACCAGTATGATCTCCAAGAACTCCCGGGGTCCAAAGAGAGGCGATCCAATGTTTGTCTCAAAGAGGTCCAGCTCTGGTGGACCATCTGCATAGGGTTTCATGTGTTCCATGTAACTGACGAACGCTGAAGATTCGATAAACGTGGTGAAATCGGATGCGCTTAACCATTCTATTAATAGTTAGTTATGGTATTGGTAGTGGTGTAGGATAGGATCTCCTTACCAAGGATCACGAGTTCCCTAAGTTCGGACGTGACATCTTTGCCGTTTTCTGAATCGATGAATCCCCTCAGTCCTCGCTGAACACCTGCCTCCTTGAAGGCAGCGCGAGCTAGCCCGGGGACCTTCGACAGTGCTTGTTTGATCAACTCCGGATCCTTCTTCAGCTTAGGGAAGACTAGTTCGATGACGGCCATATTGAAGCGAGATATGCTTTTTCCCTTTTTTTTCTTATTTTTTTTTTCTTTTTCGAGTAATTAGGTGCAAGTTATTTTGCGGTCGAGTAATCTTGTGCCGAGAGAAGGCTGCATATTATGAAGCGAAAAGAGCTACTGTAAGTCCAGCATTCCCTTTGTTTTATAGCCATCAACCGAGACATATTTTTGGCTCCCGTATTATGGTATTTTTTTTATCCCTTTGTATCTTTCGGATCCGTTGCCGCAGAATACTCGCGACGTGACGCTTGAGGCTTGCATTAAACCGGTCATAAGAGCGGTATGAAGTCGTGTAATGCTCCGTGCACCAATAATATGTTTCATAATTGACCGACGAGGCGTCGGATTTGTAAGAATGCGCAGTGGAGTCTAGACCTAATCCGGCATGGTGTTTAGTTCCTCCGTGTCAGCATTGCAGCATTGGATATTCGACGATGAAAATTCCGAGCGTTCCACTATTGCAACTCTGTACTTTTCGCCCGGAATAGGTGGAACGGCGGAAACTAGTTAGAATAGAATCTTTGAACATGATCTCGCGCCAGAAGTCATGTGTTCCATGCGCGAGAGCAAAACGCCGATGTGAGCCGCAAACTCCGAAGTGTCCTCGTTGTTTACAGAGGGGCACTCATTGCTTCTACAAGAATCAACCGGTCAGGAGCCTCGATCGAAGACAAGACCCTCTTCAGCTACAATCTATTGCTAAAGACCGAGCCCCTGGCATCGATAACCGAAGCGGGAAACCGCTCCTTAACGGTGACTCATCAAATGAGTACCGAACGGGAGGGTCGGGTGAGACAATCGGCAACCCTTCAGGTCGCGAATTATCTCTTCTTAGCTCTCGACAGATCCGAATGCCCGGGCTCCATCCGACTTGCCCTTTCATCATGCCGGTATCATTATTAAATGCCGACTCCGTTCCCACATTAACTCACACCGTCATGAGTTGGCCGGGGAAATTTCTACGAAAGTTAGAGATTCCTTTCATCCATTCATCACAGCTGGATACACCACCGCTTCCTCTCCCCCTCGAAGAGGCATTTAGCGCATGTGCTAGTTACGCGGCTAAAAGGGAGGCGACTAAGAGTCTTGTGATGAACATAATTGAAAGGAGGGTGGCACAGCTTATCGATTTGGATCCCTCCAACATGTCGATTGAGGCACATACTGCGTCATTGCAGGCCTTTCTAATTCTCCATCTCATCCAGCTCTGGGATGGCGACGTTAGACAACGCACACAGGCGGAGATGCATTCTTACATTCTCGAAAGTTGGGCCCTGCAACTGCACATGCGTGCGACGGAAGCTTCGAAAGGACAGGACATAGCCTCAGCCCAGACCTGGGATTGGTGGGTTATGATTGAAAGCGCGCGGCGCACCGCCATTACGACCATGCTGACACAAGGCATTTACGAGATGGCGAGGTATGGTGTTTGTTCGTACGTCCCAAACCTAGCTGACATGCCATTTACCGCCAACGATGGTCCGTGGGAGGCCCAGAATCAAAGTGACTGGAAGGAGAAGATCGAAGGCTTAGATGCGGCTGTTACGAATTACGGTGATTATGCCATTTCCTGTGATGAAGCCACATGCGGCCCCCAAAGTGAATTCGGGAAACTCCTCCTCTTGCCGTGTCCGAGTGCTACCCAGAGAGCAACGCTCCTATCGGGTCGGAGAGTTAGCATACCGAGTTAAGGGTCCATTGCTACTATGGAGTAGATGGAGTTGCTTATTTTCTTATTTGATAAAGTCCGAGCCTCATCATGCCAGGAATTTGGGCAGAGGCAGCCATTGTATTATTTCTTAGATTGGCGTCTGACATGGGATATTAACTCCACTTACAGCATGTTCGTACTACCTAGCATCGTACATATATGCGCTTATTGTCGATAGTTAATGTTGTACTACACGACGATCTAACCATCCTTGATGATGCCTCATGTCATGTCAACCGGAGTAATGTGGGGAAGTACGCACGAGATATTCTTCCCTTTCGACAATTTCAAAGAATTCCACCCAAAAAGGTCGGCCTCGAATATATATACCCGCCTACAAAGCACCTGAGTGCTATGTCTTAATTTTGAAGCTCGGGGTCCATGATTTGATTGAAGAATGGATCAATTGCCGAATTGAATAGATCCATAATATCAGTTCCCATAGGAACTTCGTCATCCATCTCAAAGTACCTGTCGTTTATTGGGAAAAGTAGAGTATCGTCGAGCGGTAGGGTAAGTTCACCATCGAAAGCAAGGCTATCCGGCATCTAACAAACGTCAATGGCGCCCGTGTGAAGGGTGAGGGGGGGTTGTGCTTACTTGTGGCGGTCCGAGAGGGGGAGAAGAGCCAATAGAAGAGACAAGCTTGTTGTCACTAAGTGTCTGAGGTCCAGCTCGGTTAACTGTGCTGAAGACTGTTGGAGGCGACTTCAACAATGTTAATGATTGCTTATCAGCAGGTTGATTTGACGCGTCCTCGTTTTTCACAGTATTCACGTATTCCCGAGCAATGTGCGCAAATTCTCCAATGAGCGACCCCGGAAGACTACCACCGCTCGCGTATTCGATTCTACTAAAATGACCCCCAGCCATATCGAGAAGAGCTAGATTCGTTGCTGTTCCGGCGTGTTTTGGATTCGTGACCACTAGATCGAATAATATGAAGAGAGCTACGACTGGGATTCCTGCCATAATCCTGTCGCAAAAGTGTAAGTGAGAGCATTTATACGTGAACAACTACTATTTCGAATTACATGCAATTGTAATTGAATCATGTGCTTACCAAAGCGGTGTGTTTGGCTCAACGTCGATGAAAGCCGTCAACTCAAGCACATGACGCGACGTTTCCATCATGGCCCTCGTGTTTTCGGCCTGGCGAGCTTGACTCACGACGTGATTCGTGTTGGCTGCTAGGTGTAATGTCGCTCGAGAAAGGCTCAACTTGAAGCTATTATAGAGTAGGTGTAGTCGGAGGGCGGCTAATCGGAGCAGCGTACTTTGCATCCCATGCGTCTGGTATGGCTTGCCCGGCCTGATATCGTCAGGTATTGACATTCGCCATTCTTCTAATTCGATTTCGCACTGGTCTATGATCGAAAGGTAATAGGCCTTTGGATCATCCGTCCCAGCAATTGAGAAGAGGGATGCCATAGCCTTCGACAGCAAGCGGGCATATCTCGCGTTTGTGAGAAACCAGTCCAACTCTCCCATAATTGCATCTGGTACCGACGGGATTGGGATAACGATATCATGGTCGACGAATATCTACAACTAGGTATCAGCATGCACATATATGCACCTGGGCAGCCAAGGCTTCGGAAAGCGAATGGAGAGACGTACGGAATTCCTTCCAAAGTGAAAATTGGTTATCTTCTCGACAGTGTAGAGGACCCAAAAAGCTCTATGATAGCTGGCACGAACTTTGCCACTTAGGTTGGCGCGACCAAGATTCTGCGCTCTTCTTGCTGCTTCTGACAGTATGAAATGTTCAATTGCTATGCAAGATATACTGCGATATGAAATGTTAATATCATAGCTTATTCTCCTAGGATACGAGCATAGTCCAAGGAGAGGGGTTGTCAACGAAGACCTGGGTAAGGCTTACTTGAGTGAGTATATGGTCATGGCAGTCATTGCCTGGAGGACATCAAGGGAATCAGGGAGCGAGAAAAGGTCGGGGAAAATGGCGAGTGCCCTTGACAAATATTGCCAGGCCCTCCCTTTGCCTGGTTCGAATTTCCCCCCAGTACCTGCTTGGCAGCCCAGAGCAACGACGGCATGGTACAGAGCATACATCGCTTTATTCTGCGCAATGCGACCGGGGAAGTTGGGGCTGAACGCCATTGCTTCGAATTCGCCCTGGTCAAGGAATGGATAGAATGGGTGAACCCGCTCGAAGTATACTGCAGGAAAGGTTAGACAAGTCGTACTGTGTGCTTAAGATATAGGGGTAGGACATTTTATATGAGCATTCGCTTCGGTTCTATCCGTGAATGTGAAGATATCTTTCTGGCTTCCTTTGAACCCCCCAAGTGAGTTCGATGGTACCACATCGGCTGTAAAATGTTAGTACCTGTCCTATATAGTGTCTGCAAAGGAGTTGCAATCCCCGTGAAGTTCATATGCTTACGATGCTGACCGAGCCGAGCACCAATCAGAGCAGATATCCTCTGAATCAGCTCTTTTACTCTGTCATTTCGTAGACGAGATGATAGATATAGCAGTCGATTATCGGAGAAAAACGTCAAACTAGCATTTCCAACTGACCGATGCCAGGTCAGCACCTAATTCGTTGGCTTCTATGTCGTAAGAAGTTGCGGTTGAGGCATACTAACAAGTCCGATCCCCTAAGACGTCTTAGCATGGTTGTTCAAGTACCTAATGTGTACCTAGTAGGAAAATAAAGTATACCTTCACGGCAAACGGCTTCTCAGTTCCAAGAGCCCCGGCCGTCCGGGCCTGAGATAATAAACGATCGACATAGAGTTCAGGTAATGGCCGTCGAGGCTTCTAGTAATATGTCAGACATGCTATTATCTAGTAATCTTCATGTTTCATAGAGACCGACATTCTCAGTAATTTGAGGGGTGCTTGGAGATTCAACACGCGGAGACGGAGGCGATGTGAGGATGGTGTTCACTAGTATGAAGTCAGTTTAGTTACCTAGACGATCAATACTAGCTTAACTCACCATTTCGCCTTTGAGGTATCTTCCTGCGGCTAAAGTGACATGGTGCTTTACGGCGCTAAATAAAGTGATTAGTAAGATTGATAAACTGACGACATTGTGGTTGGTATTGGTTAAACTCACGATGCAGTTTTCGCAGGGGCCGGGATATCCTAGATCTGAATTTGAGCCTCGTGGAACCCATGAAAAATCATCGTACTTTGGGGAATATATGTCATACCGTTACATCGAACTTTTCGCGCCTTACATGAGTCGCAGCTTTTAAGAATTTCCATCGTCTTTCTCAAGACATAATCTGGTACCTTCTCCTACTGTAAAAAATGCAAAAGAAAGCCATTCGGGAGGACAGAGCCACGCATGCATGATGTATGATGAAAGTCTAATCTCAGCCACTTTCCTCGAAGCTAACCGAATTGGGAACTTCGGCGCCGAGAGCTCAGACCAGCAACCTCGATCTCAGCATATGATAATCGCCGAAGAGCACGATTAGATTCGGAAATTGCACGATTAAATTCTCAATTCATAATTTTCACACAGAATCCGTTTGATGTACTAAGTAAATACGTACGAAATCTACGGCGACCTAGTGAATAGTGTATTAGATTTTTCACCCTTAGAGTCCGAGATGTTTACCGAGATGTGCGAGATGCCTCTAAGTTCGGCATGCCGACCTGGAGCCGCGCCGCTGGTTCCTTTAGGGGCAGGCTTTGGACTTGACGTGTATTCATATTTATATCTATCCTTCTAGTCATTTCTATTTTTTCTCTTGCTTTCTTTGGTATAGATTTGTTTTTATCTTGATAATTGTTACTATCATGCCTGGCTCAGGCAAAGCTAGCCACGGAGATGAACCACAGGTGGCTCAGCCTATTCAAGACCTAGACTTAACCATGTCTGAAAAGGGAGCTGGGCAAGCCTCCTTCACATCTGATGGCTCTTCGACGGAGGATGATGATACTCGAGTAGCTACGCTGGCAAGGAGCCTTACTCGAGAGACTACCCACTACCAAGGGGTCAACCCCTTCCTAGATAATCGACCGGAACTCGATCCAAACTCTCCTCAGTTCGACGCAAGAAAGTGGGTGAAAACTCTCTTGCATGCCTTCGCCCAAGAACCTGACAAGTTTCCTCGACCCCCTGTTGGTGTCTCGTGGCGTGACCTATGTGTACACGGGTTTGGAAAAGATACCGATTACCAGAAGGACATCTTGAATGTCCTTTGGCGAGCACCCCTGATCGCTAGAGAGTGGATTTCTCACAAGCAACAGAAGCTTCAAATCCTGAATAACTTCGATGGATTAGTCAAGAGCGGTGAAATGGTCTTGGTCTTGGGCCGTCCAGGAAGGTAAATATTATTTCTAGTTCAGCCTCTCCATGATCTAGTGAGGGAAGAACTGACAGTCTCTGGAAATAGCGGTGTCTCGACTTTGCTGAAGACTATTGCTGGTAATACTCATGGTCTTTACCTTGATCAAAACTCCCATGTCAACTACCAAGGCATACCGTTTGATGTCATGCACAGTCGTTTCCGAGGAGAGGTCATCTACCAAGCCGAGACCGATATTCATTTCCCCCAATTGACTGTGGGCCAAACGTTGCAATTCGCCGCACTGGCTCGCACACCCGAGAATCGTCTACCGGGAGTTAGTCGGGAGATGTACGCGCAGCATTTGAGAGATGTGGTTATGGCTGTATTTGGTATTTCGCATACGATTAACACGAGGTTGGGCAATGATTTCATCCGAGGAGTGAGTGGTGGCGAGCGCAAAAGAGTCAGTATTGCTGAAGTTACTCTTAACCAGAGTGCCATTCAATGCTGGGACAACAGTACCCGCGGCTTGGACTCCGCGACTGCTTTGGAGTTCGCGAAAACTCTCAGACTGTCAACCGAGTTGGGTGAGACCGCGGCCATTGTCGCGATGTATCAAGCTTCGCAGCCGGCATACGATGTAAGTTGCCAATACCAATCTTGCCTTCTTTTATTTCCCATCTGACATTTGAATAGGTTTTCGACAAGGTAGCTGTGCTGTATGAAGGACGGCAGATATTCTTCGGTCATAAGGATGAGGCTAAGAAGTACTTCACTGACCTTGGATATCACTGTCCCGATCGCCAAAATACGGCCGATTTCCTTACGTCTCTCACAAACCCATCCGAGAGAGTGGTCCAACCCGGGTTTGAAGACAGGGTCCCCCGTACCCCTGACGAGTTTGCGCAAGTATGGAAGTCTAGCGAATCACGAGCAAACCTCATCAAGGAGATTGAAGCCTTCGAACAAGAATTCCCCACAAAGGGTCAAAATTACCAGATGTTGAAGCAGTCTCGGAAGACCCAACAGGCATCGTTCACGCAAGTTCTCTCAATAACCCAATGCCCTTGGACCGCCGCTAATTAATAGACTTGTAGGCGCAATAAAAGTCCTTACACTATCTCAATCCCTATGCAAATCCGTCTCTGCATGACTCGGGGATTCCAGCGCATGATGGGAGACAAAATATTCGTGGTTGTCACCATCTTAGCTAATGTGGTGATATCTCTGGTACTTGGCAGCATTTACTACAAGCTTGAACCTGTCGCAGAGAGCATGAACAGCAGATGTGTTCTGCTCTATTTTGCTATCGTCTTCAACGCCTTGAGTAGTGCCTTAGAGGTAATCTCCCCCCCAAACAGATGGCTAATATCAACAACTAATTATTTCAGATATTCTCCCTTTACGCCCAACGACCCATTGTGGAAAAGCAGTCTCGCTATGCGTTGTATCATCCCTTTGCCGAAGCAGTTTCCTCTACCATATGCGACCTGCCGGTTAAGATAATCTCAGTCCTTTGCTTCGATATACCCTTGTACTTCATGACTCAGCTCAGACAAGAAGCCGGCGCATTCTTCATATTCTTGCTCTTCGGGTTCACTGCTACGTTTACCATGTCTATGATTCTCCGGACCATAGCTCAAACTTCCCGAACTATACAACAAGCGATCACTCCTGCAGCTATTTTCATATTGGCATTGGTCATCTACACTGGATTTGTCCTCCCTATACGGTACATGCAGGGTTGGCTTCGCTGGCTCAACTATCTGGATCCGATCTCCTATGCATACGAAAGTCTCGTCGCTAACGAATTCTCCAACCGCCAATTTCCGTGTACTATGTTTGTACCGATGGGAGGCCCCTATGTGAATGCTACTCCACTTGAAAAGACTTGTTCGGTTGCAGGTGCCTTGCCCGGCCAAGACTTCGTCAGTGGTGATGTATTCATCAATGGGAACTTTGAATTTTACCATTCCCACATCTGGAGGTAAGCATGTTACTAAACACCGAAGCCGGAAGCCAGTCGCTGACTTATTTATAGAAATTTCGGTATCCTTATTGCGTACATCATTTTCTTCACGATAGTCTATATGCTCGCTGCGGAATATCTCTCCCTCGAAGTTTCTAAGGGTGAAGTCCTAATCTTCCGTCGCAACCACAAATCTTCAAACAGTCCGAAAGCACAGAATGACGAAGAATCTGGACCTGCGAGTGGTCCGCCCAGCAAAAGGCAGAGGGATAGCGATGTTTCCGGTACAATTGGCGGCCAAATCCAAAACCAGAATTCGATCTTCCATTGGTCTGATGTCTGCTATGATATTACCATCAAGGGGAAACCTAGGCGGATTTTGGACCACGTTGATGGGTGGATTAAGCCTGGAACATTGACAGCGCTCATGGTATGTATTTTCTTGATAAACTAGGGCCTAGTGATTATGCTAACTAGTGTGCAGGGTGCAACTGGAGCTGGAAAGACAACTCTTCTCGATGTATTGGCTAACCGTGTGACTATGGGTGTTGTCGGTGGCGATATCATGGTTAATGGAATTCCTCGCGGAAACTCTTTCCAGAGACAGACCGGTTATGTTCAGCAACAGGATATCCATCTCGAAACAGCGACTATTAGAGAAGCCCTGCGATTCAGTGCATCGCTCCGACAACCCTTCAGTGTTCCGATAGAAGAAAAGTACGCTTATGTTGAGGAGGTCATTAAGCTCTTAGATATGGAAACCTATGCGGATGCAATCATTGGAGTTCCTGGAGAAGGTATGCTATCTTAAGATTAGTTCATGAGCTTGATTGACTAACATGAATCTTAGGTTTAAATGTCGAGCAACGTAAGCGTTTGACTATTGGAGTCGAGCTTGCTGCCAAGCCAGAACTGCTCGTTTTCTTTGACGAACCTACTTCCGGACTGGACAGCCAGACTGCGTGGTCTATCATGAGCCTTCTGAGAAAGCTATCTGATAACGGACAAGCGATTCTATGTACCATTCATCAACCCTCGGCTATGCTTTTTCAACAGTTCGATCGCCTACTACTATTAAGCTTCGGAGGCAAGACGGTGTACTTCGGTGATATCGGACCCAACGCCCAGACATTGACTAGTTACTTCGAACGAAACGGAGGCAGCCCATGTGGTAAGAGTGAGAACCCTGCGGAATGGATGTTACGAGTTATCGGAGCCGCGCCCGGAGCCCACGCCAACCGAAACTTCCACGATGTCTGGCGCAACAGTGAGGAGTACGAGGCCGTGAAGAAGGAACTGAGAGTCTTGGAATTGGGAAAAACGAGTACTGAAAGCGTGCGTCAGGATGTTGTGACCACCAACGCATACTATGCTACTCCTTTCCACTACCAATTCTTCCTATGCACCAAGCGAGTGTTTGAGCAATACTGGCGCAGCCCCTCGTACATTTACGCAAAGTTGATCCTTTGCGGTGGCACGGTAAGTACTCCGAACCAAACTTCGGCAATCTAAATACTAATATTTCCGGCAGTCTCTATTCATCGGTGTATCCTTCTACAAAACCCAGTTATCACTAGCCGGTCTCCAAAACCAGATGTTCGCCATCTTCATGCTTCTCGTCATCTTCGCCTTCCTCGTCTACCAAACCATGCCTCAATTCCTCCTCCAGCGACAACAATACGAAGGACGCGAACGATCATCGCGGATTTACTCGTGGTACACTTTCCTTCTCGCCAACATGGTCGTCGAACTGCCATGGAGCACAATTGCGTCGCTTCTAGTCTTCGTTCCGTTTTATTATCTTGTCGGCATGAATGAGAACGCGGTCCAGACTAATGCTGTTACGGAACGGGGCGGGCTTATGTTCCTGCTCACATGGTCGTTCTTGATTTTTGAGTCCACTTTCGCGGATATGGTCATCGCTGGTGTCGAGACGTCTGAGGTTGGCGCCGTCCTTGCCTTGCTTCTATTTGCCATGTCCTTGATCTTCTCTGGGTAAGTAAAACCTAGTCAACATGAATACCAACTTAATCAGTCACTAACTATCTTCGTAGTGTCATGGTGCCTAAGAGCTCCCTCCCCGGATTTTGGGTCTTCATGTACCGCGTATCACCACTCACTTACATCATCAGCGCCATGTTATCCGTCGGTGTCGCAAACCACGACGTCCAATGCGACGCGATCGAGCTATTGAGTTTCCAACCCCCTGCGGGACAGACGTGCGGCGATTACATGGCTCCGTACAACTCAGTCGCGTTTGGGGCTGTTTACAACCCGGAAGCTACTTCGAACTGCCAGTTCTGTTCCTTATCTAACACAAACGTCTTCCTTGCGACCGTCGACTCATACTACGGCGATAGGTGGCGCAACCTCGGCTTAATCTGGGCCTATATCGTCTTCAATATTGGCGCTGCTCTGTTTATCTACTGGGCTGCTCGAGTTCCTAAGAATTCGAGTTCGAATATTGTTGAGAAGGCTAAGCAGCTAATCTCGAAGAAAAAATAGTTTAATATTGGGGTGTCTGGGCATTCATCCTAGGGTGTGGGCGCGAGATAGTAATTACAGGCTTCGCGCGAAGAGCACTCGGACTCAACTTTCCTTTCTGTCAAGACTGTCCGTCATTGCGCTTTTTATTATCTTGGAATTAGAATTTATTGGGTTTATATCAATGGGCCATGCCTTATTTGGGTACTAAGGTTGGATAGAATTATGTATGGTTATGTACACGCATATAATAGAGTATTAGCAGTCGGGCCAATCAAGGTATCTTCACGTTCTCCTATTGATCTAAGTATTCTATGTCCTGCTCTAAAGAGACTTGATTAAAATACAATGGGTCATAACAATACATTCAAATTTACTTTCAATTGTAGTACCTGCTCAACACTCGGATTTTGAAGTATTGTACCGTATCACTCACCCGCTCCGATGTCGTCTACTTGTTATCCAAACCAGATTTACTAATAACTTGGAATACCTATAACGATGCCTCCCACGCTATGAGATGATTGACTAGGTAGATAAGGATAGTAAGCCAAGAGCCGCATAATTAGGTACCTATGAACTATAAAAATAGATTGCGCCCAAGACTTCGGTGCTAGGTAGGTATCTGACCATATCGCCTTTATCGCTCAATAAGGGGGAATTTCGGCCTCTTCTCTATCGTTAGTGTCATCACGATAGCTTCAATTCCAGCCTAACACTATCTTCTAGTGAGCCATTCAGTCGGAATAAACGCATTGAACTCTAGTTCACATCTGGCAGGGATAATGGGAATGAGGGGTTTCGGAATGCCCGATATCTACTACATAGTAGAACGGGTGAGATCCCGATAACCCCACTAAGCCAAGCGTAGATGGAGCCCCTGAATCGCCCCCTGTTTCCCCCCTGTAGCCCTTAGCGTCATAACCGTGTAGTGCAGATCTACACTGGGATACCGAGGATCAGAAAGGGAACACGAGACCTAAACATGGAAAATAGCTTCATTTGATCATTACTAAGTATAGGGCTGCCTTCGCATTTCCTGGGGAAATTCCTAGTAATCTGCAGTAGTCGACCGAAAATCTGGGGTTAATGATCATGGGATGGACGGATAGTAAGCCGAATAAGACGTCGGGACACCCGATCTTGCAGTTCCAGCTTCGAAATATGCCCCGCAGCTCTTCTACAGTCAAATTCGGACATTTCGCTTCGTTTGTGCATGTCGGCAGTAGTCGCTCATCCTTCTACCATCTTAGAACGATCCGGAATCCAATACTACCGATGATAGGAACGAATACATATGCAGGGTAGTTAGCAGATGCTTCTCATTCATCAATGCAACAGGGGAAGACTCGGCAATCCGGAGAATGAGATTTTCTGGATATGACATATCTCAAAACCTAACTATCTGGGTAGTAAGTGGTCCCCATGTTAGATAAAAGTTTTGAGACTTCTTGATAGCGAGATATGCAAGTGGATGCTCTGAATCGAGATACCGATATCCCTTGGTTAGAATTGAATTCCGATTACGAGACTCTGTAGCATTCTACAGTATCACGTCCAATTGAAGTTGATCGAATGCAAAATTTGGAGAAGTTTGGAGAAGGTTGAAGCCTAGAACTTCTTACGTTACTACTACTTACAGGGCATTGATTGCCGTTTTACGTGCCCCTAACCCCCTGACACTACCTACAGTGGTCGTACATCAAGCAGCCAAGCAGCCAAGGTAGGAAATTGCGGGGGAAGCTTAGATGGGGCTCTGGCGGATGCAGTCTAGCCCCTATCCGTTAGCACTACAGATAACATCTAGTAATTGTAAAGATAAGGCGAATTTCAGCTAGAGAAGAGGAAGAAGATGAGAAGGAGGAGAAGACAATGACGTCGGATGTTAAAGTTAATATTCACAGTTCAACAATCGCGCATTATAGCCCTTGTATCATAGAGTCGCCTGGGTTGAGGTCCCTAAAGATGGAGTTGACGACAGCGAGTAGTCCGCCAAAGAAGACTTCGAAACGATCCTCTAACGCGTAAGTTGTTCTTATCAGAAACCCCCCAAAACCCCACTTCGACGATGATGAGAGTGAATTTGACTCACCAACGCACGATACAGGTGTATCCGTTGTCGCAAACAGAAAATAAAATGTTCTGGCCTTCAGCCATGCGAAGGATGTATGAAAAGGAAAGCGAACTGCGTGTTCGATGATGCCGGTGATAGGGTAGTTGTGAAGAGAGCGTACGCATCAATAGTTTTGATCGAACCATCGCCTTAGCGCTGATGAGAACCCAGGTTCCTTTTAGAACTTCAACAGAAGGCGGCGCGGTCAGAGCGACAGCCACCAGCCGCTGAAGGAAGTGTATCGGCACCATCTCTGTTTGGGCAAGATGCTGATGGCATGCGCGAAGATAGTATGTTCTAGGTTATCAAGACTTTCAAAAGCGGCGAAAATAAAAGTGACTGATACTCTAATTAGGCCACGATCCAAGCGCTTCACAGAATAGCGACGACGACCAAGCCATCTCATCGGAGCAGGGCGCAAGTCAGCCAAATGTGACGAATCTCTTGGCTGCTTCACCATCTACGTTCATGCCCGCCCCAAATGGACAGCAATGTTCGTATCTTGCTTTATGTCATAATTCAACATAAGCTAAAATTGTCTTGTTAGTTTACTTGGGGACATCATCGAATTGGTCTTTTGCGGGCAAAGTCCTTAAGATAGCCCATGAGAATATCCATCAAGCGCCATTGCCACCAAATTCATTACTTTTCGATGGTTTGGCGTACGATTTGGGATGGGACGGGCCTTTGGACCACACAGATCCAGAAGCGCTTGCCATACCGAGCCCTGACTATTCCATATACCTGGTGAACGCCGTCAAGTTCCATTGTGGACAAATGTACCATCTGTTCGAAGACGACGAATTCCACCAGCGCCTTCAACAATTTTACTCCGAGCCTGACAATCCTGGCAGAACATCTAGCTTATGGTACATTCACTTTCTCCTGATCTTGGCTTTTGGCAAGATTTTTATAATGCAGAAATGTGCCGGCAAGCGGCCTTCCGGTGCGGAATTCTTCGTCAGGGCCATGCAACTTCTACCGCCAGCTTATGTTTTCCCTCACGACCCAGTTGCCTCTACGGAAATTCTTTGCTGTATAGCATTATATCTCCAATGCGTTGACCATCGTAGCTCCGCGCATACATACGTAAGGACTATCCTTATTTCCTTTCATGTGCGTCGGTCTAACTTCAGAAGGCTAACGATCAGTAAAGATTGGTCAAGCGATGCGTGTGGCCCTGGCCTACGGGATGCACACAGATATGCCAGAGTCTCAACTCGGAGAGAAACACGTACATAGATGCCGCAAGATCTGGTGGACCATATTCATATTGGACCGACACATGACATCTATGATGGGATTGCCTCAAAACATCCGAGACTCGGAAATTCAATGTCAATTGCCAATATTCCCCGAGTCCGGTCAACGAACGACGACGCTTGACTTACACATCAAATTGGCACGCATTATAGCGGAGATTAACAACAGTAAGTGTCGAGATTATTGTTCAAATGCTCTTAAATATGAAAACAATACTAATGTCATTAATTAGGTATCTATGGTATTAATGGTCGATTGAAAGGAAAATTCTTAATGAGTACGAAGGCATCGCTAGAAAATTTAGCGGGTTTAGCGACCGAGCTTGGGCACACTTTACCCCTGAAATTAGATCAGCCCGGCTACGGCGTTTCGAGGATGTCCGCTTCGCTACATCTTCTTTACCACCAGGTAAGAGTTACGATGCGAAAACAAGAACATTATTAACACAATCCTAGTGTATCGTGTTGGCGACGCGTCCCTTGATGTTTTGCGATCTGAAAATGAAATTTGAGTCCGCAACTTGTCGGAACATTTCCACCCATGACCGTTTTGGTACTCTCTTACAAATGTGTGTAGAGTCTTCTCAATCAATCGTCATCATATTAGAGAGTCTGCATGCTCAAGGACTCCTTGGTGAGTAACTAGCATCGTCCTCAAAAGGCAACAACAACTTACCCAATACCCAGAGACATTCTTATCCCTTGATCTCGATTCTTTACACGCATCATCGATAATACTAGCTATCGCATCCATCGTCGATGAGAACCGCATGAGGGATCGCCCTGCATGGGTGCAGCGATCTCTAGAGTTATTCGATTGCATGATATCGGCCGGAAATCTGGTTGCTAGCTGGCGAAAGTCGGAAATGCAACAACTTGACCAAATGATGAGTGAAATTTTACTTGCTCGTAACAACGTCGCCTACACTACATGTTCAGACGCGAGACTACAACCTCATGATAGCCGAGCCCCAACAACCCTTCCTATCAATCAGGAGCCGTTACCCTTACCACCCCTCCACATGAACGGTATGAGCAGCGGCGATGATCTCTCGGCAGATCAACTCTTGGCGATTGCGAGTTCTATCCAAGATGAGGATGTGGAATGGATGGACCGTGCAATAGCAGAGAATAGTATCTGGTAGAGAAGCCAAACACCGTCTCCAGCATCGTCGGTTTGGTGTACTGACTATCATCACAAGGACTTCCTAGCTTTTCGGCTTTGTCCAATCAGCCATGCACATCTCTGAAACTCGATTTTCGGATCCGCAAGCGATAATTAGTACTATGTCGTTGATTAAGGCTTATAACAACCTGACTGCCTGATACCCTATGAATTATGCCACAATAGCTAAAAATTACGATTACAACTTGTGCTCTCTCGCCCGCTTTATATCGCGATACTCCGTCGTGTTTCCGATACGCCAGCTCACATCACCACCCCAATCGCCTCCACTCTTAGGCTTGGGAGTCTTCCATCGCCACCTAGCATTGTTCTGACCAGTTGACGACGCGAGAAGATCCACGATCCACTTTCCTACAATAGGGAACATCTTGAAACCATGTCCTGAGTCACCAGAAAACACAACGACAGAGTCCGATGTGTTCGGTAGATAGTCGACAATGAAGTCGGAATCCGAAGTGTCGGCAAACCAGCAGAGCGACCTCCTGACGAAAGGTCGGTCTGCTAGCGAAGGTAGAGTTTGACGTAGAAGTTCCCGAAGCTTAGCCTCATCCTCTTCGGGGAGGAAGTCCAAGCTAGCGGCCTTCGACTCAGGAGGCAGTGAGATGCCAGTGTCTTTGTTGGTGTTGACGAAACCTCCACCCATCGGGCAAAGCTTAAGTAAGTTGGTCTTCGGGTCGGGCTCAAAGAAAAACCCAAGGTCTCGAGCATAGACCACAGGGATACCACGAAGCGCCGACGTCTCTTCGTCGGTTAGGTGGACGTGAGCGACGGACCAAGACTTGGCGACGACGTTTTGGCCGACTTCAGGTACCAACTTGGCAGCTGCGGCACCAGCTGCAACGACGACCAATGATGCAGCATGGAACTTGCCATCCTTAGTCTTGATACCTCTACTCTTTTGACCGTTCGGTGTCTGATCGTATACGATGGCTTCTACAGCACCGGATATTTTCCCAAGGAAGAACTTCACTCCTTGGGCTTGGGTAGCCTTGTGAATACCCCTAAGAGCATCGGCGGAGTGCATGTACCCATCGTAACGGTTGAAGTAGCCCTTCCAGCCGTTGAGCGTGCCGGTCAGCTGCCAGGATGCGTCTTGAATATCCTCCCTCGAGTTAAGCGGAACAACATGTTTAGCTAATGTAGGGTGTGCCTCGGCAGACGCCCGAAACCTATTCAAGGTATCCACAGCTTTCGGCTCAGCTTTTTCGGAGCAGCAGTGAAGAAATCCTACTCTGTGGTAGTACGGTTGGAAAAGGGGTGTCTTCCAAGCCTCTGTAGCTTCCTAATATACGGTTAATCAACTAAATAAGACACGATTCTCTCAGATATACTCACTATCGTTAAATCTGTATAGAAGGGATCTTCATATTCAGCACGAATGATCTTATTCAGATCATTAGCCGCCGAGTAAATTGAAGGTACCTCATCGTCCTGCTCAAATACTGTGATATTGGAGTAACCATTCTGGGAAAGGTGTAAGGCAGTAGAGAGGCCGAAGGCTCCAGCGCCTACAATGATGATAGGATCTTGCTTCGAAATCGCCATCCTGAACTAGATTTGAAGCCTAAAATGAGAACTAGTCAAATAACTCCGAAATGAATGCGAATGCCAATTCCGACGATGATACCTTCAACTACCAACAGTCAAAATATCGACAATACTTCGCCATTTTCTATGAGCGACGCAAATGCTCTGGACTCCACGAAGGTCGTTGGGTGGAATCATGCTCACCTGACCGCACTCAGGTCCCGGGTCTAGTGCCGAGAGATAAAGAAGGAGAGGAGACTAGATCATCCACTAGATCCTCCACACTCGGATGCGGGGCCGAACACGCATATACTGTTCCATGGCGTAGTTTCACTGTTGATTGTAAATTGACTAATAGAATAAACAGCGAAATCTACTGAATACCGGCACCGGAGCGTCCAGGCTCATATAGACAGTTCGCGTATCGTTTCCCCAGATCCTTACGCTCGGACTGCCGTCGTCCCGGGGGAGCCTCCAGTGGGTCCTCGACCCCGTTTCCCTTCCTTTGGGTTGGGTATCATCGGCTGTTCCGTATCAACCAATTCAGGTGACATAATATCTATAACTGGAATTACCATTATCTGATACACGACGAAGTCGCTCGTGGTCATGGGAACATCATATGGCGGGGGTCGCTGATGGCCTATCTACGGCGACGACATCGCTTCAGCCAGGCCGAGGCTCCTGGGAAATCAATGTAGTCCGGTTCTAAGCGCCACCTCGGCGGTCTCATTATCTTTCTTATTGATTGATCGAACTGACCGACCGTGAAAGGACGACGCATTGACCAAGATCACCTACTAGTTACTCACCGTGGTACGATCGCGTTGTTCCTGTTGTTGTTGACGTCAAAGCATCTGCAGTAGCATGACCAATGACTCTGAAGCCCCTTTACTGGGCACCCGGAGCGCCGAATCCTTGCAACGTCATCTCCTAGTCGACCTAGCAGCCGCCGCCACGGCAGCAGCCTCAATATCCCCCATCATCACCGCCGCCGACAGGTTCGTCCCTCTCAACCTCCCCTCACTAACCCACAAGCTCACACCCTCCCTCACCCCAGAGCCGTCGTCGAAAATGTCTCAACAGGCCGCCCCCTCATCCGCACACTAACCAAGCACCTCCTCTGCCCCTTCACCAACCCGCGGCGTTTCTTCGCCACGCGTCCCGTCTTCGTCGTCTGGACGCTCTACGCAGTAACCTACTTCACCGCGAACATCAGCGAAACGCTCATCGAGCGGTACCTGCACCCAGACCGCAAAGCCCTCACAGGCACCCTGATCTCCTCCGCCGTGTTCGTCGTCAACACCCCGCTCAGCGTGTGGAAAGACGTGCGGTTCGCGCAGTTCTTCGGGAACCGCGTCACGGCTGCCGCGAGTCAGGTCCCGAGGTCAGGCGGCTCGCCCGTGACCACGGCCGCGGCGAGCCGCGCTTTGGTGCCGAGGGGCATGCCGAAGTCCGTGAGCGCGGCGTTTTTAGCGCGTGATGTTATTACTGTGTTCGGCACGTTTGCGATCGCGCCGCAGGTCGCGGCGCTGATTCCTGATACTTGGGCGCACACCGCGCAGGCGAAGGCGGATGTTGCGCAGTTGATGGTCCCGGCTGCGACGCAGGTCGTGGCTACGCCCGCGCATTTGTTAGGTCTGGATTTGTATAATCGGCCTGAGACGAATGGGCTGGTCGATCGGATTGGGGGGGCGAAGAGGAAGCTGTTTTCGACGATGACGATGCGGGCTGCGAGGCTTATCCCGGCGTGGGGGGTGGGGATTATTTTGAATAATCATTTGAGGGCTACGTATAGAGAGGGTGAGGGTGGGGAGGTTACTTAGATGGGCGTTGGAGTTGATGAAATTAGAATATCCACTGAGTTTTGGGTGTTTGTTTGATGAGGGGTGATTCTTAGGTGCCGTTTACAGAGGCGATAGCGATAACATCTGTCACCCGGTACAGGCAGGTACCTGTAATTTGGCGGGATTACGAAGGTTGTCGCGTGCTCCAGGGCTATCATCAGCCCTGAAGGGAACATACGGCGAGCAAATCCGTTAATTCCAGTGCGTCTAAGTACCCCCAAATTTGGTCCTTGAGCTGCGGGTATGGATGGTGTAAATTGGAGGATACGGGATACTCTCCTACCGTGTGGCGTTTGTTTTTTCAGTGGCTAAGCTCTAGAAGGCTCCTTAAAAAGACTTCAACTATAGCGGTTATCTTCTACAATACAGCAGATAGAACACCACCAGGTCTCGGTCTGAGCCTGGACCCAACACAGTATAGAATAATTGCTCATTTAATCACACACTTGGCAAAGGATCCATGGATGTCCAAATTTTTAGCCCGAACCTTTGTCATTCCCGACACCAGTCAACCCCCAGACCATGATAAATTTAGCTCGGATCAGCGTACGCGTCTCGACAAATATAGTGGCTTTCCCGGTACCCAAAAAAAGATTATAGAATACATACGAATTCACTTCCAAGTTTAAATATTTTGAAACGCAGGATACAAATCGTCCGACACTAATTATTTTATGTATGCAATTCTTTTTTAGATTCCGGTTACTATACTATACATTTCACTATGTTAACATTTTAAACCTAGACATTGCTAGGATACATAAAGCCTTCCTGTCCAAAGAACTCCTCCTTGATTAACCTAGGGCTTGTGAAACGCAGCAAGACGTTAGAGCTACCAGCCTTGTCGTTGGTACCGCTGGCTCGGCTACCGCCGAATGATTGTTGGCCGATAAGAGCCGCTGTGGTCTTGCAGTCTGAAAACCGCGTTAGTTACTAACTTTTGAACAGTATGGTTTCTGGAAGTGTTGGACTTACTCAAGTAAAGGTTACCAGCCGAGTATCGCAGGGTGTCCTCTGCCTCTCGGAGAGCAGAGCGGTCGTTAGCGAAAACAGCACCAGTTAGAGCGAAGCCACCGCCGGCCTGGTCAACCTGTTTTAGTGTGGAAGACCATTGGTTGTCGGGGTATACGTAAATCGCCAAAACAGGACCGAAGATTTCTTCGTTGAATAGTTTGTGCGTCGGCGAGTCTGCGACGTATACTGTGGGCTTCACGTAGAAGCCGGTTGAGTCGTCGTACTTGCCACCGACTAACAGCTTCAATGAGGGATCCTTGTTGCTAGCATCGATAACTGACTTGATCTTGTCAAAAGATCGTTGGTGGATGACGGGTCCCATAAATGCGCTAAGATCCTTGTCGGGACTTCCGATAGTGATCTCCTTAACCTTAGCTTGTAAGCTGTCTAGGAACTCCTTTGACCGGGACTCGGGGAGGTAGAGTCGGGATGTAGCCGAGCACTTCTGGCCCTGGTACTCGAACGAGCCTCGAATAGTGTGGTATACGGCGCTCTGGATATCGGCCGTTGGGTGGATGAGAGTGAAGTTCTTTCCGCTTGTCTCGCCGACGACGCGGGGGAAATCCCGGTATGTCTGCTTGCCGATACCCTCGCCAATCTTAGCGTAGATGGAACGGAAAACATCAGAGGAGCCGACGAAGTTCAAGCCCGCAAATTCGCGGTGCGCAAGGATGGTAGAGGTAATCTCCTCGGCATCTCCAGGGATGAATTGGATAACATCAGGAGGGAGACCAGCCTCGAGAAGAATCTTGTATACAATGGTGCTAGCATAAATGTTGGATGCGGAAGGCTTCCATAGCACAACATTACCCATTAAAGCAGGTCCAGAGATAAGGTTACCACCAATGGCAGTGAAGTTAAAAGGAGAAATAGCGTAGACGAAGCCTTCAAGGGGTCGGTAATCCAAACGACTCCACATTCCGTCGCTTCCACGGTCCGGTTGCCTTTCAAGGATTTCGGCAGCATAGTTGCAGTTAAGACGGAAAAAGTCAGCCAGCTCGGCGGCGGCGTCAACTTCTCCTTGCCAGATGTTCTTGCCCTGGCCGAGCATGGTTGCCGCAATAAGTTCATATCGGTATTTAGTTGCGACGAGCTCAGCTGCCTTCAGGAAGATAGCGGCTCTGTCGACGAATGGGGTTTGCTCCCACGACTTCTTGGCCTTTAGCGCAGACTCAATGGCATTAGAAACTTGCTCCTTTGTAGCCTGAGGGAAGTTGGTGAAAGTAGTAGCATGCTCGCTAGGAAGCGGCTGATCTATGGACTGAGACTGCGCCTGAACCTTGCCGTTTACGAAGATTTCACTCTTCAACGGAAGTTGTTTTCGCAGTCTAATTATGGCTTCCTCCAACTTTGTTCTTTCCGGAGAACCTTTTCTGTATTCAGGCTGAAAATCATATTAGTAACCGATATGTTATTTGTAAGACACAGGAAACTCACGTTGGGCTCATTGCGAGCGGCTGGTAACCGAAAAGGGACGGTAGCTTTGCCTCTCCTCGGAATCGCACCTCCAAGACCGCTTCGGGCCTGGAAAGCCTGCAACGGCTTTGACACGACGGTTCTTTTCATCTTCCGGACTTCTCAATTTTACAGAGATAATTACAGCTGGGTGAATGGAGCACAAATTCAAAGATTAATGACTTCTTAGATATTCTGCTGATATGTTCAAAGACTTCTCACTTGAGTAGGAGTCGATGTTACTACCTATACTTCAAGTAATAAATCCATCTCCGCGAATAGGGGAGCACGCCGATTGCGGCAATCCCTCACTTCACCGGCCGGTGATACTATTACGGAGAAGTTAGTTAGTGACGTCTTAAGTCGCTTCATGGCGGCTTAACTTGCGTTCCCCCCGAAGGCAGATCTCGGGTCGCTTGCCGTCTTCCCCACTACGATATCAGGGGTTCGCATTTCTCCGCGTTGGAGGCTCGGGCCACCCGATAATACACTATACTAGCTTGGAGGGCTTGGAGGAGGTCCGATTTATGCCCGGCGCAGATGCCGGTTCGGCATCTTGAGTTCGTCATGAATTATATGCATGTCAGTCAGTTTAAGATGAAGGAGAGGTGTCGAGTTGTATAGAGGCAGCAGCTCATCGCTTTGCCTTGTGTGTTTTTTGAGAAGGTCCGCAGATTCATTCATCCATTCGCATTAACCCACGGACGTCAAAATGGCCCAACATATTCCTCCAGGCGGCGTATGGTGCCCCGCCGCTACCTTTTTCAACCCAGAAACGGATGAACTAGACCTAGAATCGCAAGCTTCCTATTATTCGTACCTGTCGCGAACGGGGCTGGCTGGTCTAGTCATCCTAGGCACAAATGCTGAAGCGTTTCTGTTGACGCGCGAAGAGCGTAAAGCTTTGATAGCTACAGCTCGCAAGGCGATTGGCCCCGACTTCCCTATCATGGCGGGATGCGGAGCGCATTCTACCAAGCAGGTGCTCGAGCTCATCAGTGATGCGGCAGAGGCCGGAGCCAACTCCACCTTAGTCCTACCGCCTGCGTACTTCGGAAAGGCAACGACGCCAGAGGTTATCGAGAGGTTTTATGGCGATGTGTCTAAGGCCAGCAAACTTCCGATTGTTATTTACAACTTTCCGGGAGTGTGCAATGGTGTAGACTTGGGTTCGGATATTATTACCAAATTGGCTAACAAGTACCCGAATATCGTCGGAACGAAGCTTACATGCGGTTCGGTAGCCAAGATCACTCGCTTAGCTGCCGCTCTCCCTAATTTCGCGACGTTCGGTGGTCAATCCGATTTCATTATTGGAGGATTGAGTTCCGGGTCGGTTGGATGCATCGCGGCTTTCGCGAATGTAGCTCCGAAGACAATTGTCAGAATTTACGACCTCTACCGGGAAGGAAAATACCAAGAGGCCATGGAATTGCACAAGAAGGCCGCCTTAGCAGAGCAGTACATCAAGGCGGGAATTGGCGCGACAAAGTTCGCTGCTGCCATACGGACTGCGACTGCGGCAGGTATTACCGATCCGATCACTAAATTACAGCCTAGAACTCCTTATATCGGTCCAACAGATGCCGCTAAGGAAGCCATAAGAAATGGCACGGAGGAGATCGCAAAGATTGAGGCCGGCTTACCTCTCCGATCACAATTGTGATTGTGATCCTGTATTAGATAGCTCCTGGCATAGTCATCATAAATAGAAGTAATAAATAAATGGAAAAATAGGTATATGGTTTTCTTGGTGACTCTGCTCTGTTTTACTAGTGCCTGGTATCGTTAACATGAGGATCCTTGCCCATCAACCGCGCAATCGTCACGGCCTCGCGAAGGCCCCGACCTAGGTGGCCTCGCACACCAGCCTCCTCGAGTACCATTAGCCCACCGATTGTGCATCCTTCTGGTGAGGTTCCTTGATCTCTTAAGACTCCGGGATGCACTCCGCTTTGTAGGAGGGTAGCTGTGCCTAACATGGATTGCACTATCGTGGCGGTAGCCTCCTGTCTTGGCATACCTACAGCAACCGAGGCATCTATCAATGCGTCGACGATCACCGCAAAGAACGCTGGCGTAGACCCTCCCACTGCAGTGAATGCATCCATTTGACTAGGAGCTAAGTGCACGGTCTTGCCTATGCGGTTGAATAAGGCATCGGCATATTCAAGGTGTTGAGGGGGTAATTTCGGATCTGGCTTCTCAATAGACGTGATAGATTGTGAGACCGTAGCAGCAATGTTCGGTAGAGTTCGGATTACCCAAATCTTAGAGTCATCCCCATCGCTCGTAGCAGACGCCTCGGCCAAAAGAGTCTCGATTTGCTCTCTTGTCCATCCAGCCACAATACTAATTAGTAATTTCCCCGCAAGCGCGGCAACGAGACCAGGCTCCTGCAAAGTCTCGCGCACATCCGCTGGGTCGACGCCAAGTAAAATAACATCGGAGTGTTTTACTGCTTGCACATTATTTCCTTGAGAGATTTTCAGTGGGCTTTGAGAATTAGAAAGCCGTCCGGACAACCGTGTTACAGAACGCTCACTGCGGACACAAGCAATGATCTGGCTAACTGGCAAAGGAGAGGCTTTTTCATCTGCCCCTCCTATTAAGCTGTCTAGGATCGCCGTCCCAAGATTTCCTATGCGAATATTAGTGAATAATCTTCCGAGGTCAAAAACAAAGACAATGCAGCATACCGCAGCCCAGTATGCACAGAGTCGACATCTTGTACAAGGTAAAGCCGGTGATAGAGGTCTAATGAAACCAACTAGAAGCTTGGTGCATGTATTCGCGATATTCGGTATATTCTCCAAGCTCTTGAAACATTTCTGCTTCGGCTCTTATGACGTACCTTTGGGATCTTCCGCACATCATTGAGGGCTGGGCAAAGCACGGAAGAGCCGATTCCCCAATCTGTGCTAAAGATCGAATACCGGATCACTTACCGATCGCATTAAGTTCATTACAGAAAGTTGTGGGTAATCAAGGGTCCAAGGACTGGGGTGCTAGATAACCCCGTGGGGGCTGTTTATGTCATCTGGATTTCAAGTCAAAATCGACGCAATTATTATGTAACCCTGTTCTTAATAAGCTTATTAATCTATGCATTCATAAATTCAATCCAATTTCATATTTCAAAATGCTACATACAATTTCCAAGTTATGCAATACATTAGGTAACAAACATAGTGCCCCGTTACGTCATACCCCGAACCTTGAAACCATATTACTAAGTTGACAATCCAAATGTCGACTTGAATCTTCTCCAAACTTCCGACTTCAAAGCTGTAAATTCGTCCGTCGTTCGCGTCACCGCGTCACGGTTCTCCACCGCTCGCCTCAATAAATACGCCAAGCACTCGCCCATGCTACCCCAAGTGGAGCATTTATACACATCTGGCGATGTCTGATTTTCATCCTTCTCCGCTAGCAATGAAAAGCTGACCTCGTCAGACATTCCATGAAGCTGGCCGAAACCCACGGGTACGGTAGGTAGACCATTCTTAATTCTCTCTTGGTGTAATTTGTTGGCTCCAATTACACTCTCCCTGTTGTGGCTAGCTAGGAAGAGATTGACAGAAGGGAAAGCCTTGCTGCCCTCTCCTCCAAACCCGCCGAGTTGCTTCGTTAGCGCGCCCGTCGCAATGCCGTTATAAGCGTCGTCGGTATCTTGTTTCGTATCATGGATCAAAGATCGATCATCGGAAAGAATATACGCGCCGCGAACTAGCTTGAGGCCCAGCGTAAATCCATCTTTACTCGCGGCTTCGAGATGCTCTGCGATGTTAGATGGAGTTTTCTTGAGATATGCTTGGTATGTGTTGTAAACGACAGCAGAACCGTCGCGATTGAATTTTCGCATCAGATCCAGAGTAACTGCTGAGATCCCCTTTTGGAAATGCTGCGACTCGGCATCGATAATAACTTGAATTGAACGAGCTTTGCAAGCTGCGCAAATCTCGTTGATTGCATCTAAGAATCGCTGAGGTGGCGGTCGACCTTCAGCGAAAGCTTGTGTTACCTTGGGACCAGCCCCGGTTAGCCTTGAATAATCGTTAGCTTTATACCACGGAACCATACAGATTGAGTGCCTACTTCACAGCAAGAATATCGCCTTCCTCGATCAGGTTGACAGTCTCGAGAGTTCCAACCCGCCATTCTTCTAGATGCGGACATAGGTCTGCTGCAGAAGAACTAGTAATGTCGCCAGAGTCAACACCTTGCACATCGGCTTTGTTGGTTTTATGGTCAAATACAGTTTCCCGTGCATATGTTAAGATCACGCCCTTAAGCCCAAGATCTTTGAGTTGGCGAACACGGCGCCTCGTCTCCGGCCCCGTCTCCCCCGCGCAGAATTGATTATAAAAAGTCTTCTTCAAAATCCCATAGATAAGCGGGTTCTTTTCGACGTGAAGAAGAAAGTTCCTATCAGGTTTTGCGAGAAAAGAAAGAATCTTCAAAGATGGTATGAGAAGCAATCGTTTCGACGATATCCCGGCTATGAGCAGGGATCTTAGCAGCATCCCATTGGGTAACGGTGCTAAAGGGAATCGACTAGTAATGTGCGGTGTCGACGGCGGCAGGGTTGCCGAAGTCGAGGCATTCCGCAGGGATGTTACGACGCGCCCCTTAACCATGGCTGATCGCGCGGCTGAGAAACCCGACAGTATACGAAACCGACCCGATCGCTATGACAGTTTCTTGAAAGTGTTCGGGTGAGTAATTTTCACAACAAAATCGTCAAATTAATAGTATGTGAGTGAACTTGAGTATGAACTTGAGTATGAGATTGAGGTCCTTGAGTCTCATCAAGTCCGGTTCACGATCTATGGCCATATAGTCCATATCAATTACCATCGCTCGTGCGGGGTGCTCGAGTTCAACGCCGTTTACGGTCTCGGGACCTGAACCGATGGTGTTGTCGGGGTCCGGCCCGCTACTATATTCCCCAGATGTCTCCTCCCGTTCACTGACCCCGTGACAAAGCGATCCTTCCATGCGCGTATCGTACATGAACACATGATTTAGGTTGCCATCAGCCGCATCTAGTTCGTACGAGATGAAACGGGAGGCGACAAAATGTATGACAGAAGGTAACATATCTGCCTATCAGTCTACTAGATAGCCTTATCATTAGATAAGTTGTATTGAGCTGGGGTAAAATCGGAGTTAATCCTCATCCCGGCTAGCCGAGGTGCTCGACCCCCAGCGATCGCCGTCATCCTGCGATAAGAGTGGGGACTTGGCCGTCCGGTAGAATCATAGCAGATGTCGGGCCAACCGACTCGTGTCTCGGTGAGCGCACCTTGCCGAATTCTCGAGACAAGGGGACATTCCTGATCTGGGACAGTTACGCACTTCCTCGTACCCGGTAGCCTGGTCTATCGCGAACCCTGGTAGCTTGGCTTTTACTCAATTTCGAGCCTTTTTACAGGCTTGATCAAACCTTCTGAGATTTTTTTTCTTTTCTTCCATCCTTCATCCTTCATCTTTCACGTTTGTTCTGTTCATGTTATGTGTTAGCCTCATACTGCACTTCATGTTTAACTTTTACCACGATCTCGAGTAATTCCATCCACCGCACTCACCCCCTCCATCTTCATAAAATGGATTCCTCCCAGGAGAAGGGTGATATGGGTGACAAGTCACTCACCCGTAGTATCACTCGGGGCGAAAGTGTTCACATGGGGAGCTTCACGGAGACTACTGCGGGCGATGACCAGCTCAAACGACATCTTGGAAACCGACAGATCCAGTTGATCGCGATTGGTGGATCTATCGGCACGGCTGTCTTCGTCAGCATTTCCAGTGGTCTTGTTGCTGGTGGCCCAGGAAGTTTGTTCATCGCCTACAGCATCTACTCTATGGTAATGGCTCTTGTGAATAACTCCATGGCCGAAATGGCGGTTCTCCAACCCGTCACTGGTGGCTTTATTCGAATGGCTAGTAAATGGGTTGACGAGTCTCTTGGTTTTATGGCTGGCTGGAATTTCTTCTTATATGAGGCTATCTTGATTCCTTTTGAGATTTCGGCTTTAACATTGGTTCTTTCTTACTGGCGCGACGACATTCCCGTGGCAGCTGTGATCGCTGTCTGTATCCTGCTATACTTGTAAGCTGGCCTCCGAGATCAACGTATTCCAATCCATTCACTAACAAATTTTCAGCTGCATCAACATTTTTGCGGTAGAATGGTACGGTGAGGCTGAATTTTGGTTAGCCACCGGCAAGATCGCCCTCCTCGCAATTGTCTTCTGCTTCACTTTCGTTACGATGGTTGGAGGTAACCCACAGCACGATGCTTACGGCTTTCGATACTGGCAAAACCCTGGAGCTTTCGCTGAGCATATCACAACCGGTGCATTGGGTCGTTTTGAGGGATTTTTAGGTACGTTATTGCTCTTGGGGATATCGTATTCGAAAAATTATGACTAACGTTGAGAAGCTGCTATGTGGAGCGCCGCTTTCACGTTCGTCGGACCCGAATATGTCGGTATGGTGGCCGGTGAAACGAAGTTACCTCGCCGATACCTGAAGAATGCTTTCAAGACTGCATACTACCGATTTACCCTGTTTTTTGTTGGAAGCGCCTTGTGTGTCAGTATTGTTATCCCGTACAATGACAAGACTCTGTTGTCTATTCTCTCGGGCGCCTCTGGTGGTGCTGGAACTGCTGCTGCCTCACCTTGTAAGTTCACATATTCCACCACTCCTATTCCAGATTTATAATTATATGCTAATAATATTTGTTTAATTAGACGTTATCGCCATGGGCAACCTAGGCATCGGAGTTCTACCTCACGTCACCAACGCTCTTCTCGTGACAAGTATTTTCTCAGCCGGAAATGCCTATACCTACTGCGGCAGCCGTAGTCTTTACGGACTGGCACTCGACGGACAAGCCCCGAAGTTCTTGCGAAAGTGTACGAAGGCCGGTGTTCCCGTTTACTGCCTGGTCATCACGATGTGCTTCCCATGCTTGGCCTTCCTCAACGTATCCAGCGGCTCTTCCCAAGTATTGAGCTGGTTCGTGAACCTTCTTACCGCAGCCCAGATCATCGACTACATAATTATCAGCATTACCTTCATCTTCTTCTACCGCGCCTGCAAAGTTCAGGGCCTCGACCGAAAGACTCTTCCTTACTATGGTTACTTCCAGCCGTACTCTGCTTGGATTGGATTGGTATTCATGACTACTGTTGTCTGCACTTACGGCTACAGCGTTTTCTTGCCAGGAAAGTGGGATATCAAGTCGTTCTTTACCTACTATACTATGGTTTTACTCGACCCCATTCTTTACATCGGATGGAAGGTTTGGCATCGCACTAAGTTCGTTAAGCCGGAAGAAACCGATCTGGTCTGGATCGCCCCGAGCATCGACGCTTACGAGGCCGCTTTCATCGAGGATGCCCCTGGTTTCTGGACTGAGATCGCGCAGATCTTCGGGTTCAGGAAGAAGAAGGTGACGAGCGATTCGTCGTCTTCCGCGGCCGAGTCGTAAAAAATATTCGTTAGATTAGACTTTTTATAGAGAACAACGTTGTTCGGGTAGCCCCCCTTTTACCTAGGGGGTAACCCTTCTCACTATGTAATCTTTTTTTCGTCCGCCAGCGTGTATGTCCTTCCTTCACCTACATGATTCTTTAATTCCCCATAGTAAAGGGATATTTGCGCGAATACACGTCAAGTCAGGTTGTGTAAGTCGCGTCGTCACCCCTGTACCTTCACCACAGCTACTCATAGAATACGCGAAAATGGGCATCCGATTTTGGGCACGATTATAGCGCTACTGCCTGCGGCACGTAACAGGCGCATTTACGCAATTGACAATTTTCGGGTACCTGCCCCCAGTCGAGGTCCGAGACATAATCTTAGTAATAGAAGAAAGGGGTCGTCCAAATCATGATTCCTAACCTAGAAGAAATACCGAGATTTATATTATTAGGTAATTAATGGTAGCATACGACGTCAGATCTTATAATCATACTCCAAGCCATTATATAGTGGGTGATCTCTATCGGGAACAGCACCCGGCACGTGTGCCGATTTAGTGTGGAGAGGCTCGGGTCCAACTCCGAGCACTAATTGTGCGCCTATATCGACGTATAATGGGCGAACTAGGAGTATATTGTGTGCAACAGGAATCTGTGTGCGCATTTCAGCAGGCTTTCGTTGGCTGATCTCAAATTCGTAAGACTTCATTCTATCAGATTTCAGATTAGTCATCCGCCATGTTTCAGAGCGCACGCCCGGGTCCCCCGGATCCTATGTTCACCTTGAAAAAGCTAGCCGATGGAGATACATCGCCTAATAAGGTCGATCTCGGAATCGGTGTCTACAGAAATGAGCAAGCCGGTTACCATGAGCTAGAGGCCATCAAACAGGTATGATGTTCTGCCTTGTTGACCTATACCATACCGAGGGCTCATCCGAGACAATATAGGCTAAAAAGATTCTGGACGCGCGAAACCCCGGCCATGATTATGAGGTCACAGTTGGAAACCCGACTTTCCTAAAACATGCAACTCAATTGATCTTCGGCTCCTCTAGTAAGGTGTTCCAAGACAAGAAGGTCCGTCATTAATAATACCCCTCTCGGCTTCGGTGAAGATTGGCTATTAATACAAGTAACAGGTAGCATCCGTGCAGACGATCTCGGGAACGGGTGCCAATCACATCGGGGCGCTCTTTCTAAGCCGATCGGCCGAGTTCTCCGGCAAGACCGTCTACATCGGCATCCCGGCCTGGGGTAACTACGACCCGATATTTAGCCTCGTCGGGCTGGAGATCGCAAAGTATAAGTACTATGACATCGAACATGGCGTGTACTTCCCGGAAATGCTACAGCTGGTGAAATCGGCTCCGGCGAAGAGTATCCTCATCCTTCAAAGCTGTTGCCATAACCCCACCGGCGCGGATCTCACGAAGGACCAATGGGATCAGTTGGCTGATGCGTTCAAGGAGAATGATGTGCTGCCTTTCTTTGATATCGCGTATCAAGGTCTTGGAGCCGGTATTGATGAAGATGCATATGGCATTCGTCGTTTTGCAGAGCTAGGGCTTGAGTTTGTGGTAGCTCAGTCGTTTGCCAAGAATTTTGGCTTATATGGTGAACGTGCCGGCGTGCTGCATATCATTGGAAAGGACGAAGAGAATGCTCGAAATATAGGCGATCAATTGCGTTGCCTGGTCCGATGGGAGTTCTCGTCGTCTCCTGCTTATGGTTCCCGATTGGTGACGATAATACTGGATGATGCTGGGTTAACCAAGATATGGTTAGTGCCCTGTTAAAAGCGATTGCGATAATCGGAACTGGATGCTAATGAGAGAAAATCCGAATAGGCGTGATGAGTTGGATACCATGAAAGAAAGGCTGCTGTATAACAGACGGACACTCTACAACGCTGTAGTGAACGAACTTAAGGTTGTCCCCCAGTCCCACAAAAACGACTGAATCATACTGACATTATTCAGGTTCCTGGGAATTGGGAAGTCATAACATCGACCACAGGTCTATTCTGGTAAGTGGATGCTACGCATCTCTCCTTGGGGCCACGTTAACGATCGCAGCATTTTACCCATCACCCCTCAGCAATGCGTCTTATTAAGGGAACGACACCACATCCACCTTCCTGAAAGTGGTCGTATAAATGTTGCTGGATTGAATAAATCGAACTTCGACTATGTCGCAAAGGCTCTTCAAGATGTAGTAGGGAATTAAGGAGTTCATGAATACCTAATGTCTTAGGGGTAAGGGGTTGTCTTACGCGATGTATGGATGACATAAGTCTACCTTAACCCTAACCCCTATATTACGTAATGCTTATCTAAGCTTGGGGTTAGGGTTAGGGATAGGTTTCCGCTTAGATAATACAGGTCTTCTGCATAAGTTCCAATTTGCCTACCTAAAACCTTTTGCTTCTTGAGATATTAACTTCACATATCTTGATAATGTTCTTGACATAAATTAGAGTCACTTATCTCGCGTTCTTCCGGCTGTGTTTCTATTTTTAGTGAACTTCGCCGCTATCATCGATCCACAACATCGGTTCCACCCAGCTGGCAGCATGGTTCGCAGGGATTATAATGTCAGATAATTCTCCTATCTCTAGCTGAATCCATGGTCTGGTTGATCACACCAAGAGATCCCGGATCTTCTCCGAGAGATATCCTACTCTTATGATAACGAATAGACCTTTGTCAGGTTGGGTATAGTCTTTTATAGGGTTATAACGCGCGTTCGGAGCTGGGCATTGGGATTGGGTAGCCCGTATCTCATGAGATAGCATTCGTTAGGTGAGGTCTTGTTGAAATTGGGATAGCAACGATGTCTCAAGTTGAAAGACGACATGATCGCGGTTGGACGTATGCCGAGGAGAATCATGGTGGGGGCACGTTAGCAATGTGCCAGTCACGACTGATGTCACAATTGACTTCCACAATAAAGATGAATGTTGGTGAAAGTAATTAATAAATTTTCGCATTTTTCATGCTTTATGAATCTATCTAATCCGCCGTGATGGCATCTATTTTCGTAATCATCCTGTTGACGTGCTATGTGTCCGTCGTCCTCTATCTCATCCAGAAAAGGTATCAATAATATGTGTCAGATTGCCATCTGCCCCGTGCTGAATCTATTCCCCCTATTTCCGCCCAGCTCTTACGCGTCCAGGTAAAAGCGGCGCGATGCCATGGAAAATTCCGATCAGCGGAATTGTCAGAAAAAAAATGAAGGAAATTTTCGAACCCTTTCTACCTAATGTAAGTCGTATCAGTTCATTCCTTCTTAGACACCCATTTAAACGGCTTCCTCAGCACGCCTACGAACTTGCCCAGAGTACCGAAAACATAGTTAAGCCCGAAATTCCAACCGCGAACGCGTACCGTGTAGATGAAGAAGTATACGAGCATCCAATTAGAGAAGCAGAAAGCCAGAAATATACCAAAGTCTAGTTCGGTTATCAATGTTAGAGCGTATTCTACTAGTGAAGGGACTTGAGGAGACTTACTTCGCCATTTATCGTCGGCATTGATGTTAAGCGTGGTGAGGTACTGGTTACCAACGCTGTATTGGCAATACTGGCAGTCGCTGTTCGCGTCGGGGTTGACTAGATAACCTCCAGCAGTTCGTGCAAATTCGCCTGCGTAAGTCTGGCAGGTCTGGTTCTGGGGCACATCAAATCGAGCGGTTTCCGACGGATCACACTGGACGGGAATGCCGTCGAGACCAGCAGCCACCATGCCGCCAATCCAGTATGTAGCCGGGTTCGCCCAGTACATCCACGACCTCCAGAAGACGTTAAGCATCGCGTAGGGCTGCACTACACCGTTGAAGAGACCAAACATGACGAAAAAGAATGGTAACACGTTGGAAATGACGGTGAAGCTGGGCGCGAATGCGCAAATCCATTGACCCCAACTAGTCATGAATAGGAAAACGAGAACCGTCATTAGGAACGAGTATCCGGCGACGAAACTATCGTTAGCAATACCGGTAGGCCAGCACCATAGCGCCCAGTACAAGACAGCAGATATGACGGCAGCAGGGAGCTCGGCGACGATGTTGGCTGTGCAAAAAGCGACCCAGCCATAGATACGAGATGGATATTCGCGAGTTTCCCAGAGTGCCATGTTGGAATCGAACTTAGGTACCACAGCGTTCACAATGGTAGGTGGAATGATGACGATCATAAAAATTGTGAACATGCGGTTCTGCATATCTTGGACGCTGTACCCAAGCTTCCAGAAAGTGAACCCGTTGAAAATGCCGATGATGATCGCCGTGAAGAATTTGCCGTAAAGGTACGAGGGGTCGCGCCAGTATTGTCGGAACATACGTTTGGTTAGTTCTACTGTCTGCAGCCATGTTGACGCTGCGTATTCCATCTGCTGTTCCTTGGTAGGGTTCGCACCCTGTGATACCGTGCTGCGGATTCGTTTGAGACCGTCGATTTCTTCCAAGACTTTTTCTGCCTGTTCGCTATTCCTCCATTCTTCGTTCCAATCTACTTTGGTGCCATCGGTACGTTTATGCGGTCGTGCAGCTGTCTCGAGGATGAATTCGGCGATGTTCTTGCCAGGAGGGCAGGTAGCTCCACGGTCGGAGAAGTACTTAATCACGTCCTTGCCGTTTTCACCGATGGGGCCGAAGTAGAACGTGTTTCCACCAGGGTTGAGGGCGAGTACCATGTCGAACTGTTGGATGAGAACTGAACTTGGCTGGTGAATGGTGCAGACGATGGCTTGACCAGCGGCGCAGAGCTTCTTCAAGAAAGAGATGATCGAATAGGCGGATTGGGAATCGAGACCTGAGGTTGGCTCATCAAGAAACAGGAGTAGGGACGGTTTAGCAGCCAGTTCAACACCGATAGTCAGTCGTTTACGCAATTCGACACCAAGCGAGCCAATAATGGCATCTTGAAGATCGTTGAGTTCCAGGAGGTCGATGATTTTGTCAACGTACGCGAGCTTTTCGGCTCGGGGGATTGATGCTTCCTGTCGAAGAAGTGCCGAGAACTTGATAGCTTCGCGAATGGTTTGTGTCTTATCGTGAAGATCCCCTTGGAGACAAAAGCCCGTATTTCGCTGAAACTCCGGGCCCAGAGGCCTGCCGTCAACGAACATTTCGCCAGATATTACACCAACACGTTGTCGTTGCGCCAAAGTATTTAATAGGGTTGACTTGCCAGCACCAGATGCGCCCATCAGTGCGACCATAATTCCGGGTTTAGCATAACCACTGACTTTGTTCAGAAGCTTGCGCTGGCCGCCAAGGTAGGGTACAGTGTATTCCACATCGCGCCAGGTGAAAATTGATTCGCTCTTCGTAAGTTGTTCCAACGTTTCTTTCTGTTCATCGGCCGTAGCCTTTGAATTGCCAACCCTAGTCGCCGAAGACCCGCTGCTGTCGGCGCCTGCGTCTTTCTCGATATCGGACGGCGCGGCGGCTTTGCGTGCTTGTTCCTCAGCCCTTTTGCTCTTCTTGAAGATAAGTGCACCACCTCCTTCGGATGAGAAATCGAAAACCTCTGTCGCAAAGACCGTGACGATGATATACAAAACCATAAACGCGATAACGACGCCGAAGTTTCGCCACAGGTTTGAGCGACTATAGTTCAAAGCGGTTGCCAAATAATCGCTTCCTGCCACCGTTCGGGAGTTCGGTTTAGATCCGGAGAGGGCGCATCCTTGGAATTCCGGCAGCACATTTTGTCCTTGAGGTACAAGCTGTGAGGAAGCACAATCCATTATCCGATTCGAAAGTTCGTTCGTCAAAACCGCCTCAAAGCTGTAAGACATCGGGTTTATCCAGTAGAGCCAGCCGAACCAGATATAGTCGTTCAGGAGTTGTGTCTTAGGGAGAACGTAACCTGTGTAGATGACAAGCAGATTTAGGGCAAGACTAGAGAAACGCACAGCTGTGTTGATTTCGGGCGATAAACTGGCGAACATTCGATACATGGACGTAATCATTAATGTTGTCGTATAAACAAATAGCATGTAAATCCAGAATTTGCTCACATCGACATCAAGATTGGTCATGAAATACATTGCCACCCCAAATATGCACACTTGCACAAAGATCACGGGAATGTCTTGGATGACTCGGGCAACAACTACAGCAGATGGTCGATAGAAGGCGTAGTCTCGGTGACGAGATACAACGGTTCGTCCCGAAACCGCTTTCGTGAGTTCGGATAGCTGAAGCCAACCAAGGAAGACAATCGAGAAAAAGAGTGCACCGCCGCGCGTAAATGCTCCTGCAGTCGTGGCGGGTTGTTTATAATAGATAGAACCGACGATAAAACCGTTCGCGACAATGATGAAGAATTTCGTCCATAGAGTTGCCGTGTCTCCGAAAAGCAACCAGAATTCTCGTTTCGTACACGCCATTACTTGGCGAGTGAATGAAACAGTGTATGGTGACTCCTTGTTGACATGCTTCGACTTAGAATCCCGTACCGCACCCTCGAACCTCTTCGCATCCGCATAGTCGGTACTCCGTAGATGTTCCTCGTAATCTTGGACGTCGGCCAGTAGCTTTTGGTAGTTCGGCGAATTGCGGAAGGCCTTCTCCAGCTCCTCGGCCGTCTTAGGAGCTCTATCCTCAAATCCAGGCCTGAACCTCCTCTCGTTCGGATCAGTAACGGCGGTCAAGAAATCGGCTGTGGTCTGTCTCTCCGGACATTCGAAGCCGAGGTCGATGAAATATTGTTTGGCATCCCTAGCTGGTCCGGAAAATATTTGTCGGCCTTGATCTATGACCAGAACCTTGTCCATGAGCTCGTAGATGCCCTCGCCAGCTTGGTATAACGTCACAAGTGTGGTGCGGTTGCTTATGTCGGTCATGATACGAAGAGACTTGGCGTAGTCTAAAGCTGTCGATGCGTCCAATCCACGGGTGGAATTGTCCCACGCCATAACCGTCGACTTCGATGCCAACGTCTCGGCAATGGACACTCGTTTACGCTCGCCACCAGACACTCCTCTTATATACTCGTCGCCGATTAGGGTGTATTTCGTATGGCTAATACCGAACATTTTCATTAGTGCATTGGCGATGATCGGGATCTCTTCCTTCGCGCCCTTTTTCGTTTTGTTCATCAGGGCAAACGTGAATGTCTGCCAGACATTGAGTGAGGCGAAATGGATGTCATCCTCGGGATTGTAGTTCACTTCTCCTCGGTACATCTGCTTCTGTTTCCCGGAGGGAATTCCACCGTACGATATCTCTCCCTCGATGGCTGCGAAAGATTCGGTATTGTTGCTGACGGCTTTAAGGAATGTGCTGCATCCAGAACCCGGGCGGCCTAACACTAGCATCATCTCACCGTCACGAACGCACCCAGTGAAATCGTTTATTAGTGTGCGCGTTGGCTGTTTCCTTCCGAATCGAAGGAGGGGAATATAATGTGAAAGGATTCTATACAAGTCGGGTCCGAAAGTTCCTATTATCGCATCCGGAACAGTGCGTACGAAGGAAGATGTGCTTTCGACCCCCTTTACATTAAGATTCTTGTAGATGACGCCGACTCGCTTCTCGGATCCATCCTCTGTTCGCTTTTCGAAATGGCCATCACGCATGAACCTTCCTAATTCGAACTCTTCTTCTTCTGTCCCTGGCTTTTCGTCTCCGTCAAGCTCACCTGCTTCAGCTTGCTTCGTATGTCGTCGAGATAAGTTGCCAGCTGTTTCAAATGGCCTACTAGCCTGCGTTTCCTGGGTCTTTGTTCCGTGTAGCTGCGAAAGGTTTTGTCTCAGTACCTCCAATTCTTCCATAGCCTCGTGCTCGTCGAAGCCGCCAACATCGCGTTCACCCCAAGTGCCACTTTCGTTATTGGTCGCATCAGAGCTACTAGGTCCGTCATGAGCTCCTGAATCTCCAACACTTCCAGTCGCATGTGTGATGTCGTCTGGGTGAGTATCACCACGGTGCCATTGGTTCGTCGGCATTCCGGGCTCTCTACGGCGGAGGGCATCCGAGCCGACGGTGGTAGCCCACATGGCCGTCGAACGTTTATTGATAGTAGGACTTGTCAATGAACGCTACTGGCGGCCCGGAAAATATGCAATGAGTTATGTAAGGGCACAGCACTGCCGAAAAGTCAAAGAGGTTTGACAGTCGTTTGTAACAGGGCGCAGAAGGTAGCAATATAAGGTTAAAGATGAGCAAACAAAAACCTTCAGAATGCTAAATTTCTACGCCCAGTTCGACCGCTGGTTTAAAAAAAACGATGAGCGAAGTTGGTGAAGAATTTGGGGTGACCCAAGGAACTTTCACTCTCTTCATAAAGGCTCCAAGGTTGATTTCTAATCAACGTATTTTTCAGCAGTGAATTAGGCTAGCAGTGAGCACGGAAGAGGATGTACATATCTAAAGAACAAAGCCGCATACCCATACCGTGAGACCCAGCACCCCCGGTCCACCCTACCTTGATTGTTAATACGTCAAGGTTGTTAGTCTTATTATGCACTAATATGCCGGCCGACCGGGTTCCCTAATCCATCAGGAGTTCCCGTTACACAAGCGAGAGCCAGTAGTTTGGGTCTTCCATGCCGCCATATCTCTTTTCCATCACTTGAAGCTGGATGCGTATCGTGAGGCCGTGCGCTGATAGGCTAGGTGGGGGTTTACCTGTCTTCTTACAGGGCAGTTAACTAATACCTTACACAACATGTCGGTGAGATAGGGGTCAGACCGCTCAACAAATGCTGCCGGGAATACGGGCTAGATCCGCGCACATTAGCACCTCTACCTGCTTACGCAGTAATGGAGAATATTTATGAGGTTAGTATTGGTAGCTTGAAATACGAGATCGGCGATAGTAATCTTTCTTTTCTCCTAGTGGGCAATCTATGAATCATCTTTCGTTCAAGGTCGCTCTAATTTCCCCTAAGAACCGGGACCCGATCGGTGTTAAAGTATGGACTTTGCGGCGCTAAGAACCCAGACCCGAACCCACCACCCTTATTATCTATACAAGGCTGAGCCACTATATTTTCGTAAATTTTTCATTCGACGTAGACCCATCCCAAGTTTACTTAAGCCCTACCCTAGACCCCCACCATAAACCATGTCCGGCCATGCATGTAGATCTTCCTCGGGTACCATCCAGCTACCGAAGAATGTGCCAGCCAATAGAAATCTAACTACGTTGGAGGGTCTGCCGCTTATAAACCCAGACCCTGTCGTATCTTGGAAAGCTTCCCCGCAGGCCTTAAGGATTTATCATTGCAACTACTATCATGTGATTATAGAAAGGGATGAAGGTCCTCAACAGTTCCCGGACAATATTTACCATCCCACTCGAAAATAAATTCCTAGGTTGGTACAAACAAAACCCCGTCTTCATGAGGCACGCATTCTCACATACATAGATGACAAATTGAATTATTGTGTTCAATTAAACTATCATCGACCAGTTATCCAACTTAAGTGTTGATTGACACTTGCAGTTTGAGCTGATATGTAGGGCGGTAATAATCAGGTCACAGCAGGAGCTGAAAGACACGGCGAAATTACACTCCAGGAATGGTATCGGGTAGCCGGACATGAATGCGTTGGGTACACCAAACACGGCCAAAATGGCCGATTGATGATAGTTATTAATGTGTTCACATTTCCCCATATTAAACATCAATGTCCTTTTTCTTTCCCTCTCGCCGGATGACTCTTCGGCGCTTACAAATCAATAATGGTACTAATATTCGCGCAAAGCGTGGGACAACTGACCATCTTTTTATTATCACAATATGCCTCCTTGAGAGGTGGTGGGTACCAAAGCTAGCAGGTTCTATCCAGGGAGATAACACAAAAAATCCAAATTCATCCGCATTAATGTACCTGGTATACCAACTTGGAAATTCCTAGGTCTTCTTTTACTACACAAAGTCACAACATATCTAGAGTACGCGCTGACATCAAATACTTGTTGAAGGATTCAGAATGTTGACATCAAGAGGGACTTGCCGGTTTACCCTTTTCCATCTACTTTACCTAAGCGTGCAATCCGGAATATTGTTAAACATCAGAAGTCCAGAGAGACGTTACACGTATCGATGCGCTACGACAATGCGGCATTTCTCATTGGGTTAGCCTTGTTAACAGGTTGCCTTGTGCTACTCCGGGAATACTTTAAATTGATCACATTATGCGACTGTAGGCTGGGAGTCACATGTGCTTCCCTACCTACTTAGTTAGTCGTAGGATACTAGCAACCAGGTAGCAATGATCAGGCTGATTCTTTACCTAAGTAACATGACATATTAAGGGTACCTACTCAGCATACAGGTAAGAATAATAACTACCCACCTTCGCTTTCAGCATACTAAACCCTCTGTACTCTTTTAAATTAACATTGGCAAAGGTAAATGTAGGGAGGTAATCTAGAACGAGTTTGGTAGGTAGGTACCTAATGATAATGGACGACATTCTATCATGGCATCGCCTCCCCGTGAGATATAGGTAAATTCTGAGACTTTCGGGTGTAATTTAGTCACTAAAGTCCGATCCATTAGAAACCTGATGTAACTTGAAATCGATCCTTCTCTCATTACCTGTTTACTCTCTCGAGAAGTCAAATAACCGGACTTTACGTATCACAATCCCTCCGAGAAGCCTCTCAGATTAAGATGGGCAACACGGGGATAAGTAAGACATCCCCGCGATTTATGCAGCAACTATATCATGATATGCAAAGACAGTGGCCTCGACAGGTATTTCCTGGATCGCATTCCTGAAACACGTCAGCTTACTATCAAATAGGTTGGTATTTATGCAAGTCTGTGTTGAAAGGGGTGACCCTTAGCCACCTCATGAAACAGTGAAGATGAATATTATACCCTTTCGCAAAGTCAACAATTATAGAAAGTCAAGGTTCATATACCACAATTGTTCATTATATGCCCATTTCGCCAGGTAGCTATTATTAATTGCAGCGCAGTTCTCTACGAAGACCGTGATAAGTAAGTTACATATGTTAATTGCCTAGGTGGGTGTCTAGCTATTCAATCCAGGCGAAATTTAGACCCAATAAACATTGCCTCTGGTTATGTTGGAAAGAAAACGTAAATATACCTAATATTTAGTAGACATCCATCTTTATGATATCACAGTTGCAATAAATGATGAAAATGTCACGACCGACTCGAATTGCGGATTACCGGGAGGTATGGAAGACGTGATAATAGCCGACGTTATGGTATGTAAAGACGAAGTCTTCGTTAGAAATGTCGGAGCTGCAGAGGTTGTTATGTTACGAGTTAACGAAGGGGAAGTTGGTGTTGTTTTGGATACAATCATTGTCGAGTTAGTGTCGATCTGGGAAGAAGATACCGGCCGAGGCGACTCGGTCGCGCTACTACCGCCCCCTGAAGTGTTAGGGCATGATCCGTCCCGTTTCTGGTTCGGGGCATTTCCGCCCTGGCAACTGCTGGCAACCCAATCCTGTTGATACGGGGAGGACTCCAGCCACACGCGATATGCCGCGTGCTTTGGATTGTAGGGCATGAACTGGTCGGTGAGCTGATTGGCATCGTATTGTACGACAACTACCGCATTACAGTCAGCTGGTCATCCGGAAATAGCAGTGCTCGGACTAGAACTGACCTTTCCCTCTCGCAGAAGTATCTGCTAGTGAATCTACCTCGTCTCTGTCGGTTGGCTTGATATAGCCTCTCTTCGTTATGGTGACTCCTTCAAATGGCGTTCCAGGACCGAATAATGTATTTAGCAGTGTGTCGATCCTGTCATATTCCCAAGTTGGCGCGTTATCTTCTCCTTTGCAGACTTTATTTCCACTCGCGTCTGCTGTGGTGATACACGGACCCGAAACGTAGACCTGTACGTTCTGAGAAGCTTTGTTGAGATCGCCTCCATCTCCAGCTAGATCCGAGGGCTTGACATAGTTACCATTTCCGTTCTTGACGGATTTATCTAGCGAGTTCCTCTCTGGCTGCCGTCCTTCATCGTCCATGAGGCCAGTCTCCATGAAGTGCGACACCCATGCACCCTTCTCGGATGTTATCACGATCGAGGTGCATCTTGGAGAAATTTCGTGTTAGCCCATATAGTTGGAGAATGGGAGCAAGATAGGGGATAAGAACGCCAAGCTTCCAAAGACTCAAGCTGGGTACCCATGAGGGAAAGTTAAGAGCACACTTACCCAGTTACACCGGCAACGTATCTCACAAACCCCTTGTTTAAGAACTGATAGTACTTGGAAACAGCTATACCCTTATTCCAATCTAGACCTTCTGAACCGGAGCTTGATATTGTCTGTATGATGTAGGAGTCGACATTTTTAATCATGCTAGTCGGCTTCAAGTTTCGTTTCTCAAGGCTGTAAGTATCCACTCCTGAATCAGAGGCAGCAGTTGGCTGGGCAGTCCTCCTACTAATCGCGCAGCCTCCCGCAGCGCACGTTGAGTCACATATCCAGCCCGTACCCGAAGAAGTCGTCGCCGTGGAGACTGTAGTCGTTGCGGTGGTCGCTCGGGCTGAACACCCCGAGATCGTTGCACACTTCACGGTGGTGACAGTTTTCACATCCGAGGTAGTAGTCGTGCTGTCGGTGTACCATGACGTCAAGAGCGTTACCGTCTTGGAGCAAGATGACACTGCTGTGGTGATAGAGCATCCGCTCGATGTCGATGATGTTATGGAGTCGGTGGCGGATGTATCAGTGCGAGTTGACTTGTGGCTGCTGGTCGGATTGTCGTCGTGGCTCTTTTCCAGCTCGTTACCTATGTCTTGTAGAGTATCCGTCAAGGTCTCGACGGTAGATATGACCGGATCGACTGCATTGACTATGTTAGCCAGGTTACCGACAACCTTGGCAGCACAGCTAATAAGCTTAGCAGGCGTAGTCAACACATTCTTTATGCCAGAGATTAGACTTCCGCTTCCACTTGTGTTAGAACATTCAGTCGGAGGGTCGGATTTGTCCGGCAAGTTATTATAGAGAGTATCAACCTGTTGTATATCGTTAGTCACCTAGAGAAGTCATAGATTGTAAGATTTGGCAGCGCCTTCGGATACCATCCTCCTTTTCTCCATACCTGGTTCTTGGTGTTGGTTACATCGTCGATATACTGGTCCTTGGTTTTGAGATCTAAGAGATTTCCCCTGTTTTTCCACACAGTTGTAAATAGTGGGGCGATGGCAATGACACTGGATGTTTCGGCAGCTCCAGTGACAGTTGTGGTTGGCGCCGAGTAAGGTGGGAAGCTTGTGACTTCCGTAAGCGAGAATTCTTCTGAGGTTGACGATGATGTGACGGTTTGGCTCGCTGATTCGCCTATGCAACAAAACGGAGATGGGTAATAAGCCATAATGCAATATTCAGGGGGATAAAGGGCATGTACTAACCTTTAGATGTAGTGCTTGCGGAAGATGAAGTAGTCTGCGATGATGAAATAGTTGTTGATGAAACAATTATCGAGGATGAATGGCTTTTAGAAGATGAGATCGATCCGGATAATGAAGAAGTAGTTGATAGTGAAGATGTTGAGGACGGCGGAGTCGACGAGGATACCTCTGAGCTGGAAGAATTTCCGAGGCTTTGAGAAGATAGACTTGTGGATGACGATAGACTCGTAGACGTCGACAGACTCGCAGAAGATGATATTAGAGTAACCAAAGTTCCAGAAGGCTGCTCTCGAGGTAGTTATCAGTTAGAATAGAAGATATTTCAGACTACCTATGCAACTAAGGCAAACTGACCGCTACAATGGTACTGGTGTTCCAGCCACGATACGGTAGTTTTAAATTTTCACGAGCTGCTGGACTCATATGCACTGATGCTTGAACCGTACAAGGTACTGAGAGCAGTACCAAAGCTTTCCAATTCATCGTCTTGGAGCAAACAGTTGATGAAGAAATAAGAACAATAGATATCAAGTTTGGATTTTGAATAGCTAGGTACCTACCCAAAGATTACATGCCAACTATAGCTGAGTTCTCGAGCAACTTTATACTAATGACTGAATGACGCGTGTAGTTACCGTAGCCTCCAGGAGTGATGTTCTCCTTAAGGGTTGAATCTATTTTTATCTTCTTAGTCGTTGAATTCACTCTGCTATGAGTTCGATTATTGTTCAGAAGTGCACTTCTCGATGTTGACTGCGTAACTACAGTGCTCAAAAGGGTTGTCACTTGGAAATTAAAGGGGGGGAAAGACGATCATCTGCATATGATCGGCCGAGTGGCTTGCGGCTGAGAACAGGTTTGCCGTACTCAGCAGCCAGTTACTCGACAACGACCCCTAGTATCATGGGCAATTGTGGTACGGTTGTACGCGAATTCAAAAAGGTAAAGCGAGATTATGCGTAGATCCTAGGTAACCGAAGAATAGCTGAAGTTTTCCTGAGACTACAGTATACTCGAAACCGCCATTGTGAGGCACGTACTCGTCAGCGATTCCTGAGCGGCTTTCGGTCCCATTTTCAAACGTTTCCTCCGTAGGTCCGGGGCGGCTAGACTTTTTGAGCCGGCATTCTAATGGGAATTTTGATGTGCCACATTTGCTGAACATTTTCGCAACGATACCTAAGCATGATTTTTAATGATAAATCATGATTTAGAACCGTTGGTTTTCTGGGATGCCCAGACCCTGAAAAGCAGACAAGATGGTAGCATTTGCTGCAAGAAAGCGAGTACTACTGAAATCTGAATGGCAACTGGAATTGGTCAATTTAGCGCGGGGCATAGCATGTTTACATACTAAAGGCGCTGTAAATTACAGCGCTGAGCTTTCTAGCTCTTTAAACGCTGTAGCCCCTGTAATTTACAGGGATTTTAGGGCTTTCAGCGTTCATTTCAGCGCTATACCCCCTGTAAGATAAATCGCAAAGTTCCCGTAATTATACCGGATACTGTTTCCTCGTACTGTATCCAAGTTCAATACTTTGAATGAATTGACGGGTTGGCGGATTTCGTACTCTATGTACTTCAATTTGAAACACCTGATGCATACACGAGCTGACGAATGTACAAGTGCAGAAATGCCGTGTAACAAACGGCTCTTTTATGACGTCACGCCGCCTGCAGTCCGTTTGTGAGTCTTGCACGGCTCGCTATATATCACATCACTAGGCTGTCTATCAGTGGAGTGATGTCAAACACCATGGACGATTATATACAAGACGGCCAACCTGCAGGCACGGCCGAACTATCATCGCCTCTCACCTGGACCCCAGAACATAATGCCTATACACTGAGCGCAGCTGCAGTTGAAAACGACTCTATCCCCGAACTTAAAAAGTCGCTAGCTCTCGCCCGGATATTTCTCCCTAAATTTGACACCGACTACGTCCAATTCCGCGATGAGGTGTTCCGCGACGTCCTCGGCCACCATTCAATAACCTTACTTACCTATATGCTAGACCACGAAGGGGTGCCCGTTTCTCTGGTAACTCCTAACTCCATCTTCCAATGGGCGTCACTGCCTCTCATCGAGGCGCTCATTGCGCGCGGATGGGATGTCAATGCGCAAGACGGCGCCGCATTTAACGGCAAGCGCCTGATTGATTACCTCGTCCGCGAGCGGTACGGCAAGGAGGATCTGGTGCGATGGCTCATCGAGGGGAAAGGGGCGGCAGTTGAAAGCCAGCCATGTGATACCGACGGCTATAAGACGAGAGTGCAGCTACCGCCCTTGCTTGAGACTTGCGCAGCTTTTGGCTCGGTTTCCATGTTCAAGTTTCTCGAAGAGAAGGGTGCAAGGTCTAGCTGGCGTATCTTGCACGTGGCCGTGGAAACAGCCGCCAGCAGAGGCGCAAATCCCGACTGTGAGGTACCCGCACAGACCCCTAATGAAAAAGCGAAGAACATGAGTGTTGAGATGCTGCACTATCTTGTGGACGAACGCCAGCTAGATATCAACGGTATGGATGCTGATGGAACCCCCCAAAATCCAACAGATAGCCACTGGGATACACCAATATGCTATGCGTCACGTTGCCGGAATGGAGCCCCTGTGGTAAGATGGTTACTCAAGAAAGGGGCTGATCCAACTTCCAAGAACCCTAATTCCGGCTTCGACGCTGTAGCATATGCTAAAGAGGCTAAATGTGATGAGGTTCTCAGTGTGCTAGAGGAGTGGCAAAGGACAAAAGTCCAACGTTAAGGGTTAGATCGGTAATTTCAAATAATAGAGAGAACTTCTGTAAGTTTTAAAAAGGTACAGGAATAAAAGAAAAACATGAGGAACTAGCCAGATGATCAGTATCGGGCTGGGAACTTGAAATGTAGGAAATGGATTACAGAAAGTAATACCCCGGCGTAAAATGATTTTGCAGTACAGGCTTTCCCCTGGCCTACCTTGTATGTCAGAAGCGTAAGGTGGTTGTGGAGATAGGTACCGGATAGGGATCGTCCAAGGGGCAATGTGCCCCGGGATTTCCCAACAGGCATATAGAAAAAGAAGGTACAGCTGCGTAGAGACTGGTCTGAGAAACTGAAAGGGAAAATACCGCCACAAGACTGCTACAGCGATAATAATCCAGTAATAGTAGTAATCTCGCCACACCTGGAGCATAAGGAGAGGTACGAAGCGGAGGACGTGGATAGGTAGGTAGATTTGCGCAAAACGAGAGTTGCGATCGATTATTTGATTTTAAAACCTATTTGTTCGTTAGGTACCTTATAACTCATGATTATATGCTTCTTTATGACCTAATAGAGAACCCTACATTATTATTCTTGCGAATAGGCAGTAGGAAACTTGGACACGTAGGTATCACATCTTAATGATCCAAGGTCTATCCCTGTTCTTCTCCACACTACTATCCACCAATCAAGTCAGTGTAACTTGCCGCATCCGGAAGTTTTTGTAAGTACCTACAACCAAGTACCTTTTCCTAGTAGTTAATCGTAGTTTCCGCATAGATGTAATATACAGGATGATTCTCGCGTGATGACTTACATCAGGTACCCGTAGCATGCAATCTCTTCTGCCATAGCTTAGTATAATAAGCCCTTCTAACAATATACGTAGGTAGGTAGAGAGAGGGACGTTTCTCATAAGCCTTGATGTAGCTGTGTACCTAGGTACCTAGGTAGGTAGCTATATGATCCTTATCCCTAAATGTTCATGATGTTGCATAGGCACCTACCAGGCATGTAAGTAGGTGCCAGGTTGGTTTACAGCAAGAAATTTCCTCAATATAGGTACCTGAGAATACACACTTTTATCCCCTTGACTAGTAGTTATCGCCAGCCGGGGTAGGGGGGCCAAGAGGATGAAAGGCATATAAGGTACGAGGTACAGCCACTGTGAATATACTGAGCAAGTTGCCAGGTTAAACATGAGGATTTCCACATTTTTAGACTCAAGCCCAAAGTCATGGAATAAATGCGAAAGACAGTAGGTAGCTTTACTTGACGTGCACAAGAATTTAGGATACCCTCTACATCATGGATATCAATAGAATGATATATTAATCAAGTATCACAAGCTAATAGGTACCATCTTGCGTCCCCTCTTCATGTATCCTGGAGATCCAACTGAGAGACCCGCGATCTATCCAGTAGGTACCTACCTCTGACCTGATATTGAGAATTTCTTGGGAAAGATTTAGTTAATACAGTAACTTAATCTTAGTGGGAAAAGGGGCGCATTTTCAAGGATTCGTCGTCCTCAGGGTTGTCCAGAAGAGGGAAGTCGACGAACCGTGGCTCAATATACCAAGCTGGATCGCCACCCCATTCATTATCACCATCTCCTTTCATATGAGTAATACTAAACCCGTTACCCATCCATCTCATCTTGTTTGTTCCAGCGCCTTCAATACTTTCAAAATCATAGTCTTCCCATCTTGGTGCTCTCAATGCTTCAAGCGCATGGAGTGTGCTTCCCGGCCATAAACCCGTAATGCGGCTACCCGAGCCTCCGTCGCTCTTGTACCAACTATGGCACGGGTCTGTGTATACGGTGTCCTTGAAATATTCATGACAATACTCAGTCCAATCGTTGATGCGTTCGGGTTTGATACTGATGGTGGCGTAATCCTCTTTTTGCAGCTTGCGAATGCATTTTACTATATAGTCGCCCTCGTTTTCCAATATGACAGTTAGAGATCCTGATCCAATAGCTGAGTTGGGACCTAACATGATAAAGAAGTTGGGGAACGAATCTACCACGATCGAGAGGTATGCCGTAGGGAAGGGTGTGAAACGTGTCTTCAATGCTAGATCGCCACGTCCATAAATGGGGAAAGGCGGAGCAGACGAGGTATTGAACCCAGTAGCACAAACAAGCGCATCGACCTCGACCTCACGACCAGATCTCAGGGTCACTCCCGTCGCTGTTATTGCCTCCACTGGATCAATGATGAAATCCACATTGTCCTCAACCAGCGCCTCGAGATAACCCGGGCCCGGTGAAGGACGCCGACAGCCGATACTGAAAGAGGGAATTAAGAATTTTGCGATTTCTGGCTTTTTGGATAATCGCTCTTCCATTGCAATCCTGGATTCGCCGGTAACCACACGCTGTAAATCTGAGCCTCGCATTGAAATTTCGTGAATGGTTCCGCCGTCCAACTCGATGATTTTTCGAAAGTGGTGGTATTTCTCTGGATTGCTGGCAAATTCTTGGCGTTGCTCAAGAGAGACTTCGTCGGAAACTTTTGTTAACACTACAGTCTAGGTAGATTTGACTATTGCATTATCACTTACAGTCGAGTACATTTGGATCAAGCCCAAGTTTTCTCATTACATCTACGATTGTTAGTTGAACAGACTCCAAAATCTCAAAGGGGACACACGTACTCTCTCCAAATGGACTCGTGATCCATGCCTTGCTCCTAACGAAGCACGACAGTTGTGCCCCTTCAACCTTCTGTAGGGAAGGGACAATTTGTATACCACTAGATCCATTGCCGAGTATCCCAATTCTCTTATTCTTGAAGTCGTAGCTATTCACTCATAAGCGGATGAGTCAACGACTTCAGGTGTCAGGTGAAAACACACTTTTCATTCCATCTTGCTGAGTGCATTACTTCCCCTTTGAAGGACTTAAAACCAGGTATATCCGGCCAAGCAGGGTCGCTTAGATTCCCCCTGGCTGCGACTAGCACATCGGCATCATCTTCAAAGGTCTCATTCGTATCCGTCCGCCGAACAGTTAAAAGCCTATTCTAGGTTAGTATCTGCTGATATCTCGGTTATGATGGCTAATAACCATTTCTTCCTACTATCATCCCAACGACATGTTTCTACTTTATGTGACAACTTCACGTGTCTAAGAACTCCGTATTTCTCAGCTGTACCGTGGAGATATGCACAAATCTCGCTTGCAGGGGCATAGAAAGCCGACCAATTAGTATTCGGGTTGAAAGTGTATTGGTATGAATGCGCTGGGACGTCGCATGCACAGCCTAGCATGTGTCAGTTAGATGAAATGTGAAAGGCTATTGCTGAAAATATCAATACACCTTACCGGGATATCGATTCACCCACCACGTGCCCCCCACAGATTCTTCTTTCTCGTAGATTCGGAAGTCAACATTTCGTATGCGCTGCGGTATACGGATACCTAAATAGATCCCCGAATAGCCGGCCCCTATTACCCGGACCTTGATCGGGCGGTGACCATCTATAGGCGCATCTTTGAGTTGTAAGGGTATTGAGAAGTCGGTTGAACCCATCTTAGTAACATGACACATGCACAAGAGAAAGAGAAATAGTTAGAAGAACTGAACCTTCTACTTAATCTATATCTTACATTCTGCTGCTGTGGCACACACCTTGACGCCGTAAATCCTACGATGCCGTTTCCCCGCACCCTTACTTAACCCGGATTTGGATATGAGGGCCGGCACTTACACCTATCGTCCGGTCTCGAACGAAGGAATTATCATCCATAACGGAACATCGTACGTGGGGTTTAAAGTAAGCTAGTACGTATGTGGTGATCAATAACTTGAAAGTTGGTTAATTTGTTCGAAACGGGAATTTACATCTCTTTAGGATTGCCGGAATATCGTAAGATGCTCTTATAAATTAGGACATGTTGTATCCGACTCCTCATAACTCCTTACACAGCCACATATCTAATAAAGAGAATCTGTTAAAGAGAGGTAGGTAGTTCAAAGGTTGTAAAAGATGAGGGAACGTCTTGGAAAGTTACATGACAGCTTCGGTCCCTTGGTAATTTTCCAACTTGATTGAACGTTAGAACTTACCGGCAACCTCACTTATGCTAGGCTCGTGAGCCGCAGGTAACAAAATGCGGGATAAGAAAACAAACAAGTTAGTGCCTACTCTGAAACAGAACTTCAGATATACTTAGGATGCGGTGGAGGACGGCATGTTTATTGTTTATCATAATTGGCCGAGATACCTCGGAATTGTCCAATAGAGCCATAGCCGGTTTGTACTCGAAACTTAAAAACGATTACATCGCCCCGCATATCGGCAATTTGTGTAAGATTCTTATCTGGTTCCGACCTGGACATCATGTTAGGTCTGTTAACTTACATCTCAAGCTACAAGTTATATTGTGCGGGTTGACATTTGCTTAGTAACAAAAAAAAATCAAATTATCGGAAACTTCCGATTACTGTGATGCATCGTGTTAGGGTTAGAAAGCGACTTGGTGATATTGTGGAGTGTACTTGTAGAGTCATGGCCCAGCGAGATCAATATATACCTAGTACCTTACAATATTTACCTGATAGATATGCCATTATTTATTAGGATAAGCCTCAAATAATACCAAGGTCAGATAAGTAGATATTATTATTTTGAGGCTGTAAGCTCTTCAGTAACAGGCAGACAGGGATATAGGTTACTTATTAGATTGAAATAGCATGCTTGTTGATTTTGATTGGTTCATTTCTATGCGGTATTTCGTTATGAGGCTGCTTACCTACCTGGCATCTGATCATTTGGACAGATCCGGTCCTTGTACCTTGTGCTATATTGATTCATAGTATATCAAAAACTGGCTTGAATTATTGATCCCGAACCTGGAATGTTCAGAAGCGGTTGCTTAACGCTGCAAATAAACTAGCGGATTAATTTGAAGTCAAAGGGATAATGTCCGTATAAGGGGCATGAATAAGTTAATTAGCCGTTTTCCCTAGTCCGAGTCCGTGGGGTCGGCAAGACCACCAAGCGACCGGAAACCGCTCGAAAATGGGATGGGCCAATGGGGTCTTAAGATGGTGGACCGTGTTCTGTAATACAATTCCAATGGTATGGTCCTTTGTTGATGCCGTAAGACGGAACTGGTCGGACAAAGACGAGCGATCGCTGCAGGGAGCGCAAAGGGATCGTCAGCGCATGTGTTGTATTTAATATTTCTGATTCAGTCGTTCGATACCATACACGTGTACAAATATTCTTCTGTACTATGGCGTATGGTTAGGTGGGCGAAGGTGGATGACATCAGCGCTGCGTGTCTGAGGCGAAACTCGGGGATCTCAAGGCGCATCATTTAAAGACGTAAGTTGGATCTTACCGTACCTTGTATGTAGGTACCTACTTATCTTCGGACGGAAGACACTCGAGCCCCCTCGAGCCCCTCGAACGAACCCCTCGAACCCCTCTTAGCAATTTGATGACAAGATTTGGATGACGTGCATAATGTTATCTTCAAATGCGCGGAACTTGGAAGATGAATTGCCTTATCAGAAATGAGTTAGACGGCGATACGTGCGTATATGGTACTCTATAAATAGTAAGTTCTTGCATTATCATGAACCTGGATAGTAACGAAGTAGTATCTGATACTAATTCCTTGACTACCACTGTATTGAAATAAACGAGATTGAAAAGTTGAGAAGTGATATCAGTTTGAAAAGTTGGCGGGGTTTAATTCGATTGAATTGATAACGGCGATATACATACATTGTACATACTAATTAGTACCTAGGCCGTAGCATGTGCACGTATGGAGCCCGGATTTTCGCTTGCGCTTGCTGGTTTTATGTAATAGTAAAGAGAACATTGAAACTTGAAATGACGGAGAAGACAGCGTCAATTTGAACTCCTGCAGCTTGCATAGCATCCAGAAAGAGCCCTGGAGGTACCAGTAAGGGGTACTTGAGGAATAATGAACTTTCCCCCACTTCACCTGCCCGTCTTTTTATGTCCGTTCTTACGGACTATCCAACCCGCACCTGGTTTAGCGTAACGCTATCTCAGGTACCTAGAGTGATAGATGAGAGGTAGCGCATACAGTAGCGTCTACCGGATCATCGCTGAGGTGTCAATCGTCCAAGTTGTCACTTCCAAGGTTCTAAAGTTCTGGCACTTGCGATTTTAGCAAGGTACCAGTAAATTTTAGACTTTCGATGTTCTGGGCAGGCCTGGGCAACAGAGTCCTGTATTGTACCTACCGTACTTACCTGACTGCCTGAATGACTGAGTGACTGAATGACTGTAGGTTGATACTGCCGCCTGTTTACCATCTGACCATCTGACCTACCTGGACTACTAGGTACCACAGTACCACAGTGCACCTAATGTAAATCGAAATTAGAATCGGGTCACCCCCCAAAAAATCATTCAAACAACCCAATCCAATTCAATCCAATCCCACGATCTTCTTTCGTACGTACCTCTTAGGCTCTTACAATCTTCTCTCAACAACGCCGTGAACCTGCAACGCCCGCAACGCCTAGGCATCATATCACTCGCTACCATCTACCTATCTTTTGCAAGCTCACATCGTCCAATCCTTTACTGTTCTCCTTGCTCCTGTTGTGCAACGACTACGCCCTTATCATCATGATCAATATATCACCCGTCCTAGTTAGATACTAATTTTTAATTTCCAAGGTCACCCCACACGTCCTGATATCTTGACGACTCTAATCGACTGGCATCGTCCTTTTCTTTCATCCCGTGACAGGGCCTGTGGGCGTATCAGTGTCTTTCTTGAGCACAGTCACCACATTCGCACTGCTTTCACTATTTTGCTACTGTTGCTTCTGCTGTTCAAACTGTTCAAACACACATTACGCACCTGGTTTTGCTATTAGTTCATGCTCCCCGCCGCACTGTCATAGATTGTCGTAGTAGAATGCGATATGCATCACCTTTAAAACAAAAAGCAAGCATCTCATTCGGCCACGAGGCGACGCGCATAGTACCCTTGTTGCAGCCAAGTTCTTCCGTACATAGAGAGCTCTACCTCGCCCGCGACCCCAAACTAATGCAGTCTGAGGTCAACGTTACAATCCACAATAACAACTTTCCGGAGTGGTATAGTGGTACTTTGTGCCGCTGCCGCCGCCGAGTTCGAGTTCGAGTTGAATCTGTCAGCTCTGCCTACCTGCTAGGTACGCCGCCTCTTTTGCTGCGCCTTACCATTTCACCATTTCACTTCACTTCTTAAGAGTCATTCCTCTTTTATGGCTCTAAAGAAGCTAGTCGCATAGTCACACAATACAAGCCACAACATAAGTCGTGTTATTCTGTACTTGCCGCGTACACTCCTCGCAATACTTCGCCATCCTCGTCTGATCAGCTTTGAAACAGGGCCTCTCAGCTTAGACTTGTCTCTCGCCGGAGCCCCATCTCTTGAGGTAATAAGGTGTCTATCAACCCGCGGAGCACTGAACACTCGGCACTCAGCACTGAATACTGAGACTGGGTACCGCGCCGAATAGAGAATCAATTATTCCAATCATTACTTTCTTAATAGTGGAGTTTGGACCGACCGACTGCCGCCGCCAGTTGAGAAGTCCCGCTAAGATAACTGTACGTATTATATCCAATTTCGCTACTAATCTCTGCCCTTCATTCGGTATCCCGTACTTCCCTGTAAGAAGAAAAAAAAGGTTACCACCCTTGACACAAACGCTTTCCCCATCCTTGTTAGTTTGATTCCCTCCGACATACATATCGCTCTCGGGTCGAGTCATTCTAGCAACAGATCCCGTCTCACCGTTTCACACCGTCTCAACGTGTCGAACTAACCGCTGTCAACCGTCCCTGCCAGTCAATTCAGCAATCAAATATGACCAGTGGGCAGCCCCAGCCTTCCCAACCACAGTCTCACTTCATGCCAGAGGGCATTCTCGCAGAGCACGACCGTCTAACCGCGTCGCAAACGCATTCTATCCCTATTCACGAATTACACACCAAAGGAAGAACGCATACCTTCTTAACCGCCGCCGACGCATTAAACCGACACAATGTGCATGAGAACCGCATAGCACAGTTCTACGACGATCTATCCAACGATTCGAATATTATATGCGAAGAACCTGCGAGCTCGATATCGTCCGTCCCGCCTGTCCCCCATGGTCAGATCCAATTCGAGTCGCATACTATAGCCCCCTCTCCGCCCTTGCCGCAGCACGCGCCGGAAGATTCCTCATTTCCCGACGTGTCGCCATATTCTCCCTCGCCACTAAGTAGGAGTACCGATCCTCTGTATATCGCAACCGATGTCCAGCCTACAACCCCTGCGCGATCCGATAGTCTCAATAGCAACCCTAGCAGTTTTCCAGCCTATCGTTCGAGTCTGAATTTGCAGCGCAAGACTTCATCGCCAAGCCTAAAGCCCGTATCGAGAACCCCCAGCTTCAAACATTACTCGAGAAGCATTGGGTCCGCAGCAAGCTCCACCTATCCAAGCCCCGTTATATCTGCTATGGGCGATGTTACGCCACTACCATCACCATTATTAGGCAGTGATTCACCTGGTCCGTGGAAACGCCTTGGTTCTCGTCGACCATCGCAAGCGCGGGATCTTTTACCACCAGTCATGCCAGACTCGGTGCTCATAACTTCTAGTGGAGAATCTGTAGCATCTGCGTTGGCGCACCAATCTAAGCGAAAGGTCTACGCCGGACTCAACGTCAGTCATGCTGCGGAGATCAGCAGCGGCAAAGTCGAACATACCCGTAATCGAAGCATCAGCGAATACATACCGGATCCTAAGGGGATCCCTAAACGACTGAATACTGTTTCTGGGAAGGTTAAAGGGACAGACGTGGATGGTACCTCTGATCCTCACCTACGCCGCGAACCACACTTATCAGAAGCGAGGGGACTTCTACCGGTTGCCAACCCACCAACCCCTCCTCCCAGCGAATCATCTCAGAGTAGCGATGGCTCTAGTTCCAAGAGATCTCGTCATGAATATTTCGAGGCTCGTGGTCGACATGACAGAACACTCAGACGATGGCGTGCTATTAAGGAGCTGGGCCAGGGAACATTTAGCCGGGTAATGTTAGCGACAAGTCAGATCGCTTCTGACGAAGACACCAACGAACCGGCTCAGAACGGCACGAACGGCCAGCTATCACCAACCAAGATTGCTCAACTAGATCCTAAAACCTTGGTAGCCATCAAGGTGTGCGAACATGGACCTCGCGGAGGGGCCTCCGAAGATCGTATTGAGATGAGTCTCAAACGAGAGCTAGATATTATGCAGTCGATAAATCACCCATCTTTAGTACACTTGAAGGCCTTCAGCATCGAGCCAACAAGAGCGCTATTAGTTTTAAGTTATTGTCCGGGTGGCGACCTCTTTGATGTTGCAACGACCTACCGAGATGCCTTGACGCCACTACTCCTGCGAAGGATATTCGCCGAGTTGGTAGGCGCAGTCACGTACCTACACGAACGTCGGATCGTTCATCGAGATATTAAGCTCGAGAGTAAGTTGCTACTTCCTTGTGCCCCCTCTTCTTTTATATGGATTATTTGACGAGTTAATTGTATCGTTTTGCTAACTATTAATTGTAGATGTGTTGGTCAACATCCCGCCGGCCGAACTCACAAAGTCGGACCAAGATTGGGCTGTGTACCCATATTCCGTAACCACACTTACCGACCTAGGCTTATCGCGGCGAGTAGCTGGCGATGAAAAGCTGGAGACTCGGTGTGGATCCGACGATTATGCAGCACCCGAGGTCATTTTAGGACAGCCGTATGATGGTCGCGCTATTGACGCCTGGTCGCTTGGCGTCTTGCTCTACGCTCTTCTCGAATCGCGACTTCCTTTCGACCCCCCTCCTGGCGCTAGCGATGTACAGAGGATGCGAAGTAGGACCAGTCACAGAATCGCTCGCGTTGAATGGAGGTGGATCAAGTTTGAAGGTGACGACGGTGATCATGATGCGAACGAAGCGAAATTCGAAAGCGAAGGCCTGAAGGGAGCGATGGATATCACCGAAGGCCTACTAAAGCGAGCTAGGAGTCGTTGGCCCATGGAGAAGGTAGCGGAACATGAATGGGTCCGCGGTGGAATCAAGACGGAAGGAGGTATAAAGTTCAGAGAGGAGAAGGAAGGCGAAGAAGTCTTATGACACTCGCGAGATTCTACCGGGCTCGCCCACAATTAGGGATGTGTATCGAAAAATACACTGGCGTTTGATATATTCTTCAGCTCGATTTTCTATGGGTGTAGGGTCCAGTCCGGTTCACCGCGGGGGGGTATCACCTCGCCGAAACAACGCCGAACCTCAAAAAAGACGACCCAAAACCTATATTACGGGGACGATTCAAGACTATGATTTTTATGGTGTTCCACGGCTCATATACGCGCAGATGGTAGACGGGCTGCCGACACGGAACATGCTATGTGTTTTTTTCGAAGGCCTGCGACCGCTAGCAACGGAGTTTTCGGGGGAGGGAGCGGCCCTGCCTACTTTGTATTACAGAGAGAGACGAGACGAGACGGGAGGGAGTTACAGAGGGTATCGAGAAAAGAAAACGGTATCGAGAAAAAACAAAAACGTGCTCACCTTAGATTCCGCGGTTGTTCTTGATATGGTGCGATTTGCGATTTGATCCTGCTAGGTGACCTGTCTAAACGGGATGCGTTGTGTGTTGGTGTTCTGAGCGTGCTAGGTGTTCTAGGTGTTGAGGAGAGAGATATCACGTTACACCAGCGTCCGGCTAAATCGTAGATACCCTTACCCACGAGGAAAGGGGTCGTGTACTGTACGGGACGGGATACTATGAGGCAGAGTGGATGGAGGCTATGTATATGTAATAGGGGTGTTTAATTGCGGCATGGGATCCATATATGGCGTGAACATCAGATGTCGTACAGGACCCTAGGTTCGATTTGTGGGCAGCCTTGTGAGTACCCGGCTCTAGATATCTACTTGGATACTTGGTTAGGTGCTAGGTCGTTAGGGAGTCGAAAGAGTTAAGATTTGGTACACTGTGTTGACCGAGTAGGGGATAGACCTGGCCTCCTAAAATCATTGGATGCCTTTTAATTCTAAACAACGGAGTGCCGGCTACAGTAGAGCCGCAAAGCTTCCAAAATCGTAGAGCACACATATATATCACATACCACATATAAACAGAACAACATCTACACTGGCTAGACTAAACAAGTTTCGACGAAAAAAATAATGCCATTTAGAAAAATCAATGCTAGCCAGCTTTTTTTCGGGTATCTTTTTCCCAACGCCATTGATATGACTCCTTTGCTCACGAATTGCCCACGGTATGCGGTGGATGGATGATCGGTGGTATTAGCACCACGTCTCTTCTTCTGTTGCTCTCCTGCTTCTCCTCTTGCTCATTCCTCTTCGTCTTCGATGTGTCTCGTAAAACCCATGTCTCTCGTTCATAATCTTACGGATAGCCGGAAACGTCGCGCCCTCTCTACAATGTAGAATAACGAGAGCGTGAGTCCTTCATCTATCGACCAGAGCTCATCTATTACATCCCAATTCCTGTATTCCAGGCATTCTTATCCCCTGTCTCAATACCCGCCAAGCCCAGCCCCATTATTCTGGCTTCGGCCAAACAGCTCCGTAACACTGAGTTGGCGGCCGGCCTCCTGCATAGACTGAGCCATTTCGGCCTCCTCCTCACTATTGGCGGGCTCGGCATCGCTCGCGTCGGGGCCGGCATTCTCGCGCGCCGTGGCGCGCGACTGCTGCCACATCTCATGGACCAGGGTTTCGGTAATCTCGCGTTCCTTAGCGCTTTCGAAGTAGATGAACATACCCAGGGCCTTGGTACGGATGGATTCGCCATTCTCCATTGGTAGCACAGCTGGCTCCTTGTCTAATTTGAAGATGAGTGTTTCGTTGGAGAGCTCGACGCGTTCGACGTCCGAGAGGTCGACGACGAGGTTTGAGAGACCCTTGCGGTTGAGGATGAACACACACCCGTTCGAGAGCGCGGCCTGGGCTTGGGTTTGTGGGATGGTGGGGGGAGAGGCGGGCTCTTGTGAGCAGACGAAGAGTGTGCCTTCGAGGTTTGCCTTGTCCCATTTCGTGCCGAAGCTGTAGACGACGGCGTTCGCGGCGATCGATAAGATGCTAGTTATAGAAGGTCGGTAGCGGCGTAGTACTGCCATGTTAAGCTCGGTGTTGGTGCGCGTGGCGAGGTTAACGGGGGCCCGGATCGTGGTGTCGGGGACGTAGGTGGCCATGTCTGAATCGTAGTCCGATCCGGTAGTCGTGCCGCCCTGTTCCGAGTATTCAGCTCGTAGCTGGTGGGATCTGTTACGCGCGTGGCCTTGCGAGCGCGACGACGGATTGTTCTGCTGATAGGTATACTGTTGTTGATATTGTTGCTGCGGGTGGTTGTGGGTATGGCTATGCGTGTGGGCGTGGGAATGAGGAGATCGAGATTGAGATTGGGAGTAGGAGGATTGGCTCTGGTGGCCGCGGTACTTGCGGGGCGCTGTCTGAGACATCGTGAATTGTTACGGACTTAAGGCGTCGCGAACTATTGAATTATTGTCGGATGGGTGTTGAAGATGGAAAGGGTTGAAATTAAAACAGTGGGCTGGTTCGATTGTCTCTAATGTTAGCTGTGTTGGGTTTTGTAGAGAATAAAAAATGGCGACGATGGAGAATTGGGAGCTTCCAAATTGCTTTGTGCCAACGAATCAGATAGTGGGAAGTACACAGTAAGGTTAAAAATACCCCGCCCCCGCCTGTTGTATTCTGTAAATGGACCTCGGAATGCCGACTTCAAAAGAGCTATCAATAATAAATATCTGTGCTCTTCCACGTACTATGTAAGTATGTGCACTGGACACCGGTTGAACGGATCGAGTGAACTGAAGAATATTAATAGCTTGAAAGGCCAATGTCAAAACTTTTTGCATTGTAGCTTTCAGTTGCGACCATACATAAATTCAAACTATAAAATTGAATTTCAATTTGGTGTTTGGTCAGCGCTTGCCAATATCTGTAAAGTGGTAAAGCAACGTGGAGCAAGCAACTACTACCTAACAACGTACTTTCCTGTCGTATTTCAGATCCATATCGACGCATCATCGAAAGCGGTAACCTTGACATCTATCAAAACACGACGGGATATCGTGTCAAGATAGTTTCTTAGCGGAGACTGCTGGAGTATTGACAGGTTCAGGGTTCAACGGCCCCAAACTGCAATATTTTCGGATGATTGATCGCTCTATAGTTATTGGTTAGGTACACCTAGCTTCAGCTTCATAAGCCTTATTACGAATAAAACAAACACATAGTGAGGCATTGAGTAGAGTAAGTATTTGGAACAGAATGACCTGAAGCTCGTAGCTACGACCTTCAGGTGGCATAACGACTCTACTACCTACTAGGTAGGCAGGGAATTCTCCGCAAGGGCGAGGAGTGTGCTAAATCTGGTGCACTATATGGGCTAGCTGTCAAGCGGCGTGGTCTGTGGCTGCTCTAGCGCTTAGTGTACGTCGGCAGAGACTGTGTCTAGGTAGTAGGTGCCTTAAAGTCAGGTGCTAATGACGATTCGCAACATGATCATGAGCGCTTCGGCGGGAATCGACAGGAAGATAATCATGATACGTTTTGGGAATCTCCACGATGTCTAGGAGTATAAGCAGACTAATCTTAAGACGAAGCTCTAACATTCATACATAAAGAGATATTGAAGTTGTTAGTGTCTCAATTCAATTGGAGGCTTGAGATTTAGTGGTTTAGTGCCATTTCGCCCGCCGTCCGGGGCAAGAACCCCCTGGTTATTTAGCCAAGTCCCGAGTACCGAGTCCCGTTTCCCGTTTCCAGCAGTCAGTTTCCAAGTTTATCCAATCGATTACATACCAGTGACCCAATCACCCAATTACTTAACTTGCTTCATCAATTTCCCCAGCTTAAACTTACAACTGTCGTTTAAACATACGTGTAACTCTTGAAAGCCCTGACTTCTTTTTTAGTTTATGTTTGTATATTGCAAAGGGCGTTCCTTGCTTCCATTCGTCTCTCACATGTTTTTAGCAGTTCGAGCTAAGCACTGCCCCTCTATAACGTCACTAGTCACAATGCTCGACTCCCAATTCAGCGCACGCGATCACGAGCTGACATAGGCTTCAATTCGGCCACAATTCCTGCCTGAAGTCACTTTCGATACCTGTTAACCTTCTTTTCTTCGAAATCATTCGCATATCTCACCCATATTTCCCTCGGCAACCATGTCGGCTGCGAACCGCGAACCCTCCGTTGCGTCGGAACCCGAACAAGTCGAAGAACCAGAGTCAAACCCTCTCTCTCTCTCCCGCGCCGTACTCGCTAGGAAATCCGAATACGTTCGACCTCATCGCATAAGAATCAAGGTTGGAACTTGGAATGTTGCTGGTTGTCCAGGCACCGACAAAGACCTAGCAAGTTGGTTTATTGACGGGAAGGGTGTCGAGCCGCAATTGGATGCTAAGCTCGCGCGATTGAGCGTATCCGAGAGCATTGAGACTATTGAAATAAATAAAGACCACAATGCTACATCAAAAACCAGTGCAGACCCTAAAGCAGATTCAAGAGGAAGAGAGTCACACAATCCAGGTGGCTCTCCAAGTGAAGGAGAAGAACCTGATGTGCGACTTTTAAGCGGCGACAAGATAGGACTCTATGTCCTTGGACTTCAGGAAGTTGTTGACCTGAATATTGTCAGCCAAACTTTTTATTCCGATCCAAATGCCATCGCAAAATGGCAAGATGCCCTCGAAGCCGCTCTACCGAAAGGCTACCATCTTGTAGCTAGCGAGCAACTTGTCGGTCTTCTTTTACTTATATATGCTTCTCCAGAGGTAGCTGAAACTATAACAAACGAGTCAACCGTTAGTGTCGGAACTGGTATTTACGGCCTTCTGGGTTATTGGGGTAATAAGGGCGGAATCACATCTCGAATTCTCTTAGGCGAAACTACCCGACTCGTTTTCACCAATTCCCATCTTGCGTCCGGTCATGAACAGGCCAGTCTTGACCATCGATGTTGGGACTACAATAGGATCATCAGCCAAACTAAATTCAGCCCGATCAATTTAGGCGGTGTAGCCGAAGATGAAGGGGAAAAGATAGGAGATGAAGATTTCGCTTTTTGGCTTGGCGATCTTAACTTTCGCCTTGACGGTCTACCCGGGGAAGATATTCGGCGCTTATTAACACTGCATACTCGCGGGGAGTACGATCTTAACAAGAAAAGTAACGGAGAAATGTTTAGCGATGATGGTGTCATCGTGCTACGTAACAACGACGATGACGATGATGGTACGAATACTCCCGGTATGATATCACGTGAAGCGTCTTTCGACAAAACTTCTAGTGATGAAGATAGCGAACTTCCAGATCCCGACGAATTTTTGCCCGATCCAAATGACGATCCCGCATCCCTGCAAGCAACTCTTAATTCTCTGCTTCCACATGATCAGCTACTCCGTATGATCAAAGAACGCAAGGCGTTCCACGAGGGCTGGCACGAAGGTCCTATAACATTCTTACCAACATACAAGTATGATGTTGGTACGGTAGGACTCTTCGACTCCTCCGAAAAGCAGCGAGCTCCAAGCTGGTGTGATCGCATCTTATATCGAACTCGTACGGACGTTAATCTATATGAAAAGAAATGTAACGATGAGGTTGAGGCTAAGAAAAGAGATGAAGATATGAAGAAGATGGGGATTGATAAGGCCGCGGAAGACGAGAACGTCTTATTCGATTACGATCCTGCGGCCGACTCGAGTGCTGATAACCTCGGCGATACTACTTACGATTACGACGATTATGACGAAGGTGAAACTCTAGAGCAAGTTATCACAAAGGAGGGTTTCGTCGACAAAATTCATTTGGATACTTATACGAGCCACCAGCGCGTCACGTCGTCAGATCATAAACCTATTGTCGCTATATTTACGTTAGATTATGACGCTGTTGTCCCTGAACTGAAAGCGAAGGTTCATGCCGAAGTAGCGAGGGAACTTGACCGAGCCGAAAACGAAGGGCGACCGGGTCTTACTGTCATCGTTGATGCGAAAGATTCGATCAACAAAGATAACAAACATTTCGCCGATGGAAGCGATGGCGTCGATTTTGGAGAGCTTGGATTCTTACGCAAAGAGAATCGATATCTGACTATTGCCAATACTGGTCGCGTTCCAGCCACGTTCTGTTTCATTGAAAATCCTATCCCACAAAACGATGCGACGAAACCTCCTCAATGGTTACAGTTCAAATTCGTCCGCTCACAAGTAGGTGATGACGAAGAAACACAAGATCCGTTAGAAGATGAAATAACGCTAGAGCCAGGAGAGACTGTAAACGCCGTCATAGAAGCTCACGTCCAGGACATAGCCCATGTTCAATCATTGAATGCAGACACAGCACAACTAGACGATGTCTTGATACTACGCGTCACAGATGGGAGAGACCATTTCATCCCAATCAAAGCTACATGGATACCTTCCTGTTTTGGTCGCTCTCTAGAGGAGCTCATTCGAGTCCCTCGTGGTGGCGGCGTTCGGGGACTAATAGAAAAGCGGCAAAAGGGCGGATCCATACCCTATACGCTAGAAGTACATAAGTCATCGCCAAACGAACTATTCCAGCTCACCGAGGCAATAGCAATCCTTGCTGAGCGAGCCATCGCTGATGCGAATATGTTGGACGAAGTAAAAATACCACGCGACAAGCCAGGATGGCCTTTTGACAAAGATTCATGGCAAACTACTAACGACGAGGATCACGAAATCTTACGAGCATCAATGATCGGTGCCTTGGAGGTAGATGATCCCGTTCTAGAATCTATCGGGGTCGACGTGCCAATAATAAAACGTCTCGAAATCGTCAGCGAGGTGCTCCTACTGTTCTTACGCAGCATGCCGGACGGGATCATCACAACTCCACTATGGGCTAAAATCGAGCAATCTCTACCTAACATAGGAAGTGGCAAGACCCCAGCCGAGGCTGAAGAAGCCCGGTCTACTATCCTCGACATATTAGCTACGGCACCATACTATAACATATCCTTCGTGTTCCTCATGTCCATGCTAACACGAGTCGCCAACGAGCTCGTCTCCCTTAGTAAAGAAGCATTAGAAGCCTTGAATAACCGTAGGACAAGCTCCCCCGGCACCCTCGCCAAACGTAGCCTGAGCTTTCGCCGGAGCGCAGGGGGTGCGGTGGCAGCTGATCAGGCTGCGATATTGAGGAGGTTGGCGTGGGAGAGGAAGACGGCGGAGATATTTGGCGTGGCGATTTGTAGGGCCCCGACTTCGACGAATGCGAAGGAGAAGAAGGCTACGGAGGATAAGATGAGGGGTGTTGTGGAGGTGTTTCTGCGGCAGGATAGGACGTGAAGTATATACACGGGGAATAGAGGGGGGAGATATGTGTTTAACTGAGTACCTAATGACTTTAAGAGGGGTGTGGGGATGGGGATGGGGACTCGGGAGTATATAGAGTGGAAATACTTGAACTACCTATTGCTTGCTTGTTGCGAGCACGCTGATGGACATACATGATGCGATCAGAAGTTATCTCCAGGGCTCTAGGGCTGTGTTTGTGGCGTGTTTAGTACCTTTTTTTAGTACACTAAGACCCTGATGTACGGCCTGGAAGGCTCACTCTTAATAAAAGGATAGCGGCTCGTTCTCCATTATCAACACGACCGCTATCTCAACAATATGATATTTAAACAGTTTCATATGGAAAACAGCTCTCATGTAGTATCATTACCTACCTAGTATGTAACAAAGATTTGATCTACATCTGATAAACTAACCTAGTAATTATTAGAGAGGGGTGACCTATCGGTTGATTCCGCACAGCTTAAGCACATCGAGTTTAGTGAATCGCAAAGTCGTAGTTTAGGTGGGTTAGGTAGCGGCTAACCCCTATCAAATAACCCCTGAACTCCGAATTATCGCCAAAACTCAGGCTCAGTAGGTATCGGACTTGTCTATCCCTCCTCTCACTTTCATATGCGACGGGTATGAGAGCCCTTCTATGTAAAAGCAGGTATGGATATGGAAAAACACCCACAGCAACAAGCTCAATCGAGCGCACAACGAAATTCCAGGTCTCCATGGAGGCGTAGTTTCATTTTCTTCACTCTTTTCGTGTTCAATAGCGCATGGATCTTGCGAACATGGCTACGTCACACTCCCGAGTCGAAGCCGGATTTCGCACAGGTACAGAAATGCGCGATCGACGCCCTCCACGAGGATACCTCGTTTTTGGATACCGCGTCGCCGATCACTTCGGACGAGTTCTTGGAGAGAAGAGATCGGCTTGCGCGGGCTTTGGTGGCGTCCGGCGCTGATGCGTTTATTGTTGAGCCGGGTTACACTTTTCAGTATGGTTGTCTTGATGTTTACAGTTCTATCCAGTGCGCGTTCTAATGGATATGCTACTAGGTACTATGGTAACACGTCACAAGTGGATTGGGAGCCATGGGAGCCGGAAGAGCGACCGTTCTTGATGCTCATTCTGCCCGTAGTCTCCGAGTCCGGGGCTGTCTCCGCTAAGACGGCGTTTCTTGCTCCGCACTTCGAGGAGGGCCGCGTGCGCATGCTTAATATCCCGTCTCGGGAGCCCGAGCTGGATATCGTGATTTGGGAGGAGCATTGGGATCCGTATGCTACGTTGATCCAGTCACGCCTGTTCGCTGATTTCGCTGTGGAGGGGAAGAAGCCGAGGCTCGTGATCGATGAGGAGATGCGGGATTTTATCGCTCGTGGACTCGCGGATACTGGGTTTAAGACTTTGGGGTTGACTCCGGAGGTGGAGCTGGTGAGACAGATTAAAAGTCCCGCGGAGGTGGAATTGATTCGTGCGGTGAATACCGGGACGGTTGTGGCGTTGCGGGCTATGCGCCCTTGTCTTGTCCCTGGGTTGACTGAGGACGATGTGCGGGATATCCTCGACGCGTCGCTGTTATCTGTTGGGTTTGGCCTTTTCTTTAATATTGTTCTTTTCGAGGAGGATGGAGCGCTTCCTCATGGTGGCTTCGTGGTTGGTCAGAAGAAGCTGACTCATGAGACTATGGTTGTAATCGATGTTGGGTGAGTGAACCTATGGGAAATTTTGATGGTCTGTCTAACTCGCTACAGTGCTCATTACTTGGGATATTCTTCCGATATCTGTCGCAGTTTCTTTATCGATCCGGTGGTTGACAAAAGGCGATCACCTCTCACCTTTTTAGCAGCATTTGTTGAAACAATAGGGTTGGGTACTAAGCGCGTCGAGATATCCGACCGCGACACTGAACTACATACTGAAAAGTTGAAAGTATGGGATATCGTGCTTGAAGCTCAAACAGCTGCTGCTGCGGAGTTCAAGGCTAATAATACTGCCGCGAACGTCGACATAGCTGCCCGCAAGGTCATAGAAGATGCTGGGTACGGTTATGGTTTTACGCATCGCCTCGGTCACGGAATTGGGATAAAAGGTATGTTATTATTTACCATATTATCCTCTTCTCGATCATTTTGAAGTTGAATTCTCTAATTTAACTCTCTCTTAGCACACGAGTCACCATACCTGAACAAGTGGAACACGAAGGTAACTCTCCAACCGGGTATGACTTTCACCAACGAGCCTGGTATTTACCTCGAAGGAAAATTCGGCGTTCGACATGAAGATATATATCTTGTTAAGGAAGATGGTGATGCCGAGTTATTGACTGGACGAAGGGCAGTGGGGCCTTATGATCCTTGATGTGTACCTAACTCCTTAGGTCTTATCATCAAGATTGGATTAATCCACTCGTTATAAAGAACAAGTACGATATAAATATTCCTAGAAAAAGTTAGTTGTTGAAGGAACATATTACACATTAAAAGTAGGCGACGCCCCGCTTACCAAGAATGAACGTCGATATAGGGCTGGTTATTATCTGCTTAAAAGGGATGGTCATCTTAGCCTCCGCGTGTTTCGTGGTGACGACCTCTGTATTATCATCACCTAGTTTTGAGACCACTTCATGTCCTATTTCTACTTGCTCGTCTGCCAACAATTGTATATCTGCTGCTTGCTCGGGAACAGGTAGATTACGAAGGGTTTCTTCGACTTGAACCGGGTTTTGAGAGTCGAGACTTTGAGCAGTCATATTTCTATCAATGAGAGCAAGAATTTTCTCCACGTTCGGTGGATCAATATGCTCAATCAATTCCCGTAGAGTCACGCGTCCGCCTTTCGAAGATACGAACGTCAAATATTTCGAATGCCCGGTAATAACTCCACGAATAAATACGAAGGTTGAATTTACCGTGGAAGTTCCTACAGCTGCCGGCGGTATAGTTGCTATATCTTCGACCTTGTCATCATTTTCTTGGACAATAAATGAGAAATCGGGATTTGCACCGTACTCCAGAAATAGCTCGATTGCATTAGATAGTAACACGTCTACTTTATGATGGAAAAACATCGCGTCGAGAAATGCCCACCATGGACTACTACCTTGAAGCCCGAGAATGGCTTGGTTTGGGGAGCATCCGTGGTCGAATAACCAACGGAGGATCGGCACGTAGCCTCCAGCATTTGAGTTCGGAATCTGACGCGTCAACCCGGACGCAGTTAATAAGGCAAGGCTGCCATTTTTAATGTCCTCGCCTATGGCAGAGGCACAGGGAGTGTCCCACGTTGTGAAGAATGTGTGAAATCCACACCTCGCCGCGAGATGGGAAACAGAGAACGTACGACCGGCCCGTAGGACCGACATCTCAGTATACCCTCTGGAAAAGGACAAATTATACTTGGTTGGGGCGAAATGTCGGCTTCTTGCTTTGTCCAAAGATTGAAGGGTAGTGATCCATCCTTGCTGTACAGAATCTACGTCAGCCTGTGAAAGTAGATGGATGGTATCAAATAGCTCAAAGTAGTAGCACGTATCATCACAGTGTGGTTGATTGAGATTGAGGGCGGCTACTTCGACTGCGTAAGTTTTGCAAATGGCGTCGACAACATCGAAGTTCTCGGTTCTGTCTGCGCGCTCCTTCGAAATCTGTTTTTCCTCAAGGTACTCCTGGATAGACCGGTGAATGAGTGAGATGCGTTGTGACAGGGGTGTGCCTTTTAAGCTATATGTATCAAGTTCCGTTTGTTGAGACAAAGGATCAATGTCTGACTCGATAACTTCTAGAAGACCTTTACATCGTTTATATAACTGCTTACGGGCCCTTTTTAGTCGTTTTCTCATTGCCTCGTCATTCCAATCTAGGAACTTCAGGTCCGGAGAGTCGAGGCTTGAGGCAAAAAGGGGATCGGCGTTGTAGTCATCCAAGAGGGAGTATCGTAGTAGGGATAGTCGCATGCCTCGTCGATTATTAAGGAGTTTAAGCGCAATGGCAAATGTTTGAGCCGATTCATCCCGAACTGATTCATGAATAGAGCTGAATAATTGGTCAAATAGATCCCTAATTTCGGGTGGGAGGAAGTCGATTTTTCTTTGGAGATCCTGGAAGCTATCTTCTTCGTCGCAAGCGTCATCCACCAATTTCACCACCAAGGCGACCCATAAAAAGACACCATCAGCTTTTTGCACAATCTCGGAGATTAAATGACTTGCACCGTTTTCCGGCTTGTCCATTTCTAGAAAGTTCGGATTAGACTCAAGCTTTTCTTTCACATATTTGTATATATCTTCTGCAGTTAGGTCTTGCAACCTCAGGCCCTGGGTCTCTGAGAAATAGTCTAGAAAAACAGCGTGTTCCCGGCTCGATATACAGAGCTTGATTTGTTCCGGTGCTTTTGTGATCCAACTTGAGAGTAATCTGATGAGTTCCTTGTAACCTTCGTTGCAAGTTTCTCGAAATTCATCAAGGCCATCGACCATGAAGAAGAAACATCGGCGTTCAAAAAGATCGCGGTTGACTATTAGTCGATCAAAAGCACTATAAACATCATCGCGGGAAAGGCGGATGTTCACTACATCTGGATGTGAAAGGCCCCTAATCTCAGCCCATTGGTTGGGGAAGGTGTGAGGAACGAGTTCAGGACATTTCTCAAGAACATCGCAAAGTAGTGTCCGGAGCAATCCGGTAATTGAGTGCTCTAGAGTATCTTCGCCGGGTCGCCAGAAGAAATGTTTGCCTAGTACTAGTTTGCGGCCAGCCGCCCAAGAATGCAATAAATCCTTTGTTTTCTCATGTTTATATATAAATTTCATGAGAAATGACTTTCCTGACCCTGGCTTGCCGGCGATGTGGAAAGCCCCCTTTCCGGAACTCAACCAATTTGTGAAGAGAATCTTTCCTTGTAGAGCTTTTGGGCTTCTGTCGGGGTCATCTTGGAAGATCCAGTTGAATGTGTCCGAGTATGCCTTTCCGACGTTCTCGTACCTTTGATGCAACTTTGAAAAGGAAAGGGCTTCGAGGATTTTATGACTCCTAATCAATGTCACGGAATCGCTAGATAGTCTTAAGAGGCCAGCAAGTTTGTTCGCGGCCTCTTCTCCGATGTCGGTCACGGTGACTCCTTTCTCTAGTTCAAGAATGTGCTGGCGGAGAGTTGTTATTTCGCTTTCAATATGTTGGCCAGACTTGATGAGTTCGTCAAGGTTCTTTAGACCCTGGACCGTATTTGAACTGTGGCTTCTCGTGTTATTATCATTGACACCCCGAAATATTGGACAGGACTGGCCTTATTATCTGAGATAATTGTATATGGAATAGTTTTTGACATTCATCTAACTCTTTCTTTAGCTCTTCCTTTTTTGTCTTATTCAGAAGGCTATGGAAGGCAGCAATGGCACTTTGCCCAAGCGAGTGCGGATCTTTGGTTCTCGACCGATTGAGAATCTCGACCAGTCTATTTGAAAGATTGACACACTTGGCTGCAACGCTCTTCATCCCTCGTTCAGCATCGCTAAGATCGAGGGTGGAGTTCGTTGAGATCATCGATTCGGAAAGCTTTCCTAGTTTCTCGACGAAGAATCCAAGCTGCTCATCTTCTTTGGCCATGCCTGATGCAGTATTGTAGATTGTATATGTATTAACAACGAGATGATAGCCCATCTCAATAAAAGTAGCCACGGTACCTGCCGTAGCGAAAGCTGTGATAGGATCCATATTGAATGGCGATTCCCGTCGGGTATTGATGATGAAAAGATACCGACCTAACTAAGCGTGCTGAGAATGTATGAGGAATGAAATTTTAGGTGAGATTTGAGGATAGGGCTATGCCATCGCACAATCGACCCCCATCGGCCCCCAATCTCCCACGCTTCTTAAATTCATGACAGCTAACACCCCGATGTAGCAAGGCTGTCATGAAGGCTAGTATTTTCTTTTGGTACGGGAAGACTCTTTAGTTTCCGGGCTTGTTTCCGAAAGATTATTGTGTCAAGAGTTGTGAGAATGAAGCATTTAATAAATCAATAAAGTACAAGGTACCTATCTACAGTACCTCTAGAAAGTATCTTGAAGGAGAAGTCACGTGAGTAACTAAGCACGGACCGGATAACCTTCGTAAACTCCGCGACGGCACGATAAGCGGCAGGAACCTTCTGTTTTCTACCTAGCTTCGTGGACTGGTTGCATGTCTCGACTTCCCGGGAAATCATATCGGGAGGGTCAGAGTGTACAAATTGCAACGCTACCTCTTGGTCCTGCCTAAAACAATAATCATAACAATAATAACAATAGAAGCTAACGATTGCACAATGCCAATGCCAAGGAACTCCCCGATCGCTATGTCTTATATACGCGCATCGCCCTAGATCGTTTCCTTGAATCAAATCAACCTCAAGGCATTTAGCTCGAGTAGCTACTTCATAGTCGCTATGGTTCGGTACGGTATTATTACGGGCTTACTTAGCCTCATCTCTGCCGTCCAGGCAATTCAGAAACACCCATTGCCCATTAGCGAGCTGAAGAAACAGGTATGATCCCTGTTTCACTACGCCCTATACCCGCTGGGCATACATATACCCATATAGCTATCAAGCAGCTATGAAGCAGCTAACAAAATATGATCATGGAAGATTCAAACCAAAGACGCGCTCGGTATCAGTGCGAGACAGGCTGATCTTCAAGCTCTCTACCCCGAATACAACCTCTCGACCCCTATCGATCACTTCCATAACGATTCCACGTACGAGCCACACTCCGATGACACCTTCAATCTGCGATACTGGTTCGATGCGCAGTATTACAAGCCCGGAGGCCCCGTAATCGTACTATCGGGCGGAGAGACGAGTGGTTCTGATCGCTTGCCATTCCTACAGAAGGGCATCGTTTACCAACTTGCCAAAGCGACGAACGGATTGGGCGTCATCCTCGAGCATAGATACTACGGAAAGAGTATTCCCGTGCCAGATTTCAGCACCGAGAACCTCCGCTTCTTGACCACCGACCAGGCTTTAGCTGATACCGCCTACTTCGCCAAGAATGTGAAATTCGAGGGTTTGGAGGATGTAGACCTAAACCCGGAGACGACCCCTTGGATCGCGTACGGCGGCAGCTATGCGGGTGCATTCGTTGCCTTTCTACGAGTCTTGTATCCAGATGTCTACTATGGCGCTATCTCATCGTCGGGAGTGCCGGAGGCCATCTGGGACTATTGGCAATACTTCGAGGCTGCCGCTACTTACGGCCCACCTGCTTGTGTTGAAACTACCCGAAAGCTTACCCACATTGTAGACAACATCCTCATCGGCCAGGCGGGCACGGACTATGTCGGCCAGCTCAAAGCAGCATTCGGCCTCCCTAACGTCACTCACGACAATGACTTCGCCAGCGCCATCAATGGAGGCATTTACGGCCTACAGAGTTTGAATTGGGATCCTACTCAGAGCAGCGATAGCTTCTTCGTCTACTGTAGCAAAGTTTCTTCCGACTCTGTGCTGTTCCCCGGCACAGAGGAACGACGGGCCTCGATCGAGGAGCTGATCAAAGTCGGCGGCTATGAGGATGAGCTGGATACGCTTGCGAACCGATTCTTGAATTACATCGGCTACGTCAACCAGACCTCAGTTGCCGGCTGCTCCGGGTCACAAGACGCGTGTTTCACTACACACGACGCCGGTTTCTATGCGAACGATGACATAACCCAGACTTGGCGACTATGGCAATACCAGGTCTGCACTCAGTAAGTTTCTACCGATTTATCTGATGATTATAGCTCGAGTACTTATCACCGGCATAGGTGGGGATATCTCCAAACTGGAAGCGGTGTGCCGGAGGACCAACTACCTCTTATCTCGCGCACAATCGACGTCGACTACTCGGCTCTTATCTGCCGAGATGCCTTCAACTTGACTAAACCGGCAGATGTCGAGTACATCAATAGGATTGGTGGTTTTAACATCAGTTATCCCAGACTCGCCTTCATCGATGGCGAGTGGGACCCGTGGCGCGCTGCCGGTGTCCATGCGATTGGACTACCAGAAAGAAACAGCACCACAGAGGAGCCCTATATTCTCATCGCTGTAAGTTGACTACATACTGGGTATACCTGTCTCCTTTTCCGTACTAACCCTATATTAGAAAGCGGTCCACCACTGGGATGAGAACGGACTTTTCCCCAACGAGACGACTGCAGACCTCCCGCCAGCGCCTGTCGCCGACGCTCAGAGCCAGATGGCGACGTTCGTGAAAGAATGGGTGCAAGATTTTACGGGTAAATACTAGGAGCAGCTGCCCGTGCTTGCAGCTGTTTTTGACGAGATACTGACGGGAGTAGTAGATGACGCAACGGAGTCGGATGAGCTATGACATACCTAACTATTATTATTCATATGTAATAGCAATATGAAGCCTTGAACGTCGTATTTCACGTAACTCTCACGATATCCGCCGATCGCCCACGAATTAATCCCTACTCGAACTTCATGACTCGCCCGTAGAGTGTTCACTTACATGGATACAAATCTTATGATACGAAGTCCTCAACACTTTGCTAGTACGATTCGATATACGTAACGTTTGAATGAATGCTTCTTCCGAACTCTTTATCTCGACCGCGACTGTCAAGAGACCGCCCTCTACCGGACCTTGGCCTGTGAAGGGCATCCCTTTAAGTCCAATAAATTTGCCAGGTCACATTCTCATGCTGTGCAATCACTATAACTTTCTAGATAATTAATTCGTCATCTCTCGGGCATAGAAACTAGGCGAATTACTCTATCATGGGGGAGTATTGGCGTTTGTCTAACAATGTTCCTTTAGCCTTGGCGAGTAGGATTCGTCACGACCTCCAATCGTTCTTGATTAGAAATATAATTGAATTCATCACAAGTACCCCTTGCGCTAATTATCGTAATCGCTAATGAAGCAAGCAAGGGATGATTCAAACACGATGCGCGTAATGGCCAAGCTAGTTCGCCAATATCACACTTTAACGAAATTGAAATAGCCTTTATTGACTTGAAGATCCTCGCGATGCGACGACGCGAGTATTCGGCTCACATAGCCGAAACGACCTACACACAGCCTCGATCCACGCTAAGAGAGTGCGGATCTAGACACGTCAACAGGGCAATGCCGGAGGATTAACAATGCCCAGCATCGGTCAAGTTAGTCATCCCGGTTCTAGGCCTCGAAAATTCCAACCGCATTCGTTTAGGTCGCAAGCACGACCTACTTGGCGATGTCTCTTCCCCTGACTAGCACGATTTCTATGCAAACAAATATCAAACTTTGAGGGAGGAAATATGTTCATGTTGGGCTAAGCTACCAGGTACCTACGACCCTACTCCCTATCCTAGTAAAGAGAAATATATATCGAAGTGAAAGTATGTACAAAATAATATCCATACCTAATTAACCCGTCCCCATCACGTCTGATACCTATAACGTGCGTAACCTATACCAGGGGATATCAAAGCGAAAGTCGCGATTCCAACCAATGAACTCCCAAGCCTTCGGAACTCCCCAACCACCAGCGCATCATGCATCCCTAGCACTATCCTAGCCACGCGCACATATTTTCCGAACGCGTAACCTACATAGGTGGTCCCGCCGTCGCAGGGGAAAAAAAGCTTGTCCGCCCTACGCGGCAGAGATGACCCTCCCGTAGGGCACGCCCCCACGCTCATACACCGCAATGACACCGTCCCCATCGCGCTGAAACGCGCCGGGCCAGTACGAGCTGTCGACGGATAACTCCAGCGTCTGCGTCGTCCAAGTGACCTGTCCATTGCGCAGCTCCGTCGAGAATATCATCTTGACGTCTGCGTTCGCCGGCCACGCGATCTCGCTCACGGCCCTGTCCTCGTCCGTCATGAATACCACGGCCAGATTCTCCCCTATCGTCGCGATTTGCGGCGCACCCGCGTTGTGGTCGGCCGGCCGGAATATCGTGCTGCGAGACCCCCAGGTGTTCCCGTCGTCGTAAGACGTCACCGTCCCCAGGTACACGTGCGTGTTGTCGTTGATCTCGAACACCATCACCAGCGCCGCCTGGCCCGTCGCCGCGTCCGTCGTAGCTGCGATCCCCTGCATCCCGTCCCGTAACTGCTGGCTTCCGTGCAGCTGTAGATTCGTAGGCGCAGTCCAGGTCGCTCCCCCGTTCGTCGACGTCACGCGGAAGGTCTCCTGGTTCGTTGCGCTTAGCTCCCCGCTGTAGGTTAGCTGGATGGTTCCCGAGTTCGCGACCCGGATGAACGGCTCCCAGAGCCCGTTGAACCCGTTTGCGGCATTCTCCGCGGCTTGCGACAGGAAGGCCCAGGTTCGCCCGCCGTCTGTGCTGGAGCACACTGTGATCCGGTAGTAGGTTGCTGCGCCGTTGGCGTCTAGATCGTGGTTCCGGAACGCGGCGAGGATGGTGCCTGAGGAGAGCTGGAGTAGGAAGCCGTTGTCTAGGTCCCCGGTGCTTTGCGCTACGCTGCCGATCTCGCTGAATGTGGCGCCGTTGTCGTCGCTCCGGGATACTACCAGGGTTCGGGTGTTCCCGCTTCTGACGGTTGATATGGAGAGGATCCCGCCGTCGGAGAGCCTGGCTAGACGTGGGTATGTTCCCGCGCTGTTTACCCTGTTCTCGGAAGAGCCGAGAGTGAAGCTAGCTCCGATCTCGTTGAATGTCGTTGTCGTGTCCCGGGCGCTCAAGTCATCTCTCTTAATAGGAATCGGGCTCGCCGACACGAAAGAGACGATGCTCAGGTAGCTCAGTAGCATGAATATGAGTGACATGTTAGGCGATCGTTGAGACATTGTATATAAGTCGAGTAGAGACCCCTTACTTAAGGAGTAAGCCCCGTGCTAGCTTTCTTCGAGGGGGGAATTCTGGGTTAAAGAGGAAACATTGGAAGCACTGGAATTTGGGGGGCCCCTTATATATTGCGTGTATGAAAACACAGCCCTTAATGGAACATTCTATATCCCTACCTACATACTACTTATTTGTATACACCTACTAGTTAGTAAGCCGCCCCAATGTAGTCTTCTTGCGCATCGCCATTAAAGACGCAGCCCCTCGTGGTTCACGACAGCACATGTCAAAGCGGTACCCATACCCAGACCTCTAGTAAGGGGTACCGACGGATTTCTCGACCCAAAGCATGACTGACGTGCAGAGCCTCGTGGAGAGTCACGCCGGCACGGACGCATCGTATAACCCGCTGCCACGAATACCTTCGAAATTTCTCATTGGCTATCCCGTGCAGCAAGGGCTGCCAAGGCAGCTAGTTGTGCCTCAGCGCAACGAATCTAAGAAACAACGGGGGGGAGGATGGGCTGGGTTAGGCTGCTACCTGGTGACCGGCCAACACAACTCGGTCCTAGGTATGTAATGAGCGGTGACCAAGTCCTCTACGGGTCACGTCACATTAAGCAGCTTTGGCAAACTTGGTTCTCCTAGATCAGATCTTGATATTGGCTGGAACATGTCTCTCACGCTCGAGCACATCTTTTTCCTTTTGGTCTGATGATTTTCATTAACAGCTTCCTAGGTGGGACAGGGCGCTGTTCTGGAACTTTTTTTCCTGCTAGTTTTTATATTGTTACCTGGCTGAGATCCTGCCAATGACGGGGTCAGGACACCAAGGGATCCGAGACATCGGGCGAAAAAGTGGTGCGCAGAGTCGAGATCGCGGCGAATCGCGTTAGCTTAGGTAAGTATCTACGCTGATCTACGGTCCTGGAATGCTCGGGTATCTAGCAGTCTAGCTGATATTCCCACAAAATACCTGTAGGCTCGCGGAACGAATGTTTGTGGCGCTGGCTAGCATTGCTGACGTTAGACGGGAAGCAGAACGTGGGATCGAGTCTCTGTAACACGACATAAAGTAGCGGGGCAGAAGAGACAGATGAGACAAAGAAGAGAGAAGAAAAAACAGGGGCGGTTTCAGTGGCTTGCGGGAAATAGTGGAACTTGTATTAACGTTGGGTAATAATTTAACCACTTGAAGTTCGTCGCATTTCTTATTTTAGCCCATCAGGGGGGGCGAACAACGGGGCGAACAGGGCGAAGTTGAGTGCCGGTGCATGCGGTACTCGGATTTGGCTCCAGTTGGGTCCCACCACGGACGTCGCGGAGGGGTTCAAGGGGGGGGAACAAGGGGAAACAAGAACGAAGATCTACCTCTCAATCTCACATACTAGTATGTATGTTTAATTGTGCGCACGCGACCCGGCAACCTGGGTCTTCTCCCGGCACCTACGACATACGCGGAGTTCGGGGCAAATAACGATAATCGGGCAAAATAAACAAACGACGACGGCAGATGCCATCTGCAATGGTACACGGCCCGTTACCTAGCAGACAATAGTTTAAATATCATCCGACATCATAAGCCTTGGGGGTGCCTCGTACCGCATCTACATTGTGCTACGCTCGTAAGAAAAGTTCATGCCGGAAAGCCCGGGTCCTATTTTCATCTGTTGGCCCTTGCTGGGCCCCCGAGAAGTGCAAGCCGTCGGCGGTAAGCTTCATAAGAACCCATGATCTAGAACCCCACATCTGAGCCGTAGGTAGGTAGGTAGGTATAAGCTGTTCACTGTCGTGCTCTTCAGAACTCGGCTAGAACTTGCCTTTTGGAAGTTGGGCTTGAAGATGACATGCATCATGTATTTACGGCGAAGTATTCCTTCTAGGGATCTTGATGCCGTCCTGCTATAGGTCATGAGCAAAGCCTGCAGAGTCGCGTGGCATCCCCGCGTTGGGGTAGGTATCCCGCAAAGTCCCGACAAGGCTAGTCAGCTTATTAGGAGGTATTGAGATGCGAATAGTTGCTTATAGTTGCTTGTTTCTCTTACCCCAAACTTTTTCATGTTTGCGTTGTAATTTTCTATTTGCTGTTCGGCCTATACCTCGGCTCTACGCCATGTCTCGCAAAAATATATGGACGGCTATTGGCGGCGCCCTTGCTAAGGAATGCTACCCCTTTGCTTATTGTATTGAAAATACTGAAGGTATTGAAAGTTTTCCGGGTCATGAGAGCCAGGTCATAGGCTTTGATGATTCCGACTATAGGGATCGTTAGTAATAGTTGATAATCAATTCTGCTAGACATTGGATGACCACATGTCGATAGAATCTTGGTTTCCGTAGATGCCAAGTTGAATGTTGTTGAGTCTGATGGTTCGGACCCATATATCGTCGTTGCGTTCGGCATCTTGGCTTTTATAGAACCTGAGGCTATAATAGCCATGCTATAAAATCGGATTGGTCAACGAGGAACGTAATAGAGTTTTATACTACTATATGACTATATGTAATATGACATCGACAAGAATGTTGCGGGAATTTGACGGTGAATGGGGGTGGAGTTTAGAAGATTCCAAAGTTAATTCATTCAGACGAAACTATAGTGAACTAGTTTTACATGCCAACCGTATACGCCAAAAGTGAACAAGGAATCCAATAGATCTCCTAATTGAGTGGATAGTGAATATAAACATGAAATCATCATAGTCCTCTTTATACGAGTTATAAATATAGGTACCTAGAGCTCGTTGTTCTAGCAGTATACCTGGGTACCTACCTAGTAGGTAACTTGACCCAGGAGGTGTATAAGGAGTTACAAGGAAATAATTACAAGTAATTCTTTTAATGAATAAATTAAGATGCCCTAATGGTCTAGAAACAAAGTATGTACGATCTTAATTAAAGAAAATTCTGCCTTACATTCCTCGAGTGGATCGTCGTTAGTAAATATAGCTAGCCTGTCTTAGAAATTCAAAGAAACCCCCTGATTCATCGCCTGTACAATGTGGTGATATAAGAAAGAAAAATGAATGGACAATGGGATAATCATCTGATCTTTTCTACTACTGGGTAGGTATTTACTAACGAACGCTCATACCCGCAATATTGAGCCCCTGAACTTTAGTGTCGAGTCCACAACATCCATTTTTTGCACGATGCCGACCTAAAGGCTCCCATGCAGCGCGCAATCTTGAGATACCTAGGTATTTATTACAAATCTGCCTAGTTACCTGTTATCATTGTTAGGATTAAAGCCTTAGGACCTAATAGAGCACTGGCACCGAAGTCTGCCGCCTTGCCAATTTGAAGATCTGTGCTATGGAGATGGCCATGCGAAAAGGGGTAAGGAGTTAGGGGTTTGAAATTTACAATAGGGATTTCAAGCCTCTTGATATCCAGGGCCAAGACTCGCAGAATGGTTCATGGCGATTTAAGCGTATCTGCGGTGCCTTTCCGGATCTCATGCGTCACATCGACCGCCAAACGTCCACCGTCAAAGCTTAACCGGCGTGCCGGCTCCGGTTAAGTTACTACTTCATTGGCACAACTCTATATTCACTACCTTGACCAAGGCCGTTTCCGTGACTTTAGCCATCGCCCATTGCTTTCATAAGCAACTTACTCGCCTTTTCTTCTGGACTAGTTGATCATACCTGGCTATTTGTCGGTTCTCGCTCCCTTGCTTGATACTCTTGACCCGCGCTACCCGCTATAAAAATCCAGAGACATCCCCGCCGACTTATTTCAATTTTAGTCAAGTCAACAAAACAGCTCTTAAATAAGTACATATTAGAATTTTCATTACCGCTCAATATTTACCTATGTTCCTTACTTATGTGGTTTTTTTCTTATGTAGCTCCTCACTCCAATATCGTCTCATAGCTTCAATTTCAGACTCAGGCTTGCTAACTGAGGTCCCTCACAAGGCCTTGCTGAATAAAAGAGACGTCAATATATACATTCTGCAGTTTATAAATCCACGAATTGGAATGAAAGGCTAAATAAGATGCTTCGGCAGTTGACATCAAAACTTTCGCCTCAGAGCAATGTTCGCTCAATCCCGTGTTCTTTCGCAGTCTTATAGGTTTCCAACCGGAGGCAAGCCTGCCGAGTGAGGTCCTGCACAAGGTCTCGCTTAAATAGGACGTCAATAAGCACTGGGTTAGGTACCATGTAGTTATACAATTTATCGTCAGTGAATCCACGAGTTAAAATGAAGGGTTAAATTTAGACGGGTCGGTAGTTACCTAGGCAGCGTTGAGATCTTCGCCTCCGAGCGATGCTACTACATGCCGGTTCCGCCGCAGTGGATATATAACCACTGTCGCGAATCGGTCTTCGCTAGGACTTCCTTAAGCGGAACTTTCTTTCAAGCCTTCTAACAGTGTTCGTACGAATCATTGTACCAAGATGCGCGCGAACATCATCATCCTGGCAGGGAGTGCCGCTGCCCTCACGGACATCGAGCACAAGCCCTTCATGCGCAAGAACATCGATCCGATCGTATACCCGGGGAAATACATATCGCACATGCACTCATTTTACGGCTCCGATACGCTAACCAAGGATCTGCCAACCACAGCTGAGCTTCAGAAGGGCTGCCCGTCCGGGGAAAACCCCAACGATATGTCTGTATACTGGGCGCCGACACTGTACTATGTGAACGGTAACAACTACACGGAAATCTACCCTGCTACGTTCAAGACCTACTATGAACAGATTGATCATGCGGAGATCCCATTCCCGACGGACTTCCATGCCGTGGCTGGGAATGCGTCCGCCACGAGCCAAGCGGACATTGACGAAAAAGTCACTGCTATCACATGGTGGTGCGACGGCAACGGGCCCGAGGATCGCAACACCCGGCCTCGCGCTGCCTTCCCACGGTCAACTTGTAGCGCACACTTGCAAACCATCGTTCGATTTCCCGATTGCGTCGACCCCAATAAGATCACCGACTACACATACGCTGCGCTCCACGGCGGAAGATGCCCTAGCAATATGAAGCGGCTGCCTTCATTGCGCTTTTCGGTCAGATATGACACACGCAGAGCGATCCCACAAGGATGGAAGGGTGTCCCACCCATCAAACTTGCTTGCGGAGAGGTACGTATACTTCCCCCTTTTCGCTTTACCCTACACGCTAACATTTGGTGAAAAGATTGGCGACGGCTACTGCTTCCATGGTGACTTTATCAACGGCTGGTTTGAGGACGCAGGCAAGACCCTATTGAAGGCAAAGGGCCAAGGTTTCATGCGAATTGATGGAGCACATGGTAGTGGAAAGGTCCCGTTCGGCAGCACCGGGTGCAAGACCAGGGATCGGGACCCGGAGAATGGCACGGACGACTACCACAAGAGTCTGGAGATGATGAATGGTCAGATGAAGTGATCGAATTAGGGTGATATATCTCACTTGAGAACGAGTCTGCTCGGGGGTCGTGGTATTTTTGATGTGGTCTACGCACTTGGGTAGGCACGGTATAAAAAGGCACGACTGGCAGGAACTCCGCCTTTCCATGCGTGAATTTAACTGGCATAGATACATTGGCAAGGGTTAATCATATGTTAGCTTACAATGAAGTCTATTAAGAAGCTTGGAGACAATCAAGCCATTATTACACAGCCCCTTTGTTCAGATTCTAGGTCTTCGTTGTTCTATAGATGTTTCTTTTCATTCGCCTTGTCACTGGCAAAGGGTAAATGTACTTCATAAGAAGCTTCTCGCGCCTTTTGCGATATTCCTTTCTGAAGTCCAAAAAACAATATCGTGCCGAGATATATTAGCAACGTTTCACGCCAATTTCTAGAATTCTCATATTCCAAGCAGTCTTGCGAAATATTCCGACCAATCTATCACTCACCAAATACTTTTCAAAATGGATTCGAAATCTACGAAAAGTACTACCGGTCAGGCAACCCCGATTGAGTATGACATGAATTCTACGGAGACGATAAAGTATGATTGTTGTGATCAGATGAGAGAGGCGGGTATGGAACATATCGAAAAGTATAATCAGGGCGGATATCATCCTGTACTAATCAATGATATTCTTGACGGTCGATTCGAAGTATTTCATAAACTCGGCAGCGGAGGCTATGGAATCGTTTGGCTATGTCGCGATCTCGTCTTAGAAAAATGGAGAGCAGTTAAGATAATAACTGCAGATCAATCCTCTGAAACTGAAGAAGAAAAGATTTACCAGTACTTCCGAGAGAATTGCACCCCGGAGGAACTAGAACAGAATCATATCGTGATGCCTCTAGAAGAATTCTGGGTAGAGGGACCTAACGGCCGCCACCGTTGCCTTGTAATGCCAGTACTAGGTTGGAAAGTTTGGGACTGGCGATACGACCACGACGGCCATGAGGAACAAAACCGCATATACACAAAGGATATATGCCGCCAAGTCACCAAGGCCATGGATTTCCTCCACGGGCATGGGATATGCCATGGCGATTTCAGACCACACAATATTCTCATGAAGGTTGAAGGCATTGATGATCTGGACGGGCCTCAACTTATAGAATTGATGGGAGAGAGAAGCCGTTATCGGGTTGAGACGGTATCAGATATTCCATCACCCAGAGCTCCTGAGTACTGTGTAGTTCCCGCAAGCATGGACTGGTGTAAGACAATATCCACCCAGTCCGTTGCAATTATTGATTTTGGCGAGTCATTTTTCGCTAAAAGTCCTCCCAAAATGACCGGTATTCCGACTTTATGGGCTGCCCCTGAGATCATGTTTGAAGAATCTAAGGTCCTAGGATTTCCCAGCGACGTATGGTCATTGGCATGTACGCTTTATGAAATTTGGACAGGCGCTCCTTTATTTGGGCGGCTTCACGCCCACTACTTCGGCCTAATAGTTGAAGAGGTCGAAAAGTTCTTAGGTCCATTACCTCTATGTTATGAGACGGCGTACGCAAAGATGCGTGCAGAGATGTATGGGAAAAATCTCAATGAAGATCCTCAAGAACAAGTTGAATCTCAACCTGAACCCGAAGAATATCTTGAGGAGGATGAGCTCATCGAAGAGACCAGTTATCCAAACATGTTTGAAACCGACCTAGGAGAGGAGAAGGTAGTATACGAAAACGGCGCGCCTGTCAAACATCGATATCCTCAGCAAGATGCATTGGAATTAGGTGATCTGCTATATAAAATGCTAAGATACGAGCCGGATGAACGTATCACAATGAGCATGGTAATTTCACACCCTTGGGTAAGGACAGAACCAACACATCCCATCCCTACCGATTCCGCATACAAGAGTATACGTGATCATATACGTGATCGTTCACTGACTATGATACTTCTCGCCTTTATGGCTTTCGCTATGATCCCCCAGGCCATGAATCGACGCAGTAATATCCTGGTTAACGAGGGTTGGAAGCATAGGATGGAAGAATTGAGCGAGCCATTAAGGAAATTGGCGTATAAGTTATATCCGTCTCTTAAGGATTCCAAGTCTAGCTCCGGTCTATCACCTTGGAATTTTTGGGAACTAAGTAACCCGATACGCCGTATAGCACATCGTTGGTTTAGATATTAGAGGTAGATTTCCTAACTTAGGATTATTAGCAGTAAGTAGCGTGTATCATTTCTATACCTACCAAGTATGGATATATGTAATACCATTAGGTACCTAGGTCGTTATTAGATAGGGTAATTCATTTTGAGTGCATTTCTAATTATAAATTTGAACATATATCCGATTACTTTTCTCTTATCTACCTCCCAGAGACTCTATAGTTTTAATGTGGCTCTAATGATACCTACCTAGGCACACCAAGGACACTCACTTGGTGTCAGGAGATAAGTGTAGAGAGAGTGTAGTTTAGCCCTAGTATAGCCCTTATGAGGCGACAACGAGGTAGCCGTGTATATATAACAAGGGCTCCGCCCTCAAAAAGTTGAGAGAGAGTAACGGTTATTTCAAGTCACACTTCTGAACCTGCCTTTAAGCCTGCTGAGAAGCGCCTGTGCCCTATCCTGTTGTTCAATCCGTGCAAGACCCTAAACCTACCGGGCTTCTTTGCAATGATTGTTCTGAAACAACTAAGAACAAGTATTCAAAGATCTTTGCAACAAACGCTTTATTGTGTGGTCTCGATCTTTATAGTTCGTACGCCTTTAAGATTTCCCAATGTATATATTTAGCATCATAGGATCCTTATATCATGGCTACCTCATGCAGATATTACATTAAAATATTCTATTAAAATATTCGAAGATGGCATCTCGTAGTGCACCTCTCGCCGGCCCGGTTCAATCGTTTAGGCCTAATGTTCCGGTTAGTGTCGTCTTCACAAGGGGTATGAAGCTTGGACTAGGTGGTACACACGATAAACAGTTTCAGGAAAGAATTAAGAGAAAGAAAAGAGAAAGTGGTGCTGGAACGATACAAGATCCAAAAGTATGTTAGCACCCTATATCACGTACGTTTGGACATTTTTGACTAACAGTTTAATTTTTAGGTAATCTGGCCTCACCCAGGCTCTTCGCAACCAGAAGAAAATCTTGCAGCGATAGATGTCATTATTAAGCGCCAGACAGCGAGTTTCGGATTATCTTATGCCTGGATTGCGTAAGTACCCCTCTCCTACTCTGATAAGTATTTATAGGAAGAAGCTAACAGGTTATATAGGTCAGACGTTCACGGTCTCAGTACCACCAGTCGGCGGGGAGATGGAACACGTATTTTGGAGCGAGACGACACTCATGTTACCGTACGGATGGGGATGTCAGAGAATATATGTAATTTACATGGCCATATATACCTAATATCGGAAAATCATAATCCAAAACATAAGGTCGTTCGAGAGATGCTGGATAAGGAAAGGGGCATTAAAGGAGGTAAGAACCCTCAACTGTGGATCTGGGGAAGATACCCTGCAGAGCAACAGTACTGGCCTAGATCCCAGGTTCGATATCCGGAATCGCCATTGGAGGTCATACCAGGCTCAATTCTAAGTTTACAGAACGAGGAGGAGGAGGAACGCAAAAGAGCTTCACGCCAAGGAAATACATTCCAGTATAGACGCGGTAAGTATCCAGGTAGGTAGTCCCTACTAAGGTGAGTAATTTTTCCGTATGTTTTCTACAAAATTTGGAGAATATTATCTTTATAAAGCGGAAGATCACAGCGTACACTAATCAGTTACTGTCTATAACCTGGCTTGGTCAGATACTCTGCTAACGAGATGTTGACATTTGCCCGGAGGTTAATACAGACGAAAAATATAAGAATAGAACAATAAATTATATACCTACTACCTAGGTACCTATTTACCTCGTACGTGAATCACTTGTCTCATATCAATTACAATGTAGGTAGGGAATGTTGTATCATAACCGCAATCTTCACTTACTGAGAAACTGCGAAGTCGACAACCCAAATAATCTGGGGTCGATATCCGAATACCTGGTTCGCCCATAGGGATGGGTCCGCCAAGGGGACCGATACCCCGGGCGGGGTATAGGAGTAGATTGTAGGTACAATTACCTAACCCCTTTTCGGGTTGCCCTTCAGCTTTCAGCCTCTACCGAACCCCAACCCTAGTGACTTGGGATTAACTCTTGGATAATAATGAAATACGAATGGTGTGCTGGTATATCTATTACTGTAGAGCATGCTTACATAATAGAATACGATATAATTCCTCTAATTATACTAGGTACCTACTAGGTATCTAGGTGCTCATGTGTCCTATAGTACGCCCCTATCAGATCCTTCAGATTACTAACCGAATTCAGACCGTCAGTAGTGGGTGCACTACTACTCCACAAAACATATCGGCATCGAATTCGGGGGAAATATCCACATGGACTTCCCCGCCAAGATCGGCAGTTTGAATAGAGACTGTAGTGCAGAAGGAACATCGGTTGCTCATGTCTCTATTTCTGCGAAGTGCGTCCCCCTAGTTGATCAATCCACATTTTCCATGTCGAAGGTTCTGTACTCTAGATTATGAACAGTTACCTACCTGTAAACAGGTAGCTTGGACGACGGGATGATTGCCGAATTTCTTGCTAGTATAGGCTTCGCTGTAGCGCTGTCGTATTTCAGTTTGATATTTCCAAAGGTAAGCATGTTGTGGAAATTTGAGGAGCAATTCTCTAACCGACATGTCTGCACAGTTACGGCAAGAATGGAAACTATATGCGCATCGATCAGAACTTCCGCCAGGTCCTAAGATCATCAAGTCTGGTCTTCGGAAGCCGTGGCTATGGTTTCGAGAATTGAACAAGGAGTATGGAGACGTGGTATACCTTCAGATGGGGCCGACGCCAACTATCATATTGGGCTCTGCCCAAGCGGCATGGGACCTCCTCGAGAAAAGGGGCGCGAAGTATTCGTCCAGGCCGCGTTTCATTATGGGAGGTGAACTCCTCTCAGGGGGTATGCGAGGACTCATGTCGCCATATGGGTCCTTTTGGAGACGCTGGAGAAAGCTGCTGCATAGCGGATTCATGCAACGTCAGAGCGAAACCTATAGGCCGATCCAGAGTTTGGAATCAAAGGTCCTCATGAATGATTTGCTTAAAAGCCCGGAGAGATTCCGTACACATCTTGAGCGTTATGCGGCATCGGTTATCGTCACTGTCACATACGGACGAAGAGTCGAGGACGTGGATACCGATATTGTGGTGCAACGGAATGGCGAGTCGATGGATCGGCTAACTCAAGTCAAGTGAGGAACTCCTCTATTCTTTGATGGCGTACTCTAACTCTTTTGAAGTATTCCTGGGAAATATGCAGTCGAGCGCTATCCGGCACTTAAGTATGTGCCCAGCATATTTGCGCCATGGAAAGCACAAGTGCTAAAACAGCGACAAAAAGATGTCCAATTGTACACTGACCTCATGGATGAGGTAAAGGAGAGATTGGCAAAGGGCGCTTTGCCTACATGCTTTGCCAAACACCTTTTAGAGGAACAGAATAGTCTTGGGATGCCAGACCTCGAGCTCGCTTATGCCGCGGGGTCCCCTTTTGGTGCTGGGGTAGAGACAGTGAGTTCCTATATTCATCTAAAATATTAGACGACCCAGTGCTAAGTTACTGCTCAGTCGGCAGGTACACTTGCTAGCTTCCTCTTGGCGTGTGTAAAATTTGGCCCTCAGTTCATCCCTAAGGCACAAAATGAACTTGATAGGGTAATAGGGAGTGGTAGACTTCCCACGTTCGAGGATATGCCTCGATTGCCCTATATTAAGGCAGTGGCCGCTGAAACTCTGCGTTGGAGGCCAGTAGCAGTGTTAGGGGGCACGCCGCATGCAAGTACAGCTGATGATGTGTATAAGGGGATGTTTATTCCTAAAGGAAGCACTATTATCGCACCTCTGTGGAGTAGTAAGTGTGAGAAGTTTTCCATTTCTTGTCCAGTAATAATAACCTCGCGCTTAGTTCACTTGAACGAATCGGATTTCCCAGATCCAGATAAATTTCAACCAGAGCGCTTCATAGAGGACCGTGAGTACCCCGGCACATTTGGTCATAGCGCGTTTGGTTGGGGGAGAAGAATTTGCCCTGGAATGCATCTCGGGACCGCGTCTGTCGAACTGAACATTGCTCGGATATTATGGGCATTCGAAGTCGGTCCTGCAAAAGATGCGAGTGGAAAGGATATCGATGTTGACATGTGAGTATTGTCTATTGAGATGAGTGTACTGAATACCTGGCACTAATGATGTTTAGATTTGCTTTCTCGGATGGGTTCAACTCAAGTCCGCTACCATTTCCCTGCTCAATGATACCACGGTCTGCAAAACATGCGAAGGTAATAGAACATGAGTTTCAGGAGGCTCTAGAATCGTTGAAGACATATACTGCAGTTACTAACAAAATCTCTTGAATTGGGGAAGTTGAAAAGCTTGTCTCGATAACAGCCTGTATTGCGGATATGATACAAGGGTGGCTGATTAAGAAGAACGTGGAGGGATCTAAGGTGGACCATAAGCCCGTATCCGCCAACCCGCCAATTCAATTAATGTATTAAAATGTACACAGTATGAATAAGCAGTATATATGGAACTTACATTATGCTTTATAGTTTATAAAGCGTTATTAATGTTTAATGATAATATTTTTAATACTTAAGTAAATATATATTTATTATAAATAAGAATATTTTTTATTTTATAAAGTTTTTAATTTAATAAATTAAAACGGAAAAACGACGTTAATTTTTATTATTAAATTTTACGGTTTATTAATAAAAGAAAAAATAAAATGAAAATTATATAAATAAATATTTATTAAACTTAAAGAAAAATATAATTTATTTTTACTTTTTATTAAATATATATTATATGTTATTTATTTTTTATTTTATTTTTTAATTTTACGTTAATATTTAAATTTTATAATTTACTTATTTAATTAATTTTTTTATTTTAACGTTATATTTAAGTAATTATTCGAAATTTAACGCGAATTAACGTTAATAAAATTAATCGTTTTATTATAAAAAAAAATATAAACTTTTAAAAAAAAAATAAATTATTTAATTATTTATATTTAAATTTCTTTCTTTTTTTTAAATAAATATTATTAAATATTAAAATTATAAAACTTTTTACTTTAAACATTTAATCCGTGAAAGGTAATTAAAAAAAACCGATATTTATTATGTTAAATTTTTAATTTATTTTAAAATAAATATATTTTATTTTAATAATAAGTTTTATTTAAATATAAAATACGATAATATTTAAAAAAACTTATAAATATAATAATATTTAAAATTTAAATAAAAATTAAACGATTTTTATTAATTATTATTTATATTTTTATTTATTATTTAAATTTTTAATATTATTTTTTTCGCGGTTAATATTTAATTTTCGAAAAAAGTTATTTATTAATTTAATATATTTAATTTAATTTTTTCTTTTTATTAAATAAAATAATAATAATAATAATAATTAATATTAACGTTAAAAAACCGTTATTTATATAATTATTTTAAAACTTTATTAAAAATATATTAAACGTATTAAATTAAGTTTTATATTTTATATTTAAATATAAAATCTTTATAATTTATTTAATAATTTATATTTTTAAATATACGTTATAACGGTTTATATTATATTTTTTTTATTAAAAAGCGGAAAAAAAAAACGTAAAAAAAACGGTATTATTAATAAAATTAAACACGTATTTATTTAATAAAAATTACGTTAAATATAAATTTAATTACTTTAAAATATTATTATTAATATATAACATTATTTTTTAAATTTATTAAAAATATTATTTTTTATATTTTTATAACTTTTTTATAATAATAATAATAATAATAATAAAAATTATAATAATTAACTTTATTATAAAACGGAATTAAAAAATTAAAAAATAATAACGTTATTACGCGAAAAACTTTTAATTATTCTTTTTATGGAAAATATAATATATATATAAATAAAATTTTTTATTTATTTTATTTTTAAAATTAACCATAAATAAAACCCTTACGGGGATTTTATAAGCTTAATTTTAATTTTATAAATTTTTAATTATTAATTTAAAAAAAAACTAATATTTAATAAACTTTTTTTACGTTTAAAATTTTACTTTTAAATAATAATTTAAGTTTACGTTTTTTTAATTTTAAATATTTTTTAATAAAATAAATAATTTTTAAATATATAATTATTTAATAAGTAAATTATTATAAATAAATATTATAACTTATTTTTTTAAATAATAATTATTTACCGTTATATATTAAAATTATATATATACGTTTATTTAATAAATAAACTAAACTTAATATAAATATTAAAAAATTAATTATATTAAAAGTATACGTATTATTTATTATACGAAGATTAATATTAAATATTATTAATATTAAAATAAATATTATTAAATAATTATATATTATATTATTAAAAATATAATTAATTAAAAAAATATATTAATATATAAAAAAGTTATATATTAAAATTAATATAAAATTATTAAACGTTTAAAACTTAATGTAATTTTAACGTTTATTAAATAAATTATTATTAAATAAAAACGTAGTTTTTTTTTTAAAAAAAAAAAAAAGGAAATTACGAACCTTAAAACTTTAAAAAATTATTATATTAATTTTAAAATATTATTTTAAACTTTTATATTAACTTTTATTATATTATTATTTATTTTATTTTATATTATTTAAATTATAAAACGAAATTAAAAAACTTAAAAATAATAACGTTATTACGTAAAAAGCCTTTAATTACTTTTATTACGAAAAATACGGTATATATATAAACGAAACTTTTTATTTATTTTATTTTTAAAATTAAAAATTAATAAAACTTTTACGAACTTAACGGGAATTTTATAAGTTAAATTTTAATTTTATAAATATTTAATTATTAATTTTCTTTTTAATTAAACGTAAAATAATTTTTATAAATAAAAATATAATAAAAAAAGTAATAAAATAAATAAATATTTAATAAATATACGGTTTTTATAACCGTGTTTAATAATGTAAAATTATAATATTTTTTTAATTAATTAAAACCGAGCTTTTATAAAAACCTTATTATTTTAATAATATAACTTAAATTTAAATACGTATTTTTTAATTAATCGAAATATTTATCGATAAATTCCCGCATTTTTAAAATTAAGCTTAAATAATTAAATATATAAATATTATTTACGTTATATAAAACCGGAAAAACGCCGGTAAAATATATATATATTATCTTATATATATTAAGTGGGAAATTAAATACCGTAATTTAAACTTTTAAACTTAATTTTAAAATTTATATTTTTTTATAATATTAAATTTTTAATTAATTATTTTACATTTAAAATATTTTTAAAAGTTTAATAATTAAAATAATTTAATTATTTTTATAATACGTTTTCGAATAAACTTAATTACATTAAAATTAATAAAAAATTAAATTAAAGTTTTATAATTAAAATTAAATTAAGTTAAAATTAATTTAAATTAATTAAAATAATAATTAGTTTTTAATTTTAAATATTATAATTAAATAAAAGTTTAAAAATTAAAAAAAAATAACATATAATTTAAATTAAACGTTTTTAATTAAATTAAATTAATTAAATTACGAATAATTAAAATTAATCGAATATATAATAAAATTTTAATATAATTTAAAACGCGTTCGAATTAACGTTAAGTTTTTTTTTAATATAATGCGCGTATTAATTAAAATTATATAACGTAAATAATATTAATTATAAATATTTTAATATTTAATTATTTATTCCTTTTAATTTTTAACGAATATATAAAATTTACATTATTTTTTAAAAAAAAAAAAAAAACTTTATATTATACGAAGTAATTTATTTAATTTAATTTAATTTAACTTATAATAATATATTTTATTATATTATTATTAATTTATAACGTTATTTACGATATTTAAAATAAAAATTAAAAATATTTATATAATAATTATAATTATATATATAATTTTAAACTTAATTTAATTTAATTATTAAGATTTTAGTGTTTATTTTTATTATATGTTATAATGTTTTTTATTATTTTTTTAGTTTTTTTTAAAGAAGGTATAAATGTATTATTATATAAATTATAGATATTTTTTTTCCGATTAAATTTTTTAGATTTAATTTTAAAATTAAATAATAATTATTTAATTACTTGTGTTTTTATAAATGGTAGTTTTATTATCGAAATTATTTTAAAATAATTATTAATGTAACCTTTTTACTATTTTACGAAAGTAATAACTTTTATTTCGTTTTTTGTTTTTATTTCGTTTATGGTCCCGTAAAAACCTTATAAATTTTGTTAAGTTTTTTATTTTTCGTCCCGTTTTATTTTATTATATTTATATTAAAAATTTTCGTTAATTTTTACGATATTTTATATTTTTAATTTTTATTAATTACGATTTTACGAATTACGTTTATATTTTTACTAGTTTGTTTTTATTTTTAATTTAATCGGTATTAAAATTCGATTTAAAATAATTTTAATATTTTTCGGTTATACATATAAAAATCGATTAAAAACTTTTCTTTATTTTTCCTTCGGTTTTTTCGTTCTTTCGGTTTTCTTTTTTTATTAAAAGGAAAAAACTTTAAACTTTTAAATATATTAATATATACGATAAAACGCGTTACGGAAATTATCTTTTAAATTTATACTTAATTTTTTATTAAAAATTCGTTTTTAACTTTTTTATTTTACCATTTTTCTTATTTTATATTTGCGGATAATTTTAATTATATTCGTTTATCGAACTTTATAATCGTATATAAGTAAAACTTTAATGTAAAACGAATTTTTTTTTTAAATTTTTAAATTCTTTTCGATTTTATTAAATTTTTTTTTATTTTCGGAATACGTTTAAATTTTCTTGTTTTTTCCATTCGTATTATAAAAAATTTTAATAAAAATATTCCTTTACTTTTCGATTTTAAATAAATTATAAATATATATAAATTCCGAAAAACTTTTAATCGTAATATATTATATATTCGCGAAAAGTTATCGATTTTTAAGTTTAAATTTAATTTTAAATTTATCGTTATTTTTATCCCCGTTATTTTTATTCTCGTTTTTATCGTTAAATTTTTTATTCTTATTTATAAAGTTTTAACTTTTATTTTTTAAATTTTAATTATTCGAATTATTTTTATTTTAACTTATATATTCGAAACATTTATTTTAAATTCTTTTTTTAATTTTATTTCGAGTTTTTTTTTAATTTTACCTGTTATAAAAACACCGTTTTTATTTAAAGTTATAAAATTTTTTAATACTTTTAAAGCTTTTCATATATTAAAACGTGGTAAAAGTAAAAACCGTAAATAAATAATAAATTTTATTTTTTTTATTTAAAATAATTTTTCTTTTAACATTAAAACGGAATTAATTAATTTTATATTAAAATAATCACCGTTTATTCGCGTTTAATTTCCCTTTATAAACGCGTTAAATATTTATTAAA